TGATTAGGATAGTGCCCACAGGGTATTGTGATGTACTCTAGGCATCTGTGTAGTTAGTTGCCCCCGGTTGCCGGTTGGTCCGAAGGGCGTGAAGGCTTCGCCTGCCTGGGACTAAGAATGTCGTGCTTTCGCCGCCAGTTACTGGAATTATTGTTCCGATTCAGAACGGAGCACTCCGTATTCCACACAGAGTATCCGTACATAATTCTAAGGCATAGTTCGGGGTGTCGGCGTGTCATCTGTTCTTCCCGATCATCCGAAGGAAAACTCCATTGTCTGTCTCGAAAGTGGGTCTTGTCTAAGTCGCCGAATCCCACTGCTCGCTAAGCATATCACACTTATCCCCGTTGTTAAAGTGAGCCCTTGCGGGCCAAGCCGACCAAAGTTTGCCGACCGTGGTTCATGAAGATTCTGGAAATGGCATGGTTTCTGGATATTTCAGACAGAGTGGAGAGAGGAGGTCCGCTTACTGTGTATCTTTTCGGTTTCGGTTCTGCCTTTCTTTGGGTTTTCTCCAGCTGGTTATCGAGGCCATTGCGTTGAGGCTCCACATGGGCTCGGCATTCCTTACCTTATGTCCGAAACGAGGTGGCCGGGGCGTAAATGCGGCCGATAAGGTGGCTGTATAATTTCGCGACGGATAATACGGCTTCTTGCGCGACATGATTAGCATTTCGGACTTTTGGCCTAGAAAATGGGCGCCTTCAACTAAGCTCATTTACTTACTTATAAAAATAGCGTACGGATTATATTGAAACAAACAGTATTGTGTGGTACCTACGCCGTACCAGGCTACACAGGATTCAATATTTTGACATCGCCATGTCTGGATCAATAATTTCCGACTTGTAGTGATCGGCCTCAACGTGGCTTGCCTGAATCCGGAAAGTTTGGAGCACACCCAGCCAACTGCATCCAGGACCAGGATATGTTTAAACTGCTTCTCCCGTGCGGGTTGATCATTTACCTCTCCAATCAACCCTTGCCCAAGGTTAAACTGTAGTACGCGTAACTAGATTCCGTACCCCAGGACCCGACGATCATTAAGTTACTATACATCTTATAGTTTTACATACTCACACTGAAATGTATTATTGTTCATCTCTTTCCTTTCTCCCACCCTCCTCAAATCCCACACTGTGCTTGGGCTCTCCTTCTTGGGGGCGATGACGTACCTTGTATGGGTCCGGCACATCCTAAATGCCCATGATCCGTGATCAACTAACGATTAACTCTACTTAAGAATAGTTGCGACCGCGTTTCGTATTGTCACACACCCATTGCAACCCTGAAATTCACACGGAAGGGAAATAAAGATTGCCAAGAGTTGATTTCGTGAAACGTCGCACGAGCTTATCTCCACTAACAAAATTAAGGTGTCCATGACTATTGCTTGGATGAATACTGAATGTGCTGGGACACTATGCTTGCCTTGTGAGTTCTGATTACCGAATCGCACTACTTAGGCTGAAAAAAAGAAGGAGGCTCCGAACACTAACCCATTGCAGAATGCTTTATCCGGGAATCACGAAGTGTATACAAGGGTAGTACCGGATCATCAAGACCTATTGATATTACTATTGTTATTATCACCAGAGACAGAGACTTCTTAACTTTACATTTTGCGCAAAACAAAACATCCGGGAGCAAGATCAATAGGCTGTGCTGTTATTTTCCACCAATAGCCCAGTTGTGTCGATTCATTGGCCGCGCATTTTTGACCACTTCAGGCAACTCGAATACGCACACTAGGTATTTACTTTTCTTCCCTTAATTGGAACTTATTGCTGGTTCCTCGTGTCTAAAGTAAACCCAAATTCCCCCCTCTTCATAGCCAAGAGATACTCTGTGAATTGTGAATGGCAACTGAGCCTTGCCAAGACGATCGGACCATAGTCACCGGCCCCCTCTTTCTCGGCAGCCCCAGTTTGGGTTGGCGGTGCTGGGAAGTGGCAACTGTCACCGGCAGGCCTAAAAGCCAGATTGTCCTTTCGAACCATGGAAATTAGGTGGCCTGGCTGATACTAAACACGGTTAGAGTCGCAAGTTTATCTCCATTATTGGATCCTCCAAAATGGGTTTGATGACCCGACCGGTGTGTCTTACATGAATCAGCAGAAAACCATGTGGCGCAGTGGTTTTTGAGTTTATGCTCACTCGGAGAGTTAATTGAACCGAATACGAGGGTGAAATTATGAGACAGTCCGGAAACTCATACGCAGTAGATCTAGCAGGTACACCCACGTAACATTGAGGGATCCGAGAGCTTCTTGTTTGGTTGCATTAATGAAGATGATCGGTGTTGCTCTACAATGTTGCAGTTTAGTGGATGGTGTTTTTTATTTTGGGCTAAAAATGGGTCTTGTTTGGCCTCACGGGCTTCGTACGCGATAGTTGAATAGGGGCAGATGCCAACAATAATAATATTATACGAATCATAATACTGTGTCGCTTAGCTAGTCTAGCTTGGTCGCCAGGATGCCAATCATTCCCATTACGCCCTTCTTCAATGTGATACGTCAGGCAGGGATGGCCCCAGCCAATGCATGACTCGCCCCCCCCCTCCCCCCAGGCGGACAAAGCCCGAACATCTTGTTGCTTATGCTTAACCCCGGTAAGGTTGGGTCCTTTTGGCCCGCCGATCCTGGGCCCCTGATTGGCATGCGGTCGGCGACTTGCCCTCGTAAAGTCTATTAGATTAAGAATTTCCCAGTTTCAAGGCTGTGCGCGGACCCCTCTCCCCTCCTTCAGAGCATTCCGATCCTGTGAGGCTGTTCACTCACTCCCATTTTCATTTCTCAGTAATGTGCTAATGTGGCTAATAACGTAGTACCCTGTAGGCAACTATTGCGGTTTGCTGGGTTTTGCTTTGCCTGATTCCCTCACTCCTCCCCAAAATAGATATGAACCATCAGGGTGTATAGTTTAAAACATAATAAAATACTCTAGCCACAAAAATCAATAACTCCGCTTGAAACCGCCAATACTCCACCCACTAGTAAGAGTTTGCCCAGAAACGACAAGTCCTCGGCTTCCTTAAGCGAGGTCCGCAAACCCGCAAACCCGAATTAAAGTATCTTCCAGCGCCATGAAAGCTTGCCAAGCCGAAAAAAAGGAAAAGAGAAAAATCACGAAATAGATTGCCCGGAGACCCACGGACCACGTTTTCTGCTGACGGAGGTCTCCGCCCTTTCGATTCTCTTTTCCCTCTTTAAGAACATTGTCATCTGGTTAATACGCCTGTGCGTTCCTCGGTCGCTACATATGTACTCCAGACAAGGAAGCATTAATACCTGCGCTCTTCGCGCCCCGTTTTTTTGCGTTTCGCTGCGGACGCCTCCAACCACACTAGAGTGCTTGGCCTTGCTTGGACTGGTCTGAGAGCCGGTGCAGAACGGAACTCGATTATGACGATAGTTCTAATTATTATTGTAAGTACGTTCGGGTTACCAATGGTGTTGCTACTGCATGGGCCCATCTCACCGCTCCTATCGCTTCCAAAATCGTGTTGTCGGAAGTTGGGTAGGTGTGGTAGATACAATAGTTACGATGCTTTTGGACAGGCACGCATTAGTATAACGGGTTCGCCCAGGATCCAGGGGCAAGTTCTTTTTGGAAATCACTACGCGCAACCCACAATACCGTCTTTGGCCTACCACCGTGTACGAGGCTATTGGTGGCCATAAACTCATTATGTTGGAAATAATAGACCTGGATGAGAGTGATTCAACCGGGGTATCTGTTGCCGTTGTTGGCTACTAAGAAAAATGAATTGCTATCTGAATAGAGTGGCAAATTTCTATGAAACGAATATTCCTGCAATACATAGCTAGCATTATTGCTATAAGAATAGCTGTACTATTTTGTGATTTGCTTTCTCTTGACACCAAAGATGTTGGTATGTTGGTTGGGTGAACCGTGCCCTATCGCAGCCCTTTCCATTTTCACAAGCCTCATATCAAAATCTTCTCTTTTCTCCAACAATACTGTGTGATACACTGATTTCCATCGCGCTGACTGCCCTAATAAAAAATGTGCAAGCGATAGATCTAGGGGTCTGAATTCCTCCTCTTGTCACAACCAACAACAAAGATGTTATGTTAATGATACATGGTAAATACTACACTCCATATTTCTGCGTTCTAGCAGACCACCTAACCGCTGAGGTTCAAGTCTGTAGATCTCAAGATCTATTCCCAGCCACAGCAATAATGCATATTATGTTAATGAGGTATTTCTATCGCATTGACTTCCATTCTAGTAGTCGATAGTTCTGATGCTTGAGTCTGAAGGCTTCGGGATCTCCGCTCTTCACCGAGAATAATCAGATGCTGTCCTGGCGTGACTTATGTCTCGCACTGGATTCCGTTTTAACAAACCTTCTAGACACTGGAGGTTCATTGAACCTAACATTGGAGAAAGTGTGTTTGCCGGGAACTTATCACCCTCAGGCCCAAATGGACATGATAGCCTGTGCATAAGCGCTTCAAGACCTGGTGTCAAGGATCTTTTTTTTCCAAAACCCAACAGTTCTCCCAAAACTTCCATCAACCTACATCTAGATAGATTAATTCAGTTCTTTGGTGGTCCGTGGGCTATTTCCGCCCCATGGGGCCATGCATCTTCCTAACAGCAAGTATCCGCTGCTAATCCTGTTTCGTCTAAAAGGCGCCTATTTGTGAGGCTGGTTTGTGTTAGATGGAGCATTGTGCGAGGAAGTGTGGGGGGCTGAGTTTGATGCTGTTAGAAAGCGTAACACTTTCCCATTGTGGTAAGCAATTATTGAAGTTCGTGCAAGCGATGACAATATTGGAATCATCTCCGAGTTTAGCAGGTAAAAATGATTCTGTTGGAGACTTCAATATCACAATTTGCCATTGCAAATTGCAGGAAATAGCTAACTAGCTGTCGAAGGTCATGTTTTTGGTAGGTAGGTGAAAGATTTATTTTGGTCTATAATACAATATTTTCAATAATAATACATCATCTAGCAATAGACTCTAACAATCAGCTCGTCCAAAATACCGTGGAAATGACACGACATCCCGAACGCTGGACACGCCAGCCAAATATCCCAGGAATCGGTCAAACCCAAGTCCAAAGCCTCCGTGCGGAGCAGAGCCCCAACGCCGAAGGTCGGCGTACCATTGCAGATGGCCAAGATCCTCGGTCGGAGAGAGGTGAGGGTATGAAGGTTCAGTGGGGGGCAGGGGCATCAGAGTCTGCTGGCAAACGGGACTTGATCAAACCGTAGTCACGCATATTCTGGATGATGTTGGGCAAGCGATGCTCACGCAAGGAGCCTCCTGCGACTTCGCTAACTTCAGGGAGGAGCAGATCAAAGCAAGCGACCGTCTCTCCGGGTGGACTATGCTCATGTTCTCCATCGAGTGTCTGCGACGGGGCCATATAGAAAGGCTTAATCGCCTTGGGGTAATCAGTAACGAATACCGGACTGCCTTGGTGCAAAACCTCCACAATATACTTCTCGTGCTCAGTTTGTAGGCCTCCATCCCATGTGGGAGGATGCTCGAATGTTGCGCCATCTTCTATGACCGCATGCTGGAGCATTTCTACTGCCTTGGTGTATGTAATGCGATGCCATTTAGGACCATCCGTCAAGGAGGCCCACCTTTGTCGAAGAGCAGACTTAGAGTCGTCCGAGGTGCTCTCATGCCCAGAGTCGCCAGTTCGCTTCGCAGACAGAATCTCCTGGCCAACCGGGGTATTATAGAGCCGACGTGTGAGGTCTCGGAGTAGATTCTCTACAAGGTCCGTGAGCGAGTCCAAATCATACATGAAGTTCGCCTCCGCTTCAAGCATATAAAACTCGCTCAGATGGCGAGGGGTATCACTTTTCTCCGCCCGAAAAACAGGTGTCAGCGTCCACACGTTGCCGAGTTCAGCGGCGTATGCCTCAAGATGGAGCTGCGACGAAACCGTGAGATATTTAGGAGTTCGGAAGAAATGGTCGGCCTCGGTGTTAGATGATCCTGAAGCCCCGCGCGGAAGCAAAGTGAACGTTTCGCCTGCGCCCTCGCAGTCAGATGATGTGATGATTGGTGGTTGCACTTGCGTGAAACCGCCGTTGGGGTAGGCATGAAAAACATTGCCCAGCTGAAAGAGGCACTCGGAGCGGAAACGCGACATGAGGGAATGGAAGGGTGTTCGGATGCGTAGATGCGGAATCTGCCGCAAAAAGTCGGGGCTGTGGTATTTCTTTTGGATCGGAAATGTCTGATATCAAGAAGCGACTATTAGTTAGAGCTGCTCGAGGGGTCCCCTGGTGGCCATGGGATACCTACCTCCGGATCCGCCGCCCCGACAACAGTCACATCAGTGGTTTGTAGCTCATGTGTCTGTTCCTTGCCAGGCGGACAGGCTTTCCATATGCCTGAGATTTCAACAGCAGTTCCTGTAGAGAGACTAGAAGAAGCGATCATGTTAGGCTTGGTTTAGAGGAGACAAGAGGTTGAGTCGTAGCCTCCGCGCATGGACATACTCAGCTGCTTGTGCTGGTTTCAAGATCGCTTGTAAGGGCTCTAGCGTAGAGCCGTCTGAGATTTCGGCAAAAGCAAAGCGCTTCTGCTTTCGAACAGAACGAATGAACCCATTAACCTTGATCTCTTTGTCCTCCAAGCTGCAGGGCCCATCGGCCTTACTGACTTGAAGGATATGTGCGCATCGCAGAGCTGCGGAACGAGCAACTGGTATATGGCTATCGCTGAACCTGGCGACAGAGGTGGCGAAGGTTCGCTGCCATGTCAGCATTGTTGGTCGAGGACGCGGAGGTGGTTGGAATGATGGTCGGAAGTTCTGAGCTGGAAAAGCGTCGGGTCGGGGAAGCGGGACCGATCTTCCGTTTGCCGCAATCGCTGGTCAAGCTAGACTAAACTCGCACTGAAGCCACCATGCTTTTGCTGTTTCGCGCAACTAGGAGCCTCCAAGGATTCAAGTTTAAAATTTTGTTACAAATTTGCCTCCCTGGAGCACATTGTCTGGATTAGATTCAATTCACATAGCGATACCAATGGTTGCGTGTCAAAGTACGTAGTTCATAAATATATGTCTGACTGTCTCAAAGCAAAAAAAAATTTGAGATTGACTAAATCTGGCAGACTATGATTCACAGGGGATTCAGGGATCATAAAGCATAAAGAAAGCTAACAGTACTGCAGCAATGGACAAGCTAAGGAAAAAAATGTGTCAACTGTGTAATACAAGGAAGTCCGTGATTTTATCAGTTCCTGCCTTGGCGGGCATAAACCTTTCGTTCTTCCTCAATCATCTCAATGGCATCAAGCAGGCTACCATTAGATGCTGCAGCATAGACAGCAATTCGAGATCGGCCACCATCTCGAGGAGTTCCATAGCCCATATCCATAAGGGATGAGATGCATCGCTCGATGTCATCTTCCTGAGACTCAAGAACCTCGTTGCCAAGTGGAAGCGAGGGCGAGAGCTGGGAGGCTGCTTCAACGGGGAAACTTCCAGGGATGCTGTGATGCGACCTGGACCTAGATAGCCGGCGCTCCCTTCTATCTAGTCGTGCCCAAGTGTCAGTCTCAGCTCGAGTATTAGACCGAGATGGGCGACCCTCTCTAGCAAGGCGCCTTTGCCCAGGATTGGCATAGGCCGGAAAATTTAGAGGTGCAGCACTGGAATCATCAAACGCTTGGCTTCCCTCACGTGCAAAGGTTATGGTATTTGCCCGACGAAGGACAGGGCTGTCTGAGTCCCGAAGCTGCGCTTCACCTGGAGCATGCGAGGATATTGAGGCGGGGCGTTGAGCGTGTGAAATGCTGTGGGATCTCTGAGGATGAGACTCTGGGACCGCGCCATTTGTAGTAACGTCATTCGCAAGGATAGTAGTTTCCGATGGATGATTGCGTTGTTGGTTTGCAAAAAGCTGCGCCTCTAATTGAGAGACGGGGGGAAACCGACTCATTTCTAAATCCGAATCCAGGGACGGAATATCATCATGTCCTTGTCCGTGTGAAGGGACGGATGTAGGCTCGTCATTTGTTAAATCGATCAATAAAGGGGATTTCGCCTGCATTGAATTGGCTTCCGTCTCTTTTTCCAGAGAACCTTCAACCAGAATATCTGGTTCTTTGAAACTCACAGATTTCCGACGGCTGATCGGACGGACATTCCGTCGCGGGTTGATGTCTCCCACAGACCTCTCCGAAGAAAGTTCTTGACGGGTGAATACCCCATAGAGAGTATCCGGTTCCACCTGAGGAACTTGGTGCTGTGATGGTTGGATGCGCTCCATGAGTGGTTCCTCGCTGAATTCAAGGTTGATGGCATGTCCATCGATGTGTATACCTTGTAGCACGTCCATTGCGGCCATGGCTGGATGGATCGAGGGAAAATCCACGTAGCCAAAGCCAGCATGTTTCCCGGAAACAGAGTCCAGTGGAAGATGCACATTCACAATAAAGCCCTTGGAAGCAAACACATCTTGAATCATTCGCTCAGTGACATTGAAGCCAATGTTTCCAATAAACAAAACCTTTTTCTCAGAGCCCTCTGACTGGGCAGAGGGTTCCTTCGGCGGGGGTACTGGTGGTGTTGGATAAAGTCTTGGGGGTTCTGTAGATTTGTGGAGTGTGTCGGATCTTGGGAGTGCATTAGATGTTGGAAATCCACAATGAGGGGTGACCCAACTATTAGGTGGGAACCATGGTGGGTTAGGGAATGTGCCTGGATAGGATGGGGGAGGGGGGAGGGGCATGGCGATTTAGTCGCCTATAATCCCATGGGGGAATGTTAGGAGGATGAGAAAGTTGAGGAGGTGGAGGGGCCCAATGTGGAGGATTCATATGAGGCGCAGGTACGGGAGGATGAGGGGGAGGTGGAGGGTGCGCTGGAAAGTGATGAAGGCCCAGAGGAGGGTACAGGGAGTCTGCGTGCACTTCTGCCTGAACATGACTACCATTGCTCGTGTCTGGCAATGAGATATTCTTGTTAATTCCAGTCTCGGCTTTTAGAGGCTGCTCGGGGCTAACTGAATCTTTCTTGTGCAGATCCTGATTGGCCAGGACATCGCGTTCATGAGGGGACTGGGTTCGGAAATTGGGTTCGGAACCTGGGGTGTCCATGTCTGTCGGTCGGGCTGATGGTCCGTGACTCCCTGCGCCGGGGGATGTAGACTGTGGCGCCCCGGGTGTCGTTAAGCTTGGCTCAGTCGCCCCAAATCGGCCAAATTCATGTTCAAACGCAGCGAACAAGGTTCGACTAGCTTCATTGAAGTCAGATGCCATCATTCGTAGACTTTCGGCGGCATTTTCAGCTACAGGCCGCCCAGCATTGATTGCCTCCTCCGCCATATGCCTTCCATTTTCAGGCAGATTGTTGAAGGCAGTTCGCATATGGGCTTCAACTGTGGTGAGAAAAGTCTGCAATGATGCCCGCACGTTTTCTGGGACAGATGTCTGAGCATTATGTAGCTGACGTTGCAGCTCAGGGAGTCTTGATCTCAGCTCTGACTGCACCGAGTTCGCCCCATTCACAAGATGATAGAGGAAGGTGGCAGCAGCAACCTCAAGTGGGTGTGGTGCTCTCTGATTATTTGCGTTTGATGATGAGGTATCAGGCGGTTGTGATGTTTCGGGTGATACGGCCCGGTCATTGGAAGTATCGGCTGAGTCAAGGAGATTGGCTAGCTCGGCTTCAAATGCAGCCAAGAAGGGCTGGGACTCCTCTTCGGGCTCTGAAATAACCGCAGCAGGTTCTTGGTCCGACACTGGGTGGTTTGTTGAATTACCAACAGCCAGCTCAGTTGAAGACAGCGTGGGGCTCGCTGTTTCGTCGAGTCTGATACTCTCACTTTTCTCTTGTTCAAACCGTCGCCACAGCTCCGTTACAGAGTTTGATCGACGAATATCAAACAAATGCATCGGACTTAGCTCCTCTTGGGGCAGTTGGGCGGTTTCTGCTCCAGCATAGATATCTATAGGCTCGTCTAGACGTTGAGAGAGTTCAAGAGAAGACCCCACCTTTACAGCAGAGTTAGCATCCCGGGGGAAAAAATCCAATTATATTTAGTGGGTCTTACCGTAATTTGATCTCCATCCTCATCATCTACATAGGTTAGCCTCGCTCGAGGATGATTAGAGGCAATATCATCATAGTCGGTGGCCGAGATTTGCACGACCCTAGAAGGGCCGGAAGAGTAACCTGAAGACTCCTCGCGGTCTTGAGGGACAGACCCACGAAGATTTTTGATCTGGAAAGGCTTCAACATTGTGGGGAGAGGACGTGACCCCAAGTCCGGGCCGGGTAAGTGAAAAAGTGTTGGAACTAGAGGCCCAATATCGAGAGGTCTCCAGGGAAATTTTGGAATCCACAAAATATGAGGAATGTAGGGAAAGATAACATCGGCTCAGAATGGCTGTTGCCTGCGAAATCCGAGATCCTTTCGGAAGTGGTTGATGGTTTTGTACGCAAGGATGGAGTCGGGAGAGATGATCTCACTCGACTGGAGCAGGCAACAACGGATAAGATAAAGGAGCTCCCCCCGCCTGGATCACCTGATAGCTCCACTGACTCAGCACTCTTTTCGCGTCAATTCAAGGTCGCGGTTGACTGCTTGCCTATCGATTCTTCAGTGCAGAGGATTGTGGTGCCTGGCTGGCTGCACTTTCAGGCTAGTTCATGTCGTCTATATAAAACTCATCCTCCATGTGGGCACAACTGTCTCTGTATCTCGCCAGCCTCACACCTCAGCATACACTTGCGCGGTGATGCCAATGGCCGGCTCATTGGATACCACACCCCTTCACGAGCACAAGTGAAGAAGACCGACTTGGGAAAAATCCTATCGCCACAATTGACCTCGAAGAAACCCGCATGCTTTGAAAAGATGGCTACCAGCAAGGCATCGTCACGACTCCAAAGCCCGGGCGATCGTAACGTGAAGAATGTCGTGCTAGGCGACCTCTTGTTCAAGCCATGGTACCAGTCAATATATCCAGAAGACCTGGTCGCAAAAGATGCCGAGCACCTCTATGTCTGCCGCTGGTGCTTCCGATACTCTTGCGATAAAGTTGCCTTTGCGGAACACACGCGCGCCTGCATCCATCGCGTGACGCCACCTGGCACTAAAGTGTACGACCATGGCGGATACGCTGTATGGGAGGTAGATGGAGAGGAACATAAACTTTTCGGTCAGAATCTGTCTCTTTTCGCGAAACTTTTTCTTGACCACAAGACCGTCTTCTTCGACGTCGCCACCTTTCATTATTATATCCTCACCTTTACCGACCCCGATAACTCCGAGAATTATCATGTCCTTGGTTTCTTCTCCAAGGAGAAGCTATCATGGGACTCAAACAATCTTGCATGTATCTGTGTCTTCCCACCGTACCAACACAGACAACTGGGGAAGTTGTTGATGGGCGTTAGCTACAAGTTGAGTGGATGGGAATATCCAGGTGGATATATTGGCGGACCAGAGAAACCCCTCAGTGACCTTGGCCAGAAAAGCTACAATCGTTTTTGGGCGGAGCGAATTGCGAGATATTTGCTGTGTGGGAAGCATGGGGACAATAAAGCTGAGAATAACCAGCAGCGAGTGACCGCTGCCCCAAAAAGCTCACCATCAAAAGCATCTCATAAACGGCCACACCGCGAATTTTTGACAGTCGAAGAAATCGGGCTGGCCACAGGCATGTTGACGGAAGATGTGATCACAGCCGTCAAAAGCATGGGCATCGTTCAGCCGGATACGACTCCAAAGAAACGCAAACTGAGCCGTTTACACGGCGAAAATGAGCCAAAGGAACCCCCCAAAATCGTGATTCGTAAGGCAGATGTGTGGGAATGGGCCAAAGCTAAGAACTTGTCACTCGAGGACCCTGTCAAGGAAGAAGGATTCACTATCGAATGGCCATCTGCGACCATGTCCGAAGTGGGCGAAAGCAGTTCTGCTGAGGACTGATACTTGCGGACGACTTGGTCATGTACTATTACACTTCCTACTGAAGCACGATAATAACGATTATAAACCTTACGTGAAGACTGACTGTGAACCACAACATCCTCTCCCATACCGATCTTAGTATTTCTTAGTATTCTAAAATCGACTTAACCGTTATCAATATCGCTGTTGGGGGTTCTACAGTACGTAGCGCAGAACGGAGGTGAATGATTTCAAGCCGACTGGCAGATATTGCAATTAATGTGTGCATTTTTGAGAAGAGACTGGACTTATCAACATTAGAAGCTTCAGTCCCGAGTCCACCTAAATCTTTACATGAAGTTGCCGGATTTCGTCAATCAAAAGTGCATGACTGCATTACTCCTCCATACCACCAGGGCCAGTCGACTTGCTCATCTGCCGAGCCTTCAGCAACTCGTCACAGAGCAGGAGGTTGGAAGCAATGCCAGTGCTGGAGGCAACGCAGTTCCGCAGCACTCGATAAGAGTCATAAACACCCAGCTGGATGGGATCCATCGGATCACCGGTGTTCAGGTCCAGACCAACAACATTGCCATGCTTGCCCTCGTCCCACATCGAAGCCAGGGAGTCCTGGACATCATGACCAGAGTTAGCAGCGAGGGTCTTGGGGATGACTAAGAGCGCATCGGCAAAAGCCTCTACACCCCACTTAGCCTTGCCCTTGACAGTTTTCGTGAAGGCATCGGACTTGAGGTGTGCGGCACAAGCAACTTGGAATGCGCCAGCACCAGGTATCACACAGCCGTCGACAATAGTGTTGTAGACCGAGCGAAGACCATCACGGACAGCATCCTTGACTTGAGCAATGGTGTGCTGGTTGGGGCCCTTAATGAGGATAGTCACAGACTTGGGGTCCTTAACCTCCTCCACAAAGGTGTATTTCTCCTCACCAAGTTGGTGTTCATAGACTAGACCGGCCCAGCCGAGGACATCGGGGGTCATATCTTCAACACTGTTCTGGGCAATACCGCCACACACCAGCTGCAGACGCTCCATGTTTCTCCTCTTAGCTCTCCGCAGAGCCATGATGCCATTCTTGACGAGAACATCCAAACTAAGGGGGTCAATACCCTTCTGGTTGATGACAACAAATCCCTTCTTCGGATCATTACCGCAAACCTGCTTCTTCAGCTCTACAATCTTCTGCAACTTAGCATCAACGAACTTGCGCTCGCTCTCCACCAGCTTGTCTCTCTGCTCAGCGCTGGAGTAGTAGAAACCAGAGTTAATTTCAGACTTCTCATACTCCAGACTGACGTTCAGAGTCAAAATGAACGCATTTTCTACACGCTTGGGCATGTCAGGGTGACGAGCGCCGTGATCCAGAGCCAAACCACGGATGAGCTGGGTATCAGAGGATGTGCGGTGCTGCATCGTCATGATCTCAATCATGTGCAAGTCGGGCTTCTCAGGGGCTCGGTGGATGGCAAGCACAGCATCGACAATATCAGGGGTGAGCTTCTCGGCGAGGGCGTTGTTAAGCTTAGTGGAGAGAGATGTGCGGGCAACGGAGAGGAGTAGCTCTCGGTCAATGGTCCGCTCGAGCTTGAATTGATCAAGGAACTGGAGTAGTGAGTTAGACTCAGAAACATAAAGCAACTCGATGGTTTCAAATACCTTCAAAGCCTCATTCTTCGCAATCTCGTAACCATCGGTGATCACTCGGGGGTGCAAGCCTTCCGAAATGTGGCGATCTGCCTGCTTCAGGAGCTCTCCCACCAACAGAACCACCGAGGTTGTTCCATCACCAGTGATATCATCTTGAGCCGTCGCAGCGCGAGCAATCATGACCTTTAATCACCTCATCAGCGGATTTTGAAAAAAAGTTTCGAGGGAATGCTGTCTTACAGCCGTGGGATTTTGAATTTGCTTTAGAAGTGTTAGCGTTGATGGAGTACGCGAGGTGATTGGGCATAACAACGTACCATTTCCCGCAGTAGGACATTTCCATCCTTGGTCAACTTGATCTATTTTACCACGATGACGTTAGAAATCCAACATGATTATGTTTCGATAGCTAAGGGGTGTGATGCATACTCCGCCTGCACCGTCCACCAACCTGAAGGCTAGTTAGCTCTATTTTGGTCCGTCTGGATTATAAACAACCACTCACATCTTCAGAGTCCCCGATGGACCCAGGTTGGACTTGAGAACATCCTGCAGACCCTCTCCGGCGCTGATGTTGACCTTCAAGGCCTCCCCTCGGCGCTAGACGAAATGTTAGTGCGGGCGATTGAGGGGTTAGGCTGGGATAGCATTCCATACCCGGGATTCCGCCTTGGGGTTCAGGAGCTGGGTTGCAGACATCTCTGCAAAGTGAATGAATGAACGGGAGCTCAGCCCAAAAGAAATACCGTGCTGAGATGGGAGAGAGCTCGTAGGCACACAGGAGTTTGGATGCCCGCTTGATGGTTAAAGGCGGTGAAGGCGAATTTTGGCAAAAAGCCCACATTCACGGATTCGCACTAGCGGCGAAAAAAAAGAGCTCCCGATTTCTTCGACTTTGCCGTCTCCCGCCCTCTTGAACGTCCGCCATCAGCAACCCACTGTTTTGTCCCTACAGTCGTTTGTGGACACCAGTTGCTGGAATCGGTTTTTTCGTTCATTTTTTGCGATTCGATCGGGCCATCAACAAGTGCCATGGCCGATTATCTCCTCTTCGAGAGCCCTGTGGGCTACTCGCTTTTCAAGGTCGCTATCCAGGGTGACGCTGTTGGCAACCGCCTGAAGGAAGTCCAGGAAGGTGTAAATGACTTGTCCAAGTTCGGCAAGATGGTTGATCTTGCTAGTTTCCTGCCCTTTGAGTATGTTCTGCGTACCACAGAGTGTTGAGTTTTTCTTCGCTAGCGAAGTCTTTGCTAATGCTGCATCAGAAACAACAAGATGGCTCTTGGCGAGATTAACGACGTTTCCGAGGGTGTCGCATCAGAGAACCTTGTTTCGTTCCTCGAATTGAACCTTCCCAAGCCGAGCAAGAAGAAGAAGGTTGTTCTGGGTCTTTGCGACAAGGGCCTTGCAGGAAGCATCAAGTCTGCCTTCCCCTTTGTGGATTGTGAGACCGGTGACACTAGTGAGGTTGTTCAGGATCTTCTCCGTGGTATTCGTCTGCACTTTGGCAAGCTGGTAAAGCAGCTCCGCGAGGGCGATATGGATACTGCTCAGCTTGGTCTCGGTCACGCCTACTCTCGTGCCAAGGTTAAGTTCTCTGTCCAGCGTGATGACAACCACATCATCCAGGCTATTGCCATCCTTGATCAACTGGACAAGGCTATCAACACTTTCTCCATGCGTGTGCGCGAATGGTACTCGTGGCACTTCCCCGAGCTTTACAAGATCGTTTCCGACAACCAGCGCTATGCTCAGCTTGCTCTCTATGTGAAGGACAAGAGAAGCCTCAGCGATGACAGCCTGCATGATATTGCTGAGCTGGTGGAGGACGACAAGGGTATTGCCCAGAGCATCATTGATGCTGCCAAGCACAGCATGGGCCAGGAGATTTCCGAGTCCGATATGGAGAACGTCATTGCCTTTGCCGAGCGCGTTGTCAGCCTCTCTCAATACCGCAAGTCGCTCTACCAGTACCTGGTTTCCAAGATGAGCGTCGTCGCTCCTAACCTTGCGGCTCTAATTGGCGAGGTTGTTGGTGCTCGTCTGATCTCTCACGCCGGTAGCTTGACCAACCTGTCCAAGTACCCGGCCTCCACTGTTCAGATTCTCGGTGCCGAGAAGGCCTTGTTCCGTGCCTTGAAGACGAAGGGCAACACTCCCAAGTACGGCCTGCTGTATCACTCCTCCTTCATTGGCCGTGCCGGTCCCAAGAACAAGGGTCGCATCTCTCGGTTCCTCGCGAACAAGTGTTCCATCGCTTCTCGTATTGATAACTTCTCTGAGACTCCCACGACTAAGTTTGGTGAGGCTCTGAAGAACCAGGTCGAGGAACGCCTGGAGTTTTACGCCTCAGGCGCCGCTCCCACTAAGAATGAGGTCGCTATGGTACGTTTTCACTTGCGTTGACGATTTAGACGATAGTGTATGTTGTTTCTTCTTAGCTGACTATGTTCTTCCAGAAATCTGCCATGGATGCCGTCCTTGCTGGCATTGACGTCGATGTTGATGACAGCGATGAGGACATGGAGGATGTCGATGTCAAGAAGGAGAAGAAAGAGAAGAAGGGAAAGAAGGACAAGAAGGAAAAGAAGGACAAGAAGGAAAAGGAGGAGAAGGAGGAGGACAAGAAGGAGAAGAAGAAGAAGCGCAAGTCCGATGTCGCTGAGCCGGAGAAGAAGAAGCGCAAGCACGACGCTGATGGTGAGCCGGAGAAAAAGAAGAAGAAGTCGAAGGCATAAAAGCGCTTTCTTGTGGAATTGGGAGTCTTTGTCATGGCGTTCGGTACTTGCTTTTCTGTTCTCAATCTTTCACGACTCGATGGGCTTGGGGATCTGTAAATTATTCGATTTAAGCCCTTTTGTGGCAATAAGATTTTGCTCTATCTCGTGCTTCTTGTGTTGTTTCCAGTAATTCCAAGCCACTTCTAGCTTGCCGTAGCAGCTAGAATATCACAGAGGGTTATTGATGCTTCGTGCGTGATTTGCTGCGTCCATTCGGCCCCTGGCTCAACGGTTCCTGGCCGCGAGTTGGCCTCCGTACAACTTCGATTGGCTCCCGCAGCGACGAGACTTACATCCGAACGTCCACGGCCTTGCCCCTCACTTGATCTCCGCACCCTGCGACGGGGACTGTTCGCCATGAATGCCCCCCGTCCTCACTATTCGTGAATGAAGTTGGCCTTGACACCGTATTTGTCCATGCAATCTATAGGGTTGATCGGCCTTGACGCCCCCACAAGTTCATCCGCCTCTGCTCTTCTCCGCCCCACGATGATGCCGACGGACCCCCCCATATATTACTCCCCGAAGCGCAAACGAGAACCCTCTGAATCAGACTACTATAGCCCATCTGCATCGCCAACATCGACTGTTTCTGTCACGAGTCTACAAGACACTCGATTCCGAGAAGAAGTCGAGCTTGGGAGGAACAGCCCGCGGGCCGCTGTGGCTGGGCGCTTTGGAGAATTAGCGATTCGCGGAGAGCGCTTCCCAAATCCAAGGCTGCCGAACTGTGAATCTCAGCCGGATTCTATTGCACAAACAAAGCACGAAAAATGTGCGCCATCCAATCACTTCGATCTCAAGAACATGCCTGAAGGCTTGCCCGCCGCCAACGGCGAGTCGCATGAGGCCCTACACCACCGATCGCCTGTGGAATTAGCAGAACAAGTCCCAACAGACAGTATCCTGGTTACACCGGCTTCAACGCCCTCAAAGAAGAGGACGACTCTATCTCCGCTGAAACGGAGTCGCTCGGTGTCACCATCGAAGATTCGCAAGCAGCGGCTCTCCCCTCCCCTGACAGAAGCCTCTCCAGAAGATCCCTTTACATGGCATGACCACGAAATTACGGGCCACAATCCAACAGACCCCACTGACGATGGCTACGGAATAAATGGCGTGGGCTTCAAGCCCACCGCCGCAATCGCGTGGGCGCGGTCCCAAAAGCGACAGAAGCAAGTTGCCGAGTGGAAGAATCGCGAGGCACGAGAAGCCCGCGAGAAACGCCGGGAAAAAGACGTGAGGGTTCAAGTTTGAACAGGCTTCACAGCATTAATGACGGCGCTATTCAGAAGCGAGTCAAGTTCGATGTCTAGGCCAGCGGAAATCAACCATCTGCAACCATATCCTTCGCATCTAGCATTCTGGGAGCAAAATAGGTGTTTTCTTTCTTCTTTTGGAACAGGACGGGTTTTTCTTTTGATGTTGGCCTTTATTTTGGGGGGGGGGGGGGGGTGGTGATTTTGAACGGCAAAGTGGATTCTTGCCTTAATATACACAGATATGACTTGATGACCTTATGCCAAATCAAGCAAAGGATTGGAATATACAGTTTTGGATATATCGTACAAACACCGTGACTCCGACCCAGAAATGCAGGGCGCTACCAGAACTTGTAGTTGGAGAGATTCGTCCAGCTCTTCTTCCGACGTTCTTCCTCCGCACGTTGCGCGGCCTCGACGGCAGCCTTTTCCTTATCGCGCAGCTTTTTCTCTTTCAATTCCTTCATCAGCTCGACCGCCTCCTTCATGCCATGTAATTCTTGAATCCGACGTCGTCGGCAAAACTCGTAAGCTCCCAAGGAAGTGATAGCGAATATACCCACAGCCCAGTTTCCCGCAGACCATAAAGCGCGCGTTCCTATTCGCATAGAATTGTCAACAATGCATCCATAATGACTAAAGGACATTAAAAAAATACCTCCGAAAATGGCGCGAGTACCACCGATTCCAAAACCGGCACCGATGCCAGTCATTAACGATTCGCGAGCGCATGGTGCTTTGTAGAATGAAGAAATCTCGGAAATCGAAACTGTGCCGACGACGTCCGAGTACGAGATATCGTTGGGGTTCTTACCCCTAGGCTTGTAGGTGGCATTGGCGAGGGCATTCACGGGCTCCTCAGGATTCCCGAAGGCATCCCATAGCTTTCCAACTTGCGATTGTGGGAATTCATGCCTCGGTTTGGTCGGATCAGTGGTATTTGGTGTGCTGGCAGGGAGATGGCTGCCAGGCTCTTGGCTTGAGCCTGAATTTTGAGAATCCCCTGCCATCCTGGTTCAGCAGAAGCGTTTCAACGGTTCTCCGTTCAACTTGGAAGTTGCCCGCTAAAGCATCAATAATTGGCGGTCATATGATTATCCGATCTGATCATGAACGGATAGTTATTCCGAAAGGCTGACTAACGCCCCTTACGCGTGCCGCAGGGACGCGGACGCGTCGGGCGGGAAGCGACTGAGATCGACTCCATTAGAGCATATTACAGGTCATTGCAGGAACCTCCTCCGAACAATTGGCCCCAAACACCTCCCATTTGCGTCGCCCCGCGTCCTACCACCAGTGTTTTCAATACTCCTCCCAGGCTTCCATGTGCTGAAGATCACTCGCCCAGCCTGCATATCTTTGTGAGAAGCCCGGCCGGGCGCCATAGTCGCAATGCCTTCGCGCAAACCCAGCAAGTATGGGAACAAATTCCGATCCAGTGATGCAAGTTCAAAACCTCGACGGACGAAAACGGTCGAATTCGGTGCCCTGCGCTCGACTGAAGCCACCTCCCAAGATGAGAAATTCGAGGCCATCCGACTGGCCAACAGCATCGATGAGTCCCTAGGCTTCCCACGTTTCGAAGCTGGCGAGACCAGAGCTGGCTGGCTTATAAACATGCACAGCACCACACTCGAGGATGCGAATGTACAAGGAGGTCGAGCTGGTGTCGACTACTACTTCCTACAGGATGACGGAGGCAGTTTCAAAGCAACTGTGGAATACGATCCGTATTTCCTGATTGCGGTCAAGAAGGGCTATGAGATGGAAGTTGAGGAATGGTGTCGGAGAACCTTTGAAGGATTGATCAAAAGCTTCAAGCGCCTTGATAAGGAAGATCTAGACCTCCCCAACCATCTTCTCGGGCATCGCAGAGCATTCATCAGACTGAACTTTGCCAATGTACCCAATCTGCTGGAAGTTCGTAGAACACTTCTACCTCTTGCTGAAAAGAACAAGAAAAATTCGAATGTGATGGATGCATATGTCGAAATGACCAGGTTCGTGATCACGTACCCTTCAATTTCATTGGTTTACATATTGATTCATTACACGAAAGTGCAACTACTGGTTTCGACTTGTTTGATGACGAATTAATTAATGAGAAACGACCTAATGGCAACATGCAAGCGAGTGATTTTATTGTTGATATCCGAGAATACGACGTTCCGTACCATGTTCGAGTGTCTATTGATAAGGGTTCGTGACCACCTGTTAGCCTCTCTGAGACACGAACTAACACATGCTATCCCAGATATTCGAATTGGAAAATGGTATAATGTGGAGTCAAAGCATGGTGTCATCTCTTTGACCTGTTTAGAGGAACGACTTCAGCGTGCCGACCCCGTCGTCCTGGCCTTCGATATCGAAACCACAAAACTGCCCCTCAAATTTCCTGATGCCGTGATCGATCAAATCATGATGATCTCCTATATGATTGATGGACAAGGTTTCCTCATTACCAATCGAGAAATTGTCTCTGAGGATATCAATGACTTCGAGTACACTCCCAAGCCGGAGTATAGTGGACCTTTCGTGATCTTTAATGAGCCAAATGAAAGAGCTCTACTGGAGCGATTTTTCGAGCATATTAAGATCGCCAAGCCCACTGTCATCGCGACATACAACGGTGACTTTTTCGATTGGCCATTTGTGGAAGCAAGAGCAAGTGTTCAAGGCATTGACATGTACACCGAGACCGGCTTCAGGAAGAATAGCGAAGATATCTACCAAAGTGACCACTGTGTCCATATGGACTGTTTTGCGTGGGTGAATCGTGACAGTTATCTTCCTCAAGGAAGTCGTGGTTTGAAAGCCGTCACGGTTGCGAAGCTGGGCTACGACCCCGACGAACTCGACCCTGAATTGATGACTCCGTATGCAAGCGAACGACCTCAGACTCTGGCCGAGTATTCGGTTTCCGATGCCGTTGCAACATACTACTTGTACATGAAATATGTGCATCCTTTCATCTTCTCTCTCTGCACCATCATTCCTTTAAATCCAGATGACACGTTGCGCAAGGGTACCGGCACCCTGTGTGAAATGCTGCTCATGGTTCAAGCCTACCAGACTGAGATTGTATTGCCAAACAAACACAAAGATCCTCCAGAGGCCTTCTATGAAGGCCATCTGCTCGAATCAGAAACCTACGTCGGCGGCCATGTTGAAAGTATCGAAGCTGGTGTCTTCCGAAGCGATATTCCAGTCACCTTCAGCGTGGATCCCAATGCTATTGACGAACTTCTACGAGACCTCGACCACGCTCTTAAATTCAGTATCGAGGTTGAGGAGAAGAAATCCTTGGATGATGTCACAAACTTCGATGAAGTCAAAGCGCAAATCGCAGAGAAACTTGTTGATCTGAAGAACAACCCAAGTCGGAATGAGGTACCCTTTATCTACCACTTGGATGTCGCTTCCATGTATCCCAATATCATGATCACCAATCGGTTGCAACCAGATTCCATGATAGATGAGTCCAATTGCGCCGCTTGTGATTTCAACCGACCAGGCAAAACGTGCGACAGGCGAATGCCGTGGGCTTGGCGTGGTGAATTTTTGCCTGCGAAGCGGGACGAGTACAACATGATAAAACGTGCTACTGCCAACGAGCGATTCCCCAGTCGGACGAAGAATGGTGCATTGCGGTCTTTTGGAGAACTCAGTGTCGAGGAGCAAGCTGGTGTTGTCAAGAAGCGACTGCAAGATTATAGCAAGAAGATCTATCACAAAATCCATGACAGCAAAACTATGGTTCGTGAAGCAATCATCTGCCAGAGAGAAAACCCTTTCTATGTCGATACGGTGCGAAGCTTCCGTGATCGTCGTTACGATTTCAAGGGCAAACAGAAGGTCTGGAAAAACAAAACCGATTCTTTGCAGTCATCCGGTGCATCTGCTGCTGAAATTGAAGAGGCCAAGAAGATGATCGTTCTTTTTGATTCCCTGCAATTGGCCCACAAGGTCATTCTGAACAGTTTCTATGGTTATGTCATGCGAAAGGGATCTCGATGGTATTCCATGGAGATGGCTGGTGTCACTTGTCTCACAGGTGCGCACATCATTCAGATGGCACGAGAACTCGTTGAGCGAATTGGCCGGCCTCTGGAACTCGATACTGACGGTATCTGGTGTATGCTTCCTGGGACATTCCCGGAAAACTTCAGTTTCACCATGAAAAATGGCAAGAAATTGGGAATTTCGTATCCCTGTGTCATGCTCAACCACCTTGTTCATGCAAAATACACGAATCATCAGTACCAGGCACTTGTCGATCCGGCTACATTTAAGTACAAGACCGAGAGCGAAAATTCCATCTTCTTTGAAGTTGATGGACCTTATCGAGCAATGATCCTTCCAACATCAAAGGAAGAGGATAAGAACCTGAAGAAACGATACGCTGTGTTTAATCATGATGGATCTCTGGCTGAACTGAAGGGTTTCGAGGTCAAACGAAGAGGAGAGCTGAAATTGATCAAGATCTTCCAGACTCAGATTTTTAAGTTCTTCTTGGAAGGCACCAACCTTGCTGAGACCTATGCTGCAGTCGCTCGTGTCGCCGATCGATGGCTGGATGTTCTATACGAAAAGGGATCAACATTGGCGGACGAAGAGCTCATCGACCTCATTTCCGAGAACCGCAGCATGACTAAGACCTTGGAGGAGTATGGAAACCAAAAGTCTACATCAATTACCACTGCTAGACGTCTCGCTGAATTTTTGGGCGAGCAGATGGTCAAAGACAAAGGCCTGAACTGCAAGTACATCATCTCCGCGAGGCCACGAAATACTCCAGTCACCGAACGAGCTATTCCTGTTACAATTTTCTCAGCCGAGGAGAGCGTGAAACGGTTCTTCCTGCGAAAGTGGCTCAAAGATGACCCGGCAGATATGGATCCCCGAAGTGTTATTGACTGGGACTACTACCTTGAGCGTCTTGGGTCCGTGGTCCAAAAACTTATCACTATCCCCGCGGCCCTTCAAAAGCTTCGAAATCCTGTTCCTCGTGTTGCTCATCCAGATTGGTTGCAGCGACGAATCAACCAAAAAGATGACAAATTCAAACAGAAGAAGATGACCGATTTGTTTCAGAAGTCGGACAAGGCCCCGCTTTCATCGATCTCAGCCAATATTTTGGACCATCGTGTTCAGCATGCTGGTGATATGGATGAAGTCATTGCACATTCAACCCAGAAGCTGAAGTCTTCTCCTGATGGCAAGGTGGCTCAGAAAAGAAAACACCCAGAGGGAATTAGCAAGACAGCCCTGGATCCCTTTGCAAGCCTCCCTGCAGTTATGCCATCCATTTCAGAGGACTACGAGGGCTTCCTCAAGTACCAGAAGCAAAAGTGGAAGATCCAAAAGCAAGCACGGATTCGACGTCGCCAGTTATTCGGTGAACGTATTAATGTTGCCTCGGACTCATTGAGCAATTTCTTCCGGAATCAGGCCCAAATGCTCTATATCAGTACCTGGCAGGTATTGCAACTATGTGAAACTGGCCGACCAGGCATTGTCCGAGCCTTTGTGCTCATCGACCAGAAGATCCATGCACTTAATGTCAATGTTCCGCGGCAATTCTTCGTGAATTTGAAGCGTGATTCTTTACCAGACATCGAAGTACCGGACTGTGATGTTGAGAAGGTGAATCACACTTTACCAAATGGACACCCTTCAGTTCATCTGTTCAAGCTTTCGTTGTCCGAGGACAAGTTTCTCGAGGAGGCAGATAAGATGGATGCCCTATTCCAGCACCCTAGCATTGAGGGTGTTTATGAAAGAAACATCACGCCGAGTATCCGGGCTGTACTCAAACTAGGAAGCCATTGTACTTTTGATGAAGAGCAGCGAGGTGTTCTTGGAGATGGATTAGAAAAAGGGTTCGATCTCTCTACTTTGCTTCACACTACATCTGATCAGCCATATCTCATGGATTCGCCCTTGGCATATCATTATTTGTATCACGTGGCATCTGGGGATCGACAAGTTTTTGCCCTATTTTCTACCACCCAGAAAGAGGCGCATATCGTCATCCTCAACCGCACAAGAGATGTCCAAGGCCTGCCAAATGTCGATAAAATCTACGCAGAACTGCTTTCTCGGAAAATGCAGGATACAACGTCGGATGGGTCACAAAATGCCTTCGAATACCAGGATAAAATCCATTTCAAAACGACGCAGGTGATGACTCGCCGAAAGGCTTATCTGGAGGTTGGCGATCTGGTTCGAAAATTGCGGAGCGATGAGTCTCAACCTGCTATCCTAGTCATCCAGTCCCAACAGAAAGACCGCTTGTGCCACGATATTCCTATCTTGAAAGAGTATCCGACTCTTTCGGTGAAACCCGAGGTTTCGGACATGGATCTGCCTCCACTTGGCTGGCAATCATTCATTGCCCGGCGCCTTGTGACACATTATCTGTACCTTTCAGCTTGGGTTCAACACTTGACTCTTCTTGCTCGGTATGGCGATGTCCCACTTTGCAACCTGGAGACGGATGACCCTCGGTATCTTATCGATATCTCGTATGCAAGACGTCTCCAGCAAAGCAACGTTGTGCTATGGTGGTCGAAGGGACCCCGACCTGATCATGCTGGATATGAAAAAGATGATATCGTCGGCCCGCTGGAGAAGGTTAACATGCCTTCAGTCAATACACCAAGTGCTTACTCAACAGTGTGCATCGAGCTTGAGGTTCGCAATCTGGCAATTAATACCATTCTCACTTCATCCATTGTCAATGAGATGGACGGGAACGACACGCTTCTTGCCCCCTCCGGAAATGGGGGTGATGATTCTGGGGTCCTGTATTCCGAAAAGGCATTTGCTTCAGCTGGCGCTTTCGTGCTCCGAGACATGGTGAAGCATTGGTGGACCGAGGCTTGCGCTGGAAACAGCATGGCCGACATCATGGTTCAGCATTTGATTCGATGGGTAGAAAGCCCCGTTTCCTGTCTCTATGATCGATCTCTACATAATTATGTTCGGCTCCTCTCGCGCAAATCTTTTCAGCGGTTGATGGCAGAGTTTAGACGAGTCGGCTCGAACGTGATTTTTGCCAGTCCGACACGCCTCTTACTTCAAACAACCAAGACCGAAGTTGGCAATGCCTACGCTTACAGTCAATATGTGTTGAAGTCGATCCGAGGCAACCCTCAATTTCATTTTGTTGATCTCGAGATTAAAGAGTACTGGGACTACCTAGTATGGTACGATGAATACAACTACGGCGGTAAAGGCTGCCGTGAAGTCGTCGAGGCCGAGAATCAGGAGCTCGAGACCGTGATGCACTGGCAACTCAGCCGTCTTTTGCCAGCGCCCATGCAAGCTATCTTCCATGACTGGGTGGTCGAATATATTGAATTGATGCATTCCTCAAAGCATCCAGATCTTCAAGAAAATGAGATCTCCTCGACCCCCCGCTTAACGCAAATACCTATTGGCAAGTCCAACAACGTGGATGATGAAGGTCTTACTGCTCTTCTCGCCGAGCGATTCTCGAAGCCGTTGAAAAAACAGATCTCTGGGCTCATCCGCCGACAGCGGGATGAGATGCTCCATCCTGAACTCGCATCTGATTATGCATTCCCGGTTCTGCCCGGTATTCTGGTTGACCCTAAGGAAGACAAGCGGAACCCGGCCCTCGAGCTGGTGAAGCTGCTGATGCAAGTCTTGAGTCTGTCCAAAACTACGACGCTGGAATCTCGATTGTTGCGACGCGAGTTGCTAGCCCTCTTTGAGGTCCGTGAATTCAGCAAGGAGGGTCGATTTGAAAACCCTAGCGCCAACCTGAAACTACCCGAGCTGACCTGTAACGCCTGCTGTCTCATCCGCGATCTCGACCTGTGCCGTGACGAAGATGTCCTACCGGATGCCGGCTCCGACAACAGCAAAACCCCTAAGCCCTGGCGCTGTCCTTTCTGTCAAACCGAATATGATCGACTGGCCCAAGAAGAACTTCTCATTGGTCAAGTGCATGGCATGGTCGCCGAATGGCAAACCCAGGATCTAAAATGCTCCAAGTGCGGCACCCTCAAAGTCAGTGAGTTCATGGAACATTGCTCCTGTAGTGGTAAATGGGCTGCAACCATGGATCTGAAGGAGGCCCAAAAGAAACTACGAGTGTTGCAGAGCGTCGCAAAGTTTCATAGTCTACAGCTGCTGGAGAACGTTGTGGAGGAAGTCCTCGGCCATATGTGAGGGTGGTGTTATTTTTTTTCTTTTTTTTTTCTAATTCCTTGGAGTTGTGTCTTTGTCTCTGTCTACTCAATTTTGTTGCTTATTATCATGTTCTGGGCGTGGTGTTGAGGAGTTTAGCGGGTTCTGCATGGTATTCGGTGTTCGCTCAACTGTAAATACTGGCGCCGGCGATCTTCGTCGATCCCCGCGAGCCCATTAATTTGACCGTTTTCCCTCCTTCCTTTTCTCTCTCTTCCACCTTTCTCTTCTCTTTGTCAGTCTTTTGTTGGGCTGGGTTCTTTAGTCAACTCGTCTCACCACCTCCGACCTCCAGACAGGGAGTCCCTAGTAAATGGGCTGCTGTGAGTTTGTTGTCCCTGTGCTGGCGGGGCTAACCTGCTTGACATGTGTGCTCCTGCGGCACATCCGCGCAACAAGACGCTGACCACTACATGATCACCATCGCAGATACATACTGGACCTCGCACCCCAGTTTGTACCCTCTCAAGCGCCTTGAGTTCCCGCCCTGCACGTATCACCAACGGGTTCCCCCCTCAACCCTTCTCCGACCCACCCTCCGCACACCCTCCGCACACCCTCCGCACACCCTCCGCACACCCTCCGAACTCGACCCCCAATGGCGCAGCCTCAGAAACCACAGGTCCAGCCCTGCCGCTATAAGACGGGTAAGACTCTCGGTGCTGGCTCATATTCTGTCGTCAAGGAGTGCGTGCACATTGACACCGGTCGCTACTATGCGGCCAAGGTGATCAACAAGCGTCTGATGGCGGGGCGCGAACACATGGTAGGATGATTCAGAATTCCTTTGTGCCACAACACTCGAGCGCTAATGGCTACCCTCCCTGACGGTTTGATAGGTCAGGAACGAGATTGCTGTGTTAAAGAGAGTGTCCATGGGCCACCAGAATATCCTCACACTGGTGGACTACTTCGAGACGATGAATAATTGTACGTGGAAGAAACCTTGTGAACCGCATTCCCACCTACATCGGTCACCACTAACGACTGGGTCACCCATAGTGTATCTAGTTACAGATCTTGCCCTAGGTGGCGAGCTTTTCGATCGCATTTGCCGCAAGGGCAGCTACTACGAATCTGATGCCGCTGACCTCATTCGCGCCGTTCTCTCCGCCGTGGCATACCTTCACGACCATGGTATCGTGCACCGTGACCTCAAGCCTGAGAATCTGCTTTTCCGCACCCCAGAGGACAATGCGGACCTGTTGATTGCCGACTTCGGTTTGTCCAGAATTATGGACGAGGAGCAATTCCACGTTCTGACCACTACGTGTGGAACGCCGGGTTATATGGCGCCAGAGATCTTTAAAAAGAGCGGCCATGGCAAGCCAGTGTAAGTCGAAACAGTGCATGCCTCGTACCTTGATAGTGCAGTCTCTAACCGCAAGCTGTACAGTGACATCTGGGCCATTGGCGTGATCACCTACTTCCTTCTGTGCGGCTATACCCCCTTCGACCGAGACTCCAATTTGGAGGAAATGCAGGCCATCTTGGCTGCGGACTATTCTTTCACGCCACTGGAATACTGGCGGGGTGTCTCCCAGGAGGCTCGGAACTTCATCAATCGGTGCCTGACGATTGATCCGCAAAAGCGGATGACTTCCCACGAGGCCCTGCAGCATGCCTGGATTAACCCGCCATATGATACCATGAAGGTAGGCTCCGGAGAGGACTTGCTGCCGACCGTCAAGAAGAACTTTAACGCACGCCGTACTCTGCACCGCGCCATCGATACTGTCCGTGCAATCAACAAGCTGCGTGAGGGTGGTGGGTTTATGATGGACGGAGTGATGAGCATCGACCCCAAGCCCGAACGCGTCAATGGTGCCGAAGTGGTTGAGGAGAACCGCCATGGTGTTTCCGGTGTGAACGATGGCGTGGGAGGCCCTATGCAGATCGATAGTCGAGGAAACGCTCGCGGTCAAACTGAAGAGCAAATCCGAGAGCAGGAGCGCAGGGTGAAGGAGATGGTGGCTGGACTATGGAGTCGGGGAGCTCATGCGAAGTAAGAAAGGGTATCATCCAGTGCACTGCATGGCATCCTCGCCTGGACTTGCCAGGAAGTGCTATTTGTTCCGGGGATTGTCTATCAACGGCCTTTTACATATCATGACCCAATGCAATGATTGATGAATCAAACGAGCTCTTGGCTGTTTATCTAGTCTGTTAAACCCCGTTGAAGTGGGTTTGCTGTATTGCGCTGCGAAGCATGGAGGTATTTCCCCCAACAAGATATAAAAAGAGCAAAAAAGAAAAGAAACAGATCGCGCTATAAAGCCCTATCCAGCCAGCTAAAAGAAAAATTATCGTGATCGTCATGAGACCATGTCCACGGACAAATCATGTCTAAGTAGGTAGTAGAAGAAAGGAAGAAAAGAAACAGCAGCAGGCCAAGAATCAGGCCGAGTCCAACAGCGCCTGGCCATCGTCTAAATCGAGCACCCACTTTCGCCAGCCCTGCCATTCTGCATAACTCGCACTTGCCTTGAAACCCTGGTATCTAACGGTGCGGAACTCGGAGACTGAGTCCCACGCCTTTGTAGTGCCAGCGTTGGTTCCGGTTCGTAGTAGTCTCCGAACACCGCCAGCGCCGCCATCCCAGCCAGCCTTGCGCATTAGGCTCTCAACTGTCTCTTCCTTCGTCCACCCTTGCTCGACGGCAACGTCAGGCAAGTACGTGGCGCCGTAGCGCCGGCCACGATGGATAAAAGAGATGCGTATGCCGTGCATGCCGAGGACCCAATCCATAGCATCCGTGCAGGGCTCAAAGGTACTCAAGAGAGTCAAAGAGCATGACAAGGATGGCAAAAGGGACTCGACGATTGGCGAGAAGCGGGAGTCGTCAAACGCTCTATATGATGGGGCTTATATATTAGTCTTCGATTCACAGCGGAAAAAGGCAAGATCCCCGCGGGGGCCCATAGGAAGAAAGAGACAAGACCAAACGTACGAGGTCAGAGCATAGGAGTTCAGCCCCGCTGCGAGGTCTTGCGCTTCGAATGTGCCTATGCACCCGCGCAGACTCTTGTGGCCGCTTCGGGAGAGGGTGTTCCAGGTCACGAATAGCGGGTACCGTCGCTCGGCGGGCTTCTCGCCCGATCCCGCACCGGACTGCGTACTGGGGGTTGTGATGGTCGTGGACCCTGAGAACAGTGAGGTATTGGAGCCGCTGGAGGCAGATGAGGGCGTGGTTGCGACGCTGGAGTCGGACGAGGCTTGGCTCTGCAAACGACGGACACTGGGGAGTTGCAGGCCGTGGGGACGACTACTCCTCTGTGAGGACTGTTTCGAATCACCGTCTTGGTCAGCTCCATTTACTGGCGATGGCAGACCTGAAAGGTTCTCTGCTTCCTCTTCTTCCGCGGAGCCCACGGTATCCGCGGCGCGGTCGCCCAGACTGGTCAACTTCTTAGATTGTTCATGCTGTTCCCAGAGGGCCTCTACGGTAGCCAGGGAGACAGGGTCGCGGTCCTTGAATGAGGCAGAGAGGCACTCGAAGCAATAGTAACACTGGGCTGGCGTTGCCATGTCTGCGAGGGCTTCGTCTCCGGTCCCACGCCGCTGATCCGGTCGAGAGGAGGTTGGCCTTTTGGACCTTGGGTTGCGCCACGTGAGGGATTACATAAAACAAGGCAAAGTTTGGAAATTCGATCAGGTGAAATCAAGGCAGGGGCTTAGCAGTTGGAAGTCAGTCTGTCAATGGGCAGGCTTGACCTTCAAGTGAGGTAGGAGAGCTGGGTTGATGTTACTGCCTCTACGGACACATCTTGATCTCTATTCCCCGCGTTCTATATAGTTCTACTACTGTATAACCCCGCACTACCTGCACATATGAGCCAGGCAATATAGAGACCGAAACGATCAGCTATGTCGGACCATACAGGACTCCGTTTGAGAGATAATATCACCGAGACACATGAATGGGCGCAGCAGATTGCAGACAAGGATATGGATATCTCGATTTGAAACGGGCCATCTTGTTCTCCAGCTTCGTCCTCTTCCCCGACCCACTCTGTCACGTGACTATCATGTAAAGCCATCTCGACCTTTGATCCGCACAGAGTGTGCACATCTCACGTCCTCTTGGACAGAGCCTTTGGACATAGCGTTCAATATTGATTTAAAGACGCATAGATTCAACAGAGAGAGCCCCTACAAAAGAGAAAAAAAAGCGCATCAACCGTGCAAGGCTGTGTTCGATTCCAAGAGTAGCTGGATAGTGATGTACATGGTACAGCAAAAAGGCCTACGCGCCAGATTATGTTGAACTTTTTGAGTCTCCTGAAATCCAATGCCCTCCCACTGTTGAGTAGGGGAGGCCAAAACAAATAACCGCGTCGTATCACATGCTCATAAAATAAGAGAAAAGAAAAAGAAAACAATTGCCAAAAATCCCAGACGTCCCTAAGGTTGAAAAAGCAGACCTGTATACAAAACCCCATTTAACGCACCATATGGTATTCGCATCTCCCGACGCTTTCGTAGATGATGTTGAACTCGCGAGATCTCAAAGTTGAGGATGGATCTCTCTTCGTAACTTTCATGTCCAGACAAAATACCCGCCCTTCTTCATTTTGCCGTCTTCCTTGTCAATGCGACAAATTTAGACGGGGAGAGGGAAAGTGCTGGCCCAGCCGGCAACCTCCTTGCGAAGGGCCAGGATCTCGGGGACGCTCTCGGAGGAAACCTTGGCCTTGAAGTCCTTGAGCTTGTTGGCCTCCTTGGGGAGCTCGCTCTGGACCTTCTTGCACAGGTTGATGCTCTGGTCGATGTAGTGGGCGATGCGCTTGAAGTCCTCCTCACCCATGCCACGAGAAGTCATGGCGGGGGCACCAATACGGATGCCGCAGGGGGTCAGGGCAGACTTGTCACCGGGAATGGAGTTCTTGTTGCAGGCGATGTTGATCTGTTCGAGGACAGCCTCAACACGGGCACCATCCAGGCTCTTAGGGCGCAGGTCCAGAAGGACCATGTGGCTATCAGTGCCGTCAGACACGAGCTTGTGGCCGATGGCCTTGAACTCGTTCTCGAGGGCCTTGGCGTTCTTGATGACCTGCTCCTGGTACTGCTTGAACTCGGGGGTATCAACCTGCTTGAGGGCAACAGCCAGAGCAGTGATGGTGTGGTTGTGGGGACCGCCCTGGTGGCCGGGGAAGACAGAGAAGTTGATGGGATTCTCAAGATCGTACATGATCTCCTTGCCAGTCTTGTCGGTGCTGCGGACACCCTTACGGAAGAAGATCATGGCACCACGGGGACCACGGAGGGACTTGTGGGTGGTGGTGGTGACGACGTCGGCATACTCGAAGGGAGAGGGGATGACGCCAGCGGCGATCAGACCAGAGATGTGGGCCATATCGACAATGAGGTAGGCACCGACCTTGTCAGCAATCTGGCGCATGCGCTTGTAGTCGATCAGGCGGCAGTAGGCGGAGGTACCGGCAACCAAGCACTTGGGGCGGTACATCTCGGCATTGGCCTCCAGGGTATCATAGTCGATGATGCCAGTCTCCAGGTTGACACGGTAGGGGAAGGTCTCGAAGTAGGTAGAGACGGCAGAGATCCTTGAGACATGGTTAATATCTTCAACCCTCTCGGATGGTGCGTGGGTAACTGTGACTCACTTCTTGGCGGGGGTCTGGTAGCCGTGAGACAAGTGACCACCGTGGGGGAGGTCAAGACCCATCAGGCGGTCATGGGGACGCATCAGAGCCTGGTAGACCTGAAGGTTGGCAGGGCTGCCACTCAGGCACTGGACGTTGACACCCCACTTGGCCGGGTCAAGGTTGAAGGCCTTGAGAGCACGCTGCTGGCAGGTGATCTCGATGGCATCGATGTGCTGGTTGCCACCGTAGTAACGGGCACCGGGGTAACCCTCGGAGTACTTGTTGCACATGGGCGAGCCAAGGGCATCGAAAACGGCACGGGAGGTGAAGTTCTCGGAGGCGATCAGGACAACAGACTCACGCTGACGCTGAATCTCGTTGGCCTACAGATACAGGATCAAAATTAGCAATGGGCTCTGAATCACTTTCCTCCCGGGGTTAATTGATTGGAAGTCAATCCGATCGGAGCTTTACGTACCATGATCTGGGCGACCTCGGGGTCAGACTCTTTGAGGGAGTTCTGCATTTGCTGTATAGGACGAGATGAGTCAATGATGTGATCACAGCATGAGAGTGGGGTTTCAATGGAATACTCACAGCCTTGTGGGACTCGGACAAAGCGTAGGTGGCCATTGTGATGGTATGTGATCTCTTGAGGTGAGAAGAGAAAGAAGGGAGAGGGACAGAGGAGGATATATAGGAGAAAGGTATGGCGAAAGAAGAAAAAAAGCTGGGTGGTGGGGGGAGGGGCGGAGAGATCGTCCGGGTGCCTCAGGCAGCAGAGCGTCGACGATATCGGAGACTTTCGCCGGATCTGGTTTGAGGGTCCTGAAGCCAAAAGCTAAGCTCCGATTTCTCACTGGGAGAGGCCTCTTTAGGACTTCCTTTCAGGCCCAGAAAGAACAAATGGTAGAGGCTTTGCAGGTTGATTACGCTGAAGACAATAACTAGAACCGATTCTTTTTCTTGTGGCCCCGAAGCTTACATACAATATATGCAACCCGGGAAAAGAAGAAAACAAAACGTGGAAAAGACACAGCTCCTGTAGGACAATCGATCGCTAAAAGATATATTGGGTATTCCTTTCCATAACGCCAATGAAGAAAAGTACAGGATAGCTCCGAGATATTATCGATCTCATTTTGCACGCCAGATTGAGGTCAATTGACGAAGCGTCAGAGTGCTGCAGCTGTCGGTTTGGCATGCTCCGTCTGGGTCATTCTTGAACGGCCCCCGAAATCAGATATTACGGCACGTAGACGAGTCACACGATCCTCAAGCTCCGCGATCTCTTTTTGTTGCTCCTCGACGGACCGATGCACATCGGGAAGTCCGTCCACTACAGCCCGCGCCCGCTGGATCCGAATCTTGACTGAGTTTGTTTCTGTGGGAAGGTCTTTCACATCAAGTGCTGGGTTGCCATTGGGATCATGAGTAGAGAGATCCGGCACGGCTTGGGTAGCTGGAGTCCCATTATTCCCACCTCCAGGGATGCTCGAGGGCGGTTGGCCTTGCCCCTGGTCGTCCGTCGGGGCTCCTGAGGCTCCGGAAGGGTCCACAGGTGCACCGACCGTGTTGGATGAGCTTGGCTTCGACGAAAGCAAGCGAAGGAGGATACCGTGGAGCGGCGGGATGATCTCAAAGGTCTGCGGTGGAGGGAAGGGAACGGTCTGCGGCATATGGGGCGCGTCTTTCGAGGGACTCTCGGGTGCCGCCGAGGATTTGGGTAGCGGAGTAGTTGCAGTCGGGGATCGAGAGGCCATGATCGATCCAAAAAGTTCCAGATTGAATGCCGAGGAAAGGGTGGGTAGAAACAACGACCAGAAACCGGCTGGGATAAGTGTTTAGGGAAGAGTCGGAACGTAGGGTGACGTCGGGGCCTGAGAACCAAAAGCGTCACCGGGAAATGCCCCTCCTTCACCGGACAGCCAATTTTGCCCCCTAGGACGTCTGGACTTCTGGACTTCTCTTTTGCCCACCCTTTCTGCTTTCTACTATCCTACAGGTGAGTGAAGGAATACACCCCGCATTGTTCTGCTGGCTTAGTGCAGCCATTGATTTGAGTTCTAGGTGTGATTACTACATATCCACCCCCACTATGGCTAAGGTCGACCAAAAAGTCGCTTTGAGTATGCGATCATTGGCTTGTCCCCCAGGTCCCCAGGAGAAGTCTCGACTAATGCGAACTTGTAACTAGTTGTCATCGATGGCTGGGGTATCGCTGGTCCCCAGTCACCCCCCAAGGGCGATGCCATCGCTGCCGCCGAGACCCCGTACATGTCCGGTTTCGCTGAGGCCAACTCCAAGACTGCCCAGGGTTTTACTGAGCTAGATGCCTCCTCGCTGGCTGTCGGTCTTCCCGAGGGCCTCATGGGCAACAGTGAGGTCGGCCACTTGAACATTGGTGCCGGTCGTGTTGTCTGGCAAGACAGTGTTCGCATCGACCAGACACTTAAGAATGGAGAGCTGAACAAGGTTGAGAACATTGTCAAAGCTTTCACTCGCGCGAAAGAGGGCAACGGTCGCCTGCATCTGTGCGGTCTGGTCTCAGATGGTGGTGTTCACTCCAACATCACTCATCTGTTTGGCCTGCTCGAGGTTGCCAAGGAGATGCAGATTCCCAAGGTCTACATCCACTTCTTCGGTGATGGCCGTGATACCGACCCCAAGAGCTCTAGCAAGTACATGGAGCAGCTCTTGAACAAGACCAAGGAGCTTGGTGTTGGTGAGATTGCCACTGTCGTTGGACGCTACTACATTATGGACCGCGACAAGCGCTGGGAGCGTGTTGAGGTTGGCATGAAGGGTCTGGTTACTGGCGAGGGCTCTGAGACTTCGGACCCGCTCCAGACTATCAAGGACCGCTATGAGCAGGGCGAGACTGATGAGTTCCTCAAGCCCATCATAGTTGGCGGCAAAGAGCGCCGTGTGCAGGGTTTGTTCATCCCTGCTTGTGAAGAAAGGATCTCGATCTCGTACTAAAGCTAACTCATTCGCAGATGACGATACTCTCTTCTTCTTTAACTACCGTTCTGATCGTGTTCGTGAGATTACCCAGCTGTTGGGTGACTATGACCGCTCCCCTCGTCCGGACTTTCCCTACCCTAAGAACATCTCCATCACCACCATGACCCAGTACAAGACCGACTACACCTTCCCGGTTGCTTTCCCTCCCCAGCACATGGGCAACGTCCTTGCTGAATGGCTTGCAAAGAAGGATTTGACTCAGTGCCACGTTGCTGAAACCGAGAAGTATGCCCACGTCACCTTCTTCTTTAACGGTGGTATCGAGAAGCAGTTCCCCGGCGAGGTCCGTGACATGATCCCGTCTCCCCGTGTCGCTACCTACGATCTAGACCCCAAGATGAGTGCCGCGGAAGTTGGTACCAAGATGGCTGAGCGCATTGGCGAGAACAAATTTGACTTCATTATGAACAACTTTGCCCCGCCTGACATGGTCGGCCACACTGGTGTTTACGAGGCAGCCATCCAGGGTGTTGCTGCTACTGATAAGGCCATCGGTGAAATTTATGAGGCCTGTGTTAAGCACGGTTACATTCTAATGATCACCGCCGATCACGGGTAAGCTTCCTTTGATATGCCCTCTTGCAACGTATCTTCATTGCTAACGGGTCTCGGTAGAAACGCCGAGGAGATGCTTAACGATAAGGGCACCCCCAAGACGTCCCATACCACCAACATGGTTCCCTTCGTCATGGCCAATGCCCCTGCGGGTTGGAGCCTTGCCAAGGAGGGTGGTGTCCTAGGTGATGTTGCCCCCACTGTCCTCGCTGCCATGGGTGTCGACCAGCCCGCTGAGATGACTGGCAAGAGCTTGTTGGTCAAGGCATAGATAGAATATTCCCTTGAAGATATGCGCCTGGTTATGAATCAATGAACGGATAAATGGAATGTCGATATATTTGACTTTGCAGAAAATATAGAGTCGCATTTGCGAAGTTTCGGATTTCTCACATGGTTCAGTCGTACAACAGATCAACTATACCGTCCATATGGTACTAAATAAATCTCTGGTACTTCTCCATTTATTTTGTTTGAAAGAGCACTTTTGCTCTTTTAGATCATATTTTAAACATCTCTTTTGTACCTTCTGCCAAGGCCCATCTCATGCCATTTCAGAAAGCTTGCCAAAACTAAATCTATTAATGGTGTTTTCATACGGACTGTAGTTATTATTTCGAGTGGTATGATCACTGCGCCTTTAATTCATCATACTTCACTGGGTATATCTCTTCTAGCACTTGCACTTCCGAACCTTTCGATTGCAAGGAGAATTGGGGTTCTTATATAGATCGTAAAGTCCTCGCATTTCCAGTAATATCCTTGCATGATCATCACCTCAATTCTGTTTGGGGGTCCAAATTCTTTGTCGGGAAGAACCAAGGATATTCGTGTTGGAAGATGCGATGAAGAGGGCTGCGGCGGCTGGCCGCAGGCATGCGATCCAACGAGTGGCCTCAATTCCAGGAAATGTCTTTGCTTCCCTTATTTCAAATATCATGCTCATGCTGAGGCCTCCGCGGCTTGTTGCTGGACCTGGCTCTGGAATTGCACGATCTAGGAGAAACGTATTAGCATTGGCCGGTAGCCCAGCATCACAGCGTAGTGCTTCATACCTCTGCGCGCTTCTTTTCGCTGCTCTCTTGCTTGTCCTGGATTTCCTTCTCAATGCGCTTGCTAGAGCCTCAAAGTCAGCGATATTTCAGTGTCAACGCTAATGGGCCGCCCACATCTCCTTCTCGATGAATTCGAGCCGTCCGTTGACGGCCATGATGGCCTCGGATTTATCTTGCTTCAATAGCACAGGGCCAACAAGTTTGTAGATATTAGATTCGTCATCCAGCTCAGCGAATTCGCTCTGTACGCCCTGGTTCTCCTGTTGCTGTGACTCGAGCTTCTGGCGGGCTTCAACCAGACCCTCCAGCTCTGAGTTCATCAAAACAATTAGCTTCTGTGAGAGAAAGAGAGACAATACAAATCAAAATCAGCCTACCAGTTTGCATCTGCTGGTACTCGTCCGAGAGAGCTTGGAGCTGTTTTTGGGCGTCCATAGCGACGGTTGGCGGGGAGGTGAGAGAGGGAAAATCGATCGACTTCTGTCCGCCCGTCAACACCGACCTCGCCCTTCCCCCTCAATTCTCTCCAATTCCATCACCCACACCCACCTGCAACGCCCAAGCATTTCCCTCATTTCACGACCTCAAGACCTGCCTCCTGCATACGATCGCTCACTGCCTTTCATTTGAGCCGCTGTCTAGTCTTTCCGAGGCCTTTTGCCCCCTCCTTCCCCGCTTCACCCCTCCGCGTTTGGCTTGCCACTCCACCGAGACGTCACGATCAAGCCACGATAACCTCCCAGAATGAGTAACACGGACTTTTTGGGGCGGGCTATTGACACGGTCAAGAAGGCGATCGAGAATGATAATGAAGGCGAATACGAGAAGGCTTACCAGCTCTACTACTCCGCCTTGGAGTTGTTCATGCTGGCCCTCAAATGGGAGAAGAATCCGCGCTCGAAGGAGATGATCCGCGCGAAAACCGGCGAGTATATGGATCGCGCGGAAAAGCTGAAGAATCATTTGGCCTCAGGGGATCGAAAGAAACCCAGCGCGGTGGGCGCGAACGGGAAGGTTGCGCAAGGAAGTGGGAAAGGAGGGTATGACGGAACCATTTCTCTCCAACTTCTTGCTTGCTCTGGTGGTTTATGACCTCCTAAATGCCATTTCGGCAATGAGAAGCTGGCTTGGTGAACTTCAGGGCTAATTGCATGGCGTGAAATAGGAAGGATGAAGACGACAATGGCGAAGATGCTGAATCCAAAAAGCTACGCTCGGCTCTGCAAGGTGCCATCTTGTCCGATAAACCGAATGTTAAGTGGGAGGATGTTGCTGGTCTGGAAAGCGCAAAAGAAGCTCTGAAAGAAGCAGTCATTCTTCCTATCAAGTTTCCGCACCTGTTTACGGGAAAGCGACAGCCGTGGAAGGGTATTTTGCTTTACGGTCCCCCCGGCACGGGAAAGTCCTATCTAGCCAAGGCTGTCGCTACGGAAGCCAATAGTACGTTTTTCAGCGTGAGCAGTAGTGACCTGGTATCCAAATGGATGGGTGAAAGTGAAAGGTGAGAACACCATGATTAACCAAGCACCACCGTGTCAATCTACTTACAGGCTTTTAGACTTGTCAAACAACTTTTCAACATGGCTCGCGAGAACAAGCCAGCGATCATTTTCATCGACGAAGTTGATGCACTATGTGGACCACGTGGCGAGGGGGAATCCGAGGCATCTCGTCGTATCAAAACAGAATTGCTTGTTCAAATGGATGGTGTTGGGAAGGACTCTAAGGGCGTTCTGATTCTAGGTGCAACCAACATTCCTTGGCAGCTGGATGCTGCCATTCGACGACGATTCCAACGACGAGTTCACATCAGCTTGCCCGACTTCAATGCACGGATGAAGATGTTCATGCTGGCTGTGGGCTCGACACCGTGTCACATGACTCAGGCTGATTATCGAACATTGGCTGAGATGAGCGATGGCTACTCCGGTAGCGATATCAGCATTGCGGTGCAAGATGCTCTGATGCAGCCAATCCGTAAGATTCAGACAGCAACACACTATAAAAAGGTTTGCAAAATCCTTAACTCTAGATTTCTCGACCGGGAACTTACTTTCTCTGACTCAGGTCTCGGTTGATGGCGCCGAGAAACTCACCCCCTGCTCTCCAGGCGACGCTGGAGCAGTGGAAATGACCTGGCTCAGCGTTGAAGCAGAGCAGCTTCTCGAGCCTCCACTTGTTCTAAAAGACTTTATCAAAGCCGTTCGCAATTCCCGACCTACCGTTAGCCAGGAAGATCTTCAAAGAAACTCGGAGTGGACCAAAGAATTTGGCAGTGAAGGGGCATAAAGCATTCTGCTCTGTCTTCTTTGTAAACTCCCTTGTCAAGGAAACACTGAAAGATGTGCATACCCTCGTTGGTCCGAAGAGGATGAGAGCCTCGCATTGGAATAGACTATCTGCCTTCCCAAAGGCTCGTTACATACGCGCAGCCTTTAGCGTCTACATCTTGCCAGACGAGATATTTTTGCTTTAGTGGGTGTCTGACGAGTTCGGTGTTCAGAAGCGTTTTTGATATATTTTTGTCTTTGAGTATCTTGGCAATGGCGAGGCGTTGAGCAAATATCCATGTTTTCTTTTGGCGGATTCCAAGTCTCAATAATAGCAATGATGCATATGCACATATCTCGATGATGACTTGCAGTGGCCCCGACACTGTTCGAGTATGATTTGAATTCAAAAGGCTCTTAACGAAGGAGTCCTCAACATTGTAGTAGTTCCTGGTAATGGGGATTTGCCACTGGGAACAAACTGTAGATAAAGACGCTGTATCCCGAAATATATAACTAGGCCTCATTCCCAGACGTATATACACTCTAATTGACCAATGACTTTGACAAGCGTTGAAAAGAAAAGTGAGAATTATGTGTTCTAATCTGCTTACACGAATCTGTATATCAACCATGGATTGATTATCAACAGTTGTTAGGTTACGCAACCTTCCATTCCAGGGGACCTCATATCCATGTCAGAAAGAGTTACTCGAGCAACGGTAGGTTTCCATTACTGCAAAACCCACATCTAAACGCCTTGATGAAGAAAAAAAAAGAAACCAGAACCTAGTTTGAATGGCGAAAAAGGAAGAACACGACATTTATACTAGCAAGACGTGACGGGGAATCTCTCGTGACAGAAAGGGTGACGCTGAGAAAGAGGACAGAACAAAGCACCAGGAATTGGAAGAGCCAAGAATAGCGATTAGCCAATGATATCTAGCGGCCAAATTATTGAGCAAGCACACCCTTGCTCGAGCTTTCGCGGCGCCTTAGCATCTCGCTTTTGGCTCTTTTTAAGCCCTCACCGAGCTTCTTGGCTACCCTCCATTCTTGGCCCATTCGTTGCATGCGAACAGCAGCGACGACCATTGAGATAGCAGACCGTAGCTTGTGACGGGGGGTTCGAGTAGGGTTACGGCCGCGAGGTTGGACGCCCATCTCGGTGATCATGCGCAGATCGGCTTCGTTACTGTAAAGAGAGGAATGTGGTCAGTTCAGGTTCATACCATGAAGAAAGATAATGGGTTAACGAACCATGCAACGCGGACGCGTTCGCCAAGCTCCATCAGACCCTTACTCCAGGCCAAGTCACGACGGAATTTCTCCTCTCGCTGCAAACGAGCACGAAGCCAGATGATTTCTTTGCCCAAGCCGCGCATCTCCTTCTCATGTCGGCTCTTACTCGTTGATTTGGAAGTGAAGACTTTCTCCAAAGCTTCGTCATATCGTTGTTGTAAAGTTTCCAGGTCCTTTGTTGCTGCTTCAGCCTTGCGAATGCAAAAAGCCCGCTCTTCGCGGATCCGGCGAACTTGGGTTTTCAGCTCATTCAAACGCGAGTCTCTTTCTGATACCTTAAGTGCCAAAGCCTCGGCCTCGAGGGTTGATGACTTTAGAAGCTCATGCAGATCCCTCTGGTCCTCTTCCTTCATTGCAGCACGTTCCAGGTCACGGTTCTTCATCTTGATCTCCTTAAGAGACCGATGCGCATCAGAGAGTTGCTTCCGAAGGCCGCGCAGCTCTTCGTGGAGTTTACTAGATGGAGAGTTCTGCGGAGAACGCAAGTCATATTTGTTCATCAAGGCATCATGGAGATCTCTCTCCAAATCGGAAACGCGAGACTTCAAGGAGCGCGTAGAAGCCTTTTGTTCGGCTTCGCGTTGAAGGATTACCTTCTCGCGTTTACGAGCCTCCTCGAGACCGCGCCGAAGGACCGACAGATCTCCGTGAGAAGTCGACTGATCAATGTCAATAGGTGGTTGTTGCTCGAGCAAGGTCTCCAGTTCTTGGACACGTCGCTCAAGCCGCTGAACTTTGGTCTTCGCGGTGGTCAATTCTCTGTCTCGGTTGCCTGAGCCTGCGAGTAGTTTTCCCTGGAGACGGTCGATCTCAGCCGACAAGCGGCCCTCCTCTGCAGTGGCCCGTTCAATCTCCGATCCGAGTTGCTGCTCGAGAGTATCCTTCGCTTCTAGGAGAGAGGCCTTGTCGTCCTTCAATCGTTTCAATTCATTTTCAAGACGGGTTGTACTTCTCCGAAACTCAAGTTTTTCACGGTCAAAACGTGTCTCATCCGCATTATTGGGTCGTTCAAGTTGAGCGTGAAGCTCATCTCGCTCCGCTTCGATCTCAGCAACGGAAGTTCTCAGGTCATGGAGCTCGACATGAGCATTAGCGAGCTGGTCGCGAAGGGTTTGTCTATCAGCGATTGCTTTCTGTAGCTGGCTCTCCACATCGGGTGAACCTTTTTGTGCACGTCCCTTGGCATATTCTTGCTCATCGGCTAGACTCGATTGTAAGACAATTACTTCGTCTTCCAAAGCTTGCACTTTCTCCTTGAGTGACAGCTCCTCACGCCTTGATAAACGTAGTTCTTCCCTGACAGTGAGAAGGTCATTCCGCTGTTCATCCAAAACTTGCCTCTTTTTAGTCAGTTCGTCATCCAACTCTTTAATTTGACGATTGAGCACAGCTTCTTCTTGTGAGTGACGTTGCTTCTCACTGTCTATGACTCCCTGAAGCTTGCCCTCCTTTCCAGAAGAGGTGTATTCTGCATCCTGGAGCTTTTCGATTGTCCGTTTGAAGCCCGCGGCTTGTTCCTCCGCTCGCTCTGTCTGAGCATGCAGCGTCCGCTTGGTGCTCTCCCACCTATCTTGCTCAAGGGCGAAGTGGCCTTCCTTGTCCTCGATCTCGTGCTGTAACGCCTCGATCTCATCTTGAAGTCGGTCGATTTCCACCTTGTGTTGCCAACGAAGATTTTGGTTATCTTGAGCCCGGCTAGTGGCCTCTTCGATTGTCTGTTGAAGTTCACGGACTCGTGATTGTGACCGGGAAAGCTCAGCCTGCAAACCACCTGATTCCTCGGTCAGCGCATGGTGCCGGGTCCACAAGAGTTCTTTCTCTTCAGTCACGCGCTGAAGATCATCAAGGGCTTGATGTAGTCTGGAAGACGCATCTTCGAGCTGTTGGTGGGCTAGGTCGCGTTCGCGCCGCGTTGATTCAAGGTCTTCGCCCAGTTTGCCAGCGTTGTTCTTGAGATCTTGTTGAATGGTGTGATAACGTTCCTCGAGACGAGTCATGGACTCCGTCTTATGCGCAACCTCCTCCTTGAGGGTGTTGTTCTCTTGACCCAATTGACGCATTTCCTCATCAAGCTTATCGGCCCTCTCTTCTAGTTGTCGACTAAGCCCCTTTGTCACGAAAGACTTTTCTGACAATTCATCCTGCAGTGTTCGAAGATCCTCCTCAGCCCGAATTTTTCCGTCAATGGCCTGCTGAGAAGCATTCTCTGCCTCTCGAGTGTCTGACTTAGCTTGCTCCAGACTATCTTGCAGTTCTTGTATTTGTTCCTTTGCGCGGTCAAGTTCAAACTGAAGCTCCGCTGCGTCATTCTTTTTACCAGTTTGGCGCAACTCCTCGAGCTCTTCGTCCCGTTCATCGATGATCCGATCTCTCTCCCGTAAGGTTGCTTCAAGATCCTCAACATCATCTCGAAGTTTCTCTATTTCCTGAGATTGACTGTCCTTGGCTAACCTCAATTCTTCCCGGAGCTCTCTGAGTTCATTGTCTCTGGATTCGATTTCATCACGCATCAAGTCCATTTCGCGCTGCACCTCCTCATCGGTTTGTCGTCGGCGCGCTCTTTCTCTTAGCTCTGCAAGTTGTTGTCGGTAATCCTCCAAATCGCGTTCGGCTTGTAGGAGGCTCTTCTTGTATCGGGAAATATCGCGTTGCATTGTCAGCCGTAGGACTTTCAGTTCAGTGTTCTCCTTAAGAGCCGCGCTGTTGTATTCCGGCCCCGCTTTCTCGAGTTGTTCCTCTAGGTAGTGGATTTTGAGCTTCAAGTTCCAGTTGTCTTTGTCGAGCCTATCAATGATCTGTGCAAGTTAGCACGACGAAAAAAACACGCGTCAGTAGCATAGAGCATACCCTTTCCTGCTCCTTGAGTGTCATGTTCTGGCCGTCACCCAAAATTCCCCTACCCTCGCGTCCCAGAAGGGACGGAAGTGGCGTACTCTGAGCGCTGCTCCCCACAGGTTGAGGGAGAGGCGTGGGTTCATCCCTTGTCAAATCTTCCTCGTAAATGTCGGACATATCGTTGGGAGGCAATCCGGGGGTATAGGCATTGTCCCGGGCGCTTTCTCGCAAGTAAGCCGGAGTCTTCGGATCGTCTGCTCCTCGAGTCGTAGACAGATTTTTCAAGAAGTTGTTCTTTGTCGCGCTTTTCATGAGAGGTGTGAACTCGCCTCTTTCAGGTCCAGCTGAGGGAAGGTGTCTTAACGCGCTTCTAGTTGACTTGGGCGCGGCGCTGGCGCGTGGTGTACCAAGCTTGGAGGCTGCAGAGACGCGTTTTCGACCATCTCCGAAACCTTTGATCACATCATTGTCTTTGGAGGGTGTGACGAAGGAGTTTTCAACCGAATCAAGTGCCGATAGGTGCGTTCGCCCCGCGCTTCGGAAACCGTTCGTCAGGTAAGTCGCGTTCCCGTCGATCTCAGTGCGTGGCGTGTCGATGTAGGGGAACGCCATTGTGCTGGAACCGCGTGACGGATATTGGGAACCATTCAACACGCGACCATCACCATCGAAACCGAGAAAATTGGAGAAAACACTCGAGCCAGAGGTGTCAGGTCGAAATGCGACGAGCGAAGCGTCGGAGACTGTTGATGTCTAGCCTAATATGGACTAGTGCAAAAGTCACGAGTGGGTCGCGACTTTCGCCGCTTTTTTCGATTTTGCGGAATGCAATGAGGTCATGGTCGCGAATGCTGTGAACACACTCCAAAATCATGGCGACTGAAGAGGATATTGCCTGGTTCAAGTCGACATTCCATCCTATTCCAAAACCAGAGCTTCCGGACGACTCTGTCGAATATTGGATTTATCACTTTCCCTCCCCGCCCCCGCCGTTATCGATGAAGCCGCCGAGACTAGGGCCCGATTGCTCGAAGTGCAGCGTTCAGCAGCAGAGCTGACCAAAGAACTGCTCAAGGACTATATCTGGCAGCGCGAAAGTTTCCGGTTGGAGATTATTAAAGAAAATGGTACGGAAGACACTTGGACCTCCCAGGATCTCTTTATCGCAGATCTTTATTTTTAGCAAACGCTGACCAGCCGCTTACACAGGGAGTACCTCGCTAATTGGGCGCACCAACTATGGCGATTCGATCGAAGATGAATGGGTCATTGTGTACATACTCCGCGAATTGACGAAGAGGCACAAAGATATCTGGGTCAAAGTTGTCGACAGCGATGGGGAGTTCCTACTCATCGAGGCTGCTGGCACTCTTCCCGCATGGCTAGAGCCAGAAGTTGCAGACAACAGGGTAAGCTATTTCCGTCTAAGGGGTCTTGATTTCATATTTTAAGTTGATCCACCTGCTAGGTTTGGATAAACCAAGGAGAACTCCGAATTATCAAACCCAAGCAAGCCCCCGGGAAAAAAGTTACAGAAAAACTTACACTCTCGGAAGCACAAAATATTATCCAAAAAGAGCCCAGTCGTTTCATTCGCTCCACAATCATTCAAGAGGAGGCATTTTACCGCTTGCGCAACTACCCTAAACAAATTTCCGAAAACCTTCACTCAGCAGTAGTGACGATTCCTCGCAAGGTCGCATTTCTCTTGCACCAAAAACCGGCATACATATCCCCTGCAGTGGAAGCATTTTACATTCGTGATCCGATTGCGTTGAAACCGTTGCGCGCAAAAGATGCTTCTGACCTTACTTTCAAGCCTGAGGATATGGTGACTGTGAGCGTTCGCTTCACACGAGTGGGATATGCCCAAATAAAGAGCCAGGAGTTCCCAGTTCCAAGCAGCTGGGCAGGCAAGCTGCCGGCAATTGACGACCAGAAAGAATACGCCCGGGCCGAAACAGGAATGAAGCTTGCTTGCGGATTCGAGATGCTGCTTTATGATCCTCATCACCAAGACAAGGCTTCTGTTCGAGAGATGAAGCTGCTGTTGGGTGATATTGAAACCGGAGACGAGGAACTCCCTACAAATGAAGAAATAGATAGGATCTGGGATAAGACCGAAGATGATGAGAAATGGATGGACATCAATTTTGAGGATCTTGACCGAGAGCTGAAAGGAAAAGGCAAAAGCAGCGAGAATACAGCTGGTGATTTTGGCGATGCAAGTGCCCAGGAAAATTTGCAACGCATTGTGGCTCGCTTCGAGGAATTCTTGAACGACACCTCGGCGGGCTTCGACGGAGCCGACTTTATTGATGACTTTGGTTCTGACTCTGATATCGACGACGATGAGGAGGATGACTTTAGCGATGATGGAGAAGATAAGGATGCCTCTTTTGATGAAGAAGAATTTGCTCAAATGATGAAAGAGATGATGGGCATGCCAGGCCCCGGCCAGGGCCCATCTCTAGCCACACCCTTGCGTAACCGAATCCAAGAGCTTGAAGAAGAGGACGACACTGAGCAGATCCAGGAGCTTTCTAAACAGATGGAAGCAGAACTCAGAGGAACCGGAGTCCTCAATCTGAATCAACAGCAGCAGAAGCTTGCTTCTGGGAACAGTTCCTCCAAAGGAAAGGTAGCTGATGGATCGGATGTTGCTGGCGGGCCCGAAGAGGATGAAAATATAAACATCAATCTCGCGAGGAACTTGCTAGAATCTCTTCAAGGACAGGCCGGTACTGCGGGTCCAGCTGGCAACATGCTGTCGATGATGAACCTTCGTATGCCGAAGGACGATCGTACCTGAGAAAACCAAACTGCACCTAGGGATGAAACGACGTTTTTCAGTCTGTCAGATGATACCAGCGACACTTCATCAACCATACTCGTACCTTGATGATACACTCTCAATAATTTTGGATGATGAGTTGCAGATTAAGGATGTCGGATCATCTTTGCCATTATGCCACTGTCAATTCTGTGGCCCTAAGGTAGCGTTTGTATGAAACGCAAGAGGCTAGGCTTTCTTTACGACTGATTACGAAGATATTCTGCACCGCAGAAGAGATCCGAGGCATATTACGCTTCTTTAATCTATCGCATCCCGTCGAATCAATGCTGGTGTTAGTTTAACACGACGAAGCCCTGAAAAAAACTGTCCTTTCTTGTTAAGCTCAAATAAACACGCGATTCGAGACCTTCCAAAAGACGAAGAAAAGGAAAATATATAAAGCCATTATTTCGATTTCATGATTCTCACGTAGATTGGGACATCTAATTCGGCAACTGTTTTTCCAATTCAACGACTACTCCAAGCTTGTTCAAAAGATCGGGGCTTGCGCTTTCAATATCTGCAGTCGGAAGAGGAAGGCGAGGTCGGGGATTTCCATATCCAAACCACTTGGTGCTAGCAGCTTTGACACCTGAAATTCCAAGTTTCAACAGGGCCCAGTCTGCCACAGACAACTTGGCTTGAATTTCCTGAGCTTTTTCTAGATGGCCAGCCCTATAAAGACGAATCACTTCGACATGTAACTTTGGTACCACGTTTGCTAGAGCGGAGATGACACCGTGAGAACCAGCGACCAGACCAGGCAGGAGGAAATCTGCTTTTCCAGCCAGAGGCGCAAATTTGTCGCCAGGCAAGGCAGCAGAAAGGCGCTGAAGCTTGCCTAGATTCCCGCAAGTCAGTTTGGCTCCGACAACTTGTGGACAAGTCGAAGCAACATCAATGATGAAATCTGAATCCAATTCAATACCAGATGTCACTCCTGGAAAATTGTAAATTATGACTGGCAAAGCAGATTTGCTGGCCACCTACAAAGATATTGTGAGTATAACTCAGGCCTTTACTGTGCTGTAAGTGAGATGAATTGCATACTTGAGTATAGAAATTCTTCAGCACTGGTTTGCTCATCGCGGCAGACCAGTAGCTTGGCGGTAGAATCAAGGCATAATCAGCACCGGCTTCTTGTGCTTCCCGTATGAAGAGAATGGTTTCGTATACACTGCTTGCACTGCATCCTGCGATAAGAATATTTTTTGGGTATTCCTTACAGGATACTTCACGAACGTGACGAATAATCTGTGCTCGTTCTTCGTGTAGAAGGTGAGTGGCCTCGCCGTTGCTTCCATGAATGACAATTCCAGAGACGCCGCTCTGGAGAAGCCGATGCACATGGTGGGTAATACTTTCATAATCCACACTTTCGTCATCTTTGAAGAAAGTAACCATCGGGCAATAAACCCCGAAGGGGGGCGGAGTGCGGGTGACTGCCATAGTGTTTATATAGTGTTCAAGATTGGAGATTATGATATTTGATCAGGAAGCAAATCCTTTATACTCTACTTCAACCAGGTGCCTTTCATTTTCTTATACGTATACTTTCTGTAATTCCGAAACGTCGAACCGATAGGGAAATGTCTTCGGATGTTGGACCGAGAATTTGTACTCGGAGTTCAACTCCGAAGTTACCACTTGGAGCCCCGAATTGAAGGCGAGGGGACGTATCGCTTCACTCCCTCCAGGTATTGTTCACGTAACCTGATTTCCTTTTTTTTTTTTTTTTTTTTTTTTAAAAAAAAAGAAAGATCTGTTAAATTATTGAAATTCTAGATCGTGCTAGAACCTAAATAATTCGCAGGCGCGCTGCTCATTCCCTACTTTCACATAGGATATCCGAGGCAAATTTACAAGGACTTTAACAATATTTAGATTAATAAGTTCAAGTTAAAAAGCAAATTGAATTATGCCATTGTTTGTCTCTCCATCACTCTTCATGAACTAACATTCCTTCAGGACAGAAGCGATTGAGCGAGCCACATAGTCAATATTCCCAGGATTGAGCCCCGCAATCGAAATTCGAGAATTATCGGCCATATAAACATGATAATCCTCTGCAAATGAAATGTTAGATTGATTCTTGTATACGTCTTCAGACTTAAGTGGTGGGGAAATACTCACCTCTCAGCTTCCGAACCACGTTCGGGGAAAGACCAAGGAACCCGAACATTCCTGACTGGCGAATCAAATGATCCCATGAGCCAGCCGCACCTGAGAATGTGCAAATATCCAGTTAGATGAATCATAGTTTTCAATACGATCATAGAGCCTACCATTCTCAATCAAGGCTTTATATAAAGCCATTCTCATAGAACGAATTCGGCCACTCATAGTGTCCAGATCAGCATACCACGCTTCTCTTAGCGAATGGTTCTTCAATACTGTAGCGGCAATTTTTGCGCCGTAAGCAGGTGGGTTTGAGACCTCAGAGCGTTGGAGCATCTCCAAGACCGACTGGGTATTTGTTGCTGCTTTTTCATTGCTTGTTTTAACAAAGATGCATCCCGTTCTCTCGCCTGCAAGATCCATCAGAGCAAACCTTTTGAGCAACAAGGATGTGACCTACCATAAAGTCCCATGTTTTTGGCAAAGGAAAGACACACAGCGGCTTCCATATCTAGCTCCTCAATAAAGTAGCGGATAGCAAAAGCATCCTCGTCCACGTTACCCGAGTTAAAGCCTAGGTAGGCAGCATCAAACACAGGGAACAAATTGTTTTGCTTCATAATTTCACCAATTGTTGCCCACTGTTCTTTGGAAGGGTCAAAGCCCGTAGGATTGTGTGCGCAGGCATGAATGATAACGATAGAATTTGGCTTTGCATTCCTCAGAGCAGAACAGTAAGAGTCAATATCCAGGTTCTTCTTTCCCTCATCGTAATACTTGAAAGATTCGCACTGGAAGCCCAGAGATTCAAAAACCTGAGTATGATTGGACCATGTTGGAGTAGGAATGTACACTTTCGGCAGAGGTTTCCGACATGTTCTGAGGAGCAAGCCTGCCAAATGAAGCGCGCCGGTGCCGGAAAGACTTTGACATGTGGCGAGCTTGAAATAAAATAAAGTGTCAGTATGAATGATGCTCAGCAGCCCAAAGAGAGAAGTTCTTATACCTTCAATTTTCGTTTTCGGTAAATGTCGATTCCCAGGGCTAACTTCGTAGCTTCCTCGCGGAAGTCTTGTAGACCAAGGATTGGCAAGTATTCGTGATACAGTCCCTCAGCAAGAAGTATTTCTCGACTTCTTTGAACAGATGGTAAAACCCATGGATTGCCCTTCTCATCTCGGTATGTTCCCTGCCCAAGGTTTACTTTGTCGGAAAACGGGTCAGAAATGTACTTCGCTGTGAGCGCAAAGATCGCATCGGCCGGAATGAAGGGCGCAGTGTCGAAAACTGAGGAGTCGAATGCTACCCCCTCCGCTTCTTCTATAATTTGTGTAGTCATTTTGAGGAATTGAATAGGAGAGCAATAGGCTCGCTGAAATCCAGCATGATCTAACATGCTAACTTTATCCTAATGGCTTCCACTATGCAATGGGCAACCGGCCGGTGCTTGCTTCCGAGTTGACGGCCCACACCCTGACTTCGGGTTTGATATCCGATTTTTATAATCTCAAGATACCTACACTGTTCGGACTGTATCGTATCTATGGCGGGGTAAATCGACATAGTGGATCCTCGTTCCGTAGGGTGATGGCGCTACGGTAATCATCCCGAGGCGGGGTTGGGTTGATTGGGTTTACAAAGGATGGATAAAGTTCAAACGAAACCGGAACTTTACTATCAGAAATGATAATTCAACTTTGGTGTCTTCTATATTCCTTGATGTTTTATTCAACAAGCTGAGTATTGTTGGCTTAGATGCCGCCACTTCTGAGTCGCTCTTCAGCACCTTTCGGGCTTGCAAGATCCGACAAAGATCCCTGTCTCCCAACGGCGGCTATCCTCTTCGACTTTATCCAAAGGGTGCTTTGTGAACAAGGCATTAAAGTTGTTCCTGAGATTCAATGGTTTTAATCATATCAGTTGACAAATATGTTCTAGATGAGTTGATTTTATCTATGTCATTCGATCCTTTGTATCAAAGGTAAAATCTAGTTTCAATCCGATGTACCTGGTTTATTCCAAAAAAAAGCAATATCATGCCGTCTATATTCAGCTAATTCGACTGGGCCATTATCTGTCTATTATGATAAGAGCCGTTGGCGCGAGGTGTAAATGTGGACGTATTAGTCGCATCATCCTCGGGAGGGCTATTGATTGCCTTTGCTCCATATCCACCACCACCAGGCGTCATGATTCGTATCCTATCCCCCGCCTTCACATTGCATTGATTTTTTCCACCAATATTTACTGTTAAGCCACTCTTTTGAATCCAAAGATTCAATCCTCGAGCTCCATTTTCGCCCCCTGCCATTCCATATGGCTGGAAGACCCTGCGCTCTGAGAGGATTCCGGCGTGCATATCAATCTGGAACTCCAGCTCACGCGCCACACCATCGCCACCCCTATACATCCCCGGTCCTCCGCTACCACGTCTCAGACTATACTCTCTGAGTAATACCGGGTATCTTCTTTCTAAAATTTCGGCATCAGTGATTCGCGTATTCGTCATATGACAATGCACTCCGTCCTCGCCTTGCCATGCTGGCCCTGCCCCGCTCCCTCCGGCAATAGTCTCGTAGTACCCAAACCCGTTCTCGGTTGGCAATCCAGATGTGAAATTTGCCATACAGCCATTACTGGCAGCGCAAACTTCAAGGGCTTTGAAAATGATATCCACAATACGTTGGCAGGTAAGCCCATTTCCAGCTGCGCAGGCTGCTTCAGGCGATGGAGAAAGAAGAGACCGCTCAGGGATTTTAAGTTGAATTGGAAACATACACCCTTGATTCAAAGGTATTTCCGATGCCACAAGACAGCGAAGTGAGTAAATCGTTGCTGAGTTTGTAACGGCCGGAGGTGCATTCCAGTTTCCTGTACAATGTGAGCGATACCAACAAGCCAGCATCTAGAGTTCCTTACCATATGCCTGTGGGCTTGTTCCATCAAAATCAAAAATTGCGCTTCCCGAGTTTGGATCAATGTTAATCTTCAGTTTGATGATTGACCCATCATCCATGAAATCTTCTGCCTCGAAAAAATGGCGCGCTTTGGCAACACATATACTCTTAAGAGTTTCTCGAATTGCGTTTTCCGACGCTTTCTGCACAGCATCCATGTACAACTATTCATAAATTAACATAACGAACGTTTCGAAGTAGATTGAAAGCATACCATCACTGTATGAAGAGTATATTCCGCGATCAGGGTATTCACCAAGTTAACCCCATAGTGATTGGCGGCTGCCTGAGCTTTGATATTAGTGATATTATCCTCAATGCACCGAGACCCCTCACAATTAGGGTATAGGGCCGGCCGGTGCAGCAATGCTTCAACAACTCTTTCTTCTTGAAAGATTCCGTCTTCGACTACTTTTAATGCATCAATTGCGGCACCTTCCTCCCACAGCTCACGTGAGGTGGCAGGCATAGAGCCAGGGACAATCCCTCCAATATCTGCATGGTGACCTCTTGACGCTGTCCAGAATAGTATTTCATCATTCTTTTCATCGAAAATAGGCGTAATGACGGTCAATTCAGGAAGGTGAGTGCCACCAGCATTAGGTGAGTTGGTGAGGAAGACATCGCCTCTATGGATGTTATCTTTCCAGTGCTGTATTTGCCACTGTACAGCAAAGGCCATGCTCCCCAGCATTGCGGGGACATGAGGCGCATTGGCGACAAGACCTCCATCTGCTGAGAAAATAGCACAGCTGAAATCAAGCCTCTCCTTGATATCAGTGCTCACCCTGGTCTTTTGCAGGGCTCGTCCCATCTGCTCAGCAATACCCATGAATCGATTAGCAAAAACAGACAAACGAATGGGATCTACATGGTCATAGGTCTCTGGGTGGATAGAGGGTGCTAGATCGATCACAAGCATAGACGAAAGCACCTTGACTTCAGCACCAGGGGAGACCACAACAGTTTGAGTCTTTTCGATGACAATTCTGGGTCCCTTGAAAGTATCTCCGGGATGCAGTCGTGTCAGAGAATAGAGTGGTACATCAACAACTCCCAGGTCTGGAAAGCTGACTGGTGTGTGGCCGACTGGCTTCACATCGCTCTGCCAAGAAAGAGTATCAAACTCTGCAAGTCCACCGGCTATTTCATGTTCTGTTCTGATTTTGCGGTTGTTCGAACGCGTATATCGTCAATCAGGATGTTCCGATTGTGGTGTGAATCCAAATTCACGTTGGTGATGCGCCACGAATTCGTCCTTGAAATCCCAATTTTTCTCTGGCTTTTCGATCATAAAAGACGTGTCACTGCCATCATAACGAAGGTTCAGGAAATAAGAGGAAATCATCTTGTTGCAGATTGCTTCCATGCTTTGAATCGAATTTATTGTGTCCTGGCGAAGATTCTCCAGTATTGGCCGCACGGCCAAAAGACTTTCATCAGTCAGCTGCCGGGCATAGGGCACGCGAGCTTCTTGGACAGTATCTGCGAGTGCCATTCCATAGGCCGAAAGAATGGCAAAATACTTGTGAATTAATACACGTGAGATGCCTAGCTCTTTGGCAATTTCGCAGGCATGTTGACCACCCGCGCCTCCGAAACAAGCAAGATTGTGCTCACCAGTCCGAAAGCCGCGAGCTTCGGTAATGGCACGGATGGGACGACACATCGCTTCATTGGCAATGGTGATATATCCTTGTGCGACTTCTTCAACGGACAAATTTGTTCCTTTATCAGTGTTGATACTGTTAGTTAGATCCTTCATCTTTCCGTAGCTTGCGTCATAGTCCAAAGGCTGGTCTTGGTTAGATCCAATAAAGAATTTCGGGATGATGCGGCCCAGAATCAGATTAGCATCTATGACCGTCAATGGTCCTCCTTTTCGGTAACAAGCAGGACCAGGGTGGGATCCTGCACTATCTGGTCCAACTGTAAGCATGCCCTTTCTCCATGAAAGGATACTTCCTCCGCCAGCCGCCACAGTGTTGATATCCAACTGTGGGACTTGGATGGGAACACCCGCAGTGACTGTTTCGAAAACATGCTCAAATGAGCCTGAGTACCGAGATATATCTGTTGAAGTCCCACCCATGTCGAACCCGATGACGGGAACCGGGTTCTCTGGAACAAAACAGGTTCTCGCGTAGCCGACCACACCTCCCGCTGGACCAGACAGCAATGCGTGAAGACCAGAAAGCTGAGATGGATGAACCAGACCACCATCTGATTGCATTATACGCCAGTTCACAGTTTTGAGACTCTCCCTTAAAACGCCGGATTCAAATGCTTGCAAATACTCTCGAATTTCTGGTGTAAGATATGCATCCGTCACAGCTGAGCTAGCACGAGGGAGCATCCGAATCGCAGGTGAAATGCGGCATAATGCTGAAACCTGGGTAAATCCAATTTTCTGTGCTGCCGCAGCAATTGCTACTTCATGATCGGGAAATGTATAAGAATAGAGAAGGCAAATGGCCACACTACGGAAGCCCTCATCGTAGGTTTGTTGTAGAGCTTTCACAACGGTGGGAACGTCGAGTTTCTGAAGAATGCGGACCTTTTCGCCAGATATGCCAGTTACAACACTGGAAGCAACATAGCTTGATGAATGACCATTGGATATAATCTTGTCGTCATTGGATCCGCGTTGGTATGATGTCGAGTCGTCCAAGGTAACTCGTTCATCAACTTCGACGACTTTACTATAGAGCAGCCCAGGACGACGCACATTCAAAGCAAACATCTCGGGACGAGATTGGTTTCCAATTTTCCATAAATCCTGGTCACAGTTAGATCTATTGTTCAAAATAGTCTAATTCAACGAACCCTAAATCCTTTCGTTATAAATAATGCGGTTCGTGCCCCTTTTCTCTCAAGCAAGGCATTCGTTGCCACCGTTGTCCCCATTCGAAGAGATTCTATATTTTCAGTGCTGCAATCTTTTGTGATTTTTCTTGGATTTCTTTACCGATATTTCTCAGATCCAATGGACTATCTTTAACGAGGGACCGCTCCTCGAACCCTTCCAGATCCGTCTAATAGCCTCATGGGCAGCATCGCTATAGTTCTTGGGGTCGGATGATAATAATTTAAAAATCTTTTCAGACCCATCTGGGTAGAACAAAATCACATCCGTGAACGTGCCACCGCGATCTAACATGGATTAGTTCTTGTCACACGGCTCAGGGGCGTACTCCTACCAATAGCGACTTTAATGCCACGATTTGACAGCTCGGCTTTGAGATTCATTTTGGCCTTGGGTCCGCCTTCTGAGGAGTTCAGTAGTTTGATGTATACCTTAGAGTTGCTTATATGTATGATATCTCTATCTCGGAACTAGTTGTTACTGTGCCGGAGTTGTTGCCCGAAACCCCTCGTGCTTTCGGTCACGGTCCGAAGGTCAGATTCGGGGCTAAGAAAACCGATCTGCGGGGAACGTGTACACAGATTGATTTGAATGCTATTGATAACAAGAGAAGAATATCGCTTTCAGCTGTTCCTGAGATGATTGGGTCGAAATATTCCTTTCTGGAAACTTTGTGTTCAGCAAGGGAGCTCGTCTTCGACCCACCTTTCCCAAGTAGCTCTACAAAGCAAGGCAGAATAGTACCTCATTAAAATATTCACAGTATATTCTTGTGAAAATTGGGGTGTTCCATTCTCAATGTTTTGCAATGAACCTGTGCCTTTTGAATCACCTATTTCGGCCTCCTGGCCGTTTTCACGGACTTTGCGCTAACGCGCCAGAGCCTTGCCATAAGCGGTAATGAATATCCGAGAAGCACCGAGGAGTAACCATCGCTAGTTGATAATTTCGGATGACCTGGTGAAAAAATGGCCACGGGGTGGAAATGCAGCTTAATATTTGTTGATGTGTTATGAACATTATACAGTCTTCAAATGCAGAATTTCATCAAATCAGCAGAATAGTCATTGTCTTGCAAGGTTGTTAAATCGGAAAATTAGTTGCCTGTTTAGGAAATCATTGAAAGGATTCTCCGAAGCATAAAATCCCCTTATAAAACCGATTTAACTAATGAAAAGAAGGTTCAACATCTTTTTGAGGTTGAGCTCCCCGTAAGAATCACGACAACATGAAACAACACGAAGATATGGATCAAAATAATGGAGTGCAGGTGAGTAATTTCTGATTTCTCGTTAAATACTGTCGACTAAACAGTCAACATTCACTGGAAGAGCCCCTCTTCCCACAAGGTGACAAGTCAAATGATAGTAGGAAACCAGGGCGAAAAACTCGATTATATTGAACGAAATTCCTCATCGCCCGCAGCTGGTCACGAGCAGAAAAAATTAGATGATTCTAATCTAGTGGACTGGGATGGCCCTGATGATCCTGAAAACCCCCGGAATTGGCCAGCATGGCGAAGATGCTTGCTAGTTGGGGTTGTAACATTTGTTGTCTTCTCAACGTAAGTTCAAGCCAATTCAAGACCTATTTAGAGTCCATGTCTCAGTCAGCTCCAGATCTTTGGCTTCTTCAGCGATTGCCCCGGCAATACCTGAGATCATGAAAGAGTTTGATTCCACAAACGACGAAATCGGAATTCTTATTGTTACCATTGAGGTTTGAAGTTCACAAATTCGCCCAAATCCCTTCTATTATTAGTTGAAACTAATCCGATTCAGCTCCTGGGAACCGGCGTCGGCCCCATCTTGATGGGCCCCATGTCCGAGATTGTCGGCCGACGCATCATTTACAACGGCGCAAATATTGGCTTCAGTCTATTTTCAGTTGGCTGTGCCTTGAACTCGTCTCTACCTGGATTGGTGGTACTGCGTTTCCTGCAGGGGTGTGCGGCTTCCTGTTCTTTGAACAATGCCGGTGGAACAATCTCAGATCTGGTTCCTGTCCATCGAAGAGGCCTGGCAATGTCCATGTACTCGGTAGGATTCTTACTTGGTCCAGCTATTGGGCCCATTGCCGGTAGTCTTTTGAATGCTGCAGCTGGATGGCGATGGATTTTTTGGTTTCTGCTTATTGTTGTGAGCCCATCTTGCTTCATGCGCACGTCTCTACGGTTGCAGTTACTAAGTTGCTTAGAATGGCACGGCAGGAATTATCTGTGCTCTTGTCTACTCTGAGACTTACACCCCAGTTTTACTCCAATGGAAAGCAAAAAGGCTTCGCAGACTCTCAGGAAATCCAGCACTGCATGCCAAGGGAGGAAGACAGCTGCCAGTGAGCCAAGTGCTCAAGCGCGCTCTATGCCGTCCGATCAAAATGTTTCTCTTTTGCCCAGTCGTTACTGGTCTGGCAATATACAACGCTGTTGTATACGGGTTTACCTACCTTCTCTTCTCTACCTTCTCGTTGGTCTTTCAAGGCCAATATGGTTTCAATGATAGATCTATAGGTCTGGTGTACTTGGGTCTCGCAATCGGCTTTTTGCTTTCTTTGAGTATTGCTAGCTTTGCCAACGACAAAACTCATGCACGTCTCACAAGAGAACATGGGGAGGCAAAGCCTGAGTAAGTCTGCCAGAGCAATTCTTGTACCAATTTCGGGTACTAATTGGTAACTGTTTAGATACCGGTTGGAATCTTTAGTATATGGTGCCATAGCAATTCCCGTCGGGTTTGTCCTATACGGATGGACCTGCCAAGAACACGTTCATCCGGCTGTGCCTATTGTAGGAACAGGCCTGATTGGATTCGGAGTCATGTTCACGTTCGTGAGTTACCTATATCCCAACATAAACTAATTCACATATTGACTTGACAAGATTCCGTTCAATGTGTACATGATCGATGCGTACACAAAATATGCAGCAAGTGCCATTGCTGCCGGAAATATATTGAGAAGTCTCTCGGCTGCACTTCTGCCACTCCTTGGAGTTCCGTTGTATAATAGACTCGGGTATGGCTGGGGAAACACTCTTCTGGCGTTCGTATCACTTGGACTTGGCGGGATGGTCATGCTTTTTCGTAAGTACGGAGAAGAATGGCGGAAGCGGTTCTCGATCCCATTTGACTGAGCGAATTAAAAGAGCTTTGATGGACCAAATTAGTCAAATATCTGGATAGAACAGTCCAAAATACTATTTGTAATCTGAAGCGGCTTCTAGGATCTATGCATTACTTGTAGAAATCGGCATCTCCACCTCATTGTTGAAGCTAATTCTGACCGAAAAATTCGGCGATTATGCGAAAAAGCTTCCTGAAACTCGCAGTCGCCTCTTGTACATAATTCAAGTTGAGCTGCTTCAGGCAATTTGGAGATCTACCCATTCTTTTGGGGCCAGGAACATTCTGCATCACCAACATTTCCTGGGCAAGAGCGCTGATTGAATTCAAGAACTCATTTGCTTGCTTAACTAGATCAAGCACCAATACCTTCTTCAACGAGGCATCATCAGTAACTGACAAGCAATAGCTGCCAATGCCGACCTTGATTGTCCCATCAAAGCCAGACTTGGAAATATAATCAAAACAAGCGGCTGTTTGTTCAAAAACAGTCATTATACAGACCAGATCCACTGGTCCCACATGACAACCACATTGCAGCGAGTCTCGGCAGCTCTGGATTACGTCGCCTGTGATTCTGAACATCTTGTCCAACTGTGGCTTTGGAGTCTCATGGATTGCACAATCAAGATTGGGAACTTGTTTCATCATGTTCATTCGGCAATGACAAATCCGAGGTGTTTTGGATGATTGCAAGCCCGGTTCTCCAAAATGTGTCGGTAATGGATCGGAAGGTATATAGTGACCATTGTTTGCTGAGGGTATATTCTGGTCCGTTGTACTCAGCAGATCTACATTTGCCTGGCTTATATCTTTGGTCAGCTAAAATGCGTGTCAGCAAGTATATCTCTCACACGGGTGCACTTCGACTCACATCGAGGCTGAGATCTGGTTCTGAAAAGACCCAATCGAACTCCTCCAACGCATGATTGAATTCTTCTTCTCCCCAACTCTCTATTCCATTACTAGTATGGACTGGAGGAAGTATGTCGAGGTCTCCATCGTGGGAGTGCAATCCATCGCCCCTAAAATCAGTCGAGGTCAGGCCTGGCAACGCCTGGTTTTCTGCAGATGGCTCTGGCATGGCCTGGCTATTTGACAAGGACTGAGGCTTGACTACTTCTTCTCGGATACTCTTTTCCATATTCCTAGTAGCTTCAGATGATGTTCCGGTTTCTTTGAGCGATGGCTTGGTATATGTGCAGTGCAACTTGCGGTCTTTACATCGGTCGCAGACTCGCTGGCCGTTACACTTGACTTTCGCAGTGCGGCACGCCTCACATGCAGTCATCGGTCGACGGACATGAGGCTTGGACACTCGGCTCTCAGGCGATGGCCACCTCAGAGTTTGGGTTCCAGGGATATGCCTTTTCCGGGACTGACGTGACGCCATGGTCGACCGCAAGTATGGTGACCCCGATGGCGACATCGGACTCAGGAGAGCTTCCGTATGTCGAATAGAAACAGTGTAGATACCAAGTTCACACCAGGAATTTTGGCGAGAGTTATTCCAAAGCGACAGGTGAGGCCGAACCTATCTGGAAAGGGTGTATTGGATCTTAAATGATAGAGAAGAGAAGTGGTAGGTATGGACCCCAGGGAGAGCAGCTCTCGCTGCTTGCCAGTGGGGCGCACGGCCCCATGTGGTGCTTGACTAAGAGTTGAACAGCCCTGAAGGGGGCCAGGAACCCACACGATCATTCGTACAGGTACAGTTGTCGAGCCGGCGATGTGCCAGCCAAAAAAACTTACCAATTCATGGAATGCATCATAGGATTCAGAAGGCGAAGAGTGGTTGTTGGGGCGGTCCCATTCTAGGCACCAGTACATTCAATTTCTTCAAAGATCAGAAACTTGAGGTTTCATAAAGAATAGGTGTATTCTGCACGAGCTACCCTGTACCATTCAAGCATTATCGCATGCCAACTGTTCGCATATCTAGAGTACGGAGCCAGTGTGCTCCTCCAATTCTCTCTCAAAGAATCTATTGGATCTCCCTTCAATGATCTCAATCGTCGATTGACCATCCTTAAAACGTTTGATTTGGTGAAGAGCCAAACCTCGGCCACCGAATAGATAGTCCATGTCCTCCAATGCGATACCTTTGGTCTCTGGAAGGAACAGATAAACATAAATCCCGCCAATCACTGTCATTGAGCCAAAAAATATGAATGTACCATATGTAATGCTGGAAAACATGTAGGTGACAGCATAAGATGTGTAGAACTCTCCCACCCAGTGCGAACAAGTGGTAAGCACGAGGCAGAAGGATCGAATGCGAGTAGGGAAAATCTCAGCAGCCACCATTCATGGAATATTCCATCCGACAGACTGACTATATTAGCGTAACTTGAGGTGAGACAACGAATTAAAAACATACATAACCGGCGCCGAAGATGTAAATAACCGCAACAGCCGAGTAGCTGCCCGAGCTGGGACTCTGGGAAGTATGGAACGAATCTGTAATGGCGGAGAACGCAGCGACATAATACATTGAAAAGGTGCACATGACTGACCCAGCGAACACGAGCAGACGACGCCCGAAGCGATCAATCAGGCAGAGGAAAGTGATAGTGGCCGCAACGCCCTTCACAATTCCATATATACCAGTTGATAACAACTTAGCCGACTAATTGAGATTCAAATTAACCATGTGCGAAGTACTAGAAAACATAAGGCTGAGTCGGACTCACTGTTCCATGAAATCCCAAAGCATAGAAAAAGGACACAGAGAAGTTATTCATCGCATTTATTCCTGTACTGTTTTGCAGGATCATCAGCAAGCACCCGTGAATGACTCGTGGGCGAATCTGAGGACTGAAGGTCTCCTTCAGAACACCCAAGAAGCTGTCTATCGGTACCATGTCTGACTCGACTTCTATTTGTCGCTTATAGTCGTTGAGCTCGCTGCTCACATAGGTATGGTCTGCCGGTAACTGTCGTAGCCAGATTAAGGCTTTCGTGCCGACGAGGGCTCTCAGGAAGGAACAATAGCCCAAAAGCCATCAGACCTGCTGGGATAAATTGAAAAGCGATTGGTATAAACCATTGCTTATCACCAATTGAATCAATCTAAAGAAATCCATCCAGTCAGTCTATGTAAGGAAACAAACATAAGGAAGTGGTAGTCACACACCGTTTGTTGGACGCCATAATTAATCCAAAATCCAGTTATTGTTCCGATCTGGGTCCCAATTTCGAACTGCAGATATCAGCTTCTTTATCCTATCCGTGGAAGACCCAGAAACCTTACACATCCCACTATCCCTCCTCGTGCAGCAGGAGGGGCACACTCCGACAAATATTGAGGGACTGCAAAGGTTGAAGCCCCAACCCCTAGACCGCTGACAATGCGAGCCACGTAGAACATGGGAATATTACCTCCACATGCCATTGATAGAATGACGCCGATGATAAAAATAAAGGATCCCCATAGGAGTACAAGCCGTCGCCCCCATCGTTCGTTGACAATGTATACAATTATCACGCCAAAAAAGGCACCTCACTGAACTGGACACGATATAGGCTTCCATAAATGTACCATGCTGGAAAAGTGGCTCACAGGAGTTCACCATGTGGGCTTGTATAGCTGATGCATCTTGACCGGCAAGATCAAACCTGTTAATGAAAGATGGCAGCGAAAAAACGCCTCCGATGAAGGCTAAGTCGTAACCAAATATTATAGACCCGCAGGTTGCAACGACGATGACTAGAAACAATTTCTTATTAAAAACTTCAGGTGGTGTTGATTTGTTCTCGGCGTTGAAGGAAAACCCCATTGTTAGTCGTAAATCTTGCGGGAAAGCGGATGGCTGTGTCTGAGAGGTAACGTAAATAAATGCCCAGGGTCTCATGTCCCAAGGGTTTATTATGTAGAATCCACAAACCTGGTGAGACTAGACCTGAATAGACAAGCTCGACCGCCGAAGGAATCGCATGGCTTGTCATTGTGGAAACATTGGCCCCTTCTTGACCCCATCACGCATGCACCTCTAATAACGATCTCGAGTAAAAATCCTGGGGTACAGTGTACCCCCTCATCTGGAGATGCTGATTAGCCTTCGGAGGTGGCCCCCGGAAGATTGATCTGTGAACTCCCCAACTACCTCTTTTGGTCACAGTTTGCCCATTTTTCAACGAGGAGCGATTTATCATGAAAATCTTGAAATTAAGATGTCTATATTATACCGGAATTTTGAGCCCCAATATACTGGGGATTAAGAATAATTAAATGTCAGTATTTGGGTGTTCAAAATTGTTGTTTTCCTTTTGAATCTAAGTTCGGAGTTGAGGACCGAATCCCTTGAGCGGCCGAACTATTGACCGATCAAATCGATCAGGCAGGCCAAATGGCGGCAATTCATGCTATCCAAAATTGGTTGATAGAAGCACTGCTCGTGTTAAAATCTTTTGGGGCTTTACAAAGGTCATACAGATCTACAGATCATCTGAAGAAGAAAAGAGAAAACCAAAGGGGGGGGGATCGGTGTCTGAAGGTGATTTGACTATCCGCATTATTATTTGCTTACGGCCAACTACCTCATGTGATGTATGCAGCCGATTAGACCGTTGATACTCTATTTACGACATGATCAACTTTCACCAAATACCACATTGACAGACTCCAAACCCCTCACCGCCGCTGATCAGAGCTCCTGGACACCCGAAATCCTAGGCTATGGTGCAGATCATCTCGTTCAAGGAAAATACCAATATACACTCACTGATAATGATGAGTGTTGAGTTCCCACAGAGTCTATTGTCTCCATCAACCCCTATTCTTACCATGGGGGCCTTGCTAACGGCGTGCTTTTCCACTTTGGCTAAAACATTGAGGATAGCGCCTCTCGACTACAGGCAATCTTGGTACCCCTTATTATTATCCATCCAATATTTCCAGCTACAGCACACTTCAAAATTTCCGAGTATCCGCAGCCTCTAGTCTCCTAGACGCAGAGTTCGAATAGCCCCAATTAGCTTTCATGGCGGCGCACAGGAGCTTTAGTAATTGAAGGCAGTTTCAGGAGTCTACTACGCCTTCAAGGTCCTCGAGCCTACCATTCAGAGAGACTTGATCATTTAACATAATCCTCATTCATCATCACCAAGGGCTTTCAACAGGCTACAACGTAATTGTTCTTCTGGGAGTCGTCAAGACTGGGAGTCGTTAAGAAGTGGCAATTCCCTAGCGCCGAAGCAGAGTCGGTCGCATACCCAACCCTTTCAAACACACTTCAGTGGCTCAAACCTTTAGAACAACAAGAAACAATTAGCTAAGCTCATTTTCTAGGTCACATCGTGTAGGTCGTCTTCGAAAGTACGACCGACCCAATATAACTAACCACTCCTCCAAAAACGCCCATCTGGAAACTGCAGCTCCATTCCGACAATACGCTAGAGCTGCGTGGTAGGATAACAGCAAATATCATCATATTGGGTGGCATAAACGCCACCTGGGGCGTATCTCTTAGCTGGCTGGCGATGGAGATGTTGAGCATGCATTTCTGAGGTTCTACATCTTGCCAGCGGCAGATAACCCCCAAATCAACCTAGCAAGTCACATTTCGTCATTTTGTGGGATGCTTCAATATCCCAATCATACCTGGGACTAGCGATATGAGTTGTCGTTTCCTCTGACTTGCCACGATAAGATCAAGCCTCCGTTTAGTACGTTTTATTTCTTTGAGGCAGGCCTTGGGTGCCTTCTGGACACTTTGACGGCTGGGTCGTCGTGATCTCTGCAAAGAACATGTGGAATATTCAAAGCTGGAGAGCACTTTATTGTTAGCAAAATGCTGAATAGCAACACATAAAAATAACAAAGGCGCATGCGTGCACAGACTACTCATGATTGTCAAGATTAAGCTCCGGAGGTGGAGACTTCCACGTGTGGGCCTTTCAGCCAAGCACTGGCGGTACCCGAATCCGGTTAGTTCCCGCTTGGTGCATGTCAATAACATGGTTGGCTTTTGAACATCCGAAATAAACGAAGGAAGCAGCTGGTGGTAATAGCATTCATCAGATACATGATCGTCTGAGAGCAAAAGTACGGGAGGAGTTGGTTGTGTGGAGGGTGTGTGGGTGTGTGTTTTGGGGGAGGGTTGGTGAAATGGTAAGGCAGGGAATACCAAAGAGGAAGGGTACAGCTGGGATGTGGAATGGATAGAAGAGGGGAGATGGGGGAAGGGGTCTTGGATGGACAAGAGTGGAATGGAGGGATATGACAAGAAGGGAAGTGTGGAGGATCAAATGAGAAGGGCAAAGGGTGTCATGAAGATGAAACTCCCAGAAGGAAACAAAAAATTGAAAATAGTGACAAGTCCGTTTGAGAAAGAGAGGAGAGGGAAAGGGAAAACAGATGAAGGAAAGGGGGAGGATCGTGAGAGCTGTTGCTGGGGATGGCTTCAATCGTACCAAGATAGGAAGTGAAGGGAGGCACGGGCGAGGAAGGCCAGGATCGTCAACATGGTGAATGGGAATAGCTTCGAGATAACCCGAAATAGGAAGCGTATGGGGATGCGGGAAGGGTGGGCCAAGTGGGGAGCTACTAATCTCGATTTAGTAACTCAGCATCTATAAGGATTACTTCCAGGAGTCAAAGGCATCCCGCCGCCACCAAGGTTCAGTGGTTAATGCTCTCGGCCTCCGTGCATCTAGCGGCCGGCGCCTAGGTGGCCGGTTGCTGGTTCGAACCCCAGATAGCTCACCCCTTTTCCGAGTTTGTCTGGCCAGCAGCCGGTGCATTCACCTCGCCCCGGCAGGTAGGTAGTTCAGTTTGACCTCTGCCTGCGAAAAGAAAGGGATCTATATGTACCTGTACATATTAGTATTCTTTGGATCCACAACATCTCACACATAGCGGTGTGAGATAAAAATAACTTTTTGTTATTTTTTATTTCTGATTCACATTATTATGATCATAATAGCCCATCATTTCCATCATCAACACTACCAGGTATGCTTTGCGAGTCATGGCTGGAGGCTATTGTGATGTCCTAACCGTAATCGGTACCTGTGATCCACGGATCCACACGAAGTCCATCTATCCCTAGGTACCTACACATCAGGTACCAACAAATTATGAACTTGACCGAGACCGATCCCTTCCCAACGCCCCCATCTTTAAATCTATTACAAAGTGCGTTCAAATAATAAAACCAGGTTTAGAGAAGGAGCCAACAGAGTCAGAAGCTTCAAGGGAGACGGATATTTGATAACTGGGCTATTCGTATGTGCCATGCATCAGAGCCTATCATTCTGTGCCTTTCTAAATTATTCCTAGCCATACTCCTTTCCAGCGCGTTGTTACTTGATTTCAGCCGCATAGCTGCATAAATTATGCATGAATGCCATCGGGTGGATGTGTGCTTCGAAGAATTTCATGGATGCTTCAACCTCGTACTTCTAGCGACTGCCAGCTCACAATTACTTGGTGTCAAAAACACACCATTGGAAGTGTATACAGCCCTCAGCACCTCGCATTTAGTCAATCTTTTGGGAGAAATACTGATGTTATGTAGGGTTAAGGGCGGTGTTGAGATTCAATATCTAAGAGGACATCCAGTGGGATTTGTTAAGAAAGAGCAGGCGTTGCCGCGAGAAAATGTCCGGTGGTATTTCTATTTGACTCTAGATCTCAGACATAATGGGTATGAAAGTGTCAGCTGATGTAGAGAGGGTCGTAGGAGCTTGTGGGTGGAGCCGAGAGGCTGTGCATAACGCCGATGTGCGGCCTCTTTGCCTGCATTTTTTGGGGAAATAATAGTGTGGGTGAGAAGCATTGCGGAAATGATCGAGTTTTGCAGAAACTCTGTATGTTGGCGTTTTTTTTGATGCGGTTGATCGGAGATGAAGACGACATCTAAGGCGATATTAGTCTCTTCTCTTGAAAGCAACGTGGCCTTGGTGTATGGACGACAGCGATTTAAGGTCTGCCGACTTGAAGACACGGACATGGCGTGGGCTGAAACAAAACAAGAGCTTCAAGTTTGTAGGATGAATGGTCATCTTCGTATCCCGTGGCATAATATTGAGAGCGGTTTTTTCACTGACTGAATTTGGCTTCATTGCCTGAACAGTGACTGAGGGCCCATTTCAACTAGCACAAGCTCCAGTGGGTGTTCAGCGGGACTTTTTAAGACGTCTTCTGCATGCTTCAGCACATACGTGATATCACAAAGATCGGAGAGTTGTATAAAGTAAGGACCCCTAGACATGTTAACACTCCAAAGTGGTCACTCGCACAGACAATGAGAAGACCCTGGATTGCTGGCTGGAGAGAAATGTTTGTCAACCCATCATCCCATAAGAGACTTGATAGTCCCTCAACCACCAGAGAGTGTGGTCGTGGCACAGATCTCTCGAACTATCAATGTACCATCTAAGTCTTCGGAAAACATGAAAATGGAGCCGGGGTGGACGTTCATCCTGTTTAGTCGATTATGTATGGGTTGCATGTGTTCGCATGGTTGGTGTGGAGATATGGAAAGAACTGGAGGCAGTAATAAGTTCAATAAGTAATAAGAATACATCGAGGTTGACTTCTAGAATCTGAGTCTCGAAACTTTCAAAATCGACACTGAGAGTGACCCCTTCTGGAGAAAAAGGCGGCGGCTCTTTTCAAGCGCAACTTCGAAGGAGTCACACCCCTTGACCACTGCCCTGTAATGAGCATATTCCAAATATTTTACCATCACCTACTCAGGTCATTCCTTTTTCATAATGGGGGAGGGGCTTCATCACCTACGAAATTTTTTTTTTTTGGCTCAATGCTACTCAGTGCTTATCAAAATGTACATGACGCCTGGTTTGAGATTAGGTTCGGAGTTGGGGTCCGAAACCCCTCACTTTATCAGTTAAAGCCTGCCACAACAACTTTTCTAGTGCCCAGCCCCATCCTAGCCATCTTGATGGTTTTATTATATCCGGAGTTCATGACCGAGTTCAATCATCATGGCTCCGGGCTCAGCAGTCTCACAAGGCACAGCCCCGAGAAGGGCCCGGGTCTCCCGGGGTAGAGAAGCTGCAAAAGCGGCATGAGTCGAATTTGACTTTGCGTGATGCAATGAAGACTGATCTTAGTACAGTTGTTACACATGCCGCATGAAGAAGGTCCGGTGCTCGGGGACAGCGCCGTGTAACTACTGCAGTAAACGTGGCCTGGATTGCGAGATCCCCGAGCAGGGCCAGCGTCGAGTCTACTCTATCTTGTACGACACATCCCCTCATGCGTGTACAATCATCACTCTCATCAGCCAATACTATAGGCAGATTCAAAAGCTGCGTGACAGACTAGCTCAATACGAAAACCAGCCCCAAAGTATGGACTTACGAATATTCGGATGAGCACTTATTGGCATGTTGCACAACTCACATGAACTCCAGTTGAAAATCCAACAATAGTCCAATTGTCTTCACAGACGAACAACACCGTCGATCCAGATAACGACGAGATTCTATTGGACAGATGCTCTCCAATTTGTATCTCAGGCCGATGCTACACAACCATCCCCAGATTCTGGTTGGTTGATATCATTCTCGCATTTTCCTCGCATATGCTAAGCTGATAATATAGTCGTTCAACCGGAATCATGTCTAACCTCCAGTAATATCTTTGGATCTCGAATCCAAAATCTCTTGTTAGACTCCTGTCCCCAACAAGGAAAACGGAAACCCTTGCATAAATCACGAGTCTGCTCGTTCAGATACTCACATTCCAGATATACCAACGGAGGCTGAATCGCGCCGACTTCTCGGGGTGGTTGTCTTCTACATCGGTGAAACCCAGCACCATTTTGATATTCGGGAATTTTCCGACAATCTAGGTCTTTTTTTCCATTGATTATCGGCCTCATACACAAACACCAGAACCATGGTTTCTGGAGATGCTTTTGGTTCTTGCAATAGGCAAGCTATTTGCCGGAGATTTCGACGATAAGAAAGAGGTTCCCGGCACTAGGTTATTTGAATATGCTTATAAAAATCTCCCAACCTTAAGCACATTATACTCCCATGGTGTCCTGGGCGTGGAAATCCTCGCATTGGTCGCCATGTACCTTCAAAATCTCAATCAAAAGGATGAAGCTTATTTGCATGTAAGGATGTTCTGTGCATGCCATACATTATCGCAGACTGATTACTTCGCAGATAAGCACCGCTCTGCGGCTCGCAATATCTCTTGGTCTGCATCGTCGATCAGTGACGGTGCCATTGAATTGGATATGCCAACAGACAGTCTCGGCTGTTCAGCCGCAGGTGCTTTGAGGACCAATATCAAGATCTCCAAAGTTCTCAGTCGGATTATTAGTGGTAATTTTAGAACGACTATGGTCTGTTTGAAGCTTCCACTGAAATTTTGAGTTGCTTGTAGTGATTTATGGGACCCGTCGTCTCGCTGAAGATGCCTTTGTCCCTAATGTCCGAGAAATTGTCATGTCCATCTTCAGCATTGCTCAAGAGATCCCGTCTGAAGCAACAGCCAACTATCCAGGCTTGAGCCCCCGATTCATCCATGAGATCCTCGGCATATCTTCATCTCATGCTATATCAGGTAAAAAGCAATCTATCTATGTTGCGAAGAGACCAACTAGTGACACTTTGTTAGGCTACGATATTAACAACCCGGCCAATCATGTTGCACATCGCAAAACAAATTGTGAATGGGGAGGATATCGACAGTAATAACCCCAACGCCTCACCTTTGGGTCGACTCTCACGCAGCTGCTCCGAGGCACCGCGCAGGCTGTTAAATGTCATTGTTGCACTCCGGAAAAAGAACACGTTAAGTGATTCTTCCCTTTCCGCTAATGCCCTCCGAATCCCCAAGGATCTCACAACGACTGGTTTACATAGTCATATTCGGGTTCTTTGATTTCGATGCATGCTTCTCGGCTGCCTTTGTTATGATCTTATCGGCAATCATCGATTCCTTGTCCGATGGCCATCCCGGGCACACCCAATCACCAGGGCTCCGCGACGCGCTTGAGACATTGGAATATCTTGCAGATCGAGGAAACAATTTCGCGCAGCGAGGTCTTCACGAGGTCAGCCAAACATGGGCCCATTTGTCAGCATATCTGCAACGACGCCAGCAGCGTACGCAGGACACGGAAGAGCCGGACGTCGTTTCGACTTCTGTCGAAGGGAGTGATCTCCCAAATGGCACGTATCCCGACGCCAACCCCACCGCGATGGTTTCACGCATGCGTGCCATGCCCGGGATTGGGCTGCATTCGGCTACGGAGAATGCTTGTGCCTCTGGGCCCCAGTCTGACGGCGCGGTGGCGGGCATTCGGCATCCTCTGTTCTCCGCGAATGAAGGGCTCAGCGACGCCCTCCTCCTGGACACTGATCTGCTGGACGACTTTGCCCACCTCTGGGATGGGGATGTGGATCCTCAATCTAGGAGTTTTTTTCCAGGAGCTTCTGAGTTGGGGTCCACTGATGGAGATGGCCTGCACCATTTTCTCTATCCACTTTATCACAATCTGAACTTAGACCTGACAGGTGGCGATATGGAGGACTTTACAGAGTTTCGGAGGAGCGTGTTGAATCTCTAACGTGGGCACCGGTGCCTCTGGTTATTGTCACTGGTTTTGTAACATTGCGAACTATTAACCTCTGAGAAAGAAGTACTCTGTGCAATTGCCTCTATTGGGAGATTGTTCAGTGTCATGAATCCCGACGAATGCATACTAGCTCCGCGGAGTGAGGAGTACAGAAGCATACATACAGTCAAAGTTGACAAGGGATCCACGATCCCATCCACTCCGTGTTCCCCTCTATCCACTCCATTCAGCCCCTCCAAACACCCGGTGTGCCCGCAAGAGCAGGTCAGACCCAGAGTTGCCTCTTAGAGTTTCTCTCGGCTCCACTCGGGAGTCGATAATCGCGCAGGAAGACCCCCAATGCACGAAATTTTATTTTGGGCGTGCTGATCTGCAGTTGTGCTCAATGATCCGCAGGTACGGGCACAACGTACGACGAGGGCTGTTCCCTGCCGGGGATTCAATAATGAGATGTCGTAGGTGCATGAATGCATTGTGATCGCGCAGCAAGTGCGGTGGTGGAGTGCGACATTCCACGTGGGAAGGGCTTGGCGATCGGAGAGACACGGTTTAGCGTCGGGTTCAGCTGGTCTGGAGCATCCTGTTTGTAATCTCCATTCTCGCAATGGGTGATGATGGAGCTGGCCGGGCGGGAGAAGGGGGAATTGGCCGAGTTCTCCCTCTGGGGTCCGTATAGTCCGTAGAATCCGGACAAGCAAGCCCGTTGTCGCAGGTCGCGCCACCGTTCACAGTAGCCGACCTTCCGCCGAGGTACGAGGAAACTCGGGAAATCAGGCAGCTCTGTAGTCGCCCGGCGACCGAGTCCGGAATAGGTACATGTATGAACCTGATTATTTGTGGGCCATTATGGGGGTTTGGTGTTTATTATTATTATGACAATGGCTGATGACTGTGATCTTTATGCATCCTACGAAATCATTTAGGTATCGACCTTCCCAATTGCGCCGTCATCAAAAACCACATGGGGCAAGTCGCCGTCTCGAATGCCGCCACAAGAGCCTTTGACAATTCGGGACTCCATCGTGAGATCACGAGGTCTACGTCGTCGGGATCATTGCGACTAACGGACGCGAGGGTACAATTATTAATATCGGCACGGCCGGGCCCATCGCGACCCCATCGCAAGACCCCCGAACCGTTAAGCTGTCGTGTGCCAATTGTTCGTGGTGTCTTTTTTTTCTTCAGCCCCGTTGCCTCGCGCACGAAGTGGAGATTGGGTCGACGAAACGAGATGGTCAACGGGCGAGCGTCTGACTGGACGACCTGGACTGGTCCTGAGCCGCGCTTCTGCAGGCTGGAGCAGATGGAAAGGGCCGGATCCATGGATGTGGCGTGCCACCCACGCACCCGAGCCCACGACTGATGGTCAGCATCGCGGGCCACGATGCTAGCCCCCCCAGAGTGGAGAGAGTCTCTAAATCCCTCATGCGTTGGGTTCGGGGAGCTTTTCCAGCCCAGGATGGTGCATCCCGAGTTGGAGATGTGGAGGGAAAACCGGGTGAAGCGATGTCGGGGGAAACAAGCGGCCAATGAGTGGCCGGACAAATTAATCGAGCGGACCGGCTTCCTGCGTTCGGACGGAAGAGCGCTGTTCCACCCTCGAAACAGAAAGGATTTGAATGAGCCCCTGTCGTCCTGCCATCGTCTCCTCCTCTAGTTCGGCAATGATGATCGGAGGATGATGACAATGGGACCGCAAGTCTCTCAAAGAGAGGGGGGGAGGGGGGAAGGCGACCAGGCGATCAGGTCGGGTCCAGTGAGTGGGAATCCGCTAGGCTCGATGGGTCGATGGTGTACGACCAATCTGAACCTCGGACTATTGAGGAGATGAAAGAGCAGAGGAACTATGGATTATGGATTATGGATCATGGATCATGAATCATGAATCATGACGGGATATCGTGCATTGCGGTCAGACGGCAACTTTGTTCAGGCCGTCGACGACTCCGTACACCTAATAAGTCAACAATCTTTCGCCGATACTTCCACGGTGACTGTTTATAGTTCACGCTTTCGCCCCTTCATGTATCATGTAGAGTCCGACCGCTCTGGATGCTGGACCGTTGGAGGGCGCGGACGTGGTTTTCCGTTTGCAATGAGCCAGGCTACACAGGCGGGTAAAGGAACAAAATAGTAAGTAGCCGACCACGCAATCACACGGACGCTGGAAGATAACTCCGGCCCGGAAAGTCAGTCAACCATGTCGACCCCCAAGAAGGCAATGCCGTAAGATTCGATGAAGTCAACATCAGAAGAGAAAGTGATGACGTTGAAGGTCGCCGACAGAATGGCTCAACGGCCCTTACTCCCTGCAGCCTCGTCGAAGGAAGAGGGGGAACCAATCCGCCCAATGCCACCAAATACGAGGGGTCGTCCGCTCGAGAATAAGCAACTTCCGGCTAGGATCCCTGTCGTCGCAGCGACTAACAAAGTGTAAATGGAGAGGATTCGACGGAACTTTCTTTCGGCCTCTCGAAATGCCCGACATACAGGAATGAAAATGGGGGTCCCCTCATTGGAAATGCACAAGATACCCGGCAGGAATCGATCAGGCATGGCCTTGTAGTGGACTATTGGATTCAACTGGACTCCGTTGCCTGGAAACAGTCGTGGGCGGACTATCCTTACTTCAAATGATCTATAAGCTCCGTCCACGATATACTACTCCGTCTCCCAAAAGGAAAGTTTCCCACACGCCAAAGGCCCGAAATAGCCCCCCCTCCCCGAGGGGTCTTCCCCGCTCTCTCTTTTCTCCCCGAAGAAGGAACATCGTTTTCTTTCCAGAAGCAAAGAATGGGGCACGGAAGCCCACTGGCCCAGCGATCGTCGTTCCGATCGTCCGTAACCGAAGGAGGGGGCCCGCAGGATTCGGAAACGCGTTTCGAACGGTCCCAATCAAAGGACCCAACCAACATTTCCAAACAGCGGATGGGGGAGATCACTGCTGGTGGAATGAGCCCTTCTCCGATCTCAAGATGCGAAGGTTGCTTTGTTTTGAGTTTTGGCTGCCAATTCGTAATGACCTCCGGCGGACTTGACGAGCAAATCCGAGGTACAGAAATCCGCCTTCCTCGGCGCGGACGAAAGCCACAGAATATTGAATATTATTTAACTAGATTTAGATTTTGACTATGCCTCCGGCTATTGATGGCTGGGAGGATGGGGACTATCGGAACCCCGTCTCATCTACGCTCCGGTGGTAAAACGAATGAACGCTTCTGAAATACTAGAAGAAGAAAATCCAAGAAGATCAACACGAAGAAGAAAATGCGGAATTCCGGCCGGACTCACGTTGAAACCATCGGTCAGTGTCAGCTTGGAGAGTGGACACCTCTAATAATTCATTTGCTCCGTAAAGGAAGATGACCAGAGGTTGGGATGATTAGCACTTTTCGTCATCATCTACTCCGTACTCTGTAAAGCGTACCTCATCAGCGTCATCCTTATCGCACAACAGAAGGAACACGGTCTGGAAAAAAAAATATATATAAAAAATAAAAAAAGGAAGTATGCTTGTCAGACCCGCTCCCCCCTGGTCGACAGGTCCAGCTGATAGATCAAAAACTACGATATTCAAGGCGGGAGAATTCCCAGGGATCACGCCCGCAGGGAGGCAGACCAGCAGGAATTCAATCGCGCTAGTCGTGTCCTCCAGTGTCATCCCCGTGCTGCATGTTCGGGGTCCGGAGAACATAGTTCGGGACCAGAACATAGGTTCCCCAGTGGGAGAACCACAGAGCCAATGGCCAATGGCAGGTAGTCCACTAATCAGAAAATACCATGAATACCATTAACAGAAAAAACAATGTCCCAAGTCCAACTCATTAATCCAGACCAATCAATCAGTAACTTCAGGAGTCGCATCATAAGAGCGGTGTCGGACCATGACAGGACCCCGGGAGGGTATCCCGGCACTAAACATTCTCCCCCCTGTTTGCAGCCACCTTCGGTGCTTCCCCACCGGCACCACGACGAGCGCGGTCCCGCGGCTCAGACAGGACTAGAGCCACCCAGCTTGCGGGAACACTCTCGTTGGGCCACTAGGCAATTCATCTGCAGTCGGGCCGACGAGCTGGGACTAAATGCAGTGGTTCACATGCCAAAATGACCGGGGGAAGGGGGAGCGGGCTTGGGTGGTGGTAGTGATCAAAAAGAAAAGGGGGGGGGGGGGGAGGGGGGAGAGACACAATCATGGCGTTGGGCAGAGGAAAGAAGAAAAAGAGAAAAAAAAAAAAAAAGCCCCAAGCAAGGTAACAAAAGGTAAAAAGCGAGCGAGAGCAAAGCTGGACAGTAAGGAGGGCCAGCATCCCGATCTATGAAGGAATGTGAGATGCATACAATTGATGTATATGCACCTTGTCGCGATGACAGAAGTACCTACCGAACTGAATCTAGGGTATCCCCAGTGGTAGGAGTGAACAGATGAGGTAGCACTACCGAATACTCCCCGTAATGCCTGACTACGACGGGAGGATGATCAAAAAAACAGTACCAAGTACGACGTCCTGTTGGTCAGGAGCTCTCAGACCGACCGCACTGGTCGCTGCAAACGCATTCGTCGATATCTAATCGCCGTGGTCCGCCCTGCCTTGACAGGTATACTCCGTACATTTCGATATACAGTGTCACATTGGATCGATAGACCTCTTGTGTTATACCACCCCCTTGACTCTTGAACTAAAACGCCGAACGGAACTACGTAGCTTCCCTCAATGCCAGATGGGCCTACACCTGCACGGCAGGAGACGGCGGAGGGCCAGTAATCAGAACCCTCCTCAGTGGGTAGCTGGGTGGAGATTGTTCTTTTCTTCCATCGGGCTTCCATTGGTGCTCAGAAGGGGAGGCTGTCGCGCGAGAGGAGCATTTTTAGTCATAAAAGTTATCTGGATCTGATCTGGAACTAATCATCTTTTTCTATTTTATTCGACCATCTTTGGGGCGGGTTCCAGAGAAACGGGAGCCCGATCCACTCGGCCTTCGACCGAAGGGCGGGCCAAACTGGACCTAATGTAACTTTGGGCCGTGGCAAAAGCCCCTTCCATTTCTCATCCCTACGACGACCGTGTTATATCATCTGCCATCACGCCCCTCTGCCCTCTCCCTCTCCCTTACACTGCTTTCCCCCCGATTCCCCGAGAACCTGGTCGGTGGATCCGGCGCATACCAACTCCATGTCAATCACACACAATGGACTGAACTGAGTCTGCTGTGCGAGCCGGTCGAGAGTCTAGACCATGGATTTCATTGTGAGTAACCTGGGCCCTGTGATCCGATCGCTCTCCCTCCCCGTTTATCCGGAGACCGCCAACCCCGAGCAACCTCTCGACTCTCTCTCCCCCCAAACACCTCCCTCGATCTCCCCAGAATTCCAAAAATTCCTGAAATCTTCAAGCGCTGACGATCATGCCCGTGGCGATTTTCCAGCTCTCCTTGACGCACTTCTGCGAAGTGCATGGCCCCACGTCCATCATCTGCTCCCAAGTTCTTCCTTTCTCATGCGCCCAATGTCACCCTGATACCGAGGCCTCCCCCGATACCACCTCCCACTCCCCGCGTGAGTCGCGATCACCTAGCACCTCCGCCCCCGAGGCGCCCGAATCCAAGTCTCCCAAGATCGAGGACCACCCGTATTTTCTACGTCCGTCACCGGGCTCCCCCGAAGATCGAGCCAACCGGGTCGGTGGTGCAGATGGCGACACGTGCGCCAGCTGCAGCTTGTCCCTCCCGAAAGATGTGAGCAAGCAACTGTCTCCGAGTGCGCCCGGCAGTCGCGATGGCAAAGGGAACAACGGAAGCCCCGTCTTACGATCACGCGCGCTCGTCTACTTGTGCGGCAATAATCACTCTGATGCGGACGACGATATCCCAGACCCCCACATGCACGCTTCTCCGCCCGACTCCCTGCATTCCTCCTCCGTCGCATCCGATTCATCATGTCATTCACATATCCTTACCTACCTCTCTCTCCGTGGTCCGCCTAATCCCGCCGATTACGCCCTCCTTCGCCGCTCCTCCATCCGCACCTTGAGCTGCGAGCTCCTCCCACGCGGTCTGTCATCCGGTCCTCTATGCTTTGGAGATTCCGTCGCAGGCTACACAATCGCCTATATCTTCCGACTGCCCGATCCCATGGCGCGCGGTAAACGCCGCAGTTATGCCTTGGTGGCGCTCGCCGGGAAGGACGCCGGAAGAGCATTCCGGGCGTGCCCCATCATCTGGCGCGCATTCGGTCGCATTGCATCCAGCATCGTAAGCGCTGCAGAGCGCTTCCAAGAAGAAGAGAAGCGACGTGAGGAACAAAACAACACCAATACTCAACCCGGAGGCCGTCAATACACTCCCGTCTCGTCGTTCCTCACGGGCCGGGCTATGGATCCGGCGGGCCAGCCACGCCGACTCGGCCAAATCCGCGCTCGCAACCTGGCCGAGATCGTGGGCAATGAATACATCTTTACCCAGATTCATGCGCACTTTGTTGCGCTCCTACGCCAACTCGGCTCGATGTTCGGTGGGGTGCCCGTTTCAGACGAGCGCTTCGTCTGCAGTACCGTGCGTGATGAGGATAGCGCTACGACGACCCAACCGGTTCTTGTGTCACCTGGCAGAGACCGGGACCGGAAACGCCACTCCGTCTCCCAATATGACGGCAATGATCTTGACATGGCGAAGCTCGACCTGACCTCGGGCCCAAAGCCGATTCCAATCACCACCACCCGCCGCTCTGTCGTGGCGTGAAACACACCTTGACTTTGATTTCTATCTACATTCGCCTCCCTTTAAGATACCCGCTGGCCTTGTTTTTTTTTTTTTTTTGTTCCAGCCAGGCACAGATGTGCCTTTTATCATTGATTTGCAAACATCCTGCTTTTTTCCATACCTCCTGACTATGGTCTGATTTGTTTCTTGCGTCATCGGCTTGAGCTCTATATGCTCGTTCTTTTGCTTTGCGTTATTACTTCGGGAATGGGTTGGGCATAGACAGGCGTCCTACAGACAGGATCGGAGTTGATTTTCTTGGGTCCTTTTTTTCGTTAACTGACTTCTTCCTTTTTGTCTCTCCTCTCTTGGGTGCCTGATTTCATCTTGATCTTTTTTTTTTTGCTGAAAGTGTGTCCATGACCATTTTTCGCTGTTATCTTCCCGTTGCGGATGGAAGTCCGCAATAGGTTGAGGTTGACATTGATGATGCAACGAGGCATTCAAGAGAACATAACATGTATTCTATGTATTATCTGAACACGAACACGAATGGGCCAGCCCTTGGCTGATTTTTTTTTTTAACTTGGATTTGATGATCACAGTAGATATCCTGAACTTTTTCCATGTAGATGATCTCACGTTAATGTGGTGAGGGTCAAAGGATGCATCTTAGGAAGTAAATATCGGTTAGGAGGTTATTTACGTCCTATGTACATTCTGAAACAAGTTTCATGCAATAAACAAATTTGTCGGAGGATGAGTGTTCATGTCCTGAGATTGATTTTTGCAAACCTACCTCGTAGTAAGATATGTGTTCTGCATAGTCATTCCATTCAATATATCCAGTGCCGGTTGAAATCAAGGGGCCAACCAACAACTATTGGTTGATTCAATAAGCTCTCCAAATAGAGCAAATATTGGTGCTGTTATCTATTAAGAAGAGAAGATAGATTCCCATCTCGCATAATTTGAACTGGAGAAGGCGACTATCTGATCGATCATCTCAGAATATCTTGATTCGTTAGTGCGGGCATACTTCGGCATCGTAGGTTATCCGGATAAACCGTCCCCGTTGAGTTTTTCCGAACTCATCCGGGCCACAATCAAAAATCCCACCAAAAAGCACCACCTCAAGGGGACAAAGACAAGACCCGCACTTCACCACACCCTTCCACGTCTCAACAAGATGGTCGCCTTCGACAAGTGTGAAACTCGACCGGCCCATATCGATGCCATCCTTAATGGCCTTGATCGGTACAACCCGGAGACCACCACCGTCTTCCAGGACTACGTGGCTCAGCAGTGCGAGGACCGGACATTCGACTGCTATGCCAACCTGGCGTTGCTGAAGCTGTGAGTCGGATACCTTTTCTATGTGATGCATGTGATTCCAGGCATGCGCGTACAGAGGAGGGAACCCATTTTGTCATATGGTTTGGGTTGATGTGATGAACGAATATTTTTCATAAACGTTTCCTATTACCTGACAACCTGTCGTATGGGGATGTTGAGAAATTTCAAACCTGAAAAACCTTCAATGCAACGGCATTGTCTGTTGGCAACCCACAAAGCTGTTTACGCCTTGTTCAGAGGGAAATCTATGAAGTGACATAGCTAACATGGCCGATTTTCTCACCCCACCACAGCTACCAGTTCAACCCTCATCTTCTCCAGGTTGACACTGTCACCAATATCTTGGCCAAGGCCTTGACCGTGTTTCCTTCTCCCGCCTTTTCGCTCTGCCTCGCCCTCCTCCCCGCTCACACCCAGCCCTTCCCCACCACCTCCGAGGCCCAGGCCGCCTCGCAGACCTCCGATTTCGTCGAATCCGTGCAGAAGCTCTCCACCCTGTCTACTCTCCTTGAGTCCGCCCAGTACACTCAGTTCTGGTCGACTCTCAACTCGGATGACCTGTACGCCGATCTGACTGCCGACGTTGCCGGTTTCGAGGAGTTGGTGCGCATCCGCATTGCCGTTGAGGTCGGCAAGGCTTTCCGCTCCATCACCGCCGAGTCCCTCGAGCAGTGGCTCGATCTCCGTAGCCGCGAGGCCCTGGAGAAGTTCGTTGCCGATGTCTGCAGCTGGAAGGTTGAGGGCAACGTTGTCCGCGTCCCCACCAACAAGGAGAACGAGGCCCGCAGCGAGGTCAAGAGCGAGCGCGTCGGCGTGGACATGTTCGGCCGCGTTATCCGCCGTGGCTTTGAGCAGCCCGCATGAACGACTGTTCAGTCGAGCATGCGTTGACATTATCATTTATTCTTCTCTTTCACGTCCGTACTTGTTTCTTACCAAATTTTTCATTTCTCCTTCCTTCCTATTTTTATTTCCTCGCATGCGTGCGAGGGATACACCGCAACCCCCCAAAAGAGACATGATTTCATGAATCATCCCCCGATCTGTGACGACGGTGATAGATTTCGCATGGAGGAGGCTCGGAGATGAGTCGAGTCGGGACCTGGCGCAATCCGGCGTTTCTTTTTCTCGCTTTATGCCACCCCTGTTTTGTATTGGAAGTCCTGTGTTTTGACTCTTCTGAAATGATGAGCGGATGATGACGGGTTGCGCGAGAGAGAGACGCCCATGTTCATATCCAGGTAATTTTTTACCTGTTACGCCGAGCCAGGGTCCAAGCTCTGGTTCGTTGCAATATACAAACCCAACACAGCTATTTCCAAACCCACTCCAGTATTCTAATCACTTCATTTTCTCTAACACGTAAGCTTGGCCCGTACATATACGTATTACATAGTTATCAACGACAGTGGACTATCGATCGAGGTAGAGAAGACATGCATGTAACGAGGTCTATTTTTTTGTGACTCGCACTCGGCCAATTGCCCTAATCTCTCTTCTAACCAAGTACCGTATGGGTATATTTATCCGTCGACAGGGGCCATATGTTAATCTATTTCAACTCCTCCCACTGCACACCCGCCCATTCCTCGCGCCAGCCAGTCTGCTCCATCTGCTCTGGCGCGCAATCCTTTCCACAAACGCCCATAATGATAGTCCCCCACTCCATTCCTGCGTCACCCTCCCCAAGCCCGACACCTTCGCGCCCTTCCTCGAGCATACTGATCGCATGCGGCACAAGCTGCACCTCAAACACCCGCTGGCTACCGCAGTACTCGCACGGCGGCATGCTCCCACCCCCGGTCGTCGTCACCCGGCCCGCTGCGTGCTCCGGGTGCAGACGCTTGCCCACCGGGTCCGCGTAGGAGTACAGCAGTGGCGCGCCACGGTACTCGTACCGCAGAACCTGTTCCGGGTTGTGCTCGAGGCGGGTCGAGAACTTCATGAAGGCCTTGTCGAGCTCCGACTCGAATGTATCCTTTAGATCGGTCGCAGCACCGCTACCTTCTTCCTCCATTGGCTCCATAGTCACATTCTCGGGGATCGTCGGCGTCGATGGCCGCGACATGGTCTCGTACTCGGCGTCCAGGTAGTACTGTTTATAAGGAGCCGGGAAAACGGATTGCGCAGGCCACGGCGCCTGCGCGCCTGCAGACTCGGGCGTTTGCTTCGTTACAGCCGCGGGGTTTGCGGCCGGCACGGGAGAGGAAATGCGGACCTTATCGGCGAATGTTTCAGCAAGCGCGTTCGTGGAGGCTGTGGAGGAGGAAGAGGGCTGTGCCACGGCGGGGGATGGCGTCGCCGGCTTGGGCATCGCGAATGGATTGGCCCCGGCCGAGGCGCCGCCCGGAGTGAGGGAGAATGGATTGGAGTTGGCAGACACGCTGCTTGTCAACGAGGCGGCACCGAACAAGCTGGCACCGAGGTCCTGCTTCGGCTTCGGCGGTGGGCTTGGCTCGGCCGCCTTCGCGGGCTGCTTTGGCTGCTTCTCCTTTTCGTGCGGCAGTGGATGACCTTCAACACTGACCTTACGAGATGCGCGGTACGCTCGGATACTGCCTGGTTTCCGGTTGCATGGTTTTCGGGGACATCCAAAGAGATACAGGCGGCGCTCGTTGTTCGGGTAGTCGTCGGGCAGGTCGCCATGCAGTTCGAGAAGCAGTAGCATTGGGCTGTTACAGACTTTGCAGTTGGCATAGTCACCTGGTGGAGGGGAATTTGTATCGAGCCATGACTGCACCATGAGGTAAGTGTCGTTAGCATGTATATCGAACCCCCGCAGGTGATTAGACCATCACATACCGGCCAGCCGCCCAGATGGCTAATGGTGTCTTCAATGACCTCCTCCGCAGCGTACCCGAGGAGTACGTTTGTCTCGGTGAAATCCTCTTCGACACTGGAGTCACTGTCGTAGGGATCCATCGTGAATAAAGTCGTGTGCTTGACGGCGAGGGAATGCAGAAAAATGTAGTGTCCTGCAGAAAAGCCCCTCCGCCCAAAAAAAATGTTGCGATAAGCGATACGGCGGCCCCACACCGCCGTAATATTACCGTCGTCATGGATCCCTTGCGACATCACCTCCGCTCACCTTGCCCGCCGCTTGCTGTCAACTCGTAAGGGGCTTGCAACGATGGCATTTGCTTCACAGATGTCAAGAAGTCTGTGGCTTCTGTGTACTATTCTGTCATACTTCGTCTCACTCAGTAATGCAACTCAGCAGCGGCAGCAACAACCATTGCAGTCTGCTATAGATGCCGCGCCCAAGCGGGTGGCTGTCATCGGTACGCAACTGACGGGTTTCTTATGGATGCAAGATATTCAGAGCATTACATATGGCCAGAGCTAATCCGGGGTATAGGAGCTGGCGCTGGGGGCTCTTTTGCTGCATATGAGCTGCGTAAGCTTGCCGATCAAGCTGGGGTCCCAATTAACATCACCGTCTTCGAGCGCGCCTCATATATTGGCGGACGCTCGACAACAGTGGACGTTTTCGACAATCCCGCATACCCAATCGAGTTGGGAGCTTCCATATTTGTCCAAATCAACCACAATCTAGTAAACGCTTCACGCGACCTGGGGCTTACAGTACGCAATGCAGATCATGCACGTCCCAGAGAGACCGATGATTCCATCGGTATCTGGGATGGCGAGCAATTTGTGTTCACCCTCAAGAATACGTATAGCTGGTGGAACATCGGCCGCTTATTCTGGCGCTATGGGCTGGCCCCGTTGCGTACCCAGAATGCGATGAAGGCCGTAGTTGGTAGGTTCCTTCGTCTATACGAGGAGCCGCTTTTCCCGTTCAAGTCGTTATCTGAGGCCGCCGAGGCCGTTGAATTACTCAATGCTACTCGTTCTACGGGAGAGGAGTTCCTCAAATGGAACCAGATAGACCCGCGATTTTCGCGAGAGATCATCCAGGCAAGCACACGGGTGAACTATGGTCAAAACCTACCGCTGATTCATGGACTGGAGTCGATGGTCTGCATGGCCACCGATGGAGCTGTTTCAATTGATGGTGGTAACTGGCAGATTTTTGACGGTGCTCTCAAAGCTTCGCAGGCCGATATCAAGTTGAACACGACCGTTACCGAGATCGTGCGGACAGATGATGCTGTTTTACACATAATTTCACATCCCAGCGATGAACTCGAATTTTCACAGCCCATTGAAAAAAATGAGTTTGATGAAGTGGTGATTGCTGGCCCCTTGCAATACTCGGGAATGTCTATCTCGCCGCCTCTAGACCGCATCCCAGACGAGATTCCATTCGTGAAATTACATGTCACACTCCTGTCTTCTCCGCACCGACTATCGCCGAGGTTCTTCGGGCTCGAGGGCCGGAATGTCCGTGCTCCAGAAACCGTGTTAACTACTCTTCCAGAAGGGTTCGATATTGGGCAGAATCCCCACGGGGTTGGACCCGCTGAATTTTGGAGTATTAGCACTCTTCGGACTGTTAAGCACACCGTTGAGAGAGACGGCGAACAACATGAGGAGGAGCACTATGTGTACAAGATCTTTTCTCCCGAGCGACCGACAGCTAAGTTCGTGGCGGAAATGTTGGGTATTGAGTACTCCGACGGCGCCGGATCCGTAGTCGTGCCACAGGGAAACACGAGCATTGAAGACCTCCCCAAGAGTGAGATCAGCTGGTTCCACGAAAAATTATGGCACCCTTATCCTCTCTTGTACCCTCGGGTGACATTTGAGGAGACCCACCTGGCTCCAGGCGTCTGGTACACCAGTGGGATCGAGAGTTTCATCTCGACGATGGAGACCAGTGCGTTGATGGGCCGGAATGTGGCCGCGCTGATGGTGCAGTCGTGGCAGAAACAAAAGGAGCAAATGAGCAACGATGGTCTTTCAACGGCCTCAAGCTCGAAGCTGGAGCTCTGAACTCTCGGCTGTGGATATCTTCTATAGACATGATCGATCACACACGAAATAGCATGCTCGGCCGGATGCGCATTCCTCCCTATGACCTGAAATTCTGATAAAAAAAAACCCTCAAATTATGTCTGTACACATGAATCACAAATGGCATCTGATCATCCTAGACCCTGCATCGACCTAGGTTTATTCAATTATACACTATAACCCCTCAATCCGCTCGACCATAAAAGACAAATGCAAGCTACGTATCTGTTCTATCAACATTCCGTATCTAGTGCATATATTAATCCCCATGGATGGGGGAGTGTCTGCTATTTATGCAATTAAAGATCTCAGGCGCTCGATTTTGATGGTTTTTAGGGGAGTTTGGTCGATTACTCGTCAAGTCAGGACGTTCACATAAACGGACGGAATTTTTTGCATTGCTAAGGGTTGACCAGGGAAACGCTGATTGGTTTGTTGAGAAGGAAGACGTCAAGCATAGTCTCTAGCCTGGAAAGGGGGTCAGTCATGTGACCTCACAGTTAGCTTTGTATGGCGAGTTGGATTGTTGGGGAACAAGAATGAATGGAGGTATGGCAATCGATATTCGTGAACCGCATATAGAGCTAGCAAGAATCACGGGCGAACCCATCCGACACCCAGTGTTCCGTGATGGCAAAGAGGCATCGTGCATGTATGGGCTTTCTAAGGTGGAATATCGGGTAGAAAAACAAGCTTACTCAGACTCGAGTTGATATTTTGAAAGCGAGAACGGGGGAAAGGGGCACCCAATAGGGCCCTGTTGCCCCGGATCTTCATGGTTTCCCCTTAACACACTGGGCCCAGACAAGGGATATTCCTCTTTCTATAAAGCTCTGGTGGGGAGGTTCCCCTGCTGAGAACCACCTCCACACTTTTGACCAACAGCTCGTGTGACCTCCGCTAGTTTCCCGTTCCTAGACCTGAGGCTCTTTGTCGATAACCGCCCTGCCCGTCTTGTGCTGACGTCTATTACAATCTACACAGTACAGCAGATCTTGAATCCTTCCCTGACAGCGCTTCAAGTTGGTACGAGGCTGTGCGCGTATGACTTTAGGGGCTGTGGGGCTGCCAGTCGAACCATTGCCGCAGCTGCCATCGTGTGAGCTATAAAAAGGACGGGGAACGAGCTATTGCCATCGGGCAGAGGGGGCGATGGGGCCAAATAGACGCCAGACCAACAATCACCACTGGAGGGGCCACTGGAGGGCGTTCTTGGCGTGTTCGTTCCTGAAATGCCCCCTGTTTCATATTGTTGGCCGTTTTCCTATTTCCGATTCCATCTTAGATAGAATTGAAAAGGCAGTGTTCATAGATTGTTATAAGAATGCGAACTACCCGGTCGCCCGACCATATGTGGTCGGGATATGGACCTGGCCTGTTCCTGTATGACTGTTCCTCCGGGCCAGGCAAAATGAAGTTCCTCTCCCAATCAAATTTGAAGAACTTCAGTAGGACCATCTATCAACCTTCGCCCAACATCAAGAAGCCCATCACAAAACTGATTACAAGGCTACACAAATCACGGCGAACTGCGACCCCAGAGCCTCGATTTGGGGTTGCTTATTTTGTGATCGAAAACGAACACGAACCCCACACGTACTGCGTCGAGGGCCCGGGCCTCGTGTACCATGTGGTCTCCGGTCGGTTAAAGGAAGTGTCGGTGTCTTTATTCCACGGCCCAGACGCCCAGTGGCCTCATATCGGGGGATGTGCTCCGGGGCCATATTCCTCAACCATTACCATCAGGTTTTCCAAACACGAGCAGGCGGACCATCAAACAAAAACCATCTTCACCTACCCCGAAACCAATGTGGAAATGGACAAATGGGACCACGCCTTCACAATGCCTATCGATGACAGCACGCGAAGTTTTGTTTGGAAAAAATCCCACTCAGGTTGGAATAGAGAGCTCGAGCTGTGGGATAACACAAGCCTGGCAGGGGAGTTGGTGGCCTATTTTGAAGGCGGCCAGCCAAAATGCACTGAATCCTTGCATGCAAATCCATCCGGTGGCATCCAGGAGAGCTGCACGGAAGGCAAGTGTGAAAATAAACTCTACATCTTAAACAAGTATAAATATCATACAGCACTCCGACTTGTCGCGCTTATGACCTATTTTGCTGCGCAAAATTTGCTTTGTATTGTTAAGCGACAACAAGAGGAATATGAACGTGGGATCAAAGCTGGCAATGGCCTCATGAGCACAATCAACGAACACGATGTGTTCGGATAATGATAATAGGTGGGACGGCGATGGGTTTGGCTTTTCTGTGTGTTTCCTCTGTTTGTATACTCGTCTGTGACCTGATAGTTCGTTTGATACCCCAAATCGAGTCTTCCTTTGTTCATATTGCCAGATGTTCCAAGCGGTTCAAATATTTTTACTGCTAATATCTTTTAATTCACTTGATTTGATGAGCTGATATCGTAATTAGGACTAACTATAGCACCGAAACGCCCGCAATAGGGCTGATCAATAGGAGTAACAAAGAGCTTTCCTGTCTTTGGTTGGTAAGCTTAGAGCTATTCTCCAACATTTTTCATACGGATGCCGGCGAATCGCTCGAGGAGCTACAGAGTCACCAATTGCATGATCATCATAAGCGCCATTGGAGGAGATCCCTGTTTGTAAGAGGTATAAGAAACAAAATATACGACAGGCCAACATTGTACCCAAATTCTCGCTTTGCGGCCCGCTTATATGAACCTTTCCTGTTCTATTATTATACTATGAGTGAAGTCCAGAAGGTGAAAGTAGACGGATAGACAAGAGATATAGCCTAGCTTGTCGATTTAAAAGGGGGGGGGGGTGGTGGTATCATATCTGACGGATATGTGGATCTTTCGCTGGAGTCTCTGGTTATAAAGCAGAAAATCAGCTATAGTCAATTTGTAACATTCTTTTCAAAGTGGTGACCAAGTGGTGACCCCAGAGTAGAGTTTGAGCGGTATTTTGACTGCTTCCTCTTGGTCAAACTCCGCTATCGCTGATTTAGCGAAGAACTTGAGGAGGAGCCTAATATTCACTGACAACGACACAGGCCCCCAAAATGCCAGGAACAGTAGCTTGGCTGAAACTCTCACAACTTTCGTAAGGTTAGTCAAGTTATGAGCATGATCTTGAAATAGGCGGACGCAAAGTAGTGTCTTCATTTGGAGCCAAAGGTTTTGTTTATTCTGGACGCCAGTGAACTAGGAATGTCTCTTGTGTGGTGAACTATTTTTGCTGTTCTATCTAGGGCTTTTCTTCCAGATTCAACCAGTGCAAGCTGTTACCAAAGATCTTCACACGCTTCCAAAGAAACTGATTCTATAATGATCAGATTACCTGTTGTGCTCTTTCTTTATGCTGTAAGCCTACCGACGACTTGCAAATTTAGAATGTTACCATCAGTCTTTGCATTGGATGATGCAAGTCAAAAGCCAAATATGTTACATTAGGACCGATCAAATTCTTTCCGACTATTTAATATCGAGGCGAGCGGGCAGAGGGAAATAGACGCCACGCCAACATTGAATCAGTGGTGGTGCTGTGGGGTCGGTTATAAAGATTCGTCAGTTTCACAATGTGCGTTGAAACATTTCTTATACACGGGTGGCACGTACTGTTTCATCATGAATAAATATAGAACCTCTCACTTAGTATAAAAAAGCAGGTGATACCGAAAAACTTGAGCCCGGAACACCCTATCATTATCCAACCTCAGAATATTTACCCTGCGAGTCTTCACTTGACCTCGAAAAATGTTTAAAAACTCCCGTGGTCATCATAAATGGGGGAAATCGAAGACATATGCACCCGTTCCGAACCAATCAAACCAAGCCAATTATGGGATCGCACAAAATGTCTCCAGTGGACTCCAAAATATGAATATTGGAAATTTTTATGAGAAATACACGATCAAGAGGATCCCAAATTCCAGCAACAGGATTCAGAATTCCAGCAAGTACCGATACGGGAACTATTTGTTCTTTCGTCATATCACCGTGGCGAATAATTCTAAGCCTGAAAACATTCACAGCTCAGTTCAATGGATTACACGCGGTTTTTGGGGGTGGGAATATAATACAATCTTACAAAACTACCCGAATATTATATCAATTCTGATGGCAAAAGGTATCCCAGCAGCCTATGTTTGTGAAAAGCCACAGCCAGAAAATTATCTGGATGAATTCGGCCAGATGGTGAAACCCTCCCTTCAAAAAACAAAAAGAAACAGCGATAAGCCTTACACACTATATGTAACAAAGAATACAAAACTTCTGGCGTGGATTTTGAACAAATTTATTATTCTCCGCCCTGCTATCAAAGTTACTGAGGAGACAATATATTATATTACCGTGAAAGGTGCCATTCACGCTCTTGACAGGTTCCGGAAAAGACAGGAGGGTGGATTGCCAGTGCCTGTCCAGAACCAACATATCCAAGGTCAAGGACAATCTAAAACGTGGCCCTCGATGTTTACGTCCCGGCGGTAACTCAATGAACGATAATAACATGAGCAGGAAGTTGATTTAACTTTTGTTTTTCGCTTAGAACACTTTGATCTATAACATATGAACCCATAATCAACTTGATTTCTTCTCTTTGTTTCTACCATCTATGTTTTCATAATAAGTAGATGAAATATAATTGAGTTCCCAAATTGTTGTCCAAAGCTTCTCTGAAACACGCCACAAATTAAGTGATCGAAGTAGAATATCCGTTTCATTCCACGGGCAGGTAGAATGAATAAAGTTAGATTGACTAGTCCAGAGAAATAAAAAGCATCGACTATTCCAAAAGTTCTTGCTTTGAAGCATGGAATTTGGAAAGGGAGGAGAAAGAAATTCAATAATTAATCGATATATCATCTCCTCAAGAGGTCTTCGATGAATGTTAGCGGCAAAAGAGACAGTAATGTGAGTGAAAAAAAAAAAAAAAACATTCAAATGCAAAGACAGTGAATCTGATCGATTATAGAACACGGATGTTCATTTTGAGTATACCAGCGTACCGCCTGCGAGCTTCATTATTCCCTGTATCTAGGTTTATGAACATTGTTTATTGAGACTTCTGCCATTGAGATCTCTCAGCTCTTACAGCAAATGAAAGGTATTTGGGCAACTATTGATATCTAATCAGACCTACTTCGGTTGGAAATAACAAATTTTTACCAGAACTGTATTATCAGCACTGGTTCTCGTCCAAAGAAGATTAATAGACAATGTAGAGGGTGGAATTGTAGATACATTTTCCGCTTGGAGCTAAATTCTTAAACGATCAATTAAGAAGCTCAGATATCGTACGGATCTATACATATATTCCATTGTGAATATCTTCTCATAGACTTTTTATCAGTCTCCTGATAGATTCACTGTGCTATGCGTCGGGGTACAAGATGACTATCCCTCAAGAGACAGCAAAACAAAAATAGTCGACAGCCAGCTCCAGAACAGCGCCTTTCGATTGATTCTATAATAATACATCTCATGTAGACAAGGTCATCAGAATTCTCCTTACAGATACGCTAATGTTGGCAGGGGCCTGTTTCAGTACGCCCAACGTGATATGAGAGTGACATATTTGGCCTGGCCATGACGGGGGACAAGGGAGTCACAGCCATACCGCGGGTTGCTGTGTGGTAGTTCTCTTGGATTTCCTTGCACAACTGAACGGCACGAATACTTCATAAGAAAGTGAGAGAAAAAGGCCCCCACAACTCCCAAAGGTCGGTGGACCAACGCTAGACCGGGAAATAATTTGAGAGAATCCTCCGACACGTTGATGATCTCCATATTAATACCAGACCACTAACTTCGGGTTGAAGAATGTGCAGAGCTCCCGCACTTTGACGAAACCATCGAGACTCACAGGCTGATAGTTCTCTATTTCCGGGGCGTGCGCGAGAGAAACTGGTAGGATTTTGGGAGTAGCTGTTGGTATTATTATTAAAGCCAAGAGACGGTCCATCACTGGTCCGACTGGTTTCCCCGGGCTAATTTCGAGACACGGCGATGTGGCTCTAGGGAGAGGTGGTGGTTGGTTGTTGGGTTCATCACACCACTAGCTTCTTAAAATAGCCAAGCCTCCTAGGGGTGATGTTTGAGCTTACCGAGGAGTAGACAACAATGGCTATTTTCTGGCAGAACAAGTATCATTTCGCCATGCAAAAAACGGTGACGAGATCGTCATTGATTTGGCCAACTTGGGTATTTGGCCAGACAAATACTATGACAACAACAAGCTGGATAAAGGCTCACATATTCATGTACTGTCAATCTCCACAAGGCTCAATGCTTAGCGCTCTCGATTCGATGCTGACTCCTGGCGGGAGAGCCAACCTTCACGACGAAATTCTGGGGCCGGTGGTCTTACCGCCCCCACCCCCGATATTACAACAGCTCCATAGATGCAATTTTTAGCCCGAGACGAGTTATTGATCGAGTAGATTGTTGAAGATCTTTTGTTCCCAGGCCGAGACTCCCGTATCTGCGGAGTGGTATAGACTAGGTTCTGGATCCACAGGGCGCATTACTCTAGCGGCATCTGTATAGCCCTACTTGGTTCTTCGAACATGATTCAAACAAGACTCGCGTGTTCCGCGTATCGCTTTTGAAGCCAGTGTGGTATATTATGAATTAAGAGGGGATCAAGAAATGAAGAAAAAGAAAAGAGGTCATGAAAAAAAAAGTTTATACCACCTGGTTGTACACCAAGCCCACCCCCATGTAGAACGTTTACACCCAAAACAAGGGGTATATACAGAAAGGAAACGAAAAAAAAAACATGCGAAAGCAGGCTCTACAAACGGCGATTAACCGCTGTAGGCAAGAACGACGGCCAGACGGACCGGGCCGGCGCTCAGGTTGCCGCCGATACCACCCTCGTCGGCCAAGTCGCTCGTATAGGCATTGTGCACAGTGGCGGCATCGCTGGTGATGTAGGAGCAGGTGCTGCCGAGGGCGTCACAGATCTTCATACCCTGGACGGTGAGGTCGGCGTTCTGGGCCTGGATGGCGGAGACATCGAAGCCAGACCAGCCGCTGTTGGTGGTGGAGCCGAAGTCGAACTCACCCCAGGTGGAGGCGTAGCTACCGTAGTCGTTGGTGGGAATGGAGCCGTGAGCGGCAGCCCAGCCACCCTGGGAGTCGGTGTCGAAAGCCCAGTACTGGGTCTCACCGGCGGCGAGGGTGAATGAATGGCAGGCATTGCCGTACCAGCCGTCCATGGCGCCATCCTCGCCGATCTTGTTCCAGATCACGACCTTCCAGTCGTTGGTGTTGTCGCCGGTGAACTGGACCACGTACTTGTAGTTGCTGGCCTCCGAGGCGGACACCTGCTGGATATTGCTGCCATAGGGGCTGCCGACATTGCCGACGTAGGTGTCGCCCGAGCCCGAGGACTCAGTGATAGAACCGAAGCCGGACCGCGAGTACGTGCCAGAGGACGAGGTGGCGGTCCAGTCGGCGTTCGCCGCAGCAGAAGTCGAGGTCGCCGTGGAAGTGGTGGGCGAAGGCGTGCTGGAGGTAGATGCCTCCGGAGTCGGGGTTGAAGAAGTCGAAGAAGTCGAGGAAGTCGAGGAAGAAGTGGGTTCCTCCGTGGAAGTTGAGATGACCGCCGGAGTCGAAGTAGTGGGCGCGATCGACGGGGTAGCCACCGAGATCGTCGCGGTGATAGTCGAAGTAGATGAAGCGCATGGGCAGACCACGACGGTGTTTGTGACGGTCACTGTCGCCGCATCCTGGCGTCGAACATGCTCCTCATGGTGAGCGTGGTGGCCGTGGCGGGCGAGCGAGCCACTGGCGAGGGCTGCCAGCAGCATCATGGACTTGGTGAACTGCATTTTTGCGTATAAAATGGTGACTCGGACACGGCCGGAGCCAGAGAAATCAACGAAAACGGGCCGCGCAGGCGAAAGCGAAAACCACGATAAAAGAGTGACTGGATGTATAGAAAGGAACGGCTGTAGCAAATCTGCCCACAAAGACGAGTATCGAGTGACCGGGAAGATGAACAAGGGGGGGGCCAGCCCTCATGTATTAATTACTCTCACATATTGGGGGAGGGGGGGGGTGGTGGTGGGTGGGTGGGCACTGGAAGTCTTTGCAGGGCGCCATACGTATACCTGGCGCTAACGGATGGGCCAGCAGCGTTCAAAGTCTTCAATTTGGACTTCAATTTGGGCGAGCGAGCGAATGCCGACGAGGTTGACGTGTGCGCTGGGTCGCAGTGGAGCCTCCGCCCCGGCAGCCGGCGGCCCCATTGGCTGCTCGGGGGGCCAAGCTTGCCTGTTCCTGGGCGTCGCGGCCCACCCGTTTGTCGACCTAATCTCAGCCCAGCGGCGAAGCATAGCCTAGACCCCCCGGACGCGACGAGTCGATCGTCGAGGATCCGGGCCTCTGCCGGGGCTTCCTTCATCTTCATGTTGACTCGACTCCCTATACTGTCCCGTCCGTCTTCAGCAAGCCCGGGTCGAGTCCATCCGCCCTCGACCGTGTGCCCAGAGAGCGTAAGCGCCTAAACCCTGCAAACGTGATACATGGCGCTACGGGGGGCGTGGCTTCCACCTGCAAAGGTCCACCAATGGCTGACGGGCTGGATCCGGAGCGGCACGCATCTAGGCCAATTTACCGAGACTTTTCCAAACGAATCTGACTCGCCCCCCCAGATCTGGTTGGACTCAGTCATCTCGCTCTCACTCTCACGATGGCGAGAGATAGAGCCTCAGGCACCGGTGGATGCGATCCACTACGCAGCCACCGTTCCCTCGACCCCCTCTTCCCTTGGGACGCTGGGACTGGAGTGGGCTCGGAACCAGGAAGTATACGGAGTGCTCGGTGCAAAAAGAGCCAACATCCTTCCCTTCACACATCGTCTCTCCCTCTCTCCCAAGGCCGAATGATCCGGGCTCTTGGAAAACCGACGCCGGCACGTGAGGGCATGAAGCAGGAAACCGAAACACCCGAAGACCTCAAGCTCCGTCAGGAAAAAGCTCCATAAAAGGATATCGCCAGGAGAGGCCACGCCATTCTCGGCGCAGTGGTCTTGGCGCAACGAACTCTTAGGGGATGGATGCCTTGGCTGCCAAAGGTAATGTACCACAGGAGCAAGGACAGAGTAGTGCAAGGCGGTTCAGGAGGTCCAGCGTCCCTGCCCCATCTCGAAAGCCTCGTGCGCCAATCGACTTTGTCCAGGCACAACCTGCTACTTTGGTCCTACTCCTACCCAAACCATACACCATACTATGTATGCGTAGAGTAAGAAAAATACATAAGACATGCATTCGGCCCGAGCATCCTGATATTCCATACACGATTCCCTATGCGCTCTATCAGCAATGCGAAAGGATGGATTGTAGATTGTAAGACCAATCAAATTATTTTCAACACGTTTCATACTTTTTGAAGAATCTGAATCCTCATATAACAGAGAGTGAATTAACTCTGAGTTAGATAGATCTTCTTTGTCAGAAACGTCTGCCTAATTGGGTTTTCCTCCACGAGGCAAACCGAAAGATCCCCACGGCGACGCGAACCAAGCTTACTGGCCAGATACAGCATGACCAGAGCACCCTCCCCCCCCCTCAATAAGCCCGCATCGGAATCCGAATGGCATGACTAGAAAATCCCAATCTACCAACTTTTACTGGCCAGCTAAGGAATTCCGCAGGAATGGCGGGGCATACTCCCCATATGTACATCGACCGTTCGCTCAGGGGAACAGCCGAGAGAGACCCGAAGAGGGTACCGAAGTGGAGGGGAAACATGGAGCAGAGCCAATTCCACGAGCCAATGACAATAGAAGCATCCCAATAGTGTCTGGTGCATTATATTAAAAATCACGTCACTTTGCGCACCAAATATGAAGTGGCCCCCAAGCACGACTGCGAGTCGAGAGCCATCTTTCCTGATTTTGCTGATGGACAGAAGTTATTGTCCAATTCTGGTTTTCACAATCGCGTCTGTTTCCTGTCTGTGTACGGAGCATATTCGCCTCAGTAGATTGGTCGAGAACTTCCGCTATATGAAGTAATCGAGTTAGACCTGTTCGGGTGATGGCTCGTCTGTGTGGGCAGCGGCGCTGGTCCCGCCCCCTTGACACATGGGGTTAACCTCGACAGAACGCTGTTCATCTCATGCTGGTATAAGAGCGTTGGCCAGATATGAGGAAAACTTCGGGCTTCAGCCAAGTTCACCATGGCCGGCGCTCACCAAACCCCCAAGCCATTGAAGCCCAAGCGAGGTGGTTCATATCCGCCGTCGACGAAGGCCCACCCAGCGGAATCATGCTTGGATCAACCCCCTGGCTATTGTCATTCCTACCGGTGTTGAAAACGGGATTTGGGTTACTGAAGCCCATTGGAAGAGACTGGAGGAGGTCATTGATGTCCGGGTGGATCAGATCGCTAGGTTGTTGCCCAGCGTCGGCGTATTGCTCCTTCTGGGCCATTTCTTCCGCGCGTTCTCTGAGGCTTAATACAATTCTCGGCGGGGCAAATATCTCTCCTGAATCTTTACAGGATGCCTCGAAAGCCTCCCAGGCTTGAAGAATGATCTTGGTAAAAGTTTTGAAGATCGAATTGCCGACAAAGTTGGCCGCGGTAAAGCGAGCCTCGTAGTTGTCACTCATCACCTCCCATGCCTGTTTGGCTTGAGCATTTACAGACTGCTTTATCAGTTCTTGGACAATATGGATGTAGGCCGGTAGAGGGAAATGAAAATGGCGGGACCACAGGAAGCCTTTGGTGAGGGGCGAAGTCATGAGTTTTGTGTCGCTTTCAAGGATTCGGAATGCGTATAGCATCGGTGTGTCCTGCGACGTCCCAACCTGGGGCTCGGCGCATTGTCTTGAGTAATATTCCAGAAGGCAGCATTTTGAAAGAGATGATCTCGTCATCCACACTGTCATGAAATGTAAGGGATTTTCCAGGTCGCATAGATCAAAATACTTTTCCTCAACCGTCTTCTCCAAAAAGATCAAATCACCCCCTTCTGGAAGCTCTTTTGCAATAGACTTCAAAGCCGGGTTAGTGAAGTCGAGATGGAAAGAGCTATGGCGGACAAAGTCCCCCATCTCATTGCGTAGAACTGTAAAAAGAGACTCTGTGATTCTCCCCTGCACAGCCGGCGGTTCCTTCATTTCCGCTCGAAGGTCAGAATCGTTCACATTCAAAGGCAGCGCACAATCCCATGTTGGCGCAAGTGTTGTTGTTTTGTAGTCAGATAATTCACTTATCCGAGCATCAAAGAGGACCAGAGACCACCAGAGCCTCCGACGCATCTCGGACTCTAGAACTGGATACTTGCGATTGGTAGACTCATAGTGGATTCCCATTCTTTGCGCTATGCGAATGGCGATACCGAGCATTGACGAAAGAGAGCGAGGGTCTGTAATGGGATGAACCGAGATCTAGATAACGGTTAACACAACCCCGAATACTTCTTCAGATAGACCTCACCAGATAGAGATATAGTGCAGTCAAACAGTCAGGATCGGAGGACCTTAAGAATCTACAGTTCAAAAGAGCCTGTTGACAGCCAAATTGATATTTCCGTAGAAGCTCAACTTTGGGCAAACCAAAAACTGCCTCAGTGCCATCGGTCATACTTAGAATGGCCATGCAATATATGCCGAACATAAGTGCCTCTAGATTGGGGCTGATTTGTGTCGTGTTACTGGCAGCTTCGATGATACGACCCTGGAGCGTCGGGGTATGCGTCACTTTCAACAATGGGTTGACATTATCGAGATAAATCTGCCAAAGCCTGAAGATATGAACGGGTTCCGGATGGAAAGTAGAGAGATCCACGGCTGCCGCTCGGGATCCAAAGAGAACATGATCGTCATTCTCAAATAGATTGTCCCATGTTTTTCCTGCCATTACTTCACGCACACCATCGTTTAGGTCGCCATCGTTGTTGACTCCGCGGAACTGGATTTTAAAGACTAATTAGTAGAGGGCGCATTGCCTATGAGGTGATATCCATACCCCTTGGCTCATAGCATGCCAGATATTCCTAGGAAGAAATGATTAGTTTTGGCTTATCAGAAAAGTGGGAAGGCGAAGGCCACCTACTTGGCTTCATAGATATTTTTCGAATTGGACGGGGTTAGTGGGGAAGGCGTATCTGTTTCTCGGGCTTCGGGGAGCTCTTCGCCCGAATCATAGAATCCTTCGGGTGAACCTTTGCCATCAGACACCGGTCCTAGGTTCCTATGTAGTGGCTCAAATTTGACTTTGTTCTGGCGCAACAGGTCCTCATAGTTCCTAAGACGATCTAGGAGTTGTCGCTCTGGGAATCGGCGTCTTCGTGGACGTGTCTGCGTGGATGGCACACAATGTACTTGGTGTTTGACACAGTTTGCACAAGGAAGCTTGCGATCACATCTCACCTTGCGCTGTTGACAAAGTACGCAGGCTAGGGTTCTCTGGGGCTTTTTGGATGAAGTAGGCGGGGCCTGAGGTGGATCCGCACTGCTGTGAGGCACAGTCGACATCGCTCTGGAAGAGTCGCGTGACTCGATCGGGTACAAGTCGGACAGTCTGAAATCCGGGCGGTCCTTGAGGAAGTAATTCGAAAGATGTATTGAGGTCACAGTCAAGTATTCGGGATGAACGACGTCTTTCGGTGGTTACTAATTCCCGAGCGATCCCGAGCGCCGACATCATATAACTAGTGTAGTGGGGAAGCAGGCGACAATAGGCTGGACCTGATTGGATGACATTTGCACAGCGTACTGTCGTAACCAATGTAGCCTCACATCTCAGATAGACAGAAATATAACTTCTACATACTCTTTCTCTCCGATAGCATCTGTTTTCTATTTGAGAGGCCGTCCTCCAACGTGGTGTGTGGCAGTTTGGTTGTTGATTCGCTGATCTCTCTGGTCCAGTCATGTCTACTTGCCCGACTTGCCGCCGAGCGTTCTAGTTCACTAGTAAAGTTTCGGGCGTAACTAAACCCCGACTACTGATCATTTATCTGCTCTGACCGAGAGATCTGCCATTTCGAGACAACCTGTTTGAATTGGTTCTTGCTATCATACGAAAAATATTTTCCTGTACCAAAAGGCCTCAAAGGTCCTTGCCCGAATCTCCCAATAGCGCCTGGGCGTTCTTGAAATATATTTTGTCTCTCAACTCTGGGTCCATGGAATATTTTTCCAATTGTTGTTTAAACCCAAGGGTCTTGTCAACAAAAGCGTACGGAAAGTCAGATCCTTTTGATAATTAGCAGTCTGAATAGGCTAGCTTGAATATGTCCCATCTTACCGTATAGCAAGTGATCATGAGGTATTGTTTCCAACACTAGTCCCAGCACTGCAGAGGAACTAGAGAGCGCCAAATCGAAGTAAAATGACCGGAAATCCTCCATGGCTTCTTCGGGGCTTTTCCCAGCAATGGTAGCTGTGGAATTTTCCGGGTAGGTACACAGCCGCGAAATCAAGAACGGGAGGGTACCACCCGCATGGGAAAGAATGACCTTGCAATCGGGGTAGCTTCTTTTGGTGTTGGTGATGATGAGATCCACTGCTGTACGCGTTGTCTCATGGGGGTAGTCAATGGCTGGCTGGGGCAACAACGGGTTCACTTTTGTGGTATCCACTGGATGGGTGGGATGGATAAAAACCACTGCCTTCCTGGCATTCAGCTCGGCCCAGATGGGCTTGAAGGCTGGGTCACCCAGATACTGGTTGCCATTTCCGTACCGAGTGAACAATGTCACGCCATTGGATTTCAAAAAATCGAGACTGTATCTGATCTCAGCCAGGGTACCCTCCACATCAAGTAGAGATGGCAGAGCGGCGAAGAATCCATATCTGGCAGGGTCTTCATCTCGCAAACGAGCGGCGTATTCATTAGCCTTCCGGGCTAGAGCCCGTCTGTCTGCGTCTGTTGGGGCAATAACAGCTCCTGGAGCTGTCAAGGACAAGATTGCTTTCGTTACTCCCACTTTTTCCATCAAAGAGTTGGAGGCTTCAGGTGACCAAGCTGGCGTTGGCCAGCCAGATGGATCGCCACCCGCTTTCTCAACAGCTATTAACAGTAATTGTTAGTTGGAGCATATAATGTAGAATCTGAAATCGTGAAATATTAACCTTGGGCATAAAAGTCAGGGACAAAGTGATGATGGGTGTCAATCAGAGTCATCTTGGGCAGATTTTGGGCAGACTGGTAATTTGTCACTATGAAAGGAGCGTGATGAAGAGCGGGTATTTATATGGATGTGGGATTGGGGCGGATGAGAAATATCTCTCGATAACTTCACCAGCACGTTGCTTTTGCCGATACATCCGGAACCCATAATGTGATGGAGATCTGTCTAGGATGAGTCTGAATGCATAAGCCATAATGGGCGGCACAGATTCCGAATATGCCCCACACTCCCCCGCACGCTCATGGAATCGCGTGCGAAATCTAATGTTTCAACGATATTTCACCGCAGTATTGACCCATGTGCCAACGACTTCCTTTGCGAATAAGATCCACTTGGATGATACCCAAAAATTGTGAACCATAGTTGGCTGGCCCAGCTGGTCTCACTCTACCACATAGCAGATCCAGAACGTTGTACACTTGACAAAGAAGCCGATACCCGTGCCGGCGTGCCGGCTCAATGAAGCCAATCCTATTTTCGAGCTTCCCTCTGTTCAACACGACACTCTGGAACTAATTATGACATAATGATCAAGCCCACTATTCCTGTAGCATTCTATCGATGAATGATTTGACAAAGTCTACTAATAGGATAAGGACAGCTTGACTAGATGAATTGATTCAAGGCTCTTCAAAGAAATATTTCTAGGCAATGTCCAGATACGAAAGTACCATAGTGACCGAAAACAAGATGCCTGGTTCACTCATTTTTGTTGATTCGTCTCAATTGTCTTCCATGTCTGGTGTAGATGAAATCCTAGGAACAAACCGAAGAGCTAAACACGCCAAAAATTCCTTAGATCCATCATTGGGTAAGCTTTTCACCGAAGACCTCGGGCCACTCTTGCCATACTTCGCCCATTGATTCCTTAAGACTAAGAATTGTTTCGGTCGAAAGAGAGATGCCAAACCCCCCGCTCTGTCATTCTACTTTGAACATTAATAGCTTCTGTTATATTGTTATGATCGTTTCGTTTGACGGCGGTCTCCAACATGACTACTTCTCTTGTTCCATGATCAGCGAAAATTCAAAGTTTTCTCCATTTCCATTTAGTAGTTGACCAGCAAGATCCTTAATACCACCAACGGGCTGTGAGTTGACGAAGTATGGCGACATAATCCATGCAGATAAGATTACGTTTTTGAGAAGAATTATCTCGTCTTGATATCGCCTAGTTGCTGTTCCAAGTCTTTTGACTTTATTCCTGGCTCGGCTCAAGCTGCATAAGAAAACTATAGACGAAGATCCGAGCAGCCCGATACGCGATGGCGTAGTGGTCAAAAAGAAAAAGAAAATTAAAAGTCTAATCCAAAGATACAATTGAAAACGCTTTATTTTACTGCCCAGACTGGCAGACCATGGATTATAACAGGTATGCTTAAATGTCAACGGGGTCACCATTCAGCTTCACTTTCACTGCCCGGGTAGGCCTTCTTCCTCAGCTTCCAAAGTGACTTCTCGCGTTGGGCCGCCTCCTCACGATGCTTCCGGCTATTGTCCTCGACAACAGTCATCCAGGGTACATTACTCGCACGACGGACTCTCTCGCGCAGGAGCGCAAGGGCCTCATTTTCTTTGGCCAGGTCCAATGCGTTAGAGCTGTTCTTCTTAGCCCGGGAGCTAGAGTTCTGGTACCGCCTCTCTGCAGCTCGTGCAGCGTAATACTCTTCGCTGACTGCCCAATTCGGGCTATCCAACTGGCCGCGGACCAGCACAAGCTGATGGCCATGTTCGATGGCATCACGTAGACGCGAGGGAGAAATGGGAGTGGAAAGCTCTAACTGGCGGGAGGCCACATTGACGGAGCGAATCAGGGCCAGCCCAAGACAATTAGAAGCCTTAGGATCCAGTGGAGTGGAACTACCAGATCCAACAGAGATGTAAGGAAGATCCTCTTGTGGGGTTCTGATGATATTGCCAGCTGCGTAAGGTGCACCTGCGCCATCGTCGGTTTCTCCTGAATCAATTTCCATGTCATCATCGGCGTCGATCTCATTACTATTATCCTCGGTTGATGTCATTGGACGTGCACACATGATGGCGTTCGACGACTCCACCGCCACTACTCCAACAATAGCGCCTTCGAGTACCTCTCGCAACATGGAAGGGTTAATTTGGGATCCCATCACCATGATTCCCAGTATACCTTGCTTGACTCCCGCGTAGTTCACGGCCATGGGACGTGTGTGAGAGAGGGGTGCATCCAGCCAAATCGGGTTGCTGATGCCACTCGGGTGGGACTTGTGGAAGTAAGACTGAATCTGCATGGATCGCAGCTGGGCACTTGACCTGCTCACAAAGTCGGTCGGCTGAGAGGGGAGGATTGTGATTGGGACTCGAGCCTCGCTTGCAGCTAAGCTCAAAGGATCAACAACTTCCATGGGCCCTTTCTCGCTCATGTAGACTACATCGGAGAGTCCAAGACTCTTGATAAGCCATGTTGCGACCTCCAGACCTTGTCCAAAGATCCAACCGGGGTAGTTGATAATGAGCGGGCACTGAGGATACCTTGTTAATAAAGAGCGGTATTGTTCCATAAGATCCATTGTAGCCAGGGCATAGTGATCTGGGTCTTCCTTAGGAGATGTTGCGCCAATGTGGTGTGCTCGCATAATCTGGCCATCCCTGGAATCATCTAGTGAAGGATGGGTGAATGGTGGGCCAAAGAATGGAGAGCGAAGATGTGCAAGATAGACCTGACCCATAGGAGCAAATTCAGGCTGACCAGGGTCTAGGTCTAGGAAGGCCACGCCATCGGTATTGATATGGTTGTTTTCTGTTTCCGGTGCTGGACTCAAGACATGGTTCAACAAATACCGACTGAAAGTCGATTTGCCTGAGGCTTTGGGCCCACAGACCAGAACTCGAAGTTGTCCCTTTCGCTGAGACAAAGCTTTCATTGATGCGCTCCATTTTTTATCCAGATGGAGGGGTCGCAAGTGTCGGTTGAGAGTATCATCGGAAGATGTATAAAGCTATAAGGCAGGCACTTAGCTTTGCTCCAAGGTGAGGGAGTAGCACCATAACTGTGTATTACATACCACTGAGAAAGTTCGTTGTGAGTCTTTGGGTGCGCCCTTCAAAGTAAACTTATCCGCAACGGTATTATCCCCACTCCAGATCCTTTGATATAAAGGCGATATGTCCCGCAATCGAGACAGACCACTGTTGCAAGACTTCAATTCTACCTCTGCCTCCCCATCCACGCCAGAGACACACTTAATGACAGGCAAGGAGTGGGTTGAAGGGGCATAAACCCGGTAGGCCCGGGCTGAAGGATGTAGCTTGGCTCCCATGAGACTAACAATTCCCCGTTTGACCCAAATCTCATACAGACCCAGCAGGGTCAAGTTCTGGAAATCAATTAGCATCGTAGGTGCGAGTCCTATGGACAGTTGTTCCATACCGTCTTCTCCTTGATGCGAACACAGAGTGTTTTCTCGTCCGCATAGACAATGCTATTTTTGTTCAAGCGCATCTTGGATAGGGGGAAATTTTGGAGCTCCGCTGGAGTTTGTGCAGGCGACTCGTAACCATCAGCATCACCAACAACCGATGCGACCTCGTCCTCTGTCATCTCTTCCAGTTGGGCCGGCTCGGCTTCCTCTTGGTCTGAAGACTCTTCCTCTGATTCATGGACTTTTGATTCCAACTTATCAGAGCTTGCGGCTTGCTTTTGTCGTGTTGTCTTTGCTGTCGCGGAGGCACGTTCGCTTTGCTTCGTGGATGACCTTGTTCGGGGCACCTTCGACACCCCATTTGTCTCGGTGGGCTGTGCTCCTTCTAGAGATCTCCGCGGTCGCTTCGAAGGTGGTTCATTTGTGATTTCAACCACCACTTTGGGGTATGATGTCGCTTGATGCTGCGCTTGTTGCGCTTCCTGCCGAGCTCTGCGCGCCGCGACAGCGCTCATGGCACTGACGGGGGCTGAGGCGGGGTTTAGTTTCAATATAGCTGATGAAAAGACCATTGTGGGTTCTTAGTTCATACCAGTTGGTTGCTGCTTCTCCGCCTTTCGTTTCATCATGTCATGCCTATGAATTCCGATTTTTGAGAAGCAGAGTTGATAATGCGGTGATGAAACCGATAAGCAAAAAAAGTTGGCGGGTGGTGGTCCGTGCGCCCGCGGAGCAGAAAAAAAAGATTAACCGTGAATCTCCAACATTCTCTCCCAACGTCGCAGAGACCCGGCAAGTCGCATTATAGCTGGTCAATCGGGTTGACGGAATTTGATTTACGTTTTGGCCGAGTCTTATCCGTTCACTCTCTCTTTACGGAACTAGACCTGTGCAGAGCAACCATTAAGGCGCGTCGCAACTCCGACAGTGCCTTTCAATTCATTACCCTTGAAGACGAAGCTATATCAATTCTAGCTACCATGGCTGTCGCATCTTCTTCCTCGAGCGACAGCAGCTCGAGCCGGTCGACCTCTCCTGAGCCAGCAAATAATCAGAAGCAGAAGGTTAAGGCAGTCACCAAGGCCAAGGATGAGATTGAAGAAGAGTCTTCGGGCTCGTCAGACTCAGAGTCGGGTTCCGAGTCCGGTTCAGAGTCCGGCAGTGAATCTGGAAATTCCGATGAAATGGATACTAGCGAGGATGCTACCGAAGATCAGTCTCCAACCAAAAAGTGAGCATAGGCGTGCTTGCGCATCCTCAAATATACCCGTGGAAGCTAACGTTCATTTCTCCAGGATCAAAATTCCCGGCCCGCAACAATACAAGCCACCTGCGGGCTTCAAGTCCGCCAAGAAGCATACGCCCTCGTCCTCCTCCTCAATTCTCTCCAACTTGCGTGGCAAGCAAGTCATCCACATCACCGCTCCGTCTTTCCTCCCGCTGTCCAAGGTCAAAGAGATCTCCATGGGCAAGATCTTGAAGGGTGAGCCAATCCTCACATATGAGGGCAAGAAGTACGGAATTCCGGCCGATTCTATGAACGAAGACGACCCTGAAGGCAAAACGCTACTTGTGTACGATGAGGGTTCTCAGACATACCGCAACAAGGCCGAGCACATCCCCAGCTATCAGATCCAGGAATTTATTGGTCTGGCAGCAGAAATTGCGCCCAATGATTCCGCGATTGAGAAGCTGCGAAGCACCGTCAAGCCACCCCGACCTCAACCCAAGAACCTGAAAATGCGCTTCCGACCAGTTGGCAGCCTGCCCAGTGGCCCGGAAACCCTGGGTTCTAGCTCAGAGTCTGAATCAGAGGAGCCATCATTTAAGGTCCCTCCCAACGAGAAAGAGAGAAAGAGAAAGCATCACCATACTGAGGCCGAGACTACGCAAATAGTCAGCGAGCCCCGGAAGAAATCCAAGAAGCACTCGTCGCAAGATAATGAAGAGGAGCGCAGCACGAAGAAGTCAAAGAAGTCGCACAAGGACCGCGAGGAGAAGAAGCGGAAAAAGTCTGAAAAAGCATGATTTGGCGTCAGGGTTTTTGTTTAGCTACATGATATCTTTCTTTGTATGATCTGCGGGGCAATTTCAATGTACACTTTATCAAACTTGGTCATTTGGGTTGGTTAAGAATACAAGGTCCCGCAGTATTTTTGATGAATCTATTGAAAATCGTGCAACACTGCAGGCTCAAAAAGAGCTTCTTGCGAGGATGCAAAAGTAATATTATTATAAGTAGCTGAGTGTAGGCTAGATTTGATGTATTTTCTATCCAATCAAGCAACCATCTCTCGAGCAATTGGACTGCCAGTAGCGATCCTCTCGTTCCCAAGAGAAGTTCTGATGCATCAAGAGCGATGCTTAATATTCGCATGGAAGTTCTCATGCACACTGACAAGCTGCACTTTTCTGCCTTCCGCATTGATCACACCACCCTTTTCACCATCATCAGATGAGCTGCGCTCAGCGGTCTCCCATTCGGTACCAGCGGCGACTTCAAGGTTCTGGCCGCGGGTTTCCTTGACGAAGAACCAGCAGAAGACAGCGGAGCAAACGTCAAAGCCCATGAAAATAAGGAAAGTGTTCGCGCCGACGTTGGAAATCATGTAAGGACTGGCGAAGGAAAAGCAGAAGGATGATGCCCAATGGGCCAACATGCTGACTGCCAGACCCAGAGCACGGATCCGGGTTGGAAAGATCTCCGGCACATAGGCCCAGGGAAGAGGGCCCCAGGAGCAGTTGTAGATCTACCTCCGAAGTTAGAAAGAGATCGCATTCGACCCTAGAGAAGACTGGAAAATCCTACCATAATGTCAAGATAAATCATTGCAACTGTCGCCCGACCCGCCGCGGTCACATTGGTAGCAGACTGGGTTGGAACATAGTCCACAACCAGCGCAGTAATCAGCATACAGATAGCCATAAGAGCCGATCCGCTGACCAGGGTTATCCGGCGACTCAAACGCTCTGCCAGGAAGACAATGAAAAATGTACTCGCGATGACCTTGACAGCACCAAACAGACCTGTCAACAACATATTACGATTAGTTCCGCTTCCGGCAATCAATTTGAAATATTGAGGCGCAAACACGGCCAAGGCACTGCTTCCCGTCGCATTCTGGAAGATGAACAGCATAGGGCCAACCAGGAAGCGGAGGCGATTGGCGGGTTCGAGGAGCTCACGCAGGGAGAAGTTGGCACGCTCGGCAATCTCGGCTTGAAGACCTAACTGGGTCTCTGCGAATTCATCGCGTGTCTTGGGGGTATCGCCGCCGCGAATCCAGGTGATGGATTTCCAGGCATCTTCGACCCGATTCTGGGTCAATAGCCAACGGATCGACTCAGGGAGTGTCAGAGTTCCGAGAAGCAGTATGCCTCCAGAAATCAGCTGTAGACCGACAGGGATCTGCCACTCCCTCGAGGTGCCCGCAATCGAAGTATTCTTACCAACACCCTATTATTGGTAAGTTGGAAGCTGAGATATAGAAAAGAGGGAGAGATAAAGCTCACGTAGTCCACCCAGTATGCCGTAAAGACACCCCATGCGTATAGCCACTGGTAAAATGAGCCACAGCGGCCTCGAATCTCCTTTGGAGTCATCTCCGCCGAATACATCGGAATCACTACGCTCTGACCTCCCATACCCAAACCAGCTACAACACGACCGACATACCATGCGGCCAGGGAGTGGGTATTGATGAGCTGAATGATCACGCCGATTACAAAGAGAGCGGTTGAGCCGATGATCGTTATTTTGCGCCCATACCAATTGGTTAATGGATAAACGCAGGCGGCTGCAACAAAGGATCCCATCTGCTCCAGGCCGACCGTGAGGGAGGACACCTTCGATTCATGAGCACTCGCATAGCGGAAGTCCTTCTCGAACGACGTGAATGTCAGGATTCCGCCGGCAATACCCGAGTCATAGGCGGACAGGAAGGAGGAGATACTGTTTGTATAATTTAACGTGAGTTTCTTGCTCCAGTTCCACAATCGGTTCAAGAACGATGATCGGAAAGATCGAAACTTACAAGACAATGGCAGCCAAATGATAGGCGCGCCAAGTGCCCAGACGGGTGTTTAACTCGGGGATCTCAAAAAGGCCCATACTGATTGGAACGCGCTGAACTGGCTTGGGGCAATCCCGGGCCAAGCAGGCCAAGAGCGCATATAAACCTTTTTTTTCTCCGACACATCACTATCATGGTGCCGCCGGTGAGCTGGTACAGGGATTCTTTTGCGTGCTTTGAGAACCTTGCGCCAGCGGATGGGAATGGCCGCGGACTGGCGAGTTCTATGGAGGCGGATGGACACCAGTCAGCACGCCTTCCGGGGGCCCAATGGTGTTATGAGGTGTGGGTGGCTCAAAGTTGTGTCAATTTAGCCTCTAGTCGAGCCTGCCACCATTCAGATCCGTTGAAACGGAGACAGCACCATTCCATCGAGATCGAAAGGATTTGTCGAACGCGCGGCCCCAGGCACCTGGCGCGTGTAACATGACGTTCTTGGTTGGGATCAGATCGACTGTGTATTGTGTCCGATAGGAGAGATTTGACCCCATCTGGAGGGCTTGGTGGAAAAGTTCATTTCCAGATCGAGCACTCCCGAGAGAATACGAGATTGTGACACTTCGTAGTTGCGGGTCTCTCCAGGTTTCCAGCGGGGCATGCTCGATCCAGAAACATGCTTGTTGCTTAGTGCTGTAAGATCAACCATGCGGATCCCGTGATGCTCCTGAGTATATGAACACCATCCGCCTCAAATGCACCCCTTCCAGAGAGACGAACCCTTTCCTCCGTCAAGTACCCATTTACCATTATATCTATATATCGATCCCGTGCACTGCAATCCAATCGCAACTCTCCGCCCCAGACGGAATGCTGGTTCGGCCAACCCCCGCTCTGTCCAGCAATGATCTCAGGACCCATTGATTATGTAAGAACGTCACATGACCTATTGCGATGCCGCCATCACATGCGCCCCGACATGACGAGCCAGCTGATGCGCCTCTGATTCTTTATCAGGATATCAAACAGACAAACGGCACGGAGCCTTCCTCCTCCTCTTCAGAGATCCCGTATTTTGTGGTTGGCATTGACCGGGTTCATGGACCCGCGGCCCATTTGGTTGCTTATCGACTCCGCCCGAGCTTCCCTTATCGCCCGTTGTCGTTGAGCTGTTGGACCCGCTGGGGGATTCACAGATCGAGAATCCGAGAGACACACAGGGTCTGACCGCAGAGGAACTTGCACGCTGATATGATTTGGTCAGTGATCGACCTTTTGCTTGGCCTCTCTTGTTAGAAGCCCGCCTGACGTGGGCACTCCCCCGACCCATTCCTGATCGTCATCGCCCTATCAGTGCCGAGCTGTCACCTGCAAGCCTGACTTTCATTGCGGCGCTTGTCCCCCTACAAGCCAGAAGATCCGACGTTTCTTGTCTTTATTTCCGGGTTTCATCGCACTTATCGGTAGATGTGCTTTAATGATGCCGCCTTTGCCAGACAACACCAAACGGCGAGGGGACCGGGGGAGCCGGGACGAGAGGCTGAGCGCCAGCGTAAAGCCCTCATCGGTAGCCCGCATGCTATCAGACCGGCTCCCAGAGCGATTCAAAGATGGAGATGATTCTCAGGTTGATTTCACAGCTCCACCGCGGGGAATGGGCTCTCGAGATGGCAACGTACACTACATGGGACAGTCGCTGTTCTCAGTCATAGCCGCCGTTGGATCTAGGTCCAATTTCCGCGGGCGGTTCGACGACTCGAGTGACAGTGACGAAGATTTGGAGGATAGGAGCGCGCCTATTTCACCTAAGTCTGGGTCTCCAGAACAAAAACCAGTCTCAACCCGAGACCTCACCAAAGCGTCGAAAGAATCGACACCCCAGGATGAACCCAACGAGCGAGGGCGTCGGCATCGGAGAACAATATCGGACAACAGACTCATTCGGAAGTTCGCCGATATACGATCCAGGGACGACCAGCCCGACGACGCCATGGCCACAAGTGTTGCGACCCTAACAGTGCCCCCTCGACGAACACGCAGCGTCACCCCTCGTGCAGCCCCGATTTTGACCCGGATGGTTCAAGCTCAAACCCGCTTTGATACTACCTCAACAAGAGAAGAAACTCTTCCGAGACCACAAACTCCGATTGAAGATCGCCCACAATCCTCCTCTGCTCTGTCCACTCGCCTAATGGAGATGTTCGGCTTCCAAAAACCGGAGAAAGTGCTAGTCGAATATGCATGCGCACTGCTGCAGAGCATGCTCCTTCAGGGCTACATGTATGTTACAGAAGGGCACATCTGCTTCTACGCCTATCTCCCCAAGAAAGCAAGCGTTGCGATCAAGTCTGGTTATATCACTAAACGCGGCCGGAAAAATCCGAAATATAACCGCTACTGGTTTGTCTTAAAGGGCGATGTCTTGTCCTATTATGCCGATCCCTCCAATCTTTACTTTCCCAGTGGCCATGTTGATCTTCGTTATGGAATTTCCGCGTCCCTCGCGGAGCCCAAAACCAAAGGGGTCGAGGTGAAAGACTTCCAGGTCACAACTGACCAGCGAACTTATTATTTCAGAGCCGATAGTGCAGCCAGTGCAAAAGAGTGGGTTAAATCCCTCCAGAAAGTCATATTCCGAACCCACAATGAAGGTGATAGCGTCAAGGTTTCATTTCCTATCGAGAATGTGATTGACTTGGAAGAAAGTCCAATGGCTGAGTTTGCGGAAACTTTCAAAATTCGTGTCATCGACAGTAATGAAACGTTTGCTATTGATGAGGTTAGTGATTGTCTCTAGTCCCCGGATCAAATGGGCGGAACGCTAACTTAGCCATTAGTACTATTTCTCCTTTTTCAACTCTGGCAAGGACGCGTTCGGCTACCTCAAAAGCTTGGTGAATTCTTCTCCTGCAAAGACATCACCTGACGGATCACCTTCTAAAGCGGATCGAAAATCCGAGTCCGGATCTAACCCTGAAGATCGAAAGAGCACCTCTATGGTCAATGACTTTTCCCCTCAGAAACGAGCTCAAGGTTCGAGGCAGAGTGCAAGCTTTGAAAATGACCACCAAGGGTCCGGAGAATCGTTTGCCAATTCGGCTGATCAAGAAACCGAGTCTTCAGCAGTTGTACAGTCCATAACTGAAACAACTGAGTCTGCTAGCCAGATACTCAACCGAAGTGACGTATTCCAGTCTCCCACAATCCAGCCAATCCCTCGGCGCTCATCTGATGCGGGTGATGCTGGCCGACGGAGATCTGAGGATACAGCTCGCTCTTCATCAGCCCGGCTTGACGAGATGCGAAGACGGGACAGCTTGGGAATGCCAAGCCCTAGCAGAAACGCCGAAAATGTTCGCTTCACTTCCGGAGTACCGGGTCCAAAGATGTTTCGGCCACTTGAGCATGCGTCCACTGTGCCTCTCGTCAAAGCCGGAGCGTACCCACTACAGCGTGCTGCAGGTATTGCAGAGTATCTGAAAAGCCGCTCCAAACAGATGAGCACTCTATTGGCAACAGAGTCGATGGGTTATATCGAAAAGGTATCTGGGATGTGGGCTGGTGGTCAAAGACATTACGGTGAAACAGGAGGTGTATTGCCAGATGACCAAACTGTTTATACTGGAACTAAAGAAGGCGAACTCGCCCATGACGATCGGTTCCGCACACATTTTGCCCTACCGTCGACAGAACGGTTGCAAGCAACGTATTATGCTTACCTAAATCGTGTGATACCTCTCTACGGCAAAATTTATATCAGCCAAAGGAAGCTTTGTTTCCGCAGCTTGCTCCCTGGCACTCGAACCAAAATGATCCTCCCTCTTAAGGACGTTGAGAACGTGGAGAAAGAGAAAGGATTTCGGTTTGGTTATCAAGGTTTGGTTGTTATTATTCGCGGGCATGAGGAGCTCTTTTTTGAATTTAACACCGCCGACTCTCGCGATGACTGTGCGGTCACATTGCATCAGAACCTCGAGTCGGTTAAATTTCTTATGGAATCTGGCATGCTGGCAGAAAAAGAACGTGAGGAGGTCGAAGCCGCGAAAGCTGAACACCGCATGTTGCAAGAAGCGAGACTTGATACCCCCGAGGAGCATTATTCTCGCCTTGCGTTCAATGAGGACTCTTCGGAGATTCATCCATTCTTTGATGACCCGCGCGCATCGATCATCAATTTCAACCCAACAGAGCCTTTGAAAATTACGTGTTTGACTATCGGTTCTCGAGGTGACGTTCAGCCCTACATTGCTTTGTGCAAAGGGCTTCTTGCCGAAGGTCATAAACCAAAGATCGCAACCCATGCCGAATTTGAACCCTGGATTCGAAAACATGGTATCGATTTTGCACCCGTGGATGGAGATCCTGCAGAATTAATGCGTATTTGTGTCGAAAACGGGATGTTCACCTACTCATTCCTCCGCGAAGCCTCTTTGAAGTTTCGGGGTTGGATTGATGATCTCCTTTCTTCATCTTGGGCTAGTTGTCAGGGTAGTGATGTTCTTATTGAGTCCCCTAGTGCAATGGCCGGTATTCATATCGCAGAAGCTCTTCGAATCCCATATTTCCGTGGCTTCACCATGCCCTGGTCGAGAACTCGCGCTTATCCGCATGCTTTCGCGGTGCCAGAACATCGCATGGGCGGAGCTTACAACTATATCACCTATGTAATGTTCGACAATATTTTCTGGAAAGCGATTGCAGGTCAGGTCAACCGCTGGCGGAACAATGAGCTGGGGCTCAAGGCTACTACACTTGACAAGATGCAACAGAACAAAGTTCCGTTCCTATACAATTACTCGCCTTCCGTTGTACCCCCACCGCTTGACTATCCAGATTGGATTCGCATCACAGGCTACTGGTTCTTGAATGAGGGATCGGACTGGTCTCCACCTCCAGAGCTTTCAGCTTTTATTGCCCGTGCACGGGCGGATGGCAAAAGAATTGTCTATATTGGCTTCGGATCTATCGTGGTGTCAGATCCAGCTGCTTTGACACGGACTGTTGTCGAGTCTGTTCAAAAAGCAGGCGTTCGCTGCATTTTGTCCAAGGGCTGGTCAGATCGTCTTGGGGACCCATCCAGCACAAAAGCCGAAATTCCTCTGCCACCAGAAATCCACCAGATTCAGTCTGCTCCTCACGATTGGCTTTTCTCGCAGATTGATGCTGCGGCCCATCACGGCGGCGCGGGCACTACCGGGGCGAGTCTGCGGGCTGGAGTTCCTACCATTATCAAGCCGTTCTTCGGCGACCAGTTCTTCTTTGGTTCTCGAGTCGAGGATTTAGGAGTTGGAATTTGCATGAAGAAGCTGAATGTCAGCGTCTTTTCCCGTTCACTCTGGGAGGCTACTCATAGTGAACGAATGATTGTTAAGGCCCGTAACCTGGGAGCCCAGATTCGAAATGTAAGTTGAATTCGTGCCATAATGGATGTTAATGATTGCTGGCTAATCGAAATAATATTTGCACAGGAGGACGGTGTTGCTACCGCGATTCAGTCTCTATACCGAGACATGGAATATGCCAAGACCCTGGCACAGCAACGATCCATTGCCTCGTCTACTCCATTTTCTCCAACCCCTTCCGCTAAGGCATCTCCAGATCATGCCGATGATGATGTTGATGATATCGGCGATTGGACCTTTGTCGACGACGAGAACGATATCGAGATTCTGAAACGAATGCGCGACCGAGCTGCCTCCGAGGCCGAGAAACTGGCCGCGGTCAAGGTCTCGTCCTTGAGAGGTGTTGAATGATTTCCTACTTTGTTGTTTCTTTTTAACCCAATTCTTGAGTCCCATGAGCGATGTTTGATGGATTGGAGCTTTCATGATTTACGATTGCATTCTGTGTTGCCGATTACCTGGCGTTTGTGGACCTCATATAGCATGGTTTCCTTTTGGCTTTTCTTGGGCGAATGTTGATCAAATACACCGTCCGCATTTCCTTGGTCTTAATACTCTATAATTCAATAGATTGTTCCTTGTTTTCAGAAATGATGTTCTCAAAGCAATGTATTGGGTGCAATGACTTTACCATCAACGTCCAGGTACTAATTCTTGCTGACAGCTTTATGCAGAAGCCTTGAAGTGCATATCTTATGAAAGGTCAATCTGTTGCTCATAATTTGAAAAGGAATGTGAGCCCCCTGCCCTCCTCCGCAACAACTGTTATGCTGCGACCTCAACAACCAACTTCGTGCAGCTTACGCCCCTGCTGAGCTCATCCAACGCAGCATTGATAGCTCCTAAGCCCTTTCCAATGACCTTTGGCTCTGGACTCGGTTTGACGTTTCCGTTGGCCAGGTTTTTCATCAGCCAGCCCATCCAATATCGGAACTGAGATAATCTCTCTGCTTCATCCATTGATGGCATCACAAAAATGGTTTCCACATCCTCTACCTCCAGCGCATCTGGAGGGACAATCGGGGCTGATCCGATTTTCGCCTTTTTATCCTTCCTATCTTGGCCAGTTCCAGTGAAAGCTTTCAACACCGCCTGACACGGCGTTAGATCCCCGTTGGCAAGAAAACAGTGCCGAATTACCAGGCCATCCACTCTCGCCGCGGTAACGATTGCATCTACCACCTGCGGCTCCTTGTAATCGAAAACTCGATCCGCACCAAGGGCACCTATGTACTTCTGATTCGCTGCGCCGGCCGAGGCATACACCGCGGCGATAGAAGAGTCGCTATCGTCTCGCAGAACTCGGGCACTTTGCACACCCATCGTGCCCACGCTTGAGGAAGCGCCCCAGATTAGAAGAGCCTCTGTCTTTTGATTCTTATTTTGATGAGTTCCTTCACTGACATTGGCATTGACGGTTTCTCCCACTCGGGGGACTCCCATCATATCCCACGCGCTGAGGGGTACCTGACCGGCAACTGGTAAAGTGGCTGCTTGGTTCCAAGAGATGCCCTTATTTGGAAGAGGCAGGGCATGCTGCCAGGGGACGAGGCATCGCTCCTGAAAAGCTCCATAATCAGGGTCGCAGGCCTTCCAGACCGCCGCTACATAGGCGGCAACACGGGTAATTCCCGGTTGGAATACAGGGCCTGCACCTTCGTCTGTCGCGCCGGTGGGGACTTCTTCGCCAATCTCGAGGACTATCCCTGCGATATCGAAACCGATGACCGTGGGGTACCTAGCTATAAAAAGGCCTTGTTTACGCATGTGGCAGTCTGCCGGGTTGAGAGCCACGGACTTGACCTCGATAAGGAGCTCTCCTGGGCCTGGTTTTGGCGTTTGACGAGATTGGAGCTCGAATGGCTCACCTTTGGCCAAGGAGACGGCGGCGAGGTGGGATGTCATGGTGGCTTGTGCAAGGGCTTTTTGTATGGACAAGGTGTAAAATTTGATATGAATCGAATCCAGTTTTCAGGTTCAACTTTCACCAGATACTATTAATTAAGAAACTTCTTTTTTTGCACGAAGAGATTCAGCTTCTTATACTCTTATACTTTCAGTCCTTATTCCCTCGTCCTGTTGAGTTGGTGACGATCTTGTTAATTATGGCATGAGCCCCACGGCCAATCACCGACGCCTATTCCCGAGAATTGGCTAGCAGGAAAGGTGGATCTGTTCAAAAAGGGTTTAGCTCATGGGTCATGTTGGATTCATTTCGATGTCGATTATGTTGGCAGGTTCCACATGCCTCCCTCTCGCATTGAATTTCGATTTTTCTATTCCCCTCATAATCGGGGAAATCACTCATAGAAAATCTGTGCAAGAGGCCAGATGTGTCCAAGTGAGACTCGGAAGGGTCGGACTAGGGGGAGGTCAAGATATGGGTGTCGAAATTGCAAGCTTCGAAAAGTCAAGGTGGATCCAGACTTTCAATACTTAAGTTCTTTGCTTACTGATTTCCTTTACCTTGTTAGTGCGATGAAGGCAAACCACAGTGTAAAAGGTGTAGTTCATTCGGGGTGTTATGCAACTTCATGTCGAACGGCCCCGATCTCCAACCTGTTGCTCCTCGCACGGACTCAATGATGATCCTGGGGGAACCAAAGCTTCATCCCTCGCTCACTAATGCCGTCTGGGCATCAGATGCATCAACATTCTATCAATTAAACACGAAGTGTCAGGACTTTGTGACCCGGTATTTCGAACGGAGTCTCCTCGTCCCGGACGACCCTAATATGATAGAAGTTAACAGGAAGCTCCTGGAATTAGCCTTCGCTGTCAGTTTTTCAAACTCAATTTCCACTGCGAGCCCAATGTTAACTAGTAGATGTCTTGTAGTACCCTATCTTAATGCATGCATCTCTAGCTGTGGCACTTACCTATGACCGTCATCTGAATGGTCCTTTAGGCGGTCGTCGCACTCTGGAAGAGTGTTATCACTGGTCTCAGAGCACAATTCTCCTAAACAAGCGGCTGAAGAAACCGATTGAAACAAAAGACAAGGATCCGATCTGGGCTACTGCGGCTGCTCTGGTCATCTTGACCTTTTCGTCGCCTGAGGCATGCACCCCAGACCAAGCGTGGCCTCTAAAATCCGACTCCTCTGACTTGGACTGGCTGCATATGAGCAGAGGGAAAATGTCATTGTGGCACACAATTAACCCGCTGCGACCAGATAGTCTTTTTAACGTCATGGCAGCGACCTTTGCCCAGATGCTTTCCCCATTGCCAGAGAAAGGCATAGAGGGTATAGTAAGGCCCTTGGCTGACGTGTGTAATCTCAATGGCTCGTCTACAATCAAAAGTAACCCGTACTTCCATGCCGCACATACGTTATCCCAGATCTTGGAGCTCGCGAATAATGAGATCACAACAGGCCAGGCCCAACTCTTCATGCGGAGTATCGACGGTCCTTTTGAAGACTTGCTTCGGAAAAGGGATCCTGTGGCGCTATTGCTACTGTACCTATGGTACCACAAAACAAGTCGCAGTATATGGTGGGTTGAACTAAGGGCTAGGGTGGAATGCCCTTCTATATGCCTATACCTGCGAAGATACCATAAAGATAATCCTGCTGTGCAGGCATTCCTGCCGGGTGGAGCTCTCGCCGGTAGGTGGGATCAGTTGGATTTTCCGAAGAAACAGGTCGAAGACAGTAGGTTTCCTTCGCCAGTAACAGTCTGCAGCCCCAAAGCCCTCGCTAATAAAGCCATATTCCAGAGGATAACTTAAATTGATACATTACTTATCCAAGAATCTTTTCAATGGGGAAAATGGAAGTCCATCACATGTATTGTCCGGCCAAGATTTCAGTCGGACTTGAACTCCGTTTTCTCCGAACCAATTCGCGCCAAAAATGAACTCCGACGGGATTTTCTCCGATCCCTCTGGTGTTCTCGCTCTAGTCTAATAGATTTGATCCAGTACTTGGTAAATATTAAATTTTTCGAAGCTTCACCAACCTATGTTCCCATTATTTATTAATAATCTTGTCGGGCCTGAGTATCCGAAATCCGTTCGGCGTTTATTTTATCGAAAATAACGAAGGCACCTAATAAATGTCACGTATAAATATAGCTTTCCCTTTAGAGCAATCACACCCTTCACAAGGAGCTGCATTTTTTACCACCATCAAATTATCTCAGCCTCGAAAATGTCTAAAACAGTTTTGGTCACCGGCTGTAGTCATGGAGGACTGGGGGCAGCAATGGCGAAGGTTTACCGCGCCAAAGGCTTCAAAGTTTTCGCGACACTCCGCAACAAGGCCAAGGTCGGGTCTCTGGCCGACATGGACGGTATAGAAATTGTCGAACTTGAAATCACATCGGTCGAGTCAATTCGTAGATGTGCTGATGTCGTCGCAAAACAGACTGGAGGAGCACTCGATATTCTCGTCAACAATGCTGGTGTTAGCTGCATCGTCCCGCTTCTAGATGCATCCCTCGACGACGCGAAAAAGGTTTACGATGCAAATGTTTGGAGCATTCTTGCTATGGCACAAGCATTCGCGCCCATGCTCATTAAGTCCAAGGGAACCATGTGCAACATTAGTTCAGTATCTGGTGAGATGGTTTTTGCATGGGCAGGTATGTTCTATCACCTCTGGGGGCTACCTCAGACACATAGGAAAACCTAGAATCTTGTTTTATAGGAGGCTGATTTGGCTCGACATAGGTGTATATAGCAGCTCAAGAAGTGCTCAAACGAGATTATCGGAGACTTTACGTCTTGAGATGGCGCCTCTTGGTGTTCGAGTTGTCACAGTTATCCTTGGTGGCGTTGAAACGAGCGGAAACAATCCTGATAATATCGCGGATCTTGAGCTACCACCGAATTCCCACTATCGGAAGATAACCACCGTCATAGATCGCCACAAGAAGACTCAAGTACACCCCAACAAACAGAATGTCGACACCGCGGCGAAGAATGTGGTTGAGGATGTTCTTTATGGCAAAGGTCCTTTCATTCGACGCGGGCAGGCCTCCACTCTAAGTTGGCTTTGCAACACCTTTCTGCCGTATGGGCTTTTCACCTCCATGATCAATAAGGAATCTGCACTCGATGAGATTGATTTCCGCGAAGACAAAGCATGACTTTGACGGTCACTTGAGAAGCATATAGATAGTTGGGATGTTTGTACCATGTATACTAGAGTGATATCCAACATACTGGAAATGTATGCACTATACAAATCGGAGCTCCTAAATCAACTTTCACTTTCCACTCCAGCAGCAATTCTAGCCATGGTTGACTTGCTTTCTGGGTCTTCAACCTATCGATTCGAGGCCTTTTTACAAACAAAATCATAAATGCGAGACTCCATTGCAGCTTGCAAAACCTGACTTTGGGAACGCGCATGCAACAGCCAGGATTTTATACCAAAAAGAGGGTATCATCATTGCCGAGACTCAAACAGGGGACCAATAGTAGGTCTAAATCCGACTCTAATCTTTCTGTTCGCAAGCGAAATTGTGACTGGACTTGTACTATAAGGGAACTAAAAACTATGCTAGATATTGTGACAGGAATCCAACCACTTCATGTTCACCTATCATGACCACCTACTTAACCTCGCTTGAAAGATCTACTTACAAACTACATGTCATCAATCTTGTCCAGATCTTCTTTTGATCAATTGCTTCAGTCTAGTCAGAAGATCTGCCGGCTAATTATAGCCGAACGCCGCCCTGCTAGCCTCCACACCCCCACGCTTTCGACCCCTTTAACACTTTGTAAAGACGCTTGATGCCGAAAATCCCTGCCGACCTTGCATGCCCCCCGCATTACCCCATAATTCAAGGTAAGTCTGAAATAAAAAGGTAAAGCGGGACCAATCCTTTTGTTGTGGCTAATCTTCGGGTTTACTCCACCAAGCTTGGCCCAGTGAATGTAAGATTTGATTTCAAATTGCTTTTCTTGGGAGCTTAGAAATCCCTGTGAAGCTGATTTACTCAGCAATGATTACCGTCTCTATCTCCCGGACTGATGATCTTCGTTGTTTTTTCTTACTTGCCTCTAGTCAGGTTCAAGGTTAATTTACGAGGCCAAATCAGACATAAATTCGAAGATGGTGTATACATTAATACCAGCTTCACGCACGGATGATCCACCCTTCTGAGCTGGTGGTATAAAATCGAATCAGACTTCCCCTCGAATTTGTGGAAGCAAAGCCCCCAGCCTCTTCCCTCCCCACAACCCCGCATAGTTTAGATAAGCCCCTGTTGAAAGCTAGACTAGGCGGTGGGCAACATGACTTTCCACGCAGCTGCAACCCTCCTGGCGCTTGCGGGTATGGCTCAAAGCATCCTCGCCTCGGGCTCGGCCGCATTGGCTTGTTCTGCAAGCACATTTGCCTCCCTGACACTAAATAACATCGACATCACCACACTCAATGTCACCACCATCCACAATTATTCCACTGGTAGCAGCGGTTCCACGGGAACCGGCGGTACCGGCGGCGTTAGCGTAACGTCAGCATCGACAGGTACCAGTGCGTCTAGTGCGGATATTTGCTTAATTGGAATGACCTATACCCATCCGGGACAAAATGATATTGTCAACACCTTCATTGGGCTTCCACTTGATGTGCAGGACTGGAATTCGCGTTTTCTGATGAATGGCGGTGGCGGCTGGTATGCTGGAGGCGAGAACGAAGTTCTGGAGCCGGTGATATCAGGATATTCGTCTTCTTCTACGGATGGGGGCCATAACACGAGTGCCTCAACAGCGGACTGGGGATTGGCCAGCGAGGGGAATACGAATTGGCCTGCACTGTGGGATTTCGCAAGCACCGCTATTGCCGAGGCGGCAGTCCTGGGAAAGTTGGCGACAGAAATATACTTCGGGTCGAGTCCCAAGTACTCGTACTGGAATGGCTGTTCCACCGGGGGCCGGCAGGGGCATGCGATGGCCCAGAAACATCCAGAACTCTTCGATGGTATTGTTGGGGGCGCTCCAGCCATCAATTGGGACAAGTTCATTCCATCGGAATGGTGGGGGGCTCTCAATGCTCAACTATTAAGTATGTCCTGTCGCTGCGTTTCGATATCAACAAAGCCTGATATGAGAGAAGTCGTTGTTGACATACTTTACAGACATCGCCCCGCCTTCTTGTGTCCTCGAGGCTTTCACAAATGCAGCTATTGAGGCATGTGATCTCCTTGATGGCGTCAAAGACAGCGTTATCGCCTACCCAGGACAATGTCACTTCCAAGCATCCTCCTTGGTGGGTCAATCCGTGACCTGCAGTGATCCCAGCGGAGTAATTACCATCACAAAGGAGATGGCCAAGCTGGTTGCAGCCATGTGGACTGGGCCTCGGTCCGCTGAAGGACGATTCGAGTGGTACGGCCTGCACTACGATGCCGATCTCACAGGTCTGCTCCCGACGACGTGTACCTCAATCGACAATTGCACGGTCACCCCCTTCAGCATCAGCGACGACTGGGTCAAGGTTTTCCTCGCCCGGAACTCCACGTTCGACACCAGCAGTCTCACGCGGCAGGACTACGACCGTCTCTTCCGCGACTCGGTGGACCAATATGCCTCCGTCATCGGGACTGAGAATCCCGATCTCACAGACATGAAACGGGCAGGGACGAAGATGATTGCCTGGCATGGCATGCAGGACGAGTTGATCCCCACCAATGGCACAGTCGACTACTACAGGCGCGCACGGGCGTTTGATCGAGACTTAGAGGACTACTACCGCTTCTTCCTGGCGCCGGGGGTGGCCCATTGTGGGGGTGGAAAAGGGTTTGATCCCAGCAACACGATTTTCGATACGCTGCGAGCGTGGGTTGAGAATCGAACGGTACCAGATCGCCTGGAGGCTGTTGCAGCGGCGGTGGGCCCGTCTAATAGCTCGGCAACACGGACGGCATACCTGTGTCCATATCCGAAGCTTTTTACCTTCACTGGTGGAGACCCGAATAGCGCGTCCTCATTCAGCTGTAATTAGAAAGATACCCTTGGACGATGTAGGGTATATTCAAGTGAAATATGAAACCGTGTAGGTATTGACCTCGGCCTTCTGAGCCTGTTCTGATTCTCTCTGTTTGGGAATCTGACATCGTGTGGTAGAAAGGGTTCTTTTATTTCCGAAATTCAATATATTCGATTCGTCAATTTATCTTCGCATCCTCCCCTTTCCCATCAGCCTTGTCTTTGCGTCGTTGTACCACGTCCCAGTTATACACCCGCGCCGTCGCGACCTCCAGTGTCTGGAAAAATAATGAGCGATTGACGAGGAAAGTGTGGCGGGTCCAGTACGTACCGTGATCTGCTCACGCAAGAACTCCAGGTCTTCCTCACAGTTATTCAGACTCGCCTCCGCGGCCGACAACTTCTCCGCAAGCATCGTCTCGGCCTCGTCCAGCGGGTAGGCGAGCATGACGTTCGCGCCGAGCCACAAGTATACCTCCTCGGTATCAGCAGGGGAGATCGAAGCACGGGCGTAGAGGGTATCATTGAGTTCAAAGTTAGTCTCGAGGTCGGAGTCTGGGGTGGCCTAACAACAGCAGAGAAAAAAAGAGAGAAAAGAGTCAGTTTATCGGGTGATTTGTAGCTTGGATTGTGAAGTCCATAAGATCGTTCCACAGATTTGATAGACACGTACCTCCTTGCGCAACTTCAAAAACCGCACCATCTCCAAGGTCTTCTTGATGTCTGGGATCTTCTCGCGCAGCCCCTGCCCGCGGCGCTGGGTGTTGACCTCCATGAACTGGTACTTGGAGATCATCTCTTGGAACGAGCGGAGGGTGGGCTCGACCTCGTCGCGTGAGGAGACATAGTCGCTCACATTATCGATAAATGGCGCAACGGGGATTCCCCGTGCGTTCGTTTCTGTTGTGACCGGGCTGCATGATCGAGGGGTCAGTTCATCTGGTGCCCGGGTCGGAGGGGCATCGCGGGTCGCGGGGGAGGAAGAATGTTTTTGGGGCCGGCCTTACTCCCAGGAGGAAGCTGCAGCCGAGTACTATGTAAAGAATGTAGAGAATAGACCTGATGCCCCATCTTGACGGAATTGAGTGACTCACGCCTTGGATTTCGAGGTCGCCATGGCTGGGCGCTGTGGTGGAAGAAGCAAGAACTAAAGTGGGGAGACCTTGAGCGGGAGAGTTCGACTTTCTGGGCGGCCGCTTGTTCCTCCGCCCTCGTCTCCTCCGCACGACCTCAATTCATCTCTGACAACAACCAAGGATGGTCCTCCTCGTGGCGACAGATCGCATCCTCACAGCTCTCAATGCTGTCCCGGCTTCGAGCCGCCAGGATCTTGAACTACCGACTGAGCTCGAGCTCCACGGCCCAATCGCTCATGAGCAACTCCTCCGTCTATCTAAACACCTCCAAGACACCAACTACACCCCAGACTCGACCAACCACGCCTCCACAATCCTCAACACGCTCCTCCGCGGCACGAAAGTCTATGTGCCACCACCTCTCAAAAAGCCCGAACCCGTGAGTGCCTGTATCCCCCAATTCCCAGCTTCCATTTTCCCGGAAACACCCATGTTCACACCTCCATCACCAGAGCCCCGAGTACCTCGCCTCAAAAGCGCGCCTCCTTGCCGCCGCCGAAAAACAAGCCTACCAGCGCCTCCTCAACCCAGCCTACACACCGACCCCAGACCATGCCGACCCGCACTCTACCCTCGCCGCCACCGACTCCATCTCCGCCGAAGACACCCTGACGCCCTCGCTCGTGGTGAACATCTTTCTCTCAGTGCTGATCACCGGCTTCAGCGTGTACTGGGCACTAACGAAATTCACGATGCCGGCAATCCTGGCCGTGCGATTCGCGGCATGGACGGGGCCGCGCGGAGATGCGGCGCCGTCGGGCGGAGCGTCGGACGCGGTGCGCGTGCTGGTCTCGCTGTTTGCGGCGCTAACGGTCGCCGTCGCAGAATCGTTCTTGTATTTTGCGTATTTGGGGAAGGTGGAGAGGGCGCGGGGAAAGGAGAGGAGAGTGAAGGAGCGGAAGGAGTTTGTGGGGGTTGTCGAGGGAGTCGATACGTGGGAGGAAGTCAGGGTGGATGAGAGGGAAGAGATAAAAGAGGAGATTTGGGGGAAGGGAGTAAATGGAGGCGTGCGGAGGCGCGTGCGGGAGAAGTGGGAGAAGGAGAATGAAGAGAAGGAGAAAGAGAAGGAGAAAGAGAAGGAGGATGAGAAGGGTGGGAAGAGCAAGAGCTTATGACGCACGTCGATGGCACTGTCGATGCCAAGTAGAAGTCTATTATAGACACCTGTAAAATATTATTTCGGCTATGCGATTGTTTTTTTTATACCCCCTCTTCGCGGCTGAAGAAAAGAATCAAGATATTGTTGGAAAACATTCATTGCTTTTGTTCATATTCTATACCTAAAGCTACAAACACGCTGTCATTACTCTAACGGGTATGAATGCTGTTCAGTCATTAGTGCTCGTCGAGAAACGAGATGCAGGAGAAGAAAGGGAAAAATGGTCGCAGTCGCGTATGGCTTGCGCTGCCAGGAAGGTCAACTTGTCCCAATAAGCGGAGACATAATATGAGAGATGCGTGGAAGGAATAGGAAGGAGGGTACTCAAACCCGTTTCTCGAGGAGCAGCTTGCCGGCCGGCGTCTTGTTGTCGAAACCTGCATCGCGGGTGAAGACACGCTCGCCACGCAACCAGGTTTCACGGACCATGCCGCGCAGCGTGCGACCCTGGTAGGGTGAGCACTTGTTGCGGAAGAGCATGGTGCTGGGCTCCACGACCCACTCGGCAGAGTCATCGAAGACACAGATGTCGGCGTCGAAACCGACGCGGAGATCGCCCTTGCGGGACTGCAGGCCGACCTGGGCGGCGGTGTTGGTGCAGCAAAGGCGGACAATGTCTTGCAGGGCGTTCTTGGTATTCTCATCATCCGGAGTCGGCATCAGACCTTTGCGCCGGCTGAGCTCGGTCCAGAGGATGGGCAGACCGAGGCCAACGGATGAAATGCCACCCCAAGCGGAGAAGAAGTTGCCGTCCTCCTCGGGGCCCTTGGAGCTGCTGGCGCAGTGTCCGGGCACGTGGGAGGGCAGCTGCTTCAGGTCAGGGGTGCAGGGGGAGTGATCTGAGACGACGGTTTGAATGACACCATTGCTGTTGTGCTTCTCCAGCTCCTCCCAGAGACCGTCCTGGTTCATCTTGGAGCGGATTGGGGGGCAGCACTTGTGGCGGGTATCGCCATCCCGTACTTCCTCGGCGGCCAGTGACAAGTAGTGGAAGCAAGTCTCGGCAGTGACCTTAACACCCTTGGCACGGGCTTCCCGTAAAAGAGGGATAGCTTCCATAGCAGACAGGTGAACAATGTGCAGCTGCAGGTTCGGGGCGAGGTGGGCCATTGACAGAATACGCTCGATGGCACAGGTCTCGAAGGCTGAAGGTCGGGAGGCCAAGAAGGTAGAGTAGGCCTCAAGGGGACCAGCTGGAGCAGCTGGAGGCTCAGACGTTTGGGTCTCGTCACCGACGGAGGCAGTGATGGGGGGAACCATCTCTGCGTGGAACATAAGCGTGGTGGGCTCATCTGCCAGCTCTGCCATGGCCTTTTGAATATCCTCTTGGCTCACAGCGGGGAATTCATCCACCTATTGGATGGGTAGATTCAGGTTAGTATATTGACCAAAAAGAAGTGTGAAGGGGATTTTATCACTTCTCACTTACACCACTATCAATTAGGAAACCCTTGAAGCCGCGGACACCCTCCTGGACGAGACCCTTGAGATCAGCGGCATTGCCGGGGATAATACCACCGTAGAAGCCAACATCAACCCAGCACTTGCCCTGGGCGGCGTTGATCTTCTCTTTCAAATTGGCGACGGTGGTGGTGGGGGGATAGCATTCAGAGGCATATCAATGACGGTCGTCACGCCGCCAAAGGCGGCGGCCTGGGTACCGGTGTAGAAACCTTCCCATTCCGTACGGCCGGGTTCGTTCAGATGCACATGGGCATCGACTAGACCGGGCAGCAGGACATGTGGCGAGTAGTCAGTGTATGGAGTGCCGGCGGGGAACTCCGAGGCTGGGATGACGGAGTCAAAGACGGCGGTGATCTTGCCTGTGGTGCGGGAGATCACCACGGTGGCAGAGGTCAGACGGCCGGAGATAACGGCGCGTGAGGACGCCACCACGGCAATCGAGGGGATGTTAGCTGTCGCCATGGGGGCAAGTGGGGGATCTTGCTTTTCAGCCTCTTCCAAAAAGATAAAGTCTGAGGAGGGAAATCGCGGGGAGCGTCGATAGCGGCGGTAAAGGAGATCAAATAGAGTCGGCGGGTCCGATGAAGGATAAGGCTATATAAGGACGAGGGGCGATAAGAGAGACAAGCAAGCACCCAGAATAGCAAGTGTAGCAAGTATAGTAGACGGGGATTGGATGGAGATAGAGACGAAATCCAAGAGGGCGCTTATCACGAGGATAGGGTTATCGGGGAAATCAGAACGGCGCGATAAGACGAGGGTCCGGGGGAATATAAATAACCAACCCCTCCACTCCAAAAAAAAATCTTTGGGTTTGAAGGGGGAAAAAACGGAAGACGGGACCTGCGGTGGCCCACCAGCAAACTAGTCAGAAAAGGATGAAGCATCGCGAATCTCCACCGAGTTCCACCCGCCGAGCCAGGCCCCGATGTCGTTGCGGATGCGATTACTCGATAAGATCTCGGGCCTCCTGTCACAGCCACTCAGCAGCACTGACAGACAAAACGGATGGCAATAGGATCACCGAATACCCTCATCCTTGCCCTATCGGGTTGATCGAGGATCATAAAAGAACTGTCGGGGTGTAACTCCCGCAAATAAGCGCCTTCTCATGGCATCTGGCGGATTGTTCAATTTCATTTGACTCCGTTGATTCTGTGATGCACACCCCCACGGACAAAGGGACGATGGGGACTGTGATGTGAACCATGGTTTGGACGACTCTTGAATTCTCTGCGGAGGCAAAGCCCGTCGCGCAGCGGGCCATTGTGGTTGGACAACCACACATCGGCTATCGAACGAGGCCAGAACGCGGCCAGAAGGCCATCGGGCACCTCCGATGGCCCACGAAGGTTCTGTTGCGAAATGCGCTGGTCGGGGGACGATCCTCGGGCTTCGCCTTATCGCTGGGCCGTCCGTTCCGACACGCTTTTATCACCTGCATTTTACTAGATCAAAACGCCTGAAGGCTCCGACCGCGTTTTCCCTTACTCGATCGAAACTCTCCTGGACGAATGGGAAGCCAGGCTCACGGCTGGTCTCCGACCACGCTGGCGGTCCGGCAAGAGCCAGATTGGCCGATGCAATTTGCTGTTCTGTCTCCTCTTCGACTTGCTGGTCGGGGTGTTTTGGGCAGTTGTGGTCCTGGGACCCGGTCGGCGGCCTCCGCGCATGGCCATGCGGGGAGGGAGGTTTTCATCGAGTAAAGCAACTCGCCACCCGTAGGCGATCGGCTCCAATTCATGTGAACATTCGGATGATGCAAAATGACGATAAGCAAGACATCGAAAGAAAAGACGAAGATGGTCAGAAGGTGAGGAACGGGAAGTTGAGGTTGTGAGGTTGTCCCTAGGCGGGGTTTCCTGCTGGTTTCTTTAGCTAAGGCTCCAAGCAAGGAATTCCATCCCAACCAGGATCATCATTGCGCCATCTCCCGCCAACTGACTGGTCGCAAACAACCAGCTGATCAGCCCGGCATCTGCTGTCTTCCGGTACATAATGTAAGCTGCTGCTGTTTATGTGGCTTCTCATAGCAGAGGTAAAGGAACTGTTCTTGATCTCAGCTACGCCAAAGTCAATGCCACAATGGCCCCACGCCTTGCGGAAACACTAATTCACTGACATCAAAAGCCTCTGTGAAGTATAGGAGTATGCTCTACTCGAAATTCGACGCTTGATTAATTCAAAGTCTCTTAAATACCTCATACTCACAACTAGCTTTCAATAATCGGCCTTGGTTTCAATCAGAAAGGTAAACTTTGCGACGGTCAATAAAATCAATCTATAGAAGCACTTGACAGCGGTCTGAAATTCAATTGTTAGCTCTTACTTCTTTCTTCTCTACAATACCAAATTACAATAATTTTGATTTGAAATCCGAACTAGGACTTGACATTTAGTAGCAGATTCAAGTGCGCTGTTGCAAAGGTAATGCATATGAGACAAGCAAGAGCGATACCTGCATCCTCAAGTTTCTGCAAGCGTTGTCTACCGCAAAAACAGGCCCTTACCAACTAGTCGCGAGGACACTCAACTCAGAAAAAATAAATCAAAAATCCTCTTCGTGAATTCGTTTCCTAGAGAAATAAAAACGGCCTATGGTAATATCCTCCTTCTCGGCGATGGCTCGGCCCTCAGTCCTAGTTCTCTTCTTTCTCCAACTCCTGATCAACTGCCGCCGTTTCCTCATTCACGTCCTCGTCCTTCTGGTCATCAATGCCATCGACGTCATCGCTTTTGACTGCTATCTCATCCAGCTCCTGGCAGGTTGTCTCATCCAATACCTCCGGCATGATCACGACCGGCTCCACATAGCTACGGTCTTTGTAGAGCAAATCAAGCCAATCAAGCATGTTCGGCCAGGCATGCGGGATGATGCATTCGCAGTTCAGCCGCTCGCCCGAGGCATAGCAATTGCAGCCGTAGTTCTGGTACAAAGATTGGCGAGTGCCAAGCTCATCCTGCGACAGCACATAGGCTCGGCAACGAGAGGCAAGGAATGCAACAAACGAGGTCGGGTCGGTCAATCCACTCATGTCCAGGTCAACGGACGTGGACTGGAGCGGGTCAGCGAGACAAATTCCCGAGATATAGGGTTTCCAGACGGGCCCTGTTCAGACCGCGTTAGTCTTTATTATAACGATTGAGCTGCTCTGTCAAGGGATCTCTCACAGCGCTTTTGCAGGTACTCCAGGGCACCTTGGCCACCCTCCGCCATGCCAATAACGTCGACGCGGCTCTTCTCACCCAGCAATGGGAACAGAACATGCTCAAAGACGTATTCGATATGCTCGCTCCATGTCTTGTTGCCGGAGATCTTATTGCGATAGGTCATCGTAGCTGGCCCCCAGTTGCCTGCGGGGCGATCGGCTGCCATCCAAGTCTGCTGCGAGACAGCCCGCGAGGTGGCATGATGCCACAGCAATTGACCAGTGTTGGCAAGTATCAGAGCAGTACCAGTTCGATTAGTACGCTCACCAAGTACGGCTTTGGTGAAGTTGACAGCTGAGCCGAAGTTAATACCATCTTGGCCAACAGAGCGATAGGCCCAGATACCCAGATCCTGAGTGGGCTCCCCGAAGACCAAGATAATGCGAGATGCACTGGCCAGGTTCTTGGAGACTAGAATTGGAACATGGGGATCGCTGGAAGGAATACTGATTTCACCAGGACTATCTTTCAAAGGAAGGCACAAGGTTTCAAGACCTGCTTCTTCAAGACGATGCACGACGATCTGGCGAATGCACTCTGTGTAGGAAGCCTCTGTGAGATTCCGTCCCATGAATGGTGTTATTAAACTTGGCATACCATTCATCGCTTCCCGCTGTTTGACGTTAAAGCGGTCGTTCCGGTTGATTCTGTACCTGAACCCTTCTTCAGGGTTCCTAGTTTGGCGGATCAAGTCATTCTCCGTAATGGAATACCTGTTTTAACATAAGCTCCAAAGCACAAGCGGGATATTTTGAGGAGACTGACCCCAGGTCTTTCAGGTTAGCTGGAAAATGGGGATCCGGAGGAAGATCGCTATTACGATAGACATACATCTTGACCGATGCTGTTAGGTAAAGTCGAAGGATGCTGGAAAAGAGAGCTGTTTGTTGTGAGGGGAAGAGTGTTGGATGTAGGTTGGTGAGAAGAGGTCAGGAGAATTTATTGAATGAGTGAAGGCAAGCGGCACGACTTCAAGGAGTCAAGGCAGGTACCTTGGCTAGCAGGGAACGTGGCAGATAACGGGAGTCTTGCATCATGACTACCTTCTCAAAGAAGGGCTGCTTCAAACGCTCTCGGTGTAAGTTGCAATTGTTGGCGAATTTTCTGTAAAGAAATACGGAAGAATAGAGGTAAGGTGAAGAACAAGGGAAACCTTCGATGGTATTTGTATACTGTACACGCTTCCTAATTGAAGCAAAAGAACGCCGTCGTGCAGCCTTGGTAATCCAAAACTCTCAAATCAACCCAAATATCCCATGGCTTCCCCATAAATTACCAGCTGGCCTTCTTAACACCTGGAAGCTCGCCCGCAAGAGCCTGCATACGAAATTGGAACTGGAAAAAGAACCGAGCATGTCAGCAATCATTTGTTTAAAACAATATTTTTTTTCCTGGAGCCCAGATTATCTTTCACTCACTCGGTTGAGTCTAAAATCCCGGAACACACTGCGAGCGGTTCCTGACGCCACACAACGGTTCTTGATTTGTGTTGGGCGGGTGTAGCAATGCATCTCTGACAGCTCAAGCTGAGCCTTCGCGCGGACTCGCTGGGGGAGGCTAGTGTTGCGGATCACGTAGCGGAGCGCTTGGCTGGTGGCACAGAAGAGTCAGATATTCTAGTCCTTCAATCGTGCAGGAAATTGCAACTTTCGAGGGAGATGATGTCCAATCGAAAGGGCAGGGCATCGTACCGTTCGGGCTCCATCTTCATGAAGGCATTGCGCTTATTGAAGTCGCGGATCACGCGGGTGTTCACAAACCCGGCAATCTTCAGCTTCTTAGGGTGCCACATCCCCGACATCGTGAAGAAGTGCTGGGAGGGAGAGAAGGTGGGGAGGAGTGGTTGGAGAGATAATGACGGAGGTTCCTGGCGATGCGGCGGGAGTTGGCGAAAGGCAAAAAGATGCGGAGCCCGATCGGGTTTAGCGTGCGTCTTCAAGATTTCCGCCGGCGATGGGTAATCGCCCATCTTACTCTCTAAGACACCCACAGGACATGAGAAGTCCAAGACACAGTGGGTTTGTAGTGATGAACCTTCAGATGGGATGCGATAAAAAATTGGTAATTACCTGCAATTGTGATCAACGCCACAAATCAGATAGATATCAGACCGTGCCCCGTGTTCCTTTCTGCCAGCCAAAGCCTCTTAAGGATTACTGCCTAGATTTTGGAGTCTATGGAGCTCTAAAAATACGCTCAAAAAGAGCGAGAGAAGTACGAGGCACCCCGAAAGGTGTCGTTATGTAATGGTACAGCTTGTAAATTGATCCAAGTACCCTGCAGGGAATGCTCTATATGCTTGGACAGAGGGCAAACTGCCCGTGAACGGAAAACACTATCTCACGAGTCGACACCAATTGCTGGGTTTATTTCCATTCAAGTTCCCGAAGCAGAGGTTCAATCGGTTCCGATCTCACGCCATCCGGGAGATGGCTTATCAACAGTCCGTCATTGTCGGTCAAATTTAGTGGCCATTGCCGGGCTTGGCGTTGGGGTTGCGAGGGTCGTTCTTGAACTCGGCAGCTAGAGGGATGCGCATGTTAGTCCAGGGCTCAGGTTGTCGATTTGATGCTAGGACCGATCTCGGGCGTTATCGGAACATTGCGGCAGACACGATACATGGCGCACAACTCCCATATCGCCATATCGTTTAAATTGCGGGATATAGACAGTAAGGGGCTCACTCACTGTTGGACAAAACGTTCTGCAGAGAGTTGACGCCGTAGAGGACGATGACACCTATTAAGGGGATCCGTTAGAGCGATGGTTCGCGGGCATGGGCCTCAGTCGGGATGCAGAAGTCAAGCCAGTAATCAATTTGGCTTCGGGGTATCAGGAAAAGCGAGATAGTCGAGAATGCGTACCAGCAGCGAAGAAGGGAGTCATGGGGGTGGCTATGGACAGAAGGGTCAGTCATTGAAGCTTCTTGTGCGGCGCGACCGGGACAGTCGTGGGCGCCTTGCGGTTGGAAAATAACTTACCCAGGAGACCGGGGAACTTCTTTCCGAGGAGAGACATGGTGACGGGTGGTGCGAATGCGAGGTGGTTTCGGTGTTCGCGGGGATGTCGTGGGTGCAGGAGGAAGAGGAGAAGTGAGGTTTGGAGTTTGCCCGGTCCGAGACGCCTTACCGCTTTTGGGTGGGGGACTGGCCGCTTTTACCGACCGGTTCCGATGGTCGTCATGTAAACAAACCCCAAGTCCACGACTTCATCCCCAGCTACGATCGTGGTGACTCTTACTCTGCAGTCGGCTACAATGACTTCCTCGCTGAACTCTTCAGTCTCATCCCTAAAGTCATCACTGCAGCTCCTCGACAATTCTATCGCGACTCTCGATTCTGGCGTCAATGACTTCCCCCGCCTTTGCAAGGTCCTCCAGACGACACGGGTACGGACCCCAAAGAACTTCAATTTTCTCCAATATAAGCCATACTGATTATGATATTCCATAGCACTTTGAACTTCTCCCTGAACCCACTCTGCGCGAGGCGCAACAATCTCTCCTTGATGAGATTACCCCGAGCATCGCGCACCTCCTATCGCTCGCATCAAACCATGTCGAAAAACTCGCACGCCGCGAACAAAGCCTAAAGGCAAAATGTGATTTGCAGGAGGGGCGACTCGCCTCCAACTCGGAAAATAGATCTTCTAGCACTCGCTCCCAGGGTCAGAGTGGCGCGGCCGCGCGAGGTCGTTTTGCAGGGTCGAGCAGTGGCTCCTCAAGTGGCGCTGCCTCGAGAGCAGTAGAGCTACGGCGATTGATGCAGAAAAAAGAACGCCTGAAGTACGCTGTTGATCGATTGGAGTTACAAAGCACCCAGAGAGAACGACAGCTGAGAAAGAGCATGGCCGCGCAGTGAACGATTTTTTGTGCAAGTTTTCAAACTGCGCCGACCATTGTTTCAACTCGAAATTAAGGCTTGAACGATACTCCAACCGAGGGACTGAAAAAGGTCATATTCCAACCAGCCAAATCAACATGGTCGACTGGCGGATCTCTTAAATGGAAGAACGTGGCTCAAGGCATGGTGAAATCCCCGACTTGCGTTCTCCCGAACTTACCACCAGAACACGGTCAAGAAGACCTCATTGGGCGAGAATCATGCATTCGTGTCCCATTACCTCCAATCTGCCCGATCTCGGATATTTCTAAGTTCCTAGTTGTTGGAGTTTGCTCGGCTTTAGAGCAGAGCTTCAATGGATGGCAATATCCCGGGTATACGTAGCATGAGTCGGGTCTGCCTCTCAACTTTCTTGCCATCCAAAAGCATGTATGATTCACCTTTCAAAGAGATCATCCAAAGAGCGAATATTGAACGTTGCTTTGGCAGAAGTCCGGTGGCTTACGCTTCCTCGAACAGAGAGAGGGATAAATGGCAACAAGGTTCAAGAGCGAAGAAATAGATTTACAGTCATAATGTGTGAAGATGGTATCCTATAGTACAAACCGTTCAATCCCAATGCTGCCTCCAATATTAATGTTACAGATGATCCCAATACCCCAGATGTATTTACGCCATTCAAATAATGCATAGACAGCATATCCCTCAACCAGGTGGCATACGCAATCAATAACCAGATCTCACAGTGCGTCCTCCGCAGCATCACGCTTCTTCTGCGCTTGCCGCAGCTTCTTCTTATCAGCATTTTTCTTCCAGCTCGGAATATTCTGTCCCTTCTTCCGTTTCGGGATCTGAAGAGCATCCGAACGATCAAGTCCTTCGCCCTCGTTATAGCCATCGACTTCGTCTTCTTCAGGATCAAGTTCGTCATAGGCGCCCTCTTCTTCGGCCTCGGCTTTAGCTGCTGCTCGTCGAGCCAAACGTTCTTTCTTTCCCTCGCCATGCTTGTCGCCCAGGTTCAGCTTTCGGGAAATACGAGTCTTAGCTCCTAGAGCCCAGAGATCACCCCAGTTGGATTTGCGAGCATCCCGGTAAGCCTGACGACTGAAAGAGCGCGGGACAGTCCAGCGTTCAATCTGACCGCCCGGTGTGCAAAGATCAAAAATGACATGCCCACGGCGTTTGAGTGGTGCATACACAGCGCGGGGGAGAGATAGTGGGTTGACTGATGAAAGTTCGGGCTCTTCGAGGTGTTCGTAGCCTTCAAAAGCCGCGTCTGTCATTTCGGCGTCTTGGCGAATACCTTTTTGCTGGCGCATGTCCACGCCCCGTTGCACAGCTAAGTAACTAAACTTGATGTCTTCGTGGTTACGGTCTTTCGCTCCCATGATGCGCTGCAAGAATGGAGGGCGAATATATCGTTGCTCAAAGTGGCAGTAGTCCTTGCGACCCTTAGTTGGCCCGGCTGGGTTATGCATCGGGCAGGTTGAATGATTTGTGCACGGAGCGATGATCATGCCCGGTTCCTTGGCCACAGTTCTGCCATCCTCAGAGGACTCGAGGAAGCTTTCGTACTCTGCAGAACCGGGGCTTGCAATATGACGCTTAAGGAGCATTTCGCGAGCACCAGCGATTGCTTCAAAGCCCTTCTGGCGACCTTTTTCGAGCAGAACAAGAACGCCGCCGTTAGGATTCAAAAGGGCCCAGAGGTTCTCTACATGATCTTTGCGCTGATACTCCTCATCGTATCCAAGAAGAGTATGGGGAGCGATGATGACATCATATTGCTTGCGTTTGGGAGCAGCGCGCGAATCCTCTAGAGTTGGCTTCTCGCGGACATGGACGTAGTCAGGCAATCGAGGAAGAAAACTTGTATTTTCGAGCATCGCACTCGCACGAAGTCGGAGCGTTTCGGAGCCTGTCAAAACCGTTGATCGTCCAAATGGGATAGGCACACCTTCAGGATGGTCGGGAACCATGAGCTCCCACTCTGCACGAATAACGTCCCTCCAAGCCAAGATACCAGCACCACCGCCGCTTGCGTCAAGGACATTCGGTCCACCATCTTGGGAAATGAGATTCCGGATCCAATCTGTTCCCATGCGCTTGCGAACTTCAACCAGGACACTGAGAACCGAGGCATATATACCGGGGTACAGGGCAGCGATATAAGCATTAGCCTCCATCTCGCCCATGTGGTGTTGAGATGCATGAAGAGGGATCGGCAGCTGGGGTAGTTGCGCACGCGGAGGTGGCGTCGTAGTCGAATGGGGCAACCCTGGGCCGCCGAACAGGCGATGGGCGGTCTCAGCGATATGCCTGTTGGAGAACTCTGAGAGGATAACTGAGATAGGCCCGGTGACTGTCTTCTTGGGCAAATTGATGGTGCTGGGGTTCGTTTGAAACTTTCCTTCCTGTGTTAAAGGATGGGCTCGTGGAGCAGCGTCTGGAACTGCCTCGTTTTCAAACTGCTCAAGCATGATCTCGCCGCCCAGTTGTTCAGCCACTTCTCGAGTCCTCCGCATGGCAATTGTCTCAGTCTCCTCCGGTCCAATATCCATATCGTAAACAACTGTAGTATCGTCCTTTTGGTTCTCATTCTGCTCGTACTCGATTTCATCCCATCCACCTTGGCCATTTTCACGGAACAGACGGTCAGAATCTTTCTCAGCTTCCTCCCCTATGGATTCAGAAACTGGTTCTTGGATGACAGGCTCGCCATAGAGTCGAGTGAAAATCTGAAGTTCTTCCTCATTCAGAACCCCGTCTGGAATCCTGTCCCCGAATTGCTGTCGAACCATCAGTACCCATGCCTCGGGGGTGTACTCTTCGCTTCCGAGGGGATCGGCAAGCTCCTCTGAAACTTCTAGGTCGTCAAGAAATTCCAGACCCTCAATCATCTGCGCCATCTCGTCCTCATTCTGATTGATTTTTTCTATCAGAGCGTTGATCGCATTCAGGTCACTCGGTTGTGGCGACTCAGAGGGCGCGGCCGCGGCGGTTGACAGTCTGGATCCGGATGTCCATTGCAATACTGTGGCATTTTGTAGACTCTCTTTGCGAGCAGACGAGTTCAAAAAGGTCGAAATCAACCGGTAATGGGGGGTTCCTCGGTTCGGTCGTGACAGAACTGCCCAGCGTGAGACTCCGGAGGCTTGCTGCGACCCAGCAGAGCAAGAAGCCAACGGGCGTAACAAATTTCGTGCATGGGGAACACTGGCCCTTGCTGAATGCCTGGACAGCATATTGCTGTTCCAATCTCGGGCGCAGGTCTGGGTAGAGAAAAATGCAAGAAAGAGTTAAAAAAAAAAAGGTTGACAGATGAAGCTCCGCAGAATCAATGCCAAGAACATCACAAACTGGAGCCCGATGATTGGCTGGTCCCACAACCCAGGATCGGGCGGGCCCCGACGAGTAGACCAGCAAGTGTTTTGATCATATCCAAAGGTCAATTGATACTTTGCTGCATTGGATTGCAAATCATGTAACAGATCTTCTGCTTTGTTCTTTGAAAATGTTTTGTAAGAGGAAAAGCAGTTATACATGAAGCACACACGATGTGTTTACAACATACGGTCAGGATCACAAAAATTATCCATCTTTTCCGAAATGCTGTAGCACAGTGTCTTGCATGCGCCTCTGACCCAATGAAGAAACAGTCCTGCTCGGATAAGCCGAGCATCACAGGTGCGGTAATACATGATGCCCATTTCTCTCGCCAGATAGGAAGGCAGCAAAATGGGCGGTCGTAGGGCGGTCGAGAGATGGTCACAGAGCTTTGGTAAGAGTGGGAATTAGTGGTGCCGGAAACCCATGACCCGTCGCTGTCAGCGACTCTCCCACGGTACGAACTAGAATTGCTCCTAGAAAGTGAAAATTACAACTTATCTCCTAATTCCGCCATGGTCGATGCTAGTTCGATCTCTGCAGGTATCTAGCCCCGACAGATCACCCTTTGAATTTTTAAATAACAATCGTATGGACATGGGCAAGTGTCTTGGATTGCTGATTCCGATTCTCATTGATATATAACTACAGCCACAGCGTTTCTTCCAAGATGTTATAGCAAATATCTTGCGGCTGAGCTGCTGTTGGAACGCCTGTTGAGAATGAACGTTGTGGGAAGAATCTTATCCCAAACAGCAGCTAAGCCTTGCTGTAGCTCTCATGTTGATGTAAGGATGTTCTCCTTACCAGCAGAGGGTCTATCGATTTTCCCCTGATGATATCGAGAACCCAAAGAACTGGTCTATGTTCCGACGGTCATACGTTACAATTACCACTGTGATTCTTGGGCGCTTACTTCTGTTTCAAAATCTGACAAGATTTTCTCGCTCTAAGTATATCCTCGATAGAATAGATAAATTGTCTACCGTGAGTGCCCTGGATGAAGGGTAAGCAGATCCCTGAGCAACCATGAGTGCTCATGGAGCAATCCGTGACCACTCAGAGAGCATGCCGAAATAGTTGGCTGAATCAGATCAGGTGTGAGCTCGGTGACTAAGAGTCTGGTAAAAAAGACGCCTAAAATGGCGTCAAGTGGAGCCGTTTTCGGCGCCAAATTTACCGCCACCTGGCGTCGTGGTATAGATAGGAAATAACGCTTGCAACTATTCACTCTCTGTATCCTCATTCCCCATGAGCACACGTAAGGCGTTGACCCAGCGCATTACTTCGTGCTCCAGGGCTGTCAATTTTGCCATAACTGACATGAGACTGGGATCTTGGCTTTCTACTCGAAACTTCTCCTTGACCCGAACTTCTTCTCCATGCCACATGAATACATCGCCCGCCTCATCGTGCGCACGATGCCGAGATCCAAATATACGATCTCGCAGGGAGAATCCAGTCAAGGAGATATCCGAGGCGAAGGCAGTCGGCGTTTGTGTAATAGTATTGCTCTCGAGGGTACGAACAAGAAGAATTAGCGCCGAGTCTGCGATAGAGAGGTGAAATGAAAGATAAGGTGGGGGAGGAGGGTCAAAGATCTAATGCGGCAAACTTGATTAGCGAGGTCCATCTCGAAGCCACGTACAGAGAGCTTTCGGAACATACATTATCAGACGCACTCGTCTCCCACCAATTGCCTCGAACGTCACCATCCCCTTTCAGCATCTGCCTTGCCTCGCTGATGGTTTCATGCAGGAGATGCAGCTGGCTGAATATAAATCCCGCATTGAGAGGGTCGCCCGTGTATGTGCTCACGTCCACAATATCCAGACTTTGATTGACCAGGTTTCGGACCGAGACGAGTTGCTGCAGGACTAGATCTGGGGCACCGGGGGTTTGGGATAAGGTAAGGCGGGTACTGGGAGAGCCTCGTGGGGGAGGCAATGACGGAAGCCGAAGCTGAATATCCTACGGGATTGAGAACGCAAATCAGTTTTGTATGCCCTTAATCGCTTTTTCCCCAGGAGCTGGTAGATGAGAAGAGAAGATACATACCCCTTTCACCACCTTGGTTCCGACACGGGTCACGAAGCCCTTCACATTTTCCGATCGCAAAGACGATAAGACCAGAGTTGACCCTGGTTCCTGGGGAGCTAAAAGTGCTGCACACTCCTGCAGACCATCCTTCAGAGCAGTAAGAGATTCCTGCAGCGAATGTAGTAGCCACTCCAGCTCCCGAGCCTAAAAATTGAGAGTTAGCGAAAGCAAGCTCCACTATGATCCCTGGAGGCGATCATATCCAGCCCCGGGCGACCACGGAAGGCCCACCAGCTGCATCACAATTCCAGGGAGAATTATGATCTTGACGTACCAGTGTAGTGTCTGCCTCCTGGTTCAACTGGTCAGGGCCCAGTGGGGGGTATGCCCAAGTTGCCATTATGCCGGTGAAGATGGGTACTGGCTATGGCAAGCAAAAAACCAGTTGGGCAGGATTCGTTCAGATTCGGTAAGGTTTCGGCAAGGAGCACAGGCAGAAAGATTCAGGGTGATCACCTCTGTAGAGTTGATCCACGTCACTGCAGGCTCCGCCGAGAGGAGCAAAGAGAGGAGCTGTAACGTCGTTACTCCTCGTCACTTCGTCATGGACCACCGAGGCTAAGCCACATGGGGTTTAGTGTGAGCTTAGAGTCCGCGCTAGCCAAGAACAGCTAGCCGATCAGGTGCAAGCATGACGTTATGATGCTCACGATCTATGAAGTTGCGCCGATGATGCCCACACCGTTCTTATATCAGGAGAGGGGGCTCGCTGCCCCGGATAGGCCCGGCTCGTCCAGTTGCACGTTAATTTCGGTCCTTTTCCAGACCTCTGTTCCAACCCAAATTCAATTCCTCCTTTCTCAACCTCAATCATCGCATCTCCCCTGCCTCATTGGTACATCGGGCACCAACCACCGACCGATCGACTTCACAGGCAGCACTCCCGGCACTCGCATAAGTCTAACAGAAAGACCCAACTCATTCTTAGTAGCTAGTTTTGCGGCCCGCTACAGGGATCGATCACCATGCTTCTCAGCAGTAAGTGCTCTCTTCCGTCAGTCAGACTGACTGAGAAACCGGACGAATTTGCAGTATCCTAATGTGCAATTCTGTAACAGGAGCTTCTTTGGGCTTCTTGGGCCTTTTCTTTATGGCCAGCGCGATCCTCTTGATCTTCCTTACCCTTCTGGGCGGTGCGCGCAACTCGAACCCTCTGAATCAGATTTACTTCCTTCAAGCCGACACAAGCAACATCCCAGGCGCGCCGTCAACTTCACGCTGGACCTTCTGGAACCTGTGCAGCGTGACAAATGGCAAGAATGACTGCGGCAGCTCGCATCCTGACTTTCCCTTCGATCCCCCAAGCAGCCGGAATTTCGGCACCACTGAGAATGTCCCTTCGGAGTTTATTGGGTGAGTCGCGAATGAAACCGAATGCGAACTAGGCGCATGCTAATTCAAATGTCAGAACCAACCACTACTTCTTGACCTCTCGTTTCATGTTCCCTTTCATTATTATTGGCCTCTTCTTCGCCGTCCTCTCGCTCTTCACTGGTCTGTTGGCCATGTGCACGCGCATTGGCAGCTATATCTCCGGTTTCCTCTCTTGGCTTGCCCTAACCTTCCAGGTCATCACCACCTGCCTTATGACGTATGTTATATCTGAAACTTTTCCTAACTGCAAAGTACCCCCTGCTAATCTATCATAGCGCTGTCTTCGTTCAGGGCCGCTCGGCCTTCAGTCGCAATGGCCAGACTTCCAAGTTGGGGGTCAAGGCATTTGCGTTTATGTGGACTGCGAGCGCATGTCTCTTCCTCTCTTGCCTGATGTATTGCCTCGGCGGTGCTGTCGGCCGAAAGGAAAGTGGATATAGTGGTCGCAAGGAGCGTCGCCGTGGTTTCTTCTCCTCTGCCCGCTCAAATAGTGTGCGAAGCCAGAAGAAGGAGGAGTCCACCAACTATGCCTAAATGAGCTGCCTCTATGGACTATTTGACCGGGAGACCTCCTCTTTTTCAATGCCTGCTTCAAAAACAAACTCACCAGGCTCACGTTGATACCCCAATGAATTCAACGTCCCGCTTTTCCCGTACACGATTTCTCTTATGCCGTGATTCCTTGAGACTTCGTGCTTTCTTGGAATTTCTCCTCGATTTGGTTTAGCCTTGCTTATGTGCTTCTTGGTGATTCTCAATCCTTGATGTCCAACCTTTTGGTCCGCTCATTTTATGTTTTCACGAACTATGTTTTCACGATCGTTACTAATTACCCCAAATCGTCCCTATCCCACCCCATATTTGAGACGAGCCTCGGTTTGATTCTGGATCTTCCGAAGGAAACGTCGATCAATTGTTGACAAACTTCATGCTGCAATGCTTCTTTGACAACTGATCCATCTGGTATTTCCTATCTCCAGCTTTTAATAGTTGTAATATAATTTCTATTTGGCTCTGGACCATGTTCACAGGATGAAGAGAATGTGCCTATTTCGATATCTTATCCTGATCTTCGGTTCAGGACGTTATACGGAATCCAGGGATCCGCCGATGGTTGGGTCCCTGGGATAACCAAGTCTGGGAAAGCCGCTGCCCACGGTACAAACACACGGAGATATAATTTTATTGGCCACATCCATTCGAGAGTCTATATAGATCGGAGAACATAAGAGAAGAAAAAAAAACTGTGCGACTCCAAGAAGATAATGACGGGAACATAAACAAAGCATACCCTCTATCAATCATGCATGCATCATCACACCATAAGGAGGTCAATTTTAAAGAAGAAACATAATTTACGCAGAGCCGTTGATAGCGCCACGGACGGCAGACGAGCCACCGACCTCACGCACGGCGATTTGCAGACCCAGGTCGGGGTTGACGTGGACCATGACCTCAACCTTACCGCCGGCCTTGACACCCTTGACGGCGAGCTCGGCAACGGGCTTCTCGGTCTTCCAGACGATCTCACGGGTCTCCTCCTCTTCGTCCTCGTCGGAGTCAAAGTCGGAGTCATCCTCGTCGGCAGCAGGCTTCTCCTCCTTGGCCTTGGGCTCAGGCTTGGTGACCTTGATGTTACGGGCACCCTCGCACACACGGACAAGGACGTCACCACCTTCCTTGGGAACACTGTACTGGGCGATGCGACGAGCGGGGAGAGCGGTCTCGGCGCCGAGGAGGGGCTGGAAGGTAGTGTCGGTGTTGGAAGAAAACTCAATACCAATGGCCTTGCTGAGGTGAGGAGTAACAGTCACCATGGGGTGAATAGACTGCTCAATGTCCTCACGGTCAAACTCCTGCACGAGAGAGGCTTGGAAGGCGGCACCACGGGCAGAGAGCTCGGAGGGGTTGATGGCGGAGGTCGAGGTCGAGGGAGCCAGGATGGTGGTCGTCTCAGGGAAGATGTTGGCAGCCAGCTGGGCAATCTTGGGGGTGTGGGAGGCACCACCGGAGAAGATGACCTAAATGAGAAAAATTAGTATTCTGCATGGAGAACCGATTTGGTAAAACTTTTGTGACCGTACCTCATCAATGTCAAGGACGTCAAGCTCAGCCTTCTTGACAACCTGCTCAATCAGACCAGTGAACTGAGCGAAGACCTTGCCGGAGAGGAGCTCGAAGCGAGTACGGTTCACGGTGGAACCAAAGTCAATGCCATCGGCTAGAGACTCAATGCTCAGCTGAGCGTTGGCGCTCAGGCTGAGGGCCTTGCGAGTGCCCTCGCCCTCGAACTTGAGCTTAGCCAGACCACGGGCGTCCTCGCGGGGGTCAGTCTTGTGCTTCTTGATGAACTCCTTCGCGAAGTGGTCGATGATGATCTGGTCCAGAGAGGCACCGCCAAGCTCGTAGTCGTGAGCAGTGGCCAGGATAGTATACATACCACCGCGGCAAGCAATGACGGCAACATCGGAACGGGTGCCACCAAGGTCGGCCACGACAACCAGCTTGTCGGTGACAGTAGCCTCCGGGCGGGCATCATAGGCCATGACAGCCGCGACGGGCTCGGCAATGAGCTGGAGGACCTCAACACCGGCAGCCTTGGCCGAAGCGACAAGGGCCTCACGCTGAGCATCGGTGAAGTCTGTGGGGACGGTGATAACGGCGGCGTTAACCTCTTTGCCAAGGAAGTCGGAGGCAGACTGCTTCAGACGGCGAATGTGACGGGTTGCAATTTCTGAGACAGTGACAGTGTTGCGGGTCTCGCTCTCAGTGTCACGGATGGTGAAAGCCACAGTCGAGTCGCTCTGCTGGGGGTGGGCGGAAGCGTGGCATGGGGTCGGGTCGATAGACTTGAAGTCCTTGCCAAGGTAGTCCCGGAAGTATGCGACAGTGTTGCTGGAGTTACGGATGAGCTGGGCCTTGGCTTGGGCGCCGTGATACTCCTCGCCGTCGATGTAAGAAAGGATGCTAGGGATTTGACGGTCTGAAAGAGTTAGATGAGAGTGCTCATATTTAAGCGCGGGGTTCAGAAAACCATACCTCCCTCCTCGTTCGCAATAACCTCAGCCTTGCCCTCCTATATGATAACATTAGTTGCTTGCCATTGGTATGAAGTAGGTATAGAATGGGTATTTTCGGACGTACAGGCGAGATGCGGGCAATTGAACTGGACGAGTTGCCAAAGGAGATACCGATAGCGAAACGCTCCGCCTCAGCGGACACACCGTTGGCTGCATCAACCATTTCGAATGTGTGAGAGAAAATTAATATATCACAAGTGAAGAGAAAATCTCCGCGTCACAATGTGTGCAGAAAGAGGTCGGGGGTTGACCGGTGAAGGAGGGATGTCTCGATGGAGAGGGGGAGCCAAATCGAAAATTTTGAAGATTTTCGGCCAAAAGTGGCTGGTGCTTATCGATAGTGCTGTGGCGCAGCCGGTGGACCTCTCCAGATTCTACAGTCGCCACATAGAGCACTCTGTACGTTTGCTACATTCTCAAATGGCTTTTGCTTTTTTTTATTTATTCGATTCGATTTAACAATTATTCCAATGCATTCTATCGATAATCCCACTAGTCGTCAAGAGCAAGGCGAACAGCCTTGGCCAATGTATCATGACCAATTGTCGATACGTGGAGATAATGGAGATACGAGCCCTTGGCCCCTGAGATTCCAAGCCCAATTGTTTGATTCAGGATGGATTATAAATCCTAGTTGATCTGGAATAGACTATACCCAATGCCTGTACGATGTACATCAGACCTAGGACAAGATGAAGAGTGGGTCGGACTAAGGCAGGGCGCTCAGACTGGTCACGTGGTATATAAGGCGGGCAAACTTTTTTGATGCGGCGGGCATGTGACGACAGTGCTTGAAGCTGGCCGCATTATTGAATTCTCTCCTGCAAACTCAGCTTGATCTTCCTCGTCAAGATTTTCCAAGCCAGGAGCTCTCGAATAAATTTCCAGAGCTCTGACCGGCATCATGTCGACACCCCTGATCCTGCTTCCCGGTGATGAGGTGCCTAGCGACCGCCTGCCCTCCGACAAGTCCAATCCCCTCAAATTAGGCCCTGGCCTTCGTCTTTTGTCGCAACCCTCGTCCAAATCCGCAACTCCAAGTCATGTCCTTACTGCAACCCAGGCTGGTCTCGTTACAACGGATGTCAAGCGCAATACAGTCTCGCTTCTTTCATTCTCTAATCGCCGATACATCCCCACCGTGAACGACCTTGTCATTGCTCAGATACATCATTCCAGCGTCGACTATTTCCACTGCATTGTGACCCCGCACACTGCACATGCCCTCCTGGGCCAACTGTCTTTCGAAGGCGCCACTAAGAAAACAAGGCCCATGTTGAAACAGGGCGAGCTGGTCTATGCGCGAGTCTTATCGGTCGGACTTGGCGCCGGTGCAGAAGTTGAGCTTACATGCGTCAACCCCGCGACCGGAAAGTCTGAGCCAGGTGGATTGGGTCCTCTTGTGGGCGGAATGGTGTTTGATGTTTCCACGGCCATGGCAGCTCGTTTGATCCGGGCTAGCTCCTCTTCAGCTGACAATGACGACGGCATTGATGGGCTTGTGGTCCTTTCTGAACTTGGAAAGAAGCTTGAGAGCCTCGGCGGATTCGAGATCGCTGTTGGTCGCAATGGCAAAGTCTGGGTTGACTGCTCCAATGCCGAGGACCATGCTGTTAAGGCAACTATTGCCGTTGGGCGGTGTTTACAAGTCACCGATGAGAATAACCTCAATATTACGGATCAGAAGAAGCTGGTAACAAGAATACTGCGTGAGATGAAGCTGGCGTAGTGATCATGCGCCCCACTTTCGTGATTTGAAATTAGGAGTATGGGTATCGGGAGTATTTTGGTTTGCTGTATACCAGGAGCATTTTGTACATATATTGAGCATTTTCAGAAAAGCAACAGCGGTACTTCAAGTTCACCTTGATCTTGATTATTACTGATACGCCCAGTGCTCTTCCCGGTATGCAATCTTAAGTCGCGGCATGGACAAGTTGGTCCTCTAACTTGGTTAAATTTTCGGTAAAAAGATGAGAAGAGTTGAAGTATGCGAAAGAGACTCATAGGCAGTGGGATAGAATGGCCACTCAAATATCTGATGATGAATCCTTGGGAAATCATACTTCAATTTGACACAAATGACATCTAAAAGCAAGTACCGAATTATTTCTGGGTTGCAACAATATGATCGATGTACGAAGATGTCAATGTAGCTGCATAGATTGGGCGGTGAACAGGCGGTGAAGATCTGATCTGCCGGGAACCGCGTTCGCCAGTGATAAATTTTGGGGACTTTATTCCCCATGACTTTACTTTCTCCATTGGACGCGATCATGGCAGTACACGCATCATCCCAGTCGCGTGAAATGGAAATTCCCGAAAGCTCAGGTATTATTCTGCAATCTGTTCATTTTGTTAATTTGAATTTGGAAACCTGACGCTTCGCAGTTGAGTCCTCTAACCTCCTGACAAAGGATCGATCAAAGAAGTCGCGCAAATCCAAGAAAACAATCCCACCGTCGTCAACTGACTCCTTAATCCCTCATGATGGCGAATTGTCAAACCGAAAGCGGAAGTCTGAGTCTCAATCTGGGCAAAAAAAGAAGAAAAAGAACAAGAAGCACGAGCACGAGGATAATAAAGCAGAGAGCGATGCAGATGAGGACTCGACTGCCCTGAATGGCAATGGACTATCTCTCCAAGATACAGAAAAGGGTGCCATTACAAATAAAAAGAGAGTATCCAAATCTCGAATGGGTGGCAAACACAACCTCAAGGTTGGATTCTTCACTAAAACTGAAGTTGAAGCCTTGGAGGCGCACAAAGTCAGATTTTGTAATATGCATAATTTCACTTCAATCAAGTTTGATGAGATGGTCCAGCACTCTGAACGATCTGGAGATGACTGGCCGTGTCTAAGCAGCATCTGCACAAAAACCGAGTTCTGGAACGAAATATACGACATTATTCCCGATCGAGACCGCCGGTCTGTATATCGTTTTATGCGACGACACTTCCAGGACTCTATGCAGAAACCTCATGACTGGACACCCGAGCAAGATCGGGAGCTTATCGATTTGGTGGAAAAGCACGGGCCAAAATACGCGTTTATTGCTAAGTTCCTTGGTCGCAGCGATGATGACGTGACGCAGCGATGGAAAAATCGGCTCGAACACCGGAAAACTATGCGTTATGGAGGATGGACTGAGCCTGAGATTACCGCCCTCCTTGGCGCTTTGGAGGATGTCTGGAATGCTCTGCGATCGACAGCTCCAGATATTGCTGGCAAGGACATTTATGAGATGGAGGAGAAATTTATTTCATGGAGTAATGTCAGCAATGCCATGAAGAACGTCCGTTCTCGGCAGCAATGCGCCGATAAATGGCGCAAGACTCGACAGAACGTCCTGACTATACGTGCCACCACGGATCCAGATGCTGTATTCGACCCTAAAGTCATGACTGCCCCGTCTAGTAGGTGGGGAGCATCGATGAATGTGAAGAGCAGCCAATATGTTGCAGATGCTGAAGATAGTGAGAATGAGGGCCCTAGCATTCCGGTGACCACACCGAGACCTGAATCGACAAACAAGAAGCAACAATTAGATCTTGCGAATGTTGCGGAAGAGGGCTCTATCGAAGATTCGTCTGCCGAATCTGGTGACGAGGAAGAACCCCGTGTCATATCGTCAGGAAGGGATAATACAAAGAAACAGCAATTTCAGAGGGCCTACAAGAAGGAAGCGATTTCCGACGAAGACTCGGACAGCGACGACAGCACAGTTTCTTCGACCGACTCCGACTCCGACTCCGACTCCGACTCCGATAATGATAGTAATAGTGAAGCGCCAAATATTAAGCTGGAAAGTGTCATAGATTCGGACTAAGGAGTTGGAGTCGCGAATATGCTCATCAATGTCTGTCAATCTAGCGTGTTGTATTATTATGTCACTCTACAAACGAATTTCAACTCAAATACGGAGTTCAATAGATATCATGAAAAAAAGGATCACGAAAAATGCGCTTGTACAAGTAATGAACTGGAAATAAAACAGCAAAAAACAGCACCTCGTCTAACACGACCTATCTATAGTTCATCTTTTCTGCTCTCATCCTCAGGTTCAGCATTCTCGGCAACATCATCCTCCTTCAAAGCTGCCTCCTCTCCAATCTGCCCAAATCCATCTTGCTCAGCAGCCACCCGCTTCGCTAGTGCGGCAATCGCATCATCGTACACTGTCCATTCCGGAACCTGTCTCCTAGCACGGGCCAGCTTGGGTTCCTTGGTCTGCGGGTTATTACAGAGGTCAATAGTTCGGGCCGAAGCCAGGTCTTCATCAGAGCACCAGGTCTCGCACCACAGCCACTCCTGCGGCAAACTGTGAATCGGGATATGGTGCTGCATGTGATTCGGCAGATCTTGGTCCAGGTTACTCAGGCTGTTCGGGTCCGCCGAGAGCATCTGGTACTGGCCTCGGAGGCGGTCGCCGGCCGCGAGGGCGCGGAAACGGTTCAGGTCGACAACATACAGCGCGGAGATGTGGTACGGCTTGCCACGCAAAAACGTGCTCCAGTAGCCCTGTTTCCAAAAGCGGAAGCCCTCCATCTCCGTGCGTGAATCTCCCATCGGAGTAAAGCCGTACGGTGCGCCCTCGAGGTCATGCGTCACGAGGTCGTACATGTCGGTGCGGACGATTTGGTCCGCGTCCACAAAGATCACTTTGTCGAGAGAAAGTGGGAAGAGCACGTCTAGGAAGAGAATTTTGTAGCCCCAGATCTCGCGCTGCTTCTCTTTCTGTGGCCGCAGCCAATGTGGCCATTTGTATGTGACCATCTCATAGGAGAAACCGTATTCCTGGGCAAGGTGCGGGAGGAAGGCACGGAAGGACGGAGACAGAAATTGCTCGATAAACCAGAATTTCACGGTATGCTTCGTGTGTTGCATCACCGATACCATCATGATGTTCAACATACGCTCGTACAGGTGTCCACTGGCGACAGAAAAAATATTAATGTCGGCTTGTTGCTCACTGCTTTTAGAACCCATTCCCACGCTAGATAGAATGCCTGAGGCGAAATTGAAACCCTTGGAAAGGTAGTCGCGTGTCGAGCCAGGCTGAGTACCTGTCTCCAATACGTCTTCTTCTTCATAGCCCGGTTTGCGAGAGAAACGGGGGAAGAGAGTACGACCTTGGAAGGACAAGAGGCTGACCTCATTATTATCATCACCAGGCTGGGGTTGATATCCTAGGGCGCCAACACTTTCGATTTCGAACAACTTCTCGCTACGGCCAGGCTTCAGGTTGATCTGCCATATACCGGGCTGAGCCTTGAACTGGAAGTACCCCAGGTTGGCCATGATGATGGTGTCAGCAAAATGAGAATCATCTTCTGTACCCAAAACAAGTTGCACTCCGCGAGGCGGAGTCTTGAGGGTGACATCACGAGAGTGGCCCTCAATCAAGATATGTTCCAGGGCATAGATAGCTTCAACATTGACACCAGGCTTGAGAGAGCTCAATTTAATGTTATCCGGATCATAAACTGATTCCTTAGGTGCCACGAGCCATGACGAGGGTACATCCATACCCAACGTAAGCAGTGCTTCAATAGGCACGCCAGTAAAGGAGGCTTGGGGTCGGGAAAGAGACCCATCACTGGTGAATGAAGGCTCCGACTCTAGAACGTATCGGTAGAAACGCTTAACCGGTAGTTCCTTGATCTCTTCCTTGGGGTTCAGGAAGATCTTCAGCTGGACGCCGGACAGTTCGGAGAGGACCTTGAGAATAGGCAACCATCGCTGAGCTGGCTCAGATGCGGGGTCTAGTACGGCAACAACATTGATAGATGGATCTTCAGAATTAGAAACGGTAATCACAGAATGATCAGTCTTCCATTTCTCAGATATGTCCAGTCGGAAGTCTGGCATGGACTCGAAAATTCCTTCAGGAATATCGGAGATGGTGGAAAGCGAAACCAGAGAAGTCAGCTTGGCGAGGTCAAGAGCCTTAGAGAGCTTAGTATTCAATCCCAACGACAGAGCAGCTTGTGCAACCGGCTCAATGCGCTTGGTACGTTCATAGGCGACAAGTTGGCCGATCTCGCCCACACTCAGGAGCAGATTTTCTGGAATACGGCTCACAGCCCGGCCGTTAACGATCAGACCTTCTGTACCAGGCTTAAACCCAAGTTTTTTAGCGAGTTGGTGATGAATATGTGCAGCTGCGCGAACTTCAGATTCATTGAAGTCGTCAGAAGACTCAACAGCGGCCAAGATATGGTCGATATTTTTGCCGCTGGAGACGGCTCGTTCGATTTTGCTCAAATTTGGTGCCGCCGCTTCAGAATCAGGACCATTATGCAGCAAGAGGAGTTCAATCTCGCCATTCTCTTTTCTGAAGTTGAGAGCGTTGACAAGAAGTTCCGAGCCGGCCTCCGAGTCAAAGTCGCCGACAACAATGATGTGAATGCCACCAATAACGTCCTTCTCCGGTTCGATCTGGGGGATCGCACCTAAGACACTCACATCCGATTCAAAAATATTGGCCAGATCCACAATCCGAACACTCTTGGGGTCCTCCGGCATGAGGAAAATGTTCCGGGTTTCAAATGCACCGGCCAGATAGAACCCTGGCAACCAAATATCCTCCTGGAAGACACCCTCGACAACACCTTGTTGGATCAATTTCAGATCTTTGCCAATTTGCATGCTCATCTCCTGCATCCAATTGCTCTCGCGGGAAATGGGGACACCATTAGCGAGTAAATAAGTAACATCGGAGGTCAAGCCCAAACGGCGCTGGTAATTGGCCGTGCGCGACACTATGGTGTCGTACTGCCCGTTCTTCTGCACTTCCTCTAGAGACATGATCTCCTTATCAGCACGAGGATTCCGATCTTTAACAGCAGCATTGAAGGAAGACTTGTCAGGGCTCCCCGCGTTTGGCTTCGAAGCACATGCTTCTAGGTAGGAGAGCAGAGAAGCCAGCCCATAAGTCTCTTGGAGATAGTGAGCCACTTTCAGCTGAGCGATAGACTCTGGCGAAAAAACCGTAGGAACTAAGCCGAATCTTACGGGGATCATTCGCTTGATGAAAGTCTGAATCTGGTTGACGACTAGCAGCATGTCCTCCGTGTTGGACAAATCCACTGGAATGATGACATTATGCAGGTCGCGGCGAACTGGGGGCAGCTGTCCAGGGTAGGCACTAGCAATATACTAAACAAAATCAGTACTGTACTCGAGATGTTGATGGGTGTGGGGAGCATACCGATTGCAGATCACCCATCCAGGATTCGTAACGCGAATCCTTCTCCAGGTTGTTCATCCAGATAATAACCTCGCCACCTTCCAAGTTGTCACGATAGTCATATCGTTGCAAATCGTCCTCGGCCTGCGACTGGGCAAGAGTTGGGTGGGACAAAAGCTTGACGGCTTCCTGGGCAGTAAGTCCAAGGTCACGGAATTTATCAATCAGTCGCCTCTCACGGCGAAGGTGGTCAAGCAGAGAGAATGCATCGATTTGCCGGGAATCAATCTGTACACCGTTGATCCACATAACATTGTAACCATCCGGGATCATGCGCGCCCGGTTTTCACGAATTTCATTCCGAAGCTCTGCTGTAGCATTGTGGGAAGCAATAGAAGAAGAGTACTTAGGGAACCCCTGTGACAATTTGATGAGCGTGTTCAACGGATCCTCACTATCCATAACAAAGGCGGCCGAGTTCATGCCCAATCTAGAGACCTCAGAAGAAGAAAGCGGACGAAGGTCATCCGGAGCATCCTCCTTAAGTTCCTCAGAGTCGGCTGGAGCATTGACCTTGGCCTCTGCATCACGGTCGTCAATGACAATATAGTCTGTCCGTTTCAGAGCAAGTTCCACACCATACCCAGAAACGAAAAGGGGACGCTCGACCCATTGTTGAGGAGGCCGGTAACGCACTCGATAGGAAGCCTGCCCATTTCGTGCCATATCGCTAAGAGTTTCGTGGAAGTCTTTGAACATCGGGGATGATATATCGGTGTAAAGAACGGCAGGTGGAAGCGAGGCGTCGCCAAAAATACGATCGAACGGCAGTTCCCTAGGATCTCTGTAGTAGTACGCCCAATTCCAACGTCAGCCATCAGGTCAAGCTCTCAGTGCACAGAAGAAACACCCACAGTTCACCTTCAACATCTTGCTGCGCGCGCTCCATTGTCGAGGAGCAATACTGCTTTCCTTCTGAATGAACCCAAACCGGGCAAGCAGCATCCTGTGCAGCCATCAACGACTGCTGCACCGAGGTATTATAAAATTGGTAGTGGGCTTGAATCCTAGGCGCTGATGATCGGATAGACAGCGATAACTTAAAGGAGGAAAGGCTTTCTGGTGTACGTAGATGGCCATCTTCATGGACGACCTGCAGGAAGCGGTCATACAGTTCCCTCTCGGAGCTCGCATCTTCGAAGTCACCATTGGCAATACGGTCGAGCAATGGGAAGTAAGAGGTAGAATTTTCTTCGGCGGCGGTTTCTCTAAGCACATCGATTAGTATGCCCATTGCGATACTCTGCGGCATTTGAGACATAAGCGCACAAGGCGTCACTCGTCAACATACAGAAGCTCGACCAGGTATGGCGAAGAGTCGAATGATGCTTGAAGAGCCACATTCACTGCTGGGCTAGCATGTGCTAGGCATGCTGGTAGCAAAACTCCCATAGCAGCGTACCAACGCCACGGGGCATGCGATTTCGAGGAGACCATCTTGCAGCAACGGACGGGAGAGAAAGAATGAGTATATAGGTTATGTAGGGGAGAACCCCTTGGGGCAATTTTGTCACAATTATCGGTTAAGCGATCTTCTACTCAGTCAGGGCAAAGACCAGTGACAGATTGACGCGCATCACGGCCAGGCGAGCTCGGCGCTTCTCACAAAACAAACGTGAGATCGTTGCGGATCTGGACACTTGGATGATTCGCTATCTTATCGCAGCTTCTACGGTGGCCATTGCGGCAACTTTGCGCAATCTTCAAAGTACCGCCTAAAGAGACTGGACCCCACAACAGTTTACATGGTAAATGGGATGTTTACAGAAGCTGACTTACGCAGGTACAAAGAAGAGTGAATTTTCAAGAAAATTTCTGATTCGGTTCCAGAATACTTTTGGTTTGAATGAAAGAAAACAGTTTATCCTGCTCCACCTGAAAATTCGCCTGGCTGGATGATCGTAAACACATGATATCGTAAAGTAGAGAACATTTAAATGCTCCTGGCGCCAGACATTGCCTCCCATAGTAAATGCAAGGTCCGAGTGCGCCCAATGCTCCGAAAATGAAGACAAATAATCTTCAAAGTATATGCAATCTGCTTGGCCCTCTTTTTCTCCAGAGTGACAGGAGGCCAAGTGTATGTGATGTGAAGGAAAAGAAGAGGATGCTGAGTCATGGCGGAACAGTGAAATAGCAAATAGGGTTTGTGAGTGTTTATGTGTATAGAAGCCAGCTTTCTCGTGTTTTTTTGGGTTTTATTTTTTCGTTTCGTTTCGTTTCGTTTCTTAATCCCAATCAAGAGCCATCGGAGGTGGATACATGGGATTGAGAGTTCTTGCGGCTGTAAGCATCACGAATAAGACGCTCACGCTTCTCCTCAGTGATCTCGAAGATGGAGCTCGGTGCAGAGCTTTGCTGGCTACCAGGCCGAGCAACCAGCGTAGTGGTGGACTTCATCTTCTTCAAGTTGCGAAGTTTCGCTGCGGGGCCCAGAGCTCGAATTTCGCGGCCCAGGCGCTCAAGAACAGAGCCTTTGCTCTCCTTGTCCTTGGGAAGGGGAAATTGGGGAAGGGGCTTATCAATGACTCCTTCGGCAACACTGATCTCGGTGCCGGAAGAGCCAAAGCTACAGCCAGAGTCGACCTTGCGGCTCTTGCTGCGGTACGGGGCACCGGCTTCTTCCAAGTGAGACGGTTCGTTGACCAACACGCACTCATCAATGACCTCGTTGACGAGGTTGAGGTAATTCTCCAAGGTGTCGTGAACCAAGGGCCAGGAGTTGTCTTTGCCTTCAGGCGCGCCTTGCTGAATGATAGCATACAAGGACTCGGTGCCACGAATTTCAACATTGTTAATGACACGGAAGAATGCATCCCGGTGCATCTTGAGTATTTGGTAGGTCAACTGAGGAGTGGGAGTCGCAGAGGATGGAGAAACAGGCGGGTAGAGGGTGTTGAGCATGGCAATATGATTGACCTTGTTTTGAGGTTCCAAAAGCAGGTCATTGATGAGAATCCACCGACGCAGGCCAATGTAAATCTGAGTGTACAAGGCCTCAAGCTTGCGAGCTTTCGTGTTGATTGACCCAAGCCAGGCCATCACGCCGGGATACTGGAGAGCCAATTCCGAAAGGGCTGGGTTCTCAGCATCATCACGCTCGATATTCAGGCGCTGCACCGCCGAAGACATCTCCTTCTTCCAGCGGGTTTCCAGGTCCTTGATGTAATCAAGAGCCGTCAACGCCTGGGGAAAGTCCACGCACTCCAATTGAGCAGGGAAGCAGCGGCGGAGAAAGGAGGTCAAAAAACTTGGGGGAAGAGAGCAGGGTTGGGAAGGCAGGCGGGCGATTTGGTTGATGAGCTGGGAGCGAAAATCGGCGGCGGCATCAATGCCATCCTGCGAGGAGCCCGATGAACGAGTGGAGGTGGAGCTGCGGGGGGTGAAGGCGGTTTCGTTGTTTGGGAGGGGCTGCTTGGTCGGATTACAGTTGAGAGTGTACATGGTTCTCAAAGGAAGTTCATAGGATCCAGGGTAGCGGAGACAGTGGTCAAAGATCCAAGTGAGGGCGACGCCATCAGGGCTCGCAGGAGACTGGGGTGGAGACATGATGCACAAGATAACTGAGTAAGCTGTGCAACGCGGGCGGGGGAAAGAGAGCGTTATGTGACAACCCGAGGGGATGTGCAGGCGATCTTATCGAAAGATGAAGCAAAGCGGCCAGAAAATTGGACGGTCAAGATTGCATAAATAACAATGCTCAATCAAGCTTCCGAAGGCTGGGACGGTTCAAAACACATCAAAGGGGGTGTGAAGCGTGTGAAACGTCTGAGCAAAAAAAAAAATCAAGAGGCCGGTTAAAGTTCAGTAATGAACGGATCAAATGGATCAGATGCGCATCACACTGGCCATGCTCCGTTGCAAACCAGTGGCAAGTGGGATGTGGCTGAGGGAGAGGAAGGAGGTATGTCAGGGCAAGACTGAAGGAGCTGAAAGAGGTGGTAGGTTGCAATGTCTGAGATGTCAGAGCAGGTTGGAGAGTTTAAGGACGCGAGGGGCAGCTGGAATTCGGCAATGTCGTTGGTTGATCTGACACGACGCAGCTGCAAGATCGGATATCGGATCTATGCACGTAGACAACAAGCAAAAAAAAAAAAAAAAAGAGGCAACGAAGATTGGTTTTTTTTTTTTTTCGTCGTATTTTCTTCTGTTGAGTTTGGGAGGCTTGCACTTTTTCTCTCTCTAGGGTCGAAAGGAAGGTGTGAGCTGGTGAGACACGTCTCACGTCTCAGATGAACGAAAACTTAGGAGAGTATTTGGAAGGGGTTCAAGAAAATAGAAACGAGTATGTGAACGAAGGAATATTGTTTACAGGAAAGAGAGACAGAATGACAGGACGAGAGAGATGGGGAGAGGTGGGAGAAGGTGGAAATGGAAGATGAGGAGGAAGTGGGCATAAGAAGAATCGTGGGCGTGTGGATGTGTGGACGAGTCCAGGGCGAGTCCGGGCCTGTGCAGTCTGGACCGCCGCCGGTGGAGTCCGATTCGACTCGTTCACCACCCGATTTTCCTTCCTACTCCTCCTCCTCCTCCTCCTCCTTCTCCTCCTCGCACCCCCACTCGGCGGGTTCGAATCCGTTCGGATCCATTCCAATCCATGAAGTCGGTTTGATCCTGGTCCCGTCCTAGTCTCCAACCAATCTCCTCCCATGCCAATCCCCGACAGCCATCCGCCCGTTGTGATCCAGCTCCACTCTGCACCCAGCCGACTCCCTCACGAAGGCAACCGAGGCAGGAAAAGACAGCCGTTGGCCTCCCGCCCTTCCGGATGGCCCACTTGGCGTCCGTAGAATCAACACGCTAGAGGGCAGTGCCCGGCGCGGTACGCGGTGTCTCGCGCAGCGTTCAGCACCGAGGAATTGGATACCACTGCGTTAGCGCACCTAGCGCATCCACGTCCGGGTCCTGGGGAATTTTACAGCCGTTGAGGCCCAGGGACAGTACTTTCAATCATGGTACCTTTGTTGTTCTTTCCCGTCCAAGGTCGCACCCAATGGGACTGATCAATCCTCCATGGGGCTGCCCCCATCTGCTATTCCCCTCACAATGCATCATCCAGGGGCCCGCTATGCACCTGGTGAGCGCAGAACGCGCCGCCCCCGAAAGCGAAAAACAAACAGTCACACGTTTCTCCCCTCGCGACTTTTGGGAGGCGAAATTCACTCCAATGGCTCAGTTGGGTAGGCTGCAAGATTCGTGTTTTGCCATGGCCACTTTGAGGATGCAAATATAGACTGGTCTTTTTTTGGAGGCATGCGTCAGCGTCCGCCTTCGCCGCGGAGGCGAAACAGTGCCTCTTTCCCCTCGATCTGTGGGGTGGGACCACGCAATCTGGACGGACCATAGCCTCGGAGAACCGAGAGCCCTTCACTGGCACCTGGGGGCCGCCCTCCCGCCTGCAAGTCCTGGAACAAAGAAAAAAGGACATTTTGGAGGAGTCAAGTCATCAAAGGAAGGTTTTCTGCGGGAACGATATCAAACTATGACAAGTAACACCATCTCGTTTCCGATCGAGCCATGGAGGAATTCTGCGCCATCATCGGCCTCCCACAATAAACAACCGGAATCGGAGGACTCGCCCGTGGTTCTTGCCTTGTCATCCCCGCCCGACCCACGAAATTGCCTTTGAGGCGATGCGGTACCTGCGTTGTTTCAGACTGCTGCGATTTTCACTCTTCCACAACACATGATTTTCTTTTCTTTTTTTTCTGCACTGACAGATGACAGGCGAAGAAAAATTTTCATCTCGACGGTGGCTCAAATGAGCTCAATTCCTCCAAATCTTCCCGTCTTCCGGTTTCCCGGTAATAATTTAGCCCTAACCACATTCCGTATGTCTGTGCTCGTCCAATACCCAACACAACCCTCAAAAGCCATCCTTCGCCCCCTCTCTCCTCCTCGCCCTCCTGGTGGATCGGTGACAGAACCTTCTCAGATCGGGTTAGCTCGGGCACATGTGGGGCCTCAGGCCTCATTCCCACGGTGCGACGAAAAACAATAAAAAAAAAAAGAAGAAAAAGCACCCCGAAAGAGGTCCAGGCACTGTGATCTTCGTTCCTTCATTTTAACCGGCTCGGGTGGATACGTCAGACCCTGTCTCGATTACGAGGGTGATCGCAGCGTAGGACTAGATGGCGATCATAACATCATATTTGTGCCGTTGAGGCTTTCCCCCTTAACCCCCTGAGCACACCCCCGAACCGAGTCCCAGGTTCCTGGGTTATCCATTGCGATGATCGAATTCGAATTGTGTTCCGAAAGGGGGTATGATAAGAAGGTTGATCGAGATCAGGGTCGGATGGGGCCGGTCATGGCTTTGCGCTCTCGTCTGCCTCGGTAGCGACAAGGTCATGTGTTGCGTGAGGACGGCGTCGACTAGAATTGGTCAGGCCGAATCTTCATTTGGACCTGTTCGATTCGGCAGGGGAGGCCGTGCCGACCCAAATTTTGAGGCTGTTTGATCGGTATAGGATAGCTTTCGGGTGGACATGCCGCCTCAATTTTCAGAATGACTTTCAGCGGAGCGGGATGACATGGCGGTGAAAGCGCACAACGGATCCTTTCATAGGATGTCGCGAACTGTTTTAGGAGTAGTGGAATGGTTTTATCTACATATCATTATGAGTATGGCCAAATAAACATAGCTTCTAATAGAACATTCCTGGATCTTATTAGTTGGTGAACGATTACCTAAACAGGTGCTGTGGTCCAATGGTTAAGATGACTCGTTGTGGCCGAGTTGGTCCCGGTTCGATTCCGGGCAGCGCCAATTTCTTTTTGCAGGTCCTTTTTTTCCATAAACAGCAAGTCTTGCAAGGTTACTACCCTCAGGGTAGGGCCTGTTATCAGGCAATAAGAAGGTGAATGACAGAATCGATGATACATAATCACGAACCAAAAATGGAGTCTTTCTCTGATTGCCTACAGTCACATCAAGTATACGCTTCGGCTCCCAACTAATTCTATGTAGCATCATCAGTCTTGGTAGTTCTCTAATTGAAAACATGATCATATGTATCATTGGTGTGAATGAGATAAGCAATGCCGTTATGAAGTCAGTACGGTAGAGTAATATTCGCCATGTCAGCAGCTTGTTCTCTCTAGGCAATAAGAGGAGCCAGGTGGGTGTTCATTGTGTGTATAGACTGAAGGTAAGCACATTATGAAGTTATTATTGAGTTCACTCGCAGTAGGCTTCTATCACTCCCGATGAAGACGAAATAGGAGGACAGGGCACCTGTTGCACGTAGCCTACACTATTATTTGGATTTCATACTCATATTAGTTATCTTATAGAACATTGGGACTTGGTCAGAGATCTAGTTCGGCCGCCTCTGTTGCCCTTAAGTATGTCATTCACGGTACTTAGATATGAAGGGTCATAGTAGTAGTATTTGTAGTGATTTGAAAAAGAAAAACACTGCACTGCCGGATTGTATTTCTTGGGATGCTACTTGCAGGGTAGGGGCGTGTTGGTCAGGTAAGGAAAGATTGAATATCGATATTGAATCGTTATAGAATCGAGGGAGAGTAGCAAAGGCGTATTATTCCAATGACTGAATCTCTTCAGAGATTCAGTTCGAAAAGAAGTAGAATTCTCCTATGTCAATGTTGATGTGGTTATTGCACTGTTCGCTAAATATATGACGATAATAGGATCCGACTTTGTCATATTCCGGTAAGCGCACATCATTTTATTTCAATAAGCGTGTGTGTTATACATATACGATTCGTATCCGAAGTCAACCCGAATAACATCAAGAATTATACATCTGGTGGTTCCATAACACAAACGAGTATAATGTGTAAGGAAACGCGCCTCTGAATTGTAGAGCCATCACTTTGAACGCTATTGATTACGTTCACTACTGAGATACACCCTACAGATTATTTACTATCAAGATTATAAGCTTTCACAACCTATTTTTAGTATATGATTTCAAAGAAGGACATTTAACAAGATAGAGGGTTACACTGAAGCTCATGTGACAAAGATGCGCCCACCCTATCACTTATCAGGTGCTGTGGTCCAATGGTTAAGATGACTCGTTGTGGCCGAGTTGGTCCCGGTTCGATTCCGGGCAGCGCCAGAATCTTTTTGCACATGGCTCATACACCATAATCGAACCAACCTCATTTTTTTCTTCTATAAACCCCATCCATATGCATACATATTTTCTCTCCTTCTTTTTTGGCCCTCATTGGCTCTGCCCAAGTTCAGTATTTATCAGATATTTTCAATCTCGACTTGCTCAGCACAACACTTTTCACGGGATATGGGCCCAGAGATTCAAAATGTCCTTGGTCCATAATCTCCACGATCCCCCGGAAACCGATCAAATTTTTTGTTTTATGAACGGTCATTTTCTGACCTTCAAATCCGACACGATCATCGATACTAATAACACTTTGTGAAAGCTTTGCTTGCCAGCTCTACATAATTATATTTCCTCTTGTTCAAAATTTTACGAAGCTAGATGGGCTTAAAAACAATCACACCTCCGACGAGGCACTTAGCCCCGAAAGGGATAACAGCCAGCCTTTGACCGGCTCAGGAAGCACGATCAAGGACTCATGCTTCCGTGATTAACGAGCAACGCCCAGATCTGGCAATGAGGAAGAGTCTTTGCCTCTGCATATCACGAAAAAGATGACCCATCGTTTATTTCCGAAACTTGTCTTCAGACGCAGCACACGGATGAAAATGCGGTGGCGAGAGCGAAACAATTTCAGCTTCAGGCACATGGTCTTGGTGTGACCAATATGGTTCTTGAACAGTTCAGCCGCATGCTTCCAAGCCATGATGCCACACAGGGGCGATTATTTTTAAATATTGTTAGTGCGGCCCATGCTTCTCTCGGATGCCGAACTTGGTCGAATCATACAGCCCGAAGAACTTAAATAGAATATTGCAGATATGGGGCAGATGATCCCGGAGAATATCTTTTCTACATTTGCTCTCGGTCTTTCACACCCTCGCTGCTCTACCTCGTTTTAGATTCCACGCAGAATAAAGGCCATGATTAGCAGGCCTTGACGAATAGAAACTTGCCATACTATTGATGTCATCACATAGTCGCAATCTTACCATCAGATACATTGAAGTTATAAACAGCGATAAGATTACTTTCAGGTGCTTTTCGGATGATCTGAACAACAAGCCCGAAAGCAGTCTTGGCTCTATGTTACGCCTTCCGAAAGAAACCCGCTCGTGGGATTCAACAGCGCCGAGATACTATGTCTGGTTTTGGATAATTCAGGATATTTGGAAGCCACGATCAAAATCAAAAAGGCAATCGCCTCGATGCAGATGACACAGAAAGCATTTCCATTCCCCTACTAAGATATCGCTTCCTTTTGAATGTGCAGCTTGAAGGCCACCACAGTAGATATCTGTCAGATTATGGGATAAAACCATCTTCGGGAATCTTCGTGCCACTTATTCTCAAGATTCCTCAGTGGATGCGATGAGTTTCAAATAGCCCGGCGAATGGCTCCTCTTGGAGCAAACATGTAACAGATCTCAGAAGCCAAGCAAAACGATACCAATACTTCGGAACATGACCTAGAAGAGAATATCCAGATACTCCGCAATTGGCCTGTTGAGAAATATCATGGGTGGCAGAATCACCTATTATCGGAAGATAATAGGAAATAAAAAAAGAGAAAAGGAAAAAGAACCTTACAAAAAGGAATTGGCGCTGCCCGGAATCGAACCGGGACCAACTCGGCCACAACGAGTCATCTTAACCATTGGACCACAGCACCTTTTAATTGAGGTATATGTGTTTGTTGTCGCACATGTCGGTTTTTACTTTTCAGAAGGCCGCGTCTAACGCATTGTTAAATGCGTCTGAGGTTATTACCCTCCCAAAATAGAAGACGTCTACTTTTCTAAAAACACTGGCTCATCCAAGGCCTCTCTAGATAGCTTTATTATTCAAGAGCATGATTTTCAAATATTTTACTGTTGTATATTTCCCTATCATGCTTGCTACACAATGGGGAGATAAAAGATATCCGTGCACATCATTCATGTGATCTATGTATCAAACTCACTGAGAGGCCTAAATCCCCGTTAAAGCTGGATTCAGTTCACTAGACTCTTAAAAGTCCCGGGTTAAGCAAGAATCTATCCCAGATGGTTGCTCCTGGATCCGATCGCCCTCATCAAAGCGACGGCAGCCAAGACAGCAAACTTTCACCGACAGACAATACCTGATAAATATAATCGCATACATTATCAGGCTTCTTAATCTAAAAGGGCATTTGAGCTGCAATATCCTGGTCCCGTTTGCACTGCACCACATTGGGCTGATTGAAAAAAAAAAAAAAAAAAGACGAGCTCCTCCATCCCCAAATTCCCTCAATAAGATGGCCTCAAACATCGTCAACCTCGTCAATCGAGTAAACCTCGAGCTCTGCAATCATTGTATGCGCCGGGATTGTCACACAAATCGGAAATCCCCCATAGTCTGGCTCTTCATTTGGCATCATTGCGGCCATCCCGCTCCGAGTCTCATCGCCGTTAAGTGCCCGCAGGGTCCGCAACTCGCCAGTCTCTTGGTTAGCTACCTGCTTTTCCCGGAAACGCAGAATACCCGTGTAAATGCTAGTTGGGGATAATGAGCGTGCGCGCACCTGGAAGCCCCAACCGATCAGGAGGAACTTCGGCCCGCCGAGGTGGATAACCATACCTGCGCCAGGGCCGGGCTTGCCGAACACAAAACACCGCTCAACAGTTATCTCATAACCGCCCCAGTGTTTTACGACTGGCGCAGACCTGTCAGTGCCATTGTCGTTGAGCTCGTCGAAGTAAAACCCGACTGATGCATCCGGACGAGTTTGAGCGTCGAGAATCAGCGACGATACCGACTTCAGGAGCCGGTAGTGCTTGGTGAACGGATTAGTGGCTGGTTCAAGAGTATCAATGCCAAATGGCGATATCCCAATAGCCTGAAATGAGCCGTATGCTATCCAAATACGCCGTGCGCCGTATTCATCGCGGCGCTGCTCCGGAATGAACAGTGGTTGATTGCGGTGGCGGTATTTGTAACATGACTTGGTATAGTCGTTAAGGTAGATGTCAGGCGAGATGAAATCGAGCGAAGGAGCAAAATGCTGCCAAATATCGAGAACATTGCTAGTACCACCTCCTGATGGATAATCACCCGGGAGGCTGCCGCCGCCGGCAACAATAGGGAACTCGTCACCATCGCCTTCGTAGTTCTGCCAGACATTCGTATATAGCGGGATAGGATACACCTGCTTTCCTGCTGCAGCCACTTGGTTCAAGTATCGTGCGTAGTGATATGCCATAAAGAGTTCATCGGTACGTGGACCTTTGCCAAAGACTTGCTCCCATGAGCCATTGGGGTTTTTCTGGGATTCAAAGTTATTCAGATTTGCTTTAAGGTCGGCGTGAAGATTTGGCCATTCCTGATCCAGAAATGTTACCAAGTCGTTTGGAACTAATTCGCGGAATCTCTTCTCTGCAGCCGCGGAGCCGTCCCGAGAATCACCAAGCAGACCTGCTTCGTTCTCAACCTGCACCATGATAATAGTCGAGTGACCATCGTCAACGTCCTTGATGTGCTGCATCAGGCGAGAGAAAGCCTTAGTGTCGGCTTTGCATGCTTCTTCGTGGAATATTGATAGAACATCGCCTGTCTGCAGCACACCACCTGCCTTTCGTAACTTCGCGCGAGGAAATCGCTTTATGTCTGTTTTTACCCATGGTGGGGCGTATGTTGATAAACCTTGAAGTCTGTAAGTCTTTATCTATCCGGAGCAAATAGAATGTACTAGTCAGGTCCGACATGAAAAGACATACCATTCTTAAAGGAGCCAAACCATAGCATGATTAGGTGCAATCCATGTTCTCTTGCGCCTGTAACTATTTTATCCAATTCCGTGAAGCTGAACTGGTCTTCGACAGGTTCAATATCCTCCCAGGTAACGCAACCCAGGACAGTGTTGACATTGGTGTCGACCAACTTCTGCCACACCGAACTCATATAACCGGCCGATGTCATGGAAGAATTCTGCAATTCAGCGGCCAGGGACAGAAACGGGCGACCCTTGACAATGAGCTGTCGCGTTGTGCCCATGTTAAAAAGGTGCGGTATGTTCGGAGAGGTAGCCATTGTCAGAGAGAACGCTTAATTTTGCGTATAGAGAGAACACTGGGTATGTTTGAAACGGCCCAGTCGATGCAGTTATTTTATATCTGGGTAAATTCCATCCCCCTACCCCTCTTGGAGAATTTCGAGATGGCAGTCGGGAGTACGCGCGCGCGATTGGCCAGGGGCTTTACAATCATCCATGCGGAGCTTCTCCGCCGACATTTTGCCTGATTTGGTCGGGAAGCGGCATAATTCAGACCGATAAATTGCTGTCCAGACAGTAATACAGACACAACGTCGGACTCTGTATAATCTTTTTGCCTCAGTCTATGTAGCTCAATCAAGCTCCTACTTGGGTAACTCGATATCACCCATTCTATCCAAATCATATCACAGGGGCATCGATACATCGACAAAAACCCAGTCTCTGTACTTTGGATATTTTTGAGGTTTATCAGGAATAATCATTGAAAATTTATTTTGTAGACTATGTGGGCCAGGTCTAATACATTACATTAATGGGGATTTTTTTCATTGTATGTGCACGTAGAGGCTATCATCATTGGATCGAAGGGCACAATATATATAGAGTACGTGTCTCTAAACCGTACAAACTTTGTGAAGAGAGATAGAAATAATACAATATCTATTAGACGACAGCTCATAATGATGTCAACTTACTTACCAAAGACACTTCCCCAACCACAGATGATATCGAAATTCCATTTTCCCGGCTACTGTTTGTACCTCAAATCGGACAGCCGCACATTGTGACTGATCAGTACAGACCCCACCGCCCGGCAGAAAAGACCGATAAGATCATACCTTATTCCACCACCATTTGTTCAACAGGTAGCAGCAGACTGAACTTCAGAAACTCGCCATGGGTAATGGGCCGCTGGAGCGACAGCTCCACTTTGAAAAGAAGAACCATGATCTTATCAAGCTCCCGAAGTGTACGCAATCCCAGCCACTCCCCGCAACAAACGAACCTAACCCGCCTGCCTTGCAGATGCAAAGGTCGAAAAGCGACCTATTCCCCATGCGCCGGTTGCCTCTCCATACGCTGGCGCCTCGGTACCGAAGATTGTCTATATTTCGAGCAGGTCTCCCTTCATGAGCGTCGTGAAGCGCGTCCAGAAACTGCTGCTCCAGGCTGAGAAGCGCGCCACAGCTAATATCAGCCTCGAGGACAGCCGGAAGACAGAGCAGCAGAAGCTTGCGGAGCTTGCTAAGGCTGCCGACAAAAGGGAAGAAGTGTTCGTCAAGGCGACCGGGCGTGCGATTGAGAAGGCTCTCAATGTGGGCAAATGGTTTGAAGAGAAAACAACGGAGTACGCTGTTCGCGTGAATACTGGTAGCGTACTTGTGGTGGATGATATCGTCGAGGATGAGGAGAAGAAGGAGCAAGAGTTACAAAAGCAACAACGTCAGGAAGAGCGACAGCAGAGTGGGAAAACCGACAAAACACCAGCGCAGCAAAACGCTGCGAGCGGTGAGATGCAATCGGAGAAACCCCGGAAATCCGCAGCCAAGGACCCCGCAAAGAACAAGAAGCGACCTGCTGCTGTGATATCTGACGACTCTGAACTCCCGGAGACACGAACTCGCTGGATCAAGATGGTCGAAATAGCCGTGAGCCTCAAGTGAAAAGCGCATCGAGTCCGAAGCACACGAAACATACGAATATCTGCTTTCCCACAGCGAAAAAACAACATGACGCCTCCCACAATGTCAGAATTTCAAGCGTGCATATGTCATATCCAGCATAGCTTCCAAGTCATGGGACAAACTTGAGCTATGCAACGAGTGTTGGCCGGCTGGACAGTCCTAGCCTGCGCTTGATGGCTCTTTATTGATACCCCATGAAGTTCCTGAATAGCACTAGGCATGAGGCATGATTTGTGCTGATTTTCATGAATATCTCAAAAAAATGCTGCACTGCAGCCAGGGCATACGCTGCTAGAATGAGACACCAAATTATGCCTCACCAGCTAGCGAGGATCACCTGCCTGTATCATCGACGACACAGCAAGGAAGATAGCGAAATACCAACTACAGATCAAGGTATTTGCTGAACATTTATCTTTTTTCATGCATGGAGATGGAAGTGTTTCTGCCATCATTAGACAGAAAATCCCATGAATTCTATATAAGAATGTTCATATAGCAGCGGTAGGCTATGATAAGAACAACCCGAAATCTAATACATACAAGAAACCATATACAAGGTCGTAGCCATGAAATCAAGCAAAATACCAAACTACTCTACACACGGCCCAGCCGGCACACAAGCCCAGCTACAGCCAACCCGCTTGAAGGGCAGAGGCCGGAGCTTATCCCCTGAGGGACGTGGCATTTTCATGCCGTTCTCGTGAGGCGTACAGTCCCACCATTCCGTCCACTCCGCGCGAGGGACGATGAACTCGTGGTGACAGACCGAGCAGTACCGCGCGCCATCTAGGCGTACTTCTCGCGCCATCGAGAGCAGTGGGATCACCATGGCGGGAAACTCAAGCAATTCCTCATCGGTGAGGTATTCAAGGCCGGGGAGTCTGCAGATTCCCCGTAGTGCGACTTCGCGTAGTGAGGGGGCTCGGGAGGCATGTGCGCTGGAAGGCGAATTATGTTCTATCCGCCGGCCTTCCATGTCTAGGCGCGTCACTGGGCCAGAGGCGACGTGGATAGCGGCCCACGCCTCATCGGGAGGGGTGCCGTCGTATTCGCGGAACCGAGGAGAGCTCTGGGTAGAGTACTCATCTTCCGCGGCACCTGGCCGACAATGCCACTCGGCGATTTCAGACTCATCAATGGAGGCGAAGGGGTTGGGACAGGCGGTGAAGTGTTTCAGCTCGCCTTTTTGGATGAGCTCAATTAATTCCCAGGGGAGCTCATCTAATCGGTTGACTGAGACGTTGAGAACTTGCAGGGCAGTCAGGTTCCGGATTGCCTCGGGGATTCGGGTCAGTTTGTTGTTGCGCACACTCAGCACTTTGAGGTCCTTCAGCTCAAAGAGTTCGCTGGCATGTAGCGTCGTCAAGGAGTTATTTGAGAGATAGAGCCGGAGGAATGGCTGCAGCGAGGAGTAAACATTCTCTGATATCGGAGGCTCCTGTATAGAAGGCAGCTTGGTCAGATGTTGAAGAGGTCGAAGTAGATCTCTAGGAAGATATCTCATATTGATGTTTCTGTATGACAAATGGGATTAATATCAAGGTCTCATTGCTCATTGGAAGCAAGAGTCGGCTTACCCAAGGTCGACGCTATCCTCGCCCTTTTCGAGGCAATCGTTAATGACCGCTCTTGCATATTGATGTTCCTCTGATTCCACCGGTCCCTGTACTACCATAGGGCGTGGCTGCACTTTTGACAGCGTAGACGGTAGCATCGGCGGGATGGGACTTTTGCCTGGTGCGCGAGGGTCCAGCACTGTCTTCAGGAGGTCCTCCCCCCAGGTTGACGCATCTTCTGATGGCAGCAAAGACTCGGCCACAGACTCGTCGCTACCCATCCAAACACCACTGTCGACATTGCGTTTTTCCTTGAAATCAGCCCTCTTCCTCTTCGGGTCCGCGACCTGTTCCCCCCACCACGTCCCACGATATCGGCGCTTGCGCCCCGCGCCCGCCGACATAGACGCATGGTAATTCTCCAGCCCGGACGCCGGGATATCGTCACTGGAGAAGAGTGCCGGATCGCTTGATGGCTGACTCGAGCGGTCGTCAAATCGCGATAGTCGGCGCGCTCTGCGGAATGATGATGCCACAGATCCGGCGGGTGAGGGGCCCGCCGCACGCGCTGGCGAACGGTGCCGGATGCGCCGCGGTGGAGGAAGGGGAATTTCGTTGTCCATTGCGATTAACGATGTCGCGAGGGCAGACGAATCCTTCCAGTATAGTTTTTTCGGCTCATCCGAAGGATAATTGGAGGGCGCGGCGTTGGGATAGAAGGTGCGACGCGTGGTGGAGCCCGCGGAGACCACCCGGGTATCAACAAACGCGCGCGAGCTGGGAGCTCCGGAGGGTCAAACGAACCACAGGTAGGACAAGGTAGATAATTCAGTTATCCTAAACTGAATAGATTAGAGGGAAAAAAAAGAGACAAAGATCAAATAGGAGATGAACGAAAGGTCGTGTGAGGATCAATCCAGCCCCGAATACCAAGAGATAAGATCAGATTACAGGCGGACGCGTGGGCGCACGGATATCAGTCGACCCCGGAGGCTACGGCAGGCTGCTAGATCCACTGGAATGTTCGATCGACGGGATCTTCACTACGTTAATTCTAAGATGTAGTATGTTGGTATGGACGAGAAAAAGAGGTGTCAATTGATGTTCGGGCGTGGGATTTCAGTTGAGACCCAGAAATCGGTCGAATTAGATTGAATGAGATATTCGCATCCGAACTTGACCAACCTGGAGGGAAGGGCATGCCTTGCGGTCCATTCCTGAAAACGCCATGCCACGACACACTATATGAACAAAAGAAGCGAAAATAAAAGGGGGTTGTGAGAAGTAAAAATAGAAGATCAACGTCAACTCATGGACACAGAAATCGTTAAAAAAAATTGGGGGTATTTGGAAGTGTAAGGTGCGTAAAGGCCGTGGTCCTCTCCGAAATGGGTTCTCCAGCTAACCAAGAGGAGGAAAAAGAGTATAAAGTAAGAAGAGAAATTATCAAGCCAAAATAAAAGAGTAACCCCGGCTCTGCTGGAGATGGACGGCAGAAAGTAAAGAAATCATATCGAGGCCACCATGATAGCCTGGAGTGTTGCGGCCTTATGCGCAATGGGCGTACCCTTCCAGACGCTCATGGAGCAAGGACCTTGATATCTTCTTGGAGGGCAATATGGCACTCTGATTACAGAGCGACCCCCATGATTAGCGCAAAGGAGCCTGCGACCAAAACCGCCGGCATGCCAGCGCCCACGTTGACGGCACCGCCAGTCTTGGTGGCGGATGCGGCGGCTTGGGTCGAGCTAACCAGAGGGGTGGAAGTCGCCGAGACACTCGCGGCACTGGAGCTCGGAGTCGCGGTGACTGAGCTGACGCGAATCAGGGTCTTGGTGATGGTTGTCGTCGAAACCGAGGTGGTGTCGGCCGCCGCCACAAAGGGAGCGGCAGTGAGGAAGAGGAGAGAGGAGATCGCGCTGACCTTCATCGTTGCTGGGAGAAGTCGAGGTGCTGGGTGGGACAAGCCGTGAATTTATGCGAGTGCGCGCGATGAGGTGCTTTAAAAGAATGTCCCGACGTATGGAGTATGAAGGACAAGCCACCGGACTCCGACAATAAACCGAGTCACTGTGAATCTAGGCGTGAAGTAGATCTAAAGGCAGAAGACGCGATGCGATGGCAATCTTGTGGGCGTTCGAGAACGTGGAATTGCCTGAGTACCAGCAATTGGGATTCAAAACTCAACGACAGGAGTAAAGAGCGTAATGAGAGCGCGGCTCGAGTCGACTATGGAGAATATGGAGAGTCGGGGATAAATGAGTGACGGGTGAACGAATGACTAGAGTGAAGAGAGTGAAGTGTTTCAAGGCGCCTAAAAGGGAGAAGAAGGAGCAAGCCTGACAGGGCGTGGAATTCCAGTCTAAATATATGAACCTGGGGAAGGGCTCTCGTCCGGGCCTTGTGGCGCCGCAAATTCTGCGGTGCCCTTTTCTGCCCTGGAAAGCATATGGAGTGGGCTTATTATTTTGTAATTTAATTTCCTTTATTTTTTTTGGCCTCCTTTGCGAGGTAAGATGCGATTCCTATTGGGTGACTGCAGGTGCGGTTCCTGGGACTATCCGAAAGAGAGCCAGCCCAAAAACGAACTATGGAAACTACGGAAACTATGGAGACCGGGGGGCAATCACAACAACCACAACCCTAACCAACACATTGCCAAGAGAATGGTGCATTTGGCCAGGGTCTGGCCCGCACGGACTTTGTTCCACTTTCCCTCTGTCTTCTCTGTCTTCCGATGCGAGGGACTGGACAACGCAGATCGGGTACGGCAGGAATCTGCGCTGCACCATCGCACAGTCTTGATTTAGTATGAACGAACGTTGTTGCTCAGTGATTGGAGCTAATCCGTGTGGATACGAATGCCCGACAAGGCCAACAAATGGACCCTCGGGGCATCTGGCAGAATGGGCGCCATCACAATACGAGACCCTTTTCGCCCCTTTGGAGCAAGAAGATGTCATAGGTGTAAGCAACCCGACCTACCCAGAGGAGACTAGGGGGGCAGGGGAGGGGACAAGGTATGGAGTCGATTTTTGCTTCCAACAGTTGAACAAGAGCCAGCGGGGGCCAGGCCACCTCCGCTGAAACCCTGCGAGTCTCGGATGGGGTTTCTGTACGCGCTCGCCGTCTCTCTTAGATGAGATGGTGCTCTCTTAAGAGCAGATGGAATTGCAGCCCGGCTGTTCTCTGCGATCTCCCTGAAGCATCTGGTGTTTTCAAGAAATCCAACCCAGGGCACTGAAGTTTCGTGCGACCCCTGGCGTCATGGATGCAGGAACAGACCGAATTGCACGGACCTCTCAAGGCAGGAATGGTTCATGATTCGCCCGCCGGTGTGCCAACACTTTCCCTGCAAAGCGCGACGATTCTCGTCACTAGAAAGCCTGATGGGTGGCGATGGGATTGGCTGCCGGGTCAAGTAGCCGAGATTGGCTCTGGACTCTTGTCTTATTTTTTTGCGTTCGTTCGGCTGCTGCCCGACCAAGTCCGCTAAGCCCGCAAAGGGACCAAGGGAACACGAGATTGGCACGCGAGGTAGCCACTACGGACCTCGTCCTGACGAGTTCCCCGGCTTGGCTGGCCTCCACCGAGGACCATCCTTCTTTGGGCTCATCGACTCATGTGCCTGTGCCTGGCAAGATCCATGGAAATAAACCCGAACCCCGATCCACCGCCGATGAGGATCGTCCTTTTCACCTTCTCTTCACGGTCTGCGGCATCGTGTTAGCGTCTTCTGCTGCGAGTCTGGGGAGTTCGAGAACTTGACGGATGATCAGAGCCTGCCCTATGGTCTCCTTGCAGAAAAACCCAACGTTCTACGGATCGCGAAATGAACGCGAAAATTCCGGTGTGAACTCGTCCGACCGTGTGGGTGATTTGCTTTTGGGTTTCAAAAGAGGAGCCGGTTGGGCCGGTTGAAGTCAGCATGACTGCACCGATCACTCGACAGCAAAGAAACACCCTGCCAGAGCATCATAATCATGAAATATTTGAGGATAACTGTTGGACCGGATTTCCGCCCCCCCGGGCACCCGAGGCTATTGGAGGGCGTAATTTAAATGGTGTGATCGGGGATCGATCTACACGAATGGCTCTGTCACCGCCTTTTCTCCCGGATCCTTGTGTAGCATCAAAACAGACCAACTGGAAGTACGACATGGTTGCAGCGAATCAGTGCCGACAAAAACCAATACATTCTTTCCCCACAGTCAACTTTTGAACAGGACTGAAATCAGAATCAAGAGATCCAGAGACAGACCGAATAATGCCGGTATTTTGTACGTGTGACAAGTAGTTTTTAATTTTTGAGCAGCTGGACATATTGAATTCACCTGACCGATTCGTGATGGTTTTGGCGTCCGGGATTGTCTAGGGTAATAAGGAGGAAGCACCAATATCTAGTCAAATCAAGAGAGACCGCTTTCAATGGCGATGAATGTCGTTTGCATTATACGGATACATAGTATTGGCAATTTCTTTATTAGATCCTAGCAGATACAGGTAGTCAGCTGAGTATATAATGTAAGCGAAGGGTCGGCAAACGTCCCATTTGAGCTAAATATTATAAAGCCTGGGACCATCTTTGCACCTACAGCAGATGAACGCAGTAACTTTCTAATAAGAACAGAAAAGTATCTATCTATAAGTCAAGCAGTTTCGACTGTTCAAGACTGACAGCCGCCTATGTCTCTGGATTGGACTGTTCTAGCCTAACTTCCCCATGACGGCCTGATAATTAGATCCTGCTTGAATGATTCTTTCTCATGCTCTGGCTCAGAACCTTGTAAGCCGATGTGGATGTAGGTGTAATTACTGACCAAGCAATACCGGACAGTAAATCAGGGTACCAGGTTCGTTTTTAAAATCGACAAGATCATTTTCAAACTCTACTAAATCTTGTGATTACCATCGAGTTTCAAAGACACAGATTTCGTGAATAACATCAACGATTCTGAGGTTGTTATAAAAATTGTTCCACGTTGCTCCCAGGGAGAAGGATGGATGAGACTCGAATGAAGACCATTTGCCATGGCTATGAAGCCGGGGTGCGCGTCTATGAACTCGGCTGGGGTTCAGAGGGGAGAATCTTTGGCTTGTTTATTGATAGCATGCAAGAAAAACCCATTGAATTGCAGAAAATGTGAATGTATGAAAAAAAAAATAATTCCTAAATCGAGTCTCACGGCAAAGCAATTACTACTTGACCAAGCTATTCTGTAAACAGCATGATGCCCTCTTTCATTTCTGGCTACCCGTCCAATATGATCAATTCCAAGCCAAGATTTCTTACATGAAGAAATCCTAGACCATTTGCCTTCACGCTGGGATGGATCAATTTTCAACGAATCCCTACTTACTAATGGTCTTTGTCTTTAGCATGTCTAGCTGACCTCAAGGGCCCCAAATAAAGTTGGCAGACAATAAGCCAAATCAGATATCGGACTGAGTGACACTTTTGTTGAGCATTGAATTTGTCAAAGATACACAGGTCCAAAGCATTTGAGTCTAAAAAGCTCATGGGAGATATTTGAGCGTAGATGATATGGTTAAAAAAGGCAGAATTATAGGGACTCAGTCTGACCTGTGCCATCTCCGCAGACATGTCCAGGAACCTCTCCACGCAGGGGTTCTCGGTGAAATAGTGGGTATGTTAGACAACAAAATCCTCATTTCTGGAAGATTTACAAGCTTTATCGAGCCACGAATTAGTACCCGTTCTGTTGAGCGATCAATTTATATAAACCCCAGCAGGAAGCAGCTGACGGTCTCGGTGCTTCATGACCCAGATGGGGCTCTCATAGCACTCAGATCTTCGCCAATATTATGGTACTGATCGAACAAGAAGCATCTAATAAGTTAAGAGTTTAAAAAAATGATCATGAAGACTGTATGGTGAGAAAGAGCGTTGAAACTTGGTCTTTCTTACCTGTGATCAACGAGGGACCATTTTTAAGGCAGTCGGGGTGGGCCAAGGAGCCACGGTTCTTGATGTTTTCATCGAGAATCCTGATATTAACAAAAGCCACCCTTCTGTTCTCTTAACTGATGGGGTGCTTGCCAAGTTATAAGATTGGTTGGACATACTCAACTGAGTATGTCTGTGGTTGCAGCAAGAATTCGGGGTGGGATGTGCAAAATTTACATCGATCGTACCTGTGGACTGGGTAGGAAAAAAAAGATCGGAATCGGTATACTGTACATTGTGGACGCAGCTATAAGATCTAGATTACTGAGAAAAGCTATCAAAATTTTTTTTTGCTGGCTGGGGAAAGAGCAAGTCGGGCCCAGGTAAGAGCATATATGTGGCTTCAATGTGTATCCTAGCTAGAGTGCTAATGCATTGAAATTACTGCCTTATATTCCATATTCTGTTCCCCTTTCCCCCTTCCTCTTGTAATCGAACGATCTGGATATTAGTTCACTCATTTTCCGTAGGTATGATGTTTATCAATCCAATACATGCCGGAACTATGCAAGTCGCGGAAAAAAAAACCAGAACTTCAGTCTCTTAGTCGCAAGCCCATATGGGGCCCAATCAATGAGCCAAGTCAACCATTCATTATTTCAAGGCCCACTGAACTAGGCTTTGACAACATCAATTCAACTAGAATCTCAATATAAGCCAGAGCACTATTCCTTGGAATAGAGTGCCCCGTAGAAGAGAGATTTTCCTCTGATTTAGGTGTGACATATTCCATATAGCGCATTTTTGAAGGTCGTTTGAAGAATTGGCAGACTTGGGTTCGGGTTTGAGCTGGCTCCACATCTTTAACACGACCACGTCAGACTTGCGATTGACTGAGGCCATTTTGTATCCCACTTCTACCACGAGTTTGGAGAAGATTGAATACGTGCACTTCCTATATACATATCGAAAAGCCAGGAGGCCATAAATTCCCCCATCCATCCACCAAAATCATCTCCACTGAGACTTACTATCGCACAGCCTTCATCGACGCCCAGGTCTGCCGAAAACGCTCAAGAATTATAATGATCGTATCGTACAAAAAGACGTCCCCTTCGATTTCGTCATGCCGCATTTGTTGTCGGGCATCTCCGTCATAAAGCTAGAGATTGAGAAATTCATTGACGCATCGGGCGCAGAGGGCTCTGGCGAGGAAGCATCATCGGTGGGCCTCTCGCGCGAAGCCAGGCATCGTTGTGGGGTCCTTCGGTACGGATAACGCTGCCGATAGACATGAAGAGACTGGGTGGTGTGATAAAAAAGCTTGTTAGCTGGTCTAGCTTTATAAGATAGAAGCAAGAAAGATTGGCTGTATTCAAAGAGCTCTCAGAAGCATGACTTACCCGAAAGTGGCTCCCGAGCCCAGCATGTACTTGCCCAAGGTGCGCATAACACCGTTGGGGCCAGCGCCGTACTGGAAAATGGTCACAGTGCCTGCCGTTGGTTAGATCTCTGAAGTTGAAGCCTAAGGAAACACCTAGAGTTGTGTACTGCATACCAATAATAAAGCCCATGATCCCTCCGACAGCTAAGTCATTCTGTTAGTAGAAGCTCATACTCAATGATATCAGATCGGGTTGTGATGTTGGCCACGTACTGGATCCCATCATAGCACCCATTTTCACTACATATTGGTCAGCTGAGATTCCCAATCAAAGCAGAGCTTTTGAAACTGGCTCTGGATGGGGTGTAGACTGATAAACATACTCTTGTCAAAGGTCGAGGGACCCACGGGGCCCCCTGCGGAAGGTCCTGCAACAACAGGCATTCTGATAGCGAGAAGGTAAATATCTGAGTAAGGTAGCGAATAGGAGCTAGTGAGCAGGAGCCCAGAGCTGAAATAACCAAGTAATGCGCCTTGAAGGGACTCGAAAGAAACAGGTGCTTTTTCACCTCAGGACACCACGGAACCGTCTCCGCTCCGGGACGCTCACGTGATCAAAACGGGTAGCGGACAACCACACGTGCAGATAATGCACGTGATCTGCTCGACTGCGGCGTCAAGGGAGTAGGAGACCAGGCGACCCTCCTCTCCCTGGGCGATTTCCTCCATGGCCGACCATCCCCGATCTTTCATTCTCTTATTGTCACATCGCTACTAGGGCAGTTTGGAGCCTGTGACAAGGCGGTAGACCCGTCTCGTGCTTCTCCATTGTCTCTGGGTGGTGTGAGACACCGGTCGCTGCTCACGTTTCGGTAAGACCTCACACGCCTCCCTGGTGTGGAGCACTGGCTCTTTCTTCCCACGACTGGGATTAAATACTCTTGAAAGTGTACCTAGCGGGTAAGTTCTGATAGTCTCGAACGATTTCATGTTCGATGGCGCAAGTCCACACCCTCGCACCAAAGAGGCCGGCGATATTTTGTTTGGCTTCCGACCGACAACGCTAACGCGACCGTTCTCAATTAGCCGGCCAACCCCAAATCAGCCCTTTGCGCACCCCAGATTCCTTTTCCTGCTCACACAATCGCAATAACATAATAAATACGACTATCGCTGTCTCCAATTTCGAGAGGAGCCCATTGTGACCGCTCTCTTAATTTGCGACAGTTGACCACCTTCCTGGTATACCGTCGTGTCGAACAGTCTCCGGCACCCTTCTCCATGACTGCTGTGGCATCTCCACCTAGTGTGCAATCGGGGTCTCGCTTGGGATGGTATAGCACTGGCAACGGAGGACAAGGAGCTCTGTCTTCGGTGAATGCAGATGAAGTATCCCGGATGCTCATGCCACGGAAACACGTTCAGCGCTCAAACTCTTCCTCCTCGCTTGTGTCAAACTCCTCGACCTCCTCTACTTCTACGGCCACTGTGACCAACATTTCGCAAGATACCCATGCTGGACAGAGTTCAAGCTCCGAAGCGAACACCTGGTCTAAAAAGAAGGCTACCAGAAACCCTTGGCCAAGTTCTAAGGCTGAGCCAGTCGCTGGAGTAACAAACACACGATCCCAAGCCGTTCCTGCATTCTTATCGGGGCCTACTGCCTCATCGACCATGTCCGCCATGCATCAACCTTCGAATATAGTGCCATCACAGCATATGGTCCAGTCATCTCAGCAAAATGGTGTCCGGCAAATCAACGGACAATCTGCGGAACCACCCGCTATTCTTGCCCTTACGCCTATAAATGGCACTTTTGAGAAGAAACAAATCAATGTACCTTTCTATCCTGAAGTCCTACGCATTGGTCGCCAGACAAACGCAAAGACCGTGCCTACCCCTGTGAATGGGTTTTTCGATTCCAAAGTTCTATCTCGCCAGCATGCTGAAGTTTGGGCTGATAAGAGTGGGAAGATTTGGATTCGCGATGTCAAATCATCGAATGGTACCTTTGTTAATGGCTCAAGACTTTCGGCTGAGAATCGCGAATCCGAACCCCATGAACTCCGAGAAAACGATACCTTAGAGCTGGGAATCGATATCGTCAGCGAGGATCAAAACACCATTGTGCATCACAAGGTGTCTGCTAAGGTTGAGCATGCTGGTCTCTATGGAACTACCCCTAATATCCTTGACCTCAATTTTGGGGACCTAGACCCTGCATCTGGTGGGGGTCTTCTCCCTTCACCTCTCAGCCAACCGCTCTCCCATTTGCGAGCCCGATCTGGTAGTAATATCAGTAACCGCAGCATCCAAAGCAATGCCAGCAATCATCTCAACGCGATGCAGCAGCAAAGACAGATGAACTACTGGAACTCTCCGATCTCCGTTGAACAAGTTGTTAAGAGACTTACTGTATGTCTAGTTTATGTTCTATTTCAACTTATCACCACACTAATAATTATTCCAGGGCGAGCTGAAACAGGCCAAACAGCAGTCTCAGGACCTTCGACAAACCGATGATTTCCTGACAGCTATCATGAAGCCTGGCTATGCCGAGAAGGAGAAGGCCCTGAAGCCGTCTCCTTTAGAGAGCAGTGGTGGCCCCCGACAACTCAACGGTCGACCAAAGATGCCTCGGGTGGACTCCTTTTCCCGGTTTTCGGAACCCCGGCACCTCCTCCCCAACAGCCGTTGCCAGAAAAGCCGGATGCCTTTTCTCCCCTGAAGCGTAGCGATACAGATAAGCCAAAGTCGGCTACGACAAGTTCTCCGGTCTCGCGCGACTCAAGTCAGATTCTTTCTCTCATCGAGGCGCTTTCAATGGCTAAGCGAGACCTTGAAACCCAAGGGACTCGCGTCAAAGAGCTAGAGGATCTCCTTCGTCAAGAGAAAGCCGCGCGTGAGTCTGCGGAAGAGAAGGTCAAGATATTGGAATTGCGTCCCTCGCCTGATGACCAGCAAACCAAGGCCGAGAACGCTCTGGAGAAGTCATTGGAGCATGAGCCTGAATCTACAGAGAAGCATGACGAAATGGAGGATCCTAATCAACAAAATGGATCTATTCTGTCATCCGAGGTCTCTTCAGCTCCCGAAGCTGATAATGCAGAGCCTTCCGCAGAGGTGCACACGGCACAGCTTCAACTTCGTCTTGAGTCCATGATGGAGGAGATGAAAGACATGAAGAAGCAAATGGCTTCATTTAAAGAGCGGGCCGAGAAAGCTGAAGAGGAGAATGTTGAATCTCGGAAGTCCCTGGCAGAGATGATCGAGGCTCTTCGTCGGGAACGAGCCGAGAAGGCTTCGGCTGCCGTTTCTGATCATCAGCCGCAGAGACATGACCAGGCCTCGGTCAAGAGTCTGCCTGGATACGTTACTCCAAGTGCAAATGGTACCGCTGAGCTCAAGTCAGGCGATTCCCCGTCGTCTCATTTGGCTTCACTCTCAAATAACAAAGAGATGGAAGCTGCAGCCACAGCCATTGCACAGTACCAGCGACGCCCTTATCTAGAAGAAGCAAGTCCATATGCATCTATGCTTGGAGTCGTCCTTCTTGGAGTTGGTTTAATGGCCTATCTCAATGGCTGGCAAAAGATGGATAAGTGACTGGTTGCTCTCAGTGCTCATTTTTGGCTGCAGCTTAATGATTTTTCTTTTCCAAAAGTTGGCGCCTTAGACAGGGCATCCAGCATGATCCGCTTCTCCTCCCATGATCTTTTGCTCTCTTGACGACATGATTTCTTTCTGTATTCTGGGCATGGTCTGCTGGCCGAGGCGCCCCAATCGCTTGATTATTCTGGGGTTCGGTGTTGGATTCATCCGTCGTCATATCGCATCCTTTGCATACGCTAACCTTCTCTCTTGTCTTTGTCCTATCTTGCTTCGCAGCTTTAATTCGCGCCAGTCATGATTTTGGCGACGAATGTCCTGATCCTTTCTACCTGGCTGTATCTTTTTCTTTTTTGGGTAACTTTTCTTTCTCGTAACGTCCTGTCTTCATATCCCGTGTCTCATCAGCCTAGCACACACAGTCACTTGTTTTCTTTCCCATTCCCTTTTTGTTTCTATGGGCTCCTCGTCCTTGGGAGACGTCAGCATCTTTCCCTTTACCTGTACATGATGGAATTACCAGGGATTTTTCTCATGACTCTGGACATCTTTCGTTGAATCCCTCTTTCAGGGTCAAGTTCTTTGCAAGTACCATTTGTCATGCCATGCGAACACGGCCTTTTTGGATGTATCCGAAAGGAGTTGTTCTTTACGTATGCTTCGTTCTATTTACTTCTTCAGGTGTAGTGATTCATGCTTTTAGTGAGATGGCAGTCCTTTTCAAGCAGTCTTTACGTTAAGGGTAGCTTCAGAACTGCCGCTGAGCATAGCGTCCATCCAATAGCGACCACAGACCAGTCTGCTGAAAAGTGATAACATGAAGCTTTTTAATCACATGTATCATAATTTGTCGCCGAATCTTATATCAGTATGGGTTCGGTACATTCCACTTCAACGGGTGATCAGCGATGGAACCATCAAGAAAGGTAATTAAACCTGAGGTCATGCTGTATGACGAATTATTAGTCATGAACGTTCTTATATCATGAGTCGGAGGTTTCAGCCTTGAACCAAGAGGCCTTGTCATTACAAGAAGGTGCTTCTGACTATGAGCTATATTGTTTACGAAGCGTGGGATAAACGAACCGGAGTTATAATTTATTCATCGGCGAACCTAGTAGTCAATATTTCACGACCAGGCTGAGCCTTAAGTTGACTACCCGAAATTCTCTGACTTGCGTCAACTCTATTCTTCCTATGCTATTATTCCTGACAATTCGAACTCCCCGCTCCTTACCAGACTCACTTCATAGTAACATGGGAGCGATGTAGGGAGAAGAGTCAATTACAATAATTGGCATTTAACATCATTATCGACAAAAGAAATAAATACAAGAACCATCAGAAATCATCGTACTGTCCAGGCAAGCATCAACACAGAATGGATTAATATCCGCGCTGGTTTCCTGCAGTATTGTCCTGGTAGTCAGAGCTTCGCACTCGTGGATCCAGCTTGTTCAGCAGGTTTGAGCTGTGTGGACCAGAAGAACGTCTTTTCCCACTCTCAGGGGCATTATAGCTGCTGCCACCCGCTGCAGTTCCACCGAAGCCCTGCTGGCCGGTGCGAGTATCGAACTCGGACTCGGCTCGGTTTTCCATCTGGTTGGCCATGTCGGACGAACGGGTATTATAGGCCTTGCGGTCATTGTCCATGGCGTTGCTGCCGGCTGCTCCGTAGTTAGAACTGTAGGCACCAGATGGATTGGTCGTGTCCATATTAGAAGCGGTGGTATCAATATAGGGTTTGCTCTTGTCTGATAAACGTTAACTCTAGGCTTCAAATATGATTTTTCGAAGAAAAATTCTCACCACCAACGTCTCCTTCCATGCGGGAGCCCATTTTGTTGCTCATAGTAGTGTCGTACTGGCGGGTATTCATGTTTCCAGAGCTAAGCCCTCCAGTGCCAGTGCCATATGCCTGGGTATCTGTGGCATAGTTGCCCGTGCGAGTGTTTGAGCCATAAGTATCTGTCCCCATGGCCGACGAGCCATAACCGCTCGGGGGTTTCCTTGAATCTTGACGAGTGCTCGAGCCATAGCCGCTGGAGCCATAGTTGTTACCGGTGTCTATTTCTCTATTAGCCTTGGTGATTTGGAGCATGAATTAAGTGATACAAACCCTCCATTCTGCCAGCCATTGCTGAGGAGTCACGCTGGGCACCAATGCCAGTGGTTGTGGCACCGTAGTTATTGCCAGTATTCATTGAGTTGTCCATCTTGGATTCGTAGCCACTCAAGCCATAGCTATTGTTGTTGCCGGTAGCTGTCCCGTAAGCTTTGCCACCTTCTTCCATCCTATTGCCCATTTGAGAATTGTTGTGGGCTTCGCCGCCATAATCACTAGAACCGTACTTATCGGACCCCATGGAGGAATTGTATTTACTGGAACCATAGTCCTTGGCTTTGGTGTCAGAGGAGTTGTACGTGTCTCGAGCTTCTATATACTCAGCACGTGAGTAACTAAAACAACTCAACGGTTCTAATGCAAGCAACTGACCATTCATTGTGTTCTCTGATCTATCTTCCATGCTAGAAGAATTATGATGAGAACCCTTGTTGTCCGAGTGGAGATGGCCAGTCATGGCATCCTTGACTTTGTGCATCAGATTCGACATGGTGAGTCTTGTATGAAGATTGGAGATAAACTTAAATCTGGATTGAAGCGTTGGAAATATCAAAGGAATGATTCGGATTAATGGTGAAAGCCTTTAACGAGGAACCGCTGCAATGACCTTATATGTTCTCCATCCCATCATTTTCCCTCAGTATGTCCGGACTCATGTTTGAACCCTGCACTCGTGACGACATAACGCGGGGAGGACCAGTCGACCGGAACCACTCAGAGAGGATAGAACATAAGACGGGGTTCCCATTGTTCTCGCAGTGGGCTATCATGACGTGTCCGAGGCATGGTGAAGAGTGTAAGCTCAGCATTCACCCAAGGGCGCGGTCGAGCCGTCCATGTCATCGGTCGTCATGTTCCGGATCGCCCAGGCCAAATCCGCCACTGGACCAGGGTCTTTCGATATCCTATCCGAGAATTGTGAAGAGCTTACACAGTCCAACCAGGATCTTTCGTCTAGACTGACTTTCGACAGAGTGGACTCTGATTTGCTGTTCGGGTACACTCGAACCACACCGTGCGACCAGCTCTCCATGGGGTGCTCCCATTTGGTAGCTACAGCCCCAGTTTCATCTTTCCTGCTTTCTTCCTGCCCTTCTCTCCTCCTATGATAGGCTCATTTGGGACTGATCGCTGTGTTCTAGAAGACCGTTTTGCAGCTGCCCGGAAAGCGTGGCTGTCTACGGGGTAGGCCCATTGAACTACGTCATGGTGCTGGTGGGTAATTTACCGTACGCTTTGAATCCTCGGTGGGTACATCCGAACAGGCCCAAATGCATCACAGATGTGAAGATACATTGGGAGATTCCCTGACTGCTCACCGTACAATCACCATGATAGCCGCATTTTGAGGTATCACATTGTGTCGATTGGATGCTTACGTGGTGGCCTGACACATGATGGAATGATCGGCGGCAGTTGCAGTTGCGGCCCACCGAAGAAACCAACACGATGATCCAAGGATGCGATCCCATTTCGAGATAGGAGTGAAACGCATGAGACCTTGATGAGCCCAGAGTTTGCAACGAACTCATCTCAAATGCTCTGCAGCCGTCGCTCTTGATCAAAACAATGCGAGTTATCGCGTTCACAGCCTCCTAACCTCGTCAGTTATCTAAATATCACGGATGCCTCATGTACGAGGCACTAACCACATGACTGCCATGCCGTCACAAGCGTCCGTTAGGTAATCCATCAGTTCACCTCCCCTTCTCCACCCCGACACCACCAACTCCTTCTTTTCCATCCCCTATATCTCCCGTCCTCCTACGCGGTTCCTCTGACTTGGTTAAGATCAGCCGGCTTGATTTGATCAGCGGTGCTGCTCATTGTTCCTCGATGAGTGGCCGCCTGCTCGCTTGCCGCCAACCCTCGGATTGGTAGAGATTCGGGCCACTCCTCAGCGTTGTCATACAACCGCTTTCTTGGTATTGTCAGTCGTTCGCCAGGGTCCATCTTTTTTAGCCCAACCTCTCTCATCCACCTCCATCCGGTACCGGTCTCTAGACCCGTCTGTCCAAGATGAGACCGCCCCGCCTCCTTCTCGTCCTCTTCTGCCTAATCTTCTTCCCTATCTGCCTCACCTTCTTTTCGGCGCTTTCATCGCCTTCAGTTGCGAATCCCAACACGCTCGCTGGTCGAACGTCTGGGCTCCATGCCCTCTTTTCCTTCAACATTCCATCGTCGCTCTTTCCTCCCTCGGCCATTATCAGCCTCACCGATGATAACTCAACCTTCTTTTTGGCCCGCCCTGCCGCCTTTGGCCCGCTTCTACCGGGCAAGGGTCTCAGTGGCCAACTATGGGTGGGAAGTGGCTTTGGCGAAGGTGGCCTGGCAGCTGGGGTGGAAGGCGAGCTGGGTTGTTCTGATATTCCCGGCTGGGGGGAGGGGAATACCCCTAAAAACCCCGAGACGCCCTCGAGGGGCACCGAGCAGAAGTCCGGCAAACCCGGAAGTAGTACAGGAAACGATACGCCCATCTCACAGAACCGCCCTCGCCTACCCTCTCAAGTTGAGCCTGCCCGACAGAACGAGCGAGGGGACACCGCGGGTTTCCCCTCGTTGAACGACGGAACCGATGATCATTTACATCCTGCATTTACCGAGTCCAGTATCTCAGATATTGGTGCAACTCAGAAATATGGAGACTACGTTCAAACCAAACAAGCTACCCACGCCGATATTCAGTCCCTCCAAGAGACCGCCGAAATTCAAGGCAGAGTTGTTCTATTGAGTCGCGGCGGCTGTGGATTCCTTGAGAAAGTCAAATGGGCCCAGCGCCGTGGCGCGGTTGCAGTAATTGTCGGCGACAACACCCGAGGCGGCAATTTGGTCACGATGTATGCTCGAGGTGACACGTCAAATGTGACAATCCCGGCCCTGTTCACTTCCCACACAACCGCCCACCTTCTCTCTTCGTTGATCCCCGCCCACCCCGGCGCTGCTACTGGCTTCGGTGATGCGTTGAAATCGTTCCACGCAAAATTGGCAGGCCAGGTTAATGCGGATACACAGAAGACCGTGACTGCAACGACCGCAATGGCCACGAGTACCCCTACATCCACAACATCATCTAATACAGAGAAGCCAGCTGCCACTACAAAGTCGAATGGGGGAGGATTTTTCCGCACTCTTGGTTCTCTTTTAGGGTTATGTAATAAATATGGAGGCTCAGGGCCTCAAGAAGACAGCCGTCGTCCACCAAGCAGCGGAAATATCGATTGGATGGTACTAGGTTCGCGGGAGAAGACTACATCTCTATTTGATTCCTCAAAGGTTTCGGGAGACCGTGACCGCCATACTCGAATCAAATCAGATGACAGCCTGAGCATTAATAAACTCGAGCTGTCATATGACGATGCCGACAGCGATGATTTTGTTATCGGCGTGCAGGACTGGAGAGATCCTGACTTAATGCCTTCCCGCAGCAGCACATTGCCCGTTCCAAGCTCCACCGTGAGCGGAAAGGACGGCTCAAAGACGTCGACCGCGGACACAGATGCAGCATCGGGTCCCAATTTCCTTCGCGGTGGCAGTATCACTCCAGGCAGCGGGGAATACCAAAGCATCGATAAGACTACTGGAAAGGCCCATGATACGAGTATGAAGGATACCTATGTGAAAAATGGTAATGCCGTAAATGCAGGATCTGATGTCTCTGGGAAAGGCTGGTTCTCAAGCCACTTTGGATGGAGCAAGGATCCTAGCCAACCAGCCGTGGAGCCATCCTCATCTCCCTCCGCTCAAAGCATTGCCGGCAACCAAAAGACGCAGGATGCTGCTTCTGTGTCCAACCCATCATCGACAATTTTCTCCGAGCACGAGGGCCTGTGGGTGACTTTGACTCCCACTAGCATGTCGACAAGTCCATTCTTCGATACTCTTTTGGTTTTGGTTGTAAGCCCGCTCTTGACTTTGTCTGTTGTCTATGCCCTCCTGCTTCTCCGATCTCGGATCCGACGTCGCCGTTGGCGTGCTCCAAAGTCTGTCGTTGAGCGTCTTCCTGTTCGAACCTACCACACCATTTCAAATACTTCTTCCTCTTCATCGAGTTCTAGTTCTCCACGACCCGCCAGCCCTGGCCCTGTGTCGTCAACGTCTCCGCTTCTTGGCACCGAGAGCCGCGCGAACCTTGGTCGGCCTAATCGATCGCGTTCACAAACTATTACTGGGGTTTTGACCGATTTCTCTACGACTCCAAAGGAAGAAAAGTCGGCAAACCCGCAGTCAGGATCCACACTGTGGCGGCGCAAGTATACTGGAAGACAAGTCGAATGTGTGGTTTGCCTTGAGGAGTACATTGATGGACAAAGTCGAGTGATGAGTTTGCCGTGTGGTCATGAATTCCATGCGGAATGCATGTAAGTCTATTATCGATGCCCTGTTCATATCCCTCGCTTCATGGTTGACTTTTCTCCTAGCACCCCTTGGCTCACAACTCGCCGACGAACTTGTCCCATCTGCAAAGGCGACGTTGTCCGCTCGTTGACCAATCCCTATGGCGACTCTCAAACCCATACCGAACAGTCCACCCATACGCACCCACAGACAGTAGACCCTCCAGCTGATGCATCATCGGCACCGGTTCTTATTGCGGCTACCGATGACGATGCGTCAGATGTTGAGCAGAATATCGGCCTGCTGTCAGGTCATGCCAGTTCTGCACCCCAATCAAGCTGGCGAAACCTGGCTTCTCTTAGCTTCTCCGCTCTCAGTGGTGATACAATCTGGCACCAGGCACGTGCAGATCGAAATCGCTAGCCATCAAACCGATTCTCCGTGTTTTATTTTCTGCCTTTTATTTCCCCGTCTCGCCTGACCGCCAGGTTGTGACTTGCACTGATTTCCTTTTACGCATGTTGTATTAGCGATCGTTTGATTCCCTTATGAATGAATTTGCGGGGCGTTTAGCGGGTACATTTCGGAGTGTTTGGCGGTTGCAAAGCATCTGCGAGCATTCTTGAAGCGGCTGGAACATACCGCAGATCAATCGTTTTCATATCTTTTCCGTCTTTCTTGGCAGACAAAACCCTCAATGCAAAATGCCATTGCCCTGATTAATTTTTGCTATCGTTGTTCCCGATTGCCACAAATACTCCCATGGGTAAAGAAAAGGCATCAAACTGTAGATAAACTATTCAGAGCCAACTTGAAAAAGAGCTTAGACTATCCAGACTCGGATAATACGTATACACAACAACGTTCAAGTCATGCAATCCATTAACCAATGTAGATTCTTCATTCTGCGTAAACATTGCCGCAAATATCCCCAAATACCTCTAGAGCATGACCGCACTGGTCTCGAACCAGCCCAACCCGAGTAAGCATATCTCTTCCCAAGGGTAGGAAGCGTTCTGCCTCAAGACTAGTACCAGCACCCTGACCCAAGACAACCTCCAAGATTGCCTTCGCAGCCTTCTCTGTGTCGCCGTCCCCCACAAATTTGCCGCTCTTGATAGCGTCCATCATATTCTCCGCCACGGAGCCACGATAGTCGTCAGGCAAAGGCCCCTCAGAAAACTGGGAGGCATTTCCAAAATTGGTCCTGAATGTGCCCAGCCATACAGTCAACAGACGGACGTTGAACGGGGTAACTTCCTTTGCCAGGACCCGCGATGAAGCTGCGATAACAATATGAGTCTCTTGGTCGCCTGAAAATCAAACGCTGCCACCGATACGCACTTACCATCAAGAGCTCCTTTACCAGCCGCATACCCTCCCATACTATCTCGGCCATCTAGAGCCGCCCCCGAGCTGATATTGACAATAATTCCAAGGCGCCGCTGTCGCATGCGCGGCAAGACAGCGTGGATCAGCCGGCTCGGCCCGAAGTACAGCACCTCCATTTGGCGACGCAGTTCCTTGTCCGATAGTTGCTCCACGGCGCCGAAAATAATAGAGCCTGCATTGTTGATGAGAACATCGATCTGAGTTCCAGATGATTCAAGGGAGTCGATCAATGTAGCTGCAGCCGTGGGGTCTTCCACATCCAGCGCATGCCACTGACCGCCGTGACCTTCAACTTCCGCCACTAGCTCCGGGGTGCGAGCCGGCTGGCGAGAAGTCGCAATTACGACGTGACCTTCGTGCTGGATGGCCCGAGTGAGTTCAAGTCCCAGGCCGGAAGAGCAACCCGTGATGAGCCAGGTGAGCGGACGCGAAGGCTTGTGGAATGTCGTGCACATCGTTTCTTTGCAATCGATATCGATATACACAGAGCTGCAGCAGAAGATGCCGAAAACAGATGATTGATAGAGTTGAAGCAGAGACTATTGATCCAGATGGATTCGAAAGTTCCTGAGCTGTAGGACAGCCTTTTATACCTCGATCGGAGACTCTGTTCCCTCTTTTTCGCCGTAACTACTAGGGCTGGGGTAACGTGGGTCAAGGGCGGAGATGCGGACTTAAGAGTGGGGCTGGCCCGATGTCTGAACTGGAGAAGCATCTTATCGAGACTACTGTGCCTTGAGTATGGGCCGCATCTCAGGCTGAGTATCTCTCCTACTTGGGGTCCCTTCGAACTAAGAGTGCCTAAATCCGTTGCCGTCAATCCGAGGTTATTGAGTGTCGGCAGGCTAATGGATTGCCTCACAGCGGGCATTGAGGCCAGAAGACCCAGAGCTGTAGATCAATAGCCCATCATGATGACACCGGCGACTGGTGCATATACACGAAGCCATCTCAGTGTAGTTCCGTTGAAGCCTCCAGTCTTTTCTTGGGGGCTCCAGAGGTGGCCTCGGCATGCCGACTAGGTGCCGGCCCGATGACGGGGCGAGATCCTGGCTCGGCCAATCACGTTGCGCTCTTATGGCCGTCTCAAGTCAATACGGGCGAATATCATCATTAAAGTGTCGCGACGAACTTGATACGATCGTATTGAAATCCGTATTGTCGACTTAGGATATCTTCACAATCTCCCACAAACGCAACTTTGTCGTATCTCCACGCACTCACGCCGTGCACACCCACCCATTCCCACGCCTATAAGAACAGGACGCATAGGGCTCTGCACTGGGCACAAGGATGGACCAGTAAGTCAAACACATTCATCTGATTCCTGGAGCAACTTAGCGGGTATTCTCTCATCTGTATTAACGATTGGCGCGATGACAGACAAGTGGCTGGATGTGAATTCTGTGCGGCTGTCTCCAACCAGGGAGACAGCAGAAACGACGATAGAGTCATCAATGGCTACCTCAATAAGTGGCTTGGAGAGCGATGAGGTGCCGATTGAGAATTAATTGGAGATTCTATTGGATACTCCGACTAGTGACTTTTTTGCGCTGGTATTGAGCCCAGATGATGAGAGTTCAGTATGTGACGGTTTCCCTATTTGACATCAACCTAACCTTCACGCATAACATCACTAATCAATGAGCAGTCACCTATGTCTGAGCATGTCAGGTCTCATATAGACCTTCAGGTAATTCGGATTGCCTAATTTCGAAAGGCAAAGCCTTTAACTGGAGGTTGGGGGAGTGCATGGAAGTGCTGGTGGCTAACAAAAGACTCAGGCAACAGGAAGAGATGGCCAGGGTATTGTTTATCGTCCCCCAGACTTTTCTGATTTCGCGCTCAAAATTTCTCCCTCTTACGCCCTTCCACCATTCCCTAACCTCTCGCTTCGTTTATCTTCTTATTGCAGATCGAACGGTATGTCCATTCTCTTCCTCCGGATGGGCGCCAGTTTGTCTTGATATTAGGTCAAAGCGATGCTTTTGATCCAAGTGGCAGGATTCATGAGCTGATATCGTCAATAGTAATAAGTTCACAAAGATTCTGAACGCTCAAGTGAAATCCCTCATCCCAAGTCTCAGCACTGTGTTGCTGGGTCTTATTACCCATGCTTGCCTTTCCCTTCATTTCTACAGTTCCCCTTTCCCTCTGCGTATCCTCTTGATCCGCAGCATTCACATCAGCGCTCTGATTGCCAACATCAGAGATTTGAGTATCACAAAATGTCTGATAACCCACACGCTCATTTGAACCATATGGCTCTGTCCCGTCCTGGGTCAACCTACCCAGGACAAACCCGGACTATCACTCCCGGACCTCGGGGTCCTCCATATGCGTACGCCCTACCTGAGCCAGCGTACCAATCTGCTGGACCGTTCAACCCTGGACCATCTATTTACGGCCCTGCAGCTCCAGCCCAGGCCCCTTTCTACCCTCAGCAGCAGGGTTATCCTTATTATTGCTACCCTCCTCCAGGTCCTTTGACATCAGGACCTGCTTACTATGCTCAACAGCCCCCACCAGCGCATATTACACTTGGCCCATCTCTCAGCATGCCGCAGGAGGCTGTCTTTCAATATGCCCCTATGCATCAAAATTACAATCCGAACATGACTGGTTCATTTCATGACCAAAGCTTTGCCCCAAACAGTCAGATGGGCAGTCAGATGGGCACCTTTGACATTCGACGCCCGGAAGTAAATGACACTGCTCCTCTTCGATACTCCCGACGAGCAAACAGCCGAGCTCGTCGCTCTGCTGCATTTTTCCAGACAGGTGGGCGCCTCACACAGCCCTTGGCGCATGTTGGAGGTGGATCAAACCAGTCCAATGTCCCCGAGCGAGCTGTTTCTCGGGTCTCACGTCCTCTGATACCAACTGTGCCTGAATTCTTTCCAGCATCAGCTCACGTATCGCTTGGTTTTGAAGAGCGCATGGCCAAAAATTCTGAGAGTGAATCCTCTCAGCGTCCACAGCCTGCAATTCCTTTCGTGGCAAACCACCAGACTGTTCAGACTCAGGTAGTCTCTGCAACTGGGGTGAACGGTTCCGGTGACAACGAGCAAGCATTTATGCAGACATCACGTCCTTTGATGCCTGATATTGCACCTTTCCAACCAGATCAAACGTTCATGGCACTTTCAGTAGAAAATGAGGTCTCAAGCGCAAATGAGGGACAGCCTCTTCAACAAGATGCTGCTAGAAGAGAATGGCTAGTGAACCCGTTTGAAAGATATGTGGCAGAGTCACATCCTGCAGGTGTAGATTCCTGTTGCACCAATGAGCAGGGTACCGGCAGACCTCAAGCCAGAACGGGACAAAACACGAGGTTGCAGCAAGACATCATTTCTTCTGATGATGTTTTCGGTGATTCCTCCACTAGCACACTTTCTCCCGACAAATACCGATCTTCGACCTGGCGACAGCGACGAAGTAAATCTCTTGGTGAGAGCTATGTCCTCGGCATCCCTCCGCAACGGGAGTTCACCAAAACAACTAACACACGATTGGCACCTTCTGAGTATACGGATTCTCTCACTAGTACACCTCATGGCCATGGACACCCCCGTGTGTTTATTCCTGACATGACTGAGCCTCCTGTCACACCTCAAACCCCACAGCTTCGCCCAAGAATACCAAAGGGAATAATGTACTTTGACAACGAATTTGCAGGCAGAAGAAGAGACCTCATGAGTGAGGCAGAGGATCATGCAAGGAATCAAATGCAACTTGGGTCTAGAAGATTGGATATGGAGGGAAGCGAAGCTGATCAGCGGGCTGAGGCTTCTGTACAGCAGCTTGAACATGAGCTATTCCCAGGTGTATGTGATGTTCAGCGATACGCCCCACAATTACCCAGCCTCGATAGATGTGCCCGTCTGCTTGGTACTGCTGATTTTGAATGGATGCCCGGTGATGGTCCTCATCATTTCTGGGATAACCTACCTGCACCCCGGCTACCAGAAGCTCGAACGATTGCCGCTGACCCTGCGAAACAAGACATGGTTTCTGCATTTGAACAAGCGTTCCGCAACCTTGCCCGGTACAAAGATGGCTATTCAAACTATCAGGGTCTCCCAATTGACGCCAACACCGCTGGTCGAGATGTGGAAGGACGTCTACCCCGTCATCAGCCTAGCTGGCAAGCGCTCAACAGACACAGGATGCTAGACCTGGCTGACCCTGAAGTTCGCTGTGATATTCGCAACAACCCAAAAGTTCGCCGTAACTTCTTCAACAATGCATGTGAGGTGCCTTACATGGAGTCTATCAACACAAACAGACGCCCTTGGGGCCGTTCGCCCTGTATGTCTCCTCTGCTGGGAGTGCAGACACTCAGCTCGTTCCCACCTTTCAATCCTATCTCGCTTCCTCCAGATGACCCTGGCATGGTTACTCCAGCAGTTACTACTGAAGCTGTTCCAACTAATGAGAACCCAACAACTACTGCCCCAAAAACTGCCGTCCAGTCCACCTCTCTTCCTCCCCGACCCGTGATCCCTCTGGAGCGTCCCCGCGCTCCTCCCAATGCACCTACCCGCCCGGCAGCCATGAACAACACTGAACGACGCCCTCCCCGTCGACCCCTCAGTCGCCAGGTTTCGTTAAATCGATATGGCTCGCAGAACCCAGATGGCTCGCCTTCTCCCTTACCGCGTCACCTCCGCCGACACTAGTCTGTAACTTTCAATCATTTGACGCCGGACCGCGAGTACGGACGCTTACAAAAAGAAAGAGATGAATTGAGATGATGGCGACCTCGACGATGATAGTGATACATGAACACCCAAGAAATATGCCAAGAGCATTGGATTTAATATTTAATTTGCCTGGAGGGAATGAGGATGCATGTGGAGGGAAAGAGACCATTTATTTCTTTCTATGTACCGCCGACTCTCAAGACATACTGTTTTTAATCCATCTCATGCTTTAAATTGCCACCTTAAAAATCAAAATTGTGATTTGCTTGCTTACTGACCATTGTGTATATGTTTATTCCTTTTAAATATTGGGCTATGTTTTACTCCTCAGGCGAGATGGTGACATATATATACCACGTGACATGACATGCCCTGATCCTGCCTGTCGACAGGGAACAATCATGAGTGAAGCGCAGCAAAACAGCCTTGGCGTTTCATTCTATGGATGGGTAGACACTGGAGACAGGTTGTAGAATGGCAACAGGTATGGACATATTAACGCGACTTTGCTAGATGATGAACAAGAAAGGGGGCGAAAAAGAAAATACTAATGCGAAGACCCATCCGGAGACAACAGCATGGGAACAAAATTGACCACTGTACGATCAAGCCAGCCAAAGCAATTACAACACAATCTAACCTCTGCATTATTGTCATCTCCTGTAGAAGTTGAGCGCTCATGGTAATGGGCGATATATTCAAACCCCAGACAGCGAGGAGTTTCAGAGCTCAAGATGTCGAAGCAGGCAGGCAGTAAAAAGCCTCGTGTGAAAAGAAAAAGATAGAGAAAGAAGACAGAGAAGTAGAATAGGATAAAAGAAGAGCAGGCTTCGTTGCTGGCTCAACAAGGGTAATAGAAGAGAAAGAGAAGTAAAAGAAAAGGCCCAAATAGACTCGCCAAGACGCCGTTTAAGATTGCGAGATGTGTATCCAGAGCCATATTACAGAACAGGAGGAGGAAAATAGAACAGATGAAAGATTGTGCAGGGGAGAAGCAATGGCCTGCAGCCATCGACTCACGCATACGCCTCGATTCAGCAAGACACAAGATTGATGTGGTGGTCGTTCAATGCGGCACAGGCGAGCATGGTGCGGTGGGGGTGGAAAGCCGTGCAGGTGATGGGAGAAGAGCGGTTATGGTGGAGGAAGCTCGAGTATGGCTCGAATGTGGAGAGATATGTGCCATCGACATTGAAGGTCTTGACTTCGTGGCGATTTGTTCCCCTACTACCATGTTAGTGAAAGACCCATGTATTAATGAAGGGAGGAGTAACGTACATGCTGAAGACAGGAGCATGCTCATGGACGCTCAAAGTACGAAGAGTGTCCTTGGTGGCATATATTGTCGATAATGGATTGTCCATCCGGAGATCCCATAGCCGAATTTCACCATTGCGACTACCGGAGATAAGTTCTCGCAAGCCACCGCGCTGCATGTGCACGTTAGTGACCCATTGCTTGTGCTCGCGCCAGACTTTGACCATAGAAGTAGTTGGTTTGAGTCGCTGATCAAAGACACGGACGGCACCATCGCCAAATCCTGCCACAAATATATTGCCAGCAACTTGGTCCGATGTCAGTGATGTAATGCAAGACCCAGATCGAGCGGGAATGTCCTATTAAAGAAGATGGTCAGTCCCGGTCCGAGAAGTTGAAGGAAATGAGAAATTAGAGACATACATTGGTGCAGACTTCGGTTGCAGCATTCCACACTCGAATCACCTTGACATCTCCTGCAACCAAAGCCTTTCCTTGTCCTTGTTGCCAATCAAGCACGAGGCCAGCATTGCGGTTGCTGGGGATTAGCTCTGGTAATGCACGGAAGGAGGTGACGACTTCAATTCTTCTCGACGACTCGTAGTTGCGGAAAAGCTTGAGCATGCCATCAGAAGATCCAGTCAGTAGCAGAGCTTGGTCGTCCTCGTTGATATAGCGGACTTCGTTGATTTTGGAGCCAACAGGGTTTCCGTTCGAAAACTGATTCAGTCGCTTGTGGCTTTGCCAGTCCCAAATACTAGAGCACCATGGATCAGCATCAAAAAATGAGACGAATTACCTCGCAATGAAGACAACTTACGCGATGGTGTCGCGATCATCAGCCACAGCGATATGATCCTCAAATTGATGGAAGCACATCTTTAATGGTTGGCTGCTATTCGACAGCAGAGTAATCGAATTATCCCACCGGCTCGTGCCGGCTTTGCCCTTGAGTGGCTGGGTCTCCGCGATGATCTTCTCGTTGCGGCCGCGTCGCCAGAGGCGCTCGTTGTAGTCTGAGCTGCCGGGCTCGTCGGGCTCGTTCGGTTTCATCTGGGGCTCCCGGAAATACTTGTCGTGGGTAAGTAAAAGGTCATACTCTATATGGGCTGCTTTACTGAAGTCTTTGAAAAAGGATGAAATTACCTCGGTGGACCAGTCCAGAAATCTACTCTTCAACGGGATCATCGGTGCCATATCTGGGTTCCTGGGAGAGAAGCCTCGGGATGTGGGAGCAGGTGCTTGGTGATATGATGTTGCGGGGGCGACATGGTCGTTAACTTCGGGAGGACGGGTCCATTCAGGAGGGGCACGACCCCGGGGGGTAATGGGCGTTCGACTCTGGGATGGCGAAGGGGGGTGGAGGAATCTGAAGTTAGATCTGTTGAGCTTCCGAAGGCGAGATTTTTGAGAGAAGCAGCAACGCTTGCGGTACGTCTGAAACCCAACGAAAGATATCCCTCCTGTTTTGCAGGAACTGTGGTGGATGACGGCGGGGTGGAAGGAGGTGCCGTCTTCTTTGTCTCTGGCCGTTCATGCGCTTGAAGCTTTTGTGACATACGGCCTGTGAGGTCCAGAATCTCGATTCTGATTCTGTCAGCAAGAGTCGACATGGGCGACTCTAGAAGAGCCAGGTGAATATAGTCAACAATGACGCCAGCATCCTGGGCGATGTCAGGGTGCGGATCAACAGAAAGGATGAGGACCTGCTTCCAGATGGTTCCGAAGGTTGTGTTTCGGGACAATTGGGTCTGCTTCGTATCGAAAATAAGATCGCCCCTTTCGGATTCTACACGACCGGTCTGAGACCGCTCACTTTGAAGACGATGGAGCAGAGACTGCTTTTCTTCCTGAAGTTCCTCGTAGGCTGCCACCAGGAACTTGTTCTGATGCCGCTTCACGAATGTCGAGAAGAAAACAACCAGCTCTTTACGGACGAGAACACTGCCATCGGCCGACATGGGTAGAACGGCATGGGCCAGAGTCTCCTCAATCTGTGCCACTTGGTCTGTTAAGTCGGGGATACCAAGGAACGTAGTGACAGCATGTAGCATTGCAGCCCGAACTTCTGGGACGGGATCGAAGTTCAGCTCACAAAGACGAGCGGGAGCTGCGCATCGGATGCCCATCCATTTAGCTTCTGGAAAATCACACCACAACATGCTTAGACAGAGACATGACCATTGGCGTAGCAGTGGATTTTCAACGTCACCAAGATGCCTCAAACAAGAGTCAAAGAGTTCGCCAGACAGACAGACATTCTGGCCCTGCGGATAATTCTTGCAAAATATGGAAACAATAAATGCACACATGGCGCGGTGCTCACTGGCATTACCAACAGGAATGGGCGAAGACGGGTTGAGGATTGAGATAAAGTAGTGAATGCCGTTGTCTTTGAGGAGATCGTTCTGAACAGTGTGGTCTACAGCCATGATCCGTGCCCAAATGAATACCATCACGGGCTTCAACTCTTGGGCAGCGGATTGCAGCAATTTCACAACATAGGGGAAGATGCCGATGCTGAGTGCGAGGTGAACGGCCCATGGGCCCAAATCTAAGAACTTGCTGAGCAAAATCAACGCACGCAGCCGATGTGCTTGGCTGAGAAGGACCTGCAGGACAATAGGAAGTTGATCTGGAGGGTTCTTCTCCGTGGGTCCAGAGGAGAGGTAAACCTCGAATGCAGTAAGTTGCTCAGCGAAGAACGTAGAGTGCTGATATTCATATTGTCGGCGGCCTTCCTCTTGGTCGATTAAGGCAGGCAGTTGCGACAGAACCATCTCCACGGCAAGATCCCAGCTCTTCCAGAGAGGGTGGTGATGTGTCTCTGGGAGTTCTGGCGAAGAGATTGGGTGGCATTTGTAGGTGCGCATGATCCGCTCACTGAGGAGGAAATTTCGAAACAGAGCGGCAACCATGAGATCTTGTCTAAAAAGCTTCTTGAACAGCGCACGAGGTAGCGTGTTCCACGCAATTGTGTCGGTGATTGCAGTGAAGATCCAGTTGAGCTCACCCAGTGGACTTCGTCGATCTTGGAGGCGACCCGGAACGCGGAAGTCATCAATCGATATATCCGTCCGCAGGGGGTTCTGCAGGATAAAAAATCGCAACGCGATTTCAATAGGAGTTGTCAAACAGCATGTAAAGAGATCGGCCGGAAGATCAGGGTTAGTGGGGAGGGACTCGTTCTTCTGACAGGCGGCAAGAAGAATACAATCGCCATAGTTCTGAACGATGGCATTCGGATCGCGTTTCTTTGCCTCTGCATTCTCCTTCTCGTGCTTCTCCACAAACATATGGAAGTTTTGGACGATGTTCCCCGCATGTGAAACGTCGAAAACGAATAGACTGGGGCCTGCCAGCCACGATTGCAGGTCGTAAAGTGGAACGGGAATATACTGGGTATAATTCTTATTAAACACCCAGATCTCACCCGACTGTGTCGGCAATGGGACACCATGGCCGTTGTAATGAAGAAGCACCCGTTCGTCTTTAGCGTTTCGGCGCAAGGAGATACAAAATTTCTTGGTTTCATCAACAGAGGGATCCAGATACTGCTTGTATCTTGTTCGTAGACTCAGAGTCTCGTACTGTTCTTGCAATTTCTTACCAATCTGCTCCATGATCTTCGTCTGGCCACCGCCGGTGGTCGAGGTAGGATCCACCCAGCACTCAAGCTTCGAGGACGGGTTTGTCTTGACGACATCAGGAGGATCAACTCCGATATTCAGGCAGATTGCGAGGGCTGCTGACACTGTCTTCAATCGATCTTTCATACGCCAATCCTGGCTCGGCCAGCTTCCGACGGGGTCTCTGGGAATGCCATTGGTCTCATGACGTTTTTCCGTGAAATACATGTAGAAATTCTTCAAAAACATCTTGCATTAGGCCCGACACGCAGGGGTCTGGAGGTTACCTAGCTTACCGAGTGTAGAATCTTCAAATACTCGCTTGAGGTATATTCCTCTTGCCATCCGTGTCGCATAGCGAAATCTTCTTCATCGTCCCCTCCAACCACCTTGTCGAATGTGACACGACTAGGACCATAATCACTTTTGGCTCTCTTCAACATCGCTGGACGACTACTCTCCGACCTTCGCGGAGAGGGGCGGCGGGGCGGGTCGTCGGACACCATCGCACCATTCTCCCCGGCGGAACTGGTGGGACGAGCTGGTGCAGCGAGAGAGGAGGCCTGGGTGTGCTCAACTGTTGTGAAGGAACGATGATGACTGCTGAATGGGACAGGCGATCGTTCACGAGTCGGGATGGTAGTTTCTAGGTCCGGACCAAACGCGACTCGCACTGATTTATTGTTGCGGCGGGGTTCGGCGGCCGACCCGTTGGTCGCCGGTTGCTGTGTCGTTTCTTCCATATCTGCAGTGGGATCCCTCATGTTGTAGGATGGATCATGATGTTACGCGAGAAGCGAGAAGTAGGACAGGCGCGGGGGAATGGGCGTAGAAAGCTCGAGAGGATCGCGCTCCCAGTATCGATCTCCCCGACGGATTCGGGGATGAGGAGTCGGGCGAGAAGATGGCGATAGGGAGAAGAGGGGAAGGGGGCAGATGGGCGATCAACGATGACCGCACAGGATCTGACGAGCCCAACACGAAAGCGAGCTCTCGAGGGATGTCAAGAGGCAGCCCAGAACAAGTCCTGAAGGTCCGGAACCACAGAGCGACGCCACGGTGAGGCTCGTTGCTGTCCCAGCCGGATTATCGGTATCCCCGCCTGCTTAGCTAATCCTTCAAGCTTCCCCGGTGTTGCTTCGGTGCGAATTACGAGATAAGTATTTTGTGCTCCGTCCCTACTCTATTTGAGAGATTATGGGTAACCAGGCTCAAGGTCAGTAGTTAAAATTCAGTAAAGACTCAATCTAAGTGATTCTTCAGTGGTCACTGATCATGGATGGTAGGGTGCCAGTGGTCGCTCAATGTTGCTCAATGATCGACCGAAGGATGTACTGTGCTCGCTTAGTAAGCACTTGGTCCTCAGGCTGCAAGCATACTTGGTTGAAGCTATATTTAATTTCGCCCTAAAAGAGCGTGCTTTACCTGACTATCTATTCCGTGATCGCTAGTATGTTGCAGCTGTCAATGTTTCCCATTTTGGGACATATAATGTTCTGTTGAAGACTATTTTATCTCTACAGCCAGAAAAATTACCAAACCCTATCAAATTCATCTTTATTATGCATAATAAAGATCCCTTATTTATTTGTAATTCCCACTGGGTAAAGCAAAACTCCTATAAGATGATGCCTGCTATTAAATTCCGGATCAGTTTCTGTGTAACTCTTTTTTCAGTTGAGCAACCGGTTCATTCCCTATTCTGAATTTCTAATCTATGGTAATATCCTGGTGTAGGCTGGAAAGACTACGTTACTAGGCAAGATAAGAAAGATACAAGTCTTTCTAGAATAAGATAGCTATATCTGTAAATACTATCATTTCGGTATCACTTTATTCACTGACCAGGACAAGAAGCATCTTGTTCCAATTTGTCGAGGCGGCTGCAATAGGAGCGACCTGGATCGGACTGAGGAGGGTATAGTGCCTTGTCGGATCGGAGCATCAAACATATTCTTACAATGTGTCATAAACCTACCCTAGCTAGCCCCAGGTACGATGAGATATGGGAAAAGAAACCTACACAGGTTGCATGTGCTACGCATTGTGCCTGGACATTCCCTGCGCATTGGCAAAGGGACCCCGTCTAGCAAAGGCTCGACGGCGCAAGTGGCTCATCCCCCCATGAGACCCTTCTTCTAATAGAGCAGCCCGATCATCGAAAAACAACTTGTACGGCGCTTTCGGGATTATGTTATTCTCGTCCTCCTACACTTGATACTCAACCTTCTCCCAGACCTCTAGCTGGCGAGTGAGGTTTGCGCTTGATCTTCTGCTTTGACCGCACAAAGCCAAATACTTCCGCCCGCGGCATGCGCAGGTTGCGCATGAGATAGACAATGATGGGACTAGGGGGGCGCGAGATTCCCAAATCACAGTGAATTAGAACCGCCTTGGACGCTCCAGGTCCATCGCGCCGAGCGTCCTCTGCGTTGCATTCGGTGGGCAAAGATCCAGTTGCGCAAAGCGCGGGGGATGCCACTTGGTCCATGAAATCGCAGATATTGCCCAGGTAGACCAGAACGCCCTGCTTTGAGGAATCTGCACACTGAACAAATTTATGACAATCTTTAGGAACTCCGGCTTCTCTTGTGATCGTGTTCCACCATACCCACGGGGCATGGGTGAGAGATACAACTGCGTTGATGTGATTCTCTTCTATCAGTTCTCGGTTGTGGTATGATCTCACGTTGCCGAGGATGAGATCAGGTACAATCTGCCTCATCCGGGGCTTGCTTGCCATCTCCTACCTCCGCTCCCGTTCCTCGGCATCTATTTTAGGTGTGTTTTCACCCATCGTGGCTTGCTGTCTCCCCTCTTCTGATCCGAGAAAAGAATAACCGGAAAGGATCAGGATCGGAAAAACTTGTTGCCTTGATCAAGGCGGTACCAATGATCCATATGGCACGCTCGGTTCTTGCGAGGTCAAGAGATGAGGTTGATTCGTTGAAGGGCGCTTTGTTGGGGCTGTCAGCTCTCCGCCGGCGGTCTTGGCAAGGAAGCTTCCGCAGAATTCGGCGCTGGCCAAGTGATGTGTACCTGGATACGTCTGTATACTCCGCCCTTCATCCTCAGTCAGGCTAGGGCGATGTAGCGCCCAGCCCAGCCACCCGAGGAAAAAAAAGAAAATTAATTTGCTGGTGCAGTGTGCAAGCGATATCTGATATCTGATGTTTGATGTGGCTAGAAATGAACCCGGTGTCTCAGACAACGATGCCGGGGGAGATCAGGATAGTCCTTGTACTCCAAAAGGTCTCAGAGAAAGCTCCACTGTTCAAGCAATTATGGAAATTATCTATTTGAGGGCGTCCTTGTTATGACTACATCAGATTCACTTCCTTAAGGGAGAAGGGAATCGCAGGTGAACCTTGGACTCCATCATGCGTTAGTGTCACCGTATGGAGACCTCTGCATTTGAACCCGAGTCGGCCATTCGTCGCCTTCGATGGGTCACCGATGGGCCCTGATGTGTCAGGTTCAAAACGATGGCGGCTCTGGTGGTTCTGATTCGTATAGGTCAGGCCATCCCTAGACGGGATCACGACGGATCACGTCGTAACCGAGAACCGGTCTGGCGGGCGCTCAAGCACTTCGGAAGTAGTGATCATCGCCGCCCCGAATTCCTGTGATAGGCAGGGAAACCCTAAGCCTAAGCCCCCCTTTTTTCATGTGGGATCCATCACGCTTCGGTGGACACCGTCGGGGGCGAGTAAGAGAGTATGTCGGTCATTTTATTTTATCTTATTTTTTTTTTTTCAAAGGGGTGACTCCATCGTGAGGGTCGACTGTCCATCACCAGCTGAAAAGCGCGTAAATCACCAACGGGCTGGACCCTGAATGCTAGGCGTCTACCGCTCTTTTGCCCGTTCCGTAGTTCTCCCAAACCGCCGTGGGAACTGTTTGGCGTTGGGATAGGTTCCCTGCACGTTGTGGGGTGTGGAGATCGTGTGGAATTGGGGGTGTGCAGGGCCGTCATTGGATGCAGCGGCTCACACCGTGAGAACTCGAGGAAGACAGCCCCGCGGCTGGGTTTCCGCCCATCATGCGTGCATAATGAGAGCAAGCCCCCAGAAGAGTGTTCGGGCGGAAACGGTGGGGGCCCTCTGGTTGGTTTGGCAAGTTGTTAAGGTGGAAGGCGGGAAGGTTGGCAGGTCGGAAGTATGAAAGTTGTGCTCGGGCTTACGAGGAATGCCCGTTGTTTGGAGACCGAAGCCATTCTGATATGGCCATGACCCTATTTAGAATGGCATGGTGATTTCCGGGTGATTGTTCTATACTATACGCAAAACCTCGTCTTTCTATCTCTTGGTACATTGTACGATGTCGTGCTTGTAGGGCTTCGAGATAGACCGACTTGGGGTTCTTTGTGGGCCGGGCTTTGATGCCAGATCTACTTCTCCGGACTCCGTATAGCAATGGCAACACCATGTCCCATGATCACAGGGGGGAAAGAAGGCTAGGGTGAGGGCATGGGTCGGTATCTTTTGCCAGCTTCTGTCCCAGCATTGGCTTAGAGGTTGGATCGTGAGGAAAGCGGTTCGCCATGACGACCAGCGGCTGGGAGGGAAACGAGCCCAAGAATGAGGGCGCATAGCAGAGAGCCCATGACCGTTGGCCCCTGAGTATGCAAGTTATTCAACCACCTTCTGTTACTGCTGCTGCTGCCGCCGCTAGCGTGACTCGGACTAGATCAACCCTGGGAAATTGAATCTTTCGACTGCTTTTCATCCTTCTTCCTCTCCTTCCCCTCCCTCCCCCTTTTCTATATCGGCTGGCTTTCGATTTCCTCTGTTCTCGGCTCACGGGCAGCCTGATTGCTGTGTGTTAGGTTAGGTTCCACCCAACACGCATCACCACCCCCTGGGCCCATTTTTTTTTTTTTTTTGGGGCGAACGCTGAGCGGCTGGTGGATGGGAGACATTCGACGGTTCCTGGCGCTTCCTCTGGTTCCCGACTCCACTTGCATCTGAAAACCACCCTCCCCTGGCTCCTCCGCTCGGCCACTTCCATTCCAACCACCACCACCACCCCCCTCCCCCCTCCCAAGAATCCTGACCTCGCCTTTTCTCGGGAATATCTTGTTGCTGGGGGACCGGAAATCCAGATTCAGATCATCGCACCCGGCGGCCCCGACCCGTGGGCGCGGAATCTCCCAGTGCGCTGTGAACGACCGATTACGACACCTTTACGATGGCCTTTTTGTTCAAATCCAAGAAAACTCAACAGGGGACGGCGCTTCCTCCGGCGACGAGGAACGTTCACACCTCCGAAGGTGCTCCGTCGTCCGGCACACCTGCCCTGACGAACGGGGCCAAGGAGGGCAACGCTTTCGCGCAGACGCCCACCCCCAGCAGTAGCTACAACAACTCCCTCAATTCCGCAACCAGTCCGACTAGCTCGGACCCGGTCAGAATGCGCCAACGAGCCGAATCAGAAACACAGGTAAGTTGTCTGTCTCCGTCGCCGCCGACAAGGGTGCCGCCCTGACCCGAACCCTTCCCGCGCTTTTTTTTAGGCTCCACGACCGCAACAGACTCCCAATGGCGTATCGCCGAACAGCCCGAATTCCTCCCTCTATCCATGGTCTCAGCGTCGCCTGAATTTCTCGTCGCCCCAAACGAACCCATTTCCTCGATATGGCGCGGCCGTCAATGCTGTTGCATCCAAAGAGGGAGACATCTACATGATGGGTGGCCTGATTGACGGGTCGACCGTCAAAGGCGATCTGTGGATGATCGAGAGTAGCGGTGGTAGCCTCTCCTGCTTTCAGATTGCAACGGTTTCGGAAGGCCCTGGTCCCCGAGTCGGCCACGCGAGCTTGCTCGTCGGCAATGCCTTCATTGTGTTTGGCGGCGATACTAAAATCAACGACACCGATGCCCTGGATGACACCTTATATCTTTTGAACACATGTAAGTCGATCGGACCAGCTACCTCTTCCCCTGAGTTATACTTCATATTACTTGAAACTGAGGTCTAATCACTTTGCCCATCATTTCCAGCTTCTCGCCAATGGTCTCGCGCAATCCCTCCCGGTCCCCGTCCCGCTGGTCGTTACGGTCACTCATTGAGTATTTTGGGTTCCAAGCTCTATGTGTTCGGTGGACAGGTGGAAGGCTTTTTCTTCAATGACTTGGTCGCCTTCGACTTGAATCAGTTACAGAATCCCGCCAACAAATGGGAACTGCTCGTCCAAAATAGCCATGAGGGAGGACCACCAGAGGGCCAAATCCCCCCGGCACGAACGAACCATTCTATCGTCGGCTACAATGATAAATTATACCTGTAAGCCAAACTTTCCTCCGTGGACTAAGGCATATGGATAGCGAGGCTGACTCGAACAGATTCGGAGGAACAAATGGCGTGAAATGGTTCAATGATGTTTGGTCCTATGATCCTCGTGCTAACACCTGGACTGAATTGGACTGTGTTGGATTTATCCCGACTCCGCGAGAGGGCCACGCCGCGGCTCTTGTGAATGATGTGATGTATGTGTTTGGTGGTCGCACTGACGAGGGCGTGGACTTGGGTGACTTGTCTGCCTTCCGTATCTCCACCCGTCGCTGGTACTCCTTTCAGAATATGGGCCCGGCACCCTCTCCACGGTCTGGACACAGCATGACAGCATTTGGCAAGCAGATCATTGTGATAGCAGGTGAACCCAGCTCGGCTCCGAGAGACCCGGCCGAGCTCAGCATGGCCTATATTCTCGACACATCCAAGATCCGATACCCCAACGATTCCCAGTCAAGTGAGCGTGGTGCCGTGCCATCTGGTCGAAAGGTGAGCGTCGAAAAGCAAGGACCAGCCTCGGGACGTACCTCTCGCGAGGCTCAAAATGCGACACCAGACCAACAAATGCGTCGTGGTCCCACCCCATCTCGTGAGAGCTTAATCCAAACTTCTGGTTCCAACCCCAACCTGGGTCCAGGATCTCGTCTTCCTCGAGCCTCGATTGCCCAAGCGCCTTCCGGGCCCCCGCCCCCTGGCCAGGCCCCTTCGCCAGGCCCCCGAACTAACGGGGCTCAACCCGGAATGAATCCTCGCAGCAAAACACCCACCAAGAATGAGCGTGGATTCACTCCGACGGTAGATATTCGCGCTGCCAATGCAGAGCGGGGTGCGGAATCCCCTGTTGCTAAGGATGCTACGGATGGCTCGGGATCTTCGGGTCAACGAACTCCAACGCAGCAGCAAGCACCGAAGATATCTGCCAAAGCGATGGAGGCTGGAGAGGCGGCCCCTCTTATGACACCTGCCCGCCAAAGATCCTTGCGCCAACATCGGCAGCGTGGCTCAATGGATAGCGCAGAAGAGTCAGTGCTTGGCCGGCAAGCTGGCAGCATCGATGGCTCTATCGAGTCTCGAAGCTTCCGCAACTCTCGAAGCTTAGGCGACGAGCCCCGCTCGCCACGATTGACCCCCCACCAGGAGGCCTTGATCAAGGAGCTGGAGGCTGCAAAGGCTCGCAATGCCTGGTATGCTTCCGAACTGTCACTGGCAAAGAAGGGCGGCTATGTCCCCAACGCGTCTAGCAGCCCTGCCCTAGACGAGCGTGTTCACGAGTCTCTCAATGAAGAAGACCGCACGCTTGTCGAGGCATTTTTGGCCATGCGCGCTGAATTGACTAAGATGCAAGCCACCGTGGATCGCCAGGCAGCAATTGCCTCTAAGCGCATCGCGGAAGTCGAGCACCAGCGTGATGTGGCTGTCAGTGAGGCAGCTTACTCGCGAGCTAGACTCGCCGCCCACGGTGGAAGTCAGCGCGGAACTCCTCAACCAGAGGGTTCTCGCGAGGGAGAAGATGAACGGCCGACTGACATGGGCCGTCGTCTTGCATTGGCTCTGGCGTCTCAGTCGGAACTGAAGGCTAAGCTTGATATGCTGACAACCGACCTCCAGCAGGAGAAGCAGGCGAAAGAGCTGGCCGAAGACACCAATGAAGCCACTCGCAAACGTCTTGCTGAGCTGGAAATGTCAAACAATGCGCTTGAGGCGGAGAATCTGCGTGCTGAACTACACCGTGCTGAAGCTTCCGCCAGAGAAGAGGCTCTGCTTCGCTCAGAAGCTGAAGCTTCCTTGAAGCAGCTCATCTTGGACAAGGAGGAACTCATCAAGCAGGCGGAGGAGTCCTCGGGACGGTTGAAGGATTTCGGTACCAACTTTGGTGGCCTACGGGAAGCTGTTGCCGCGTCAGCTGCTAAGACGACGATTGTCGAAAAGCGGCTAGAAGAGGAGAGAGAACGCCGTGAGGGATTGGAAAGAAAGCTTCTACAACTCCGGTCTGAGCATGAGGAGCGTACTACTGAGCTCGAGAATACCACTCGTCGTCTGCGTGAAGCTGAGGAGTTGGCTGAAAGCCATGCCAAAGAAGCCGAAACTCACAAGATGGCCTTTGTGTCTGGACTGGAGCGCGCTGTTTCTGTGGATCTGGATTCTTCTATTCGATCTCGTGCTGACCAGCGGGTCGCGGCTTTGGAGGCCCAAGTCGAGCGATCCACCGCCCTGGCAAAGGCCAACCAGGCGGCCGCAGATGCCGCAGCGGACAAGTTGCGACGTGCAGAGGAGCGCATTGCAGGCCTCGAGGCTTATCAAGAGCAGGCGAGTCGCGAAGGGCTCCAGCTGCGGAGACAGCTCCAAACTGCCATGAAGGAAAGCCAGGCGGCCACTGCTGAAAGCAGAGACCTCAAGTCCCAGCTTGAGGCTCACCAGCGGGAGGCTGGTGCGTTGAACATTCAGCACTCCGCCCTCAAGGACCTTCTTGGCGAGCGTGGTGTAAGCGCAGACAGCAGGCGTTCTCCTCGCCTTGAGTCGCCCGGTTCACGGTTCGGAACACCCGAGCAGAGCCGCTTGCGCGAGCTCGAGCAGCAGCTTTCGGCCAGCATGAAGGCTCATGATGATCTCAGGAGCTCATTCGAAACCCGAGAGCAAGAAGCCGACCGTGCTTTCCGGGAAAAGCTGGAGCAGCTGGAGAACGACTATCAATCGGCGGTGCACTACGTGAAGGGTACCGAGAAGATGCTGAAGCGCATGAAGGATGAGCTGAGTCGTTACAAGACTCAGAATGCCAAGTTGCAGTCCGAATTGGAAGTCTCTCAGAAGAACCTGGAGAATGCCAGCAATGAATCCGATGCCTCCGCTGAATGGCAGGCTGAGCGCATCTCCCTCCAGAAGTCTATCGCGGACCTGGAACAGAGCACCTCCAATTCGATTAATATTCTTGAAGGCCAGATCAGTCAGCTCAAGGAAGACCTCGCTGCCGCCGAAATCGAGAAAGAGAAGTCGCTGAATGAACATGAGCGCATCCGGCAAGACTTGTTCGCTGCTGCTGAACGCAGCCGCACTGAACTCGAGCAACTCAAGAAGGAGAATGGACATCTGGAGACCCGTGCATCGGATGCAGAGCAAAAGGTCAATATGCTGCTGGAACAGGTTGAAACTTCAGTTGGCCACTACCGGCGCCAATCTCAACATGGCCAGCTTCTTCCTTCCAACGGAATCTCGCGCAGCCATAGTAACGCATCGAGTAACACTGTCAGCGGGCGACCCCGTGCGGACAGCAGCGTCTCCCAGGACTCTACTTCCTTCCCTGATAACCGCGGCTCTATGGCTCTGGACTCCCTCGCCAACGAGCTCGAGGCTCTCCGTAACCACTGGGAAAGCACCAACCGCAACTATCGCCTCAGCAGCCAAATGGATCTCGAGCGCACACCTACCAAGGAGAATAGCGATGGCCCTGCGATGATGAGCGATAGCCTCGCCGAGTGGAGGCGGCGGTTGGACGAGGAAGAGCGGGCGGTCGGTAAACTCAAGCCTATGAGTGCTGGCAATGGTCACTCCGAGGGCACATCGAATGTGATCTAAGCCCTGTGTCCGTCTGATTTCCCTGCCGTTTCTATGAGCATATGCCCTGAGATTTGTCGATTTGCAGCCTTCTCTGAGCGCTTTCCCCCCCTCCTCTTCCCTTCCGCCTCTGTACTCTGTTTCATTTCCTTCGTTTTGTTTTCTTGTGTATTTTGCGATACATGATCCTTGTATGATGAAGGTTATCTGCGTTTGTGCTTTTTTTTTCTTTCCCGCCGTCTGTTTCCATTGCCATTTTTGGGACGGGATTCCCTTCGTTTTCTCGCGACTTGTTCCCCCTGTTTTCTTCCCCGATCGCTCCTTGTACTCCTTGTTTCCTTTTTATCTCTCTTATACCCCGGCTTTCCGATGTTCATTGGACCCTGGCTGTACCACTAGTACATTCTCCACGAATCTGCCGTCTACTTTATAGTCAGCAAAATAGTCATCGTTTCTTTTTTTCATGACGTGCTCGAATGTTCCTCGTATCTTATATCCTCCCCGTAGCGGCATTTTGGCTCAATGCATCGAAGACGCCCAGCCCAGATACCAAACCGAACCCGATTGCCTCCCCCAATCCCTGATACGTTCGGGTTGTCACGCCCGAGAGTGATGGTCGGCCAGGGAGGCACGCGATGTATAGCGGCAGGATGCAGTGGGTATTAGGCAACCTGGGGCTTGGGGCCAGCGGCAAACATGGCACTGCATGATAGGCATTCAGCTCCGCCCAGGGCAGATGAGACATTGCCCCTTTGGGTAAAACCCGCATAGAAGGGTGCAATTGTTGTCTTCATGTCAGGTTCTCAGGGCCAGGAGGGGTGGGAGCATGATGGGAGGGTGCTTCCGAGCTGATCACAAAGCAGAGAAATCGTCTTTATCCGGTTCAAGCATTCAGGCTGGAGCCGAGGATGATCGAAGATCCGAAACATTTCAAAGGCGCTTCAAGCTGATGCCCGGCGCCTATACAATACCGTCCTCCGGGCATCTGAGAAATCTCATTTACCCCGTCGCATCTCCATTTCTCTCGGTGAGCCAGGGGCATCAAAGAATCCTTTGAAGGGCGCCGTTTAACTTACACAGGATCCACCACCCTAAAAGAATCGCATGAGCCTAAGGGGGCCATGTTGATGTACTGACTTTACTATGGGTACCTAATAATACTCCATAAAATACTCCATAAAATACTCCATAAAATACTCCATACCGCAAAGGGCCCAAGGGGCCCCTGCAGCCCAATACGAACGTGACCATACCCGCTGCCGGGATTCGCGCCGGGTGACGGGTGCAATACCACGGACGTCACACCGGCCGGGCGCTGGGCTGGTCACTTGTCGCCCAGCGACTTCGCTAATAGAAAATACCGCCTCTCACCGACTTCCTGCCCCCTCCCTCCTTTCTCTTCTCCCACCTTCCTCCCCCGGCCGTTTATCAAGGCTTCGTCCTTGGTATCTCTTCGGTTGTCTCTTGTCTCCTTCGTCTACTTTTGACCTCCCCCTCTCGGCTTTGTCCGATCCCGCCAACGTCCTTTCCTCTCCCCTTTTCCCGGTCGGCCCTTGACGGTCGGCATTGGACATCTCACTCTCCCCGGCCCACGTCTTGATCTATCAATCCGTTGTTCAGGTTTTCAAGTATGTCTCTTCCATTTGTTATTCTGACTCAAGATCTGCCTGGACTACCATGGTCTTCTCCCATGTCAATCAAAGGGCGTCTTTCCCTGTTGCCTGCATGAACATCTGTTGGGTGGCCAAATCGGCACCACCCCCCCCCCCCCCCCAAGTTACAGACCGTCCTCGCCGATGGCCTGAGGCTCAGCTGTCACACCCCCTCCCTCTACAACGATTCTTCTGTTCACCTGCCCACCTTTCCATCCTCCCTTCTTTCCTTCCTCACCCAGAGCGCTTCGTTCTCTCTTACCAGCCTGCATGTGGACGGCAGTTTCTGACCTCAACCTCGTACAGTTTTCAAGCTCCTTGCACGGCGAATCGCTGTGCCACCCTAATACCTTCGAGATGACGACCATGGTCAGTACAACCTTTTGTTCTTTCCACTTGCCTCCCGTCCACCTCTCCAGATCTTCTTGTAGAGGACACTCGTGATGTTGAACGGAAGGGCCTGCCTTGGCCCTGGATTTTCCTTCTGCACCAAATTCAAAGTCCATCGTCTTTGCTGACAGTATACATAGGATTTACGCGTCGGTAACAAGTACCGTATCGGCCGCAAGATCGGAAGCGGTTCTTTCGGTGATATCTATCTTGGTTTGTCGTCCTGATCTCCACGGTTCTGTAACTGCTGCTGACTCTTGACATAGGCACCAACATCATCTCTGGTGAAGAGATCGCCATCAAGCTCGAGAGCGTCAAGGCCAAGCACCCCCAGCTCGAGTATGAGGCTCGAGTCTACAAGTCTCTCGCTGGCGGCGTCGGCATTCCCTTTGTCCGCTGGTTCGGTACTGAATGTGATTACAACGCCATGGTTATCGACCTTTTGGGTCCTAGTCTCGAGGACCTGTTCAACTTCTGCAACCGCAAGTTCTCGCTTAAGACCGTCCTTCTGCTTGCCGATCAGCTCATCTCCCGTATTGAGTACATCCACGCCAAGTCGTTCATCCACCGTGACATCAAGCCAGACAACTTCCTCATGGGCATCGGCAAGCGTGGTAACCAGGTCAACGTGATTGATTTCGGTCTGGCCAAGAAATACCGCGACCCCAAGACCCACTTCCACATCCCCTACCGCGAGAACAAGAACCTAACCGGTACTGCCCGTTACGCTAGTATTAACACTCATCTGGGTGTGGAGCAGTCTCGCCGTGATGATATGGAGTCTCTGGGCTACGTCATGCTCTACTTCTGTCGTGGGTCTCTGCCCTGGCAGGGTCTGAAGGCTGCCACCAAGAAGCAGAAGTATGACCGTATTATGGAGAAGAAGATGACCACCCCTACCGAGGTCCTCTGCCGTGGCTTCCCTAACGAGTTTGCCATTTACCTGAACTACACTCGTTCGCTGCGTTTCGATGACAAACCGGATTACTCCTATCTGCGCAAGATCTTCCGAGACCTCTTTGTCCGCGAGTCCTTCCAGTATGACTATGTGTTCGACTGGACTGTCTACAAGTACCAGAAGGCCATGACCTCGGATTCCTCCAAGAAGGAAAAGGAGGAGGAGCAGCGGCGCACCGGTGTTACTGGCACTGGACCCAGTCCTGCTGGTTTGACTAGTGCTGCCACTAAGCCTTCGGCTGTCGCTCCTCGTCGCAAGGTCATGGACCGCAGCGGCGAGAACACTCCCAACACCCTTGGAACTGATCGGATGTGAGTACTTGGAACTTGGTTCCATGTAGGGACCCCCTTTTTCCTACTGCGTTTCGTGCTTTCCTGCGACGCTTCGTGGAGGACCCTTGAGTTCCGAGTCTGACTAATCACAGTTCTCCGCGTTAGGCTACGCTCTGCCACCATTGCTCCGAAAGGCGAACCTAGTCCTGTCTATGGACCCTCTGGTGGTGTTTCAAAGCGGGGCAATGGAGCAGGTGCTCAATGGTACTAATTTTGTAACGCGTGCGGCGAGAGTTGAGACCGACAGACTATTCTTTCCCCCGTCTCTATCTCCTGCATGAACAACCTCATTTCAACTGAAAGAACCCCGGGATATTCGCCATTGCCGTCATTCGCATGGACTCGACTTTCTCGGCTTTCTTTTCTTTCTCTCCTTGGATCTCCATTCATTCTGCAATCTCTACCAGCCCTTCTATCCCGTTTTCGATCATATTTCGACCTCAGCCGTTTCGATCCGTCTTTGTTGTTTCGTCTGTTCGCCTGGTTTGAACTGGAAGATCTCAATATTTCTTGACCAGCCTTTCCTGCGGAGCTACGACAACACAAGGCCACTGTTTTTTTTCTTCTTTCGGAATTCTTTCCCCCTTTTGGGGCATCAACCGATCACTCAGTTTCGAAACGCATCCGATATGGTGGCTATTCTTGCGTCTTGACCCTTTTGCGATGTTCTGGGACGGGTATCTCTTCAACTTTTACCCAAGTCTCGCACACGACTCGAAAAGGCAGACTGCAGGAGAGATGCAAATGATGGCGTCAAATTAGAAACGAGAACACTACGTTTCTAATCCCCTGGTCGCTCACACTGGATTTCCTTCACCCGCATGATCATATGCACTATCCCATCGTTATTTTCTGCCCCCTTTCCTTTGCCCGTGAAATTGTTTTGCCCTTAACCCTTTCCCATCTGATTTTTCTTTTGTTTAATGCAACATCGACGCCCGTTCGGGGACGAGGAGACGACCGGCTTTGCCGATCTAATATGAAGAGGAAGGTGGTTCTTCGGGGATTAACTTTCTCCAGTTCGTTGATTTACAGGCTTTTCTAGCTATTTGCCCTCACTATCGGCAGATAGTCTTACTTGTCTGTGGTCTTCGATCGGCTGGGAGAGTCGATTCTGGTTTGGTGGTTGGCGACGGAAAATTGCTAGGGTCGCTTCCGGGGTGGTTTTGCGTCGATTTGCATTGCGTTTCGTGTTGCTTTTTATGTTACTAGCTTATTGATCATATCCAAGTTCATGCTCCACACATTGACATTAACTGCTCGCACTTTTTCCTCTTGTGGTAGGTGACTATGAAGGGACTTAGGTGGTGCGATACTGGATCACCTTTTTGAGGTCGATCCGGAAGCTACCCCTTGGCCTTCTTAGACTTACCACTGTCCATAGCCTTCTCTAATCTTAAGTATGCTTTTTCTTGAGTTCATGTCTCAGTGTAGAATTTGGACGGAAAGTTTCGGTGAGATCATCGAGTATGAGTTCGCCCCGTTCTGGGCCTTTTTGTAATGGCGGATCTACTTCCGCCCACGGGCAATTGGCTTAGAAATTTGAGGGCCACAACAGAAGACTAACTGGGGAAACGTAGTAGGCGCCAAAAGACATCATCTATGAATAAGAATCTACTTTAGACGATAGTCTATGGTGTGGTATCTGGACAAACTCGAAACAAACCTGTCTGCGTAACGCCACGTCTCTGGCTGGCAAGTCTGATCTTCCCGGGGTAAAAAGCACAACCTTCAAGGTTCAGGATCTCCCGCTTTACCGGACTTCATCTCAACCCCTACTTGTCGCTTCTCCCCGTCTTCCTGTCCAACAGAAAACTCAGGCCCTGGCCTCGCAAGTCACTGCGCGATGGACTATTCCAACTTTGCCGGTCATCAGTCCCAGTCATTCTCAACGCTCTACGGGCTGCCCACCCCCGATCAGCAACCCCAGCCTCAGTCCGACGATGGGATGCGTGATGCATTCTCCTTGGTAGCGTTGCCCCTCGAGGGTTTCGTACAGGAACAATGAGAATCCTAGACAAGTTCTAACGTCAACTCCAGAATACCTACAATCAATACTTCCCGGGCTTCGACCCCTCATTCCGCCTTGACTCCTCCTCTTCCTCCTTTGTTCCGCCACCACACTCACCCCCGGACTCTTTCACCAAGCACTCGGTATCAAGCAATGATATTCATCACAATAACAAGCCCGAACCAGCGTCAATTGACGGAGACGATAACCAGTACGCAGACCCCGCCGCGGGGCGGAGTAGCAGCGAGGAGAAAGAGTCGGCGACCCCCGCGCAAAGCAAGCGCAAGGCACAGAATCGAGCAGCGTATGTACCCACCCCTCACGAGTAGATGCGGCTTCCACTACAAGTCGATACTAAGTCTAATGCCCCATTTAGCCAACGAGCATTCCGAGAACGAAAGGAGCGCCATGTAAAAGACCTCGAAGACAAAGTCACCAACCTTGAACAAGCATCCTCAACCCTCCAAGCAGACAACGAGCGCCTCAAGCGCGAGCTGGCCAAATATGCGACCGAGAATGAGATTCTTCGCGCCACCTCTCACTCCCTCAACGGCGGCAACGGCCCCGCCAAAGACCGCGCCGAGCCAATCGTCACCGGCCCTCTGAAATTCACCCCGACAGACTTCTACGCCCACCTCATGCCCGAAAGCGCGGGATCAGGGTCAACCTCGGGACTCGGGTCTGCAGTGCCTCAAAGCCCGCAGCATCGTGTCACGTTGTGTCAGACTACCGGGGAGAAGTTGCTCGATGCCGGCGCGACATGGGATCTCATCCAGGCTCACGAGCTGTTTAAGCGCGGGCAAGTCGACATCGGCGACGTCACCGAGCGGTTGAAGGGTATGGCTCAATGTGATGGGCAAGGTCCTGCTTTTAGGGAAGGCCAGGTGCGAAGGGCAATCGAGGAGAGCGCAGCCGACCGCGATGAATTAATCTAAAATTGCGGTTCGTTCCTGATGTCCTGGCCATGCCCCCGACCCTTGATGATACGAATGCCTTTTTACATACTTTCTCATTTTTTGATTCTTTATATTGTTTTTTACCCCTTTGATCTTTTGCAGAAGCCTGTCATGATAACAACTATGGAGTATTTTGGCGCTGGAACTAGGATTGCCAGGATGGCGATGGATTAACTCGACTGTGATTTGGTCGGATATTGATGGTATTTAGGGGTCCTTTCAGCGTGGACTTTGTCAATTTTTTCCACGCTGATGCTTTTGTTGGACCTGCAAATACGTAAGCCACAAGGCTGAAAGTGAATTCATCTGAGTTTTCTTTTGCATAGCATGTTATTCATGGGAGTAGGATTTGATACGATTGAAACGACTGCGTATTTCCATATCACGGATGGATCAACCACGCGAGAAAACAGCACGGAAGCAAGAAGTCATCGCTCGCAGTCCAAGGCTCGCCAGGAAAGGAGTGTTCAGGATGTATAGAAGTCCTGGGATATTCGAGGATCTTTTTTTGTTTTTGTTTTTTGTTTATGTGCATTTCCGGATACTGTTCAGTTGCAAGAACAGGCCGGACATTTTCATAATGTACACACATCACATAATCATGAGGGGGTTGGTCGTGTTTCATTGAAAGCATAGAAAAATAAAACAATTAATCCCAGTCGTCATCATAGTCCTCCACATTGAGTTCGTCATTTTTCTTCTGCTCCCCGTCCGAGTCGGCGCGCTTCTTCAGGCGCATGTCGCTCTCCTTCAGCGCTCCGATCTCAACGAGTAGTCGCTCCAGGTCCTCCAGCTTAGTGCGAGGTCCCTTTAGCTCCCGCAGCGTGACCAACTGTTTCCGGATCTCAGTGTCCTTGTAGATCAAGATTGTCGGGGTGTTACGCTCTGGATAGCCCTCAATGCACATGTCGGCGCGGATTTCGCAGAACTTGATGTCGCCGAATTTGGTGGCCAGTTGTCGCCAGAGCTCGGTCAGGACCCGGGACTCGACGTTACCACCCTGGGATGTCAAGTTGACCAGCACAAAGGCTTCTTTTGAGGCTTCAGTGACCTCTCGGGCGTAGTCGACTTTCTGAAGTGGGTAAACTTGGTTGAAGAGGCTGGTTTGTTGGAGGGTGGAGAGCTCGGCAAGGCGTTTTTGGCTGTTGTATTTGGCCATTAGCATTGATTCAATTATACATTGGGTACTGATGCTAGCATGGGATTCGGCTTGGTATTTGGTTTTTGCATATATGGAGGACTAACCGGTACTGCTGGAGGAAATCCTCGTCCTCCTCGTCCTCGAGTGCATCCAGCTCATCCAGGTCTTTGTCCTCAAGCCGGTTCTCGTGCGCTCTGCGCTGTGCCTCAATGAGGGCCTCCTGAATCAAAGGCTCGGGATCTTTAGGCTTCTCTGGAATTATGCCATGCTGGCGAAGAATGTCGTTCCTGAATCAAGCGAAGCATTTAGTATCACTGTAAGCTAGCTTTAGACGGTGGGGGGATGCATGGTGGTGTGCATGCAAGAACGCAGGCTTGTCGTGGTCATGGTCATACCATTCGGTATCCTCGTTGGGATTTACTTCAACTTCCATGGTGAATTCAAGCCCAGGGCGATCGGTAATCAGCGATGCTCAAGCCTAGGCAGAGTGTTTATCGAGGAAGTTGAGGAGCCAAAGGCATCGCCGTAATGCATGATGCCACCTGTTTGCAGTGTTTGGACCGGGCGCCACACTGGAGTGGCTGCCAAACACACGGAAGGCCACCTTCACTTAACTCCATAAACAGTGGGAGCTCGAGGTCGAGATTCATCACCACATCTTCTCCGGTTCTCTTCCCTCCTCGTCGCACTTTTGTCATTCGCTTGAGGGTTGACTATGCGAATGCAGTAGCCTGTCTACACCGCCCTCTCCGCTACTGCTACTCTGTCCTCCCTCCTCCACACCCCCCAAATTGAAACCCACCCCGAACTCAAGGAGATCGCGAGCACACTCCGCTGGTGCAATCCCAGCACCTGGGCAAAATGAGTTACATGAAAAAAGATGAAGACGCGGACCAGGTCATGATCAAGCTTGATCGGACCTCGGTTTTCCAAGATGGTAGGCAGCCCGCCGTTTCCCCCCTGGCCATGCGGCCATCACAACATCTCCCCATTGCACAGAATTGACAAAGCCATACTGGTTTAGCTCGACTATTTAATTCTTCTCCAATCTCACCGCGGACATGTCGTACCCTCCTGACCAAGATTGCGGTCCTCATCTTCACCGGGGAGCAGTTCCCTACGAACGAAGCCACCACTCTCTTCTTCGGCATCTCGAAGCTGTTCCAGAACAAGGACCCCTCATTGCGACAGATGGTGTATCTCATTTTGAAGGAGCTGGCTAATACTGCGGAGGATGTGATCATGTCGACTAGCATCATTATGAAGGACACCGCGGTCGGAAGTGATGTGCTGTACCGGGCTAATGCTATTCGAGCTCTTTGCCGCATCATCGATGCCTCGACAGTCCAGGGTATCGAACGCCTGATCAAAACTGCCATTGTGGACAAGACTCCTTCCGTCTCATCTGCGGCTTTGGTCTCTTCCTATCACCTGCTTCCCATTGCGCGCGACGTCGTGCGGAGGTGGCAGAGCGAAACCCAGGAGGCGGCTTCCTCATCAAAGTCATCGACCGGTTTCCTTGGCTTCTCGTCTGGCTCGCAGGCTCATGCCATCTCGCAGTCGAACTTCATGAACCAGTACCACGCAATCGGTCTTCTGTATCAGATGCGCTCGCACGACCGTATGGCGCTGGTGAAGATGGTTCAACAATATGGCGCCGCCGGTGTGGTCAAGAGCCCAGCGGCCTTGGTGCTACTGGTGCGTCTCGCTGCCAAGCTGGCGGAAGAGGACTCAGGTCTCCGGAAACCTATGATGCAGATGCTGGATGGCTGGCTCCGTCACAAGCACGAAATGGTCAACTTCGAGGCTGCGAAGGCGATTTGCGACATGCGCGATGTTACCGATGCCGAGGCGTCCCAGGCCGTTCACGTTCTCCAGCTGTTCCTGTCCTCTCCACGATCCATCACTAAATTCACCGCTATTCGTATCCTTCACAACTTCGCGTCCTTCAAGCCCCATGTTGTCAACGTGTGCAACCCCGATATCGAGTCTCTCATTTCCAACTCAAATCGTTCCATTGCCACATTCGCCATCACTACTTTGCTCAAGACGGGTAACGAAGCTAGCGTCGACCGTCTGATGAAGCAGATTTCGGGCTTCATGGCCGATATCACCGACGAGTTCAAAGTCACCATTGTTGAGGCCATCCGCACATTGTGTCTCAAGTTCCCCAGCAAGCAGGCTGGTATGCTGACTTTCCTGAGCGGCATTTTGCGTGATGAGGGCGGATATGAGTTCAAGCGAAGTGTTGTTGAGAGCATGTTCGACCTTATTAAGTTTGTGCCCGAAAGCAAGGAAGATGCTCTTGCTCATCTTTGCGAGTTCATCGAGGATTGCGAGTTTACCAAGCTCTCAGTCCGCATTCTGCACTTGTTGGGTGCTGAGGGTCCCAAGACTTCGTCTCCTACCAAGTACATCCGGTACATCTACAACCGGGTTGTCCTGGAGAACGCCATTGTGCGCGCTGCTGCGGTCACTGCTCTTGCCAAGTTTGGTGTTGGCCAGAAGGATCCTGAGGTCAAGTCTAGTGTACAAGTCCTTCTCACCCGCTGTCTCGATGATACGGATGACGAGGTCCGTGATCGTGCTGCGCTTAACTTGCGTCTTATGGGGGCCGAGGATGAGATCGCTAGTGCATTCATCAAGAACGGTAAGACATCTATATGAGCCCTCGCAAGACTACTTTTTACTCACAAATTTTCAGACTCCATGTACTCGCTTTCCACCTTCGAGCACCAACTTGTCATGTACGTGACATCAAATGACAAGCAGACATTTGCCGCCGCCTTTGACGTTTCTACCGTGCCCGTTGTCTCCCACGAGCAGGCCTTGGCCGAGGAGCGGACTAAGAAGCTCACCACTGCCACACCCACTCTCAAGGCCCCGTCTACCGGTCCTCCGAAGGGCAAATCCAACGGCGTTGCCGAGGCTGCCACCGCTGCCGCGACCCAGAAGTATGCCGAGCAGCTCATCCAGCACCCGGACATCAAGGAGTACGGTGCCTTGCTGAAGTCGTCCATGCCTGTCGAACTCTCTGAGAGCGAGACTGAGTATGTTGTCACTGCCGTGAAGCACATCTTCAAGGAGAACATCGTTGTGCAATATGATATCAAGAACACCCTCCCCGATACTGTCCTCGAGAATGTGACTGTCATCGCAACACCGTCCGAGGATGATCTCTTGGAGGATGACTTCATCATCCCGGCTCCCAAGCTCTCGCCCAACGAGCCCGGCGTCGTCTATGTGGCTTTCAAGAAGCTCGGCGGAGAGCACAGCGTTCCTGTTACCTCCTTTACCAACAATCTTAAGTTCACTAGCAAGGAGATTGACCCCACGACTGGCGAGCCAGAAGATGAAGGCTATGAGGATGAGTACCAAGTGGAGGACCTTGAGCTTACTGGAAGCGATTATGTGATCCCGACGTTTGCCGGCAGCTTCGACCATGTCTGGGAGCAGACTGGTGCCAACGGCGAGGAAGAGAGCGAGACTCTGCAACTAAGCAACATGAAGGGCATTGCCGGTATGTATTCAATTCCTCGATTTCCATATGGTCATACTGTCCAGATACTGACGAATCTCCAGATGCCACGGAGCAACTGATCTCCGCCCTGTCTCTCCAGCCCCTGGAGGGCACTGACGTTGCCCTCAACAACAGCACCCACACTCTCAAGCTCTTCGGCAAGACTGTGTCTGGCGGCCGTGTCGCCTCCCTCATCAAGATGGCATACTCCAGCAAGACCGGTGTTACGACCAAGATCACGGTGCGGGCAGAAGAGGAGGGCGTTGCTGCTGCGGTGATTGCATCTGTCAATTAATGTCTTTTAACCTATCTTTCCTTTCTTTTTGATATCAAATTGTAGTAGACATGAGGATTCTTCTTGATTCCTCTCTTGCGCACACACCTCTACTCTTCCACCCCGTTGTTGATGTTCACTCCGATTGAATTGGTGCCATTGTTCTTAAGCTTCAGGGCGACTTCTACGTGTTTTCATTTTGCTGGTTATGACGAGTCCCATGATGACTGCTACAAAAACTTGGAGGACTTGGTCTGTCTGTCTGCTGTCGAGCCAGTTTATCAAATTTCTTTTCTTCCCTCTTTTTTCTGTGCTTGCTTCCATTTTCTGCAATTCGTTCAGGTGTTCAATAGATCGATGGTACACATGGAAGGCACTATGATCACATTTTTCGCACTGCCTGATTCGGGGGGAGTTTTGCTCATCCGATGAGGCTCCTAATATCCCGGCCGTCTTCATATTTAAATAAATCAGAACCTAGGTCCGAGTCAAAATCCAATGAAATTTTTCTGTATCACAATTTGGGTCTTCTCGTAAAGATGTGATTGGTATATTATCAAATAAATATTCTGGGGCTGCGGATGAAGCCTGAAGCCCTGATTACTCTGTTTATTGAACTCGAGCTTCTCAATACCGTCTTGTACCCAACCGTTCTCAGTCATTTACTCTCCATCAACTTCGGGTCCTTTGGAGGGCTCTGCATGAAACGCCTCCGAATGGCTGCTAAACAGGCGCTGCGCACTGAACGGAATCTTGAAGATCGAGATGAAAGTCTTCGATCTGCTCAGTCGGAAAATTCTCAAATTTCAAGCTTCCTGGTTTCCTGATAGCTTTCGGGCCATCATGATTATGATTTGTCCGATTCGTGGTTGTTTCTCGCCCTGACCGACTTCCGCCCCGCCCCGCGCCCGCAACGCCCGCATTTTCTCCGATTCGGCTTGTCGAACCGTCAATTCTCAACTTTCAAATTCCACACCTAAAACGGCCAGTGCTACCATGATGAGCTCTTTTGATCTCCATCTCTGTGATCGCCGCCCCCGTTCCTCTCCCATTCCGCAACCATCTTGCTATTAACCCCGCGCAGGCGGGGCCCAAGTGGGACAACAACTTTCGATCAGATTGATGTCATAAAGCATGCATCTGCCGGTGGAAATCTTGATCCTCATAGCAGGCCACCTTTATTATGTTGAACATAACAGGGCTCAATACTACTGCGACCGGCAGACAAATTTACACAACTTCTGCCTCGTCGGCCGTTCATGGTACTCGGCTGGGCTTGCCTACCTGTACCGTGATCCCCAACTCTTCGCGGGCTCAAGGTTTATTCATTTCATCAACACAGTCTGCCCACCAACCAAGGCAAAGAAGAGCCAACATGACCTGGGCTCATTTGTGCAGATTCTCGACCTGGGACTTTTAGTTCATCAAAGCTCCCCCAGCCAACTATCACGGCTGCTGAGCCGGACCAGGAAGTCATTGCAGAAATTCGTGGCCCCGAGAGTATCCTTTGCGTAAGCTCTGTCCAATTTGAATATATCGTCACGACGATAAGCTCTTGCTCACCTCTCCAATAGAGTCAACAGCCTGGCATCGATCTCCAGATGCCAACAACTCCAGATTCTGGATCTGAGTCTAGTCGCGGGGGAACCATTTGAATTCAAAAATTTGAAAAAGGCAGTCAGTGGTTTGACACATCTCCAAGAACTATCTTTGCCATCCTCTATGGATCTTTGCCTCACCGATAGTTCAGCCGGGAAATGGCCATGCCGACTTCATTCTATGACGCTGGGCGGAACTCTGGACTCGGCTGTCGTGAAAACATTCGAATGGCCACCTGCAATTGACCAATTAATTTTTCTCGGATACGCGAGTCTCGATCTTTCAGCCCTTAGGATTGCTCTGTCCCATCCGGTACTTTTTTCACAAATAAGACGTCTCACGTTCCTTATTAACAAACCTGGGATGCTTGCGGATGACAGTGGATTGAATATTCTTTATGAGTTGCCAAATTTGGTATACCTACGGATACCGATCGATATCTTCCTTAATATGGCGCACGAGGATCTCCCACATTGGAATTCCGTGCCGCTGAAGGTCTTAGAGCTTGAGCAACACGTGGAACTCGAGGAAGACGAATCGGATGTAACAGATATACTTGGTCAACTGAGAACTATTTTTTCCAACGTCTGGGCTTTAGGACTTACCCAGAACACAATGCGGATATTTCGCCAGCGTGTTAAAGAGCTTGAAGATGAGATCTGGTCCCACATCCCTGATGACGAGGAGATGTTGGCCGAGGGTCTCCGGGCTCTCGAAGGAGGTGACATTGGGCTCTACATTATTTGATCGCTGGGCATTCTTCAAGCAATATGTTCCTGTCCTTTTCGAATTCTGAATTCATGATACACTTTTAGCGTTTATTGTATGCTCAATGCAGAACTAAAATCCTCATCGAAAATTCCTTGCATTATCTAATTTCGTAGCACAGAACAGAAGTCTAGTATTAGGCTAATCTTCTATCATGATGCAATAGGTAAACTTGTTGAGGATGATGCTGTTCTGGCAACGGAATCCGCTTTGGTCCGAAAGTGGTATTTATAAGCGGCGATCTTTCGGAGATGATATCACCCGTCACCTTCCTCCCCGCCCCTTTCGAGCTCTCCTCGTTCGTCACAACAGAACTACCCAATGAGACCTCAAACACTATGGCGCTCGCTGAGCCTCCTCCAGCGCGCGTCTATTCGACATGACATTGGTCGCCGAGCTCTTCAGAGTGATAGCTTCGCCCGAATACCGAACTTCGCCTTTGCCTTTGAGTGAGTGATATACAATGTATGCGCAGAGCCGAACCCTTTTGCTCCGGATCTAACGGTTGACGACAGCATCGATGGAGTCCTTCTACGAGCTTCCAAACCTATTCCTGGTGCTGCGGACTCGTTAGCTCTCCTGATAGAGCAAGGAATTCCGTTCATTCTTCTCACCAATGGCGGCGGTAAACACGAGACGGATCGCGTGGCAGAGATTAGTGAAAAGCTGAAGATACCATTGGATGCATCGGATATTGTCCAGAGTCACTCGCCATTTGCAGAGCTTGTCAAGGGGAAAAATGAAGCAAGTTCGCTGGAGAACAAGTGTGTTTTGGTGGCCGGAGGCGATGGTGATGGTTGCCGCCGTGTGGCGGAACAGTATGTGGAACATTTGCCCCCGCATCTAAGCTTCTGGGTTTGCTAATGAGAAACCCTAGATACGGATTTAAGAATGTCGTGACCCCGGGAGATATTTTCATGGCCAATCCGTCTGTCTGGCCCTTCTCGAAGAACTTCTCCGACTACTACAAGACCTTCGCCAGGCCCCTTCCCAAACCTGTTGACCCGACTGACCCCACAAATGGTCTCAAGATTGATGCCATTTTTGTGTTCAATGATCCTCGAGACTGGGCTCTTGATACACAAGTGATTATGGATCTTCTGCTTTCATCGGAAGGACATGTGGGCACATTGTCACAGAAGAACGGTCGCGTTGACCTGCCTAACCACGGTTACCAGCAAGACGGCCAGCCTCATCTTTATTTCTCTAACCCGGATCTGTGGTGGGCCGCCGCGTACCCGTTGCCCCGTCTCGGTCAGGGTGGCTTCCGTGAGGCCCTCGAAGGTGTCTGGGCCGCAAGTACCGGCGGCTCCAGCAAAGGGATTGAGCTTATTAAGACCGTGATTGGCAAGCCTTATCAACCGACATATGAGTTTGCCGAGCGACAACTACTCCGGAATCGTGCAAAGAAATTTGGCGGTGCGGGAGATCTCCCACCATTGCAGCGGGTCTACATGGTCGGAGATAATCCTGAATCGGATATTAGAGGTGCAAATTCCTACCGTAGTGATATTGGTAGCAGTTGGCACTCCATTTTGGTTCGAACAGGTGTATATCCGGGCGGAGAACCCGCTTGGGCCCCCAAGACTATCACGGATGATGTTCAGAAGGCCGTGCAGTGGGCGTTGAAGACTTCGAAATGGTCTTTATGATAAAGCAGGCCACATGGTCATGTACAGGTAGACATTGCTGTCAATAGAAGCATGAGTATGATGTAAATTCATTTTGTCTATATTCTACGTGTCAATTCTATGTTTAACAACTACTTGACAACTTCCATAGCAAATCCAATTGCATTTTATTACGATCCTTGCTAAGTGAGCTATTCCTGTCTTGTTTATTTCATAACAGTTCCTGAGGCAGAAAGATTACTATGACGCGGTATCATGTGACATGTTCCCCTCCTAGGGCTTAGGGCAGTTTTTACGGCGGGGTGAGTCAAGTGTCAACCGCAAAGAGCTTTCCGCATTCCAGAGCATCATTAAGGTGAGAATCAATCTTCATAGCATTGAAGGGTCTTATCTTCCTAACCAGCTTCTTAACAGCATCATGGCGGATTCTGAACTACCCACCCGTCCCAAGCCCGAGGAGACCAACCCGGCCGCCGCGCCCGCGGACGGAGAGTCGAAGAGTGCCAGCAAGAATGCGCTGAAGAAGGCGGCCAAGGAGAAGGCTAAGGCCGAGAAGGCTGCTGCTCGTGCGGCTCAGGAGAAGGCTCAGGCCGCTGCTGCAGATGCTAACGACACAGCCAAGGGCCTGTATGGCCAGATCCCCGAGACCGAGGACGTCATCTCTGCCACCCGATTCAGCGAGCTTTCGGAGGAATTCTATGAGAAGGAGATTACCGTTGTTGCGCGTGTTGACAATGCCCGTGTGCAGAGCGCCAAATTGGCGTTCCTGATGCTGCGCCAGCAGGGACAGAAGGTCCAGGCCGTCATCGCTGCCGCCGAGCCTATCTCACGCCAAATGATCAAGTATACTGGTGGATTGAACGTCAACTCTATTGTTCAAGTTACCGGTATTGTGAAGAAGCCCGAGATTCCGATCTCGTCCGCGACAATCAGCCACCTGGAGCTGCACATCCGCAAGGTGTATATGATCTCAGAGGCCGCTCAGATGCTGCCCATGCAGGTCAAGGATGCTGAGCGCCCGCCTCCCACCGAGGCTGAGGAGGGTCAGGTTGATGCTGAGGGCGCTCCCATCGTCACTCTCAAGACTCGCCTTGACAACCGGGTTCTGGACCTACAGACCGAGACCAGCCAGGCTATCACCTGGATTTCTAGCGGTGTTGCCCAATTGTTCTCTGAGTACATGATCAAGAGCGGTTCCCGATGGATCTTCACCCCTAAGCTAGTTGGTGCCGCCACTGAGGGTGGTAGCAATGTCTTCGAAGTCAAGTACTTCAAGCGCAATGCCTACCTGGCTCAAAGCCCTCAGCTGTACAAGCAGATGTGTATTGCTGGTGATATGGAGAACGTGTTCGAAATCGCGCCTGTTTTCCGTGCGGAGGACAGCAACACCCACCGCCATTTGACCGAGGTATGACTGACTGCCTTGCCGAGAGATACTTCGACGAGTTGCTCACTAACACAATCGTAGTTCGCCGGTCTCGATTTCGAGAAGACTTTCCAGAACCACTACCACGAAGTCCTCGATTTCGCTGAGGACCTGCTCGTCTTCATTCTCAGTCAGCTTAAGGAGCGCTATGCCGCCCAGATCGCCATTATCCAGAAGTCCTACCCCAAGGCCGGAGACTTCAAGCTGCCCAAGGACGGCAAAGCTTTGCGTCTAAACTACATGGACGGTGTCGCGCTGCTGAAGGAGGCTGGTGTTGACATGTCGGAGCAGGAGCGCTTCGAGAACGACTTCACCACTGCCATGGAGAAGCAGCTGGGCCAAATCATCCGTGAAAAGTATGACACTGACTTCTACGTGCTGGACAAGTTCCCTATGGCGGTGCGTCCCTTCTACACCAAGGCCGACCCCAAGGACAGCCGATTCTCCAACTCCTACGACTTCTTCATGCGTGGTGAGGAGATCATGTCTGGTGCTCAGCGTATCAACGACCTTAAGGAGCTGGAGGAATCGATGCGCTCCAAGGGTCTGGATCCCACCCAGGAGGGCTTTGAGGACTATCTGAATGCCTTCCGTCAGGGATGTCCCCCTCACGCTGGTGGTGGCCTGGGTATGAACCGTATTGTGATGTTCTTCTTGGGTCTGCCCAACGTGCGCTTGGCGTCGCTGTTCCCGCGTGACCCCCAGCGCCTGCGGCCATGATCATCATCTCGCTGTGTAGATAGAGCTTAGAACAAACAAAAGTCAAAGAATGCATTGAATGGACGGCCTTTGCTTGAATTTTTTTTTTTTAATTTTTATTCCCCCACCCCCCTAAAAGTAAGAGCGCTGCCTAGGAGGGAGGCGCCCTTTGGTATCGAAGTTGTGTACAGGTCGACGCTTGAAAACACGTAAATGGGTTCAAGCCTCATTAGCAATTCCCCTTTTTGGGGTATATATTGACAAATTTCAAAAAAGAATTGAGGCCTCACCCATCGACTGTCCCTCAGGGGCTTTTTTTTCGTGGTATTCATCTGTTCCAAATGTCCGTCCACGTTCCACTATCCTCGAGTTCGAACCATGTCACCATCTTGTGGAGCTATTTTATCTGTCTAACTGTGCTTCAATCTGAGAGAAAGTTTCAAATTCAAAAATGCATTGGCTAGATGACCACTCTATATTTCCATCGGACTTTTTACAATGATATGTGATTTTTCGTACAATTATTAACAGGAAGCTTTTCGGAGAACACACCGGCTACCGTCGCCCCGCTAATTGAGGTACGGGTGCGGGCCGCCGTTGAGCGGGCCATGCATTGAGTGGGCCGTGCGGCTTCGGCCCACCTCACTCTGGCAAGCGATGCCCACGGCAACTGCAACCATGAGGCTATTCCGATCTCCTGCCTCGCACCCAGTTCATTACGATGCCGACACCGTTCCGTGATGTGGGTAATTCCCATTCTGCATAAATGATTTGATCAGTGCAAAATGATCAGCTCTTGTCGGCGAACGTTTTGCAACTTTCATGAAATATATTGCCAATGTGACTAATTCGTTCATCAGATCACTAGTAAATATACTCTTCTGAATCTCCTATGATGCGTTCACTGAATTACTATACTCCCACCAACCAATTTCTTGCAACTGAATCTCCTCACTGTTAAGATGCGTCTATTTTCTCTCTTTCCCTCCTCGAGATCAGACCCTCAGGTCCCAATCGCATGTTTCCACACGCTACTGGTAGATAGAAAGTTTTTGATTTGGAAATTGCGCGAGAAAACAAGTGCTCATTTCTGCTAATATGAATATGTTCCTTGCTCGCGTCAATTGTCAACAAATAGCTGAAGAGAAGGTTGTTTACTAGGCAAAATTGCTCCCTGCTCGCGACATGTAGCTGCAATTGACTGGAGTTGAGGCTGTAGAAGCTTCTTCTTGGACCGCTTTTGGCATCATGTACAAAAAGATCAACACTGCTGTCTTTGCTCTGTTATTTCTCACTCCGTTTAGCGGCATTTTCTTGGTCGGATGTCGGTGATATCAAGTCTATCGATAAGCCGCTTATCGTCGATCATGTCGATAAGTCGATCCCAAGCTTCCCCCAACTTTTTCTCATCCACGTCCGCCCGCGATGCCCGACAAGCGGAAAAGCTCCATGCCTGATCCATCTCCTAAGCGACTCCGTGTCTCAAATGACGACGAGAGTGATGGACAGCCCCACGTGACACCCCAAGAGCGGCCCCGAAATAACCCCATCTACGGCCAGAAAAGCGCGTTTCCGGGGCTAGACGATGGCGGCGACGAGCTGTTTTACGGGCCCGCTGACGATGGGTTGGAATACTTGCGCATGGTCCGGTAAGCTTGATATCTTTTGGCTGATGTTCCTCATCTACTTAATATTGCCCGAGCCCCTCCTAGTCCCTAGTGTGAATTGAAGTCTCAGACTCTGACCTTGCTCGATTGAATTTAGATCCGAAGCGAGCTCTTTACCTTCGCTCTTTGTCATTCCAACCCCCATACCAGCTACAGACAAGCCAGATTTGCAGAAGGATACTGCAGAGGTTGCCTTAGAGCTTCGAAAGTTTCCGGTTGGGTTCTTCGAAGATGAAGCTTACATCGCTCCTGTCCAAACCGACCAGCAGCCTGTCGCCGCGGTCGACAATCGGTTCCCCGACGCACAAATTTCATATTACAATCTTCTCCGACATCGATTTCTCCTTCTCCGCTCGACCCTTCGATGCACACCTCCTGCAACCGCGATCGCCGCTCTAGACGACGCACACCCCATTAGTCTTCCACGCCAAAGCAACAGAGCGCGCAAAGAGTGGCGGCGTCTGCTGCTCGAAGTCGACCCACAAATGGTTCAGTTGGCCTGCATGGACTTGGATAGTGTGTTGCGGGTGTTGAGTGTTCTCGCGCGCGAATTATCTGAGAACGTGCGGAGTGGGAACACTGTCTGTGTACGACGCACAGGTGCATGGGCCTGGGGATTACTTGGGAAATGTCGGGATGTTGGGGAGCTGGCGACGGATCAGGTGGGAGAAGTGCGCAACTTGGGCAAGCGGGCTGCGAAAATCCTACAAAAGATATCGGAGAAGGAGAAGAAACAATCGAGAGAGGAGGGCGAGGCATCTGATTCGGATGCGGAAGAGGATGAGGCCGAAAACGAAAGCCCGGGAGAGGAACTGATCCATGAAACGGCGGTCCAGCAAGACTCTGAGATGCCTGATGCTGTGGACTTCTCCGCAGAGTTGGAGGCTGCAAAGTTACGACTGCGAAACCAATTGCAGGATAGGACCGAAGTGACCGCTACTGCCGAGGAATCTGACGTTGCGATGCCAGAGAGCCACCCAGAGAGTGGTGATGCACTTGAAGGAGCCGCTGATGTGAACGGAGACGACGAAGATGAGGAGAACACAGGGCAGCAGGCACGCGCCCTACTGGATATGATAATCACTATCGTGGGCGAGTTCTTCGGACAACGAGATCTTCTGGATGCGCGGGAGGTCTGGACTAGCGAGATTGTATTTCAGACGTAAATGATACCCCCAATTGTACTCTTCATATGATTATCTCTTAATCCAAGGATACGACTATGATAAGCCTATCTTGAGACAGTTGGTTCAGCCATCCGCACATTGCTTTTTTACAATATTGAATAATTGAACCAGGGGCTGGGCGGCCGAGATTGGCGCTGTTGCAATGCAAGGTCGATACAGGGTATTTCACTCTTCCCTGATGTTCAGCATTATAAGGAAACGGTTTCATCAAGCAACAACGAGTGGAATAATAAGCTATCATCTTAAATGCCCGTACGAAAAAATAGAGGGCTATATTGAACCAAAATAATCAATAACTTGTTCAAGATTGGAGTAAATCCTTATGAACCCTTGTTATTTGGACATATTGTCGGAAGTCAATGGAAATGGTCAATTATAGCGCGATACAACACAACAGAAATTGGCGAAGATGACTGGCAGTGAAATCATACTGAGTTCACGTAGGTTTCGGAAACGCTTGCTTGTTGAAGCTTCCTAAAAGCCGCTCAGTATGCGACGATAGTGCAGAATTGGCCCGTACCCGGCGAATTCAATACTAGATGAACTCTAGTTTGACTAGATTACTCCACAACAACCAAGCCACCCCACAAGAACAAGGACTTACGTGTATAAACCAACTCTATTCCTCGTTTCGGAGCAGATTAGTAGGAGCGCCTGCTTCCACGCGTAGCGCACTTGTTAGATTCATTGCAATTCATGACTAAACCTAGGTTTTATATTCAGCTTTGCATCTCACCTTTCACCACTGACAACCTATCCTCTAATTTAAAAAAACGGGTTTATCTTTAACTGACTTATTTAGCGAATAGAGTAACCCGTAGCCTAAAAGATACTGGATGGGGTCCAATCTCGGCCACCTGGTACATTCAACCCTTATGTTTTACTCGCAATGGCTAAGAAAAGCCGATAAGATTCAGATAGGAGTGGCATATCGTGTGAAATTCAATATCGAGCATAGGGGGCTTCTGGTAAGGTCTTATCAAGAATCCGGAATGACTTGCTACTTCTGAGGAGAATAGACCAAGGCCCCACGCTAGGCCGCCTTATTCACTTCAGATAGAGTCCGTGTGCCAACACATCCATGGCCCTGCTTGATAGATTAACCCCAGGACGTTAATCATGCCCTTTCCCCCCGGAAAGTATTGCTTTCCTATTTGCTACCCCGCATTCCAAGTCTCTAAAGAGGGTCGCCTCCACACGGAATGCATGGGGATTGCTCTGGGGCTGGCTAGCTTAAATCACCTTGATGTATCCGATTTCCATCGAAAATACCTAGAACTGGCACACCCAATTTTTTGAATTATATTGTCGGCACATAGCCCACCATGAAGAAAAATATCATTCCTGGTCTTGATGCTGAGAGCATCATCCCAATGCAATCACAAGCTGGCGAAATTCTCGACAGCGACAATTTCAAGGAACATGATGTGTTTGGAGACGTACAGGAAGGGAATACCAACTATCGTAGCGTTAGTGCTCGAAACGCTCCCCAAAATCGGACAAAGTTGACCTGACTTAGGTGGGCTGGCTTGGAACAACTGCTTTGATGATGAAAACCCAGATTGGCCTGGGCCTTCTTTCAATCCCTAAGGTTTTCAACACCCTCGGGATAGTGCCAGGGATTATTCTACTTTTGGTGATTGCTGGAATGACAACTTGGTCGAACTGGATGGTAGGAGTCTTCAAATTGCGACATCCTAGCATCTACGGCATTGATGATGTGGGAAGAATGCTCTTTGGGCGCGTGGGGTTTGAGGTGCTAGGTGCTGCCTATACTTTATGTGAGTATCCAACGTCCCACAAATTCCAGTCGCTTTCTCTAATGCATTATAAGACTGGATTTTTGTCTCTGGCTCTGCTATGCTAAGCATATCAATTGCATTCAACGCACTCACTTCACATTCGGTCTGCACAGCTGTTTTTGTTGCTGTCGCTGCCATTATTGCGTTCATGTTTTCGAGTATACAAACACTTGCCCGTATAAGCTGGCTTGCCTGGCTAGGTGTAGGATGCATTATTGTTGCAGGTAGGTCCGCTATATTTTCGGTCCTGCTCTCTCTCTTTTGACTCATTGTTGACTCATTGTTAGTCTCTATTGTTACTGTTGGTGTTGGTATACAAGGCCATCCTCCATCAACCTCAGATGTCATATTGGAATCTGATTACAAATTATTCGGCAATCCAAGTTTTGTTGACGCAATGACTGCTATCTCCACTATCTCCTTGACTTACGCTGGAACCCCGGCGTTCTTCAACATCATTGCTGAAATGCGTGACCCGCGACTTTACACTCGAGCACTGACAATCTGCCAGGTCACTGTCACTATTATCTATATTGTGGCTGGAACAGTCGTATACTATTACTGCGGATCCCATGTTGCATCACCAGCTCTTGGCTCAGCAGGTCCAGTAATCAAGAAGATCAGTTATGGTATTGCTCTACCTGGATTGTGTGTCTCTGCAATTTTACTTCTCCATGTGAGTCCTTATTTTGCTGGCTTTAATTTATACAAACACGACTCTCAACCTCTAACCTCGATGGAAGTTACCGGCCAAGCATATTTTCGTTCGTACTCTTCGAAACTCTCAGCACCTCACAAGACAAACTCCAATTCATTGGATAACATGGCTTGGATCTACCTTCTCTGTGTGCCTGGTCGCATATATCATCGCCAGCAGCATTCCAGTTTTCAGTGACCTTGTATCCCTTGTCGGTGCTCTTTTAGCCACCTCATTATGCTTTCAGCCTATGGGTTGCATGTGGTTATATGATAACTGGGAGTCAGGCAAACGGGATAAATCTCTGGGATGGTGCTTGAAAGTGGCTTGGAGCGTGTTCATGATTCTGACTGGCTCCTTTTTAGCAGCTGGGGGAACATATGGCTCCATTGTGAGTATCAATAATTCTTACAAGGAATCGGGGGGATCTTCACCGTGGTCTTGCGCCAATAATGATACCTAGAATTTGTGATAGATTGCACAAGCTCTAGGTTGCCAGAGAGAAGACGTGGGATACATGAAGCATCAATTCAAGTACTCTTCTTGAATGCCGACACAAAGGCAATTTAATGGTGTTGGTAGCGGAGTGTTTGTTGAACCGAGTCTGTCTGCCTACAACATGAGAGACTAGTTTCCGCCTACATTAGAGTCTACTGCAAATCCAAAAATTGCAGGTATTGCCATGTTTTTGTTCCTTAAATTTTGGAACGCTTTCGCCATGTAACCCAACAGTAAAAGAGCGTTGCAATACGCTATTTTGCTGAAGTAATCTGAGTTTGAAGCTTCAATTTTTGAATTCTTTTCACTGTCGCCGCAAATGACGAGAAAATATTGCAATCAAAGCCAATAGATTTGCCGAAGTGGCATGTGACTCGTTCCGTACCTATATAGCGGGGTTTAGCAAGAGTCACATCAGCTGATTGCGTATTCAACATCTCCAAGGGCAACTTTTTGTGAAGCCAGAAAGATAATTTGAATGTAGAAAGATTTTATAATTGAACTATGGCAAAATTGTTTAGGCATCAGAAATCGTGATGTTTTTAATTGAAGGTCTTGGCGTATGAAAGGACTGACATGAGGCAGCCTCTCCAAATGCATCCCTGAGCTTGAACTTTTATAAATTCGAATACACTAACATGCTAGAAACTCATTATATACCTCTTTTTGTTCTTCATTGCACACTTTGTGATGCTCATGCCCCATGTCATAAGTTCAAATCATTCAGAACGCCGGGATATAGATGAAACTGTATGTTGGCCAGTGCTAGTCTAGAAGCATATTTGAAATTTTCATCCCAAATTTTCCAAGTTGCTAGTATTGATATAGTCTTTAGGGGGAAATAGCATAGTTATCGTAAGAAAGAAATACAATAACCCAATTCAGAAATATAGCTAACTAGAATGCCATGTGTCTCACAACACACGTGATTCTTGGCAGCACCCGCCTACTAAGCCGTAGTCACTGCGTCATACGCTGTTTGGTATCAACTCACTCCGCCTTCACTCTTCTCCCATCCGACGTTTCGCTGCCTGCTCCATGCATCTTCCACTTTGCTAGTCATGGCGCCGAATCTTGAGATTGCCATTCCATCCGCCTCGATTTCTCACTCTTCCCCTCCTCATACGATCTACCACATCACACTCCGCCTCCCTCTCCGTTCCTTCACTGTCTCGAAGCGCTACTCCGACTTCGTGGCGTTTCACCGTGAGCTTCTCAGCCAGACCGATACACAACCCCCAGTTTCTCTCCCTTCTAAGTCGTGGTTCTCAAATACTGTCTCCAACGAGCGATTCCGCGAAGAGCGTCGCCTGGGCCTTGAGGAATATCTTCAAGCAATCAATGAGGCACCCGATGGACGCTGGAGGACCTCGCCGGCCTGGCGCGCATTTCTCAACCTTCCCACCGCTGCGGCAATATCAACATCTAATGGCTCCTTGACCACCTCTGCTCGCCTCCATGCCGCTATCACCGACCCAGGCTCAGCGACTAACGCCCCGATTACAGACCCGACTCTCTGGCTAGACTACTACCGCGACATGAAAGCCCATCTCCACGACGTACGGCTTCAACTATCCCGTCGCGACCAGGAGACAACACCGCAGAAGCAGCATGAGAGCTCCGCGCAAGCCAAGAGCAGCCTCGTGCGAGCTACATCCATGATCACGGCCCTCGAAGAAGGCCTCAAGAACCTTGGTAATCAGGGTCGGTCTCATGAAACGAGCATTCCTAGCCTGGGCGATGGGGAACTACGTCGTCGCAAGGACCTTCTCATAAATGCACGCAAAGAAAAGGATGGACTAGAAGATCTACTGCACGCCATGGCTGCCAAGAGCCGGCTCGACTATGCCGTGGCCTCGATTCAAGATAAAGAGGCGCTAATGAAGACTGGGGATGGGGGCGCTACTAGCAACGGGCGCAGAACGCCGGCTCGGTCCGGTCGAGTCCTTGGAAAAGAGACGGAGCGCACGCGTGAGCTTGATAACGAGGGCGTATTGCAGTTGCAGCGACAAACGATGCAGGACCAGGATGCGAGTGTCGAGGAGTTAATGAAAATTATTATTCGCCAGAGGGAGTTGGGTACACAGATTCACGAGGAGCTCGAGGTCCAGAATGAGTTATTAAAGTTGGCAGATGAGGATACTGATCGGTTTGTGCTCTTTCCTTCCCCCTACACTGTGTTCGCAGCGAAGATTTGCTAATCATGTGATACAGATTGAAAGCCAAGCTTGACATTGGCAAGAAGCGAGTCGGCAAGATTTCTTAAGTTCGTCTCGCACTTGTTGGAGTCTCGAGTGTTTCATCCCCTTTCCCATTTCTAGCCGAGCATGGTTTGGAGAGCGCGGCATTTCTACTTTTGATTCTTGTTTGAGCGTTCATTTGGCTCGTTGAAGATGTCCTTTTGTCATTTGATTCCCCGCACGGGCGTTTTTTTAGAACTTTCTTCTGATGCTTGCAAGTCTATGTGCATGAACACCGATACTTGGTACACTCGAGTACGATTGACGATAGTCTATTTCACTAATGCGCATGATGGCATAACTTGTCATTTTGCTCACTGATGACATGTTTTCGCTCAACCCGTAAGCGTAGAGCCAGAACAGCTCCCTAAAAGTAGAAAAGCAATCTGCAGCTTAAGCTAAGCTTCCTGGTATCTCAATTGGCCGAGAAGAACTATCCATACAAGTTAGCGAAAGACCCACCATAGCACATGCACTAAATACTTACTTCTTTCGCTTCCTCCTCAGAAACTTCAGACCTCTCCGAGAGGCTCCGGTCAATAAGACCGAGCTTGCCCTTACGTACAAGCCACCACAGTTCGCGCCGATCCCCACCGAGCTCTTCACGGAGGATCTTTCCCTTCAGCGATCGCAGAAGGTCATTATAAAGTGCAGGCTCCTCATAATCAACCAATTCTTCACGCATAGTCCCTAGGCCCTCCACAACGCGCTCGTAGTTCGCTTCACCGAGGCTGTTCTTGATCTGTGTCTCGATAATGCTAGCCATCTGCTTGACAGCATCGTGAATCACCTCGAGACTCTCAGCGTGCGAGAGCATCTGCCTGAACTCAGGGATGGCATTCTCCGCAGATATCTTGGCGCGCTTGGGTTCTAGGTTGAGCAGGGCGTCCACGTCGAGCCCGGAGAGGGGCTTCTCGGTTTCCCGTTGGCGCTTGCGGCCCTTTGTTCTAGGAGGAACTGGAAGGGCTTTGATTAGGATGGCAGTTCTTGTTTGATGGGGATCAGAAAAGAATATACTTACCTTTCTTGACGTCTGCAGTAGATATCAATTGCTCTAGGTAATTTCGTGACTTGTTCAGTAGCTGCTCGTCGGGATGTGCGAATTTCGTCAACTGATCAGATGGTTCAAGGGTAGGATGATCAGGATGCACGGCGCGATACCGCACAGCTGCTTCGATCCGATGTAGAAGCGGAGAGAATGAGTCATCAATAGGAAGCCTTGATATGCTCAGCCGGTGATCATGCGTGGGGTTCTTTTGGAATGACAGGCAAGCTTACTCTTCTTCCTCTAATTCCATGCTGTCGACATAATCACTCATTGCTTGCTGTAAGTTGTCACTTGGCAAATTCCGGTGCTCAGTGACTATCTTCCCAGAGACGGTAACGACCTTGTCGAGTGGCGGGAATCGGTATGAGCGGACGTCCTCAGCAAATGGAAGCTGTGCTTCAATGAGGCATTCGTACTCAGACTCGATGGACGGTGTTAGCAACACAATCACGGGCGGCTTAGATTCCTTGGTCACCAAACGGGCTATGGCATATGCATCTGTCTCGAATAGAGCATGGATAAATGAAGATAATGCGAGAGAGGCCTTGTCATTTGCCCGTTGTGGAATGATGATGTTGGTATTGGACATGTGCAAGTACCGGTCATACTATATGGCAAGGTTAGAGCAATCCGAAGAGAATAGTCTGTAGAAACGCACCTGCTCTTTTTTGACGAACCCAATGAGTTCAAGGCCCGCAGAAGTCTCTAGTGTAGTTATATTCTCATCGGTCTGGCTGATATGTACGGCTGTGCGTCCGTACTCGTATCCCTTCGCCAGATCCTCGCTCTCAACATCAGCCTTTCCCCCTGGCGCAGATTCATCGATAATTTGATAGGTCCGTGACGTTCTGACAGTGGTAAGAGCATCGCTTCCGCTTTTGTTCTGATCCGAGCGCCCCTCAGCCTCTTCTTGGCCTGGTGCACCACCGGCACGCAGAACAAAAGAGCTAGCAGATGGAGGTTTCGCAACATAGGTGCGGAAATAGCGCTCGACAGGGATGCGGAGGGCTGTTTCATACTTCGATGAGTCGCCAAGCGAGAGAAACCCCTTGAAAGACGGCATGCTCTTCGTCACCTTGATGCGAGGGATTTCCAATTCGGAGACTGCCTGCTCTAGCGTACCGTAGACACCATCGCAGCCTTCGACAAACTCACGAAGAAGAGATTCATTCTCAGCCTATTGGCAGATGTTAGAGCGCTATGTTTTTACAGAACTTCACGCTCATTCATACTTTCCGAGGGCTCTTGTCTTCTTCTTTTACGCCATACTCTGGGTCGTCGAAATCAGCTCCGCTGTTTCGAATTAGCAAGATCCAGACCAAAGGAAAATGTTACAAGAAAATTACATCACCACTAATTCGATGTTGTCTTCTTTAATCTTTTCCTGAATTTTGTCAAGGTCCTCGCTACTCATCATTCCGTTGCCATTAGTGACCAGCACTATTTTTCGCTTGTACTTTAGTTTTTTGCAGTAAGTGCTGATCATTTGAATGGCAATGATAATAGAAGAGATGGCTCGAAGTCACTTAGCATTCATCAGGCATGGTATTTCAATGTTCATCTACATACCGTCGCCTTTGTTAGTTTGACTCGGTTTGATTGCGTCTCGCAACCGTCGAATATCGGGCATGAGGAATCTGTCGAGAAACTCAGTCACGAGAAGCGGGTAAAACGAGTTTCAAGAACACACTGTTGAATATTTGAGATGACCGAAATTTTGGCAAAGCTGGAATCCTCCTGGAGCTCATTTTTCGTCTCTGGCAGCCATGTCAGGCATTTTCACGGTCCACAGGAGTACGATGCCTACCATCTGTTCGCAAGGCCACCACTCCGACTGTAGCTGTCTTTCGGCCAGTACCAACCTAGTCAAAGTAAGCAGCCGCCAGCTTGGTAAGGTCAATTGTCGAGGAGTTGCAGACCGTTGTGGTGATTCTGTCCCAGACATATTGCATGGCCCATTCAAGATCCGTGACAGAGCGGCCACATCGACGTTCGCCCATGGATCTTCCGACATCTACAATATAGACTGTAGCCTCCTTGTCCGCCATTTTTGAACGATTCGAGGCTCAAAATGATTGAAAAATTGGGGGAATCAAGTCGTGGGAGCCTCTAGGGCCGCGAGGTAGGCAGACGCGTGATATTTCCTTTTTGGATTTAGGCCCAGACACGCGCACATGACATCACTTGATCCGCGTGGGTGGAGTATTAGTGCGTGGGCATATTTTTATACATACATGATGGCTGTGGTAATAAGGCCGATCAGGCAATTGAAGAAGGTGGGCCTAGATAAGCGCTCTCACCCATCTCTTCTTCTCCGCACGCCGACAAGCTTCCCTAACATCCGAAGCAAATACATCTAGACTTTCTAAAATCTAGTCACTAAATCTAGTCACTATATCCCTTCCAACATGATGGACCCTCGCCCCTACCATGTCCTCAGGTATGATCTCCCCTCAAGAAGTGGAGATGAAATCGATACAGAAACCATTACCAACCCGCCAACGAATTTTCACTGACACCTCCTAGTTACGGCACACTTCTGGGTTCACAGTTCTATCAGGTAAATCCATCCCCAGAAACTAATTACAGACATGGATTGAAGGCCTTCTGATCACCAAATAGTCCTTTGTTGGTGGTATTGTGGCTTTCCGTGCACTGCCGCGTCCTCAATTTGCCAGCCTCCAAACCGCCATCTTTCCCATTTATTTCTCCCTACAGACTGCTCTGCCCGTGGTAGTTGCTCTGACTGCTAGCAGAGGGGGACAGACTCTCGGTCTGTCTGGTCTGACTTCGTCCGAAAACCGTCTCAGCACCCTACTGCCTATGGCTACCGTGGCCCTAACAGGCTTGATCAACCTTTTCGTGCTTCGCCCGCTGACGGTGAAGGTTATGCGTGAGCGAAAGCATCAAGGTAAGGCATCCTGCACTGTATTTAATTTCCTTTTCAACCATATACGCTTTGGAAAGATGTCTTCTCGGAGTGACTTGGCTAATGTGGATTCGCAGAAACCCGGGATGGAAAGAAGAGCTACGATGCTCCGCCCCATTCAAAGGAGATGGTGGCTCTGAACAAGCGTTTTGGCCGAGTTCACGGTATTTCAAGCTTGGTCAATATGCTCAGTCTTATTGCTACTGTATACTATGGCGCTGTCATGAGCAAGAGACTGGAGTAAGTGAAGAATCCGAATATTCAAATTGGAAGATGGCGATCAGGCTGCTTGTTGACATCCTGACTGCATCGATACACATGGATATACTTCTTTTTTCAGGTTGTACTTACTAGTCCGCTTCATTATGTCAATATAATCGTGGGGCCTCCAAATTAGCCATTACTACTAGTAACATAGGGCATTGTAATAAGCTCTCCATGGACAAATCTGGCATCGTATAATGAAATAATTGATTATTCAACAAAACGCAGTAAGTTCAAACTTTGAATACAGATTTTCCCAAAAACAACCAAACAATAGTACGTATTACGGCGAGGTACAAGTTACATTAGAATCTTACACGAATCACTTAAAGATCAGGGGTGTATTAAGGTTGGGATACTGTGACCAATCTCGAACAAAGGGCATGTCTGGTCTACTTTGTTTCAGAGTCACCAACTTCGGCGAGGTGCTCCGTGCCTTGGTAGAAATTGGGAAGAGGGTCCAGTTTCTGGCGCAGAACCCAGACACGGAAGTGCCAGATGGCGTTCTTGATCTGGTAAGAGGCATGTTTTCTTGTAGAAACTGAGAAGACCTGGTCAAGTTCCTCTAGAGTAAGGGCTAAAGGGATCCGTCATATTAGCGATATCCAACTTGGTAGATGAATAAAATCAAAACCATTGACTCACCCTTGGTCTCGGGAACAAAGAGTAAAACAAGGAACCATCCAATAATACACCATGCTGCGTACCAGCCAAACGCTCCCTGAGGCTTGAAAGCCCTCAAGAGATGAGGCCAGGTAAAGGACAAAATGAAGTTGAAGCACCACGTGGTGGCAGTTGCCCATGACATGCCCACTTCACGTACATGAAGCGGGAATGCCTCAGCGGAATAGGTGAATGGCACTGGGCCTTCACCGGGCGAGTAGAAAACCTCGAATAGGTACATTCCTGTGGTCACCATTGCAACTCGCTTTTTGCTCGTGGGGTTATCGGCCTCGATCCAGAACGAGAAGCCGGACCAAAAGAGGAAGATTGCCAGGAATGGGAAGGTAAAAAGCAACAGGTTGCGACGGCCCCAGGTATCAATTGTCAAAACGGCCGGCAGGGCAAAGACCCAGTTCAAAATACCGGTGCCCATGGAGGCCAGCAGAGCATTTGATAGACCATATCCAGAATCCTGGAAGATGGTGGTGGAGTAGTAGGCAATTACATTGACACCACAAAATTGTTGCATAAACATGACAATCCAACTTGCCAAGGTGGCTCGGCGATTGCGCGGGACAGTGAATAGCTCCATGAACATGGTGAAGAAGTTCTTGCCCTTGTTGATCTTGCGCTCGAGTTCCACACCGACATAAGCGTAGTACAGATCTCGTGCGGCCTGGATGTCTGTGGGACGCAAGATCTTGAAGTTTGTGTAGGCCTTTTCAATCTTGTTGTGCTGGATAAGCCATCGAGGGGATTCGGGGCAGAAGTATACCTGGGTGCAGACAATCAAAGGAAGCACGACAGTGGAGCCTAGCATTAGGCGCCAGCTGAGATCGTCGCCCACGTTCATGAATGCCACGCCCATGATGTTTCCCAGCATGATCCCAAATGCAGTCCACATTTGCCACATCATGACCAGTGCCCCTCGAATTGGGGCGGGTGAACATTCGGCGGCATAAACGGGGACGGTGGAGGATTTCGAGCCGATACCCAGACCCAGAACAAAGCGTGCAAGAAACAGATTCACCCAGCTATTGCAAACGCCCTCCCATATCGAAGCCACGGCCGCGATGAAGCAAGAAATAAAGATGGTTCCGCGACGAGCGAAGAATCGGTTCAGAGGCTCCGTGAGCCAGCAACCCAGGACCGCACACGCCAAGTATGGGGCGCCGACGACCAGTCCGGTGAGATTGTCGCTGTCTTCGATGCCGAGGCGCTGTATACAATATGTGAGTAACCCGCCATATCGATTGATATCACCAAATAGATAAGCACACCTTCAAATAGATAGCTTGGGCACCGTTGTTGACCGTCTCATCCATACCTTGGACTGCGGCAGCGAGAGAACACATAACTAAGTAGAAAAGCCCGAATTATAAGTATTTTGATAATTATAGAAGACATCTCCGAAAAATCAGGTAACTCACTTGCAAGGAAGTATAGCTGCCAGGGTTGGCGCCATTTATGAGTATGTTCTCGAATCAGAGCCTCTTTTTCATGCTCATCTAGCTCGGGCATCATCGTCCCCTTCTCTGGATTTTGAGAGATTAGGGCGCCTTTCTGAAAGGTCTTTAGGTCCGCCATGAGATTGAACTTCTGGCAAAATGCCTCAACATCTTTGAAAAGTTGCTCTCGAGGGATTCCTGCCAAGGGATTCTCAAACATAGCATTGAGATGATCCCGATTGTGCCCTTCAACATCTGGAATATGAACCGTGGTCTGCTTCTCATCATGATCATAGCTGGTTGAATTTTCTTCCTTCTCACTGGAGTCATTGGTCTCATCGACCGGCTCTAGGAACTCATTTTCCTTCATGGCGCAAGACAGTAAAGGACTGCACGGTAGATAATGTTGAGAAAAAATGTTAGTTTCTAACCCAAAAAGTGACCGTCAGGTGAGATCCAAAACTCCAATGCGGGGAAGAAACCATGCTTAAGACTGAAAAAAGTAGGCTGTGGGGAAACACTCCTTTTATGTACAGAGAGAACTCCAGGTCCAATAGAGAGTCAAATCCCTTCCTCTAACATTACAGATGACCGAAGATACGCCAAGGCCCATAGCTGACATCTGGTACGGCCGAGCTATGCTGAAACTGGCTGCTTTTTTGCTAGGGCTCTGAATCCATTCTTTCTAGATTACGGCATGGGTCGCCTGAGAGGTTACAAGTTCACCAGATCTATACCCTACGCAGCGCCCCGACATGAATTGAAAGAAGTATTTCCTTTCCAGTAACCAGCAAGGCTACCAGACTCAATGAACCAGTAAGCTACTTCCAAAGGTTCCGAGCGGCCAGAGAGACAGAGCCATGAGCGTTGCATGTACCAGAAGACAAACGACATGTCCATGCCCCTCAAACCAGTTTATAATCCACCGCATCATCGGAAACTCTCCAAATGCGGAGTATGGGGGTGGATCCTGGAGGTGGCCCGATAAATCCCACCTAGTGAGTGGATCACCACGCGAATGGATGCCAATGACATCGATGGCTATGGAGCATACAAGCTTCTAGTCTTTTGCCGCTCGCGGCCACGAGAGACCCAGGTGCATTGTGCCACTTAGAACAAGCAGTACGAAGTAACTAGCATGGACATCCAGGAAACGATCACCGGTGGATGCACCTATCATGCACGGATGCGATATTCAATTACGTCACGGCGGTACAGCAAACCAGCCTGTTGCATCCGACAAAGGCATCCCGGGTATGCGGGGGAGCGTTTGGCCTGGTCAGTACAAGAGCAGTGTTTGGCTCGTTGCTAACAGGGATGTTCTTTTTGTCGTTAGCGAGAGTCCGATCCTCCAGGTCGTTCAAATAATCATTCAGGGATCCGGGGGCGCCGCTGACGGAGCGGGCTGACGCGGACCAGGCCAAACAGTCATCGGAAGTCCTGGGAGGCACCGTGCACAGGCTATGTAGGGTCGCCCACCAGAACTTTGAATTCAATTTGCGCCCCAGACGATAGTGGATGAAGTGGAAATAGTGGCTGATGGGATTTTCTAGCCGGGACGCCTCCCGACAGCGCCATCCCTTGGCCAAGGTTAATCTCAACGCCATATCTATAACTTTCGATCGGGAATACAAAAAACGTGGCCCTGTGGAATGAACCGGGATAAACAGGTGATACATGTCTAACACCCATCCAACCTAGTACCTAGCTTATGCTTTGCTGGCTCAGTTCAATGTGTGATGCCAAGCCTGCGATCTGACACTTTGCACAGCGATTTCAACCCCATTCTGATGAGAATTTTCGCTACGACATTATTTACTTAAGATGTTCGAATACAATAATATACAAATGGATATTTAGGAAATAGATTGGATAACTGTTTCTTGAAAACCATTTTCTGAATTCAAATCTTTCCAGCAAACAATTTTCCACTTACCTAGAATGCAGTATCACCAAATATAGCGAACTTGATCAACTTCGGATGGCTGAGGCCTTTCAGGCTATTTCCCCCACTTTCACAAGAGATATCACGAAGATTGCGTGTCCATATTTTGAGGAACATACGGCTTCGGAAAGTATGAAAAAAAAAGCTGCAAAACACGATAATGTGACTACACGTAGATTATATGCTCCTATGATGTCTATGTCGCCAGATTTGTACGCAATCAAATACTAGTATCAATGAGTAACAATTGCTGCTTTGGCCATAACATATGTGTAAAATCGGATTCAATCAGCACAGAACAATGGTATTGGGTATAAATAATTTTTTTGGTTTGGAAAAAGCGGTCTGGCACAATGTGGAAGCATTGCCTAATCAAGGTGCTATTTATCTAGAGAAAAAAGGTCCCATTTGTACCTATAAATTAATTATCGGTTCCAATACTAATCTAAACACCCAAATCTGCCTTACAATGCTTCAGCTGGGAGACGTGCAGAGTTACAGCAGTGTGTTATTTGGAAATCATTGATTAAATATTGAGATTTCATTTCGCAAGAAACAATATTGCATTCATCAGCTTTTCCGGTCGACCTAATTGACCCACAGGGTGTTTTTCACTGCGTCTCAAAAATTCTATGTTTGCTTTCTCGTACCTTCTCCATGTACACGTTGCATCCACTGGATTTCTAAATTGCTGGTAGTGTGCTATTGTCCATGCTGATTACTCCAATAATCTATCTCAAAGCTTTATTTTCAAGAGCCTAGGTATTGCTCGGCGATAGAGCAAAGACGCTTGAAAGACAACTTCAATGCACCCAGCTGTGTTTTCTGTATCTTTCACCCACTGAGAATACTCTGGCAGTTTTTTTCAGACTTCTGTGTCTTAGGGCTCTATAATGCTTCGCTTTAAACGGAAACCACCTTCTTTTCGATTTTTTGCATGACCCGTGTTAATAACGATCATCAAGCTTATCCTGAACAAATGAGAATATATGCTGCTTTTTGCGTCCTGCAAGCAAACACCGGAGAATCTGGTTTGTCCCGGGTTCTGAAGGCAGTCCCACCAACAAGCATGCTTTTAGATCAAGGATAGCTGTATCTCATTAATGAAATAGGTTCACATATTGCTTGCGTTGCCTAAAAAAGATATCTTCAAGAGCAATTGGCTTTTATTTTCAATGACCCTCCAAATTATCTATAAATACACTTCATCCAAACATCTGAGGCACCTCATCCAACAACTACTCTTTCCTCCTTCAACCCTCTATCCTACCTCCAAAGCCTGAAGGGTCCCAGGTTGTGAATACTTGCTATGAAATTCTTCATTCCAATCATCGCGTTTGTCGCTGCTAACCTCTACGGCCTTTGGGGCAGCGTCCCACACACCACCATTGGTCCAGTTCGCCGCACCTCCATAGACCGAGTATTCCACTTCTCAATCCCTGCCTCCATAGTGGATGTCGCCATGGACCATATTTTGCATCATGTCAGCCCCCCGTCCGCTATACAGACCACCTCGTCGGCATTCTGTGCTAGCTGGAATACCACGCTTCATTCCGAGCCAGACTTGTTTACTATAATTTCTGATGATCGCGGGATTTGGAAGACCAAGCCAATCATGCCGGCAGCTGCCTCCAGTAAACCTCGCACTCCCAATCATTTGGCGACATCGGACTCGCTGCTACGGCCGGTCGCTGATACCGATTTTCTGATGCCGACACTGCTAGCTATTATCCTGGTGATGGTAGTATATTTGGTAATCAAACAATCAGACGAAATGCATCGACTTCAAATCATACAACAGGACTGTAGCCAGATGATATATGGCACCTTGGAATTATTTGACAAGTTGAAAAGACTCGACCAGAACTACACAAACCTGCATTTCCTAGGGAATGGTCTTCTCAATCAGTGGCGCACCATGTGGGCCAATGGGAATCTCCATACCATAGACTTGAACACTCCTGCATCCTACATGATCGACGGACAAATAGCACAGACCCTGAAAAAGGTTGAAACTAGCCTCGGTTGTCTTTCCGAGGGCATTTACAAGAACAATGCAATGTGGGAAGAGGCTGCCAAGCCATTCAAGGATTTTCCCCAGGAGCTAGCTCTCATTATGGCCTGGTACCTCACTTCGGGATTCGTGGAGCCAAACGATGATTTTGGCGTGAAATTGTCTCCCACATGACGTGTTTTACACTTGGTCAAGAGATGGTGGAAGGGTGTATCTACTGGCGGAGAGGCCTCCTTAGATCTTGTCATTGTATGACTATAGTGAACTTCCTCAATAGAAAGCAAATCCCATCAACAACAAGAAAAGCCTCTCAAACAATAAAAGGGAAGGATTGGAACGAAGGAGACTCTGTCTTCTCACTTCTTAGAAGCTGTGTACTCAATTATCATCGGTATACCATGGATTGAACAATCAGAATAGGGTATCATATTTAAAATGAATCAACGGTCATGTAGCCGCTCCATCGGTAAGATATTTCCGACACGCAGCTTTAAGCATCTCAATACGCCGCTGGGTATGGATGAAGACCTCCCGGTACATATCCAGACTCTGTTGCACAACTTCTTGACGAGTCTTCGTTCCAGCGCAAATCTCTAACATCCGCAATTCCATTTCCTTTCGCAAGAAGGGTTTACTAAGGGAGATGCTGTTTGGCAGACCTGTCACAACATTATCATACCCTTCGACAAGCGCAACACCCAGTCGCGTTGGGATGAGTTCTTCTACTTTGCTGCGACCACTTCCTCGTGGGTGTACGACGACGTATTCACGTTCTTTGATTTTGGCAATGTGTTCGGCCATGGTAGCATCGGTACCAATACCGTTGGCATCCATGAGCCCAATGAGTTCTGGCTCAGTCAGGTAATTTGGGGCTGTGGTTTTGCCTTCAAATATATTGGCCTCGGTAGGCTCGAAGACTTCGCCTTTCTCAAAATGGGGTAGCTGTTGACTACTTTCCCACTTGTCGTAAACGTAAACATCGAGATAGTTCCTTTCTAGCACAATCAGGCCATTCGTGTGGAACATTTCCTCGCCGTATTGGATCTCGATGTCAGTGCCTTGACCCTTTGCGTCGTCTGAGCAGCAGGCCAGAAAGCGGCGGACCACAAACTCGTAAACTTTCTTTTCATTTGCGTTCAGCTGGCTTGGCGAGACCCAACTGACTGGGTGGATGGGCGGGTGGGCCTTATCATTATGGCGTCCAGATCTAGGAGTTCTGAATTTACCATTAATGAGACTAAAGTGAAGTTCTTAATAGCTGCCTCTCGAATAAGAAAGCGATGCCAAAGCTTACTCCTTAGCGTACTGGCCCCACGAGCTGTCTGGAAACTGCTTCTCGACCAGTTTTTTGAGATCAATCGCCTTGTCAAACTGATCCGTCTCCGTTCGCGGATAGCTAATGAAGCCCTTTGTGTAAAGCGCTTCTGCCACCTAGTACAACGTCAGTGCTCTGATGATACATCTCTTGAGAACTAAAATATTTACCTTCATAATAGTTTGACTGTCTAAACGGAGGAATCGACTGCCCATCATTTGAAGATCCACAGTTGTCAGGGGTAGAGGCCGCCATTTGCTCTTTGGCTTTTGGTTCACTTTGACGACCTTTGCAGTTTTGGCTGTCAAACATCGCTCCAACATCATCGTTACGATTGCTCGGTCAAAAAGATGGCCCCTGTTCCAAAGAAAATTGACCTTCTTATCATCTCGTTTGAGTGTGACCTTGATGCCCCAGAAATTCTCGGGCTTGAAGTTTTGAACCCGCAGATATCTATCAACTACAAACCCCAGGGTGGGAAACTGGCACGAACCTAGACACCTATCAGATTAAGGTAGCCCCGTAAAATCATTGTGCAAACAATACCGTAACTGATGACCTTCTCTTTTAAGACCGCAACCACAGCTTGAAGCTGAAGGGTCTGTAAGCGAGTAAAGGCTGCGCCAATCCGCAGGTCGAGCTCAATTCTAGCAGCAACAGCATTGGCCTGATACTCATCGAGCTCCACCGGCTCCCGTGCAGCGCGAAGAACATGTCTGATATTCAAATAGGGCATTAAACGGGAGTACTAGAGTAGCGCTAGAGGGGTTCTTGTCTTACGCTCTCTCTGTATTGCTGAATTTTGCTCGCTTGACTTCAATACGAGCATTTCCAGTCTTGGCCTGGTTTCGGACTTCAGTGCCGATGTGCTCACCTTCTCGATCACAATCGGTCCAGATAAAGAGGGCTTTGCTGTATCTGGCTTGGTTCCGAATGTTCTCTGCAATCGGCATTTTGTCCTTCAGACTCTTTAGCAATAGAAGAATGACATTTGGTAGAGATTCAAACCTTATCGACATCTTCCTGCACTGGAGCTTCGAAGAGAGCCCCCGGCGGACAGGACATCCAGCCCTTGTATTGACGTTCGAAGTCCAACCCGGTAAGGTGGCCAATCACACTAGTCATAGTCACTGTGCAATCGCCCCAGGGTGGACCAAAATTGAAATTGAATTCATAGTTCTTCACATACTGGTTTCCGCGGATCGAGTGCTACATCCTTTTTAGAGCGGATATTGCGCCTGGCCAGAATCACAGGTACTTACGGTTTGAAAAGAGCCGCCTGACATATGCGTGGCCACGGCACGAGCAATGGCAGGCTTCTCTGCCACACACAGAATCTTTCGGGTCATAGCGAGCCCTCCAAGACACGATCAGCCGCGGTCCATGCGGCAGTGACGAGATATTCTTCCCAAACGGGGAAATACTTCGGCACGCGAAGAGTTTCTGCCTGAAGGGACGCGCTATGGTGCCTGAATATCCTGGCAGCATATGTCGAGGACCGCCTTACCCGATGAGGTAATACAAACATAAACTCGAGCAACCCCGACCGTCGCATCCTGCCAGCTCCTCATCCCTCGTTCCCCTCTTTGTACGCTGTTTGAGCTTGGGAATACAATATGACCTCTCTTCCGCTTCCCCGTGTGGAGTCTCTGGCGGACTGTACCTCCTTCAAGCTGACTGTTCTGCCCTACCTCCAGCAGCTGCAATGGCTGCCCGCCAGCTTGCGCGAAGCTGGTCAGGATCTGACTAGCTTGAAGGAGATTTATCTCGCTGTCAACCCCTTTGTATCCGCGCTCGCACTATGCTCCGTCTTGGCTGGTCTGTTCTTCTTGGCCAGCGAGCTCAACCGGAACTTTTCGCAGGTAGACCGATTCTGGAGCATCTTGCCTGCTGTCTATAATGTCCACTTCGCCACCTGGGCGCGCTTGTCTGGCATTCGAACCCAATCCTTGGATACGATCGCTGTTATTAGCATCATTTGGAGTGTAAGCGCATTCGCTTTATGAACATGCGCCCCAGTTTTTGACGTGTTGCTAACTCGAGACGATCGCGCTCCAGGCTCGCTTGACTTTTAACTATTGGCGTCGAGGTGGCTATAAAATTGGATCTGAAGATTACCGCTGGGAGATCGTCCGCGAGAAGGTGAACAACACGTTCCTCTTCACGATCTTCAACTTCGTCTTTATTTCCGTGATTCAGTCGCTTCTGCTTCTTCTCATTACCGCCCCAACGTACACCTTTGTGATCGCCGCATACAACCAGGAGGCCGAAATTTTCGGTCTGCCTGACCTGGCTTTCTCGCGTGCTGCGCTCTTCCTCATTGTCATCGAGTACTTTGCCGATCAGCAGCAGTGGAATTTCCAGACCGCGAAACATGAGTATCAGACGAATGCGCGCATTTCCGAGCCTTTCAAGGACCAATACACCCCTGAAGACCTGGAGCGTGGCTTCGTCGTTAGCGGCCTTTGGTCCTGGTCGCGCCACCCCAATTTTCTTGCTGAGCAGGCTGTTTGGTTGACCCTCTACGCATGGGCGGCCTACCGCACCGAAACCTACGCCTCCTGGGTGGGACTTGGCCTGGTCGGCTTGCTGCTCATTTTCCAGGGCAGTGTTCGCCTGACTGAGGCCATCAGCGCTGGCAAATATCCCGAGTATAGCGAGTACCAGGCCCGTGTGGGCCGATTTATCCCCCGCCTGTCTGTCGAGGCTAAGAAGAGCAAGTCCAGTGGTAAGAAGGTTACCTCCTCCAAGACCGAGGAGGCAGACTCTAAGAAGAGTCAATAGATAAGTATTATCTTTGGTAATCTTTGGGCGAGATTTCATATATGACATGTAATGGGTAATCAAAGGGTGGCTCGGATTGGCAATTTCCGCAAAATTATATAACACCATGCTCGGTCGATCTATCATTCTCTACTACGATTGATTTGCTTCGTTTTTGCTTTTTCTACTTTGCTTTTTCTACTACCCAGGGAACGCTCTCTGTATTGTTTCAAGTACATATAGCATCATAACTATGCTTCTCATGTATAGTACAAGAAATCTCCGCACCCTCCAAAAACAAAACAAAACAAAACAAAAAAAAGTGACCAGGAAAATCGACTGAGGTGAGAACAAACCTTCCTGAGGAAAGCTTCCAATATGACTTGAGCTATGGTATGTGCTAGCATAGTCAGGTCCGGAAAAGGGATTTAAACAGCTTCTTAGAACCCACCTGCTTAGCGCGACCTCTCACACGTTGAGACTCACGGCGCGAATATTCAGACTTGAGATCCTGCCGCAACAGCTCAACGCTTTGGATCGAAGCAATCGCACCTGGATTTCCGCATTCAACCTTCTTCATGAACTTCGAAACCCACGTGTCCCAACTCGAGTCCAGCTTACCTAGAATGAACTGGCAAGTGGTCCACTCATCATCCGCATGGTCTTGCCGAATGCACTCGCTCGCCTGCACCCATTTCATCACCTTCTCGACAAAGACTTCCACAGGCTGGGCCGGGTCATGCTTGAAGCTGAACAGCTCCTTGATCCCTCGCGCAGAGTATGCGGCTCTAACCGCAACCGAGCCGTACGTCTGCTTCAGGTAGCACCAGGTCCTGAGCGTGTTCCACGCCAAGGACGCACCGGGCCCTTCGTCCAAGTACGCACCGGGCCCTTCGTCCAAGTCACAGATAATGTTCTGTATCTCCCGAGAACAGTTACGGAGGAGAATTGACCAAGCCTGGTCGTTGAGGATCCTCCATCGCGAGTAGAACCTGCTGCTCGGAGGCACGGGCAGAAGCTCGTCCGCAACAAGAGCCCACATCCCGCGCTGCGTGAACGCTTCCTGAATGCCGTGCTCCCATACTGACCAATTTTCAGGGCCCATGAGCTTGTGCTTAATGACTTCGTCTACAGAGCGGTCATGAAATCGGGCCGAAAGCAGTTCAGGGCACTGTGCGAGGTACTGCACTGTCTTCCAGTACGGCGCAGATGGGTCTGCCTCGCAGGCGTTGTCATCTAGAAGCCAAGATTTCTGACCCGGATTGTGTGGTATTTCGCTTTTCCACGACAAGTCACCTTGCAAGAAGGATTTATGCCCGCCCTGGAATCCGACATGCGCAAGCTCCTCGTCCTGGCGAGGATCGTAAGCCGACCTCGGCCTTGGAGGCCACTCCGGATTCTTCCACCAGTACTTGTTAGCCGCTGCAGGGATCCAATCGCGGGGCTGCGAGTCCTTGGGAAGCTGTCTTTTGTGGATTGGGTTCCGTTGAGCAGGATTTGGCTTTGAGGTGAAGATTAGCTCTGGTACGTGACCTGGCTCTTCAGGAAGACCGAAGTACCTCATTTTTGGGAGAACATATTCGCCTGGATCTTTCAGAGACAGGCTGCCCTGGTGAGCGACAAGGCTAGCTTTGTCGTCGGGGCGTCTTGCCGGCTGGGAAAGCACACGGGGCTTGTTGTCTTCCCTGTGGGCTACTTTCCAGGGGCACATGCTTGCGGAAATGATTGGGGCTTGCTTGAGGTAGGGGCTTGGCTCATCAAAGATATGCAAATTTGAATATGACGCTATGAGGGGTGTGAAAAGAGCGATCTATTTGGGCCCATCATTTGATTTATAGCTTGCGTGCTTGCGGTTCATCTTTGGATGATAGACATTGTTTGTGGCGCGAAAAGAGGTTGTTTGTTCCATAAAGTCCTTTATGGAAGAAGCCTGTCACAATGGAGGCTCCGTAGTAAGGGAGTCAGGGAGTTGGTGGACAAATCGGTAAACACAAAGGCTATACATTTTTTACAAATCAAAGTTACTGTTACTTCCTTTCTTTATGGAATCCTACCAGCATTAGTCTGGAAAAGAACATTATTGTCTGGACACGGAGCCTGTTCAGTTCATTCGGCCGGCTATGAGATTTCGAAGTACGAGATCAAGATAGAAGATTCGGAAAATGATTTCAATAATCCTTATAGTACACACTTTGCACTTGCAAAGTACACAGGTCTGAAAACGAAGACCAAGCAGACAGACAAATGAAACGAGTAGAAAGTTCTTCATATTTAGTCGCGACATGATTGTGGATGGAGTTTATCGAGATGATAGATAGTAAGAGAGAGGAAAACAGAGGATGGAGAGGGGAGTCAGAAGGGGAGAAGGGTAATTGAAAAAAAAAAAAAAGATGAGGAATGTAGGTCCATAAATACAAAGAGAAAAAAAAAGAACAAAGAACAACCCAGGAGCACCACAGTGATATCACACTCCTTTGCGAATAACCCAAAATGCAGTCCAAATTGCGTTGCGTAATGACAAACCTGAGACTTCGGGCCGCCTATGAAGGAGGAAGTGGAGTCTCATCACGGCCGTCCTTGCCAGAGGTCTCCTCCGGGTTCTCCTTGGGCGCTGGCGGAGCGAGGCTCTCGCCACCCTTGCCGTCAAAGTATTTAGCGAACTCGGCATTCTCAGGCCATTCACGTGGGCCGAGGAGGCGGATCAGGTCATCGCGGCCGAGGACCTCCTTGGACAGGAGCTCTTCAGCGACAATGCCAACCTCCTTCTTCTTTGCGGTCAGGAGGTCGAGGCATTGCTTGTGAGCCTCCGCAACGATGCGGCGAACCTCGACATCGATGCTGCGGGCAGTGTCCTCTGAGAAGGGCTTTTGCAGTTGCTGGCCAGAATCGTCCTCGTAGTAGATGTAGCCAAGCTTCTGAGACATACCGAACTTAGTCACCATGGCCGTAGCCATGCGAGTCACCTTGTTGAAGTCGTCACTAGCACCGCTGGTCACAGTGTCGAAGTGCAGCTCCTCGCTGACACGGCCACCCAGGGTCATAGCCATACGGTCCATGAGCTGATTGACGTTCATCAGGTAGGTGTCGCCGTTAGCAGGAAGGTACTGGGCATAGCCCAGGGCACCCTGTCCACGGGGAATGATGGACACTTTAAGCAGGGGATCGGCCCAGCGCAGATACCAACCACAGATGGCGTGACCAGCCTCGTGGTAGGCAACAGTGCGCTTCTCTTCGGGTGACAGGACCAAAGACTTCTTCTCCAGACCACCAATGACACGCTCGATGGCTTGCTCGAAGTGCTTCATGACGACTCTGTCGGCATTTTCGCGGGCAGCTATTACAAAGAATTCAGTACGCTCCTGGCTATAGAATGAAAAATATCAAGAACTTACCAACAAGAGCCGCCTCGTTCACGCAGTTGGCAATATCGGCACCAGCAAATCCAGGAGTCAAAGCAGCGAGCCTGCCTTCCAGATATTCCATGTTCTCATCGGTCACAATCTTCTTCAGGTGAACACGGAAGATCTGTTTACGGCCATCCATGGTAGGACGGTCGATGGAAATGTGCCGATCGAAACGACCAGGACGCATGAGAGCCTTGTCAAGAACATCAGGACGGTTAGTACCAGCAAGGACGACAACTTGTTCAGAGGTGTTGAAGCCGTCCATCTCGGTGAGAATCTGGTTGAGGGTACTTTCGCGCTCGTCATTGCCCCCGCCGAAATTTGATTTCGAACGGGACTTGCCAATCGCATCGATTTCGTCAATGAAGATAATACAGGGAGTGTTCTTTCGAGCGTTGGCGAACAGGTCACGAACACGCGACGGGCCGACGCCAACAAACATTTCGACGAACTCGGAACCGCTGACGCTGAAGAAGGGGACACCGGACTCGCCAGCAGTAGCCTTCGCCAGCAGGGTCTTACCAGTACCAGGGGGACCAGAGAGAATAGCACCACGGGGAATCTTCGCACCAAGTTTCTGGAACCGCTCGGGCTGCTGGAGGAAGCTAACAAATTCCATGATCTCAACCTTAGCCTCGTCCATACCAGCAACGTCAGAAAACTTGATCTTGATATCGGTCTCGTGGTTGAAGCGCTTTGCACGACTCTTGCCGATGCCAAAGATTCCACTCTGGCCACCAGCACCACCGCCGGCACGTCGCGAGAACCAGTATATACCAGCAAACAGGATCAAAGTAGGGGCGAAAGAGAGAAGAGCATTGCCCCAAGGAACTTCATCGATATAAGAAACTGGAATGCGCTGAGAGGTGGGGATACCCAATTCATACTGGGCATCGTCCAGCTTCCTCTCAAAGCTATCCACGGATCCAATGCTAAAGAAAACATGGGTAATGGGTTGACCAGTCGAGTCGGGATAAGCCTGGGTAACTTCGCGGTTAAGGTCGACGCGGACCCGCGAGCCGTTAGACACAGTCAACTTCTCCACGAGGCCCTTCTCCAGGTAGTTGGAACGGAAGTCCTGCCAGGTAATCTCTCGGCCACTGCTCTCACCGGGGAAGAAGCTTCGGTAGACGTAGTATGTAACAAGCGCGGTGATAAAGAAAGAGGCGGGATCGAATCGGAATTCAAAGACTCTGCTGCCGGGAGGGAGTCCGAACTGCTGCTGTTTCTGTTTGTCCTTCTCTTTCTGGTCCTTGGTCTTATCCTTATCCTCATTCTTCTGCTGCTCAGACTCCTCGGGCTTCTCTTTCTGGCCCTCTGACTCCTTCGCTTGCTTCTCCGCCCGATCCTTCTCATGCTTAAAGATATCACTGAGAGACGGCGGTGCATCCTTTGAATTCTCTTTAACCTCCTCCTTGGCCTTCAAACCCGTATACGAGAACATCCACCGCACCATGCGAATGTGATCCATCAACGACGCATTTTCGGCCTTTTCAATGATGCCCCGGACCTCGTCAGGAATGCCGTTCTTCATGAAATGCTTTCGAAACTCCTGGATGGACCGGTGCTGTGTCTCCGGCATGCGCGACTCCAAAAGCTTGGCAAACTTGTCCAGACTCTCCTGGTCTTCTTTGCTCAGAACCGATTCCGGCTCCTTCCCGTCCTTGCGGCCATCGTTCTCCGGCCCATTCCCCTTGGGAGGGGACTCGCCAGGCGGAGGTGTTGGGCCACCGGGACCCTGGGTAGCATATGTTCGGATATGAAAGGATGTGAATAGAGAGGAGAGTCGAGATGGAGGCACTCGCACAGAGGCTGGCGCTGCGCGGCCGACGCACTCGGTGACCCTCCTCGAGAATCGGGCTACGCTGCCTGGCCGGCGGAGGAGCGTGGCCATGATCGAAAAAAAGGGAGCCCAGAGGGCTAAGAGGGCGAGGAAAGAGGGAGATCAATCGAAGTCGGAGGTGAAGGTCGACTCCGCGCACTCCATCGAGGGAATTGAGGTTGCGGTGGGAAGCTCTCGAGCTGCGGCCCGTTTCGGCGCCGGTTTTTTTGACTTCCGTGCTGACTCATCGAACCCTGTCGAAGGAGATGGACTTGAATGCATTAACGTTATGTCGTAAATTGAGTCGTACTAATTAGTTTCATCTCTGATTTTTGTAGCTTCCAAGAGGTCTAATAAAGATCAATTGATGATGTGTGGAGATTTATTTGGTATAAGGAGAATCTAGAGAGTAGTCCAAGCGCCCCATGATGGGTGCAGAATACTGTAGAGAAGCGTTGCCAATGTACATGGAAGGAGAGATATGACCAGTGGAAGCGAGAAGAAACGCCCAACCCAACACTAGAGAGAAGTATTCAAGGCCCTCCAAGAAGCCCGCTAGTGTGAACGCCACGTAAAAATCTAGACGAATGAAAATAAAGCCCCAATGAGTCCGCTCGATATCCGTAGTTGCATTATTCAATCATGATTATTGCGGATGCTGGCCATTAGCACCGACTCCGGCTTCAAAGACAGGAAAATTGGTCGACATGTCTGCCCAATCCCACTCAATTGTCATTGGCATTTGCCATAGATCTTGTGGAACGAACGGTTGCTGAAAGGGTCCAATATTCGGGCTAGGAGCTCCGAAAGATGCTTGATCAGGGAATCCGGAATTACCCAGTTGATTCGGGCTGAGTATGTCTTGAAAGTCTTGTCCAAGACCTGACATTGCGTGAATATTACTTGGCAGGTCGCTAGGTATACCAGTGCTGGGAGGCATGGTAGAGTCCGTGCTGAAGGCCTTGGCTCCATTGGGCGAAGATGCCCCAGCAGGGGGGTTATTGGTAAACATGGACGGTGAGAAAGGGGTAGATGAGGTTTGTGTTTGCGAAGGTTTGGTGGCTGGTTGGGGGCGTCGTTGCCCTTCGTTTGGCTCCCGCTGTGACGAGGTAGAGTCGTCTGGTGCAGTCTTCCGCTTTTTGCGCGCATGGGACTCTTTCTCCGCCTTGTCGAGGACGACTTTGGCAATTCGCTCAAATTCTCCGCAGAGTCCAAGCATGCGTGTGATGCTACCATTGGATTCATCAGAGACCAGAGTGGAAAGGAAGTTAACCACGACATTCATGAGTTTAACATCAGAACGAGCGCGTGCATCGTTCGGGTTCTGGAGGATGTTGGCAAAGAGAGTGACTAATGCTGACACCGGATAGTAGAGAATCAACCATACGCAGGCAAAGTCCCCTTGGGGAATATACTTGATCAGGTTGATTGATGCTCGAGCCGCTGTCACACAGAGAACAGCGGACAAGAAGACTCGAGGATTCAAAGGCCTAGCGTTCAGTCCCTGTATTGCGTAATTGGATAGACGACTGGTCCAATAGCCGTGGTGTACGGACATCCGGTGGATCGTGGTCAAACAGTTGTAATACGCGAAGTGGAGGACAACGACATGGATGAGGAGGGGTCCATGTGTCGCTTGAATTTCATATTCAGGCCGAAAGTCGATGGGAATGCTGTCTTTCCAATCTTCTAGCTCTTTGTCCAGCTCGCCAATTGTGTTAAGCAGTTCGCCATCAGATTGTTTAGAGGCCTTTGCCGAGTAAAGCCTCTTGTAAACTCTGCTCTCAATAGTGGCAAATTCACAGAATGATCTGAAGATGTTGAATTTGCCGGTACCATCGGCAAGTGGGACTTTGCCAACATTGTCAGGGGGTCTTCACTCGGAAGTTCCACGTTCATGTCATCATCATCCTGTACTGGGGGTCGACCGGAGCGCAGACAAATACTGTATTATAAATGATCAGTACTCAGCCAAATGCCGAATCAAAAAAGGAGGGAATACAAAGTGACACATACTCCTTATCCAGGCAGTAGGCAATCCAAAAGACTCTCTTGCGTTGTTCAACCTCCACCGGGTTCAAACCAAAGCTCGAACCACGTTTGTGCAGGCCGATGCTATGTGAGAGACGAATAGCAGCAGCGACAAGGAAGAAAGCAGGTTGAGGATTGGGTGTGCCTTGAAGAAATAGGGACTAGGGATGTATTAGAGTATGATCTTACAGCGAAAAACAAGCCAAGACAACTCACCATGCCCAACAGTGCTTGAACACTCAAGAGATCAGTGTTCCGCATCGTCAATTCAGTCAGAACACCCATGGCATTTTTCAAATATAACCACGCCTTCTTGTCTTCTTCATGCGGGACTAAGTTGCTCATTACGCGCAGTCGGTGTGAAATAGCCAAGACGACATTGATGCTTGCCCACCACCCAGAGCCTTCGTAAGGGTCACGCGAGTACTGCTGCTCGACGAGGTGCATGAATGTCGCTTCGTGGAAAAGCGGGAACATGCAATTAAAATTCTCGAAGAAATCCTTGAACAAAGACAAGGCCTCCTCCTTTGGAGGAAGCGGCTTGAACACGCGCCGAGCAAAGATGTCGCTGAATATCTCCGGTTTCCAGTACATCCACTTATTGTCATCAACGTACGCTGAGGAGATCATGTCTTGGAACGAAGTGTCGCCGGTCTTCTCATTGACCCATTGGATGCCCTTCGGAGAGAAAATAGAGAACCCAGAAGAAGAGCCTATGCCAAATGGTTAACAAGAGATGAAGGGAAAGTGTATTATAAACTCACCAATGTATCGTGTTTCACCACAGTTGTTCGTCACGAGAGAGCACATCATGTCCGACAGCGCCTCCACCTCCGTCTCGGACTCCTTCTGGGATTCGGGAGATGTCGCGGCTGTCCGCGGGCTGGACTGGGAGTCCATGCGTGGCGTGGTATTGTGAGAGGTGGCAGCTTGGTGCTGGGTTGCATTCGGAACAGGAAACTTATTCGCATTTCTCGCCGCATTCAAAGCGTTCGTTCGGTCGGCCAGTCGTTTTTCTAGCGTACCTAGATCTGTCTTTCCGTTGTCGTCTTCGGACAATAGCCCGGACAACCGCAGAAGCGACTCCATGCGGCCCAGACGGTTCTCCAAGCCCTCGATATACTTGGCCCTGCATTGCTCGTTAGACCAAGGTCTCTGGGAGGGAATTATTCCGCTTATGCGCTTACCCTTTAGGTGGATTTCGCTTCTTCTCGACCTGCGTGAAGATGCAGTCCGTCTTATAGTTGCTGCAGTGCGAGCACTTAGGCATCCTGCCGTCACACTTGATCTTTTTCTTCCGGCACATATCGCAAGCCTATATTCCACAGAAGGTCAGCCGAAGGTCTTGTAGACAAATCCCAAGCCGAGAGATGCGCACCCGGGCAATACGTCGTCGTTTGGCATCGTTGGTCTCATCCCCCGCGGCCAATGCCGCATCGTCCGCAGACATCGACCCCGCAGAGATGGGGAGGTGGGAACCATCGTTTGGATAGCCGCCGAAGAACTGCGACTGCTGGTCCATCATCATAGGCTGCAGGTCGAAGCCCATGCCATCGCCATCCCCCAGGCCGTCCATTATTTTTTCGTTGCGCGTGGAGACTCCGCGGAGTGGAGTATAGGAGGAGGGAGGCCGGTGTTAAGTAAGGACTGCGGGGCTCTCATACGTCTCGGAGACGAGCTTTTTCCGAACTGCCCTCTGAGGTTGAAGATCGGAGGGCAGGAAAACGAGGGCAATCGGGGAGAGGTGGATGACGCATGCAAGGAGACCGAGGGTTTCGCAAGGGTAAAAGAGGCAAAAAAGCCCTGAGCCTTGGGCCGTTTTGGAGGTGGAGGAAAAGGAGTGGGACAATCCCGCTGAGTCAGTCGGTCCCCGATTGACGGAATATGCCAGTGCAGCGGTGTGAGGGTGGAGGAAGATCCAGAGGCGTGTGAATGAGCTTACAGGGACTCAAAGTACAGATCTGGTCACTTGGATCTCAAGAGCTTGCGCTAATACGAAATACGACGCAATTTCTGCTGCCTTGGGGGGTTAAGAGGACGGAGGCGGTTAACCCCGATCCCGAGCCAAGCCCGGACTTGAAGTCGACGTGATCCGACATTTCGTCCGTCGCATGTTCTTCGGCCTCTATACTGGGCCCCGTTTGATCCATACTAAGACCAGTCTTGGGAACCGCACGAGCTAATGATTGTTAGCTTGCAAAGTCCGACTTCTCAATATATACCGTTTCCTCGAGATTGATGTTCGAAGGGACTCTCCGATGATGGTGGGCTGCGCCATACTCTGTCACGGTTAAACCTTGTATCGTGCAGCCATATCATCCTGCCGAACATGTCTGGATCCAGGAGAGATCGGCGGTCTGCTGAGCATGGGACCGGCGGGTGCAATCCGAGTCTAATCGATAATCATGGACTTAAAGCTTCTACCAAAGGGAGATGCGTAAAAAAAAAGTAGTGTACAGGTACAATTGGAGGAGTGGCGATCTCGCGAGGATATATGACAAAAGAGGATAAAGTATGAGAGGATCAGAGAATGGAAACAAATGTCCAGTCTCTTGGTCTGGTAAATATCAATCAAACAACGCCACGCTATGCACCCAAAAGAGGACTCAGTTCCGTCGGGCTCGGGAGCCCGAGGGTTCTTCGTCCGATCTTCGCAAGAGATGAGATCGAATGGCATCCCTGACTGGACAGAGCGAATCATCCGCCAAAAAAAAGCCAGAAACCATTTAGGAGAGTCGAATCATCTCAAGTGTGTTTGTCGAGGAATTCCTTCGCCTCGTTGATTTTGGTGGCCAGGTACGGGCTGCCACCACGGTCGGGATGGTTGAGCAGCATGAGCTGACGGTGCTTCTTGCGGACCTTGTCCTTGTCCAGACGGCGTTCCCTAAAGATCAAACCCTAGTCAGTCTCTGTCGGGCCGTTGGATATTCATCTTCAACGAGAGAAAGAACTTACGGAAGCTCAAGAATCAGAGAAGCCTCGCGGCGGGTCATACGGGGCTCAAATCCTCTGTGGGACACAATCAGTCGTCAAAATCCCACGCCCATGATCATGATACAACAAACCCTTTGTAGAATGCCTTGCCTGCAGCGTTCACGCCGCCCTTGGAACGGCGGTAGGCGACTAGACCAGCGCGGCCCTGGGTAATCCAGTCAGTGGAACAGATTCACGAAAGCGACATAGAAACCATCACATACCAGGAAAGCAGCCACGCCGACGCCAAGTCCAACAGCAAGAGTCGAAGCCATGTCGTAAACCGAGAGATTGAGGAGGAGAGATCGAGTGGCCAAAAAGGTCGAGCGGTGATTCTCGGGGTCTTTGAGGTTTCGCGGGATAAAAGTCAGCGCGCGATTCCCTATTTGGTTTAGCGCCACTCCTCCACGCCAGGCCCGCAGCTTCTCTCAAAAAAAAGTTTGCGAGATAACGAAGAAACACAGTACAACCCACTCCCACCACATCTTAACCATGCGGTATGTCCTACACTCAGGCACTCCCTGAGTAATATTTCAATGACTCAACAAAGTCTTTTACTAACGGAATCCTCGCCCCTGCCAGTGTGGAGACCTGCCATTTCTGCTCACGGCCCGCCTTCCCCGGGAAGGGCATCACATTCGTGCGCAATGACGCCCGCCAATTCCGCTTCTGTCGGTCCAAGTGCCATAAGAACTTCAAGATGAAGCGTCAGCCACGCAAGCTGAAGTGGACCAAGAGCCATCGCGCCGCCCGCGGCAAGGAGATGATCGTCGACTCGTCACTCGTGCTCTCGCAGTTCGCCAAGAAGCGCAACGTCCCCGTCAAGTACGACCGCAACCTGGTCGCCGCCACTGTCAATGCCATGCAGCGCGTCGAGGAGATCCGCCAGCGCCGCGAGCGTGTCTTCACCAAGCGCCGTCTGGCCGGCAAGCTGGCCCGCGACCGCCAACGCGAGGCAGACCGCAAGGTCGTCGCCGAGGGCGAGCATCTCATTCGCAAGGAGCTGCGCGAGCGGGAGGAGGGCCGGCCCATGGTGGCCGAGCAGAGCAAGGTCGCCAACCGGGTACACGGCGAGGAGAGACTGCGCCAGGGCAAGAAGGCAAAGGTTCTGGTGGATGGCGGTGTGGAGGAGGAAATGGACGTCGATTAGAGGAGAGAAAGGACTTTTTCTATTCTTGTTCCATCTCTCTTTCTCCGGTCCCGGGTTTCCTCTCCTCCTTTTCTCTTCGATCTTGTTTTTCTGTTCATGGTTCGGCCGCTACGATACGATTCCTGGAGTTGGGCTTTGCATTATCATTCTTGATCTCACGGTGTTTTTTTCCCTCAAAAAGCAATCGACATCACCTGCTTTCCTATCTTACATCCAACAAGCTAGCAGCATGGAGAGCAGTATTTTTCAACAGACTGATAATATCCTCGTGCCATCGTAAATATCAAGTTTACCATTTCCCTCGTCCCTCGTAAGGTGTTTGCTGTATACTCCGACCCTTCTGCCCTGGAACATACCCGATGGGATTGAAGCCAGGCCTAGGAGATCTTCATAAATACCCTTCTCGTCCTAGCTCTATCCCGTTCAGGCGTTTAGTTAACTGGGCCTTCCTCTACTGGTGTCCGCAGCCTATACATGTAATTGCGATTATCCTTGTACAACATGCAGCCGACATCAAAACGTGGCGTCAATTTGGAAGTCTTCCTGAATAACTGTTCGATTCCCACAATTCTCGAATTCGGCGACCATTTGCCAGACAAAGAAGTATCCAAATCAGTTGGTTGGGTCTCATCTGGGCCCAACACCACTCTCTTTCAGCCGCAACTGAGACCCAACGACCGATTCAGTAGTAATGATTGGTAGACGCTATTTTTCCGAGAGAAAAGAAGTTAAAAAAGCAACCCGAAAAATTACAACTGAGAACGGCAAGAAAAAGGGGTCCAAGGCTTCGGAGTCTACAGGGATTTACTGGTTTCATGATTTATATATTCATTGTGCACCCCGTCCGGGGGTTTCATCGAGTACACATGGCAGAGAGAAAGAAAGCGAGAGATAGAGGGTAGGGACAAGGAAAACGTTAGAAGAAGAGAGTGGACGAGATAACACACAGGAGAGAGGGCAGAGAGATAAGAGATGTGTTTGACAGGCGAGAAAGGGTGTATATGTGCGGGCAGGAAGGAAGAGTCGAGGTCGGAAAAGAGGAAGAGAACAAAACAACATGATGAGCACGTATGGGATATGGGAATATGGGTTATGGATATGATGAGGTGATGGATATGCGCCGGCCACTTTCAAGGCCATTTATGAGGTTTCCAGAACAAAAAAAGAAAAGGTAAACAGCAGCGGATGAGGAAGAACCAAAGAAAGAATAGAGCCAAAGAGACATGATACAAGGGATCCCAAGTGTGCAACAAAAATGAGGTTTCCCGAAATCTTAGACACACTGTGGCGAAGAGAATGCGTACCTCGGGGGGGTTTTTGCGGTCATGATCATAGGGGAGAATCTGACCAACTGAATTGACCCGGAGAGCATTTCTCCATTATGTAGCGTGCACTTTAAACATGTAAACAAGAAGGAGTCCCAGAAAAAAAAAACGCTCAAGCTCGTACATTTCGTCGTGAATGGGGTTCGTCGCTAGAGGCCCGGTAGAAGGGGCCATCGCGAGTGTCCTGTGGCTAGCCCGCAGGCAGGCGAGAGAAAGGAGATGGGCGAAATTTATTCCTCCATACGACCAAAGACTCCGTCATCATCGTCGTCTGCAGGGGCCGGGCGGCTGCCAAAGTCCACATCGGCATTGCGACGGTGACGGGACTCCTGGGCGGTGGCATCGACGCTGGGACGAGCACCACGCTCATCCGACACCTTGTAGGACAGGGATGGGTTGAGGGAGGATGGGAGGAAAGCATCGGCATTGGAGTTCCGGCGGTAGGCCTCGTTCATCGGGCCAGGCTGGCTTAACCCGGGGCTCAAGTTGCCCGGGTGGCTGCCGGAGTCGAGATAGCGCGCCGGCAAAGGAGGCACAGGGGGCACATCGGATGTCATCGAGACCGGCCCCGTCCGAGGAGTGCCAAAATTGCAGAGTCCGATAGCAGCCGCCAGATCGGCCTCTTCTTCCTCGTGCAGCCTGGTGTCGGCGGTGGACGGACGAGTATCGATGCTCGGATGGCGGAAGTGGGAGAAAGCCGGAGAGTGCAGCGGAGCGCTGCCGTTGTACGAGCTGGAGGGGATGGACTGGTAGGAGCGGGAGAAGGCGGAGACATTGCTGATGCTGGGCCGCTTGGTCCAGTTGGCAGGCATTCCGGACATCTCAAAGTCGTCGTCTTCCTCCTGCTCATCCATCGGGGGCGGAGTGGTCCCAGCAGAGCTGGTGCCATCGCGTACATCCGATGAGCCATCCGGCGAGGCGGACGAGACTTCAGACTCGGCCTCTGGGGACTGTTCCGGAATATCGTCCTGGTTCATGGTGACCAGCACAGTGGCAGCCTCCAAGAGCTGCACCTGCTGGTGCTTCGAAATAAGCAGTTTCGAGGTAATGGCCCACGCCGGGTCATGTTCCCACCTATGTCGCAAGAAAAAAAAATTAAGACGTCAACCGGATGCCACCAGCGGAAAAAGGGGAGAGGAGGATGGTGCGAGAGGGGGATGGAGGGGTGACGGAAGGGAGCTGAATGACCACGAGGGCGACCTGCACAGAGCCGACATGGCGCATGCTCCCGATCGAGCAAGACGGCTGGGCGACATGGGGGATACACACATATGCTTGGACAAGCAACTGCCATGCTTATAGCCTTTCCCGCATCGGTCGCAGCGGAGGTCGGCAGGGACACGCTTCCCATCGGTCTTTGACTGAGCGCCTTCGCTAGCTCGGCGGTTGCGGCCCTTGGGGTTCAGTTTGCCATCCGCATCTGAGTTGCTGGGCGAAGGCTTGCGAGCGACCGCGGGTTCCACACTGGGACTGTTGATGCTACGAGACAGATAAGAGCTGAAGCCCGAGCCACCTCCTACCGAGGTGGATTCGAGTCCCTTGCGGCCTCCTAAGCTGCGGCGGTGCACCGCCGCCGCCGTGGGGAGGGACGCGGACTCGCCGTCTTTGAGCGAGGCTGCAACCGCGGCGGCGGCATTGGCGGCGGCCGTGGTGACACTCTTGCGGCGAGTCACTCGGTGGTTGGCATTGACAGCACCCAGCGATATCGAATGAGCATGTTGTCGCTGGGCTGGGGAGGGGAGGGGACGCGACAGGGACAATTCCTGTGGGCGGCGGACCGGCAGACGGCCAGATCATCAGCATTGAGTCATGGCGAGGGCGAGGGGAGGGCAATTCCCGGTGAGTTAGGACACAGTGCCAGGTGGGATCCCTCGTACCTTGAATGAAGCCATAGCGAAGGACTTTCTGGCACTGTTTTTTTGAAAGTCCGTCGAGTCGTGAGACGCTCTCAATTCCGGGTGGAAGGTGGTAGAATAATGTAGAGGGTCAGGCGGCTACTCAGCGATACCGGCAGAGCGGAGGTCTGGGGATTGAAAGTGAAGCGGAGAGGAATGAAATGGGTGAACGAGAGCAAGAAGAGACGGAATCAAGTCGAGTGTTGGAGGGATGAAGGCAGGGGGGAAGGGAAAGTTGGGAGCCAAAAAAAAAAAAGAAGGGGAGGAGAAAGAGGAGAAAGAAGGAGGGCCTGGTGAGGATCCGGTATGGTGTGGCCCACCAAAATCGCTCATTACTTTGCGGGGGCCTTTCCCTTTGAGCATGCGGGGGGATCTTCGCTTGTAACACCGACACGCCCAGGGACATCCCGTCTACATGAATTTCTACGGCCGGTCCTCTCTTTGGATTCGGTTTCGAATGTCTTTCCTACGGTGTCTGGGATCTCACTGTGTGTTCCTGGTGGTGGTCGCGCAAGGCCGATGATGCGATAACCATGGCTCCACTTCGCTTCTGGGGCTTCCGGTATGAACCTGGCGGGCACCGGGGGCTAGGTATTCCGTGTGGCCTAGAAGCTATAGAGTCTCTCGTCTATGTTCGGGGTCGTCGTCGTGCAGGGGGTTTGAAAGCCTTGAAGCCAGTGCTAGAATCATTTCCTTTTCCCTCTCCTTGCCCTCCCCTTCGTCCCCCTCGGATGGGGTTCCGCGTAGGGCAGAGTTCAGGGTCTCCCGGACTTGGGGTTGTCAGGTACCCATGGATCTGGGAAGGTGAGCATGCGCAATGCTGCTGAGTCCGGTTGTCTGGATGCTGGATTCTGGATTCCGGGTTTCGGATTCTAGGTTCTGGGTGTTTCAATATCAAGGCTGTTTGCCACAGCGCATTCATATCACAACCATCAAAGGGACACAATCGGCTGTCTGTTGCCTGACGATCACCCGGGAGGATCACAAGGGAGGGGTTCAGCTCCTTGGAAACTTTTTCCTGCGAACGGCGACAGCGAACAGCGTGGCCGTCAGCCGAATCGAAGCCGGCTCAGGTACAGGCTGAGCGTAATAATACACGAGGTCAGGCGAGGGGGGTGTTCAAGGCAGAACCAACCAGTGCGCAGTTGCCCCGATCACCTGCATGGCATCGACCGGTCTAGGACCTCGTTCGGGTGGGGCACATGACATCATCCGCTCAGAACCGGGCAGCGAACGAGAGCGGGCCACCTGATAGGAGAAGTCACGGGGCCGTCGCCTGCCGGTGTCGGCCTCAGGCCAGTGCCCCGCGAGGCAGACATCAGGAGTCCATATACCTTTAGACTATCTCGGACAATTGAGCGGAAGTCCCTGGGAACGATCTCTTTTCCAATATGCATCACTCGCCCTCAGATCGAAGACTCCGTCCTCGGCTCATCTTTGTCCAGCCAATGGCCCCCAACTCAGCGCGTCTCGAGCCCCGTCGCGGACGATCAGATCTCCTCTGGTCGCGCCCGCCCGCCGCTAGCGCCCAGCCCCGAGGGGATCATTACTCCGAAGAGCCCAAGCTCCAGGTCCTCGTTCCAGCATAGTGCCAAACTGGCCCTAAACAGGCCCCAAACAGGCCCCAAACAGGGGCAGTCGATGGTTATTTTTGGGGTCACAACACGCACGAGCCATTCTGGCACATTCCACGCCAACATTCCTCACGGCACAACAACATGGGCTCCCTTTCCCGCGGACCGCACGCCAACCCCCATTAGGCTGAGCATCGACTTCCCTCTGTCGACTCCACGGGACACGGAGACCACCAGAGTGGCTATGCTGGTGATCTCGGCACGTCTTACTTTCTCTTCAGAATTATTTGACAGAGGCGGAGGAAAAGCAATCGATAATAATCATCTAATAGCAGCAATCTTGCAATGCATTATTGCTTGCAGGAGCCCCATTTTATGGAACTGAAGCTGCTAAATACAACGACGAGCAAAGCAAAAAGCAACGATCAAGATAAGGAATTGTCAATCATTCTTCCCGGTCCACTCATTTGGGGGGCCCCAAACAAGCCAAACAAAAAAAGCCTCAGTCAACAAGCCCACCCTTTCCCCTTCCGAAGACTCGATCATTCTCCATCTCACACAGCCAAAATCCCAGAATCTCAGAATTTAGCAACGCCAAATCTCCACTATGACGGAGGCGTCCACACCCACATTCGGCTGCCCGGGTGGGGGTCCAAACAGTGCAAACACTCTTTTTTCTTGGGGAGTTCGTGGACCGGGCCGATAAGATGAGAGCTGCTAATCAGGAAAATTAGATCATGGACAGGGGAGGGTTTGCAATGACGGGATATGGTCTGCCGATGGACCTCTCATGGGTCTGTTTGATACCACAGTTACCCAGTAGTCGCACAATCGGCAGATAAGTTCACCGTCCTATTACAACTATAGGAGAAAAAAAACAAACAAAAACCCAAAGCAAGCGCGGAGTTCAATCTCAAACTATTGCACTACCAGCGTCCCTTGATTGATGCCTTCCCTTCCAAGCACACTTTCAGTCACCTTAAGGGAGATTTTCCACAAACAGTCTCCGTAATTAATGAATGCATAGACATCAGATGAAGTCCTATTTGGGTTTAAGCACTTTATTCTCTTTGACCCCAACTAGCCGCTGAACAACGGGCATAGAGCCAGCATTAACAGCCAGGCACAAAAGCTGAGCTCCCTAATGTTCCTGGATCCTTGAATCTGCCACATCGTCACCCTAATCAAATACTTAGTCCCAGCTGTCATAGATGATATTTGGATCATGCCACCATCTGAGAAACGTGGAGGCTCTGTGACTGATCCTTAAACCAGCCCTTGAAGAGAAGTCGGACTATTCAACCTTTGACACACCCTCGGATAAGAGAATGTTGTTCACAACCATCATGACTGAAGTGCCGAAGCAGTTGTCGATCTTATAAATTGAAATGTTCAACCACGTACCGTAGCATAGCATCTGAGCCATACAAAGTGATAATAAGGGAATTGTGCAAAGTTCTGTCAAAGTGAAACCGGGTCAGCACCGCGCACCGGGTGACGATTTTGCTGGGTCAAGTTGTCGAATCAAATTGAGCCTGAGTGAAAAAAAAAATTATTATGCGGAAACTCTGAAATAGCTAGTAGCCCCGGTGAGAATATCATTTCCGCATGGATATCATCGGAAAGAAATTCGATGCAAGTATCTAAGAGAAATACCTCCAGGCTTTCAAATGTTGCTTAGGAATCATCTTTTTTTGCCCATGTGGATCTTTATCATCGGCAAACTATCCTTGAATAACACTCCTTCACTAACTGATATACAGGCCGAACTTAATGACACTGTGAATTAACTTTCATGACCCTTTGATGATCTATTAAGGCCTTACAGATCACCCACGAATGCACCTTTTAGGACGTGTCTAATGCTGCGGCGCATGCTCGCTCCAAGATACCGATAGGCCTGCGGGTGGCTGCTAGAAGCTTCACAGCTGCTACAGCCAGATATATAGTCTCGGAATATTTCAATGTGTAATGAGAAAGCAATATGATGTAAACTCCTGAAAGCTCTTCCGAAGAGGCGTTTCTAGAAAATTTCTCACTAGTCTAATCTTCGGGGATCTCTTTGACCGAATGAGCTCAACAATCATCTTTGTCTACAGGGCACCCCCTGCGCTCGATGCAAAAGGTTATCCTTAGCACAGCTGCTTTAACCTTGGGCCATAGGTAGTTCAATTTCCATCCAACGGTTCAGCCGAACAATGATGCTATCACACACAATATCAGAGACTATTTCGAAAATAGACATATGTTATAGCTGGTCGAGGATCCCTTCTGTAGGCAAGAAGAGATGATGGCGTTCAGCGTCTGAAAATCTTTTAAGGAATTCTTCAAGAAGTGAAGCATACTGTTTTTTGGAGTCTAGATCGCATCCATCCAGGTCGTCGATCAAGATGGAATCGAGGCGATCAATACCATCTCAAATCCTATGCGGAAAGATTTTTCCGCGTATTTTGCTTTCTTCTGGGTCAAAGGTTCTGCCGAATCGTTCTGTTTACACTACTTCATGAATGGCTTCTTCAGGCCAGGAGGTTGTTCAGGGAGCGACAGTATCAGGGTAGAGGGTATGTCCGTAGCCTTTTCTGTCTCATCATCGCGGCAGTAGCAAAACTACACGTAAGACTAGAGCAGTTTGTGGGCATTTCTTTGGCTCAAATAATTCACCAAGTACATCATGGCCATCTTTCTCTCGGAGCCTAGGTCCCTCGGGAGCACCAGTTTTCGAGAACCGGAAGCTCATTCTATTTCATGAAATACGAATTCGTAGGGTTTGTCTGCCCACTACTCTTGAATTTCGACATAATACTTATTCTGGAGTATAATCCAACCGTTGATCAACTATGACTCAATAAGAATGTAAGCACCTAGTGTGTAGGATCTTTCGATGGCTTACTCTCAGAACTTTAATGCATATGCATGCTTTATCTGGGGCCAACCAAAAGCACGGCCCGGACTGTATAGTGCCTGCGGGGCTAATTAGTCTGTTGCCAACCAAAGCATCAAGGTCCATGAACCAGTACTTAAATTGCTGAGAAACCCAGAGGGACAAAAGCTATACTGATAAAAAAGAAGAAAACGATGGATTCTGACGCGCCGCAGACTGCTAGAAGTGTGCAAATTGTATAAAATACAACAAATTAATGCCAAATGGAAAGGAAGATCCATGGGCAGAAGAATTATCATTTGACCTGCTAAAGGTTGTTAGAATTCCGAGATTGTTCTAAGATTGAAATAGATAGTTGAATCATACAAAAGAATTAGCTTAGATATTCATACTACTCTCAAGTCTATAGATGTATAGAACATGTCAGACGTTGGTCAGATAGCTTTGTGATAGATATCTTTGGTTTTGTGATAATTATGATATGGATTGCGCTTATAGATATCCTTTTATATACCTTTTCTTGCCTTCTTCACCTCTAGAAACGAGATGCCATTGCTCTCATGCCCACACACAACATCATTGCGTACCCCCAACTCTCTCAAAGCACACCGTACAAACCCCCTGCCCTTCCTGCCCCCCAAAACGAAACCGCGGGTATTCAACACGCCCCCAAACCGCAAATCGATCCTGGCTTTCCTCCTTACCACCTGTAAACCACCGTACGAGCTCCTCTTCCGTCCAATTGCAACTCGTCACAATCAAAAACCCACCCCGCCGCACCAGCCGCCGCGCAATATCCGGATACCGCTCGCACACCCGCGTCGTCTGCGCGTCATCCGCCAGCGAAATCGCATCAAACGTCCCCTTATCCAGCACAATATCAAATCCACCTGCCCCGTAAGGAAACCACGCCAGCGTCTCTTCCCCGGCCACCGGAACCACCGCCTCTCCAGTTTCTGACAGCACTGCCTGGGATCCGAGGATATCCCACTCTTCGAAGCGGATCGGCGCAGAGCTCTCCTGCTCCTCAATGCCTGGCTCTAGATCTCCGCCATCCTGTTCGCCCTCGCTTTCACTCTCGCTCTCATCATCCGTCCGATACGCCGCATGCCCTCTAGACGCCTGCAACTCGCGCGCCAGCTCTACGCTCTGCGCCGAGTAATCGACGCCGACCAGTGGGCCCGCAAAGCGGCCCTTTTTCCGCAGCAGTGCGAGCATGCTTCCGTTGCCGGTGCCCAGGTCGAGGACCGCGGGGGCGCGGCCGCGCGTGTTGCGGGGCGCCAACGGGAACGCGGCGCGGGTGAGGAAGCGCAGGACTTTCTGGGGCGCGTTGTGCTCGGCGAACCATGAAGTGCCGGGGTCGTCTTCGGCGTTGAGGTCAGAGTCGGAGTCAGGGTCGGAGTCGTGGGTTGGTGCGGGGGCTTGCGGCGTGGAGGGGGAGATATGGGCGCGCGTGCGGGCGTAGTAGGTTTCCCAACTGGAGAAGAAGGAGAAGGGGTGCGGGTTAGCTTTTTCTGGAATCAATTGGCTAGGTGGCCAGTGGAGTTCACTGTAGAAGTATGTATATTTGTTTGGGAGGAGGTTCGGGTGTGTAGTAGTTGCTTCAAGCTGGCTACCTCCACGAAGAGGAGGGGCAGGAGCAGAGGTGGGGTTGTTTCTTGGAGTGCGATGGTTCGAGGGTCACAGGGACGGACTCAATGGCACTTACTAGTCCTTTGAGCCCAGCTCGCTGGGCGAGAGGTAGGCTGGATGGGCGTCTTCGGCCATTTTGTGGGGTTGTGTCGGTGGGGGAAAGCAAGGCGGGACTTAGGAAAAATTGATCGAGGGGTTACAACTTACGGATGACGTTTTTCTCCCTCCTTATCGGCCACTATCAATCAGCAATCAGCCGCCGAGGGGCTCCCAGGTCGGGCCCAAAACATAGACAACGACCAACAAGAGGCATATCGAGTATATCTAGTGCCCGACCCAGGCTAATCGAACCAGACAACTGACTAGGCCAGAACCGATGCAACATTTATTCATCCTAAATGCTTTCGTTTACGGGACGGAGTAAAGGGAACTAGATCGGCGAGACAAGATTACAGGGCTATCGAAAATAAACTCGGAATTGTTCATTTCTATTTGAACTGCGCACATGGGGTATTGATCATTCCTTTTCTTCACTCCCATCCCAAGATCGAAACTGGTTAGCCTATTCTAGGCTCAGTCCGTCCCATGGGAAGCGAGTAAGGAAACAAAAACACAGAGAAGGCATAATGAAACGAGAAGAAAGAAAAAGAAAAGCGAAGGCCTTGCCAGATCGACAAGATGGTGTCAACAAGCGTAAGGGTAAAACGTGAGAGCGAAAGTTTGGTTTGAATGGTAGTCCATCAATGCGTTTTGGATTGCATCGAAGGCCCCAAAGTCCTCCATGAAGGGTTCAAAAGGAAAAGGGATGATAAGGCAGCTCCCATAAAATAATATTACAGTTAACGGGCTCGCAGAAGATAGACAAAAGCCCTGTGCGAATGGCCCGCGGCATGAAGCATCGCTTTGATACCAGTTGCGCCGAAAATGAATCAAAGGTCAAGGGAGGAAAAGGTAGCGATAGAGAGCCGGTGAAGGTAGATGGTGTGGTTCGTCGTCAACACCCATGCCGGGATTGTGGTTTCGGAGGCGAAGTAAGAGAGAAAAAAAATGCAAGTCAAAAGGCGATGAACGACAGCAAAGCCCGCTTTGGTCATGAATGTCATCAGCCCAGTCAAGCTAGAGGGGTATGTGACTGGCGGATAAAAATTGGAAAAAGTGTGTGGCCGGTAATGGAAGAAGAAAAATGTGGCCGGAAATGAAAAGGGACTCTCAGTTCAGAGTCAGTCAAAAAGAGACATGCAAAAATGTCGGGTCGTGGAATCGTTTCAGGTCCGAGCTTCGAGGAGAGTATGATCTCGAAGCTGGGACGGTAGAATTACAGGAACTCATCAATATTCCTCAAGATAAGACGCTCGCCTCCCGCTGGAGGTGAGCGAGGATCAGCTGTGTCCTTCGCGTATTGCACAGCACTGGGACCTTCGGAAACCGTCTGCTCAATCCCCCGGGCTTGAAGGGGAAGCGGTGGGGGTGATAGGAAGCCCGATGTCCTGGGGAGAAAAGCCCCGAACTAGGGTCGGGGATATCACGCACAAACACATTGGTTTGAACTAAGGGATCACAACTGCTCACGCTGCGTGGAAGCCTACGAGATCGACCAAACGCAGGTTCTATCGACTGAAACTTCTGTCGGAAGGGCAGTGGCCGCGGAGATAAGCTGCGTTTGGGCGACCGATTTCCATTATCGCTGGTCTTGGGGCGTTTTGGACTTGAAGATGGGATCGAGAGACCACCAATGGACGGCACCGGAGCTAAGCCACCCAAAGCCAATTGCTGCTGAGCCTGTTCACGTTCTGTTTGAGTGACTTGCGGCTCGGAGCTTCTACGGCCAGTCTGTACAAACCACTCACGAGGGGCAGGTCGCGAAGTGGATCCTTGCATCAACCGAGAGCGGAAATCGGTGAGCTGGTAGATGAGGCTCATATTCGGACTGACCCACTGGCTGCGTCCCTTGACGAGCTCATACATCGAGTTGAAATCCAGGTGACGATTCTTGTACAGACCATATGCAATAATCAACGAAGCCGACCGGCTCGCACCCAATTGGCAGTGAACAAGAACCTTCTTGCCCTCCGCGACCCGGTCATCAATGAGCTCACACAGAGGAAGAAGATCGTCGAGGATCTCCGAGTTGTGGTCCCAACCAACGTGGAGGTACTCGGGAGTAGTAGGTTTAGGGGTCGCGGTAGTTGGGGTTGCAGAACCGGAAGAGTCGGACGCCTGGTATTCAAATGCAGACTTGAAGGAGATGTCAGACATCGCAGTTTGGGGGTCGCTGTTGGAATATCGGTTTGAGGCCATCGACGCGTTACGCCAAGTGCTCATAACGGTGTCATTTCGGCCTTCATTGTCGATGTTGAAGGGGTTGCGAACTTCCTTGGCTACGTTGATCACCACGTCGAATTGCGCTGCCTCCTCCGCATTGGGCTCTAAGTACAGCCACACTCCAGAGTCATAGATGCGAATGGGTCCATTAGGATAGCCACGGTCGGATCCCCGAGTCGACTCTCGCGAATCCAAGTGGGAATCCTCTTCCTCCAGCCCGTGAAGCACCCGGCGGGTAAACGTGGTATTAATATCGGGGGTCATCGTGAGCGGGGAGTTGTCCGCGGAGGAAGTACCCGACGAGTGGGGTTGACCGTCGGTCGACATCAGCCGTGGAAGCTGCATGCCACCCCGCGGAGCAAAACCAGGAGATGTAATCGAGGCGAGCGAGGGAGACGACTCGGCATGACGAAGAGTGTGTCGCCCAAGAGGGGTTGGAGGTACCAGGTCAGAACCAAAGGACTTGTCAAAGCCGGGTGTCCGAATGGTGAGATTAGCAGGGCGCCGCCGACCAGTCTTCGGTATCTGAATGGGGGATGGCGGTGCAGACAGGTGATGTGATGATGTAGTCTCGAGGACCGATGCGGTTGCAATAGGGGGGCGCGACTGCGAGAGGGGCGGCATGCGCAACGATAGATTCTTCGGGTTACGCGATCGTCTATTGGGGGAGTCGGCCCGCGTCCTCGTTGGAGCGGGCAATAGTCGGGTGCTATCCGCCATGGCGGACAGCGCGGCAACTTCGACGGGCCGAATGGATGGCGTGAACTTCGGATAGGACATCGGCATTGCAGAGAGCGATTCGGGGGAGGAGCTGGGGGAGACGTTGCCCGTGGAGGGCGAATCGAAGGGCGAAACTGTGGTGGTAGGGGAAGATTCGCTGGACCCGGAGGTCATTGACGACACGCTTTCGCGATGAGGGGAAGGAGGAAGATGTGACGAAGTGTGAACTGGAATGTGCGCTGGAAGCTGGAACGGATGTATAGAGTGCTCGTCCTCTTTGTATTGGGCTGGCAGTCCACCATAAACGGACATAAATGATGGGAACGAGTCCTGGAAGGACGGTGGACTGGTTTGTACCGGCATGGTTTGGAAAGGTCGGATCAAGGCGTATGGACAGGCAGGCGTCCTTTCCACGTCTGAGGGATAGTGGGAAAAGAGGGATTCAAGGAAGTCAGGATCCCCTTAGACAACGAGGGGCATCCGGGTTGAAGAACCGAGTCTTTTGCTGCCTGCGCAAATCGGATGACTCTTTAAAAGGGTGTCACGTCAGTGTTGCGGTTTGAAAGATGTTTCGGGGATCTAGGGTGGCGAGCAGGCGCAGGCTGCAAGGGCTGAGACCAATGATCTGCGCCCTATGCACAGCACTTGAGGAATAGGAATCAAATATCCGATGGCACGAGTCACATCGCCCCGGGGAGAAGGGGGGATATTGAGAGCATGGAACGATGGCAGAGGAGTGGTTGCGATTGAGGCTCCGTGTTGGGGTCGGGGTCGGGTGTGGGCTCACATACCAGATCACAAGCCCGTGGATCCTTCTTAAGTTACCAACCTAAGGTCCCCTTCGCCACGATTTTGAAACCCAAATCGGAGGAGCCGACGCTATGGAAGAAGATTGAAAGTTGACGGTTTGAAGGAGTGACAAGAAGCCGAAAAATAAACGGTAACAAAGGCCGGGTAGGGGCAGTGTGAAATGGCTGGCGGGGGAGGGAGAGGAGGGTCCAGTGTTTACAGGTCGTTCCACCGGGGAAGGACTAAAGGAGAGTAGGCGAGCGAGGAAGAACGGCGAGCAACTCAGGGAGAGGAGGGAGAGGAAGAAAGGCGTGAAATGAAGAAAGAGGAGAGGTGAAGAGGCGAAGAGGTTCGAGTTGAGGGTGAGAAGGTTAGGAGGGCGAGAGGGTTGGCGGGTTAGCGGGTTAGAGGGCGTACTGGGGGCGCAAGAGTATGGACCCTTACTGTTTTTAGCGGACGCTGATACATGTTAGAGATCTCCTCCGATTTCAGGCCCACTGTAATTTGGCGTACGCAGGACTTGGTCCTTCCCAGACTGGGGCCCTCGGGGCCTCGGGCGGGGGCACTGGGGGAGGGCACCGAGTGGAGGCGGGCGGGCAGAAGGGCGCCAATGGGGCCTCCAGGAAGCCGGGTTTTTTTTTAAAAAAAAAAATTCCTTTCTGTTTTGCTTACAAGCCCGAATAATAACGAGAATTATCATCAGAGTCAGCAGCATCCAGGATGATTAGGAAATGGTTGGAATTATTGGAGCGGAGAAAGCCGAAGCGATGGAGTATAATAACAGGCCGTGTTATCCTTCCCATTTACTGGCATTCTCCCACACTATTGAGAAGGTTATTCTTGTTATTCTGTTCCACCTCGAAGTATGGCGACCAAGGCGCCGCAGGCCCTCTCTGTTCGTATTTCAGTACGAGGTGTCAACGACCTGTGCTCTACGCTAAGTAGATGAAATACTATTTTTACTTCTCTCTCTTGACTCTTATCGAGAAGGCCCTGCCCTACCCAGCTCCCCTGTGAGGTATCGCGAGTCCTCTATATATCTCTCTCCAGGAATCACATAGTTGCGTGGTGACATTACGACCCAGTCGACTATATTGAATGGAGATTTGCCCGTCTTTTTCCCCTCTGCCCATTCTGGATGCCCGGAGTGCCTAGAGAGCCTAAAGAGCCTAGGGAGCCCAGAGAGCCCGGACTGAATTCAACCCTGCAGCTCTAATTTTAGCCGCCGGGGGCGTCGTGGGTGCGTCGTCGGCGTCAAACGCACGCAAATCACAGGCTCGTCCCGTGCTCCCCCCCCCCTTCGCCCATTCACATCGGCCCATCTGCGCGCTCGACTCTGCTCTGAACTTGAATACAGAACCAATAATTAAGAAAAACAAGAACAAGAAAACAAAAAACAATAATGTCCAGAACCAAACCACCCCCGAAAAAAACCAAATGTGATTACAGAGCCCCCGGTGTCTGTTGTCTGTATGGTCGACTGGCCCCGGCTATGGCGTGCGAAATAGCCAGGATTTCTCGCAAAACAAGGCCGGGGGTCCACCCCGAGTCCCACCGACAGCTGAGCCTTGGGCTTTCGCGTTCGCACTGCGGTTTTGGCTCTTGAGGATGTTGCAGGGCCTGATTGGCACAGGAGCTGAACCCAAGGTGGGGATTCCGCTCCCCCTCTCCTCGATCCTGGACGGGGTCCTCCAGATGAAGGAATCAAACAGAAGAGGCTGGGATGACTCTTTGCCTACTTAGGCACTATTGTTCCGTGCGACCCTTTCTACTCCACTGTCCAACTCCTCGTTCGGATGCCTCCACGCAGTCGAGAAAATTCCATCGCCCCGCGATCTTAAATCCTGGTCTGCGAGGAGTCTCGGGCTTGATAGGATGAAGTATAAGGAGCGCAGAATACAGGCCTAGAACCCTAGAATAGACAGGGCGATACCGAGACCCCTCTATGTTGGAACGCAGAAATACAGATACAGGAAACGAGGGAGCAGCAAGTGGTTGTCGCCTCCTCTACAATGTACGTCCCCGGTAGGCCCAATGGAGAGACTGGAGGGAGGATGGAGGAAGGAAGTGGATGGTGTCCAAGTGCCAAGGGAGCCAGCCTGATTCGAGAATTCCAAATCCAGGCCAAGACGGCATGCGTGCACGGTTCCCTGTTCACGGCCTGGGAACCTGGGAACCGGTAGGGATGTTGACGGCACTGCGAAGCGTGCAATCATCATCAAATGCTGCTCAGGGGGAGAAGCTTAGGGCACACCGTGGCCTGGCTCCCCAAATAATACAAATCATCCTCCAACACGGCACACCGAACGGTGGGCGGGCTGGATCCATGGAAATGGCCTTGGGAAATGGTCCGCTGAACGGAATACCGATGACATTTGTTGTTTCTGACCCGCTTTTGTCGAATACGATTTCTCAAGTCAGCAATGCCTGCATCCCGCATATCTACATCGCAAACCGATATAGACCGCAAAGTAGTGATACATACATGGTTACAAGGTTACATAGTCAGCGAATTCCTATGGAGTAGACGAGCCATAAAATCCCCATTGCCAAATAAAGAGAGAGGAACAAAAAGGAGGGGGGGGGGAAGAACCAACATTCTGAAACCCCGGAGGCCGATGGATCTGAGGAGGCGATTCTGAAACACGCCAACCCGACACTAGGGCGCGCTAGTGGTCCCGGGCGGAGGGCGAGCACAGCCTATCGCCTGCGCCCACCACCGCCGATACTTGCTGCTTCTGGGCGATCGGCTCTCTGACTGACCCGTAAACACCTCCATCGATAGACTACGGATGTACATCTCAGGTCGCGCACCATCGGACGCACCGTGCGAAGCGTCCCATGAAGTCATCTCCCCTCTTTGCGAGATCGATCACGTTGCACACGGCAGTAATCCGATTCTCCTCGGTCTCGATACCTAGAACTTTCTACACCACCTATATCACCTAGATGGTCTGTTACATACTCCCAATGCTGTAGAAAGGACCGTACCGAATATTACCTATGTTTTCTACACAGATCTTCCCGTGTCTCCGTCCACTGGCAGAGCGGAGCCCCATTATTCGACTTTGTGGGATCGGCCGAGCCTTGGAATGATCGGCCTTCTTCCACGTGGATGAGCCTGAAACTAAAGGGGCTGAAGGGGTGCAAAGTGGAGGTCAAGAAGAACAGCTGGCAATGCTCCCATGGATACTAACAGCAGGCCCCAATTGACTATGATTCATCTGATACACATGTAATCCTGGCAGTGATCAAGAGTCACGTCAGTAGCCACCCTCTATTTCCAGAGCCCCATAGGAAACGTATTATGCCCCCTCCCAACAACCATCACGAGGAATTGGTCGATGCGACTGGTCATGAAGCACCGGACAGATCCGAGCCCCCAACACAATCGACGCCATCTTAGAACAGAGGGCGCCCTCGATGTTTCTGGAATCCCTCCCCCCCCACCCCTGAGTACCAACATCATAGAACTGGATGCTATTATTATCTCCTGCGGAATATAGCTAGCCGAGTACGAAGTATGGGGGGCTCCATGTGGTCAAATTGCTCCCCCAGTCGTCTTGTATGCGGATCAATTCTGGGCAACGCGTTCCGGATAGATTACGGTTCCTCGCCATGGATTCCTCGTGAACAACGTTTCACGACGGAACTCAGTGCTGCTAAAAATATAGCAAACTTACTCCCCTGAGCCTCCCCTGAACCAAGGGCCAAAGCGAGAGCCCAGATTGCCGTTTGTTTCATGTTTCGCCGGTGTTTCGGGAGAGCGGTTCGCCACTGTGCCTGTTTGGAATTACCATCGCCTACTGACACACTGGTCCCAGATTGATTCGTGTCCCGTTGGATTCTAATTTTCCAGCCCATGGATGTAAGTAGGGAGAGGGAGAGAGGGAGAAAAAATAAATAGAAACAAACAAAATAAACCCAAAACAAATTATTCTATCCTGGGTTACCGTTCACAGGCCAACCACAACTGCGACAACCCCCTGTATACCGTTTGCACTTGGTTAAGAGACAAGAGTAGGGGTAAGCTAATAGATTGTTCTGGTGTCACATTCATTCTCATTTCTTCATGCATTGTATCGCGGCTCGGATATCAACTGAAAAAAAAACACGAACCTCAGTCCAGCTCTGGTGCTCATTACTTTGGTGGCAACTATTGTATATAGTTGACTGCTGCGGGGCTGGTGCGAGCTGCATTATTGATTGCAGTCTGGACTGCGGCATACAGGAGGATTCACTGCGTCCCCTTCCATTCCTACCATTGGATGTGAAGCCGTCCTTTAGGCTATTTACTTTGGTGCGTCAGCTACAATAATTGCTCGCGACTAAAGTCGCCATGGCTTGAAAAGCATCACAAGTCTCTAAAAAAAAAGAAAGAAGTGAAAGAAGTGAAAGAAAAAGAAGAAGAAGAAGAAGAAGAAGAAGAAGAAGAAGCAATGCACACCATTGACGGGATCATATCGTCATTGCCACTCTGATTTTTTTTTTTGTTTGTTACTTGCCTATGTCAGCTAAGTGACTACCACTAAGACTCTCTGGAGGACTCTCACCCATTGACCGACGCTGTGAAGACTATCGCTCGATTGAGTCTGCCCAGCAGTGGGCTGGAAGATCCCGCAGCATCGTTTGCGTCCCGAGCTTTCTCCGGTAGACATCCACGGAATGCCTGAGTCCACTGTGGTTCTAGTCTTGTGTTTTCTGTACTATGTATCGGGATGTCGGAATACCCGGGAACCCACTTCTCTGAATCCCCTTCGCTGAAGAGTTGGTTTGCCAGTGTTCCTGGATGGTGGGCTAATTCCACTGAGATGATGAAGTTGACAAAATCCACTGCTGCTGGGAAAGAGAGAGCTCCTCCGAGTCCGATCATCAGTCGAATTATCTGTTCCTATGGTTTTGCCCCCAATGCGACGTGATCTATGACCCTGCACGTATATACTATACGGCCTTCCATCTGATCATCTTATACTCTTCTTTCGACTGGGAGATTGCCATAAGCCACGTGGAAAACCTATCCACCAGGCCGACTAAGCAATACTAGCAGGCCTTCTATCCACAGTGATCCCGACTTCTCGGCCAGTCAATGGAGCAGATTCGGATTTTGTCCCGTCAGGCACGGAGTTCACAGTGTGTTCGGTTGACGGGGCTTCTCGGCTCCCAATCCACGGCTCGCGCTCTACTCAAACCATGGTTCGCTCGCTTTATTTTGTTCCGAGAGAGAGAAAAAAAAATACATTAGAGAGGAATTGAAATACTGTACATCCATCAACAGCCTCACTTTTGTTGAGTTTGAGAGTAGAAAATTTTTTTTTCTCTTCTCCCACCTACTTCTGACGGCTATTGTCAGGCTGACCGTAATGACGATGGGTGATCACAGCCGTCGAGCATGATAATATGAGATATAGTTCGTTGTGATAGTGACATCGGCATCTCTGGGGCCGCATTGCTAGCTCAATGTCCTCATTGGAGGATCAGTGTTGTTCTTTGTCCTGTCGCCTTTTGCTTTTTCTCGCTCTTTAAACCGGCGAGGCTCCAGCATGATCGGGGTGTAGATGAGGATGGGGATCGAGTGGAGAGTGTCTTCTGTCTGTATACCTCCGTAGCGTCTCCACGCAGGGACCAACGCCAATCCACTCAATTTCCCAGCCACGGGAATATTGGAATAGGGTCAGGGCCGAAGAAATCTCTGCGTCCCCGAATAAAAGCGGACAGGTCAGAACCGTTGATCTCGTGTTGGGCATCTCGTGCCAACCTTGGATTCCTTGCAGCTGCAATGCTTTCGGGTGATCCACGATGCATCGTCCCCAGTAGCTTCCCCGGAAATCGCAGCAAGAACCAGCGGTGACCCGTGATTTGGACTGGGAACCGCAGCCCAACTCTCAACCTCCCTGCATCTGCCGCGTTTTTCTGTCTCGGCGGCTCTTTGCTGCGTCCATTCCCATCAACCCGTCAGCGCTCGTCAACTCGCGGGCACTGGACGCCGCTGTCCCAGCGTCGCCAATATGACGGCCAACCCTTTGCGGCCGGTCCCCCAGCCGTCGCTTCATCACAGCCGGGCCAGCTTCGAGCCCTGGACCGGCCCCACCGCGACCACTCGTGAAACGCCTACTCCTGACACTTTGACCCCCCAGCACTCCTTATTGCACCGGTCCCGACGATCCGTCCCAAGCTTTCACCTCCCCAGCCTCCAGCATCTCGAGCCGTCGTCAAACCGAAATTCAGCACCCGTCGGCGCATTCCCGCCCACCCTTCTTCCAAGTCCCGATGCCGAGGAGCGGCCCCAAGATCATCTCCTCTCTACGCGCCCTGATGTGAAGAGCACCATGCCATCGAGCGTGGCTTATTCCGAAACGAGAACTCTGGCGAGCGAGCATGGCCGCGCGTGGAACAGTGCCCATCGCCTGGGGCCCGACACCAGGAGCCTAGTCGACGAGGGTCGCCCCAAAAACGAAGATATATTCTTGAACATCGCCCGGACGGACTCTAGCCGTCGCGACTCGCTGGGCCGCTCCGAATTCAGACGGGTGAGATCCTCCTTCGAGACGATGGTTGCGATAACCTCTCACGGGGACCATGGCACCATCGCAAAACCCATAAACCCTCCCCTCCCTTTCCGTCCTGACATTTGGAGCCACGTACGATTGCTGACGGATGAGGGGATAAACAGTCACGTCTCGGATATTCCAGTCAAAGTCTACGGTCGCCAACGACCCCTCGAGCCGATCCCGAACAAACCCCCTCCCCGGATCAACGCCTCAGCAATGTGGAGAGCCCCTTGCTTTCGCAGAATGGTTCTCCGACGATTCCATCGGGCTCGGTCACCCATTCTCCAACGGCCTCGGCGCACCCCCTTGACGACCCAGGCCGTTTCCGCTACTCCAGCTTGACCACCGGCTCGCGATCAGTGATAGGCGCCCCCCGAAGCCGACTCAGTCGCACCAGTCCCGAAACCTCCCCCCGTTCGCCCGCTGTAAACAGCGAGCGGAGATCATCTATCCACGAACCACGACTTCGTCATTCTACCCTATCTACAATTCGCAGTCGTCAACCGTCCAGCTCCGAGGCGACAGAACGCATTCGCGGCGAGACGGAAAAGGCACGCGATGGAACCGAGTCAACTCTCTCAACTACAGCGCCCTCGACGGTCTGGGACGAACTCGACGACCTCAAGTCCCGAATCCGCAAGCTCGAACTCACCGGCAAACTGCCGCCATCCTCTCAGGAGGCGATCTCAAGCATGGGCAGCGAAAGACCCCGAACGGCAGCCACAACGATGACTGGGCTATCTACTTCCCCGAGGCATCATCGCAAGGCCAGCAACCCCTCGGCCGATGCTGAGAATGCGGGTCAAAATCCAGTTCATCCATTGCTCCAATCTGCACTGGCAAAGGCAAAATCAGTCTTGAGCAGTGACGTGTACACGGCGCTAGAAGTGACGATCACGGATTCTCTGACGCTCTCTACCATGTTGGGCGTCAACACAGTGCCATCGAGTAATGTTTCTGTTATGAATGGCGGGTATAGCTCCCCGGAGCGACATGCGCGACGCAAAGCGGACAGCGTGTGTCGAAGCCTGACGGAACTTTGTTTGGCTTTGACGGACGAACAACTGAAGAGAACCCGATCCGCTTCTGCAAGTCATGTCTCGGGCACGCAGTCTCAGCGAATGAATGGCACCCAGGGTGACGCATTGAGACCCCTCTCTTCCTATCAGCGCAGTGCCAGCCACGAACCAGAAGATGTTGATCGATACCCAACTACTAGCAGCCGCATGCCTAGTCGTCTAGAAGCCCGCAGGGCGTCCTTGATCAACCCTAGCTCGGCCGTGGCTACAGAGACCCAACCACCCCAATCCCCCAGCGTGGCACCCTCGATAAGCCGACTTCACCGCATATCGACCTCTTTGCGCAGCCGCAGAATACCAACAGAGGAGGAAGCTGCAGAGGCAGCGACCCCGCCCAGCCGGTCCCTTTCACGGGCTATGACTGAGATTGGCACACCAAGTCCGGCCCAGAGCATCTCTCCCCGGCAGCGATTTTCTGTCGGCCATACACCTTCGCGGTCCATTTCAAGCGCTCAGCAACCGCAAGACCAAAACATCGGCATCTCGCTCCGTTCCTCGCAATACCAGGAACCGCCTACCACATCTCAAGCACAACCTGCCCAACCTCGAACACCAACCACTTCCTACTCTCAGACAGGACTTCCATTCCGGCGCAGCTATATGACCCCCGCAGTGTATTCCCCTGCCACATCTCGCTCCAATATCCAGGCTGGATCCCGACGATATGGTCTTTCGCCTGGTTTCTCAAATGCCACGCCAGGCTCCGGAGCAGAGGAGAGCCCTCGGTCTCAGCTCGAGACCTCGCAGACTCGAATCAGTGTACCATCCGGGAAAACAGCCGCCAGCTATACTCCTATCCAGCAAACCCGATTGCGGACAAACAGTCTCGGTGCACGAAGATTTGGCCTCAGACGCCGCTCTGCGGCTGCACCGGACGAGACCATGAACTTAGACGATAGTATCGACTAATAGTCATGGCATGTCACATCACATCACGTCACAACCACATTCTGCATCCTGTTGTTGATCTGCCAATATGCATGCCTACCGACTCTTGAAACGGTTACGCCTTTTGATATCTCTATTTTTTACGCAGCGACCTCGCATCTGATCACGTTTCCCGCAGATTTCAGCTTCCACTCGGCGTTCTCTTCTCTACCTTTAGACGCTTGCTTCTTGCTTGTGTATGCATACATACGGACCGAGTCTGGGAGTCTCTTTTGTCACATTGCCCAGCCCGCTTCTCTCAATACATGCCAGCCGTTATACCTGAACTTTTCCTCATCTCTGATGCATCGTGACGAATTTCCTCTTGTTTGATCTGAGAGATCCCGCGCCCTATCCATTCCTATGTTATGAGACAGCTGTTGCCCCCAGCAAACATGACCGCCTTGATTGAATCTTTTTTTATTCTTTTTTGTCTTCTTCTCTTCTCTGTCATTTCCTTATCCGATTCATCTTCTTGCGAGCGGGACCTCCTTGACACCGGGACTAAGACTAGGGCTTTTTGGCACCCAGCTTTCCAATCACAAATTCATGTACAAAAAAAGGCCATATTCATCTCATGACCGGCGTCCGTGTCTCATGTCTCATTTTACTTCTCTGTACATCTCGTCGCTCCGACTTGGTTTTCATCATACGTCGCCCGGGTCGCATGAAGTTCCTTCTTTTCATGCTGTCTGGTGGTTCTCCTTTATTCTCTCAACATCACAGCCTGGCGTGAAAAAATAAAAAGGAAGGAAAAAAAAAGAGTGAGAAGGACCAGGCCTCTATGGCACGCTTTTATCTACGAATGAAACGAGCTTTTCCAAGTACTATCTACCTTATGCATTGCATTTCCCACGCGTAGTAGACACTTTTTGAATTCGTTAGGCCCACTGGTCATTTCTTGAAAAGTACCCTTGCACCGATGGCTGTAGAGGGATGAGGTCGAGTGTAGATGGATTCTGCCAGTCCTAAGCGATTCTTCTCACCTTTTTGCCCTTCCTTTTCTATCGACATCTCTAGGTAAAATTTTACACATTTGTCATTCCTAGCAATATGCAACGGAGTATTATCAGCGAATGGCCATCGCATTTTGAGCCACATTCTGTGGGTAATTTTGGCTTCATGTTCAGCATCAATGATCCCATCTTGGAATAGCTTCGGTTAGGTATTTGTCATATGATATTGCAACATGAGGCTATTCCCAACTCAAGGCCTCAGGTTTCAGTTCGACACCTTATCGGTCAGGTTTCGTAATGACAGCCCTAGTTCTCCCTAACATAGATGCATGACCTACAAGGCCCTGAGGGTTCGGTGCCCTTCCATTAGGGATTCATGAACCCCTCTTCCCTGTAGCCTTTGCTTACCTCTGTTATATGTGGGCCACGTCAGACCGCATGTTGTAATGTGGTCTATCGCCTTTGCTTTGGTCATGTGGGAATGTGTTGAAGCCTGTACATAAATTGAGGATTATAGAGAGATCCATAATAGCAAGAAACAGTGTTTTGCCTTCCTTAATTGACGTTTATCTTCCTACCTAGTCGACAGGCTTTCTACCCTGTATAAATAGTTATTCTCTAACAGTATTCAGTCATAGCGAAGACCAAATCCCTCTGTTGATCAGCGGCAAGCTGTACCACCAAGATAATTAAAATGCAGGGGTGTACAACGATGAACAGTATTGTATTGTTTCTGCCACCCAGACATGGAAGAGGTTTGGGGACAAGTCAACGTGCAATCCATCCAGCGAATTGTCGAGGAGTGATGCTTGAGAAGCCTTGTGCTTTGATTTTCAGTCAAGCGTGAAGAAAAAAGTGTAAATCATCGCCGATGATTGTGGTTGAATTCTCACCTGTCATTATATATCGATATATTCTGAAACAGAAACTGCCGTCGTAAAATTGGACACGAACAATGGGATTTGGGGACTGATCCTAGTTGTCATCGAATGATTGCAGGACTCCATTCTGCGAAAAGAACTAACTACGCTTGATCGTTTTATGGATTGATGAAGTTAGTTCCAGTGGTATAGAGACATTTGCTATAATGTAATATGGGATGTGTCTATCTATATATCTATGATGTTGACCAAAAAATGGGGGGAAAAAAGAAACTCCGATAGGGGGAATCGAACCCCCGGCTGCCGTGTGAGAGACGGCGATGTTAGCCACTACACCATATCGGATTTTTGGTTGAAGAATGAACCATTTAGTGCAATATTATCCTAAAAATGTGTGTGTGTGCGGTGGGTCCTACACGACCCGCATGTGCGTGCGTGTATTTGTGCCTCTGCGCCCCCATTCCATAAGATACCACTACCTGAGGATGCTTGCTTCCAGATCTTCCTCAATCCGACAAAAAAGGGTCTGTTGAGACCAAGGAGGCAAAAGCCTCTTGCGAAAGCTCGCCTAGACTAACAACGAGAGGTAGAGTAGGAGTCAAAGGCGTTTGCTATTAGTTTTTGAAGGGTGCTTAGTATTCTCCGAAAACCTCAACGAAGCGAGATGAAATAACCTACATCTCCATCACCACATCAACCACCACCCCTTATTTTTTCCCTTCTTCTACCACTACACAATGATAAAACTCTAGCAGAAACTCTAGAAATCCCTAGAAGAAAGGTGAGCTCATCTCTGAGCAACGCCTAGCGATATTATACATCAGTCGTGGTCTATCTAGGACCCAAATCGCCAGAGATTTCACATACGACCCGAAGACTATTTACAACACAATTAAAAGTTATACCAAATAACATATTTAATCAGTGACTAGAAGTAGGCCTAAGCTACTTAGTGATATAGATATAGGCTCGGAACTTTATGGTAGTCGATGGAGGAAGGAATTCCCCATGGCCACTACTATGTATCTCTGTTCCTCGACGTTACTTAGAATCTGCAACACCCCAGTACCAGTACCAGCAACACCATGGCCGCCACATTTACCACCGTGGTCGTTGCGACTGCCACCACCATTGCCGCTGTGACCTCCCCCTCTTCTCCGTTGCCCACCTCCCACAATGAAACCGGGAGATGGGATGCCGTAATCGCCATTGTGGTTGTGATTGGTGTGTTATGGCTCGCTGCCATTGCGGTAGGCTGCATCTGGGGCGGTCGGCTTCTCGTGTAATGTTGCCTTCTAGATCCATTTCTTACCTTAGAATATCCTTTGGATGTCTTCTTGAAGCATTTGGCTGATTGTACTTGTAATGTAGCGTCGTTGTGGCCCTTAAGGCGGCTGTGCACCTCCACGTTGCTCTTACATTTGTCTGGTTGATAAAGAAGCTCGGGATGAGCTCTTATAAGATTACTCCTTGAGAGATCCGCTGGGTGATGGCTTTTGAGACCACGTTTCTAACTGGTTTCAATAGTGAATTCTAGTAAGAAGGACAAGGAGGACAAGGACAAGGACAAGGATAAGGAATATGAGAGCTTCCCGGTCATTACTGAGGCTGAGGACCTCCCTTTCCTCTCCAATGGGTCCCTCCTGCCCGCAGAATCCCAGGCTATCGAAATGAAGTTTGTTCGGTACCTCCCCTCTGCTCGAGGATGGTCACTGCCGGATCCTCATCGATCTGAAGACCACGGCTCAGTCGATACTAAGGAGGCGAAAAGCCTCCTGAAAAAGGTCCTCGGCGTTACCATCGATGCCACTTTTAGTGCCTAGACTAACGGCGAGAGGTCGACTGGGACCGAAGGCGTTCGGCTGTAGTTTTTCAAGGGTATTGGCTATTCTCCCCGAGAACCTCAGCGAAGCGGGATGAAATGAAAAACCAAAATGAGCACACACATAGGGCGGGGATGGGGCGGAGAGGGTATGGGAAGGCAGTGCTCCGGTCTTGTTTTTGCCTGTAGTTTCTATTCTCTCCGAGCAGGTATCGGCAGAAGGGAAATGAAAAACTGAGCAGTCATGTATAGATAAAAGGGTCGAGGTGCGAGGCTGTTTCTTCTGTCTTTTGAGTCGGTGTCGGTGCTAATTTCGGTTTTGTTTTTTGTATCATATTCTTAGTTTCTTTCTTTGAATAAAGCCTCCCTCCCCTTGAAATATCCATCGACTGATATAACTCGAATCTAGGCTGTAGAAAGAATTCATAGTAGTATTCAATTCTAACGAGCCTGAGGTTAACCGAGATACGTAGCATGTCCGATTCAAAATTAAAAATTGGCCACACCCAAAAAGGTCTCAGCTCACCTGAATTTCACCTTGACACAGGGTGATGAGGGAAAAGAAATCGATGTGGGTACTATGGCAATAGGGCGAGGTGAGACCACCACCATTCAGAAACTATAGATCCACGCCCTCGCTGAGCAGTTGGTCTCTCACCACACCTCAGCATTTGATGTCAAAGAATACGCTTTGGTCCAATTGACCGAAGCCGTAGAGCGTTATCTCGGCTTCTGGTTAGATGTGAAGCTTAAATTCAAACACCATCGCGAAAAGCTGCTCACCAAGGCTACGACTAGTCTACAGGCGCTTCAATCCCTTTCTTGATCTACTTAAGGTACTTCCTTAGTCAAAGTGGATAAGCTTTGTCGAGTCTTATCCATACAACAAACAAGGTCAACTGACGAAAGAGGCTAAGGAAAAGTTACCTCGTTCTGCTTCGAAAAGCTACCTTGGCTATAAGAACTAGGCGTTCTTTTACTAACGACGTCTTCGGTCTAACTCTATAGACCCGAGCCCGTGTAAGGCCTCAAGGATTCGGCAATAGTACGGTTGCGAGATATAGATCGTCGGAGTAAGCTCGAAGGATTGAGCTGGGTACGAACGAGACGAACCATTATACGTTAACTATTTTAGTAGTACGTGACAGTAACCTAATTGATTCTAATAGAAGGAGACTAGTTATCACCACGCGTTGCTAGTAGAAGATTTGCTATTACCCTAATATACGAAGGCCGAGGGGAAGCACCACGTGTACTAGCGATCATATGTAGTTATGTATCTATTAGCAAAGCGAATCTTCTTATATTAGCTTGGGGCGTAGTGAGCGAGTCTCCTAACGAAAACCTTGCCTATCTAGCCTTCGCTGCAGCGTAGAATATATAATATTATAACGCGTAGCAATCGTACATATCGAAATAGAGCTCCTTTTGAATATCTCGTATAGCAAGTAGGGTGTGGGTGGGCGGAGACACTGCTAGTAAGTTTAAAGTAGAAAATTCCCGAAGTAGCCAACCCGCTTACAAACTTAGCCTAGTAACTACGTCTTTTAGTTAGTTAGTTAAGTAGTGATTCGACCTTTCAATAACCGATTACCTAAACAAAGTATTTCCATTCCTTTTATCACTCCTACCCCCGATCATCTCTCTCCTCCCTCACTCCTCTTCAATGCTCCGCGCTCACTTCTTATTTCCTGAAGCTTTAAGAGACTACTTTATCTTATCACTATTTTCAGAATGCCTCCCTCTCCAGCACGAGCCTTGTTTCATGATGGAGCACTTCTCGCCTGTGTTTTGGGTATTTTCGTTAGTGCAAAAGCTCGGACTGTGTCTGAAGAGTGTTTTCAAAGACTAGATATCCTCGAAGATGATATAGCCTAGTTAAAACTCTCTCAAGATTGGAAATATACGCCGAAGTCGCAAGAGAAATCTAATTTCTCTCCTCATCTGTCTTAAAGAGATGTTGATACTAGCTTGACCGGCCTTTTGGGATCAATATTTTTAATTGCTTTTACTATCTTCCGTCATTCCCAAGGGGCGAACTTCGTGCCAGGAATAGCTTTATTGCTTGTTTGATTTATGCAGTTTTGAATTTGGACTTCCGCGTTATAAGAGAAACACGGAAGAAATAGTATGCAATTTTTCCCCCTTAATCCTAAACAATCGGAATTGCTTGTATCCAATTCTTAAGCATACCACGGCTGGCCAGCGCTCTAAACTTGCTAATAGCCTATGATGTTAGTCGCCATCTTTCATTTTGCTTGGTTCTAAGCCTCCCTTCGCTATGGAAAGCTCTCGAATTTCCACGAATCTTGCGTATGAGGAATCCAATACTATGCGTGAATAGTCCATTCGTCTTGCGGAATCAACTTCTTCAACTCGAAAATCGCCGATGGGCCTACTGCGCCAAGTGCTTGAAACTCCATCCTCGGAAAGAATTTACGAAGCACTCACTGAGCCAGCCATCTCTAGAGAGATCCTGTACAGACTACACTGGGATAGCTGATCTATGTCCCTGTATTTCTTTGACTATTCGAGGCCGAAACAAGATTGTCAAGATCCTCAAATCACCCGCGAAGCCAGCAAAAACCAAATATGGCCCCTTCGAGTATATCTCTACTGATAATCGACTACCTACCCTCGGGCATGGCTGTTGGTTCAGCACTAGTTACGGATACGATATACAAGTTTCGCTTGTTTTATTTATCAAGGAGCCTAACCAGTTATGTATGTTAGCTCAGCATATTATAAGCTTCTCTTCCTCCGAGGCCTATCAGACAGCCGAGCCTACCTTTGCCTGTCCTCATCAGGATCTCATATCTCTCGTTCCTGAGAAACAAGTCGCAAATGACCTTGACATATATCCGAATTTGATTTATTCAAATCGTTTTCGTGAACTTTTACCTTATGCTTCCAGGGAGCCGGTCCCAGATGCCTGTCCTATATGCCTGACTGAGATCTCAAAATCCGCTTTAATCGAAGATATGAAACAAGCTGTTTTTTGGGTAATTCGAAATCTAGGAAGCTGTGGATGCCCTGCAGATCGCTCACGGCTTGACCAGTGTCGTTTCACTGGGATTCACTTTTCGCGCAACGAAAGAATATGGTGAGCTCAATAAAGGATCTATGAAGAAAGAGGGACCCTTACTAAAATATCCATCAAGGTATCATTCGTGAAAATTGCGTGAGAAGATGCAAGGTCTTCACGGTCAGTGGCAAGAAGAATACTGTCTAGAACAAAAGAAGAATTACGCCAAAATCAACGCAAAGCCTCACAAACTGCAGATGAGGGGATTTAAATGGTGAACTGGGGTCAGAAATGCTCGCTGTCTGCAACCCAGGAACGTCTCAAGTGGTCGCAGAAGGAAAAAGGAGAATACCTAGGGATATTAGTAGAAGAGAAAGGGGTTTGAGTTGCTAGAGATACCAGGATAGCTTTATAGATCGAATTTTTCTATCACATCTCTAGTCTCCCGCCCGAGGCCACTTCCTAGTACCATCCAGGAGCTCTATCTTGCCGCGTCGTGTGATTAAACGGAAAAGAAGGAAGACGCAATAATATAGACGCCTAGAATAGTTTATTTACCTTCTTAAAAGAAAGACCGACTAAATGATTGTTTGATGAAACAATAAGACTTCATTTTAATCCCAGACCGAACAGATGCCAGCTCCAATATTTGGTATCCAGAATAGCGAATGAGAACACTATGCACATGACTTGATAATTATCACACCGATATCCGAAGCCCTCACGCCCATTAAGATTCTCAAGACATGGCCGTAAACTTCACCGTGCTCGTGCTGATTGGACGCTTTGAAACTTGGCTCTGCCTCGTTTCGCGGCCCGGATGGCAGAGAAAATGTGGATTTGTATAAACTGATGCTTCCCCTAATACCGTGGGCCTTCCGAGAAAGCATGTCACGCCACGGTCCCTCTTTCGTAGTGATCTGTCATAGCCGCATCTAGGACTGTGAGGAGAGAGGTGCTCGGGACACGGGAATAGAAGAGTGAATGCGTTCTGGTTGCGAGAATCAGTCGGATTACCTTATAGAATCCATCACGAAGGGCAGGTGCATCTATTGTGGAGGAAGGCACGGCGAGAATAAAGAGCGTGTGAGACCCAACAGGCACAGAAACTTTGACTCAATTAGATAACGGATGTCCCAGCTAATATTGAACAAAAGAAAGGAAAAAGGAGAAAGGAAAGAAGCCATTTAATATGGGCAAATCACTTGAGCCGAGCGTCGGGGTTGCTCGTACTTAAGTCCATTGGGCATATTTCTAGTCACGGCGGACGTCCGTCTGATGGTATACTTACAATGCACTCATATGTGAGGGATGTATCTGTGAGAGTGCCAAATTGTTACCACCCGCAACTTGAAGTGTGGAAGTGTGGGAAAGATATATGTTATGATTGATAGCCAGAGGGAACAGCTCATTTATATAAGGGCACTAGCATCTATTGCTTCCCCGATAAGGATTTTCCAAAGAAAGAGAGCGCCATTCCTTACTAAGTGCACTCATGTTCAGTGAAACTACGACTTCTGGAATGCATCCCTCAGCAATGCCGCCTCTTGTGCTCGGTGTTCCTTCCCAAACCCTGTTGCAACACTTGGGGTAGCCGCCCGTCCTGCGAACCGAACTCGACGGCCATGGTGCTGCTTGGTCGTGTCGAAAATCGTCTCTAATCGAGTCTTCCCGAAGGCCCATGCGCCATCATTCAAAGATTCCTCTTGGCACCAGACAATGTCCGAAGCGCTGGGATATTGATTGATGTTATCCCTCACCTGCTTCCAGGGGAAAGGATGTAATTGTTCGACACGAGTTATGGCAGTGTCTGTAATTCCATGCGCTTCCCGATACTTGGATAGCGCAAAGTACACCTGTCCGGTACAATATATAACTCTCTTAATGCTCGAAGGTTCGGCAATCGAGTTGGCATGCTCCGGATCACCAATAAGCGGCTGAAATTGGGAGTCTCCGATAAAGTCCTCGATACTAGATTTTACCAAGGGATGGCGCAAAAGCGATTTGGAGAAAAAAATGATCAAAGCTGTAGGGATACAGTATGTTAGCGGGTAAAGTCATGCGATGGGAAACCTGGAAACCTGGCTTACGTTTGCGGAAGTCTCGGTGCAGCTGTCGTCTTAACACATGGAATAAGTTTGCTGGACTTGTCATATAGACGACCTGCATGTTAGCATCTTGATGCTGTCTCTCAAGTTGTTGCTCCGTTGGGAAGAAGCGACCATCCTCGCTGCTCAACTGCAGGAATCGTTCCATGCGAGCTGATGAATGTTCAGGTCCCTGCCCGTCAAAGCCATGAGGCAAAGATAGTACAAGCCCAGATCTCAATAGCCACTTATTCTCAGCAGAAGAGATGAATTGGTCAATAATGCACTGAGCATTATTTGCAAAGTCTCCAAACTGCGCTTCCCACATCGTTAAGGCGTTGGGGTACATGCACGAATAGCCGTAGTCAAATCCCAGGACTCCATATTCGCTCAATGAGGAGTTACCAACAGTAAACTCCGCCTGTTTCAAACTAAGGTCATTGAGTGGAACATAAGTTGATCCTGTAACTTGATCATGCAGTACTGCATGGCGCTGAGAGAAGGTACCACGCTCAACATCTTGCCCTGAAATGCGAACATGATAACCTTCAAGACACAGAGTTCCCAATGCTAGTGCCTCAGCTGTAGCCCAATCAATCTCTTGCCCTCCAATAAGACTTTCCTGGCGCTTCTGGAGGATTCGCTTCAAGCTTTTATGGACCTGAAATGGCTCATCGGGAATGCCTAATTTACTGGCGACAGCATCGACCATGTCTCGAGTGATAGCGGTAGACCTTGTAGGCAGAATCTCCTGTTTGACCTCAGTTGGGGATTTCAGGCCCATCCATGGAGCAGTAAGGTACTCCCGCTCCAGAGATTCAGGGTTCTTGCTGTTTTCCAAACTCTTCGTCATAATGTTCCAAACTTCCCCCTCCATCTGGCCAACTTCCTCCTGTGTCACAATACCTTCTTGAGCCAGCTTTTTGACATATAAGTCCAAATGTGGGGGTTTCTTCTCAATTTGCTCATACATCTTAGGTTGAGTAAAAAAAGGCTGATCCATTTCATTATGGCCATGCTTTCGGTAGCAAATCATGTCAACCCAGCAGTCTTTCCCAAAATAAGCACGATAATCTGCAGCTAGCTCACAAAGGAAAACCACTGCTTCAACATCATCTGCATTGACGTGGAAAATTGGAGCATTGATACTCTTTGCAATATCCGTGACATAGGGAGATGATCGTGCCGACTCTGGATTTGTGGTGAACCCGACCTGGTTGTTGATGACCAAATGAACAGTTCCACCTGTTTCATAGGATTCCAATCCCGAAAGACCGAGAGTCTCATATATCACCCCTTGCCCTGAAAAAGAAGCATCGGTGTGACTGTTCAAAACCATAGTTGATGACCGGTTGCCCCCATTCTGGTGCTGCACGGCGCGAGCCATACCTTGTCCCAGTGTGTTCTGGGATTCTAGATGGGATGGATTTGGCAAGATAGATAAATGGACATTTTTTCCGGTGGGAGTCTCTCGCTCATAGTTTATCCCAAGATGATATTTGACGTCTCCCGAAATTTGATTGCGAGATTCCGAATCTGCAGAAAACTCGCTGAAGATTATTTCATTGGGCTTCCGCCCTACGTTACTCAGAACGTTGAGCTTGCCGCGATGGCAGCAAGGGAAGATAATTTCTCGAACTCCGTTTTCAGCACTTCTATCGATGATTGCCTTCAGGGCTGGGATTTGGCTCTCCACCCCCTCGATACTAAAGCGTTTCGCGTTGGGAAATTTGGCTGCCATAAACTTTTCGAAGACAGTCGTCCACACAAGTCGGTCAAGAATCCTTTTCTTTTCCTTTGGGGAAAATTTATAAGGCTTGCGTTTCTCAAGGCGCTCTTGGATCCATTCGCGTTCTTGCCGCGTGGCAACATGAAGATATTCAGCGCCAATTGAGCTGCAATATATCTTCTCACAAGCAGCCACGATATCGCGAAGAGTCATCGTGGAGGATTGCGCCGAGACAAAGTGCGGCAGCACCTCAGGACCAAGTTCAATCTCTTTGATCATATGGGCTTCTGTCAGACCATAAAACTCAGGTTGAAGCTCTTCCGGGAGTTGGAACTTAGTATTCGAGAGATCAAGAGGATTTGTCTGCGCCTTTTTGTGACCAAATTCCCGATATGCGCGGACTAAGCGCTCAATTTTGGACTTGATATTCGATGTATCAGATAGAATACTCAACGGTTTGCTTTTCGAAGCAGGTGCCACGCTGTCATGTAATTGAATAAGAGGACTTTTCGTTGGCAAGCCATATTCAATTGCGTGAAAGTACTCTTGCCATGAATTGTGGACAGAGGCTGGATCACGACGCCATGCCTGATACATATGATCGAGATAGTCCGAAGAAGTAGCCATGGAACCGGCAGAGTATAACTGAAAATTCCATCAGTCTTATCTCAGTATTAACTCGTCGAGTTCTCAAATTACCCGCTTCTGTTGAACGTAATAAGTCCATCGTCCTCGACACGTAGAGAAGTTATACAGAAACCTTGGCCTTGCAAGGTTCCTTGCCTGACAACCTGCATATCGCAGGAGCACAGAATTTGACAAAGCCATGCCTAGCAAGAATCCTTGTGGTATTTACCCCGGGTTTTACTGAGGAATCTGCGTTGAAATATGTATTAGGGCTGCCCACCGAGCGGTGATCGGATCCAGCTTCGGCAAGCGGCTAGAGCTCAGCCGAAATTCATCTACCTCAACAGATACGCCATGGATAGGCAATAACCCTCAGGTTATAGCTCTGTCGGTGAAGATTAAATAGGCCATATAACCGCCAAATAGCCGATGGACGTTGGGGCGGGGGAATAGTATCGGTTCGCACTTCCGAACATTCAATAACTAGCTGATATATGGAAACAACAACCCAGTGGCTCATTAATAACCTTGAGACTTCCAAGGGGCGGGTCTGCCAAACATGCTCATATACGGCTAGATATAACGATACTTAAATTGGATAATAATGCAAACAATGTCCTGACATTTGGTCTTCTACAAGTGATAATGCGAGAATCGGACTGAGCCTCCGATGCTTCGGCATAATGTTAGAACGCCGACATGCCAAGTCTTGAGGGCTCCTCGCCACCCGAAAGCAAAACAACATTTACTGGGTCTACAATAAATCCTGTTCCTTGTCTCTTTCTCGGTCTCCTGCCAATTTGTGCAACGTTGTGATCGCCAGTGCGAAACACGCAGCAAAGTTTTCATTAATATACACAAAGCAATGACTTCATACTACCAGAGTCCGTTGATAATAGATATAGACATGGCCCTTTGAATGATCTTCTGATGAGAGTCGGAAAGATGATTTTTTCGGGATCTAGGTCGAGTCATAGTCGTCAATATGTTTTATCTGCTCTCCACTGTTGACATGCTGACCAATCTGCTGTTGGGAAGCCTTTATGACATCGTTTACTTTTAGCTGCTAGGACATGGGATGCAGGCACTCTCCTCTTTTTCCACGGCTATCTGAGAAAGGCGCGCTACAAATTTGACGATATTACAAAGACATTGATCATATCATACCATATCCTATCCGCGGCAGATAGGAATCTTCATTTTGGTATTTGGTGTACTCGGGAGATGCCGTGACATGTCCGGGACATTCAGAGGGGTAAGATATCGAGAGGGAAAGAGGGAAACAAAGGGGAGCACGCGGAGGAGATAAAATAGGAGGGCGGATCGAAGGAGAGAATTAGGAGAGCAGAGAAGAGAGACGGAATTTTTTTTCGGATTTCGAGGTAATTTCGGGGTAAAGATCAAGAGATACGCAGGGAAAGGAGGTAAAGGGGAAGAGAATCGCAATTAAGGTGGGGAAAAAAAGGTGAAGTTGAGAGCGAGTATCGGAAAAAGGGTGTCACTCTCTTTGTTGACTGATGTTTGAGGAATAAGGAAGGTTTCGAAAGAAGATGATGAGTAGGAGTCGAGGTAGAGACTGGGGAGGTTCGACGATTCACAAGGGAAAGATCATGCTGCGGAGCTGAAGAACATTGCAAGATGGCGGAGCAAGGTTCGAATGAAAGGCAAACCGAAGTTTCAAGACGGCAGAGCGCCATAAACTAAAGAAAGACTCTTGGAACCAAGAAGTGATGATATGGTTTTGAGAGGCCATTCTTGCAGATTGCGACTCAGCTGAAGACGAGGTGAGGTCGATCTAGCACGCATGGATCCGCCCATCGCAGCAAAACTTTGCTTCGCGATGATTGAATCGACGTAAGAGGTGAGGAGAAGTACATCAGGAAAGAGGGAAAAGAACTCGAAGGGGAGAAGATGATGAAAATAGAAGAAAAAAAAAAAGAAAACGCGCTTGCACATGACCGCCGCTGATCATGACCGACAGTCTGAAGTCGTAAGGTTCAAGAAAAACACAAGGAAACCGTGCAAGCGGTTCCTTTCAGACTCCCTGCCAACATCCCATAAGAAAGAAAACTTTTACTCCTGGGGCAGCTGGCTGCGGCGAGTCTTCTCGGCTTCGAGGTTCTCGTAAAGAAGATACAAGGCCTTCTCATTGGCCTGGGCACTGCCCATGATGGTGAACATGCGCTCACCAGTCTCATCATGGGGAGCCTTAGCAATAGAGATGCGGGCTCCAGAGCTCCGACGAATCTCGGTGATCTTGCTACCAGCGCGGCCAATGATGCAGCCAACCATGTCCGCAGGAATGCTGATGTTCTGGGTCTGGATTTCCTCGCCGTCTTCTGTGACTAGAGGATATCCACGAGAGCCAGCATCCGAGTTGGACCGGCGACTGAAGCCACCATTATCGCTGAAATCAGCTCCGTTGCCAGTGCGGTTGTACTGACGGCTGGTGTAACCATTACCGCCACCAACAGAGTTGTTGTTGCTGTTAATGGGCTGCGAGCCCAGGGACGCGCGAACAGCGGGGTTGTAGAGTACAGTGCCGGTACCACGCTGCCAGTCATCGATCAGGCACTTGCCGATTTCCCAGACGGCCTTCTCGATACCCTCGGGGGTGCCCTGCACCTCCACGATCCGCTCGGTAGACTGGGGGAGCATCTCCTTCTGGGCAACCATGCGGACACCGGAGGCATCTTGGATGTGCTTGATCTTCAGGCCCTGTCGTCCAATGATGGTACCCATCTGGTTGTGGGAAATGAGGAGGCGAACGGCTGGGATTTGGTCAGCATGTAATCTAAATTTGCAACTAGCGAACGAAATAGGAGAAATTCTGATCTGGTAGGAGGGCCGATAAAGGACATCGGCCGGGTGGAGTTTTTGAACCCTCGGAGCTGAGGGACATGGAGGAAATCGAGAAATCGGGGGACTTACGGTGAGTGCCATTGTTAGAGACGACGCCACCCATACCCATCTGAGGAGCACCCTCCAAAAGACCCTTGGCAACGATCGCGTAGGCGCGGGCGGTGCCTTGGAGGGGACCGGTGACGGTCAGGACTCGGTCGTGAACACCAGGAACGACCTTGCTCACGCCGGCCTTGACACCGGTCTCATCGCGCAGGTCAGCCACGTTCTTGCCCGCTTTGCCGATAATGACACCGGCCTCCTTGGAAGAGACGATAGCACGCAAGGTGAGCATGGACTGCGCATACTCTTCCTCGGTCTTGGGGGTGACGTCCATCGGCTCCTGCTCGCCCATGGTGTCGTTGTAGGCGTCGGGCATAGGCTCGTCAGCCACAGTGGTCTGGTGGACTTCGGTAGCATCCATAGTGTCGGTCGATTTCAGGGAGAAAGGGAAATAGACGAAGGGAAAGGTGGTTGTGTGGGAGGAGATGGTCAAGCTCGTCGGAAGTCACACGGTCGCGATTGAGTGAATAGCGGGGAGTTCACTGAAGAGAGTCAAGATCAGCGCCCGAAACAAGTTTAGATACCGCGCAGTGTTGAAGAAGATCGTGCGACCGTCAAATAGGCCTCACAGCTTTTCAACGACGACTGGGCGGCTCGAGGCTGGATGGGTGGCCTACCGAAGAGGGTCCGAGAGAGGTGGAGAAATCAACGTGGGAGAAGAGGGGAAAGTGACGAGACGGTAGAAGAGGGGGGGGAGGCGTAGAAGGGGAGAAGGAGGGAGAAGAAGGTAGAGGAGATGAAGGAAAGGAGACGAGAAAATGAGGATGAGGGGATGGAGGAGGGGAAAGGTACGGAGGTTGAAGATGGGGGGGGGGGGGGGAGATGTCGTGAAAGAGTTGGAAAGAGGGAATGTGGTGAGTTAAGCGGAGGCGCCAGTTTCAACCCGCGGTGGCCGGTCGATTGGCGCTTATTTCCAACATCACGTTTCCTCCGCCCCCTCGCGCTGGAGATCTATCTCTATAACAGCACTATTATATTGCTATAATACTCGATCCTATTGCTCCGATTGCGCTTTACATGCCGAGGAAAACCACCAGGAATTTCTCGCTTACTGGTCCGCCACAAAAATCACCTTTTGCACCTTCATCGCATTAAATAGCTCATACGCCTCAACGGCTTGCGAAAGAGGCATGATATGCTCGGCCATGAATCTGTTCAAAGAGGTAAGTAGCAAAATTAGGGACAAATGATATGCGAACAGCCTGCAGAGTCAACTCACCCAAGCTTATGCTGGTTCTTCTTCAGAACCTCCAAGGCCTTGTCGGAGACCGACCGGACAGGGCAACGACCCATCTGGACAGTGAGGTTTTTCCCGTAGGCATCATTGCCATCCCAAGGAATCTAGAACTTCTGATCAACGCTTTGATCTCATCCGTAATTATCAAGCATGTAGACTGACCTCTGCATTATGAACTCCAACACTGCTGATGGTGCCGAATGGCCGCAACAGGTCGTAGGCAGTGCGCAGCGCGGGACTCAGTCCAACAACCTCAATGACAGCATCGGCACCCCGGCCGTTGGTAAGCTCCTTCACGCGCTTGTCCAGACCTTCGCGGTCAGTCATAAAGTTCCATGGCTCGGCACCCAGCGACTTGGCGAGATCGAGTCTTGAGGGAACCGAGTCCACGGCCAGAACATGCTTGGGCTTGAACTCCAGTGCATTGATGACGGCACAGAGGCCAACAGGGCCGCAGCCGATCACAACAACGGTCTGTTCAGCGATTTGCTCGGGAGTCGAGTTCTTAAAGGCATTGCTGGCGGCAAAGTATCCCGTGGGGAAGATATCACCCATCAGCACGAGATACTTGTCATCAACGCCCTCGGGGGTCTTGATTACGGTGCCCTCGGCATTCGGAACACGGACCTTGATCATAATTAGCTAAAACCATCGTCCTTATACAATATATCTTCAGGATAGACCTACGTATTGAGCCTGGCCACCGTCAAGATGCTCGCATCCAAACAAAGTGTTTTTTTCGCACCGCGAAGAGAGTCCTTGTTTGCAGTAAAAGCATTTTCCACTATTATTCCATGAGAAGATTATCAGAACTCGAATAGACTACGGCGTTCTACCCCCATTTTGGGGAAAAAAAATCACATACCAGGAGGTAGTAAAAGCACTGACGACACGGTCACCCTTCTGCAACGTCTTGACTGCGCTACCAACTTCAACAATCTCACCCGTGAATTCGTGGCCCATAATAGGACCCGGAGGGCTAGGCTCGATGCCACGGTACACATGCAAGTCACTGGTTTGGGTGATAAGTACAGTGAGCCATTGGGGGATTCTATACTTTCTGGGTACTGACCTGCCACAGAGCGCGGTATAGCCCACCTTAATGACAATATCCTCCGGATCTTGTACAGTAGGGATTGGTCGCTGCTCAACTGCCACCTTGAAGGGCTCTTTGAACACCACTGCTTGCATGGTGCCCTGGGTCGAGGTAGAAGGGGCCATTTTCGATTGCTGGGGAGGGATGACTGGGAGGACCAATGGCTTGACGCTTGCTAGAGTACGGGACTAGAGGGGTTAATCAGATCCAACCGAGCTTAGCGAGGAAGTCAAACCCCGCAGAATGTCAAAGAAGAATTGAACGCCCGGCGGCCGAGCGGTTCCAAGTGGCTCTAGGAAAGAAATTCAATTTAGAAATGTGCGGGTCCCGATGACTGCATTCTGTGTGGGAGGTGGGTCTGATAACTGCCGAATGCGACTATGGACGGGCCATTCAGAGTAATCAGAAGATTGCGGAAGGAGTATATCGAATTAACTAAAGAACTATGTGGTAGACTCGAAGCTATCACTACTGGAACCGCAATTGGAGGGCTAGGTTTGAATAGAACGTAGGAGAAGGGTGTCCGAGAGTAGCTGGAGATACCTTCATTCGCCAAGTTTACAATTGATTTTGTAATGAGTACGCTTTGAAAGGATATCGGTGGGCGTTGAAATAGAATGCAGGATAGAAGTTCAATCAGGAAGATAATAAGCCATAAACCGGTGCCTCCATGGCGCCCAGAACCTCCTGTCAATGACCGTTTCACAGCAAAGGTCACTACAAGAATCAAACCCATGTACTCCGTCCAACGCCTGTCGAAAACACTGTACACCAAAGCTCAAAAAATAGACTATGAAACGCAAAAAAGCCATGGAAACCATTCTGGCAGCATAATATGGGCCAAGAACCTGACACAATCGCTCAGGGTGGATCTGCGATGAGTGAGATCAATCATCAAGATCGAGGCCCGCGGAAGTCTCCAACCCCCGAAGATGCCGTGTGCTCAACAGACTATGCAGAGTAGTTCTTCCTCAAGGATGAACTTTCCCTCTTTATATTTCTCGCTAGTCTCGTATGCCTTGTCATATTTCCACCCTACCGTTTCTTTGCATTGTCGGCAAGCGATATCGCGTACGACGTGTCGACCGGTGGTCATGCTGCGCTCTACGGCATCCGACTCGGTAACGTTAACGACAGTATTGAAGAGATAGGCCTTTCCATGTTGGCCACGAAAATTCTGGGCAAGAGGCAAGGCATACGTCAGCGACAGAAAGGCAACAGCATTGTTGACGAAGGCAACTTACCCGGCTAACAATATCATTATAGTCCGCAAGATGGGTCTTGCATGTCTTACAGCCGAAGATCTTGTTGGAGGTCAGGTAGACATTGTAAGAGATACCCATGGCGAATAATTATGCCGTTGTTGCCTCTGGCGAGAGTTGGGTGGATAGGTAGGAGGTAGACTCTCAGCTATGAAATCCCAGGTTCGAAGAATATCTGGCCCGAGCGAAATCAAGGAATCAAATGGAGCGCCCGATCAGGCCCAGCAATAACGTAGCTTGTGAGCTACCTGTGAGGCAGCTCTCCGCGTGCTGTCCTTAGTTGGCGTGGTCCCAATAGTGAGTACCCCGCCCTAGACTCCGATCAAGGGATGGGACCCAGCAGTTTGTCTTGTTGTCTATATCCAGTACGTAAAAATTGTTGCTTCGGGTCCGGCCGAAGGGGTTTAAAGCCGTAGGAGAAGGCTAGGAGGAACGAGCAAGTAAGAGCTGACACGGCGAGCCTGACGAGTCGCTGACGATAAGATCTCCGCGCGATAAGGAGAGGGTCGGGAAACAGAGTCGGGAAGCACGAAGTCACGTAGCCAGAAACACCAGGCAGACGAGGGACACAGTTATCGCAGGTAGGGGGGAGGAAGAACCTGCAGCAAAGAGTGAATGGTGAACGCGAAACAAAGAGGAGTTAAGGTAAAGTCAAAGGTGTCGGAGACTTAATCCAAGCCGGATGGCCTCAGGTATTGGAGCCCCGCACCGGATCGGGCTGGAATCACCTGCTGCGGTGTGATGACATCTACTGCAACTCACCAAGTCCAAGAGACATTAAAGCTTGGTCTATCATACAAGGACACAATACGTGAGATATGTGAGACAAATAGGGCTGTATCTAGTATTTTGCATAAATTCCCAATAACCCATGTAAAAAGCGCCGGCAAAAATGTGCTCCAGTATGATGGCTTGATGCTCATATTACACAACGGTCGAGATGCAAGTGCACTGCCTATTCAACAAAAGACCGTCTAAACCTACTATCTCACTCATAGTCCTTGATGTAACGACCAGGCAACTCGACATCCCACATCGGTCGCTCCACCACGGCCACTTCCAGGTTGCCGACCGGGCTCTCCTCGTTAGGATCGCCTGAGACCGCGTTGAGAGGAACAATACCGAGGATGTCACGGTATTTGTACGTGTGCCACCACCGACGCACAGGTTGAGAGGCACCGTTGATCGCCAGTGGCTGCTTTTTCGGGGTATCTGAAAGCCAATTGGCGTGGAGCTTCTTCTGGGGGGACCCATTCTCAACTGCGGCTCCATTCTCGCGGCGGAGACGAGCTAAGGTGGCTTCGTTGCTGGTTGCAAAGTCCTCGTCATACTCGTAGGCTTCATCATCTTCGGGATCACGCGGGCGTTCTTGGTCGAGTGAGATCCATTCGCCCTGCGACTCGTCACTGCCGACAATCTTCCGGACCTTGCTACCCAGATGGACATCCATCTGGAACCGAGGGACCCGATCACCAGCGCCGGTGTTGGACTTCTTGCGCTCGCCGTCATCTTCTTCAAAGGGATCGCGCTTGCGCTTTGAGGCTTTGACAAGCTGGTTTGCGGCCTTGGTTTCCTCGGCTGCAAACTCCTCCGGAGACGGGAAGTCTTGGACTAAGTCGAACATCCACAACCAAGAGGTTCCATAAAGCCAAAGACGTTCGCGATCCTCGAAAAGATCCCACATGCAGCCCATAGCACGGTCTTTCACACCCCGGAATTCTCCAGGGAGGTAGGCCTTGGGGTTTCGTCGTGACCAGTCTGAGAGCTTTCCACTGCGTGCCTCAAATTCGATGAGTTGGTGCTCGCTTGTGAGAACCATCAAACGGTCCTCGCCGGTCGATGCCTTGTGACCATTGGTAAGAGCCTTTGTGGAAGTGTTCTCGGGACGGAATGACAACAGTGTGATTCCAGATTTCATGCGAGGAATGGGAGACTCCGAAGCCGCCACCTGCCAATGCTCACCCTCAATCACAACATTGTCCTCCTCGTCGTCCGAAGAGTCATCGTCCGACTGAGATGCTCCATTTGTCTTATGATAGCCATTTGTAGCAGGGGTCGTTGCGTTGCTAAGGACCCAGGTATCCACGCAGCCAGACAGGTCACCAACAGCCAAAATCTTGCTGTCGTCGGAAAAGGCAACGGATCGGATTGTCCTTTCATAATCACCCAGAGTACCATGTGAAGCCTTTTCGTGTCGAGTGTGTCGTGACACACGCTTCAAGTGTGCAAGTTGGGGTAGAATTTGAGGCTTCTCTGTGGTTGAAGATGCTGGCTGGATTCTAGCAACGTACACTTCGCTATTGGGTTTAATGATAGAGAGCCAGTGGCTATCGGGAGAGATGGCGACAACGCGTGCACCCTCGGTCGAAAAAGATTTGGGGACATCAACTTTTTGGACTCGGAAAGCCGCTTTCTCATCACCCTTGCGGCGACGAATTGTAAATAATTTAATCTCGGAGGTGGTAGCCACGACAAGAATCTTCCCGTCCGCCGACAGCATAGCAGATGTGATATTTTCCTCACCCTAGAAAGACAAGTCATGTCAGGATTTATTATGGTGTTCTATGTGGATCGGATTGAGCTTCTTACCTGGATCATGACCTTTGCAACGAGTCTATGCCTCTGGCCATCAATATTCTCGTTCGTGGAAACCGGGCCTCGAGATACACGCCATAGGCTAACTTCCCTATCCCAGAAACTCATAACCAAGCGCGATGAAGGCGACGAGGTCAGCTGAGGGGTTTGAGGGAGACTAGACAGCTTGCGGTGGTGTTCTTTTCCAAATTCACGCAGTGGCAAAACGATTGGTGTCGCATCAGGGCCTAAGAATAACTCATTAGCATAAGACACTAGGACGCCTATGATATGGAAAATGCTTACCTCCAGAAACAGCAATGCTGACTTCCTTCGTCTCGTAGACAGCGAACGTCTTCACATCGTGAGAGTGGTATCGTCGATGCATCACCTCTGCCCAGCGAGCCTTCTTATCACCCTTCTCAGTCTCTTTTTTACGGTAGACCACAGTTCTCTGGTCAGCTCCTCCACTGATGACGGTGTCACCGTTTGCGCTGACAGCCACATCCAGCACATCGGCTAGGTGAGCCTGTACCCGTTGGACGAGGGAATAGTTCTTGGCGTCCCAGAACCGAATTTCACCCGCAGAGTCTCCAGAGACAATGGTCCCATCGGGCAAACACTTCACAGACCAAACGAGAATTTCTTTCGGGCCGCCGGTCGGTCCCTTTCCAAGCGAAATTGTCCGCAATTGTTGGCCATTCCGAATGTCAAAGAGGCGAATAGAGCTGTCGGCATAGCCAGCGACGATGGTATTGCGGTTCTGGAAGGTTACGCTGAGCACACGGGCCCGTTTGGTCGAAGGGCGCATTAAGCGGAGAAATTTCAAGTCATTGTCGGCAGTAGAAAGAATCACAATCGTGCCGTCTGCACAGCCAGCAGCCAGGTGCTGTCCTATAAACTCCCCTTCGGCGGGAGGCAGCAATTTCCCATCCTTGCTCTTCGTCGGCTGCCACCGCGGCTGGGCAGCGAGACACCAAATCTCTCCATAGTTTCCGCTGGAGTGACGAACCGGGCGACCCTGCTCAAGGTCCCATTCGGTGACGGCGGAAGAATAGCCGATGCTGAACAGGCGCAGCTTGCCTGGCAACTTCACTCCCTGGGGGCCATCCTCGGAAGGATCCTGAGTCCAGGCGAGTCCTTCAATACTCCGGTCCTTTCCTCCACGGAGCACGGTCTCCTGGAACCAGGCGCCGCGCATTGGGTTCCATATTTCAATATCGCCGTTCGCACGGCCGATCGCCAATCGAAGGGTCGGGACACCTCGTCCAGCCGAGTCTGCGGACGGAGGATGCGAAAAAGCAAGCGAATTAATCGCTTGGGGGTTGTAGGAAACGAAACGACAGCGGTGGATATCCATGGCTATTGCGATGTGCTTCTTCTGAAGCAAAAGCGATTGTTCGGTTAGGTGAAACGGCTGGATGCAAAATGCGAGGATTGAGGCGCGGGAAATTGATTCAAATGAAATCCAGCTAGGGCAGCGACGCTCGCCCTTACGCACTCATCTTGTAGACACAGAAAGGTAAGATATGTATCTGGGAGCTGTCTCCTGTTGCGCGGTCTCTTTTTTTTCTGTAGATAAAATTTAGCGGGCCGGAACATCTTGGCGGAAGGCGGTGGGTCACGTGGTGGATTACTGGCTTTGTCGCCTCAGGCTTGCACGATTCTGGGTTCGTTTAGCACGGGACCTTTACACCTTCAAGCGACCACGGAGTAATTGTCAAAAGAAAGCATTGCTTTTTTTTATATTCTATCTGAAGATTCAAGAGCCCGATTGAAATTCAAATGGCCCTTTATATTTCCCGAATAACGAGAAAATAATAGAAACGTAGGTCATCTAAGTGTCTCATGATTTTTCAAATCCTCCATCGCTTGCTTCTATCGAGAACTGAAAAATGAAGTAGTTTGTATTAGAAAATGTCAATATTGTAGGATACGGTATCGGCTAGGAAATCTGTGATCCAATGGAATGAGATGCTCAATCTAATGATGTCTAACTAGTTGAATGTGTAGGCGGGGAGTTACGCGCGACTAACTGGTTAACGTAAATAGTGCGTTATCCTAATGTAGCTCTCTCAATAGCTCCGACGATCTGTAGCTCGCAACTGTACCGTTACCGAATCTCTAAGGCATTATACGGACTCAGGTCTATAAAGTAGACTGAAGACGTTCCTAGCAGTAGAGCGCCTAGTTAGTTAACTAAGCAGTATAGAGAACTACTAAGTCTTCCTCGTAGTTATAAGTATATCCTTATACTTATACTAAAGTCGTCATAGTAATATATTAACTTGATATCATAATAAACATATACTCAATTAACAACCTATAGATCAACTCGAAGAACTAAATATATCTGTGGAATAAGCGTCCTTTACTTCTAATCCTCCCCATCGTGCGTTAGGATTCCTATCTTAGTATTAGGATATGGTATCACGTGACAATGGGTATTACTTCCTAAGCCTTTCATTTGCTTTGTTAATAGTAAAATTCCGTAACCGCCCTAGGTTGGAATTCATTAGTCCCCGTGAGTGAGTCCATTCTATCTCCGCCGATGTTTTTTGTTTGCATTGCCTGGGTTTTCTCAGCTTCATCCGCTTGCCTTATGAGCCGGGCCGTGCGAATCATCGTCCCAATTCTCAACACTGATCCTTATAAGCCATAAACCACCCTTGCCCGTCCACCTGCTTAGCTGCCACTTTTCTGCACCCTGTTTTCTGCTTTTTCTGAAGCTTAGTGTCGTCCCTTCTTCGCATCATCGTCTAGCGCCTTGTCCAACTCTTTCTGGTAGTCCTCGTTGGCCTTTCTCAGATCCTTTTGCAAGTCTTCCATGTCTTTCCGCAGATCCTTCATCTTATGATGAGAGGCACCCTGCTGCATGTGCTGGGAAACGCGGTTGATCTTGTCCTGAAGCTCTTCAACCTCCTCCTGCCTTTCCATCACAGACTTTTCATTGTGATGCAGCTGATTCAGTGGATAGAATTGACTCGGCGGATATGGATCTTGCGGGGGATATTGTTGATATGGACCCGCTTGCGGATATGGCTGCTGAGGGAATTGCTGCGGGTAAGGACCGCTCTGGGGAGGAATGTTGTGTTCACTCTCATGCTGATGCTTCTTGAAGGCGTCTTGAGCAATGGAACCGGCAATCGCACCACCGACGGCTCCGAGGAAGCCGTGGTTGACCTTGTGGCCAGCGAAACCACCGACAGCACCACCGGCAAGGGCACCGGCAAGACCACGCTCACCATCCTGGGCCTCACCCGGGACGGTCTGTTGCTGCTGCTCGTTGTAAGACTGGGGGTATTGAGACTGAGGGTACTGATCCTGAGGCTCTGAGTACTGTTGCGGATAAGATTGCTGATACCCTTGGGGAGGACCCTGGGGTGGAGGAGCCCCAGAGTAGCCATACCCATTTTGAGAGGAAGTTCCGTAGTACTCTGAATTCATTTTTGCTAACAGGGATCGAGAAGGTTGGAGGTGGAATGTTGACAAGTACCGGATGCTGAGTACTCCATCACACTCCCCAGCAGGGGACCAACAACCTTTAATTTAAGAATCTCGTCTAGCCCCAAATACCCACTTCCCTTTCAGGAAGACACTGCGAAGAAACGTCAGCCGGGATATGTCGAAATCACACACTCCGCATCAATTTTCTGTGGCGCAGTTCCCGTATTTATTTGGACATGATTAATACTAACTCCTTGTTCGTCATTGGGCCACGTTTTAGCCCCCACGTATCAACACCCTTCTCATTTTGGCCCCCACGTCTGGCTTGTGCCGTTGGCTAGCGAAAAGCCTTACATGGTACTTGTAGCCTAACTTCTATCTGATTTCAAGCAAGATGCACCAAAATAGAGTAAGAAATGTACACGACACAGGGCTTCCAGAACTCTTCCCATTATAACAAAAAAAAAAAAAAAAAAAAACTTAAATTCTAGGTGTCCCTTTTATCTCGAAAAAGTTTCACCTGCCTATTTATCTCGGTGTTGACGATTTCAGACTTTGTCATTCATTTCTTTTCATGGTCAAAGACGGGAGAAAATGCTTTCAGCAACATACGTCGCTATTGTCGGTGTATTAATTGGCTGGTACTTGGTCAAACGGCGCAAGTCAACTTCGGCTTTGCCATTGCCGCCTGGCCCGACACCGCTACCACTTATTGGCAATGCTCACCAAGCACCCAAGTCATATGGCTGGCGAACATATCAACAATGGAGCGAGAAATATGGACCAATTGTTCATGTCAATATGCTTGGACAGCACATTGTCATTCTATCGAAATCCGAGCTAGCACATGAGCTTCTCTCAAAACGTGGTCCCATTATGTCGGATCGACCTCATCTTTTCGTAGGTTTTCCACTGCTTGTCTTGGGGGTGGAATTTAAGCTGACATCAACTGAAGCTGGCGACTGAGCTAGCCCTGAAGGGATTCAACCTTCTCATGATGAACTACACGGACCAGTTCAAAAAACATCAGCGGCTACAGGCTTCTGTGTTGAACGCGACACCGGCAGGTTCATATATCCCTCTCCAGGAGATGGAATCAAAGCAATTGCTACTCGAACTCATGGAGAGTGATGGAAAAAACGATACCTATTTCCAAGGGAACTTTCAACGTCTGACTGCGAGCATCGTGCACACATTATTGTATGGCTTCCGTATTAAAGACTTCAACGATCCCATTCTCCTTGATGTTGTTAAGTTGAATGAGGAATTCGGCTGGTTCGTTCAACCTGGGGCGCATCTCGTGGATATTTTCCCTGTACTCAATAACCTGCCCAGCTTCCTTGCCCCCTGGAAAGCAAAGGCTGAGAATCACTATACGACCAAAAGCACGCTGCGCGACAAAAACTTCCGCAGAGCGCTTAGTTCAAACTCATGGAATATCTCAAAACATTTCAAAAAAATGGTTGAAAAAGACAAGGTCGAAATGCCCACTCATGAGCTTGCGTTTGAGCTTGGAACAATTATCGATGCAGCGCTGGACACTACTACCGACAGTTTAATATGGTTCGTGGTCATTTGTATCACCCAAGATAAGCACTTCATCGCCAAGGCACGCAAGGAACTAGATGCTCACGTGGGGCGCGGTCGACTTCCAGTCCAAGATGACAAACCACACCTACCGTACATATCTGCCATCGTCGAGGAACTATTCCGTTTCCGACCAGCCGCTCCAGAGGGTGCTCCACACGTGAGTACTGAGGAGGTGACTTTCCATGGATATACCATACCTAAGGGATCAATAATTCTGCCTGTTATTTGGACAATACTAAGAGAGGAGGCTATCTTTGGCCCGAGACCTGATGATTTCATCCCAGATCGCTGGCTGTGTGAAGATGGTCAAACTCTGCGAAACTTTCCTCAGGGATTTGGTTATGGAAGACGGACATGTCCTGGGCGCCATTTTGCCCGCAATATTATCTGGCTCGTTGTCGCCCGGCTTCTGTGGTCATTTGACATCGAGGCTGGCTTGTCTGAGACGGGTGAGCCCACTGTAGTTGATCCTGAAGCGTGCTCCTATGGTATAGTTATGCGGGCTCTGCCTTTCAAGGCTTCTTTCAAGCCTCGCGGACCCTGGGTTCGTGACGTTATTGCTGAAAACGGCGACACATACAAGGACGATCATGAGGCCATTCTTGACCAGATTGGAGCTGAGTTTGCTAGACTCTAGCAAGCTCATCCGCGCCTATCAGCGCTTGAGATTGTCATTCCATGCTCTGAGCTATGTGAAAAATGAATAACCTACAATTCCAAGATTTAATTTTGATAAGATTAGAAGTCCTTTCTATGATTAGTTAAATAAAATTATATATATTTCTATCAGCATCCTTCAGACCTCTGACTATTGGAAAGCTTGGAAAATTGGAGAGCCCAAATTTTAATGATCAATAACATTCGATGAAATTTAAGGTTAAAAATAAAGAAAAAAATTATGAATGCGAAGAATCATCGCAAGCTTAACGTTGAACTAGTAAAGAAGAAATATGAATGATTGAAATTTCCCACACTTTGCTTTGTTGTCGACCGAGAAGGGTTCTTGCTATACCTTATGTATCTGCGGGGCCCACAGCAACCTTCCGAAGTCTCATCTCCCAAAATTGATGATTGCTAACCACGCCCTAGGCTTCTAGGTGGAATGTGGTTATATACTGAACATTTCGGTAAGATTTTTGTTTTGAAAAAAGCCTTTAATGATTTCGCGGGAAAGGACTTGAGTTGTTGGCATATCCATGGACCATAGTTACAAGGAATTATCCACACTACTTGTACTATCCAGGAATCCCTAATTACTGGTAATAGGTGACCAGGTTATCAGGCAAAGCCATTTGCTGACCACAATTTGACGATTTTCACAACGAACCCAGGAAATTCAAACCCATACCTGCTTGGGATCTTCTATGGCCAGACCTCGTCACTTTGGAATGAGCGGGACCCGAAGTATTCCCCGCGACTGCTCGGCTCCCCACATGAGTCCCCCAATTATACCTACCCTTGTAGCCTCGAATGCTGATTTCCTCTCAACCCAATTTCAAATCAATTTCAACTTCTCGTGCCTACAGTCGACAGTCGACAGAATTCCAACATGGTCGGTCTAAATGAGCCCGGCTCCATCGAGCGAGTCATCGCTATCACTGAAATCGAATGCATCCTAAACAAATATTGCATGATGGCCCGCGAAAATGCGCCATTTTCCGAAATGGCGAGCCTATTCCACGCCAATGGTATCTTTCGCCTTCCAAATGGAACTGAAATTCAACCATTCGACATGGAAACCGTCGTCCAGGGCAAACCGCCATCATTCATTCGCCATCATCTCACCAGCGTGGATATTGAGTTTGCGAACGCGATCGAGGCAAAAACGAAGTCGCTTTTCTTTGCTCTGACTGGCACATCGACCATCGATCACTGGGGATACTGGCAAGATGTCTTCCGAAGGACCGATGATGGGAAGTGGTTGATTGAGGTCCGGCAGATTGTGGTAGAAGGGCACGCCGAGGACGGATGGTATGCAGGCGCGTATGCACAATGAGCATTTAATATCCCATCTCTGCTAGCCATTTGTATCAGACAGAGATCTCTGCCAGAGTGCACGAATACAATTTTTTGATCACGTCCGCCATTCGGGCGGCACTTTTATACTGCCTTCCGATCTTGCGTAGTTCGTTCTCGAATGATCGTAGAAGTCGCCGACGCGCAGACGGAGAGTTTTGCGCGCCTTTGAGTAAGCCCCGGTCTTGGTCTTCTTGCATGCGCGCCCAGACGGTAAGCCCAGCGTAGAAAAGAACGAGGGGGAGCCACAGTGGGATAAATGAATCCTCCACCGTGCAATCAACATCATGGCCTTCGTCATCCAGAGTTTCCAGTATCTTCCAGGAGCATTCAATGGCACTATCGCTGACATGGATTCCCAGTTGGTGGGGTTTATCATTCAACGGGGACGGTGGATTATGTCCATTGGGTAAGGGTCCATCATACCCTGCGATCTTTGGGAGTTCCAGAGCTCGCGGCCCAAGTTCGAGTAGTATACGACACATGTAGGCAATTGGCAGTGAATCTCTGTGCAGCTTGAGGGTGGCAGAATTGGGTCCCCTTGATAAGCTAGCATTGGAGAATTGGCACCCGTTGGAGGATCTGGCACTTTGGGCATCTATAGAGCTGTGCCATACTTGAAGGGAACAAATCAGACCCTCGATTTGACGTAAGTACTCGCGACTTGCAGACGAGGGGGGGTAGAATATCGAATTCACGTCGGCCATGTGGGGATTTTGAGTTGTCTCGTCAACGAAAGGCCCTAGGAATTTTAGAAGCTGGAAAACTTCGGACAATATGCACAATATAGCCAGAAGATACTCGCCTGGAGTTTGATCTGGAGAAAGGGGTCGTTTATGGATAATAATTTGTCTGTAAAGATCCTCGAACCTCCAAGTGGACTGGTCTGTCAGCGGGAAGGACAAGTCTGTGGGACTGAAAGAAGGCGGCGTATTCAAGTGAATTGCTCTGATAATATCGATAACGAAGTAGAATGATGTTATCCTAAATTCAATATTTGGTAAGAAGAAAATCTCATATACCGAAGGACCCACTTCTAATAAGCAGAACTTACAAACTTGTGTCATGGGTGTCAAATGGTGCGCCTTGGTCTGCGATCTGCAGGAAACCCCGATGTTTATATGGCTGATTTTGTCAGCTCCACTAACACGGAAAAATAAGTAGTCATTAAGCATACCACGAGAAAGTAACCATTGACTATTGTAGTCGTCTCCCAAATGGCATCATCTGAGTGCAGCATTCCGTAGACCACTAAGAGTAGACCCTGCAATGTCATTGTTAATATCATTTTTTGTAGCGCTCAACTCTGTTGAACTGACCGCTTCATACCAGTGTATATTCCTCGATGTTCTATTATCCAGCTCCACTGAGCCCACGAACAGTTTTAAAGCTGTTTCATAAAGACTTGGGGCCCACATGCAACATTCTTGGCGCCTGGTGACAACCGTGCCAATAAGAGCCCTGGAAAAGGCGAGATATGGAGGAACAGGGGTCATTCCCGCTAACCCCGCCAAGGCAGGAGTGTCTGGATTTGATAAATCCGAGAGAAAAGGTGCTTTTCTTAGGAACCCGGTCTCAAATGCCCACGTGAGATCCTCGATGATGCTGGCGGGCGGAAGTTCCGGTAAATTGTCAAAAAGAGATAGCGGATAGTTCAAGACACTGACACCCATTGAACCTATTCCGGGAACTGTGGCTGCAGTGATAGAGGGTTCATGATTGCGTTCGGTGTTGCGCTCACGGTCATCTTGCAGTTCATCGTGGACACAAGGCGGTTGTCTGGACGGCTGAACATCCCTGAACGGCGTATGCGTCGATGAGCGCCTGGGTGACAGAATTTCATTATGAACAAATTCCTCAGATTGGACAAAGCTTTTGTAATCCGTGAGTAGAGATTGCTTAAATGTCTCGAGGAAGTCATCTGCCAGCACGGCTCCTGCTTGAGCAGAGTCGGAAAGTCGCGGATAATAACCTTAAAGTATGAAATTAGGATATATAGAATATGCTGGAGCTGTCATTCACTCACCTTCGTTGGTCATTGCACTGTGGCCCTGGGGGTTTCCAGAATGAGGTGTCTAAGCCTGGTAAGGGAAAGCTTCGGTGAACCCCACACACCGCACGATTATGAAAGACAATCCAGCAATAACAGAACTTACCAGTGGGTAGGCTTGTAATTGAATGCCTGAATAATTGAACTTCAATCTTTCAGGGAATAAATAATCATAGAGCTAGCTGCGTTTTATAAGTAGAAATGGAAGGGATTTTGGGACAAAACAGGTAATTAGGCGGTCAGAGCATTATCGTCTTCTTGTCCAGATGGCGGCAGAATTCGGCGTTCACCACTTCCAATGAAGAATAGACCAGAGACACAATCACCACGGCCGCCACTTCAATGCCCCTATTGTGACCGGACCTTCACGCGACATGAGCATAGGGAGCGACATGTTCGTTCGCGTAAGGAACCTCCTCTCACGGCCCAGGCTGGGGCTAACCTACTTCAGACACCAAGACAAAACCATTTGCCTGTGCCGTGTGCAAGAGGCGATTTGGCCGACGGGATGTCTACCAGCGACACTTGCGATCTCAGCATCCAGATCAAGCTTCCATTGTGCCAAGTGAGAGGAGACAAGGTGCCTGTGACAGCTGTCATCGCCGCAAAGTGAAATGCACCTTGGCTGAGCATCCTTGTGAGCGATGCCATCGAGAAGGTGTGGAATGCACATTTCAACGCACTTTGAGTGACTCGACTGCTCGTGCTCTATTCCAAACAAACCACCCTCAGACCTCAATCCCTGAGACCAACTCCTGTGAAAGCTTCTTGGATCCTCAATCACCTCCCAACGCTCAGGATTGGCATGACACCATCAGCAGTAATTCCCATGATGTGATGCCATTATCTCCAGGCTTGAGTCTGCCCTTCCAAGATACTATCCGCTCAAATGAGCTTGCTCTAGGAATCCTGGACTTGGAATTCACCCAACTTGACTTCAATATTCTCGATCAAATGCCATCTTTCCCTTCGCTGGATCTTCTACCTGCCCCCGTTGTGCCTGAAACGCGGCCGGACTCGCACTCTGCCAGAATCACAGGTGCATTTGCGCAGCTCAAAGCCTATTCATTGCCAACAGACCTTTCGCAGCCTGCTTCCCCTGGGGCCAAGCAAGACCATGAGAACTGGCTGTATCGCCTGGGCAAAAAGCTCGAGACTCAATATGACCCGCTGGTTGTCAATGTTTTTCTCAACCTCTTTCGACTTCATGTGGCCAAAACCTTCCAATGTTTCGAGAAGTTCACCACCACTGATTCGACTCCCGTCGAATTATGGGCGTCGATGGCATCCGTGGGAGCATTGTATTGTACCACGCCAGGGTCTATAGTACTGGCCAAGTCACTTTATAATCATGCACGCATTATTCTCTTGTCAAAGGTATGACTCTCATAAAAGGTTCAAACTAAGGAAATCCTTGAGACTTACCTGTTCGGGCATCACTTTCCCCTTATCGGCTCTGTCTGTTACTCAGTTGGCCGTGGGAACACAGCATTGAAAGCTTACGGCCTTTAATAGGTACACCACAGAAAATCTTCGCCTAACGACGACCAATTGGCCATTCTGCAGACAGTAAGGCAACGCACAATCCATGCAACCAATAAAATCTTTGACGATCGCCAATTAATATCGATTTAGTACATGCTTTTGGAGATATTTGGATATTTAAGTGGGGACGAAAGATTCCGCGAAATTGCTGAGGTGTACCACTGGGAGATGATACAGGTTCGTCATAGGTGACTATACTTTGTTGATCAATCTTCTGTATTGACTTACTTGGGAGATCATTAGCACTTACAATTTATGGTCTCCCTCAAACTTTGCCTGGGAAGCTCAGCGACAACGGTAGGTTGATTGCTTCCAACGGATTTATGCAAGCAAATCTTACCATATTGGCAGGACGATTGAAGGGATATGTATCCTTGAATGCTACCGAGTGACCATTCTGCATGGTTCTGCCACATTCAGTGTGCCGCTTCCCAGTCTCCCTGGAGTCAATGATTACATTGCTTCAACGCGGGGGATTGGCGGACCAATTGAAGAAGCTCTTCAAACACAATTGCGATCGATCATGTCGCCTATTATGAAACCACTACATACCCAGGACCTCCCGACTAATACTCAAGTACCCGAAATATGGAGTTTGTCTTGTCTATCACTGCTTTTGCCGTGGGCTTCTGTGAAGAATCGAAATGGAGAGGACGAAGCTACCGCCCATCACTCTCGCCGCGGCGAAATATTGGAGTCAGCTCTCCACAAATGGTTCAGAGTAACCAATAGCGAGGCGCATATATCTACTGTGATGCTATTCCACATGATTTGTCTCAATCTTCATGTCAGTATAGACAAGATACAAAATATGGCGCGCCAACATTGTGGAGGCGCAGATCCTCCATACACAACCACCTCCCGAATGGGAACCAGTGCACCTCCGCCAGTGAACCTGTTCTCCTCCCGCATTGACCGGCAGAATGCGAGTTGGCACGCAGACCAGATCATCGAATTAGCTTTGAGGCTGAAAAACGATAGCTTGAATGGCTTACCAACTCATGAGGGTCCTCACTTCAGCTATTGCGTTTTTTTCGCAGCCTTGACGATATGGTACACCACATGTCAATCAGACTTTCACACACTGAATGATTCGAGCTCGCAGCCCTCCAATAGATGTACCACAAAATCATTGAGCGCGGCTATCGATGTTCTCTCGTATTCTCGTGTGCATGTCGCGAAGAAGTTCATATCTACGCTGCGCATTCTCTGAAGGCGAACCCGTGATCTCGATAATTCCAGCAACAAACATGCCATCCAGTGTCTTTGGTCATCCTACTGACCACTACAACCTTGTCAGCCGACAATTCTAGCAATACATGACTTTCCGCTGTCTGCCATATTATCGACCTCTTTACTATCTACTATTACAGAATCATGGTGGGAAACCACTGCAATGATCGACAATGACTATTCACCGGCAATAAACTGCTCCAACAGGAACGCGATTCGATCGTGCTCAATATCCTTCAAAATATCCCAAATAAAGCGCCGCCGATCTCCCAGCGAACCACCATATTGTCTTTCAAATGATTCCTGGTCATCGAACGGCTGCCATGGGGGCATTCCAGAGATAAAAGCCAACAAGTCGCGAGTATAGCTCCAACCTATCTGTTTTTGATCTTCGGTCAGGAATTCATCAAAATTATGTAAAAGCATAGTCTGATCCGTTATGTGCGACGCCTCGCCCTCCCATCGGCCCTTCCATGGGTTCGGCGCATCAAATCGATAAACATAGGCGGCTCCAGTTTTCCATACCCGGGCGAGATGAACCGTTGGCATATAGAAGAACACATCATTCATGAAGCGGAGAATCCCATGTAGACACTCATCCTCGATGCAGTTCTCACCATTCATGCCATAAGCCGAGAGAATCTTCTCCGCCAGGCCAGGGACATCCTCAAGCACCTTGACCAAGTACTGCGCCCATGATCTGCATATTCCAGGTTTGCGGTGGTCCAAGGCACTCGCCATTATGGATCCCTATAGGAGGCGTGAGCGAGTTCCCGGAAGAATCATATTGGTTTACTCACGTCGAACCGGCAGTCCCCGATAAACAGATCCTGGCACCACCCGCCATGTAGTTCCGTTGGCATGCCATCGGCGATAGCTTGTATTGAAGGCATCAGACGACAAATATCCCCGTCGATGATCGGGCGAGGCGGAAATATAGAAATCTTCGCCAAGTCCTCAGCATTCAAGTTCTGGAGACGAGCCACGCGCTCACCGGCCGCAAGATTCTCCCAGCCGAGAATCTTCATCGATTTAGCATAGAAGTGCTCATGAACCTCGGACGGAAGTGGTTTCACAGCTAGGAACTGTCCGCTCAAACATGCTATCCGCTTGAATAGTGGCTCTTCACTAGAAAGATGCAGGGAGGCGGATACTTCAATTTGTTAGCATCCGTTCTAAGCTGGAGCAAGGCAAACCCGACTTACCACCTCCGGCGCTGTGTCCCACAAGAGTAATATTACTCTCATCGCCGCCAAATCCATCGATATGATCTTTGACCCATTTCAATGCGACACGCTGGTCGCGGAGGCCGTTGTTGGGGGTGAAGCTGGCGTCGCGCATTTCTCTCGATGTCAGGAATCCAGCAGGCCCAACGCGGTAGCTAATTCATTTAGCAAGGGGGCACATCTCGATTAGGAAAAAAAATTCGATCGTGACTTACTTGATACTAACTCCAATCACAGGAAACCCCAGCTCGCGGGAATGAGATACCAATGTGGTAAGTTGGTTCTGCGGCCATGACGATGATCCAACCCCGAAGCCGCCGCCATGTAAAAAGACCAGGACGGGAAACGAGCTTGAGTAACCACTGATCTGGGGAATAGTAATGTTCAGGTTCAATCCATCTACTGCAGACTGGGCCCAGTGGGTCCGGGGAAGTATGTGTTGGATTAGCTCGAATTCGGCGTCGCATCCATCTACACCTCCTACACCCGGCCTAGACGAATCTGTTAGAAGGGACTTTCTGAAGATACATCTCGTTCCGCGATGGGTGCGAAAGATGGATTGAGTATAAAATATTTCTGGCATACCCATAGGATGTTGCGTCGATGGTATGATCGGGATTCTTCTGGTAGTCGATAGGAGCCGGTGGAGCGAATTGGTGAGCGAGAGTCGCATATTGAATTCCTAGGAACTCTACCACATCCTCATTTTTGTTCCCTTGGATGCGACCTATGCTAGGGTGTTGGAATGTAGTCATGGTGAAGGCAAGTGTGGCTAGTTTTAGTATGTAAAGTTGCGACTATATCCGCCTTATGTACATAAGCTCAGCATGTGGGGAATACCGAGATTTCGGCATAACGTATTTCCCTATTAGTGGCAGAAACCTCCGTATGTGAACATTAGTATTTTCCGGATCACACTAAGCGTAGTAGTATAGTCTCCTTGATCGTTTAAGCTAGTTAGTCGTACTAATACGCTAGCTCTGCTACATTCTCTTCTAGAATTTGCTTAGATTCCTTAATATACTATTTCGTAGGCCTTAATCAAAGATGGCAAGGAAGCCGTTAAATAAAACGATACGCCTACATCTTGCTAACCGGCGGCTTTCCGATGCGTTAATATACACGATTCGCCTACGATTCTAGTATCCTAGGAATGATAGGTATATAGTAATCGTTTATATATTAAATCCAGCGAACTAGAGCTTCTTCTTGATAGGCTTCGAGAGCGTATTTACTATTGTATATAGCTATTTTAGGTCTTATTATCTTTTTGATCCGATTCGAAAGCGTTAATCTAGGTACATCAAATTCGCGTGCTACATGCGCTATATTCGGCTTCTTAGGCATATTTCGGTTGTGGTAATAGATAGTCAAACAAAAAATAGGGTAGGAGGAAAAAATAGCAATTCATCTGTGGGTGACAATTCATAGGTGGCACGGCACACCCACAACGCGGAAGCGGTGTGGGCGGAGACACTGCTAGTGAATTACGTTAATCCAATCTGAATTCAAATCACAGCCCGGACTTCTCCGCCACAGCTCTCATATCGGTCCTCCAGGTCTCGAAGTATGGCTTCGCGCCCTCTTCCAGGGCCTCCATTTTCGGATCCTGCAGAGATCTTAGGTAGTCATCATCCACTGCTGCAGTTTCGCTGGGCAGATGGAGTCGTAGTTTGTTGGCAGTCGTAGTAGGATCAACAAAGTCCTCAAAGACTTTTCTACGAGCATCGGAGTACAACGTAAGGATCTGATCCGATCGCCCTTCATTGAGAATCATGATCAGGGATTCCGCTAGCGCATCACCATCGAGAAGGCCCGTGTTCAGCCCCATCGCTCCATACGGCTGCAACGGATTAGTTTCAATGACGTACAAATTCCAGACAAGGAGTTGGATTGGCTCACGTTATTCATGTGTGCCGCATCACCGGCCAAAACACATCGCCCTTTCCGCATGTTTGGAACCAATCTTTGATGAATACGATATATTGTCTTCGCCGTGATATCAGCTGAAAGTGGCCGAGGACCGGAGATCACTTGTTCGTAGAACCCCCGAATGACGTCTTCTTGAAGCAATTCTTCATCCGGCCGTTGGTCCTCCGGGGGAATAGCGATGGTGCATCTCCAAAGACTCTTTGCCCCGATCACAGGGTCTGCGAGAGGAGTCATGATGGTGTAGTTCTCGGTCCCGATGATATAGCACGTATGAAAGACCGGATCAACATCGTTCTCAACAACGACGTCTGTTGAGATCAACCTCTCAGGCCAGGTATATCCCAGACAAGGCAAACCAAGGAGTTTCCGCGTCTTCGATCTGCCGCCATCTGCACCAACCAGATAACAACCAGTCACGAGCGGGAGCTCCTTGTTCTCGAAATCGATCGTGACGCCGTTCTCCGTCTCCGTGATGCTCGATAGTTCACTATTGAACTGAACCCTCACATTACCCGTCTTCAGCGCCTCTTGTAGGACCAGCTTTGTGAGCTCTGACTGGCGGAGGTTGAGGAGGCCGGATGGACAGGCCTTGGCCGGATCATCGGGGTCACAGAGAGGTTGTGCAGCAATCATGTCGCCCAGACGCTTCCCGCCTCGGTCGTCATTGATGGGGAGTGTACGCCAGCATAAGCCAGCCGTCATGAACCCTTCGGCCCGAACAAGATCGTATAGTTCACAGTCTTGAAACGCCACTTGAGTTGCGCCGTAGTATCCAACAGCCCGTGGAGAATACGGAATAGCGGACTCTTTCTCGAAGATTCTGACTGGGATTCCTGCCTTCCCAAGTCGATATGCGATAAAACACCCGACGGGCCCGGCCCCGATCACCAGCACAGGAGGTTGGTCTTTGGTCATTTTGGCGTGAAATAAAAAAAGACCTCAGTTGGGCTGTGTTTTCAAAATGTGGGGATGCAGCATTGAGGCACTATTTAATTGGCCTCCCCGTACCCCGGGTTCTTGTCTCTTTTGCTTGATGGAGACGTGGGCGCCGCCGATGTGGGAATCACCGACGCAGTGTGGTACTTGAGGCATGTGTCATACCGATGCGTTTGTTAATTCCTTCGGCATCCCCACCTGGATATTTCGAATAACCCCGTAATTCCGGTATCGCCCACAAAGTTTTCTGGTTTTAAATCAATGGTTACTCTACTATATTTTTAGGACTTGTCCTTAATCTATGCTTGTTCATAGCTCGAGGTTTTGAAGAGGAAAAAGATTGAACCCGTCGTCCTGTTCCAAGCTACATGTCGTCAGTCCTCCCCACGCTGTTGAGCCGAAAAGGTTCTTCAGCTGACAAAAAGCGGGTGATTTTTCCATCGAGGATATTTTTTTCTATGGGAGTTTTGCTTTTTGGGTTCTGGTTTGTCGCCATTTGGATTTTCGGGTCCACTTACAAGCAACAATTCCATTCTAAGGGGTTGAAGGTTCTGGTTGCCGATTTCGATGGCGAACTGGTTGGTATGTATATCCGTCGATTGTATACTTCGACTCGAGTTCCATTTAATTGACTGTTTCTCATAGGAGAATGCTTACTCGCAGCCTCAAGGGCCATTTCGGGCTCTTCCCAAGCAGTGACTTTGGTTCCTGCGCCAGAGAATTGGAATTCATATAATGAAATCTATGATCTTGTTTGGAGGTAAGTTTTTCTGTATCCATTTCTATTCCCTTTACCTGACACGATGCGCGAGTTGGAATTTGACATCCACAGTGGACACTATTGGGGTGCAATCATTGCAATGCCCAACGCGACCAATCATTTCGATACGGCTGTGCACGATGGGATCAAGCAGGCCGAAGACTTGGTTCGTTATATATACAATGAGGTCAGGTGGGTGACGGTTGCTGAAAGTTACATTCTTCCGTCGTTGACGGCTACTGTCAACGGGCTGAATAGTTGCTTTTCTCGAAATGTGACCGCTCCCCGTCTTGCGGACGAGACGTTGTCTTTGGCCTCAACCCGTGTTCTTCTAGATGGCATCCAGGCAAGTCCGATCAATATCAAAGCCTTTATCATTGGGATGAGGCCATTCTTAAACACGGTTGGCATGGTGTTTCCAATCCTACTGGCATTCTTCTTCATTATGGCAATGGGGGGAATCGCACAACCTTCCGCATGGTATCAGTCAGATCGCATTCTTTCGCGATACCTCAATCGAATTTTATTGTCGCTTCTCTACTCCTGCGTCGTTGGCATCTCGTGGGGCTTGTGGCTTGAAGTCTACAGAGAAGATTTCGCTATCACAGGAGGCCAATACTGCCTGGTCTGGCTCATTTATTGGATTTATACATTCATCGCCTTTGAGGTCCTAGATACCGCTGCAGCCTTTGTCCCTATGCCCTTTCTACCTCTATGTGTTCTGACTTATGTCATTATTAATGTGGGGGCCTCTGTCTTCCCAATCGACATCAAACCAACGTTTTACCATCTCGACTATATCTGGCCGAGCTATAACTGCTTTGAGCTGCTGATCTCAGTACTTTCGGATGGCTCTACCTCTCGGGTGTATCGGAATGTCCCCGTCCTCTTTGGGTGGCTTTTTGTTTGGATGCCCCTGGGCTTCATGGCCAACAGAAAAAGATGTCGAATGGCCCAGTAGCCTTTCACCCTCCGGTGTCTGACCTGTCTTTCATGCAAAAGTTTTTGGGGCTTTTATTCCTATTTATTACTTCATTGCTTCTCTTTTATTTTCTTGATTTATTTACTTTCTTACAAGACCAGATAGGCGTCCTTCGCTCATGCACCGCACATATTGGGTTGATAATATAGTTACATGATCCAACAACGGAGGCCTAATGCCCTCATAATCGCATCGGTTATCATGTCCAGTAATTCAACGTCTCGGAAAGACCACATCATAGTGATTGGATACCAACAAGTGCAAATTTGGGTAGTGGTGCCAAGAACTGCTCAAATAATGTTAACCAACCATCACAAGCACTCCGAGAGTGCGAATGAGTCCAAGTGACTCATTCCATCGCTAGAACATCCAAACAGTCCGAGAAGATACTGTAAGAGAAATTATACCGATTGAACTCCAGCGGAGTCCCTAATGTGATAGCATCAGCAATTAGTCTATTATTGATCTAAGCGCCTCGTCTGATTCTTAGAGACTTACTTGGGATGTGACCCCGTATATAGATGGATGCCTCTTCAACCTTTTCCGCCTCATCTTGTGCCTGGTCTTGAGCGACACTGGAGAGGATTTGTAGGGCTGCAGTTCGATTCCACCGGGCTTTTTGAAAACACATTAGACGACCTGGTATGTCTTTTCCGCTGTTCACCCGCGATAAAAAGACACTGAGGGCACCGGCGTCCTCAATTCCCTGGCTTTCACATTGACCTTGGTCTATGATGATATGTTTGGTCAGCACATTGCCCATCGCTCGAGAAATGAACATATTGATATTTTCGACTCACGAGGGAGCATAAAATGAGCCGCATTGCCAATTATGACAGTCTTTCCTTTAGTCCAGCTTTTGATCGGTTTTTGAAGGGAAAGAGATTTGAAGGTGATGTTGTCAACGAGTCTGGTCAGGGATATTATCCGTATATTAGACACTGCGTTTTGGCTAGGCTTCGAGGGGGAGAACTGATGATACAAACCTGAAAATCTCTCGTATTTTCGGGCTGAATTCATCAAATTCCTTCAGAAGACACTTCTGTGGATCTGCTTGGTCTTTCGAATCTAATCGTTAGTAGTCTTCATTGGTTTGGAAAGTGGAAGATAGAGAATTTCTCGGAGGATAGGCCGTGGACTGCCCAAAAAAGATACCTGCATTGTCATGATCTCTGGAGGTCATGTGTAGAGCGACAAAATTCTGCTCATTTGCACTATATTCAAAAGCCATTCGTCAAAACCTCATCCAAAACCGTTACTGGGTGTTGAAAATGTAACATGTAACTCGAAGACGAAGGAAGAGGGCACTAAGAGAATGACTTTCACTTGTAGAATTGAAGACTGACTTTCGACACGGATACCAAACCAATCGCTTATCTCTAGAGACTGCAATATTTAGCGCAGGGGATTTCCCCTCGAAAAGCTCCCTCGTGCTCTCATTTTGGAGAAGTTTGTTCGTGGGAATGACAAATCGAAAAGTCGTCCTATACGCAGTAGTGTCAACCCGCCCATTGATAATGTGCTTTGCAACTAGGGACTGCATTCTTAGAAAAGGAAATCACGGCAATAAATCCAACCTCCAGGTCAACTCAACTTACATCAACACCATCTGCACCAATAATAATGTTTTTCTGTATGCGCGAACCATCCTCCATGGTGAGAACGCCTTCTTCGCAGTCAATGTCAGTAACCGGTGACTCGTAATGAATTTTGACGGAGCGGCGAGTGGATGATTGACATGAAGCCAGCCTTCTCAATTCTCGACCCAAGTCCCGTCGATGGATGACTGCCCATGGGTCTCCGAATTCTCCGGCAATATCCGAATATTCCGTTCGACAGTTCAATTGGAGTGTTGAACCGTCCCAAATGTTTCCCTGAATGAGGTAGATTAGCACAGATATACCAAGATACGTCAGATAGAGAGAGAGTGTGTGTGTATGCAATCACTTCTTCTAAAATCAACGCTCTTGCTCTCACGAAATCGAAATCGAGTTGGCGGAGTACTCTCATTGCATTTGGCCCTATAGTCACCGCGATATTTTTCTCATTCAAGGTCGTTCTTTCATACACCTATATGCCAACAAGATTAGGAAATTTCTGGAATGAGTTACGCATGGAAATGATGGGAGTCATGGGACCCGTGGCTAAGAATCTTCCTTACGTCAACTCTGTGCCCACATTGACTCAAAGCGATGGCAGTCGTGAGACCTGCTATCCCTCCTCCGACAATGCCGATGTCGAATGAAATGTTGGGTGAGGTGAAGAACCCGCTCGGGTAATCCTTTATAGTCGACCAAATGGGGAGTTTGTGAACGTACTTTCCGCCAAGGTGGTCCATTTTGTTCTGTGCTCGAGCGGAGGGAGCGTGACAGGAGGTCAAAAGTTTCCGAACCTTGACTTCACTTATGACGGAGATTTCACAGTCAGGAATTAGGAATTTACCAGTGAAGTTTCCTGCTTAGTATTTCTTGTTGCTGTATCGGTGCTCCCACTTGATACTGTATTTTTCGGCACCCCACCACAATCAGCAGCGAACTGCGGAATATGGGGCCGAGTATTCTACTCTGAGACAAAATGCTTCTATGAAGCCCTATAATACAATTCGTTTTTGGAACTTACAGGGGTGTTGAAAAAAATTGCTAGTACGATATATAGAGGTTTCTACCACTATTTACTACATTTTTATTACTATATCTACTATGTCCATACTAGTTTCTAATATTATATAACTTCTATCTACTATCTAGTGTTAGGAATACACTATCGTGCACTACTATATCTGGGTCCTAGGCTGTCAATGCTTAAGCGCATTGACATTGTGGTCTTTTTGGCTCAACGTACGTGTCTAGCTGTGTTCCCTAACGGCAGAAACCTCCGTATATGAACACTAGTATACTCCAAATCGCACTATATTCAGTTCTTCGCGTTAATTTACCTATTATCACTTTAATTATATATTATTGCCTAATTCTTTCTACAGTATAATACAAGGACACACCCAACTAGGAGGAAGACTTAGTAGTTGCCCTATAATTTCTCAGTCAACTAAATAGGCGCCCACCACTAAACGACATCTTCAATCTACTATATAAGACCCGAGCCCGTGTAAGGCCTTAGCGATTCGGCAACGGTACAATTGCGAGATCAGATCGTCGGAGTTACGAGAAAGGTTCGTTACGATAACGCACCATTTATGTTAATCAGTTAGCGAGTGTGTGACACCTTGCTATCTAGTGCGTTACAGCGCAAGGTTCCGAGTATACCCAGATTTCTATACAAAACACGTGTGGTCCAGACGGTAGGTGGAAGTTGCATGATATTAGAAACTAGTAAGGATATGGTAGATATAGTAATAAAAGGCGGTAAATAGTGACATAAACCTCCGTATGTAAGCATTAGGATGCTCCAGATCACACACGCAGTAAATCGAGTATCCCTAGGATAATCTGACGTACATAGGGATATATAGGTCGCGCCTTTATTATACGGTCTTCCTTCTCGACAAAAAGAAAAAAAACAATCCATAATCGTTCATGCAAAGTGACGGAGAGAGCTTAGATTCTCAGCCTCTGAATAGTACACGATACAAGTATTTTAAACCTATCAATTGGCCAGACTTAGCCTGTATCCTTATCAGAAAGAATTTCACCACTATGTATAGAACCAGTCGGCGGCTGCTAATCGCAGCTGCAGGCCTAATCGTACGACCATGTAAAATAGGGAAGGTTTGTTAGTCGGCGGCACCATTGACTTGAGCGCATCTTGGCGCCTCGAATGCGTTGTGTTGGATGACGGTCTCCAGCTGATGGGGGTGCGTGGCGGATGGACAGCCTGTCCCTCTCTCCTTCTCTCTTCCTCTCAAAGCTATTGTGGCCCAGCATTATGCCCGCTGTAAGGAATCTGGCAGCGAACGTCAAGCAATGCAAAAGCAATAGACGTTGCTGCAACAGGCGCAGCTGAATGACCGTCCACGAGCGTGAGGACCGCCAATGTGCAGAGCGCTAGCGACCGGCTTGTAGATTCCATATGAGGGTTGCTTTGACTGTATGCAGGCCTAGGCCACCGGAGGCCTGCCACGTCAGAAACAGCCCCATTCCAACTGGAGACGAGTGGCTGTGGTTGATCCTGGTCGCCCTGAACCATGCAGTTCTATGTATCAGATTCCAGAGCGTCCCGGCTAAAGGGCGATTCTGATAGGCACATAATTGTGCTTGACTTGCAGAGCATATCCGATCGCGGTCTGCCAGAGATCAGCGGCAGGCAGTATGGACAAGCAACGAGCCGAGTTGAGAAGACGCGGGACATTGAACAGTAGTTGATTGGACCATTTCACAGTCGTGCAGGTGGGGAAGGGAGGGCGACCTCGGGATATTGGTGGCCATCCATGTCTCGTGGATGTCTTTAAGATAAATAGAACCTTGACTCGATCAAACTATGGCACTTTGCTCAGCGCGTGAGATTCGTTTGGGCTGCGGGGGTGGCCAATAATTGCCCATGAGCGGCACGGGCTCTCGGGCGCACTAACTAGGCTTCGAAGGCGGTGCTCCGGTTAACTCTCTGTGATGGTGCCGTCTCCCGACGAACTCAATTCAGGAAGTGTCTCAAAAGATGCCTTGATCTAAGTTAAATTGCTCGGTCCACATGCGGAGTTGAGGCCACGATCTTTGTTGAATCTGGCCCCTCCTCCGCTCCAAGCCAAGGACTTAACTCGGTTCGCGATCCAGCGCCGGGGATGCGGTCCAGAGAAATTGCACCATTCCGGGTATCGTGTTCGTCTCGATCCATCGCGTTGTCTTTGTCGATTCGCGTGCTTTTTTCTGGTTCGGGGCTGAGAAGCCGTCGGAGCTCAGAGATCAGACACGAGTTAGTGAACTTAAGCAATCGCACGATCTGCGATCCTGGCTCGCCATCCCACTCATTGATCACCCTCCTGCTAAGATGGAGAGAATATCCGGCGTAGTCCGTACGGAGTACACGACGTGTAGAGAGGAGAGGAGAGGGGGGGGGGGGGGGGGAGGGGTCACGGTCAGGCTCAGACATGTTCATCCTGGCCTCAGACTAGGGGTTGGTATCGTGATTAGTGCCCGTGTATCGGACGCCATTCAGCGGATCGGTAACAATATCAATATTGTTATCTGACGCGCAGCACGCGTGCAAGTATTGACTGGGATTCGCGATTTCGCACCAGGCTGGAAATCCAATTCTTTATTCCCAATCACCCCGTATCCGGACACTGGCCGAACCGCCGACATGTGGTTGTCCGAGAGATTGGGACGGGGCGCTCAAAGGACACCGGGGCGACCCTATCACCGCCCTGGTCCCTGTTTGGATTTCCTATGAAAGCCACGGCGTAAATGCATGGCCAAGTAGTTCGCATCAGTTGAGAGGTTCCCTCGATCTCCGATTTGGTGCCAATGGCTTGAAAGAGCCACGCCCGACAAACCCCGGTGTGGGACGCGAGTCGAGCAATGACGGCATGGCTCCCAAGCCGAGGCCGTAATCGTCTGCTGGTGCTCCGTATTCCGTACTGTACGGAATACCAGCAGGTTATACAAACGTACCGGCCCCTGGGGAAACCTTGTATCCTTGCACCTGCAGGGGCAGAGCGAAAAGCAATGGAGTCTTCTGGCTAAGCCTGGATTGTTTGTTGGAAATCGCGTAAACGTGTCTCCGCCAGCGTCTCTGGCGTAAGTCAATTTATCCCTTTTGGGACGAAGGCTTGGAAGGTCCAAATGAAGTACATTTGCGTATTATACAGAAGCTCCGATGTGGAGCGGCTGTTCTTTACGCGACGGGTATTCCCCACTCTGTTTCCTGCCCTAAGCCACTTTGGGTATAGGGCCGTATGGAACAACAGCCTTACTGCTCTCGTTGTACGGAGGACGGAGTCCCGATTGTTCTCTGGCTGGCAATCGCATAGGGCTTGTGAGAGAAGGAGGATGAACTGAATATGGCCACCCTCCAAGGCTCGAGACACAGATTCAGATCTGCGACCGCACGGCTCGTATATACTCAATCAAAGGAAAGAAGCCCCAATTTACCTGCCGCAGGCGACGTGACCGCGAAAAAAAGGGGCGGGGAAAAGGAGAGGTAAGAAACACCCCCAAACCATGGTTGAGCCTCCACAGACGCCCCATGGCCTTTGCCCAAAAGGGTCATATTGCCTTGACCATTGGGATCCGCGTGGCTAATTAGCACCACTCTTATTCGCGGTGGGGGCCACACGAAGATTTTTGCTCATAGCTCCAAGGAAGCTGACGGAGCCTTTGCAAGCTGTTGGCTTTTACTCTCAAGACCCTTCAAATCCAAGAGATTTTGATCGGCGATCCGCAGCTATAGACTCTGTAGTTAATATTAGAAACAGACGAGCTCCGGGGCTGCGACGGCCAAGTACTGGCGTAATGGCCTCCGTATCACACGACCCGAAGCTAGTCTAAACATGAAGCAAGCTTGACGCAACTTGTGCACTACCCAAGAATCATCGTGAGCTTAAGGAACTTCTAGGAAGGAAATCTTCGACAATGTGGGGATGTTCCCACTCCGGCGCTGCAGAAAAAACTTCCGCGATAATATACACCTCTCCGCAGAGGGGCAATGGAACAGAAATTTTCTTTCACCGGTCAAAAATGCCAGTACATCCGTACGGAGTAGGAAGTAGAGCGAAATAAAAGTGCACGGGATAAATATAGTAAATCAGGATGCCTCTATGTAAAGGTCGCGATCGGCTCATTACTTAGGGAGACTAATCCCAAGAGCGTCTTCCGTATGTTCTAAAGCACAATTTCTGACTTGAAGCTGCCTGCAGACGCAAGCTCGACTACAACCGGGCCTCCCTCTTTTGGTTCTCTTCCCTGGCATTACGAATCTCAGCGAGCACAAATCCCAAAATTCCATACTCAAAATGCCACGGTCATTGTGCGTACAGTATCCGCTATATCCGACCACCGCCACTCCGTTTTTCGCGTCAAAACCGTTGTGGACCGGGAAGCTGTCAACGAGGCGGGGCGGGGCGGAGGCCACAAGAAGTGCTTTTTCGCCGATGCTGCCAGGCTATGCTGAGCAGCTTAGAGAGAAGAAGAAAATAAACCAGCCAGCATTCCGCCTGAGCGACCTCTACCATGGTTTTCCGATGCCGGAACGGCCCTGCTTGAAAACCGTTGTTGAGCTGTGGAGTTTTGTTCTGTACTCGGAAAACCAGAGACTTTCCATGGTTAGGGTTGATAGAAACATACTGCATAATTAAAGGTGGGACGTATTGGTTTTGAGGGCAAAAGGAGCAGCTTTTGCTTCAATACGGTGCATATTTCTGCATCGAAGTTCGCTTCTTTGGTGGGAACTGCATTACGGCTGTTTCCTTACCCCATTCTCTGTACTCTAGACTCGGTAAATACCTAGTACTCCGTAGTATAGTCATTTCACTGCAACTCTCGGGAAGACAATTTCGGTCCCTTCCCTTCATACATGGATTCTATACAGGAACAAATTCAGACCGAGGCAATATGCAACCATGCATCTGATCTGAGCCAAGTGAGGGTCAACTGAGACTGCGGTGTGAAATTTGCCCGTACAACATCAACGTATCGGTATCAGATCTAGGTTCTAGGCTGCATCTCACTGATTGGAAGGGTCAGATGTGAAATGGATAGTCGACAACCTCTGGAATCTGTAGATCGTATTAGTGTTACAACCCGAGACTCTGGATCCCACCCAGTGCCATCGTTACGCCTCCGACTCATTAATTTACAGACAGCAGAGAGACTGTCTCTCCTTACAGTGGAAGATGAGAGCAAAACTTGCAGGAACACATATGTTGCAGTCGGACATGCAACGTGGGAAACCCGCTCAATGGCTCACTTTTTGTTTGGGGTGATGCTCCCTGCCCTGTTACTTACGCAAGGGTTAGAAGATCTATATCTTGTCTCTGCCATGGCGATATGATCTTGCAGCACTCGGAGAAACCAGGAGAAAATTCAACAAATGAAGTGTGTCGAAAGCAAATTAAGGTAATTGGACCCAAGCGAGAAACCCTCCTCCCTTGAGGGACCTGCATTTCCTGGCTTCTTCAGATTCACCTTCTATCCCGTGCTTTGCCTGACCCTGCGTTGTTGGCAACCGGCCATCCTTTCAAGCTGCTGATACATGTAAAAGATACCACCAGAAACCAGCGACGGAAGAAATTCAGAAATACCCATTTTGAAAAACAGACCTAAAAATAACTCAGACTAACAGTAAATTGAGGGCACAAGGCCGTTTCTTCACGCTGGCGCAGGGAATGGGGGGGAAATGACCCGTAACCACCCCCGGGCCCCATCCATACAGCGACGAGTATCGAATACCGCCCAGCATCGCAGGCGCGCGCGTTAAGCCGCACCTCCTGGCGACTAATCCCAGGCTCCATACGTGAAACTGAAGTCAAACAGTAACTAACGATAAAACTTAGCGAGCCAATGCGACCGGCTCAATCTCTAGACCTCTCACACACCCCCTTAAACAGAGTCTGGGAGGGCCCTTGCTACAAGATGGTCGGGAGGGCGCGTCGGCTGGGCCTGTGTCAACGTCCTCCTTTCCAAGCCACCCGGGCAAAGGCAGGCTGGGGTGATTCCGGATCTTCTCTGGTCTCGACACTAAACCTGGGGACAGTGCACTGCATTGGATAGTGTATTCTCCTCTAGTCTTAGGCTACGTGTCCGCCCCCCTTTATTTGGGCTCGAGGTCTTTGGACCGCTTGGGAGGATGCCGCCCCCATCCCCTCATTCAGAAGGTCCTATGGCCCGATGGTATCGCGGTGTCGCATCGTGGTGTCAGGCTGGGGTTGGTGTTGGGGCTTGCGAGATAGGTTTTCAGAAATTGAAATAGATAGACTCACGCAAACCGGATTTGGGACCTGGAATTTCCGGGTCGGAGGTGGGACAGAATCCTGACGGTACTGGTGTCCTTGGAGGTTAATTAACGGTATTAGTTGGGTCGTAACGCGTTTGGTGGTGGAGGGTTCTCAAATCTTGCGAAGTACTTTCATACGCAGAAGATGAAGTAAACAGGGAACCAGGTACCGACATAGCTCGTTCGTGCATAGCCGATCCCATAATATGCAGCTCTGAGCGCTGTCCAATGCGGTTCAAAGGTCGCTCTGTCTGTCTTCTTGAAACATGGACTCCGTGTCCGCTCTTTCCTTGTTACGCCCGAGGAACTTGGCTGGAAAGTGTTGTTCTTGATCGGCGACATGCTGTGCATTGCCAGGCGCCTTGAAGGGTCGATGGCTACGTTTGGAGATTACAACCGGGGACAACATATGAGAAGACACATTCCTTGAAAGGCTTGAGGTATCTTAATTGCACTGGTCTACCAATTTTTTGTTTTTTTTTTTTTTTTTTTTTGCTTTCAAAATAAAATATGCGCACAATAAAGGAGAGAATAGTGCATAATAAAGACAGCAAGTTACAAGTTATAGTTTGTTTGTTGCGAGGTGTTCCCTGGTATGGGGAACCTTTCCAACAATGGGAAAAGTCTGAATATGCTGAGCAGTACCGGTAATAATGACAAACTGGGGACAGCAATGCTTGTGATCTGCCTCTGCATTTTGGCTGCATCCATCATTCAATTACCCTTTTGGGACGTCCCTTACCTGGTTACGTTGTACAGTCCTGAGGTCTCAACCAGCGGCGATGGATTGGTTGACCGAGAGTTTTCATTTCTTTTACCTGTCTCCACGTCCCCCCGTCCACCCCCTGGTCGTCCACGAGGCAACAGGTCCTTTGGTGCTGTTGGTGGAGAGACGGTGGACCACATGCCCATGGGCGGGCAAGCCCTCGACATTTACAACAAAGAAGCAGATGCCATCGAGCCGGATCTGCATTCTTGGGGAGGCCAAGTTCGCAGTACCACTGTAGGCAGCCAGCTGCATGATCCATTGCAGTCTCTGTGTCCTTCGTACATGTACAGTACATCTGCCGCACATCGTGTAGATCCAGGCTACGGGGTGATCCATCGTGGCCGGTCGGAGTGGCCCCATTGAACATTGTAAAACGGCCGAGTCGCATAACACCCATTGCTGCGTCCTTTTGTGTGGAGTTTCAGTCACTTCACGAGTGGCTGAAATTTAACCCTCTGGCGACCTTACGGCGCGTCTGGTAAGGAGACGAAGTAAGGAGATCCCGCGCGAGCTCCGGATCGCATCATGATGGGGGGGGAGGGATGACGCGCGCCTATCGAATTACTGGCCCGGGAGGGGCCTATTTACTAGGCTTACTGAACTAGAGGTCTGGCTGGGGAACGGTAAGAGAATTTGGAGATCTGTCGCATGTCCCCTTTCTATGGTCGGTGAAATATGGGCAAGCTGCGCGGGCCTGACGTGCATCCGATGACGAAGGGGGATCCTTCTGGAAGTATACCGGTAGTATTCCGTCCGCCTCCAACAGGAGAGTCGAAGTGGCTGTCCTGGAACAAACCTTATCTAGAGTTGGGAAGCCGGGGACAAATCAAGTCCATCGTTCCGGTCTCACAGGTGGCAGACAAGTGTCAATAGTGTCGATAGTGTCCATCGTCCTACGTCGCAAATCGTTGCGTGTGCGACCCCTGGGGAACAAAGGGGGAAGGTCATTTCTTGCGTCGGAAGTTCTTGGGGGATGAGGGAGGAATCGGAAGAGAGGAGGCTTTGGGATTCCAAATCAACCGACGTGGTTGTTCACGGAGAATAATACATAGGGCATTAGAGCCGGACATTCATAATCAAATCCAGTTCCAAGGAAAAGGATCGGGGAACGTGGGCCTATTGGTCATGTTGGGTTTTCCGCGTCGACATCCTGCTTTGGCGAAATTATCCCCCACATGGGACCGCGAGATGAGGTACAAGACAAAAGGAGGCTCGGGTACAGAAGGGGGGGGCGCATCCTGCCTACCAGGCAGTAAGAACGAGAGCCACGCCACGGACTAGTCGTACAGAGCAGGCCATTGAGCGTCGGAAGGGAGAGTGTTGGGTGCAGCCAAGGCGTGGGAATACCCACAGCGCAGCTGGGGCTGGCCCACGAATGAGGGAGAGAGCAAGAGTGGTGATGAAGACGAAGCCAGGGCCATCCTGGCCACCGGGCCAGTCAGGGAGCGTTGGTCGCAGAAGACCCTGGAACGCGACCGTATCGGCGGCCTTAAAGGAGGAGCCATTCAAACCCAGTGCAGCGCTAGCTGGCCAGGGGATGGGCTGGATGACGAGCCAACGGGAGCGGAGGTGCAGCGATACACGGGTAATCAAGGTCGATCTTGGGGCCGTGGGTTTGGGGGTTGGTTTTTTGGGTGTTTTGGGAGAAGGAGAGAGGGGGTTGCAACAGGACGGGGTTTCATGGGCTGGTTCGAGACGAACGTTCAAGATGGTGTTTTTTCGACTCCGAGAATTACCTGTTCATACTTGGATCCGTTGAAAGTGTGCCTGGGGCTCGAAACAAAAGACGGGGTGTTGGTACAAGGAGCGGTGGATGGCGAACGGAGAACGACAGAAGTACCGCCCTTGTCAGTCAAGTAGAGCAGAGGATACTCCGTATCGTTGACACCAATTCTACGAATAAAGCATCTATATAGTGATTCGAGAGGGGCAGACGACGGACAATGGACGATAAAGCATGGGCAATGGGCTGAACTGCTTATGTGAATCGGTCGCAGGGGAGTGGGGAGTATAGAGATAACTACCGCCCATTCAAGAGGGCCGGGCTCGATACTATCATACGGAGGACTCGCAGATGGAACAAACATCAAAAACAGAGTGCGCCATAGTCGAGTCGCATTCAATGATGTACGCTGGACAAGGTACATCTGGAAGTACAGATCTGCACTCCCTGTACCTCCTCCCTCTCTCCACCGAAGTGTAAATGGTATCCAAGGTATGGACTAGAACTTGAAAGGAACGAGCTGAACTATTTCGGTCGCCCCGAAGATCTCTCTACCGCAGTCCACTCAGGCCAACGAGCGGGATTGGACGGCTTTTTGGGGAAGCAGGAAGGGCTCCCTGTTCAGTGGTTCCCGACTATCTCAAGGACGCCTCTTAGCGTTGTATAGATGCGGAGCACAATGACTGGGTCGCGACATCCGAAAACGCCAGCGTGTGCCTGAACCACTCCTGAGCCAATCTCCAAGTATTGGTGACCATGTCCCGTCTATAGTCAGACGAATAGAGTCCAAGCCTTGGTTTAAGAAGTTCGGACCAGTTGTCGAGGCCATTCCGACCGACGGGTCCATTGCTGGTTCGATACATCGACAATTTTGGACGAGCAGCGTAATGGCTCCGTTTTCCCACGCGAGCAAGGACCACTCAGGGCTCAGGCCTCATCCTGAGGCCGGTTTTTCCTGTCAGCCCCCGCCTCCAGGAGATAATTAAAAGAGACTCGATATCATAAAAGGAAAAAAAAAATAGGGACAGAGCAACAGTAGAGAAAGAAAAAGAAAGAAAGAAAGCAAAAAAGGTATATAAGAAATCCGATCAGAAGGTTCGAGGACAATTGCTCACCCTGGGCGAAGCATAACTAGGGACGGGTTTCCTACGCGAGTAAACGGGGTTGATGCTCCGCCATGGCGAGGTTGGAAGTGGAGGCCGGCGTAAACTTGTCTTTCCATACCGAAAAAGACCCAGGGAATTAGGTATTGAGAGAATCGTGAGGACTCCAGAGTAAGACCCAGGCCACTTCCGTAATTCTCGACAGCTTTCGATCTATAATCGACGAACTTTCGACTATCCCTCGCAAATCACAAAAGGGATTCGACAGGAGGGTGACACTTCGGTCTCAAACCCTGCTCGACTTCCGTGCATCGTCCTTGCAGGTGCGGGCCTGTCTCGACCAGCGACCGCCGTCGATTACCACAGATTACCATAGATTACCAGAGAGGACCTGAGATTACCGCGATGACCGGCGGTTACCATTGATTACACCGGGCGATGGTATGGTAATACCAGGTCAGCCTCCCCGAAACCCCCCAAACGCTGGAAACGCTGGAAACCTCGCCGTGACGGTACCGCACAGCTCCAGCTCTACTCCGTACCTCCGTGTCTTTTGTCTCAGCTCGCTCTCTTCTCTCTTTTCTTTCTCACCACCCGCCTGGAGAGAGAATCTAAATTCCTCCTCCTTGTACTCCTCCCCTCCTCCTCTCCCCTTCTCTTCTTCCATACCCTTTTCTTCCTTTCTTCCTTTTCTCCTCCCCCCCCCTCCCCCCTGCCAATTTGTGGAGAGCCCGGAGTCTGGTCGACTGAGAAAGTGCTCCGTTACTGTCCTCAGTCACCCGAATAGACCTCCTGTCGAGTCGAATCCCCTCCTCGATCTTGACGATCCACCCAATTCGACGTTTGTTAGCTCAAACGGCGAACCCCCCTCTCTCGTCCTTCGTCCGCCGGTGCCCTCCTGATCCCGGATTTCGACGAACCCTCCCTGATCCCGCTCCTGCCGGTTAGACGAGCGAACAGGGGATATCATCTTGAACTCCCTTCGGATGATAACGAAAGCCCTGTGTTTTCGATTTTGGATTGAGTTTGCAGACTGCGAGTATAGGGTGAGTGCAGAAATTTGTGGTTGTGCATGGTTGTCCAGGCCGGTATCTCAACAAACCCTCCGGGCCCCCCATCGATATTGTTTGTGTTCGTCAACAGGATATATGTCGGCAATGCATTGGATTTGAGGCACAATGGGATGGAAAGGCAAATGGAGGCGGGCAGTACCATCAGTCATCTCAGGATGACATGGTGCTGGGCAATCTCAAGTTCCCACAAAATTGATGTCCCGGAAACCATAATCCTCTCAACCCCTCCAAAAACAAATTCACCGCGGCCATGTCATTCTGTGATTTAGATCGTGTGGTAAATGCATTGGCAACAAGAGAGGAGTGCAATTTTTATTGAACAACCTCGTCGATGGTGCAGGGTCGTGAAAGGCATCATAAGGGGGTCCGGAAATTATAAGCAAGTGAAAGACAGTGGAATGCTCTGTGCCAGGTTTCAAGGATCCATTGCCGCCCCGGACCAGGCGTGTCATGCAATTTGAACCACCCTCTCTTGTGGTCAGTGCAAAGTTGAAAAAAGGGGTCGGGAAAATCTTATACTGGAGATGGACATGCCAGAGGTTGACGACGCCGACATCGATGATCCGTGCCTGGGCAACCGACGCATACCTGTTGAACAATCTATTGATCTTGCTTCTTGCCGTCGTTGACCCGCTTTACTGACATGAGATTGAATTGCTATAGGATTGGTTTTCAGCGTTGACTTGGATATCATTTACCTCTTGTGTTGATGATCGTCTAAGTCGTTGACCGTTCTTTATCCGTCTGCTTTGGCTTCAATCCGCCCGGAGGTTCACTCAGAACACGTTAACTCGTGAAGTTGTACGTTGATAATCATTCTTCTTGCACACTACCCCTGACAATCGTGGTGCCCCCCTACATAGGGTTATCCCGTGCCCTGTACTCCACATTCCGCAGTTACGGCCCCAGGGGTGAAGACGTTGACTCGTGCTTCATCTCTCGGACTGGTATCCCACAGAATCCTAATTCACCGGATCATTCCTGCGTTCCTGCCTAGCCTAGATGCCAGTCAAGCCGTCACGGTAAGGGTTGCATTGTGCCCTCTGCCCGAAGGCTCCATCTGGGTTAGTATTCTCCGAAGGAGGCGGTCCACCCTTTCCCCGGCTTTGATATCAAATGGCCTCCCACGCTTTGTCGTCGTTTTTTCTTCTCTTCCCACCCCATTCCGTGCGATTCCGTCCACTCTCTTAATTCTAATCCTTAATGTCCAGCTCCAGTCTGTGCTAATACCTTAATTTGCCTCTTACAGCTTTCGCTCTTGAAGACTTCCCCGGCACTTTCCGGCCTTCTTTCATCCCAGTATTCAGACTATTGTCTCAACGCTGGTCCATTCCTTAATTTTTGATCCAACTACTTTCCAGTCATTCATTTGATTCACCTAATCTGACGACTGTCGCTCTCTTACTTCCGTCGTTACCTGCAAGACCCGTTCTTCAGGTTCCTTCTCCGGTTTCTTGCAAAGCTAATCCCCATTCACGTTCCCCTATTACATCGGTCACCACTCCCTTTCTTCGGCAATCATGGATTACGTTCGTCCTCGATCCGGCTTTCAGCCCTGTGACACCTTCTTCATTGAAGATGACTATCGGGTGCGGGCCGAGAAGCAGGCCAAACAGGAGCACGACAAGCTCGTTGCTCGTGAGCGGCAATATGCCATCGCGGACCAGCTGTCCAGGATCACCAGCGAGGAGCTCCGAGACGACGTCCTGAGCCACATGATGGAGATGGATGTAAGTTTCTTAAATTGAACCAGTGGGAAAGGGGTATTGGTCTCACAACGACTTCATTACTAACACCTTGCGCCATTACTTAGGGTCAAACACTCCCTGATGTGGAATCGATTGATATTCAGACCGAAATTCAGTGGTTTATGCGTCCTTACCTCCTTGACTTCCTGATCGAGGCCCACACCGCCTTCCAGCTGCTCCCGTCTACGCTGTTCCTGGCCATCAACCTGTTGGACCGATACTGCTCCAAGCGGGTTGTGTACAAACGTCACTACCAGCTGGTGGGCTGTGCGGCTCTCCTCATCGCCGCGAAGTACAATGACAAGAAGGATCGTGTACCCACTGTCAAGGAACTGAAGTCAATGTGCTGCTCTCTGTACGATGACGACATGTTTATCCAGATGGAGTGGCACGTTCTGCAGACTCTCGGATGGACCATCGGCCACCCCACTGTCGACAGTTTCCTGCAGATTGCCGTCCTGGATGAGCCCTACGACCGTGAGGTGGAGCACATGGCTCTCTACATCCTGGAGATCGCCCTGTTCCACCGAGACTTTGTCTCGAAGCAGTCGTCAGAGCTCGCTCGGGCCGCTCTGGCACTTGCTCGCTGCATCCTCAACCGCCCCCAGCCCCGGCACAACGACTGGGCTGCCCAGTATGGCTCATCGACTCTTGTTGGTCTCTCCCAACAGCTTCACCAGCCGTCCACTGTGGTTGCCCGGAAGTATGCTTCGGCGCACTACTCACGGGTTTCGAAGATCTTGGAGCACTTCCTCAACCGCCAGGCTTCCATGGCCAGCTATGCTCGTTGCACCCCTCCGGTCGAGACTCCTGTGGAGTCCAAGCCTTACAATGGGGAGCTAGGCCTCGCTACTCCTCAGAAGTCTCAGCAGTTGACTGCCATTCCTCACGGGTATATGACACCGCCCATTACTCCCGAGAGTGGTGCCTTCGCTGCTCAGGCGCAAATGGCTGCCAACCAGGATCTTGGCCGAGTGGTCTCCTCCACTGTCACTGGCTGCTCACCGTCGCCCGCGCCCGAGGCTGAGATGCAATATATGAGCACTGATGCTTACCAGCATCAAGAGGCCATGTACATGTCTCAACAGCAATTGCACCAGTTCCCGGCCCAATCTCAGATGGTTCTGGATCCGACCTATGCTGGCGGGATGTAGAAGAAAAGAAAACTGGACAACCGAAAGAAGCAGCAGCCCTACCCATTCAAAAGTGTTTCGGCGTCTTGCACATATTCCCGGTCCGCTTCGTTTTTTTTTCTTCTGCCAACTCCTCGACCACATAGAACTCCCTCGAAGAAGCGTCTGCGTTTGCGTTGGTTCAAAACACCCGCTAATACCACCCTTAATTCCTTCATACGCTTCTTCGCCCCGTCGATCCGTGCCATTCATCCACCTCGACTTGGACTGATCAACTGCCTTTCGACAAATATCCCCCCTTTTTTCCCCGCCGCTTTGCATACGGCTTCGGTTCTCAGAACCGGAGTCGAGAACCAGCCTTTCCATTCCGCTTTACATTCTTATTCCAAAAATTGCATACCCTTTTCATCACACTCTCTTATGTTCCCGTCTGTTCTGGGTCATCATCTGCATTTTATCTCATCCTCCACATAGCATTGCAAGAGCGAGCCATTTTGTGATTTTTTTTTATTTGCTATTTTGATTGCATCGTGTCTATTTCCCCACCTCCCCCAACCCCCCAAATCCGTTACATCGCATTATCTTCACTTCGCTCTTCCCGTCGCCGGTCTCATCTCTCAAAAAGGCCCGACGTCTTCTTCTGATGCTGCGCGCCAGCTGGCGCTGCGCCTTTGCATATCCACTTCCCTCTTGCCCCCAACCTACCCATGACAATCTTTTCGCAGCACAGCTGCACTCCCATCCCAACCCCAACCCCCTCAGATAAAAAGCCTTTAATGTGTCTAGCCTTCTTCCTTCACCCTACAAACATGCAAGGGTGAACTATCTCGCGCGGTTCCTGTCACCGGGAACTTGGCGGATAGGTCCAGGCCACAAAAAAAGCAAAAAAAAGAGCGAAAACCTGCAAAAAACAACATTGCGGTCTCCTGGGGATTTCACGGCAACTCGAGACCTGAGATTGATATTTATCGCCTGCCCCTTTTTGCCTCCCCCCTTATCTTTGTGTATCTAGCTTGACAATGGCCTGGGTTCTGGTCCACTATGATGTGGACTGGCCCGGCGCCTTGTGTTGATTTTCTGTGTGGATTCGAGATTGCCACATGGCCCACGAATGATATCCAATTCTGTGGATTTTGTTTTGTCTTCTCTCATAGATGGCTTCCTCTATGGAGTCTATTCCTTCCTCGGCCACGCTTTTCCTGAGGATCCTGGTGCCTTAAGCCCGGCTCGCAGTGCCTCCGTCAATCCGTAAAATTGCGCTCCATGATGATATTTCGCACGACGAACCCCCTCAACATGTAGGAATACAATTTCTCTACTGGTGCAAGCATCCAATCTTTTCAAAGAGCTCTTCCTCCTTTGCACGACGGATCTTTGAGGCATCCGGTTCGATTTTCAAACTCCAGCAGGAGCAAGTTTTGATGGTCACATTTCTGAGCTGTGTCGAAGTCAGGGACACATACTGCAGCAGCCACAAAAGCTGTACTATAGTAAAAATAGACGACTATACTTCTATAACGGAAAAAATTTTCTGGAACAGACCCAGTGGTCATACAGAAGATATCTATATCTATATCTAGAACCTAGTCTACTTAGTCCTAATCCGACTAAATATACAACCTATTTCCGGGGTTGACTCGCTATCTATATTTCTTTTCGCTGGTAGCATTCGACGACAGCTGTATCTTTTAAGGTGTTAGGTTCGTAATTGAGAGGTAAATTTCCTAGTCTACAGAGGTATTCTAGACTGGCTTGAGTTTTCTTTTACGGGATAGGATTGCAGAGTTGAGCCATTTTCGGCGTCGATTTCACAGGCCCTCATACTCGGTGTGTAATATATATATCCACCCTATTACTGGTCAATAAATCGTGATACTTGAGCGAGCACGACTCTTTCCTGTAACATTCGATCTATGAATCATGCATCGCCCATATCCATGCTAGCTCTTTTTCCATCTCTAGTGGTCCTCCAGCCCAAAGAAGCCCAAAGCCCGTCCACCCACGTAATGCCGCCGTTCCGGGGCCCACAACCCACCACGCAGAAACACAGCGCACAAAATTCTCTCCCCCTCCCGGAAAGCAAGAAGACCCTGGTCGAACCGCAACTCGCTGCCCCGTCTCTGATTTCCTTCCGTATGACCTGGATCAGAAGAAGGAGCTCCGGACCAACGTTCTACGCGCAGCCCCAGACAGTCATCAAACATACTTCCCTTTCCGTCCACAGATCTCCAAAATGAGTGGGCCCGCGTCGGAGCCTCGGCCATGGATCGGCTGCCCAGCATACCAATCACAGCGCGCCGCATCCCGCGTCTTGCTCCACCGGAGCGACGGGGGCATGACGACGAGCTGGGAGTGTTGAAGATGATAAATAGTGGCACCGGCAAGGTGGGGGATGAGGAAATAGCGAGGGAATAGCCTACGAGGTTGTGGGCAGCGGAGCCGTCGACGTCACATGAGACCCTGAGAAGGGATTGAGATGGGGTTGGAAGGGATGGGGATGTGAGCACGGAGGTTGTTTGTGAAGAAAGAGTGGTTCAAATTGTGTAGATGGTAAGTAGCAGCACACATTCCAGTCCGCGATGGGACGGCAAGACCAACAGCTCGCTCCTCTCGACATGCAAGATGGAGTGGCAGAGTGAAAAAAAACAGATAGACAAGTAGATAAATTGAACACATTCGCTCATTTGCAAAGACCCATATCCCAGTAACCCACGCTATGCAACGCAACCAAAGAAAAAAAAAAAGGAAAGAAAAAGTCCAGTCTCGAGGGTGAGTCAACCAAGGGCGACGGGTCATGGATGGTTCTCCGAACAGGAACGAAATTACCCGAGAACATGGGGTATTAATGGGGTATACCTGCAGCGATGCTGCGCGGTAGGTGCAGAAAAGGACAAGATATTATGACACGTGTACCACTCACCGAGGTTGATGGGATCGACCAGAGTTGGGGAGGGGACGAGAGAAGAGAGGAGAAGGGGGAGCCGCATGGAGCTCTGCGAATGGTCGGTAGCTCCAGGGAAGATACCAAACAAAGCTGTCAGAGTCCCAAGTCGAGAGTAGAGTGAGGGGGGTAGATAGCAACAACAGCCGAAAGGGTAGAAGAACAAGATAGTTCGGAACGCCGGCAAGTCCATCGAACTCCAGATAATGATACAAGGGAGAGAAGAAACCGAGGAAGCAGGGGGGCATGGGGGAAAGGATGGACCAGAGGGATCCACCCTTTCCCCAGCGTCAAGCCAAAAATCCGGGGCAGAAAGGACCGGGAAGGAAGGAATTCCAGTTGCTCCAAGGAGCCAGAAGGGAAAGCAAAGTCAAGCAAGCAGGTCGGCAGGTCGGCAGGTCGACAGGCTGGCAATGGGCGGAAATAACTCAAATGCCAATCATACCATCCGAATACACGACAAGCAGGAAGGGGAAGCTCCAGTCAAGCCTAGACCCGAAGCTAACTAGGTAAGCTAGCGAGCGGTAAGGCCAGATCGGGTTCAGGGGGAGGCAGGGGAATGAGGCGGATCGCGGGTAAAGCGGTATGGACGGGATGGCGGTGACGGAAGCGAGACAACATCTTGTTGGGGCCCTTCGGGGGGCGACGGGGACCAAACGGGTCCATCGCAGGGCCCGTAGGGGGAACCGTCGGGGGGAGCCCTCACCGGCGACGAGAAATAGGGGGGACAAGGCCCTTCCCAGGCACAGGGGAGAATTCAGGAAATGGGACCCGTCTGTCTCGCACCACTTGCCCCAACCACAAGAGACATTGTTCGTTCGCTGTACTCCGGGCCGATCAACCGTCATCACCGCCTCACTTTTGTTTTTGCATTTTGATCCTGTCGTTTCGAGCCCCTTCTGTGCCGTTTCTATTTCCTGGGGGAAAAGAGTCCTGCACGTATGATGCCGAGTTGCGTAGCCAAGCCGCGCGGATAAAAGAAAAACTGGGGAAGAATGATTTAGAGAGATCGGGACGGTCAGTTCGAGTGAGCTGTCGCCCAAGCTGTCAGACTTCCCAGTTCTCCAACTTCCGTGTCCGAGGCTGCTTGCTTGCTTTTTTTTTTCTTCTCTGGTCTTCCCTTTGTCCCAATTCCCTCCAGCGAGAAAAATGGGCTAGGGTTACTTCCAGCGTTGTTTGTCCCAGTCGGACGGCCGAGTCTCGTCGTAGATCTGGCCGCCCTTGTTGTGGACGATGACGGGAGGTTTGCGAACGGGATTGGCGGCTGACGGCGCGTCTGCATTAGCTGGGCTGAATCTGGAGATCGGGGGGACAGGGGGTCTTTGGGTTTGGATTTGGGGTTGGGAAGATCCCCCTCCCCTTCCACCACAATCCCGGCCTGAACGGACAGTCCGACGGGACGAGAGTGAAGCTGACAATGGAGCTGGACTTGGGGGCTGAGATAGGGACATACCTCGAACTTCAGTGGCTATGACTTGGTCGCCATTGCTGCTCCCGCGGCTGGCGAGGGTGGAATTGGAGTCGTTGGTAACTTTGTGTGGCATGGTGTATCGAGACAAATAAAAAGAGGACTAAAGATTGGAAGAGACGGCAAGAGGAGATAGATATAAAGATGAAGCTAGAGAAAGAAGAGGGACTCGAGGTGAACGCGGCTGTGAGATCGCAGCAGGGGCTTCTTGGATCTCAAATATGGGCTGATGATGGCGGTCTCGAAGGGGCCAACAGTGTTGAACTGTGCGCGCAACGAGATCTATGAGGAAGGATCTGTAGAAAGAGACCTTCGGATGATGAAGAATGGGGGATGGAGGTATGGAAATATCGCAGGAGGGAGAGCCGTATTAGAATGGGTGTTGGAGAGTTAGAGTGCAGCTGAGGAGCGCCGAAGCTCTCTCTTTTTGTATACCCCGGGCCATTCCCAATTGAGCACTGCATCTGATCGACGACTCCGGGGAACAACCGTGAACTGTATCGTCGCCAGGGAGCTCCTGGGCTGGACTGCTCTCAGCGGGAATGGATCGCCCCCTGACGTATCCGGTGCCTGGTAACTCGGTCATTGAGGGCCTGGGACTGTCTGGAGGCACATACCTCTGTACACGACGTATCGTACGGAATCGTGGGTCTCAGCCTTTGCGCGCTGTCAATTGGATCTAAGGCCAGGCCGAAAAGCAGGGCAGCCAGTCAGAGCGCAACATCAAATACCATGAATACGCGGTGGACTCGTCGTACGCGGTGGGCCCAATAATGATGAGTCAGCCATTCCAAGAATAGGCGCAATTATTAGCTACAGGAGGATGGACTCCGGACTCCGTGCACGGTGTACGACCGATCAACCTGTGCTCAGGACTACTTCGTCACTAGTTGCTAGGAGGCCGTACCTGAAACGAGTGGAGTTGCTGTCGTGGTCCATCCAGAGCTCCTTCGGCCTCCGTACTCACTGAAGAGGCCGCATATGGTCAGGTACTACTACATCCCGTACTTATCGGGAAAGAAGTATTTCAATTCAACACATATTGACCGTCCATTGGCTGTCGACAATAGCGACTTTGAACATACTCCCTGACTCTCTCCAAAGCACCAGAATGCTTAGTCATTTTCCATTCGTCGATCCATGAATACCTGACGTGGCTACCTGGTAACTAGCTGGTAGGGACCCCAAGGCATCAGGATCTATTGTGTATTCAGACCGTGGCTCGGCACAGGCGGCCATCGGAAGGCTAGGTAAAGCTCCATGCAGAAGCTCCTCCCGGGACTAATGCATTTCTCCTGTTACGTGTGCCTTCAACTGGTCCTTAAATGACAATTGGCCGAAGTAAAATAACGGTGAAGGCCAGCGGTCTAGAATCCACCAATGCAGGACTTGCATCATGCAATCCTGAACTGCCGTACCTAGGAATTTGTGACCGAGACAATCAATCCTACTTGTACTTGGTGGGTTCCAGATGGTAGAAATGATGCTGAGATTAATATATGCAAAAGAATGCGTATTATGCTTGAGTGATGCGTTAATGTACAAGAATGCGACACGCCTCGTTATCTCCAATGCTTTTTGTGCAGGATAAGCGAAGAAAAGTAGCCATCTGGCCACAGGAAAAGACAACCCGGTCTTAAAATCAGCTCTATGGATGAGCCCACCCTTCACGTAATAAAAACAATGTACTCCGAAGATATAGACAGTGGGAGCCGGTATAAAAAGCGAGGAAACAGAACAAGAGCCTCTATGCCATGTCGTTGAAAAAAAAGGTCACCCGGACCGAACGCCTAAGAAGAGCAAGGGCAATATAAAGATGTTGTTATGAGGACAGAGATGCACGGAAGATAGGTTGACGGTGATCGAGGGAGTATAGGTCGACCCGGCGGGTGAGTGGAGAATATGATTTAAGCAATAGCTTTTTGTTCGGAAGCAGGTAGAGGAGGGAGCTGTGGAAAGCATTCATGATTAGCAAATGTTGTGAACGGTTTTGAGTGCAGGTGATTTCTTTGTCATACCTCGAGCTTGGTGTTGTCAGCCATCATGCGCTGGAAACCAATACCGACACCCTCAATTACACCGAGGAAGACGGCACACATGATAGCGGAGTTCCGGGCGGCCTTGAAGCCTCCACGGATGGCAAGGGATCCACCAGTGAAGAAGCCGGCAATGATTGAGTTGTAGGGGTCCTCGGTCTTGCGGATGCCCTTAATCGAGCAGTCGAAGACACTGAACAGTCCACCCCACACACCGAAATTTCCGCCGAGCACCGGGGCACGAGCCTTGATCGCGGTGAGAGCACCTATCCGGCGCTCACCGTAGGGGCTGTTGCGGAAACCCTTCACGCCGTGCCAAACAGCACCACCGACGGCGCCCATGGCGAAGGCACCGCCGAAGTCGCTCAGGGCAACCCAAGGGCAGGGATCGCGCGAGTGGTCCATTGTATATGAGTTGATAAGAAAAGTAATTGGTAGGAGGGACTCGGGAGGGCAAAAGAGCCAGGCGGCAACGTGGATTGAAGACTTAAAGACTTGAAGATAAGGCCGTGCGGGTCGATGACTTTTTCTTTTCGGGGCGCCGGGCACGTGACTGCGGAGTTTGACCCGGTCGCCACCGAACCGCCTCTGGGGATCTCGATCTTCTCCGTATCTTGTGCTTATTCGTTCGGGTTGTTCAGGAATCCCTGACCTGTCAGGAACAAGAGAGGAAATCCCGGGCCAGGCTTCCCGACCTGCATGATTCCTTGAGGCAATCCGGTGAGAAATTTTTTTCGATACCTGATGACCATCCTAAAGTTTTTCCCGGTTTATTTGCGTAGCTTCTCGATCTAGATGGGGTTAATGTCAGATACCTCATCATCTCAATATTCTCCAAGATGCTTGATCTGAGAACATCCAAAGAAAAGTTATCTTCTTAGAAGATTATCCAAAATTTGCCACACTTGTCTATGAATGCTTATAACCCTACTCGGATTCTAGTGAAGCCCTAAGACGTTCTCATTCTCAATAGAATTCAAGTATTCTGACTGGTGTTCTTCCCCGCTTTAAAGTGATGTCAAATAGTCTTAAAAATGCCTTTAAAACTACTCCAGAGACGGTTATGTCTGTGAAAGACATCACTTTCAGAGGCCTTAGAAATCAAAAGCGAGAACTATTTACATTACGAAAACATTCCATCTGGGTGGATTTTATGATGCTTGGTGCTATAATGCTTGGTGTCCTAAACATGGTATTTCTTTTCCTCTGACGCAAGCTTGGGTTCCAAAGCTAGGGATCCATTGCTATGCAAGGCTTTTCGCCACTATCAGACAGACAGATGAGAACGATTCTTTGTGGGCCGACGGGGCTGCGATGTACCATCTTTCTGGTCTAGACTTGTGAAATTAATTCCATTAAGACCAAGGGGCTTGAACGTATAGATCCAGCTTCTCACTGCTCTTCACCAAATCGTGACAAATCATGAGCATCGATCGCTAACCATAGCTGATATTACCGGGTTTCTGTCTTTTCGGCCCTAGGGCTTTGCATAGTTTATTCACTTTGCAATGCGACCCGAAACCCAGGGAAAACTTGTTTCAAGATGAAGGTTGTACCTTGGACGACAGGGAAGCTTCTAAAGATCATTTACATACTTGTATACCTTCACGAAGTAGAGGACGTAAGGAACCCCAGTATGCCTATCGAGAGAGAAAGCCGGAAATCTGCCCTCGACCCGCCAACGGAGACAGACTGGAGATCATCCTCAAAGATCATCTTGATAGTTGCAAGAGCCCCCATAACAATGGAGAAATGAAAATGTTCTCAATTTCAGGTAGCCTTCCAAGTCCCACCCTTTTTTTGATCTCGTGATCCCTCCGGCCAATAGATTTATGTATCAAGCTTCCCTCTTAGCGCCACTTCGTAGGCCCGCTTCCCCTTTCCCTTCCCCGTCCCCTTCCCCACAGAGAGCATCGTCCACGCATTTACCCAATTACAGGAATTGTTCAAGCACGGTGATGTCAAGCACCCAGGTTTCGGGGCTAAAGGGGGAGGAGGGGCGCGCTGAGAGCTTTTTCCAGGGAAAAAAACAAAGCCTCGTCGACCACGACTGGACCTGCTCCTCTCTCCCCTGATCCACCGGTCCACCGTGGTCTAGATTCCCCCTCAGCTCGGAAATCATCACCAGGCCGAGGGGTGATCATTGCGACTAGGAGGAGGGCGCGGGTTGCGCCAATCGCGGTGGCTACGAGGATCTGCGCATGGATCACCTACGGTCCATTGAATGAGAAAGGAGGACAATGATGATGAATGATGATGAATGATGAGGAGGAGGATATCTGTCTTGCATCTTTCCTCGACGCGGCAGAGAGACATGCGTAAAGACGCTGAACGATGAGGTAGTATGCTCTGGTCGTCGGGTATCTACTCTAGCTTGTGGGCCGTAAGGCCTCTATCGAGAACTTGACGGGACATGAGGGACTGTCTCGCGTGCACTTGTGTCCCGCCAGACAAGTCAGTCAGAGCGATGTACGTCACACCCGTCAACGGGGCGAGCAATTGGGCATTCTAGCATTCTAGCAGGGCAATTGAGACCCTATTTCCGTGGCCAAGGAAAGAGATTCTGGAGAGAGAAGACGGATTTGGGGGGGGGGGGACCAATGGCTTTGCCCGTTTAGGTAATATGTTTATGCGTATTATACTCCATTATTTCTCCCGGCTTCTTCTCTATTTCACAAAGAGCATAAGAAAAGAGAAGCCCGAGCCCTGGACAGAAGTAGATGATGGCGACTTGCTTCTCTCGCCCACTCGCTCAGCGGACTTGCCCACCACCTCCGCCATTGCTCTCCCGCTTCATCCGAGCTTCCCACCCATTCATACTCCGTCGAATTCCAAGTGTGCGGCGCCCCGGTGCCGTCGCACTCTGCTGGCGCATTGCCGCTATTGTGGTCGTATGGAACACCTTAGATTGAACACCGCGGGCGGTGCTCGCATTCTCTGGGTTGTCGTGCTGCCCGCCTGACCCGGAGGTTCCCTGTCCCGCCACGCGCGCACCCTCTGTGACACTGGTATTCGGTGCCTGCGGCGTGAACATCCGGGCTGGTTTGACGGTCGGCCGGGACGGAGCCGCCAGCCACGTGTAGCTGCTGGATTCGCTGGGCTCGAGGGCTGGGCGGGTTGGATGTAGGGGACGTGGTTGGAGGCGATGGGAAGAAAGGGATGGGGGTACGGGGGCTGCCCTGGGGTGTTGGGTAGAGGAAGGATGGTTCGGAGGCGGAGGATTGCGTTGGGGGTCTGGTTGGAGGGGCGGGCAGCTGGTTGGCGTGGCTTCTTTCTTCTGGGAGGATCCTGGGCCGCCGAAGAAGTTCGATATGCTGACTTGGGTCAGACCGTCTTTTTGGCTGGCGGCGAAATTTTTGCCTTTTTTCGCTGGGCCAGGTTCGGGAATGGAGTTGGGTTTCGATATAGATGCTGGGTTGGGATCTTGGCTGGCTGTCGGGGCGGCTGCGATGTAATCACGAGCTGACAAGAAGCCAGTCGACAAGGATATGGGCGCAGTGAAATTGGAGGAATTGCCAGGGCAATTATTGCCGGCTGATATGTAAGTCGTTGATGTTGGGCCATTGGCATCAAGACGTCGTCGTTTAGGGTATAGCTCTTGTGCTGTGTCATTGGGGCCTTGTCTACTGCTCCATTCATTGTTCTCGTCGCGTCTCTCCTCGCCCTCCGATGTCCAGCGGTCATCCTGAATTGATGGAAGCGTAGCAATGTCTTTGCACATGTCCTCCGGTGATGGCCGCGGTCGTCCCAGGATGTCAGCAATGCCGTATACTACTTTCTCATGCAGCTGAGGGCCTTTCAGACGAAAGCGGGTTTTCGTAATCTTCTGTGGAAGAAATGGCGTCAGGGTGGTCGACGAGTCCTCCCCTTCGCCAATTCGTGGTTGTCGTAGTGGGAGACTCAAGTACAGCAGAGCTTGTGCTCGGGTCATTGCGACATAGAGCAGTCGTCTCTCCTCGTCGATGACCTCTGCACGCGAGTGCGGAATACTTCCATTATAGACAGCAGGAATGAAGACAACAGGCCATTCCAAGCCTTTTGCAGCATGAATAGTTGATATAGTAACTTTCTCAGAAGCTTGCTCGCCGTCATCTTGGGTTTGTGCCTCTGTAGCCAAGGCGACGTTTGCGAGAAACCGCGACAGCGCTTCTTCCCCAGAATGGACCTGCTGCTGCTCGACGCCTTCAATTTCCGGGAGGTCTTGTTCCTGATCTGCCTCCTCGCCAGATAGTATGGATTCATTAGCCTGGCCCATCAGTTCCTTAACGTTCGCCCAGCGACCATCTTCGTCCAGCGGATAGGTTCTGATGAGATACTCTTGGAAGGATAGACTTTCGGTAATGTATTCCAGGAGCACGCGTGGGGCGGATGCATCGTGGCAATCTTGCAACTTCTGCTTGGAAGTGTCGATCAGCTTAACGAGGGAACAGAGGCCCTGCTCCGCGGCTTTCTGTAACTTCTTCTCGGTCGATCGTCGGCCCTGTATGACGTCCTTGATGAACGTCCACAGTGGGACCCCGGCCTTCTCCGCACCACTTGTCAACTGTTTGATAGTTTCATCTCCGATTCTGCGCGGTGGCACATTTATAATTCCCAGTAGGGCATCTGAATGCTCCGTGTGACTGACGACCCGGAGGTAATTTAAAAGAATCTTAACTTCAGTCCGATCGAAGAATTTCCGACCACCAACCATTTTATACGGGATACCAGCTCGCCCAAATGCCGTTTCAATGCGCGTCGACAAAGACGCTGATCGAAGCAAGACCGCAAAATCCGACATTCGCAGCAAACCGCCCGTCATCGCCACAGTACGTTTAATCTCGAGAACCATCCAAAGCGCTTCCGCATTGGGATTGGGTAATTTTCTTAACACAGGAAGAGTGCCGAAAGAATGAGTCGCCTGGAGCGCCTTCGCCGGCCGCGCAGTATCCTGTTCAATGACATCCTGGGCGGAATTCAGGATTGACCCTGAAGAGCGGTAATTCGACTCGAGAAGGACGACCGAAGTATTTGAATAACGTTTCTGCATGCGGCGAAGATTCTGGATCTCCGCAGATCGAAACCCGTAGATACTCTGGTCCGGATCGCCGACGATCGTGATGCGCCGATGTTGTGCCGCGAACAGATTCATCAGCTCGTACTGGATGATGTTTGTGTCTTGGAACTCGTCAACCAGGACAGTCTGCACATTAGATACGCACTCTGGATGCTCTCGGAGGAGGTCACCGCAGCGCAGGAGCAGGTCGTCGTAGTCTAATAGATTCGCAGCGGCGAGGGCAGCTTCGTAGGCGCGGTAGATATCGACGAGCTCCGCCTCGTCGGCTTTCGCACGTTCAGCTAGAGCATCAGGAGAGAGACCGTGCGCCTTGTTGCGAGAAATCTTTCCCAAGGCCGTCTTGGGTTCCATGGTAGAATTTAATCGTTTGGTAATCCGCTGGCGCAATGGGAAGTATTATTAGCAAATGCCGGCCACGCGCCCCCAGTTGCTGCAAAAGAAAGAAAGTAACAAAGCAAACCAGTCATAAGTGAAAGAAAGGCCTTGTCCTCACACAACCCACTCACTCTCAGAATAGCCCTGGTATCATCCGAATCTGCAATCCCAAATCCCTTCCGCAGACCAATCAAATACCCATACTTGACAAGGTACCTGCGGCAGATAGAATGAAAAGTGCCCAGGATCAACCTCGACTCCAATCGCGATCCGATCAACTTCGCCAGACGCTCCCGCATCTCTCGGCTCGCCTTGATCGTGAACGTGCAGCAGATGACATCCTGCGGCAGGTATCCATGATGGGAAAGCAGGTATGCGACGCGCGCGGTCAGAGTCTTGGTTTTGCCGGAGCCCGGAGGCGCGAGCACCTGAAGAATAGGCGCGGAGGAAGTGACCGCTTCACGCTGGGCTGGATTCAGACCATCAAGAATGGGATCCATGACATTTTGAGGGCATTGGGAGGCTAGAGAGGATTGGGACGAGCAGGATGGGGTTCCGTGGGGGGACGCGCCCCGAAACGCGGTGTCATGTGACGTTGCTGCAGGGCTGAGGCGTATACATCTTGGGGCCGAAAGGCTTGTACTTTTGAGGCGATCATTGGGGCTTATACCGACCTATGTACTTCAGTACCACTGAAGTCGAATGGGTTCTTGCACATCGGTTGTTGCCATCTGAGACGTAGCGACCCATGGGGTTACTTCACTTTTGAGTCCGTCTTACTATTCCGTGAGTCGCTCAGGGAAGAGGTCAAATAGGGGCACTGTTCGAGGCCAAGTACATAATTAATCAAAAGCCATGCTTTCTGAGAACATATTAGAATTCACCAGGCCATTGTGTTGGACATGTTCATGACTACCATACACGGTGCAAGAAAGGAGAAACAAGGCTAAGTGACGAGATATGTAAATATGTACATCGTAGGAAAGACGCAAAAACAACAATTCAGCATGTCGGGGGTATCACATCAAGCACCCTGCAGAAAAAAATAGAAATCAAAAAATTATATATATAAAGAAAAAAAAAGAATAACTCAATCAAGTCGCCATCCACCATCGAACAAAGCAATATGTCTCACGCGGGTTTTAGCTAAAAATACCCAAGGGGATACTCATAGCGACTTCGTAGTTGGGCACGTTGACAATCTCGGCAATATGCAAGTCTGCGGCGACACTAGCCAGAATGTAGGCCTCGCTGCGCGTAAGACCCTTGGTGACGACAAGCCATTGAACAAGGTTACGAGTGGCAGTCTTGGCAGCCTGGAAAAGGTCGGAGGAGACACCGAGGGCACCGTATGTACCCAGATCCGGGAGGGGATTTGGTATTTGAGACCGTGGAGGGGTTTGGTACTGGGGAGCCGTCATCCAAGGTTGGTTCTTGAGGAGCTCGAAACGGAGAGTTGCTCGGATGGGGGTCTCGATGGCGGTACCGCAGACTTCGCCCTGGCCCTGTGCGGCATGGCCATCACCGCAACTGAAAAGAGCACCTGCAGTTTGCACGGGCAAGTAGACCGTGGAGCCGACGCTCAGCTCGCGGCAGTCCATGTTCCCGCCGGCATGTGTGGGCGGCACAGTGGAGAGCTCATCATCGTTGGCGGGCGCCAGGCCCATGCAGCCCAGGAAGGGACGAAGGGGAATCCGCATGTCCTTAAATCGGGCGTAGCCATTCTCCCGATCGAGAGACCAGATCTTGATCTCCGGGTCTGTGAACTCATCTGCCAACAAGCCAAAGCCCGGAATGATGGCGGACCAACCCCAATCTGCGACTTCGAGGTTCAGCACACTGACCTTGAGCACGTCGCCAGGCTGGGCATCTTGCACGAAGATTGGACCGAAGACCGGATTGGCGATACCGAGATCCAGGGATTTAATCGCTGAGGCGTCGGAACCGGGGTGGAGTTGGCCGTTGCTACTGTCGATGGCATCGAATGAGACGGTCTCGCCGGAGGCCACAGTCAATTTGGGTTGAATTTTTCGGGACCATTTCACATGGCCGCATTCTTTTCCCACATGGAAGTTCTCCCAGGTCGCGGACACCATAGCGGCGGAGGCTGGTCTTTTCGGCGTATGAATCTTGGTCAAAGTCATAGAAAGACCGATCGACCTCTCTGTGGTTCGTCCTATTGATGTAGTAGGCCTAGGTCTATGCCGGCGTGGGTATGGGAGTGGTTGGTTGTCTAATTCTTTCCTGGTCGGACGTTGACTGATAGCCTGGGGTGGCTCGGTGGCGAGAGTCGAGAAGTGGAAAAAAAATTGGGGAAACAACCGAAAAAGCGATGGATAGAGTGGTAAGTGAGGGGAAAGATGAGGGGAGGGCAAGAAAAGAAACAAGCAGGATAGTCCGCCTTGATGAATGATACTTCTTTCTCTCGCTGTATCTCTCTCTCTCACTCACTCTCACTCTGTCCAAGGAACACACTCCTAATTCAGGCACGTCGAGCGAGATCCTCTGCAGGATGGACCGTTAGGGAAGGTGGATAGGGCCCGGGATCTTAGAACATCATTGCTTGTTCGTCCAGGGATCTCCACCCTGGCAGCCCAATTTCATCGCCTGCCTAAACTGGCATGACAGGTCTCGAGAGCCCTCACGACGATTGGGCCCGCTCTTGCACGTCGAGTCTGGGAGCCTCTGGGGTTCGGCGCAAAGCGCAAGAGCGGGAATGCACAGACGCCCTGCAGACGCTGGTTGGCGGAGAAGGCACGAAAAGGGTCCACCCCGACGGAGCGAAGCGACCTTGTTATCCGCCTGTACGGAGGCTTCTGTCCAGCAGATGGTCTGCCCAGCCCTGATCCCGGGTCGTGGTGGAGATAACCTTGTCAAGCGGGGGCGTTGGAGGAAGAGGAAGGAGCAACATCTCGAGTTTCCCGCAACTCGATTGGGATAGATCGACGACGAGGTTGGCGAATAATTCACCTAGGGTTCGAATCACCACATTCTCGTCGAGATAGTCGTTGGTTGTCGGTGATGTTGTCGTTGATGTTGTCGTTGACTATATAGAAGATAGAGGATAGAAGATGGACTCGATAGTTAGAATCGATAGACTCGCCCGAATTAGATAAGAATCGGCAATCTGTATCCATCTATTCATCATTCAAGTGGAACCCCAGGGTGATTCTCGAGTCGAGTGGGCACGCTGAAACGCTGAAACACTGAACGCGGTCACGGCCACAAAATGGAAGGGCAAGTTGATCTCGGGGAGGCCGAAGGAGGGGCAGCAGTCGCGAACAATGAAAAAGCAGCCCCGAAATCTCCGACGTTGGCTTCTCACGCTTTCCCTCCTATAAAAGAACGTGGATTGCATGATGTGCAGGACAAGCTCGGGAATCCGATTGGACCTGGTGGATTCGTTGCTGCTCTGTTTTTTTGGGGGGTTTTTTTTTCATTTTCATTTTCATTTTTTTCCCATGCCGGGATACGTAGCCCGATGTCACTGCTGAGAATACAGAACTCCAAATTGGACTTCATCGACTACTATAACGACTTTATATGCTACTCCTGTCTACTCCGGATTCTTCAACTTTCTTCCCCGAGACTTTTTCTCAGGACGAAACCCAGAGATGCTGATGCTCATAGGACGGTGGAATTTTTTGCTGCAGCAGTCATCCTGCAGTACTCTGCAGTACTCTGCAGTCCTACTTGGGTCTCTATGCACGGCGTGGTTACTTGGCAGTACATCGAACTATGAACTCAATCGGACAATTCAACAAAGATATCTGCTGGATTCGATACTCTCCTCTCTCCTCCCCACCCTCCTCTTTCTCCTATACTTCCACGAATTCATCGTCGACATGGTTTCTGTTTTCTATTGAACCCCAATTCCTCGTCCAACCGGATCCATCCCCTGCGAGCTGATGGGCACGATCTTTCAGACAACCACCTTCTTGTTCTGGTAAGCCCCAGCGAACTGCCGTGGAACGCGGTGGACTCGACCGGGACTCAGCCGACATGCATAACACAAAACCGTCGAGTGTGGACCCTTGTCCCTGGTCTTGGCAGACTGAAGAAACGAGGCTGGAGAGCAAGAGGGAGAGAGAGAGAGAGAGAGAATGTGAGGAACCGGAGATAGAGACACAGAACGCTGGCCGAGGGCCAAGCATCACGTCTGGCCCTTTGGCTCCTTTCGCCTCAACTTGCCCGAGTCTGTGCCCGTGCGACGAACTCCGAATCCTTCGTCTCGTTTTCGTTTCCGATCGAGCCAACGCTCAACCCTCGTGGGCCTACGGGGTACACGTCTCTTCACACCTCCTCGGAGACCCGGGAACCTCCAGACCCTCTCTGAATCGATCTTGGTCCGTGATTGACTTCTTCGGATTCGACTTGTCTTTGCTTCTGCCTAACGCACCATGAAGCCCAATCCCAGCCCGCATCAGCCACAATGGCACATACAAGGGTGTCTGGGCACGCTCGATGTCCTCCTTCCTCTTTCTGCTATCGCTTCGTCTGCTATCTTCCTCCCCTCCGATCTCTTGTCTCGATTGCCTGGTCGTTTCCTGGCCCTCTCCCCAGCCAAACACCTTTCTCGCTTCGATCGCCCCACTTCCCCATCACGAATGTTGCCCGTCCAGCATCGCAACAATGCAGGAGGCATTGTCACTCTTCGAGTGACCAGAACTGGTGGAGGCTACCTCTTGCGCAATGTCGCTGGCCCGCATCCCCCGCATCGCCAGTTTCATCACGTGCTGGATGAGGGCCGCATCATCGGTGCGGTCGCTGACCCCATCTGACGTGATGACCAACAGGTATCGTCGGTCGGCCTGCAGCGTCCGCCGCGAGGTATACGGGTCGTTGGACAGAAAGTCTCCACGCGGGCCCAGTGATGACGACGAGGCGCGCGCCCGCGGTATTGAGCCATCGTCCACGGTGTTGACGGGGTTCTTGTACTGAAGGTCGCCCAGCGCGCGGGACATGTTCAGGGATCCTGTTTTCCTCTCCCTCCCCCCCCCTCGGCATCTGCCGTTAGTTCCAAATTTTGTGCAAAGTGGGATTGAATAGCTTGGACTAGGCAAATGGTCTGGTCCAAGGCTACAATAACCGGAGAGAGTAGGATCTGAGGGTAACTCACCAAGCCGAGTCACTCCGCTGCGTACTTCTACCGTTCCCCCAGCTTCCTCAATACGTTCGCGTTCGCTGGTCATCTCCGGTTTATGTGCCTGTGTCAATCGGCGCTAGTGTGTGGTGTGTCAACAACCTTCATCCTTGTTTTTTGGATTTTTTTTTCTTTCCCAAGAAATACGAAATCGACCAAAAAAAGGGAAAGGAACGAAGGGGGAAAAAATAAACAACAAAAAAAACCAACACCCAACTACCTGCCTATTTGGGTAGGAAGTGATCAACAGGACTGACATACAATATGATACGGACACTCTGTTTGAGGGTCACGCTCGGCCAAGATGACATGCGAGTCGCCCAGATTGGAGACCACCAGTTCGCCCTTGGTGAGGTTGATGAAGCACATCGCCGCGGTGGACCCTGATATGGCAGGTTCGGCAGACTCATGCTTGAAACTCTCCAGGAGCAGCCTATCCTCTTCTATCAGGGCCGCCTTCATGGCCGCCGCATATTCCCCCTGTTGCATCTCCGGCCGCTGTGCCAGCAGGTAGTGCAGGTGGCGGCTGGCATGGTCTGCGACCAGTCCGGAACCACTGCTCAATTGTCAATGCCGAGAACGAAAAAGAGTCAGGTCTTCGCCGTGGGGCGCTCTTACTGCCCGTCATAGATCGCAAAGAACGCCAGCTTGTCGTCGGTTTTTGCAGGGAACTGGTCCGGCAGGATCAACGTGTGTCGGTCTTCTTGTGATGGTCGGCTTCCTTGTGCCTGGTTTCGGAGGCTTTAATCTATCTTGGAGCTATCGTAATTCGGACGGGCATGAAGAGAAGACTCACTTGACCAGCACCGACATCGAAAAGCAACACCGCATCGTCCGTAGACATGATTGTGTTTCGGAACATTTGGTCCCTTACAGCTCGATGGGCCAGGACCATATTGGGTTTCTGAGGAAGTTGTTTTTCGCATCCCTCGAGGCCTTGTTCTTTTTGCCTTGTACCGTGACCATATGCCGGTGATGGCGTACTGACATCATGAACAGTTTTCGCGTAGATTATCTTGTGCACCGACTTGAAAAATCATAGCACGTAATTATGGGGGGTTCTTTTCCCTTTACCGCCTTCTTTTTTTAAAGTGGAACAAGAATGAGTCCTTATGCGCAGATTGACTCGTGGGCCCAATCAAGGGTTTCTCTCCGGGATAGGGATCTTGCTTGGTTCGGGATGTTCCATAGATGATAGATGGGAATATATGTTGATACCCCAAAACTCGATCGGTTTCCTGTGCGACGTTGCCTACATTGCATCTTCTTGTAGAGCGTCACACATCTTATATTTTCGAAACACTAAACGGATATTGAAGCTAGACCTGACCCTTCGTAGATTCGCCCATTTTCTGTACTGGTCTCGAACACCCGATCGGACGCACGGACCACCGAAGCCTGGGGCGAATCTGCAACGAAAGTTGTCGAGGCAGGCACTTGCACCTCTCTCAACCTCTCCCAACCTCCCCCAGCTCTTCACAATTATCCCACAGTCCGACTATGGGCTGGCTTGGTACGGGGAGTCTCGCCGCGACGGCTGGCTATTTTCTATCTCGCAAATCTCCTCAGAGCCAGACCCCGGATATAACGTCCTCCACCCAGCCGGACTCCAGTTCCGACGCGCCAGGTTCGCCCACTGACGAACCCGCCGCGACAAGACATGACGCAGGCATATCAACTCCCCCACATACACATGATGACGACGATGGTCTCCAGACTACCCCCAAGGCCTCGGCATCCGACGCACCGCCACCGGCCCTGGCTGTTCCTGTCTTGAACCTAGGCGGCGGCTCCAGCGGCGAGACCACCGATGCAACGACAGAGCCATATACGAAGCAGACCACAACTCATGCACCAACCGAGACGAGGCCCCTCGGCCGTCCCAATGGGACATCTAACATCACCGCACCCGCGCCGCCTGTACCGTCGCTCTCACTCTCAACACCTCCACAACCCCCCTCATCCTCCACAACCCCCAGCAGCGCAGCCGCCCCCTCCCTTATGCCCCCTCCGCCAATCCCCCGCCCCCGCCAGACCCCCCAGCCAAACCGCCTCCCCCTCCCACCAGCAGTGTCGCACCTCCGCGCCCCAACCCAATCACTGCCCTCCGGCCCCCGCCTTCCGCCGCCGCGACGCTCCGCGCACCGCCCACCAGCACCGGCCTCAGCAGCAGCACCCTCGCCCCAACTCCCGTCAAGAAGCCCGGGTCGCGCAAAGTCATCCTCGCCCCGGGCTTCTCGCCGCTGGACTGGGCCGCGCGCGCCGCAGACCCGCGCAACACGCTGCGCGGCGACCTGCCGCCGGGTCTGCTGCGCGTGACGCCGGCCATGCTGAAAACGCAGAACGGGCGCCGCGGCCGTGACGCTTGGACCTCGTACCAGGGGCGCGTGTACAATATCCAGCCGTACGCGCCGTATCACCCCGGCGGAAAGGGCGAGCTGCTGCGCGGCGCGGGGAAGGACTCCGGCGTGCTGTTTCAGGAGGTCCATCCGTGGGTGAATTGGGAGGGCATTCTGGGGGAGTGTTTGGTGGGGATCTTGGTCAGCGATAATGACATTGTGGGGGATAGTTTGGATGCGATGGATTGAGGATAGGGAAGGGGGAAGAGAGGGCCTCCTATGTTTTGCACATATTTTCACGTTGGACCCGGGGGTGGTGGCAGAGGACGCCGTCTATGTAACGATGTACAATATATTATATAGATTTATTCCGCATACATGCTAGATCAGATACCCCGAATAGAAGGGCAGCAGCCATTCTATCCCCGAGAAGCAAAGACCACATGATGCAAGCGTAACAAGACTGGCCGCTTGTTTCTTGTTTTTGGTTCATTTTCTTGCGTTCAGGGTTGGAGTAAATGGGGCTGGTAGCTATCCATTCCAGCTCGCGACGGCCGTTCTTCTGGACACGATCTGCTCCACAGATAGGTATACATGTTTGCAGCCACGCACTACCTGGGCCATTGTAATCCCCCCTCACAGCTCGTCCTTGTCTACACCCTCAATGCCAACCAGCTCTGTCTCGAACACCAGAGTCGAGCCAGCGGGAATCGGGCCCACGGCGCGGTCGCCGTAGCCGTACTCGGGCGGGATTGTAAGCGTGCGCTTCTCGCCGATGCACATGTCTAGCAAACCCTGGTCCCATCTGTAGTGATCAGAAAGCCGGTTAGCGAGGCTGAAAGTATCGTCTTGAGTGTAGGAGAGGGGGGTAATATAGAGAGGTGAAGAGGGTAAAGAGAGCCAGGGAGGAGAGAGAGGATGCTGTGTGTGTGATTGGCGCGGGAAGAGCGAACTCCAATCGTTCTAAACATTCAAAATCAAAGACTTTGAGTAATACTCCCTCCCATCCGGCACTAGAACCAGGACCAGAAGCAGAACAGCGCGAAACATGCTAAATCCTGGGGGCAAGGGGCCCTGGTCAAGGAGCCGGAGCGAGACACCTCGGCCGCGAAGATCTATAAGACCCCGAAGAAGGGAACGCGACTCACCCCTTAATCACGCGGCCAGTGCCGAGCTTGAAGCTCAGCGGGACGTTGCGCTTGAAGCTGGAGTCAAACTCCTTGCCGTCGGCCTGGAGGGTGCCGCGGTAGTGCATCTGGACAGAATCACCATTCTGGGTCTTACGCGTGCACTCGACCTCATGTGTGACATCGATGCCGAGCTCAGCGGCGCAGGCGAGGGAAGCGAGGGAGAGGAGGATTGTAGTGAGACGCATAGTGGCGAGGTTGGGTGGGTGGTCGCGAGGGGAGAGATTTGGTATGTTGTCAGGTCAATGGAGGACGCGAGGGCGATTGGAATTGGGACGCCGAAATCTGGGAGAAGAGGAAAGGAGGAGATGAGGATATGGTGGCAGTTGGAGAGAGGAGGGGGAGGAGAGGAGAGCGCAACGTGGAGTGCGGAGGCGTGTGGTTGCGGCCCGTCAAAGTGGGGCTTGTAACAGCAACAAGGATCAGCATTGGAGGCAATGGGATAGAGCTAATAGAAGGGTCGATTGTACGTATTTTAGGCTAAGTCGTACGGAAATTTTAGGAAATAATCTACTGCTGTCGCAACCCGCGATCAGTAACACCCATTTTCAAGTAAGTATAGAGCCATAGAGCCAGTTGGGGTATAGTGTTTTCTAGCAAGAGCCATTCAAGGGGAAACTACTAGCAATCGAAAGCTAGTCCTCAAAACTGTGGCCTCAGAATCAAGGTCTCCTTCAAAATTTTACCAGTTAGAGGCCTAAAAAAAGCCTCAACCGTCCTTCAAAGGCGTGCTTTCATTAGCAACCACACGCGCAACACCATCACCAGCAAGAGCTTTCAGATCGTCTTCACCCATAGCACCGTCCCACCCATTCGACACCAAGTAGGCTCGGAACTGCTCATCGCGCACCCGGAGATCCTCACCTGAGAGATCAGGAACAAAGAAATAGGTCACCGTGATACCGACTACGCCGCAAATGGCCGCAATGATGAATGTCCAATTCTTCCCCAGCCTGTTCTCAATCGGCTGGAACGCCTGCGTACCGATGGCTGCGCCGGCTTTACCTACCGCGGCGGAGATACCGTAGCAAGTACCACGGACACCGGTAGCATAGGACTCAGACGAGATCAGACCAAGAATGTTCCCAGGCCCGAAATTGCCGGAGCTCTGCATGAGCCCGTAAAAGACGATAAAGAGCGGGACGATCTTGGTGATGCGGGAGTAGGCGCAGCCAATTATCAGGCCGAAAACGAGATATCCACTGAATCCAATCATCATCACATTCTTGCGGCCGACACGATCACATAGTAGAGCCCCGAGGAAGACACCGGGAAGCGCAATGGCTCCCAGCAGAAGCTGCCATTCTCCGGTTTGAAGAATAGTGCCGTTAGTGACAACTGATGAGATGATGGTGCCTGAAAAGACACCATTTGGAAACGTAACGAAGTCTGGTGAAAGCAATTTAGCCTGGAGGAACTGAGAGACTGTCTATCATCATTTTGGGCGTGATGAAAGTCTTACCGTACAGGAACCAAGCACCGCAGGTGCCAATCAGCGCCTTCCAGTAGTATCGAATGACAAGGAGATAGGGCACATGCTTCTTGATTGCCCCACGGCGATAAAGTGTTGAGTTGAGCATGCGAATGCGGAAGTAGAATACTGAGAGTGGCCAGATGCAGCCAATGCCAAAACACACACGCCATACGGTGCTATAGTGCGATTGTTGGCAGGCCATGAGTACAATCAAGAAAATGGATACCGCAAAGGGGCCACCAAAGGATAGTGGGAAGTTGGTCACCATGATGAAGGCCGGACCACGGTGCTTAGGGGTTAATTCGTTCGCGGATTCGGAGGCTGAGGTAGACGAGGCTGGGTACTCCCCACCGGTGCCTACAAGCGAGGGTTAATACTTGAGACATAATTGATATCAGGAAAAACGTGGGAAGAAATTACCAAAACCAACGACGCCACGTGCTACAGTCATCATCCAGAACATGCCATTAATCGTAACGCCATGAGAAGCAGTGGCCAGGATGCCACCGATAATGATCATCAGTGTCGTAAATACGATGGCCCATTTTCGACCAAGGTAGTCGCAAGTGAGACTGGGCCAGATGATCAGAGTCCGGAGTACTTAAAGTTACAAGTTCTGGGGAGAAGGTGCTTACCCAACAACAACCTGCCCAATGACTTCGCCCACCAACAGCGCATTAGACACGCGCGTGCTCACGGTGGAGGTATACTCCTTGGGGTATTGCTTCTTGAGAAGAACATTGGTCATGGTCCTACATTCAAGGGGCGTAAGTTAGGGCTCATATCCTCTAGGGTTGAGGGGAAGAAAACACCGACATGAGATTGTTCTGGTATCCATCGCTGATAAGGGCAAAGCCACTGGCGAACTATAAATACGAAATTCTGTTAGTTAGTAATCTTCTCCGGATGTAAAATTGGTATCAATTCGCTGGAAAGAAACCCACAATCGTAAACAGATTCGATAGACTCTGTTTTTCCTTGGAGACCTCGCGTGAGGGGTCAGAATTGGAGTTGGGGCCGGAATCAAGAGCGCTGGCAGAATCGTGGCCCTCGGCTTTAGAAACCTCTGTCTCTGGATCGAGAGCCAACGACGGCTCTGTAGTCATTTTGCTGTTCTTGCGCCCAATACGGGGTCTCTGAGAGATGGCTGAGATGTGTGTACAAAAAGACTGTGGAAAAGCAAGCGGAGGATTTCAATCGGGCAAGGTACCATGTGCGAGGTAGTACAACCGTGTGAGCACGGGATCAAAACCGTAGGAACACGCCAGCCCTATGAAAATAGGATGAGCGGAGGAAAGCTAAGCTCTGCCACGACGCCAATAACCCAGATTGATGCAATTGAGGATTGCAAGGCATGAGCGCTGCCCGGTTCGGGCAAGTTGTACATTCCAGCTGTCAACCACGTTCTGTCTGCTTCGAGAATGGCGGAATGTGGGGGTGGGTCCTAGGGCTGCGTGATGGAGTTTCGTTAACACGCAAGGGGAGCGTACATGTGGAAGATGTTATCTTCTATTTGGAACAATAAGATGTAGTTGGCATGGATTTGATTGTAGATCTAATAACAGTATCCTGCATCCATGACATGACCTCAAAATGTCTGAGATCCGGTGACGGGAAAAAACGCCAGCTTTTAGAAAAAATCAACGCTAATTATGTACGCCTGCGCTGAGGCAAGCCAGGTTGCCCTGCGGGTATCAATGCATGTTCATATGACCAGGGATACATCAAACAGTATAGAACCCCCACTTTTGCACAGCAAAAATTCATGAACAGAGAGAAGAAATAGGAAGAAAAAGAAGAGGGAGAGGGCTCAGAACTGAAACAAAGGTATCTATGCCCATTTCCCGAGAAGAGCCATGAGGGCGGCGCCCATGCACAACAGGATGAAAGCGGCCAACACCTCCCGGATCGGAGCTTTGCGCATCGAGTGGCTGAACATAAACTCGTGAGCCATGAGCTCTACTAGCGCAGTGTAAATGAGAATACCGGCGGAGATGGAATCAAAAACACCGTTGACGATCAGCGTCGTGCGCCCCTCAGGCGGATAGCTCTGGCGGACGCCCAGTCCAATGGCAATGGCGATGGGAGTCGAGATACCAAAGGCAAGTCCGAGAAGGTACGGTGTGTGGCGCTTGGATTTGGGCCAGGGAAGCAAGGCAAGTCGGGAACCCAAACCCAGGCCCTCGAAGGTCTGATGGAAAACTAGGACGATGTATAGGGTGGTGAACTCGGAACCTGATACCGCCAGCGTGAGGCCAATGAAGACTGAATGGAAGATGATACCGAACTCAAGAATAAAGATGGAGGTCAGCTGAGCGGCATAGTCTTCGACAGATGTGATGTCCTCTTTTTCAGCGTCATCGGTGTCGTGATGCTCGCGGGAGTGACCGAGGTGATCCTCACCGGGCATGTGGTGACTTTTGCTGTGGCTCACTTGCTGAACCATGGGCTCGGCGGTGTCGCTGTGGGAGTGGGAGTGGTCCTCCTCGTCGCCGTGAGAGTGGCTCCCTCCGAAGCGGGAGAAGCGCATGACCATCAGCTCGACGAAGAACAGAAGGACAATGGTCATCAAAATGATGCCCTCAACCCAGCTGTATTCGGTGATTGGACCCGTCAAACACGAGTTCGTGAGAGCCTCTTCGGCCGGCGCCAGCAGGTGAATGAAGGCAGTCGCGATAATGACACCCGATCCAAAATATTTGGCGATGAAGAAGGCCCATTGTGGGAAACCGCCTTTCCCACTAAAGCGTCGAGCGAATACAGGAAAGAGGGCTCCAAACAGTGACCCGACCATGATGACAAAGATAGACGAGATACGCAGACCCATGTGGCCATCGTAATCGTTACCCGTGGCACAGGCGTCTGTCTCGCGCTTCAGGAGCGCGGTAAGCGGCTCGATCTCCATAATGGGTGAGGAGAACAGGAGTGTTTTGCTGCACGTCACAAATCGAGCACAGCGGGGAATTAAGGAAGTGGACTATCGTCAAAATCCACGAATGGATCTCTCAGTATCAGTGACGGATCGACAGAGTCGGCGTCAACGGATCAATCAGACTGGGTGAATCGTGAGCACCTTGGGAGAGAAAGAATAGCAGGATGGCGATCTGGCAGGGTTTTGACGTTTGGCGGGGTTTCCACGATGACAACAGACGAGCGGTTTTTTATGTGGGCTCTTTGCTGCGCTAGCTGTCACCCCCAAGGTCCTCGAGTATAGGTGAAACGGTCCAATCGCCGGCGGGGAGCCGACCAGGTTGGCCTGTCGAGATCGAACCCTAACGACCGTGTGGCTCCAGTAATTCGTGCAGTTGCGATGCAGGAAAGAGTACGAACAGATGCTCGTTCAGGCTCTTGGCGACGCACGATGTGGCATTCGGTGAGGACTACTCCGTTTCACGCAAGAGAGAAGGAGGACGGCAATATTCTAGATTTTCCGAATGCGACTAGTCCCGGTGTGAGTGAGTACCTTGAGAGCCGATAGAGTCGACACAATAAAGAGTGGAAGATGGAACGCGGTCTGGGATGAGCGAGATCACAAGAGAGGGACTCGAATTCCATGCCAGAATCAAAATCTGCGGGAATTGTAGCCGGACTGTCCAGCGGGTGGAACAGAGTGGGATCCATGGGGACCTTGTTGGCTTCGAAGACGTCAAGTCGGAGTGTGCGCCGGTGCCGCGATAGGTAGCGGGTACTTCCAAACTAATAATAATTGTGGCTGGGAAGAAAGTATCGGGTACTTGTTACCCGAGGGGTGAGGTGAGGACCTTGGGGACGGTCAGCGTTTTCCGCTTGCATTGGTTGGTCCCGGTCACGTGGACTCAACTCGATGCTCTTTTCCGTTGCTCGAGTACACGAGTATAGATGTGGCACCGGAAGTGACAGCGAGACGATGAGCGTGGCGGGATGATAGAAGACATGGTCTGCGGAAGTTGGTGATGTGAGAACGAAGATTTCCCCAGGGTCCAGGATGATGGAGGTCCTCGCCAATCACAAGATCTGCGGGCGAAGCTTGGCGCGGATTGGATGAGCTCATCTTCCTGCTCTCTCCACCAACGACTTGGACCTTCTTGCTCGCCTGCGCTACCCAACAACCTCTCAACATGGCCCCGATTCGGCGCTATCTGCGCATCAGCAAATACTCAGTAATCGAGTGCCGTATCTACCTCGACAACCCATCAAATGCCCGGTGGCTCTTAGACCCTCGTGATCCTGTCCTGTCCCGCGTGTTCGCCGCGATTCGACCATTAGTGCTACCCAAACTCCGCGAGGAGAATGAACGATTGTGGGCTCGCAAGAAGGGCAAGCCTGTCAAGGATGTGATTGCAGAAGGTAGGGTTGTTCATGCTGAATGACTTGGTCTACTGGACGACGGCGAATGGAGCGGTGCTAAAGTCACGGTGTACGGAATAGATGAGTTCGAGGTAGCCATCTTCCTCCGGGAATCGCGAACCCGACATTCACTCCTCACGCGTAACAAGACCTTCAAACAATCGAATACGCAGAAAGACTCCAGCGAAAATGCTCGAGAGGAGACAAACACCGCGGCCGAATCAGCAAATCCCGTTAACCCTACCGATACCGAGATTATCATTGAGAGTGACAGCGAGCACGAGGTCAGCTTGCACAACGTTCCTGAAGCGAACGAGGGCCGTGATACCTCGGAAGGAGTCGAGTCGTCGCGACAACGACGGAAGGCATTGCAAGCAGACCGAGCGGAGGCCGAGGGTACAAATGACGAGAAAAAGATGGGCTTTCACACGGATTACGAAAGCTTCAATATCTGTAGTTGGGTTCTTTGCCTTCTCATTACTCGCAAGGGCGACCGAACCCGGGCCAATGTTGCAGCAATGGAACCTAAGCAGCCGTTGATGGAGGAATGGATCTCAACTCAGGCTGCGACCGGCCTAGATGAGGATTAAAGATGCCGATGTGTTTTGATGACCTTCCATTTTGGTCCTTCAGCAAAAGATCTGAAACTACAGGTTAACACACGGTCACGGACTATTGGGGGCCGAAGATAAACGACGATTTTCTGCAGTTTGCATTCTGCACGAATAAGCTCTGCATCCAAGGGTCAGAGAGTGGGGAGCCACGGCGGCTTAATCTGTCGGCGCTCTCGATGTGACCTGCTCTAAATTGCAGTTGCAGGGCTTCTGCACCTACGATGTGCCACCCGACTGACACCAATGGGAGCGACCAACATCCCCCTGATGTGCAGAATATTGGGACGGGAAAGGCTTGAACGTGGCTGCGCCCGACTCTCTTCCTTTCTCTCGCCCACCCATGTCACTTCCACATCCATCAATCAATGCACCGCTACAATGCGCTATTACGGTGCAACTAATTGGCTCATTACAGACTGCCGTCCTCTCCGAGGATGGTTTCTCGAGGAGGGTTGGATTTGGACAAACGACCATTTTGGTTTACTTTTCAGCTTAGTCCAACACCCTTGTAAGTCGCTTAGCGTGCCGAAATTTGTCAGGGTTAGACTTGCAATCGGCTGTGCGACGAGGGATTTTTAGCTGCTTGCGCTATGGCTGATCCAATGCACACCCGAAATGTCTGTATGCCTGTCATCCTTAGGATCCATACCCGAAATAGGCATCGGAGAACTGTCGTTCCCAGAATTCCACGGTTTCGGTTGCGTTCAGAATATAGGAGAGTACATACTACGTACACACTACTAGGAGCTAGCCAAAACAAAATGAAACCGTACTCCCAAACCAGGCTTTCTTTGGCTGGGCCCCGTTGTGATAACTTTCCCGACCACCTCAACCATTTTCCACGGGTCGGCCATCCCCGTTGACTGGCCTAACCGCAGTAGTTGACCTCAGCCCAGGTTTCCTTTTTTTTCAGTTCAATTTCTTCAGAACCTCGGCCCCGGAGCTTCCAGAAGATCGCACCGAAGGCTGGGTTTGCCGCAGTGGAGCTGGAAAGGGTGGGAACATGAAACAGCCCGCGTCCTCCACTGTCCCGTGACCTCCACGGTCGACACTTTCCGTTTGCTTCCTTCTGGTTTTATTGGCATTCTGGGTATCACTTTTCGGTTCGTTCTGATTTCTCATCAAGACCCCATTGACTGGGATGCTGAGAAACTAGGGAGTTCTTTCCCGGCCAGTCGGAGATTGCCAGATAAGCTGACGAATTGGCCCGGGCATTGCGTACAACCCAGTATCGATCGGAGAGACGGGGAGGCACACTATACTCCCAACTATACCTACTACAGGCTAGAAAGCAGTCCATATCATGATGATCTCCAGAATGCAGACCAGCGAATCAGGATGCGTGATCTCAACAGCGAGACAGGATCATACGTGCGATCATTTCCGCTCTGTGTATGGAATCATTACTCCATACCGTTATTGCTTGAATCACTAGAGGAGCGGTGAACCTTGGAACCATGAGCCACAACCCACAATGATCCTGATCGTGATAACATCAATAAATATCGGAAACAATTAAGTCTTTTTTTGCCACGTGTGACGAGCCGACACCCGAACCAAACCACCTCATCCACCAAACTGGCAACTCGCTCTCGAAATCCTGGATCCTGCATCCACTTGGGAGTTTATCTAGGCGGCCAATTATCCTCGTCCGATGACTGGAGAACGCCCTTGCGCGTTCCCCATCTTCTCCATCCTGCTCCTCTTGCTCCATCCTCAATTTGGTACCATGCTAGCAGGCACCCAAGAAAATCCTTCTCCAGTGTTTCGTGCTCCATACGCGACCCAAGAAAGAAAAAAAACCACGGCGACATCTCACATCCACTCCTGTTACCCGAGGCCTCCACACTGGTGTTCCAACGGTGCAGAACGGCGGATGATGCACCCCATCATTGAGCGGACCTGGCATCCCGCTCTAGTCCACTTTCGACATGTTTATTGAAGTTAGTGGCCCCTTTTAGCGTGTCAAAGTTTTGATTTTTTTTTCTTGTTCGGTGTCTTCGTCCTTTCTTGTTCGCCACTGCTACGCTCTTCTCCCGCTCTACTCCCGCTCTACTGTATTCTCGCTCCACTCTAGCCTGCGCTGGTTGGGGTGATGGGAACCGCTTGAGCCGCGAACCTGCCAGGAACAGGCATCGACCAGGAACCGCCAGGCAGTCCATCTCCACTCCCCACGCCTTTCCTGTCTTTCCTTCCCTTCTAACTTTCTAACCTTACCTTCTTAACTATCCTGGGTTTCCCCCAAATCCCGGTCGCACGGACAAGGCCAATGCCACCGTGTTACCGCATAGGGCTGTGGTCATGCGCTCCTTGGTTTTTTATTTATTTATATTTCTTTCTTTCGGGGGTGATTTACCACTCGCTCGGTTCTCTGCCTTCCCGCTGACCAATGTCAACGCACATAATTTCCTAAGTGTTTCCTAAAGACGTTTCCGGTGCAGCCGTTCCTGAGGGCCAAAAACTTGGAACTTCCGGGGCCTGCCGGAGGATCAGAGGGTGACGTCTCCAATTTGGAGAAGCAATGACCTAGCAGTAGTACGGAGTAACTAGTAGGTATCAGTAACTGACCTACATGATTTCATATTAATATTCTTGTTCTTCGTACTCCGTATTTCGTCTATTAGCGCCGACAACTTGCATCGTCATCTCCGCCCCGTTGGACGGTGCATATATCCGACGTATCCTCGACCCAGTCCCAGTCCTACCTATCCGGAGATAGGAAGATAGCGTCACCCTGGTGGAGGTATAGTGTGCCCCTTCTAATCCGTAAAGTAAGTGCGTGGAGGTCGAGCACGCAATGGACGCCACACGGGCACCATAGCCTCGGATCCCAGACGATCTCCCAACCATGAAACATCTGATGTGCGCGATCCATGCTGGACAGGCTGACTCTGACGAACGATCTTGTCCCCTTCCTCTCTGTACACATGTACTCTGTAGATCCCTGTCGGTCGCTCTGCATGAGGGGCAAATTATGATGTCTTGTCCCCTTTGGCCCTTTTTTCCCCCTCCAACCCCACTCGAGGCATAGACCCAGGTACAGGCACACCCGCGCATGTGAATTGCGCATCCCCCCCCCTTCCGTCCGAACGTGCAGGCTCCCAAATGAGGATGTGCAATGCACAGTTCGCTTGTACCACTACTTTAATTGGACCGTCCTGCAGAGATAGCGATCGAGCAATAGACGGGACAGGGGCGGCAGCAGGCAGATGTCATTTGCGCCTTCTGCTGGCTCATACTCCTGCAGGTGTCCCGCGGGTGTCAGATGTGAGATGATCCGAAACCCATCGAACCGGTCCTCAGCCCTCAGCCACACCAGGGCGGAGGTAACTCGGCTGTGTTCTCCACCAGCGGGCTTTCGCGACTCAAATTTGGGTTTACCGGTTTACGAGTGAGCTAGGGCTTCCCACTACTCTACCCTAGTCAGACAGGTGGAAGACAATAAAGAAAAAGTGTCCTCTATACTCCTTTCGTACTATCAAGGCTACGTATCTCCTCCATGCTTTGGATTTCGATTCCTTGTACCCGAGCGATTAGTCCGACGAGATTCCTCCAGGCAATCCGTCCCGGGTTGAACAGGTCCCTGAACCCTACCACCGATTATTCGTTGGCACAAACGGGTGTGAACCATGGTTCCCGATGGTATTCAGGGAACACTGTCCACCCTGGATCCTATGTTTGACCGAGCATGGTTATTTTGATTTTTGTTTCCCGTTCTTTTATTAGTACTACGCGGGACGGCCGTACCAAACAACACCAAATCCGGTGATTGGTTTTGAGTTAGTTATAGTCCTTTTTTCTTAGAAACAAATAAGCAAAAAATTCCCTTTCCCCTGCCCAAGTGAGACACCGTGACCTCACCCACTTCCCCGGGACCGTTATTTCAGGGAAAAAAAAAGAAAACGTTTTACAGATTGACGTGTCACATTATGTGACCCCCCTGCCCTTCTTCAGGACCAAGAGTTCAACCTGGAGAAAATAGGCGAATCAGAGCAGCTGAAAGAGCCCCCTGCCTCACGAAACAGCTTATCTTTTCCTTCGCGAACCTTGGCCATGGAAAGGCAAGGAATGAAAACCCGATGGAATGAAAAGAAGCAAAGTATCTACTCTGTACGGACTACGAACTACGGTGTGTATCTGGACATAGGTCACAAAAGCAACTAGAAAACGGAGAAATTCCCGGGCGATACGAATCGACCCAAACCTGGCCCTAATTCGCCGGGGGATTGGCTCGCTTTGATCGACATCCACGTGTAGTACGCTGGCCTCAATCCCAACCGATTGGACCCTAGCTGGGGGCTGTCGTGGGCGTTTGGGCCGCTTGATTCATGGAAGGGAAGTTCCCAGGCTGTTGGTTTTGTGGTGCTTGGGCCCTCAAGTTCTTTGAGACGATCAATCATCAGTGTCGATACACTCTGGACACGGACGTTGACCAACCGGGGTTGTACAGCTGAGTGACCGGGGTGAGCAATCCCAAATAAAACAAGAGAAGCATAAAGCGCTCCAGCAGCTTTTTTTTTTTTTTTTTCTTTTTTTTTTCTATCTTTTTTTTCTCTGCCTCACCGCATCAACCGTCCCGATGGAGCCCCTGGTGGGCCCACGGGAGATTGCCCGTTCCCAGTGGTCACCTCGCGTGGTTTCACGCATATTTGGCGAACGCCGTGAAACCAGTGACAAGACCGGATCCAACACACAGAGAGAGTGGGAAATCAGGAAGAAAGAAAAAAAATGAAAAAAAAGAGAAAGAGAAAGAGAGAGAGAGATCGCATTGATGGTGACAAAAAAGGGAAGATTGGTTATCGAGGACTTCTGCTTGTCAGCGTCTTCTGTCAGCGCGAGGAGTGATACTTCCAGTATTTGGAATCATCATCTCTAATATTGATTGCCCACTGGAGTCGATAAGTAAAAGCGAATAGTCAGCATTATTCTCATTAGTTAGCTATCATAGTAATATAATCAATAAACCCCGATAATCCCTAAATTCCCCTTAAAATCCCCCCTTAATCCACTAGTGGTTCACCAGAGACCGAAAACGCCACACGGGAATTCAGGTGGGGAGCTTCTAGAAAAACTAGGGAAATTTCCATTGGATTTCCCGTTGGGGCTGCATTATTCATCCTGCCAGCCCATCGTAATAAATTCCTACGTCAGATCAGGTGGAGACTCAGCCTCCTGTTCATGGCAGGGATGCTCGATGGGGAGGGGGGGTGAGGGGACACTAACGTACCGTAATTTAGTTGGCTCCGTCTAGGTTGGGGATGCATGGTATAAGAGCGTGCGTCCTCCCTTCGTTTCTTCTCAAATCTCATTTCTCATCGCGTGTGCCGAACCTACTTCTCTAAGGATTCTCTCTGTGTACACTCTACTATCATCCTGCCTATCTATCTACTATCACCTTCCACCTCCCATCCATACATCTATACACCCCATCCATTCACACCTACTACTCGCCTTACCACCTTCACGTCAACTCTACGAAACCAAGTCCGGTTCTCCATCCATCACAACTTCCAAGATGCCTTCCGTCGGTTCTCAGTTCCCTCCCTGCCCGGGACCCCCTCCCAAGGGCCCGCTGCCTCCTCTGCCGAAATAAACTCGCCCATTCCCAATGACCGTGATGACCCTGGTGCCGCCTGGCACCCACGACCTGGGAGGCTTGCCCTTGGCATATGGATATGACATGACCCCTCGCGCTTTCGACCTGGTTTCCGCTTTCCGGCTTGACGATTCTCTGTGATTCGATCTTGGAATCAACGATCAAACTATCAAACTATCCTAATTACGCCCTGCTATCACCGCCTTATCTCTCTCTTTCCCTCTCCCCCTCTCTCTGAGGTCTCCTGGGTTGATTCCTTCCCCCAGGATCGCCGCGGGCTTCTCAGAAACCCCAGAAGAAGGGAAGGGCCCGATTTGATCCGGCTCGTTCGAGACGGGTCCCCAACTCCACCACAGCGCTAGGGACGCGCGCCCGACTGAGAGGGAGCTCCGAGACTCCGAGAGCCCCAACTACTCTTTCAAGAGACCGGGCGGGCAATCTACATGGGAAGTGGATGAGAAGCAGGGAATTCTTTGCCCTCTTTTGACTTTTTTTTTCTCCTTCATTTTCGTTTCCCCTCTTGACAGTACTATTTGGTTGTGAGGGGGAGGAAGCCCAGCGCCGGCGCTACGGGCATCTCCGACTGCTCCGCATTTAATAGCGCTCGTTTATTTTATTTTATTATTTTCTTTGACGTTGCGCGCTTTTGACCTATTCTGGCCTCTGCTACGTGTGCTTCAACCATGTCTCCCTGTTCTGGGGGGTTCGTGTTTCGCCATGGATCTGAAGCGGTGACGCGCAGATGCGGAGATCTACTCAGCGCCAGTAATTGGCGGCTGCTCCCCATGACCTGTCGTCAAGTTGACGTGACCTTGGGGCGTTTTTTCTGTTATTCAGTATTTTGGTTGGCTGGGCCACTCTTGACCGTTTCACCATCTTTTGTAATCCTGTTTATTTTTTTGTGGACCTTTCTCTTTTTGGGGGATCCTCTCATTTGTTTTCTGCATTGCGCCGATTCCTTGAATCACCGACCTGTATCATAGAATATACCCCCTCCTTGTCTAGCAGCAAAGCAACACACCTTATCATCCCGATGTCGTGCATAATCCCCCGGGCTAAAAATTAGTCACTCAGTGCCTTCGCGCCCTAAACACGGGCTGCCATGCACGGTAGATTAACACCTCGAGCCCTAGCTCACCGCACCTACTTCTTGCAGTGAAACAGGCTCATCTTCCCCTCCTTGTTCCACCAACCCCATTTCCGCTATCTTTGGTTTTGGTCGCGCCCCTCTCGCGATGCCAGGAGTCAAGCAGGGATAAGTCTCCGAGATGCGCTGTCAGACGACGCAGCACGGGATGAAGAGGTCCCAGGTCCAATGGTTTTTCGAGCTAGCACTGCTGCCAGAGAAAAAAAGGAATCGAATAATCCAAAATAATCCATAAAAACCGCCGCAAAAAAGACTAATGCTTTCTAAGTGTACAGCCGTTCTATCTATAGACGGCCTTTTACCCGTAAACCTGCAATTCTCAATCAGTATACTGTACCTTTAGTCCACCCCTCCTCAGGACAGGATCTAACTGGACAAGATCTGATCTTCCCCCCCTCCTCAACCCCCCCCATCCCCCTCTATTCTCATGCAATATGTACTCTGTACTCCGTACATATGATATCCATTGGCCGATCGGCGGGGAGCTCCCGATCTGACTTCTTATCGCAGTCCCGCTTCCCTTTTCCAGCCGTGCACCGCCAAGTCCGGTTACAGCCGTACCACAAGGATAAATACCAGAGTTCCTTTTTGCGCGTACCTAAATCGACGATGTCATGAGTGCTGCGCACGCCGGCTAGCCCGGGCGCTACGAGACAAACTCTCGGAGTCGAGGGGCAGGAAGACCATCGGATCGGCCTGAGCGCGGGCGATTGGCGTGTCCAGGTAGCTGGGACGGGCGGCCATTGGGCGGGGGCCTGGGGGAAAAGGGGGCCAGCCTGGGTGCACCTCGATGGTGCCTGGGAAGTCGGAGCGTTTGGGGCCTCCGTGGGGAGGGAGCCCCCCCAGCGCGTGCGGGCATCTGCTGTGGCCGTTGGTCCATTCATGACGGCCTCGGCGTCATCATGGACTTTATGGGCAGAATAGGCAAACCCGGGTTCCAAAAAAGGCCATCCCCGGTCCCGACGGGGGATGATCCGCGCCAGGGTGGCCGAGAGCGATGGAGAACTCGATACGTGAGCCTCGGAGTATTCGCGACTGAACTCTCGATAGGGCGGAGAGTCCTCTCGAGGGCTACTACGCTTTCCCTTGAAGGGCAAAACCGGATATTCCTGAGACTAGGCGGCCGCTTGTTCCGGGTTATTCTTTTTGACTTTCCCTGGGCTTACTGTATTCCGTCTTCTCCGTCCATGCTCAGGGAGGAGTGGGTTTTGGTGATGATGGGGGATGTCAGTGCGCTGGGCTCTTGCGCAGAGCCACGTGTGCGGGTGAAGTCATGGACGTCGCTCTTATCGCGGCTGTGCCAGTTCGTTGGTCAGGGATGTTTGGCCCCCGGAAGGACAGAGGAATCTGGAACAGGGACAGGGACAGAGACATGGATGATGCCATGAATGCGGGCATGGCTTGACCGCCGTGACTCACGGACTCCCGGAGCGGGGGGTTTCCCTGGTTGGAAGGACTGGTGATCCGGAGTATGGAGGTTTACTAACAAGAAACAAAACTCATGAATCATAAATCGTAAATTATAAATTATAAATCAAAACTAGAAACTCAATCTGCGACTGACTAGCTGAACCTCGACGGGGCTCGAGAGAGATAGATAGGGGTCCCCGCTGGAGGTCCATGGTGTCTCAGATAGAATACGAGGATTCAAAGCGCCAGACGATGGGGCTGGAGAGGGGGCATTTGCCGGAATGAGAGATGGAGGGGACACTGAAGACAATGAAGATCAACTCTCTGTACGCCGTCCACGGCAGGGCGCATTGATCATTGATATTAAGAGGCGGCGATGATTGATCGGGTATGTCAACCGTTGGGATTTCGTCGTCTCTCAGTGGTTACCAACGGACCCGGCCAGTATAAGCATCAAATCCGTGCCAACGCCACTCGTGATCCAAAGTGAGAAAAAAAACATGAAACAGCCAAAGTAAATTCTAATTATGCCGGTCAAAGTATTTGAATTGTAATCATATTGCTCCCCACATATTCACAGGCATACGGTGTCGACAATGTCGAATCCCTTGATGATGGGGACATACTTCCTATAGATTGTGTAAACACACGTGATTCGCCCGCAATCGCTTCCGAGTGAGGTCAGCCCGCAGGCCCCTTCGACTCTCCAATGCGCAAACCACCATGGTGTTGCAACTGCATGTGTGGGGGCCAGCCTTCTCCCTGCCCTCAATTGAGGCCCAATGTCTCGCCGCGATTGCCTACTGCTCCATAGCCCTGCCCAAGGGCTCGTGGGAGCTGGTCGCGACCAGTGATCCCTCCGTTTCGCCGACCGGTAAGTGACGTGATGCAACCCTTCCCCTCATCCGAGCACCCGGAGCGAGCAGGCCGAAAAGGTAAAGAGGACGAAAATTGTGCAATGAGCTGACCGGATGATTTGCTTGGCTGTTAGGGGAGTTGCCGGCCATCCAGAATGGCACGGTGTGGGTGAGCCGCTTCCGCAACATCGTCGATTACCTCCGCCAATACTCGGACGGAGCTTGGGATCTGGACCACGAGCTGGACGAGACTGCTCGGGCTGATAGCATTGCGTACGTGAACCCCAAGCCACCAGCCACAATCCTTGAATGGCCCCAGCGAAAGTGAGAAGTACCAAGGTCAGCTAACACTTGCATGTTGTGGCGGTTCCCTTCAGTTTCTCTGCCTTCGTCGAATCTCGCGGCCAGGTGCTTGTCGACCTCTCTTTGTATGTCACCAGTCAGAATTATTACGGCAACACGTCGCCAGCCTTCGGAAGCATCCTCCAATGGCCAAACCAATGGATCCTCCCGCCAAAACTGCATGGCGCCGCCAAGGCGCGTACCGACTACTTGGGCCTGTCCTCGCTGGACCTGCAAGCAATGGAGGAGCAACGGCAACGAGAGCACTCGGCCGCTGTGGCCGCCGGTCAAATCCCGAAGAACCTCATCCGGCGACCGCGCGACACCGTGTCGTCCCTGCTCGGCCGAACCGCACAGCAGAGTCACTTCCGTCTTGAAGCCCTAACCGGCGAGTTCTTCGAGCCGCTCGAAGCTATGCTGGGCAAGAAGCCCTATCTACTGGCGATGAACGAGGACGATGCGCCGTCCAGCCTAGACTGCATTGCGCTTGGGTATCTTTCGCTGGCGCTCGTACCCGAGCTTACCTTCCCATGGCTCCGGGACGCGATGCGTACCAAGGCGCCACTGCTCGCCGAGTACACAACGCGCATGTGCCGGCGAGCATTCGGTGAGGGCGCGGTGGATATTGCTCATGCCTTTTCGCCGCAGTCTGCACCCTCATCGCCGCTACCATGGCGGGCCCCGGGGCGGATCTCCGTCGCGGCGGTTGGGAGCACCCTTCTTTCTACCTTGGCTGACAGCACACCGATCCTGCGTGAAGTGCGCAGGAATAACCGCTTGAAGCAGGAGGCTGAGGTGTTGGACTCGGATCTTTCGTCTACAGAAAAAACCGTTATTTCTATGCATGCTGATGCCAGCAAAAGGGACATGTATGTGTCCATTGCGACGGTGATGGGTGGTGTGGCTGCTTTGATAGGCTACATGTTCCATATCGGATTGATATCCACACATGCACACCAAGGGGAAGAAGAGGAGGGAGATGAACGAGACGAAGAAGAGATCCTTACGGATTTCAACCCGGGCTCGGCCAGCGACTTCCTCGGCAATCTGAATCTCGGCAGCTTATAACGAAGCGGGCCAGACCCAAAAGACACCAAAGCATATTCACTCATTGTGGCATCCATCTACCACCGCCATTCATCTCCACCTTCATATCGGATGCATATTTTAACTATCTCGGAGCCAGGAGCAGGAGCAGGAGCAAATCCAATCCCCTCAAAATGTACTGTACAATAGACATTTCTATCATTTATCAGGTGTCCCTTTATCTCACATTATCAAAGTGGTTAGTCAAAACCAGGACATTAATATCCCCAACCTCACACCCTCGCGCCTTCACTGTCCAACACCCACGTATCTACCCCCTTCTTCTTCTTGTCCCCAAAACTCGGCGTCGCCACCCATTGCACCCCAGGCCCACCCCTAAATCCCTCCTCCATTTCCACCCCCCAGCGCACCCCTCCATCCTCGTCTACAAACCACCCCAGCCGCGCCCGCAACGTCCCATACTCCCCGGCCCCCAACCGCCCCTCCTGCATCTCCCGCACCATCGCCAGCAGGTTTGCACTGCCTGCCACAAGCACCAGCACGTCTCCCAGACTCTCCACGTTGCGCACCAGCGACCCGAAGTACCGCCGCTGCAGCACTGCCACCACCACTGTGCTCACCACGAGCCACCCCATGATTCCGATGCTCAGCCACACTGCAACCGCATTCATGCGCAACAGCTCGACACGCTGCGAGACGGTTGCTGCGGCTGTGCGGTTCGTCCGTGAGATCGGGTTCGTCGTGTCCTGATACGCCGCTGCCACCGTCCCGGGCAGATAATCGTTTACTAGCTCCACGACCGGCCCCAGCTCGTTCGGCAGGCTCGCGTTGATCTCCTGATAGCCCCATCCTCCAGCAGTGGCGGTAGCACTACTACTGACGAAATGCTGAAAGAACGTGGTGAAGGCGCGCTGTGCGAGCGTGGCGTAAATAACCGGGTCGGCTAACGCACTCGCGTCCTTGCCGGCCATGCTGTACATCGCATAGCTCATAAAGTCCAGGTTCAAGCCGGCAGCCTTGTCGCGGATATTGTATGTGTTGTCATCGAGATCCTCCGTCGTGTAGCCGCCGATATGCGCCGCGCCGCCAATGTGAAGTGTGTCGGCAGCTGTGAGCATCGAGGCCATGAAGAGCCGGCCGTAGCTAGCAGGGGTTCTTTTGGTTAGCGGTGGTGGTTTCCCCCTCTTCTTCCTCCTTTGTTTCTTGGAAATTCGAGGGGTTCGGGTGGGAGATGTCTTCTTGCCCTTCTGGCTACTCACCTCACAGTCACGTTGTAGGAGATCATGCCTGTCGTGCGGTTGAAATGGGTCCCGTTATGTGGGAGGAAGTTGTCTGCGAAGGCATCGACGCGTTCCTGGGGGTTCTTCGTGATGGCGTAGGACTGGATTTGGCCGTTCGCCGGATTCACGGTGACAGTTGCGCTGGCGGACTCGATCACCGGCCTACAGTTTAGCATAGTGAGCGAGGGCGGGCTGGGAAAGAGCAGATCGATGTCGGTGATAGGGTCGAGCGCGCTGAACTGGTTGCTCTTGATGCCAGTGACGGCATTGCCGTAGAACCACTTGGCCGTGAAGTTGCGGTGCCACTCGCGCGTGGTCCAGGTCGAAAGATTGGTATTCGGGGACCAGTAGCCCACCGCGACGCTTGGGTCCCAGACGCCGCTGCTGGAGTTGCCACAGCAGACGATCTCGGACGGGTTGGCAAAGACGGTGGTACAGCCGGGACAGGTGGTTATGTTCTCGGACGGAGTGAGGGGGGAGGATGACGCTGGGGTTGTTTTTCTTGTATATCCAGCTTGTGCCGAGCTGGTAGCCGCTTGTGAGACCGTGTGGGATCGTGCTTGTGTTCCATTTTGTAGAGTTACTTAAGTCTCGAGGAGTCAGCCAATGCGATGTGTTCTGGAATGCTTCGCTAGGGTGAGGGGAACATTCGATGCGTCCGCGTAGTGCGGGTGTGCTGAAAGAGATGTTGGATGGAGCACCGGCTGCAGCTTCATCGGACTCGTCTAGATCGTTCGGGAGGGCAACTCTGCTTGCTGGATTCAGCTTGACAGGAACAAAATTCCAGCCATCCTTGCTCCATGCCGGCTCAGATCCGTTAAGGGTCAATTGGATGGTGGCGGTGTACATCCAATGTGTGGAAAGGTTTTTATACAAGTCCGCGAGGATCACCCCTGCATAGTCATTCGAAGCATCGGGGTAGTAGGACTGTTCTGTAGGAAAAACAAAGGGGATATTCCGAATCTCGAGACTGTTGTTGAGGCTAAGGGGTTGAGTGACCACACCTGGGCCGCGGTCAAAGAGAGCAGACATGGCGGTAGTATCTAGGGCGATACGAGTAAGTCTCGGTCAAATGACTCGCAGCTTGATGGAAAGAGAAAAACAAGAAGGAAGAAAGAAATGACTTACAAACGGGGGACAGGGTGCTACCCAGCGTCAGCAAGGACAATAGCCAATGCTGGTTGAGCGCTGCCTTCACACATGCCCACATCCAGAACGAAGATTGATATGACAAACCGGCACCACGAGCGAGTGGTGGGTTGTTCTCTAACATTGCCAGATAGGGCTGGAGATGGCGAAATTTCTCGTCAATGGCATTCCACCACAAGCCAATGATAGCAGCGATCAAAGTTGGGACAATGGAGATCGGAACCACAGAGGACATGCTATTGCTGAGAAAGGATATATCGACCTGGTAGACGAACGCTTTTTCATACAGCCCAACTGACTCCGCAAAGTGCCAAAGTACCGCAATACCGGCCCCAACGACAAGCAAAACGGTAATTAGGGCAAGGAGAGCGGGCAGACGAAGGAGCCGTGGCGTCCCATTCTCGGATTGAGTTCCACCCCGCCGGGCTGCCTCGCCAGGATTATACCGGGTCAAGCCGTGAGGGTCTGTATAGAACCATTGTCCATGTAACATTTCACGAAGATGTTTCCCTGACGGTTGTCTAAAAACCTGAAAGCCGGATCGGACTCGGTCATTTTGCGCCATCAGACAGGCCACGCCGAGAGTTGAGGCCGGGTCGTCCTTCAGGTTCAATGGCCGTCGTCGTAGTTGTGCTCCCCACCAGACGACGAGTAAAAGGACAAAAGAGGCGCCAAAGAGCACTCCCAAAGCAATAGCAGGCCCGGCCTGTACCACGACCCGACTTTCAATATCATGGATAACGCCCTGGAGTGCGGTTGTTTGTGAAGCACCCTCGTGGAGCAACGCCGTCTGCAGCACTTCGCCAAAGTAGCGCTGTTGGGCCTTGGCCGCCGAAGAGACCCAATCGGGGGAATTGACCAAGGCCGTCATGTTATAATCATATAAGGCTCCAAGGAGGACAGAGGGACCCCCGAGTACTGCGGTATTGGACCACAGGATGGAAATCATGTAGGTGGGCCAGCTTGAATCCAGCATCCGGGCTCTGAACTGCGTTGTGTTGAATAGGGTATCTGGGATCGAGATTTTATTCTCTTCAAACTCGGTTTCATCAAACTCGATATCTGGGTCATTGCCCGTGAGTGAAATCGTTGCGGTGATGTTTGCCATAAGATACTGAGTCTCACAGACATGGGCTGAGAAGATGGCATTTTCGGATTCCCATGACTCGGTGACGAGAATGATATCTCTACCATTGCATTCAGCGGTATGATTTGACGTCAATTCTAAGGCGTCTGTCGAATCTAATGCGCTTTCTGCCCAGTAGAAGGTAGACGCATCGGACCAACTGCCTCCGCCCGTGTTCCAGAAGGATGTGGGTACCGATATCCCGTACCGACATCCATCGGGCGATGACCACACCGTGGAGTTGGAAGCCGCCGCTGTTCCTCCCTGATCATATTCTACAATACCACTGGTCTTTTGTTCCAATTTCATTTCAGTGCAGCTCAGCTCGCTCTTGAACATTGTCGTTTCTGATTTCCATTTTTGAGTGGAAATTGTCGGCAAAGAAGTAATCGGGGATGGGTGGAGATCAGCCGGCCAAAACGGAAGGATTGTATAGTCATCCGTGATCCACGGCGATGTCGATACATTTTGCAGCAGATGGGCAATCGTCCGGAAGTTTGTCGAGCGATCTGCATTGATGGGCAATCCTGATCCTGACCCCGACACTGGGATAAGATTGGTAAAATGGGTTGATTGAGGGACAACAACTTCCTCCGAAAAAAGAAAGGCAGACGACAGTGGAGAAATGACCAGAAAGCCAATTATATTGACCAAGACCGCACAGATCAGGGTCCAGCTGCGTGAACCATTCTTCTTCTTCGCGAAGCCGTCATACAGCGTCGACCACCAAGCACCAGGCACTTTAAGAATACTGGTCGATGCCTCGGCGCCCATTGAGCGTGCCAGTCGAGCATAGGGCTCGGTACGCTTTAAATCTTCCATTAAGACAGCCGTCATCTGGACGTATATGACGGTGATAAGAGTCGGACTATATCGCCAACCAAATAGAAGGGCCGAGGAGCCGTCGTCGGCACCTAAGCCGTAGTTCGTGCCAGACCACCACCACAATACAAATGTCACCAAACATAAAGTCAGAGCGACAAAGCTCGTCCCACTCATAAAAAAGTGGGTAAACGTATATGGAATCCAGACCGAGGTCCAGGCTACCGGTGCTTTTTCGTTGACTTGCCCCGCGCCCGCGCGTTGATGGGTATTTTTAACTGTGTCATCAATTTTATTACCACTACTCTGCCGACCATTGTCTCGCAAGGATGAGCGAGACGGAGGAACAGGGTGGGAAAAATGAGATTTCTGTCCTCTATTGCCCCTATGTGGATGAGTGGCCATGATGGCAAGGCAGGCAAAATGATGTATGCCCTATCTTTCGCAATACGGAGATAGAGCATGAGGATAGAGAAAAGAACACACGAAGGGAATGAAAAGCCATAATGAAACTAGCCCCCTTTACTTTATAGCCATGCAGGGTCTTCGCCTTAGATTCACCAGGGTCTAGGGATGGGCTTGAAGTGGAGCAGTGGGGGGGCTTTTCACCCCAGGGAAGCGATGCAGATGTAGCCCAATCTAGCGTATTGTGTAGACCCATCCTGCTCATGATGGCGCCTAGGTGCATGATCGACAGCAGCCAATACCACTTCGTACTTTGGCTTCCCGGGCCGCAGATGTAAAGCAATGTTAGCTTTCTCTTCGTGCAACGACGCCATTGATATTCTTGGAACTACATTTTCTCAGAAATAAAGAATAGAAAGGAAAAACAAAAGGAATTTCTAGAATTGTGATGATAATAGCCTCCTCGACTCATCTTTTGGAGACACTGAAAGCTTTGAGCGGGGCTTTTGCGGCGCTACGCTGGCGGGGCTCCCCGGCGGTCTAGCGTGATACTCAGCCTGTCACGAACCAGCACTTAGCGCCTAGAGGTGGGAATATCTGCAGGGTTCAAAGAAACTGTTCACAGTACTGCAGCAGCTAAATGCCCCAGCGTTTCAAATCAGCGGATTGAATAAGGGACTTCCAGGTTCTCCACTTGGGGGCCAGCGCTTCAGGTTCAAGCATAAGAGGACGTTGTTTCCACACCATCGAATTTTCAATTCATCGCCTATAAGCTTTTTCCAAATCTTTCTACCCTCTCTGATTTTCTTTTTGGATAATTTATTATACTCGCACTTGGACGAGAGTTCTATTTCTACGTTTGGCATTCCCCTGGAAACTCGTTCGAGCCACTATTGTCACTGCACGCCGGAATCGATCTCCTCTTTTCCTCCACACACTTCATATTGCAAATAGCAGATTGCTTTCAACCTCAGCTTCTTCGTCACATGGCGATGCTCATATGTCGCCATGTCTCGGTCTTGCCCAAGAATAATAAGCGCGCTTTCCATATGAAATGAAGACGCCGGTCGAATCACTCGGATCCTGTGGCAAACAATCTCAAGGATTATGAATTTTGCTTAAAAGCATACTATCACGAACACATGCCCACAAAAACCACGTCCCGGTCGAATATTTAGAACAGTGGCAGTGAGGGGACTGCAATCCTTCCGTGGTGCCTTTATGAAGCAGTGAGGGAAACTTGCTGAAATCATTCAGGAAGTGTCCTCCAATCCCGCAAACTATCTAGGTTCCGGGTTCCGAAGAAAACTACATTCCCGTACGTTCTTTGTTCTCAGGTGGATGCTGGCTGTGTGCTAGTGCCGACAATCCTTTGGTTGCAAACTTGAAAGAAAAGAACAAAGAATCAGGGTTGGAGATCCCCAAGGCTCTAAATGAACGACTTGCTTCCCCCTCCAGGGCAGGGCAAATGATCAATACACTCCCCACAAGCCCGAGCAATCAACAGTAGCCTAGGTACTACAGATTGTAAGCTCAAGACTAGGTTGTTCATAAGGGTTTTTTGTTATTAAAGGTGCGGGGTCATTGATCATAGTATCAAGACCCCGCCTTCGAAGAAATACCACAGGTCAGATTCAAAAAGAAAAAGAAAAGTCGATATCAACTAATGAAAACCCCAGGTGGTATATGTACACAGAATCATAAAGAAGATAACGCGAGACAAATCATGAGTCACACACAAAAAAATATGTATGGCACTTCCGGGAGAAAATAGATTGAAAAAAAGGGGAATCTGCGGAAGTATGGCCGGCGAAAGGTAGTGCGCATGACCAGAGAATCACCACACCACTTTCAGATTGACAATCATTTGCGCAAGAAGGATAAAAGGACTAATCAGGCTGATATCGAAGTAGGGGAAAAAATCAGCGGACAGTTTACGCATAGTCGAGCTGGACGACCAGACGGACAGCGCCGGCGGACTGGGAGACGGCCTTGTCAGGCTTGCCCTGGTCGGCTGAGGTATAGGCATTGAGAAGGCCGGTCAGACCGGCACCAATGGCGGAGCAGTCGTTTCCGAGGTGGTTACAGATGCGCATGCCCTGAATTTCGAGGTCGTTGAGCTGGGCGATAATGCAGGAGACATCCCAGCCGGAGAAGCCGTCGTTCTTCTCGCTGCTCATGTCGAATTCACCCCAGGTGGCAGCGTACTGACCGAAGCCGGTGGTGGGGATCGTCTCGCCCTTGGCGGCAGCCCAGCCACCCTGGGAGTTGTCGTCAATGGCGACGTATACAACCTCATTGGGCTCTAGGGTGAAGGAAAGAGCCTTGTTGGGTGCCCAGAAACCATCCATCTTGCCCTCAGGGCCGTAGGTGTTCCAGAACAGGACGGTCCAGGGGTCCGTGTTGCTGCCCTCAAAGCGGAGGACGTGTTTATACTGGCTGGCACTGCCCTCCTCAACCTGAATGATGTTGCTGCCCCATGGGACACCAACGTTGCCGACATAGTCCCAGTCGAGGAGACCGGTGGTCTTCGAGGCGGAGACTCCACCGAATCCGGAGCGAGAGAACTGGCCGTCGGATGGCATGTTGGACCAGGCGCCACCACTGCTCGAGGCGGGTGTGGGCACGACAGTGGACTCGACAGGGTTGGAGGTGGTCACCTGGGTGGGAGTGGCGGTGGTGGTCACCTGGACGAGGGTGGACGAGGTCGAAGTGGCCGCAGCGACCTCACCGGACCACTCGTTGATCCAGGTCTCGAGGACACCATCGATATAGGCGCTGACAACATCGCCGACGGCACGGTCCTTCAGCTCAACTGCAGGAGTGACCTCGGGCTCGGCCTCAATCTCGACGGCATGGCCGTGGGCGTGACGGCGCTCGTGGCCGTGAAGACGGGCAGCGGCGGACCCAGCGGTCAGGGCCGTCGCGAGCAACAGGGAGTGGAAGTGCATTGTGGTTGCTTTTTGGAAGGGTGAATTGAAGGAATGACTGGTGAGTTTTGCAAAAGAATGACTTGAGCGACGAAACGCTCGGAAACAGAAATCACCAAATGAATGTGGGAAGGAAAGTGTGGTGGAGAGGGAAAGGGAGGATGGGGGCGTGGATGGATAATATGGGGACCCCCTGCAGGGTCGACAGGGTCGACAGGGTCAATAGGGTTCACAGGGTCAACAGGGTCAATCGGGTCAATCGGGTCCATTGGGTCCATTGGGTCAACAAGCCACCGCGAACCCAAGGGCCTCCAGCGCCTCCAGGCCCCGGGAGCCTGCAAAAGACCCTGTGGATTCAGATTCTCGGGGTCTTGGGCTTTTCCAGGCCCTGGGCAGGGACCCTCACTGGGACCACGACTCCACTTTCCATTTACTTTGCACCCAGTTTACACTTTTACGGTTTTTACGAGGGGCAAACCACAACAGCCGCAGCTTCTGGATCAGGGGGGCTTTCCCGCGCTGATTGGGCGGTGCCTGGTGGTCCCTGAACGCCCGCCCGTCCGGGCTGACGCTGATTGGCGATGCGGTGCTGAGATCCACCCGATGTTTGCTGGGCCGAGACTAGATGGGGCCTAACGGGGAAATTGAACAGATCCTGATTCCCGGCTGCAGATCGAATTGAGAGGACAGAAACCCAGGGACACAGAGAAGACCTGGAGGATGACCGAGTGGAAGAGGCATACTTTCGGGGATATATGGAGCAGTGGATGCGCGATAGTCCATAGCAGTAGATTGATAAGTCGACGACGTTCACGTGAATCCGAGTTCTTGGCCCGTGACTGCCTTGTTTACCTCCTCCGATCAGGCCTCCTCCCCCTTTTCCGCCTGGACGGCCAAGCCGAGCCCGCCAGGCTTCATGGTTGCACATTCCATGGCTGTCAAACACGTTGCGATCGGAATGGACGGATTGTCCGGCACTGGAATGTTGCCTGATGACAGGACGGATGACTGGAGTATAGACACATCCACATCCTCATATCCACACAGTCCCGACAATATGGAGTCAGCAACTTGACCTTTGACTCTCCGCCATGACACCCCTCGTTCCCCACACAAGCCAATCGGTGCAGTCTGTCGGGTGTAGCCTCGAGCCCTGTCTTACGTGGCGCCCGCCCCTGCCTTCCCACCTCCCATCGGAGGACAGGAGCGAAAGACCAAGGACAGAAGTAATAGCGGTGATGATGTCAGTGTTCTGTATCACCTCCCAGGACCATCGACGACCTGTAACGCCAGCTCACACGTTCATACTGTGTCCGACCGGTCGATTTCATCCTATCAATCCTTACCCTGTCTTGCCCACAACGACTCTATCCATCTCCCGAGGATATGGTCTAGCCCACAGGCGATCGCCACCCAACGGCAGACGATGTGCGCGCTGGTGGACTCTCTCCTTGGAAAGAAATGGACCCAGGCCCGTCTCCTGGAAAGGATGGTGCATTGCTCCGTACATTTCTCGCTCTGTAAGGTACGCGGCACAGTGTATGTAACCAGGCTGGGCTCTCTTGATCATCTTTTGTCGGTCCTCACCTTCCCCATCCATCGCAGACTCCAAGCCCATGGCAGATTCTCCGACTCCGTCTGCCAGTCTACAAAGTCTGGATAGTGTCTCCTATTCCCTTCCTCCCTCTCGCTTTCCTTTTTTGTTTCAGGCAATTGGCGCGGCGGTCACTGTTTCGGCCAGCCCGGAGGGGCGACGATGATTTCCCTCCTAGTCCCGGCTCCATCAAGGGCCCCCATCAATCGGCCCCGCTGATGGCGATGTCTAGGATTGACGCCTGCGGTGCAACTTGGCCAGTGCTCTGGTCTGGATTCCTTGGAAGTGCCTGCAGTAAAACGTCTCACGCAGCTGCGCTGAATGGGCTGGTTGCAATGCTGATTCGGAAGTAGAATTGGAGTCCCTTGAGAAGGTATACAGTACACATACGAGCTACTGACTATTAGCATAAGGGTATTATTTCACTGTTGGTCTGTTTGTTGAAATAAAGAACGATAAAGTTCAAAATCATATAAAGTAATAGGCGATCTCTTTCTGAGCTTCTCGCTTGTATTCATTCAATCATCCCCATAATTCAAGATTACTGTAGATTGTTTGGGTCTTTTCTAGTCTCATGCACCGTACTTTTGAACCTCCAATCCCCTGTCCATCCCCACCTCGCCCTGGTTCAACTCCACGAAAAGATCTCCCAGGAGGTCGCAATTCCAAGTCTCACTGCCTCCCTGCTTCACGTTCGAGGTTCACAGAGGTCAGGTACATTTTCAATACAGATCGTGGCGCTGACCGTACGGGGGAGTACAGTTGGCACGGGAGCTGTCCCTTGGTTCGTTCTGAGATCTGCGCTCATCCTATTGGACGCCAGTCCATGCTGAAACGAGCCAGCAAACGAGGCCCAAGCAATTTTTATTCTTGTCTCATATGCCAGTCGCTTAGTTGGTGGAGGAGTGTGTTGTTCTCTTTCCTACTTGGTCCTCCATACTTCTCACCATGATGCTAATTTGACGATCTACCCGCCGGCGGCTGAAACAAACATGAACGGAGCATATCATCGTCATTATTATACGAGTTATCAAAATAGAATGACTATCGTCCGCCACTGGTGGAGGCTGTTGCTATTTACAGAGGCGGCCGAGGCCTTCACTGCCACCAGCCCGGTCCAGCCTCTCAACACTCACCCGGCACGGCCGGCGATGTCGAAGACCACTTTGCACAGAATGCAAGGTCTCAGAGCCCTGGGCGGCCACACCCCGTACATCCGAACACGGCGAGGGGCAATGCATGTAGACTCGTCTATCCCGGCCTTTTCGAGGTTCACGATCACTTGCGCAAGTCCACGCCGCCATCGAAGGCCTCACCTCCAGCCTCCGCATCGACCTGCATGCTCTCATCCAGCCCGCACACACGAAACAGCATCTGAGGCGTCAACTCCGGATCCAGCCCAGGCAAACCCGTTCGCCGCAACTTCTCCAGGCCCTCCCGCATCGCCGTGAGTGCCGGGCCAATCGTCGCAAACGGGTAGATAATCATGCGGAAGCCCAACTCCCGCGCCTCCGCCGCCGAAAGACTCGGCGTCGACCCATGCTCAACCATATTCAGTAGCAGTGGCCACGGCTTCAGGTCGGCCGTCGCCTGGGCCGCCATCTCCCGCGACGAGATGCCCTCCAGGAATCCAACATCTGCGCCCGCGTCCCGCGCCGCCCGCAGCCTCGCCAGACTCTCATCGTACCCGTGGGCCTGCAGCGCGTCCGTCCGCGCGATCACCACGATGTCACTTCCCAGACGCTGCCGCGCCTGTACTGCCGCCCGGATGCGCGTCGTGAAAGTCGCCGTGTCGACGAGTTGCTTGCCGCCGAGGTGCCCGCATCGCTTGGTCTGGACTTGGTCTTCGATGTGGAAGCCGGCCACGCCGGCCCGCACGTACTGCTCGGTCGTGCGGGCGACCATGATCGGGCCGCCGTAGCCCGTGTCGGCATCGGCGATGAGCGGCGTGCTTGGCGAGAGGTTGGCGATGGTCTCTGCGTTGGCGCGCATGTCGTTCAGCGTGCAGACGCCCAGGTCCGCTTGGCCATGGACGGAGGCCGCAGTGCCAGCGCCGGTCTTTGGAGCAGAAGGTCAGTACTCGTATATTCGCTGTTGGTTTGCTGACCTGTCCATCATAGGTTCCCCCGAGCTTGTCTGGGATGAATAGATGAATACACTTACCATATACAGCGCTTCAAATCCCGCGGCGAGCGCCATCCGCGCAGATAATCCGTCATATACACCGGGGGCGACAACGAAGCCATTAGGGTCCTCGAGGGTCCGGCGTAGATTGGTTGCTCCCGAGACCAGAGGCATGATAATTTGTGAAGTCGGTGACTATCGTGATCAAGAATTGAAAGAGCTCTCTAGCTGTGGTGGCGACACCAGGTTCCAAAGCTGGATTATATGGAAAGCAAAGAAGAATATGCCAGGCCGTGTATATTTACTAAAAAAAAAAAAAAAGAGAGCCGAGAGCCCGCTTGCCTTCGCCTCTGTTTTATACTCCCCCTCTTCCACATGTGGCACTACGAAATCTCTTTTTTTCTCCTTCTTCACCCACCAATTAATCCTTCTCGTCGGTGATGATGCGCACTCTCTCCCCACCTTGCCGTGCCGATGCCGATACCGGGCGGGCATTATGTCAGCGCCCATAACTCGGCAATAGCTCGCGGCCGGAGGATCAAACAATGTGGCGAGGTTGGGAGATATTGAGAAAACTTTCAATCATCTCCTAATCAGACAGCAGGTTATCAATTCAGTAGAAATGTCCCGGAGAAAAGGGTGTGCCGGCATATTGCGATCCAAGTGCCGAGTAACCCTGCAGGTGAAGGCCCCATATAGACGCTCGTGCAGGGGGTGCCGCGGGCCCTGCCTATGTGGGGTCAACTTCATGATTCATGTGCCAAAAGACGAACCATGTGCAATGAATCAGAGCATCCTGGTGTACGCTTTCCTCCGAAAACTGCGTTTCGCCAGTTGCGGATGCTTCTCAATCCGGTTTCATAGTGAAATAATGCGTAGTGGAATACTGAAGTAGTTTGTCAGACATTTGATGTTCACAGTCGGGCTTCCCCATTCTGATTGGTGGATCCGGGCCCCACACTCGTCGGCCGAATGCTGATGCTTGTTGTATACTTCATCTGAGAGTCAAGATGATAATGACAAACCACGCCTCGGAAAATATGCAGATGAGCCCGAAATTATCAATCAAGTTTTGGTTTGAGTCTGGTCAGATCCGCCTGAGAAGCCATTGAGCTCCCTATAAAGTATCCCGGCCCAGCAGCTGCCAGAAAGCAGAAGCTCCAATATCCTTCACATCCTCTACAACACGAACCCTTGAACTATCCCTAAAAAACTTCTAAAAGGTCTTCATAGGCGCTCCTAACTGTCTAACTGCCTGAATACCTCGCAACCATGCCATTCTTCCAGCCAAAAGTCTCCCCTCTTCCATCCAATCTCAACCTCCAAGGCCAAACAGCCGTGATCACTGGCGCCAGTGCTGGCCTCGGTCTCGAAACAGCCCGTCAACTCCTCATCCTCAACTGCAAAACCGTCGTGCTTGCCGTCCGTAACCAAGCCAAAGGCGAAGCCTGCGCCGCTCAGCTCGCCCGCGACCTGAACCTCGACCCAGCCACGCAAACCATCAAAGTCCTCACCCTCGACGTCTCCAGCACCACTAGCATCACCTCCTTCGCGACAACTCTCCAGCAAACCGTTTCCCAAACCAATATCCTCATACTCAATGCCGGCATCAGCCACTTTAAGTACGCCCTTAGTTCCACGGGTCACGAAAACGCCCTCCAGGTTAACTACCTCGCCAACGCCCTTCTCCTCGCTACCCTCCTGCCCTATCTTTCCTCTTCTGCCACCATTACTGTCCCAACCCGTGTCACCTGGCTTGGATCGCGTTTGCACGAGTCTATGACCAGCTTCGCCGCCCGGCCGCCGCCCTCTACAACCCCCGTGCTGGCTTACATGGACGCGCCGAAGTCCCCGCTCGGCATGTCCCGCTACGCCGATACCAAGCTGCTGTGCGCGATGTTCATGTACACGCTAGCGCCGCGGCTGGACCCGCGCCGCATCGTTCTGAACATGGTGTGTCCAGGCATGGTTGCGACGACGATAAGCGATTTCTTGCCGCTGTATCTGCGGGCCCTGGTAGATGTGGTCAAGGCAGTGCGGGCGCGGCCGGTGGAAGTTGGGGCGAGGCTGGTGGTGCACGCGGCTGTTGTGGCAGGGCCGGAGACACATGGGCGGTTTTTGGGGGATAAGGAGGTTTTGGAGTAAGTTTCTTTTTTTTCTCCAAGTCCCAACTTTTTCGTTGGATGTTGGATATTTAGAGGGCTTGGTTAAAAGGGGTGCTAATGTGTGACGTGGTGTTTTGCATAGGGTGTCGAAGTATATCCAGTCGGAGGCAGGGCGTGAGATACAGGCGAGGTTATGGGCCGAGACGGTGGCGGAGATGGAGACTTTGGTGGAGTTGCCGAAGGAGTTTAAATGAGGTGGACGGGTCGGATATGGGTGAATGCGGATATTCTAGAGGATCTGGTTCGACTTTTTGATTTGATGTTTTCGATTCTGGTGGCTTGATTGGGGAGTGGGTATTTGCGATACTGATAATATACTTCATTTGTTATATAATTGATGGCCAAATCTGAAAAGCAGTGAAGACCTCCGCCACGGGACTTTCTTCCATGCCGGGTGATGGGATGGTAGTGTTGGCTTGTTCGGTTTGAACAGAATAGGGGTTGTGGTTATCAGTATTGCGCTGCCTTGAATCCAGCTGCTCGCGGAGACGTATAAGAAGTTTGATGTCCGAGGGCAGATCAGGTCTCTGTTGAGGTTGAGGCTGCTCTTTCGCCAAACGCACAAGTTCATGCCTTGTGCAGACGTAATCTATAAATTCATTGACAAGGTACTGTGCTTCTTGCACACGCTCGGGCTGTGGGTAGTAATTCAAATATAGTAAGACCAAGAGGGAGCACTGTCGTGGGACGTAATAGTCCGAGAAGAACCAGGCATAAGGTTCGAAGGCCGGTGTGCGGCAGAGCTGTAAGTAACTCTGGAGGAAATAGAGGCATAATTGGATAGTTCTGATAATACTTGGTCAGTGGCCAGTTGATCTCGTGGGGTTTGGTATAATAATGAAGGAGATATAGCACGGAATTCATCTACCTTGGCCAATATGCCCGGCTTGAAGTTGATTCTGGAGGGCCCAGAAGCAGTTTTTGCAACATAAGCATTGCTTCTAGCTTGATAAAAGAGAGCATACTTTTGACCCAAATACCCAGAATGCCTGGATTGTCTGAATTATCCTCATAAAGAGTTGGATGGGTTTGCGGTGAAGCGTTTGTCCATGACGCGGGAACTAGTCCTTCTGTTGTATCATATGCTGGTATTTTGGTAATGAGGCCATCAATGATAGAATGAAGAGACTTAATGGCATCGAGATGCCTTGTTATTGAATCCACAGGAATTTTATGCTCTCCACTTGAATTAGGTGAGAAGGCACTTTGAAATTCTTTGAGGATAGAGCTCTGTAGTCGCGCTGTTTCGTACCGCCCAATGGCATAAAACATAACAGCTGATCTTTTTGGAGGGGCAGAGACCATGAGCAGCACAGCTAGTTTATCATTTTCGTAACATGGTGGCAGCCCGGTAGCGATACTAGATTGGATGTCTAGCCATAGCACATGCCACCATATACGTCGTCGATAGTGGTGTGAGGATTGAAATTCTGCCGCTTCTATTTCTCGATGAAGACCCAGGCTCTGTGAAAGACGAATGGTTGTGGCCACGAAGAGCCCATGCCCAAGGGTCGACTGAGAACTAGAGAGTGTCTGTACCAAGATTGATGTTGCTATAGTATTGAGCGTTGGGTATTCGGTGGCTTGACAGGCATCTAGACTGGTAGAGCAGGCAGTTTTCTGTTGCTCGATAGTTGTATTTCGGTCAAGCTTGTTCAATGGGGGTGGATACTTCTCCCAGATCGCTGCTGGGATAACGAAAGCACCTGCATAGAACACCGCAAAAAGGAGACAAAAGAATGTTGGATCGTCGACTAATTTCGGCGGTGGGACTAAGCTACCTTCCCGAGACCACGCCCAAAAGGCATCATAGTCGGATTGAAAGGTTGATATATCTAGCACAGGATGGATTGGATATACGCTCACGAAGAATGACCGAACCAAGGTATCGCTCACTGGTTTAGTGGGGAGGAGGCCCATCGTCTTTGCCAGAGATACCGATGAAATATGCGGCGGAGGCATGCCGGAAGGCCTCTTCTCTTCGTCAAAAAAGAAAGCATCGCTTAATCTTTCCTATGCTACAGTAAGGCACTTACTCAGAATTGATGTATAAGAGAGCTTTCTTACCTGGCCGTTCACAAAGCCCCAGAATGTTTTGCCAATGTGCCGAACTCGAGAGCCTGGCTGAAAGCTGATATGATCTACAGGGACAGAAACACTAGATTCCTGTGAGATATACTGGTTCGAAGAAGAGTTCTCTTGATTGGGCTCCTCGTATCCCAATTGACCATTGAAGCTCAACTCTGTGGTAGTATTGCCCTCTTTCTGCTCCGTCGAGTGACATACTCGACCTGTTTGTGGGTCACGAATGCCTGTATTATAGACACAAGTCTCTCCCATCCGCTCGCAATTCTGACACCGTGGCTGTTCTTTGCCACATTTGACCTTTCGACGGCGGCATACAAGACAGCTCAACGCCAAGCGTGGCCTTTTGACTTGGTGGTAGGACATAACGTACACTCAGATCATCGAAACCTTTGCTCCCTTTTCGATCCACCTATGCAGAAATAGAAGGAAAATTGGAAGCAGAAAAGCAGGAGGAGGAGTAGCAAAGATGATGAAATCTAGAACGCGGGGGACAGGAGCAAAGACTCGAGTTATAAACACTGTGCTAACTACAGCATGAGCAGCAAGGGAGAACCCGTGTATGACCCGCAGTTGTCGCTAGCGAGTGGCACAGAACATGGCTCATCAATACTAGCAGAACTCGCGGTGAAGTGCTTGAGCAGCGACCATCTAATCTGTACTCGGAGGAATATCGGCGATGCAAGGTGACGCCTCCCGCGCACGGGGCAGATCTACGATCGCCTTAGTCATCGCTTCTGGAACCCTGTCCGAACTCAGCCAGTATCCATCTCGAATTCAACTCTTCGTCTTGAAATGAGACCGACACGTACCAGCTAGTGCGCCAAGTCCTCGCTCCGATTGACCACACCCTCCATACCTCCTTCTGCCCTGTTCTCTACCGATGGCTCGCTCTTCCGTTGTCCAGGAGTATGCCGCGCCCTCGACAACCCTGAGTCTCGACCAGAAGGTCGCCCGTGAACGGCAGACCTACCAAGTGTCTCGCCCAAAGGGTTACCGCGTCTCATGGCACGCCAATCCCGCCGTAGAGGCGCATCATTTCGGCCAATCGCATCCCATGAAACCCTGGCGTTTGACTCTTACCAAGCAGCTCGTGATGGCGTATGGCATGCACCACGCTATGGACTTGTACCTGGCGCGGGCGGCGACATACGAAGAAATGGCCGAGTTCCATGAATCCGACTACCTAGATTTCTTGCGGCAGGTCATGCCAGGCGATATGGACCGCTCAGAGCAGAGTGACAACGTCGTGCGATTCAACTTCGGTGACGACTGCCCCATCTTCGACGGGCTGTACAATTATTGCTCGCTGTACGCGGGCGGGACGGTCGATGCCGCGCGGAAGCTCTGCAATGACCAGTCCGAAATCGCAATCAACTGGTCTGGCGGACTGCACCATGCTAAGAAGGCCGAGGCCAGCGGATTCTGCTACGTCAACGATATCGTGCTGGGCATCCTGCAGCTCCTGCGTCATCACCCGCGCGTGATGTACATCGACATCGACGTGCACCACGGCGACGGCGTCGAGCAGGCCTTCTGGTCTACGGACCGTGTCCTCACTGTCTCCTTCCACAAATACGACAAAGACAACTTCTTCCCGGGTACCGGAGCCCTCGACGACACTGGTCCCACGCACCCGCTTAACCCCGGCGCCCACCACTCCATCAACGTGCCGCTCAACGACGGCATCGACGACGAGTCATACATACAGCTCTACCACGACGTGATCGGTGCCTGCGTCGAGACGTACCGACCCGGCGCGATCGTCCTTCAATGCGGCGCTGACAGTCTCGGCTGCGACCGCCTCGGCTGCTTCAACTTGAACGTGCGCGCACACGGCGCCTGTGTCGCCTTCACCAAGACATTTGGCCTGCCGCTCCTCGTTGTTGGCGGTGGCGGCTATACCCCGCGCAATGTGTCTCGCGCCTGGGCTCACGAGACCTCCATCCTCCTCGAGGCCGACCAGGTCATCGACTCGACCATCCCGGAAACAGTCGCCTTCCGCACCCACTTCGGCCCGGACTACTCACTCTTCCCGCCCTTGTCCGAGATTAGGAAGCTCGAGAACAAGAATCCCCGCCCCTACCTCGCTGGCCTGGTCGAGACCGTCCACGAACAGCTCCGTTACATCAAGGGTGCGCCCAGCGTGCAGATGAGCTTTATCCCTCCCGACATTTTGGGCCTACGTGAAGAAACTGAGAAAGAGATCGAAGAGGAGACCGCCATGATGGAGGAAGAGCGCGAGGAGTTTGAGGGCGGTGGCTCTATGTCTGCCGCGGCCGCTGCAGCCATTACCAGTGTGCCTGGCTCGGCTGGCGCCGTGCCCCGTGGGAATCGGCGCCGTGAGCTAGAGCGCGGGGCCGGGTACAAGGGCGAGCTGTATTCATGACGCTCCCGTGTTCCGTGCAGCAAGTCCCTTCTGTTCATCGGCGTTACTGAGTGAGTTCTGGCGTTGCGGATGTTTGTTTTGTTCTGTTTTCCTTTTTTCCTGATGCGGAGTTGAGGTGGTCATGGGATTTCCTTTTTCCGTTCCCTTTCTTTTGTTATATAACATGTGCCTCGTTCTCGTTCTATTATCATGATATCCCTGGGAATGAAGCGCTTTGTACAGTAGTAGACAGCAAAAGCAGAAATCCAAAAGAAATAAACAAGAACCAGTTCATTGTAAAATCGATAATATATCGAAGAAGAGAAAGAAAAAAAAAGGCGAGCATGCCCTCAAAAGCCTTCAGTCCCGCCTTTGAGGCCCTGGATCCAATGCTCAGATCCATGTTTATTATCAGTCTATCACCATGCCAGACCCGTCGCTTGCGCCCAGCATAACAACCCAAAACACCCTAACACGTGCTCCGCGCCGTATATCGATGAGACTTGTGTCGTTTAATCATTGCCATTTTGTTTTCTGTTTTCTGTTTTCGATGGAGAATTTCCCTTTCTGTTCCTTTTTTTCTCTCGGGGATGTTCGGCTGTGTTATGATGCGGTGCGATGCGATGGAGATTCTTCGGCATTGTTAAACACATTACTACGTACCTAACCTCTGCAATATCATCGGCCCGTACTTTTTCTTGGCTGGAGTCCTTATTCGAGAGGATGGGTGTTGGGGCTGGAAGATAACGAGGATTTTCATTTCTGTTTTATTTTGGAAGTGGTGGTTTTTTTTTCTTTTTTCGGTGGTCTTGTTCATGTTTTGGTTTTGGGGGGGGAGGGTGGGATGAAGCGGTTTGTGTATTCAAATCCAGAATCAAATCGGGTATCCAGCAAAGGCGGGTCGCCATTTCGGCGCCGAGGGGGAAACGCTTGTGTTGAACATTATGTGGGACAGGTGCAGTGAGGAGAAAGGAAAAGAGAGCGAACATTCGTCGTCGCTGACCGTCGTGAACGGGTTGGCATGCTGGGTAGTCTGCGCAGGTTGACTACGGCCCTCTGGCGGACTGCCAAGTAGGTTGATAGTATGAGTAAAGGAAGAGGTAGGTGCGAGGCGAGTGACTGTTCGGGAACGAGGGATGCACGTAGACGGCCGAGGAAGTGTTCGCTTTTCGTATTTTTGGGGAAAGTTGGGATTGATATGGCTTGCTGGGTGCTTATTGTGCCTCCTCAGCGTCCACAAATTGCTCTATGGCCGAAGTTTCGGTGTCTTTCCGCTCCACGACCGCATCGGCGGCTCCGCCTGCATTGTTTTCTGTGGATGAGCCTGCGCCTGGATGATTAGCTGTCGTGTCCTGAGTGGGAGGCGCCTGGTTCGCGGAGTTGGTTCGCTGTGAACTGTGCGGCGGAATCTGAAATTGAGGTGACTCTTTCTGACCTTGGACGACGGGCGCAATGGCTAGGATTTGCTTCGTAGCGGTCTCCGGGTTGTGCGGGTCGCTGGAATTGCCGGCCAAGAGTTAGCCAAGAAGCCGGAGTATATATCTGCTGACCTCCTACGACTTACACTTGAGCATTGATGATCCAATCGAGATCCTCCTCCCCCTCATCCGGACCATTGGGACCGCCTTGGACGGGCCGGAATAGCCGAGGACGCCATTCAACACCCTCATCAGCGCGCTTGGCAGCCTCTTCTCGTTGGCGGTCTTCAATCTTGGTCTTTTCATCGGTGGCGGCCTCATGATTCCGGGCGAGAATTGCCTTCACGGTAGGTTGCCATAACCGTTGCGACTCCCGCTCTTCTTGTTCCTCAATGGGACGCGCAGTAGGCTTCGAGTGTTTGGCGTGAGTAGCATCAAACAGCAATTCTTTATGGTTTGACTGTTTCGTTTTTGTTAGGAGGGAATCAAATCGACGGAAAGGATCAGATGACATACGTGAACGTCCTTGATGTGCATCTCGCCGTTCCATAAGCCAGACAATTCGTATAAGATCTCACCGGTCTTCTCGTTCTTAATTGTGCCTCCGATGGCATTGTATGTACCGGAGAAATAGCCCTTGGTCTTGAATTCGATATCGGCCACAAGGTTGTTCTCCGGGCACCGAACATAGCTGTGATCTCCCAGCTCATACTTCATCTTTCCAAACAGAATACCCCGGGCGTACATGTTCGGTTGGGTCACGATACTGCATCATCGATTAGTAGTCAGTTTGAAGGAAACCTCCAAGGGCAAAACATACTATCTCTCGCCCTTCTCTTGATCCTGGCCACGGTTCAGCAGTCGAAGAATCGCAATACCCTCCATCATACTGGCGGCAGAGTTACCCAAGAACTTGCTGCGAGGCTTAAGTGTTCCATCGATACGGATGTGGTGCTCCGGAGCCATGAAGAAGTAGCTCGACTTGGGTGGGTGGTGGGAGGTCTGCTCCGAGATATAATAGCCACGGGTCCCATCCGGATAGTCCCAATAGCTGGTAAAAGTCTCGCCAAGGATGGGGTTCAACGGTTTCTTCACACCTCTGCGTAGGCCGGGAGTCATTAGAATGCGGGGGTCAAAAAAGGAGAAAAAAAAAGGTACACAAGCGGGGTTCAACATACGGCGGCTTGATATGCCATCCACTCAAATAGAACTTGACGACCGAAACAAAGCGTTCCACTGGATCGTCAATCGTCGGCATAGGGAGAAGGGTTTCGGGATGTGCCATGAAACTATATCGTGAAGCCAACGGTCAGTTTCGTGGGTCTTTCGAGCCCTTTTGAGGGGGTGGAGCAAGCTCGGGGAGCTGTTGGGGGAAAGGTGCACGCACTTGGTGATCCGTTCGAGCATGGATCGGGGCTCAAGAATGAAGGTGGGCAAGACGACGCGACTCAAATCCGCGCCCGGTCGGAGCTGCGAAATGATGTGGGAAAGGACTTTGCAGGTCTGTTAGAGGTTCCCCATCCATGAGGGGGTTTCGAGAGACGTTACCATTTCCCTGATCGGGCTCGACGATCTCATCATCTCCGCTGACGGGAGAATCCTCCACAGAGGACTTGCCTGGGTTTGCAAGAGCGGCGTCAGACATGGTGAGGGTGGTGGGGGAGGGAGTTGGAGGAAGGGAAAAATAGTGCGGGACTCACTGGTCAAAGACGCACGGCGGAGATGCGGGACCGGCATGGCTGCGTTCGGAAAAGGGACCAGAACGAGTAGGGTGTTTGGGGGTGGAAACCGTCTAGAGCAACCCGGACATGGGGGAGGAGGAGAAACAGCGGTAAAGATGCTAGGCAAGAAGTCGAAGTCGAAGTCGAGGTCGAAGTTCGAAGCAAAGTGGGAATTCAGAGGCCTAACGAAGGCTTAGTTATTGGTTTAGTTCCAGTTGGGGCGCAGTGACGTCGAGCCTCATGTTTGGGCAGAACTAAACCGGTCGACAACCGCCCCATCGATTATGTACAAGTCTCGAGTCAATGATGGCCAATGATGAAGTCTCTATCACGACTTTATTGTGATCTAAAATCTATGGTTTGTGATCGGAGACTGATCGAATAAGAATAGTTCTAAACAACCGTTCCGTCCGGCTCGGACCCCCATTGTGTGTGTCTACTGTATTGTATTGAGTCCACGTCGGCACCAGTCCCTGCAAATCCCTTCCGCTTCGCTTCTTTCCCCCTCCCTCTCCACTCCTCCCAACGCGTTGGTTTGTCCTTCGGATCTGAGCGGGGCCTTCGATTTGTAGACATCACGCAGGTCGGGGGATATTTGGCGGCAGAGTGCAGATTCTCTGCAGGCTGATCCACCGAGGGTCTTCTGTGCCGGCTCTTCTCCCTGCCAAATGGAGAGCCATCGAGCTCTCGATTCTCGCTCTGGCGCCCCAGCTGCTCTTCGCTAGGTATCGTCTATTCTTCTCATTCAGATCAGCGGGCGAGACACAGGCCCAAAAAAGCACAATTCAGCTCCACCATGGGCTCTCACACCCGGTCAATCAACGGCACGTCACCGTGCGTGATCTCCCGCACGAATGCCAGATCTGGCCGGTAAAGCATGACGTGGAAATGTTCGACCGCGTGGACGGACTTGAGCGACTTCCAATTCCTGAACCAGACCACCTGCGCAGGCGCCACCCGCGAGCAGAACGTGCGCTGCACATACTGCTCGATCGCCTCTCGCGCCTCTGCCGTGAGGTCGCCCGTGGCCGGGTCATCCGCAAACTCGAATTTGGTCCAGACAACCAGGTGCACAATATCTGTATCGACTCCGTACGGCCAGTCATTGTACAGAACGCGCATATCCTCTGCTCGTATTCGTGTCAGCATAACCGCCCAGAACCCACAGCACCGGGATCGCCTCGGAGCCGCTCTTACCGGCAAATTCGAACGGCCGCCCCCGCGGTTGAAAGCCTTCGGGGCTCCCATCGCCCCAGCCCAGCCGTTCTTGCAGCACAAACCGCATCACCGACCCATACTCGGCCTTTATCTGCGCCATGTAGGCTAGGTACTTGCGTAGACCGCTCGGGACGCGCTGAAAACGATCAATCCGGTTCGTTCCTAAGACACGGCACAATGAGGCCTGTCAGCACAAGGCTTGGCTATGTACGCGCCTCCGGTCTGGAGCTATGCGCCTTCCATGCATTAGGGGATGAGCCAAGCTCCACTCAACTCGTTATCTCCTGGACCATCTCCCAGTTCTGTCGCTGGTAGTGAGCGTCGGGGGTCGCGAGGCACTGAATGTTTTTGGGCGACTGGTCGCGTAGAAAGGCAGGACATTCTGCGGTCCATTGTGATGGCGGTACGTTCACTAACCAGTAGGGAAGGGCGTCGAGGGTGAGGCCGTGGTCGTCGAGGAAACGTGTCGGCGCGTCGGGTTCAGAGACGAAATCAACGTTAACGTGGGCATCGATCCCCTTTCCGTCAAGTGTGATCGTTGGGCTCGAGAGCCCCGTCGAGTGTGGCATGGTAGGATGCTGGGAAGGTGCAGAACCCGTTCTGGGGTAGTAGTCAAGTCGTCGTTGTCGAGATAGCGTCGAGAGAATGTGGAAAACGCCTTCTCCGTAGACGACGTCAAGCCCGTAGTACGAAAGAGTGTTGGATAGGGGGGTTGGATGGTTGGATTGTTGGATTGTTCCTGACAATTAGGATCTCGCCTTATTCAACCCAGGGCCGTTGTCGATCCTCGGGGCAACCCACCTGCCGAAATCCACCCGGTGGCAACTCCTGGAGTGGAAACGGGGAATGCGAATGGGGAACCAGAATTACGTAGGAACACAAAGGGATCGGGATGGAGGCATAAAGAGCGATGGAGAAAATAGAGAGAGATCGATTGCCAGAATCCAACCTCCTGTAACCCGAGTATTCAAGGGATATATCTATCGGAGCATAACAGCAACCTATCTATGCAGTACAAGCAAGCTTCTTCGCCGCGTCATCTGCGTCGATGACCGACACGCCGCTAGCTTGTAGCTCGGCCTTCGTCTGCTCCCACGCCGAAGGCACCACACACTTCGTGGCTTCCTCGATAAGCCAGCTTCGGAAGCCGGCCTTCACCGCATCGAGTGCCGTGCATTTGACACAGTAGTCGCCCGCAAGCCCGACCACAAAGACATCCGTGACGCCCTTGGCCCGGAGCACCGACGCAATATCCACATTGACCGACTGCGCCGTGACCGAGGTATCGATATTGCCAAATGCATCGGCAAATGCAGAGTACATTTCCACCCGTGGGTGCTTGCCTTTCTGGATGAACCGGTCGATCCGATCGGTGTCGATCTCGGGAATGATCGCGGCTCCGGGACTGTTGGCGACACAGTGAACGGGCCACAACTGCTGCAGCTTGGTTTCAGTCTCCTGCCCAGGGGCCGGATTGTGCATTTCAAAGGAAGACACAAAGGGCTGATTGTTCGGGGCGGGGTGGTTGCTGGCGAAGGAGATATGGTCTGCGGGGTGGAAGTCTTGGGTTGCGATGCGTGCCACGAATCCGGGCTGGGAAAGCAGGGTGTTGATGAGGGGCGCAATGGACCGGCCGTCTTGCACTGCGAGAGACCCATTCTGTTTATGCCCGCCAGCATCATTGCAGTGCACCATCAGCATGCCCGAGCTTGGCTCGCTCCTCGATAGCTCTATGACAGACTCACAGGTGGACAGAAGTCTTCCTGCATGTCGACCACGATAAGTGCAGGCACAAAGGAGCCGACATCACTACCAGTTGACCCCATGATAGCTGTCAGAATAGGGTAGCCTCCAGTGAGATGGGAGGGTTGGAGGATTGGAAGTGTATCGCATCCACTAGCTTCTCGTCGCGGGAACCATGGCGGGCACTGTACACTTGAAGCTTGGCGGTTCCCGCTGGCTGAGTCAGCCGCCCCGCTAAAAGAGCTCGCAGCAACACGCAAAAACCTTCTTCTCTTTTCTCTCCTTCACGGGCTACGGCCCTCATGCACTGAACAGATAATGAGCGGCAATTGCAAGGTATGTAGCCATTGTGGCTAGTGACTTTTTATTTCCCGTCTTTTTCATGATGATTTTTTTTATTTATTGGAGCTGTCTGAGCTTTGCAATGCGGACAACCTCATTTATACGCTTTTCATCTTTCTGAACCTCAAAACCTGATTTTGAAATGCCCCTTCACATTGATTTATCTCCCGGGGATGATGCTAATACGATTTTGAAAAGTCATTTACAGGAGATTGTAAACCCACCTTTCACCCTCCCTGATTTCATCCCAGGTTCTTTAGCGAGGCCGGGGAGCACCCTATATTCGTATCTTTGTTGTCTCTTAAGATCCCACCATGGCCTACGACCCACGTCGTGTAAACACCGGGAGCACCACTCCCCAAAACCCTCCTCCCCCTCCCCCTCCTCCACCCGAGTCCACAGGCATGCCTCCGCTCACCGTCGCTGCTGGCGCGGCTGCGGCAACGGCAACTACCCTCGCGGAGCCCCCTGCCGACGCCTGGAAGCTCAAGTTCTGCACGGTCTGTGCCTCCAACAACAATCGGTCCATGGAGGCGCATCTGCGGCTCTCCACAGCCCCGACCGCGTTCCCGGTGATCTCTTTCGGCACCGGGTCGCTGGTGCGCCTGCCTGGCCCTTCGATTACCCAACCCAATGTGTACAGCTTCAACACGACCTCCTACAACCAGATGTATGAGGAGCTGCAAGACAAGGATGAGCGGCTATATCGCAGTAACGGTATTCTGAATATGCTCGACCGCAACCGCAACCTGAAATGGGGCCCTGAGCGCTTCCAGGACTGGGTGCCCGGCCTCCCCCGCCTCGACCACGTCTCCAAGGGTGATAAAGGCGCGATCGGCGCAGAGGCCGGCGTTGTCGATGTCATCATCACTTGCGAGGAGCGCTGCTGGGATGCCGTCGTCGACGACCTCATGAACAAGGGCAACACCCTGAACCGCCCTGTCCACGTGTTCAATATCGATATCAAGGATAATCACGAGGAGGCTCTCCTGGGTGGAAAGGCCATCCTGGATTTGGCCAACCGCCTCAACGACGCAGCCCTGGCGCAGCGGAAGAGGCATGGCCTCGAAGGATGGGAGAATGGCACCGGCGCGGCTCGTCTGAGCTTTGATGAGAGCGTCCCGGAGATCCTGGCCGAGTGGCAGGAGAAGAACCCCAATTTGCCGGCGCTGTGGACGCTAGCCTGGCTGTAGCATGGCGGATCTCTGGCCACTGTCTTGTCCTGTTCTGTTCTTCGATACCCCTCTCCCCTTGTCCCGACGTGGCTGCATTTTTTGGTTCGTGGATCGAGTGATTTCCTACCGCGAATTAGAGCTCCTCGAATCGAATATCAAATCCTCTTAATTTTTCCTCTGATCCATAGCGACGACTACCCTGCAGGGTCTAATATTATTTGTGTCATTGCTACTCTATTACCAAAGGATTGCAACATCCTGTCAACCCAATGTATTGATTGAAGGTAAAAACCAACTTCGAAAACAGAAGGGGGTATCATCGTCGTATCTCAAAATAGAAAGCGAAAAACCACATAGCAATCCATCCAACCAAAGCAAACCACCACCTCAGATCACCCTTTCTCATCCCGCCCCAACAGGACCTCTCTCCGCTCCTGATACCATCGATCCAAACAAGCCCTCCGCTCCGCCTGCGTCATGTTCTCCACCACTAGTGCAAACTCCGTCGCATCGCCATACCCAAATCGCCGCGCCATGCTGCAGAACTGCCGCCGCTTCACATCTGAGGGCGGATTGTACTCGAATCGCACGACTTGCCCCTCCGGCCCGCGAAACAGTGACGGCGCCGGTGGCATGCGCTGTGGCGACGCCAGACCCGCGTCAGCGTCGAGCTGCGACGGCATGAAGATCTGGACGTCCGCATCGGGGTCATTCTCCGTCTGCGCCGCGTGCCGGCTGAGACGCTCCTCAACCCGGGATGAGCCAATGACTTCGTTGTTCAGGTGTGTGTACTCGACGCCTGCGCCGGCGAGGATTGCTTGCACGGGATCGTGGTTGCGGGCAGCCTCGGACTTGGGCTTAGGACCGTCGGCGTCGGCGTTAGCGTCGCCACGGACCATCGCGGCGAGCTGGCTCATGGCTTCGTCCTCGGCTTTGCAGACGCGCTCGGACTCTTCCTTGAACTCGAAGTCCATGACCTGAACGCCGGCGCGGCTTTCGGCGATATTGGTTTTGTTGACGATGTCACGAAGCACGACGTTGTCGTGTTGGTAGGCGAAGAGGTTCTTCATGCCGAAGATCTCGCCTTTCTTGTCTGCCTTTTCCTGGACGCCTTTGAAGTACCGCCGCTCGGAGCTGGCGTTATAGCCGATCTCGGCTTGCTGCTGCTTGTAGATCTGGCGGGCATAGACGATCTCTTCGATCGTGCCAGCGGAGACGAGTCGGAAGACCTCGACGTCGCGGTTCTGGCCGATGCGGTAGGCTCGGTCTTGCGCTTGGAGGTCGTAGGATGGGTTCCAGTTGGGGTCGACGACAACCACTTTGTTCGCCGAGGTGATGTTCAATCCGACGCCGCCGGCCTTGGTCGAGATCAAGAAGACGAATTGGTTGGGATCGGAGTTGAACTCGTCCACAGCTTTGGCTCGGTCCTCATACTTCATGGATCCATCTAAAAAGCTGACATTGTAGCTGGTGTGGTTGAAGAGCATTTGCAGCATCCTCAGCAGACGTAAGCTATGAGAAAAGACGAGGACCTTGTCACCATTCGCGTGCCACCACCTAAGTAGCTTTCGCAGGACCTTCCATTTGCCGCAAAACTCAGGGTTTGCATAGTTGACGATCGAATCTCGAGATCGGTAGAGATCCTCCCATTGCTGCGGGAGAGCAATCTGCAGCATCTCCTTCTCTTTCTCTTGTTTCTCCCGCGGGTCGTTACCCTGAGGAATAAGGATGGCAAGATGATTGCTGAGCTTCTGTAGCACAGCGATTGCAGGGAAGACGTAGGCTTGCCAGGGCACCTCTGTGCCAGGGATCGTTCTATAACAGCACCAGCCTCGTTTCCTATTAGAGCCGCAGTCACAAAGGTCTGTAGAATAACGGATGCAGTTGACCATGTCACTGTCCAGAAAATTCTCATAGGCCTCGGCTTGTGTGTCGGTCAACGGGCAGAAAACCACTCGATCGCTCTTCTTCGGTAATTGATCTGCAATCAGCGTCTTCATACGCCGGAGGAAGAATTGCGGTAGCAAGTTCTCCACGAGCTTCTTGGCTGTTCGTCTCGCCTTGCTGAGTTCGTTCACTGTAGCATCGTGCGACTGTCCAATCTTCAAGGGCTCCGAAATTTGTGCTTTCCAAGTGGCCACTGGGCCAAGAACTCCCGGGTTAGTCCAGTTGAGTAGTGTCCACAACTCTTCATATCGATTCTGAATAGCAGTGCCAGTTAGACCAATCCGGCATAGTGAGTTGATTACATTCATCGCTTGTGTTGTTTCCGACGTCCGTTCCTTGATCTTATGACATTCATCTGCAATTACACAATCCCACTCAACCATGTTAACGGCGTCCTTGTTATTCACGTACGTAGTATAAGTCGTTATCAGGATCTCCGCCCTGCCCGACTTTGCCGCGTCCAGCGCAAGTTCTTTGTTCGGCCCGTGATATACATCAATATGCCACCACCCCCACCGTTGCAGCTCGGCAATCCAGTTTGAGATCAGCGTGCCGGGGCAGACGAGCAGTGTGCGAGGGTACCAAGTACTTTCGCCGGACCTGCGCATCTTGCGCATTCGTTTCGCGTCTCGCTCATCTCCAGTCTTGCCATACGCTGCCGTCAGAAATGAAATAACCTGAATAGTCTTTCCCAGGCCCATGTCATCTCCGAGAACGCCACCCTTCTGGTAGACGAACAACTCATGCAAGAACGCCACGCCTTCTACTTGATATTGCCGCAGCCACTGGGCGATAGGCGCGGGGATGAGCCCCAGAGAATAGGGAAGCGTGATATCTTTGTATTCCCTCACAGGATCCCTGCCCGGAAAATATGGCTTCTCTTGGAGATGTTCAAGGCGATCGTCATCGGAGAAGTCCACTTCGTCATAGGAAGGCGGCAGCTTCAACCCGGATTCCTGGAGGTGCTCTTGCCTTCGGTCAAACATGAGACGGCGTCGTTTCAGATAGGAGGGCAGCATGTGCTCCATCAGCTCGTCTTCTGAAGACACATCGCCATACTGCTTCAAGGACTGCTTAGATCTTGTCGAAGGTCGGTCTGGCCTGGTCTTTCCCACAAATATTTGATCTTGAGGCTCTCTCTTGGGAGCTTTGGCCTTGCGCGTAGCGGCTGCGCTTTGTCTTCTTTTGACGGATTTGCGCGCCTTGAACTTTTTGTAAGCCGCCTCGTTGTCGTTAAAGTCATCATCGCTGTCAACTTCGCCCTTAACCGGAGTGCTCGAGATTATGCGTGACTGGGCCCCAGAGTCTCCGGTTTTAGGCGTAAGATTGTAAGCGGTAGCCTGAATAGGCTTTTTACAGCTTACAGTGCTTGGCGTGGTGCCTGGTCATATTGTCTGTGAGCTGCATGCCAGGCGCATTGTGGAGCTGGGATTCATACTGGAAGCCAGGCCTGAGCCTGGACAGAACGGCTCCTCCAAATCGTCATCATCCGATTCAACAGTGATGACATCGGGCTCCGCTCTGTGGCTCCCCATGTTTGTCACTGTTTGTCACATAGTAATCGAATGTAGTGTGTAGCTTGAGAATGGCATAGTTGCGCGGAGTCGCGTCGTGCCGCGAAGGCGGAGAAGTGGGCGATGTCATTCCCGATCGGCAAGAAAAAAGCTCTCCGATCACCTTCACTCCGCAGACGACCGCTTTGGTCTACACCCCTCCTCTCATTTGAACTGAACTTGATTCTGCTCTGCGCAGATCAAGAAGGCGGCGTAGGTCTTGCCAATTGCTCAAATCCTGCTTTTATTCGAACGGTGGTGGGCTAATCTTCATCCCACCTATGCAGGTCGCGCAGAAAAGCCCGACGAGCTTATTCTTGAATCCATCCAACGCGCGCAACTACTCACAGAGATCTACCACGAATATCTTGATCTTACAAAATGCCGCTGGATACCTCAACAACATACCCTCTCACCCGGCTACGCCTGGATGGCCGCCGGTGGAATGAGTTGCGTCTGCTCCAAGCGCAGATCTCGACGAACCCCGCCAGCTCGGGATCCGCATATCTATCTATGGGCAATACAGCAATTATGTGCTCGGTGCATGGCCCTGCTGAGGGTCGCCGAGGAGAAGCCAGTGGCACTGCAGGCAGTGCGGGTGCTATCATCGAAGTGGAGGTAAATGTTGCGGGATTCGCCAGTGTGGACCGCAAGCGCAGGGCGGGTGGCAGTGACAGGTACAATTACTCTCCCTCTTTGCTGAAAAAAAAAAAAAAAAAAAAAAACCACGCTTGGCTGTTAAATCCACGTCGTGTTGATTGCTTACCAATTACAGACAATCCTCGCGGATCGCAACGATGTTACGCTCGGTTTTCCAATCGCATATTCACGCCTATCTATACCCACACAGTACTATCAGCATCCATGTCTCCGTTCTTTCCGCTGACGGATCTCTCCTTGCGGCCGCGCTTAACGCCTGTACCCTGGCCCTAGTTGACGCCGGTATTCCCATGCCTGGCCTTCTATGTGGCTGCACAGCTGGAATGAGTGGTAGCGCATCTACTCCCAAGGATCCACGACACGACGAGCTCGACCCGTTGCTCGATTTGTCACTCCCGGAGGAGCAAGAGCTTCCATACCTGACCGTAGGCACAACCACTTGTGTCCCCGTCGGTGAAAACAACATGGATGCGGACGAAGAGGAAATGAAGGTGGCGCTATTGACTATGGACTCGAAGTTTCACTCCTCATATGTTGAGACGATGCTAGCGGTGGGGATTGATGGATGCAACCAGATCCGTGAACTTCTGGAGGGCGTGATCAAGGGGTCAAACCGAGCGTGACACGATGGGATATGATATGCACTTTGGCGTTCATTGGTGTACGGTCGATTACTTCAAAAGGTGCTCTATACGATGTAGGAATATCCTGGCCTTGAACCTGCTCTCAGTTAATACATTACTGGTCCGCGCTGGTCGACCTGATAGAATTGATATGAACTCCCCCCAGTTCTCGAATTAACCATAATCAATAAACTCCACAATTCCAAATCTTCGAGCTTTGATTTTCTCCGCGTCTCAAATGAATCTGCTCAATTGCGCTCATTGTCTGTGGTACTTGCCCGAGGCTGCCGGACTGTCTCCAACTAAGGTTCGGAGGCTTCAGATAATGTGCTCATGTTTATCCTCTCTGTCTTCGGCCTTTCCTTCTCCCTTCTTTACTCCCTTCACCCCAACCTCATCCCTTCGCTTTTTCCTCGCATCTAAATTGCACTACACTCTGTGCGCCTTTCTGACCCACGCTGGTGATCAGTCGGCGTCACGGCAATACGGTTGTTCATCCCATTATCGACTTCATAATTGCTTGCACTTATCAAATCTCCTGCTCGTGTTCTTCCACCAAAAATTGACATCCTCGCATCGAAATGGATTCTATGGGCTTTGGTACCAGCACCTTGGACATGTCCAGCATGCCAACCATGCCCCCGATGTCAGGAATGGGGAACCATGACAGCGTGTCTAACGCAACTGGCGTATCCAACATGCCTGGTATGGAGGGAATGGACATGACCTGCAAAATCTCAGTTAGTGAAGAGGTATAGCACATCAGAGAAGGCAAACTGACATGAGGCTCATAGATGCTCTGGAACTGGTGGACTATCGATACATGTAGGTGATCACTCTCTGTTGATATCCGTTGAACATCATGCTGAAGGCTGTTTCCATCTCCAGGCTTCCTGTCAAGCTCTTGGCACATTCGCTCTCGCGTTATGTTTGCCGGCTCTTGCGTCGGGGTGATCTGCTTAGTTCTGTGCCTGGAGCTGTTGCGCCGAGTAGGCAGGGAGTATGACGCCTTTATTTTGCGACGAGCTCAGCTTCGCAAGACATATCTTTCCGTTTCCTCGTCCGATTCGGTTTCTAAGCAGCCCAACGTAATTGGTTGTGACTGTCCCTGCGCGCCCTCCTCTGCCGTTAATGAAAGTGATGTCATCATGGCTGCTGCCGACAAAGATGTTTCGAACGGAAAGATGAATAAATCCAAGATTGCGGCGACAGAGAACAATGCTTCTCGACTTAAAGAGCCTCATGCTGACGGTTCCTACCGTCCATCCCCGCCCGAACAAGTCGTGCGCGCTTTTTTGCATACGCTACAGTTCGCTGTTGCATACATAATAATGCTTCTGGCCATGTACTACAACGGATACATCATCATCTCCATTTTCATCGGTGCCTTTCTGGGATCGTTGATCTTTTCGTGGGAGCCCGTTTCCCTTAACAAGGAGTGAGTCGTCGGATGCCATCTCAGAGGAAGAAATACTAATTTGGCTCGAAATCCCTAGAAACGATGCCACTCAGGTTACGAAATGCTGCGGTTAACTTAAAGATGATTGAAAACGTCACTCCTGTTGACAAATTCTCTCAAAATGGTGGGTGAAAATGAGGAGATGGATGGGAAGGCTAGGAGGCCCCTTCTAAATGTCCAGCAATTGCATGTTATCTAAACATAATTTACGTACACATTAATTTTATTTTCTTAGTTCTTAACAGTTCAGGCCAATTATATGACTCTCCATATGCGCCCACTTCCTGCCTCTTCGTCCAAACCATCTCGCATATTTGCTTTGCACGGAATGCATTGACCAGTCCTGTCATTGCAAAGCATGTATCAAACCAAGAAGAAAAAAAGATTTGAGACTCCAAGTCCACTACTTCACAAGCTGCAATGAAAGCTGGCCATATCAAGGTCGCCGTATTTCCTTGACTGAGATTGTCTTTCGCTTGCTGAGTATGCGTAAGGGACTCTTTCACGGCATCAACTTCTCGCTGCAACAACCTCGCATCGAGATCATATATCCTTCGATGGAAGAAAATAAGTAAAGCTGCATACAAAGTTTGCGCTCTCGGATTATTGACCTCGATCTGGCTCGCATCGTCGTCGCGAACAATTCCCATCGTGAAAGATGATAGAAGAACGTGAATTGCTTTCTCTAGTGCTTTTGCTCGAAGCCAAAAGTCCTTCAAATTAAGCATTCCTCCAGCCTCATTTTCAAGTAAAGAGAGGTCGCGCTCATTTGCAAGGCGGATCACCTGTGATAGAAGCATGAGAAAACTCTCAGCAACTCCGTACATTTTCGGGAAGAGCGTCAGACTCCATCGGCCAGGAATTGCCAAGTGTAGATCACGCTGTGCGATATTCGGGTCCTTCTCCATGGCCATAATGTTGTCGGAAAATGCAATATCAGGGTGGATTCGGAATTCTAAGTTATCTGCATCCTCACTGAAGATTGTTGTGTCCCCAAAACCTGTGCTCAGACCATCGGCGAGGCATGTAGTCTCTGCTAAGATTCGCATATAAGCGTAGCAATGATGCAGCGCTCTTCTTTTGGGCGATACTATAAATTGTTTGAATCCTTTGATAGAAATGATCTTTTCAGCTTGAACGAGACAGGACAGATGCTTCTCGGGGTCGCCCTTGATCATCTGCAAGACAAGTAGTGAGGGTTAGCGGTTAGGTACTTCTGGCATAAACCCCAAGCGTCTAAGACATACATAAACAGCCGAAAGACTCAAGATAGCCATCAAAATATCCTTGTACTTGCTGAGCTTTGTCGCTGACGTGCAGTTCTCTTCCATGCACTTCGCGAAATGATATTGCGCACGCGTCAAATATAGATTACCGCTGGTGATCCAATGCTGAATGCACACGGCGGAACTTTGTCCCAGGTGAAAGGCGCTGGTACTTAAAAGTGCATTTAGAAGCGCAAGCCGGGCGTTATTTGTACTGCTGTTGATTGTAAGCTCTCCTAGTGTAGCCACCGCGCAAGGCATCACCAGATTCAGCCATGGTGCTTCTTGGCCATGGCCAAAAGGACAGACCAGAGGTACTATCCTGTCTTTGTAGTGGGAAAGAATCGTCCAAGCTTCAATATCGGTGGTGAACAATGATAGTGAAGGTGAAATCTGATTTCTCATGAATGGGCTTGTTTCCATGCCCTGAAAGCCTGGATCTACCAAGTCCCAGAACCCAGGATGGTCGTTCAGATTATTTTCTGAATCAGAGAGGAGACTAGAGAACAACCCATCATCTAAATCATCTAAACCCTCCTCTCGTGTGACGTGAGTGAGGTCGTCTATCCAATCAAGAGCGGATAGTGAAGGCACTTCTGGTTCTAAGGGCTGTTCCCCAAGCTCAGAAGACTTTGAAAATCTAGAAACCCCAAATGGCCCATGAAAGATTGAGAAAGGCTCGGTGGAGTTGGGACTAGATTCAACTCGTTTTAAATCGAGTAAAGCTTGCTGGGTATCCCTCCAAGGCACCGAGTTACTCACAGAGTCACTCATTTGTAGACGCTCGTTTTCTGTCCAATGTGTCAGGAATAGTCTGGAATGGTAATATTGTCCGGGCCTACCCGTGAAGATTGCCTGGCGATGCTTTGCTGCGTTCTCAGCGCTAAGTCGCCGGACACTTTTCTTGTTGTTGATGAATGTCAGTGTGAAATTTTGTCTAGGGGGGTTTGGATAACGAAACATCATCTTCCCGAACAATCGGATGTACTAGGATATTCGGGTGTTTGAAGATGTTGCTCCGTAACGTAGGCTGTGACTGCATAGAAGCTGAATCGAATCAAACTTGGAAGTCTCCACCAAGCGATCAAGTTACACGAATAAAGTAAAAGATATCTTCTCTGTACTTGAGTGTCGATGGATATAGTTCAGGGCTCCTTTTGAGTGGCGGGGTGGTGTCCCCGCGGGGTATGCTTGTTATTATTCCATGATCCGCCCAGAACGGAATGTCATTCCGGGAGGCGTGATAAGCGAATTAAGTATGAAGCTCCGATCCCGATGATGCTATTTACTAGCATTAGTGAGCTTGACCAGAACAACTCAGCTCTTTTTTTTTCTTGACAACGCGGCTATGCCAGCTGTTGCGCTTGGATTTACGCGTCTGTGCCTTGCCTTCTGCCGAGTGAGAGAAGGCCTCATCAGAATGGGATACAAAATAAATTGAATGGGATCAGAACTAATATTTCGAAAGCTGCAACTAAATAAGCTTCGTTAATAATTTCCTATGTTAGACCGAATGATTCGCCAGCCCAAATGATAAAAGATCAGCATATAATGTTCGAGCGGCATGTGTTGTAGGCTTTGATTTCTATAGAATATCACTCAAAGCGGACGCCACTTATAATAGACAGGATTCAAACGAGCCGATAGAAAACGAATGGAGTTTCTTTTTTCCCCTGAGGGCCATTGAAGCGGTCTTTTACGGGCTCCTTTGATGTATCTCGGCCTGAACTTGGCCTCAAATCGCCTCCTTTCCGCAAGGATGCCCAAGGAAACCCGAACCCCTGAGCGCCACGAAGTTCGACATTATTGGTCAATAACGTTTCGCCATATTGAATCCAAGTGGAGCCTAATGAAATGCATGGCCACGAAACTTTTGTTGGCATTTATAGCACATGCTGGATAAATTTATCTCAGCCGCACGGGGCTGACTGAACGTGATTACAACGGGGCGTTGGGGGCAGTACCCTATATTTGGCTATATTGCATAGCCACCAATCAGAAGTGTATTTGATTCCCGGAAAGTATTGGACATAGAATTCCACATCTAGGCACGGCATTAATGCATTACTGGCGCCTCAATTCAAGATATGCTGCCGCCTAAGTACTTTAGTGCATACGGGGAACATTTCAGCACCTGACTAGCGCATCAGATTGGCCTCTATGGCCTCAGTTGTTTCCCAGCCCAATGGACTGAAGTTCCTTCAACGATGCACCGTATCAGCATCTTGCCAAGATAGTCAACTTCCTAACAACGTATTCTCTTGGCTGGTCACTCACTTGCTTTTGCTTTGCTCTCGCCGCTTACCCCTGGGCATACTTAAAACGATCTGATTGCCAACAAAGAAATTCCAAACTTTGATTACAAAAAATATCCCCTATCTCATCTTTACCTCCTTTCACCTAGGCCTGAGAAAACAAGATCTGTCCAACAGCACATCGAGAGTTATTTCTGCAGCAAGAACCAACAGGATATTGAATTCCATACACAAAAATTAACGCCGCCAAAAGTTACAGCAATAACCTTTTTTCAACGCTCATAGTCACTAGTTTTATTTTGATCTGGTCCTACTATGACTTCATATCCTCAAACAATGTACAATTTGGATGGGATCGACTTTAAACGTCCTCAGCCTTTCGAGGCTGATGGAGGCCCGATGGAAGATACTCTATTTTATCGAGCGGTTTGCTGCAAGTGCGATTCGATGTAAGTATGTCTTTCGCACCTTTTATGCAAGTTTTAAGGGTTATTGACTAGGATGTTCTCTCTAGATTCCATCGAGATCAGCCTGAAATGAAGTTGGAATGATTCAGCTTATTGCTTCGTTCAGTGCCTTTCTTCTCCTTGGCTTTCAAGTCTTTTTTCAAGTTTTTTTCTGTGCGATCCTCTTTCCGTCTCATTATTCTTTCTAGTGATTTCTTTTAGTTCCATTGCCCTTCTCCATCTGCCACTCCGTTTCTAGATATATCTTCTCACGAAGTTTGCTTGTTATCTTGATATTATCTTTCTTCTTTCTCCAGCACATTTTCACTATTTTATTGGTTTTCTCTATGATTTCACCCATTTTCAGCCCCTCGTTGTCAATTTCATACCTTTGATTTTAGCTGTCCCAATTACGGGGTTGTCTAAAATCTGAGATCGTGGTATAGTGCGATGAGAAGCAAGCCAGTGACATACGAGAACCATGCCTCCCTGCATGGGCGACCTGAGTACATGGAGTCATACCGGTCGTCAAAACTGCTCTTATTATTGGTATCCCATAAGGGATCGAATACAATCACGCCACAAACTATTCAAATTATCCTAAAAGGATTTATCATCAACATTGCTCACAACTATTTCAGAGACCAGCAACATCAGAAGAACCTTGTTTCAATAGTTCAACATGGCACAAGAAAGCCACTCAATTTCATGGGAAGAGATTATTGATTCGTTGAATCCATTTTCTCTTCAACCGGATCAAACTATTGCCCCGACAGACCTTTCTCCTCTTTATGCCATTCAAGATGACATGTCACTGACGAATTATTCAAATCAAATCTTTGAGTCAAGTTCCACCATCTACGATCTACAGTTTCCCTTAGGATCTGACTTGTCATTTTCATCTGAAGCACCTGCACCTCATTTAAACAGATCGATCGAGTCGAGCACGAGTCAAAATGAGTGGAAACTGTTATCGCAGCCTTTGAATTCAGGAATGCACTTCACAGAAGAGTCATCTTACATGCAGCCTACGGACTATTCCACCTTGACTCTTCCAGTTTCATGGGCAGCCAACCAATCAACAACTCAAGAACCAAATCGCGTCGTCTTTCCATTCAACCAAGACATATTAGAACCAAACAAAACATTCTCGAGTCTAGAGTCTCTATCTCCCTTTCCGGTATCAAACTTCTCAGCATCGACCACCTCGCCTTGCTCATCAGCCGCCATATCAGGTTCCCATTCCAGCTCTCCAGACACACCTTTCTCATCTTATAACAACTATCGGCCAAACATAGTCGCTTGCAGAGATAAGTCTTGTTTCTCAAAATCTGATTATAGGAACAGATGGAAGGGAGAGAACAAGAAACGAGCACAGTGCCCTATTTGCCCGAAAACAGCACATACGGTCCGTGATATCAGAAGACATGTCTGGAGTCAGCACCGGCAGTTTGCCAAAGATCAAGGCTTAAGATATGATACAGTCAACTGCCCTTTTCAGGGGTGCAACTGTCGAGGGAGAATGGACAACATTAAGAGACACTATAAGAATATACATGGAGGCCAAATCAAGTGGAGAAATGGTGTCGCTTCCGTATCTGATTGATATGGACTTTCCTTGGTACTTAAAAGCTCATCCCGGTCTACCTTCCCTTCGACACCTTTCGATTTCTTTTACTCTGAATACTTTTTTTCTTCCGCATTTTTTATAGTCACCGGCATTTTATAGTGAATTCATGTGTTTCGCATCGTCTAGATTAGAACAATCCATTCCTAGCATACTTGCAAAAGGACTGGGAGTGTAAGTAGATTACTGTCCTGTGTTCATTTTTGCCTTGTCCAACAGTTATCACTATGTTATATAGATGAAATCAGGCCTCTTGTCACCCAGCACTGCAATCTCTTGGTAGTTGAGACCGTGGATCCACATATCACGTTGGCCGCTGTGACGTTTCTTATTCTCGATACGTAAAAGGACGGTTTGAAGCACAGAGCCAAGAAATAAACAAATGAAAAGCCATCCGAGTACAACTCCATGACCCGGATAATAGGTTGGAGCGTCTTGACCCCTGTAAATGTTGCTGGCAACGATACCATTCAAATTGCCGCAGCCAATCATGAGTCCAAGGGTGATACCTCGTTTATAGACACCTATTTCAATATGATCAGAAAATCTTGGATGATAAAGCAGCCAATCTTCACTCACCTTCCACGTTGTTACTTGTCCAAGTGATAGTATTTGCAACTGAGGGAAATATAGCCATCGCCCCCAAAAAAGTACCCGCATATCGACTGGCTGGCGTGTTTGCAGCAATAAGCATGCCGAAGCCTGCCATCCCTACAATGGATAGTACGATGTTGAGGATTCCCCTCTTCTGAGTTCGATCCCCAATATAGCCCACTATAATAGTCACGAAAAAAGCAACGGCATTTGGAGGGACAGCAAGGAGCTGGGCTGTTGTTGAGGTGTAACCCTAATAATTGTCAATTTCCCATCTTTCGAATAAATGGAACGCTCTCACCAGATCTTTCACTATGCTCGGAAGAAACAAAGCAAAGGCATATAGGGAGCCTCCAGCACCCATGTAGATCAAAATGCTTGTATAAGTTTTCCAATCTTTGAAGCTGGCCCAGAGAAAGCCAATATTCCACTCTTGGTGCATACCACTGGACTGCTGGTCTAGCGCCAAACGCCGAATGACCCGATTCTTGTCACTCTCAGAAAGGAAACTTGCTCTATCTGGGAAGACTACCACGACCCAGAAGGATATTAGTCCCAATAAAACAGTCGCAAGACCTTCCAGAATGAAAATCCACGCCCATCCAGGCTTGCCTCCAACACCATCCATTTGAGAAATTGCTGCCGCAAGTAGGCCACCAAAGGATCCGGCCAGTGCGGCAGACGAGAAGTAGATAGCCATTCTGATTCCGAATTCAGACCGCTTATACCAACAGGATAGATAGTAACTAAGACCTGGTGGCAAGCCAGCTTCAGCTAGTCCAAGAAACCAACGTGCCGTCATGAGTCCCGAGAAATTCTGAACTAACCCTGTCAAGGTCATGATGATTCCCTGGTAGATGGTTAGCTAAATCAAGACGGACTCTTTCTGCAGCCACTATCATGGTACTTACCCAGGCTAAAATGATACCAGGGATGAAAATTCTAGGGCCAAGCCGTTTAAGTACAACGTTGGTAAGCGGCTCAAACAAGGCGTAAGAAACAAAAAAAATGCTTAAAGATGCATTGTATTGACCGTTGGTCATTTGTAGTGCTTCTTGGAGACCTTCAATTTTTGCATTTCCTACGTTTGTCCGGTCTAGAAAACCAGCAAGGAATAAAAGGCTAAGCCAGGGAATCAGCCTTAAGTCTAATTTCCTGACCAGACGATTATCCTATTAAAGGGTGAACATTCTGATTTGGCTCCGTTATCTCGCTGAACGCCAGCGGCTAGCTCACAATGCGGTTTTTTTCTGTTTCACCCAGACCTGCATCGGGGTCGGCCGGAAGCTCATGCTCAAAACAGGGAGTCTTTTCTATTTCGGCCATTTTGTCGTCTCCAGCGCCTCTTTTTGATAAAAGATTTTGTGAGATAGGGATAATATTGAGAAGAAGAAATTATGAAGGACTCTGTGGATAACTCCAATCTTTATAAGACTGACTGCTTCACAATAACCAATGAGGCTGTCTACTGTCTAATCCCGATTCAGGTGTATCCTACGAAAATTTGAGTTGCAACAAAAGTTACGACAAGCTGAACCAATAAACGGATGAGGCATGTCCGGCTTTAAGACTTCTCTTCTCGGCTTTTGGAATTCCAATGCCCGTGAATCAACTAAAATTCGCTATGGGAAACATTTTAATCTAAATTTTGATTCTTGGGCGTGGGTCAACCCCGCAAACCCCGCGTACAGGATTGACGGCAGCGAGGAAAGCATATGGGGCCGTAAAAGGAATCCTGGGCTGAGCATGTTGTGAGGTATGACAGGATATAGGGGCTACGTAACAGTAATTCTGGTTTTCAGGGCTGCACTCCGTAAAGAGGGTAATGGATACAGTTATTGGCTGAGAAAACATCCCCGCCTAGAATTGGTTCGGTAAGTGTACAGGATGCCGATTTTAATATACCGAATTATGAGCCAGGATTGTCCATAGAGCAATTTAGATTTCAATCAAGACATTACGGCTAACTACTGACCATACAGCCTAATACCACCGTCATTTTCGCTCTTCATAGGCTCGAAACGGTGATGATAGATAAGAGAATTCGTTGTGGGCCAGCGAAAATCTTCTATGCCCGAGATAGTCTTATCATATGAATCCGATGGCGTCTGGTGCTGTTTATCATGGTTTTGGCCTTTTATATCACTCGTTATATAGTTTTCTAGGCCGTGTATGGGAAATAATGGCGACGGGGCTGAGCTTGGTGCCTCGCAAGAATGGAAAGTTGTCATCTTAACCGAAGTCCTCGCTTAAAGGATGCCAATGTTTTTGATTTCGTAGATTGGAGGGTTCCTTTTTCTCACTTTTTTTACACCCGCGTTCTAAATGAATCAAGTGTTAGGTACTCGATTTAGTTATCTCTTAGTATAGCAGTCGATGTTGAGGCATCCTCGGTTAAAATATATTTCACCGAAAACTCAGTACCTTGCGTCCAGTCGACTAGCAACTATTTTTTGACACGATCCCATGAATGTCTAAATATATGGAATTTTGTGTATGTTGGTGTTCCTTGTCTTCATTACCCACTCCTTTACTTCCAACTTTCCTTTTTGGAGACATTGTTTAAAGAAGTATCTCAATCACGAGTCCATCCTTGTTTGGTAAAGAATGACATACACATCCGCCATGACAACTTCCGTTCATAACCCCCAATTGCGCCTTCTGAATGCCCTCAGGGCTAAAAAGAAGCCGATTATGACGTTTTTAGGGCTTCCGTCATTTCGCTCAGCGCAAATTGTAGCCCAGACCGGCCTTGATGTAAGTGTTTCTTGTCCCTCCTGACGTTCCTATTTAATGATCGTAAAAAAGGGCATAATTATAGACTGTGAGCACGGTCATATCAGCGATGATTCTATGCACAGTTCCACGGCGGCTATTGCTGCTTTGGGGGTATCTCCCCTTGTTCGTCTCAGAATGACACATGCGGATTTGATTAAAAGAGCTCTGGATGCTGGCGCACAGTAAGTGATTCGAAGTCTTGCTTTTTCAATGCTGAATTTATAAGTGGCATCGTTGTACCTCAAATCAACACTGCCGAAGATGCTATAAGCGTTGTGTCTCATTCGAAGTTCCCTCCTCAAGGAGTCCGGGGGCAAGGATCTTCCTTTCCCGCGATTGCTCATGCTACCGACATTTCAACATATATGAAAACCGCCAACGAGACACTCATTACTTGTGTTCAAATTGAGACAAAGGCAGGCGTTGAGAATGTTGACGCTATCTGTGCTGTGTCTGGAGTTGGTTCGTAATTGACACAATTACTTCCATCGATCGGATTGCTGACCGCTTGCAAGATATGATTTTCATAGGACCAAATGACCTTGCGCTATCAATTCTTGGCTATGTCCCCGCAAAGGGTGACGAGCCCGAGTTTGTCAATGCTATTGAGAGGATCGTAGCAGCAGCCCGAAAGCACGACAAATGGGTTGGTAGATTATCAAACAACGGGGCATTGTGTAAGGAGCATCTGGAAATTTTCGATACCGTAGCGATGAGTTACGATGTGCGAGCCATACATAATTGGTATACAGGCGAATTGCTGGTTGCTCGATCATAGTGGACGGCAGCATAAACGTATTGAATTGGTTACACTGAAAAGATTTGATATAAATCCATGCATAGCAAAAGCTTCAATCGAGGACTGGAAAAAGGTCTTGTTAGGACATATGGCAGAAATTGGCATTAAGCAAGAAGTTGAATCTAGAATGATTCTTCTAAGAACACCGCTTACCCATTTATTTTATAATGATCTATTTACATTGCATCGAGATATGTAGAGCTAGAGAACAAAACAGAAATTGATTATATTCGTGATAGTACAGCAGTATGCCGCCAGAAGAAGACTCTTTCACCCGACCTGTGAGGCTTTCTGAAAGGGCTCCATTATCTCTACCCCTTGCGCTGCAACGTGTGATAACCTACTTTGTTTCGTGCTTGTGTAATCGTTGCTCCATCAGCAATCAGTTCTCGGATACGGGCTTCGCTTTTCTCGATCTTCTGGGCTATTGCCGCCACCTCATGAGCTCGATCTCGTGGAACAAGAACGACACCGTTGGCATCTGCCACAACGATATCACGAGGATTCACACGCACTTTGCCGATACTGATTCCGGTGCTCTCATTAATACCGCCCACTTGGACTCGATCTTTGCCAGTTCGCATCCATCGTCCCGCTGTGAAGAGCGGATATTCATTGTCGATTGCACAGTTCACATCGCGGCAGACACCGTCGATGACAGAGCCAGCAATGCCTCTCAAGCCAGCATATTGCGTCATAATATCCCCCCAGACGGTACAATCAGTACGGCCTCCGTTGTCAATGACTACAATGTCACCTACGGCAACATCGTCGATGAAATCACCCACACTTCCCGGGGGTCATTGGCCGGCACGTATCGTACAGTGAAGGCTGGACCGACAGTGGTTCTGTTGTAGTTCGTTAAAGGCATGATGCCGAGCGCTTGCCCTGGGATACCAAGTTTATCAAGAGCATCGGAAACTGCCGGAGTATCTGTATCGGCAAAGAGAGCTACTAGTTTTTGGTCTTCGATACTAGCTTTCCGAAGATTTCTTTCGTTGAATGACGCCGCTGCTCCAGTAGCTGTTGGAGGTTTTGAAGCCAGTGGAGGTGTAGACTCCTCGCGAATAGCGTCGAACTGCCTATCGTGCATAATAGTAGACACAGGCTTACCAGCTCGAGCATCTTGTACCATATGGTTCTGGCGCCGGTCGATTCTTTCGCCTAACTCCAGAACCTCTTTGATACGCTCAGCCGGGATGAAAACCGTTCCGCAATTGTCGGAAATCACGAAATCATCTTGATGAACTGTAACATCCCGTATTTGAAGTGATGTACCGGACTCAACCTGTACGATTCGATTGCGCGCGCTGATCATGGTAACGCCACGACCGTAGACAGGATAGCCGATATCGCGGCTGCCGTCGATATCACGACACATGCCGTCAATGACAGTCCCGCGGATGCCCTTCACTTTCGCAGCGTTGGCGATGATGTCCCCCCAGCATGATATGCCATCTAGACCCCCGGAGATCACAAGAATGCGGTCATCGGATGTGACCGCATCTATGACCGGAGTTAGTAAATGAGTTGTAGGGCGGGTATCAGTCTTAGGGCCCAGTTTCACGGTGCTGGCTCGTCCAACAATCTTCGGACAATTCCAGAGTGGTTGCAGGCCATATGTAGCGCCTTTAAGGTCAAGAAAATCCAGGGCATCGGATATAGTGTTGGTATCCAGGGCCGCAAGTCGGTCCAGAATTCTAGATTCACTCATCGTGTCGGCTAAGGAAAGCGAAAATCAATCCGAATAATCATATGAAGAGAAGTAAACATAGGAAACAAAGAATTTTGAAGAAACCAGGCTTTTTATTGATCAAAGTACGATCTCAGCTGCGATGTCATTTAACTAGATGCTGTACACGGAAATTCATCTTTTATGAGACCCCCATCTTGTATGTTCTAGTTATCTCGCCGAGTTGTGAATCGGGAGAGTGAGATTTTCCCGGATATGATTGTCCAAAAATCACCAGACGTTTCCTGTTTTAGTTTCTCTGATCATTAATCACTGGTCTAATGCATTGAGCACAGACTGAGCCGGATGAAGTATGTGGGGTGCGTGTGCGAAGTACCTGGGCCCGATCCCGTCGGCAAGAAAACATGTCGCCGATTTCACGAGCATTCCCGAGCTTCCAGTCCATCCACAGCCCCTTGCCTCTTGGAAATTATTGACCATTGGGAATTCGCGTTTGTAGGATGGTGAAGTTGGCTGGTCCCTTGAAGTTTTATTCGGCGTGAAGTTTGCAGGGAAACTGTTCGGCTTGGATGAACCAAAGCATCCAGGGTTCATCGGAAGGGTACAATGAATGGATCACCGATGCGGGCCGCGGGTAGCAATACCTCACACATCTATCTTAGGTAGCAGATTTGTTTCCGATTTTCTCAAAAGTTGGAAAGCGCACCTCCTGGGGCGGCAACGACATAGTATTTTTCGATCGTCAATACTAGGTCCGTTTGTTAGATTTCTTTGTGAGCAAAAATGAAAGATTTCCATGAGCGAATTGTCTAAAAACAGCGATTGGACAACTTCTTGCATCTGATAGATCGAACATCATACAACATTCCTAGCAAAGCTTCTCATTATCGACTTTTCAGGGCTGGTTTGAGGGATGCCAGTCGGCAACCTTTGCTGACGGATCAGCCTCAATTATAGGAGGAAATTAAGGATATAATGGGAACTGCACGTGGTCGCAGTAAACAATAGTTTATCTAGCAGGCCTACGGTCATCGCTTCAGGCTGTCATTGAGATCATTGAGATCAATTTAATAATGATTCTTCGAATTCCCACGCTCAACGACTTGAGCACCTTTCCAAGATTGTTCTGACCAATTGCTCATTCACTGGTGTCTTCACCCCAACTTTCCGGCCCATTCGACACCAAAATCCATTGATAAAGTTAATCTCAGTCTCCCTTTCAGCTCTTAGATCCCATACCATGGAGCATGTGGTTTTAGCCGTTTTTGTGATGATCATATTAACGGTGGCTTCTAAGCTCTTCGCTGAGAACCTTTCCTCCAGACCAACAACTCCTTTCAGCTCTGGCAGAGATAGAACAACCTGCGAAATCTCCTGAAGTATAGCCCGCCTCAATTCCGGCACAGTGAAGAGAAATTCGTTCTTCGCATCGTTGAGAGCGCAGACCGGATTGCAGAATGCATTCACCGCGAGCTTTTCGAGTTGGATTTGTAAGATATCAGTATAAAAGTACGAGGTGGCGTTCAATGTAGTCGACTGGGGAAGAATATCTAGCAGATAATTTGATTGCGACTTCGAAATGGCTCCAAAATCGAGTGAATCACGTGGAACAGGTCCTAACGAGGTTGCAGAGAATCCAGTGTGTGTGATGTCAAAGGATTTGTTGAGCGTTACACCGTGAGAAATTACGCCGATCAGATAATTCGGACGAGAGTGTGGATCTGTGAACAACCGATCGTTGATAGCTTCAATCATGCCAGCACCGTTCTGGAGGAATAGGATATTCGAGTCTCGATTCAAGCGATTTGCAAGCGACCGAATAGCTGATTCGGTCTGGGTTGCCTTTACGCAAACAACCAGATTACTGATCGGATCTCGATTCACATTCCTACAATCATCATTGAGGGCACCTGATGGACTGCTTAGCCACTGGCCATCGGATAGGGTTTCAATTTCATATCCCTGAGAAATATGTTTCTTCCCATCTCTTGACTCGAAACGTATTTGACTGCCAGCCAAGCGATACTCTTGTAGAAGTGACCTTCGGTGTAGGAGGAGCGTCACGGTCGGTGCAGATGCAATTTCCGAAATAGAATGTGCAGTAAATGTGCCGATGCTCCCAAGACCAATGACATGTACGCGAGGCCGAAGAGCCGCAATTGAGGTAGTGAGAGGACACATGAAATGCGATGGAAAAGGAGACAATATCTGTCCCCGAGATGTAGATCTTTATGTCGTCCGGCTCATGAGGTAGTTGTATGCAAGATATACATTATTGGGGTGATGAGACATCGCAACGGTCTCTTTCTTTTGCTCGGATACCACCGGGAGAGAATGATTTCTTCGGTCTACCGTTGGGCGTGAAAAATAGCCTAACAAGGGCGTATGGGCGTATGGGCGTTAGGGCGTGTCTCCACCACGCCCTGTGGGTCGACCCTGGAGGGGCCAGCTTATCGCCACCAACTTTTGGTACATTGGCTCTCAGGTGTCCTTCCTACACGGAGTTCTTGCAATTGCCAAGGTTGAGTGTAAATAATACACAAATCCTAATCAAAATGCACGTTCTGAAATCTGGCTAGCGATGATAGAACTTCGGATAAAGGCGAGTTTCACAGATGACGTACGCCCTGCGCTCTATCTATTTCGGACGTTCAGTGAATTATAGAAAGTCCGGAGCCTATATAAATAATATATACTTGAAGGACCTATACCCTTTTCCGCCTCAGCTATTTTCACTCCCATTCCATAATCCATTCTTTCTACGTTCATCGAGATGATTAAAAGTTTCGAAGACGCCAATGCCTTCCTTCCTCCGGTTTTTGAACGAATGGTCACTGCCAACGGACTGTCCACAAGCAACCCCCTCAATGCATCTCGGCTGAAATTGAACCTCACCACGAACCCAAAAATCATTCCGTCATCTGATTCAAAAGATCTTCACGCGCACAAAATATGCACGGATCATATGATTGTTGCTCGTTGGACAACTCAAAATGGTTAGGCTGATCCGGAGATTGTTCCCTTCGCCCCGATCTCGTTGTCACCCACAGCTAGTGTGCTGCACTATTCCACTTCATGCTTCAAAGGCATGAAGGTACACCGCGGATTTGATGGCAAGCTCCGCCTCTTCAGACCCGAATATAACTGCGCACGTATGCTAGCCTCCGCCAGACGCATCTGCCTTCCGGAATTTGATCCCAGAGAACTATTGAAACTTATCAAGAAACTCTGCGAGGATGTAGTTCGATCGTGGCCGGATGGCACCAGATCTGCCAAGGTGAGCGATAACTATGCCCCTTCATTGCTAGTCCAGGGTGAAGCCAAAAGGCGTGGTTGTGACCAGGTTCTATGGTTATTTGGACCGGAGGGATACGTTACGGAGGCTGGCTCAGCAAATTTCTTCGCTATTTGGCGAACGTTCGAAGGAAAGCTACAGCTTGTTACTGCTCCCTGGAGTGATCATCTTATTCTGGCTGGAGTCACAAGACAGAGTATCTTGGACTTGACGAGGGAAAGACTCAGCGAATCGGAGGGTTCTAGCTATGGATGCGAGCCCCTTGAGGTCATTGAAAGAAATTTCACGGTATCTGATCTTGTTGAAGCATCCAATGGGGGAGGTTTGGTCGGTGCATTTGTTGTCGGAACTGCATGTTTCATGCAGCCAGTCGTTCATGTCCAAAATGGTGATATTGAGATAGCAATTTCCCAAGAGAAAGTCCTACTCGTATCGATGATACGCAAATGGATAAAAGACATCATGTTCGGTGGCGAGGAGAACACGTGGGCAGATGAAGTTATGGAGGAGTAAATAGACAGAGAAACAATAAAATAGAAGAGAATATAATAGTGAAATCGTTACTCTGCGTACAGAAAAAATCGGAAATTCCAAGTTCCGCAGATCTGCAATACGTTGCTATCATGTAAGTTATGTCCCTGGAGGGGGAGGGGCTATCGTAATCTAAGAGTCCGCAGCATCCGGCCTATCCAATTTTTCAAATTGAGGAGAATTATGCCGCTGCCTGAAAGATGCAATCCACTCCGGATTGTCTGCGATCGTTTGATTCCACGAATCCTCGGAGTCATATAAAAGGCGCCTCGCTTGGTCCTGGAACATCTCATCCGTGGGAACAATGCCGAGACTCATTTGTTGCCGTGCATATCGACCGAGATGTTGAGTCAAAAGTTCCGTAAATGTACCTAAAGGTTTTTGCTCTGTCGCATGGAGCCGTTGAAACGAAGAGGTTAATACAGCCTCCTCATCTTCCACATCTTTGGCTCTTCGTGAAATTTGAGCGAAATGATCCTTCACGCTAGCATTTGTTGCCGAGAAAGGTACCACAGTCTTGGATTCTGACGCGATTAGATAGGGAGGTAGAGAGTTAGTGACCATTGCAGCTATGGATGGTGGAAAGTCGTGTTCCCCTCGCCACTCATCCATCGTCAGGCCTTCACGAAAATGTGCCGCTAGATGCTCGGCTCTTTCGTTCCAACTATGTAGGCGGCAATCGCAGAAACCACAACGTGATGTTACCACCAGCTCGGGTGTTCTCCAAGTATCGATGAGTGGCAATACATGAAGACGGTGGACAAGCCGCAGATGCTGTACAAGGTGATCCTTTCGTCGAAACGTACGAGATGTGCTGGAGCAATATGTATAATGGTGCTGGAGGAGATGCTCGGGAGACGGATCCAAGCAAGAGCAGAAGGCACAATGCCTCCTTCCAGTGGTTGGGGAGACCGGTGAGCCTCCATCTGGGGCACACATCCATCCTCCCAAGTTCAGGTGAAGGGTTCTCTCATGTCGCGACCAGTCATGCTTATTTTTGAATGTGTCACAGCAAAACGTGCACGGGAAATTTCGCCGTTGATGAGAAGCATTCGAGCTCCTAGACTTCGCGTTCTTGTTAACGCGTATGCAACCATCATAAGATTGGGCTGCTAAAGTGTTCTGCGCCGCGGATGCTGACTTCCTTGAGCCAGAAGAATGCCAAGATGATACGCTATTGCCGCTGTTAGAGCTAGCCACGGAAACGGGTCGGCGGTGGTTGCGAAAGGAAGCGTGATTTGTAGTTGGCAGGGCCCCCATCTCGCTAAAAGCAGAGTCTCTGGACATGTTTACAGCTTGCATGATAGCAGACATGGATGCTGGTTCATATTCGGGAGGGGACTCCTGCCACCGCTGTAAGGGATCAAGGGCCGGGGTCTGGATTGGGATCGGCCTTGCTTCGGTCTTCTGTCCAAATATCTGGATGTTGTAGCGGCTCCTTCTTCGAGGAAGACTGGCAGAAGAATCCAGAATTTGCACTCGACTTCGTCTCTCCTGCGCTTGAGAAATGATCGAAGGAATAAGGGATGCATCAGTGGCTGTAGTTGGCTCTGCGAAGGAGGCCTCACGAGACGTGGTGAGTGTCGTTGGGAAACAAGACAGCATAGGCAAACCAATGTCCTGATCCAGTGAGCCCGCCGTGGGGCAAAATTGGGTTTCCTTATCTGGAGAAAAAGCAAACCAGTCCGGCGCAGTGGACTGCAACTCAGGATTGGGGGAAAATCCCTCCATCAACCCAGGTACAGCGACATTCGGGGCTGTACAGGGGTCATAGGTGGCATGGCCTTCGTAAGAAGACGCTCCCGATATTGGTGTGAAACCCGCAGGTCTTGGTCCTGGACTTATGGTGAGTTTTCAGGGTTGGTCAAATCGCGGCGATGTCCCATGCACTGCTGACCTTTTCGGGCGTAATGAAAGTCCTCGTAATCTGATGACTGGGTGGGATTGGGGGTAAAAGAGCCCCCGCTCATTGTTCCAGCCAAGAGGACTATATAAATATCTACAAGCAAAATGCTATCGCTAGGGGCTTGCGTCTGATCGGTCGATGTAATGTCTGATAGCTCATGGGATGGCGGCAAAGTGCAAGCGAAAGCTCTCGAAGCAAATCAATCGGCGGGTCCCGATGCAGACAACCGCATTTTGATAACTGCATTTGAGGGTCATGTGACTAACTCAAAGCCATAGCGGCCGATGGGTCAACGGGTTTTTACTATCTTGTCCGCAGCAGGGTACAGAAGCGACGATAAGTGCAGTGCTCGAAGATTTATTAATGAGTGTGGCAAGTCCTCCCGTTTGCAAAATTCTTTTTCTAACATCCTCTTAATTTGATCAAAGCTAGGGTTCATGTTGTGAAGTCTAGGCATCTTGATCCCATGAATCCGGTCATGTCAAAGGGCGTGATATTCCCTGTAGAAGCGGCAAGTGATGCTTTACTCGGCGCCGAGGCTAATGTAGGGCGTGCAGGGCGCTCTGTATTGTGGGGCGCTCGAACTCGGCTTAGTGTGTGAGATGATCTCTCCACTCTGCATTTTTGTTCTATCCTTGTGTCATGTGATCCTATGCCCTGAGATCAGCCATGTATGAATCGAAGGGCGCCAGCAGCCATTATACAAAAGTGAATCAATATATCATAAACTTTGCGGCACTCGTAGTTGGTTTCTTGATTTCTCGTTATGATGTTTCGGCTAATCGGTGCATTTTTCTGTCGAACTATCCGAACTCGCGAACATACGGAGAGGTTGAAGAAACAAGGCTCGCTGTACAACATAACTCTCATGAACACACCAGTGAGCTAAAATGAGCAAGGCATAGGTCGCTGTCGCTTTATAAAAACCAACATATTCATCGGGTACTTACGCACACCACAGATCAGAGCAGGACGAGGTGTGAGGAGGTGCACGCTTCAGAATGTTCTGTCGTAGTCGCTTGAAATTGATCATGTAAACTGACTACTCCTCCAAAGGGTCTTGAGATTCAATATTTGACATCTACAATCTATCTAGCTGCTCTTCAATAGGAGCCCCCAGAAAGATATTATTGTTGGTCACCGACGGGCATTACGAGAGCGGCCCGGGTGCTATCCAAGACTGGTCTGAATTGAAGATAGTCAATGAAGCTCGTAAGGTGAAAAACAGGCATACTGACGCCTTTTAAATCATTTCCGCAAATGCTGAGACTGAAGTTGTGATCTCTTCTGTAGCGAGCTCCCCATCTCTGCTGCGTCTCATGCCCTGCGCCCTATCCGGCTCCGCCCCAATCCACGCCCTAACTCACATCCTACCTTACGCCAAGAAATATGGCCATCCCCGCATTCTCCAATTTGGAGAATAATCACTGTGCTCTTCGTCATTCCCTACTGTCAGCCACCAACGCCCAGACCTTCACTTTGTAGCAAACCGATTCCGCGCCTCACTCGAAATTGGAGAGATTTGGAGACAACCACTGCTGTTTCCCTTGAACCTCGGCACAGATCACCACGTTGTGATATTTTGCTAGTCCCTACAGATCTCTTTTATTCGCAACTCACCACGATGCGGATATTGCAGCAAACACGAATTTCGCCAATTGCCCGACCAGTCCCGGCATTCGCGAGAATAATGTCACATTTTCGTATCATCAGACACGAGGCTCGCGCTCAGAATATACGGGAGCGCCCCGGAGCGGTGAAAGTAGGGCATGAGCGAGAGCTTCGACTTGCTGTGAAGCAATATATTCCCCATGACAACCCTTGTCCCGCAGATGGTGATCTTACTATCATCGGGGCACACGCAAATGGATTTCCGAAGGTTGTGGACAACACCCTTTACTCTGATGATTGTGGCTAAGAGAGAGTTAGGAGCTGTACGAGCCACTTTGGGATGATATCTACGAAAGACTACAATTTCACAACCGGCGTATCCGATCCATCTGGATAGCAGATGTTGTTCATCAAGGCCAAAGTGCTGTTTTGAATGAAGAAATCTTGGGAGATGATCGTGAGATTTGCACTTTTCACGTAAATTAAGTCTTGAGACATTATATCTGACCTTTTTATCAAGCTAGTTGGTTTGATCATGAGCGAGATTTGCTCTTTCTTATGAACCTGTTCCAGGACTATATCACCCAGCCTATCATTGGAGTCGGCCACAGTATGGGTGGCCTGCAGTTGTGAGTTGATTCGCCCTAGTGCACAATACAAGATTCTAACAGGGTCAAGGACCCATCTTGCCCTGATGCACTCGTCTCTCCTCCAAGGTCTTATTTTACTGGATCCAGTCATACAAAGGGAAAATCCCAGCCGGAAATATGCTTTACCATCTACTTATAGGCGGGACTTGTGGCCATCTCGCGCGGACGCTGCGGAAAATTTTCAGTCTAGTCGCTTTTATAAGACCTGGGATCGTCGGGTGCTCGAGAAATGGATTAAATATGGACTCCGAGATCTGCCGACAAAGCTGTATCCCACTTCCAGTAAGGCTGGAGCTCGACAGCCCGCTGTCACATTGACCACACCCAAATCGCAAGAGTTGTTCACTTTCTTGCGGTCTTCTTATGTTGATGATAGATCTGGCTTATCTCGCGGGTCGCCCAATGAGGAAATGCACCCGGATGATATAGATGGCTTCCCATTTTATCGACCCGAGCCCCCACAGATCTTCCGTCGCTTGCCAGAGCTGAAGCCGGCAGTTCTTTATCTCTTCGGAAATAACTCGGACCTCTCCTCTCCCGATTCTCGTCAGGAGAAGCTACGAGTTACCGGCACTGGCATTGGAGGAAGCGGGGGTGTATCTCGTGGCCGGGTACAGGAAGTTGTTCTTCCTTGTGGCCATCTGGTCCCTATGGAACTTGTCCGAGAAAGCGCTCAAGCGAGTGCTGATTTCATTGATACGGAATTATCACACTGGAAGTCACAGACTTTGAAGTTTCAAAAAGCCTGGGGAGGCATTTCACACGAAGAGCGCACAAGTATCGACGAGCAGTGGAAGGCTCATATGGGTCCCCTGCCAAAAAGGCCGAAAATTTAAGATTTCTTTTGCTTCTTTCTTTATATAAGTATACTGTGTCTACATATCATTTAGGACTCGTAACCAGCCTTGTTACTTTCATAGCGAGTTAATTATATAGATTTTCATACAAGATAATAGTATTTAATGAACTTTGTTAGAGCAAGCTAAGATAGCATAGTAATTTACGTATATAGGTCTATTTAACAGGGGGAACTAATTATATAGAACCGAAGTTGACTTCGTGCTAGTCTGTGCGCTCTAAGATATTTGAAAAGTATTTCAAAGGTAATGTAAAAGCAATTAAAATTAGATTAAAATATGATTGAAATGTGATTAATTCATTGATTACAGCCCAACGCTAAGTAATAGTAAATTTGAGGCCGTAGACGTCTAGCTTTAACGCCTTTTTAAGCGCCCTGTTTACCTGTTTACCAGAATCCTAATTATCATCCGTCCCCGTGATTTCGCTAGCCCTGGTGATCTACCGCGGGCTTCAACTGTACGTACGTATTTTTAGAGTTCTCTAAACTTGAATTCTTACGACACCTCGCCAACCAGAGGCCCTGAGATCTGAAGGATTGGTTCAAAATCAAATTGACTTCGCCCTCCATCGTTTGATACCGGTTTCGACTATATATCCACGATGGCGGTAGTAGGTTGGCTAGAATAGGCGTTTTGTATCCCGACCGGGTGTGAAAGCCAAAGAACGGAACCCTAAGCTACGAGAATTTGATCAGTATAAACTATATGAGTTTCGGTCGTATTACCTTGTTCTATTTACGATAAAACTGGATGTGATAAAAGGGTGTGATATAGGCGGACTCGGTGGTCACTACTTGGCATGACAATGGTCCTCAATCTTACTGCCCTTGCATTCTTGGGGGAATATGGTTTACTTTGAATTTTGCAGTCCGACTTTATCGCCTCATCTACACGGAGCCCCACAGATTTTCCAAAGGTGCCCTCAAAAGGTTGAGTGACGTCGTTGCTCCGGCTCTCTACGCCACGTATCCTGATATCCCAACGTGTAACTCCTTAATATGTCCTGCGCAATATCAACGCCTGATTCTGAAATTTTTGCTGTCTTGTAAGCCTCAGCTGAATACCTCGTAAACAAACATTGACTGCGTTCTATTCCATATACACCAATGTATAGTGACGTCCCGAAGACCTGGATCATGCCGAACGTACTTGGAACAAGTGAGATATTTGGCCCGTAACTACACCAACTGTATTGCAGAGCTTCGGGAGATGGAAGCGATCGAGGGCATGGCGCATCTCTGGTGTTCCGATTTGCAGCTGGTCAAGAATTTCCATCACCACTGCATAGAGAATGTTGATATTTCCATCTTCGACTTTGACTGAAATGCCAATAGCCCCACGCGCTCCAAGCTTTTGGGTCTGCTTTGATTCTCGAATTGCCAATCCGTAACAGCCGTCCGCGCCCAGTTTACCGATCAGTTCCCCTTGAAATGTCTTCGCAAGCTCTGTACAGAAACGACCTTCACCACCCACAAATTCAGGATACTGTGACATGGCTTGAAAAATCTGATGCAGATATCTGGTTCGAGTCTGAGCGGTGGAATTTTCGCTGCCAGTACCTGCCTCCACAGTATCCGCTGATGCAGCAAGAAGGGCATAAGCCTTGCCGAGCACATACAGAGGACAAGCTGGCGCGGGGAGATTGCATCCGTCGATCCCCCAGAGTAGATTGGTTTCATCTGGGCCACAAAGCTCCTTGAAGATACGTTGAACTTGCAGTTGCATAGGGTGGCTTGACAAGTGATAATCCTTCACATCTGAGCCCAATGCCTTAGCCCCAGCCAGCATGCCCGCATGTTTGCCTGAGCAATTATTACATATAGCAGTGGGAGCAAAACCACCTTTTATCCATGCTCGATTGACAGTATCGGACAAAGGAGTATGGCCACCACAGCGAAGATCTGTTTCCTGGGCATCCACTTTGCGAAGCATGGAACGAGCGCGGGCAATGTGCCTGTCTTCGCTACTGTGTGATGCACACATCAATGCCAAGTCAGCATCATCAAATCCAAACATGTCGCATGCACCGGTTTCCAGGATTGCCAATGCCTGCATTGGCTTTGCTGCAGATCTAGCGAGAGTCATTCTTCCCGGGTCGCCTACGGCAAAAAGTATTTTGCCAGTTGCGTCGACAACTGATGCGTGAATGAGGTGTCGGTTTTCGACCACCCCGCCTCTGTCAGAGACCACAAAATCGTTGTTTTGCAGTTCGACGCGCATGATAGTGCCGTATGATTTCTAATATAGCAGACATTAAGATTGGCTCTCTTGTCCCCGTGTGCGAAAGACTTACCTAAGCCGAATGAAAGTTTTTACTGCGTGTTTTAGAAAACGCGAAATCCATATAAATGTGATATTTTCGGTTTACAGGGCTCCAAGAGATTTTAGGCTAGGCTTGACCGATCAGTAAAACATTGCCAGATATAGAATAGGCCAAACCGTTTCTAGGCATCAGATGCGAGCGAGATCCACTTTCCCACCAATTGGAATGTTGCTATGAAACCCTAAATTTGATTGGTGACTTAACACCATGGAGCCTCCCGTGACAATATGAGAACAACTTTGGCTTGCCATTGGTGCCGGAAATCGAAAATCAAATGTCGGCATGATGGAAAACCTCCATCTGGACAGTCAACTTTGGTTACCTTCATGGCATTCAAGGTTGTCGAGCTGGGGGGACTTCCACTCGACCTCGAAAATCCTCTGTCAAGAATCGATCGCCACCTTGTCTTGGAAGCGATTGAAATATTTCAGCAGCAATTCACAACTTTAAGTTTCTTACATGAGCCTACATTGCTTGACGTAATCCACAGAAAGGATCCGTTGGATATTCAGTTTTGCGGCATACTCACCTTGTATGCGCGATTCATTCCAAAATTATCAGAACAATATGGCGGCTCTCTTGCCGCAAGCGAATATTTCTGTCGAGATCATCCAGTACCTCCTGTGAACCCATTTTTGAGTCCTAAGGGTGGGTCCGTAACAGTTTCACGCAGATGAGACTAGCATTTTGCGTTCTATTGTGCCTCTCGGGTTATAGGCAGTGAGTGTACAAAATACTCAATGATCAGTTCAGAGCGTTCACAGGCATGTTCAGTTCTACTCAGTGAGCAAAAGTGGCGATGGGTCTGAGCACCAATCTGGAAGGGAAAAGCCAAGGCATGGCATAGGAAATCCGGTACCTTGGCCATTCATCGACCCTAGTGCTTCAAGAATAATGTTGGCTCTAAATGTTTAATACTGATAGAAGGACGACCTACAACTCAAGAAGTTGGATGTTCAGGGAGCCGGTTACGGAAGATATACTATAATTGGCATATTCCATTGTCCTCTGATGTGACGTTATTCAAACACTTGACAAACACTTGTTAACTAAACAGCTTGCCAATTCGTAAATTGTTATAATCCCAGGCCGTAATATCATCATACTTGCATGGTGTACCAGGCGTGATGAACTCCTTAAAAGGCAATAACGAAGCCGTGCGGTTTGGCTTGGCAAAATATGCCACCGAGTATCGCTCTGGGATCACTTCGTCTGACCCAACTTTCACGGTCGATGGGTAGGTGACCCGATGGCATGCGGCACGGAAAGTATCATTTGTGAGTCTTTGGAGCGAGTCGCCGATGTTGAGAATCATTTCCGTTTGGTTTGCAGACTCCACGCCCTCAAATTGACCCAATTGTTGCTGGTTCTCCACCTGCAAGCCACCAGTCGAGTCCTGGAAGAGCATTGTGATGCTGCCGAAGTCGGTATGCTCTGCAATACGAGTGGCGGTGCCATCTGCCAGTTCCGAAGCGTTGATTGCCGGGTAGTGCAGTAATCTGAATTCATTCTCGGCTTTGTTGTGCATTGTCTTCATGTCTGACTCGGAGATCCCTAGGGCTTTAGCCAATGCAGCTAAAATCTCGAGTTCGACCCGGAAGCAGCTGTCGTAAAACTTCTCCATAAAAGCACGGAACCCTGGCAACTTGGAGTCTGCCACCCAGATATTTTCCACAAGGTTATCATTTGCGGAACCTAAATCCAGGGATTCCTAGTACACCATTAGTCCTCTTGGCTGTCAGTGGCCGTTTGATCAGGGTTTTCTGTATACCTTGATATCCCGAATTGCCTTCCCCTGAGGAAGACCTTTTTCAAATCCGCTAATGCTTGAGATAGACTCTTGGCCAACATAACTGTACCCACGGTTGGGGGTTGATTCAGGAGGGTGCTTGGCGGTCATTTTGTCCTCAAGGGACAGAGCAAAGAACTTGCGAGTCTAGAAAACCCAATATGAATTATTATCCATGCGTGGGTGAAAGCCACTTCTTATGAATCATTACTTACATAGTCGAACATTTCATAAATGAGATCGTCAGGTAGACCATGATTCTTCAACTTGGCCACTCCTCGAGTCTTGAGAGTTTTTAGGAGTGCGGCCGAGATTTCCGCCCGCTGCTCCGGGGTTCCTTTAAGGAGGGACAAGTCGAGGGCTTGTGACATGCTGACTATTGGACGTCGATGGTCTCTCTGGTGAAATTCTTCGAGGGGGTTCAAATGCTGAGGGGCTTGAGAATATTTGATGACTTTAGTGAAGCATGGGTAGGGGGGAGGGTGTTGGAATCGAATTTATAGAACAATGGACTGGACTGCGGGGATGATAAAATTCAGAATCTGTGGACCATTTAAGAAGGTGATTATTCACAGCTCGAATGAATTTCTTGCTGACCGGGACTCGATCGCATAGATCATGTTCCTATTCGGGCAGACTCCCAGCATCACCTTCCTTTCCCGCGGACCCGCCAATCAGAACGTCCGCCCTGTGGATCATCACCTTCCCCATTCACACTCTTGATAAAATAGAGGTAAGTGATTCGTGATCTCCTTCCATGCTTTTTCTTGGTTTCTTATGCAAGACTTCATCACTAAAATCCCAATCGGTTCTATTTGGATCTAGATCGGCTAGTTACGGCGATCGGTTGAACTCGCCTACTGATAGCATGAACCGTATTCCTATTCACTTCATCATCTGGGAACCATTATTATTCTTTGCTTTCCAACAAATTATTCAATTTCACAAGCTAGAAATCAATCACAGGGGGGCTGTACATGTCCAATACGCTTACGAATCATAATGAGACGGAGCCATAGATGGTCAATAGTAACCTCATGACAATTCGAGACATTGACTATTTCGTGCAGATATAATTTCACTCCGCTATCTGTAGCAGACTATTCTCAATGATAGTTTTGTAGCCAAGAACGTATTCACGGGGACTCACTACCATGATGATGTTTTGGATGTGAATGATGTTGGTGGATGTCGATGTCAAAGGTATAGAGGTAAGAGGTATTGGCGAGAACAGAACATATTAATATAGATGTTTGAGCCATTGATAGTCAATATATCCGACTCGAAGAGGAAGTAAGAGTGTCGAGGATGTTATATTCGAGGATGCGGATGGTTATAGTGTTGATATCGAAGGTGATAATCTTTGATGATTCGGTATGTGAGATATAGACGTTGATGTTCACAATATAGAGGTAGGAGGTATTGGTGTGAAGAATAGGAATTGTTGATATGTATATTTGTCAATATATGCGAGTCAAGGAGGATGTTAGAGCGAGGATGTTGGATTCAAGGGTGCAAGCCGCAGTAAGCCGACCGTACGCTCCAATCTGTTCTATTTCTTAAACGGTGTCTTAATTTTCTTCTTGCCTCTTTTTGAATACTAGAATACATCTTCGACTAAATCAATATTCTGAATTATTATGATACGACGGTAGAGTTATGGCCGACATGCAGAACCCAGGTTTAAGCAGCCTTGCTTGTTTACGTATCTGGACTTTCTGTACTCGGCACTTGGAAACCCCACTTCCCACTCTTCCATAAACCTCCAGACACAAACTCCCTCACTCCAAATTCTCAGCCCTGTAACCTCATTCATCCCAGCACCAGCAACGCTGTTGCCTCCTGGCGCTTCGACAGCATGGGGGGAACCGCCAAGGCACCAACATGATTCTGGGGCTGTTGGGTCGTCTCTCCTCCCCCACCCGCTATCAGCACATCTCGTGTTGGGGCAAAACAAAACGCTCATGCAACCACCTCAGCAGCATGTCTTCCTGAAGAAAAAAAATCCCCGTCCTCTCTCGACAGCCATGGGTCGCCGCCTCTACGACCTCCCAAATGAAGTCCTGGGCCTGGTCATGGACTACCTGGAGTACGCCTCCGAGGTGCATGCCCTTGGCCAGATATGCGCCCATCTCCACGCCGTCGTTGACGCCTACCTCTACGCGCACTATGCGAGAGAGTACTCCCCGCGCGGTTTAGATCGCATCATCCAGAACAACAATCTCGCTGCGCTGCGCAGGCTGCTCGCTGCGGGAATCGGTTTCCACCGGTACTACTGCGACACGGGCCACGCAACGCCGCTCCCGCTAGCAGCGAAGATCGGCCGGGCGGAAGTCGTCCGGCTGCTGCTCGAGTATGACGGTGTGAGATTCGTTGCGGACGATCTCGATCGTGCGCTGCTGGTGGCCGCGGCGAAGAATTATGTCGATGTGCTGAGGGTTCTAGTGTCATCTGGCATGAAACCGTTCGCCTTGAACAAGGCACTGCGGACTGCGGCTGAGATGGGCTCGCTTGCCTCCGTCCGATATTTGATCGAGGACGTCGGGGTGGAGGTCGATTCGTTGGACTACAACAAGACTCATAGCCCGCTCATGTATGCGGCGGGGCGAGGGGATTTGGAAATGGTGCAGTTCCTTGTCCAGGCTGGGGCAAACCTCATGCTTCCCTGTCACCGGGGCCTTAAGGGGACACCACTTGCTCTTGCAGCCCGAATGGGCTATGAGAATGTGGCACGGTTCCTGGTTGAGTCTGGCGCACAGTCTGATTCCGGCAATGGCACCCTACTCGAGGACTTGAGCGAGCTGGTGCTTTATGAGGGAAACACGACGATCCTGTCCTTGTCGACGCAGTTGGATCCATATGCATTGCTCGAATCCCATGGCCCAGAGAAACCGAGCGAGTTTCTCTGTCTTGCCGTGGCGATTGGCGACGTGGCCCTTGTGCAGAAAGCCATGGAGATAGGGGCTCCTGTCGATTGGGAACAAGGATGGCAGCTTTTCTACACCGCTGCCATGCTAGACCAAAAAGCGGCTGCAAATTACCTTCTAGAGGAATTAATGAAGAAGTCCGACCTAGAGTCCAGATGCGACTGGATTGGCTTAATTGAAAGTTCTCTCATGCTCGGCAATAAGCTCCTCCTCTCGCTTCTCCTGGATCACGAGCCATCAGGCAGGTTAGCAGCGATGTCCAACTCCTGGAAGACTACGAAGCTCCTCGAGACAGCCGAAGAACGCTCGCAGCTTCTCAATATTCTCGTTGCGCGCCTCGGCTTAGACAACATAGAAACTGTAGACGAGTTTACTAGACTCGCGATTGGTGCCTATTCCAGAGACGATTATGCGCTGGCTGAACGAGTCCTAGAGCAAAGCAGACTTGGCCCGCTGGACACGCTTGTCGTCCCGGACACTGCCCTGAATGGGTTATCGCAGCGCAGCATTCTCCAAATCGCCGCGCACTATAGCTCGTTCGAATGTTTCGAGAGGCTTGTGCAGCGTGTGACGCTTGACCCTGCCAATCCCTTATGCCGCGCCGCGCTCGCCAGCGCAGCCGTAAGTGCGAAAGCCGAGACCGTCAAGTACTTCTTGGACCGGGGTTTCGATGTAAACGCACTCTATGAAGATGTGGAATCGAATGACGCTGCGGAAGCACTGCCTCTGATTGTGCTCGCTGCAGGTTCACATCCAGACCGGCACACCGAGTTGTGGGCGTATGAAAACGCCGCCGTCGCAACGATAAATCTCTTGCTCGATTACGGAGCCGAGATTGACAAGACTGGGCTAGGCCAAAACACCGCCCTGGCCACGGCCGTGAAGGCTAAACGCCTGAACCGGGCGAGAATCTTGTTCAACGCAGGCGCCAACCCGCTAGCCGGCGTCGAGACCGGACATAGCGCTCTGGAGGTGGGAATCAAGACCGCGCTGGGGTATGAAAAGTTCAAGTTGGACCTACCGGACTTTGGCATTCTTGAATTGGTCGAGGCGTTTGTCAACGTGGCCGCAGCTCAAAGACACCGGTGCGAGGATATCCTCCGACTGACCCATTCTCTGGGCGAAGGGCTGCTCCCTCGAAAACCCCATATGGATGGACTGGTAGGCGTGGCAGCCGAGTCGCTACATAACACTGCGGCTTCAATTGGACCAGCGCATGACGACCCAGAGCGGATCAGTTGGGCAAGGTTTTTCATTATCAAAGCATTGAGGCGGTATCACTGGCGGTTGAAGCATTTATACCCCGGCGCATAGCGAGTAAGGAAAACGGAATGTGTATTTCTAGCGGTTACGGCATACATGATATCTAGAGAGAAAAGAAAACGTTTTGAAACCGGAATTTTGTAAGCATTGCGAGTTCAACGTTGTAGGAAGGGATTTCTCGTTTCTTTTTGGATGAAGCACACAATGGGAATGTTGGAGCGACTTTGCACCCCTGCCAGCATTATCTGGAACCGTCATGCCCGAATTTAACCGGATAGAGCTCGTCTAGGTCCGAGACAGGGAGTAGCTAACCCTGTGCCATGCAGACTTTTGCGAAGTTGAGGTTGCCCGCTGCCCCGCCTTTGAAGGTTCAGACCCGAAGGCCCCCCTCTTTTCGGAGGCACGAGCGCCATACTACATTACAAGGCAAGAAGAAGTCGAGTAAGATTTTCAAAACTTTTGGGATCCCGACGTCAGGGAAGACAGTTGCATGACTAGCTTGGTAGACTGTCTAGATTACACCACGCAAAAAGGGAAAGCCACCACATATAAAAGCTAGCCAGTTAATCCCGTTCTCCCTTAACTGGAGCGGAGACACCCACGCTCGGAGAGAGACTGATGCCACCTTAACTTAACTACAGATCACAAATGATCCCATAGCTTACAGCTCACCGCAGTCAATGATGGTGGGCTTGACAGCAGAGCGGACGGCGCCGGAAGAGGAGCCGAGGGACTCGATCTCCATGACAATGTCCATGGATTCCTTGTCAGCGACCTCACCGAAGACGACGTGCTTGCCATCGAGCCACGAGGTGACAACGGTGGTGATGAAGAACTGGGAGCCGTTGCTGTAGCAAAAGAGAAAAAAAACCCAGGTCAGTACGGATTGGAATAGCTTGCGGAGACCGGAGCCGGGACAGGGCCGAAAAGAGACTTACGTGTTGGGGCCAGCATTGGCCATGGACAGCAGACCGGGGCGGGAGTGCTTGAACTTGAAGTTCTCATCGGGGAACTTATCGCCATAGATGGAGCGGCCACCGGTGCCCTATTTCGAGTCAGAAAAATCATCAGTCAGTTCTGAAATTGATGGAGGGGTAGCAGTTGCGTGTACCCCGCTAGGACACCGAGAGGAAAAGATGCTCCTTAATTAGAAAAGGAAGGGAAAGTCACTCACGTTGTGGCGGGTGAAGTCACCACCCTGGAGCATGAACTGGGGGATGATACGGTGGAAGCCGGAGCCCTTGTAGCCCTGACCCTCGGGGAGCTTGCAGAGCTCACGGAAGTTCTTGGCGGTCTTGGGAACATCGGCCTCGTAGAGGGTGAAGTTGATGCGGCCAGTCTTGGCTGGAGAGGAGGTTAGCACCAAGGTCAATGGCAGAAGCAATTAGATGGATAGGGCATCGGATTAGGATGAGAGGGGGATGGGAGCCTTCAATGGAAGGCTGGAGGGGGAGAACCGAGCGTGGAGGGGTAAAATCCCTTTGACCCTCCCAAAGGATCGAAGTATTTGCAATGGGGACAAGAACGAAGAGAAACTTACGGGTGCTGGAGCCCACGGGGGCGTACTGGACGTCGAAGAAAACCTTGGAGTTGGACATGGCTGCGGTCGATGAGAATGATCGATAGGCAATGGGGTGGAAAGAACAAGGAGAAGAGAAGAGGGAGAGTGGGGTTGTCTTGAGGCGGCAAAACATGGTGAGGGGCAGAGCAGGCGGAGCGGGACAACTCGGGTGCCGGGCTGCATGCGGGTTAGCTGCTGCGGGAGGATGGAGAGGCCAGAGACGCAGAGGTTGATGGCCTGAGGTGTCACTCTAATGGTGATCCAGAAGGACCACGCCAGGGGTTCGGGGGAAAGCCACCAGGCTAGGTCCCCCTAAAGCCAGGATAAGGTCCTCAATGCATCAGCATTGTTCCAGGGAGATGGTATACTTACGAAATAAAAGTACAAAGGATGAGACTGTTGAGCAACAGGAGCTATAGGGGGAAAAATGAAGCTCGTTGCAGAAAAAGCTCCTAAAGCTCCGTGCTTAGCTAATCCCGGGAACTCCCTTCCGCTGGGATACCCTAGTTAGTTAGTATGAGTGCTGGCAGTGGATTAAATAACAACAACTAACACTCTATAGTCATGTGCTCCATACAATAGTGTGAGGCAATAGTGGGAGGAGTTATCAATGGCAGCTTGACTAATCAGAGACTCTTTAAAATGATATCCCACGTATTCTCGTGTAAACTTTGGTATTCGATCCTGGATTTTCCGACCCTACCAGGAATTTTCCTAAGATTTGCTGTGTGCAATTCCTGATAAAACTCCAACAAATACCTGAGCTACTCAAGATCTGAACTTATTCTATGAGAATAGTTTCCAAATAATTCTCCGTGGTCATAGCGAGCCTGTTCGACAAATACCAGTGGGCATAAGACGGTGGTGGGATCGGCTTTCGATCGAAAATAGCATGGTAGAAAATATGCCATACAAACACCGATACACAGACGCGGTAGGGATGTCGTTTACTCCGAGTCCCTCAGGCAGCATCCTCAAGATGATCATCCGAAGTCCAGAGAGAGCAATGTCTACTGGGGATTTTAGTTTAAAATTAATATGGGAACGTATATTCAATCCCTAATCTTAAAAATCAACAGTGGGTTCCAATTCATATTCACGAAGATGCAAGAAAGCCGGCGACTCTAATATCGGGGCGAAAAAAAAAAGAAAGCGGATGAGAAAAAGGACAATGAAAAGTAGATAAATAAGCCACAGACGGAGGTAATTCACGTGGTCAAGAGATCAAAAATAGAAATACAACGAATCAGATAAATGTGGGGAGACATTTTCAGAGGAAAATGGGCAAGAGAAAGAGAAAAAAAATCAGATAAGAAAAACATGTATGTCACACGTATCAGGACATCATTTAGACATTGTCGGCTCGTTGCCACAGATGGAAGTCGCTTAAAAGCCAGAGAGAAAAAAAAATGAGATAAGATGAGAAAAGATAAATGAAGGGGGAATGGAGGTGGACCCTGAAGAAAAAGTAATCGGTAAGGGGGAGCTGAAAAGTCCAGCGTATAGAAGTAAGGTGAATAATCAAAAGAAGTGCATGAGCAGCGCAGCGCGGTGCTCTCATTTATCACATGTACGGTTGCATCAAATGCAAGAATGGGAGATCATCACCGGAAGTCGTCCTCGTCGGGGTGCGCCAGGGACTCCAGGCGCTGCCCGAGCTCTTTGGTCTGGCGGGCAATTTCAAATGCAATCGGAGGCAGTTGGTTGGTGACTTCGCGGAGCTGGTCGGGTGCAAGTCCGTCATGGCCCTCGGCAGCGGTGTTCATCAGGCGGCCGCGACATTCGTCCAGGATGTGGACAATGGGCTCAGAGCGTTCTCGCAGAGCGACATCTCCGCTCCGCTCGTGCATGAGGTGTTGTGTGGAAGAGACCACATTGACGACGATGTCGTCGATTGCGGAAACATAGGTCTGGACGGTGTGCATGTCATGCTCGGCACGGATGCTGGCGACCAGTGCCTGAATCGACTGGACCATATTATCGGTCTGATCCTCAACATACAGCTATAGCAGCAGGGTTAGCCATTATCGAAGCCGTACATTATTGGATTTTTTTTTATCTTGTTCAAGAATTTACCTTAAGTTCCTGGAGTTCATGGTCTCCCTGGGGAGCTCCGTAACCATAGCCACCGCCATTTTGCAGACCATTCTGCAAGGCAGGGTGGTCCGGGTCCGGTGGACTTAAAATACTATACTGGGAATGGGTACTGAGCCGCTGTTGACTAGCAGTCGTGCTGAGATAGTCAGGGAACTTCTCCTGAGACATGTCTATCTCATAGTCATCCTCATCTGCGGGCGAGGGCTGGATCTTGACAACACGGATGAGCTCCACAACAGCAATGCAGAGATGGGAGGCAGCGGCATCCAGCAACGAGACCGGTGAAAGACCGCTGGAACTGGCGAAATTGCGAACTGCGGTGATCGTGTTGTTGGCAGTGGCAGACACACGGCCCTTGGCCTTCAACCGCAGAGTAGCCGTGCCATCGACTGGAGGCGGAGCTTGGTCCACGTCCTGGATCATACGGCGAACGGATACAATGACAGGTTTTATATGCTGCAGCACCTGCTGGGAGTTCTCGGAGCGGGCAATACGGAGAAGCTCGTCAATTGCCATCTGGAATTTGGTGACATGAAGGTCTTTGACCACACCGTCGGCCTGCACAAGCTCATGTTCTCTCGCAACCAAATTGACGTCAGGCTGGTGATCCGCAATACCGCCCGAAGACGCGCGCAAGTGCCGCTGTTGGGATTTGGCTTTGGCATAGCGGTGCTTCCAATCATTGACCTCATTCTCCAGTCGATGCACATCATTTGATAGCTGCTCTTCCCGTTCCCAATTGGAATGGCTCTGTGCCGTCAGGGTTTTCATCTCCATCAAGAATTTGGATGTCTCGCGCCGAACATCCTCGGTGATATGTTGCTGGTTTTGTAACTCCACCTGCAGGTTCTGGTGCTTGCTCTCCAAGTCCGCATAGCGAGCCTCCAGCTCTGCGTCGGCTGCACCCAGGCTAGCGTTCTCAAGCTGATTGCGCAGATCACGCTCCATGCTGTCATGTTCCGCTCGGACTCTATCAAGCTCAAGCTGAAGCGAAGCGTTTAGATCTTCCGCTTTGTTCACCTTGCTCTCCAGATCCTGGCGGAGATCATCCCACTCCTGGCGCTCACTCTGGCTGATCGCCGATTGGTCGGCATCCAAGGATCGAGCCAGCTCCTCGTCCTTTTGACGAATTTGCTCTTCCAGTTTTTCAACCTTTTCTTGCAAAGTGGAGACCTGGGACTGGCTGTCCACAAGCATTCTTCGTTCGTTATCGCCAAGAGTCATGGTTGTGCCTCGGCGGCTAAGAACAGCATCCAGCGCAAACGCATCACTGCGGGCGTCATCGTCCTCCTCTCCGCCCATATCATCACTATCTTCCACCATCGTGCTTTTATTGGGGACCATGGTATTACTCTGGAAAGCTCGGGGAAAGGGCCCATCCCCATTCATTCCCGGCGGTGGACCACCAAGAGAGCCCTGGCGTGGCGGGAATGGGCTCCCAGGAGGGTACGGACTACCTGGAGGACCACCTGACGGATAGCCTCGACCCATACGACTAGGAGGGCCACGCGATTGTGACCGTCTGGCGCCGGGTGGAGGCATCGCTGGTGGTGGGCGATCGGAGAAGGTGGGGAAACGCCGATCGAGCTCGCAGAAGACGTCGTTCGCCAGATTACGAAATTTTTTGTGCTGTAGCTTCGACAGCCGCTGGCGGGCGTGGTTACGCTTCTCGTGGAAGTCCTTTCGAGGCGGGAGGAAGGGAGAAGCGTCCAGGCGAGGAGGCCGACCCGGCGGGGGCATGGACTGCTGGCGACGGATGAGCTCATCGTAGACATCGGTACTGAGTTCATAGAACTGAATAGCTGAGAGCTGAAGAAGCTTGGCTTGGGCTTTACGGTTATTCGCGATTTTCTGCTCGTCGTTGCGTTGCTGCTCCTCGTCGCGGTGGGTGGCATCGAGGAATCTCTTGAAAGTGAAAAAGTGGCGGAACAGGATTTCCTCCATCTGCCGGGTGAGTTTGACCCCAGCGCGAGGAGCATCCTTGCCGGGCGCACCTGGCGCACCGGCGGCCCCGGGAGGGCCAGACGGAGCGCCGCCCAGTGTTCCCACACTGGACCGGGCGGCGACCGAACTGGGCGGGGAAGGATTGCCGCTGCTGGGCGGTGGTAGGCTATTATTCGGGCTCAAGGGAGCGCTGGGGATGCCGGAGGTGGGAGGAGTCGCCAGGTTGCCTCGTGAGGAGAATGTCGGGGAGAAGGGGACGTCCGATTTCTGATACTGGGCGATGCCGGACCAGTCGCTGCCATCGATGGAGACAGGCGACATAGCTCCCGAATGGCCATTCATAGCAGGGCCGTAGGAAAAAGAAGGATGGCACCTCCGGCCGAAGCGGTTCTGGGGGAAGAGGACGGATTATTCTCGCAGATTTCGAGGGAGAAGGATAGGCGCCCGTCGTTTGGAGGTCGATGGTATACACGGTCGTCAACTGTCCACGTCCCGGTCCACAGTTGTGTTTCCTCCAGATCACGATCTGAAACCTGGGAGCCGCCGAGACAAGGGGGTGGGCACAACGGCAGACACGAACCCACCGAACGAAAGTGGAGTGAAGAGTCGAGAGCCCAGGGGAAGGAGTCCAAAGGAGTGAAGAACTCGGGGAGGGCAAAAGGGGAGGAAGTGAGTGGTGTGAATTGTTGTTGGAGGCTTCCCTTTTCCTTTTCCCTTTTCCCTTACGGGGGACCCGCCGGTACTTGCCAGTCGTTCCTTACAGTTCATGTCCGCTGACTACACTTCGCTGCACCTCCTCCACTCCGGACTTCGATCTCCCCTAGTTTGCGCGCGCTCTCGTTCTCTGTCGCTCTCGCTCTCTTTATTGGACTATAGAATATAGGGGGGAATTTGGATATCACATAGATGGACCCTAACTGACGCAGAACCCCCACGTCCCTTCTATATGATCCATACTTTCTCCCAACTCGTGCTGTTTCGCATGCTTCGCTTGACCTGTCAAAACGGAGAAAAAAAACCGTCATCAATGCGCTGCTCGTTCGAGTGTAGCGTCCTCTCGAGTGTACTGTACCGTACCGATACGCCCCTGCCAAGGCTCCACAAGCCACACAGCGGCTGAAGAACGATCAGGCCCTTCAATGACAAGATGTGCGATCCCTGCAAAAATGATCCGGTCTCTCTGGTCGAACCTGAATCGGATCAGATATCCCTCCCTAGACCCCAAAAGCCCAAGGGAGAAAGTGTCAATTGCGTATCGCACCGGAAACCCCGGCTCCGCGAGAGGCCCCAGGGGAAATAGCCCTAAGACGCCGTTCAGGAGACGACAGTCTAGACCCTTTGGCCCCCAGACTAACAGGGACCGGGGCGGTGTGGCTCGGCAACAAACGAGGACGGCCGAACAGTACGGAAGTACGGCGGACGCCGTATGTACGTAGTATATCCGGTGAAGGATTATGTCTTCTGCACGGCCCAGGTCAAGGGTGAAGTCGGATGACGAATGAAAAAAAAAAATATCAAAGGGGAGCGACCGGGTACCTCTCAAATCAGTAGAGAGTAGCAACAAGGGAGAGACGAAACCAGAGACAGTGCTCAACTCAAGGGGCACTCCCCACGCGGAGACGCTTCCTCCTTGGCGCTGGCTTTTAGTTATGTTTTTAACTTTGTAGACATCCCAACTATCCAGGATCCGAGTATAGGGGTTCCAAAACATATGGCCAAAAAGGGAAAAAAAAAATACACGTTTCATATAGACCATGATCGGCCGGCATATCTATCCAGGAAGCACTAAGTACAAAATGTAGAACAAGAGCGTAGCTCATATCCGCGTTGCGGCGGTTTTGGGTGTTGGTCAACCCTCGCGGAGAGAACGAAGGTCCCTCCCCTGCTCTACTCGAGGGAAGAAGCCGTGGAGATCCAACAGATTCGGAGGCTGACTACCATCACAAAAAGGCGGAGGGAACGGAGATGATCCCAGATGCAACCTCGCACTAAGGTATCCGAAAGAGCCCGAGAAAACGAGGGACTGGAAAAATCGAAGATGCAGAATCAAAGATATAGAAGGAGCCAAGGGCGTGAAAGGGTGGAGGGTGGAGGGTGAGACAAGATCGCCCCGCCCAAGACATGACTGCATCGTTAGATGGTATCGTGAGAGAGAGAAAAAAGGGTCATAGAGGTGTCACGAGGAGTTCCAGAGGGACGGGCGTAGGCCAGATCGAAGGGAAATCGGGAATATCACTCTTCATCGCGAGGTCATGGCGAGACCACGGGTGGCGCCCACGGCCGCCGACACGGGAGTCGAGGACCGGGTGGGTGCCGCACTGCGGTTGTGGGCCATGTGAGCGCGAACCAGGTGGCCGGCGGCGAGCGCAGCGCACAGGCTGAGTTCACCAGCCAGGACAGAGGCCGCAATGATTCGGGACAGCTGGCGGGCATTCTCGCCAGGGGTGGTAGGATGAGAACCGCGGACACCGAGCATTTCCAGCATGGCCGATTGCGCCTCGAGAATGGTACCACCACCAATGGTACCGACCTCGATCGAAGGCATGGAGACAGCGATCTGGAGGTTGCCGTTGTTGCTAGTGGAAGGTTAGCGTTCCGATCGTGTGCACAAATGCATATTGACAAGCGGCGAAGGGGAAAAAAGAAGTGGAAGGAAGTAGGGGGGAGAGGGGAGTTAAAACTCACTTCTTCATAGTCGTAATACAACTACTGCTCTCGACGTTCTGAGCAGGATCTTGACCGGTGGCCAGGAAGATAGCAGAGACAATGTTGGAGGCGTGGGCGTTGAAACCACCCAAGCTACCCGCCATAGCGCTACCAATCAGGTTCTTACTGACATTCAGCTCAACCAAGGCATCCACATCACTCTTGAGCACACTCTTAACGACATCACCGGGGATGATGGCTTCGGCGACAACCGACTTGCCACGGCCATCGGTCCAATTGATAGCTGCTGACTTCTTATCCGTACAAAAGTTACCAGAGAGCGAGATGATAGCCATGTCATCGAAGCCACATTCCTTGACCATCACATCCAGGGCCTTCTCGCAACCCTTGGAGATCATGTTCATACCCATGGCGTCACCGGTGGTGGTCTTGAAACGAATGTACAGGTAGGTACCGGCCAGCGCGGTCTTCAAGCTCTGGAGACGAGCGAAACGGCTGGTCGAGTTGAAAGCCGCAGTGATAATGCTTCGGCCTTCCTCAGAGTCAATCCAGACCTTGGCAGCGGCGGCCCGTGCCAGGGTAGGGAAGGTAACACAAGGTCCACGGGTCATACCATCACCAGTCAGCACAGTCACGGCACCACCGCCAGCGTTGATGGCCTTGGAACCACGGCTGGTACTAGCGACCAGAACACCTTCAGTAGTAGCCATAGGGATAAAGTAGTCCTGGCCGTCGATCTTCAATGGGCCAGCAACACCAAGAGGGAGTGGCAGATAACCAATAACATTCTCACAGCAGGCACCGTGGACGAGACCGTAGTTGTAATCCTTATACGGCAGCTTCGAGGCCTCCAAGGAGCCGGTCGTCGCGGAAGTAGCAGGGGTTCGGGCGACAACAGCACGACGGATCTTGACGGCCCGAGTGAAGGCGTCCACACGACTCATCAAGTTCTCATCCTCCATGGTCTTCTCGAGGGCATATCCAGGAAGCTTTCCCTTCAGCGAAAGAGTAACAAGCTCCTCGTCGGTCAAAAGAGGAGCACGCTTCTCCTTCAGCATGAGTTCACATTCCTCGGGGGTACGGGTAGACTCTTCCTCGTTGGGCTCAAACTTGGGGTAAACCTTGGGCGGCGCAGGCTCCTTAGGAGCGACGGGGGCTGGCTCGGGCTCTTTGATGCTCCAGCGAGCAGCATTGAACAAATATCCATTGAGAATGATGCTGAGTGTCAGGGCAGCGATAATCCACTTGCTGATGAAAGGATCCTCCACACTCTTGAGCAGGCTCTCGAGAACCTTACCACCAACAGTATCAAGGAGCTGGTCGGTATATTCGATGTCAAACGAGCCGGAGTCCTCGATGGCCGCGTAGTGAACGGAGGGATACTCCAGCTTGTACTTGACCGGAGGGATGATGGTCACGACAGTTTCCTGCTTTTGGCTCTTGGCAGCCACATAGACAGCATCCAGGCCATTCTCGGCGACCTTGAAAGGATCGATCGGGGTAGGGGCCATAACGTTGGACAGACGAGAGATCAATGCACCATTTCCGGTGTTCCGGAAAGGAATGGCGGACAGGTTCACGACATTAATCAGAATCAGCCCACCCACCATCAGAATCTTAAACCGGCGCACACTGCTCGACTTAATCTTGCGACCAAAGATGCTGGTGTCACCCTCACTGCCGTCCGAGCCCGCGGTGGGCCAGTCATTATTCGAGGCAACGTTCTCAGCGACACTGTGGGTGATACCATCTTCTTCAAGAGCCTTGCGCAGGGCAACATGACGCTTGATCCGGGTGATCTCCAACTTGATGCACAGGATGGTGGTGTAGAAGGTGAACAGGAGCACACAGTCGAAGAACAGGATCCAGGCCGCGAGGAAGCAAAATTGCTGGAGACCACCCTGCACACCAGAGGCGGCACCCATGGCCAGCAAACCAATTTCAATGCAGTAGTGTTGGACAATCTCAAAGCCTTGCGCCTTGATAGCAGTAGCAATGGAGTCTTGAATGGAGCCAGGGGTACTCGAGGCCAGAGGGCGAGGAGCCGCACCGGGGCGAGGCCGACGGTTGTCCACTGAGGCATTGAGAACAGCCCGAGTGAACATGATCGGCTTCTCGAAGCCAATGGTGACCACCAAGAACGGAAGACCCTCGGAGAGCAAAAGTAGATTGATTGGCACGCCAAACTTTGTAGTCACCAACAAGCCAAACAGGAACGCGAAGGAGCCGGAGAACAGGACAGTTGCAGCCAGCCAGAAATTGGAGCCGAGCCGGCGCATGGAGAAGAATAGCGAGACAAAGCTCAGGTGCATCGAGATGTACCCCAGGGCCATAATCACAATGTCAATGGTTTCCGCATGCTTGATTAGATCCACGAAGGAACTCCAAGCATCCGTGAACCACAGCTTCAGAGCAGTGCGAGACCCGGCAGCGCCGCGAGCGGCTCTCATGATCCACTTCTTGGACTCCTCTTCTTCCTCGTCGGAAGACGGGTCCGGAATCTCCTGGACTGCTCTCAACATTTCAGATACCTGGGCGAAGGGCACAGAGTACACAAGCGAGGAGTCATGGGAGAATGGCGAGAACAGGTTCGGGGTGTGCGGCACCGACTGAGCGGACACATTGGCGGGCACGGGGACATCGTCAGCCGTCGGGGCGGTCGAGGCCGACTTGGAGGTGGAATCGGGGAAAATGAAGGTGGTCAGGGCCAGGTGGTGAACAGCGGAGTTCTCAATCTGCTGTGAAGATTTGACTTTAGTCTTTGGTTTCTTTCCATTTCTTTCTCTCCATAATCCTCCTCAACAATTCGACCAGGGTAGAAGGGGTGGGGGAAGTACTCACAATGGATTCGACCCAGGAGTCCTCGGCCTGCCACTTCCACGAGGTTGACTCGCCGAGGCGCAAACTCCGGCTTCCCTGGAGCAATGCCTCTGTATCCACCTGTCCTACCACATTGCGAGAGTTACGCGACGTATCTAAAAGGCTACCTTCCAGCAGGCCCACGTAGGTGGTGCTGGCGAGGAGGGCGATGACCACAATCGTGTGGATGGGGTGTACACAGGCCCGACGAGAGATGCATTGCAGGCCTGAGGTGACCTGACGGCGAATCCAACTGGGCTGGGTGTCCTGATCAGCCTCGGACGAGCGTAGTTGCTTGGAGATCAACGAGGTTGCCATCGTGACGAATCGAGGCGGAGGCGGTGTGGACGTCTGTTGAAGGCGTTGAGGGGGGAGATTAAGACGGTCCGCAGGGACCAACGTCTGCGAGAATGACCGCCGTGATGGTGTTTTCCTTTTGATCAAACCCAAAGGGAAGAAGGATTGGGCGACCGAGTCGTCCGGACGTCCACGATTGAGGGCCGCGTGTGGCTCTCCCGATGTTCTTCAGGGACCGTTCCTAGAGAACTATTTTTTTTCGATCTGATCAGCGAGTTGGATTGCCAGCGTACAAGGGATGGGCCATACATACCAGACGAGACAGAGAAAGATCCCGAAGGACAGCAAGAACACAGCGTCCTCGCAATTGACGGTCGCGGTATACTGGAAGGAGAGTACGGGGACCCCCTGAAGGCTGCAAAATACTTGAGCTCCGGACCCGCGCCGATGGAATTAAGTATCGCCGACAAACGGGGTCGCCAAGCCACGCCAGTCGTACCGGTGGGGAAAGGCAAACTTGTCAGGATCCCGGCAGAGACCAAAAAGAGACAATAAGAAACGAGAAAAGAGAGAAGACGAGAGAGAGAGAGAGGTCCAGCAAGAAAAGAGGAGGAGGGAAAGTGAAAGTGGGATCAAAGACGTGGAACAAAAGAACAATCACTGCTGACGGTGAATGCTGACCGATAAGCCCAAGCCACGCTGCATTGAATCAAGAACGAGGGGACAAGGGAAATCGAGAAACAGCAGATTATGGCTCCGGGCAGACAGTCGTAGTATTATTCCTAGCCCAGGGAATCACTATACTCGATATGAACCCACTATTCAACGTGTGGGTTCAGTCTAGTGGGTGTGTGTCGAGGTTTCTTTTTCAGGCAAAGCAACCGGTTGAGTATATAGGTTTTTATGTTTCGGTGCAACCACGTCCAAAATGTCTACGACGCAGGTCTTTTCTAGCTTTTGTTTTCTCCTTGCTGGAGACACAGATAACCCAATGACTATGATGGGGGGATTTTTGTTTTATTTTTATCGGTGACCAAACCAAAGGACAGAATGAGAGGGGGAGAAGAGGAAAAAAAAAAAAAAAAAAAAGAGGCGGTGGCGACGTTCCCGAGAAACTGGAACCTCGACCATCGCGTACTCCCGACAAGCACGGACGACACGACAGGCAGGACTTGATCCAGTGACGCCCGGCTGATCGGCTGGAAGACCCCCAATGGCAACAGATCCTGCGACTCTTCGACTGCACGAGAGTCTACAAATGTCAAGATGTCGGGAACGGCTCCCTTGAACCATCTTTCTCGGTTTGAATTCTCCTACGCCGATCCAATGATGAGCCTGATCATCTTGTGTCCATGATTCTCGTTGTTGGACGGCAACATGCAGAATCTCCTGCGCGGTCGCGAAAGCGTCGCTGATATGCGCAATACTTGGGACTCGGTCGAGCATTGTGGGTTTCGACTCGCTTTCCGAGAAGTCGATCCGTGAAAACGGGTCCACTTGGCTCTGCTCGTCCAGGGTTTCTCGCTCATCCTGCAATCAAAAGCCCCGAGGGAAGGTCGCTACCTGCCGTCCACGTCAGCGAGCCTCCCCGAAATACCCGGGATACGAAGGAGAAATCTCGCAAGCAAGGCGCCATTCCGAATGACCGGCGGATGAGGCCCGTCGTCCCTGCTTTCTCGTTGGACCAGCTTAATGGGAAACCCACCAGGTGGAGTAGATGGAGAAATCAGATAAAAATCAGATAACTCAAGTCAAATCACCGTCTGGTTGTCGGGGACTACTCTATCCACAATGGGACTCGGTAGCCGAGCTCGCCAAGCAACTGGAGAGGGAGAAGAGGAAGAGGGAGGGGAAGAAAACAAAGCCAGAGAGCAGCTGCGAAGCCCCGATGAGTCCCGACGACGGAGCCATCCGAGTTCGGCTCGTCAGTGGAGAAGCCCTGGATCCTGCATCCTATTAATCCATCCATAGCCATCCTGCAGGTTGCCGGATGCATCTTGTTTTGGGTTGGACAACAGCCGAATAGATCACGCCGTGCGTCCCCATGCAGACCCAGTGACGGGACTTCTGTCGGGTTCTACGTGTGTCACCGGGATTACATCGCCTGCACTTGCTGCCGCACAAGGCTGCATGACGGAAGAGCACCGAACGGGCAGTAGGGAATGGACAGTGAATGGACAGTGATAAGCGGAGCTTCTCTTCGCAACACAAAATATCGGCCGCTTTGGCCAGCCGGCTAGGACAGAACAAGGATAGACGCGGCACGGCTGAAGAAAGGCTGCAGAAACCTTAGAAACCCTGCTCGATCAGCTGTTAAGGTGCCACATGGGCCTGCCTGTCGGACGTTATGGGACCCCCCCTCCAAATGCCTCCCAGGCCTCCTATGACTCTAGTCTACTTTATTAACAGGCTCCGACAACCATGAGAAGGCCCTCCGAGACTATTGGCCCTAACAATGCCTCATGTCTAATCATTTCGTTAAGGCAGATCGACGCGGAACACCCTGGTGTTGCAGACTTTCGCCCTGAGAGGGTCAAGCGCTTAGATCTCCGATCCGCCAATGAAAGAAGGTGCCGGGGTCCATTCCCTGCGGATGTGCAACATCCAACTTGCATTTCACCTGCCCGGCTTCGGTAATCTCAATCGACATGGGCGCTATATCCCATCCACAGCTAAGCGCCAGGGGCTGAGGGATGCCATTTGTCTCAAGTACAAAAATATCCCGGGGGAGTTTTGATCTGAAGCATGGTCCATCGCTTTTGCGACCATCCTAGCCAACCAACGCGGCCCAAGTCCGCTATACCAAGCATTTTACATTCTTCTTACAGTCTGCACTCTCGGGATGTTTCATTCGCAACGTCTATGCCGCTTCAGGTCAAGGCTTGTCGGGCTGGAATCTCCAATAAGAAGGGAGCCGCACTTCGACCTGGATTGACTGAGCCTATATGTGCAACATCTATCTGGGGTTGGAAAGGCTGCAATTCTTTGTCTTTCCATTGTTCCTTTCATTCCGTCAGGCAGCTTTGAAAACAGAGTCTCGTCTCACTCAGAGACTCGAAACCAGCTCTTTGATCTCTGCTTTGTTATTCCCGTCTCCACACAAAGATGGTGTGAAGGATGAATGCCAGTGAGAGTCTCTGCTCTGTCGCCTGCCGTTCAATTCACGATTCACGAGGCGGGTCTTCAGGCCCCGGTAGGCCCCAATAGGTCCCAGCCTATTGTTCTTCAGACCCTTCCCCCTTTTCAGTAATGATGAGGGTCCTATAGCCCAACATCATTAACACCAGGGCTTTCAAGTACTAATAATATTCATTGTTTCTGCTGGCCAGAAGAGTCTTATTTTTTGCAAGCTTCGGCGTTAACAACAAACCCCACATATTTAACTGTCTACTTCTCGCCTCGGACTGTTGAAAACCCTCCTCTGTTCTCCACAAAATACGGCATACTGAGAGCCCAAACAAGCAAAACAACAAGAAGAAAGAAGACCGCTGCACGACAAGATGCTGGGACGAGCACTCGCGGTGCTCTGTGCCTTGGTCGTTGCCGCCGAAGCTCACTCCTGGGTAGAACAACTGATGGTCATCGCCAAAAATGGCACCTTCGTTGGCAGCCCCGGATATCCCCGAGGGTTCTATCCTCGCTCTAAGGCGGGGTATTCCGACCTAACTATGGAGTACCTGATTCCACCAGATGGCACGTCAGACGTGACAAAGATCGCCGACGGCACGAAGTTGTGCCGGACTGAACAACAGACACAAGACCAGACTGACGGGTATCCTCGATTGCAAGCTAGCTCTGGTGCCATGGTTGCCCTCCGTTATCAAGAAAATGGTCATGTCACCCTGCCCATGAACCAGAAGGGAAAGCGACCTGTGTGGTGGCCGGACAGCCGAGGCACAGTCTATGTTTACGCAACTACCAGCCCCAGTGCCTCTGAGACTTTCCAGACCGTCAACGGCACCTGGCCGATAGATGGCAGTGAAGGCACAGAAGGGTGGACCACGAGCGGGGATCTCAGCAAGGGCCGGCTGATCGCTATGCACAACTTCGACGATAAACGCTGCTATCAGATAAACTCTGGCGATATCTCTTTACAACGCCAGCAGAGCTTCGCCCACACGGCGAACCAGTTGATGGGGGCCGATATGTGGTGCCAGATTGATGTCGAACTTCCCAGCGAAGTCACCAGTGGCAAGACAGTTACGCTTTACTGGGTGTGGGATTGGCGCACCTGGCCCCAAGAGCAGGCCACCGACTACGATACCACCTATCCCGATGGTAAGATGGAGGTCTATACCACGTGTATGGATATCGACATCGTGAGCGATTTGGAGGACGAGACCAGTTCCGCCACCGAGTATATTGCTGGGCAGGATCTCAACAATGCTGCCATCTCCTCGGAGATGGCTAATCCGACGGCCATGGGCGGTATTGTCGGGGCTCGTGGAGTCGCAGCCACTGTCACCGAGCAGAGCACCGAGACCTTTTGCGTGGAGCAGAAGACCTTGACGAACACCATCACCTCCGGCACCAAGACATCGACTACGGTGGTTACGACCACCACGCAGTGGCCCCTGCCCACTGATGGAACATGCTAGCCGCTCGGATCTGCTCGTGTGAGAGTTCGGCAGCACCTAGAATCAAAAGGACGATGTTGCAAGGGCTCCAGATTGCAGCGGAACTTGGCCCACGACGTATGTGACATGAGTATGAGATTAGAGCATGGATCAGGATCCATGATGGACATTTGTAGATACTTCAACTTATTATTCAGCGTTTACCCAAGCCCGTCTCCTTTTTTTTGTTCCCCCACCTCCCAATATGTATTCAGCACTCCGTAGTTCATGGGTTTAATTAAACCGTGCCCGTAGGAGGAACCCAGCCTGTCCCAAAACGGCATCACCCGCGATCTGAAACACGCTATGCTGCACGTGATGCTGACCTAAGCCCTGCGAAGCTTCACAAGACGAGGCCTCGTTGCGGGATCGCGAAAGGCTCGTCGGCTTCTTGCCTTCTGCGTCTGCTTCTCGTCTCGTCTTGTCTCGTGTTTGTTGCGAGCTCGTGCCCTGGCATTCTTTTATCTTTGCCTTGACGAAGTCGCCCTTCCCCCGCGCTTCAAATTCCCTCCTGATCCTTCCCCGGGCTGATCTCTAGGAAGACTAGACTCAAGAGGTATGCCCCATCTCCGATCCCAGCCCGATCCCTCCCTGTTGGTGAAGAAGGGAAATCCCTCCAAGCCCCTTTGGTCACGCTGCTCCAATCCGAGAGGGTGAATGCCTCTTCGCCAACACTCACTTTGCTTTGGGTCCCGCATAAGCGCCGTGCTCGGGTTGCATTTATATCTGACACTCGCCGTGCAGGCTCTGCTATATTTAGCATTGGTCGTCGACCACTGCGGGACAACAGCGGCCAGCGCCTGGAACAACAACGCTCCGCCCCAAGTAACCACTCAACCTCCTTCCCCTCCGCGCTTGAACGGCCCTGTCCCTTCGAATCCTCTTTCCTACACTCAAACTATCCCGTCGTGGGGTCTGTGACCGTCTTGCACTGCTGGGCCCGTGACTTCGGCACGCCCCGTCCGGCTGTACCTCGAAAACCTTCCCCTCCTCGATTTTACCGCCTCCCCAATCCTCCACGTCGGCCCTCCTCTCCATCTTCATTGGCGCCGGGTGATACCGAGAGTCTCTGGCCCCGTTGGTTTTCGGCTGGGCGGCTGTTCTACGTTGTTGTTCGGTCTCGTATGCACGAGATCCTTCACCCGGTGTCTGCTTTAATAACCCCACCCCCAAGGGCTGGTTAGCTTTCAATCGCAAGTTGGGATCTCGTCGGCGCGACATCCAATTCGCAATGCAAAAATAGACTTTCAGCGAATGCGACCGATGAACACCCTCCGCCTACTTTGTTAAACCCCCTGGAAGCGTTTAAACATCCCCATCCTTCCGTCCCATCTACCACTTTTGGGACCCCCCTGTTTGCTCCACGATGTCTACGCCGACGTCGCCGAGCTCGCTCTCTCCGGGCAATCTACAAGTTCTGCCGCCCATTCTGACGGACAACACCATCAAATCGTCCCCCAGTGCGAGAGATCGGCTGTCCACCTACTCCACCGTCTCCTTCGCTTCCCAACTATCACGGCCAGGCTCACACGTGTTTCCCATCTTCCATTCGAGCCTCCCATATACCCTGGTTCGAGACTTTGCCTATCCGCCCATCCATCCCCTGCATTACGGGCCTCCCCCACCGCGCGCATCAGGGGTCTCCACGCCGGCCAGCGAATATCGGCGACTGTCAGACCCGCCGACCTCATGGGACACCGCACGAGGCCCATGGGCATCTGGTCCATGGAGCAATGAAAACACACAACTCACCCCCGGCCACCAACAATTGCCGGCCATGTCTTTCGGTGATGGCCCACCGTACAGTGAAGACGAAGATCTACATAGCCCGGTGGTGACTTCGTCACGCCCGCGCAACAAGTCCACTGGGACCGATTTGGATGAATTGGTGAACGAGCACAGCTCTTCGACACAGAGCGATCGCGGTACTTTCATTGGCTTGAACCCCGATGGCAGTGCGACATACTATGTTAGCGGAGGAGATGGGATGGAAGACGGTCCAGGCGGGGAGTATGTCACATACCGAGCAAACGAAGGGCAGTACTCGATGGCATACGGTGGTCAACAAGGCTACACACAGGAACCCGGCTTTGAGTCAGAAGACGACCAGACTAGTCGAAGCCGGTATTCGACCGATTACCAATTTGCCGTTGGCTGCCCAGATGAGGAGATGCATGGCAAGGCCGTCGCTCTTTTTGATTTCGTTCGCGAGCATGAGAATGAGCTGCCTCTCACAGAGGGTCAAGTTATTTATGTTTCATACCGACATGGCCAGGGCTGGTTGGTCGCCGAGGACCCGAAGACCGGAGAAAATGGGCTTGTGCCAGAAGAGTTCGTTCGGCTTATTCGAGACATCGAAGGCGGGCTGACTTCATTGAATGGAGAGCCTGGCTTTGACACGACAGATAGCAGCGTCTCTATCGGCATTGACATGACCGAGGATGAGCAGGTTGCAACACCAACCCAGGAGGGTCACAACGGTGCTAATGGCGGCACATCAACCTCTTCCTCAGTCGAATCTCACCACCCTTCGGATAACGGACAGGTAGCCAAAGAGGCTGGCAACCGGTCTAGCATGATGACAAAGACCTGAAAGTCCCTCCAAAATCCGAGGTGGCTTCACTCTACAAGGCAGCATGAGCCCCATGTTGTTACGGCACATCTTCATGTACTATGTTACATTTTATATCAAACAAACCTCACCTCGCCAAACCCTCCCTATCCTTCTTGTGCCCTTAAAATGGCCTAGAGTTATATGGAGCAACCATAAGATCCGCCTTGCCTGTCTCATGCCCTCCTCATTCCTACTACTAAGGAGACGAAATAGCATTCAGCAGAGCATTGGCGATCAATTATACCCGGAGGATCAGAAAGACTTCCCTAGGCTTCGCGTGTGTCTGCCAATTGAACCACAATTCTTGACACCGACGAAGCCGAGTTACAAGTTCACGACCCCAAGCGTCGCCGCAAGTTAAACCCCAAATATCACATCACATAACCTGGTCACCTATACCTCTATTCTTCTTCAACCACACCCTACCACTTTGAACCCCCTCTCACAAATGATTCCCTCTCTACTGCACTTCCGTCTACATCTGATATCCCACAACCAACGAACACCGCACAAGTCTGCATGTCCCAGCTCCGAGAAAGAGCAAAATAGGAACCTGGCATCAAAAAAAAGACTTGAAAGAGAAAGGCAAAGAGAAAAAAATTCCATTTTCTTGTTCTTTCATACGCGCATTGTTCTTCCCTCCATCTCCCCTTGTCCAATTCTGTCTTCTGTCATACAATTACATTTTCGCACCTTCTCGCCCACCCACCTCGAACATCAACCTCAAACTTCATTTCTCGCACTTGTATCTAACTTCCCTTCAGCGCAGGCGTTGTCCTAGCATAAATTAGCATCAACGTAATGCATATTCAAGCCTATCCAAATCAATTCTCCTGTCATCGCGTAGACAAGCACCATCCTTTTTCCGCCCAGTCTCATATCTACTACTGGCGTGAATTCTTTGAGGTTGACAACATCATAGAATGGTATTTTCCTTGCTATACAGACGCAGACATTCTTCAACCGCGGGCCAAGTCCCTCCAGGGTCGGGGACAAGAGGAGAGAAGGATATCTGATTTCCTGAAATCGTCACAAGACATGTAAAAGAAACGAGGGGGTGGGGAGACTGATTTTACGTGTAAGGCAGAAATCGTGTGAAATTTTAGGAGCAAAGAAAAAGAAGATGAGAAGAAAATATTTAAAACCCAGCGCTGCTGTGCTATAAAGCAGTGAACGAGCACAGAGGCCAACGCAAATACGAAGACAAGAGAAGGTGAAAGGCGTTGCAGAAAAGAACAGAAGCGAAGGGGAGGGGGTGGCAGATGGGGCTATGCTCAGTAATGGCTAGGAAAGGGGGAAATCTGAGTCAAGTCGATTGACAATGGTAAATTGACTTCATGATGTTGAAATTAACCGAGCAAATCATCAAACGCAGATCCGCCTTGCTTCTGCTGGGGCTGGGATGAAGTAGAGGCAGTGCTGGATGCAGCAGGGGCACCCCAAATGCCGGCACTGGCCTTTTCTTTGGCCATGCTCGCGAGGTTCGGGCCCTTGTTTGCGGAGGCGTTGGACTTGGAGATACCTGCGCTGGCACTAGCGGTTGACCAAAGTGAGCCAAAGGCATCGCCGGATGATTTCTTCGCGGTGTTGGCGGCAGGCTGACTAGCCGCAGAGGATGCGGGCGCAGCAGAAGAGATAGAAGACGTAGCGCCATGCGATGAAAACGGTTGCGCAGCGATATTGGAAACAGAGGTGAAGTAGTTGGGAGTGGCCGCCTGGAAGCCAGAGGGTTTGGGGGCCATGGGCTGCTGCATAGGGGCCGTCTGGGATACTGGCGAGGCCAAAGAGCTGGAGGACGGCGTGGGTGTGGCGGATGTGAAGCCGACTAGGCCGTTGATGTTAGCTCCTTGAGAGCCAGACACTGGTACAGGAGCTACAAATTGAGTGCTCGATGTTGTGCTGACAGTGGAGGCGGGAGGCAGAATTGAGAATTGGTTCGACGAGGATGGCGCCGATGGCTGGGCAGCTGGAGTTGCGGACTGGAAGTCGTCGAAATCGTCGTCATCAGCAGGGGCAGGCTGCTTTCCGGCGGCAGTTGAGGTGGGAGCAGGAAGTTCGTCATCGCCGAAATCAAATAGATCTGCCACAGGTGCTGGCTCAGGCTTCTTTGGTTCTCGCTTAGCAGGAGCAGATGCAGGCTCGCGTCGCGTCGAACTGATTTCGCCCTCGTCATATTCGTCATATTCCTCAAATCGGTTGCCCCGACGAGTGGTCGTGTCTTGGAAATCACTCGAGGCACCGCCAAAACCTCCACCATCACCATAAACACCACCGCTGTAACCACCATAGCCCATGCTGTCGCTACCAAACCCACCGTAGCGGTCAGAGCTTCCCATACCACCGCCAGTACCCATGCCACCCTCAAAACCGCTGAACTTGTTGCGGTTTGAGCGAGCCTTCTTGCGCTCGGTGCGAATTTGGTCCACGTCACCCAGCAGCTTCACCAGCTCAGAGGATCGATTGCGCACATTGATACCCTGATCCTTGCCGTTCATATCAATGAAGTGAAACTGCCGCAGCATCCGTAGCAGCGACATGTGAGACCGGGCATCATCGACGACTCGTTCGGATCCGTTCTTGACAAGGAATTCGAGAAGTTGAAGAGACTATGGGGTGAAACGAAGCATATGTCAGCAAAGAGGAGACTTGGCGCTTGAGACATTACTAGAACGATACCTTGTAAATCTGACGCCACTCCTCCGCACTCTTATCAGTGAATCGCTTGTAAATCAGGGGCATGATCTCATTGAGCAGTTGGCTGCATAAGAATATTAGTATAAAGACTACCGACAGAGACAGCTCAATATGCGGAGACTCCACTGACTAGCTATGCGTTCCATTGGCAATCTCCTGCATCAAGGTGGTCGAGGCTCCCCAAGGTTCATTGTTTGTAGCTTCCCGGACCTAGCCATGAGCGTCAGCCATATATTTCATGAGCCACGATACCATCTTAAGTTCGCAATATTGCAATTGTGTCGAAAATATAGGTTTGGTGCGCATGGGGTTGGCTGGCTTACGAACCTTTGCCTCCATGTCGGTATAGTTCATGACGGCTATGACGGCTAGGTCAGCCCGGTATCCCGGAATTGGGCGCACAGGTTGAGTTGCTCGCGGTGGTAATGCGACCAGAGGGAAAGAGGTCCGACTCACCATTTTGCACCTTGCGGACACCTGCCTTGAGATCATACAAGGTCAGGTTGCTGACCTTGTCCTGGAGGTTGGAGAAGTCCATGGCAAGGGGGAATTATAGTTCGAAAAAGAGTAAGCGCAAACGTGGGAGAGGATTCGCCGTGCCCCAGCAGGCACACGTCTAAAGCAAATGAAATTTGAAGAGAAGAGAGAAGCGATCCAGGCCTGCCGGAATTGAAGTGTTTGGGTCGAGGGACAACCTGGAGGGGGAACGGCGGTTTCCAGCTGGCCGATTCCACGCGCGACGCAGTCACGTGGATTCGGGAAGGCCCACGAGCTAAGCCATGGACCTACTACGAATACTAACATACTAACATAGAAAAACTTAATTGGAGGATAATTCATATCATGTTATTCTTTATTGTGTACATATCGTTTGGAATGCCCGTATAAACCGAGGCGCTATCGCTATTGAAATCCAAAAATACCCTAGGTATCTAGACAAAGAAAAAAAAAAGAACAGGAAAGGTAAAAATATCACTATGAATGCTTCACCCAAATCATCTCGCGTCATGTCCGTGATCATGAACTTTATTCGTTGTAGAACTTCTTCATAATCAAATGTAAGAAGAGGTTAACGTTAACCCGCATCTGTCCGTCGAAAAAGTCCATAAATTGTGTGTTGTTAAATTGGGCTTGCAGCAAGTCGTCCAGAGGCACTTGAGCGTTGGCGCCAGGAACCATCATGTTGCCACTGCTGCCATCAATGGTGAACACTCCAACCTCGTTGCTGGAAATTGTCAGATCCACACGGTCATATTGTCTCTCGGAGTAGCCCTTCCAGGAGACCAAGACACCTCGGTCAGTTAAGGTGCGAGCGGAGTACTTGTATGAACCAAATTTGAACACCTTGCCCGACTTCTGGAGTTCTCGTTGGTGGTCCCATTGTTTCGTGAAAGGCATAAGGAATCGTTTCTTTCCCTTCTTGTTTTGAAGAGTAATCATAGCCTGTTCAATGTAGTCGTTGTAAGTCTTCAGCTGCTGATCCAGGTAAATGGCTTGGTCATTGAGACGAGCTGACGTCAATCGTGCGCCTTCCAACTCGCGCTCTCTCTGGATCCGTCGACGATGCTTTGTGCGTATATCACTAGCAATAGCGTTGAGGAGATCTTGGTAATGATTGTGGCGACTGATCTTCCCGAATTGCTCAAGACGAAGAATGTTCTCGAGGGCAATCCCCTTGAGCTCTGTATAGCCCATGGATCCAATGTCAATCAAAGTGCTGGCCTCGGAGTAGGCACCTCGGCGTGGGTTGTTTGTGCTCAGCTCCTCTCGTACCAGCGTATGCCATCGCTGCTCATCTTCCGTGGTTGGTGGCTTGAGCATGATATCCATCAAATTTGCACCGCTTTGAACTCGGATGATGTAGAGTATACATCGCTTCGTTTCCATAAACAGCGTCTTGACTTCTGCTTCCGGGTCTTTGGCAGGATTATTAGTTTGCTACGTTTGGACAAACTTTGAATGCGGTAGACATACCTTCTGTTTGGGCGAGTTTTGGGTTGAGTGTGAGATTGATTTCTGTTGAGCTCACGCTCATCAACTCATTTTCGTTGCTCTTCACATTTCCGAGATCCCGCACAAGCTGCTTAAGGAAATCGTCGGGGTGCGGGCACAGGAAATCGATCTCGGAGGCAACCAGCTGATGGATTGAGAAAATATCAGACATCTTGATGTACAAAGTCGGTTTTGCCTTGGCGTAAAGATCGTTAAACTCGTCAATGTCAAAGTAAGCCTCGGCATCCTGGACGGTGATCACTGTTCCGAGTCAGCTCAGTTGCATTGTATATGATGTGCTAGAAATTAGACTTACTTTGTCCCCAGATACGTCCAAGCCGCTGTATGGACTCGCCGATATAGGAATTGAGCGGCTGTAAATAGACGTTCTCGGCACCAAATAGTCTACCGGAAGCCACTTGCGCAATGACCTTGGCAATTTCACCAAGGTTCCTTTTTTGCTCTTGAGTGAGACCCCGATCCACAACTCCATACCTCTCTGGCTCAAGCACGGCAGGCTGGAAGTAGTTTTTCCAAACCCAGTGACCAACTATTTGGAGGACAAATCCAGGATCCTCATTGGGAAACCTCGCAAGAAGACCTTCATACATTTGCTGGGCGAGATAACGAATACCAAACGGCATGCGAGACAAAAACTCTTCGAATCCGGCAAAGAATTGGTCAGCAATATCGCGCAAATCTTGCAAGTGCTGAATGAATAACTCTCGGGTCTCGGGGTCTCTGATCGCTTCTTCATGGGGAAGGTCTGGTCGCCGACGGCTACGCTGACCTGTTCGAAGCTCCTCGTTGTTGATAGAAGAACGGTAAATCTGGATTGGATCGCTCTCCAGGTCAAGATCAGGGTTCTCAATGACAGATTCTTTCACAACCGTTCCCAAAACATCTCGCATGAACTTTCGGTCCCGGGGCGACTTTGCGTACGATCCGAAGAGTTTGTTCCAGAAAGCATTGCAGCGCATATATTCGGGGAGTGATGTGAACGTTTCTATGTCCTCCTTGGCAGAACGGGCAAGAAGCTTGACGAGATAGTACTCCTCGCGTCTCTTCTGAGAATATCCGAAAAGACCCATCATCAGGTGCCTGATTCTTTCGTATTCTTTGTCTGATGTATTAATCTCGCGAAGTCGGCGGAATAGACGAGCAAGGTATTGTGATTGGGTTTGAAGAAGGAAGAAGAATACCTGATATTGGTCTAACTTCTTCCTTGAGGTCTTATTCAGAGCCTTAAGATCATAGGGGTCTTTGGACGAAATCTCAGTGTTGGATAGGAGATTCCCAACATGGCCACCAAAGTGTTTCTGGTGCTTGACGACTTCGTCAAGAGTGATCTTGTTCTTCACAAGCAACGCAATTTTGATATCCAGTTGGCTAATGTATTGCTCTGCAAGCTCATTTTGGCGGACTTGCTGAACAACCACTTTGCGCAGGCGTTCGAATTCAATTTCTTCATCGAAATCAAAGTCACTGTCGTTAAGCAGATGAACAAAGCCTTTGACTGTACCAACAGGTGGGTTCTTGCCGCTAGTCAGGCTCTTGTAGGCTTGGCCCTGGATGCGACCTCTTATGACACTCTGAGCTTTGATGACCTTCTCCATATTCTCATTATAATGCCGGCGCCTCTCCTCAAACCGGTTTCTTACTATCACACCGCGGATGCGGGCTTGGAGATCTGTGATAATATCTTCATCGGCTTCGAGGTCAGCAAGCATCTGGCCGACCTCAACCCGTACAAGCATTGCTCTCGAAAGTGATTGAAGCTGGACGATCTCTTCTTCACTGTCGTCAAGACAGGCAAGAATTCCGCCAATTTCGATACGCTGTATTGCGGCCCGCGTAAGCGCTTGAAGATCCACAATGGTAGGCTCATGTTCCTCTAAGGCTTTGCGCTCTGCAGCCAGGTGCCGGCGCTCGATCGCTCCTCGGGCTGCAGACTGCAAATCCAAGATAATGTGTTCTTCCTTCTTAAGAGAGTTCTGCTGCCCCTCCAAGAAATTTCGCAAGGCATTTCCTCGGGCAATCCCTTGGAGAATAGTGGTAGAAGATGCGTGCTGCGATAGCTCAGAACGAAGGGCAGATTTACTTGCTCGCACAGCTGCACCTCGGACCAAGGCTTGCAGAGCAATACATTGGCTCTCGGTCTTTGACAGGCTTTCCAGAAGCTGCGATTGGCGGGTCCGAGATGCCAGAGCCCTGGCTGCAGATTGAATGAAGGTGATAGAAGGAGTTTCGTGTTGAAGAGAGGCCTTGATTTGTGACAAATGTTGGCGGGCAATAGTTCCTCTAATCACTGCCTGCAGCGATTTTACGGGGTTGCTGGCTTGCTCCACCTCCCGAGACTGTACACTCATTTGCTTTCGTTGCAAAGCACCACGCATCATTGCTTGAAGGGTCGTAACATTATTTTCGGCATATCGAGTCTGTTCATATTGGTCGGCAACATCTCTCCGACGTAATGCACCGCGAATGGCGGCTTGGATTTGCTTGATTCCAGATTCGTCTTGCCGGGCGCGAGTCTGCAGGAGACGCGCTTCAGATCGCACTTTGGAGGCACGGATGAGACTCTGAAGCTGCAAAATATCGGACTCTTGGGCCTTTCGCCATTGCATCTCTCCTTGTTGACGGCGACGAATAATAAACCCGCGACTGATGGCTTGTAGTTGAGTGGCAAACTGACGCATGCTTAGTCGATATTGACTAATTTGGCGCGCCCAGTCTCCACGCAAACGAGATTGCAATTCGATAAGCAAAGGCTCAAAATCCCAAAGGTCGTTCATCATATTGCCAAGCTTCAAGCGAAGCATAGCGCCTTTGATTTGAGCTTGGAATTCCGCAATCAAGTGCTCGTTCTCGTGCAGTTCACGGTCAATGCGCTCCTCTTCCGACTCCACTGGTTCAGGCTCGGGCTCTGGCTCAGCACCGAAGTTTGCCGCCATGCCTGCAAAGCTGGGCATACTAACGCCCGCCTTGTCCAGGCCCTTCTGTGTTTGTTCGAGCTCATGATGCTCAAACTCCAGTTGACCAACAAGGTTACCCATACGGAAGTCGAGCATACCATTCTTAAAGAGCAGCCAAGAAAGCGCGTGGATGCAGTGGATGACCTTGGGGATATTTTTCTTTTCGTAGAGGTCGATCAGCTCGAATCTGAACAGCTCTGGCAGCTCAACATCGTCGAGAAAACGGAAAAACAAAGCAATATTGTCAGAGTGGCGATATTGCAACCTTGCATGTCGAAAGATACGGAGCGTCCGTTCCGGGTACATGGCCTGCACCACCTCGGCCAGGGTGACACCGTCCCGTAAAGCTTCCTCTAATCCAACAATGGGTGGAATTTCTTTCTGAATCACATTCTCAATCCACTCCTTGGCTTCTCCGATGTGACAAAGGTACTCGTAGGCTTGCAAAAATTGCCGTTGCTGGTCCATCCAGTTTCCTGCGGCCCACGATGACGCCTTGGGCTTCTCCGGAGATACTGCACCATTTCTTCCACCCGCAACCGAATCTGCACGCTTTAATCGTCGCCGTCCCTGGAGACCCACCACGGATGCGGTCGTCGTGCCGAATTGAAACTCCTCGGTTTCGCCGGACTGCGCGATTTTCGACAGGGTTCGAAGATGGCGCGTTGATGACTTCTGAAAAGTTTCTAGTTCGGGTGCAGACAAGGCAGTGGTGAGCGGTGGTGGATGAGGGCTATTTGACAGTGTTTTCTGTGGCGAGGACGGGCGTGATGACCCTTGAGAGGGGTTAGGCGACCAGTGCCGAGGTGAGGCCGCCGATGGAGGTGTCTGGGGCTCAAATGCGGCTACTCTGTGGCGAGGGGATTCATTCTCTTTGAAATGGACATGGGGCGTCTCGGGGGTGGTTGGTCGATACTCTTTTGAAAATTGATGGTCGTCGACAGTATGGCTGCGCGAGTGTCGGTACGCGCCCGATTTGGGTCCGGAAGGCGAGACATTGGGCGCTTGTTGGAGAGGTCGCAAGGATTGTCGAATATTCCGATACGCGTCCCCGGCGTTTGACCAGCCTGGTTGTCCAATCGTGTCCATATTGACGGGGGTTACTTCGCTTTTTCCTCGATGACGACCTAGAGTGCTCGGAATCGATGCATTGGAAGACACCGTGCTGGTCCGACTTGGGGCGAAAGAGCTTGACGCAACTGAATACGCAGATGAGTTTGTCGAGGCCGTGGACCCGTGTCGCAGTGGACTAGATGAGTGCGGCGGGAGATCCGTCTGGGCCCGTTTGAGTGATGGGAGATGGCTGGACATCACTATGACCGTCGCGACAGGAATGCGAAAACCGATGAGAGATTACAGAGCTCGATTGACCGCATCCCTGCTCCCAAGGCAGAAGCGGGGGGGGTTGTTCGGGTCTAGTCCGGGCTTGCGATGCCCGTTGTTTATCTGTGGAAGGCGACGACTCGGAATGTGATCTCGCCAAGTCGCATCGGTATGGCGATGAAGTTGAGCGGCGTATCACTCACGAGACAGATTTGGATGGGGAGAAAGTTGGGAGGGGTCGAATCCGTGTCGGGAAGTAAAGAGGGTTCGCGGCGATGATGGAATGCTTGTTGACGGTGGGGAGGGCAGCGGACCAGGGCCGGGCACAGGGCAGGTGCGACCGGGATTCCCCAACCCCGTTTGGGACAGTCGATAAACAAATCTCCCAATAGGGCCTAGTTCCGATCAGGTGATCGCCGTCGATCCTCAGCCACTCTTCGTCAGGCTCATAGCAACCAGCACGCCTTTCCTGTAGGGCCAGGCGTTGCTTCAAAATCGCTGTTTCTTAGGATCCATCGTTGGGTGTCAAGATATTATTGGAGTCCCACATCACTACTAGGACAGAAAAACATTCATGATAATTGTAGTCATGGATCACTGTGGCTAGGATTCGATCTGGCAAGTTTTCGAGAGGTTCCGTAGTCCCGTGCGACCATCACATTTACGTGTCTCGCGCCTCCTACACTGAAGACGGTCTTTAATCCTCATCCCCCGTCACCGACGTCGCAAATATGTCGTAAATCATTTTGGCGGCTTCTGCTGATTTCATGGAACATTTCGAGTTCAGGTGCAAGTCCACTCGTCTTCAGCGAGTGTTCAGTCCCCTATAAATCTTCCCTGCATGCGTGAAGGGCCAAGAAGGCTCCTCGAACTATGCATATTAGTTTGTAAATATACATTGTATATTTGCTAGGACTGAGGATCGATGAATGTCAAGCCCAGTTGTTTGTCCACGCCTCCACCACAGCTCCGACCTAAAGTGTACACCAGACATGTTCATCAGGACTCACTTTGTCTCGCGGACCTCGAGTTCAAATTGCCCCGCTGTTGAGACGACCACGGTTCCTAGGGCGTGGTTGAACCGCCAACCCCGCCGCTTGGGGATAACGCAAAAGCTAGGGAACGTGGATCCATCCCGCCATAACACCCTTCCGACTCCCAGCTTTTCTTCATTATCATCTACCATCTATTGATCTTCCTTCGAGCGATCCCATCAGTATGGCTACTCTGGAGACTCAACCCCGGTTTATCTACAAGATTGTCCCCTCCACGGCGCCAGTCCGTGAGCCGTTGCCGGAATGTCTGCCAGTCAGCGAGTTGGACCAAAGCTCGGGCTTCGTCCATCTCTCCATGGCCAGCCAAGTGGCCAACACCCTCAGGTTCTTTTTTAGCGAGGAGCCCCTCGTATATATACTCAGAATCGAATATGCGAATGTCATCAAGGACATTCGTTGGGAGTCACCAGATGGGAAAGTGTGCGGTCCACGGCCCGGAGAAGGCTTGTTTCCCGTGAGTCCAAAAATAAATAGCCTTGAATCCTGGCAGACGAGATCATATTTCTAATTACAGAATAGCATCTCTATAACGGCCTGAAATTAGGTAAAGATGAGGTAGAAAGCATCGCGATCTGGCAGAATGAGGATGGCTGGGACAAGGCCCTTACGGGGGCAAAAGCATGGCTCTTGAACTGAGTCCGATCAGAAGGGGCTTGGAGATAACTTGGCTGCATTCAATCCCAGGTCTGTAGAATGTATGTAGTCTCTTTTTAATGGCTACGGCCGGCAAAGGAATTGACTTCAGAGTTAGCTTTTTCGTCAGGTTCTACTCTCTTTCTTTTTCCTCCCGGAACACTCATTCGAGGCGACGCATCAACGAGCCAGTCCATGGCGTGTATTGACTCATGACTCTCAAAATCAAGGTACAATTCAAATATTTCATAGGTTGTGGATTTCGGACTAGACCTAGCATTGGATCTGACTCTTTCACGGAAGCATCGTATCCTGTTACTAACTTGACCTGCATGTATATCCTCACCACGCGAGGATGAAAAGCATATAGTATAACCCCTTCTCAGGACTAGCCTAACACGTCATTTTCTTGAATGGGGAATTACTGCTACGACCGAGAGCAACGATTCGGATTTACTGAAACATCGTAATGATATGTCGAGATTAGCCGAGTTTTACAATTGGGGGATGGATGATATGTGAAGGTTGATGGAGAGTGACATATATATATATGTAGATAGTTCTTATGCGTGACGAATCCCAGCGCACAACCCACAATCACCAGGAACCCTCCAATCTCCAGCCACCAGCATCTCGAACTACCTGGCCATACCTGGCCATACCTGACCATTGTCCCTGGTGCCTCGAACGAGTCCGTCACATCAGCCCGTCATCATTGCTAAGCAGAATTGACTCACCGCCCACGAGGATCTCGTTTACCAGCCAATGAAATACTCGGGCCGTGTAAAAAGCCGGTACGCTAATCTTCATCGGGCCAAGACTGGCCGAGCACGGAAAAAGTGAAAAGGGAAGAACTCCTCGCTCGAACTTTTTCTTTTTCTTTCTTTTCTTTGGGAAAGCTGGCCTCTCTCCATCAGCAGATTGTTTCTTTTCTGTTGATTAATCTTCTCTTTTTTCTTGGATACCCCATCAATCTCTGATATCAGAGTTTCTTTCTATAAAAAAAAAAGTCAATAATGCCTATCACCAACAACGAGGCCGCGCCCGGTGCCGCCATGAAGGCTGAGATCCAGGACTACACCAAGGCCCTCGAGGTCCTGCAGACCTACAAGACCGCCGATGGTCTGGATGTTGATACTCTGCTCGACTCTGACAAGCACGGAGCTCTGACCTACAATGACTTCCTGATCCTGCCGGGCTACATCGGTAAGCCAGCCACATCTGGGGATCTGGCGAGACCGACTTGTTAACAATCGCGATGGATAGGCTTCCCCGCCTCCGATGTCACTCTGGACACTCCCGTTACCAAGCGCATCACCCTGAAGGCCCCCCTTCTGTCTTCGCCCATGGACACCGTGACCGAGCACAACATGGCCATCCACATGGCTCTGCTCGGTGGCCTGGGTGTTATCCACCACAACTGTGCTCCCGTGGACCAGGCTGAGATGGTCCGCAAGGTCAAGAGATACGAGAACGGCTTTATCCTGGACCCTGTTGTTCTTTCTCCCAAGGCTACTGTTGGTGAGGCCAAGGAGCTCAAGGCCAAGTGGGGTTTCGGTGGTTTCCCCGTCACTGGTAAGTTATTGAGAAAAAATTTTCCTTACCCAATATCTACCCCACTTCACATGATGAACACCTTTTTTACTTTATAACTTTCGTTCCACTGGGAGCAGCGAGAGCTGCACTGTAGAGAACTTTTTTAAACTGATCATACAACCCCCACAAACTACCTGTCTCACAATTACTCACCTGGCCGAAATGCTAACGATGACCTTGTGATAGAGAATGGAACCCTTCACTCCAAGCTGGTTGGTATGGTTACCTCCCGTGACATCCAGTTCCATGCCCAGCTCAGTGACCCCGTCACTGCCATCATGGCTACTGACCTGGTCACTGCTCCCGCTGGAACTACCTTGGCCGAGGCCAACGACGTTCTTCGTCAGTCTAAGAAGGGCAAGCTGCCCATCGTTGACACCAACGGCAACCTCGTTTCCCTGCTCTCTCGCTCGGATTTGATGAAGAACCTGCACTACCCCCTGGCCTCCAAGCTTCCCGAGTCTAAGCAACTGATCTGCGCTGCTTCCATTGGTACTCGTGAGGAGGATAAGATTCGTCTTCAGCTGCTTGTTGAGGCCGGCCTGGACATTGTCATCCTGGACAGCAGCCAGGGTAACAGCTTGTACCAGATTGAGATGATCAAGTATGTCAAGAAGACCTACCCTGAGATCGACGTTATCGGCGGTAACGTTGTTACTCGGGAGCAAGCCGCCGCTCTGATTGCTGCTGGTGTCGATGGCCTGAGAATTGGCATGGGCAGCGGCAGCGCTTGCATTACCCAGGAGGTTATGGCCGTCGGCCGCCCCCAGGCCGCTGCTGTTCGCAGTGTTTCCGCCTTTGCCGCCCGCTTCGGCGTTCCCTGCATCGCCGATGGTGGTGTCCAGAACCTTGGCCACATCATCAAGGGTCTGGCTCTGGGTGCTAGCACTGTCATGATGGGCGGTCTCCTTGCTGGTACCACCGAGTCCCCCGGTGAGTATTTCGTCAGCAACGAGGGTCAGCTCGTCAAGGCCTACCGTGGTATGGGCTCTATCGCCGCCATGGAGGACAAGAAGGCTGGCGCTGGCGCAAAGGACAGCAAGGCTAGCAATGCCGGTACTGCCCGCTACTTCTCCGAGAAGGCCGGTGTTCTTGTCGCCCAGGGTGTCGCTGGTTCCGTCCTGGACCGTGGCTCTGTTACCAAGTTCATTCCCTACCTCGTCGCCGGTGTTCAGCATTCCCTCCAGGACATTGGTGTGAAGAGCCTCGATGCCCTGCACAAGGGTGTCGACAACGGCACCGTCCGCTTTGAAATGCGCTCCACCAGCGCTCAGAACGAGGGTAATGTCAACATGCACAGCTATGACAAGAAGCTTTACTCGTAAGATCCAGGCTTCTATGAAGTATAAAACCTTCCCGCTGTGAATATAAATTAAGAAAGGGATGCTTGCACGATGATACGGTGGAAATAAAAATGGGGTATGATAGGGATCGGAGTTCGATTTTGAGGAATTAGCTTTATTTAATGAACACCATTGTTCTGGTCAGCTTTTTATCCAAGTTCCTAGTATTATCGGTAGAATTGTCATTTTCGGCCTCCTTGCGTAAACCTACTATTAGTACCTGCAGAGCCAACTTGTGCCGAAGCCGAAGCACATGGCGCGGCTTAAGTCGGCTACTCCCGATGTGGCCAAGGCGGACGCGGGGTACAAGGATATGCCTAGGCTCTCGGGTCAATCGCGGCTTGACTATAAACACCCTCCAAGCGAAGAAGTTTGGTGTTGGGAGATGTCTGCAATCAATCTAGGGTGCCTTTGCAGCCGTTGGTTACCTCCTAGATTGAGTTCATCCCTGTCGACTCCAATCACTCTGCCGGATCATCGCGTCGCGCGTGCCTGGCTTCCCCCTTCACAAACCGAAGAGGCTCCGTCCGATTTCATACCGCGACTTCTACCCCAATATCAGGGCCCAAGACCGACAGAATGGCGCACACTAAGGGCGATGGCCAAGACAAAAAACAGCCTGCGGTTCCTCGACCCAGTTCCAGGTAAGGGGATCCCCCAGCATCCATCAAACCGGCCAAAAGAGTTTCGCATATCCGAGATTAATGAAAACATGTTTCTTTCTATTTTCTAATGGCATGATAGTGTGATTGTAGTCTCTCCAAAGAACGAGATCTTGCTGCTCCATCGCGTGCAGACCTCTAGCTCTTTTGCCTCTGCTCATGTGTTTCCCGGCGGAAATTTGTCCGACCAAGATGGGCCTTGCCCGCCTCCAGAGGACCATTCCCGACACGAAGACGGTCCTCATTATCGTCGTGCAGCCATCCGAGAGCTTTTTGAAGAAAGCGGCATTCTTCTCGCTAGGAATGGGGGCTCTGGGAAGATGCTCGCTGTCGACGAAGCGGGCAGAGACCAAGGCCGAAGACTCATCCACCAGAACCAGGTGACATTCGAAACCTGGCTTGGACAGCAGAACGAAAATGCTGAGCCTGATATAGGTGAGAATCTATCATTTTATTAAGGCCGCAAGGGGTGTGCTCGAGCTAACTTGTGTAAGATCGATTGATTCCTTTCACACGTTGGGTGACACCGACCAATGTTCCCAAACGCTATACAACCCAGATGTATCTCTACTTCATGCCATTGCCCGTTAATATTAATACGAATCTGCTGAAGGAACTACCAGCAGAAGGCGAGCGCGAGGAAATCCAGGTTCCCACCAGCGACGGCGGCATCGAGGTCACCGAAGCCCAATTTCTTCCGGCATCGGAATGGCTTCGTCGTGCACAGAGCGGAGAGATTATTCTTTTCCCTCCGCAATTCCTCCTGCTACATCTAGTATCGGAAATTATGGATAAGGAGCCGCGGGCAGGCATTTCTATTGAGGAAATGGAGAAGCGGCGAGCAGCACTTGTAGAATTTGTGCACTCTGGCTCACCCGCTTGGACGCACAAGTGTATATCACCCAAGATGATGAAAATGACTGATGACGGTCGAGCCGTTCTAGCCCTAGATGAGCCAGGGCCCGAGCTGAAGGGATCTGCTAGACGGGGCGAGTCAGACTATGTAGTTCTAGTTCGATTCAAGAAGGGCAGTGCAAGGGAAGTAACAGTGGCTTGGAAAAGGGATGTTTTCCGTGAAGGGCGGGAAGATCGGAGTAACCTGTAAAGTGTATAGCTTCAATATACGATGAGATACCTGATTAGGGTACAAGTCAAGGAACAAGCCGTTGCATATTCCTCCCAATGCCCTATTTCGTAATGAAACCTTGTAACGCTTTAAGATACAAATAATAGGCCAATCTGTTATCTCCAGCGGTTGAGATAGAGCAAAATGGCTGAATATTGACAATCTCGTATGGACCTCTCATTTTTGTTGATCGCGATGCGGCAGAAAATTAATTGCCACTGCCCCACACTATGAGCCCCCGATAACACCACGCACTATCCCTGTTCCACCACGCCAGCCCTCGACAAAATGTCACATGACCCACACAAATCATTTGAGTCTCTAATTTTACGGGCCACCCAAAACCCTCTACCTCCAACCTCACCGTCGCCCGTCGAAACCTATACACCACATCCGCAAAAATGGAGAACGAGAAGGGAGAGATCGTCGATCTGTATGTGCATTCGCCTTCGAATTCGAGTTCGCTTTCGCTGCAATTCCGTCCCGATGTCCTGTCTCTGGTCTGCCCGCAGTCGCAAAAATTCATGTTCATTCCTCTTCCGCGCAAAGACTTTTAAAGCGCCATAGTCCTCTCCAATAAAGGATTAAACCCAGGATTTGCAGAGAGATCTGCGTCTTGAATATACGCAGTCCAGAAACAGGATATCGATCGGCTTTGGAGGGGACGATTTGAAATATCGAGTCCATTGGGAAATAGAAAACTAACGAGGCTCTTCTCCCAACAGCTACGTGCCCCGCAAGTGCAGCGCCACCAACCGCATCATCAAGGCCAACGACCACGCCTCTGTCCAGCTCTCCGTCGGCAAGGTTGACGAGAACGGCCGCTACACCGGCGAGAACCAGACCTACGCCCTGTGCGGCTTCATCCGTGCCCGCGGTGAGAGCGATGACTCCTTCAACCGCCTGGCCCAGCGTGACGGCTACCTCAAGAACGTGTGGACCGCTTCCCGCCAGCGCTAAATTTTCCGCTATGGTGTGGTTCGCATTGGGGTGGTGTTGACGGATTGATATGATGTGAGTGCCATTCCCGTCCAGATATACATGCTCTTCCAAACTAGCAACTGACTCATATCTTGAACAGACAAGCTGTGGCTTAGATTGTCCAGTTTGAGGATTGGCTATGAGAAAAATGGGAGGGGGAGTACTTGCATGTCTCCTTCGGTTTTGAATTTTTTCCCCTCTGGGAGGAACCCTGTTTTCCTACTGTCCTATCTATCGAAATGAAAAATGGAATCGACGACTTCACTGACTGGGTTTTCTCTACGATTCCCGCCAGTTCACAATCATCCTCTCCCAACACCTTTCCCCCTACCTTTCAACGGCCAGGAATAAGAACGCCGAAATTATGAAAATCCCCAAAAATTTGAATCCATCTCAAAAATCACCCCCTACCCTCCCCACTTTCCTCCCCATTCGTTGTTTCTATTCTTAATCTTCTCTATGAACCAACCGGCATATCAAGGCTTCCTCACCCTTGTAGACCGAAGAAATCGGATCGCTAACCCGGTCTGTGTTCCTGGTGTCTGCATATCCATGAGCGAGGAAGTAGAAATAGCACATCCAGCCGAATATTATGCTTCCAAAACCCGCCTTCTGAAGAGCCACTTCTGCAGAGTCTCATGCACTGGGGCACAGATACGGGTGGGACATCTTGCTGTAGACTTTACCCCGACTTAGATATGAGTTACTGGATTACTGGGAGCCATTTTCACATAGCTACAAATTTATGATTTAATTATGCAACAGTTACATCTCATAAGTATTCCGTCCCAGATTGTGATTTGGTCGAGCTTTGGGCTGTGATCCCATAAGCGGTCCTATCACATGCCTTGTATGCTCTTTTGATGTGTACCTAACTCCGACCAGACATTTCCGCAATGATCATACAATTTTGAGGGTACCTCTCGCTGAATTGTGTGGGTCAAATTGATTTGTCCATATCCCGGTATCGTGTTATTATCTTCAATTATGAGAGCGTCATCCATGGCAATATCTATTCTGGCTGTGATAGAGTCAGGAGATGTAAAGGTCATCATATTGGTTAAGCTCTGAACTAGCTAGGAAGGTGCCCTAGTGTCAGGTGACCTAGCTTGGAGGGTAACACCGGCCCTACATTTTCTCAACCTCCTCTGTAGTCATAGACGGACTGGGTTTTAGAAATGAACGTGTCGATCTTGAACTAAAGCAAGGCAGTGTGGCACATATTCTATGTGTTTCAAGTTTCTCTACAGCGCTTCCCTCATCCTGTGCTTGGGGCATAAGGCGGAAATCTGAAAGGAAGAACATTCGTTACTTGCGAAAGTAGATTTGATGTATTTTGTTTCATTTCTCCTCATCCATCGTAGACATGCATATATTGTCTTCCACATGAACTCGTGATGTCAAGTAAAGTTCCCAACACTTGTCGTCTCAAGACACTCACAGGCAAGACATATTTGAAAAGGGGGTTTAAATCTATTGATAATCAAGCCACCTCTACCCTGCTTGATCCTAGCTTTCCGTTTCTTTTTTGAACCTATTTCTCCAGACGAACAGCCGGGTTGGACTCGATGAAGTTCAGGTCGACTTTGTGGCCGAGGAGCTCACGGATGTTGCTCACGCCGTACCTAGAAGAGGAAAATTAGAAATCTGGAGAAAAAAGGAACCCCCACCCAAGAAAGTAAGGTGAAAGGTAAAAACAGCATTGGCAATACTTACTTGATCATAGTCGGCCTCTCCAGACTCAATCCCCAGCCGTAAACTCGCATATCCTTGGGAATACCCATCGACTCCAGCATCTCAGGCCGGAACATACCACTGTTACCAATCTCCACCCACTTGCCGAGGCCACCATGGTATCCGAAGATTTCCATACTGGGCTCGGTGTAGGGGTTGTACGCGGGCTTGAAGCGGAGCTGGTGAATGCCCATCTTGGCGAAGAACACTTCCATGAAGCCAATCAGACCACCCAGAGTCAGGCCGAAATCGGCGATGACACCCTCAACCTGGTGAAATTCTGCCAAGTGAGTAGCGTCGACGGCCTCGTTTCGGAAGACCCGGTCGATACTGAAGAATCGGGCTGGCCGTGGGTCGGCGGCCAGCTTGTGCAGCACATATGCGGAGATAGAGGTGGTATGCGTGCGAAGAACCAGGCGCAGCGACTCGTCCGCATTCCAGGGGTAACGGTAGCCGATAGAGCCAAACTTGCCCTTCTCGTGCACCTCGTGCACATTCTTCCAATATTGCTGGTAGTCAAGCGGCTTATCTTTAGTCGCTTTCGAGGCGGGCTGGGCGGCTTTGGGGCGGTGCGGGTCATTGAGAGGATCCTCACGCGGCGGGTCAGCCTTAAGAGGGTCGGCGATGTAGAAGGTATCTTGGAGGTCACGAGCGGGGTGTTGCTGTGGCACGAAGAGGGCGTCGAAGTTCCAGAAGCCGGTCTCGACGAAGCGGTTGGTGGGCATTTCCTCAAAGCCCATCTCAAAGAAGATGTTGCGGAACTCCTGGCGCACCTTGTTGAGAGGGTGCAGGGCGCCAGACGGTGTTGGGGCACCCTTGGCATTGAAGTTGTAGGGCTTCAGCTGGACGGTCTTCCATGAACCGCTGGCGATCATTTCAGGCGTGAGATCAGTCTCCTCCTTGACGAACTTCGGGGCAAACTTGGGGCCCTTGGAGATCTTGAAAGTGAATTCCTTAGACAGGGTGATCAGCTTCCTCCGCTTGAGGTCCGCCACGGCCTTTGCATCGCCGAGGGTCTTGGTTCGCTGCACGGTGAGCAGCAGTTCGCGGGTCTCGTCAACAATGGAGTCGGTGGTTGCTCGCAACAAGTCATTGTCTTTCTTAATCCAGCCACGCTTGAATGCATTGCCCTGGCCGACTTTGGCGTTATCCTTCCCCACAATGTCGGGTAGGTCTTTAATCTTCAAGCCATCTAGAGCGGCGACGACCGCGGCGAAGACCTTGGCCTCGTGACTGCCATTGGCAGCAATCTCCTCACCCTCGGAGGTGAGCAAAACAAGTTCTTTGTCGATGGTCTCATATGCGACCATTTCCCGCGACGCCAGGCGGTCTAGCGCACTTTTGACGGTCAATGAGGGGTTGGAGGGGAAGGCTTCGTTGGAGAAAATGGGCGCCTGGGACGCGGACAGGGCGTCCAAAATGGCGCTGATCAGTTCATCGGACGCCATGGCTGCAGCCGTTTCCTGCAAGGAGGGGATCTGGCGGAATCAATGCGGAGCGTGGGGGGTGGGAATTCGGACCTTACGGCGCCAGCCAAAAATCACGATGACTCTTTTCGCGGCATGAGATACGGAGATGTGCAGCGACCATTGGCGCTATTTCACCCCACCATCAAAATGTACAGGCTGTGCACACTACTTCCACCTTCCTACACAGCAACCTGTTGACTATAATCCCCCCTAACCCCCCGAAATTAGTAGTCTGATTGATGATCTCATATGTTATCCACTAGAAATAGAGATTCATATGTTGTTACATCAAGAACCCCTGGAATTCCAAAGACTACGATTACGGAGACCCACCCGTATTCGTAAAGAATGTCCTAATTTGGAAAGTCTGATCGAATCAACTGCAAATCGGCAAAATAGAATTTAATTGTCTCCTTATAGTCCCCCAAACATAAACCAGGCATCCAAATTAGGTCGCAGCATGCCTACCAGGAAATTGGTATAATAAGGAAGAGGGGGATATCACAAAGTAAGTAGTCTTAGATTGTCCTGCATGGTCTTCAAGCCACCCAACGTACCAAGCTGGTCATTGAACAAGTCACCATGTATATTCCGGTATTGGCAGCTTTCGCACTTCTGGAATCTGCTATTGTCTCATCAGCCACTGCGATAACATGCAAGACTTCTCCCCATGATGCGGCTTGGCCATCTGTTGAAGAATGGAATGCACTGAATAAAACGATTGAAGAAACTCTCCTTCGGACCAGCCCTGCCGCCTCTTCTTGTTATCCTGGGAATCCTTTCAGTTCTTCGCATGCTTGTTCTAGTGTGAAAAGCCATTGGTCATACGCTGCCTACCACGCTGCATGGCCCGAAAGCAACGACTACTCGGTATATAACAACAACTCTTGTCTCCCCCAGGAGTGGACGGATATATTGAGGGAAAGGGATGCAGTATCGGCGGACTGCCGCAATACATTGTTAATGCGACGACCGACGATCAAGTTGCAAAGGCTATGGCATGGGCTTCTCAGAAAGGAATTCGCATTATCATCAAGTCCACGGGACATGATCTCAGCGGGCGGTATGTCTCTTGATGACCTAGCGTCCTTATAAAATAACATTTTGATAAACTAACTGCTCAATCTTAATTAGTTCAACTGGTGCATACTCGCTCTCCATATGGACTCATAATTTCAGCCGTATTCAGCATCAGCCGGCCTGGAGGATCCCGGGAAGCAACGAATCTGCCGATGTGTTAATTTGCGGAGGTGGAAACAATTGGGGCACAGTTTACAATTATGCCCATAAAATAAAGCGCACAGTTGTTGGTGGTGAAGATGCAACCGTCGGCTTAGGTGGTTTGATTCAGAACGGAGGCCATGGCCTGCTATCTAGTACTCATGGACTTGCATCGGACCAAGTTTATCAGGTCACCGTGGTCACACCTGATGGCCAGCAGCTGGTAGCCAATGACCACCAGAACAAGGATCTCTTCTGGGCTGTCCGCGGTACAGGTGGCGGTCAGTTTGGTGTCGTGACTGAATTTGTCCTCAAGACCCATCCCGTCCCAGTCAATGTGGTTACTGGAGGTCTCACTTTCTATCCACGTGACAAATCCAATGCCAGTGAAAGTGCGTCTTGGGCTGCTCTCGCTGAAATTGCGTCATTGATTCCAGACCTAATGGACTATGGGATCACTGGCACTATCATGTCGATGACCGGGGAAGAGGCTGTCAGTTTGGTAGGCCTCAGCGAGTCACTTCCAGGAGCATCGGTTATCATCAGTTTTATCAGCTACAATTCGACAGTGATACATATGAACCAGACCATACAAGCACTTGTCGCTAAACTTCATAATGTTGGTCAAGATCATATTAATCATACTGTGACGACACCCTCAGCTGAAAGCTACTGGTCGTACACGAAGCCCAATTTTCTCTTCAGTCAATCGGCAGGAGCTTGCAGCCTTTTCACAAGCCGATTACTCGGCAGATCTGAGCTCTCCGACCTTCCAAAATCCAAGCTGATTTGGTATCTCAAGCAAATTTCTGTCGCTGAAGACTCCAAGAAAGGAGGTTTGCTTCTATTTGGACTGCAGGGTGGGCGTGGTCCTGCTAGTATCCCCGATGAAAGGCGCGGTAGTGTTCTGCCCGCCTGGCGAAAGGCTTATGCTCACGTCATGGCTTATGGCGCTTCTTCAAAAGCTACCGATCCCTCCTCGTCATTAAAAGAGAGTGCGAGGTGGTATGAAACTGTTAAAGAGCCCGTCTGGAGAGAGTGGGCCCCTAACACTGGCTCCTACATGAACGAAGGTAATGCTTTCAGCAGCACGTGGAAACATGACTTCTATGGGGCGAACTATGATCGACTGCTAGGAATCAAGCAAGAATACGATCCATACGAAAGCTTGTTTGTGTATAGTGGGATTGGCAGTGACAAATGGCACTATGACCTAGACACTGGCCTCGTCTGTCACTCGGAGGAATGATCAAGAAGAGCGAAATTTTAGCTCAACTCCAAGTGAATGAAACTATGAGTTCTTGCTACTTTATTTTCCTTGGTAACTTAAAAGTATATATTTCTTTGTGTTCTGGCTGGAAATAAGTGGTGTGACTCTGTTGTCGAATTTGAACGTTTTATTCCTATCGAGTATAGATATATTGCGCATTCACTGGGATGGAGTAACTAGGTCTGCGTAAATGGCATCTTGTCATAATAATGCCTCTTTTTTGTTTGAGTGTATTGAAAATAAACGCTCATTTCAACATCTTATAGCTCAAGCTTCAGTCTGCCTAGCCTCCCGGATTCCCCGTATATTTTAGGCAGGCTGCTTATTCCTCTCTGGATCCTCAAAAAGAAAGAATGATAGCTAATCTTAATTATCTCCGGGCCCAAGGGATAGACTATGATAGCCCGGGTCTTCTGTACATACTGCGGTTGGTTCTTTAGTCGCTCGGCGCATCTTCACGGACATATTTCAGGACGCATCTCTGGATTGTTTTAATCCTACCAAAGACAACATGAGGGTCGGAGACTTTATATATCGTGTAATTGAAGAATCAATACGACTATTTGGGCTAATACAGAGGTCCCTATCGGGCTGTCGATATGTGAGATACGAATACCAATAATAACTAGGTCCAAAGGGCGCAATAGCACAGCAGAAGCTTAATTCTGCCTACCTATTCATCACGCGACGAGTGAGTCGGCGATGCGGTGATGGCATCTTAATTGATTACTACGTTATTTCTCTGATGGGGCTCAAGGCTAACAAAACTCGAACGTCAATCTCATCGACATCCTACAGTCCTTCATTGTTAGACGCTAGCAACCAGAACTGGTCCAAGATCCGATATAGAGCATCCAGGTTTTACGGTCAGCTTCAGTCCAGGTCAGAATTATCTGAGAAAAAAAAAGATTAAAAAAAAGATTAAAAAAAGAAAAAAAAAAGATGGCCGGGAGAAACAGACCAAAAAGAACATCTCAGGTTATTTGTAGGAATAGCCGAACGCGGGGGTCGAACCCGCAACCTTGAGATTAAGAGTCTCACGCTCTACCGATTGAGCTAGCCCGGCAGGGCTGGTTGGAGAGCAACGAGGAATTTAGCACTATGAATGGCTAAACACCAACCGGAGACACTTGAGATCATCAAGCGAAGCGGCTATCGGGGATGTTGTGTATCAGGTTGGACCGTTTCGGTATACTCAATATACGATTCTTTTACATTCCCACTTGAAATTTCTTACGCAAGAAAGTGCTTGAGGTCATTGATGTCATCATCACGCAAGTAAATAATCTCTGATCTCCACCATGACCTCAGGCTGCTGTTGGCGATCAATGCAGAAATATATAATTACATGCAGTGAAAAAAAAAGACTGTCAAAGTACCATATGAGAAAATCAGTGCATCTGGAAGATATCTCATAATTTTCCTCCAGGCTTGGTCCGCCAACCCTGACGACTGGCCGAGAACAATACTATTCATCCACATCTTTGCCATTGCCCCGGGCTGGGTATATAGTTCATAGTTGACGAGCTGGCTGTTCCGTCAAATTCGGGCGTGGATGTCTCCCGCATGCGCGTGCGCGACTCCTTTGCATGTCTGATCGCCGCCTATTATTTCTCCCCCGACAAAGCCGTTGGGAAGGCCCCGCGTGGCTTTGACGCCATTCATTTCCCCCAAGTTAATTCTGAGTCTCGCGACGAGGCCCAAGTGTCATGCTGTCCGTCCCAGTGCGTCTTTTGCCACCTGATGAGCTGTCCTGTCTCTGCACGCTTGGCCGCTGACTGCAACGGTTGAATCCGAATGGGCGGTCTTGGTCCTCCAGCAGGGATGCTCTGGCGACATCTCCACATCTTGTTCTTTCTGGGACGGCGAATGAATCCTTCGGATCTCCGATGCCGTGGGTGGGACAAGGTACAGGGCCTTAGCGAATTACAGGTAACCCTGTTGGATTCCCTGTTCCCTTGGATTTTACGGACTACCAATGATAAGATCCATACTGGAGGAGTGCCTATCAGAGCGGAGGATGAGAGAACATCCAGTAATGACTAGGGTTGAGTCAAGCGCCTCGAGTACAAGCGTACATGCCCCGAGCCTGTTCCTCGGTACTCCGAATGTGAAACGAGCGCGGTGCAGTGCTACCGTTGAACCTTAAGCATGTCCAGGGCAAACGTTTCCCCGTGGCCGATGTATGGGCCCTGGGTTTAACTAACATACGGTAATTTCACGGTGAACTCACAAACCAACCAGTTCGAGGGAAGTAATAAATAGTGGATATAGCCAGCCAGCTAATGAGCATCCGGGAATGGAGACGTTCTCAGCCACAACTTGTTATTTTTCTTCGGTCGGCGAGAGACCCAAACTCTTTGAGAACGTCCCCGAGACAAACGACCTCCTGAGTCCACTTTTTCTCTCCCTTCCCGGCAATGAAGGTTCGCGAATGGATCTGCCTATTCTCCACCCACAAAGAACCGCACTGGTTCCCGAAACTTTCTCCTGGGGCGGCCGGCCTTGTCCCGCAAGGCTCTGATGAACCGAGCAGAGGAGCAAATGGCGAGGAGAGTCGGAGGATTTCCTAGGGCACAAACAATCACGCTATCAGAGAGCGGGCCCAGGACTATTGACAACTCAAACCATGAACCCGCTGAACTGGAGAGTGAGGCAAGCGATCGCCGCTGGGGCTTGGCGATCCTCACGCTTTTCAGCCCGGTCCTGGGTGAACTTCGTCAAGCGGACCACGGCGTGGTGAAACGACTCAGGCTCCGGCTTGACGGGCATAGTGGCGCGGCATTTCATGAGTCCTGATATCCCCAATCTCTCTCCCCTGCCGTATCTGCAGCCTGCAGTCTGCAGTCGTTATCGACGGCAGCATCTGGAAAGACCCTGGTCGGTGGGCGAACTCTATCGCACCGGACGTTGTCCGTGCGTTGGTCAGTAGCCCAGCAGGTCAATTGGCCCTGTGGCTGTTCAAGATTTGTCGTTAATCAGCCGTCCGTCAGAGATGAGGTGAGGAAGTCTGATAATCTCGTCAACATCTCCACGAGTCCCGTAGAACCAGTCATTTGCCTCTCTGTCTTGGGAGTCCGTTGTCTCGGGGGTTGTGTCTTGGGAAGGAAGTGCCAGTGTGGTTCAAGTTCGCTAGTCGACTTAGTCAACTCGTTTAAAGTCAAGTCACGGGCGCCAGGACCGGCACTCTTGTACTCCGTAGACGAGAAAAAAAAAGAGAGGACCCGAGACAGAGACGTCAACAGGGACGTGAACCTCCATCACCGCCCCTTTTGAAATCTTCCCCTCTCGATCTCCGATCACCCATTACCCATTACCCATCACCTCCACCCGCTTCAATCCTCCTCTTCCCTTCCTTCCTACCCCTATCTGGTTCCTTTATCACCCAAGCTCGCTGGGCTGCTTTTTGCTCGATCCCCCCCCCGCAAAAAACGCTTACATAACCACCCCCGTCGTGGTTCCCCCCCTTCATCCCGGACTCCCTCAAGGTTCCCTTTCAGATCACCCCCCGAGTCATTCGGGACCTCCCTTCATCCCTCGACATCGTCCCGAATCACTGCGTGGAAGTCGCCTCATGTCGTCCTAACCCCGCTACTACGATCTGTTGTGTCAGAAACTCGTCCGGTGAGCATCTCGCCCTGAAAATAGCCCATAGCCCATATCGTCTCAGGTTGGCTTTCGTCCATCCCGAAAATCTTAATTCCTCCCCTTTTTCTCCCTGGGTAGCTGGATCACCGCAATTCCCAACCAAGGAAGATCGGTGTACCCCCCTCATCACCCCCAATTTTGTCAGGGATGAACCTCTCTAGGCGGTCGGGGGAGGATGAAAGTCTTGACTAGGCGGGCGGGTGCCTGCAAAAAAAGTTCCTCACTAACGAGCGCAGGGCACAATGGCTGGCGCGGACGAGACGCTCGCAGCCGCCACGGCTGTGCTGCAGTCTCTGGCCAGAGACGAGCCGACCACCGGCTCTTCCTCCCCTCCCTTTGATTTCGAATTCCCCTCGACCAACGGGACTAAAGCTTCCAAACTACCCGGGGAACCCACCGCTGCAAAGGCCGCCTTCGAAGCCGAGTTGGAGGCCTTGGTGCGCCGCGTGCACCACCTGGAATTCCAAGCTGTCAGTCATCACAAATTCCCCGACGAACCCCAGCAGGCCCCGTCTGCCTTCGGATCCAACAAGAAGGACCCTGATTTTTTGTGGACCTTCGGGCTCGATCGCTTGTCGTCCGGTCAAGGTTCTGACTCTTCTTATTGCCTCACACAGCAGCAAAAACTGAATCAACCCGATCGGCGACAGCGAACCCCCTCGGGCCCCGACGACCACCAACCCTCCTCGGCCCCGACCGGAGACCTTGACGATGACGATACCGACGAGGAGGATGAGAACGGCACCGGCACGCGCGTGGTACGCGAGGAAGACATCAGCTTCCTGCGCAATCACGTTCAGAAACAGGCCGAGGAGATCAGCTTCCAAAAGGATATCATTGCACAGGTCCGCGACGAGCTGCAAAAGCAGGAGGAGCACACCCGCCGTGCCCTGACCAAGGTGGAGAATGAGGATGTCGTCCTCCTCGAACGAGAGCTCCGGAAGCATCAACAGGCCAACGAAGCCTTCCAGAAGGCCCTGCGGGAAATCGGCGGCATTATCACCCAAGTTGCCAATGGTGATCTTTCCATGAAGGTTCAGATCCACCCCCTGGAGATGGACCCCGAAATCGCTACGTTCAAACGCACCATCAACACCATGATGGACCAGCTGCAGGTCTTCGGTAGTGAGGTGTCTCGAGTCGCTCGTGAGGTCGGAACGGAGGGCATACTAGGTGGACAGGCTCAAATAACCGGCGTCCATGGTATCTGGAAGGAACTAACGGAGAATGTGAACATCATGGCCAAGAATCTGACGGATCAAGTGCGAGAAATTGCTGCAGTCACGACCGCTGTCGCACACGGAGATCTCAGTCAGAAAATTGAGAGCCGTGCTCAGGGTGAAATCTTGGAACTGCAACAGACAATCAACACTATGGTGGATCAACTACGGACATTCGCAACGGAGGTCACGCGAGTCGCGCGTGATGTCGGTACGGAAGGTGTACTCGGAGGTCAAGCGCAAATCGAAGGTGTACAAGGAATGTGGAACGAACTTACGGTAAATGTCAATGCTATGGCGAACAATCTCACCACGCAAGTGCGTGATATCGCTACTGTCACCAAGGCTGTCGCCAAGGGCGATCTGACACAGAAGGTGCAAGCCAACTGCCGAGGAGAAATCGCCGAACTTAAGAATATTATCAATTCCATGGTGGACCAACTTCGGCAGTTCGCCCACGAAGTCACGAAGATTGCAAAGGAGGTCGGAACAGATGGTGTGCTTGGAGGTCAGGCCACAGTTAATGACGTGGAAGGCACGTGGAAGGATTTGACCGAGAATGTCAACCGCATGGCCAACAACCTGACTACCCAAGTGCGTGAAATTGCGGATGTCACCACCGCAGTCGCCAAGGGTGATCTGACCAAAAAGGTCACTGCCAATGTCCAGGGTGAGATACTTGATCTAAAGAGTACTATCAACGGCATGGTGGATCGACTCAATACCTTTGCCTTCGAGGTCAGTAAGGTGGCTCGTGAGGTCGGTACCGACGGTACACTTGGTGGTCAAGCGAAGGTCGACAACGTGGAAGGAAAATGGAAAGATCTCACCGACAACGTGAATACCATGGCCCAGAATCTCACATCTCAAGTGCGGAGTATTTCAGACGTCACGCAAGCTATTGCCAAGGGCGATCTCAGCAAGAAGATTGAGGTGCATGCCCAGGGAGAAATTCTCACACTCAAGGTTACCATCAACCACATGGTGGGTCGTCTTGCCAAGTTTGCAACCGAACTCAAAAAGGTTGCCCGAGATGTCGGTGTCGACGGAAAGATGGGTGGTCAAGCCAACGTGGAGGGCATCGCCGGAACTTGGAAAGAAATCACTGAGGACGTCAATACCATGGCTGAAAACCTTACGTCCCAAGTACGTGCATTTGGCGAAATTACAGATGCCGCCACGGATGGTGATTTCACCAAACTTATTACGGTCAATGCCTCCGGAGAAATGGACGAGCTGAAGCGCAAGATCAATAAGATGGTTTCCAACCTGAGAGATAGTATTCAGCGTAATACTGCTGCCAGGGAGGCTGCCGAACTTGCGAACCGCACCAAGTCTGAATTCTTGGCAAACATGTCCCACGAGATCCGAACACCCATGAACGGTATTATTGGCATGACTCAACTCACTTTAGATACTGATGACTTGAAACCATATACCCGTGAGATGTTGAACGTGGTTCACAACTTGGCCAACAGCTTGCTCACAATTATTGACGATATACTCGATATCTCAAAGATCGAAGCAAACCGTATGGTCATTGAGAGCATCCCATTCACTGTGCGGGGAACTGTCTTCAACGCGCTTAAGACGTTAGCTGTCAAAGCGAATGAGAAGTTCCTGAGTCTCACCTACCAGGTCGATAATACTGTACCGGACTATGTAATTGGTGATCCATTCCGTCTGCGTCAGATTATTCTGAACTTGGTTGGAAACGCTATCAAGTTCACTGAGCATGGCGAAGTCAAGCTTACTATTCGGAAATCTGACCGCGAACAGTGCACCATCAATGAGTATGCATTTGAATTCTCAGTCTCAGATACTGGTATCGGTATTGAGGAAGACAAGTTGGACTTGATCTTTGATACCTTCCAGCAGGCTGATGGGTCTACTACCCGTCGTTTCGGTGGTACTGGTCTCGGCCTTTCAATTTCGAAGCGCCTAGTGAACTTGATGGGTGGTGATGTATGGGTCACTTCCGAGTATGGCCATGGAAGTACTTTCCACTTCACCTGCGTGGTCAAGCTTGCGGACCAGTCCTTGAATGTCATTGCCTCTCAACTTTTGCCATACAGGAACCACCGAGTACTTTTCATCGACAAGGGTCAGAATGGCCTCCAAGCCACCAATGTTATCAAGATGCTCAAGCAGATTGAGTTGGAGCCACTGGTTGTTCGCAATGAAGAGCATGTACCACCACCTGAGATCCAAGATCCTTCCGGAAAAGAGTCTGGTCATGCCTACGATGTCATCATTGTTGACTCCGTTGACACTGCTCGCATTCTGCGGACTTTTGACGAGTTTAAGTATATACCCATTGTTCTCGTCTGTCCTTTGGTCTGTGTGAGCTTGAAGTCTGCCCTGGATCTTGGTATCAGTTCTTATATGACGACCCCGTGCCAGCCCATTGATCTGGGTAATGGCATGCTTCCCGCTTTGGAAGGCCGCTCAACACCCATCACCACTGACAACTCTCGTTCGTTCGACATTCTCCTTGCAGAGGACAATGACGTGAACCAACAGCTTGCCATGAAAATTCTCCAGAAGCACAACCATAATGTCTTTGTTGTGGGCAATGGTTTGGAAGCTGTGGAGGCTGTCAAGAAGCGCCGCTACGATGTCATTCTCATGGATGTTCAGATGCCTGTTATGGGTGGATTTGAAGCCACTGGAAAGATTCGCGAGTATGAGCGGGAGAGTGGCCTTCAACGCACCCCAATCATCGCCCTCACAGCTCACGCCATGTTGGGTGACCGTGAAAAGTGTATTCAAGCCCAGATGGACGAATACTTGTCCAAGCCGCTCAAGCAGAATCAGATGATGCAGACGATTCTGAAGTGTGCGACGCTTGGTGGTTCGCTTCTGGAGAAGAGCAAGGAGTCTCGAATCTCCAGCAGTGGAGAAATGCACCCAATCCACTCCTCCGTGGCTTCGGATAACCAGAATCAGCAGCAGCATCAACAGCAGCGGTCCCAAAAACAGCAACCGCTGCCTTCGCCCACACGCCTTGGTGTAGACAGAGCAATCACTGCCTCTGGCTCCATCGGCCGCGGCAGCGTTGTGAGTCCCGTGGAAGACAAAGACGAAGAGATGATCGATGATCGGGTACGTTAGCAAGTATGTTTCAAAGAGCTGCGTTCCAGATCACTCCCGGGCTAATTGTTTCTCCTTGTATAACAGACGTTACTGCGCTCCAACAGTACCTGAGCTCATTTGCATACCATGAACATTTATTTCGCCCGCCATGCAGATTTGTCAGATGGTTTCGATGTGGCCCGTTGATACCCTGTCCATATGAATCTTTTGCCTGCTTCTTTCTTCATCATATTCTGTTCTTGGTGCTGAAACAAAATAGCTTTTTTGTTTTGTTTTGTGGACTTTTTTTACCTTCTCACACACATTCCCCCATACCCATCTGTCATCACCATCCCTCATGGAACCTTTCTCTCCATAGGAGCTATACTTCTATTGCTGCATTCGTTTATCTTTTTATTATCAGGTGGTGTTTGGCGCATCTATTGACAGGAACTATGGTCTGTTCGGCAGTCAAGTCGGTTACTGAAGGGGGGAGTTTGTTAACAAGAGGGGTTCCACATTTCTTTTTCTATACGTCGCCCCTTAGGACTCGATTTCATTCCATCGTCACGTTTGCCATCTATTCTCTCGCTTGCGGCCCATCCTTGGAGCCTGTGTCTATGCTCTCTTTCTCTTCCCATTTTTGTATTGTATTTAGTTGCCATTGTTTGTCTTAACCACCTAGTCAAACCGGCGAGGTGTGAGTTAAAGAGCGAGCGCCCCTATCTTTGGCTTTCAAGTTCTTTTTTTACCTCTTTCCATTGTCTCTGACGCTCTTCCCGAGGTGGCGTGTTTTCTTTCAAGGTGAATGCCGGATACCTTGATCATTACTCGCTCTGAGACTAGAATGCAATTTTACTTCATTGAACACCTGGCTTTAAGATTCTTTGTAGATTGATTCGAGATTTCTAAGTATTAATGTCTGATATCTAATGAGCCTATGGTTCAGGGGCGACCCATGAGCCCTGATGAGTCGATCCGAGTCATATCTACCTTCAGTTTGACCATATTTTGTGTACTCGACAAAAGAGATCGAAGACAGGAGGTAATGTAATGTACCATCGAACATCTAAGCTCTGTCGGTCATAAGCTTGAGTTCAGTGTAGCCAGAAGAGATGGGCCATATTTCATTGATGCCCATCCAAGAACACCCAGAGCAGGTAAAGTTACCGCACCGAGTCGAAGCGTTGCAGCCAGCATATGTGGCTTGAGGAAATTTTCGACGATCCTCTTAAACCTCTCAGGCCCGTTGCGGTCAGGATATTCTTCCTCAGGAATTGGCAGGCCCAAGAAGGGGCAGATTTGTTCCCAGCCGAGACCTTCCTCGAGTTTAATAATACAAAGACGATCAGCGGGAATAGTTTCCTTTGCCATTTTGATGCTGAAGTTTGGGTTTAGTTTGTGCTCGAACTTCCATCCTAGCCTAGAAAGCAGATCGGGGCACCTACTACTCGTCATAATAGCTGATCAGCTCTTTCTCGTTGTCCGGATCGCCGGGCTTGGTGCAGCCAGAAAGGGCTGAGTACACCATGCAATTGACTTCCAAGAATTCGTGTAGAGTCGCGTCGAAGTGCTTCAAGATGTTGAAAGGGAATTGCGAAGAAAGGGCAACAACTCCACCGGCAGAGTTGTTGAGGGACCGCGCCCAACTGTCTGGCCTGCGTTCGGTGAGAATGAACTTGACCTCGGGGTCATTTGCGTATGCCTCGAAAATATTCTTGCCCAAGTAACTGGGGATCTCGACAAGGCACTGAGTCAAATTAGACTGGCACAGAACGAATTATAGTCCTAGGTTGAAGGAGAAAATTTCCACTCACATCATAGTCTCCGATCCACTTCTCGAAATCAGGCCTTGTATATCGTTTGACTCCTGACATGCGATTATACTGGGCAATAATTGCCTCCTTGAAAACCCTCATGTGCGACAAGCCATGAACCAAGATGCATTCGTAGAGATGATACGGTCTGAAACCGAGTATTTGCATCGCGCTGTAAAGTCCAAGCGTTCCCGAGCTATGTGTTCACAATAGAATTAATTTGGACATCATCATATTTGGCCAGGGAGAAATAATTGATTGGGTCTCTTACCGGCTGGGGCTAGCGACGATCACTTTCACAGGTCGGACTTTCGCCGGCGTGGGCCATTGATCTATTAGTCGAGACATTCTGGCTTATAGTCCAATTGAGGGACTGACAAGAAAGTAAAAGAAGTAGAACGCGACCGTAAATGAATCTATGAAAGACCATGGGGGATGCAGTTGTCTTTTATGGAGATCCTGCGGCGAAAACAGGATCCAATTATTTCAAACTTGGTAATAATCAAAGCTGCTGGGGCCATAGGGCCAAATGGTAGCGAGCCACTCAGCCTCCAAAGCTTTGACACTAAATAAGACGATCAGAAACAAAGAAGGGAATACACTTCGCGCATGTCCAGTTTTGTATGATGGGAGCAAATAAAGTACAAGACCAAAATGTTCTCAGCATTGTCTGTCTTGGCTCAGCCCTAGGAGCTAAGAACACGACAGACATGCACAGTTCGAGCTTAATCCAGACTCCGGGACGTGTGATTATCAGCCCTCACCACATCCTGTCAAAAAATAGAGGGTTCCAGCTTGTTAAGTTCGTGAAGCGAGCTTCGCACAAAATTCCTAAACAGTAAGTAAAGTGCATCGACCCACCCAAGCTGAACGGCTGAGAAAGACTTGAAGGAGGTAAGTCATCTGATTGAATGTCAATAGGGGCCATTCAGGCATCCCGTGTCTTGGGGCCGTCATATCGCTATAAATTCAAGGCACTCGAGCTCTGTTTGGCTATCCTCGTACCCTCTCACTGTGCACAGACCGTCTTCGAAGTGGGCAACGTGGCAGCAAATCAAAACGGAAATTGGGGCCAAAAATAGTCGTTCAAGAAGGATAGAAATGCGATATATACGTGCGGGCTGCGAAGGAATAGTGATCGGTGGTGTTGAAAACTGTTGGATTTTTGGACTTGTTTCGTTAGCTGCCGGGTAAGCGTAGCCCGGAGTTTGGCTTCTTTCATGCAGTAAAAATGGAACAGAAGTCTCTATTCCATGAGAAAGCGCATAATCAATAATATAATTTGGATTCTTATTAGCACTCCAGAAATCAATTATTTAAGTTGCATTATCGCATGATCAATCTCCAATTGCCCCTCGACAACTTAAGCTTATTTACCATGCAGCCCTCTCGCATCAACATTCCTGGGGCGATAATCCCATACGCGTTTAATTTACCCACGGGTGACCTTTCACTGGCCCTCTTCACACCATGTGACAACATCCATGTTACCTGACTAGTGATATCTACTCGGAAAACGTTCCTACCTTCGCTCGACAATCACATCGGACAAACTCAGAAGAAAGCAATTTTATTACATATCCGCTTCCTCTACTTCCAGCAAAGATTAGAATCAGCCCAGCTAATGTATACCAACTCATTACCTAAAAAGACATTATAAAATTGTAGGGCTTGGGTTGAGAACCAGCAATGTTTTTGAACCAGTTCTACTCCCCGCGAAGATACTGCTCAATTTCTGTACCTGATGCGGGGGAAACGTGGAAAGACTCCTCCAGTCTGCAGCTGAGTGGACGTCAATGTCGTACTAATGCTTGTAAGGTTGAGAGTGCTCGTAGAGTTGGAAAGGGGGCTAGTCGTGTTGGTGAAGAACGCCGTCATATTCCCTAGTACCCCACGGCGAACGATGCCAGCGGGAATAACTGCCCGAGGTGTCACCGAGGACCCCCCGGCACGCGAACTTGCAAGTCCGGATGCCGCACCGGCAGCTTCTGTCGATGTTGGCAGTGTTCGCAGAGTACTGCTGCTCGCACTAGGGGGGACGGTGCTGCTGAAGCCGGGAAGTAGGGGCGTTGAGATGCCGGTGATTAGACCGGTAGGTGTACCTCCCGAACTGGAGCCTGAGATCGCGGAGGACGAAACAAACGAGAACAATCTGCCCGCTGGCGCTGAGCTCTGGGTAGCGGCCGCCCGACTGCTGCTGGGGGAGCTGCTAGCTGTAGCTCCTCCGGTCGCCCCAGATGCAGAAGAGCTGGGACAGCTGATTACTGTGACTGTTGTTGTACTCATACTCGCTGGGCAAGCAGCACAGAGAGCGCTTGCCACTCCGCAAAGTCCACTTGTCGTAGGCTGTGGCGTAACAACTACCGCAGATAGAGTAACTGTCGAGCCTCCAACAGCGGCACTCGAGCTCCTACCGCCGCCAGAGCCAAAATTAGAACCAGAACCTCCTGGGCCTCCCCCACTGGATCCTCCAGTGCCGGTATTTTGGCGGCGACTCATTCCATTATCCCGACCCATGAATATAGCGTGCGGATCTGCTTTATCTTCGTGCCTCTCAAATCCGGCATGCCAATCCGCGTTGTCAATATCGTCTGCGCGTACAGGAGAGTTGAGCAGAAGGGCGCAAGAGAGTGCCAGTAAGGCCAAGAACTTCTGGACAAACATGAAGACACGTATTCAAAGAGACAAGCTTCAGCTGCGGAGATTGGCCAAGAATTGTTCTGATAAAAGCTTGGGAGGTGTGTTGACCAGTGTAAACTGGAATTGTGTAGCAAGATAGCGATCAACGAGAGAACTTATCGTTCCTCATTTAAAGCGATATCAAATATCACTTCAATTCCGTATCGAAAAGACTGCCATGCAATCATCAGCTAGACAAAAGAGACCTGCGGTGAAAAAAACAAAACACAAAGCAAAACGAGAGAAAGAGAAGAGGAAATCCGGCGACGCGAGTAAAAGACCTCATAATATGTAGCGCACCCGAAAGCTCTGATCATGGTGATGAACGGTCGATGTCATCGATGCACCTCGATGCACCATTTAGGAGTCGGAGCTTGTGTACATTGCATGTTTTTGGCGGGTGGAACAATGTCCAGCCCTATGCGGCAGACCCATGGATCCCAGCTGGCTCTCGGCCGCCCTATTGGAAATGATCGGAGCCGCAAATCCGCAGGTGAGATGGTCCCGGTGACCATCATCATGACAATTTGCTTACATATATTGGCGATTGTCGGGTTTTGTGTCGGAGATCATATGCGAGGTCCCGATTCTAGTGTGAGCAGGGCGGAGAAAGAGATTGGGGGAAATCTCATTGATTCGATGACTTCTGCAGGGAATTACCGACACGCAATTTTCAATGGTTCCTTTTTGGGGTTTCTCGGGGTTTTTTGTATTTTTTCGGAGTCGCAATCCGAAATTGAAGGTAGAACATCATCAACGCCCTGCATTGGTCATCTAAGTGACTCAACATTACCGTAAATGCCTAGATATAAATGGTCAGGATCTAAAGGAGTGATCAGGAGAAGATGATTTCAACCATGAAAACATGAGAAATATTCATTAAGCTATGCACTGGGAATGACCGGGAGAAACAAATGATCGATACGCTAGGTACGTCTGTATCGCCAGGATCCTGAAAAGAAACGCTTGATGGTAAATCAACTAAAGATTGATCAATAGAATCAAGAAGCCGAAATTTTGCTTTTATTAATCACTTGATAAGTCGTCATCTCATGTCGGGAGTGATGCAGAGTTGGTCAGTCGGAATCGTAAGGCCCCCCAAAGGATAAAGTCTTGGTCATTTAGTAGATGGCCAATGGTTGACGCCAGCCAACGTGAATGACCTTAACCGCTGTGCAGCAGGCGAGACCAATAGCATAGCAAGCAGTGGTAAACGCAATAATGCCCCAATACTGACCGTCGCAACGGGTCAAAATCTCACCGGCAATTGGAATACCAGTTAAGGTTCTAGTGGCGATAGTGTGTCAGTCAATGGTATCAATGATATCACAGCAATTATTTCCCCTGAAACGAGAGAAGTGGGAAGAGACTCACCCAAAGCTCACGATGGTATAAGCGGTTGCGTAATACCGACCGTAGTGCTCGGTCTTGCAGAGTTGCCCAACGCAAACTGGGGTCAAGCTGATGTTGCTGCCACTGGAGAATCCAAAAAGTAAGGCATAGATGACCAGTAAGGCCATGCTACTGCCCGCAGGAAGCCAAAGGCATGCATTGCACAGCAGGCACAGAGCCACAGTAGCGATCAGCGTGTTGAACCGGCCTAGGAAATCCGCGAAGAATCCTGGGAGCCAGCGACCAAAAAAGGAGCCTACATTTAGGATGGCCAAAATCTGGTAGGAAAATTGGGTGGAGAAGCCATGATCAAGGGCATAAGAGGAGATATAACTGATCGGGACAAAGAGGCCCCATTCAATGAAGAAGACGCTTGCAGTCGTTAGGGCAAATCGAGCATCGCGAAATATACGGAAGTCTGGTAGAACGTTCTCCTTCGAGAAGGGCTTTTGGGGCAGTCGTGATCGGATGAGCAGGTTTGCGAACCCGAATGCGATCAAGACGATCAACGCTATCACTCGAGTGGCCCACCCCCATCCAATTTTGGGGAAAAGAGCCTCGAGGATTAGCGGAAAGGCGATGCCTCCAATAGAACCCCCGGTGGCAGCGATCCCTGTTGCAACACCGCGCTTCTCGTAGAAAAAGTGGCCGATGGCCGAGATCGCTGGGGTAAAGATGAGTGATGCCCCCACTCCGCCCAGTACGCCGATGACAAGCATGAAGTGCCAATATTCTGTGCAAAAGCCCAGCAGAACGATCATAGCCATCTCACAGACGGAACCCGCAAAGACGAGCAGACGTGGTCCACGAGCATCGAAGATTGGGCCGATCTGAACGCCACAGAAAAAGGTCAGGAAGGCATACATGCCAAAGATCCAACCAATGCTTCCGGAACTATAGTCTTTCAGCTGGTGGCTCTCAATATATGCCTGGAACGTGCCAATTGTGTTGACCAGTCCAAGCGACCCAAAGAGGCCTAAGAAGCTTCCAAGGACAACCAGCCACGCTTCGAGGCCACCCTCGGGGTAGATATTCCCTTCGTCATCGGTGGTCACTCGGCTCACGGGGTCGCGGTGGACAGACCGATGTGACGGCGCAATGGTTGATGCTGTGTGGTGAAGTTCATTGTCATCGGTTGTAGCGATGGGCTCCAGATTTGGTTCCAGTTTGATCGTATCTGTTTGAACTTGTTTCTCAACACCAGTTCCTTGCGTCGCTGGTTTCTCTGCTTCCGATATGGCGGTCTTCTCCATGTCGCCTTGGATAGTGGATTTCTCCGCAGCCACTGTTACGATGTCTTCGTCAGCATTGTGGTTGCTAACGTGATTGAAGGCAAAACCAGTCGAAGTGCTGTTACTGGCAGATCCGGTCTCAGTGGACATTCTATACGGAAGGAACCGCGGACGATCTGTTCAATTTGCGACGGTAAAAGTCTTCTACGTGAACGGGATGTCACTTGTCCAAAATTCTCGAGGCGATGGTAGCCTGGGAAAGTTGTTCTTTCAAAAGCAGGTAGGGAGGGGTTGGTATGAGCAACCAAAAGTTGGAGTGATCGAGCCCCGGGTACCCAAACGTGAGCGCGGAATGATCCCTATTGGCCTTATGCCCCAGTCTCCCTCTTTGAAGAAAAATTCAGCGCGGGCGTGGGCGGCCATTGGAGGTGGGGGCGGGTGGAGACTCAAGTGCCTCGTGCCTGGCTTGAATCCGGGTATAGTTCCGCGTATACTTCCCCTATAGATATGTCTGCACGATCCTTGCTCGGCGTCATCTCCGTGAGGGAGGACTATATAAGAGAGAGAATCAACACATCTCGTCGATCGAGGGCCAATAAGAGGGGGTTGATGGGTTGTGTTTGTATAGGGCAGGCCGTACCGAGTGCAGGATCATGTCAACTCTCGGACAAATCAGCAAATCATCAGCAAATTTGCGAAGGTCCACGGCCAACCAATTCCCGATCCGTCGGCGATGTCCGGTTGGAGTCGTGTTAGACATCATATACGCAAAAGTTCAGCTTTCATTCAAGCAACTGGGCTTGTGGTTTAGTGGTATAATACCCCCTTAGCATGGGGGTGGTCCGGGGTTCGATTCCCCGCGAGTCCAATTTTTTTTGCATGGTTTCTATTTTTGGCTCATTAGTTATTGGTCCGCTCATGATAGTTTTTGTCTGCATAATACGGTTTATTTTAAGCAAATAATTGATAACTTGAAGCCTATCTATGATCTGGGGGGACCATTTTTTTTTTCGGAAGGCGAGTGGCTTAGGCAAAGATGAAACCCTGGGCGATATAACACGGAAACAATTAATTGTTCAAATGAGTTACTATTATGCCTCATGATAGATTAATAATGCCTCAGCTCCTTCCGAATAAGATGCTGAGCCTAACATAGTAAAAGGATTGTCGGCTAATCTATTTGCGTTATACTTCAGAAATAGAAACATATTTGCCCCGCCGAGTGCATCACCATATTATACCTTCATAGGATGTCTCAAAAGCTGGCGACGGTATATATAAAAGGTAGAATTCCTATCAAGCTCACTCAAATATCAAATCTATTCACATTCCTCGTCTTCTGCCTCTAAAAGTATTTACTACGGTATGTCTACCCTCCAATCTCTTCAGATCACTTTATCATCTTTGGCCTACTAATACAATTCAGCTACCAGCTAGAAGGTAAGCAGGAAGAACATCCGCCTTTTCTTGAATTATCATTCCGAATCATCTGTGAAATATTGACCGAACCATAAAGTATCCAACAGAAAGAAACTACAAGATGCCTGTCACTGTTCACCGCTGGAAAAGCCCAAGCGACATTCACGGGTGGCAGAATGAATCAAGAGTAGGCCAAAAAGTATCCGAGGCAAAATTCATGACGAGTGAGGCAATTTCAATTGTCGAGTGCCTCATAACATCTGGGTACACTGAGTTTTTGCTTGAGATTGACCGCATCCAAAAAAATGGAAAGCCCGAGATTCGATGGGTTGCTTCACTGACTTTACAGAATGTATCTGGGAAACCAATGCTGGAGCTAGAATTTAATTCCTGGCATACAATCCCCAACGTCGGAAGGTATCCTCCTATCAATAAAACAGAGGACAATATTTGGCCTGGAATCACGGTGCAAGTTTCTCAAAATGTGGTAAAACTTGACAGCTTCTTCGGATCGAAAGTGAATGTTCCGGTCACTGGACGAACAGCAAGAGAACAACTGAATAACCAGCTCAAAGGGATTAAGAGGGCAGAAATTAGGGAAAGATGGGCAATAATGGAGTGAATTAATCCTTTCTTATCGTCCAGAGAAGGACGTATCACAGGAATACCACACCCATGTCCAATACTCACATACTGAATCCACGTGTTTGGTCGTCTTTATCTTTCTCTTCTAATGAAAAATGAAAAATTGCCTCGGAACCCATCAAATACACTAGATTTTACGTAGTTCTGTATCCTTGTATGCTTTAAACCGCTAATTTTGCCATGTGAGACTTGATAGGAAAGCAAAAATAACCGCTTTCATGATCAACAAGGGTACCGGTTGTAAAAAGTTCATTCATCATCCATGCGCAGCTCATCAAAATCATCAAGCAGCTCGTCCATATTGATCTGCGGCACTTCATCTTCACTTTGATTATCATCGGTATCCTCCAAACCCTGAGCGTCCTGGTTTTGTTTTCGAATCTTGTAGAGATCCAGAGTATTTCGTAGTTCTTGATCTTCCTCAATATCTTGGAGAAACATTTCCAAATCCTCCTCAAGACGGCTGGACTCCTGTTCCTGACGACGGCTTTGCTGCATAGCCGCGCCAGCAAGAGCTTCTTCCTCGTATTCGCGGGCCATCCGCTTTAGGCGCCAAGCTCGGCTTTTAGGTTTCTTCTTGCGGGCGTAAAACTTCTTCACAAGAATAACGTCCGGAATAGTGGAGCTGTACTTGGAACTCGCCTCGATGGCCTCGAAGTTATCATCGTTGAATACGGTTCCACTGAGATGGTACCCGAGTACGGAGTCACCGACATGCAAGATGGAACCAAGGTGTGTGCGGGTGAAGTAAGTGGTATCATTGGAGCCTAGGTCCGAGGCGCGGGCAACCGTCGCCTCGGCGAGTTGATACTTACCGGTTGACTGGCCAGTAGGCTCGATATCCAAAACGATAAACTCCTTGAGCTCAGTCACATCAGCAAGATTTTTGAATGGAGACCTCCAGTAAGTGCCTGTTGGGACGTCGGCAGTCTGGAGGGTGGTCGGGTCCATCAGGTTGACAGAGTTACCAACACGGTAGCACAGAGTCAGGGGCGCGATATTTCCCAGTTGGCGCGCAAGTTTGATAGGCAGTGCAACAAGGTCATCCTTGCAGATAGGGATCAACTCCACTGAGAATGTGAACTTGTAAGATTTTGCACTGGTGTGAATATCCATAGATATGAGCTCTTGAGACTTTTTTGTCTTGCAAGGGACAACGGAGGTCAAGAAATCGACCATCTTCTCGGCGTGGTTTCGAGCTGCAAAGTAGAAATCAAGGCCGTCCTTTGCCTCCTTGATGTTAACCGTATCCTTATGGGCTCCATTCCTTAGAATCAGTTGTTCGAGAAAAAGGAAGCTGCGTTTATGGGGTACTTTCTGTCGGACCTGGACTGATGCCCTCCATGTATTGTGGGTATAAGACTTCTTACAGTCTGGAAATCAAGAACAAATATTAGCATCTCATCTCAAATAGAAAGGGCAACCATTCACGTACCAGAACATTGTAGGGATGACACCACATATTCCACTTCGAATGACTGCTGGATGACGGTCCCGTTCTGGCTGGCAAAGGCTTCTTCCTGGATGGTGATCTTGACCTTGATGCGGCGAGAGTGAGGCTCAGTCCAGATGAAATTGGCGTCAATAATGCGGACTTTCGCCAAACCGCGAAGACGGCGCAGGCAGACTGCCAGTAGTTCTTTCGATTCGGGGGCTGCGACCACCCAGCTGTTGGGGGGTTGGAGCCACCGCTCGCAGTCCCTGCAGCACTGAAGAGTCGATTCACGCTGGATACTGAAAGTAGAGTTACAAAATGACACAGGTCAATCTTTCTGACGATGATGGAATCTATGAGGAGACTGGAAGCTTACCCATGGGAAACGTCAACATCAAGCCTCAGGCAGTCCGAGCACAAAGCGCCAGCCGCTGTGGTTCCATCGATGGCAGCACCACAGTTACAACACAGGATACTAAGGCAGAGGGAGGTTAGCAAGCATTCTGATCAGGTCTACTTTGCGCAGCATGAATCGCAATCCAAAATTCGTGAAGCGATAGGAAACTCACGTCGCAACGGCGGACTGCCGGTCTTGCATCCGCGCCATGGGGACTCCCTCCTCCAAATCCATGGTTATTTGAGGTTCCAAGATACCGATCGGATGTCCTTTCGAGTATAGAGGAACGACGCCAGGTCAGAGTCGGTCAATCTTCTATCCCGTTTGTCGTCAATCAACTTTTGTCTGTGGCTCCGGGCGGGGGCGCGGTTGGTGCAGCTGTTTGCTCTATTTGCACCCCGCGATATCCGCCCCGCCCCGCTATGGTTCTTATCTGTTATCTGCCTTCAGGGTGTACGGGGGGCAATAACGCCTAGAGGCCATCGGCTCTGCGCCGAGGCTTTCTCTCAACGAATTTCGCGCGGTTGAAGATATTTACCTTCAGGCATAAAAGGAAGCATGATTCCCGGCCTCCAAGGGATTCGGGCTGAGGTCTGTTTTCCAATTCAGGACTTACTGTCTCGGCCGGGGCAGATAGAACAAGAAGTACTTATCTAGGAGGGATAGACTGAAATTAGTCCTAAACTTTACTCAGCGTTACAATCTCTTGTATACTATCTTCAGGTGCTGAAATTGCAGTATACGTTTGGTGTCCATCTACCATGATCCAACTTCGGCATACGCCGGCCACCCATCACCAGCGGCCAAGCGAGGGCACGGCCCACCCGATAACAGCAGGATCTTATCAGGCTGGTTTTCTCTGTCTGCACTTCCAATTGGCAGGCGTCCCGTGTGATCGGCGACACGTCCAAAAGGCGCTGGCCTGGCCGGAGTTTCCTTTATGCAGCACACAGACCCAAGCTATGGCTCACCGAGCACCAGACACAAACGCAAAGCTTAGCATCGACAAACAGGTCCTTTTTGGAAACGCTAGAAGCTCCTGTTGGGAGTTCTGGGTTCAGGTACCAGCGCTCGCATCTCATCGACCAAAAAAACCCCCGCAAGCATCTGAGCCCAAATCCTGGTTTGGTGGAGATGATGATCAGGGGCTAACTAAACATGGAGCGCCCCATCCTCCCCCGCGAGTCGTCGTCTGATCTCACGATGACGGAGACTCGTTCAGGCCGATGCATATTGCACTAATTTGCCGTACTAAATTGCGAGTCGGCTAGAGATGAAGTTCGCTATCCGGCGGAAGATCTCCTGGAAAAATATATGCTGCGCCCGATCATTGCTCGGCATGCTCTGGCTGCAAGGGCACGCCGCCTTCAGACCGTGCCATTTTCCTTCACGCCACTGGCGTGCGCGATTTGTCCGAGCGGGGGCACAGCGTGCGTCCCTTGTAGCCGATGGCTCTACGGGAAGAGGGGAAACCGATAGCCTCAGACCAATAATGAAACAGTCCCGCACCGTTCCCGCCTCGTTCCCTCCTATGCGACCTTCGTCGGGGCTGAGGAGTTGGGTCAAGATAGGCTCAGCGAGGTCCAGAAAAAGTCCGTTGCCCGGAATCCGTCGCTCGCCCGGCAAGTACTAATTTGCCCGGACCCCGTCAGCAACAGCTTCAAGTCTAGGTTGTCGTCAGCATCTGATTGTTTGGAACTTGCCTGTAGACAGTACTATTCGAACTCTAGAGTCGAACTCTAGAGTCGATTTTGGAGGAATCGTTGTTGAGCTCCAAAGACTCGAGATTGAATGAGACGGGAAATATCCTGGCAACTGGCCATTCCGAAGAGTACGCCTATTAAGCCAACCCCGCTTGAGTGCATCGACCTGATATCAGTGGCTCATCGGCCTCTCCAGGGGTGCAGGTGAAGGCGTTGAAGAAGCATCGCCCAACCCGCAGCGACGGGTGGGTCAACGAGCGGGGGCTCGGGAGGCCCCCCAATTGCTTGAATTGCTTGAGTTGCCTGAGCTGATGAAATTGGCTCATGCGACACTGACGGGCGGTGGACATGGGGTTACTTTGTGCTTTGGAAGTAGCCTTGTTGATTGCGTAGGGTCCCCTCTCCCCCGGTCCCCTTTAAATAGGCCCAATCCGCTCTCTCAAGCTCCTGGGCTTTCGGGAGGTTCGTGTCCGAGGCATATTTCTTTCTTTCGCTTCACCTGAGCTCTTTTTCGGGTCTTGCTCGATCAAGTTCCCTTCCTTACAGGATGCTGTTCAATTCAATCCTGACGCCGGCCCTCCTGGCTCTAGCGTGGAGCTCGGATGTAGTTGTCGCCTCGAAGCATGGTCGCTTTGCCCAGCTCGCCCGTGATCCGCTGGAGAGAGCGAAGCGTGCTGCAAACGATGCACATGCGAAGCCTGTAAGGTCCACTCAGGACTTTCGCTTTCTGAGCGACAAAACAAAGCGTAAGAGAATTGGAAGGTGGAAGTCGTTCAAATGACCGATCTCAAGACTAACTACGGTTGCGATAGCATACGTTGTGAACCACATGCCCGATGTGCCCTTCGATGTGGGTGAGATGTATTCGGGGTTGGTGCCCATCGACGCAGACGACAAGTCGCGCGAGCTATTCTTTATCTTCCAGCCCACCATCGGCAAGGAGGTCGATGAAGTCACCATCTGGCTGAACGGCGGTCCTGGCTGCAGTTCCATGGAAGGCTTCTTTCAGGAGAATGGTCGGTTTGTCTGGCAACCCGGTACCTATGCACCCGTCGAGAACCCTTACTCTTGGGTGAACTTGACCAACATGCTGTGGTAGGTGACAGGTGGTGAATTGAGATGTCATATCATGATCCTGTTAGTTTGTATTGACTTTCTCTCGTCACAGGGTCGACCAGCCCGTCGGAACTGGATACTCTACTGGTACGCCGACTGCGACGTCTCAAGAGGAGATTGCCCAGGATTTCATCAAGTTCTTCAAGAACTTCCAGAAACTCTTCGGCATCAAGAACTTCAAGATCTACGTCACGGGCGAGAGCTATGCTGGCCGCTATGTCCCGTACATCTCGGCCGCTATGCTGGACGAGAAGGATAAAGAGTACTTTGACCTGCACGGCGCCCTTGCCTATGATCCCTGCATTGGCCAATTCGACTACATTCAGCAGGAGGCTCCCGTGGTGCCCTTCGTCAAAGACCACGCGAACCTCTTTAACTTTAACGAGACGTTCATGGCTGAGCTGGAGCACCTCCACCAGAAATGCGGCTACGCCGGCTTGATCGAGGAATATCTGACTTTTCCCCCGCCCAAGGAGCAGCCACCCCTGTTTTTCAACTATACCAGCATGGCCGATTGCGACGTGTTCGACATGATCTATGAAAAAGTCTTCGATATCAACCCGTGTTGGGACCTGTACGAAGTCAACCAGATGTGCCCGCTGCAGTGGGACGTGCTGGCCTTCCCTACCTCCCTGGTCTACCAACCCGACGGTGCAAGCGTCTACTTCGATCGCGCCGACGTCAAGCATGCCCTACACGCGCCGAACGTCACCTGGGCCGAGTGCTCGAACGAGTCGGTCTTCGTTGGCGGCGACTCCGGCCCCGAACAAGAGGGTGACACCTCCGCAAACCCGATCGAGCATGTCCTGCCACAGGTCATCGAGGCGACCAACCGTGTGCTCATCGGAAACGGCGATTATGACATGGTCATCATCACCAACGGCACACTGCTCGCCATCCAGAACATGACCTGGAACGGCCACCTCGGCTTCCAGAAGAAGCCCTCTACCCCGATCAACATTGAGATCCCAGATCTTATGTACGCCGAAGTCTTTGCCGAGAATGGCGCTTCGGGACTGGATGGTGCCCAGGGTATTATGGGCATCCAGCACTACGAGCGCGGCCTGATGTGGGTTGAGACCTACATGTCCGGCCACATGCAGCCGCAGTATCAGCCGCGGTCGGCTTACCGCCACCTGGAATGGCTGCTGAAGCGCACTGACGAGATCTAAGAGCTTGGATTAGCTTATGCCAGAGGGCTATTCTGCCCGTCGCATCTCTCAATTAGTCCACAGTGTCGTGGATGAGTAATGTTAGTCTCATTGCCGTAAATAGTCACAATGCATCATCCTATAATGCGCATAACTCTGGCAGCCCCATCGGGCTCGGAATCCACCGTATCCTTTCAACTTTGCCAAGGCGATTGTCGCTCGTAAATGCGCGTTGACCGCAAAGTCCAAGACCACACAGATCAAAAAACTAGTACATATACTCCGTACGTGAATGTAACACCCGTATCGTGCATTTCGTTGCTGAATATACCCCAGGAAATAGAAAACCGGTCCGTATCTTCCGCCCTTGCATGATCCCCGTGTCGCGCTCACCGAGCCCGATTTTCATGCTTATCGCATCGTCACGGGCATTGACATGCTGCTGACTCGGCTGGCCCGTTTCCCGCGGGAAACCCTATGCATTGAATTGCACCCAATGGCATGCCCATATCTGATCGTTTGTATTGACTTCACCACAGTGCCAGGGCTGGTGGCGTCACCGGCTGCCGGGACTGGCTTACCGTTTTGAGTATAATTTCACTGGCCCGAAGCCGGGGCGGGCGTGCCGGGCCGTTTGATTATGCTGTTGAGATAGGATTGGCCCTAAGATGAGGTGAACCGTCAGCCGCCATGCTGGGCGAGAACAGGGGCTTAGGTTGATGGAGTACTTGATATAATCTATTGGGCTCAGACCCATTGGCGATGGTTCGGGAGCGTTCGGGATACGGGATGACCTGGTTATCATTGCTGTTTATGGACACTGGGGTTTAGAGAGATGTGGAGAGGCCGAAGGGGGTAATCAGGATTATCTTTCATGCCAAATACCAAAATTCGCAGTAGTGATGCATACGAGGTGATTCTATTTGGTTATGACTGTTATCTTCTGGCGTGCATCATGATACAGAACTCGGAGCCCAGTCCAAGCTCTCCGAATAGGCCCAGTCCAACAACAAGTCTAGTAAAGTCGGCTCAATTGATCAATTATTGTGGCTTTAGCTCGCATGTTGGCATTATACATGAGATTGACACATTTAAACTTGTACAATGCGAAATTTACGAAAAGGGACACCTGTAATAGTCACCCAGGAGATTTGATTTGTAGGAGTCCCTGTTCACAGCGTCCTTTCTGAGACTATTCAGAACCGCTAGAGGTAGTGCGCCCCAAAATGTGGGGGGAATTCCGCAATTCAATCCCGCCCAATCATACGGGACAAGTTTGTCGAACGATACCTCGTCATTACTAGCCTCATGCGATCGGACGTAATGTTGAGACAATCGTTGCCAAAGGTGGTGTAGGAGCAGAACCCCTGGGACTGTAGGTACTCATCTTCGCCTGGAAACGAAACGCACTGTGAGAATACAGGGAGGAAAGCAGCTTATATATGTCAGTATATACATCAGGAGAGACTGGGCCTTCTATCAAAGCAGTGCTATTATCAGTGCAATGTAAGAAATTTGGAAGTACCAAGTTGTAGCTGTCGTTCCGGGACACAGGCCATGTCGGGGAACCCGCCCACGCGATTGATCGGATCTCTACAGCCACGGCGTCTTTGTGGCTTGCCAAGAGGGGGAGGCTACACGCCAACGAATAGAATCTCTATGTCGTTTGCGATCGTTACAGGGGTTGCATCGACTGAAAATTTTTCCTGATATCCTTGGCGGAAAGAGGCAAAAACCAGATGCTTGATTTTCCCTTGCGTGATGGCCGGTCTGAAAACCTCTCTGGTGCATTGTCTCGATGATCCCATTGCTGCACGCGACTTCTGCCGATCCCTGCCGAGTCCACCCTTTGGGGGAGAAGAGACTGGGGACTGGGGAAAGGACGGGCCATCCCGCACATTGCGAGCAACACCACTCGCTTTTCTTGAGTGGTTTCTGGCGTGGTCCTTGCTGTGCCACTAGTTTCCACCCGTCGGACCCGGGTCTCACGCTCGGTGTTTGAAATGGCAAGAAACTTGAAACCCAGTTGCGACGCTTTTGGAGAGAGGTGTCGCGACAAGCAGTATGAGAGTGGGCTTGTGGCGGCGCCCTCAACACCGTCAATACACGCCCTTCCTCGTCGCAAAATGGTAATTTATGAGCCGCTGGTAGGTCGGATTGCCACGGCTTTCGGGATTTTGATTCGCTGCCGTCAAGAAAACGTCCAAAGTCTCCACCCATAGACTCCCACGAATCCCCGAATGCGGTAAGGATCACGCCTTCGCCAAGACGACGTGATGACCGAGGGATATTGGATTGCTGGCGACTGTTGAGCCCAGAAGACTCATCAGTATATGAACTTTTCTATCTAAATCGTGTGAGGTACATGAAGGTAGAGTCATTGTGCATGCGCCAAACACAGAAAAGCCAAGGGGCGTCGATCACCGACTTCGAGAAGGTGAATAGCAAAAAAAAGGGTTTGCAGCCGCAATGGAATGACGATGACGTCGGTGCCGTGCACGTGGAGTCGGGTCGCTTGCGGACCGGTAATGTTTTACCGGTAATATTTCACCAGTAACTTTACCAGGATCCATGGCCTCGACTGAGGCTACAATGGTTATTATTTTTTTGGGGAGGCAGTTGACGGTCATCGTGTAATCATTCTACCAGAGACCCGAGTGCCCTTCATTCTCTCGGCTCCGATCGGGCCTGAGGAGATGGCGATTCGACCTTGGGATTGTTTGCGAATAAATATGCAGCTTCATCAGGGTTGTCGTATTGGCAATACATCCTTCGGAGCACCACTTCTCGTAACTTATTGGATGTACAACCTTACTGTGAGGCCCAAAGCGGCCTTCCTTAATAGATCCACGTAGGGGGTAAACCAATCCCAATACTGTACCTAGTATCTAGTAGTGCCGAGTATACGGATACCCATGGCCGTCTCAGCAGTATCTACGGAGTACGGAGGAGTACGCAGACACAGTAATGTACAGGTGCCCACGCTATGCCTAGTGCGGCTAGAATCGAGGTTCTTCTTTGGCCACCTCTTTATCGCCATGCCTTTTCGCTTCTCTTTTTCCTCTTACTTTTTCCATTCGGGTCGACCCGGTTGCCGAGAACAATCGCATCCTATTGCCTGATATCCATTGCCTCTCGTTCGGCCGAATTCTGGGTCTCATTGGCCGACCCCAGCCTCCGCGGAACGACTTTACGTGTTAATTACAATACTGCGTATCATACCATGGTCGAGGTCTCCAGGGCTGGATCCCCAAACGGGCTAGTGCAACGTACGGTCTTTACGCCATTGAGTTTCACGGCCCGCTTTGACTGGGGGACTTGGCCTTGGTCGGCCTTGCCGCTCTTTGGAGCCAGAAACCGGTCAACCCGTAATTTTAGGGAGATGGGAGAAAAAGGACGAGGTGCTCACGATACCGTGGTCGTGTATATAGTGCTTCACAAATCCTACCTTCTCTCCCGTTTCCTTCTCCATCTTCCCTCACTCTTCCCCCCTCTTTCCCAATCCCCCTCTCTCCATCATACTCCATACTTGATACCCCATCTCTCTACCTCTCCACACTTTGGGTTTGAGGTAAAGCTCCAGTCAGCTTTCCTCTCCCTCTCCCTTCATCTGCTCCAGGTGCATTAGATTGCTCTGGTGACTTTCAAAATCGTGCTTGTCGGATGTCCTATATACACCATCCACTTCTGTGAAAAAAAAAGACCAGAGAAAAAAAAGACGAAAGAATTGCCTCTATCGACGGAGACCAAACCAGCATCAAGGCTCCTTCGAGCTTACGACTCTACTTTCAAATAGCAAAGCGGCAACCCCAATTCCCTCGACACGTCCCTCACCACAGCAACAATTTCAGATTCTCCCAGCGCGAGCTTGCCCTCCCCACCCAATTTCTTTCGATTTAGGATACGATTGCATATGCCATACACTTCCACAGCGCCAGTTTTGTAGTCTTGCTCCAACGGACAGCCTTTTCAAAAACCAGTCCCGTTGAAACAGCTCTTGCAAAAATCCTTGGACGACAATCTCCGCAGATAGCAGCAAACCCATTTCCAAGCCTCCTTTTCTCCAACGCGACCATTTACCCACTATCCACCATGGGGCTCTCTAAGTTTACGCCTTTCAAGAAGGATCGCCAGAACTTCCCGGGAGTCGTCATCCCACTGGCCAGCGCTCCTGCCCACGAGACGATTAGTGCGGATGAGAAGGCTGACAAGTCTTTGGATCGTGCATCCTCCTCGGAAAATGGCTCTGCTGGCTCGCTGAATGAAACCAGCCATCTGACGCTGGAAGCTCTCCGTGCAGAAGTCGAGTCTGATGTCGCCACATCTGGCCATGACTCTGTGTATGATCGTATGTGCCCTCATTCGGTCCTATCGTTGCAAAATATTTGCCATATGCGCCTATTCCCGTCTATTTTGATCCCATGAATGGTTGGTTTGTGAGTCTAGAAATGAAATTTCTAATATTTGGTGAACTTACAGGCAAGGCGAAGGTGATCAACCGTGCCCTCCAGGATATCGGCATGGGCCGATACCAATGGGAACTTTTCTTTCTGTGTGGTTTCGGCTGGACTGCAGACAAGTAAGCCTATTCTGACCACTCAAATTTCCTCGGATATGAACCTGGCTAACATCTCTTTTTTCGCTGCAGCCTCTGGCTTCAGGTGAGATCTCACGACATGCTGGAATGTCACGTGCTCCTATACTAACCCTCATTTTCAGGGTGTTGCTCTCACGCTAACCCCGCTGTCTTACGAGTTTGGTATCTCCGAGTCACACGTGCGTTTCACCACTTGTGCGTTGTTCTTGGGTCTGTGTATCGGTGCCTCCTTCTGGGGTATTGCATCCGACATTATTGGCCGCCGATGGGCATTCAACACTACCTTGTTCCTGGCTGGCACCTTCGGTTTGGCTGCAGGGGGTGGACCTACTTGGATTGGGTATGTATCAACTTTTATCAACTTGGAAAGCATAACAGACCTGTTACTGAATTTTTGTCCGTCCCCAGTGTTTGTGCCTTGTACGCCTGTTTGGGTCTTGGTGTAGGTGGAAACTTGCCCGTTGATGGCGCTCTCTTCCTTGAGTTCTTGCCCTTCGCCTCCGGTAATATGTTGACCATGTTGAGTGTCTGGTGGCCGGTTGGCCAGTTGATCGGCAGTCTGTTTGCTTGGGCGTATATCCCAACCTTCAGCTGCTCGAGTGCAGAGGGTTGCACGAAGGCTCAGAACTGGGGATGGCGCTACCTGGTTCTTACCCTCGGTGCCATCACTTTCTGCATGTTTGTTGCGCGATTCTTCTTCTTCCACTTGTACGAGTCACCGAAGTACTTGTTGTCTCGTGGCCGTCAGGAAGAGGCCGTTGCTTCGGTCCACGGCATTGCGTACAAGAATAAGACCAAGACTTGGCTGACAACCGAGATTCTCAACGAGATTGGCGGCCACACGGTGATCGACGAGGAGAATGTCGAGAAACTCAGCTATAACGAGATTGTGATGCGCTTCTTCTCCAAGTTCTCTCTGGAACGTATCCGCCCCCTTTTTGCGACCAAGCGCCTGGGCTTCACCACCGTTCTGCTATGGTTCTGCTGGGCCACTATTGGCATGGGATACCCTCTGTTCAACGCTTTCCTTCCCCAGTACCTGTCCAAGTCCGGCAGCACCACTAACTCCACCTATATCACGTACCGCAACTACGCCATTTCCTCGATCGTTGGTCTGCCGGGTTCCGTCTTGGCCTGCTACACTGTGGAGATCAAGTATGTTGGCCGCAAGGGCACCATGGCCATTGCCACCATGATCACCGGTGTGCTGCTGTTCTGCTTCACTGCTTCCTCTAACTCCAACGTCCAGCTGGCCTGCACCTGCATTGAGGCTTTCTTCCAGAACATTATGTACGGTGTTCTATATGCCTACACCCCCGAAGTGTTCCCGGCCCCTGTTCGCGGCACTGCTACTGGTATTTCAAGCTGTTTGAACCGTATTGCGGGTCTCTGTGCCCCGCTGGTTGCCATTTATGCGGGCGGATCTAGTCCAGATGCCCCGATATATGCCTCCGGTGCCCTGATTCTTGCCGCCTTTGTTGCGATGGTCCTCCTCCCCATCGAGACCAGGGGCAAGCAGTCCCTGTAAAAGACCAATCAAATCCAACACGTATTTGAAATTTCAAAATTTGAGACCTTTCTCTATTGTTATACTGGCCTCCAGCAGACACGGCCCGGTGCCGTCTGCCTAGTACAACAGAGTCAGGCTGGGTTGTTTCTACAGTCAGTCCATTCAGTATATAACTACCTCAACATTTCGGCTTGCACTGGAGATACCAGAAACCGTGTTAAATGATGCCGAAAATGGTGTCGCCGGTCCCCCATCTTCATGCCACGGCTCTAGCGGCGACTCATATACGCACCTGCCAATGCAAAACGACCAACCTAGTGCAGCAGGGCGACCAGCGGTTCGTTCAGTATTCTATTACACATCGGCGATGCGCCTACAGTGTGGCCATGAACTACCATGATCCAAAAGGCACTTCCGGTCCACTTTCTGCACCGCAGCGGTACCTCTCCAGGCCTTCCTCCCCTAGGAGGGAATGCATGGCCTTTGCCGCCTACTTTAGCTGTGCGTTATAAGATCCGCCTACGACCCAGTCTAATCTGAATTCAGTATACCTATCTACCTTCATAGCAAATATATTACATCTCGAACATAGTGATCAGTGAATTCAACGCTGAAAATAATAATTGCTGGTGCCAGAAAATTCCGCCTTTCTACCCGTAACTTTCGACGGCGAGCCGCCACTTGGCCACCCAAGGCCCCCAACTGCCCTCTATTCTGCGCCTATACTTCACGGAACACACTCGAATGTATGGGTCGACACTATAAATTGAGACGAACGAACTACATACTAACGAGGTGCGAATATTGCGATAAATTTGGCTTCTGATACATCCAAACCTTGACATATCAAGATCTTGAGAATACAAGCCTCCTACGTACATTTACTCAAAACAACCTTACTTAAACCACCCGAAGAGCTTTCATAAGAAAGACCTCCTTGAATGTATCATTATGCCAAATATCGCACGATGTATCCGTACAAAATCCATAGTCATATCAGAATCTCTAATAGATGGATGTATCATCAGCATGTGGTCCTAGCTGTGGATATTTCGAAGCAAAAACTCACCAGGTAACCAACCATGTCGATTCAAAACACAACTTGCGAAAGGTTTTTGTTGTCCGTGACCTTGATGTTCTTCATCATCAGTACCCATGCAATTGAAAGACTCATGACTACAGTCGCGGTAATCAGCATGAGCCGCTGAGTGTAGGCATATGCATCTTGAATGGCAATGCGAGTAGCTGAGCCAAGTGGATAACTCAGCTGAGTTTCCAATGATTCGTAAATCTCAGACCAATTTTCCTGAGTCTCCGCGGGCAGGAACTCTCGCAATTTTCCCGGTAGTATGTTTGTCCAAATAGCGCCTGAAACACTGTTGCCCACAGCGCCGCCCAGGTTACCGAACGTGCTCAACAACGCTAGCATGGCTGCATAATCTTCATGCTTAGATGCGAAGAGGACAGAGACTTGCTCAATTAGGATCAGAGTACCACCACCAACAGCCAGGAAGATCTGGCACATGCAGATATACCCAATGCTATGACCAGGAGAGCGGAAGTAGATCATCAACCCACTAGCCAAGATATAAAGTGGGACAGCAAACATCAATAACCATTTAAACCGGCCAGTAACTCGAATCAAATAGCCACATCCAATGAGCCAGATGGGGTCCATGAAATCAAAGATGGCACTGATATAGCCAGCTTGAGTGAGACTAGTTCCGTAGACAACCTGCAGGAATGACGTAAAGTAGGTTGACCAGCAATAGTATGACACCTGATAAGTTATATCTAGGAGGCAGGCACCGATGACCGTGCGATTGGTGAGCAGATGCGACGGAATGAATGGTTTCTGCGCTCCCCAACGCTCCCAGGCCACAAAAGCAATCAGGACAAAGAAGCCAACAACCATCATAGCGATAATCTTGGCTGATTTCCATTCACCTTCAGTGTTTCCAGCAATATTGAATGAAACGAGGAAAAGAATCAGACCACCAATCATTAAAAATATTCCGATGGCTATATATTGAAACATATCGCATTAGTTTTGATGGTACAACGGGTGGGATAGAATACAAAGTTATTGATATTTTGCTCACCATCAAATTCAACGAGATAAAAATTGAAGCCCTCTGACACGGTACGGATAGTCTTTGGTTTATACTGTAGTCGACCTTCTCTGTCCGCTTTCCGCTTCGCCAACTCCCAGGTAATCATCAAGGGAAGGGCAATAATAGGAAGAATAATGCAAATTGTTCCATAGGCCCATCGCCAGTTTGTCTCGTGGAACTGGTTGGATAACGGGGAGCCGGCGAACGCGGTGATCATGGAGGGCGAGGAGGTGAAAGCAAAGGCGATTCCTCGATTACGCAAAGACGATGTGTCAGAGGTAATCACGTCGACGCAGAATATAACACCGGTAAGGCCAACTGTGTAGAACGCCTAGTAAGGGTCAGTTCTCAGGAGACATTGTGCAAACCATATGTAAAATATGTGAGCTTACCTGTGCAGCGCAGTAAGTGGCAATGTTCTTACAGCAGGCCATCATGATCAGGCCCATTATAGTGACGAGGACCATGATACCCATTCCCACAGTACGATCCCACATATTCAGAACCTTGGCGATGGGCATTAAACATGCTGCACCCATGACGCTTGTGACAACACTGATTACTGTAAGCAGGGAGTGCTGTGAGAACTCGCTTGTGATGTACGCTGAAAGATTTGAAGTCAAGCTTGACTGGAGTGCATTGACAAAATACAAAAGCCACATGCTAGTTGTTTGGTTCAACATGTTAGAAGGACAAAGGTACCTCTTCGTTCAAAAGATTGCTTACCAGACATAAACGAGGATGAGTGAGCCTTTGGACCATGAAGCGGTGATTGCTTCAGCAACTCGAACACCGTCCTGTTTGTCTTGCTCCTCTGATACTGATTGAGGATCGAACGGCATTGGATTCTCGCACACCTCCGGAGCCTTGGAAGGCTGACTATCGGCCATAACAACTTTGGCTAATGAAAACGGTAGGAGAATTTGTTACTTAGCTCAAAAGCTGCCTAGATATCTAGGAACTGTGTAGGGAAGCTCGTTTATTTAAGAAGAACTTCTGTTTACCTCCCGCCACATCTGGCCTGATTTATTTAAAATTTGATGTGGAGTTTTATTTTTCGTTCCGGGTCTGACGCCAATGGCCGACTCAGGTGATAAAAAGACCCTTCGGACACATTGTGGATCTGGAACCCATTAGTGCTGTTCAGTATGTTTTCCTTCATGGCAATGGGGTGTCTGCTGCACCAGGAGCAGCAAAATTTGAGACAATCACTGGGAAATCTTATCTCTAGTCAGCTCGGCTTAGAAATTCAACTCTTCGATATAATATTCCTAAAGGATGATACTAGCTGGGCAGTGTACGTTTAATGCATGCTCTTGACGCCGAAGTGAGCATTCATGCAAGGCCTGCTCAAGCCAGCGAAATCTTGAGTTGCCGCCATGGGCCTGATACTACTGATGTCTTACGGCCTAGTGCTATCAGCTAGTCACTAATGAACCGGCATATTCCGACACTTTGACCAGGTCAAAGTTCTCAACTCAATGGAATAAGGTTAACGGGAAATCTTCGGAAGCACATTGGATCTTATCAGATTTCATTTTTACGGTACAACGTGTTGAAAATCGAGACCTAAGAAAATATCAAGCTCTCGTGGAGAAAGCTCACCGAAGCTTATGACTGTTGCCTAGATATTCCATGTGCCTGGTACGTCCACATGCCCATCTCCAACTGCTACCTTGACTAATAACCAGTTCCACCCTGTGGGTCATGCTTGGAGGCCATTTCCCAGTTATGGCGTATATTATCGAGGCGAAAGATGATACTTTGCTGCCTAAATCTAGATTGTGCTCTTGAATGTCGCTCTCATCGGTAACGGAGCTTAAACGGAGCCCGCGGGCACCGGTGGATCCAAAACACCAACGCCATTTTGAATCCTCAGTCGCAAAATAAGAATCTGCACAGATATTTTCCAATTCAAGACAATCAGATAAAATATGATCTCAGTTGAGACAGCGAAAGATCGAAGCAGGTGGATAAGCATTCATACCAATCTATCCACTAATCCAACATCTCCTTGCCGGCTGGTATCAATCTCCTGGTAACAGGGATTTTCCACACATATTCCGCCGGAACAGAATCGACTGATTTCCCTCTTAGATATCCTTTGTGGTAGCTAACCCAGCGAGGACTGAATCATCTGTGTCTAGAATGTCGAACAGTTGACATATAAACAGGCTTCGATAATCACATAACATCAACAGAAGGACGGAATCATTCCTTCATAAAGCAGGATAGTAAGGAAAAGAAATCTAATAGCACCGAGAAACGCACCTTTGCGAGCCTCAACATTCCTTTATGGGGGAAGCAAGGTGATCACTCCATCCTTGGGAAAGACAGTAGTCCCCTCCCTGATCTCCAGCTTAGCATTCGAAAGCTTCAACTCCATGTGTCTCTGCCGCCTGCAGTGCTTCGCATACTGACTGTGGAAACAGTAGATCTGCAATGGAAGCATGAAATGAGTTACTTTTCGTTTATATCCCCTACCTTTGAGGGAATAATTGTTTTTGAAGCCGTCGACCGGATGAGGCCATCCCATTCGGACGTCACAAGATATCCGAATAGCCTCGACGGCTTTAGTACGCCGCCGTCACCCTATCTCTAGAGAAGGTGATGCCGGCCACATCATAAATTCTCACAACAGGGAAAATCTGTAGAGGGAGCATATCATCCTGGGTTTATAGCAGCTTTTTAGTTTCCGCTTCATAAAACGCTAAAACACACTGGAAGAAATTCGTCGCTCTATATCTATAACGGCCCGGTCAATATCGAACTGGTCTCTAACATGAGCCAATTCCTGTGAGAAACAGTGTGTATTTACTGCGGATTTCGAAGTCGGAGAGGAGAAGAAGAAAATGGAAAAAACCACTACCTACGCTGGCAGCGCTAATATTACAACACATACCTGATTTACTCTCAACATCTATAACCTAGCTACTCTGATTCTACTCTCTCTATAGCATCAAGTACCACAGTGTGAATTCACTGGATGGTTTTATCCAACTTTGCTCTGAAAGAGAATATCGGACGTCTAGAAAAAGGTTCATTGTCTCATATTCTTATATGAAATACCTTGATGACAAATATATGTCCATTTCTATCTATCTCCATTATTTTCTATCCTGCAAGAGCGGTAGCATTTTCGGCTATAAGACTGCGCTTTAACGCTCTTAATGGAGCAGCTCGGGGCTCCCAAGTGTTGATGAAGTAGGTGTTCTAGGCTAAGACTTTTTCGTTGAATTTTTCTGCTTGTTCGTTTTCTTTGACACCAAGAAGCTGCTCCATGGGACATTCCGGTGGACAAGGGCGTTCCAACTGGGCGGCTCGATGTTTTTCTATTTTTAAAGTGGTGGTACTCAGCGCTTTTCGAGCTTTCTCCATTTCCTTATATGGATTCGACTCCTTTACACGGATTCCAATTTGCTGAAGTTGTTGATTGACTGTTCGAAGCTCGGCTTGGATTTGCGATGCCGTGCGCTCCTGGGTAGTCTGCCTGGCCCGATGTCCTGGAGTATTGGGGTTGGCTGCCATTTTTTCGAACGTACTGGTAAGTAGACACGAAGATTTCGTAGATAGACTGAAGTTTGAAGAACTTAGAATTGATAGAAGGGTACTCTGCTAGATTCGATGCTTGATATACAATAGAAAGACATTGTTTCGAGGATATGATTTGACTTAAGTATTGCTTGGTCTCGGTGAGAATAACTTCCATCGTAGCACCAGTATTATATCCCAATATACTATAGCTTCTAAATATAAATTCGGTGTCGTGACAGTATCTCTGATGATATTCCGAGCATGTTCTATTAGTAGCTGACCTTGAAGTTTTGACCATAGGTGACGGTTCAAAGTGGAGTTTTCTAAGTATGAAGGAATATTCGCCACCCTCTAGGCGCTAGACACACAGCGCCTACAAAACCAGCCTCCAGCCCCGAAATACTCGCACTTAATACCGTTTAAGGACCCTCCATGAGATGAAAATAGCTTCTGGATTATCAAAGGCGGTTAAAAAAATGGGTATTTTTAACATCAGTGAGAGCCGACTTTGTCTTTCAGCAAAAACCAAAGCCAGCATCTAATCACTTGTACTTTCCACAGGTAGGCCCTGATGACGTTTTTATGCCTTGATTTAATTTGTGTGATCTGCTTTCGAGGGCGCGAGAATAGATATAAAGTGGATTATGCCGCATACATTGTACTAACTGACCAAACCTCTTTTTATTTTTTCAGCGTAACGTACAATATACTTTTAATATGAAGAGCCAGGCGGGAGAAAAGGGGGACGATTTTCGACATTTAAGGACTCAGGGTACATCCCGGTCTCGATATATTAATTAGTAGGAACAATGTCAACTTAATCAGATAATTAGTAATGGAGTATCACTGATCGGACCCCAATAGGTACACTGTTTTTTAAACCAAGAAGCAGCTTCTTGAATACAAGAACATTAGAATATGGATCAGTTAAAGTAAAGAAAGAAAACGGCGATGTTAATTGTCAGTATGACAGCAACAAGTCACATTGGAAATAGACAGCCTCTATCATCTACGAAGATTCCGGACCCACATTGTTACCACGTGACGGCATCGTCACCACTAGCTTATCACTAATTCCCTCATAAGAATAAAAGATCATCTTTACATCTCCCATAAACCCAGCTTCCTGTTACCACACATGGCACAATAAAACGATCTCAACGCCCAGGAAAAGGACGATAGGATGCGGGAGGGAAAAAGCAAAAGCTTAGAAATCAAGCTTCGGGCCAGACAGGGCCTAGTCGGAACTGCAGTTAACGATTTCTTCCATAAATATGAGATGGGAGAATGAATAAGAATTGGAAAAATGGAAGGCGAGAGAATCCATGAACATAATTGCAACAATGATCCCTATTTGAAAAAAACCATAAAAACTCCATCCAGATCAGACCGCAGCTCCGCAAACGCAGGGGCAAAAAAAAAAAGCAAGATGAAAACAAAAATAACACACAACCCATGAGAAGTAGAAAAATGGCCCGAGTCGAGTCCTACCCCGCCGGCGCCCAGTCAAGAAATCAAGAAACCTAGGATTCGAGAATGCATGTTCTTCTTCGCCAATTGATCTGGTACCGCACATAGAAAGGAGATTGTGGAGGTGAAAAGGGTGGAAGAAAGAAAGGAGGATGAGATGCGCTGGTCATGAGATCAAAGGTGGCATCGTCAAAATCGTGTATATGATGAAAAAGAGGATGAAGAAAATCATGCAACGTAGCGCTCATCAAAGCAAATCGAGTAGGGGGGATATGGGCAGAGATCTTTTGTCGGGACTTAAGTCGTGTGTAAATTCCCTGACTTAGACCGCCTGCTGCTGCTGTTGCGGTGGCGCCTGATTCCGACGTCCACGCTTCTCGAGCAACGTCGCATTATCAAGGCTAAGCTCGAAAGCTGCATTAGGCTTGCGAATAGCTTGCTTGGCTGCGGCAGCCACAGTCGCATCGTGCTGTCCGTAGCCTTGTTGTCGTGGTTGACGGGCGGCCTGCCGAGCTTGGGCAGCGCTGCTCTGGGCCCCGAGGTTCGTGGACCGGAGCTTGGCTTCCATGCCTGCCATGTCGCCGCCTCCTTGCTGGGTGCTGCCTTTGGCGACTTTGGTCGGTGGCTGGTCTCGGTTTCCTTCAGCCTGGGGACGATAGTCATATTCATCATCATAAGTTTCGTTGAGAGAGCCAAGAGCAGATTGGAAACCAGCCAATGGATGACCACTGCGAGCAGCATTTTGTTGACGATTCCGCCTGCGCTTGCCTTCCTCCTCTTGTCTGTGGACGGCATAACCGACGTCGAACACTTCCCGCAGGTTGAACGCGCCAGGCGAGCGGAAATCCATTCGACGTTCGGACGCAGTAGACGGAATATCCAGAACACGCGAGCTGACAGGCTGGTAGGGGGCTTGATCGGCACCAGCGGGGTCGAGGTGCTGCGGGTCTTTCTGGCGTACCTGGCCCATTGGCGTAGCCAGGGAGGCGCATCAGCTGCGGGAGTCGTTTCTTCGTTGGTTTGTCGGATCCAAGGATGCTCCAGGAACTCTTTGATGGTATAACGCTTCTCCGGGTCCACAGTCAACAAGTGGGAGATGAGATCTTGGGCAGACTTGGAGATGTCATCCCACCACGGCGAGAGGAAGGTGTACTGGCCGCGCGCCACCTTCTCTGTAAGCACCTGGATGCTCTCGTCATAGAAGGGTGGGAAACCACAGAGAAGCGTATAGAGAACACAGCCCATGGCCCACATGTCGACGCTCTTTGAATAGCGCTCGTCCTTCACAATCTCTGGGGCTGTATACCCGACAGTTCCGCAAGGAGTCATAGTTTGACTGTCCCAGATCACCTTGGACAGCCCAAAATCCGCGATCTTGATCTTCCCGATACCACCGGAGCCGATGCCCGCAATAAATTCTCCTTCATCTTCTTTATCTTCATCACCCGGTTGTTGGGGCTTGGGACGGCGACTCGGTACGAAGGGACTCGGGTAGAATAGTAGATTTTCCGGTTTAATATCACTGGCATGTCGCCCGTTAGCTCTGGGGCCTCACCGCTCTTCATCAGTGGACAAAACGTCAGCAATACGAACCGATGCACCACGCCCGATGTCTCGTGCAAGTATTCAATTGCCTTCGCAACCTGTACAATCACGTGTCGGCTGAGATCTTCGCTGAAGTATGTTAACCGGACGATCTGATGGAACAGCTCGCCACCAGGGCAGAGCTCGAGAATGATGTAGTAATATTGGCGGGACTCGGAGAAGTCGATCAGTTTCACAATGTGGGGATGGTCGAGGTTGCGCATGATTTGGACCTCCTTGAGAATGTTCGCTCGCTGTAGGGCAGAATGAATGATCAGTCACCAGGTTCGACAGCCATAACTTTAGGGCACAACGCAGAAGACACCAAGAGAGAAAAAGGTAGCGGTGGACGGACTGGTCCACACCCCATGCAGATGAGAGATTGGGATAGGAGATTTTTTTGGCGCACCTCTGCAGCCCGTGGGACCTTCTTGACACTGGGATGAAGGTGATCGGACTACAAGAAAACAAATTGGCGACGAGATTCCCACAAAGAACGTAACCGACTGGAAGCACTGCAACCACCGGGACAGCAGAATAGAAAGAAATCCAAGAGAAAGAAGAAGAAAAACAAAAACAAGAAACACACAGAACGTGCACCAAGGAAAGTAAGACCACCTGGTCACCCTACCTGATTGCTGTTCATCTCGAACTTCCGCACCACCTTGATGGCCACCTCGTCATGCTGACCAGTAGAGTCCTTCGCCCGATAGACGTTGCTGAAGGCGCCGTCGCCCATCTTCTCGACTAAAATCCAACGCTCGAGACCGGGGTATTTGGGCATCTTGGAGCGATTCATGTTCTCCTCCGCAACCAACCGTTCAATTTCGACGGAGCGATCCCGCCGGACCTGGGCGTCGGATGGCTTCTGGGCGGCTGCCTGGCCATGCTTTTCGCGATCCCCCGTATCGAATGCGCCGAGGGCGGGGGAGAATTGGCCTTGGGGCTGTGGTTGTTGCTCGGCGTGGATGGTGGACACGTCGGTGGTGGGCTCGGAGTGGGGGGTCACCAACCGAGCTTGTTTCCCATGCCGAATGAAGTTCTTGATATTCTGTATGGTGCTCATGGTGGGCAGAGTTTAGAGAAGGGGGAGGAGGAAGAAGAAGAAGCAAACGCTGATTTGTGAAAGGACTGGGGGGGGGGGGAAGGGCGGACTGGGATCGCCCAGGCAGACCCGAAAAAAGTTGGTCAACCGCGGGGTGAAATGACTTCAGGAGCGGCAGGTGAAGTCACAGGAGGAGGGGGGGATTTGCGCAGACCGAGTTCACGAGGAATTGTGAAGGCGACCAGCGGAAGAGATCAGAGAGGAGAAGAGAATCGAATGTCAAGTGGAACAGGGTAGGTAGGAAGGGCGAAGGGCGTGTGTGGTAGCAAGATGGTGCAAGTGGGTGAGCTGGTGAAATCAAGTAGTCGAGTAGATAGAGATCACGGGCGGCCGTTCGGTGGGGGGAAAGCAGCACAAAAAGGGGGGGGGCAGGTCAGAGAGGATCAGGTCAGAATAGAGCCCACTCTAAAACGAGAAATGCGAGACGGAAAAAAGCGAGAAAACGAGGAACGAGGCACTGGCCAAGGGCGTACAGCTTATGACGGCGGCTCGTTTGCTGGATGTGGGAGGGGGAACGAAGGGAAGGGCGAAGCCTATGACGACGTGGGATCTTCGGGCGATGTCATCACGGCTTGGGACGGAATCTTGGTACCACCTGGGCACTGGGCACGATGGCTTCTCTGGGCACGACCATCCAGCATGCGAATTGCAGCTCAATCGCGGTCAGTTCATCGAGCTATACGGACTCGCAACAGCGCGCTCTGGTAGAGTGACCGCCCTGTTCCCTCAATGCCCTCGCGATGGATCTTGTCCCACCATCGCTCCGTTGAAGTCTGTCGTCATGGCCCGGCCGCCACTGACGATCTCCCTGTCAACCCGTTAGATTAAGCGTCGACATTAATAATGTCGGCTGAGATCATAGCACACATCATCGGATTACGGAACGAGCTCCCCGGACGACCGAGCAGTCGGATAGTTGGGACAGTCTGGAGAGGGTCCCGAAAAACCTCGAGGTTGCTTTTCTTGTACCGCAACCAAAGTACCCATCTCGACATCGCCGTCTCAACCGTCTCGCTTGTATAGTTCTGGACGACGGAGTCATGTCTCCATAGCTCCATAGTCGACTCGTGCCTTGTTCGTGATCAGTCAACGGTCGATCTCCACTACGCCTCGTTCCAATCCTGTCCTTGGTCGGAGTCCGCCGCCACCTATCATCTCGGACGAAGGACTCGGACCATCTCTAGATTGACCGGACAGGGAGACGGAGAGCTCAACCCAGTGATACCTTGGACCTTCCAGGGCCCCAGGGCCCCTATAGCCCCGACCAACTTTTTTTTTTTTTTTTTTTTTTTTTTCTCTTTCTCTTTCTCTCTCTACTCTTTTCTCGATTCAGCCAGCCCTCGTCGCTTAACCCGCTAATGTAGCTGTCCGTACGAAACATGCAGCATGTACCATGTGCGGAGCTGAAGTGGTTCGGCTTGGATGCTTGACGAATCCAATGGGATTTCGCAGCAATAGCTATAGTCTAGTTTCTAGTAGCTATGTTCTAGTCCCTCTCGCCGCCCTCGCCGCCCTCCCCCTCTAAACGCTGTGCGATGTTGACCGAGGATGGAACGAGGTCCCTGGAGTCGTTGTGCCCCCAATGATGCCGATGACGATGCCTATGATGCTGGCAGGACACACAGGGTTGGTGGGCAACCAGAAAAGGTTGGGGGGGGGGAGTGAGATCAAGATCTCAACCGGGGCTGAACCAGTCCTCGGACATATCGTCATTCTTCGCCACTTTGCCCTCAACTCCAAACAAGCCCCAGCAAAACCCGCACTGCATTCGCTGGCCAGGCTCGCCGGGAGGGGTTTCTGGGGGACGGACTGGGGACTTATGTCACAGGTCCAGGCATTCCCCAGATGGTTCAGAGCCCCTGGCCCTCTCCTCCACTAGTCCTCTGATCATCGACTGATCGACCCGGGTCTGGCCACGAGCCGGGCATTGGTTAGTATACTTCCTTCCTACCTTCTGCTTCCCGCCCCTTGTTATGGCTGGGTTGGCCCCAAAAGAGAGCGAGCGAGCGAGCGAGTAGGAGAGAGAGAGAGAGCACCGAGAAAGCGACCTGTACAGGACAAAGCAGATTTGAGACGTGCAGTGGGTTTCACACTTGGAATGTGAGAGTGGCTTGCACATTATTATTCCAAAGCGGCCTGCATCCAGGGTCAAGTCTGCGAGTGGATGCAAGGAGTTTCCGGAAAATAAAAAGGGCAACCAACCCCCAAACAGATAAGAGAGACCACAAAAAATGACATAAAAACCAAAAAAAAAAAACCAAAAGACTCAAGGAGGAAGTTGACCCTGGTAGTGAAAGTAAACCAACCACGAGGGGAGGAGGTTGGGCACATCCGTGGATTCTTGTGGAGGCCCATCCAAGCATGAAACCGTCTGGAGGGCCGATAAAGTAAAGAGAGAGGGTGCTCCAAAGGGGGGCCTTCAGGAACGCATTTGTTTTGAGGCATACTGTCAGACATCCTTACCGATGATCCTATGATTCTCTGCATGGGGTTCTTTTCCGGTGCACCACATGGAGAAGGGTGAATGCGGTTCCATAGCAAAGGTACGGAGCATATCCTAGGAACAGATCCTGCACATCCTGCACATCCTGCACATCCTGCATTCTAGGTGCTTGGAGGAGGTGTACCTATGTACATGTTGTATGTGAGTGGACTCGAGATAGGATCCGTCCCGCTGTTCCGCTAGTCCGCAAGGCACCGTGTTCCCGTTGAAGGGCAGTTCTGGTCCAGTCCATGGCCCGTCCCGGGGCCGTAAAGTCTTTCCCCCCCGTGCATCGTTGCGCCTCTGACATCCTTCGGGGCTTCGAGTCTCTCGTCTCGGGTCACACAAAGTCCGCCCCCCCCTAACGGCGCCATTAAGCGAATAAGCGAACGTGGAACACCCTTTGTTAGCGCTGATAACTTCGTCGTGGACTCTTGTATGGTCTGGAATTTCGACCGTGATTAGACATCATAGATCAGATCTGATCTACGGCATCTGGAAGGTTAGGGGGGCCCACGAGATACTGAAACATTAGTTCCCTTTAAGCCCCCTCTTTGTTTGCGGACTGGTCACTTCAAGAGACCACGTACTCTATACATCCTCTCATCCTATACAGTCCACTCTCACGATAGCAGCACACCAAACCCTATAGAATATCTATAGAACATACCCTTATTCTCTTCTGTCCTGAGAGATCTCTCTCTATCTCTCTCTTAATTTGACACATCCTCTGGCTTACTTTATAGCCTCTGATGGGACAAAACTGCTGGCTCTGCGTGCATCTAGCCCGACCGTCCCAGCCACCAACCGCACTCGCTGCACTGTCGGCACATCCTGCACGCGGCCACCAGCACAGCACCATCACTCGACTTTTCCCCTCCTGAAAATCCCTTCCCCCCCCCCCCCTCCAACATCTCCACCAACATCACATCTCCTGCTGAACCACCCCCCCAAACGCTCTTCGCCCCCTGCAACTGGGGCCCATTGAAGACCCGGAAATTGGGGCCGGGATCGACTCCTTGCATCCCCCGTCCTCAACCTTCGTGATCCATCCACCATTATCTATCCAGGATCCTGCACTCGAGTCTGCCGCTCCTTCTCCTCCCGCGATGCGCCCAGGGCCACCACTGGCCCAAAGTGCTTTGAAATAGAAGAGAAAGTGATCCAAATCCCCCAGGTCATGCGAGATCTTGACTTGGGTGCTCGACGACTGCTGCTCTACTGTCGCATTTTGCCTTCCGGTCGGCCGTGATTTGCGAGGCCCGGAGTGATGGGCGCATCGGTGGATTCACCAGAGCGACCGCTCCTCAGGTCCCACAAGGCGCTCCCGCGGAGGGGCATCGTGGTTCCCAACGTCAACGTTGCCCAACCGGTCTCGCCGGATCAAAAGGGCACGGTCACCGCGGCGCCAGCTCCTCCATTGACTCCACCCGGCGCGATCCAGGAAAACAGCATGGAGGAGGAACGGACGCCGCGAAAACGGGATGCATCCGTCTCGGACTCTCAAACGACAGGCATGTTGACACCGCGCCGACCCTCGAAACCTCCGACCCCCGACGTGACACCGCCTCGCACAACCGCCACGATCCGACCGACTCTCAATCAGTTCGGATATTTCTCCTCGTCATCGCGGGCCGAATCCTTCCAAACCGCCTGCGAGAGTATCCCATCCGATGGCGACATGGACACACCCGTGCAATCCCCTCCCCGGACCGTGTCAGCCGTGCCGCAGAGGATGGCGCCGGAGAGGGTCAGGCACAGGGTACCTTTTGCGTCGCAAAAGGTACCAGCGACGACTGAACTTCGCTCCAACCCGACGGGGATTGAAGACACTGCGCCCAAATCATCCCCACCCTCTGCTTCACAACCACACAGTGAAACGGACTATGAAACCGGCTTCGAGTCCTTCGATGGGGACTGGGTATCCAGCCAGAACCATGGGTCCCCGACCCCGATGCCGGGAAAACGGAGGCGAGCACAGACGCAGCAGCAGAAAGACCAAACATCCAACCCAAACGGAGAGGTAGATGCAGATGTCGAGGACACACTGGACATAGTGCATCTGGATGCCTCCCTGATGCGCGAGAAGAATTTGCGGGACCGAGTGCAGAACAAGCCTGAAATAGCGTCCAGTCCATCCATGGAGCGGTTTCGCGAAACAATTGGATGGCCCACCCACGATGTGCGCTTACAGCTCGATGAGCCAGAATCGCGGCGATTGTCCGGGATTTCGTCCACTTCGACCGTATCAGCGATGATCATCGATTCGCCGCAACAAGCCCAGCGTTTACTGCGTCACACGGAGAAGAGGAGCTCGCTCCGATCTGTCAGCTCCCCGGTTCCCAAATCGGAACGTCTTTCCATGACATCAACATCGGATTCCCAGCACCGTCTCGTCCACAAGGCCGCTCGAATCTCCGAACAAGATCGTCGAAGCATCTCGTCGGATGTCTCATTTTCGACCAAAACAACTACGAGTGCGCCTCATCCCTCAACTGAAATCATTCCGGTGGTGGTGATACCAGAGCGACGTTCATCCCTGAAATCTGGTCCCAGTAGCCAGGTTTCATCTCAACCTGGTTCTCAGCGGTCTGGTCGACGGCCTCCTCCCGTGTCATCGGATGGCTCTGTCAATGTGCCGCGGCAAAGGACACGAACTATGTCTGACGCGGCCTCTGCACGTTCCCGAGACCTGGATTCAAGAGGTCGCCCTGCTATGGGCAGGCCTCCGATCCCCACGCGAAGCTCTTCGCTTTCTGCGCCAACAAGTCGTAATAATTCGCGCACCACTTCGCTTACATCGGAAAGCCTGCGGAGCCACACGTTGGCGATGGATCTGGAGATGAAAAAGCGTCGTGACCAGCAGCCTGTCTCACCACCTCGTCAAAATATACTCGGCCCCAATGAAAATTTGAACAGCAACGGCCACCGCAGAACTCTACTGGAGGCTCCTCATCTTCCCGCTGTGATGGTCAGCTCCACAGAGGACATGACGACGTTGCGACCACCTTCATTACCTTATACCCAGTGGTCGATCCCGTCGTCATCCCCCGGTCCAATTGAGATTCACGAGGCCACGGCAGTGAGTCTGTATCCACATAACAACCGATCGCTGCTTTTGGTTGATCAACAGACATCTGTCGAGACACAAATGCTGCGCGCTTTTCGTAGGGATCGACAAGACCAGGACGCGAACCCTCAGACGCCTGACAATCCGACCCACCCCACATCTGCCTTGCCCGCCCATTCTCCATTGAGAAATCCGCGCACGCCGCCCAAGCCTCCGATTTCTAAACCCCTTCCAGCACTTCCTTTGGCAGCTGAGAATTCTAATGCCAGCCAGGAGAATGGAGGTCGTCTGGGTCGTCGCTGGAACACCGTCCGCCGCACCTTTGGCCCTCGCCCGCGATCAGATTCCTTCAACACCATCGCCCGCTCTCTCTCCGTGCGCTCAGCGAAGAACCGCAAGGCAGGCATAGAAATGGACAGTCGCCTCCATCCCTTCTGGCGCCCGCGCGAATTCTGGGAAAACATTCCAGGATCCCCAAAGAAAGAACGTCCAATCAACCACGCTCCACTGGAGCGCGGCGTCATAAATAACTCACTCGGTCTTCCCCAGGCCCGACTTGTCTTCGACATTCCACCCCCTCTGGACCGACGCAGTCCCGAAATGAAACGATTTTTCGACGGCATTTCTACCTCCGCCCATTACCACGGCAGCCGCGGCAGTCTAGTCGATCCGCACACCATTCTGCGCACTGGTACTCCGCTGTATCAGAGTCGCTATCGCTTCTTGTCGCGATGGGGTCTTCGCCTGCGTCCTCTGTCGCTGCGCAACGTGCGTGCCCGTATCCGCCGAATGCGGCAGCGCCGTGAAGACCGCAGACAAGCAGCGCGCCGGGCCTCTCTTAAGCAACGTATTGGTGGCCCGGTTTACCTAGCATCTAGCGCCAGCAATGGTGCTGTGCGGTAAAGGTCCAAGCTTCCATGTCTTACGAACCCCGCGCTGAGTGGCCATGTCTCACTTGACGAAAAGAAAATGAATCCACGATCCGTCTCAGATTCAGAGTTACGTTTTCAATTCCCTTTCCCCATGTTCTCAGGGATCATGTTCACGGCCCAAGTTTTCTATTCATTTCTTTTGCAGTTTTTTATGTCTTTGCTTCTGCGTTTTCAATTCATTGCTGCTCTTCTATTGCGCGTGCATGGGATTCCCTGCTACGATACGATATCTACGACCACGACATTTACGATGCACGATCATGACTCCATGACTTATGATGCTGACCTGTGCCGGACGACCCGCCTGATGATTCTTTGTGGCGGTCTCCAGATGTACCATAAGCCTTTTTGTTTTTGCGGCCTTGTCAGCGTTGCCAGATTTGTGTTTTGACCTAAACTTCTTGAATATAGCCCTCGCCGTGTTTTGTTCTCTATATCCTTGCACCCATCTTCGTATAATCCTAGATGTAAAAGACGGGGGAACAAAATATCCCATATCTCTGTCCCTAACCATAGCTACAAGGTTAAATTCACCGCCCCAAACGCCATACACCGAAAAAAGAAACTCCGAGGAATATCCCCACGCCACCGCTAGACCCGAAATCCATTAATAACCAGCTCGGCCTCCTCCCCCAAACCCCCGCCCCCGCGGTCTCGCATGTCTCCTCCCTCTCCCACCTAGGCCCGACCGTCCCCGAATAGCCATCGACCCATATTCCGCCTCCCGCTCTCTCGCCCTCTCCCGCCGCTCTGCCGACTCAGCACCGTTCCCTGTGCCTGTCCCCAATCCCCGCGCTGCTGCTTCTTCTTCGTCTTCTCCGTCCGCCCCGCGATGTTCCCGAGCAGCCCGCTCCTGCGCCCGAGCCAACATCGCCTCCCAGGCCGGCGGATCTAGGAAAGGCTGCGGCGGGTGGAAGGAGACCTCCGTGCGGCGGGTCTGGGCCGGCGCGTCGGGGTTGTCATGCTCGGCTGATGTTGGTTTCAGGAGGATTGTGGCAGGGGCGGCGCTTGAGTTTTGGAGATGTTTCTGTGGTGGGAGGAGGGGTCGCTTGTGGGGGATCAGAAGGGCTCTTGGAAGGCTCTTGGAGGGCTGGGCGGTTGACATGATGTTGGTTTGGGTTGTGGGTGGTTTGGCGGAGTTGCAGAGCACGGCGGAGGTGATGGCCGGAGCGAGCGTGAATGGGCGGGGGCTTATCTTATCTGTTTTGTGGGGGCAAGGCCAGGCTTGGGCGGTGGAAGATCAACCTTCTAGCTTTATATCCGACTTTATATACTTCGGTCTCGGTCAAATTTATAGGTGAAAATGGGACGGCCGCCAAACGTGGAAAGCATATGACATCTATTGGACGGAGGCATAGACAATCTTCTATTCACTGTGTTCCCGGACTTACCCTACCCTGCTTTCCCCGTTATACTCGAGACCGATGCGGACACAAGCAAGTCTACACTGTTGACAGAGTGACATGACAAAAATGGGCATAGCCTAAATATGGTAGGTATGGGTGTAATAGCAGTTATTTGGCATTGCCGTTGGCACTGTCTATATTTCATATTGAAATTGCAGTTTCAAACAGAGGAAGATTGAATGGATAGAGGAATTATAATAATAAAGCAATTTGTTTATGAATTCGAAATTGACTCAAGCAGAATTATGACGTGGTATATCTTTTATGAGACACCCGCAGACGGTGGGGAAAAATAGCCGTGTAACCCTAGGAATCAGATCATGTGCTGGAAGAAGATGGAACGAGAAGACTTGGCGGAAATGTGCATATCACGTCCTAGTAAGTGTCTATCTTCATCTTATACGTACTATCTGACTCTTCTTTAATTTTCTTGACCATGTTCCGAACGTGATTGGGCGTCCTGCAAAGTCTCAGATCATACATCTTGTCTATCGCCCATTCAAATCTATAAAGCAGTCAATACTAGTCGATCAGATGAACAATTTGAGAAAGAGAATGAGTAGATCGTACTTTCCATTTGCCTTTTCCATCAACGTATTGATAATTGATTCTCGACATTCTTCTGCATCTTCGTGCATGCGCCACTTTTCAAATTCAGGGCTATTGTCTAGGATTTCATGGATAAATATGCGAATATCGATGTCAACAAATTCTGGTTGAATGGTCATAATATTGTTTTCCCACAACCATGGCAATCCCTTTGCTAGGCTTTCGTTCATAGGACTGGTGAAAAGGATCTGGATATCGGAATGAGTGAAGTGAGCGAGATTCCCCAATAACCGGAATAAATCGTATCTTGCCGGACACCATGCAAAAGTATCCCAGCACCTATCGAGACCATTGATAATAATCTGAACTCTCTCGGCGTGCACCAGCATTTTCATAAATGTGGAGACAAGCGGTCTGTAGGACGGTTCTTGATTGCCATCTTCACATAATGTGAATAAAGTCTCTATCTCTTGCTGAGAATCAGGGCAGTATGAATAGAGTTGTATTATGAGGGACTTAACCAGCTGCTCGGTAGTATTGAGCCGAACTAGTTCGTCATATTCCCAGGCGTTTGGAGAAGGATAGAAAAAGTGCTCGAGGACAATGCATGCAGGGTCATTTTGCCAGGTGAGCTCTTCACTGACCATCGTGCTCAGAATCGTATTTTCTTGAGGGGAGGCCCCCCTGCAACCAAAGAAACCGACGTTCTCCTGCCTCCCACTCCTTATACTCTCGGGTTTGAAGAAACCAGGAGCCTGTTTCTTGATGGTATCCCTTTAGATCCCATGTCTTATTCCCTGCGGGTGTACAGTCGAGCCAGGCCTCCATTCGCTCTTCCGGGGTCATGGATGTCATGATGGACGTATATCTGAGCCAGGATTCAATTTTTTCTACGTCGACGGGCTCTGCTGTCGTTTTACCTGAGGGTACGGTCCCCGTTGTCATCGGCAGCGCTGTCATAATTTTAGTAGTCATGATGAGCTGGGACCGAGGGAATTATAGTCAAACCTTCACTGACTGGGGTATTTTTGGAGCGAGCGCTCGTTTATAAAGCCAACGCCACGCATTTTGTCCTATATTTGTATCGTGGCGGCAATCGATGTTTAAGAGGCATACATGACTTTTGTTCAGGGTTATTATTGGTCGCGTTTGCAGAGAAGTGGGGCGCAAGGGTGTTTTCAAACACGATACCAACACAAATGTCGTCAATATGCTTGATTGGATTCAAAGCTGTGACGAACTCCACTCAAATGTACGCCGTGGTGTCAGAAAAAGAGGAGTAGGCGATCGTAAATGGTCAGATAAAATATGTAACCAACAGTTCAACCAAAATAGCACACCGATCTTGTGAGCCTTTGAAATCTTTTTTAGCGGCCAAGGCAGTGAGGCTTCGCGAACCTCTCTCATCAGAATTTTGCTGATTGGAAATAATATGAGAACGTATGGAAGATTGATCCCCAGCCTAATTACAGCATTCGACAAGCAAGGGAGGACACAAAGGCTATTTTCAAGTAATAAGGCATCTCGGAGCTAAGCGCCCTTGTCCTTTTTATATCAAAATAGTTTAAGTTGGTAGGAGTTAATTCTAGAAGCCTGAACAAAATCTGTCAGCAACATGTAACAGGAAACCTCCATATGCGCGAATGAGATAGACCTGATCTGTCGCCGTTGCCCTGAAGGGCGCGACTTCTAACAAGAAATCTGATATCACTCCGTTTCATGCTTCAGGACCTTCGGAGATAACCCGTCATTTCCAGGAAAACACAATCATCACGTGAAGAAAACAGTTCATATCCTTCTGATGATCTGACTATTCTTAAGAAGGGACAATGGATTTCAATAGACCATACTGAATAGGACATGAGCGATCGCTTCAGGTCGAGGGGATACTGTTGCCGTTACCCAGACGCTCTGGCCCTGGTAGTGATGGAGTTGAGATAATCAGCACTTTCGAGGTAGTAAAATCCATACAAAAATTGACTTCAACATTATCCCCTATAAGGAGAGTCTGCCTACCTGGAAATAGCTTAGATTGAATACACCACGGACCAAGCCCTAGACCTAAACGAAATGGGCTAGGTGGCTATATACTAAAAGTAAGGTTTAAATATATCGGACTTTCAAGATGGATGAAAGCTAATGGAAAGTTGGGATTCGCAGCTATTGTAGTCTGGTTATGAAAACCATAGTTCATTATTAGGCTCTCTAACTTTCCTCAAACAATACGTGGTTCAAAATCAAACTAAGTCTACTTTGATAGGATGCAATTAACCTCATAACATAGATAAAACAATGCGACAATAGGGTATATGATATAAGGATTGCGGAAGATCGAGACCACTCATCATTCATAGAGGCGACCTAGAGTGTAAACTACGTTAAATTGAAGTTACATTAGACTGGCGACCTGGCATTGAAGTCTTCCCATTCACCTCTACGCACGCCGCTAGCACCGTCACCATCGATCGAGCACTAATACATGACATACATGACCCAAAACGCTCATGAAGGCGGGAAAACTCCCTTGGACCCCTCGGGTGTCACCAACGTGCGACTGGGCCCATCTTCTACCGAGTAGATCACGACGAGATACCGCAACATGCTCTGGCGCGACTGCTGCTTATCGAAGGTGATTTCCGGGCTGAACCCTTCGGGGTCCTTGCGGCGCGCGTGGTCCGCAAGGTTCTCATACACATCGCGGCGCGTATCTTCGGAGATGCGACTGTTGCCATAGAACACGTCCTGGATCCAGATAGAGTGCTTGCGCAAGCCGCGCGCCTGGAATCTTCGCAGGTCCGCCATTAGGCGAGTTGAATCGTCCTGAAGCTTCTTATTTTCGGCCGTCCACGCGCGTTCTTTCTCATCGAGAGACTGCTGGATCGATGCACACCGCTTCTCCAGATTTGCCTTCTCCTGCTCCAACAGCCGCTGAGCCGCCTCGCTTGTCTCTCTGGCCTGTGTGGCGATTGACAGCTGGCTTACCGCAGTATCGTGGCGCTGGACGGCCTGGAACCTGTCCTGTTCAGCCTTTGCAACCGTCTGCTCTCGTTCGTGGAGGAGAAGGTCGAGCTGGAGACTGTGTTCAATGGTCTCGTGCTTGAAGTGGCAGGACATTTCTGCGCGCTTGACGGCATCGTTCCGCTCCTTGAGCAATGACTGCTTGAGCTGGAGCTCTAACGCGAGGGTCTGTTTTACGTCCTGCAGCTGGATCGAGAGATCTCCGAAGCGCCGCCAGATATCGTCTTTGTCCTGGACTGCCACGTCTCGCTCCTCTCGTGCTGCATTCCGATCACGAACGGCTTCCTTCTCCTTACTCCAGGCGACATCGCGATCCTTCTCAACCTGCTGACGGGCCGTCACCGCTTCATTCTTTTCTCGGGTCGCCCGTTCCAGCTCTTCCCTGACGTCCCGAATGCTCTTCTGGATATGGGCAATTGCATCTTGTGAGGATTTAAGCTCCTGGCTCTTGCTCTCCAAGCTCTGGCTCAACTCCTTAATCAACCGCTGCTGCTCCAGCACCTGTGAGTCCGCAGCCTGCTTCTTCCGCAGAAGCTCATTTCTCTCTTGCAAGAGCGTCTCATGCTTCCGCTCCGCCTCTTCCGCAATCCCCTTGAGCCTTCGCACATCCGCTTCGGCCGTGGTGACTGACTTCTTCCACTCAACGCAGCTGGTCTCGAGCAGCGTAATGCGCGTCTTAAGCCTCCGCGCCTCCGCACCCAGACCCTCTATCTCACGGTTCTTCTCCAACAACTGGCCTCTTGATGCCTCGCATTGAATGATCGCTTTATCTCGCTGACGCACTAGATCTGCAACCGATTCGCGAACGTTCTTGAGCTCGCCGGCCAGGCGTTTCAGCTGCCGCTGGGCGTCCTCACGCTGTTTCTCGGCTTCGGCATACTGTTCCTCGGCGAGGATTCGCGCATGGCGGGCAATATCGAGCTCCTCGGCAATGCCTCGGATCTTATCCAAGAGCTCGTCGCCATTGTGCATGGCCGCGCGAACGTGGCTTTGCAAAGCATCTCTGATGGCGATAGCCTCGACGTGAAGTTCGGTGCGGATCTGCGAGACGTGGATCGATGAAGTATAGATATCTATACCAGAAACGGGGTCCAGTCCATTGCTATCAGACATGGTGACGCCCTGACCATGGGGCTGCACTTGGCTGAGGTTGTCATTCAGCGTTAGTGCAGAGGATAATTCCTCGGCCCATTTTTGCGAAGGGGCCTCGTCAAGAATGCTGGTAGCTGTGACAGGCTCCATCTGGTCTCCGGAGTTAGAATTTTTGAACTAAGATGGGATTTCCTAGCAGCAGGGCGTCTCCAGGTGTATATGGTGCAGCTGATGGCACATGCCCCGGGGGGCGATTGATGCCATCTTCCTCCTAGGAAAGTACACTAGTATACTCTGAATTTCTATGCCTTTAAAGCGACGGGTTATGATCAATAGACAGGCCAATCCAGCCCGATAATCACCTTCGTTCACCTTGTCATGGGGCGAGTCAGAGTGGCTAGTAGAGGGCGGAGCGGATATCCGAGCGACCGGATATCGCCTATACCTGCCAAAGGACCTTCAAAGGGGATTTGAAAGTGAGAAAATCAAGAGATATTCAATCACATCTGACCACCAACCAACACTTTACAGGTTCTTTGACGCTCGGTTGCTTTGGCGGTTCTGACAATCTCAGGTGTTTCAGCTCGGCTCTTCTGACCCCGGGCGCCACATGCAGGAGTTCGGGCGAGTGCCTTGTTCCTGAATGGCGCGGTGGGGCTGTGTGAAAAAGGCTGCATAATCGCGTGTTCGCATTGAAAAAAACCTAGAATGACCGAGTGCATCCATTCTGTACTGAAGTTCGCTCCCAGAGCCCTGCTTCTCCGCACTTGACAGGCAAGCGCAGCCATCAGGATCTGTCAACTCGGCATAGTTCACGCACGGTTCTATGTGAAATACTACTAAAATCTCACAAAAAGAGGAACTAGCGGCACTAGTCGCACTAGAGTAACGATTGTCACATTTGCGGTAACTATTGGAGACTCTCGGGGGTCTGGAATCTCTTGGAAACTATTCCAACACATGATGAGGATGAGACACCCCAAGAAAGCTACTGCTACTTGTTCATCTTGATGGCGATCGCCTTCAAAATTGCATCCGAGTTGGTCTCATTTCGGCCCTGTAGCAGGGAATTGGTGTGGAAATTGCCATCTCCGAGTAGGGAGCGCTCCGCCACACGAGTAATATTTCGCCCGTCATATTGCAGAATGATATACTCGTCTTCGCCAGCAAGAATCCTGTAGGTGATTTGATCTTTCGGTCTATGTCAACAAAGCAATGAGCCCCAGCCAGGACAGTGTGGACTCACCATGCCGTTTATGCAAGCTCCTCAGATATCGGGCCATCTGCTTCCAGTTCTTCACGGATTGAATGTTCATCTCGCGCTTGCCCTCAAATACGAAGACAGGTCGACCGTCTGAGACCCGATAGACGACTAAATCGACCCGGGAGCCACCACGACCTGCCTGGGTCGTCCAGAATTCTGGGGCAACAGTGAACGTGGGGAACGGAAAGTAGGCCTGAAGCACACCGTTCCAGATGCCGTTTACATGCGCTTCGGTGATTTTGTGTTGGCCACTCGGAGCATCAAATTCGGTAGCGGGAGTGTCAATCATAGATAGGAACGCAAAGCGGGCGTGCGCGAAAGGGCTGTCTTCTATCTCCATGATCAGGCTCGTTGTTAATCTTGTTTCTGAAGAACGAACTGGAGAGTGAAGGAAATGCCATCGGGATCCTCTTCTATGCCATTTCCAGCAGCCATGCCTCGTAATTGATAATTCCTAGCCTTTCAGAATGCAGTAGCATCAAACGTAGGGGTCGTTCCTCAGTGGAGAGCAGTCCCGGGCCCCGCACTATAATGTGATTCACCATTGGCTTGCGTATCATGATCTTCAGCTATTTCAGCCGACATAAAAAATCTTTTTTCCAGCTGGATTCAAGAAACCACCCGAGCCGAGTAGGAGTTCCGGTCAGAATTGGCGACTGCAAATATATCGACCATTGGTTCGTGATTTAATCTGTTCAATGTGACCTAACGGAGAGGCCGAAGAAGCCGAGTAGAATTGCAATTCGCCTCGGGCTCGATGCATCGCCAGGTCCTCGTATGAGTGGTTAAATACCCTAGGATATGGCTTCTTAGACCTTGAATGAATTCAAGACAATTCTCTGCCGGCATCCAAGATCTTCATAGTGCTCTCAAAACCTTTCATATCTTTACCTGCCTTGATCTCCCACAAATTCCGAATATGACAGATCTCCTTGGCCGAAAAATGCCCAACGGTCGGGCCTCCAAAGGAGTAGAAAAGCAGCAACCTGTCAATGGAGTAAAGAAACATGATGATGGAGAGCCAGAGGAGGCAGCTCTACGCGACATCTGGCTGATCAATACCCTTAATGAGTACGTCCACATTTCTGACCTTTTTATAACAAACCTAACTCAGTATTTCCGCTCTGAAGGACCCTTGCGGCGTCCTGGGACCTCGAACAGCCAAGTCAAAAGGAGAGAACAAAGGTGGTGCGGCACAAGCGCCTCGTGGAGACTGTCAGCCCGCTTGGAGACCGACGTGTCCGAGTCAACAGGAGAGATTTTGCCCCAAATGGCAAATACCGCGCAATCTGTAAGATTTTCATGGGCTATGCTCGAGAGCCTGAGACCCAGTATATCGGCACCGGGTGGCTCATCGCCGATGACATTCTTGTCACGGCGGGCCACTGCCTCTATGACCCAGCAGGAGGTCCACTCAAGTGGATTAAGGCGTTTATTGGCTTTGTAGGCCCGGAATCTAAAGCCAAGAACGACCCAAACTGTGAGATGCGTCTTGGAAAGGTTGCCGCTTTACCGGCCGAGTATATCAAAGCGCAGACAGTGGTTCATGACGTAGGATTTGTGTGTTTACCCCCTCCCCTTAAACACATTATTGTTATCGACAATTTCTAACCTCAATCTAGATCAAACTTGACAAACCCTTCTCTCAGCCTAAAATTTTCGAGTACAAAGACACTCCTTCCGTTGCCTCGGGAATCGAACTCGGTGTTGTTGGATACCCCGGCGATGTCGATGGCGGAGATAATATGTATGAGCACTGGGCCAATAGCAAAATCAACTTGTCCCGTACTGGATATCTGTCATATAAGATCGACACAGAAGGTGGCGAGTCGGGATCACCAGTTCTCAAGAGAGCTCGCCCGGGCAAGGGGCTTGATGTTCCCAGTAGGTGTACACCACTCTTCTCTCTGTTTGATGCAAATTTGTTAAACTTAAGTAGTTGGTGTGCATGTGCAGGGTGGTTATCCCAATTCCGGGTCTGTAATTGGACCGCTGGGAAATATTTTCTCAGAATACGTCAAGGTTCTGCACATCAAGCACTCCAAAGGCAAGCTCCCAACTGGTGTTACCAAGATTCCAACTTCCCAATCCCTTGGTGTTCGTGAGTTCGAATTTGTCCGCCTTCCCGCGAGTGGGTCTACATCATCAGGGTCAAAAGATACTAGGGACTACGACCGCAGCGAAGGCTCGGATGAGCAGGCTGACATCCGATCTCATGAAGAGGATGAGGATGAGGAAGAGGAAGCCGAAAAGAAATGGGAAGTTGAAGATGGAGAGGAAGAAGAAGAAGAAGCAAAAAAGGACGAGGATGAGGACTACGAAAGCGAGATACCCAGTTCCCCAAATGCGCGTCTTACTGAGGCAAAGAAAGCTTTGGACCGCTTGCAAGGGAAACCATCACAGCTGTACACCATTGATATGGGCGGTACCAAGATACAGGTTACATATGAAGAGCTCCAGAAGCTTCGCTCTCAGCTCACGTCGGGAAAGAAGATCAAGGCTGCACTTTCGACGCAGCGACCTGAAAAACTCCCAGCTAGATTCTGGCGCGAGTCCGGTCCTCTCCCTGACCCTGCAAGTGCTGTTTCCGGAAGTGACCCCAAAAATCAAGATATTCAAACTACATACATGATCAACTTCCCTCCCGAGCTCGATGGCGAGGGCGCAGAGGTACTGAAGAAGATCAAAAAGAGTGTGGGCATATGGCAAGCCTGGACCTCTAGTATGTGCGAGCAGAAGCTCCAACAGAAAATTGACAGCCGTGAGATCCCAGCGGACAACGCAGCTTCCTCAGTTGCTCTGAGGGGTAGCTATCGGTCCATGATCTTTGATTTTATTCTCCGTGGAAGCACTTGGTACGTTAATATACGAATGAGGAGAACATTTTCCAATAGGTTGCTCATTCGCCTTTTATAGGTTCGCCAAAACGTACGACGAAGTTCAGACTCGCACAATCTCTTGCACCAAAGCAGAGTTCCACATGCAACTCATCTCGACTGTGCTTGCTGGGTTCGCCGTACCATCCTCTGTATTCTCAAAGTTGGAGGTGGCAATGCAGTCTTTGTCTGATGGTATCCTCAAGATCTCCAAGGATAATAAGCAAGAGAGTATCCAGTATTGGATCATGTTAACCCGATACGATTACGACCATTACACTAAAACTGTTCAACCAGGTAAGTTTTCCAGCCTTATTACTAATTGTCAACGGATATTAATCCAAAACCACAGTTATTCGAGTGATCAATTTCAAGACCGACTCAAGCACAAGCGAGTACACTGTCGGCAAGAGCAAAGTTAGCAGCATCAACATGAAGTTTGTCTTCAATCAATACCAGTGCGATTTCAACTATGATATTTTCTCGAAATTGGAGCCCTCGATTTCCGGCGAACAGGTCAGGGCTGGCGAGGAGTTCATCGGCCGGCTTCTCTCCCTCAACGTGGACGTTCCCAAACAGTAAATTGTACCGGTTCCCAACGCAAGTGGATGTGAAAAGTCTGCTGACTTCTGGCAGAGTTTTCCAACAGGAAAATGCACTGTCCAAGGATTTGGGAAACGTGGTGGATGATCTTGTGCGACAACGACGGGAGAGGGATATTCAGGATTTGATGGAGGATTATGACGAGTACACCGGACTTCTGGCTCTTATTCGTATTGTCATAAGGAACATGGATGGGTACAGTCAAAGTTTGTCAACGGATTCGATCGATATTGCAATTGAAAGTTTATTTTCCGCACAAGCGTCCATGAGAGAAGAGCAAGATCGGATCGTCAATGTCGTAAGTGCCTCATGTAACTCAGTTATTTATCAAATATCAAGTTTTAATTTTCCCACAAGATGTCTCAAATGCGAAATTCAGAAGCCTCGCCATGCACTTCTTACACGCCCCCTTCACAATGGCGTAGACGTCTTCCTGTTCGTATACCCGACCACAGGACAAGGATTGAAAACAAAAGTTATCGATTTACTGATATATCTCTTTCGCTATACAGATTTCTAAGACTAAATTCAAAGGGGTTCCCGAAATGAACCCCTTCAGGGACAATTTTTATGATGGGCAATCACGCGTTGAGAGGCAGTATCTACGGGAAAAGGCCGCACACAGCCAGAATATTCTAGCTATCTTGAGCTGGCCCTGTTGGCAAATCGCTCCAAGTGTGACCGCTTTGCTTCAAGGATTTTCATTGCCACCCGGCTGGAGCTTCTCAAATTACTATGCAGGGAGCTGGTTCTCAGTTGATGAAAACTCTTGGGATACGTCCGAGGTGAAGCTGATGGACATTAATCCAAAAAACTTACATTCCAGACCTCAAACTATTATTGCATATTATACCAACACGGCTATAATTGGACTGGAGTGTGTTTATGGAGAGAAGCATGGCTCTCTAATACACGGAACACGGGGTTTGAATACAAGGTCCTTCGCTGTGGGTGGGAAAGCGATCAGAGAAGTAGCTTTTTGTGCAGTCGAGATGGATGAGTGTCCTTTTGTGTCCTTTTCTTTAGGAACTAGCCAGACGGGCAAAGATGACGTGGCGTCTCTTATTTGCGAAAAGAGCTTGAGTCCCGATGGAGAGGCTGCGGATCGGGGATGGAGGGAATCGGCCCCAGATGGATGTTGCTTATATGGGTTTTGGTCTCAGAAGGATGAAAGGGGCTTGAAAAGAATTGGGTGGCTTTACGGTCCGGAGTAAAAAGCATATATAAAAGTTTTCTCTGAATAAAACATGGTCAATATCTACCGTTGATTGCTCCGACTTCACTTGTGAGGATTTGTCCTCTAGTTTGGGTTAAGGATTCTCTTGCTTTTGGGAAATATTTAAAGGTCTTGCTTATTTATTCATCAGGTAGTCAATCTCAACTTCTATAAAGCTAATATAGTGCAGTATATTGGAGGTTACTTATGTCTATGATGAATGGGAAATGCTGAATGAACCTTGGGCGACGTGGAATGAACAGGACCTAATGGTAGATGCCAAGCGCATTTTCATGGTTCTCAGCCTCGCAACTGGAGAGAGAGACAAATTTTATAGGCTAGTATTTGAACACGTGTCTCTAGATGTATATTTTGCAAGTATATCATTTTAATCATACCCGAATCACCGACGACGAGAAAAACCAGTCATATAAGACTAGACTTTTCTGATGACAATATTAAATTACGTATAATATGCAGCAAATTCGAGTCCTCCACATCAATGTCCTGTCTTCAACATACGCAATGTTCTCTTCGGCATGTCTGGAAGTATATCTTTGATGCTCGATTGGTCTAACATGCAGCCTTTTGCTGTTGAGGAGGAGACTCGATAGTGGTCAATATATATTTTCCATCTGATCTATGAGTCAAAGACTGATTTGGACCAAGCGCTTCAAAATAGGTTCCGGGCTCGAGAATCTTCGTTCGAACAACACTGTAAGATGTTGGAAAAGGACTAGGAGGATTTTGAGTGACGATTAATGGATTCTCGGGAGTCCTGAAGGGCAGATTCGTATTTATCGGAGGTGGCCGGTGCTTCCATCTCTTCTTCCAGTCAGGGTCCTGCCATACAACCTCAACACCGCAATTTCGGGGTGGAGGGGGGCCAAAGTTCTTCCATATCCGAAGTCGTGGAGGACCACTCCAACTTTGCGCCCGGTACCCATAAAACTCACTATGATTTTCAGCTATCTCGTCACAGCTGACAAAGTCATCCGGATACCTCGGTTCAGAGGGCGGAGGGCCCCACTTGCCCGCTGCTGCTGTGGTTGGAACCATGCATTCTTGCTGAACTTGAGGCATCTTTTCTCCTGCTCGTGTTCCACTCGATCTCCTTTCAAAGAGTTTAGCCAGTGTCATCGAAGTTGATGTAGATGGGCTCTTCGTTTTGAAGTATTTGCTATGGGAAGCCGATTCGCTGTCGCCTTTTCCTTTGGCACCAATTCCTAGCCACCCAAACATGAGTATAGACTGAGCTTCTGAATCAGCGAGGGAATATGTGTTGAAACACGGTCATGAGCAAAGCTTGGGGCTTATCCTCTGCAATAGGACAATAGAAAAGGCCCCCCGAACTTGGATTTATATGTTCAGTTCTTTTTGTGGACCATATAGGACCTTTGAATGTAAAACCAACCAATATTGTTATTATTATCGAATTCGCGCATTTGATATCTCATCTGACCCATAAAGATCCAAATCAGGTTAAGGCTTCAAGAGAGGAACGGGGAGCTATATTTTCTCAAATATCACAGTTTTTTGTCTTTTGCTCTAGTCCTCGCGGTGCAAACGACTGACATACAATCTTCTTGGTATGATATGGTCTAGAAATCCTTACACTGATGGCAAAATCTCTTCCTGAAAGCTGTGACCTATCTATAGCTCCCTAGCTTCGATTTTGCGGAATATCCTCGTAATTATAACAGTCGAATAACATATGAGGGAGCTTTATGGGCCAACCAGAATTTCGTGAGGGATTAAAATGGATCAATAGAGAGAAACTGGCGGTTGAAAAACATTCGGGATTACGCGCGCGCCATTGAAAAAAAGGTGATCTGGTGTGTATCAAGAATTTGTATACGACCAACTTAGGGGGCGGGCGGGTATTTGATAAAATTAGATCACAATTCCGCGCCTCTCCTATGTCTGTTGGCACTAAGCCACACTCGGTGGTTCTATTAATTACTCGCTATATTATTATCTGCGATGTAAATATAGTGAGTGGTCGCATCCGTGAGTCATATGAAATTGCCCATAGGTCCATCCATGGATATTGACAATGACCAGAAGCCGAAAGTAGCAAGAAGCAAGATAGTCAGACCTCAGCGTAGAATCATCCTCTTATGATTGCAAATGCGCTTCTCGGATGCTCTTCCCCTACGTGAGCTAGCCAGAGTGCCAAAAGCAGACAATCAGCTATTCCATATAAAAAATTGGCAGGCCTCCTTTATTCTGGATATCATGAATGCGTAACCGAAAAAAAGACTTGTTTGCATTAATTCAGTTACTCTGGTTTAAAAGTTTCCTATGTTGTTCCATGTGTCCCCACCACGAAGAAACTCTTGTCCTTGAGAAAAGAAGTTGGTGGCCAGTATTGAAAACTCGTCATTCGTAAGAGTCAATTGCTGCGGAGAAACCAATGAGTTAGGCGGATATCCTTGTGCCCCAGATAGAACAGCATTAGCATTCAAATCGTGAGGCGGGAAAATTGAAGACTGCTCTTCCCCTAGACGGGTTGGCTCTGGCAGAGGCGATGTCTGTGAAACTTCTGCCGCGATAGGTGGTGGCCCTGTGTACAGGGAATCTCCAAATAGTCGCCGAGCGGAATCAGCATCGCTATTAGATGAATACTCCAATATCTCCCAGAATCGGGATAGGTCAATAAGGAGACTTTGGTTTTGCGCTCTAGAGTCTGATTGGTAGGTGGCTGAGACTGCGTCCTCTAAATGCTGCAACCTCTGTGCCTGTATTTGAAGTGGTAGTTAGAAGTAGGGGTCTCCAAAGATGCTGGAGAGGAACACTTGCCAGACGTGCCATATGCGGCCACCTCTCTCCTATTTGTTGGACAAACTTGACACATTTGGTGAATCTGTCGCGCTTTTGCTCCCTTATAGTGGGATTGTCCGTAAAGCTTAACTGTAACTCGATCGTAGCCACAACAGCGGCACTGTATCCCAGTAGTGGATCAGATACCAAGAAAGATTTCTCCTCGAAGAAGTTGATGAAATGTATAATCCACGTAGTGTGTGAGGAGATTAGGTCTGAAGTATGCTGGAGAAAGATCTCCGGAATGGTGCTTCGAAAGGTGCGGAGACTAAGAGACAGCAAAAGCGGGTGGTTTAGGAGACAAAGCATAGTGTGGTACATAAACTGATTCAGGAACCAAGGACCCCAGTATTCCCGGTGCGCTTCTAGCTCTTCTAAGGACCTGTCACCAAGATTTGCTGGTTTGAATCGGTGTGTGAGTGGCATCCGGGTCTCAAGGTCCATCTGCAGCGCAATGATCTTTGAATACTCAGAGTGGGGAGACCAGGGTGGGACGTTGCTTGGTCGGCCACGAAGACGCACATACCGTGCAGTCCTTGCATAGGCCTCGCTAAGCATTATCACATATGCAATTATGCCCTGATCCTGGATATCGCTTCTTCGCACTTCGTGGGGTGATGGTCCTGGCGAGAGATCTTGAGCTGGGCGAGTTGCACTCTGGGGGTAAGCAGGGCCTGCAGCATCGGGAAAGTCAAGAATCGAGAATTCACCGCCATGAAGCCGCTTCAGGAGACATATACTCCAAAAGCAGCGTCTGCGTTCTTCGCGGTCAATGTTGCTTATTAGGGATCGGGCCTCTAGGCCTAGATTGGCGCACTGTGCGAGATTCATGGCAAGGCTGCTATGAATACTGGAACGATGTGTGTTTCCGTCTGCCACGCCGTCAGACAATCTCGTTCATGATCAAGATTATAAGACTCACTCGTAAAGTCGACCAAGCTAAGTAGACAGAGGCACTGGAGCGTTGAAACTTCGACTGGTCCTTCAGAGACTCGTTTCATAACGAGACCACGGGCTACTTCGGCATGACTGTTGACCATTTCTGTGAGATCTTCATTGCTGAGGCGTCTATGCGAGAAACGAAGGCTTAGAGCTAGAATGGCATAGATGATCTCGATATCTCGAGTTTGAAGGCTGGCGATAAAGCTGCCCCTATGAAAGAGGGGAAGAGGCTGCGATTCGCAGTATAACAAATAGAGCTCTGCTAAAGGAATTATTTCTTCCCATGGAGGCAAGATAGTAGACGAGCTCATCCCTGATGGGACTATGTCTGGCGCCTGGGACTCGCTTGCTAGAGAGAGATCGCTTCGTGGGCTGGAAGGGGTTAGGATTCGATGTTGTGATTTTCGAGAAAGATAAGACTGGAGGTAGTCATACCCTACATGATGAAGCACTGCACTGAGCTTATCCTCAAGGCTTCGTAGTCGGTCTTCCTAAGTCGCGGCTAATTTAGAGAACTTCAATGAATCTTGGGTTCAAGGGAAATACCAGTGTCTGTGACGAAGGCACGCCCATGGTATTGGACCTAAAAGTCTCCTCTGGAGGTAGCGGCCGACGTCTTTCCTCTGCATAGAAGCATTGCTGTCGTAGTCTGGCGCACAAAGAGCAGACAGGCTGCTCTCCTGGGCATTTGGCCTTTTTGCGTCTGGAAGGCTTGTTAATAACTTATCTGTGCGGGGTGAAGCGTGATCTGACCTGCATGGCTCACAGGCCTGCCGGACTCGTTTGGCAGGACGTTCGGGATAATTGGATTCCGGTCGATCCATTTGGGAAAGGTTTTTATTGGTAGACTGATGTGGTTTCAAATGCTATTTTGAATACATGAAGTCGAGGCGTTTGTTATTTGTTGCCGAGGACGGCGGCTGAACTCGCTGATGTGAAATTCTGGAAGTCGAAGATGATCATAACGAGCATTTCAACATACCATCATTGTCCAGTGTCCTTACTGCCCTCAGACCGAGTCGTGAAGTATGAACCCAACTACTCATTGCTGGCCGTTCCGCCGCTGCAAAACAACGGTGAACAAATAGCTGACTCAGCATACCTGGATCCGGCATCATCTTCAAGGGAATGGCAGAAGCCATTTCGCTATGGAAAGTTTGTCCAGACCGGTGTCCACGAAAAAATAATAAAGCGTATCCAAGAAGAAATTTTGACAGGGAACATATTTGATGACAGCAAATCTACGCAGCTCTAGCCGTATGGCGATATTCTACGCATATACGCCAGCAAGAGAAAGCTGGCTGCGTGCGCTCAAAAGCGTTGATCATAGGATGAAGAGTTCGTGAAGTTGGTGCAGATTTAAGATTCTCCAGATTTGAGGCAACGATTCTTGAATTGGCGCTTGAATCGATTTTATGTACAGCTCCAAATCATCAGTGTGCCTGCGAACCCATCTATTCCACCACCGGAGTAGAAATACACCGCCAAATAGAGCCTATCCGTCACTGCTCTTCATCGATTAGCCTATCCAGGTATGGCGTCATTTATTTCTCGCCGAACCAGGTCTTGTGGCCCTATTAAAGTAGTCAGTAGGTGTCGTGACGAATTGGCTGTTTCTGCCGGTGCTGTAGGATGCCCGAGATGAAAAGGAAAGTGCGGTTTAAACTCACGAAGACCATGCGGCACATGGCATAGGTGGTAGCTGTACTCTGAGTTAGGCTCCAATACGACAATATTTCTTCAGCTCGAGAGGGGTCACATACCAGCACCAAGGCCGTAGACGGAGATCAGGTAGGGGTACATGAGGTAACCGCTACGGGAGGTCTGTTAAGGAGCAATTGATGTCAGAAAGTCGTGCCATTGGGCGTTTGCGAAGGTGATTTATTCGGTGCGAACAGACCTTCCACCATTGGCGCTTGCCGTCGTGGTTCTGGAACAGACGCTGGTAGTGGGGGACACGGTTCTCGCGGAACACGAAACTGTACAGTATGGTGAGTTAGTCAAGTTCATCGGTTGTATTAAGATCCGCAATGTCTGTGGAAGTAACAATTGCAGTTGACGCAATTTCGATCCCTCGGAAGAACCGTGCCTTGAAACTCGGACATGCTGGAATGCAGAAAGGTTGTGTCTTGGAAAATTATGCGGGAGTTAGGATCAACGTACCCGGCCATGCGAGGCACAGTGCGGAACATTTTGGCGGTTGGGGGCAAGAAGCGAGGTTGGGGTGAGGAGAGAGAAGGGCGATGGCACGATGTCGTGAGGTTCGGGAGAGCTGTAGATTGGTCATGTGACTTCCCTCTTTCTTCCGCCCACTCACAAGGTGTGCTTAGTAAACGGTAGTGCTGACTCAGGCTTCCAGAAATGGGAAAGCGTCATTTGCGGCCTCTGGTGCGGAACAGGAAGCTTGACACGATTATTCGACGCGAACCTTTGATTTTTTCCAACTTGAAAGAGAAGGATGGTCGACAGGTATTTGTTTTCCATCCTTCCTTGCAAGACTAATGCGACCGGCTCTTCTTCGACTCCTGAAGAGGCCGTCCGCCGTCTCGGTTCTCGACTCGCTCACAGCAACCCCGATTGGAATCGAGCATCTGGGACCTCGATACATGCGTTTACGGTGCCAATCGCGATGCGCCAACCAGGAATATACCATCGATGATACACATGGTGGCTTTGCAAATCACGTCGATTCAAGTCCGTCACAAACTGCAGACGAAGGGCGGCCCTTCAGCTTTACAGTCCATGAAATCGAGGCACCGAAAGAAAGCCGAGTCTCGCGATCCTTAAAAGATCCTGCACTTTCAGAAACGGCACACGTTATCAAGTCCTTGCAGCTACAGCCGGAAAGGCTTGAATTTGAATCCGACGTCGGCCATACGAAAGACCTAGGCACACGCCTGATAGACAATCCCGAGTATGGGCATAACTTCGGGCTTTGGGAGGAGCTGTTACGGTTTCGGCAGCGACACTATGGGGATAAAGGCACTCAGGATATATGGGAGGGGCTTACAATGCGACTTAATGATGTTCGTCTACCAGTGACTGGTGACCATGCTGATTTCCTATGGCAAAGCTTTGTCGATATGGGTTTAAAGCGTCCACTTTTGCTGAAGGATGTGATGGAATATGCGATTTATCTCCATAATACTACCGGAAATTCTTGGCTGCATCTATACGAGGGCATTGTTGGAGGATTTCTCGCCCAGGGAAAGAACACGCACGCCCACAAGTCACATCTAACATTGTTGAAGCACGGACTAGCTGGTCCAAATGATGTTGTTCGGGTTCTGCGGCACACTATCTCAGCATCATCTGTTCCAACTGTCATGACCGATTTGAACCAGGACGCCCCGTATCCGTCCTCACAGTCTCGATTAAAGGGATTTTTGAAAATCTGTCGGGGTTCCAAAGGACACCAGATATATGGATCTGCCATCGCAACAATTCTGCAGCATGGCGTTGGCGAAGATGCACTGTTCTTGCACAATTTTCTTGTCGGAGGCGGAGACCATCCGAAGACCATTCAAGATATTCAGCCCTTGGTGCAGTTCGCAAACAAATACGGACGTGACGATGAAATCGAAAGCCTTCGGGCTTATGTGAAACAAAGATTTGATACTGAGCTCGATCAGGAGCCAGGTGATTCAAAAAGAACAAAGGAGGGGAAGCATTTCAAGGATGACATTGCTGCGAGGTTGTTCGCTACTCGAGCTCTCAACTTCGACATGGTTCTCGGCGGTCTGAAGATGCTTGGTGTATCAGCAATCGGCCCGAGAACATTACGTGAGCTTGCAAGTCGCGCAAATGGTAGCCAGGATGTTCTCGCTAAGCTGAAGATGCTTCGGCAGGCCGGCATCTCGATTGGCGACTCGGTCTTCTCACGGCTGGTTCAGAAGCTGGCACAGCAGAACCGTGGCATTCTCCTTGCCGACCTACTGCAGAGTGACCAGCACCCCGATGTTCTGGGTGACACGCGAACACAAGAGTCATTTTTAGTTTCATATTACATGGCTCGTGACTGGAGCCAATACAATATGTCACTCGCCATCCTAAATGAGCTTTGCCCAGACCCGCTAGACCTTCTGGATATCCATTTTCGCAAGCACATTGCTGCTGGAGAGTTGAGTGCGGCCTCTAAGGTCGTGGATGAGCTGGCGTTACGCGGCAAGGCATTAAGCGAGGACAGTATACGGTTCATGGCAAGCCAAGTTCTGACCCGTCGTCGACCTGGGCATCGGCCCCGCCTATCACCTGGAAAAGCACTTCGCACCGATCGCGAGGTCATGTTCATATTCCACGTACTACAGCGTGTGGTTCCCCTGGGAGGTTATGTCCAGCCTGCCTTATGGGTAGAGCTCCTCAAACGATTGGGCATGGAGAATTACTGGAACGAACTTCGAGAATGCTGCCTTTGGCTGGTCCAGCAGTATGGTTCATCTCCGAGTAAAAAGCCCTGGGAACCCGCACAGTCCTCCAAACTAGCAGGAAGTCCACAAGACGGCCGAATACTCAAGCTCATCTTCACCATTCCCATGCAACGTGCCATCGCCTCATGGGGCTTCATCTTCCCGGTGACCAGTGAAACCGAGTCTAACGCCATCTATGTACACCCCACTACCGGTGAAAAGTTCATCCCTTGGGTGCGTGGGATCACCCTCTTGCGGGAGCTGGAGCAAGCTGGCCTTCACCTCCACAAATATTACATTCTTCAGGCGACTCGAACCCGGATGGCCATGGTCTTTGGCCGCTACAATCATTCGCAGGAGCGCATGAACCGTATGCTCCGACGACAGAACCCGTATTCGCTACACCGGGTGGCGGGGGAGATTCTTCGAGCATGGGGGGATCCAACTTGGTTCCATGGCATCGAGCCATCGCACCTGGAAAGACTGGTGAATCCCCGACGAACCGCAGGGTCCTATCGGCGTTCTGCCAGGGTCATTCTGCCGCGGCGACGAAGTCGATAATGTATCTAGAAAGCTGCTGTACATAATTAGCAATGGTTTCAATGGCTCTCTTTATCCCTATACATGCTAGACTATTACATCTAGGTCACAGATGTGCTTTCGTCCGATCCAGCTGTCTACCCATCTTACTGTTCTTACTCCCCGCAAATGCATAATCAGGGCGAACTACAGAGGTAGCAGGAGAGGAGACATTATTACTTTGTACAACAACTTGAAGTTCGTGGTTGATCTTGTAACCACAGTGTAGGATATCCATGTCTACCCCAAGTACCCATCTCATAATGCCCGATATAATTCTTGACGATATACAAAGCAGGACTTGGTGTCTACGCAGGATGATGTACTGCGGACGCGGAATCTACCAGTCAGAATCCGCCACTCCGACTTTGCAGGGATTGTAACTCGGCCACCCGTCTTGGAACGATCCTCGCCACCGCTGATTGGCACTTGAGACGATCGCCAGACGACTGCCTTCGCGGTAACCTGGGAAGTGTGCGACCGCTCGACTTGGCACTGACGGGGCCTCGTATTGGCCAAGGAGGCTGTGCCCTTGGCCAAGTCAGCGGTCCATCGCTCTTTTCTCAACTCGCGGCCTGGCCAGTTCAGCCAGCGACCAGGTCATAATCAACTTGACGCATAACCTTTCCTGCCTAGCGGCCACCGTGCGGCTCTTGTCCAATCAGGCCCCGACTTCGCCGCTGGCTGGCGGATGAAGATCCACGATCTAAGAATAGTTGAGACGGCAACGCGGCCTCCGACCCGCAATGGATCGTCACTCTAAACAATGCATTCCAATTGACCTCCCCCGGGGTTTATTATTCTAGTTGTTCTGTCACCTGTCCCTCTGGACGAATTTCATCTTCCGTGAACCCTCCGGCCTGCCTGTCTGTCCGTAACAGAATGCGACTTCTTCGTTCTCTGCTGTTGCTTCTGCCGGTGGTGCTGGCGAACCCGCTCAGCGCCCGCTCCAACTCCACCGCCTGCAACAATTCCCCAGATCTCTGCAGCAAGTCCTACGGTGAAATCACCCATCTGGGCGCCCACGACAGCCCATTTGTGCGTTCCTCGGACACCGGTGGTAACTTGGCTGGGGACCAGTATGTAGAATATTCCCAGTTCCCTACCCTCCATCGTCCATTCTGGTGGAGGAACATCCTCGTCAACAAACTGCTAACCGTCGATTGTCCGCGTACAGATACTATGACACCCCGACCCAGCTGAGTGCGGGCGTACGGCTAGTGACTGCTCAAGTACACAAGGACAATTCGGAATGGCGTCTCTGCCACACTTATTGCTCATTGATGGATGCCGGCCTTCTAAGTGACTGGTTGGCCAAGATCAAGACATGGCTGGACAACCACCCCAATGAAGGTACACTACACCCGCCCACTGATACGAATCCAGAGGATCACCCTGACTCGTCTTCTCATCATAGTCGTCACCATCATCCTCGTCAACTCAGACAGTGCCACAGCCTCTGAATTGAACACTGAGTTTGAGACCGCCAACATCACCGACTACGCATATGAGCCTTCCTCGCAAAGCTCCGCCCCATCCTCATGGCCGACTCTACAAACGATGATCGACGATGGGAAGCGTCTCGTCGTCTTCGTGGCGTCGCTCGACACCAGCTCGGACTACCCATACCTGATGGACGAGTTCACCTACGTCTGGGAGAACAACTACGAGGTCACCTCGCCCTCCAACTTCACCTGTGAGCCGCAGCGCCCGTCCTCACTGTCCGGTTCGATCTCCACCGCCATGTCCTCCAACCGCCTCCCCATGATGAACCACTTCCTTTACTCGACCGACCTCGAGTCCCTCGACATCCTCTACCCGAATGCCAGCTACGTCGCCACGACCAACGCCGCGTCCGGCGGCACCGGCAATCTCGGAAGCACTGCAACCAAGTGCAAGAGCGCATACAGCGGTCGCCAGCCGACTTTCATTCTGGTCGACTTCTTCAACCGCGGCCCCGCGATCGACACCGTCGACAGTCTCAACAACGTGACCAATGCGTCAGGCCGTACGTCGGTCTCTACGTCTGCAACCTCCAGCAGCTCCGGGTCGACCATCAACAATGTGTTCAAGGGCCTGGTCGAACTGGCCAGCTCGTCCAAGTCTGGCGCCAGTACCAGCATGGGCGACTGGATCTGGGTTGGCGGCAACTGGAACAGCATTTTGGGAGGAGGCATTTCCTTCTAAATACGTTGCAAGCATGGAGGGAATCAGCTTTGGGAACTCCTTGGCCCTTCTCCCTCCTAACACTTGTCAAGTTCATCTCTCTATTTTCGACTCAATATTCGTGTCGTGCAGCGTTCTGTTAAATTCTCGGATATTTCTTTGCCGACTCCCTCTACGCGTTCTGGATCTAAGTCCAGAAAGGAAGGCTCAGATCACGCCTGATGATGGGCCCTGGTACATAGCTTGGGTATGGGACGGTTTACTTTTGATTTTTGCACTTTTTTACCTTTTTTCCCCCTCTCCTTTTCTTGGAAACCGAAGCGGGTGGTTAGACACGTTTGCATTGCACCCGTACAGGAAAAAAAGGACGGCGTTAATTACGAATGGGTTTGGGCGGGACATGACTGAAATGACCTGTTGTTTTTGTTTTAAGTTTGCGGTTATAAATGGGCAGCTTTCCGAATCGATTTCTTGGACTAGCAACTTGATATGGTATCCTTGTTTGTCCCTGTACTCCAGTCGGAGATAAAATCATACGACACGTCATTCTTTGGCTGTTGAACGATGATTGTATAGATCGTGATCTTGAATGTCGGTAAGAAGTATTCTAGCTATCCTCTACTTCGAATCCTGGCTCAGTAGCTGCCGCACCTTGTTCACTTTATCCTCAAAGGACTGCTCCTTATCTGTCCTGCAGAAATTGAACACTCGTCAGTGGCCTGGTGTCGAGGCGGGGCATGCGTGCCCAGGGCCGTCCAGCCAGAGGGCAGGCTGCTCATCGCCCCATAAATAGTGAGATGGGGAATGCCCTTACCTTGATCCAACCCGGATATCAGTTTGGATGCGCACAATCCCCTGCTGGTGGAGGAGGGTATGGGCCTGGCCGATTACCTGATGGACTCGGTCCCAGGGGCCTTCTGTGTGACGGGAGGAGGGGAATAACGAGTCAGCCGGGAGGATCATTCGGCTTCTAGATTTGATTCTGGGGGAGTTCAGGAACCTACCAAGCGTGGTACCCGCAGAATGCATGACATACTTGACGCCGGACTGCTCAATCAGCCGCTGGACGTCGGCGATTTGGGCCGAGACCGAGGCCGACCCAGTTCCGATCTGCGAATGCGGTGGTTAGAAGTGGACTTGAGCGTCAACAGTACCGAATTGAGATATCTTGAAGGTAGAGAGAGTTGGTCTTTACCGGGATCAGACAGAAGTCAGCGGTGCAGTGGGCAGGGGTGGGGAGGGTGTTGGTGTCCATGGTGATGAGCGAGAAGGTTGGTGGCAACGATCAAGTGCTGTGAAAGACTCAAGATTCCACGATGTTCAGAGGGAGTCGATATGACAATGCTATTGGAGTCTCGCTGGACTTTGAGGGGGTGGCCTCTGTATAGATCCGATCGACCAAAACATCCGCACAACTCGGAGACGTCGTCGGGGCCGATTACCTAATGGCTCGTGTCGACTCGAGCTTGAAGCTTGAAGCTTGAAGCTCGTCCGGTGGAAAAGAAATCCTAACATTCAAGATATAAAGAGCAGATACAAGGCGTCAAATGCAGGCATTAGAGCGTATCCGACACTCAAAATACTATTCCCGTCCATTCCCCTTTTTAGGAGGGAATGTTTATGGTATGAAGTGGCCTGCGGAGACCGAATGGGGAGGGGCCTAGTGCGTCGTCGGATCTGGATTATTTTGTGCCTGTTGCTGTCTTTTAGTTCCCCCTAATTCTACCTCGTATGGTCGCGACTCTGCTTCATCGCTATCAGGTCTACTGATATCTCCTTCACGCTTCTATATTTCATTATAGAGCTCCACGGTGGCGTCGCAGGGCTGAAACACCCAACACTGACAATGGACCATGGAACCACCCAATCCTGGAGGACCGGGACATGTTTCACGCTCTTGCATCAACCACCGACCGTGCGGGTATTCGCCATTCTCTCCATCTGTTTTGGAAGATACCACAGGGCGTGATTTCGGGTCCGCGTCGTACCTGAGATCAGAAGCCGACCGAAGAAGACACCGGTCGCGGCTCCTCAGGGCAGCGCCACTGACGCTGTGACAAACTGCCCATCTCAACCCCACAGCCCCAGTTAAATCGACTGCGAGACCGCTAGACCCTGCATGCCATCCAGGGCCCCTGTGGTCGGTCTCTCAGCCTTTCACCTCGTGGGGGGTTCACTTATCGCTGGATATCGCTCCGGCCGCGGGCGACCAGACTCTCAATCACCGCCCCGGGCTGATTGCGTTTAGTTCGGCACCGCTCTTCCCCATTTTCAACCCGCAACGCCTCGCGCTCTCGGCCACATCTCCCGCCTTTCCTCGGGCCCATAATCGTCCGCGCTACTGATGAGGCTGGCAGGGACCATTCTGGATCTGTCCTAGTCCCAGTCCCCGGACATCTGCATTGCCGATGGTCCCAGTAGCTTGTCTCGCGTGACCAACCAGAGCCAATCGAGTACAGCCCACTCTCGACCGCTCTTTAGGAAATCCACCGATAGTCATCATCTCCGACACCCCTGTTCGGCATTGACTACTTCTTTGGCGACAATTCTCAACCAGATTGTGCCCTGCCATCAAGTCATGATCTTGACAGCCTTCTCATTGCCTTTTCGATCATCATCATTCGTGACGAATGACCAAACCCAGCCTCCTCGAGCTCCCTCGCGGAGTTCAGCTCGTATACCTGGCCGAAGGCGGAGCTAATGTGATCTATCGATTTGTGTCGTCCGTCACCTCCCCCTGATGGTCAATGGACACTCCATGGGGCCCTTGGTGGCCTCTGACCCTGGCACCGTGCCTCCTCAATTCACTGGAAAATTGCTTCGTCTGCGGAAGGAGACCGCGGCCGATGTTTCATACACGGAGATCGTCCAGAATTTCAACACCATCGTGCGACCGCTCTTCAGGCCCGAGGAGCTCATTGATCAAAGCCTGACTCGGCTGCCCGAGGGCCTTATTCAACGCTGCAATGAACAGCTCCTTGCGGCCGAGGTGGATGGGACGCGACCCAAAAAACGGCATGGGGGGTATTTGTGTCCGGCCGAGCCCTTCGGACTTCTCATCACGGACATGACCACCTTTAATGAGCCGGGGGCAACACTCGCTGAGTTGAAACCGAAGTGGTTGACGCAGTCCCCGTCGGCACCTTCGACTTCACGCCGATGCCGCACCTGCGCCCTGCGAGAGATGAAAAATCATGACGCGTGGAGTCTAGGACACAAGGAGCAGAGATCTTTCTGCCCCTTGGATCTCGTGTCCGAAAGTTATGAAAAGGTGCTCCGTGCAACAACCTTCATCAAAGGGTGCACCGACCGACCTCGCCTGGCGCGTATCTTGTTCCGAAATCCTACCCTCCAGAAGCTCGAATCTCTGCAAAAGTCCAGGCGTGAGGTCGGCTTGCTGGGGCCCCCAGCACAGTCTCGTGAGAAATCCCTCGACATGACTCTTCGGGATTGCACCATGTTTATCAAGGTATGATCAGGTTTCCGTTCTCTGCAGTGTCCTGTATGATTAACAGCGATCAAAGATTCCCCAAGACGAAAAGTTGCCTGTCGAGATCCGCCTCGGTGACCTGGATCTGAAAACTGGCGCCGGGGGCAAAGCCAAGTATTGGAGAGGCCTCGAAATCCAATTGATTGACGGCGGCTGGTACCACGGATCCAACGACAGTCAAGATCCCAGTGAATGCACTCTGCAGCATTTCGCCCAGTCATAACTCCCTCTTCTTTTTTTTTTTATTTTCCTGCATGGCAACTTGTCATTTGATATCTTCATTTGACGTGAATGGGAGCTATTCGACTTCTTCATCCCTTGTCCAGATGTTAACGATTTTCTTTTCACGTCATATAGGGTGGCTTCTTCTCTTCTTAGACCATTTCGGTGGATTTTGAAACATATTTCTTGTTCATGTGCTTTCGGGTATAATTTTCACGGCCTACGGGTGGGTGGGGGTATATGATATTTCTAATTATTCTCTTTGTCATAAAATATAATTTGACATCACATCTCATCATTATCCAATAAATAGACTGTGTCCGAAATTTCATAGTGGAATAAGAGTACAAGAGGTATGACCAAATCCCGAAAACACAAGGAGGGGAAAGAAACAAAAAGAGGACTATAATCCTCGGCATGGGTTATATAATACCCTCATCCTCTGAACAATATACCTTGCTGCAATATGGACATAACCAAGAACACCGGGGCGCACAAAGGCCGGTTAATCCCCTCGTATCTCTGGAGACAATTTGCTTCTCTATTAGGACGGACTCAGCAGGCTCTTGAGGATATTCGAGTTGCCTCCCGAGGAAGCATTAGGCACACCCGATGATGATACAGGTGCGCTAGAGGAAGGCATAGATGCTCTACGTGTCGTGGAAGTGCGGAAACCCGATGAAGAGGAGTCCAGCGCCATTGCCGCGGTTGGCTTTGTGATCGGCATGGATGTGGACGTCACCGATTGAGAGGCCGGCATGGCTGATTGAGACCCAGCCGGCGTTTGACGGGGGCCTAAGTCGCGAAGAGAGAGTTTTCCAACGTTCAAGTGAGGCACGGCCTGTGCTGCGACCGACCCGGTCAGGAGAGCCAGACAGGCTGCTGTGAGAATGTTTGTGACATGCATTGTGACGGAGGTCAAGAATAACAGGATAGTGTGTGTAACTCTGGATAATGCGGAGACACGATGATTGTGTGACAAGCTGAGCCGAGTGGATTCAATCAGTGGGTATGAAAAACAAGCTTTGCTTTTAAGATTCTCAGCCAGAAAATAAGTATCTTTATACGGGACATCTCTAATTGCTCACCCTGAAGCCCCTTGCGTAGTAGGCTATATTGACTGCGGGAAGTGATGCAAGGTCCACAGCGAAGTGATATCATTTATCGATCTTGAAAATTAAGTGCTGTAGGGTGTGTTGGACAAATCACTTTAATAGCGTCGTTGATCTGACGATCTTTATTAATCACACAGCGAGTCTGAAACAACACAAGTGCACAGTGTAGAATGATAGACCACCAGCACTAGAAGCTAAATGAACAAGACGAACTGTTTGGGCAACATGAAAAACAAATTTATAGTGGAATAGACTTTCATAATAGAAAGTCATACAATGGGTATCCTTGGTTTGCATCATTCAAGTAGAAAGGTCGGAAATCCAGAACCCAATGTTCGGTGCTCCAAGCAGCTCATAATTATTCTGCAGGGGCGAGAAAAATCCATATTATCGATCTTCTGCATAGTAGAGTCTAGTTCAAGCCCACGACTGGTGTAATTTCTGGGAGGTCAGGTACCATAGGAAGCGTGGGGGCAGCCTGTACGGAATCGGTTGGAGTCGGGATGTGATCGCGAAGGGTCAAGAGGTCTTTCAAATCAATCACAGGCTTCCCACTATGGATGAGATCATCGATGAGGTGAATTTGAGCCGTGGCCCTGCTGCTTAAGAGGGCCAACGTAGCAGCAATAAGTATAGGTGAAAGATGCATGTCAGGCGGAAGTAGGTCGGGAAGTGATCTGAGAAGCAAACAATAAAATAGGCTTGATTAGCATGATATTCGCCACTGAAAAGACGGTTTTAATAATGAACTCTGAGGCTGATGGAATCCGCATTCAGTAAGACAGCCCGAACCTTGATATTTCGTGTTTCAACACGATTGCAATCTAATTGTCGGTGGCTGAGAGTATAAAAAATCTTGAATGAAAAAGGACCAATAAAACAGTGTACTTCGACTGTCCACACCCCCGGAAGAAGCGCTTGGAAATACAAACGAACATTCAACTATATGAAAGGAACTATTTGACCGAAAACAGTGGGGATTGAGAGTTTAGTTCAATATTCCTAGCCAGTCTGTCGAATCCGGTATGATGTGTGTGCGCATTCCACACCTCTGACAGTTCCGTTACCGTCGACAAACAAACAAGGGATGAAAAGCATCATTTTCTAGTTCTCCGATCATATTGGATCGCGTTGAAAAACTCCAAATATTTTAGAAAGGAAGCCTCGGTGGAAATGAAAGCAATTATACTCAGCTTTAAAAGCGAAAGCAGAAAAAAAAACAAAGCTTGATTATTGTAGGGCAGTTGCCTCAGAGAGAGCGAGTACGTCAGATAATCCGGTTTGAATCAACCTTTTTAATTCAAATACGCAAAAGTTACATAGGTTCGCGATCTGTTCTTGTAAGGAACTTCTACTGTTCATATACAAGCTCCTAGGGGGCTTAAATCGCATACGACGTGAATAAATCTCAAGTCGCTATATCTACGAAATTGACATTCACCAAGGGTTAGCTTATGCCAAACTTATCAGGTCAGAGGGATAAACTCAAATAGAAAAGACATTCCTTAGCAAGCAGCATTTTGCAAAAGAAGCTGGGGTGCGTGAGGAGCTGTTTAGAAAGCAACTGGAAAGAAAGTGGGTTTCTTGGTAGCTGGGGGAAAATCACACAATAATATTCATGAACATGACTCGAAGAAGATTAGTTACCACAACTTCAAACCCTTCCCTCCTCAAAACAGAGTATCCTATCAATTTTTATGGACGGTTTCTAATAGCAATCAGGAGATGCCAAAGTTTTACTTTTCTTTATCTTCTCTAGACTACCATCTTGCACTAGATCCTACAACTAATTGCCTACAGGCCACTCCCATAAGATCGACGGTGATAATGTATTCCACCGATTTTTGTTTTTATATGTATTTCCAACGCGAATTAAAAGGTAATAAACCCCACTACCACTGATCAATTATGCACCTGGAAATCCGGAAGTCCAATTCAAATACGACATTCATGTAAACAGATAAATAACTCCACGAAATTCCTTCCCTTGCTATCAATGCGAAATCGGCATGATTGCTTGCGCCCACTTTATTCTTGATTAGATAATTATTTAACCAGTTCGATATCTCATTCTTTTGAGGCAAAAAAGAGCCAGAAGGGTGAATGAGGGTTGATTCTTCAGGCTCCCTAGGAATCACCTTCCTCGGGAGACTCCTGTCTCGGAGTAGGCCTCAATCGCTTTTCCATTGAAGGCCTGAATGGGAAATTTGGGTTTGCAAACGGGTCGGTGGAGGCAGATGCCTCGGGAGCTCCGGATGAACTTGGTGTAGGAGTTGGAGTTGCAGGCACTGATGCTGGAGTAGAGGACTGGGCCAATATTGGAACTAGCCCTTCAAGTTCAGCTAGTATGTTAGGACCTCTTTTGGCATTAGCTCCAGAATCCTGAGGCGAGGCGGGTGCCTGAGTTCCAGAAGGTGCAGGAGTTGGTGACGGGGATGGGCTCAAAGAAGACCCTGCCAGCTGTGGAACCAGTTCACCTAACATTCCACCCAGAAGGTCGGATCCTCGTTCAACTTTTTGTGGAGCTGAAACTTCTGTGGGTGCAGGCTCTCTTCTCCTGAGAGAGAAACCTCCCAGGTTCAAATGAGGTGCTTCCTGAGCAAGAACTTTGCCATTCAGCATGGCTAAACCAGACAGCATTAAAATATAATTGAGCTGCATCGTAAAAGGATCCGTTCAGCCTGATCCAATTGAATATGTTTTGAATGAGCGACAGGAGATTAGAAAATAAAGGAATGTAACAGTAAGTATTTGTTGAGAGAGTGAATGATTTCTGGGATAAATCAGGAATATGGATCTTTTATAAAGCCATCATAATTGCTACTTCTTGGGTGACAGAAAATGTCTTGATCGCCAACAATTGACGTGGCCTGCATGATCTTTTGTAATGCAGTATACATTTACCTATTGATGGGATCATCCTGAAAAGTTACACAGATAGTCGATATCTTTGATGAGCTTCAAATCAAAGACCAGATCGACGAAACCTAACTTGTTCTACCATAGATTCTATTGAAGCAAAGCAAAGTGGTGTGGTATAATCTCAATGCCAGCTGCGGTTCCCAAGGTAAGAGATATAATGTCTTAGTTGAATACGTTTTTGAGCTAATGAATTTGACAAATTGGGATTTTCGTTGGGTTCATTTAACATCGAGTTAGGAAGAACCCATTCTTTCTAATTATCATTCACTTGGAAGGGAGATTTATTTCATCCATCAGACAAGGAAACCAGGCCGTTGCTCAATCAGGCTCAGCAGAGGCAAAAACAGGGGCTCTTCCGTGGGGTTAGAATCAGACCTTAGCTGGGCCTCTCCCTCAATACGAAGCTCTTCCCAGGATGTCCATTTCCAAGCCATACACTTTTCTGGCTCAAGAACCTTGATCGGGTGTTAACCAGGACATGTCAAGCAAGAACAGGGAAAGCAATAATTGATAATACCCACCTGCGGCTGAGCTAACTCGTCTTTGACAATCGCGCTCATGAATACAGTGACGTAATGTTTCCCTTCGGTTTCAAATATAGTGTTCGTAGCTGTCAGGAACTTCACATTGCGAATGTGCAGTCCAGTCTCCTCCAGAATTTCACGCTCTGCACAGGTTTCGAATGACTCGCCGAACTCGAGATGCCCACCAGGCAGAGCCCATGTACCTGCATCAAACCCTTTATCAGCTTTCTTCGTCTTTCATGTATCGCACGTCTACAGGGTGTCGGTGGAGCGGTGTCTGAAAGACACAGGATTTCAACCTGGAAGGGTTGATTTACCAGATCCATGGCTCCCCTTTCTCTTTCCTAACACAAAGTTGCCCTCCGCATTCAAGACAAAGACGCCGACGCCGATTCTGGGTTCCATGATTGAATTGAGACGGTGTCTCTGCTTGGGTCTGTGGTCGGAGAGAGCGTTTGAACTTTGATCTGCAAGGGGATTCCGTGGGGCTAAAAACCGGGAGCGGGGCAGCGCGATTTATCGGTAAAGGAAGGAGAAAAGAACCGCAAAGAGACTGATTTAAACAAAGAAAGCAGCAACCATCTTGCTTGAGATATCGCGGTGGCTGTGCATATCGGGCGCAATACTGAACCTAATGACTCATCTCTGACGCCTCACTTGTGGTACCATTAGGTAGTTATTAGTTATAGGTGAACTTGACTAAGCTAGTTTGTTGGTTGGTTATCGGTCTTGGACGATCGGTAAATCATCGGCAAGAGATGATGTTATTGAGAGAAGAGGCTATCTCAGTCAATAGTCACTATTACATATATTTCAATATATAACTCCAGCAGAATAGGTTCAAGTATGGTCAAAAAAAGGCCTCGCTCACATTTTTCCCGCGGGCTTTCCAGAGTAATAATACCGGTTCAGGTCGTAGACTATCTCTGGCCCTGAAATTTCTTGGTGCCGGAAGTCATAGAGTAAGCATAATGAGACAATACAAAAATAAGAAATGTAAGTGTTGCAAAAGCAGTGAGATACCGAGGTAGTTCTTTCTTTTCATAGTTTGTTATTCAGATCCAAAAATCCATTCACACATTATCACTGAGATCGCAACGACCTTGGCCAAGAATTAATTAATGGCTGCTGAAAAGTAATTGTAATTGTTCCAGATACTTACCAATGATGAATCTATCCCAGACACAATAACTAAATCCATGGCTTGCCGAAGTCCTCGTTTCGAGCCTCGCGTCAGAAATAGCCTTTCGTTGTGGCGTATGCTTTCGTTTATCTCTGCAACCCTCCTGTCACCATCGATGACATCGAGAAGTACCAGAGCTTCGCCTTGTCGAACGACTTGCAATGTCAGCTCCCTGTCCGTGTCTGTTTTGAGATCAATGGCGGCCATATTTTGAAATGAAAACTTGAGACTCTTGGTGCTCCCGGCCAATCGCGGTTCCGCTTCGGCGATTCTCTCGTCGGCTCCTGGCATGGTAATATACCACCTATAGGGTATACTAAACGCGGCCTTTCTGTGCAGGTCAAAAAGAGGAAGACCCGATGCATCACGAAATTCTCGGCATGCACGATTGTCGTACTTGCGACCGGTGACAGTGTATACGGGTATTCCGTCCTCATCTACTACTTTGTATGCGATGGCTGACTCAGGATTGCCCTGCGGCTTCAGTACTAATTCGGTTTTGGAGGTGACGATGCTTTCCCTTCGGAGAGCAACCTCGCGATCAGGCGGTCTCAGAGAAGTGCGGTATTTGGACGATGATTGATGCGACATACGCGCATCAGAGTATGAAGTGTATGACATAATGGTGTTTGTTGCGATTATCGTGAGTGGTTGGTTGGAATATCGCCCAAAAGCACCACAAGAGCGATGATCGTTGTGAGAGAAATTGTTGAATATCGAATTCTCCGTTGATTAAAACATGGTATGACTGTGCCCAGTGACCTCATCTGTTGGTTGATGGGGGCGATTTGATTTGCGCCCGGCCAGCGACCAGTAATCACAATTTCCATGGACCTTAAAAGGCGGTGTTTGGGCGGTGCTCGTACTCCGAAGGATCCCGCCACAGTTCATTGCAGGCAGCCCAGAAGCGGGCTGAGGTGCTCAGCCCTGAACCTTAGTTGGGGGGGGGGGGAGGAGAAGAAGCCTTGCAATAGAAGGCCTATCATAATTGTCAGTGGGTAGTTTGAGTTGGCGATTGCTAGGCAGCTGGTACAGAAGTAAAATCATTGCGCTGGATAGGATATGAAAAGACGATATTCTCCCTCTTTCATTGAGGTGTGGTCTCTACCTTCCTCGACTTCATGTAATCGTTCATCATGTAGCCGAAGTCGGCTACTCGAGCTGCGCCTTCAAGCCGACCCAAGTAAGATTGGAGGGGCGGATTAGTAACACATCTTTTTCTCGGCGGCATCATCTAACTAGCTTAGGTCTGTTTATTGTCATAAGACTTTCTGTCATAGTCAATTTGTACGGATCATCATGGCCGCCATATTTACTGTCCAGTCCTTGGATCATCTCGTACTTACGGTCCGGTCGATTCCGGAGACCGTGGCGTTCTATACAAGTCATTTAGGCATGCGGCACGAGGTTTTCACCTCGCCCGCCAACCCCGCTGTGCAAAGGTAATACCAGTATTTATAAATTGACTGTGTATCTATTAAGCTAATATATCCAGAAATGCTCTCCTTTTTGGAAGCCAGAAAATCAACCTTCACCAATCGAAGAAGGAGTTTGAGCCCAAAGCGCAAAATGTCATGCCAGGAAGTGCCGATCTGTGCTTCTTGACGGATGAAATTGTGGAGAAAGTCTTGCAGGCATTCCGAGAAGCGAAAATCGAGGTATAAGATATACAGCGATGTGTGATAACTTCTTTCTTATGCTGATGTTCTGTAGGTTCTGGAAGGTGGTAAGGTTGTCGAAAGAACAGGAGCCATTGGAAAGATTCGGAGCGTTTATGTGAGGGACCCTGATGGAAACTTGATCGAGTATGCTATTAATGCCCCGAGCTCCTATTCAATATCAATCATCTCTAATTTAGTGCCATGACAGGATTTCGAACTATGCATAGGCAGCATTAACGATTATCCTCGGTCTTAGATAAATGCTTCGAAGCTATTTCATTTCAAATTCAACCAACAAAAAGCTCAGGACTGTATACGTTGCATGAAAAATATTCAGTAGTTGAGTTCAGATTATGCCAGCAGAGCCCAGGTCAGACCACCCATAATAATAGGAAGAATTGTATTCTGCTGAATGGAAGAAGCCGCGCCAGTTGTTACCCCAGATGATGATGCAGTGCCCTGAAAGGATTTGTTCAGCACCACGGTTCATTCTCTTCGAGTACCAGATCAACATACCGTTGCAGAAGCAATTACATTTGCTGAAGTACCTGTAGTTACAACTGCTGTAGTTGATGAGTTCTTTCCAATGGCGGTGGCCGTAGCTGCTATTGCCGAGCTGGCCGAGGAAGCACTGGGAGTAGCATCATCATTACATTCCTTGGCAGCGGATTTCACTTCTGAGCCATAATATTTCCAAATATTATATGTGAGTGCACATTCCAGGCATGATTCGAGGTCAGAGGTGAAGGTGGAATTATCGCAGTAGTCGTCAGACTGGGATATGAGAATAACCTCTCCTATTAGCAGTATATATCAATGACACGTCTCGTGAAAATAAGGCTGCATTTTCAAGACTATAGCTTACCACATGCTTCATGACAGTTGTATAGCGGCGAGCCTGGAGTAATGTCCTCCCGCTTGTCGAGAACGGAATTCGGTAACTGAGCTGTCAAAGCAGAAGAAACAATGGCAGTAAGGGTTGCTGCAAATGAAATCTTGAAGTAGTGCATTCTGACCGATTTTGTGACAGTAACAGCAAATGGTCTCAAATTGAAGTAAATTATTTTCGGGAGAGGGATGTGCCACATGAGACTAAAAGTGGTGCACCACTGCGTTTTATAATGATCTTGCATCCTAACTGATCGGAGATTTGATGCCTACCTTAGTGGTGTCACTTTCTCAGAAATCCTCTCGGGAAAAATGCCAAGCACCATTTAAGCCACAATACTCGAATCCCCACCGGGCTAGCTCACCCTGGTCACTTTCCCCTCCGGACATCACGATTCTACTCGACTTCTTCTCGCCTTTGGCAGTCCTCAAGACTACACAACAAAAGGAATTAGACCTGTGCAAGGTCTTATGAATCTTGAATGTGAGAAATACTCATGATACTCTCATTAAGCATACGATGCACATTATCGGTGGGACAGCGGGACATTTACAAGAAAGGTTCGTGGCATCCTCATCGGTTAGAGACACAAATCGCTCTTGTCCCACCTAAAATGGACTTTATCTCCGGTGTCCTAATGAAATATTTATCATTAAAGAGATTGTTGCGTTCTGAGCAACTCCGGCCTGGTTTCGACCGGAATCAGCCGACAATTTTAGGAAGCGAAGAGGGCCACAGAGTTTAGCGCCAAAAACGGGCCACTTAATCTTATCAATCTAATCTCCTTACTCGGCGAGCAACCTTCCGGTCACAATTTGCTCGAAAATCCCTGTTAGAGTGGTAGCAGGGACGCACTAGATAATGGAGCTAAGGCTACACTAATGCTGGGAGTGAATCCATTTATTACCAGTTTACCCAATGGGAATCGTCTCGGTCTTGGTCCCTGCGTGTCTTACACCACACTGGTAACGGAACGCAGTTAATTGCCATATTTGCTACCCGATGAGAAAGGGCTCTGTCACATGCTCAGCGAGTGGGAAGACCTAGCGTCTTGGTAGGACTAATTCACTCGGAATATGGTAGCGACAAGAGCTATGGATGGGACTGAAAACCCACGGGTCGATTCACGGCCCCTCCCGCTTGCTCGTTTCCTCGTGAATTCGGTATGTTCTACCGAGTTCGCCTATGATATCGGAAATATCCGATCCTTCGGAGATAGAATATGAAATGCCTTTGCCTATATATAATGTTTGCTGTTGATCGGCCTTCCTTTCCCCTTATTCTTCTCTCTTCCATGTTAGTGTCAGTCCACCTATTCAGTTGTTTTCCATGCACTTGAACTTCCCGCCTCCAAAAAATTGAGATCATCATGCGGCAACATACAGCTCTCATGGCCCTTGCCGGCCTCTATTTCTCCTGCGCTAATGCTGCTGAGGCAACTGATATGGGCCCCGCGGCCTTCCTATGGCCGCCCGACCGAGCCTGGGGAGCTGCGCAAGATAACACCGCTCCATGCGGCTCTTCGGCCGGAGTGACGAATCGAACAGAATTTCCTCTTAGTAAGTGATATTCTCGATAATTGTCAATCAGCGGTATTAAAAATCCTAGAAAACGGAGAGGTCTCGTTAGTTCTTCAGGATGAATCCTACAACGTCAACCTTGCAGTTTCATACAGCAACGGTCAGTCCATCATTATTCAAGTCAAGTTATGGCAATGCTAAGAAGGATTCCCATAGATCCGAAAAGAAATGACGATTTTACCACTATTGTATCATCCAGCAACTTCCCGGATCTCGAACCAGGTCACGAGTGCTATTCGGTGCCAAATCCCCCGTCGAATATAACATCGGGCTCCAACGCGACACTGCAATTGTCATATCTCTCTACATTTGACACGGATACAAACCAGACCTACTATGCTTGCGCTGATATTACTTATGTCCCTCTCAGCTCCTTCACAACAAACGTTCTGTGCTTCAACGTATCGGAGTCTTCTTCTTCTAGCTCTAGTTCAAGCACCAGCACATCATCGAGCTCCTCGTCATCCAAAAATTCTTCTTCTCGCGGGCTCTCCGGAGGCCAGATTGCAGGTATTGTGGTAGGATGTGTCGCAGGGGCTGCATTGATTGCTGTCGCACTCTTTCTTCTATGGGGACGTCATCAACGCAAGGTTCAACGCGACAAAGTGGTTGCTGTCAGAATGAGTGATTGGGCAAACAACCCCCAGAAAGCAGGATCAGCGGAGTCAACTCATGTGTGATACTGAAAATGAATTTCATGCCCGCCCGACAGTTGATCACGAACTCATTATGTTAAGCGATACTGAATACGCATAATTTGAAGATCTCGTTATTTTGCCGTTATTCTCCTCTTTATCGTGAAGCCACGAGTGCACATATCTATGTCCTTTCAAATACGCAGCCCGAACCTGGCCGTCGGTCATTAATTCTTCAAGGTTATCAAGTATTCTAGGGTATAATACAGGTTCCTTATTGTAGCTAGTGCTGGTGTATTATATATTACTTTGCTTTACTTTATCAAAGTATTGGCGAAATGCTCCAATAAATGTGAGTCATCACTATAGGTTGCAGATGCCTTCCTCTCTACTTTTGCCAGCTAATAAACAACCCAAGAGATACCATCCGGTTCATTATTTCCATTAATTTCCAAAGTCCTGAGTTCTTTCCATATTCTACCAATCAAATGACGAATGATATTTTCTCCGGTATATGAAACAATACTTATTCGTTGTAATTCGAATAGCCTTGCTTCGGCTCCAGGGGCTTCAAAATTTTCGGCGGCTCATGTTTAGTCGATCCATATTATGGCTTTAAATCCATCAAAGGTTGAATATTGTACTGTATAGGACTGCTTTCGTTGCCTCGTGAGGAAATAGTAGGCCTGCGGCGAAGTAGAAGAAAAGTAAAAAGGCGAGCACGGTAGCAAAAGCACTCCCAAGTTCGACATCCACTCCTACTTCAGTCTTTGCACCATAGTATAAAGTATGAGGGCTTTAAAAGGCAAACACCGAACGCTTTAAACCATCAATCATTAAGCAATCAACCTTGACAGCTTAGTCAGGTACTCCGCAGCCGATTTAAACAAGGAAACAATTGGTTACAAAGTGGTTTCGAATCAGTAGGCTATGTCTGTACAGGCCGAACTCAAATCCAAATAGGGATGTATATGTCTTGTGAGCTGAAACCAGGCGATACGATCAGCATCATCATTCCAGTTCAATTGTTCTAACAATTTCCATACCCAAAGTTAAAAACGCCTCCGATAAGGTTATGTGTAATCTTTGATATCTACAAAAAGCGGAGAATTCAAGGCTTCTACGTCTTAGTATGGCACCATAAAAACATTTCGACCAATGAATCCCTCTCTAGTCGGTCATGGGGTCATTCTGAATATGTCGACGACCACATCCACTCATATGTTAGTGTGTTTCGGGAGCGCTCCTCCTTGCACTACCAATGCGGAATGACGTCGTTTACAGGGAAGCAACAGGATCGTCCACGATACACGGCATCATCCGAGCGCCGATTTGGGGGAAACGATTGGAAAAATATGAAGGGGGATATTGTCTCCTTGCGCCAGGCTGGCACGACGTCATCACGAATCTGGGTGGCTGGTATAAATTAATTGCATTTCTTAAATCACTCGTGCTCGCACTTGATCTTCGCTTGAACTACCACAACTGAAACCAAGTTAACGGAGATTATGCGTCTCCCATAATTGTCTTCTGTCAGCCATCTTCAGCGCTTGGGCCTCATTTGATCCCTGCTCTTTTCAAGACACTTACGCCACATTCCCCGCCTCTTTCCAGCACCATGTCATACTCTGATAATCGTCGCTACCGCGACGATCACGACCCTGATCGTCCTGTAGGTGGATATGCAGCAGATTATTATGATGACTTCCCATCTGGTCGGGATTCTGGTGGATCGCGTCACTATAACTCACGGTCGGTGCGACGTCCAGCGAACGAGCTTCGGCGTCGGGCATCATCTGTTGGCGGAGACCCGTCGTACGACCGTGGATATTATCATCGATCCCAGCCTAGTCATTCTCGGAGATACAAAGAATCTCGTAAGTTACTCTTTTGTTACTCTGTTTTGATACAAGGTGTTTTTGGTGGATCTTTGTGCTGACCGAATGAACCCAAGGCCCCCGACTTTCTAAATATGACTCTTCATCCGAATCGAGTCGCTCACCGCGCCGCAGACGTCGCCATAATTCTGGTACCCGCAGAGCCAGTGATCATTATGACCGTCGTGGCCGATACTCATCGAGCTCACGCAGTCGCAGTCGCAGCAGTGATCGAGGCCGCCATAGCAACAAACGTGAAATGGGCGAAAAGATCCTTATGCACGCTGCTCTTCCCGTAATGGCTGCCGGCGCTGCAGAAGCCCTCCGATCCCGCAAGGAGCCTGGTGAATGGAGAGGAAATAAGGGCAAGCATGTATTGACTACAGCTGTCACCAACGGGTTAATTAATAAGGACCCCAAGAAGCCCCAGACGCACCATGTCATTGACACAACCCTTTCGGGGCTCGACGGTCGCCAAGCCAGTAAGCATCGATCTCGATCTCAAGATCGAGATGGTACGAGTCGTACAACGAACGATATCAAGAAAATTGCCGCGGCAGGCGCACTGGCTTGGGCGGGAAAGGAGATATATGACCGATTTGACCGCTCGCGATCCCGGGCACGAGACCGAGGCTATGACAGTCGATATAGCGATGATGGGCGCCGCGGGTCCAAGAAGCGCAGTAAGAGTGTCTCAGATTACATCCACCGAGGAATGGCTGCTCTAGGTCTCGAAGAGAGCAATGACCGAAGGAGAAATCGAAGCAAAGACAGAGATGGTCGATCAGATCGCCGGGAGCGAGACTACCATCGCCAACGCGACTACAGTGATGTAGACAGAGACAGAGGTCGGAGTTTCCGCTATGACGAGTATTCAGATTCAGACGGGGATAGCGACTATCGCAGAGATTACCTGAGACGTGACCGAGGCTCCACGGATCTAACTCGAACACGTTCCCTGAATAGCAGCAAACCTCCCACCGGCGCTCCACGTTACATCGGGTACGCAGAAACTGCCTCGCACGAGGATGACTGCTCTTGTTCGAATAGTGACACCGATTTAGGCGACAGCTCTGACGAGAAAAAGAAGCAGAAAAAATTGAAGCGTGATATGCTATTAGCCTCTGGTTTAGCCACTGTGGCGAGCATCCACGCCGCGCACGGAGTCTACGAATCAGTGAACAAGCGCAAGCAACGCATGCAACAACTGAAGAATGGAGAGATCACTCCTGAACAGGCACGCAAGGGGCGCATCAAGGCTAATACGCTTGATGCGGCCAGTATTGGCATCGCCGCGCTGGGCATCAAAGGTGCCTATGGGGAGTGGAAAGAAGTTAATGAGAAGCGCAAAGAGACGAATAATTTCCGGCATGAGTGTGTTCGCCGTGCGGTCAAGCGCGAACTTAAGCGCGAACGAAGCACCCGTGGCAGCTCGCTTCCATCTCATCGCTCGTCGAATGAAACTCAAAATACGTTGGAGAACGGATATTCTGGCAGCCATAATGTTCTGTCCTATCATGATGGAAATCCGTACGGAGCCACAACGGAGACACCAGCTATAACCTATTAGATAGCTACGAACATTATGATATGAATGACGATACATGATTGTGATAAGATCACGGCACTTTGCAATACTCTTTTCTTTTTCATATTGTATTGACACTATCTTGAACACGATTGAGCGTTTGTTCTGTTATTCTAAAATCCTTTTCGGAATTCTAGACAGTTTGAGACAAACACTATATAGAAACAACACCCAGAGCACTTCAGTTTGACAAATACTGGAACTTTTCTCATCACCTAGATATGTGATCCATTTTAGATACTTTGAAGTGAAATCTATGGAAACAATCAAGAGATTTTCTTTCTACGTAATATTGTTGGCGGTAAGGCTATTGGAGCACAGCCTGAGTTAAAAATGAAACTCTCAGTCTCTCAACTTGCCTGCATTCTGGCAGTTTCTAGACATACAATTGATATGCCTGCTGCAGAGAGTTGCGTTACTGCTCCGGTTGACGACAATCTAAGCCTTTGTGTGACCCTATAAGCTGCACCCGGGCTCTTTGAACACTCTCCAAGTAAGCTGGTCAGAATTGAAGCTGAGCTTGGATCTGGACAGCGCTCGGCTCCCGGAACCCCTCAGGCAAATGGTTCTGTGCTTGAGGCCCGTACCTCCTCGTCTCAGATTTCATACTGCTCTGATACAACCTGCACTACCTGCACCCATCATAGTAGTATCAGCTCAAACTTGTGTCTGAGTGCCCCTATAACCCAATGTATCATTGTTTACGACTAAGACAATGCGCACACCCACAATTGGAACCATGCGGGATGCAATACGGGGATCACTGGATACTATAACTGTGGACCGCAAAAAGCCGATCTTAGTGCCTCCGGAAACAACTGTATTAGTATCCAAATAGGTTGCTAGATAATCTACATCGATAAGACATTATGAATTAAATGCGAGAATAGATATGGAGTTAAAGAGAGTGTGATTTTGGCAATTACATAGCTCGTCAGTAGGGCATTGATGGCTTAGGAACAAGTCTCAAAACTGCGTCTCCGTTTCCATCTCTCTGCCATAACGTAAGCTTCCATCCCAACCCTGAGCTTTCTATGAATGCCCATTTGATCTGCTGATCGTCTAACTGTCTCGAGCCGACTATTGTGACGCGCAGTGTAGATGGATACCATCTGACGATGAATTTTGCATCTGTGTTCGCGTCGTTGTAGCGCTTGACCGCATTGTTGAGCTCTTTTGCGACGTTGATGCCTGAAGAGCCAATGCTCTTCGAAAGTTTCTCCTCTGAGAATCCAATATCGGCCATTGTAGACTATAGTATTCACTTGCGATTGTGAGAAAAAAATCTTGGATTGCGAAGACCTCTTTATAGCCAAATCAGACGCCTGCATACTCCGTATTAACGTAGTCAATGTATTATAATATGGCGGTTCATCCTTTGATGTGCTAATATTAGAATTTTTTGGCAAGCACGTGGAGAAAACTTTAGGTCAATTATCTGTCATTGCCAATCAGCTCACTTTTGTATCAATCACTTTGGGGGGTATTGGTTGATTGGTGGGAAGGAGAACAATGCGCTGGTCTATGATGAGTTGGTTAGTGCGCCACGTATCCTTTGTGACATCGATCCACGGAGGGTAATAAGGAGAGTCCAAAGCGTAGATGATAGGCGATGACGAGCATTTCCCTGGGTGATCCGCTTTGTTAGGGTAGATCTGATTGGCGAGCTGTCGTGAACTTCAGCAGCGAATTGCCTATGGTTAGAAATGCTCGATCAGGTGCCTGACCCCTTGGCGTCTCGCCTGTGCAAAGTGATTGATAATGGCTTTAACATATGTTGACTAGTATCTGCTAATATTCTCAAAGGCGTCTCAGGAACCTGGCACCGGTCGAAGCATCTAAAATTAGTAACGCTATCTCGGATAGAGTCTTACGAGAGCCGACGGCGCAGCCGACCAGACCATGTCGCCTCCATGAAATGAACATCTACCCTTTCTCTGGCAATGGCTTCCAAACACTTAAATCGTCACAAGGCATGCTTCAAGATTTCAATGCTCATTATAATCTTCATTTTTAAGGGGCTGAAATTCAGAAATTTCGTAATTTTGAAATTTCTTTGTCTGGATGTCCGCTTTCAAAGATCAGGCCAGTGGGCTCATCAACCGAGTTCAAAGGAGCTCTTTACCAGGAAGTCAAGCTTTGGTTTGGAGCCGAAAACAACCATGCTGCTTGATATTCCTTTTACTGTGTTGTGAGAATTTAATTTCCATTCGCAGATGGGTAGGTACATGAGATATGGAAGAGTGGATAAAAGCGCAATAAATATATAAGGCTACCTCGTTCGCAGAGAAAGACAATCAGACACCTTCTCTTTTTCATATTCGTATGTCTCCTCCCTAGCACTCCTACTATCTCCTAAAGGCTGGACTTGGTTTGTAAACAGGTGTAGCCTTACCCTAGGTTCATTAAGTAGTCTCTATGCTAATTTCTAGATATATATCCGGAGCCTACAATATGGTAGCTTAATAATGCTTACTATATGATCTTCGCAAAGGTAGACTCGGATAGTTCGTGGCGTAGGTAGTGGTATTCCTTACCAATTAGTCTATAAAGATTCGAATACTAGACGATACTTCCTAATTAATTCTGAAGCTAACTAATATCCTCTAGGGATCACTGATATCCCTTATCTTCTCATTAATCTAGAACCGCTGATTTACTCAAACTCTATGATAACCTTAGAGCTAAGACTTCTACATACATATTGGTACAATTAACAAGGTAGAATCGATTTCCAGTCATCGAAGTTCCTTACAAGGTTTTCTTCCTGTAACCATTTAGGTGATAAATCGATCTGTATATTTGATTCTTGGTATAAGTATCGCCTAATCATTATGGGCATGATACGTTGCTCAATTAAAGGAAGAAATTTCTCCACTGCTCCACCACGTTCACCAGGCTCCATGTATGACGACATTCTTTGCTTGCAAACAAGGAACACAACCATAGGGCCAATGCCCTATCCTCTGCACAGCGACTTCCATTTAAGAATTTGTCGAGGAAATTTAGACCTTCATTTCAGCATTATGAGAACGTGAGAATTGCACCGAAATAGAAAACCCGTTCCTCTGCGAGATTCCCGCCCTTGACAACAGGGTGGTGTAGAAGAACCATGGCTTTCCCCGCGCAGAACCAATCTCTAGCATCAATTTATGGTCGCTGACACTCAAAGAAGCATTGATCCAGCCCAATGGAGTCATATTGGTTGTTATATTTCGATATAAGCATGGAGCCTAACGGACCTGGATAAAGTTTCCATCCAATACTTCCCTGCAGTGCACATCCCCACTAGTGGGAGCGCTCCGAGTGGTCCAGGTACGAAATGCCTTCAAATTACCATAAAGCACATCCTTCGCAATCCCTCATGATAGCTTCTATGATGATGACCTAATTTCCATGACTCTGAACGAATCATTGGAGAAACTGCAAACTTTTTTTTTATGTTTCAAGACGGGTCTCTGAGTTGCTTAGGATCTTTTTTTACCCTTCTGACTCTGCAAATGGGCTTTCCTGGCTGGTCGCTGACTATTATATTACTTGCATTAGATCCATTTTTTAGTTAATCCTTTAATGGTGTATCCGGCGCTCGAATCTTGGTAATCCCACCTGAATAACAGCGCTGTGGCCATATGGGATTCATCTTGGAAGGTATCCCAAAAGCCTTCCTCCTAGCCGAATCAGAAGGGCTCGGAACCAATTACCTGCCGAAGCCCCGACTTACCGGCGAAGGCACCGCACAGTTGATTTGGCGACTTCCGAGCTGCTGGAATACGTACATCTCGTTCATTCCCAGTCATGTCATTTGCAATTCCCGGCAATCTCTGGCAATTTAGACTTTAGGCTTTGGGATGGAAAATACTGGGATGGCAGGCTCCCTGCTGGCATATACATTGATAAAGCAAACAAAACCTTCATCTTAACCTCTCTATCCCCGTATTCCCACGTGCCACGTATTTCTCGGGCGGAGCCTCCAGCATCTTATCCGTGGCTCTGAGTCCCCCTGGTGACAGAACATTAGCCAGTCACTCAGTATTATGAAGAATATCCCCAGGAATCCCAGCCTGCCACAATCCACAATTCCTTTTTGTTCATCCTCTCAACGAATCATCCGCACCACCTGCTAGTTAAGCCTGCTACGCTTGAATAATCTGCCAATGGAGACCCCGCATTTACGATTAGAACAAATCGACCTTTCCCACCTGGAAGAATACCATCGGGTCTGGGTCAACCCCGCTACCACGAAATGGACGTGCGTCTCCCAATTTTCCGCAGTCAACGCGCTCCCCATCCTGAATAGCAATTGATGACTCTGAACAGTTCCCGTGGCCCCTCTAAAACTATTGAAGAGAGCAAAGAAAAGTTAACCGGGATTCTGCCTGATAACAATCGGCCCGGCGTCGACAACCATGTTGTTTTCATTCGAGAACCTCCGGCCGATGACAACGAAGGGCATTGGTTGATCGGCGTCGTTGGCGTTCATCGTACTGACCCGGTCCCGGAACTGGGGTATCTTTTCCATCCGTCAGCGTGGGGCAAAGGGTATGCAACAGAAAGTGTGGCGGCATTTGTAAAACACTACTTTACGATCAGGCCAGAAGCGAATGTCATCGAGGCCAAGGTGGATACGAAGAACTTTGCATCTATTAGGGTGCTTCAGAAATGTGGCTTTGTCGAGGAGGAAACCATCGTCGGGGGTGCTCAGCAAGCCTGGTTAGATCCGCCTGTTAGAGATCTTGTGGTTTATCGCCTAAGGAGGGAAATCTAGAACGAGCTGAATATTGGGTGGGGGGGCATCTTGTGAGGGTCGACTGTTCTGGGCTTGCGTCGTTCAAGATTAGCAATTTCAGCGAATATTACGGACCATGCTACATCTCAAGGCAGTTCGGAAAACCTGAAATCATAATGTATTGCTTCATTATTAACAATTAAGCAAGTGTCATTTGTCTATCGCTTGCTGTGGGACTATCAAGTATGGAACGCTAACCCAATGTTCGAGCATTTAATGATTGACGAGATTATATACTGGTCTCCATAAACACGGGCAATCAGGAAATTAATTGACAACAATCTAAAGAGCGAGGGCGAGGCCAAGAACGCCAACTGCACCAGCAATGCTCATAGCAACACCGCCAGTCGCAATAGGGGCGCCACCAGTCCAAGTCGCAGAGGCCTGAGTAGACGCAGCAGCAGAAGAGACAGAAGAGGCGGAAGAGACGGAAGAGACGGAAGAGACGGAAGACTGAGAGCTTGCGGCGGCGGAGGAGGAGGGAGCCGCAGTTGTCTGCGCAGCGCTGGAGCCGGAGGAAGAGTCAGTGGAAGTGCTGCTGGCGGCAGTAGTGCTAGCAACCCCGCTATCAGCGGTGGCAGAGGCGTCGATGAACCATTCGGTGCCAGCAGAAGTAGCCCATGCCTTGACGCTGTTAGGCAAGCTGTTGTACCACGCTGGGTAGGTGCCAGCCACGAGCTCGCTGATGATGGAGGAGCGCGAGGCAGGAATCTCGATATCGGTGAAAAAACTATCGGGGATGGCTGTCGCCATCACAGTTAGGATTGATTCTGGGATTTCGGACAATAGCGCATTGATGCTGCTTTCATCGGTCTCAGAGGCTGATGAAGAAGCTAAGGCATTGGCCGTGGAGTCTGGGGCCGGAGCGGCAAGAACCGTGGCGGAGAAAAGGAGGGCGGCAAGCAACTTGTACTGCATTGTGATGAACGATATAGCGCGGATGCGAGACAAAAATATGAAGTCTATTAGGTAAAGATGGGCTAAAAACGAGTGAAAAAGATTTCTGGCGAAAAAGAATGGGATGAATGAAGACGCTGTAGAGAGGAGCCGGCCGTAAGGGCTTTAAGTACAAGCATTTTGGTCTATGTTTGGGTTGAGCCTCTTCCTTGCCCTGGCCAGCCATTCAGGGTCCAGGGTCTTTCTCGATAGAATCTCTCGCTCGTGGCTGGTTGGTCAGCGTAATTAGTTCCGGGCGTTAGGGTTTCCAATTCAGGGTCTTATCACCGAGTCGCAGGGGAGAAAAGATTCTCGCCGTCCATAGCGCCGCAAAAGAGGCCCATTTTTCCCCATTGACCCAATTGCGGACCGTCGCCAAATCTAGCCCATTTTTTGTTTCTCTGAGAGGCACGTCCCTTCCCTGGCGCCAATTGGACTGGTTGCCACATGGACGCCATGATTCAGGCGGGGGCCATTGCTTGGTTAAGCGGCCCGTGGTGTCAGCCCCCTTTTCCAGCCCCTGCAGCCAGGATATTGTGGATAGAGAAGTCGAATGGCACCTTCGATTAAGCATCTCTATCCCGCATGCCAAGTCTCAGGGTCCAGAATCCCTGGAGTCCTGGTCTGGGTGACGAGAGACTGTCGCGCCACATCACATCTAAGGGGAAATGAAGGAATCCTGGAGGGAAACATCTCGAAATTGAGGCAGCACACGATTCGCCGTGAACCTCATAGTGCTATTATGTGTAATGCGCCGGATGCAATAGTTGATGGTACCCCTTTTCTATATTTGGTAAGTCTATTATAGTAGTAAATACGACCACAGAGCACTCTATTAACCGAGATCGGATTGGAAGTTGGCCCGATCGCGGATTACATAGCACTCGCAGAAGGCAAATAGAATGGATCGATCAGTTGGGCAGGACGCCCTCCGTCAGCAGTCATCAATTGGAGTTTGAAACGCAGAGAACCCTTGATAATGGCTGAGCAAAAGCAGAGACTGACTCCGCGTGCTCGTCATGAAGCATTATTCAGCAAGATTTCCGTATTTCCGCGAATTTGCCGTCATCCGGAAATAACTTGGCCCATCGCGAACTTTTTAGCTGACGCGCCGGCCGTGCGACAATATAAAGACAACGGAACCGCGCCGCACTGTCGTCTTGGCTCCCGAATTATATCCTGAGTTTCGTTCTCGAAGATTTTTCTAGACGTATTGCCGCGCATATATAAACCCTGCCATGGCCTCTCGCGCTCTTCGTCCAGCTTCCAATCTCCGCTGCATCTACCGTGCCCTGGGATCCACCACGAAGACAAGACCATCCTTATTGTCGGCCCAAACCCCGCCAACAGTTACCCAACAACTCCAACCCCTCCAAAGAACATTCGCCTCCTCAATTCCCAAATCAACACACCTCTCAACAGCCATGTCAACCGACGCCCTTGTCCAGGCGGCCCAGAACCGCCGCACGATCTATAAGCTCGGCAAGAACAGCCCCGTCCCCGACGCCAAAGTCGAGGAGCTTGTCAATGCTGCCATCCTGAACGTCCCCAGCTCGTTCAACACCCAGTCCACCCGTCTGGTGGTGCTATTTCACGACGAGCACGAGAAACTGTGGGATATTGCCATTGAGGCTTTTGGCGGCCTCGTCGCATCCGGCGTTGTGCCCAAGGAGACATGGGAGAAGCAGACCCTGCCCAAGATCAATGGCTTCAAGGCCGCTTATGGCACTGTACGTTGCCCATCCTGCCCAACGTTGCCTCGGAAGATAGACCAAATATCGCTCGCATACACCAAAGACATCAAATGGGAAAATAAAAAAAATACTAACCTTCAATGCCCCCTCTAGATCCTCTTCTACGAAGACCCAGCCCACATCAAGCCCTTCCAGGAGAAGTTCGCCACCTACAAGGACCACTTCGAGCCCTGGGCTGACCACTCCAACGCCATGCACCAGTACTTCCGTATGTGCCTTCCCTCTAACCCTTCCCCCCCCCAATCTTCCTATCTTCCCATTACCCCACTTCCCAGCTAACACTTTCCTCCTCAGTCTGGACCGGTCTCGAGACTCTCGGCTTCGGCGCCAACCTGCAGCATTACAACCCGCTCATCGACACCCTTGTCGCCAAGCAGTGGAACCTACCCACCGAGTGGCGCCTGGTCTCGCAGCTGGTCTTCGGCAGTCCTGAGGCCCCAGCCGGCGAGAAGGCCCAAAAGCCCGTTGAGGAAAGGGTGAAGATCTTCGGCAAGCAGTAAGCAGGACTCTTTTGTTGCTGGTGTTTTTTGACCCCCTGTTCCCGGCCCTCCTGCCTCATGCAGGCTTTGTGAATATGATGACTTTCTGCTGTTTATTTGGCACGCTTTATGGTAACGTGGCTGCAGTGCTCATTCGAGAGGTACGATAGACGCTAGAATCTAGAGCTTTAGAATAGAATTTGTGATTTAGCGATTGTGCTCTGGTTCTTTGTACCTGTGTAGGGTTGCGAATTACTTCCGGATGTAATATTAGACACAATGTGACGACATGCTCGTGACGGTTCGATTCATCCATAATCTTGGCCTGCGTATCGGCCGCCGGGAAATGTGTGCTCGTCGTTCAGATCGCTCTCAGCGGGCATCAAAACAGCCCACTTGGCGAAACAAGCCCGTATGGCATGGATGGGAGCCAGGAGCAAGATTCGGAGCTGCAAAGTCAAGGATGCCATTGGAAATTTTGAAAATGCCCTATCCATGACAAGATATTTGAGAGCTTCTCGGAGAGAGGTTGATCACCGGAGTGACGTATTGTTCCGGCTACCACTCCACCGAAGTATAACTTTAATCGCAGTCTCTACTTGGGAGAGAATCTTCAAATGTTGCGACTCAATGAGATAGCAATAGCCTATTTACAAAGAGACAAGCAGTTTCGAAAGTACGAGGAAGTTTGCGCCGAGCGATCACCACCACCAAACAAGCAATCTCCATCCCATTCCCCCGGACGCGAACAAGAAAGCTCTAACGGTCCGTCCGATACCAGAACTCGGGTGGATCCCCAAGACATTCACCAACTGTGACAGCTACCGCATTGATGAAAGATTAGCATAACTATAACCGGCAGGGAAAGCAACACGGGGGCGCTGCGTCCACGTACTACTCAGCCCACGAGCTTCAACTTCGTCCAGCATATTATCCACTAGAATGGCCACCGTGTTCTCATGCGAATCATGCGCCAACACAATATTGCCACCGCTATCCAGCTCCCTACGGAACTTCTCGAAGCTACGCCAGCTCCAGTCGGGATGGTCGTTCTCGTAGTCTTTCGTGTCCACGCTCGCTCCGATAACATGGTACTTTAGCTGCGCCATGACGGCCAGCACGGTACCGTCGACGAACAGGAACGGTGCGCGCATGTAGGTGGGGAAAAAGCCGAGAATGCGCAAGAAGGCGTCTTCGAGGAGCATCATCTGCGCAGTGATGGTGGGGCTGTCGAGTCCAATGAGGTTTGGATGACCCCATCTGCAGCGGGAATGGGTTGGAGGGTTTAGCTAGAGCTCGGAGCGGGGGATGTAGGTGTATTGGGTCATGGGGAGGGTGGTTGCTGCGTACGTGTGGGAGCCAAGCTGGTGGCCTTCGGCAAAGCTACGGCGGACAAGGTCGGGGAAGGCGTCAATGTGACCTCTGTTGACGCCGTTGAGGAAGAAGGTTGCGCGGGCGTTGTGAGCGGCGAGGTTGTCCAGCATTTGGGAGGTGTAGATGTACGGACCATCATCAAAGGTGAGGGCAATTGTTCCAGGCACGGTGCAGTGCGTGATCACGGCGCCGAATGGGAGCTGGGAGGCTCGAGCTGCAATGGTGGAGTTGTTGGACGGCGTGGATTGTGCTTTGAGGAATTGGGGGATTGCAACGGCTGACGAAAGAATTGAGGTTGAAAGAAGGACTGTGGTCAGAAAAATGAACGTATGCATCGTGTAGCTAAATAGGGCAGCTTGGTTAAGAATAAATGAAAGGGACTTTGTAGTTCAAGTTCTAAAGTGGCTGGAAGTCTTCCGGCTTTTAGGGTTAGATGAGAATGGAGAGAGTACGGCAAGTGCCAGTTTGGCTGTTGCCTCCCAACCTAGAGGTGCTTTTGGAGTAAAAAAAATCACATTGAATAATAATCCATTCATTTGGCATACAAAAAGGACAACCACCCACCGAATCCGCGCTGACAATATCACGTATGAAGACATCTGGGGGACGCAAAGGTATCAAAAGTGTAAGGCAGAGTAAGACAATTCCCTCGTTTTTCTGCCTGGTTCTTATTATCAAGAGTCCAAACGAGCAGGGAAAAAAAGAAGGTGAACGGTTCCCCAGATCTCCTGTTTCTTTCTGAACCCGAGCCAGAACCGACTAATAGCCAGTGATCAGATCTAGCCCTTACGAGAGTACTTCTTCATCGAACGGCGCTGGTCCTTTTGGCTCTCGCGCTCAAGGAACTTGCGCTGCTCCTCCGCAGTCATGCCACGGAGCAAACGCTCGCGCTCCTCCTTCTTGATCTTCTCGGCGGCCAACTTGCGCTCCTCGGCCTTCTCTTCCTCTTCGATACGGCGCAGCTTCTTGATCTCCTCGTCGCGGACACTGCGAATCTTGCGCATAACCTCACCACGCCAGTGGGCAACAGAAACGAGCTTATCGGCGAAACGCAGGAACTGATTGAAAAGGGGCAGGGTAGAATCGTAGCCGGAAGACAGGTTGACGGAGAGTTGGATACGCTTCTTAGGAACAGTCTCGTCGATCCTACAGATGGTCAGAAGATAAACAAATTGACACTCAGGAAGGATATACTCACTTGGTGGGCTTATCAATGGGCTGGTCGGTGATGATCAGGTACTCAAAGTCGTTGCCGGCCTGTTCAATGGCCCTGATGAGCTCGGGAGTGAGCAAAGCCTCAGTGATCTCGGCGCTCTCGCTCATCACGGTCACCCAGGAAGGGAGCTTGGCGTGATCCTTGGAGAACGTGATGGAAGCATCATAGCGGTCGGTACGGAACTTGCGCATTTGGCTCTTGTGAACCACGGCCCAGATGAAGCCGTCATAGGTGGAGTTAGACACCTTGAGAGTCTCTTTGGCAAACACGGGAACCAAATCCTTCTCCTTGCCATCGAAGGCGTACATCAGAGCCTCATACTTTTCGACGGGGGCCTCCCAGCTCTCGAAGAAAAAGCTGAAGACATACTCCATCAAATAGGTGACCGGGTTATAGCGCTTGGGCATCTTGAGAGAGACATCCAGGAAGGCGACATTCTGGCGGCCGGTGGCATATGCGGCATACTCGTGCGCCGACCTCTCCTTCAGCTTCGACTCGGGGTTCGTCAACTCCACAGTGACGGTCTCGCCCTCGTCGGCGGCCGAGCGATCGATTCCGTCAAATCCCACAACAGCAAACTCCTTCTGCAAGGCTGGGATATGAGCCTTGGCCCAATCCCGCGCCTTGCGGCGGTTCTTGCGCGTACCCCAGAAATGGAAGAGGACGATCACCAGGATGAAGGGCATGATCATCGCCTCCTGCATGAAGTCGCTGGGCGAGGTGCGCTCCCAGACCCGGTACCACTTAGTGTAGGGGACGGTTCCCTGCGTACTGAATGCCGCCAGAGTGGGCGCATCGGCGACGAGCGACGCAGGAGACGGGTTTGGGGCCTCAACGAAGTCGGCGAAGTCTATGGAAGCACTTGGTCAGAGAAGGGGCCTAGCAGCCATGGAGCCGCAATTGCGCGAAACACCACGTACCATCGTCAGGGTTGGCAGCGCCCGAGGGCTGGGAGCCGAAGACGTTCTTGAACACGCCCGCCATGGTTGGATGGAGACACGATGGTGGGTGGAAGGGAAAGGAGGTGGAAAGAAATGAGGTGCGGAGCTACAGCTTGGCGGGCTCTAGCGCCCCCACGAATTCTCCAGTTTTTTTCCGCTGCTTACGGGATCGGCTCAATTCACCCGATCGAAGGTGATCCCAGAGAGCAGCTGTCAGATCAAAAAGATTCAAATGTTCAAATTCCTGTCCTATACCCGTATATATCCCACCCTCCTGTATCTCCGAATCCAAAGATAATACACAAAATACTCGAGAGAGTGTGGTATCCGCAAAAAGCCAAAAAGAAAAGAAGAGAACCAAAAATCCACGCCAGAGCCTCGAAAACCAGAGACCCTATTTTTGTACAGAATTCGCTTCCAAAGAAAAGACAAAGTGAAAAGACAAAGAAAAGAAAATATAAAGAACAAAAGCAAATGAATAAAGGTCGTAGCAGTCATTAAACACCGAGAAATTGCTCGGAAGGAAGAGAAGAAAAGAAAGAAATGGATCTGGATGTGCATGACGCATCAAATTCAATGGCCATATGCCGGGGGTGGCGTGTCATCCTGAGCGCGGGTCCAGAAGTTGCTGCAAGCGTTGTTGGCCATCAACTTCTCATCGCGCATTCGACGGGCGATTTCACCGGCCAGTCGCTCGACCAGGAGAGGATCGACGGAATCTCCGGCGGTATTCTCTTCCTTGGTGAATGGAAGAACAGTGGCCGGCAAGGGAGGACGAGCGGAGCCAGATGAAGGGCCGGCCTCGGCCTTCTCATGAGGATAACCGCTGCGCACATTGGCACGAGGGGTGGCCTCGACGTCTTCGGCCTTGGGACCTCGGATTGTTTCCAGAGAGTAGGACAAATCACCTTGTTCGTGCGTCAATGTGTTTCGTCGTTGGCTAGGCCGCAAAATGCTCGACTGGTGTCGCTCTGGGATTACGGGCAGGTGCGAGTCGATTTCGGGAGACAATGGGGGAGTCACAGGATCATCGGACTGCTCGTTCACAACAGGTAATGGTGCGGAGTAGATGGAGGGAGGGCCAGATGATTCGGCTATTGAGCTTTCGTCGCTGACGCTCATGGCATCGTCGGTCGTCTTGGGACGGCGCAAGTCCACAATACGCTTCTTTCTTCGCCGCGAGTGAGCCTTTGAATGACGTCCGGTGCCGAGATTCAACCCAGAGCTGCTAAATGAGTGGCTTCCGAGAGAAGGCCGACTATGTTGAGAGGATGCGATACTGGCAGTCTCATGGATCGATGACGACATGCTTCCAATTTGCGAGTGTGTTCGAGACAGTGTCGGACTCGCGGGCGAGACAACGCTGGAAGGAAATTCGCTGGGATCGGCGGGCGATGTCCATGCTCGGTACACCACTTCCTGAATCGAAGGGGTGAAGAGCGACAAGGTTCGTTGGGAGTCTGTAAGAGCGGCGAGGCGAAGCAAGTTTTTCTGGGAGAACAAAGAATGGGTCTCGACGGAAGAATCCAGCGAGAGCGAAGCGATCTCCGACTCGTTCAGGGCATTTCCGAGAGAATCCACGGGATCTTGCGGGGGGCTTGCCAAGGGATCTTGCCCGGGACCCTCGCTCGCAACTGTTTCCGTGTTGTTCGTCTGGTTCATCTCGTCGCCGGCGCGATATTCCGGAACCCACAAGCGAAGAGACAGTCGATGAATGATGGCCGGGAGTTCGTCCATAAACAAGATCCGTAGCTGGGCTTCAATCTCCTTCTGCAGGAAGTCGCGCACGAATGGGATCGAGTCGAACGTCGAAGAGACCTTAAGCGACTCGAGGGGATCATTACGAAAGACCACGGTGATACCTTTTTGTTTCGAGAAAACAAGGATTACAAATCCGGAGAGCTTGAAATCGGAGAGGGTGATTTGGAGAGGGATGGTGAGTGGGGTTCTGTTGATTGCGGCGCAAAAAAGTTAGCCACCATAGCTAAGACAAAGAGAAATCAAAAGTCGCGGAGGGTGCGCCGACGACATAAGTATGAATAACTTACGCTGCTGCTAAGGGTTTGGGGGAAGCGAAAGCAGGCCTGGTGAGGAGATAAGTATTAAGAGGATTCGCTTGAACCCGAGTCTTGAGCGTCAAGAAGGCATCGCCGGAATAGGACATTTTGAAGATGCCGCGAAAACGATCTTCAGCTAGGTCGCCGATTTCTAATATCTCAAGATCCGGAGGCATAGAGCCCAGGTTAAGTTCGGTAACGATAATATCATCGACGATGATGGGCGGTTTCGGCGATTTATTGAGTGCGGCTGTGAGCAGATCTTGGGCGCGAGTGTAAAATCCCGCGTCCGCCATCAACGGCGACCAGTTGAAGTTGAACGCCATGCCCGCGCATTGAGGAAGAGTAGAATGAGGTGCGCAAGGTTGACAAAGAGGGAAAACAAGACACAAGAAAAGAAGAGCCGCGCTTTGGGAGGTGGGAGGGGGAGGAAGAGGTGGTGGAGGATGAGGAGGCGAATTCAGGAGGGAAAGCGAATGTGAAAAAAAGGGCAGAGGCTTCCCGAGGTCACAGGCCCTCGCGTGCCCCGACCGTGTGATGGCCCCGGACTACCCACCAACTCTCCGGATTGCCACAACTTCACTCGTTTCCAGAGACTCGGACTCTGTCGAGTTGATGGATTTCTTTGGTCCTTATTACCTTGAATTCGGTGTGATTGTGACGCTCTCATCTCGTCTTGACCCTCGACATCTTCTTTGCGCGGAAATCGGCCTATGTACGTCACATCCTCCGATACTTGCAGGGCCGCTCCACCCTTTCCCGACCAGCCCCGAAGGCATTCCCACCTGTGGCTACGCCGGTCCATTCATGGCCCATTTTCTAGACTCAGGTGCATAAGCCCAGTCCACCACCGGATTACAGAGAACGCGCCGGTGGGCTAGATGACTGGGGAAAGGGGGGCCTGTAGGACGTGACGCAAAACACAGACTAGCCTCGACTACCCACCAGGTTCGACTGCGGGCCAGAAACGGCCAAGGCTGTGCCGATCGTGAAACGACCTCCTGAGTCCAGCCTACGCTCGACCGTGTCGTAGGAAGTGCTTTTGGCCATCAAGCCGCGAATCAGAGCCCCTAGTGGAGCGCAAGGGAAAGGGTCAAAGGGCTCCGGGATGCATGTCTAACACTCATCTCGCCAAAATCATGAGGATTGCGGAGGGCTGTGCATTGGGTCAAGCTCGATTGGACGAAAATGGTAATCAGCACTCCAACGTCGCAGTGGAAAATTTTCCCAAGTACCGAGAAATTCTCGTCAGTTATATGACTTCGTGAGGAAACAGGATAACCGGAGGAAACATACTCGCTCATGTTTTCACAACGCGGCCCGACAGATTCTGGAATATCGGCGATATATATTAATGTGGATCCAACTATCTTGTGCCGAACGAATACTCACCTGCCGAGCACTCGAGCATTTGAAACACCGATTGTTGACAGTCATTGAACCGTCGAATCATTGATCAACGGGTATCAGTTACCATGCAAAGTCTTGTGTAGATTCCTAAATGCCCGTGAAATTGTGTGGATGGTGTTCTGTACCGTGCAATCTCCCTTGCCGCCTAAAAACACCGCGACTGGGAATTCTCCACAGCGATAAATAGTCACTTAGAACATTCTCTGTCCCATATTAGGATCATTACAGAGCTTTGATCTTCATCCTATTCTCTGTTCCTCATCTCCGGAACTGTGAGTGATGGTCGCGTAGAGTATAGAACAGGCCTGTGATTGGTCACATGTCGAAATATGGCTTTCCAGGGCAACGCCACGCTAGTCCGTTTTAGGCTAAACATCAATACCGCCGTCTCAAATCGAATGCATGTTGAATTGCTTCAACCATCAAATCCCCGCCTCCCAGGTCCCGATGAAACGACCCCATAACACGACCCCATAACCAACTGCTTTGGTTATATAACGGAAATATCAGTCTCACGTCTCTCTGGAAATAACATCGACTCGGCCTTCCTTGCTATTCACGGGTCACGCGACATCAATGGAGTCGCGAAAGCCCACGACCAGGACGGTCGCCCAACGAAAAGTCTATGGTAAACGACGAACCAATGCACCAAGAGCAATATTCGAGCACAAAAGTCCGGCGAAGACGATTTCACCACTCAAAGAGTTGAATGATTCCATCGAGACCATCGAAACAAAATTGGCTGAAGTGTCAATAGGCGAGGAACCACCTCTCCTGCGCCAGGAACTCGACTTTCAGGACCAACAAGTAATATCCAACCAACATGAGACTTCATCAGATGCCACACCAGTCAAATGCCCAGCAAGCCCAGCAAGCCCAGACACCCCACAGTCTAGTTTTGACAGTCCGAGCAAGCAGCCTCGCCCCGATACGCGACCGATAAAGCCGACGCCATATGAGACTATGGTGGAGGTTAGAATCAGTACAAAAACAGAAAGACGGAAAGCTTCAAGGCCGTCACAATCAGAAGAGGTTTCCGCCACAAAAAAGAAGCTTCCCACCGCCCGACGCTCATCTGGTTTCGTCCATGACGATAAGGCGAACACCTACGTCCGTTCAATTCTTCACGAGGCCTTGTCACCGATCTCATCTCAGAGCATCCAAAGATTCAGCACCTGGGCCTCGCGTTCTGCCACCATGTTCCATGTTGCAAAGCTAGCCGAGGGCTCGTATGGAGAAGTCTACAAGCTGCACCTGCGTGAGGAAGCATCTCGACCTATGGTCTCAAAATCCAAATTGGCAAAACTGAGGGCCTACGGCGATGGGGGTTTTCAAGGTGGTGCCTTTGCGAGCAAAGAGTGGGCCCGGCTCGAAAAAATTTACTAGCATCGAGGAAATCGTGGCGGAAGTGAAAATGCTGAAGTACCTGGATCCAATCCCGGGATTTGCGCGGTTCAGAGAAATCCACGTGGTACAGGGCCGATTTCCTGAGTCTTTCCAAGGCGCCTGGGATCATTACAAGAAGACAAAGGATGACTGCTTGAATCCGAACCCAGCTAACAAGAAGGCATATCCAGATTCTCAGCTCTGGGCCATCATTGAGATGGATGATGCAGGCTGTGAGCTGGAAAAATTCTGTTGGTCGTCCATATTTCAGATCTATGACATTTTCTGGGGCGTCGCCATGGCGCTGGCTCGCGCAGAAGAGTATGCTTTGTTTGAGGTAAGTTCGAACGCCCCAATTTCGGCTGACAATCTTTCTAACGTGCATCCAGCACCGTGATCTCCATTTGGGGAACATTTGTATACGTTCTGTCCGACCTGACGGCTCCATGGAGCCTCCCACAGAGCTCGACATCGCTCGACAAACCTCTCCTAGCGGATTTGGTCTTAGTTCTCTGGAGACCACTATAATTGACTACTCACTTTCACGTGCCAATCTTCATCTTGCCGACCTGCCCGATGGCTCCGAGGAAATTTGTGAAATTGCATCATCAGACCTGGACAAAAAACATATTTTCGATTCAATCGGCCAAGACGAAGACGAGGCTCTATTGAGAGATACATACAGATATATGCGCGCTACGCTATACACCGGGATTCCGTTAGAGACAGAGAAAACGCCAGATATCCCAGGAATCTGGACCGAATATGCGCCGCGGACCAATTTGGTCTGGCTACTTTTTCTGCTCAAGAATCTGCTGAAGAACCGCAAACCTGAAATTCCCCGGCCAGTTACTCTATCGCAAAGAACGCCACTCGCACCGTGCTCTCCGAACAGGAAGGCCACAAGTATGCAGCGCTCTACAAATGGGAAACTTGTCAAGGCGAAAGAGCTTGACATGGGAGGGACTCTGGTTAAAGAGTACCAAAATAAGAATCTCCAAACGCGAGTAGAAAAGCTGAAGCAGACATTAGAGGATAGGCTGAAAGTTGTTCTTGGACTTTTGGACCTCGAGCATGGGCACGAGGATATGTGCTGTGCAGCTGACCTTGTTGCTTATGCGATGGACTCTCAGTGGTTGGCCGAGCAAGACTTTTTCTGATATTGTTTAATAAGTATTTGGACTCCCATGTTGCATTTTTATTAGACGCATGTTCAATGGTGCTATTATTGCATTTGGTACTTTTATTCGGCGTTACGGCCATCGGAAGGCTGATAAACTAGGTATGGAGTTGTGGGGGATGTGTTATTTAAGTCGAGATGAACATGAGCTGCATTTTATTACCCCTTGATGAGCCCCGTAGAGAGCTTGAAGCCTAGAGAACCAAACGTGTCGAGGACCAGCGCCAAAGTTCATTCGAAATTGTTTCAATCATATCCTAAGTTTCTATACATAACGGCTAAGCTGCTAATCATGATGGACTCTAGGGCTTCTTTATCCCTAGGATAATGGGTAGAAAGCTTGTTTGATATATCGGATCTATCACCAAAAATCTCAGCACCAGCCTAAATCCACCTAAACTCATTGAGTAGGATTAGTTTGCCTGTTTATCATCTGGTTCCCACGAAAATGATTTTAAACTGATACTCCCTACAAGTCAACTGCCCTAGATAGTGCGGGGCGCGGTAGCTAGCCCATAGACAATCTGAAGGGCTGCCGTTTGTTTCGTTTGCATTGAATATCATTCGGCGCCCACTCAACGCGGCGGGCTCGGGCATCTTCACCAACATCACCTCCATTGTAGATGCCTGGGTCCCTCGCCAGTCCTATCCTCCATTGAAAATATGTATGTTCTACCTCTTGAATCTCCTTATAGCCTGTGACTAATCACGCAATAGACCCCGGGCTCGTGCTGAAAAAGTGGTGCCCTACGAGAATAGCTTACCTCTTGAAGTTATCAGGCTGGATGAATTCTGGCTGCTTGACTTGTTCAGTCAGGCGACAATTTGGACAGATCTCCAAGAATAATTAATGATCCAATGTCCCTGAATAAGTTCTCCATGCAATGATACATGATCTTGTGCCAGGGCGTCCTTTTCAAACACCATCTCTCGCCCCGTCTTGACCTTTCATCGTTCTGAAGGTCCCATTCAAAGCTTCAACAAGTTTACACTCCACTCTGCCAATTGAGCAGGGTCAAAAAACATAGAAATGCCGATCACAGGGTACCGCTCTCATCAACCCATGAATAAGTTGCTCGCATACTAACCAAACCAAGCGTCTATTTCATCCCGTCAGCACCAAATGCCCAGCCAGCATTGGCTGCCATCACCGAGCGCCTTCGCACTGCATTTGCAGACGAGGACCTCATCCCCCTCGGGTACTGGAAACTCGACCATAAATTAATGCGCGACACTCCAGGCCTCCTCCCGGCCTCCGCAAATCCCTCACAGAAGCCCTCCAAACCGCGGTACATGCAATTTCTCTCGCTCACCCACTACCCAACTCATGGTTTCGTCTACACCTCCGAGACTGCTGAAAAGCAATTCCACCCGCCCAATGTAGCCTCAGCCTCGCCCACGCCCTCCGCTCCAGGCCCAGGTGCAACCAGCCCATCCGGCGCGACGCCCGGCGCTGCCGCAACGCCCATGCAGCCCGGCGCGGGCGCGGCGACAGATTTGCCAATGATCATGGCGACAGTGGCGCCGGCAGCGTATTCAACTCTCTTCCAGCACTTCACGTATGCGTGCCAGCCATTCTGGTGCCATCGGCTGACGGTCAGCGTGCCGAACGGGATGGCCTATGATGTGGGCGACTTCCGCGTGCGCGTGGGCGACGTGCGACAGACGTTCCCGACGGTGCGGGTTCGGGGCACGGTCGTGGAGATCGAGTGGCGCGGGCCATCAGTCGTGGACGCGGTTGCGGCATCAACGCGGGAGTCACGCGCGGGCAAGACCGGTTCTGGGGAGGACGCAGACTCGGGAATTGATGTGTCGGTGTTGGCGGTTGAAGAGGGCGACGTGGAGGCGGAGTATGCGGCGACGGCGGTGTTGATCCGTGAGTTGTGGGCCCGGATTGGGGTCGAGGGTGCGCGCGAGGCAATTCTGGTCCCCGGAGTTGGGAAGGAGATCAAGGAACAAATGGTCCGGTATCGTACTGGAAAAGAGGAGACGCACAAGCAGCCTGAGTTTGTGGCGAGTTGGAGCGCGGCGCCGCAGGAGATGGATCCGAATCCGCTGGCTGGAACGGATCTTGCAAGGCAGTATATGGAGGTGCTGCGATTCAATCGATAGAAGAAACGAACATGATAGCTCTAGAATAGGACTACTTATGAGGCAATATGGACACCAGGGAGGATAGGCTTTTTGGCATTCAAATTGCCAAAAGAGACACTACAGGTCCGCTTGATTTGGGGCATATGTTGCATTTGTACGAAATTCAAGAACAATAGTCAAGCAGATGGCCGCAACAAAATGAAAGGCAAACACACGGTCAAATTCACAGCCACACGGACTATGAACAGCCCAAAGCCACCACCCCAATCCATTCGACCCCAGACAAAACTAAGGTCGTTATCTGCATATCAAAGAGGACGCTTGATCATGATTCATCCAGGCCAAAGGGCTAGAGAAAAGCATAGACTACAGAGACCGTCATTGGCATCAGGAACTGAGACGGAAGAAAGACATAGAAAAGAACAACATCCTCAATTGGGGGAAAAACTGCAACTTCAGCTAAAGATGAAAAATTATGGTGAAAGGGGTCGTTTATTTTTGCATCATGAGCTGGACGAACTCGTTGTCTGCACCGGACCGAAATCAGTATATGAAAATTCCCAGGGGATTGAGAACAAGGCCAGACAGAATGGAAGGGGGTTTTTGAAACAGCCGGGAAAGCAGCGGGGTGGAACATACAGTCAATCCGGCCATCACCGTCCTGATCCGCCTCACGAATCATCTCGTCCACCTCGTCATCAGTCAGCTTCTCGCCGATGGAGGTCATGACGTGGCGCAGCTCGGCGGCGGAGATGAAGCCGTTGTTGTCACGATCGAACACCTTGAAGGCCTCCCGGATCTCCTCCTCGGAGTCGGTGTCCTTCATCTTGCGGGCCATCATGGTGAGAAACTCTGCGGGCGTTTGTCAATATGGTTCCCCGACAGCAAGGCGGCAGAGCTAGACAGGGCATTGCGTACCGGGGAAGTCAATGGTGCCGTTGTTGTCAGCATCGACCTCGTTGATCATATCCTGCAGTTCCGACTCGGAGGGGTTCTGACCGAGAGAGCGCATGACGGTGCCCAGCTCCTTGGTGGTGATCTGGCCTATGAATTGCAAATGTCTCAATATACTTATTCGTCCGGTTTTCTCTTCTTGGGAGGACGCGCAAGCTGCCCGAAGGAATCTCACTCACCATCGCCATCTTTGTCCTGTTGCCACGAAAAATAGCCCCGATTAATAACTGTTTTCCTTCGCAAAATCGAAATCAAGCTTCGGAGATACTCACAAATAGGGAGAAGGCCTCCTTATACTCGGAAACTTGCTCTTCGGTCAAGGAATCGGCCTGAATGAGAAAGCGAGGACGCTGTCAGCCAAATGGACCCGAATCCCAGGATCGCTGCCCCGCACCGCGGGGAGTTTTCAGCCCAACCGTTCATCCCTTTTAACGGGGGAGGAGAACCAGGAGGGCTAGAAGGAGATCTTAGTCAAAAAGGATGGGAATAGGGTCATACCATGGTGAAATGAGTCGGTCGGAAGGGGGTGGAAAGATAGAGGGAAGTGGGATGGTGAAGGTGGGGAGAGTTTAGAAGTTAAGGGGAAAGGACCAGCCTTACCAGGGCGAGGTACACAGTACCCATGTAACCGGGGCCAGCCAACACTCAAACGACCAATCATCATACTCAACGTCAAAGGCGGTCAACCGCTCACACTGAAGAAGCACCTCCAAACACAACAAACAACGGGCAAAATACAGCCCAGCGCTAAAACCCAGTGGCCCCCGGCTCTCTCCTTCCCAGCGGCGAGGTACAGAGTACATCCAGCCGTATGGCGGCGCCCACCGTAGACGCTGTACATGCCAACTTCCTCACCCAACCCAACAACACTCGGCATTGCTATACTTAACTCTACTATCTTACCATATACCGTATCAATACTAGTCTGCGGAAATGAGGGTAGAGCTGAACCGCTCAGCTGAAAGGTGGGACCTCGACAGCTGCAGGTAGAAATGGCCCCCGACGCCAATCACTCACCCTATCTTGTTGCCTACAAGATGTTCATTTATCATGCGAGTAAATCTGCTCCGGGGAGAAATCTGGGTTCTAGACCTGCAAGGATGCCGACAATGCCGGGGCAGATCGGGGCAAAAGCTTGGTGTACTGCGTCCTGGGGCTCCGCTCAAGAGAGCTCCCTCAAGGCCCCGCGCCGCCCGAAGGCTGCCAAGCCCGTCTTCGCGTGATCGATTTGGGTGATTGGCATTGGCGCCGGAACCACAGAGTAACGCCCCGCTCTTGTTCCTCCAGGGAGCTGTGCGGCGTACTCGTGTCCAAAAAATTGATTGTCGCAAGGCAGTCTCAGTCTCCAGGTCGGATTCCAACCTGCCAGCTAACTGCGCCCAACTGAGTATCTCTCTCGTTGGGCCGCCAATCTAGATGTTTGGGATGCTATGTTTTGACCTGGACGGAAAACTGCCAATATGTCTTTCCAGATCGAATATCGACAGCTGGTAGACTGTGATTATCTTGTATAGCATGTCATCCTGGGCAAATACTCAAGCTTGCCAGAATAGTGATGCCAAAGTACCAGAGTTACGAGTCTGGATTGACATTGAGATGCTGGTTAAGTTCATTGATTGATTGTGTCACGGCTGAACATGATAGTGGAATACTGACTAGGCATACCGGGTTGTAGAATAGAACCAAGCTTTATATCTCTTCTTGAACTGGGTCCTTAATCTGGCCTTGACCCAGCTTGAATTAAGTCCTTCTAACATTCGTCTCAACCCGTCTAAAAAATATTCCAAGGATCCGCATGGAATGACAAAACTTATCGGAGTAATCGGGAAGATCGCCGAGTAGATGAGTGGGATAATCATGCACTGGCTTACAAGTACTATCTGTTGAACCCTGCCTTTTCTCATATACATGTAAATGATATGCTTGGGGACTTAGTCTGCGGTATCTCTTTCATGAGCTCCCGGAGGCTTGCCAACAGGGTTCACGATAATCAATCACTCATATAACAGCTTGAGGGTTGTTGCCAGAGGGGAGGACATTGCATCTAATGGTTGCATCTGGATTGATAATCTACCAGGTATCTTTGTGTACCAGAAAAACACCACCTTCTGGGGGAAAACCAGGGATAGCGCCATGGTTGTTCCTGAATTATATAATCAATTCCATGCTAGAAAGCTTTCCTGAGGAGTTTGTAGGTGACTGGCCATTTATCCACTCAATAGTAATCCAGGATCATGTTGTGGGGAGTGTGTATATGAATTCTTCACTAGCTAACCATAGATTACGACCAAGTCCAACTTTTTGACACTTCGGGCCTCCGAAGGTGGCCCACTTTGTATGGGAAAATCATTCTGAAGTTTAGCCCAAGCTTACTCAGTTGTTATTTGATTAAACTTGCCGATTATTTGTCGATTAACGATCAGTTATAATTCATTTTATGCCTTCAATTTAGTAATCGTAGACCTGACGGAGTTCTTTCACAAATGGTGATTCAGCAAAGACCCGGGAATAATAGAGTGATTAGAACATTTATTAAAACAAGCCTAGTATGAAAAATGATATTGATATTTAATTCCTTTTTTTTGGGAGGGGGGGGGGGGAAAGTATAATGAATGGGGCGCAATGAGATTCAGTGTAAAGTATCAACGTCTGAGGAAGCTGCCCCATGGGTTGATGTGGGATACGATCTAGAGTAGCGGCTGCAGATGCAATTTGAACTCTGGCCGCTTTTATACTAAAATTCAGTTTTCTCGGCCTGACACCTTTACCAAGCATGAAATTTTAAAATTCAAACCCTCCACCGGGGCTTAGTGGGAAGCAGCCTTTGGGATGCTGAGGAGCCGCCGGGGAGCTCCGGACCCTCTCCGGGACTCTTATGCCTGAGGCTAGCAGCCAATCACCTCAGCGACTTGTCCGACCTGGCCGAAGTCACCTGATGATCCCCGCGCTGAGTCATTCTCACCGGCGCATGGAACTTGTTGAAGTTTGCATGCAACCTAGACTTGTGTGGAGAAAAAAGGCTCATCTTGGACAAAAAGCAAGGGATAGCGCATCGTTAGTGGTGACCAATCGAAATCTTTGTGTCGCTCCTCGTCGGGCCTTCCATATCTTTTTCTGCCGCCCGTCAGCTCGATCCCGCTCCATCAACGTCATCAGCCTGGCATCTTTGGTGCAACCAAGTGAAATCGGAGTGTCGCAAGCTCAGACCCTGGATCCAACCGCGATATTCGATAATGCTTCAGCAGTCACCAGCCCCGTAATGGCGGGAGTCAATCATACATCTGTTTCGATGGCCGCTACCGATGCGGCGCAGGGTCGCAAGCGCAATGTCACCATTGCGGGGATGGACAGTTCTCCGGGGAGTATTGAGGATGCGGACGATAATGACGGACGTGATGACAAGAGGCGGCAGCCTGTTAAGCGCGCCTGCAATGAATGCCGACAACAGAAGGTCAGTGTTTCTATCTGAACCCACGCGACACTGGACGTCACTTGGTGGCGGGGTCAATAGGTCCCATGTCACAATTTTTTCCAATTCCTGTTGCTGACTTGAGCTGTGCGCAATAGCTGCGATGCGATGTTGTCCAAGACCCATGGGCCGATTGCTCCAGATGCCGTCGACTGAAGCTTGATTGTAAGATCGAGTCCAATTTCAAGCGGGTTGGAAAGCGCAGTCGCAACGCCGAAATGGAGCGTGAAATTATCGAACTAAGGAAACAAATCGCCTCAACGAACTCTGGCACTGTAATTCATCCGCAACAACAACTTGTGGCGGGACAATTGACGCCAAAGCAGGAATCAAGCCAGGTCAGTCCTGCAGGTGTCTATCAGACCCCCTCGGCCATGTCAACGGATCATTTCATGGGCTCCCAAGAAGCAGTGGCATCCCTCCTGGACCTCCGCTCTGGATTTGATGGCTCTAATTATATGCGAAATGGTGGCCCGCAATTCAAACGAATTGAAGATGTCATGATTGTGCCGGAAAAGGCGACCGAATTATTTAATCTGTAAGTCTCTCACATAACCAGATTCCATGTTATGAGTGTATTAACAAGTGTGTCAGTTTCTTTACATACTACCACCCTTTCCTCCCATTTTTGAATCAAGCTCAAACACCTGAAGATTACTATACTGCTGCACCTTTGCTCTTCTGGACTATAATCAGCGTTGGCGCGAGACGCTATCAAAATGATTCAGGCCTACTGAACTCGCTTTCAGGGCCAGTGACCCGTCTGGTTTGGAGCACACTAGCAGATATCCCACAAAGCTACCATGTTGTGAAGGCACTCTGTCTTCTTTGCACGTGGCCTTTCCCTACCAGCAGTACATCTACCGATCCGACGTTTATGCTCTGTGGAATGATGGTTCAGGTTGCCATGCAACTTGGTCTTCATAGACCTTCGCATAGCCAGGACTTCAGTAAATTCCGTGTAGAGCTTATTGAGGAGGAACTGAAGGATAAAGTGCGAACCTGGGCTATTTGCAACATTGTTGCACAGCGGTATTTTCCCCCTCAAGCCCTTAAGCCGTCTGCTTGCAAGAGAGCTTATCTGATTTTCAATTAGGGTATCCACTGGATATGGCCAGCCACCATCTACGTTGTATGACTGGACATTATCGTCAAGTGATTCTCTGGATCCGAATTTCAAGCTCCCTGGAGACATTCAACCCAGACTGGAAATTGAGAAATTCTGTGACAAGATCACGAGAGCCCTTTACACCAACCGAAGGGACCCTGTTGGATTAACCTCGGATCAAGAAAGGTCAACTATGATTTCATTCCTTTCGCGGGATTTTGATGAGCTCGAGGAACAGCTGAAGGCACAGAACGATTGTAAGACCATGAACCTTGGATACTATGTGGACCTTCTTAACAATGAACTAGGTATCACTGATCTGTATCTGCGCGCTTCAAACCTCCACCTGCATCTTTCTGCATTCTTTGATGACCCATCAGCCAAAGATTACCGTCGGCGTTTGCTCTCTCTATACGTTGCAACAACGACATTCCTCGAGGTTGCGATGAACCTCGAAACTGAAGTTGGGCCAGTCTTGTCATATACCCCCTACTATGTTTACCAGATGATGGTTGCTGCGGGTTGCACTCTTCTGAAATTGGGCAAGAGTTTCTTTTCCGCCCATATCGACATGGAATACACTAGAAATCTCTTTAATCGGACCATTTGGGCTATTCGTGGTGTGTCGGTATCAAGTAACGACTTACCTGAACGTCTGGCCGAGGTGCTGGCGCAAATGTGGAGACTCGGGGGCGCACCCCAACGTTCCACTGGAAACAACGCGGACGTCGATGATACTTTGAGGCTAAAGGTCCGCTGCCGAATGAGTATGTCTCTGCTTTTCGATTCAGTATGGCGCTGGCGAGAAGATGCGCGAACAAAAGGACGGAATATTGAAGGTCTGTATCAACCTCTAATTTCCCATGAAATTGTCTTTTCTCACGAATTTATAGCCTATCTCAAAAACCCAACCAATCCAGACTCTGCTGCCGACTCATCTGCTACCTCCTCTGTTGGCCCACCGCGCACGCAATCCTCTACACCAGGCATTGCAGGCGCCGATCCAAGTCTCGCACCAGCACCAGTTCTCACGCAGGCCAGCATGGGAGCTCAAGCACCAGGAAATGGAGTTGCTGGGCTTCCCAGTGGGTTCATGGAGCCAAATTACGAGGTCTTTGACCCCCTGAACTGGCTACTTGATGGCCTAGTAGACTTGCCGTATTCATACTCAACCATGAGCGGCATGGAGACCCAGGGCATTGCATAAATTGGTCTATCACAAATGTAACGAGTTTCCTTTTGCCTGGCGTTATCTTCGATTCTGCCGGCGTATCTTCTGGCAGCCTGTTTTTGTATCATTATACCATGCCACCCGGATCCAATCGCTGGTACCTTTCGGGATTTGCCTATCACTGTTTCTTATCTTCTTGGGCCTGATCATTTTCTCATTGTCTACAATTTCTATTTCACCAATGAGCCTCTTTGTATCATTTTTGCTTTTTCCAATGCGTGATGAAAACCTTTCCAATGTATGTTGATTTATCTCGAGTGGGTCTGCGTTGTCAGCCACATGCAATAATCTCGAAAATATACACCATTGGCGCTGCGCTTGTCATCACAAACTTCACTTTCAGCCTGGTCCTTTTATTGATTATGCGTACTGAAAAGGTTTCATTTTCCTTCTTGGAACAGTGGTGATCTCCGTCCGATCAAACTCTAAACCCCAAGTCCGTGGTCTCAACAATCACTCTCATAGTCTTTCTTCATTTATTACTTCTCCTGACTCTCCATCAATATCAATCATCTTTCTATCATCGTGCACCTTATAATTGTGCAGATGATCGCATGAGTATCCCCACGACTTTGTCTATCTTCAATTTTCTTTCATGAAAAATCATCCCGCAATCCGCGTTGATTTTCCACACCCACGAGCAAAATGGTTATTCTGGAGCTCGATAGGCCCCAATGGCTCGATTCAAATATACCAACATTTGCAATAATTCTTGCTTTACCTATGATCCTCGGTGTGATGACTTCACTTGCATTGGTCGTTACGTCCAGATGCTTGAGAAATGTTAGTTTCTTGACCTTGTTCACTCCGTTACAAGAACTGGTAAAAAGAACCATCTGTGCGGCCTTGCTAATCCTGAATAATGAATGTCTCAGGACACAATCTCATACGGAGCAGGGGAAAGTGCTCTTTCAATTTTATATCAGCATTACCGGTTCGTGATTGATGGCCCAGGACTTATCAAAAAAGGTTATGCTCGTTACTCAGGAGGTCTGTTTGAGATTCCTCGTACATTCCGATTTGGCCAAGTAATTTTGTGCAAGCCAGCGTTAATTGAAGGACTCAAAAATGCTCGAGCCGCAATCGTCTCACCGGATCCGTGGATTGATCAGGTTGGTGAACAGCATATCGGAAGCGATAGAAATCACAAATGCCGGCAACTGAGAGCTGATGCCTTTCAAAAATTCAATAGTTACTCCAAATTTCTTATGTCATGCCCGGGTATTTCCCAAAAGGTGGAGGATGGCCTGCTATTGCCAAGACAATACCCGGGCTTATTCGCGGAACAGTACGCAAGCAACTGGATCGATATGTACCCAACATGAATGAGGTTATTATTACCCAGTTGGAAACCACGAAGCTTCAAGGCGACGGTAAGTGCCTGATCCATTTATTCGCAAGTAAGGTTCAATCTAATCATAATGCATTCTTCTGCAAGAATGTGTTGTTGGCTGTTTCGACTTTGCATTCTCGGTTGTTGCACGTAGTGGGAGCTTCGCCATCGTGGGGTCACGTCTTTCTCAGGACGAGGAGTATCTGAAGGCCGTCAAAGATCACATCCTAGGCATGATCGTGGTCACCCGAGTCCAGTTTCTAATACCTGATTGGTTAAAGCGGTAAGTTCCAAGCATCCATCAGCTTTTGATCGAGCGCCCAAAGGTTTTTTACTAATAACCATTGGGTGTAACAGATATATTGGCGGACTCGCAACCCGACTAGTCTCACTTGGCACTAAATGGAATATGCAAGCATCGCGTAAGATCCTGTTGAAGCACTTTGATGCACGGGCGTCAGAATATCGAGACGAGATGAACTGTGGTAGCCACAGCAGCGATCACCAGACCAATTCAGATGAGAAGGGTAGGCCGGTTAGTATTGCTTTTTTTTACTTCCACCCGGTTGGGCCACTCAAAGCGAAAAGTCGGTCTTTCGAACTGAATAAATGCAGATCGAGATCTTCCGCTGGCTTTATGAGGGCTGTTTGCGTCGTCAGAAATGGAGCTATTCTGAAGTTATTGGAGAGCTCTTACTTCTTCAATTTGCATTTATTTATACAACTGCCTACGTAAGCTCACCTTCAATGAAAATTTTACGAATGAAAATACTTAATTAAAGGCACTGACGTTCTCATCTATATGCAGGGATTGTATGTTGCCATGGCTCAACTTGCTCGGCATCAAGAATATGTCCAGCCTCTGCGTGAAGAAATTGAAGCTATAATAGCCAATAATGGGCCCACTGCTATAGCCTGTGATCAAATGATATTACTGGACAGTTTTTTGAAAGAATGCCTACGGATGCATCCTCCTGCAGCCCGTATGTTTGAATCTCATTGTGGATCTAGCTTGGCTCGATTGAAAGGAATTAATGGTTACTTGCTGATATATTCTGCAGTCTCTGCCCACAGAGTCTGTGTTGCCGCATTCAAGCTTTCTAATGGTTGGTTCAGCCTAGTCTCCTCTCTTTTTCTTTTTCACGATGCAGGTCCTCTATGCATCATTGATGCACCATTTATTCGTGTGATGGCTAATTACTACTCTGCCTCTATCAAAAATAGGTATATATCTTAGGCCTGGAACACACGTTGCGGTCCCGAGCGACTGTATCCATCGATCAAGCAAGTATTACAAGAACCCGGAGTCATTTGATGGCTTCCGGTTCGTAAAGAACGCAAACAATCGGCTTGTCGACCTGAGCCCTGACTATTTAGTCTTTGGCATGGGTTCCCACTCATGGTGAGTGTCTGATTTTGACTTTCCTTTGGAAAGTGAAAATAGTTTCTTTTTCCTATTCCGTGCCTTCCCCTGGTCTTTCAATTCCAACTGACTGTACATTCAATCGGCTGACTTGTCCTGTTCGATTTGTCGTATCGCAGCCCAGGACGCTGGATGGCAAGTGCTCTTCTGAAACTAGCTTTTACTCATACTTTAATGCGCTTTGATATTCTGCCTGGTTCGTCGGATCCGACCGAGGTCACTGGGTCGCTTTCGTTCGAGGAATTTTATGTCCCCAATTTTGGGCTTAAGCTTCGCCTGCGAAAAAGAAAAAAAGACACCAAAGCGTGACCGAATATGAATGGAGAGGCGATGTGTTTGAAGATAGATCTACATCTGAGATTATTTGGCCTTCATGTAGTATTCGACAAGACCCGTGATGATCTGTTAAATGGTTTATTACTCGAACGTATATGGTCGAATACAAACAGGGATATACATATTATCATTATCATCCTGTTTAATTCATAACCTTATTTGTATTCCTTATACCGTAAACGTCTATTTCGCGGGCTTTTTACATTTTCGCTTTCCGGGCTAGCTAGTACTTGATGGGCCCAAGTGGTGTTTCTAAAAGGCTCTCTATCTCGATCGCATCTTCAGAGTACATCGCTATTATTAGCCAATGAAAGTCATTTCGGCACAATCAGAGCCGACGTTTGGTGGTACGTGACAGTCGGAGTTGGAGTGGTTGTTGTTGTATTGTTGCGCAGGGGAAGAAAAGAGGCGGATTTTCGTAGCTCATGCGAAGATCCAAGCGTTTGATACATTATTGCTTCGATTCCATACCGGATTGACATCCTAAATCATCCTTCACTTCTCAGAAAAGGTCATAGTAAGACCTTTAACTAGTAGGAAGCAGTACCAGTCGACAATTTAGCTTCGTACAGACCTCCTTAGGGATATGACATGTGCCGATTGGAGAAATTTTCAAGCGACTGTACAGATATTTACGTTGACTTGTAGACTTTTACAGTAGACTTCGTCTAACCATAAGAATCACAAGTCTTGGAGTTTTGGTGTTAGAGATGCTATAAGCAGGGTACTGGTGTTTGTTAGAAGCCCCCTTAGAGTAGGGTTGGCCAGACCCCAGTAGAGGTAGATTCGAATTTGCGACCTATTGGATGGAGAGGAGGAGTGTGCCATATTTCTCGTTTAATAACTGATTGCCATTTTCACTCAAAAAGTACTTGTCCCAAGCCGGGGCCAGTAGGAGTTACTCAGGTGAGTATCAAACCCCACTGTGCTAAATCACTACCCGTGAGGACCACCTGCCACGAGAAAAAGTTCTTGAGGAAGGTTAAAGAATAGTTCGCGTAAGTGAGACATAATAGCCCCTCGTCTCATGTAGATACGTCGCTCAGCAAAGCGCGCTCGAGGCCTAACAAAGCTGTATACGAAAATTAAAACGACTGAATCTAATATTCAAAAAGTAGAAAAATTAGTATTAAATTTGGGCTTTGGTTTATATATAGCTTAGGCGTAGCTTGACCGTAACTATAATGTAATAACTAATAAGTAAAATCAAAAATCTATAAGGCAAGATCATAAGTAGTCAATCTCCCAAGTCAATGGTATACCAAAGGATAGCTGTTAGCTGAACTTAAGTATGTACCGAGTAACAATCGAGCCTTTTTCAATAGCGGTCCAAAGTAGTATACAGACCGTGTGCATGTTTCTCTAGACAGCCTTTAAAGTGAGAAGCGATAGAAGGGAGGCTCATATAGTATGAATAGGACCTGGATAGGCAGGAAATGTGAGCGAAGAAGGTAACCGATTTACTAAGTATAGACGAAGAACAGCAGTCGTATGTGGGCAGATAAATGAGCAAGGATACGCTCCAAATGCTGGTATAACTATTCAAACTGGTTGTGAAAGGGCCATTTGGGCTTTCAAGTTTCTCACCAGGCTCAATTTACAGCTGGAAGAAGCTTCTCAGATTTTTAGCCTGATGTCAGAGTATTTGAAAGTATTCCTAAATCGATGAGCACATGCTCATTTAGTTATCACTGTGATGTTGGTTATGTGTCCTATGAGACCATAGACGTTGCGGGACTGCTGTAGAGGCTCAAGTTACTTGACAATTTGCAGAACCATGCGTGCCCAAATCACTAATGGCCACCCCAAGGAATCCTGAGCGGGCTTTGGATCGAGATCCGACCTCGATGCAAGAAACCTTAGCGCTTGGGCAACCATACGCGACCCAAACTCTGAAAGTGGATCCCTACCCCGGAGATTTGCCCCGGCCATTCATTGACCACAAGGATCCCCCGAGTCCGGTTCTTTTCATCTGAAGAGTCCAGGAAATTGCAGTGATTCTCTTTCCAGTGTATGAAAAATTAGAATAATGCATATTGAGACTCACTCAACATTTCAAATATATCTTTCTTTTGCAACTGCGATATTTTGAACGACTTGTGATTGCATGGTACTGCTACTAAAGCGCCACCGCGGCGCCACCGGAGCGCCACACCTATCCTCATCGATTGAGAGATCTTGATTCACAGGAACTGACAATAAGGAGATAAAAGTTTATCTGTATATTGAAAAGTTCAATCAAAATGAACCACCGATAGTTCTCGATCGTTTGGTCTAGATTAGTGCTTTCGAAAGCGAGGTGGCAAATGTTGTATCATATGTATCCAAATGGTATGAGAATCCAAACACTTTGTATTGTTGGATCCAAAAAATCAAAGGAAGCCAAGGGCAAAATATAAACATTCAGCATTCATAGCATCTTTTCACCGCAATTTAGTTTCGTTGGTGAAATTCTCGGAGCCTCATATGTCATCACACACCTCTTGTCACCTAGATTGAGTTTTGCATAGATATGGTTTCAAAGCTCACTCAAATCACTATTACCTATAGGGCGTAATGAAAGCAATACTTTTATGCGCATTACTCATTGGTAACTAGGTAAGCTGTCAATTCGATGCAATTAAAAGTGCTTTGATTTTGGTATGAGGAAAAGAAGAACCCAAAAAACAAAGGTTGGCTATTCAAGCTGCAAAATACCGCTTATGATTATGAGGGGTGAAATTTACCACTTTTTTTATTTGCCTTGTCATCCGCTTCTGGGTAAGAGTAATTACTGAACCAAGGAAGCTCGTAGCTGGGTCTGACAAAGGCAAACAGCGGCGGGTCGGGTCAGCAAACCAACCCTCGAACCACATTCTACCGAAGCTGTGTAGGCTTGATTAACCAGGAAGCAGAATCTGGGTATTAAAGAAGTGGAATTAGGGGCCTTTTCAGGCTGTCTGGCAGGCAGGCACCATATGTCATGATCGTACTCTAAGTCCGTTCCACCAATCAAGTTGACCGCTCAGCTGGCGATTTCCCCACTACACTATACTTTGTGTTGATTGGTGTAGCGGGTGAACTATCCACGGGAGGCTTGTGTCTGGCATGAGCCTGGAACTAGTGGATTCTGCGGAAGTAGACTCCCACTGTCGCTTGAGAGTGGGGATTTCTTGCTCTAGAACTCTGCAATGCCTAAAATCACTACTTTGTTTTTTTTTTTTTTAAAAAAAAAATAAAAAATGGCTTTTCATACACGAAGCTTGCTTTCCAGATAGAATGTGGCGTGTCGCTGTTTATTATTTGGTTTTTAAATTGACCCAAAAGCTTCCTAATATTTGCATTATGAGTTAATAACATTGATCTGATTTTTTCATTTTTCTGACTTGCTTTTACGTTGTCGATTTTGGCCCTGTATTCATTTGATCATCTTCTGGTTCTGATTCCCCTCGAAGTTGCCTTTGAGCATTCCTAGTGACTCCCGTCAACTCGGTACCCGTCAACTCGGTACCCGTCAACCCGGATCCCGGGTTACTACCAGTTTCCGGGGCAGTTGTTAACTTCAGAGGCTGCGGTGGTCCAGGAAAGTATATCTATATTTTGAGCCAAAAATGGTTCATCAGAGCTTCCCCGCAGTGAAGTACGGTAAGCCCGTACCGTCCATAGCCATGAATGACTTCAAAAATACCAAGAACCCCAATAATATTATTATTGACCCGAGAAGGTAGTTTGTACTCTGTTGGTCTCATTTTCTTGGCGTACCGACTCCTTCACTATAGGACTATCCGGTTTCTTCTACCAACTTGAAGTCTACATAACGAATAATTTGGCTATGGCTGCCCAGGCCAGTGATTTGGACCGAAAAGACCACACCTGACCGATGATCTTTGCCTACTTCTTTGAAAACACTTGGCAGGATTTTGTCATGGATCTTAATTGGTCTTACTCTCTATATGCCAAGAGCCAGGTAGGCAAGTGCCACAAGATTCCGTTGGTCATGATCTACCGTTTATCTGTGTCTTGCCACATCGGGGAAAGGTGAAACTAGTATTTTTCTTGCAAATAAACCAAGTCAATGAATCGTTCATAGTTACCTAGAACGCCGTCGAACAATCCAGAGTTTGGACCATTGCTGAGATGGAGTCCAAGAAAAGCTATTTAAGAGCGAAGATTCTGTCAATCCCGTCAATAAGTTAATTCATTTCAAACCTCTTTTCAGTATATTATCAGAAGAGAATAACAGAGCACTGCCCTTGTCAAACAATCTTCAACATGCTCGTGAAGAATATTCTTGCTACCTTTGCCATCGCTGGTCTTGCTATGGCTGCCCCGACCGAGGATTTTGATGCTGATGCAGGAGCTCCGGATGTTGAAGCAAGAGATTCAGTATGCCCAGGAACTCCTCCAGACCGTTCATGGTGCTGCAAGAGTTCTGTCCCTTTCAATATATTTTTCATAGAGGGTGCTGGAAACGGCTGCAAACGTCCTACCTACCAAGGATGCCCGTATGGTACCTACGCTCTCTGCTGCCGTCACAAGCAGATCGCCGTAAGTTTCATTAAATCAAATTTGAGAGCGGTAACAAACTAACGGCAATTCAGAGTGGTGGCAACATCGTTTGCGTCAAGTAAAGAAGTTCGTTGGCTTCCTTTTTCCACCCTCAAATAGGGTATTGAAATTATTCAATATCAGTGTTCCGGTTGAAGTTTTCAGCGCAGAGTTTTCTAGGTGAAGCAAAAGACAAACACCTCACAAATTACATGCCTATCACTATTCCTCGCTTTGTATCTATCCAAATGACTATTAATATAATAACACTCGTTCCTTGCGCCAGTCAATATTTTGCAAGTGTAAAAATTATTGAATCTTGTAGATTCACTTGTCAGCTAAATCCAAGTTTTTCAACTCCATTCGATAGCAGTCCTGTCGAATTTCGTAATGATATCCTTGCGTAATTAACATACCACTACCCTCTCAATCAGAAAGTTCATATCTACTATTTTTCTTCAATCCTTAACCCTCTTGGAAGTTGTTCAATAAATAGACATCTAGTATACTCATAGGAAAGGTTTGAGAAAGATGATTATCTGAGCTATCTTACAAGGTTAATACTTGTAGGGACACCTCGTATCTTCTCTCACATCCATCCCCCCCCCTTTTCAGTTTTGCCAGAGGAATCCGAGTGAATGGATTTGACAGAGTGATTAACTTACAAAATCAAGCCAGTAGTCCTGGAATAGCATAAGCAATTTCAGTTCATTGGCCAATTCAATGGATAACCTTCATCTTCGCTTAGACGTGGGCCATCATTAGCAATAGGACAAATAACCTCTGCATGCTAAATGATATAGAGCTTATCTGTTCATCAGAAATATCTTTTATGGCCTGATTAATTTGCAGTTATTCTCAAATTTGTTCAAATTAAGACACTATTATTGTCTACAAGAACTTTGCTTTTTTTTTTTAAAAAAAAAAAAATGTAAGATGTATCTTTCTGATTCATATTATGTTCATTTGAACCGCTCCGGTTCCTTATGTGAGCCGCGTTTATTGAGCAAGAGCGCTCTTGAAAACCTCAACAAACTTGAAAACCTCAGAAAAGGTGTTGTAGAGAGGCACAGGTGCCACTCGGACCACATCGGGCTCACGTTTGTCGCAAATGATGCCTGCATCCTGCAGGCGCTGGGCCACATTGTGTAAAAGACCCGGCTTAAGTAGGAGACTCAGCTGTGCACCACGCGCATGGGGATCAGATGGGGTAATGATTGTGAATTGGCGGCCCTCGTCTGTGGTATCTTTGAGTAGCAGGTATTCCAGATAAGCAGTCAGCTTAAAGGACTTCTGGCGTAGGTCCGCCATCGTTGTTTTATCGAAAACGGACAGAGCAGCACAGAGAGTAGTCAGATCAATTACTGAAGGGTTAGAAATCACAAAACCATTAGCCCCAGGGATGGGTTTGAACTCTAGGGGGTCGTAAGCCGCTGCGCACCTATCTGGAAGATCGGGAAATTTGTCACGTACTGTTATCCATTTTAAACCGGACCGAGCGATCACCACCATACCAGCCAGTCAAACGATGTCGGAACTTTGGTGAATCCTCGCCTTCACTGTAATCAACCTTGCCATGTCGCTCATGGATAAAGAGGCCTCCCATTGCGCCAGGGCCGGCATTGCCGTATTTGTAGGTGCACCACGCAGCGAAATCGACGTTCCACTCATGCAGTTTGATCTCCACATTACCGTAAGCGTGAGCTAGGTCCCAACCAACGGTGAGACCGCGATCCTGGGCGTACTGGGTGATGCGGGGAATATCGAAGAGCTGACCCGTGTAATACTGGATTCCTGGTAGAAGAAGAAGAGCAGCGTCGTTGACATGCTTATCAATGTATGATAGAATTTTTTCGGTCGAAATTTCATAGGTGCCCTCATCCGGGCCGATGAGAACCATGTTTTCTTTTGAGTCAAGACCGTGCCAGGCAATGTGCGATTCAATAGCGTACTGGATGCCGGTTAGCATTGATCTAGGTAATTAATGCAGGCATAATTTTCAGTCCACCAATTTACCTACATGATCACTGGGGAATGCCTTCCAGTCCATTAGAATTTTTCGTTTAGTCTCTGTCGGCTTGTAAAAGCTGGCCAACAGCAAATGTAAGTTCATGGTCAAAGTGCCCATCGCGGCCACTTCTTCGGGTGCTGCGCCAACAATTTTGCACATTGACGCCGATGCCTGCTCAGAGAGTAATTGCCATTGGGAAAGAGGAGAGTCCTCCATATTGGTGAAATGGCCGCAGACACCGATTGAGGACCAGGTGTCGAGCTGTGCCTCCATATACTTTGCCACTGCCTTGGGTTGAATACCCAATGAGTTACCGCAGAAGTAAATGCTGGGCTCTGATGAAAGTCCTGTATTCACGATGTTAGATCTCTCCGCTTAAATAGAAACGAGTTGTCATAACAACTCTCATTCTTTCTTACCTGGCTTGGCCAGCTTCTTGCTGGCAAGGTTTGCCTTCGAGGGAATGATGAACTCGTCCCGCAGTTTGTTCAATGGATCCAACTTGTCCAGCGAGGCTGCATACTCAGAGGATGATGCCTCTGCAGGGAAGACAGGTTTGGGTGCTTTGACGCCATTGACACCGTTGGCGCCTGTCATCTTGATATTTGAATGTGGGGGGAGGGGGAAGGGAGATAGGATTAGGAACAATGGGGGTAATGCCGATAGTGAAGAGAATGTTGACAAGTGGAAAACACAGGGAGATCAAAGACAAAAGGGATTCTGGGCTGCCCCATGCAGATAAGACACAGCTGCATTTTATAAATGCGTGATCGCATCGCCGAAGGCAGCCCGGATGATGCATCCGCTTCCGCCTCTCCATCCGTCCCCACATTGTTGTTTGGCCTGTCGGCCCAGTGGCTCTCAGTGGCTCTCAGTGGCTAGGTTGCCGACCGTGGGGAGTCTCCGTTCGGCCTGCTTTCATGATGAATATTACGTATTACTCAATTGCAAGTGCCTGTCCAGGTCGAACTCTGACCACCACGCCGGGCTGCCCCTGCAGTGCAGAGGGGGAAACTTGCGGTGGGCCATGGGGGTCAACTATAGGCTACTAAGTGGCTGTTGTCATACACTATGCACCCTGTACGCAAGACCAGGGTCATTAAGTTGCTTTTGTTTGGCTTGGTCCGAGCACACCTATCATCAACTCGTAGTGATTATATCTGTCTATACCATAAATTCGAAAGTCCTAACCCTAATCTTGACCGTTGCATTCCGGCGCCGGTATTGGGAAAGGTGTGACACCAGTAGGCGGAAGACGGAAGACTATCCGGCTCAGATCCGTGTTGTATAGATAGCAAATGACGGCCGATGCAAGCCGCCATGCCATGCAGAATCTATATTACGGTCTGCTATGGACATCAAGCCCCTAATCCACCCATATGAAATTGTCACAGGCTTTGCAAAACATTTGAACGCCAGTGGTGGATGCTGCCAACTTCGCCAGGCCTCAATATCTCGCCTGTTCACCTCCCCATCTCATCACACATATTCTGCACTTTTCTACTGCTATTTTTCTCACGTCACGCATCAGATTAAATTCCATCACCATGATTGAATCTCCCAAGATTAATCTTGATGACTTTGCAGTCTCACCGGATCATGGCTTCCTCCCGAGTGGCCTGCCTCTGCAAAAGCTGTCTCCCGTCTACTACACTCCATGGGAGAATCTAGCGGCACGGTTGCCACAACTGATCCAGAGTGGCAAGCTCAGGCAATTGCTTGAGCAAATGCCCGTTCTTACCACAACCTGGTTGCAAACGGAGCCAGAATGGCGCCGTGCCTATTCCATACTGGGATACTTCACGCATGCCTACGTCTGGGGAGGCGAGAAACCCAAGGATGTAGGTATTCCACTCTCCTCGGTATAGCAATGCCGCTCTTAGATGTATTGGCCTTGTCTTTGTTTCCCTCACTCTTTGTTTGCGGTTCAAGGAAATCAGTGATTTCCATATATTTTCTTGTTCATCCAAGCTTTTTCCAAATACCTCCGTTCACTCTGGATCTGATCACCCTGACACCTTGTTTAGATTCTTCCTCCATCCATTTCAAAGCCCTTCCTCGAGATATCAAAGCACCTAGAGCTGCCTCCATGTGCAACCTACGCTGGCCTCACTTTGTGGAACTACACTGCCGTTCCCGAGGCCAGTATAACAGAGCCAGACAACCTGTCGGTCCTCACTTCGTTTACAGGCACTAAAGATGAAGAGTGGTTCATGGTTGTTTCTGTTGCCATTGAAGCCGCTGGGGCAAAAATTGTCCCGCTGATGCTTGATGCAATTGCAGCTGCCGCGGTTCATGATGATGCTCGTCTGACAGCCCTGCTATGCCGATTTACTGATGGCCTGCAGGAAGTCAACAGCCTTCTGAAAAGAATGTATGAGAAGTGCACTCCTGCTGTCTTTTTCTACGACCTACGTCCCTTCTTGGCTGGAAGCAAAAATATGGCTGCCGCAGGTTTGCCTAATGGTGTCTTCTATGACCTTGGCCAGGGTCAGGGCGAGTGGCATCAGTACAGCGGCGGCAGCAATGCGCAGAGCTCCCTAATCCAGACATTCGACATCTTTCTGGGTGTGAATCATTCCGCAACTGGCGGCATCAAGCCTGCCGGAGCTGGATACATCCAGGCAAGGACGCACTCTACCTCCAGGCTAGAGCTTCCTGATGCTAACTCCAAAAACAGGATATGCGAGACTACATGCCCGCTTCGCATAAGCGCTTCCTCGAAACTCTCTCCTCCCTCTCCAACATCCGCACCTACGTTTCCTCATCGTGTGCCGAGTCTCCTCTCAAGGAAGCCTACAACGCCGCTGTGCTGACCCTCAGTTCCTTCCGAGACACCCATATTCAGATTGTCTCTCGCTACATCATTATGCCTGCTCGCCACCGCACCCCAGCCAACCAGTCCACCAGCAAAGTTAACCTGGCGACGGCCAGTACCCAGGCTAAGGGCCTGGACGACGCTAACCCCAGCGGCCTGTATGGAACGGGTGGGACGAGCTTGATTCCTTTTCTGAAGCAGACCCGGGACACAACTAAATCGGCGACTTGTTAGTCTACAACTGATGTGCTTTGTTCATTCTGGGTTCTGTGTTTTCTACTTAGCGGCGTGTGGGCGTTCTGGCATGATGAGTTCATGGACTCATTTGAGAAGAATAGATTTGTTCGAGGTTCGTTGACTGCTCTTTTATGATATTACATGGAGGATGGAATGGAATCTGACTTGATGCGTATTGTGTATCTTTTCATTGAATTCGCTATGGCTTGTGTTGGTGTCTAGTATTAACCCACGCGTCCACCAGCAAAGAATTGGTTGTGCCAGAGGCATTAGATCCAAGAGTGGCACCTTCGCTCGAGTTCAGAAGATAGGGCCATAGGGAATACTTTGAAGGCATGGCGTAATTCAAGGTCGATAGGGGCTCGGGCCGGCTAAGGAGACTGTTTCGCTGAACATTGTAGTCAGCGCCAATTCCCGTCGGTCATGTCCCATGACTTATGACGGAAAAGACGTCCCCTTGAGAGGTGTGACATTATGATCTCCCCCATTCGTCCTTGCTTAAGCCAAGGCCGTGGTCTGTAGACGCTTTCCCCTCATAGAGGAAGTAACATCGAGAGGGCCGTAAGCAGAAAATCTCTCGAATAGTGGCCACCCATAGTATTCAGCTTCGCAGAAACAGTGTCAAGAGCACAGACATTTGGGAAGTCCTCGGGTTGGGGCGGGAGGTCGGTAATAGGCATTGGTTTTCCCGTATATGGCATAACACTTGGGATGCCGACAACTCCAGTCTGGCATGGAAAGGGGGGCCATTGTCTGGCGAACGAGGAAAGGGCCCTCATCTCTTCTTCGTGATGGCCGGGACCCCTTCGCTTTCACGAAGCTCAGCCAAATATTTCTCCCGGTCAACCAGCCGCTCCTTCTCTTCCTTGATCATCTGATCAACTGTCTGCATTGCCTCGGCCATCCGATCAAGCTCCTTACCCTCTGTCGCACGACTGTACGGATTCTTGGGCGTATCACTCAACGGAATCTCTGCCGTACGCCCAGCATTTTGTTTGGAGTTCTTACCCTTGCCCTTAGACACCGGGCCCGTGGGCGCGCCTCCCGTCAACATTTCGTAAAACGGCTCGACGGGCTCGTTGAATATAACCTCCTCATAGTTCTGGCTGACAACCACCTCTCGGCGCTCCTTCATACCTTCCGCGTCGGGTCCATAGGGGTGTAGCTTCAGACTATGCCATAGGGTCTGCGGCTTTTCGCCCGACTCAGGGAGGAAGTATAGCTTGATCTGGATTTCGAATTCCCCCCAGCCGGTTTCGACGACTTCAAAAGGGGGTTGCTCGATGGTGCGGACGGCTTGAGCGTAGGTTTCGTGAAGCTTGAACTGGACTTTCTTGAGCCAGTAGGAGATATCCTCGTCGTTGACGCCTTTGACGAAAACACGCCATTGGTGGGTGTGATCTGGAGGCGCGTTCGCGGGTTTCTTCTCGGGATCAAAGAGTTGCGCTTCGCTACCGAAGACTAGGGAGTTGGATTATGTTAGATGAAATCGGACGGACCCTGGTTAATGCAGTCAGGACATACTGAATGGCCGGAAGACCGAGACTCCCTGTAACGCGCGATAGTGAGCGATGGCGTCTGACAATCGAATCGGGATAACGTTACCTTAACGCGCTTGTTTCCTGTAGCAGAAGGCATGGTGTGACGCGAGATGAGTGGGTGGGTGGCAGGATTTGGTAGAAATAAAGGATCACGTAGGGCGAGCCAAGACACTTGAGGGCGCGACAAAATGGCGGATGCGCCGCACGTGACGCGGTGACGGCATGCGGCGGCTTCCAAACAGCTTGATTCTTGCAAGATCAAGACACCATATGATCCTTTTGCAAGCGATCGGTTCCCCCTGAGAGTGCGCTAATTAATCTCAGTGCTTTTTGATCAAAATGGCTGCGAAGCGGCTGGTCGTTGCTGGAGGAAGTGGATTCCTAGGTTCGTTTTGCACATTTGCGACTCGGAGGCAGATGGACCGATGCTCTTAATACTAACTTCATGCCCTAGGATCCAGAATATGTAAATCAGCTGCTGCTCGAGGTTGGACTGTCGTATCATTAAGGTAGCTATTCATTTACACCGCTCTTGCCTCTATGTGTGCGTTCAGTTTACTAATTGTATCTTCCAGTCGATCCGGCGAGCCGCGATGGGATGCCGTTACGGATTCCTCAGAGCGTCCAAGCTGGGCAAGCTCAGTAGAGTGGGCTAAGGCTGATCTTCTGAAGCCGGAAAGCTATAAGCCATTCTTATCTGGTGCTTCGGCTGTCGTTCACTCTATGGGCATTCTGTTGGAGGCCGACTACAAGGGCGTTGTCCAGGGTCGAGAGCCGATTATCAGTGGCCTCCAGCGAGCCTTCAGCTCTTCTAAGCTTGGAAGCCAAAATCCCCTATTGAGAAAGGAGGGCGAGGCGCTCGAGCCGAAGGAGAAGGATGGCCAATTGACATATGAATTAATGAACAGGGACTCCGGTATGTATTTGTCTGAGCTTGTTGTATGCATGATTGAAATGCTCCGGAAGGGAGACGCTAATACAGTATAATCTGCAATACAGCTATCGCACTGGCCCAGGAATCATCAAACGAACATGTGCCGGCCTTCGTGTACATCTCAGCCGCAGCTGGCGCGCCTATGCTTCCCGCTAGGTATATCACCACTAAAAGAGAGGCCGAAGCGACCATCACATCCACTCTTCCTGAGCTTCGAACTATTTTCATTCGCCCAGGCTTCATGTTTGATTCTAGCAGGAAATTCACGCTGCCGATTGCCCTCGGCGGCTTTGTTGCCTCTGAATTCAACACATTTCTGGGGAACAAGCTTAGCTTCCTAGGAGCTATGGCCGAGAAGCCGCTGAAAGTCGATGTGGTAGGTGAGGCGGTGGTAGAGGCACTGGAGGATGAGTCGACCAAGGGTGCTGTGGGCACAAAGCAGATTGAGGCACTCGCAACAAAGGCATGGAGGAAGGCGATGCTTTAGGGTGTGCCTGGTTGCCCCCAAATCATTTGCATGACATTCCTGGAAGGGTCTCTCAAGGTCAGGATTCTGGCAGCACAGGACTCCATTAGCGTGTCAATGCCAGCCATAACCCCAAATCTCCACCACATGTATTATATCACTAGTTTCATGTCGCATTAGATCATTGTACCACGTTCGAAGCTGTCCCGAATCTCAGTCGTGTACTATAAAAAGGTCAGTGTCTGCATATGTATTCATAGTAATAAAGAGGCATACCTTGTTGTAAAAGCGGGCCAATTTCTGGTTGAACTGTTTGTTCTTCTCGTTGATGTATGTCACATCGGCCTCCTCGTCACCATGACGTTCCCTTCGCTTCTTGAGGCGAACTTCTTCAGCCTTCCGCAGATCATTAACCAGCTTGTCAACATTGGCACGATCTGGCTTATTGTCCGCAAAGCCCACACTGTCGGCGGTGGAGTAGAAGCTGCCATTTTTGTCAACCGCAATCATTTCTCCCGCTTCTGTCTCGAGAATTTCAAGATCACCGTTGGCAGCCGCCTTTTCGATAGCTGCCATCTTCTCCTTTTCGTATGCTTCGAGATCAGGTGCCAATTCGCGCATTTGACGCTTGTAAACTTTCCGTGCATCTTGAGTATAGTCTTGAAAGGCGACATCATCACGGTGGCGCTGCTTCTTTTCCATGCGTCGATCCCATTTCTCTGATTCATCGATCGTCCAGTCCCAAGCGCGCTTTCGCTCAAAATCTTCCCCCGCTGCTTCAGTGTCAGCTTTGAGAAGATTGTGTGAGGCGAAGGCATGTTTGCGAGAAAGGGAGTTAAGGAGAGCTGGATCGGTAGCAAGGCGCTGTGTCTCCGCCGCAGTTTCTTTCATGTTTCGTTCGCTTGCAGATTTCTATTTCTAGTCAGTACAGTAGCTCTCTAATTTCCGTGGGTGCAGGCCAACAAGCCATATTGTCACATGAGAAAACTACTTACAGCTCGAGCTTGTAGCGCTTTAAATCTAGCTTGCCGATCGAGCGCCTTAGAGGCAGTATCATCTGCTTTCTTTTCGGCGGATGGCTCTGTTGAACTCGAGTTATCTTTTGGGGGGGTAACGACCTGCTCAGGCTGTTCAACGGCCGAATCATCATTCGCGGAAGTCTTGTCCTTTCGTGTCCTGGGCATGATGAAACGTAATGAGTCACAAACCAGTGACCCTGGATTGTTATGAGGTTCGGAGGATGTTGAAGAAAGGTCAAACCGCAGAGTCTGGCGACGAGATGACATCAATCTCACCGCCCTTTCACACCGCCTTTCATCTGCCCCCCCAGACAAGCCCCTTATCTTGTTTATCTACATCTCCACCCGTGGGCCGTGGTCTCTCCGCATTGCCTGAGAGCTCTTGCTTGAGACCGTTAGCCCACGATGGCAGGAGCATCATCGCGGGTTCTATTGCGACCGAAAAGGAACGCTTTCAACTGTTTACAATTGAATCCACGAGCTTACTGGCTCTCTTCTCTCGCTGTGGACACCTCGTTTCCTGACCCATCACCCTCGCAATTGCTCCGATTCGCCCTCACAAAACCAAAGACCCATGATGCCGTGGAAACAAGTGATCCCCAGTTGTGCGATCAGATTATAGCTCTTCTGGACTCAAAGTGGTCATCAGGCAATCCGCCTCCGCCTTTGTGGTATGCGCTCAAAGGCATCCATACTAATAAAAAAACTGAGGCATATCGTCTTAGATCAGTAAAGGATATTTCATCTCTACATACGGTGATTGAAAGACTGGTAGTTGATCGGAAAGGTTTGAGCTTGTTCAGCCGCGAATGTCGAGCAGGGATTTTTCAGCGCTGTGAAGAAAGCAACACCTATGCGGAGATTATATCGACTTTGTGCGACATCACGACGCGAATTCAGCGCCTCGGGCTACCTCTGACACCTACGATCTGTGAGATGGGCATGTACTATGCTGCTTTGAATGTTTCCACACCAGCATTTCAACAGTTTTTGGGCTGCTATCAGTCAATAGATGGCCGTTCCTTCGATTTGGGCAGTCATAGCTGGATAATCGAAGCACTTTCCGAGGCAATCTCATCTGCCCTTTTGCGAGACCCAACTTGGATACCAGATTCCTTCTCGGAGACCTCACAGGTGAAAAAAAGCCACCCTCAAAAGACCAGCCTACGTTGAATGATATTGTACACGAGGTGGAAATAAAAAATCGTCCAGCCTGGACGACGTATCTGCACCTACTATCGACCCTCCGGAGTCGACAAACATTACTCAAATCTTGGGTTGAATTCTTGGACACATTCTCATTTACAAACCAAACACATTGCCATTTGGCTTATAGTGTGATCGTGTCCTTGATCCGGTCAGGGCAATCTGGGAAGGCAGCCAAGTACCTAGAGGAGGTTTCCCAGCGCTGTGGCGATAACTTACCATTCATTTCATCGCTCCCAAGCCTTCGGGTTTTGGTCGATGATCCAATTATCGCAGAGACTTTACCAAGCTTGGTACAGGGCACTGATTATGAGTTGTTACTCGAGACCTGCCTTGGAAATATTGAACAACGCCTTGGTATTCAATGGCAAGATGTCCCATCATCCCCGAACAAGGGCCAGGCGCATATCAGTGTCACCGCCGGCTCCCAGTGGATGGTCTTCGATGAACAACCTTTATTAACCATTGATGGCGACTGTGCGGGATATGATGACCCCAGTCGCCTATACCCCGAAATCCAAGCTCGCGGCTGCTCAAAGTCCCGAAAAGATTTGCACCAAATTGTGGATCTGTTGAACGAGTACGATGGAACTGCACAGCCAGTAACAGTAAAGTTAGATCACTCAAGAATTGGTCTATCTCCGTCCATTTCTCTGCACGAGTTTCAATGGTGCCCCCAGCACTCACCTCTTGAATTCTCAGACTCGCCTCTTTCTCTTCTGGCCGATGACCGTCATGCAGGCCGGACATCCACAGCCCTCGGGTTACTTCGGGCTCGCGCCATGGCCAACGGTGTGCCGCAGGATGAACACCGGTCCTTACATTTAATGCAACTGGGAACCCTCAGCATGCGAGACGGGCCAGGCGAGAAATGGCTACCATCAGGGTATATTGTGGCATGGGACCGACGATTAGGCGAGATGATCGCTCTGTATGTGGGGAAGAGCCACGGCGTTATTGACAATGGGCCCACTCCACCAAATCCTCCATTTGGTGCTGTGCTGGACATCCGGTCCACCATGATGCCCAATGCTCAGCAGTGGGGTGCGGATCAGCGTTCTCGGAGTCTAGCGAACTCATATTATTTGGACATCGATCCAAGTCCGGATTTGGAGCACTTGGATCCTCGATAGGTCGCCCCGAAACTTCTCATCGTGCATCACAGCACATCTGCGAATCGCACGGCCAGAAAATGGAAGCAATGGAAACGACCTAGTGTGGGAAGAGGACGATCTCACATGTAAAGGATCCTCCGGTTGACAAGCAAAAATGGCAGTAACTAGCACATGACAAGGAAATCACGGGGTTCCATTCTCCTCACTTTCTTCCAACTTCCTTTTTTTTTGTTTTAGACCCGCTCTTCATTTCTTTTCCAAGTCAGATTCTTGTCACATATCGCTTTGAACTCCAAGTCCGCAGCGTAACCAGCTCTTCAAAAAAAAATTGGAAGGAAGAAGTCTATGTGGCGTCACGTTGCCAGATCTCCATCCGCCAACGGGGATGTCCCTGATGACAGGCTCCAATCAGCGCCGCTGTTCGGTCGGCAGTAGCCCTGATCAGCACCGACTAGTTCAACAGTATCGCTGGCGTACAGACTCCGACGGTCTATCTGGATCCCAATCCCTGCGCGGCTGGTTGCCCACCCTTGAAAACACAATCCACATGGTCTGTACGCCTCGGTGTCCCCGTCACAAAGCCCCATGATGCTTTGTAATGTCCTTTTTGTTCTACGTCGCCACCTAAAAAGATGAAATGGTGGAACACTGAAGGGAAAGGATCCACAGTAAGAGCGAACACCTCATCTGATAATCCCTCTCATAAAAAAGACGCTGCAAAACGATGGTTGCTTTGTTCTTCCTAATATCGGGCTAAATTCCTAACGCATCATTCCATATTGGATCCCTCTTGCGAGCTGTGGTTGTTCTTGCCACCAAGCGGACCATAGTTCATTGAAGCATCGCAATAGTCCGCATGACCCACGACGAACTTGGATCATAGCCTACGATGAGTCTTGCCAGACCATTAGGTACCTTCAGATGCGTTCCTTTCTTCGTTGTCTCATTATGGTGCAGTAGCTTGCAGCAGTGAATAGTGGATAGCAGTGGATGCCTTCGCCAAGCTCTGAAGGTGGGGGAGGAAGGAGAAGCCGCAGTCCCTTCTGTATGCTGTCATTGCGATACTTGGATTATGACGGCCTGGTCGCAATGCAACTGATTCGTCTCTTTCCACATTCTATATCGGAATTTCCCCTGTCTCGACATCATCGAGCAGCATCTCAGGCATTACGGTGCTAAATGGAATGCCCAGATGCAGGTGCTGGGGATAAGTGGCCGAGTATTAATCTAACGAACCCAGTACTCAGACTAAAATCACCGATGTGGGAGGTGTCAAGGCTGTGTAGGCCTTCAGTTGTAATGGAACTTCTTATCGGATGTGTTTTCTCAACGGTGCATCCATTCTTGCATCTGCAGCCCCAGGATCATCCCCGGTTGATACCTCCCACCCAGTGACAGGTCGCGCGCGTGGGTGGAAGGATCGATCCTTCGATGATCGACCGCAAGGGTCATATAGAGACTCGAGAAAAGACGGACCGCGACCACGGACAGACAAGGATCCGATGCCACGCAGACTCCCAAGATGGCAGGGTGTCTAGTGGGGGTTGTGTCTAATGGTATTGAGGGCCAACCGAGTCCACTCGCCAAAGATCCCAAATTTGCCTGCGTTGCCTCGACGCTTGGACCTCAGCCCCAGCCTATCATGGAAAGCTCCCAGAAGATGGTCCGCTTTTTTGGGCTCACAGCCCCAGGGTGGCTGATGGCTGCCTTTTTGCCGATCGGATCTCTGCATTATTCCTGTTGGTGAAAGCGATGGTACCACGTATTCAGGTATTCGTCTTGCATCTAGTGCCGCCTCCTCCGCAGCAACCGCACAATTCTCCCCCCACGCAACACCCGTCGCCGGGGACCAGTTCTTCACTCGGGGACTACGCGAGCTCGAAATATGCGAAGGATTGAGAAGCGGATTAACATGCACGAACAGCGAATCACCCGCCTCGCCCAGGCCATCTATGGACCACCATTCCCCGCGTAGATGACGAGAGTATCCTTAGCACAGTGCCGAGCTGTGATGCGAGGGATGGATGACCGGAGAGCACTGTTGTGGAACCCTAGTTTTTGGCTTCCTGCAAATTCCATGTTCCATGCGTACTAGACTTACCGAATGTCCACCGATGCTCCGCACAGAAGCCTAGGCTCGCCTCCTCCCCGTCGACAATCAGAGTCTGCTTTATCCACTATCACGGCAGTATCGGGTGCCACTGACGCAGTGACCCAGATCCTCCATCCTCCGTCTTCCTCCCCGTTGTGGGGTCAACAAGTGATCGTCTCCGTTGGCACGGTTTGCCAAGCCCCTTGGTGTCACCGGCGCCCGTCATCGTCCTCGGGGTCTGCTCCGAGAAAACTGGACGAGTCGCGCTTCTCAATGTAGAAGAATAATTTGCGACCCTGCTATCTCTGTCCTTCCCATTTGCCCATTGGGGGCCCATATCCTTGTCGTGCTGTCTACCGTATGAATGGACACTTGCTAAACGACAGTCAGGCTTGCAGGCTTCCTTGATCGGTCAAAATTCTGAAGATCCGATCTCTGGGCCTGGCTCGCGACGGTCCGCGGAGTTAGGTTGGGGTAAAGAGGAGATTCTGGATACATTCCTTGGTTCCCCTCGGCTTTGACCGAGTAAAAGTGGGGGCATATGAGGCATTTCATCCATGGCACGAAGTATACAGTTTCATAATCCAACAATTTTCGTCGGTCAATCAATTAGGGGTTGCAATATATTTACCAACCAATTCACCACCTTGCTAGTTGACTACTGCGCCCATCCATTGGTTCTTCACGATTCTGGCGGTATTGTATTCCAGGCCCTGTAATGTGATCGACAGTAGAATCGCGATTGGATCATTGTTACCACCTCGGTGAAAGTATCATATCAGACTTCGTGGATTGGGAGTACGTCTATCGCCAAATGTGGCATTTAATGGATTTCAAAGTTTCTTCTTGGCCGCAAGAAAGGCTACTGTGCGTCGCTCCACTTGCTGGACCCTCGGATATGGGCTAAGTCACAATTTCATGACATATTTCGTGGTCTATTTCTATATTGAGTTGAGCCGGCAGACGTACTTTCTACGTTTATTTGTGGGTTCTGTTCTCTGGGACTGGACTTGCTCAAATACGAACCCTCTGCTCGCATACCAAGCCATGCAATGTGCCATCGTGCTGGGTATGGGGCGTTGCATGAGGGTTGTCCCCAAGAACCCTAAATCCCCCCTAGATTCCCTATCTCCTCCTTTTCTTCCCAGATCATCGATGCCATTGACGCCATTTCAGCCGGTCCACTCCATTAAGATGCCAAAAATGACCCTTCCGTTACCCACATGCGATGCAGACAACCATTCAGGAACCCCGTAAGTAAACTCCGTATCGGTCGGCTGACTTGTGTTGTTGTTGCTGCTGCGGTACATGAACACCGTCAGAATCCCGACTTCCAGGACAGAAAAGTCTTGGAAGTGGAGCCTTGTCGCAGCCAAAGATAGTCCACGATGGGTGCTCGCCTGCAGCGCTAAGGGATCTCGGATCGATGTGACCAGCCTGTGAAGCCTCGGAGACCTCGGGCGCCAGTTGCTGCCAGGAACGATCTCGAGCCATGTGAGGGTTAAGGCGTCTGATAGACACGTTGGGCAAAAGACTACTCCACTATCTACAGTGAGTTGGATGCCTAGTATAAGTCTTAAATGTATATCCAGAATATCTTTGTACTGCCGAGTCCATGTATGCTTAGGGATAGTCCCCGAATACGTTTGTATTTATACAAGCTGTATACTGGAATGCTGTTTACTATTACAAGACCAGAACGAGACCCCCAAAGCTACGAAATACTACCCAGTATCTCCCTCTGTATTCGGTATGAGCTTAGGTCTGCGATGGGTCACGGTACTGACCACCCAACAACAACATTTATCACGGGGCTCACGGGCTCACGGGCTCACCTCATCGTGACTTTCCCTCCTCTACTCCACTTCTTCACTCCCAATAGCCCGTCCAACCACTTACCAGAGCTCATTTTCTCCCTGCAAAACCCCCTCCTTCTCGTGGCAAACCCGCTCGGCCCGTCCCCCCGGCTCCTCCCTTTTCTCATCACGGTGGGCCTCTCCCCCAATAATATCCTTGTCTCTACCAAAACTGGGTCCAGTCCAAACTGGACCTAAACTCCTAACTGAAATCCGGCAAACCTTGTCAGCCAACCACTTCCTCCACACCCCCCAGTCAAATTTGATGGGGTGATATGCTCAAAAAATTTCAACGCCCATCTACCCTTCACAACTAGCCTCTGTCATCCAGACACCAAGTGATTGGACTGTGCCCGGACAGGGCCGGGGAAAACGAAAATCCGATGTTGGCTATTCTTTCATCATAGAAAGCTGAAACCTTGCCGTTCAAACCTATTCAGCTGTGCAGACCCCAGTCAAGTATACATTCCGTCGAACAAGCACTCCTTACCCAAGATGGCAACTGGGCAGCCATCACTTGGCGAATAGATTTCGAGTCCTCAGCAAAGTCAGCCAGGCTTCATCATCTTCATCTTCCAGTCTGCAGTGCTTCCAATTTTCTTCATTATCACCGTCACCGCCGGTCATTCATACAGCTCCATACCTCCGTCCATACATGTCCTAGCACCATAACCCACTATACATCGCCTATTTTCTCCTCTCTATCCACCAGCTGCCCACATGGTGTCGTTCTCTTGACGGTTGAGTATCCACATGCGGTTGATCAGATGCTGTCCTTGACCGCAAGCAGATCCAGGATATGCATTGGGAAGTGTGCTCTTTTTTCTTTTTGGTCAGCCCATCTGGCTGCATCGTGACCCATATATATAATCCAGCAACCAACAAAAGGAAAGAAAACAACCCCGTCCAAAAACGGACGATTTTACATCTGAGACATCGAGTCTCTCCACCCTCCCCCCCCTCCTCTCTCCTTCCCGCGCGGTTGTGGCTGTCCTGACCGCTTCGTGGGTCGCATTCAATGCCTGCGCCCCAGCTGAAAAATAATAAAAAAAGAAAATAATTCGGTTTAGCAAGGGCCCTGCATCCTAATACGGCATTCACTTTAAAAGCAGCGCCACGGCCCGCCCTCCGGCGCCAGCGCGATCTGTCACTAGATGTCGAGGTCCCCGTCGCAGCAATGTGGGCACCCCACACCCGACAGGCCGTACACCGACTCTGTTACTCGCTCTCACCATTCGGACCAGATACCTTTGACATATCATCACCCATGCATCCATCATGAGCCTCGACATTTTTTTCGACAAGAGCCTCTAGCTTATGACCGCCCTACCATTACTTCACCCCCGGGCCTCCCTCGTCTACCGGCTCTAGGACAGCTGCCAGAGAGAGGCGCAGACCTAAGATACATGCTCTCATCAGACAATGGCTACATGAATCGCCATTCCCTGCCACAAACGCTTCCATTACGAACGCATTATCGCCATGGCCCTGTCGTTGACCCACGTGGCTATCCCTTCCCTTACGAGGAGAAATCTAGTCCCATGGTGAGCCATGATGGTCGTGATTATACCAGTCACCGAATGCGGACATACGAGCTGGAGTCCCAGTAAATTCCCTTTCTTTTCGTTCCTGTCGATTGAGCCACACCCATGTCTGCCTGTTAGTCTACCCGTCCTAGTACGGTGTACTTTCTTAGTTCGAGCAGTTCTCTTCGCAAAGCCATGCACCGGTGAAGAACTGCTTAATGATATGGGAATTTTTCGCTCCTGATCACTGCCTCTCTGACTCTGGAAAATTCATATAGACATAGCAGCAGCTCTACGGCCATACACAGTCCGATCCATTCCGAAAAAAGTCCCCCCGCAGCCTTCGCGAGCAACCCAGCACCCCTAAGCGATCCCGATCCTCCGTCAGAACCGCCACGACAGGCACCACGAACGTCTAGCCATCGTATGCCCCATGGCTTCGACAAGCTGCTCCATGAGCCTGAACCTTCGCCCCCGCCACCACCACGGCACGAATCTACTCAGTCTCGCTTCCATCTTCATGTTCGCCAGCAACCCATCGCCGCACGCGCCTGCGGTGCCGGCGATCGCGACAGGCGACCTGTTGATCCGCCACCAATAGTTCAGATCCTCCTCGACGACTTTGACCCCGGATCTCAAGATGATCGCGAGATCCTCCAAGACCCACGCTTCACCGTCGGCTGTCTTCTCTTCCCAGCCTCTGACTCGGCCCCGGGCTGGATCCAACCCCCTGACGTGGAGCAAGACCGCCCTCCAGAGCGCGAATCCGACGGCCTCGCCCGAGCAGATGACGACTTCTCCACCCCACTCCTTTCCGGCAAGGCTTTCATGTCACCTTTCTTCGTGGACGCCGATCCAGATCCCAACTCTGCCCCGACGCACCCGACCTCCGACGACACCTACCCAGGCAGCAGCAGTAGCCACAGCCTTGCTGCCGCTACTCCCCAGAACCTCCGCAACGCCTCCAAGCTTAATCAGCCCGCCACTTTCTTCATTTTTGCAGACCTTTCTATTCGCTCTGCGGGTTTGTACCGTCTGCAGTTCCGGCTGATGAACTGGGGCTCTGTCGAGGACACGGGTCAGTCGATGCCTATTCTGGCGGAGGCATGGTCGGACCCGTTTCGCGTGTACCCGGCGAAGGATTTTCCCGGGATGCGGGACTCGTCCATTTTAGCAGAGGGGCTGAAGGAGCTGGGGTTTGTGGAACTGAAGACTCGAGGGAAGGGCAAGGGGAAGGGCCGGAGGAGATGATGATGATGATGATGATGATGACAAGATACGACGCGGTATTTCTCCCATACTGAACCCTTCTCCCCCTTCTCATAGTCCCCGATTTTCTCTCTTCTCCTCGCCGCCGCCGCCGCTGCTGCTTCCCCCTCTCATTGACCTCTTCTTGACCTCATTTTCTGGCCGCTTGGCCTCCTTTCTCGGGTATTCATGAGTCTGTTTTTTTTTTCAACCGGGTTTCTTTTCACTGAAACGAGCGTGATATGGTTTGTCTCTAATTGCAAATTGATGGGATGGCTTTTGAGGGCGGGCTTTAACGCGCGCTGGTTTTGCTTGCTTCTTTCGGGGTTCGGAAGGGGAGCACAGAGCAACTTAGAGCGAGTGGGAGGGAACAAATGGAGTGACAGGCGTTTCGTTCCTTGATTCCTGGCTCCCTTTTTTCTCTTTCTTCATTTTCAGTTCTTCCCTTTCTTGCCTTTTTCGATGATTCCAATTTTTCTTCTTCCGCCCGCCCTCTTTTGATATGAGATATGAATGACGACGAAGCAAGATAACGGCCTTTTCACGGATTTGCCTTTTGGTTTCGCGTTTTTGGTTTTATTTTTTGACCTGGTGTATAACGATGTTATTGGCGCTTGAGCTTCATCCTCGCTTCCTGGCAGTTTGTTGGGTTTATGTGCATCGCAGGTACTCGTTGGGGCATGCTGTGTTGTGCGCGTGGGTTCCAGGATTCAGGGGTTTTAGGGGACACTCGGGGCTCAGGGGTTCAGATTGAATGTAGACGACAGAAAGACCAATTTTATACACATAGAGCATAATTTTAGGCATGTGGTGTTCAGATGCTGTTCCCGGGGTTTCATTAGGGCTGACTGGACTTATATGGGAAGTTGGGGAAATATTATCCTGATTCTTGGCTTCATAGAGACGTCTTGTTTCGTGACCGCGGTGCCTGTATCGCCCTCCAAGTTACCCAGTGGCTCGACAGGCCATTCTAGCCTTATCTTTACTTGAGTCATACCAAAAAAAATTGCTAGCTGCTAGAAATACAAATGGCCAGATGGGTAGCGGCCACATAATACATAAGATAAGATGAATGGTGTACAGAAAGTGGTGTACAGAAAGTGAGGGTCTGTACAATTTTTATACCCACAATGCCAACCACAAGCCACTATCGTACAGCCAATATTTTCTTAGGCACCGAAGGGACATATTTTGGATCATCCCAGTTAGCCTTCAAATCTTGGATTCGCTGTGTGAAAGAAGCATCCAGGTGCTGCTCAGACTCTAGAAGGATCGCAGCGCCTTCTTCAACCATTCCCATCTCGCGAGACAGTAGCGCCAACATAAACGCCGCGTTATGGTCCTTATATGCCCGGGCGAGCATGTACCACTCGAGAGCGAGCTGGCGGTACTGCGTGCGGGCGAGGAATGGGCTGGTGAGGGATGATAACCATTGTCGGGGGGCTTTCCAGAAACTGGGGTTCAATGCAGCATCATCATCCGGTGCGGGGGCGTTTGTAGCTGCGGACTGTCCAGCGGCCCTTTCAGCATTTGTTGGGTATACACCGTGGTAGGTCAGGTAATAGAAATTCGCGAGGAAGAAGCAGGCCTTAGCGTGACCGGCCCCCGCAGCCCGTGACATGCATTGCTCGTACATATCCAAGTTCTTCTCGTTCATCATGATGGAAGCGTACTCGGCCAACGCGTCCGGGTCATTGTAATCGAGAGCCGCAATCCGTGTTGCCTCATCTGCTTTCCTTCGACTGTCTGGGGAGTCGTGTAAGTCATTGTACGCCTCGTGAAGTAGCGCATACGTGCGCCAAGGCGAGTCCACAAGCTTCGAAACGGTAATATCCTCAAAAATAGGCTTCGTCCGCCTGGTGGGCGACAGATAAGGAAGTACCTCGTTCTCTAGGAGTTTGAACGCTTCCTCATACTTGCCACGCAGACCAAGAATCTTTGCGTGCAAGGCTATTGCTGGCGGATAGCCCTCCTTAGCTAACTGCTCCACAAGCTCCGTCCACTCATTTCGCGGCGGGGCCTGGGTCCATTTAATGAGACGGGCCTGGGTCATTACCACCGCTAAGCGTGCTTTCGCCATCGCACACGAAGTGAGAATCCATTCGCGCAGCCAAGAGTTAGATGAGATGAGAAATCCAATGCGAAAGACGGTGTCGACATCTACAGTAATAGAACGTAAGCACTTGCATATCGTACACCAAGCGTCCCGAACTGCATTCAGCCCATCCTGGGGTCACTTACCAACTGAAATCTTCCGAATGGCTTGCACATTGGGTTTGTCCGAAACAGATGCTCTGATGAGCTTCGTACCAACGTCTTTGAACGTCGCAAGGCTGATAGCCGAAGGCAAGTACCCATCCTGAACAGCCGCGTCATATATTGAATCTGCATGTTGTTCAAACCATAGCAACCCTTGCTCGCGATTGCCCTCCAGTCGAGGCATGAACATGCCCTGGTGGCTCACATGTTCTGCGCCAGCCTTTCCAATCCCTCGAGCTGTTTGTGTTTCTCTTGTTTTCGACCGTAGACGGGGAGCTGGTCTTGAGTTTGGCTTGGCATTGCGTGTCGGGGTGCTATGGAATGATCTTCTGGTTACAGAGATGCCGTTGGAAGTGGTGGTGAGGGTGAGAGGCTTTGCGGAGGGTACGGAATGATAATTCGCGCTGTAGTTCAATACGGCAGGATTGTGCGCGGATAGAGTTTGACGAATTTTAAGCCATTGCTGGAGAGCAGCTGAGGGTCTCGACATGGAGAACAGCTGGTGAGTAGAACCAGGAGTTTCAAGAGACGAAAATTGGGATTTGGTCGAGGTTGCGGCCGAAGCTGGCAAAAGGTGCGGAGGTCGGCGTTCTTCCGCCTTTCTAGTCAGTGCGGACAATCGCAACGGCCGGACGGATTTTGTTCAGACAAATCGCTACGCTGTATTCTGCTCGATGCGAAACTCCTGGAATTTACAAGACTACAACATTATTTGCTCTTTTGAAATATGCTCAATGCGTCAATTAATCAAAACGAGCCCTCTGTACCAGACGGGTCCAAAACACAATGCGTATAATGTACATTTGCCCTCACACGACCAGGCCCAACAACGCTCAAGAGATAACCTCGAAGCAGAAATTTCCCACATGTGCAAACCGTGCAAGAATACAACTACAGAAAAGAGGAGAGAGCAACAGCAGGAAACAACAGCTCCATCCAAGTCCGTCCCATGTTTTCGCCGAACAAGATTGCAGATTTTCTTTGGGTTTGCGCTTTTTACTCCATGATGACCTTCGCGCCGAGACCCTTGAGGGTCTCGATAATCTTCTCGGCCTCCTCCTTCGGCACAGACTCCTTCATGATCTTCGGCACGGACTCAACGAACTTCTTGCTGTCCACCAGGGAGAGGCCAAGCATGTTCTTGACCTCCTTGATGACCTTGGGCTTGGAGGCGGCCTCGAATGACTCGAGCTTGAGGTTGAACAGGGTCTTCTCGGCAGCAGCAGGGGCAGCTTCCTCTTCCTCAGCGGCGGGGGCGGCGGCGCCGGCACCAGGAGCAGCGGCCATAGCGAAACCGCCAACGGGGAGGTCGGGGATGTTCAGACGGGTCTAAACAAGGCCAATGTCAGTGAAAATCACACATATACGGTATTTGAGCAGATGAGCCCTTAGCACAAAAGCCAATTGGCGTAATTGATGCGCCAATTCACGCATTGTATACGTAGGCGAGTCAACGGCTCGACATAGTACTCACCTTCAAGCTGGACACGAGGTCGGCAGTCTCCAGGAGGGTCAATGTGGAGATCTGGTCAACAATCTGTGCGATCTTAGGGTTGGTAGGAGCAGCAGCCGCAGCCTCGGTGGACTCCCATCGCCGGCTGCTGGGTGTGCGGCGGGCTGTGTATGTGGTCGCGATGCGCAGGGAGGATGGGCGGACGGAGCCGGAGAGCTGTCGGCAGCTACGAGCTGCAGCCTGGATAGAGAGAGACATTTCGGAGGGCGTGATTGGGTTGCTTGGAGGAGAAAAGAAAATGAACACGCAGTTGGGGGAGGGAATGACAGCTTCGACCGCGATAGCGAGCGAAAAGAAAGACAAGAGTTTCGGGGAAAATCTAGGTGTCACGTGTGTTGATATTATGTAAGCATGGGCATTTTCACAGTACGAGCAGTACTAGCCCCCGGCATAATGAGATTTGCGCTATGAAGTATACGAGAGATAGGAATGGTTTGGTGTGGTCGTAGATCAGCTGTATTTCGAAAATCAAATGATCTCCTATGGACCATCCATCAAAAGTATTACAAAATGGTGTTGGAATCATCTAGCTCATTTATTGGAAAAACCGAGGAACCATGATAAACAAATATCCAAACTAGGCCAAAACACTTGTTATTTTATCTCTTCTCATTGTGCTTTTTACCATATGGATAAGTCTTGAACAAGCCCGTTATGTAGTGACTAGCAAATGTTGTCGAAGTATCGAAATGAAGCCGCGATCGTGGTTCCATCAAGGAGCTGATCGATTGAGGGCGAAACTGGGCCGGAGCCAGTTGCGCAAATAAGGGACGATAGAAAAATCATTCTCAACGCTATTTTGATAGCTCTGGGTCTTTTTGAAGCTCCTTTATCAATGCTGTGTTGGAAATATCGGTTCTTGAAAGTCCAATATTTGGTTGGCGGAGAATGCAGAAACCCGAAGCTGAATGCCCACCAGAACGAACATATCACTTGCCTATCAATAGTGTCGCTGCGCTGATTTCGGCCTGAAGCATTTGGAACTCTGCATGAATTATAATACAAATTCATGATGGGTCAATGGAGGTGGATTTTGTCTTTATCAACGTCCAAGGGCCAAAGGATGCCCTGCAGCTTTCCAATGGACCTACCTCAAGTCCACTATCATGTAACCCACTAACAAGTCAAGCGATATGCTGAGTTTTTTGTCTTCAAAAGAAAGCCCTAGTCTCTCCAGAATATGCACTGGTGATTCAATACCAAGAGAACTCGGAGTCCAGTAATTCTTCTCTGAAATCAGCCTCAATATCGCCTCAGATTGGCGGGCTTCGCGCTGACCCTTTTCAATCTTACCCTATTGCCGGCCAACCCTAGGTTCCACTCCTTGCCGGCCGCTGTAACTTCTCTGTCAAATCGACTTACCACAAAGTGAGAACAATCTAATATGCCAAAGACTGAATCCACATGGCTGTTGATATTCTCGAGCTGGACCTGCTTGGAAATCACGGTCTCCTAAGAACCAACTTTCTGCCTCTCAGACTCCTCTTTTTTCTCCATGATCATGCTTCTTGCCACCTCATAGTGTGCCTCTGTGGAAGTTCAACCTCATGGTATCAAAATACATGTGCTACGTATTTCTCAGGCAGTACCCTTGTGCCGGGTGAACTCACGCGAGATCCCAATTCTGGCCATTATGTCCAAAATTATCGCGAAAAGATTAGTCTTGAACCAGGAAAAATTATAACCCTGAGTACTGCTTGTTTCAAGGCATATCATAATGCTGCAGAGCCAGGTGGAGAATTCCTGAACGGGATATAGCATCCCAACCGATCGACCCACATTGTTGTCACCAATAACGTATTGCGAATTTGCGAGATGCTCCACATTTTCCCATTGTAGATATCTACTGACATACAAAATCTTGGGCATTGGATGGTTTACATCACAGTACGCTCAGGTATACGCATTCTTGGACATGAAAAGCATGCCTGGTCACCAACCCGACACAAAGAGTGAAGATTTAGTTATCCCATACGTCTTATCATCCGCCTGTCGAGCTGTGTTGTGCCATTGATCCTAGCAAGTCTCTAGCTGAAAAGGCTACAATCACCGCGAGTGTGAAGAATATTCAAATCCATAGCGCACTTAGAATGACCTGCGTCGACCTCAACCTTGGCCTTATTAAGATTCAGCAAGTGGACAAGAGGAAGCCATGGAGAAACTCAAGGGAAAGAGCCCATCAATCAAAGTCGCCTTCTGTTAAGGCAATCTGACCTTTGCCAGGGAAGTCAAGAAGCTATTCCACGATGTGATTCATGATATTTGATACGCAAACCTTGTAGTCAATACAATTGACAAGGTGCTTAAGAATTCTATTACGGAGATCAGCGACTGTTTGCGCACTTCACCCTGTATGTTCTGAAGGATGTTCAATCTAACAATTTGACAAGTGGCGTGTGCATGGAACCTCAATCTCGCCACATTAATGTCAATGATATTCCTCTAGGGCTAATGGACATATGTATGCCACTCGCATGCGTCCTATCTCTTTCGGGATTATATTACGAGAGATTCTCAATATCACTCTTCTATTTACAAAAATTCCCGAACGCGGTTGAACTTTAAAGCAAATGATAATAGGCAATCGTTTGATTATGGCTGAGGACATTGCTTCAGCGATTTTGCTTGACACAGATGGCGCCTGGATTACTGGCCGAGGTGCTGTTACTAATGATGAATGAATAACTCGTTGCTTGAGCACCGAGGGCTTAGCAATACGCTTTTCCTATATTTCTAACTATGATGGATTGGAGGCAAACACATGATCTGGAATCAAGGTGTCTTCAAACATTAATGGCATGAAGATGATCAGCGACAGATAGCTAGAAAAGTGTAAAGGTAAGGGCACAGATGGCACCGTGAGTGCCAAGTGAACTGGGCAAAATATTGACCAGGCAAGTTCAGCCAGATTGGGTATTATAGCTGTGCATGAGAATCTAGGGCCGAGACAAGACTAAGGAAGAAGTTGATGGGAAGTGCTCTAGAGTTAATGACCATAGGAGGTCCTACTGCGAACAAAAAGACCTCGGTAGGAATATTTAAGTCTGAAGAGGTATTGGTTTTTATGTGGAGATGTACTATTATCATACCCAAGCTATACACACAAGGCGACTTTTTTTTCTCGTGATATCGTACGGAGTTCTATCAACGTCACAAAGTGGGTTCAAATGCCCTCCCTTTCTAGCCTAAATGATTCTCATGTCGGATATAGCTAAAGATAAGAAAGAAAGGGGGGTTCCACCATTTCACATCATTTAATCCTCATCCCAGTTGGGGTTGGGACCTGGCGGCTTGGGTCCGCCCGCTTGCCGGGCAACAATGATTTGGTCCACGCTCAGCACGGTCCGGGCTGCCTCGCTGGCGAGACGGATGGCCCAGCTCTTCGAGGCCAGCAGGTCGAGAATGCCCTCCTCGACGGCATCCAGGGTGCCAGCGGAAGAGCCGACCTCCAGGTCCACGCCGGTGGTCCAGTACGGCTCCTCCTCGTCGGAAGAGCTGCCCTCCTCTTCAGAGGCCTCAGCGGCGTTGGTGCGGTGGTGCGCGGTGTACAGGCGAGAGAGAACCTCAGTGGCATCCAGGCCGGCGGACTCGGCCAGCGTACGCGGAACCACTTCAAAGGCCTCGGCGTACTTGCGAATGGCGTGCTGCGGCAGGCCGGGGGTCTTGTCAGCGAAGTTGGAGATGCGCTCGACGAGCTGAATCTCGGTGGCGCCGGCGCCGGGGACGAGACGCGGGTCCTTGGTGATGGCCTTGACGACGTTCACACCGTCATCAATGGCGCGCTCCACGTCATCCAGGTGGTTCTGGGTAGCGCCACGGAGCACAATGGTGGATGTGCGGGTGACAGCATTGGCGTCTTCTTGACGGAACACGGTAACACGGTCACCACCAATCTCGGTTGTCTCGACGACGTCGATCTGGCCCATCTCGTCGGGCATGGGGGCACCTAGGCGGGCGAGGGGAGTAGCACCGACAACGCGGCACAGGCGGCGGAGCTCGAATTTGGACAGAATCTTGATAACCAGAATGTTGAAACGGTTGAGATAGTGCATGGCCAGATCGCCGATGGTGGAACCGGCAACAACCACACGGAGGCCGGAGTCATACAGCTCCTTGATGGCGGCCTCGAGGCGCTCTTCCTCACCCTTGGTGAAGTCAACCATCTCCTGGGCATTCTTCAGCAGAACAGTGCCCTTGGTCTCGGTCTGCGAGGTGTCGATAGGGCAGCTGAACACACCAACCTTGGCCCGGCGGGCCTGCTTGACAATACCATCCGGCTCCCGGCCGAACACCATACCCTTCACCACCTTGGACTGTTCCAAGCTGCCGCCCATAATCTTGACCACACGCACATTATCCACGTTGAAGTTGAGGGGGTTTTTAGGCAGCACTGCGAGCACGGCCTCGGAGACCAAAGCAGCCAGGATATCTTCGGTGCCGGACTGCTTGCTTGCCACAACGGTTCGGAGGGCCTTGCTGAGCTCCGTTACAGAACGCATCTCCTTCAGGCGGTCAACCTCGAGATCTAGAACGCACGAGATAAAAGCATAATTAGCCCAAATATTCCACACAGTGTGTCTTCCGAGTACCAAGCATCCCTGAAGGCGCCCACCAACCCTTTTCCGCAAAGAATCACGGGAACCATACCTTCAAGAACCTTCAAGGCGAAATTCTGAGCCTTCTCATAACCGGAGACAATATCACTGGTCTTCAATCCCATACGGATCAGCTCCTCCGCCTTCTTTAACAGCTCGCCCGCGAGGACGATAACCAAGTTCGTGCCATCGCCCATCTCTGCATCCTGTTGCTGACTGGCCATAACCAGGAGCTTGGCGGCGGGATGGACAACATCCAGCTCGCGGAGGATCGTAGCGGCGTCGGAGGTCAGGATCATCTTCTGCAGGTGGTTGATGACGATCTTGTTGCGGCCGTAGGGGCCCAGGGAGGTCTGGACAGTTTGAGAGATAGCCTGGCAGGCTTCAATGTTGCGAATGACGGCACCATCTTCGGCATCGTGGCTGCAATTGAAAAAAAGGTGGGTTAGCTGGTGCTCTTTTTTCGTCTCTTGCGGACTCGCCCAGATAAGGAGGTGGGAGGTGGTCTCCGGTGCGGTGGGATGGTCCGCTCTGAGAGTGTCGTGCTTGCTCGTACCTCTGGTACCCGGCCTTGAAGAGGCCCTGCTGGGAGGGCCCGGGGAGGGATAGAGACATTATGAGAGGTCGCGTCCGAAGAAGATGCGACTGAGTAAAGGGGGAAAGGTCGATGGGCTTCTCTTAGTTGTGCCGGGGAATTTTTGGAGCTGCGGGCGACGGGCGACGGTGGGTTTGCGTTGTTTGCACGAGGGGAACCCGCCAGTTGACCTAGAGGTTCCCCGCTTCTGGAAGTTAAGAACGCAAAAAAATACAGGTCACTGCATGTTCTGGAAGTTTATGCTTAGTCAAGAGATGGGTATCGTATATATTTTTCTATTATACAGTAAATGCAGCGTGCCCCCTTGGGGCTTTCTAACTGTCATCTGTCATGATCACAGCTACGATCTTTCACCATCCGTAGGAGCTCTGCGAACGGTATGCTTTCTGGAAGCTGGGCACTTTTTGACAAGAAAGTGGACAGTCAGTACTCGAGAAATTCCGAAATTATGCAAGTGTCTAGCGAGATTGCTTACTGTAGCTTCCGAGGGTACTGCATCCATTATCCGCATAGATCGTTTCAGCTTTCTCAAGCCTAAAGCAGGTTGTTAGCAACTATATTTGATCACCGTTTTTCTTTTTGTCTCATCTTACCATCCTCGAATAGCTTCCTCGCGATTATAACTCTGGAAAAAATCAGTGATATTGTCCATTACGATTTGTTCGACTAGAGACTTACCGAGGGGTGGGTCGACATGAACTGCGGTGGTGCGGATTTCTCCTGTTGCTGCATGCGATGCCATCTAGCAGACTAATTAGTCCACGTACGGCCAGACTGGCTTTATTAGCTCTGATGAACAAATTTCAGACTCACAATCTGACCGCAGCTTCCGGATTGAAGCACGCCTTCGCCATCATCACTAGCAACCAGAGTTAGCCACCCCATCTATACTCGGACCCAATCCATACATACTCAATCCAATATTGTCTGCTTCCGCCTAAACAAAAGAAAGAAAAAAGAACAAGAATTAGCAAATTACAATTCCAACAGTCTTCATTAGAAGACCACCCAATTTCTGCGCAACTCACCTCTTGCGTCCGCGAGTTCGGCAAACTCCACATCAGATTAACCAGCATCGACGAAAACTGCCCGGAGACATCGAAGAGCAACGAGACCAGAAAGACCGTCCCCAGCGTCAAGAAGCTGTTACTCATCCGCTCCGCCGGATGCCGCGCTACAACATGCGCAATTTCATGTCCCAGCACCGCCGCCAGCCCGTCCTCGTCCTGGCAAATCGGCAGAATCCCCGTGTACACAAAGACCTTGCCTCTAGACGATGCATCAGACCGCGTTAACTCCAGTCGTCCTAAAGAAAACCGAGACCTCGTCTCAACCTAGCTTCAGTGGACTAACTCACCCCGGTAGTACGAACGCGTTCGCGTTCCCGTCGTCTTGGATCACATGCACCTTCCAGTCCGCACCCTCGATCGGCGCCTGCGGAATCAGCCGCTGCAGCACACGGTTCACGGTCTGCGCGATGGGGTGATTATCCGGTAGAACTCTCCCGCGTGACTGGGAGAGGACTTCGCGGTAGCTCTCGGCGCCCATCTTCAGCTCCTGCGCGGCGGAGACGCAGTTGAAACGACGGCGGCCGGTCAGTTCGACCACTTCGGTGTTGTAGAGGTATAGGCCGGAGATGCCGAGGCCGATGATAACAAAGTGTTGAGGCTTGGATTTGTGGACAAGCACGTAGAAGAGGGATTGGCGGGGGCCGCGGTTATTGAAGCGGTTGTATTGGGGCTGTTGGAGGCGTGGGCTATGGGTGAAGAAGCGGCGGGAAGCATAGGATATTTGACAGGCATGAGGTAAGTTTCGACGGAAGGGAATGCTGGATGTCCATCGTGTGGGTGTTGAAAGGTACGTTCGAGGAGCGTGAGAAAGCAATTTTGCGTGTGGTTGCTGCTTGCATGTGTATGAAGGACGGATGTTGCGCAGTGCGCGCACGGCAAGTTGACGAAACATTGTCATGATCCAAGTCGCATTATTTACAAGCAAAAAAGGCGAGTTGTTGCGCGGGGGAGGGAGTCCTCCAGGTGGTTGGGATCGACTTGTGTGACTCAAGGAAGATGAAGGCGTGGAAGCCGCAGTTGAAGCCAAGAGGCCGGCGATAAGCAGACCCCTTCGGCGTTTACGGCGAGAGGCGGTATCCCTTGGTTCCAACGCATTTGGACTTTGCGGATCAACCGCACAGAGTACAGGACGTGGACTTGTTTTGTTAAATTCTTCAATAAGGCTACTGCATAATAGAGGTTGAACTCTTATTCCCTGTACTAATAGCGCGCTATAACCCCAAAGCCGATTATTACAGACACAGGATAGGTCCAACTAACAAAGAAAATAGACACTCGTGCTAGAATGTTCGGTCTAAAGTGACACATAGATTGTCGTTATTCACAAGGGTAGTCAACGGGATTATGCTATGGCTATATATCAAACATGGAGGGGGAGCAAGCGGAAAAAGGTCACAGCAGATCAGTTCGTCACAGAATATGTCCAAGTGCAACCAATGGCCCAAAAAGCGAATCAATCATCCAAAATCAAACGCAAAAAAAGATACTCCTTCATTCTCATCGCAAGCCCAGGGGAGAAATAGAGTAAACCTGGCCCATCCGCACACCATACCTGCGACCGCCAAGCAATTGCAGAGAAACAGAGATGTATGTCCAACAAGGCACAAATCCAAGCAAGAAAGTGGATAAGCGGAAACACATCGAAAACGAAGACCCTGGTATCATGCTGCAAAGTCGTGGTGGGAACAAAGTGGTATCATAGGGGAAGTAAATATGAAGGGAAAAACAGGGGGGGGGGGGGGTAAGAAAATGAAACAGACGATGACAGATCACGAGCAATATGAAAATTGGAATGAAATATGGGAATATGGACGGTATAGAGGGGGAATAAGTCATGAACCGACTCCGTGAGGGCATTATATATGAACCCGAGATATGAAAGCAACGATGAACAAGAAGAAAGAAAATATGCAAAAAGGGAGTAAAGGGGTGGATCGCCAGGCCATTACTCCTCGGTCAAAGCATCATCACCCATCTCACGCCAGTCCTTAGATCGATCGGTCAAGCGACGCACACCAGAAATTCGCTGCGCCCAGTGAGCTTCGGAGGGAGTACGGAAAGTGTAAGCACGTTGGGAGGAGATCACGCCGATGCTTTGGAGCACAGCCTTGCGGGAATCACGACCAAAGACAGCAGGGTGGTTGATCCATTCAAGCGCAGAATCTAAGTCTGCATTCAAAGCAGTCATGGTCTGCGCGTCAACGGCGGAGGCGGGGGTGATGGTAGCCGTGTCAGAGGCAGAGGAGACGTGGCTCTCAGCAAAAGTGGAAGACTTGGGGGAGGTCGAGTTCGGGGTATCGCCGTGGCTGCCAGAATCGCTGGTACCCGGTGTCCGGGATGCGGTAGGGGGCAGGGGGGCAGGCCACCTTTACCGAGACCCTTCAGGATACTGCGGGTCTCGTTCAAAAGATGCTGTCCACGGTCGTGTTGACCACGGGACACAAGCGTGAGTGCCCGAGTCAACATGTCGGAAGTGAGCAGCTCCATGCGGCGCTGCACGATAGAGGGGAGAGGGGGAATTGGAGGAGTAGAGGGCCGCTGGTTGCGAACTCTGGGATTTGGCGGGAGCATAGTGATGGCAAGGAGAGATGGGCGGGGTGAATGAGTGAGATGGCCGTCACGAAGAAGATCTCCATAGGTCAGATCAGCCTGGATCAACGGGACTTCTTCCACACTCAACACTCGCTGCTCATCACCATCCAATCCACCGCCGAGAGCCTCCAGACCAGAAACCAAACTCTCCCAAGGATCCTGAGGCATATTGTCCTGCGTAGCGTTGTCTGGCTGGATGACCAGTTGCACCAAAACATCGCGCTTGTCGCCAAATCGGAGGTCTCCCAAAGCGGCTTCCGCATCTTTTCCAGTAGCCCGTTTAGTGGTGTGCAAAGCACCGCTTATCTTGACAAACTTAGCCGGAGAACCTTCCGGCAGGCGAAGCTTCAGCTTCACATTCTGATGAGAAGTGGTCTGCATAGCACCCAAGCAACCAGCCACACATTCTCGCAACATCATCCAATCCTTCACATACAGATAAGATCCCTTGGTGCGAGTTGACAGTTCGATCATTGTGTCTGGTTTGTGGGTCAGACCGAGACCGAAAGAGTGGATGCTAACTTTGGCAGCCTCGGCGCGAGACACAACGAAATCAACACTCTCTGGGTCCGAGGTAGAGGAGTCGCTGATCAGGAGGATGGTGGACACTGGGTTGTTGAACTTGCGCTGCATCAAGAGATCCATGGCCACATTGGCACCCTCGACCACATCGGCGCGAAGGCTCTTCTGCCCCACGGGTCGAATAGAGTCAAGGATCTTATTCCAACCGTTCCAAGACTTAGTGGTCATGCCAACCAGAGGGACGCCACCGCCGCTTGAGCCAAATGTCACCAGGCCCATTCGATCCCGGGAGCCCAGGTTCTGCACGAGGAACTTGAGTGCGTCCCGAAGCAGAGTAATCTTCAGGCCTTGCATCGACGAAGATACGGGGATCACGACGACGAGATCTAGTGGGATGTGGAAAGAATCGATCGAGGGTGCCTCCATATCTGGGTTGGTGTAGTCGGTGATCGCTGTATTGTTCGACTTGCCCGCACCATGCGACGAGTTCAGGGACGCTTGTCGCTGGATACGACTGGTCCGATAATCTTCCTCCTCCGCGCCAGAGTTATCAAAGTCGTAATCGCTAGGGCGCGAGAGATTCTCCACAGGATGAAGATCCATCAAGGCCCGGCGCCAAGTCTCAAGCTGGCCGCGGCTCTGGAAACGGAGGTAAAAGCAAGGCAGTTCACTGACGGACAGATTGAGGGACAGGACAGGTTCATTGGATGCAGCCTCGATGGATTTCAAATGCTTCTGAATTAGGATGGAACCTTTCAAAGTGCAGCGTGTTGGCTTGCGGTTTTCTTCGTATTGACGTGAGTCGGGCACTTTCTTTTCTTTGACGCAGATGAGCATCTCCGCGAAAAGATAGCATTCCAATTCCTGCCACGAGTCCCGGTCCTTGCCCACGCGCATTTGGCCGTGTAATCTCAGTTTGCCAAACCTAGAGGTCTAAATTAGCTTTCCGGCTTAATGCGCCGCTTGAAATATCAGACATACCGTTGGAACTCAAGGCCGTGCCAATTGTCCACGCGATTCCTCAGGTCTTCGGCAATCTCGTCCAGATTCTCCGCTGGTTCGTATTGGATGGAACGAGCATCCTGTGAGCCTCCGTAGCGGCCAACATACGGCTCATCGGGCTGCGACTGGCCTGAAGGTGTGTAGCGAAGATCGTCTACGTCCGGACGCCAATTGCCCTCAGGCACTTCCACCGTAATCAGACATGTCAAAGATTGCTGCTGGCGGGATCGGTTCATAGTGGGAAATTCGCTCCGCACGGTCACAATTGGGGCCGGAATAGGATTCTTGCTGACACCCGGGCGAGGGCTCAGGTCAGACTCCATGGCCTGTACATCGTAGTCATGGCGGCGCCCACTGCTCATGTGCTGGCCATCTTGGTAGTCCCCGGAGGAGCCCGCGGCGCTCCCGTTCCGAGAATGTGGTTGACGGGGATTCGAGCCCACGGTCAGTCGTTCCACACGTTCACGCTGGTTTGTTGTGTCGCGGCTGTCTCGCCGGCTATAGGTGGACTGTGGGGGGTTGTGTCGGCTACCGGCGTCACTCGGTGGTCGCCGACTCGATGGCTGTTCCCATGGTGTTGGCGTCGTCAGACCACTCCGTGTTGTGGACGTGTCGCTCATCGTCACCGAGCGTACAATATTGCTAATTTTTTCTGGTGGGTCTGCGTCAGTCCAATCGGCCCCCTATTCTTTCTTTTTTTTTCACATGCGATTTTGTCATTGCTTAGATGTTCGGGGGAGGAGGGGGGCCGCACGCAAGGGGCTGGGTGTGGGGAGGGGGAGGGGGGATTTTTCTGTTTAGGTAAAATACGAACCTATATCCAAGACATTTCCACCTCGACTCGTGTCCAAGCCTAATGGAGCATTGCAGGTCGGGCAGTATTGCGATTCAAATTCACGGATATACTCGTAAAAGCAGGCTTCGTGGGACACATGGCTGCATGAGAATTGGAGGACGCGCTCACCCCGAAGGGTATGTTCCAACGGCTCCTCGCAGACGGCACATTCACTGCCGATAAATGTCCTCTCCCTGCGGGTTCGGCTGCGGTCGACCTCCATGGGGCCGGTAGTCTGTCTGCCCGATCTAGAATTGAAGGAGACGCGCGAGCGATTGGAATGAGTGGGTTGAACGGCGGAGTCGGGGTAACTCGAATGAATTGAGTCGGCTAGTGTGGAAGGCGCTCGGGGGCGAGCCGTTAAGCGTGAGGCGTCGGTGTAGTTAGAGAGGCTGCTCTCGGGCCGGTCTGCTTTGCTTCGAAAAGAGCGAAAAGGGGAGCGGAGTGAGGAGCGGGAAGGTGAGTCTGGCCGCGATTGAAATTCTGCGCATCACCGGTAACCATTAGCCATGCGGGGAGGAGCCAGAATTGCCAGCTGACGGGCGACGACAATGCGATTGCGCTGCAGAACGAGGAGAGAGAGAGGGGGGGGGGGCCAAGTCGCGGCCCGGTTGCGCCAATTGGGGCCGGAAAAAAAGAAAAGAATGTAACGAGGCAGCGAAGAATGGGGCGGTTTTCCAGAAAAGAAGAGAGCAGAAGAGGGGAGAGAGAGAGAGAGAGAGAGAGAGAGAGAGAGAGAGAGGGTGAAAGAGCAGGCAAGAGAGAATGCGAGTGTAGACCGTCGGAAGATAGAAAGTGGAGGTGGAGGTGGAGGATCAGGAGAAGGATGTGGATAAAGAGGGTGAGGGTGTGCGTGTGGTTTTAGGTCCAACCATCGGCAATCTAGAACCCGGACGTGCCACAGGTCTCAGATGTCACGAAATCGATCGCAGCCCGGGCTGGATCTGATCGTAGGATAGAGAAACCGGGTCGCAAGGCCGTTGGAGGGCAACAGCTGGCGATAGGGCTGTGGATAGGGTCGTGGATAGGGTCTTGAACAGGTGGATAGGCCGTGGAGAGAGGACATGGGGAGGATATAGAGAGGATACGACTGGAGCACAACACTCACCGGTTGTAAGATGCTTCTTCCTCGCACGCCCGAAAAGACCGATTTCAGGTAGATGACGGTTCGAATCGCCCGTAGATTCCGATCTGGGCGAAAGTCGAGGTTTCCACATGGAGGGTTTCTCCCAGAAACCACAAGGTTTAAAGGTTTCGAGAGACGGTGGGGGAGGAGAAGGCGAGAAAAAGAGGCGACCCCAAACAAGAAACCGGAAAAGGAAAAAAAAAGAAAAAAGAAAAAAGAAAAAAAAAAGAGGAAAAAAAGGTATAACAAAATACCGGGAAAGTTTAAAGAGTACAAAAAAAATTAATCAATTTAATCCCATCCCAGCAATCAAGAGAGGGGAGGGGGGCAGCAATGGGGAACGAGGAACGAGGGAACGATCGCACTATCGGAAAGCGGACTAGTCCGTATAAGCGCGGTAAATATACCACGTCTCAGAATTCAGGAGGACAATGGCAATTGTTGCGAGGGACTTGATGGGTGTCGTTCACGGAGGAAACAAAGGTACGGGGAAGAAGGAACGTAGTCGAGTGTACGAAGAACCCCTCACGGTCAAGCGCGGAGTCCCGTCAATGTCGAGGCCGGAAATGTACCAGGGGGACACGAGGTGGATGGGGGCAGCTATACCCTAAGTGTACTCCGTACTCCGTCCACGACGCCGTACGGGAGGACAAGCGGACCCGGTTCAGAGTCCAAGGAGTAAGGAATGTAAGGAATGAAGAGGACTCTGTATGAGATTGTATGAAGGAGCGACAGGGGGTCATGGAAAGGTTGAAAGGAAAGCTGATCACTGGAGGGGGGATAATTACAGCCGGCGCACCCTAGTTTCTTAGTCGCCTTAGCCCTCTTTTGGGTCACGGGCCCAGTGTCGCTTCGGGAAAAAAAAAAAAAAAGAGAGGGAGACAGAAACGCAAAAACACATAAGTTGTGAAGAGGGGAAATGGCGATCGCAAGTCCGTGGAACAGGCACACGGTATCTGGAGAGCACGATCGGATCCACTGGGAACCGCTTTTCCATTCTTGCAGGCTCTACAGCGTACTCTCGCACCAGCTGGACTGGCTGCCGACCCTCGAGACTGGAGCGCTAGCGACTGGACGAGCCATGGATTGGGGGCTGGTCCTGGAGGATTCAACTGGCTGGTTTCGCGTCATCCAACATGGTTGGCTCAGATGCCCCCCCTCCAAAGGATGGATCCCGTTGGGTCCTGAGCCGTGGGTCGGGCCAATGCCCCCTGAAAGAAAGTCGCCCTTGACTCTCTTGACTCCATTAGCGTCATGATCCATACAGAAGCATACAGCTCGACAGTCGGACCATCGAGAGAAGTCGATAATTCCAGGTCGAATGGTGGCGAGAGAGAGAGAGAGAGAGAGAGATCACGAGGGAACTATATCGATCCCTTCGATCGCGCGTCAGAGCACGGCAGACAGAACCGAGGGACTGCCGACTTCCCAAAAGCTCATAAACCAGCCTATGCAGCGGCAATGAAACGATCACAGCCATCAGATAAGTTTTTACCATTGCGAGGATTCGGCGAATTTTAGGGACAAATGTTCGTCTCCGATCGGCCCCTAGTGCGGTTGAGCCGTATGGATATCATGGATATCGCGATACCCAGACCCGAGTGGAGGAAAATCAAATAGATTAAGAGGTCAATAGAGTAATCTATTCATCGGGCACTAGCGACTCCTGTAACTCCGGTCTCCATCGGTGGAAGCCAAAGAAGATTCCATCCCGCATGGCCCCCCCTCTCGTCCCCTCCAAAAAACGTGGTTGGATGACATACAGGTTCGTCCGGTCGTGCATCTGCGACTCCATTCTGGCCGTCGAGATGCAGCTTCCCCCTTACGTCGTGGCCCTGGGTTCCTCAATTCTTCGCCTCTGACTGGAGAGAGATTCTGCTGAGTTCGTACTATGCGCCGCTAACCTCGGCGCCACTGCAGTCTACTGCAGTCTCCGACTCTCTGTACCTACCGTAGTTCTCCCTCGCCTCCATCGTCTCCAGTCTGCTGCCGGCTCCAAACCAAGATCCAGCTCTCCTGCATGTACTCTGTCCTCCGGACGGAACACCAGAAGTGGGAACAGGGCAAGCTGGAATCTGAAATGGGAAGGTGAACGGGCCTGCGTGGAGCCCACCATCCCCTTCCGCTGCTTCAGGCGTGCCCCTCTCACGCAGGACGTTGCTGAACCGACAGCATGATCAAAAAAGATCCACATCAGAAACATATCCATTCCCGTGCGGCTCTCGCCGCCCCAAGATACGCGTTCAATATCAAATCCGATTGAGGCTGTCGGTCTCTAGCCTGGCTAACTGTTTTCGTCATAGTTGCGAGGTTCGATCAACCTTCATTGTACATAGTTCCCACTCCGCTCCACCTGTTGGTTGGGCACCATGATTCGGGTCGTGCTCCAGAACCTCGCATTTGGTGCTGTTCGTGCGATTGATTCTGTTGGACCCAGGGTGCTGGTGCCCGAAGGAGCCGAGCAGGCACCCATGGTTTAGGGCGGAGGGGCGAACTATCGGGAATCCTGATCGGACTCCAGCCGGACCGCGATGCAACGGAGGGACGGACAACGACGGGTTTTCCGTGGCCGATCGGAGGTTTTGTGGAGTTGTATACTTAAACAATGCTGCGCGTTGACAAAGTGGTCGAAGATTGGCGCTGTAGACGCAGCTGCGTGTCGAAAATATATTTCTTGCGCCCGCCTGCAGGGCCGATCGACATGGAGCATTACCGTGGAGAAAGGGGATTCCGGAACATCTGTAAACAACCCGCGGACCGTGATAGCCCGACCACACCTCGAATACCACCTTGTCAATACGGGAGAGCCTTTCTTTGATTTCTCCTCTGGTTGACAATTTTCGCCTCTCCCTTTCGCCTCTTTAGTTTGGGCACGCCAATTCTCCCCTGCCGACACTGAGGGGTCAGTCATCGTGGGAAGGCCTTCCCATGGAAACGCGGTTCTTCAGGATCTCTCCTTCTCCAAATTCTCCAGATCTTCATTTTCTCCAACTGCTCGGCAAAGGAACCATTGATCATAGTCGACAGCCATTGGCAACCATTGAAAACCTCAACATCTTTAATTGTCGCCTCAACCGTGGAACCGGCGATCTGCCATGATGACTCAGCCGGATCAATCCCCGGGTCGACACCGCCCGCGGCTATTCTTACTGTGATTGGCGCTTGGCTGCCGAACTTTGTCGATCTTCTTCGAGACGTTTTCTGTCACCGCGAAAGTCGGGATTCTTTTTCAGGTTCAACCAGCACGACTGAAGCTTTGGCTCTGTCCTAACTTTCCGGCACGTCATACCTGGGCCCTTATCAATCCTCGCCCATTGGAACGGCTCGCTGAAAACGGTAGCCCAGCAGATGTCAGGGACTTTTCGGCAGATATCCTGGGGACTTTCACCCGGGATGATCTCCTGGCGTGGACCATCTTTCATCTCCTCGCCGAAGAATTGATGGAGACAGCATCTGTGGGCCAGATCGGACCCCCTCGCCTTTGGGCCATTTCCAATGAGTGCAATCCACCGTCTCTCCGTCTAGCATTCCGAACGTAGCCCCTCTTCTACTGCATGCAATTTGCCATCAATGTCCCTGTTATTCTGTCCCCTTTTCCTCCCCATTTTCCGCGCCCAAGCCAATCGTTGCCGCGCGCTCTGGTACTATGACTACATATGGCATGGCCAATCCCTTCCCCACACCAAGGAGCGCCCCCCCCCCCCCCCCCCCCCCCCTTTTCCCTCCCACCAAATAGCGCTGGTCGCGATGCGCAGGTAATAGGGAGTAGCAGGAGCTAGGAGAAACTATCGTGCACATCACCGGGGCATCGCACGTACTCCAATCTCAAGTTTTCGAGTAACCGGGCCCGGTTGGCCGCCACGGTGGGGTTTCCAATGTCGCGTATATGGCGATCATCCCCGGCACTGGTTTTAGAGGGTGTGTGGACGGCTCGGGTCCTCGGCCTCCTGTAGCGGGCCCTTCTTTGGTATTACATACAGTTCCCGTCCCGTCACGCGCTGGAGACTGGGTTTGACATGACTAGGTTGAAAGGGGCTGCGAAATACACATTTTGCTTTGCTCTGGAGACAATTGCCTCACGAGGACGGACTATTGGCATCGTACGGATTTTGCCCAGCTTTCCAGCTGGCGCTATGTTATTTTCCTGTCATATTTTAGACTGTGGACAAGTCAAGTTTAGGGTCTGTCGCTGCGTCTAGGTTGGGCTTTTTTGGCATTGGATCTGTCGACTAGGCCTCTAGATCCGCGCCTTGGCGGAACGTGACGAGTCGGAGAATTTGTCGTGGGACCGGGGGGGGGAGAGGGGGCACCAAGATGACTCGTAGTATTGCCCAGAGTATCAGAGGGAAAGCATGTCAAAGTCTCTCTCTCGGTACAGAGTACATGGCGTACTCCAGATAGGGGAAATAGTATGTGCTCTGTAACTTGTAACTTGGGCCGGTTGGGCTCCCCGTCCCCCGTCCCCCGTCCCCCGTCCCCCGTCCCCCGTCCCCCGTCCCCCGTCCCCCGGCCCCTGAAGAGCTGTCAACTTTGGCCCTACGGAAATGAAAGGCCCCATCGGAGACGTCAATCACCAGATAGTCACCACAAAATGTAAAACGAAAACATGAGCAGGCCGGGACTTCTCATGGAAAGACACGAGTCATGTCGCGCCTCCACTTTCATACGACGATCAAACTCTGACGGCGTCGCCCCAACAGCATTGCTCGACTATGTCCAGAGTAAACAGGGGCCACTACAGGTATTTGAGATCTTCGACATGGTACCAAAAACAAGGAACAAAAAAACTACTAGGTCTCCTCTTCACACGTTCAAAAAAAAGGAAATGTTTGACTTTGGAGACCCAAAATTCAGCTCTCCTGTGCAGATGGTCTAGCTTGTAGTCTAGCAGTCGCTCCTGATGATCTTCGCCGTTGGAACTTTGCAGAGCGGAGACGCTCCAGTCAGCGCCAGAATCTTCTCCACCGGAGCAAAGCCCGGCCAAAGGGGTGGCTTCTCGCTAATATTCCAAAATTCCAGTCTTGGTCTTTGGAATCGCATATGAGGGTCTTATGTACAGAGTACGAAGTCCGGACTAACTACATAGCATTTGGCTTTACACAACGTGTTCCCCGAGTGCAGGAGTTGATCGGTCACATATAAGATAGACATTCCCGGCCCGGCCTCGTACGTACTTCCTAGGATCCGTGCTTAGGGGGAAACAGGTCGAGCCGGTGTTTCAGGCTATGAACGACCGACTCTGGCCAGAGTTCGGAATTACATGCCCTCCAATTCCTAGCGTCCCAGCCTCTCTCCCTGCTCCCACAGACTCGGTCGGACAATGCCTGCCCGAAAGTAGATCCACCGGAATATCGAGCCTCTCATCCTGTACCAAGCTTCCTTGTTTCCCCCCAGCACGACCCTATCTAGGAAGCAGCCTGAATAAGGTTTGGAAATGAAACGCCCTACGCTAGCCTGGTTGCGCGACTTAGTGGGTGGCAGAAAAGCACCTAGGGCCCCCGCCGTTGAACTAGGTGCATAATGCATGCTGGGGGCCCTGGGAACTGGCGAGCGCTGTCGGAGAAGGTCTGCAGGGAGACGGGCGCTGCAGGTCGCAGGGTTTACGACGAAGTGCAGCGACGTGCTTGGCGGGGGCTTGTCTGTGGTGCTGGTTTGGGAGGGTCGACGCGACAAGCAGGTGCTTGTCACATGCTACATCCATGCAGTTGGGGAGGTGTGCTTTACTACAACAGGGAAAGAATGCGATCGCGTTTTGGGATGGAGGATGCGAAGGGCTATTGGTGGTGGTTGCGTTCTGCATGGATGCGTTTCCTTTCGAGATCCCCTTAGCAGGTTCTGGACCGCGATAAGGAGGGGGCGGAGGCGGCCGGTGGAGGTCTGTCTGGCCGATGTATGGAGGAGTATGTAGGGCATTTGGAATAGCCCTGCCCGGTCTATGTATGCCTATCTAGACCATGTAATGTCTGGCGGGTGTGGCTTTTCTATCCTGGCCGCTGCCGCTTTTGTGAAGGGATGCTCAGGCTCAGGCTTAGGGAGTAGATGCCAGTACGGGTTCAGACTCAGTGATCACATCAAGCAAAGATATGTAAGGCTTGGCTAATTTTCAGTGATCGCATAGTGACCGCTTAGTGACTCCTCAGGAACACAACGTAAGTCACTGGCGAGTGGCTACCCCATCTATAGATTCAATTTTCGGCACTGAAGCTTTCCAATACCGCTAAATATATTGATTCAATCTATCTATTAGGGCACTGGCTGATTATGTGCCCTAATTTAAACTATCTAGATCACTGGAAAATATGCCTAGTGGTAGGCTGAGCGCCTGTAGTAGGCTGCCGAGCAAGCTCTGTAGTATTAATTTGGATAGCTTCAACACTCGCTAGCAATGTTGAATCTATATTCTTAGATTCGACGACTGTCAGACCTTGCTAGCTAGATATCTTGCGATTTAAACGAATGCGCTTATGGAACTTCTTCTTGAATCATCCTAAGCCCTATAGGACGAAGCATAGTTTTATGTAGCGTGTTGAGGTAAAGCGGAATCACTTTATCTAAGTGAGGGCTGTTGAGGGTCAAGTCAGAGGCCCAGATTTTGGACTTGGGTGAGGGTCTTGGTGAAGTCTCATCATGGTTTAATTAGCCAGACCCTGTTATAGGCAAGATTAGCGGCTCTCCTTGGCTAGGTTATCGCACCCTTCATCTGCGCATCACGCGGAGTTGGTTGGTACTACCTGGCAGGACAAAGAGATGGTACTCTGGTTGGCACTCCATGGCGGTCTTATGTATCAAAGAGTATTTGATTCTAAAGCAGATAAATCAGCCTGAAACTTCAATTACCACAGACTATATGGCACTATCATCCACTGGAGAAGACGAGTTGAGAACTAATATTCTTTTCCTTCAGCATCATAAGAAGCCTCTACGAGCTCTCAGAATGCTCCAAGATTCTTTTTGGGTATACAGAATCTTGGTTGAAGGGCTGGGGATGATCCATGTCCTCGCAAATCAAGTGACGAGCAGATCTGTCTGTAGCCTTGATAGATTGACGAAGTAGGTCGCCCTGCCACTCTAATACCCCGAGGAAGAGCTTGAAGTATTTTATCTATCCTAAGAGTCCTGAATAGCTTTAAACTATATCAAATTCTCCAAAAAGTCTCTTTCGATCACATGTCATTGGTTATTGACTTTCAGAATCCCCAGTGATTTTGTACAGTTGTATGAATGTCAACATTTCACTTTTGTATCACCGAGGTTCCATGTCTGCTTTCATTGCTTTTCAGGGCTGAGAGGGGTTGCAACCTTGCAAGCTGAGACTCATATGGGGCATCAGTGTGTACTTAGAGTACATAGACAAAATATTGCAAGTAAATAATTAGAAAGATTCTTTTTCCTTACCCGTGTATACCAAGAATCAAAATAGCATGCTGTAACAAGTCCAACAGCAAAGCATACAGCAGCTGGATGGTGTTTTAGAATGGAGTCATCAAGGGCAACAATATGATCTCACAACCTACCTAGGGTGATATTCATATTATAATAACCGACCGCTGTGGACAGACCGCCCGACACCAATGGTCTCAACATTAGCCTGAGGTTGAACGTGACCGAATTCATTCCAAAAGATCTCGATCGTCCACCGTGGGTGCCGAAAACACAGGGTTTTCTTGACTCAATAGCTTGCAAGACGACTAGTTCCCGAGATCCATTAGCATTCAGTCTATCTACAAATGGCAAAGATGATCTTACATCGTGGACAGGCTAAGAGAGCATGGGAAATCGAAACCTATCCTTGCTTTCAGAAATTCATGCTCCTCGACTTCGATCTCTATAAGTTTACAAGTTACTTGTTCGTTTTCGACCAGGTCAAAGCTGGCAAGCTATTCCTGGATCTGGGCTGCGGAATTGGCCAGGACATACGACGTCTGGTTCATGATGGAGCCCCATCGGAAAACCTGATCGGCCTAGGATTGCGACAAGCCTATGTTGATCTAGGAAACGAGATGTTTCAAGATGAATCTCGCCTCAAGTCTACGTTTCTGGTTCAGAAATCCTTTATAGACACGCCTAAGATCATGAGCCTCGTGAAGAAATTTAAAGTGATCAACTCTGGATACTTCATGCATATGTGGAGCTGGGAGAGGCAAGTTGAGGTAGCAAAATGCATGATCCATCTCCTGGCTCCAGAGAAGGGCGCCACAATTACAGGAGTTCGCTTTGGCAGTCGTTCTGCTGGAAAGTGGGACGCTGCGCAAAAATGGTGAGATGTTTTACGCAATATAGAGACATTGAATAAACTTTGGCAGCAATGTGCAAAGGAGACAGGAACTGTGTGGGACTTTTGGTGTGCTGTTGAAGATGATGACTTCTGTCGGGATCTGGATTCTGAGGCCTGTCATTTAAGATGGGTGGCAGAGAGACTGTGAATTCTCTACTATAGTGGCATGTTTGCAGCTTTATTTGGGCGCACATACAATCTTTTCAAGCTTATTTAGTAGAGATCAAGCTTTCTCTCATCTGGCCAGAGTAGGCGGACGCGCAGTATCTTCGTTCGCCTCGCAGCGTTTCTCTTGCCACAGCTATGTTCAAAATTGGTAGCTCTATAATACCTTCAACACCTCCGTCATTTTACATGCGTTAATTCTTCCTTAGCTCTACTCCCAAATTTCGACTCTCGCGTATCTTTTTCTACGGCTGTTGTCTACGTCTTTTACTCCTCGACTCTCTGTGGTAATTTTTTAGAGCGTAACTAAGCTCAATTAAGCCGGTCAGCCAGCTCCCGATTCTCACGCTCTAATCATTGAATGGTCGTAGTGGAAGACCTGATTTCAAATAACACTGCCATACATACCGATAGACCCGATGCTTAAGTTCAAGGCTAATAAATACCTGTGACCCTTCGCTACTGACTAGCCGTAACCGTCTTCGATATAAGGCTATAGGCGAACTCGGTTGGGTAGAACTATAAGCCCTGGTTACTTATATGAGGAATCTACTTCAGTGTATAGAAGATTTGAGAATCGATAGGATGACCACTTATAGACATAGGCTGCTATAGCTTCCCGGAATTCTTGTCCAGTTCCTGTCCCAGGAGTTTCCACGTATAATTTCCTTAGAGTACACCCCCGATCTGGAATGGATTAGCTTGGAGACTTCTACATCGTGAAGCTGGAATAACTTCGTGGCAGGTATCAAGGAATTACACAGAGCCCTAGGAGCCCACAAAGATATAGCCCCACGCAACATGATGATTGTGAAAGATTCTTCAGATCGGGTGATTTGGCTCCATTTTGATTCGGTGCACGAAATTCGCGAAGATAGAATCCTTGATTTTCAAGAAGAGGATATCAAGCACGAAGACATTGTTGCAACGCGGCTCAGAAAAGCCGGGATGGGTGTGACAATCCTAGTTTCGATGCAGCATTGTTAAAAATTTGTTCATAGGAAGGCGACATCGCCAACGGAAAGCTTGATATGTCTCTTGGAAACTGCCAGAGATGATTTGATATTTTGATATGCCTTGATCATCATATTCATATCGTGGTTCGTACGATACAGATTGACCTATTTTTTGAATACAGAAGCATAGATTATACCTTTCTATATTCAGCTGCTGCGTACCTCGAGGGACTCAGGGGCCCGGCCTCTTATTGCAATAGTTCCGATCGAAATGCGAACGAAGAGGAGGATATCTGTATGACCCCCGGAGTCATCGGAACAGGAACCGAAATAGATACACTTTTCATTCAAATCTACCTTGATTTGTTCCACCAATTCTGAGACACTTTTGCGCGGGAATTGGATGATTCTTGTTGGGGTGGATTGCCGGTAATTGCTGTCGTCCCCGGGCTTTGCTCCGGCAATCAACTGGGAGCAGAGAGGGAGTTCAACACGCCATCAACTGTAATTCAGAGATCGACAGGGCAATTACTTTACTGTATCACTTGCGTCGTCAAAATATCAAAGGATTGACTCTATTTCCGACAGCTAGGAGCTTCTAAATGATCTTCAACCCGGTCACTGCCTGTAGGCCAGCTCCGTGGTTTGGCCTGTTTGCAGCCGCCACACCGGCGGCCCCCGAACGGGAAGGGATTAAGTAATCGGGAAAGTTTGTTCCCAACATCTGACGGAAAAGTGTCGCTATCTCCCTCCATCCTTCCCCCCATCTTCAATTGGGCTTCTCGTCGTGCATCATGCTCTTCCGTACTGCGGCCCGCCAGGCTGCGCCCCTGCGCCGGCAGGCATTTGCCCCTCTGACCCGTCGCTCTGTCACCACCGATGCCGCTTCGTCGCACGCCGAGAACATCCCGCAGGTTTGTTGAGAACTCATCCGGAAAAGTGGAAAACGCATCGCAGGGCCCGGAATACTCAATGCTAATTCTGGGAACTTCTCTGTATAGGATGATGACAAGCCGTTCACCGTCCGCCTCTCCGATGAGAGCTTCGAGACCTACGAGCTCGACCCGCCTCCCTACACTCTGGAGACCACCAAGAAGGAGCTGAAGCAGATGTACCACGATATGGTCTCGATCAGGTATGCGCTGGTGCCCTCTCGATTGATTCTGGGCAGCTTCTGACGATTTGTTTCCCCCCTCGCATTACAGACGTATGGAGATGGCCGCCGATCGCCTCTACAAGGAGAAGAAGATCCGTGGTTTCTGCCATCTGTCGACCGGCCAGGAAGCCGTCGCTGTCGGTATTGAGCACGCTATTAATCGTCAGGACAAGGTCATCACCGCCTACCGCTGCCACGGTTACGCTCTGATGCGCGGTGCCACCGTCAAGTCGATCATCGGTGAGCTGCTGGGTCGCCGTGAGGGTATCGCCTACGGAAAGGGCGGTTCTATGCACATGTTCGCCGAGAACTTCTACGGTGGTAACGGTATTGTCGGTGCCCAGGTTCCTGTCGGTGCTGGCCTGGCTTTCGCTCAGCAGTACAATGAGCAGCCCAACACCTCCATCATTCTGTACGGTGATGGTGCCTCCAACCAGGGCCAGGTCTTCGAGGCTTTCAACATGGCTAAGCTGTGGAACCTGCCTGCCCTGTTCGGCTGCGAGAGTATGTTCTCTCTCTTGTCTTTTCTTTCCGTCTAGTCACACGCACAGTTTCAACTAACACATAGACCATAGACAACAAGTATGGCATGGGTACCTCCGCCGCCCGCTCCTCCGCCCTGACCGAGTACTACAAGCGTGGCCAGTACATTCCCGGTATTAAGGTCAACGGCATGGACGTCCTCGCCACTAAGGCCGCCGTCCAGTACGGCAAGAACTACGCCATCTCTGGCAACGGTCCTCTCGTCTTTGAGTACGTGACCTACCGCTATGGTGGTCACTCCATGTCCGACCCCGGTACCACCTACCGCAGCCGTGAGGAGATCCAGCGCATGCGCTCCACCAACGACCCCATCGCCGGTCTTAAGCAGAAGATGCTCGAGTGGGGCGTCACCTCCGAGGAGGAGCTCAAGGCTATTGACAAGGCTGCCCGCGCCAACGTCGACCAGGAGGTCGCTGAGGCCGAGAAGATGGCCGCCCCTGACAACAACTCCCGCATTCTGTTCGAGGACATCTACGTCCGCGGCTCCGAGCCCCGCTGGATGCGTGGCCGCACCGTCGACGAGACCTTCTACTACTAGATGAGTTTGACCTTTCTGCGCGGTGCGTTGGGTAGATTTCTGGGACGAAAAAACCCGTGACCGGGGCCCTGCCGAAAAGAGCTGCTTGTTTTGGTGCGCTATCAGGGTTTCGTTTTGACTGATACCCCGTTCAAAAGCGGGAAAGAATAATCCCCCACTCCGCCAGTGCATCCCCTGTTCCTATCTACCATTATCTGTAATTTAGCCGATGACTCCTACTACTATTACCTCTTATGTTTTTCGCCATCCGCTTGTTTTTGTTCTAGAGTAGAGCTATGTCATCACTTCTTTGGTTTCTCAATTGTCGTTCTGAAGTCACTCTGCAAGATTGAGGCCCACCTGTAGCCGAAATGTATCAGTCTCTCCGGTATGCCGTCTACTGATTGATTGCTCAATGTTAGATCAGCCTTTCGTTATTGACTCTGCTAGTACAAACAAGGCAAAGTCCACAGTTTCATATATTTATGTAGATTATGTTTCTGCACGAGTCGGCCGTGATCTTAATTTAGTCGATCGTCAATGCATGAATGGAGTACCTTGGGTGGCGAAAACCGAGTAGTGTTATGTGGGCGCGGCTGAATAGATATCGAGATTACTAGTAGACCGAGAAAGCTCAGGATACATTCTCTTATTTTGGTTGGGGGGACTTTGTCAGCTCGAAAAACAACATAAAGTGATTTCAGCGCCATTTAGTAGAGATTTTCGAGAGATTTGAATACTTAGTTTCGACTTACTTTTTTAACATCGTAATGGAAGGGTGCACCTACAGTGGGTGAGCTGAGTTCACTTTTGGTACATGCAATATTTCATATTTTAAAGCATTTTGATCATCCGCCTACTGGTTTCTGTTGGGTTCAAAACAGGCACTTTCTAAGTATATCAATGAGATTGAGGTCGCGAATATGCACCTGAACTATATTGGGTATCATGCGAATAAATATAAAAATCACGATCTATCCTTTCATCACAGCCGCAAATCCACTCCAAAGCAAGACCAAGATAGAGAGCGAGCGAGAATTTTCTATCTATGAGGATTGCTGCCGTAGCATTTCAAGAATCATCTCTTGAGTTCTCTGGACGGAATCGAGCTTCTCTTCCAGCGCGGCACGGTCGCGGTGGAGCTCAGCCTTCATTTCTTGCCGTAGCTCCTCTTTAATCTGATCGATGTTGATAGACTGGGCGTTGTTAGAGTTAAGTTGGTGGGAGCGGCCCTGTGAGAGTAGCTGTGGTTGAGCGCTGGACTCAGAGGCGGCTTGGACCAGGGCAGAAATCACCGGGGAGGCACGTAAATCGGAGCTACCGTTTCCAGATGCGGCGTCAAGATGTTTGTTGAGTTTTCCAAGAGTTTCAAGGACAGCATTGAACATAGGATTAGTAGGAGATGGTTCTGATGGGCTTGTTGGCGCAACAGGCTCGGAAGCTATCGCTTGTTTGGTTGTTGTCTCTACTCGGGAACTTGAAAACATATTCTCAAAGCCCGGGGGCAGCTTGACGCTGGTGGAAACTTGAGTTGGAAAGTCCCCAAACGAAGAGACAGGGATAGATGGGGCAGCAGATGCGGGAGCAGAGTTGTTAATCGGGGTGATCTCGGCCACAGAGTTTGTTCCATCATCGGGGAGCGGGTGGTTCGCGTCCAGACCGGTGTCATCGGGACTGGAGGGCGAGCTAAGTCTAAGTTGAACCGATGCGGGATCTTGCTGAGGTCGCCATTGATCTCCTGGCTTTAACTGCGAGCGACGGCGCATCATCTCATCACGCTTTGCAATACGTCTCGCCTCTGCTTCTTCCCACCGCTGCCATGTCGGAATCCAGGAATCGAGGACAGCGCACCATTGTGGGTTCATCAGTTCTTCCGTTAGGCTAGCCCCGAATTGATCTCGTTGCCGTTGCTTCTGATCCTCAAGAAATTTGACACGCTGTTTTGTGACCATCTCTACTTTTCGCCGCACTGAATGCCACGAATAAGGACGGCCATGGGCATGCGTAAACTCTGCGGCGACGGTCTTCCACCAGTTGCAAATATCGCTGCGCTTGCCGAAGCTATCGGCATGGCGGTTACAGATCTCAAAAAGGGAGACCTCCTCCTTGGTTGTGAGTCGCTTGCCATGTTTCCGGGGCATGTCGCCGTAATTCTCGGCATCGAGGTCATGAACACGCTTCAAACCGCGAGAATCTAGCGTTGTTGAGCCCAACGAGCCTTCTTTTGCGGCGCGAGTGGTGCCCACGGGCATTGACATGCGATAAAGGTCTCTTTCGACAACGACCCCGCTTACATTGTGCAGAGGGCGGACCCCGCCCTCGTCAACCGAGTCGCCCTCGCTGGCTTCGGAAACAGCGTGATTTGCCGTTACAGGGTTTCTTACAGCGACTGAAACGGACTGCGTAGCTGGACTGAAGCTCTGGTGCAAGCCCGATGACACTGTGGAACGAGCTGTCCGATGAGTCTGATGAGTTTGATAAGGCGAATGGATGTATTCCTGCGACGGGTGGCGCACCATTGACGAGGGAACGCAGCCGTGCAGGGCAATTGATTGTTGATACGGGGACGGAGGAGTTGCCCCTGCTTGATGGTGATTATTAAAGCTGGAAGGTCGTGATAGGTCGGCGGATTGGGAGGATGGAGAGTGAGTGCTCTCTTGCCAGGGGAATATGGTCATTATACGTCGTACAATGTGCCAGTTGCGGGCCAGCTTTCTTGATATCGTCGATCTCGGGGGAGCCCGAAGTGCAAATTCACGGGCGCGTTTGCAAATTTTGGCGCGGGCGGTAATTTTCACGGGAGTTGCAACTGGGCTGGGCTGGGCTCCGCCTTTGTATTACGCAGCATTTACAGCGTGATGACACGAGTAGAAGTAGAGATATGGCAAACAACAATCGTGAATTTCTATTTATTGAACCGTTTGTTCAGATATATCTCAGTAATCAGACTGGAAATGCAGATATGGGTTCAATTTCTTTATCCTTCCCAGCTAGTGGCCACAGCCTGGACAGCTATTAGTGCTTGCTTGGGCAGCGCCTGTATATGATTATACCTATCATCACATCATCACTCCCAGACATACATTGCAAACAGATGTCACAGCGTTGCCCAGAATTATGGATCAATTGTCTTTTCATAGTTTCTTCTCAGGGCCTCTCGGGGTGAGACCCTAGACGTCATGGGCAGAAACACTATTATATACAGCTGGCTTTACTGATATTGACGAGGCCAGTACATAGTGGTTTATATATAGCACGGATCCCAGAAAATGGAATCAGAGCAAGAATGAAAGTATATTCTTGAGACCAATGGATTTCAGTAAAAATGTAGATGACATTGATATATCAATTTACAATTCATTCATGGATATGGTGATACACAGGGACACAGCAGTCCCGACAACAAGAGAGAAAAATAACAAGGCACCAACACCATGGTCCACATGATCCCATCAAAGGGGTCATCTTATGAGCACCAGAAGAAATATGCAAGCAGAGGGGAAGAAGTCCAAAAGAGACCCAAGTAATACAGTCGTGGGAAATAGGTAGGAGAAAGCTGTAATGGAAACAAGGCAGGAGGAGTAGCGCAGGATTAAGAATATGCTGTATGATGCTGTCACATTCCCTCTACCAACGTCTCTTTAGGTACCAGCCGTAGGCTGGGGTGCTGATCGACTCGCCAAAGGGAGTGGGTACCTCAGCGAAGCCAGGCCGCGCGACAGGATGGCGCAGATACACTGCAGCGCAGATGTTCTGGTTCACTTCGAGATAGCGCGGAATGAAAGCAAAAGCGGACATAAAGTCGCGTGGACGCCAAGGGGTAGCATAAGGCTTGGAGTTATCGATAGGGTTGTCGCGCATCTGGGTAAGAGCACGTCTGAGGACTTCGAATTCCTCATCAGTAAGCTCAGAGGTGTCAACCTCGCCGCCCTCAGCGGCAGTCTGAAAGGCCTCAGAGAGTTTGGTATTGTCCTGCTCCGATTTCTTGGGAGCAACAGAGGAGTCTTTTGCGGTCTCCTTGGCGTCGTTCTTTGCGTCCTTCTCGGCCTTCTCGGACTTCTTCTCAGCCCGCTTGGCCTTCAGCAAAAGAGTGAGTTCGGAAAATTGGGCCTCCAGGCTGTCTGTGAGCACAGAGCTTGTGTCGGAGCGGGACAGCACACGGCGCACAGCCTTCTGGAACCCACGTAGCTCTTGCTTGCGCTTAGCGGGGAGAACTTCCTTATCTGTGGACATAATGGTCTTGGCCTGGGCCATTAAAGCTTTGAGAGTGCCCCGAGTATCCTCCTTCCCATCCTTGGGCGTTTGCTGCTCGGCGGCCTCAGTCTCCTGGGCCTCGGCCTCCTCGGCCTCCCCATCATTCTGCTCCTTTTGCTTGAGCTGGCGACCTTCGCGACGCTCGAACTTGGTCTTGGGGGCACCGGTAGCGAACATGACACGCTCCGGGTCGACTTGGAACAGGTCACCGGGGTTGAGAAGGTAACTTGGGTGTCTCATCTATACGCACGAAGAGTTAGGATAATCAACATCCAATCTGTTGCAGCCCGGATTTTTCATACCTTCTGTCCGTTCACGGTAACCGCACCGTGGATAACAAACTGTCTGGCTTGTCGAGTGCTGCTGGCAAACAAGGCACGAAAGATGGCAACATCCAGCCGTCGCTCCAGGGGAGCAAAAGCCATCTGTGTGTAAGGAGTCGGGCGATTGGGTCGAGACCTGCCCTCCCGGTTGTCCAACCCAGAACCACGACCAGCAGAGACCTTGGATCCATCATCAGCGGCCAGGTCGGAAGGAACCATTGGGATGACGCTGCGGATGCGGTGAGAGAACATGCGCTTCCACTGGCCCTCACGGACCTGCTCGCCATGGTAGGCTCGCGAAACGGCCTTTGCTGTCCATTTTTGCTGGAAAAATGTGCGGTTCGTGGTGGCAGGTGAGCGAAATCGTTGCAGATTATACAAGTTGTACTTGCTCCATGATTGACGGATTTTCTAGACACAACGACGATTAGCTATTGGTGGCCGAGGCATAGAGGGAGTTCAATTGAACATACGCCCTTGGATAAGGAGGTGCTGGCTCTGTTCCTCATAGTGGCGACTCCGTAAACACGACGTAGGAGAAGTGGTGATTGCTGGTCCTCCTTCGAGTCCGTGGATTGCTGCTCTCCCAAAACTTCCGCGCTTCGCACGTGACCACCGAGCAGTCTCTCTGTTCCTAAGTGGTGCCTTATTGCCTGCAGTATGAGGCGCCATTATTAACCACTTTTGATTGGTCAGAATACCTCTCGCTTACCACTAGCGTCGGTTGGTCAGTTGTCGGGGGTATAAATAGCCCGCCCGCCCGCCGCCCTTCCGCTTCTTTTTCTTTTCTTCTTCATACTTACCTTGTTTGGGTGGCTGCGATCATGAAGGCGGTCCACCACAGATTGGTCCCTGCATTGCACAGCGCGGCGGAACAGTTTGTTCAACGGCCTTCGGGTCATTGACAGGCGTATTCTTTGGCACCTTCCACTATGTGGACCTTTCTTTTCATCAAGCCTTGGGTCAGTGACCTGAGTTTGGAGAAGAGTGAACTCGCCGTAGCGTTCTTTTGTTTCTTTTGAACAGGGTTTGGGGTTCGATCAACTCCAGGATTGCTAGAGTGCCACAATGCTGTCTTGAGACCACTTGTCCGACCGGTAAAGTGTGACCGGTCCCGCCGGTGTTATATAATTCGAAGTCTTGGGGGACACAACGTGTTTCACTAGTATTCCGCGCACACTAGTATTCCGCGCACCCCACCAACCACTACTTTTTGAAAACACTATTTTTCCACCAAAACGCCATATATTTAATTCAACTATTTGCTAGGGCACCGAGTAATCTTATGCCCTATATTCCTACATCCAGAACACTGAAATACACGCCTAGTAGTAGGCGTAGCGCCCTCAGTAGGCTGCTGAGCAAGCTCTGCATCATCGTTTTGAATAGCTTCAACGCTTGCTGGCAACGTTGAATCAAGAGATATAGATTCGCTGACCGTAGAACCTTGCTGCATAGATATCTGGCGAGTAGAACGTGTGCGTTTTCGACGCTTCTTCTCGTTGAATCTATGTAGTTGCCGAATCTCTTCCGCTTGTAAAACAGTGTTATGAAACGCTAGTTCAGCACCTTTGATTAATTGATCTAGCGCTCTCTCTGTAGGGCTTCCTGGCGATCGCGAGCGCTTGCGTAGTAGAGCTTTGATAGATGAAGCTTGCTTGCTAAGCTGCCTAATCGTATGTGGCGTAGTAGGCACGAAAGCGCTACTCCTACTACTAGGCCTACTAGTAGTAGTAGTAGTAGGAGGTGTAAGTGTTCGAAGCGATATATTAAGCTTCGATAGGACTCGGTCGGCATCTAGCGGAACTAGGCCGGCGCTGGCGAAGCTTGATTGTATAGTGCTAGGTAGGAAGGCTTCCTGGCGTGCTAGTGTATAGGATTCTAGGAAGTCGAGCTTGTCGATATGGTTATATCCTAGGCGAGCTTGGGCCTCGATTAAGCGACCGTATGAGCGCTTTAGGATAGCAAAACATCCTATATCTAGCGGCTGTAGAAGATGTGACGAATGCGGCGGCATACAGAGTGGTATAACGTTATTTTGCTGGCAGATTAGGTCGAATTGTGGTGTTAGATAGCTTCTATGACCGTCTAATATTAGCAAGCGATATTTGCCTTGCGTACGACTAGTAGTTGCTGGAATAAAGAGCTTTTCTAGCCAGCGTAGGCCTATATCATCGGTAGTCCAACTGTTCGGTGATACTTCGATTCGCCAGTCTTTCGGTAGGTTATCAAACCAGCTAGCAATATAAACCTTTCCTTTGAATACTATACACGGCGGAAGCGAGTAGCCGGTTGCCGATATAGATTCAATTGCTGTTACCCACTCCCGATTTCCAGGTTGTAGTAGAGGCTTCCGACCGTATATATCCTTCCGTGTAACGATTCTAGTAGTAGATATCAAGCCTATTGCAAAGCCTGTTTCATCAAAGTTATAGATATCGTTAGGAAGGATCCCGTTTTCATAAATCGTACGCTCTACTAGCCTAAACCACGCGCGTAGGCTAGTAGGATCTTCGTTTTGCGCACGTTGATAGTCGTAGCGTCTAGAGAATCGGGTACAAAGCTCAGATCGACGTTTAATATAGCGTGTTACCCAGTTAACACCTATAGTAGGAGGTAGAAGAGGAGGGAAGATATCACCACGCGCTACTAGTAGAAGATTCGCCATACTAGCAATTGCTGAAGGCCTAGGGGAAGCTCCACGCGTATCTAGTGATAGGATCCACTGGCAAAGCGAATCTTCTTCTTCTTGTGTAAGCTTATTCAAAGATGATCGTTTTTCCTGTTGATTTGGCACTCCTTTCATACGGTCGCGAAGCGTGCTTTCTGGCACGCTATAAATCCTTGCTGCTTTGCGTATAGATAGGGTAGGATCCTTTTGAATAGCAGCAATTGCTAATAGGATCCTACCCTCCCTATCGGGTGATTTTGAGCGTTTTTCAGAACGTTTTGGTGGCATGGTGTATGGTGGAAGATAGTAGGTGACGCGTGGGATACGCGTTTTGGATGGGGTGCGCGGAATACTAGTGTGCGCGGAATACTAGTGAAACACGTTACCACACGTTTCATTTAGGTCACCAGTGCCAAATCGTGTCCGCAATATGTATTTCAGTCGGTCTCATCGTCGATCTACCCGGGCTTTGGTAGGGGAATTTTGTCTCCTACATAGGACAGTCGCGCACCGCTAAACCCCACCAGGCGCGGGACCTAATGTTGAGAAGATGAAGCCGCCAAATATCACGGACCAACCCGTGTGCGTCAGACAGGTACAGGAATACCCGATAACCACCCTGTTTTGTATGGTACTCGGAGTATCAGTGAAATGCAGCGACTGAAGCGCTGTAGTCTGAGAGCACTGGGATATTTAACATTCCCCTGCCCGACACTTAGTTAGGCATCATCTGATTTGGGATTCAGTGTCATTCGTTCCAATCAATCCCACCTGTTTCTAGCGGATACCATATATTCCCAGTCGACACCTAGTTTCTAGACTAATTAAAGTGGTTCGGAGTGGGGATTGCGCTGTCATTCTCTGTAGAACGGATATGATAGATGATACTCGCCGCTCCTACGAACGCCTTTAGTGCCACCACCGCCGCCTTCTAAGCAGGCCTAATACTATTTCAAGCTTGACGTTTGAAAACGACCAATCGATTACGTAGAAAGTTGTTGATTCTCCATCTCATTTGATCATGCCTATATGAGGTATGGATTTTTAAATATATTATTATTGCATTATGTGCACGTAGTATTCAACTCCATGGATCACAAGTGGAGGGAGACATTGACCCAAGGACTCTCTAAAACTGTTCTGGAGAAGACGTCTTCGTTCGAACATCTTTCCACCCCATCCCCGAACAAAGTACCACACAACAAACCCCGAGTGCCGTGCCCATGTAGAAAACATGATCAATACTATCGGCATAAGCTTTAACCACTCCGGCTACATCTTGACCCGATACCACATCTCGAATGCCGGTTGCTCCGGCTTGATTATTGTCGTAGGATTCACATTGGGCGCATACTTACGGATCGAATCCTCTAGCCCGCTTGAGAAACCCACCTGTGCGAAGGTGAGACACACTGCCCCGAACAGGGTCTGAGAAAACATGAGAATTGACATTGCGACGGAAATTTGTTCAGGCGGAAGCGCATTTTGAATCGCAATGATGGGCTATTTTTCAACATCTGGGATTAGCAGATTTCGTAGCTAAAGTCTTTAAGATACTTACCACCTGATAACCGGCTCCACGTCCAGCTCCAAGTAGGATCTGGTATCCTACCCATTTTGCGGTCGGCGTATCTGGGCCCCAGGTTGAAATTAAGCCGTTACCGATGGAAGCAACTACACCGCAGAAAACACCCCACGGGAGATAGTACCCGAACTTTCCAACTGAAGGTTTTGTAAGTACGAAATCGTTGAAAGAAGGTTGGAATAAAGGGAAATGTAGAAGGGGTTTACTCACTTAAAACCCCAGAGAGCATAGTGAACATTGACTGTGCCAGAATACTAGGCAGTGTATAGACTCCGCTCATCATAGGAGTATCATTCTTGACAGCTTGGAAATAGATAGGAAGATAAAAAGAGGTTAAGAGATTCATTCCACAGATGCACATCATAACCAGGCAGCTTACCCAAACTATGCGCCTGGAGATCATCGCAAGAGGAATCATAGCAAGGTCACCTTGGCGATGCTCCCAGAAAAGGAAGACAATGAATGTAGCACCAGAACCACAGAAGAGTCCGATAACGGTCACATAACTCCAGCCGTATTAGTTTACCCCGTATTCTATCGCAAGGAGGAGCTGAATGGCTGCTGGGGCAAAGAGAACAAACCCGATGAGGTCAAGCTTATGGAGAATGGTTTGAATAACGGCGCCTTTCACCTTAGCGACTTGATCGGGAATTTTTATTGACACCAAAAGTAACGCCACAATCGAGCCGACCGGAAGGTTGATATAGAAGCCTAGTTAGAGACATTGGTCAACTCATACGGCATCTTCTAGACCAGTCTCCAGGAGCTTACACCATCTCCATGTCACGTATTCTGTAAATATACCGCCTAGAAGAGGACCAAGAATAACTCCAAGTTGGGAGACTAATAGGCCGATGTTAATGTTGGTTGGCGAGAACTGAAGATAGTAGTACTTACTACTAATTATAGCCCCAATCAGTGCTAATACAAATTATTAGCAGGACACATCAGTACTGGGACAACGAGCTCGTACGAGGTGACTTGTGCAAGGGGACAGAGGCTGTAACGATTGTCAAAATCCCATTTATCAAGCCCGCAGATCCAATTCCAGCGACGGCTCGAGCAATAATAAGCATCTTAGAAGAAGTAGCTAGAGCACAGATAAGTGATCCCAACTCGAAGAAGAAAAAGAAGCCGAGAAATGTCCACTAAAGAAAAGATTAGTCCAAAATTCTCATATTCATAGAAGAAATTTCTAGAATCCAACTACTTTCGAGCTGAAGTTCGTGTAGATCCTCCCAGTCAGAGGCTGCAAACAAGCTCTTAACTGTTTATTAGTATTTGATATGCCATAACGGTTCTAAAAGTCTGACACACCCGGTAATTTGGTATGCGCCCCCATACCATCCAATGTCGTCAAGGGAGTGGAAATGCGTAGTGATTGATGGAATTGCCTGCAAGTCACATCAAGGGGAGCTCATAACACCAAATAGAAGGACAACGCACTGTCACGATGATCGTAGTATCGAGTAAAACCAGGAAATTCACCAGAGTGACTGCACTCATCACCATAATAAGCTTGATCCCGGTGAGAAATTGGATTTCTTCATTTTTGGCTAGCTCTGAGTTCTTTCTCGTTGCATCCTTTGGGGTTCTTGCTAAAGATCTCGGTGGAGACTGCAATATTGACTCATCCAACTGTGTCTGCACCGCAGATATCTCGAAGCTGCCTCTATTTTTTATTTCCATTGTAACTAGAGGATTAGTAGAGGGGTTCATTTTAGCATCCCTTGGAAGACAGTGGGAACAAGCTAATAAACGAACTCAAGTGCCGTAGAATAGACTAAGGAGCAAGGAGACTCAGTACTCAGTGCACTAATCATAGAGCACTATGGTAGGAGGTAGTCTGAAAGCGTCGATAATACTCAACGGTAGACGATATCCAGATAGACCGACGTTTGTGAGGTACTGCTGACGACAGGCCATATATCTCCTACAGAATACCTGGGAGTGGAGAAACCACAACATGGAGGTGTCCAAATACGGTAAATTAGAAGAGAGCGAGAGTTGCTAGGACACCAGAGCCCATTCTTGGCGTCCCAATTACCGAATTGACCGCTTGTGGGCCATAAAGTTCCTCCCTGAAGCTTAATACCATCGAAGTGTGCAAGGGGCGTCAAATATGTAGGATGAAAGTTTATATTGAACCTGCGAGGACCATGTAGATCTTGGAAAATTGGTATGAGTATTAGCTATGTGCCGAGTGTGCTGCTCCTTTCTGCTGCGAACCCCATGGGATCTGTCGGCTAGCTCTTGACCCTTGCGCTAGCAACGTTAGTAAGTATTGTAGTTCAAAGGAAGATAATTATCATTTCATGGGGGCTTAGTGAGGCTATATAAATATATAACAACAAGATCAAGTTGATTTGCAATCAACTTGTTTCTTCGTATAGTCAACCTCCGCAGGGATATCTGCGACACCAAGAGACTTCTCAGCATCAAATGTGCGATAACAAGTAACTCATCGCAGGTCAGCTTTGCGCCAACCAACCCCCTCGTAGATTTCAGCCCTGTCGAGCGTATGATATTGTGCTTCCATGCAGCAATTACCCCTGCATTATTCAAATTTGTGCTTGGTCGCCAGATCTGCAGTCTAGATTAGGCTACGGCCCTCTAGCGATGTGCAAGCACCTCTTCGCGATACTAGAGATTGATTCTCACTTCTCGATAGGGATAAAGAAGCCAAGACTTGCACGTGGTAATTTGTAGATCGATCGTCAGACGATCGAATGCAAATGGCTGGAAATGTTCAGGGAAAATAGATTGATCCATTTTCTATTCTTCATACTTTCTATCGTGATCACTTCTATTTTCCAGAGCTGTAGTGACTCACAATCTCGAAGATAGATTGCACTACGACACAAATTGCTTTTCAGGTGGACCACTATCATGGCTAAGTCCAAATCGACAGCTTCGAAGGTCTCGCCTGGCCAATCACATATTTAGGCGTTTTCCAATGGGCCGATCATTGGTCATATTCCTTCAAACACGGGAGGGAGTTGGTGTCAATATAGTAGGATACGGTATCGGCTAGGAAAGCTAGGATCCAATGGAACGAGATGCTCAATATGATGATGTCTTAGGTGATTGAACTATCTAAGTGTTAAAGGGGGGGGAGGGTTTATTGAAGATCCCCTGCCTCGCTGTCTAGCGCGTTACGCGCTAGGTTCCGAGTATACATGGGTTACCATACAAAACACACAGTAAATGGAATATCCCTGTAACAATCTGACGCACATAGGGGATATGTGGATCTCGGCAGTATTATGCGGTCTTCCTACTCGACAGGTGTCCCTCTGGAATGCATGCAAGTGTGTATGGGGTCAATCTGCTCTGATATTCTCATTACGGTGTAGTTTATCAGTATTGAGGGAGCAATCCGTCTTGGTTATGGACATAGAAGGTGGTTTCACCCAAAAGGGTGATTAAGTGGAGACTCCGACATTGATGGACTGTTGAGGAACTGCAATGGGTTCAAAAAATTACCTGTGGTAACGAAAGGGGCAGTGAAAAAAGCGGTGGAAAATGAACGTGGACGATCATCTTTCAAGCCATCGACCAACTTCATCGCAATGCGCCACATTCGTAGCGCTAAGAAGGGACTGGCGCTGATCGAACGAGTATGATCGATGATGGTAAAATACGAGACAGGTATACTGTAACGGCCGTATCACAAAGGTCTTTACAACTCGGCGGATGGGACACACTCGGTGACAGTTAATATCATACATGGTTTCCAACCAGTCCGCACTCTCTTATACCACCTTGTGATTTAATTTGTTCCCCCAAGCCGTCAAACGAACGACGTTCACTGAGGTTTCGAATTTTAAAGATCAGCGTGCTCGACTGTAGTACTACAAAAGGTTGTGCTAATTCTAATGAGCTAAGCGGATCGGTCACTGAACTTGATCTCTCGAAGCCGTGCAAGAATTTTGCAAGATGAAATGACTGCATATTCGCGATTGTACCGCCTTGATTTGAACATCCATCTCCCCCACAAGGAGGTTAAAGCTTTCTATCTGGGATTGCAGCAAGAGCAAGGTTTGCCTGGGAGCAACCATAAGTCCTTTTGTTTGATTCCCACAGCTTAGAGCAGCACACGATGACTGATAAAATGACACGCAGATTGACAGATTTGATTTACCAATGAAGGCTTACAATGCAATTGCGGTAAAATAATTGTACCGCAATATTCCATGTTCTCATCAACCAGCACCAACTCTCTCCTCGAAGCTTTTACAGGCAATTACCAGACTAACGGCTATGGTAACCTTTCTATGCTCAGAGACCCGAATAAAAAGCCCCATGCAAGCCGAAGAGACTGTAAAGCTGCCAGTTTCTTATCTTTGAGCACATTATTGGACGCTACTTTTTTATGGTACGTTGCGTATATTCCAAGCCAAAAGAGCCGTTCCAGCCGAGCTTTTGCTTGATCCAAGTAGAAATCCAGGATCTGTCGGCGTATGATGGGAAGCAAAGGCTGGGAAAGGAGAAGAATATTTAATGCGGAAGGTAGATGGTGACCATTTAATTGGGCAAGGTCTGGCCAGTCTAAAAGACATCCTCCACTTCTACCAGCCTTACGAGGACCCCGAGGTGCTCGAATTTCTGGCAAATCACCTTTTCATGTAGCTTTTGGGTTCATTGTGGCTCATAGAACTAATACGTCTGTCTTTTGATCCAAGGCTGGTCGATCTGAAAGAACTTCAATGGACATGCTGTGTCCTCGCTGGAAGGACATGCATAAAGCGAAAACAGTCTCAGGAATCTAGTGTGGGAGAAAGTGTATAGAAGAGCCAAAACATGGCTGGCACTGCAGGGGAACCGCTCTGTAGTGGCTGGAGGACCACCTAGCAGTACAGTGACACATTCGCGTGGGCCGAAAGCGCTAGACTCGCAGCATCCAACGCAGCGTTTAGGCGCTTGAGGATCTCTCCTGAATCCTCTAGACCCACGGAAAAGCGTACGATGGTCTCATTTGCGTCATAGGAAGATGGTTGCTTCTTACCGGTCTGCCCCGTCATCTGCATATATGGCGACGCAATGCAGACATCCGCGCCAAATGATAGCCCTTTATAGCTGATTAAGTGGTCGAAAAAGACAGAAGCGCTTCCGATGTCGGCAAACTCTATCGTGAAAACGCCCCCATATCCTGATGGAGGCTCGTTAGACCAGGCAAGGCGCATGTGGCGCTCGTAGTATGGACGTGATGAGCACACGGATGGGTATAGAATACGCGTCACTGGGCTCGCGGGATTCGAGACGAGAGGCAAAAGCTGGGTTACAAGGTATTTTGTGGTGTCGTTGATTCGAGCCATTCGAGCTAGAAAATCCCGGCTATTGAATTCCAACCGGATCGCATCTTGCACGAAAAGGCTATTCTCGTACGTAGCAGACAGTCGTTTCCTCAGAGCGACATAGTGTGTCGAATTGGGATTCAGGATGACACTGTATGTGTTGAGAAGAGAGTATCAGTTCCAATTTCTCTCAAAGGGTGCCCCAGTCCTCGAATTACCTTCCTGCCATTACGTCGGCATATCCGCTGAAATATTTAGACAGCGAGGAGACAACAACGTCGGCCACTCCCAGGAGATCTACGTTTGCAAAGCTGGCAACACTGTCATCCACCACTATAGGAATGTCATGTTGATCCGCCACTAGACGTAATCGCTGTAGATCTACCGTCTGCAGTAATGGGTTGCTGGGAAATTCACACCATATTGCTTGCACCGCGCGAGCCTCCTCAGATCCCAACTCTAGCCGGGCAGCAATATCATCCAAGTCGGCCTCAGTTCCTAGGTTATAAGATTTGAGCCCTGGACCTTCTGTTTGTAGGAGTCTAAGAGTAGGCCCATACAGGAGGCCAGCATTGATGGTCTCCCCAGCCCTCTCGGCCAGAATTGACTGGTGAATGTGGTATATGGCTGCCATCCCGGAGCCATATAGGAAGATGTCGGATGGAGCGACCTGCTTGAGGACCCGGGGATCCATCCCTCGGTGCTGAACATAGCCAGCAATTCTTTCACGAAGTTTTTCGTACACAGGGTGGGAATTGGGAAGGGTGCTCCCTATAGTGGTGGTGGTAGAAGCAGTCAATGCGTGGACCCGAGGCTTCGAACCATACTTTAAGCAATGTTGTGCCAAACGTGGGGATATGCCTGGCCCCGCCCGTTCCCAGAACGCCTGAGCCTCGGAAGACGTTGCATTAGGGTAGATGACTGCATAAATCCCTGATATAGACGAGCGCGCGTGATTGTCATGACACACCGAGCTACTAAAATTTACCCAGTATACCCTTATCAAATTGTCGAGGGTTGAATGATCCTTAGTCTGAGAGAGAAGGAGGATGTAATTCTTGCAGGAAAGTGCCGCATGGACACCAGAGAACAGCAGAAGTGAAGAGTGTTTGCGATCTATGTCTTCGTGGGCCATGTCCAGAATCGTGGAACTAAGCTTGAATGGCTTATAATTAGCATCATCCAAGTTGATCCCAGCTAAACGAGATCGCAGAGAGCATTGAGACTTACAGAACGTATATCAGGGTGCACAACGGACCTGGGATAGCCGTTATTCATTTGCGCTTTTCCCTGCCCAAAATCTACCATATTGGTCCATGTTGGAATTTGAACCAACAGGCTATTTGGACGACCAGGATATGGATCGCCAAGCCGAAGTTCTTGTGGTACTGTCATTAGATGCGAGGCTGATCCTTTCGGCTCAGTCCTGTCCATAGCGAATGATAGAGGGTCTGTCTACTGTCTGTTGCTAGGAACGTCAACCCGCCCTATAAACAATCGTTTGTTCAATATGGGCGGCCTGGCCGGTATTGTGACCAAGCCAATCTTACCTGGCATGTCAGGAGGTCTCCCCCTTGCCGCCAGATATTTTGCTTGATACACAGATAACCCATAAGTAAGGGCTGTCGGACGGATGGGTAAACGGATTCGTCTTCCATGACAGGCGAGCACAAATCCGATCGAAAAACAATTTTCCGTTAAGGCTATCCTACCACTTGCTCCACAAGCGTACAGGTCAAGGTCGAGGTCTAGTGAGAATCACAATGGGCATGGTATGCAATAATAAAAATCCCCGGGCAAGGAGGAATTAAGGCATAATATAACCTTGTTATCGGCTTATGGTTTGATATGCTATGTTTTCATGCCTTGTGGGGGGAGGGGGGTGGTAAAGCAAGTAGGCATGAAAGAAGACTTTACGAAAAGCTTCTGCTTTCTTATCTACTGTTTCGGTAAGCTGTCCGGTGTTTAGGATCTTCAATAATAGAGTTAGGCCACGTTTATACGCACTCTTGCGGTTCCTTGCCTACTTAGACTGTTATGGAACAACTAATTGATGATATTCCGATCGACTTCGAATACGAATCGTATGCGGAACGATAAGGTTCACAGGGAACAACAAGTTGGAATAGGATTCCTTTATCGTCATACCTTCGGCAAACAGCGGAATGACGACATTAAACTCATAGAAAGACAATCCCCCTTTCTTTCGAACTGAATCTCTTCAAGATTCAGGCATTGGAACGATAAACTTTTACTATTCTTCTCTGATTCAATAACGATTCAATATTGTATTCATTTTCCTTGCCTGACCAACAGGCCGCTACCCTGCAAGTAGCACCCTAACAGAGAATCCTTCTTTCTTTGAAAATGAATCTCTTCAAGATTTACTTATTAAAATAATACACCTTCTGTTACCCTCCAAGCTAGGTCACCTGACCCCAGGGCGCCTTCTTAGCTATTTCAGAGCATAACCAAAATGCTCACCTTTATATCTCCTGACTCTATCACATATAGCGTTGAATTATATTATATCTAGTCTTTGGATCATACTCAAAATCCCGTGTTAGTGATGCCCTAGATACAGCGTTATTGGCAGTATATACTATTGCTAAACCTTGCTGAGAGGTAATCTACCTCTTACCCTTTTTTCTTCATTTGCTAGCAGATTCTGCTAGATTATGTAGTATATTAGTGTTGTGGAAGGAAGAAAAAACAATAGGGTGGGGGGTTGTTACAGTAATAAAAAGTAGGGTCAGGAAAACTTTTGAACACCATTGTATGTCTTATTTGACGGCGAGGGGGCTTGTAATCAGTGGGCTTGTAATCAGTGAGAGAAAAGAAGAGAAAGTATAAAGCTGATAGCATTAAGAGAGATACAAAAAAAGAAGCTACTTGTCGGAAAGAGAATCTATGTAGATGTGATGACATGACAACGCGCCAGTACGTCAGCTGCCTCCTCGAGTGAGCATTTGCACTTTCCAATCCATTCGAGTATCCTGTCTTGCCCCCTCATCTTCTTGTTATAAAGGAACTCAACCCTAAGCTGACCATGTACAATCGACGCGGCGATGTCAATCAGGGCAAATCGAGAAAGAGTCGCCACAGCAGCAGGGGGCTCTGTGACTGTAATATCAGATGGCTTGAACAGCGAATCAGGACGTTCTAGCTGCTGATATAAGCCCATGTAATTGAAAATGACCTCAACGGGGCCCTTGATTTGGAATGCCTGCTGTCCAGCAGGATTGAGGTATCGCGATGTGAAATAGGACCATCCATTGCGCGGTATCTGCCGACGTGTGTCCTTGACACAGCGCACCACCTCTGCAAGACTGCTGTTCCGCGTAATTGAAACTGCCACTGGAAAAATGGTGGTAAACCAACCAACCGTTCTGGATAGGTCAATGGTAGAGTCCCAGCTTTCTCGACCATGACCTTCGGAGAAAAAAAGGGGTGCGTCACGGTCCTGGAATATCTGTGTAAATGCGTACAGCAAGGCCGCGTGAAGAATTTCAACAGGCTGAGTATCGAAGGCGGAGTTGGCCGACCCCGTAAGAATGTTGGTTAGGTGCTTCTCAATTGTGAAGCTACTTTGGCCAATATTGTTCATGGTGTTTGCGACGTGTCCAGGGGTCAGTCCCCAGTAGTCATACCGGGGTGGATTGGCCTCAAAGGGCAATGCAACCTGTGGAGGCAAATGATTCCGAGCATACTGTGCTTGCAATTGGGTCCATGACTGGAAAGAGAATGGAGGAAAGCCGGCGATCCTCCCCGAGACCATGTATTCTTCTAGATCTGCAAGTATAATTCTCCACGAGACAAGGTCGACGACAAGATGATGAGCTGTCATAAAGAGGTACTGCCCATCATGATCCGAATCGATCAAGTCCACGCTGAATATAGGACCCTTAGCAATGTCTATCGACTGCTGGCTGTTATGGAAGAGAAGCTCCATATCTCGGAGGGTAGTAATCTGGTGGTTGCGAAATATAAAGCAGCCGGCCGTATCAGCAACGATCTTCTGCCGCCAGATGCCGTCCACAATGTTCACGAATCGAGCCCGGAGCATAGGATGGCGTAGACTCAGAACTTCGATAGCTTGCTTGAGCTCGTTCGAAGTTATGGGACGGGAAACGCAGACCAGGAAAGACTGGTTGAATAGGTTTTTCCCTGTGCCCTGCGAAGTAAAGAATAGCTGCTGGATCGGGGACAGCTCGAAAAGATTGTCGGTAGATTCCGGGAGCTGCATGGAGTCGGTCTCTGTATGCTTTACATGACTTAATAGCCGCATGACGGTTTTGTGCCTAAAGATATCGGTCACTGTGATATAGGTGGGTCCGGACTGGGACTTCGCCGACAGCTGCATTGCCGTGATTGAATCCCCGCCAAGTGAGAAGAAGCTGTCATTCATGCCTACAAGATTGCGATCGATATTCAATACCTCGGCGAATAGTCTTTGTAGCTCTAGCCCCTCTGGGGATGATGCTGTAAAGTTTTTGCCCTTGTCGGATTGGAGGCCAGCCCATTCAGCCACAGTGTGACTGGATCCGATGGCTTCAAGTTTCCTGCGGTCAACCTTTCCATTTGTAGTGGTGGGGATTATGGCCACAGGAATGTAAATGTTCGGCTGCATGTAGCTCGGCAGGTACTTTTCCAAGTCCTGGTTGATGACCTCGGCGTAACTGCTTAGTCTTTTGCGGAGCATGCCCGTGGAGCTCATTGCCTGATCACCTAGAGCCAGATAAGCTACCAGGATCGGGGTATTGCTTCCTTTGGGCTTAGTGACCGCTGCTACCACAGGGACTGCTGCTCCTGTACTATTCATTAGAGCCTGCTGGATATATTTCTCTACCTCTTCCAACTCCACCCGCTGGCCATGAATCTTAATTTGGTTATCTTTTCGCCCAATGTAGACGATCGTTCCGTCGGGATTATAGCGGACCAAGTCCCCAGTTCGATAAAGTCGTCCCTGTCGACCAGGACCATGCGGATCTCCTGCTCCTCGAGCCAACCATGGAGTGTTTTTCATGAATACAGCTGCTGTTCGTTCCGGGTCGTGATGATAGCCAAGTCCCACTAGTGGGCCTTCCAGCCAGAGCTCCCCCATACAGCCCACGGGTGCCAATTGGTCGGGTCGAAGAGGGTCAACAATCCACGTAGTGCAGCCTCCCCCTCTTCCGATAGATGGTATGGACATTTCCTTCTTGAGATGCGCAAATGTAACCCATACGGCGGCTTCAGCAGGGCCATAAGCATTGATGAGATGGACATGTGGACTCCACTGATCCATATCCACCCGTGATACGGCCTCTCCACTTAAGACGAGGGTTTGAAGGAGCGGCAAATGGGAAGGGTTCAGGAGCCGTGAAACAGATGGAGTGAGATGCGCGTAATTTACCTCCATCCGGCGGATTGCTATACTGAGATCTCCGCGGCGCTCTGACTCCTCGGGTATGCAGACGCAGCCACCAGCTGCAAGGGTGTGAAGGATCGTGCCCCAAGAGACATCGAACGCGTAGGATGCAAAATCCAGTACCCGCGAGGAGCTAGAGAGTTGTAAGAGAAGCCTTTGGTGAACTATGGCAGTGCTGAGGTTTGAATGGCTGATGGCCACCCCTTTGGGAAGCCCCGTGCTCCCAGAGGTGAAAACCAAGTACAGGCTGCCGTCAGGATCGACCTTCGGTAGCCAAGAATCACACTTTGTGTTCAGCTCAGCGAAAGTGAGGGCCTCAACCAGGACAACAGGGCAATCCGCAAGTGTTGAAGTGATAGTGTGAGTCAAGGCTGAGGTTAGGATGAGACGAGGCTGGACCTGCTTGATGATCCTTCGTAGTCTCTCTTCGGGCTGAGCAGGATCCAACCCTACCACAGTTCCACCAGCCTTCATTACGGCTAGACTGGCAACGGACATCCACCGTGATTTTTCGAAGAGTAGCGGGACGTTCACCCCTGCTTCAACACCAAGATGACGGATGTGGCATGCCAGCTGAGTGGACAAAGCATTGAGCTCTCCGTATTTGAGATCGCCATCCCACGCGCATATGGCAGCGGCCGCTGGGGTTTTCTCTGCCTGTTCCATGATGAGTTCATGCACACAGCGGCTAGAGGGCTTTGTTGCGGTCGCATTCCACTCCCAAATAGTCTTTAAGTCTTGTTTGCTGATCAAATTGACTTCCTGGGCGCTCTGGCTCCCGTGCTTGATGATATGTGAGATGGCGTTCAGGAACAGGTCCAAGGCACTCTTTGCATGAATTTCTGATATCACCGACTCATTGAAGTCAAACTCCAAGTCGATCTTCTCATCTCCGATCCCAATATTTATCATTATATCGTACTATTTTTCATATTAGCTTAGTTCCATAAAAAAAAGGGAAAGGCCTTCCTGTGTTTCTTACCTCGGTGGGATCATGTCCTTCTTTGTGTTGAAGTGATATGCCCGACTGATCATTCTGAGACCCATATCCACTTGCTTGAACCGAAATCGCAGTATTGAAGAGCCCTGTCTCGGGTGTATCGCTGAAGTGGAAGATCTCGGCCAGCGGATAATGCTGAAACTCCAAGCTGTTGACATACTGCTCCTGGTTTCTCTGTACCAAAGTCAGCAGCGAATCCTTGCTGGCCAGATCCACCAGACTGGTAAGCATATTAATGAAAGGGCCAACGGTTCTGTCAGCCCCCCGTAGAGGAATATCGCGGCCAGATTGGAGATAGCCAAAGCAAACGGTCTCCAAGCTGGTGTATGCCCGCAGGACCAGCGCCCATGCGACATGGAAAACGTTGGACGTCGTCAGTTCATATTCTGTGCAGAAGCTGCGCAGTGCCAGATGCAGATCTCGCTCGAATGTAATAGGTATTTTGTTATGCGAACGCCTATCTTCTGCGCCCGGATTACCCAGTGGTGGAAATATGCAAGGCTTGACCCCTCCAAGATGAGTATGCCAGTATGCCTCCGCTGATTCAATTGACACGGAGTGAATGTACTGGATATAGTCACTGTAAAGGGGTGCTGGAGGACAAGGGCGCAAGCCATCATATATCACACAGAGCTCGTCTTTGAGGATTCCCAAAGAGAAGGCATCGATCAGAGCATGGTTTATGGATAGCTCGCACAAAACCCCCGAGTCTGTCGTGGAGAGGGTGAATACTGAGCTCGCTTTGGCGGCGGTCAGGGAGGTTCTTTCGAGTCTATCATCTCCGGTGGACGATTGTACGATGTGTACGTTTGCCTGGAGATTCTTGACAACCACCTGATCCTTCATCCCGATGCCCGAGATGCTATCCACGAACAGGGTGCGAAGAGCAGAGTGGCGGGCTACCACCTGCTGCCATGCCTGCTTGAGTCGAAATATATCCACAGCCTTTACTCCATTCATGGGCTGTGCGATCCATTGTACCCGGGTCCTGTAGAGTTCCGGGTTCTTCATCTGGCTAATGAGAATTCCGTCTTGGAGCGGCGAACAGGGATATATATCTTCCACCTGCCCATATGAAAGGTCCAGCTCCATGAGCCTGTCCTGCAGGATCGGCAATGCAGAGTCCGCCATACGCAGCGATGGGAAACTGCAGAGGGTATAGCTTGGCTGGAGCAAAGGAAGCTCCTGCGCCGCAGCATAGAGGGAGAGTTGACATTCCTTGACCCATGCGCGGATGGAGTCCTGATGTTGCATGTGTCGATTATATAGAAACTCGACATGAAGAACACCATCCATTATCGATGCGGAGATATCCACAAGAGCAAAGCGAAAAAGCTTTCCAGAAACATCAGAATGCTCGTTCACCCCGTCTGGCATGCCGTGCAAGTGGAATAGGCTGTCTTCCCTCTCCAGTTGCTGATACAATCCGAGGTAGTTGAAAATCACCTCGACAGGGCCATTCACTTGAAATTCCCGCTTGCCAGCTGGAGTAAGAAACCTGGTCTCAAAGTATGGACGACCATTGCCTGGTATCTGGCGTCGGGTGTCCTTGACGTGGCGCACGATACTGGCAATATTATCCCCCTTCTTTGCCGTGGCTACCACAGGGAACAGCGTGGTAAACCACCCAACTGTGCGGGAAACATCAATTCCAGATTCCCATGGCTCACGGCCGTGACCCTCGCTGAATATTGTCGGCGGTACTCGGTCATGAAAAGTGTTGGCGAAGGAATGCAGGATGGACGCATGGAGGAGCTCCACAAACTGCGTATCAAATGCCGCGTTTGCAGGCCCTAACAAGGCATCCGTTACCCGCTTGCTGACAACCAGGCTACACTTGATCATATTGTCAAAAGTGTTCGAGCTGCATACTGGACCCCAGTAATCGAGCATTGGCGGCAGAGGTCGAGCCCCATCTGGCAGGACAGCCTCTAGCTTCGCATGGGTCTGTGCGTGATCGGTCTGCAACTGGCACCAGGTCTGGAAGGACATCGAGGTTAAGCCATGAATGGATGCCGTGGTCAAGTGCTCTTCGAGATCACCGAGGATGATTCTCCAAGAAACCAGATCCACAACCATATGGTGGGCTACCAGGAAAAGGTATTGGCCCGAGGTTGTATTGATCAGGTCGACGGCCATGAGCGGACCATTCTGGATATCAAGTGATACCTGGCTTCGATTGATCACAACGGAGGCAGCTTCAATATCGACAAAGTTATGCTGGCAGACGCGATGGCTTCTAGGGGTTCCAGGAGGCAGGATCTGCTGGCTCCATAAATCCCCGCTGCACTTTAAACGCGCGCGCAACATGCCATGATGGGCTACCAAAGCATCTACTGCGGTCTGGACTTGAGGAAAGGTCGTTGGCCGGCGGACCTGCACAAAAAAGCTTTGGTTGAAATGATTGCTGAGCCGCCCCTGCTGCATATCGACAAGCATCTGCTGGATCGGTGACAAAGCAAAGGACACACCATCACCGTGATGATCATGGCCTTCCGGCCTATGTGTCATTGTGAAATCCACCACTGTGGATACACCAAGAGCCAATCGAGCGATGGATTTGTACTTGAAGATATCCATGACAGTCATTTTGAGGTCCACGGACCGGCCCTTCGCCGAGAGCTGCATGGCGGAGATCGAATCACCTCCTAGGGCAAAAAAGCTGTCATGAATGCCAATATTGAACGAGCTCAGGTTCAAACACTCAGCCCAAAGCTTCTGGATTTTTCTTTCCAGGTCCGTTCTCGGTGGTTGGTGGTTGGTTCTGGTCGGTTGCAGCTCCACCAGTTCTTCAAGGGAACTGGAGGCCCACATTTGACGCAGCCGCCGTCGATCTCTCTTGCCCGTGGCAGTCATAGGAAGTTCGACTACCGGGAGAAATAGGCTGGGCACCATGTAGCTAGGCAACTGGTCCGTCAGGAGCTCCCTGACCCCCTTGGTGTAGGGAGTCAATTTGGCTCGAACAGTCTCGGGGGGCCCAGTGCCGATTCTCCAATCGCCAGGTAGGCAACCAGGGCTGGGTTGGCACTTCCCAGGGGAGTGATGATCTCGGCAGCAACAAGGACCCCCACGGCGGCCGGAGGCAAGGCTTGATACAGAAAATGCTCAACTTCTCCTAGCTCCACCCGCTGGCCACGGATCTTGACCTGCGTATCATTTCGCCCCACGTAGACCAGCTTACCGTTGGAGGTATATCGAACGAGATCTCCAGTCTTGTAGAGTCGACCCTGCCGCCCAGCGGAACCGGCTGCCCCCTGGAGCAGCCAGATGGGATCATGGACAAAACTCATGGCGGTTTTCTCTGCATCGCCCAGATATCCTTGTCCCACCAACGGCCCTTCCACCCACAGCTCTCCAATCGCGCCCAGGGAGCTGAGGCACCCGCCGTCCGATGGCTCTACCACCCACGGGATAAGGCCAACCGGGGACCCAATAATACTGGGCTGGTCGTTCGGGCCTTCGAATGTGTGGATTGTGCTCAAAACAGAGCATTCGGCAGGACCATACCCGTTCTTCAAATCAACCTTGCCCGCCCATCTGACCAGGTCCTCGCGGGTGATGGCTTCTCCGATTAGAACCAGGGTCTTGAGGCTCGGCACCGCATCTGCGTCGAGAAGCCGTGCGGTGGATGGGGTCAAAAGAGCATGGTTGACTTGCAACTGTTCCATGCACTGTGCGAGATTGCCACTGTTTCTCTCTGTATCCGACGGAATACATAAACAGCCCCCGGAAGCCATCGCATAGAGGAACTCGAGCCACGCCACATCAAATGCATATGAGGAAAATCCAAGGACCCGTGTGGTAGAGGTAAAGCCTAATGCGTCCAGACCGTAGTAAATCGCGCTCCGAATGTTTTGATGAGATATGGTGGCCCCTTTCGGGGATCCCGTACTGCCCGAGGTGAACGCGATGTAAAGTCCGTCCGTCGGATGGACCGTTGGGAGGTGCCAACAATCCCGAGATGCCTCCGGTAACGCCGACAAGCCTTGCAGGGTATCTCTGTTCACGCAGATCACCACCTCCGCCAGTCGAGATGCAAGAGGCATGTATGTGTCGGAGGTGAGGATGAGCGGGCCTTGGGTCTGTTGGACGATTGACTATAATCGAGCCTCTGGCTGGCTGGGGTCCATTGCAACGACGGGACTGCCAGCTTTCATGGCAGCCAGCATGGCAACTGGTGTCCACATGGATTTCTCGAAACATACTGGAATCACCGAGTTCTGGCCCGCCCCCGTTGCAAGAGGGAGACGGCCAGTTGGCTAGAGAGGACATCTAATTCCCGATAGCTCAGCCGTCCATCCCACGCATCAATGGCTAGGGCATCGGGCTGTTGCTGGCTGCGTTCTGTAACGAGATCATGGACACAGCCCTCAATGTTCTGCGGCACCCTTGCATTCCAGGCCCAGATCTGCGCCAGGTCGTGTTGACTAGCTGTCGTGACGGTGCGCACCAACTCCTGGGCATGCCCTTCACTGCAGACCTGGCGAAGTACCCCTTCAAACTGCCTGACTATTCTCTCAGCCTGTTCTGTCTCAATCGCCTGGCGGTCATAACTCATCCGAAGGTGCATATCGTGGGTCCCGAGACGGCACTCCAACATAACCGCGTAGGTGTTGATATTACGGAATTCGTCTCCAGCACCCAGATCCACTTTGAGTAAATGCTGATCTGGCTGCAAAGGTGATTGCTGACTCGGTGGTTGCACAACCAACAAGGACTGAAACTGCGTCGCCTGCTCTGTATCTAAATTGATCCGCCGAATCTGCTTTAATCCTGTCTGCTCATACGGAATCATAGCCACCGCCTGTGCTTGAATACTCTGCATCAAACTAGCGACGGTGATCTCTGCCTGCACATTCACTCGAATCGGAACAGTGGCAATTGTCGGACCAGCCATGCGTTCAATATATGGGACTGGTGCTTGTCGTCCAGATACCGTGGCTCCAAAGACAACATCTGGAGACAGGGTATAGCGGGCTATGAGAATAGCCCATGCGGTTCGGACGGCAGTGGAGGCAGTAATATCATTTCCGGGCCAGAATAAATTTGCCATATGGTGTTGGAGCAAATTTTGGCATTGGGGCTGGTACCCTTGGAAGGGTAAGGCTGGAAAGACCGCGGCCTGGATGCCATCTAATTGAGATTGCCAATAAGTATGAGCGTCCTCTACCGTACAATCGGCCAGAAATTTCACAAATCCGGCAAACGAGGGGAGCTTATCGGAGCTGCCACCTGTATAGATGGCTTCAATCCGTTCTAAAATGAGTGGCAGTGACCAACCATCATACAATGCATGATGGATTGTCCAGACGAAATGGACGTGGCCGTCCGCCGGATCTAATACCAGGCCAAACCGGGTTAAGGGCGTCCCTAGACCCATACTCTTTCCCTTCTCTAACTCCAAGAATTGACCGAGATCGCTGCCCGCGGTCCATTTTGGCTGGTCTGTGATCACAACTTGCATAAGCCCAGCATTGGGCAGGTCTACAATCCTAGTTCGCAGGATCGCAACTTCATGAATCACCTCAGCCAAGGCAGTCCTGAAGCGCACCAAATTCACATTGTCTGGGAGCTTGGATACAATTTGGTGGACATACTCTTCGTCTCGTTTGGCAGTCAGGGCCAAAAGACCTTCCTGGAGTGGTGTACAGGGCAAGAGATCTTCGATGGATTGTGCCGAAACCCCGCATTTGGCTGCAGCCAGAGCACGGGCATCATCTGTTTCCCCTTCCCATCTGCGGCGAAGCAGGGAAAAATGAGGAACTGTCGGCACAGCCAAAGCTTGTTCTTCCTGGGCTGCCTGCGCCATCTCGCTGAGGCGTGGTTGATTAAAAATATCGGCTACCGTCAGCAGGATTCCCTCTTTCCGGGCGAGCTGCACCAGACGGATTGCTGCCATCGATTCGCCGCCAATCCGGAGGAAACTATCCCCTAAGCCTATGCTGTCAGGCCTTATATTTAGCGTCGTTGCCCAGAGCTTTTGAAGCCTGTACTCCATCTCGGTCTGAGGAGCCTTATTCTCCGCTGCTCGCGAGGGCTGCAATTCTGCCAGCTGATCTAGGGTTAACGAAGACCCGATCTCACGCAGACGTACCCGGTCTATCTTTCCTGTGGTAGTCATAGGGATCTGGGGGATTGCAAGATACATGCTGGGCACCATGTACCGAGGGAGTTGCTCGGTCAGGTATTCTTCCACCCCATCCAGACAACTGGCAAGACACTCCCGGGTGCTCTCCATGGAGCCGTTTGCTACTTCGCCGAGAGCTAGGTATGCGACCAAGATGGTACTACTGCTACCCCGTGGGGTGAAGGCTTCAGCTGCAACTGATACAATCCTGTCGGGTAGTGCAAGCTTCAGGTGGTATTCCACGTCGCCTAGCTCTACACGCTGGCCCCGGATCTTGACCTGTGTATCCTTGCGAGCAACATAGATCAACGAGCCGTCCCGGTTATATCGCACGAGATCCCCAGTTTTGTATAGCCGACCTCGGCGTCCTAGGACACCGGGTATTCCCTTCATCAACCAGTCAGGATCGTCCACAAAACTTGCTGCAGTCTTCTTGGAGTCTCCCAGATACCCTTGTCCGACCAGCGGCCCCTCCAGCCACAGCTCTCCTGTGTGGCCAAGGGGCACTAGTCTCTTCCCATGGATCTCATCAACTATCCAGGTATTGCAAGCGACGCCTTTCCCCATACTCAAGTCCCAGGCTTTGCCATGGAGGATTGTCTGGAAAGTCACCGCCACCGTGCACTCGGCTGGGCCATAGGAATTGATCAGCTTGGAGTATGGCGTCCATTGAGCAACATCGGCCTGGGTCATTGGCTCTCCAATCAACAGAATTAATCTCAAACCGGGAATATCTCGAGGATCAATTAGGCGAGCAACGCTAGGGGTCAGCTGGAGATGATTTACCCCAAGTCTACGGATTGCCCCAGTGATGTTTCCACGGCGCTCACTTTCAGACGGGATGCAGAGGCAACCCCCCGCAGCCAAGGTATGTATGATATTTCCCCAGGCCAGGTCAAAGGCGTATGATGCGAAGTCGAGAACTCGGGCCGTATTATTAATCCCTAGTGCATCATGCTGGTAGGCGATGGCGCTACTAAAATTGGCATGATTGATCATGACTCCCTTGGGAGTTCCAGTGCTGCCGGACGTGAAAACAACGTAGAGGTTACTGGATGGGTCAACAGTTGGAAGGTCTCTGTCTTTGAAGTCCGGAAATTGCTGTATTTGGCTTTCGTCGAGAGTTATAACATTACTGATACCTAGGTAAGTGGCCACTTCAACCTGAGCGGACGATGCAATCATCCAGCGCGGCTGTAGTTGCTTCACAATGGTCTGTAGACGATCCACAGGCTGGGTTGCGTCCAGGGCGGCGATGACTGCCCCTGATTTCATGACGGCCAAAATAGCCACAATCATCCATTTGGATTTCTCAAAACAGAGTGGGATGATATCATCCGGCCCAGCACCGAGCTGCACTAAGTGGTGGGCTAATCGAGTGGATATCTGGTCTAGCTCTTCATAGTCCAACTCGCCATCCCAGCCCGAGACTGCGGGTGCATGTGGCTGTAGTCGGGCTTGCTCCGCGATGATATGGTGCACGCAGGTCTGCACCACTGCAGGTACCGTGGCATTCCAGGCCCAGATCGCCTTGAGCTCACTCTCTGACGCAGCAGGCGTAGTCTCCACCGGCACGCTTGCGAGAGGTAGGTTGGAAATGGACTGTTGGATTCGCAAATTCAGATCCTGCACAAATGCTTTGGCTGTAGCATGAGGAGGTGACATGACATGCAATTCCAGCCCTTCTGCGACAACTTGGCAATGGATTTCGAGGAGTGGTACGCAGTCCTCCTGGCACAAGCTCTTAGTGCCCTCCTCCAGTGCCCGAGATTCAATCATTTCCAGAAACCGCAGAATAAGCAGCGTCTCTGAACTGCCAGTTCCGGGGCAGCCATCCAACATCAAGTAAGCTGCAAATGCACGAGTGGCTTCGTCGTGCTTTTTCACCACCTGGCGAAACTGTTCTCCTCGCAAATTGCTTAGCACATGGTGGATCTCCCCATCCAGCTGCATCTTCACTTCAGGCGCATCATTCAATTTATCGGTCAGGCCACCTATCTTCAGGATCCCCTTGCTGCCTTTGAACTGTTCGACAGCCTGTGTAACCCAAGATTCCAGAGTGATCCGCAATATTTCAACTGTATCTTGACCCTGAAATCCATCGATTCGGCGCGGGATTTCCCAACCCTCTGCCGACATTCCTACCGGGCTGTTTTGATATAGCTCGTGGGATTCGTGCTGTGTGATCGGAACTGAAACACTAACGGTGTTCTTGTCGCTATTGACGGCAGTTAAATCCTGACGTTGCTATCAGCTTTGATAATCACATATCACTAGGCTATTGACAGACCAACCGAGTAGCCTGGCTATTCTTGAAATTGGCCGTCAATGGTGGATTTTCAATTGCACACAAGTAGATTTATTTCTAGATTTCTATACGAACAGACAAACAAGTTCTTTCAGGGCTCTCGAGTACAGACAGCTGGCAGACGATGAACTATAGTCGGTGTGTATGCCCCTTACGTCCCCCCTTACGTGTGTAATCCCAAGGTATGGTCGGTGTTTCTAATGTCACCAGGATATGCTTTATTCGAGGATATTATCCAGTTACTTGTTATCTTTCCATGACTTACTTTAACACTGTCCCTCAAGAGATCAGACGGTGTAGCAGGATCTGCGAAAAAAAAAAAAACCTAGAACTAACTTAAATTCCATAGAGAACCAAACCCAAGCGTAGCACCAGGTATCATGCAAAAATCCACGGCTGGCGATTTGGGCCTGACGATGTGCAAAACATATAAACCCTGTTAGGCTCCAACCTTGCTAAGAAACATCAAGAGTCCAAGAATCATTACAAAATTTGACAATTTGGTGTAGACTATTATATGAAAGAGGTCTGCACAGGTGTACTTGGATACGTGTGCGAGAAAATGTGGAGACAAGAGAGTCGTACGTCAGGCTCCGCTCTGTTATGATTCGCTAGCCATCTCTATTGGGCAAATCAGCCCTAATTGGGGCGTCATCCTTTTATAATTCTGATTAATCTCTTCGAGAGCTAGGAAAAGCCGCAGCGAGAGAATGCGCTTCCTGCGGGTTTGTCCACTCTTCCAATAGCTCGTGTGCCATGTCGACTGTTTCGTCTTCGATACCAGCCTCAAGAACCGAACCATCACAAAATGCGAGTCGGGTGAGCACAACCAAATGTTTTTGTTTACTGCCCGGGACACAGGCCAGCTTCTCTTGCATGTTGATTGATGGGCCGTGGCGGCGCATGACGCCGAAAATTAGTCGCATCAGCCCATTGACCATTGCAACGCGCAAGTCCTGCTCTGGAGGTGAAGAATAGAGCGCATCCAGTTCATCATGCATTGACCGAAAAAGTCGTGCCAGCGCATTCGGGTGGGTGGCGATAATGACGCTTCCATGTTCCCGAGATGGAGATACTGGACTGGAAGCCAATGTCTCTAGCAGCAACAAAACTTCAAGCCGCATCGCACAGATGTCATGAGCCGTATATGCCTCCTGATCCTCATCCGGCAATACAGCCTCGCTGAGCATAAACGAGAGGCGGTCCACAATCCACTTCTGCACATCGGCTTGGTGTTGCTCAGAGGACATGATGGGGCCGAATGAGTTGGGGCGAATGCTGGTTGACAACAGGTGCAAGATCAGCATGATATCTTTCAGATGCTGAGAGCCGTGAAGCATCACCAAAATAAACGTATGTCGGATATGGGCCCAAAAGCTCTCTAATGCGCCTTTCACATGTAACAACCCACATGCGATATGGCACAGCAATCGTAGAGCCTCCGTCGAGTCAACTTGTGGTTTCAAGTCAGACTGTGGGGTTTGGCGCAGTATTCGAGCCTTCTCTCGAGCTGTTGGGGAGTATTTGAATCGAGGAACTGCATTAGCCTCGACGGCGTCTTGAAGAACACCAACCAAAGGAGTAATTAGGTCAAGAAGAGGAGCGTCATCCATCATCAAGACATATCGAGCAATAGACATGAACCGTGGGACCGGTTCAAGGAAGGATTCCGCTAACGCTCGCTCCCAGAGCGGCTTGATTGTATAGACGTATTCTAGCAAATAGTGACCCCTGTCAGACCGGGCAAGTTCGTCCATGATTATGCTAGATATAGATCGGGTGGGATCAGATGGAAAGAAGAGCCTCGAGAACGCTTCAAGGTCAGTCTCCTGGCCAAAAACCATCCTGTGGTTTAGAAGTTGTTTCAAAGATCCGTTCTTCCGGTCGAAAGTTCCATGTGGCTTGCGTTCATCTTCAAAAACAGACTCGGAAGTATCCACTGGAGCATCGATCATCGTCGGCTCCTCCGCGGGGCTCAACTGAAGCGGGACAGGACTGTCAATACTTGGCCGGCGCTTTCGTTTTCCAGGAACAGTCGGTGTTGTCCGCTTCGACCGGGTTGCTGACCTACTCGGCGAAGCCACGGCGATCTCATCGTCTTCAAATCCGTCACGAAACGGGAGCACACGGGATTTTTTTGGAGTAATGGGCGGAACTTTCTCTTCAGCACGATGTTTTGACTTATAGTTGCGGAGCTGGTAAGCTTCCTCAGCCAGATCATGTTGGAGAAAAATGTTTTCCGTCGCTAGCATCTTGCCTTCTGACATGGCCGCCTCGACCTCTTCTTTATGCTTGGCCATTTCATCCGCCATGGACTTTCGTAGCGCTGCCAATTGTCGGTCATACTCTTCAACCATTCTTGTCTGCTTAGCCCGGATGATGGCAATTTCTCCAGCTTTAGTTTCGGCCAGGATTTTCGCTTCAGCCAGGTCTCGACGCATTTGTTCCTTTTCTCGTTCCAGCTAAAATGCATAGATTAATTTTTGCATTTCGATTAAAAATGAGGCTTGAACCCGATTCTTACCTCCTCCATGCGCGTATTTGTCTGGTAGACAGCGGCCTGGGCATAGTCATCATCTATTTCCATGATATCGTCCATCCTGCCATTGACAGGCCACCCGCTGCCCGTAACAAGGGCATGACGATCCTGTGGAAGAGCTAGCTGCTCTTTTACATTGTCATGAACTTCCGCCTCCAACTCCCCCACCTCGAGAACGTCATATTCGTTTGTTAAACCAGTGTGTAAACGGGGCGGTGGCTTCAAGGAGGCGGAACGGTGGATCGTCGGCCTCGCAGGCGCGAGGAGAGTCTCGTTGGAGACTACCTGCGCGTCATGGCGCGGAACTGCCGAGGTCTGGGTCGCCTGGAAGGCATTCTGCTCCAGCTCATAGAGCGTACCCGGAGGCAGGGAGTCAAAGTCATCGGAGAAGTAATCATCATCGTTGTCTTCCATGCCCCCGCCATGAATGGAACACCGGAGTTTGTTGGGGCGGGTGGAAGGGACGTAAAGGAAGAGTGGAGCTTCAAGAGTAGCAGTAATGCTTCACAGTGACATTATCATTCTGGGAAGGAGTTGCGCTGGCAGGGTTCACGGGAATTCGACAAGAACGCTTGAACGTGGGTTGAGGCGCAGCTCCGACCAAGTGTTGTTCCCTCGATTTCCAATCCCCGAAACCCACGTAACTGGCGCGTGTTGACGGAGCTGACCGCTTTCGGATTCACATGAGTTTATGACCTTTAGCAACTCCACTCTTTCTCCTTCTCTGAGATCTGGTCTTATTCCCTCTTCACCTTCCCCCCCCTTTCCCTTTTTTTTTCTTCCACCATGTCCAAGTCTCGCCGTAATGTTCGGTTCCAACGCCGGTCGAACGGTGAGCGGCGGCTGAGCGTGTCATCCGACGTCAGCGACGCACCCTCAGAGCCATCCAGCCCCAGCAGAAATGGTGCTGTCTCAAAACCGAGCACAATCGAAGAGGAGGTAAACTCAAGTCCATTGAATTCTTATGCATTCAGACGAGCTAACTGGCCCATTCCTTGCCAATTTTTAGAAGCCGCCACTGTCCGAGTATGAGAAGAAGAAGCAGACCTTCATTACCCGCACGATATGGACTTTCGTCATGATCGCGGGTTTCTTCGTCGCCCTGTTCTCCGGTCACATCTATATCATTGGTCTGGTCACTGCGATCCAGATCGTCTCTTTCAAGGAAGTTATCGCCATCGCCAATGTCCCCAGCAAGGAGAAGAATCTCCGCTTCACCAAGTCCCTGAACTGGTATTTTCTCGCGACAACCATGTATTTCCTGTATGGAGAGAGCGTCATCTATTATTTCAAGCACATCCTGCTGGTTGATAAAGTTCTTCTTCCCCTCGCCACGCATCACCGATTCATCAGCTTTACCCTCTACGTCATGGGTGAGAACCCCCTTATTTGTATTTTCTGTGAAGCGTATATACTGAGACCAGCTAGGTTTCGTTTTCTTCGTTGGCTCGCTGCAGAAGGGCCACTATCGTTTTCAGTTTACCCAGTTTGCTTGGACTCACATGGCCCTGTACCTCATCGTCGTCCAGGCCCACTTTGTTATGAACAACATCTTTGAGGGAATGATCTGGTTCTTCCTCCCCGCTTCCTTGGTCATCACCAACGACATCTTCGCCTATGTTTGTGGCATCACCTTCGGACGCACCCAACTGATCCAATTGTCTCCCAAGAAGACTGTCGAGGGCTTCATTGGAGCGTGGATTTGCACCGTCATTTTCGGATACTTCATGACTAATATGCTGATGCGGTATAAGTACTTCATTTGCCCGGTCAATGATCTTGGCGCAAATGTCTTGACTGGTCTGGAGTGTGATCCAAACCCAGCTTTCGTTCCTCAGCCATACTCGCTCGCGCTTTTTGGAATCGACAAGACCTTCTACGTTGAGCCCATGCAGTTCCATATTCTGGGCTTCGCTACCTTCGCCTCTCTCATTGCCCCCTTCGGTGGATTTTTTGCTTCCGGTCTGAAGCGTACCTTTAAGATCAAGGACTTCGGCGAGTCGATTCCCGGCCATGGCGGTATCACCGACCGTATGGACTGTCAGTTTATAATGGGATTCTTCTCCTTTATGTACTTCCACAGCTTCATTGCCATCTATAAGGCGAGCGTTGGAGACATAATCGAGACTGCTATCAACGGATTGACCGTCGATGAGCAGCTCGAGGTTGTCCGTGGTCTCGGCAAGTATTTGTACAACCAGGGCGCTGTTTCCGAAACGGTATGAAACTTCCACATATTACATTTATTTTCCATTCATGCTAATCGTCTTAGATTTTGGACTGTCTTACCTCCGAGCTCAAACGTCGGTGAACACTGACTCAGCTAACCCCCTCGCAAATCAAAAATCACGACTTCTATTTACTTCTTCCCTGTTTTTCCTCCCCACATAGGAGAACAATTTTCAACCTTGTGCTTCCCTTGTGCTTCGTGCTTGCCCTTTCTCAGATGGGCTTCGCTTTGCCAGTCTCCTGTCCGCTCATCTTGTCACATCGAGACGTGTCTTATTTTCTGGGTGGCGCGTGCATGCTCCACTTGCGTGCATGCATAATATGACATTTACATGTCTATCTCCATTCATCACAGCGTCAAACTTCCGATTTCTGGCTCGCGATGCTCTTGACAATGATTTTAATCGAATCAGTGTCAATAATTCGAAAACAGAAACAAGGTTGCGGCCGATGCACAGGTGCTATCTTTTATTAACTTCATGGCTGTTTTTGTCCTACCTTTTCTTTCTTCGGTTCAGTAATTTTTTATCTTTCATGTCTTTCTGCCTATTGGCTCTGGCGCCGATATTGGTCCTTGTCTTGATGACTACGCTTCGATTGCTTGGATTGGGGGTCCTAAAATGCTGGTATGTGTTGCGATTGGGGAGATTACACCCAACCTTTTTAAAACATGACCTGGGACCGGAGTAGAACAAAGTCTGCCTGACGAGAAATGATCGGGCTTTCTATTTTGCTAATGTGATGTTTGTCCGTGGTGGCGGATGTTGACTGTAAAATCTGTACATAGCTTTCAATTGAACTGATGTTGAAGCTGATTGATTTGTCTTTTTTCACCCCAACTTGATCAATATGGATTCAACGGAACAGCTACAGAGAAGATGATTGTTCTGTTGTTAGAGCATGGGTAAATCTCTGGGCCCGGTTCAATCAACTTCGTAAACGATTAGCCTTGGGCATTAGTTTCTTGAGTTTGTCTCTTCATTCAACCATCATCATCCTATCTAGTTGATGTACCTAGGCTATACAGCCATTATCATCCAAATAAAGTTTGAAGCGAAGGACGACTAGAGAAAAAAACGGTCAAAATGACATAAGAACGTGACTAATCTCTTTGCAACAAAATTACATTGGTGAACCCCAAATCAAAATAAGCCAACTCCGGTATTTATTCATAAATCATGCCTCCAAGCGCTCCGGCAATTAGGGCATGTTTGGTTGCGAGAACTCTCCAGCCACTGAAGTATGCATCCCTCGTGGAAGTTTACGCCGCATCTAGCCTTGCACCATACTAGTGGCATTTCAGGGTCATCGAATTCCTCATCCTCGTCTTCAGATGAAGCCACAGAGTAGCTATCACTATCATCCTCGATGTCGCTTTCCTCCTCCTCCTCCTCCTCCTCCTCCTCCTCCATAGTTCGCAAACTGCACAAACAAATCGCACAATCTCCTTCCACGGTCCGACGGTGCGCAGAAGTAGGTGAAGCATTATTCGAAGCAGGACGTGCTGTGGGAGACGTGCGCTGAAGAATGTTTGTAACTCGAGGCGAAGATCCATTTGCTTGAGTATCATGCGCGGGTCTATTTAGCAGGGGAGGAGGTTGCCTTTGAGATCTTGTCAACCGAGGTCTTGGTACGAGAATCTCTTCGCGCTGCATCGTAGGGGTCGATTGAGCTCTTTCTGCATTTCCACGGCGGGAGCTGTTGGAAACCTGGTGGGTTGTTTCAGAACTTGTGTGACTCGAGCTGCCACGAATATGTCGAGTTGGCTCCGGCAAGTCCCCATTAATGGATGTTCGAAGATCCTCCAGTTCTTCCAGGGTCTCACGCAGCCTTTGATAGAGATGTGTGCATCTTTCGTTCAAAACCTCCTGGCTCTGCCCTCGAGGAGCAGTTCTAGGGGATCGGACCGCTGGTCTGGGGGGCGTGGTTTGTTGATGGGATCGAAGATAGGATCGCACACGATTCTGCCAGCGACTGGCTAGATCATCCGCTTGAGACTGGTGAAACCTTGTGCATAGCACATGAGGGGCCAGGGCTTCAAGCAGGCGATCGATACATCGACCAGCACGAAGATCGGCTGTTCCTTCTTTTAGAAGATCCATGGCAGCTCTTCGACCGGCACGATTTGTCGAGGCATGGCAGCGGCGGCCCTTGGATGGAGCATATCCTGCACACCAGGGCTCTTCATCCGGCCATAATTTGATGATCTCAGCTAGAGGGGGCAGGGAAGGACCCTCCGAGGTATATGCTCGAGATGGCATGATGAGAGATTCTAAGATGCCCTGGAATCTAAAATGAAGTTATAAACTGTGTTAGCCTCCAATGTATGAGGGGAGTTTCCTCCACCTTTATAAGATCTCATGGTCATCAAAGCCTTATTGCGACCGCATAGGAGAGCCTTTCGTACTGCCACACCTCCGTGGCGCAGCCCATTAGCAAAAAGACGGCGCATTAGCTGTTTCTATGGGTAAATTAATTGGACGCGTAAATCTAAAAGCAGGTTTGAGGGCGGTGCGTGCAGTAGACTGGAGTGGGGTCGAGAGTCGAGAGCCCTATCGGGTGGTTAGACATGCATTAGTTTCGTTCCATCGATTATAGTGGCCTATGTTATCGTGTCAGCCTATTGTTGGGGGCCTGAGTTGCATTAGCGTCACTTATCGCGTCGGCGTCTATATTAACATTCTCATTGGTCCCTTGGACCAGGATATCGATCCTCCATGCAGGATCCAGCCACCGCTGTGGCACACAGATGCCGGATTTAAGGCAGAAAACTCACTCCAAAACGTTGATTGAGTTAAACTCGGTGAGATATGTATGGTGCGATATAGTTATGTCATCAGACCATGCATTGACTATATTTGGAGTTCGCAGTGAGCCATTTCCTTGTCGGGGTAAACAAGAAATTTTTGAATGATGGGCCTAATATACGTACAAGGCTCTATTTAACTCGGAAATAATCAAGTGCTAGCTAGTGTCTGAAAACTCCTCTTTCCATAAAACCAGGATATTGATAGGCATTCCCAACTTGATCTCTTTCAACTGCGTACCGGGTTACAGTTGCTGCTCAGGCTGTTGTGTTGCGGATCTCAATGTAGTGTAGAGGGTTGGCTTCTCACAAATGATAGAAGATCAATAACAAAACCGGGATAGATGACGGAAAGACTCGACTGTTTTTTTGACTGAATCGAATCATGAATTCTTGAAATTAGGGTATCACATAATTTAACATAAAATTAGCAGCCTCTTTCCCCGCTCCCATTACGAGCTGTTGCTCAGGGGAGACTGAATTGGACGCAGCATGTGAAAGTCGGAACTATGCTGCTTACTCTTCTGCTTCATATTCCTCCATCTCCACCTTAAAGTACTCTTCAACTTTTTTCTTTTCGCTCTCCGCACACGTTGGGTCGAGCATAAAACGGACCGCGGCCTCACGGCCGCGTTCGCCGCTATGACGATCCCCATTGGCAGCAACGGGCGTCAAGGGGTGGTGAGGTCGCTCGGCTTCTGTTTGTTTGGACGCGCCATTTGAAGGCTTGGAACTTTCCCGCGGCTGACGAGGCCGATCAACCCAGTTCGCGTAACGTGGTATACACTGAGAGTCTGCTTCTTGGTTCAACGGGATCCGTACGGTCAAAAATCGGTCGGGAGGGAAGTGAGGTCCAACTGAGGTTGCTGAGCGATGGTGGGTGTAGAGTTCCAAGAGATCAAAGAGTGTTTCTATATTGCCGTGAGAACATGGTTCAAAGTATTTTTTTTCAAAGTGAAGAGATATTGAACAAATTGAAAAAAAAAATCTAATCCTTACCCATGACAGATTGGCGGCTAGTGTTCCACTGTGCGTAGTCCGTACCAGACTCCAGAGGATGAAGACGCTGGTCCAGGAGACGACCTGCAAGCTCGAGGCAACTAAACGCCGTAGTCGATGAGGTCTGCTTAACTGGTGCAAAAGTTCGGTAGAGATCCAATGAGATGCGGTACGCGAGATCAGAGACCTCGGAAAGCTTGGGCAGATTGTAGTGATGAACAAGCTTTGCTAAGATCTTCTGAGGATGGTGTGTGCGAAAGTCAAAGCCCGATGATTCCAGCATAAGTCTTTCGAGCCCGATGATTCCACGGGCGTTAGTCTCAAAGAGCTAGCATGGGGTTAGAAAGTCATTTTACAGCAGGTTCTGAGGCTCCGGCATACAGGATCATCTGGGGGAAGGTACTCGGAGGGTGACAACTTGAGGTTGTATGCAGCGCATACAATCTCACGCGACTTTTTCAATGTGTCTTCGATCTTGCATGCAGTGAACAGAGCTGCAGCTGCGGCATCCTATTCAGCGTTAGACACTAATCAAAAAAACACATCGGAATCACATGATCACAAACCATGAAGTTATATTCATTGTCTGGATGCACAAGCCGGAACCGGTGGTAGTACATGACAGCCGTATTGAAAGTTCGCACAGGTCTGTCCTGTGAATTAGCTTCCATGCATTTCATAATCGTTCTCTTTGCCTGAGAAGATACTGGGAGAGGTGAATGGTCATACAAATGAAGCACTTTTCGCACGTTGTCAATCCAGGACACGCCTTGTAGCCGTAGAGATTCTTCCCGCATGGGATTCACTCCCATTGCTTCAATACAATCATGGATAGTCTGCTCAAAAATATAAGGCTTGGCGACCTGGATAAATGACGGGTGGATCGACGGTGGTTCTGGTCTTCTGGGCTCTGGTCTCCTGGGCTCGGCCTCGGGGCCAGAGTGAGCCCTATCACCCTTTCCTTCAGGGGCCATGTTGTAAATTAAAGGCCTGGTGTGTTCGTAGGATAAGATGAACTTGACCGGGCCGGGGAAGATAGTGATTGTTCCATGACAGGCCCGCAGCTTGATATTCGATTATTGTCACATGATCTTAGTCACGGAGGATTGTTAATCCGAGCATTACTACAGTACATTATCCCCTACCGACCGGATTTCCTATGCCAGATCTTGGCTTTCCTCTTCCGTTTTGGTGCTCAATCCCTCACCGCTTTTAGATCTAAGCACGTCTCTGAGCTACCTGATCTGATCAGAGTGCAGAACATAAGCGTTCTGATCTACTTGCTGAGCAGGTCTGATCCACTTACTGATGCTCAGTGGAGCACTTTGATTTACTCACTGAGCACGTGCCTGACCAGTACCTTAATAAATCTTAACACGCTAGTCGTATCCACAAAAATTAGGAAAGCACTGGTGTCGACAATTTAACATTTCGTTCTGGACAATTGCTGCTAGTCATTGTATTACAAGGGAGCCTATTGGATGATTACACAATCAATTAGACTATAGACTGCTGGGAACCCTTCGTCTACTGGCTCTACTATAGGCCTCTCGTGATAATACTAGTCTTAGTGTTATCCAGACATGGATAGAAGTTGTATGATATTGGAAACTATCGGATCCTAGGTAGAAATACTATCAGATATACGGTGAAAATAGGCAGAATATACTGAGCCTAAGGCATTCACGATAAGCCAAGTGCCCCGGATCACAATAGATACTATTTATAGTCCCATTCGCACGCGGTCCAGACTTCATCTGTCATAACACCCTGTTTCAGTCGATTCACGAGAAAAGCTCGATCGCTGGTTCAAGGATAGCCCTAGATGTTTCAATACGATTCAAACCTTCAAAATAGACCTAAGCTAAAGATAGCTTAGCGTGTTTCAGAATAGAGTTCGAGAAAGAGTCTCTGTGGAAGTGATGAATCTGATTTGTGTTATGATCTGGATACTCAAAAACTCACATACAGTACCTGAAATTGGTATGTCGTTATTTTCAAGAGTTTCTTTCGTTGATTTTATTCGGGTGTTTTTAGTAGACACGATGGTGTGACTCTACTCTCTTTTTCCCCCGAGCTAGATCCAATCCATGCCCAATAGCAGACTCAAATAGTCCTGAATCGGTGGTGATGGATACCATGTCAAACACTTGCTCTGTACGACTTCGTGCCTCGAGAATATCAGTACCTGCAAGATATATATTTGTTAGCGGAATGATGTTGATTATCATTCTTTAACAGAAAAGACCTCAGGCTCTTTCACATAGCTTGTTATATCATAATCTCCCACCTCAGCATTGTAATGAATACCCAGGCTCATTTCTTGGATACAAAGTTTGGCGTAGCGAGGTCAACCTGCATACAGGCTTATCAATTAGCGAACGGGAAAAACCTACTTCGGGAAACCGAAGTTCACGGCATCGAAAGAGACAATAAGATCTTTGTCATTATACACCTTCTCGAAGGATTCGACGACTCTCGGTTCGCTACGCACATCCCAGACGAACTTCTCGTAGGCGACAGTATACTGCAAGCACATTCCCTTCTCATTAATAACGGGAAGGTTGTCTTTGTGAATACTAGACGGATCGCGACGATCAAACCCTAGGTTGCTACTTTAGTAAGTTTCCTATAAGACAGCTATTTGAGGGGTGAAATCTTCGAAATGAGATAGCTTACAAGTTCTTTATCTATAAAAACATCTTATCGGCATATTTGAGGGCCCGCTCACGGGGAATTACACTTTTCACCACAGCAAACCTATCACGGGCAAGATTATCCCGGTAATCACTAAACTTTGGGTTAGTACCGTCGATCCGTATACGCACATTCTCTGGCGTAGCAGCTGTAGTAATAGTGGTGGTAGTGACAGTAGATATAGCTTAAGATTAGTTATTTAATTCCTTTGAACGAGTTAGATTCCTAAGTGCTAACAGTGGTCGGTTTATACTATATATCTAGACTACTAGTAAATGTCGCTGCCCTTTTTGCGACTATATCACCCCCTACCCCCTGCCCCTATTACCCGAACAGAATATTATAACGAGTTAGCTGTGTATAGCAAGTAGGGTGTTAAGGGTGAGAAGGGGATAGGCCGCGGATTTTAGGACTTAATGAAACTAAAAAAACACTCTTTATGCGACAATAAGATTTAATTCTTATATCATTGACTTGTCCGAGCTTACTATAACGAAATCAAGCTCCCCGTCTCAGATAATCATTGTCGGAGATAGCATAGCTAGGAGACCAGAGGACATCTACCCGGGAGTGTGGATATCCCAGAGGATTTGCGACCGAAAAAGACGTATTAGCAAATGTTGAAGCCGTAGTCACATCCAACAGAAAGCGCTCTTACATTCATTCCACAGGGTTTCTTTCAGATCGGGGAAGGACTGCTGTGTCCTGGGATTCTCTATGCCATCTTGCTTTCTTCCGTGGTCCTTGCCTCATCAATTGGCATGTCACTATCATACAACACAGTTCTTGGGTACAACTACCATTGGGCACCTCAATCAATCGGATTGATCAACCTCGGCGGTGTGTTCGGTGGGCTTGGTGGGATGTTTTATGCTGGCTTTTTGGGAGATAAATTTATTGTTTGGAAGGCAGCAAGAAACGGAGGAGCCTTTGCCGCTGAACATCGTCTCATTCTCATGATCTTTCCTGAAATCCTTGGAGTCGTCGCTCTTCTTCTTTGCGGATTTACAGCTGATGGTAGCGTCACCTGGGGGTGGGGGGGGCATACATGGCCTGGACGCTTTTCCAAGTTGCTTTTGTTTCAGTCCTTATATTGTCAACATCTTTCGCGACCGAGGAGTGGGAGCATAATCCTGGTCCTGCTCTTGTCGCGGTCGTCGGTATGAAGAACATCGTGGCATTCATTTTGAGTTACGGAATCCACCCAATGGTGAAGTACAGCTACAAAACTGCAACGGGTATCCTGGCCGCCATCACTGGCAGTGTCTTCTTGCTGGGTATTCCAATTTACATACTGAACCCCAAAGTAAGACCTAATGTTTGGATTTTAAACACTAATCTTCGGGAGTGGCGCCAATATATGGAAAGGAAGAAGCAGAGAACTGCCGCGTATTGAGGCTTCGGTCAGCTAGCAATTGTCCATCAGAAACAATTCCAATTGCGCTTGCTGCCTTGTGACGGTTCGGGATTACAATTTCAGAAACGCATGGAAAAGCCGAGATGTGTCATCACCTGTTATCAGATTGTTGCTGTTTGCCAAAGTTACAAATATTTTTGTTCTCTCTATCGCAGGATACCATTCTTCTTCGTGGAAGGTACAGTTTCTCTCGGCATATGACAAGCCTGTAGATAATCAACATCCACCACGAATACAAGCTTTACTATATTCCACACACCATGGGTATTTACGTCAAATCCGATATGTGGAGGGCATTCGAAATCTCAGTACGAAGGGCTTGGTGGCGACATAGAATTTAGGATATAAAAAGGCAAAATAAGAAAATGTAAGTAGGGCTTTCGACCAACAACTTAGACAACAGAGATGGGTTTGTTCGACAAGTTAACCATTTGGAAGGAGAACAGCAAATAAAGAAGATTGAAGGCCTAAACGACAACGTGTGCCTGACCTAGCAGATGCATTTTTTAGTGCAGGTAAACCCAGATAGAAACTGAGTCAAAGTCATTAGCAAAATATGCTTCCTCGCTAACGATAGTTTGTAAGTCTTTGGTCCCACTGCCACGGCCTTCGCGCGGATCCTTTATTTACCGGGCTGCGCTTAGTCGTGGGGATCAGTAACGCATACTTCTATGCTACCATTGCTATCAACATTTCACCGCCCAATATTCAGTAATGGAATTAATCTTACGGTGAGGGTACAGTATCATACTCTATGTTGATCAACAGCCCTCGACTTAATGTCGAGTCTTCAATCAAGAATCTGCACCAAAGCCTTGGCAGTGGGGACCTGTGGATGAAATAGTTGTCTTTGGGGAGAAATAGATCTTGCTAGTGGTTGCGAAGTAATATCTGAGCAGTAAGTGATGGCACTGAGCAGCTCAGTGGACCTGATTTTGAACGCCCTCATGAAAGCGGCGGCAGCTACAAGTAGGAAAGCCCCACCTGGAATGACAAAGATCGTTTAAATATGTCATAAACCACAATTTAAAGAAGCTATGTAGCTACCTTTATCTCTGTTCATTAACTTACTATGGAACTCCACGGCCTGCCCTGGTCGCTTTTGCCAGCTCACTCTGCGCCGTATTGTCCGCATAGCGCTTATAGATAGGGAGATAATGCTCCTTCTCACTCGTCGTCTCCCTGACGCTCTTCCGATCTTCGATAGCGACAATCCATTTTCTCCAACGGTTCCAGACAGCCTCCTCAGATCCGCCCATTCCCTTGGCAGGGATACCTAATCCACCATTCTTGAACTCATCAAATGCCCACAGTCGCACCGCCCAAGGCGCTAGTACTAGATCTGGTAGGCTGATTTCGGAGCCAAGGAAGTAAGGTCCTTCGGGATGCATTTCTTTTGTCCACGTCTTGAGGTGGTTCAAGAAATCCTGTCGTGCTCTTTCCAGCCCCGCATCGTTCTCGGCATTCCCCGCACCATCAACTAGCTGATGCTGCAGGAATCGATGAAACGACGGAATAATACGAGATGTGACATAGTCAATCCAGATTCGGGCACGGGCACGATCATAAGAGTTCTCAGGAAGAAAGCGAGGTTGGTGCTGCGGGTATGCTTCCTCCAGATACTCCAGAATCACAGTAGACTCGTAAAGCGGCCGGGGGCCCGATTCGGTAGGGCATGAAAGAGTCGGCACAAGGCCCCGTGGATTGAGAGAGAGAAGCGAAGAGGGTTTGTTATAAGGATTGACCTCTATGTACTCGTAGGGGATCTGCTTCTCTTCGAGAGCGAGCCATACTCGCTGCACTGGATGGGTAGATATGGGTCAGTTCTCATTCAAAATAGGTATACATCAATGCTCGTGTGACTCGCTCACCAAATCTAAATATATTCAGTCAGTATTCATCATACATTTTCACGACGCGAGAAAGCACTGACGGGCAAAACCACCCCGCATATAACTTAAGTGGCTGTTCCGTACGATGCTGGTCAACCAGGGTCTTGGCCTGACCAGTAGCCTCGGGGTAGATATCGGAATCAGGATGAGTGGGCATCTCCTTAATATGTGGCGTCGCGGATAGAAATACTTGAGCAGCAAGGGTTGGAGGAGTTGGAGAAATGGCAAGTAGTAAGAGTTCAACTTCTAAACATACGAGGTCTAAACTGACAACGGTGACATCATTTCACGAGGGATAATCGCCATCCTGAAGAACGTCCCGTCTAATGCCTGTCGACCCAATCCTGTACGCCATGCTCGGATTTAATGTGCGGGTTTTATTCCGTCTTTGCAGCTGGCTGATCTTTGCCATATTTCCGGATCAGCATTTTCATCTTTGACACTGCACCCTCACGGTAGCCTCCCCCAAAGATCGCGTGGTGGTTCAAGTGATGGTATCTTGATAATATCAGTCAGATCATATCAAATACTTGAAGTAAAGAAAATTAACCGATACTCACAGTTCATACAACTCCAGTCGGTCCTTATATTCCTTCACCGGGTCAGTTTTCGGCACCACTTTATGGTAGTTCTCGAAAAAGTCGCCTCCAAACCCTCCAAACATACGCATAATCCCCAAATCATATTCGCTGTGTGCATGGCATGCACAAGGATCATACACCAGATCCACAACAGGACTATTCTTCTCCTGATCTATGCCTGCGATGAATCCCCGATCGGCGTTTCCACTCCATAGATCACCATGAACGATCACAGGCTTAATACCATCCCCCTTTCCATCTGATTTATATCCCAGATGCTTGTCTCCAAGAAGTCGGGGGACAATCTGACGGGCGGTCTGCTCAACGAGGTCGCGCAGCACAGCGTCTTTGCCATTCTGCCGCTCAGAGGCTGCAAGGATCATGAGCAATCGCTCGTTTGCATAGAAATCAGCCCAGCTATCATAGAACTTGTTCGGTTGCCGTGTATCACCGCAGAAGGTTGGCACAGAAAACCCGTAGCGATTCCGTTCAGTTCCAGGATCCGGCGGCGCGGGCGTACTATGTAGTTTTCCTAGCCGGCTCGCCAAGCTGGACGGACTTTGTTCGTCGATAGGAGTGCGGCGCATGGTACCCTTGAGCTCAAGAAATTCGGTCACAAGGAAATACTCCGCGGACTTGCTTGCATCCCCGTACTCGTCGACCCGGCCCCAGGCGAGAGCGCGCGGACAAAAGCCTGGCACGGCGTTGGCGATAGCATTCAATGACTCGTATTCGCCTCGGAACATCTCTTTAGAGGCTTCGCCATCTCCAGAGGTTTTCAAGAAATATTTACGCTCTTCTGGTTGACCGTCATCTTTTAAAAACTTCAAATGCAAGGTGCTTGTGTTGGTGAAGCCAGAGCTAGATGGCTCAAGATGGGCATGCACGTTGGAAGAGGAAAACGGGAGGCTGCGAATGATTGCTGGTGGTACCGGAGACATGTTTCCTCGTGACTCTCTCATACGCTCGGTGGGTGCAAACCAGAGAAAGACAAGATTTGCCGACTGTGTGGTTGTCAGAATTGTCAATAAATGAACGGGACGAAGTACGCATTTCTTCAGACCGGGGGTATGACGTAGATCTCCCCACCGATCCCAACGATAAGAGAAATTGAATATCATTTTACAAATAGGCACAACAGTTGTAGTAAACGTTGACTACAAGCTTCATGATCTAGAAACATTTTGAAAATACCCGCAGATAGCTTATGCAAAGTCACTGCTCTCAAAAGAAAAGCGCCAATGGTCTTCTCTTCCTCCAAACCCCATATCGAACCTAAATAGGACCTATGCCGAAGCTAGTGTGTTCAAGAGATGGACTGCAGTCTTGGTACGCTCCTTGACATCCAAATCCGAGTCATCTTCGAGGCTTGCTAGTCGTTCTATGATTCCGAGTGCCCTGAGTTGGGCTGCACGTTGTCGGCATCCTTCGCGATCAGTCGAGTCCTCCTCATAGATGAGATTGATCACCACCCAGACGCAGTTGACCCGTACATCACGATTGGAGTGATTGAAGTAGTGTGTCAAAGACTGCAGAAGGTCGCCATGCGAGAGCAGTAATTGACGATGCCGAGGCAGGCCCGCGGCAAGGTGAATGATCAGCGCACTGACCGAGCTTAGGATCTCGGACGGGACGTGTAGTGACCGGTTGGCTTGTTCTCGTCGATGAAGGAGTTGGATGGCGCGCGGTCTGAGGTTATCGGCAATCGCATCCAGCATCTCCTGTTGGCCGACCTCTTTAAGAAGAAAGTCGATCATTTCCGAAGCTCCATCACCGCAGATAATGTTGCGCAGCAAGTCAAACGTCTGTTCCTGAACTGCAATGTCATCTTGCCGTGTTTGAGTGGATTGCTCTAGGGATCCATTCCAAACAAGCCTACGGCGACGTCTTGCATCTGGTAGAAACATATCCAAGCTCATCTTGGATGACGGTAAGGACTCGTCCATCTTGTAATCTTCACCTTGCTCGGCTGCATCATCCATAGGGTTTAAAATATCCACTTGCTCGCCTGCCGAATTGGCCCTGCCCATGGCAATTCCTGAAGCTTGGTCTGTTTCATCCTCCAATCCTCGTCTTGTCAAGGCGGTAACGGGGTCTTGACTGATGACTTGTCGGATCCATTTCGGGGTAAGAGCCTCAACGACCTTCATTTTGATGTCGTTGGGCGAGTTATATACCACATGTTTGAGTGCCCACAAAGATTCGATCCGCAATTTGGTATTCGTTGAATGAGCATGCTCGCAGAGAATGGGAATGATATCAGCGGAGATGATTGCCTGCGAAAGGTTATTAGTGGGGGAACCAATGGCACGACATCTCCACGGTGACTTACATTTTTCATGGGACTGAAATCTAATGCTAGATTACAGATTGCTGCAGTAGCCGCGATCTGAACTTCAAGGTCATGGTGCTTGATGAGTACGAAAAGTGGCTGCGCCACACCGGCATCAATGAGGCTGGTCCGTAGGACGCTGACAGATCTCGTTAACATGCGAGCAGCACCACATGCAGCCAAGAGGGTCGGCGTTGGGTTCCCATCTGCAGCTGTATTTTTGGGCATTGAAACTCCATCGGCTGGTGCGTCACTTGGCCGAGGCTTAAGAGAATCAATGATGTATGGAACCACTCCGTTTTCGCAGACCGCCTTGCGATACTCATCCTTGAACGGCACCAAAGCTGCTAGCGCCTTGAGAATACTCTCTCGGTACCGCATGACATGGCATAATGTGGGAGAGTATCCAGGAGGTCCGAGCCGGCAGTCCGGAGAGACAGACTCAGGGTCGCGAGCTGGACTATCGCCTTCTGCATACCACATTGGGCGTGAACACTCTGGAACAGGGTTATAGGTTTCTTTGAGAAGCTGCGACAATCTCTTAAGAGCATTTCCTTCAACTGCATGTTTTTGTAAATCTTGGTCATCCATGACTAGGTTGGCCAATACGGCCGGTGCCTCCTCTTTCAAGCGCTGCGTCGGGGTGATCAAGCCATCATCAATAGCCCCATCTTCATCTGGCAGTTGAAAATCCTTGTCCAACATTCGGATGAGTATTGGGACCAGGAGATAACTGAACATGGGCACCCGATGCTTTTTCGCAAGCCCCAGGCGAAAAAGGACGGTTACCAGGCGAGCAGCCATTAGCCGCACCATGCTACCTTCTGAGCGGACTATGCAAAGCAGCCACGGAACAATGGAGTTTTCATCTTCTTCCGGGGAGGGCGTCTCGGCCAGCGAAAACGGCGTAGGGAAGGAATGACTATGGCGACGCTGTGAACCACCGTTACCTAAGGGTGGAAAGTTGGCAGAGCTTGGAGACGATCTTCCATGGACCAGTGGAACTGAAGGAAGTAGGTGATCAACTGGGTTGGCAGCAGTGTGGCGAGGAACTGCCGAACCTGACAGGTAAGTTGCTCCCCAGGGGCCTCTTTTGACGTCTGATGGGGCAAATCCAAGCACCTGCCTGGGGAAAACCGTCACAATTCCGGGGGAGGAAAGAAAATGCTCAGCTCGCCATTTTGACTGCTCTACAATCACCGTGACTGCGCGAAGGATGGGTGCCAGCCGTGCAGAGATCGGGGCTGGAAGTGGAAAGTTCCCAAGGGAGCCTGGTTCTTGAAGATGGTCTTCCGCCCCAGGAAGCACAAACCCCTGGGTCACCACAAAAGAGGCAATCTTGACCGCCAGCGCATCTAGGACTCCACATTCTGCCAACGCGCTTTTATGGATCTCCTCTGTGCATAGCTTTCCAATGAGCGACGCAGCCAACTCGATGCAGGCTTGACTTCGAGAAGACCCGTAATCTTGGGCCACAAGTCTTCTCAATGCGCCAAGATGCTCACTCGCAAATACGAGATCTGCTAGACGAGTATCCAGGGGCCATTGGTCTTGACTTTGTAATGGGAGTCGGTCTGCAATGGTGTTGAGTAATCGCAAAATCGGAAGAGCGAATGAGGGGGGACAGTCTGGAGAAGAGAGGATAGCCAGGAGGGTGGGAAGGATGTCGCTCGCAAATATTGGGGCAAGGAATGTCGGGCCGCCTGCTCGATATCAAATCAGCTCTCTTATCTATAAAGGCTGTGTTCGGCGCGAGCGCGCCAGGCATACCTTGTGCTAAACTTCCAACAATTAAAATGGCCTGGAGACAAGCTTCTGAATCATCTGAGTTGAGGTATGATACCGATTGGCCCAGGGCCATGCCATTTGATTCTGTCGCACCCGCTTTCCACGGTCGTCGCGCATTGAGCACCCGCCCCAAAGCGGGGATGACGCCTGTTACGACGAAAGCTTCCTTCCGCTGATCATGGCCGATGATTTCATTTTTGAGAGCCCGCAGCGAGGCTATCTGAGCGGGAACCGAGTCCGAGCCTTGCAACTGCAGCAGAATCGGCGGTGCGGCCGCGCGTGTCATTGTCCGGAGACCACCGCCTCCCGGTGGGAGGTACGCCAACTAACCACGGTGGTCAGGATCGGTCGAGGTCCAGGCTAAGTCAGATTGGATGACTTTCAGATATTGCCCGTCCCAGGTGTGGATGATTTATATTAAGTGTCTCGACGTAATATGCCGGCGGAACTTCAGTGCCGAGGATCTGGGAAATAGGGAGATGATTGTCCGGATTCAGCCACTCGGCGGAGAGGGGTCGCATGTACTGTACAAACAGGGAGAGATGGGGAAAGGAATCGGGACTGGTGGGTTTCGGCGGGAAGCCGAATGTGCGATGCGATGGAGATCGAGGTTTGATGGCAGGGCCACTGTTTGCAAAAGAGATTCTGGTTGGCGTGGATCGGTCGGTCTCCAGCTCTTCCTAGTATCAATGTTCCGGACTCCGCATCGGCCGGGGGAATGACTTCGCGATTACATAATAACTAACACACCGCCGTGAGCGGAACGTGACCTGGACATCTAGACACCTCAGGCGAGAATACTAACAGAGCCCGCTAGTATAAGGCGGGTTAGTAGCTTGGTCGCAGTCGACTCGCTGGACTCCAAATGGGCTACTTATCAGATGACCCATGACCCCAACTGCCCTCAGGTACTCCGAGGCACCAAGGCATCCACACTCCCGCCGAGATCCTCATGTTAGTCCATGATAGTGGCGTTAGTGCCCGTTCCCACGTCCCACCAATGATAAGCTGAGGACCCTGGTGGTCGCTGACAGTCCCCCGCGAATGGTGTGCAGATACATACTGAAGTCGTGTGTAGCTCCCGACTCAACATTATCTCGGAGAGATTGGCGAGACTCTTCAATCCCCCGCTCCACCGAGTCTTATCACAAGTTTCATCCTCTGCTCCAGGGGATCTCTCGAGACAGCTTGAGGTGGCACTAATGACTCCAAAAGACCGTCTCCAACCCCCCCCATCACCTGACTGCCCCGTCGTCGTATTGTCACGTACTGTCCCAGCATGCGCCGAGCGAGCCTATCCAGCCAGTCAGCGGGTCCCCTTGGGGGGCATGACGACTGATACTGCCGGGCGGAACGCGGCGGGCGCCCCTGGAAAACTCGGTGGGAACGCCGCGTTACAGCCCTATTCCCCATGTATTGATGTAATAACTTACCTCATGGCAAAGCAGGATTTTCAGCGGCTCTCGGGCCTGTTTTCCCTCCACCTCCTCCTTTCTTCCTTCCTCCCTTTCTCTTCCATCTTCTTCGATGTGAGCGTTTGACGTAAAGCGGGGAATTCTGATTTCTGGATACCTTTGATCTCCCTCCACCTCCTCCACTCCCTCCCCGCCCTTGCGATCCCTCGCGAGGATGAGGCCGTGCGCCAGCGCCAATCCAGTACCGCAGCGTCAGCGCCCCGTTGACTCGTGCGCCCACGTGGTGCCATCGCGCCCTCCGAGCGGTCGATATTGGGATTGCAGCATTCTTCGTGCTTGTCGAGCCCCCAACTAAAAACACTAAAACGCTTAAGCTCCTTGCCGGAACCATGTTGGCCTCCTCCCCCTCGCCCTCCTCCGCGGCCTTGCGCTCCCCTCACACCCACCCGCGTCCCCATCCACTCCCTCATCCAACCGGGGTGGCAGCGGCGCAGTATGATCCTCACTCCGCTCCACAATTCAATAGTCCTCGCTCGTCGCGCCTGGCCATTGAGGAACTCCGGTCGGCTCTGAATCGGCATACTGTCGATCCTGCCTCCCCTGAATCGCCTGCAGACAGGCACCGTCGTCGCGCGTCTACCTCTACAACGGCCACCGTTGAAACTCTCGCCCCCAGCTCCGCCTTGGCTCTTTCTTCCGGTCCTTCTGCCGCCACCCCTTCTACTGCCCCTTTGTCATCTGACGATAGTGCTCCCGACTCACACCTTCCCGTCTCCGCCCCTGCCACGGCCGCCGCTCCCTCGATGCCCGCTCCGGACAGCTCGGGGTCCAACAAGCGTAACAGCCAAAATGACCATCACCCACCGGATCTGACGCCGGCGGGGTCAGGCGGTCAGGATCTGGAGGCCTCGCAATCGAAGCGACGGCGCTCCTCCAAGTCGAATGTCAAATTTTTGCCCGCACAGTATGAGGAGGCGGACCCCCGCGACTTGGTTGTCCTGATCTCCAGCATGCTGATGGAGCTGATTCGCTTCAATGACAAGATCCCCCTGCATCAGGGGCGCCTGACGCGCTTCCACTCCCGATCTCCACCCCGAATTTCCGTGCAGGATTACCTACAGCGCCTGACCACCCACGCCACCCTTTCACCCCCGATTTTGCTCAGCATGGTTTACTATATTGACCGTCTCTGCGCGTTGTATCCAGCCTTTACAGTCTCCAGTCTTACCATCCATCGTTTCCTGATTGTCAGTGCCACAGTGGCTAGCAAAGGACTCAGTGACAGTTTCTGGACCAATAAGACATATGCTCGCGTAGGGGGTATCAGCATGAATGAGCTGGCCATGCTAGAACTCGAATTTCTCTTCAGAGTCCAGTGGCGCATTGTGCCACAACCAGAGGTCCTCGAAGATTATTATCAGAGTCTGATTGAACGGTGTGACGGATTTCAGATTGAGCGTACCAGTGCAACCCAGAGCACTTCAACCACGACCATCAATACCCCAGCAGCATAAGCGAAAGTTTACATCGTGTTCTCCGGCGGGGTATATGATCTCCCGCTAACTATTTCAACCAAATTTCTTTTATCCCAGTCCGAACCTTAGGCTGGTCTCGAGGCTGTCTCTGGGTGGAGTTAACTATCTGGTTTTCAACTATCTGGTTTTCAATCTCCTTGCTGATTGCGACTCAAAACGCAATCTCAATCAAACATTATCCTGCATGGACGGAAGGTGTTCAACGGCCAAACCCATCGAGTGTGCGTTCTATCCTCCAAATATGAATCTCATCCACACCCCTTGCACACATACATGGAATGGTCACCATAGACGGGTCTATCTCAGCATATACCATGGTGGGCGGTGATTTGTATCATGTTTTCAGCGGTTTATTTACAGCGGATACTTACGGCGTTTTGATGTCTGACGGGATAACGAGTGCTTTATATCTCATCGATCTTGTGCTCTCTATTGCTATTGTAAACTCAGCAAAAAAATACCATCTACACTATTAGAGCCAAAATTACTTTCTTATCAAGACGTGACATGGATCGGACATGTTCGGTCTCTGGACTCAGACTGGCACATGCGAACTTTGACATTCTCAATATCTAAAGACGCTATCTGTGGTCGATGTTCTATCCCGACAAAAACTGGTTGGTGGTGGATATCCACCTAAAAACAATTAAAAATAGGGATGACAGGGGTAGCTACACTTCTAGATACCAAAATTGCCTATTTAGGATGTTAGGGCTTAGGGTGCGGGGTCTAGGGCATCGGCGGGCTCAGAAATCTTGAACTTCATTTGCGTCACTGCGCGCGACTGCTTTCCTTCACTTCTGAGTTGTCCAGGATTCTTTGTTTTGATCCTCACCATGCGCTGACCTCCCAAACTGCCCTCATCTCCCTCAACCCCTTTGCTTCTGCCACCGGAGTCCCTTTCACCGTCACAGAAACCAGGCAGTTGTCAAGGTCTGTCGCAATGAGCATTGAGGAGCTGATCCAGGCCATTCGGCCTCTGAAAGGAGAGGTGATCCCCATCCGAACCGTACAGGAGACACAACCTCCTGAAGGATTTGGTACGTTCATGATATTTAAACTTTATTGACGGCTCTTGGCCCCCGGGTTTTCATTTTCAGGTCTAATCTGGATATACAGATGATGCTTATGTCGCAGAAGTAAACGTGAAAGCTGCTTCAAAGGTGATCAAGTAGGCTATACCGATGGAACTGCCCCTTGTCAACTCTCAGCTAATAATCTTGCTTCACTAGAGCTCTTGATGCTGCTTTCCCTCGCGATCCTTCCCTCCCTCTGACACATTTGCGCCGCTTCGCGAAACGGACCATGCTGCCACCCACCCTGCTTGCAGAGCTCGAGGCGAACAAGCCCACGGTGAACCATGGCCCAACCATCTTCGTCCTTATTGCGCCTCCATTGCCAGATGTTGATATTTTGCTGGCGCTCCTGGCTCCTTTCGCTCCCTCTACTCGCCGGCCTTCTGCGACACCTCCCGCCGACAAACCTTCGTCTCCCTCTTCTCCTTCCTCGTCTAGGCACTTCAAAAAGACTCCAACACCAGAACCTTCCCCTCTCAAGGTCCGCCTCCTAAAAACAAGTGTTCCAATTTATCCCCCGTTCAATGCCGCACAAGCCGAAAAATGGAGCAAGACCCTCTGGCCGGTCGTTTTCAACCCCGCTGCACCCCGCGCCACTGTCGCTCCTCCACCACAAATCCTGAATCGGGCTCTCGAATCCATTCAGCCGCGCGCCGGTCACTATCTGGCTCTTGCACGCACAGTTGCCGAAGAAGCAAAGCAGTCCAGCCGCGGCCGTGGCGTGGGTGCTGTCATTGTCGACCCGATCATTGAAGCAAAACTGGAAACTACAGCCTGGGAACAGAACCGCGATAGCACAGAGCATTGGATGGACGCTGTTGTTGCTGTGGCCGGCGATGCTCGTTACGGTCGTTCTGAGGCTGGTGCGCCCTCTCAGCGTGACCAGCACCCTGGCGTAGCACCGCATCCAGCTAGCAAGACCTATGACGCAACTTTGGAGGGTGGCCCAGACCTCCATGCACTTATGCGTGCCACAGAGTTCGTTGCCCGTCGCCGGCGAGAGGATGTCCAGCACCAGGCTGAGACTGCAGGGCGGATGACTTCGGTCATCGCCTCTGACCCGCAGCTCGCCAATCAGTTTAGCCGTCTCGAGTCACATTTCCTGTACGCAGTTGGCCTTCCAGCTACCAACATGCCCGAGCCAGTCATGCCTTCATCCCCTCGCAAGCGAAAGCACGAAGAACCAAACCCAGAGACGGCGCTGAATATTCCAGCCACTGCTCCCGAAGCATTTAATCAGTCTACAAGAGATTTGTCCATTGCTCCGGAGCACCGGGCTCTTTCTTCTACTGGCGCTACTACGATATCGGATCCCACCACCTTCCCTTCCATCATTGATACCGCCCTTGAAAATCCGACGATTTCGGGCACTACAACCCCCCCCTCCTCCTCCTGTTGCACCTATCTCCCGCATTCGCACCCGCGCCCAGGGTGGATATCTTTGTACCGACCTAGACATCTATCTTTCCCACGAACCGTGTCTCTGCTGCTCAATGGGCATGCTGCTCTCCCGTTTCCGGGCCGTGATCTTCCCGCGCTCCGGACGCATGCAAAGCGGTGGCCTTGCTTCCGAGCCTGTTGGTGCCCCGGTCCCTCTTGATGATGAGAACAACAATCATGACGATAATGACCAAATTGATACCACCGAATGCACCAAGCACAAAAAGGACCGTAAGTACTACGGCCTACACTGGCGAAAGGAGCTGAACTGGCGCATTCTGGGATTCGAGTTCGTTGAGGTGAATGATGGTGCTGAGACCGTCGATGACGAGGCAGATACTGTTTTCCATGCCTAAATGGTTGGTCCCTTTGTTGTCTTTTCTCTGTGTACACAGGATCTCTCTGTTTCTTGAGCCAAGCCAATCAACTCACGATGTAAATGTATGAAGTAGATATCTTAACTTTGCTACTCAAGTTTTCAATCAGGAAATGCAGATTAATATTGTTTCAAAGCTCCATTCAACGTATATACTTATTTTAAGTTTTGAAAATATTTTGGGATTTGTCTCCCCTCAGTATCGAGATTCTCATTCTAACTCCTTAATAAAAAGCTCTCCGCGACCAGTAGTATTGGTTTCTGTTCCTCTTCAAAGAGTGCCATGGTCTAAAATACAAGGGAACAGCAGTGCCTAGTCTGGCACCAGAGTTGAGAACTGTAAATTTCCTTTGAAATTTTTCTGGGCTTCTGTGTAAAGACGTGCTTTTCCGAAGAACTCTATCTCTTCCCTTGTCGACTTCGTCTCGCACTTGCGTTGCCACCTTTCTCTCTCTCTCTCTCTCTCTCTCACACACACACACCCACTTAGGCAGACTCCATTCACAGCGAATAATCAAGTTTCACCAAAGCCAAGAAGCACCCAATTGGGTGCAACTGCAATCATAGCAACTAGTCCATTCCACGTCTTCATGTTCGTCCTCTCCTCTCCTAAACTCCATTGCGACATCGTTGACCAAACCATTTTCCCCGACGCTGGCTCAACGCAAAAGTTTCCGATCTCTTGGCATATCAGTCATCCGCAATCCACTCTCCACTGGCCCTACAAATCACTCCCCAGCCTTCCGCCGCAGTCTATGAAAAAAAGGTGGGAATAGATAAGGAAATTCATGAACGTCATCACAGATCCCCTATCCACGCCAAGTCAAACAGACCCAGCAAAATACAGAAGAAAAAGGAAAAGAGATGTCATGTTGAAATCAGACATCTGATACAAAAGCAGAAGAGGAAAAGATGACACTAATAGCCATATAACATATGGCATTTATGTCGTCATGTTCACTTCGTTCGATGTGGGCGTGCACACGTGCCCAAGACACAATCCTGAAATGTATCCATGAGAAAAACGGAAAGGGGGAATATAAACCGAATTTGACATCCCATGAGATACAATCCAGAAGATAGAACAAGGATAAATAGTGTTGGTTCCCGAGATAACGGAGGTAGTCGAATTTGCATGATTATGGTGCGAATGCTCGCACCAGCCCTTTGAAAACCACAAGGTTTGAAGGCTAATAGGGTCAAAGAGGCTCTGGGGCGCTGAGTGGTTGAGCAACAGGCGAAATGATACGTCGCAAGGGTCTTCCAAGCCCAAGATCGCATCTCTTGCTCAATATGACAACCCAATATCCCTTCATGTGGTGTGAAACATATGGAACAAGTACGATTCCGAGTCGGCCGAGATGCGGTATGTACAACCGACCAAAGCAGGATGAAATCTCGACCCTGCGAGTGAGAAATGTGAAAATGCAAAGGGGATGATGGCACCATTTGTGACGAATGCCAGAAACAAGGGGGTATGATGCTGTTGCAAAGAAAAATGAGGATGTTGAGGGGGAGGGTAAAGAGGCGATGTACACAAAGGCCGTCCTCCCAAGGAGGAAGAAATCAATGAGTCTGAGGTATAAATTCTTTAAACAATCCGCTGGTAGAAGAGCAAGTAGGCGACGCGATTGTCCCGAGAGCCGTATCTGCCAAGTGGGGTTCGCACGCCAGATGAAGGTCCAGACGAAGGGGCGACACCGTTGACTGATTTTTTGCTTGAGTGTCCGGTAGAGCCTGCTCCATTCACCTGGCTCCAACCCTTCTCGTTGTCCGCAGATTCCAGCTCAACTTGATCAATGTGATCGAAAATATTGGCGCGAGGGTTCTTGTCCTGCTTGTGTTGTTCAAGAGCAGCGGCAAGAACCTTGGGGTCTTCTTCGCCGCCAGCTTCAGCCACATCCTCACTCCGGACCCGGCGAATGACAGTGTCATCCATGCGAATCCACTCGCGACCATCTTGTCGCCGGACATCGACGGTGTAATGACCACCGCTGGCGTTCTTGCCATGGTGGTATATGACACCCATCAGGCGATACTTTGGCAAGCCGCCTTGAGCAGTCAAAGTATTGCGTTGGTGGGCCGGGAAAACCTCCCGTGGAATCTCCAGGTCAAGTGGATAACCGACCTTTTTCCAAATCTTCTGCGTTGCCCCTGTCAAATTGTCATACTGGAAACGTTTCAGGTGCAAGATGAGAACAGGAGGGAGAGTCTCGATAAATATTTGCTTGGTTGCAGTCACGTTAGGACCACGAGATGAGTTGAAGTCGCCTTGAATACTTTCGGGCTTCGTCAATCCCTTGAGAGCATCCACGATATTATGGACCTCGGGCGCGCCGATATCAAGTTGCAAGGGTTGATATGGCTCCATGGTAACAGAAGTCTTGTTACCTGGAACCTTGAACTCCGAGCGCAGTTTGCCTCCAAAAATTCTTGTGACCGGAGACTCAGCGGTAATGGCGCCTGACGACTGCGTAACAGCGGCCTTTTGCTTGGCACCAACTTCTAGCCACCCATCGCCTGATGATCCATTGGTAATAGCGTGATCAGTAGATTCCTGGGTAGTTTGAGAAATGGCAGCATGCTTTCCAGCACGGTCACATTCCTCATGCAATTCTTCAAGAAGGAAGCCCAAGAATTCTTGCGCATCTTGCTGATGGCCACGTTGCATGTCTCTAAAACGCGGCAGCTGTCGAATCATCTCGTAAACGAACTCAGGAACAAACGCCTCGCCATACTGCTCGAGCTCGTTGGGCTTCAGCCGAAGTCTCAGCTGCTCTTCAGAAGTAGCAGCGTCAATGACACGGAATTCTTTCATGAACATGATCATGGCATCAATCAAGGGCATATCGCTGTGAAAGCTGTGTGCAGCCCGTCGGCCCACATGATCCAGGAACTGGTGGAACGGAACACAGGAAACTAGAATTTGCAGGATGGAATTCATATAGCACATATTGCCGGTATTCACAAGTCCTCGCGGCTCAAGGAAAGCAATTTTATCGCTATATTGGGAGACATCCTCCCCCATGCTGCTCAAGACATCTGCTAGAGACTTGTTCTGCTGTAGAGCAATGGTGGTAGACTCCGGAGAAACAGCCGTTGCAGCACCAGCAGAAGGCCGTGCGGCCGCTTTCGCGCGGACAAGATCTGCCCACGATTTGGGTGCGGCGCGAACAGAAGAGGTCGGCTTAACTGCGGCCTCATTAGCGGATGTTGTGTCGACATCAGTCTCGGGAGCCCCAGCAATCGTAGACTTGGGAGTTTCCGACGTAGTACTAGAGTCATCTCTAGCTTGACGGCGCGGGGTTCCTGGTATATTAGGAACGACAGGAATAATGGGGATGGCGGGTTTTGTGGGCTTTTGCTGGGTCTGAGACCTTGCGCTGGAGGAGGGAGATGTTGGTTGAGTCGAGTCACCATCCGATGGAGGAATGGAAGTGGGAGTTTGTGGCTCCGATGACACAACTGCGACAGCTGACGGCGGCGGCTGCACTTTGACAACTTGACCTTTCATTTCCCCAATTATCCAGACTCCGTCTTTCGGAGGAAACTCAACTGATTCTGGCATCAGGCGGTTACTGCGGCGTCTGTATTGGAGCCTTGCGGGGAATGGAATTTCGGGAACTGAAAGCCAAGGGACCTGATTGAATGGTAAGCATCTAATCTCTAGGCCTCCAGTCTGATTTGGAATTTAACTTACCGGCGCAACAAATACGGGTTGTGGTTCTGGGGCAGCTTTGGGTTCCCACCGCGGCGGGGGAGATGGAATGGGATATTGCTGAGGTTGCTGTTGCACTGGAAGAAGAGGATGATCATGAATTTCTGGTTGAAGGGGAGGTGGGGCTGGAATGGATGGCGACATGGTTGGTTGCAGTGGAGTTGATGTTCGTGGCTGCATCGGCAAGGCATGAGGCGGGAGATGGTTGGGTGCCATGATGGGCTGTGTTTGAGGATAAGAGGATACAATCATCGGGCCATAAGGTGGTTGGTAATGCCGCGGTGGCATCTGCATATGACCATAAGGAGGATACCAAGGAGGGAACTGCTGAGGTGAATAGGCAGGTGGCATATGCGCATTCATGTGCGGAGGGTACCCCATGTATGGTTGAGACCGCATATTAGGAGGTCCTTGGTTATAAGTAAATTCTTGCTGTCGCCGGGACGGAGGCATGGGCGGCTGCCCCATGGGCATCGCCGGCAAGTGGTGGTTCATCTTGACCAAGCTCGGAGGGGAGGTATTGCCTTCACAATGCAGTCACGCGTCACCTCAATGGGAGGCATGCGCGAAAGAAATCAAGATGATCCGAAATCGGAAGCCTCAGGCGCACTTATGCAGCCATTTTGGCCTCGTCTAGAGGTTGAGAAGGAGCTTTGAAGGGTAGATAATATGGCGGAATCCGGATGGGTTCAAAACGCTAGAAGAGCAGGAGGCTAAGAATTAATCACAGTGCGCCGGGAGATGAAAGACGAAGAGTCCAGTACAAACCTAGGCAGTCACATCAACAAAGAGCAAAAAAGGGATATTGGCCAGTTGGAATAAGGCCGTAGAGACAAGGGGTGGGAGGGAGATTCAAAGAAGAAACAGACAATCCCTCATCAACTTGCTTCCGAAGCGAAGGTGAAGTGCTGCTTGAACTGAATCTCGGCGCTGATTAATCCCGGCGCTGAGTCAACTCGGCATATCACGTGATTGATGGCGATGTCATGCCCGCCGCCCCTCCTCGACGACCCTCCGGTACATCAGCGTGCCATTCCTGGACGCTTTGTCTATTCTTAGATGGCCTTCAGGGGCTTGATCTATCTTTATCAAGTGCTTGGTGCTCTGAAATCGATCGGGGTGGCAGCGGATGTCCTGATCCCACTCGCTTTTGCAGATTGACCCTACCTTCTTATCAGGAGCTGCTGCATTGATACAGATCCTGACCTGGTCTCTTGTACACCACCGTATTGGTTTGTTGGCAACCCAGCTACCCCCGTTGTGCTGGTTTCAAGGACAGCATTCTGTATCTAGCAAGTACCAACTCGGAGATGTCGTCCAATGCAGGACAGATCCCGGTTGTCTCTAAATCGGCAAATATCGCAAATACCTCGCCTGCGCCTGCGACATTCCACACAACAGCCCCATCCGACAGTGGTTCCCAACGACGTGTGGGGGGATCTGGAAGCTTTGGAGCCGGTCAGTCTTCGAGGGCGTCTGCTGCCAGGAATATTCAAATCCGAAAAAACCAGCATAAACGGCAGAGAAAACCACGGCTATTGGATGATGACGAGTATAGCGAATCGGTGGGTACTATCTGTATTCTTTTATTATTTCGAGTATTGCTTACAAAGGTCCATTACCTCTACAGGCCGTGATGAGATCAACCAACAGTCGCAAGGGACAGACGTCCATTACCCATCTGATGAACTTTTCTCTGCCACCTCGTCCACAATATCAGCCTCTGTCTCGCAACACTCGACGCTACCAGTCATATAACTCTGGCTCTGGTTACCATGCCGTAGATAAGGCGCGCTATGTTCATGCCAACTACCGCTTTATTGTCTCACCAGATCGCAGCTACCATGCCCAGGCTGCCAATGCCGATGTCCATCTAGATTGGGATTCTGTTCTTCAGGTCCTTGTTTCTGCTCAAACCCAAGCTGCCAGCTGTCCGATTTGCCTTTCTATGCCAGTTGCACCCCGAATGGCTCGCTGTGGACATATATTTTGTCTGCCTTGTCTAATTCGATATATGCATGCCTCTGATGATGACAACCATGTTCCCGAGAAAAGACCGCGGTGGAAAAAATGCCCAATATGCTGGGATTCTATTTATACCTCGGAAACTCGTCCTGTGCGTTGGTTCCGTGGTCAAGAGGGTGACCTCCCCGTTGAGGGTGGAGATGTGGTGCTGAGGCTGGTAAAACGAGTACCTGGCAATACTCTTGCTTTGCCTCGCGACGGTGCCGAAACCCTTGGGGCTGGTGAAGACATTCCATGGTTCCATGTCGCTGAGGTTGCGGACTACGCTCGCATAATGAAAGGAGGGGAAGACTATATGTCATTCCAGTACGATGAGGAAGTCGAAGAACTGCGGAAGCAGGAAATTGAAGATGAACTGTTGTTTGGTGACGAGAACACTTGGACTCGCAAAGCCATTGCCGCTGTCAGGGATGCGAAAGAGAAATTGAAGGGCATTGGAAATCCACCAGATGTTCCACGTCAGCCCTCGGCCTCTAAAATGACCGAAGAGTCTGAAGTAGAAGCCAGAGCTTCCGGAGCTGTTACATCAGAGGGCACAGCTTCATCTGCTAGCGGATCCTCCTCCAAACTTGTTTCGGAATCGAATACAGAGACTGCACATTCTGCTATCGAATCCATATCCACGCTAGCTACCCCGGAAAAGGCGGATCAGCTCTCAGTGGCCATGGACAAAGTTCGGCTAAACGCTGATGCCCCTATCAACCCAACTTCAAGGGGCAAGAGCAAAGAGACCCAAAGACCCCATCCTCCGGATCAGCCTTATTATTTCTATCAAGCTTTGCCTCAATTCTACTTGTCACCCCTCGATATACGCATTCTTAAGTCAGCATTCGGAGAATACGCCTCGTTCCCTGCAACCATTCTCCCTCGAATTGAACACATATCGACGGGCCATATGGTTGATGATGATCTTCGTAAACGAGTTAAATATCTAGGGCATCTTCCATACGGTTGTGAGGTGAATTTTCTGGAGTGCGACTGGAGGGATGTTGTTGTCCCCGAAGTGCTGGCACGTTTCCGCTCCGAAACTGACAGGAGGCGAAAGCGCAATCGTGATAAAGAAGCCCGTGAGGAGAAGGATCGCATTCGTGCTGAGAAGGAGGAGGAGGATAAGCGCTGGGCCACAGCGCGGCGCAAGCGACCAAGTTTTGGTAGTACTAGCGAAGCGCCCTTCTCGGCCCATGATTTCCAACCGCTGTCCAACCATTCCGACTCGCCATTGTTTGATGCTAGCGCTTCTTCGGCTTCTCCTCCTCGTTCATCTTCACAATTCGGAGCTTTAGCCTCCCCATCCACAAGCCCTCCGGGACTTCGTACTGTTTGGGGGACTACAGCTATCCCGTCCCTGTCTCCGACCTCGGCAACTCAGCAGGATATGCAAAATGACGGTTGGTTACATGGTTGGGAAGATGAGCTTTTGGCTCGCCAGACATCCGAATTGATTTCTCAGACTGCCCCTGAGGCCGATTCATCGGGTCCGTCCTCTACCGCCGGCGGCGGTGGAGGTGGAGGCAAGAAAAAGAAAAAGAACAAGAACAAGATTACCTTGATGTCAACTAATATTCAGAGAGGGGCATAGGCTCTGGTGGTTGGCAGGATTGGGCCTTCAGCATATACGTTAATAGAGACGGAAATGCGTTTGCTTCGCAGAACGTGATTTGGAGTGCTCTCTGTTTACTCTATCTCCTGTCTGTCTTCTTGCATCATAACACATCGCATCATAGTATATTACTTACCATTATTTGATTATTGAACCGAGAGTTCGGGCTTTGTTCACCTTTGCATCTCGGTTCTGGGCCCACATTCCAGTTCCCAACATTTTGAACATTTGATTTGATCGTCGGATTTCCAAATAAAAATAAAACAGAATCATGATAGATACTCCGATTCTTCTGTGCTTCCAAGGTATCGTAGAGAGACTGCTTTTTGATGGTCCCATCAGTCCTTGACAGCACTAATTGTGAACTATGTATTGTCGGCCACTAAATTACAGTTCCAACGCAGGATTTCCGCAGAGAACTACAAGCTTGGCAGTAAGATCGGCGCTGCAGGAGTATAAGAAAAAGCAAGTAGAAGAAAAATCATGACGGCCCTCGGAGCTTCAATAAGTTGCGACTCACGCAAGATTGAACAACGGCCCGGACCACCAGCGCCGAGATCAAGTTACAAGCGTCTGGCACCGGAAGTAACAAAAGAGTGCTTGTGTGGGGGAGACAAACAGGCCCACGTTGGGCGGAAGAGGCGCGAGCCGGGTGTAATCTGCAAGTAATTCCAGGTAATCGAATCATGTCCCAGGTATTTTTGCCGTACCCGCGCATACTCCCGAGGGCGGTCCGGTACACGCCAGGTACATGTAAACAATCCCGCTGTTTTTCTCCTTCCCCCCTCGACCCTATTCTCTTTTTCCACATCTCCCTCTTCGCCCCCCTCTCCACACACATTCAATTGCTGTCGGATCTCGGATTTCCGAGTAGGCAATCATGACTGTCACCCGCTCCCAAACGGGGAAAACTCCCAAGTAAGTGCTTTCTCACCGGATCTTTGTTGCGATCCACCCGCTGCCGTCCCACCCCCCCCCCGGTCGTCGTTGCTATATGAATTGGCTTCTCCCTGCAATTGCGCTCCGAGAACCGCTTGGAAATTGGATCCGCTAATATATCAATTATCGCTTTGTGTAGGAAAATGGACCGCCCAGGTTATATTGAAACCCCTGGCCGCCGTTCCACTCGCAAGAGCCTTGCGCTTGAGATGAGTGAGAACGACGTGTCCGATTCGCCCGCCCCGGCTAAGTCTACTCGCCGTCGCACTTCGGCCAAAGTCAAGTCGGAGGACGAGGATGAGGCTCCGGTGAACATTACGACTAATGGCAAGGCTGCTGCCGGCAAGCCCAAGTCGCGAATTGTGGACGGCTGGGAGGAGGGCTTGGACCCCAAGATCGACTACAGCGGACACTACGAGTTTGGCGGCTCAATGGGTGTGCTTGCCATGATGATTGGATTTCCCATGCTCATGTACTACATGTGGATTGGCGCGACCTACTATGATGGCAAGTTCCCTCGTCCGGCGGAGGGACAGAGCTTCTCGGAGTTTGTCGCACACCTAGGCAACTTGGTTTACACTGGCGCATTTCCGTCGGTGAAGGCTTGGACCATCTATTGGGTTTTCTTTGTCTTCGAGGGTGCCTGCTATGTTCTTCTTCCTGGCGTCTCTGTTACTGGCCGGCCATTGCCGCATATGGGTGGCAAGCAGCTGCCGTACTATTGCTCCGCCGTGTGGTCATTTTACACCAGCATTGTATTGGTCCTGGCTCTCCACGCGACTGGTGTTTTCAAACTGTACACAATTATTGACGAATTTGGCCCTCTTATGAGCGTTGCGATTCTGTCTGGCTTTTTGGTCTCAATCGTTGCTTACTTCTCTGCTTTGGCACGCGGGGCTCAGCATCGCATGACCGGATCTCCGATCTATGACTTCTTTATGGGTGCCGAGCTCAACCCACGCATGTTCGGTATTCTCGACTTTAAGATGTTCTTCGAGGTCCGCCTGCCCTGGTTCATCCTGCTGTTCCTATCCATGGGTGCTGCGGCTCGTCAGTATGAAAACTATGGATACGTGTCCGGAGAAGTTATGTTCCTCGTCATGGCTCACTTCCTCTACGCAAATGCATGCTCCAAGGGTGAGGAGTGCATTGTGTCTACCTGGTAAGCCAATGCAATATAACCAGGGGTATCTTTTCGTGGGGTCAACTAACCTTTCAATCAGGGATATGTACTATGAGAAGTGGGGTTTCATGCTCATCTTCTGGAACTTGGCCGGCGTTCCTTTGAGCTACTGTCACTGCACCATCTACCTGGCCAACCACGATCCGTCTGAATACCACTGGAACCGGTTCTTCCTGGCCTTCCTCTATATCGCGTACCTCTTTGTCTACTGGGTCTGGGACACCACCAACAGCCAGAAGAACCGCTTCCGCCAGCAGGAGCGCGGTACCATGGTCCATCGCAACACCTTCCCCCAGCTTCCGTGGCAGACTGTCAAGAACCCCAAGACCCTCACTGCTGCCGATGGCTCCAAGATCCTTGTTGATGGGTGGTGTAAGTGCAACTTTCCAGATAATAATTTTTTGCGCATCTTTCTAATGCCTCCAAATAGATGGCAAGGCTCGCAAGATCCACTATACCTGCGATTTGTGGTTCGCCCTGAATTGGGGCCTCATCACCGGCTTCTCCAGCCCCTTCCCCTGGTTCTACCCGGTCTTTTTTGCCTGCATGATCTCTCACCGTGCGCTCCGTGACATCCAACGGTGTCGCATCAAGTATGGCGAGACCTGGACTGAGTATGAGAAGCAGGTTCCCTACCTCTTCATTCCTGTGAGTTTTTTCCTTCATTAGGTACCTTGGAATCTTTTCTCACCGTATCACCCGTATCATGACTCTAGTACGTCTTCTAATGGCCACGCCCATCACTTATGGGTCCTATTTCCTGTACAATCACCTTCTTCTAATCCCTGTACAGGGGCTTGAGGTCAACCTACTTTCTGACGGCCCATCAAAACTCCCACGACCATTCTTTGGGACTTTCTTTTCCACATGACTCGAGATATTTTCTTTATAATGCTTTTCCATGGTTCGGTTGCTCTAGGATAGCCTTTTTTGCGGAATCCTCGAAGTAGCATTTCGTTCGTCTTTCTGTTCCATGTATATTATTTACTGAACTTCCTCAGGGGGGCTTCTCCTTTTTTTCATTCTTTGCGTGTCTTATAGATTGATTCACGTAGACATTCGATACATTCGACCCTAGAACTTTGTATGGGAGAAATATTCAACATTGCAGGTAGGGTTTACTTGTTCAAATAGTTTTCTCTGGCGACCAGGAGTTTCCCTTCTATTGTACCGCTGCTGTTAGGAAGGCCCTCGGTGTTGGTTCCACAGCAACCTATTGGTTTTCTATACTCGTATTTTTGTTATGTGTCTCTCCTCTCTCTTTCAGATACGTACTTCAGTATTCGCGTAGAGGACGCTACCTTGCTTGGATTTTGTTACGTACTGACAGGCTCTCATTCGTAACCAGGAAGGGCTCCCTGCTATGGAAAATCGAATACACGCTTGGTTCATTTCTTCTTCCAGATATGGTAAGGCCGTACCGAAATTATCCCCAGATGTGGATATAGGACTAGCAGATTAATTCTGATTTAAATCAAGAAAAAGAAAGCGCCTCGCGCACAGCGTACGGAACTGGCCGCTTCCTGGCAATACACACAACCCTCGGGGTCGTAACCCCAGCACCGCGCTGAGCCTCCGCATATGCCTCTTCAATAAGCTCATCGAGATGCTTTGCCTCCTTCTCCCGTCCCTCAGTCTTCATTTGCCCATTAAACTCCTTGATGGTCATCAAATGAATCTCTGTGTCGTGGCAAATCAAGTCCGGCCGTCCATGATAGAAGGTCATTTGGCTCTCCTCAAACCCATGTCTGAGCAGATGCAAAGGGAGATCAAATACCCAGTCATGGCGGCCCTCTGAGTGCACAAACTCCCTGATCTTGTCAAGTGACACAGTGTTCAGCTTCTCATCCGTCTTTTCAACATACGTGTGCGCGGTACTCAGATCGTCCCACTGGATCCATCCCCCGGGCTTAAGCAGCTTGATTACGTTCTTGATAACGGGTCCCGGGTCTCTATTCGAGATGGTAAGGAGGAGGAGACGTAGGTGAATCACATCATACCGCTCCTCGAGCTCGCTTGGGACCTCGTCGAAGATATCCCAGTCGTAAAGGCGGTGGATGTTACTGGGGCGCCAGCCGGGTGGTGGGAGACGGTCGAGGTTGATGTCGATCCCATCAAGGATAGCATTGGGGAACTCGTGCGCTGTGTCAAGAAGCCAAAGGCCTGTTCCTGCGGTAATGTCGGCGATGCGCGGGTGGTCTCCCACTGCGTCTCGGATGACGGGGTGCAGACTGTAGCCAAGACATTGCTTCCAAATGAGATATTGGTAGTTGAGGCGTTGGCTCCCTGCATGGCCGGAGTCAAGGAGGTAGCCCTTCCCTTCACGCAAGCCGAAGCCCGCAGCGTGGTTGAGAGGTGAAGTGTCAGGCATTTAACGAGATCAACTAGTTTAGCAGTGAAGAAAGAGATAAAATGAGTTCTACTCATGGATAGCAACGGATAGAAGATGTTGGGCCCTTTTATATACAGAATATGCAAGAATAGTAGCCGCAATAGCTTTTTAACATGGAGAGAGTCAACCAGCTTTCGGGACGGACTATCTATGCCAGACTCACACATATTGAACTTTCCCTTTGGAGAAGCATAGCTGTCGTGACACAGGACTGAAGATTATCGGTCAAGTCAACCAAGCAGCCGTCGGACATGCCCTCACCTGCCTTCCTGTCTGGCCTCTGATTCCTCAAACACTCGGTGCGGTGGGGTGTCTATTGGGCTTCATTGCTTGATCAACCACTTCAGTGGACATTGTTGAGCAACCTGTATGGGTGCAGGCTAGTTACACTCAGAGTGGGTGATACCGATGATCAGTCGGATGGAGTCATGATATTGTTCTAAAAACAAAAAGCAAAGTCACTATCGGTAATAATGGAGGACGGATGAAAGTCTATCTGGTGTAATCGAAGGCTGGACACGGATCTTCTTGACACGGCTGTACTCAATAGAAATGATCGGCTCGTACCCTACAGGTGGGATCAGAACTCGTGTATGATATATCAGATGTCGAAAACAAGGAATTCGTCAACATCACTCGCTCGACGAAGCTATAGGCATGCCTGGGTATGCGCGGGTCAGATGACTGGGGCCCCGCGGCGGGCTTATCGATAAAGTGTTTTTCGAACCAGCATCCCCCGCCACCTGCGTCCACCAGTTCGCCTATTTGCTCTCCGGAAGCCTAGGAAGCAGAAGATCGCTCGAACCAACACAATGCTTGTCCAGGAGTCTTACCATGATGTCCCCACCACGGCCGATGGCTCGGGAACGATGCGTAAGTAGCTCCCCCAAGTAGCTGCGTCATTCCCGCAGCCCAGACCCTGTCGCGTCACAGTCCTGACCGTCCCTGTCAGGTATCTATGTCTTTCACCCAACCATTCCAGGATACCCCAATGCTCGCTTCCCAGGAGTCGTCATCTTCAGTGAGATCTATCAAGGTGGGAATCCTATTGCGCAGAACTACCCGCTTGTTGATCGGGCTCTCCAAATCCACGATTAACCATTACCCGCAGTAACGGGCCCCGTGGCTCGGTTTGCCCGTCAGATCGCCGGCCAAGGCTATATCTGCGCCGCTCCCTCCAGCTACCATGAATTTACGGGTCCGGAGCCTCTGCAGTACAACGCGGAAGACACGGACAAGGGCAATGCGTGGAAAATTGGCAAGGTGCGCCCTCTTCTCCGCACTCCACGAGACAAATTGAGTCTCTTCCCCACGCTCGCTATTATATGCGGCTATTATTGACGGGCTCTGTGGCTGTGTCGAGGAACACGAATATGAACCTGTATCCTATTTTCAAAGCCCATCTTGCTGATCTGGCTTCGGATTAAATTAGAAACTGGCCGCCTATGACGAGGATGCCAGTCTGTCGGTCGACTATCTGCTCTCGCTGCCTACTTGCAATGGCCGTGTCGGCGCCACTGGCATGTGTCTGGGTGGCCACCTGGCATATCGCTGTGCCCTGGATAGCCGAGTCAAAGCTGCAGTGTGTTACTTTGCCACGGATATCCACAGTAAGACCCTCGCCAAGGGTAAGAATGACGATAGCCTGGCCCGGGCGAGCGATATCAAGGGTGAGCTGCTGATGGTAAGTTTAATATACTTCTCCCCGCAAGCTTCATTTTTCAGACTGGACAAACGCCCCTCGTAATAGAGAGAAGGTTTTTTAAACAAAAAGATTGGTTCCATCCTCGATGGAATTTCTCTTCACTTGTCTATTTCAAGAGGACTCACCTATGCCACCAAACACTCGTATACTAATGGATAGTTAGATCTTCGGCAAGAACGACACTCATGTCCCGCCCGAGGGCCGTGACATGATCCGCAAGACCCTGCATGAGAAGGGGGTTCTGTTCAGCTTCTATGAGGTTGCCTGGGCCCAACGTAAGTCTTGGAGAACCCTCGGGACTCGCGCACCAGTGCTTTCCAGATGACTGACCCCGGGGTAGATGCCTTTATCCGCGATGAGCTTAGCAAGGGCCGCTACGACCCAGCCATCACCAAGTCCTGCTTCGAGATGCTCCTGGAGCTGTTTGGGCGGACACTGAAGCTGGACCTGGGCGAGCATGATGGCAAGAAGTTGGTGGTCGAGGATGTCTGCTAAGCATGTTATCCTCTGCCTCGGTCCCAGTCGCCTGTCTACATCCATAGGCGGAACGCCTCGGGGTTAGCTCGCTCAGAGATCTTATCTACGTATTGCTGGAATAAACAACCCTAGTAATGCTCCCTAGATAGGCAGGCACCTCCGGTCCGTGTGCTCCGATCCGATGCCAGGGCGCTTTGGAGGTGGGACAGCATGCGCGCACGAAAAAAGGGGATGGCTGGCGGAGCTCAATAGCGTTTACGGCCGACAACGGTGGATTGCAAAAACGGCCGGATGAGATGTTTCAATGGGATAGAGCAGGATTGAGTTCTCTCCGAATAATTGAGTCTCGTACGCAAACAAAACGCATAGAGGTGACTCGCGGTAGTAACAAGCTATGGTTCTTGACCTGGCTATGAAGAGTGGAGTCTAGGGCGTTGCCTAATCGACCAAATTGCTCCATACTAGTAGTTCGTGGATATCCCCCGTACATTACGATGGTGATGATGATTCCGCAACGCAAGGGCGGGGGTGGCTGGGCCGAACCTTGGAAGCTTCTTTGGGGGCTTGGGGCGCCTGGAGATCCCAAAGTTTGGGGAAGGAGAAGGGGGGCGAAGGGCGGTTGTTGGAGTGACGGGGCGTCGGGGCTCGGGGCTGGCTAAAAGCATATACTACGTACCCCAAACAAGCTACATAATCTGCCGCCGCGACAGGAGGGATATTAATCACGACTCCGTTGTGTTTTGATTTGGCCCTGGATTCATTAGCGCTGCAGGTGTCCACTATTGATTTTCCTGATCAGAAGTCTCCAGAGGTCTGTCTCCATGGCGATCTGGTCTGTGCGGGTCCTACAGAAATGGATGCAACGAGTACTCTGCACACGATCCGACGTCACGGGTACGAAGGGAAGATATGCGGTGATCGATAGTTGGTGAGGTAGCGAGTACTCCGGACGGATAATTAGTTCCATCCTTGCACAGACGAGAGTTCGTTTCGCGCCTATCAGGCGCGCCCACCCTCTAGATATCGGTGGTCAGGATTGATGCTCGTACTGCCATGCCTCGATCATCTCTTCTCCACTCTGATTCCGAGTGTGACCAGCCCCAACCGTCCGTTCCAAGGATCCCACCAGCATCCGATGCCAGGATCACCCAAGGAACTTCGCTGCCACGCTCCGCCATCCATGGAACCTGCGGTCCCTGGTTTCAGAGGCAGCGGCCGCGAGGGCGCTCGGAGAAGTTTGGCCCTGCGGGGCCATACTTTGCAGTCTTTCTCCCAGCCATCAGATCTAATAATAGTTACCAGATTGCGTCCCGCCCACATTTGATCCACGTTGGCACAGGCTTTGGAATAGTGGTCTCATCTCGCTTGAATAGGGTTGGAAAGCATGCGAGAATATCCAGAGGAGAAAAAGAAGGTTGAGGACGAGATTGGCCGAGAGAGCCATCATCGCGCATCCTCCGAGCCCGTACTGTGTCGGCCGTAAAATACGACCTCGAGATCCAGAACATCACAAAGCTAAGCCGCACTAGCGTCGGCCATTCCCTGTTCGAGCCAACGTGGGCCTCAGGCGTCACACTCCTCAACTCCTCACCATCACATCCTTTTCCTCTCCTCCGTGGCTTTGTCGCTTCTTGTCTCTCCCTCGATTTCGGGTTCGCCTTGCTCTCCCTCTCTTCTCCTACCTACCCCTCCCATCGTGCACACCCGATCGTGACATTCGGTGAAATTTCCTCATTTGTGGGTCAGGGGACTCATCGCGACACTCTCCCCTCGCCCTCCAGCCCCAGCCAGCTTCGTCGTTCGCGCTACCACTTTGTCCGTTCTCGCGGGAAATCACCAAACTCGCCATGGGTTCGACACAATTCGGCAATTTCCACGTGAGTTTGCCTGGATCTTCACCCTGGATTCCGCACTCCACCCAATAGGCAGATCAGTCCACTAATGACCAGGCCTCCTCCACCGAGGGGGTATGACAGGACTTCTGTCGCGACTCAACATTACCCGTTTGCAATGTTCGTGAGACCTCTTCCAATGCGTCGATCGCGGGGTTCGTTCCAAACTGACCGGGTGTTCTTTGGTTGTATCTAGCTCTTCAAAGTCAACCAGCCTCCTGGTGTTAATTACGGCGGATGCGAACTCGTCGGAATCGGGCTGCACGGCGGCCGTAACCTCGCCAACCTAGGTATGCGCTCTGTCGATAGCTGCAGGTTCAGTGCAGGAGTCCGGAATTGGAAACACCGCTGTTGATACCGGAATTAGGCTCGATTCTCTTCGCCTTCATCGCGATCCTGGTTTCTCTCGTTCTGCTATGGAGGTCGGACAAGAAGCACGCCGCCGTCGGGCGCCGGTATGCATCCCCCGCCCGCCAAAAAAAAAATCAAGGGCTGGAAAATTAAGGTTCTTGATGAGCTGACGAGGTGAAACGGACAGTGAGATGCAAATGTTCTTGCTAGGCTTTATCGTGATCGAGATTTGCGAAATCTTTACCGTGGGCGGCATTCCGATCAAAGACGATGTTCGAAAGGTACAGTCTGGCAATCGGATCGTTCAGAGAGAAGCGTTGCTGTAACCGACAACTGACAATTGACGACATTTGCAGGGATTCTCAGCAGTCCACCTTGCAGCGATCACTGCAACATGCTGGATCTTATTGTTAAATGCACTGGTGGGCTTTCAACTACTTGATGACGGTACTCCGGCCTCCATTGGTCTCATTTCTGCATCTGCTGTGATGCTTTTCATTGGGACTGGGTACATCGCCCTCGACACTGCATTCTCCTGGACCGGCCACTTTGATTCGAGTCTCTCAGGTGAAAATCGCAACATTGGTCTCTATGTGTTGTACCAACTTTTCCCTCTGATTTGCCTCTTCTTGTTCTTCGTCCTTGAATCAGTGTTGGTGTTGCGAGTCCTAGGCGAATTCCGTCCGATGCGTATGTATTCCCCGTCCTTTTGGAGAGAGGTAGAGAGATGTTTATTAACCATCTATGTAACAGTCTACTTGCTCGGTGCAGCCCTTCTTTTCGCCATTGGTCAAATCTTCCAGTATGTGATCAGCGTCCATATTTGTTCTGCCACGTCTGGCAAAATCAATGGCACCCTCTTTGAAACCCTCTTCACCCTCCTCTCAGTGATGGTGATCTGGGGCTTCTGGAGCAGTATCACCGAGGATGACTGGCCCTTGCCTGTTGGCAGCGGATACAACTGATGTTCGTTTCAATCTCGTCTTTTCCTCGTGCCTTCCTTTTATCCATTTTCGATACATACACCCCATCTGTTCATTTAAAAATCTTTTTTGAGGCGTTCATTTATTTCCTGGTGACGAGCTTGTCAACGATGACCAGAACTTTTGACGCTGTGATACCACCACACTCTGAGTCATGTTTCACGATATTTTCCATCTGTTATTTCCTCTCTTTCCGTGCCTTTATGGTGGACATCACGTCCAGCTTTCTTTTCTGAGGATCTTCCTCCTGATCTCCTTTCTGGGAGGAGCTGTGATCTGTAAACGGGCTGGTCACTTCGCCATGGGCATGTCTATTTTTTCGTCCTGTTTTTGTCTGTTTTTATTAACTGTCAGATACCTCTCCGTCATGTAACTAAGTTATAATCTCTATGTCCAATAATTTATCTCACTCACGTCTCTTGTCACGTTGCACTATCTCAATATTCCTTCCAAGATGCGGAGAGCTTAGATCGGAGTATCGACCTCATACCTCTCTTAAGCTTGATATGACCGGGTTCCATTTCGATTCCCAGACTGAGCACTCCGTACACAGACCCAGGGGCTTGATGTGACTCGGTGTGACCTTAATCTACGCTAATTCAAAGGATGCCTTCACGTATCCGCGATTTGGGTATGACATTCAATGGCTGGAGGTGATGTCCCATCTGCGGCATCGTTCTTTTTCACCACGTCTGGTTTTCCTCCGAAGGGATCATCGGTTAGAAGCCTAGACGTTGTCAAGCAGAGATAAATAGCTACCTGTGTGCCAACCATTATAGAATTGACAGACAATAGAGTCCTGCTGGTCAATTTAGTTGTTTACAGAATATTCTTAAATTCTCGTTTCCAGCATCCTTACAGATAAGCTTGACCATCTTTTCAATATGCGCATCAACATCTCTGTCCTCGTCCTCGCGGCGGGCTTGACTAGCAGTGCCAGCAGCGAGGCCCCGCCGCTTCCAGACCAAAACAACACAGGCTTATCCTGTATGTAATATACTTCTGCCCTCATGGCAGGGATAAAAATAGCCGCGGCTTGCAAGTTGGACATCCATACTAAGTACAATGTCTAGTGCAGGAGCAAAACCGCCTTGCTCTCGAGCTCTTGCCTCCGACCTGCAACCTCAATGCATGTCTCGGTCTCACCGGCACTATTAGCTGCGTCGTATCAGCCCTTGGCTCTGGCGATACTAAAGCGCTTCAAAAATGTCTAGTAAACGGGCTGGCTGAAGTAGTTCCCTCCATTGATCTCGCTACCAGCTGCTACATGGAAAAAAAAAAAAACAAAAAAAAGCTAGAAACATGAGCTATACTGATAAGTCTCTTTGCTAGATCTGTTCCTGTGCCGCTTGCGTCCCTGCAGTCACTACTTTCCTGAACTCACTCGGCATTTGCGTCAGTTCTCCAGGTGGCGGCTCGACCACCACTTCGTTCTTTACCTCGTTCAAAACCGAGGCAGCTCCTACGCAGCAGTCGGGGATTCCACAAACAGATGCTACGATCACCTCTCAGCCTACTGGTGAAGACTTTTAGGTCCGTTCCTAATGAGTTTGTCACATATGCTAACAACTATAGCTCTCTTGGAAGGATGTTGTTTGTCTAAATTTTGTACTGTGGCTTTTTGAGGAGTCGAAGAACACGCTCTAGGCTGATTGATTTGGCATGTGTCTGATTGTGAATTCAATTTGTTCTTCTTGATGGATCGATTGCTTCTTTTTTTCCTTAGGTACGAGAGGTACTGATCGCTATGGTCCCTTCGTGTCACCGCTTGATTCCGCAATGTATTGAAATAGCGTATCTCGACAAGTATCGCATCCAAAGAGATTCAATGGACAGTATAGAGGCTACGTCTTCGTAAATCTAGGGATGAGGCGACTTCCTGATTTGGCTTTCGGGAGTTCAAGATATTATAAGAAATTTTCATAAAAAAGCCGTTTAAGCAAAGGCCACAAAAAGACCATATATAAACTATGTCTAAAGGGATATCTTGAGTCCCGTCACCGGAATTGTAGGACGGTATATTGTACAGTGCTCGGTTATCCCATAGACCCATTCAAGAGAGGGCTGGCGAACCGCTCAAAAACCAAAGGCAAATCCTAATCCAAATCCAAGGCCTAAAATCATATCTGATATGTATATCATATCGTACCCGATTCCCAAAATCAAAAAGGAGGGTGTATGGCCATTGCACAGATTCCTATCAAGGGAATCAAGTCCCTAGTCCCTCAAACAAGGGAGTCGCCTTGAGTACTGTTTTGAAACAGACTTTTTGTTGTTCCATCCTATTCTTTTATAACCGCACCTTGACATCCACGCAAGGGAGAGTCCACTCGCGGCGTCCAAGCAGGCTTCGTAGCCATTCCAGCCCCACGCCCGTCCACTCCTCCGGGCTTGATTCCACGCCAAGCCGTTGTTGAGCGCTCTCCAGGGCTGCTCCAGCCAGCACCTTAGCGGTTGAGTTAACGGTCTCGAAAACGAAGCCTACTAGGCTGTCGCCGGGGATCGGTGTCGGAAGGGTGGCGTTGCCGGCATGCGATACATTGTCGCTTGGCGTTGAGCTATAGCGCGGGGCAAACCAGTTGCTGCGGAGATCGAAGATGCAATGATCTGACCAGTGGCATGAAGAAACGAAGAGAATGAGAAGAAGGGCGGAGCAGTAGATGCAGGGTCGGTGGATAATGTAGGTGAGGGCAACGAAGGAGATGATGAAGAGAGGGGATGCGTTGGTCGGAATGAAGAGAAGGGGTAACCAGCTAAGGGCCAGAAAGGGTCAACATCAGCTTTTTGATCTTCGTGGCTTCCAGTGTCCCAACTGCAGGTAGGGTTAATCTTACCTTCGGAGACAGAACATGATGGCGTAAGATGGAGCCAGGCCCTGGAGCCGGCGTCGGAAGGCTGTATATTCAAGTGACACTGATGTATATTGTGGAAGACCAAGAAAATAAAAAGAAAAGTGTCAAATCGAGATCCGGGGTTATCAACAGCGGGCCAAATGCGATGCAAATGCCAGAGTGTGGTTGAAACCTAGTCCTAATCCGCGGGGGACGAAGTACAGGTCAGTGATGGCAGACCACCAGCCACCGTCAGCCACACCGCCGGGCAATTTGCTTCTCCAATTTGACCATCCTTTCGCACAACCTCATCTCTCCTGCTACCTTCTCAGACCCCCCTCTTTCGTCCCGTCCATCTCAATTATTGAGCCACTCACTTTTATCCCATTTTGATCAACTCCCACTACTGCTGCTGATTTGTCTTTCATATTTTCCTCTCGAAAGAGAGCTTCGTGAGAGCTTGCAAAGCTTGGGTTTCGTGCGGAGGTCGCCTGTCATCCACGGCGCGCGGCAGAAATGTCCACCCCAAACGATCTCCAGGCCCTCCTGGCTAGCATTCGTCCTCGTCCATCGCCGCCAAATGCTCCTGGCCAGGACCATTATCATCAACAGCGGCCACAGCAGGGCTTCCCGCCACCAGGCATGTTCCCGCCCCATCCGCAGCAGCAGCCGTATGATGGCCAGAGCTTTCCTCACCCCTATCCGCATGGTTATCACCATCCATCGGTGTCCTCTACCATCCAGAGTCCTTCTCCTATGAATACACCCCCTCGCCATGGCTCAGACATCCTTAGCCCTAATGTGCCAACTCCTCGTACCGAATGGCAACCGCAGCAACCGCAGCCCCCCCGACAGCAGAACAACCAGGACAGCGCAGCAAGCTTGCTTAACCTCCTGAGGTTCAGCCAAGGTCCAGCTGCGGCAGTTTCTCAGCCGGTCCAAGCTGTTGCCCCCGAGCAGTCGCGTTCTCCACCCGTTTTGGAGTCTACCTCGTCGCACGGACGAAATATTTCCGCATCGGACTTGGTCGCCTCTCTCTTTGGGAAACAGGCACCAGCTGCCACTGCTGCTGCACCTCCTCCTCCTCCCGCAGCTCCTGCAGGAGTTTCTCCTGCTCAGCCCGAGGGGCCGAATGATAACACACAGGAGATGCTGCTTCGCCTGCTCAACCGCTCCCAGCCTAGTGCAGGGGCGGCAGAAGCTCCAGCCTTGGTTGCAGCTAGTCCATCCATTCCTTCAGAGGCAGCTCCTACTTCGCAGGGAATCCAAGATGCCTTCGTGGAAGTTTTGGAAAGCAGCCCCAATGGGTCCGCGAAACCGGAAACGGCCGTGTCCCCTTCCAAGGAGTCTTTGTTTACCTATGTCAATCCTTTCGACCAATTGGCCGCGATTTCCCCTCGTAACAAGTCACCGCAGCCTAAGTCGGATGCGGAGGCTCCCGTTATCGATGTGACTAAGAAGCAGAAGATTCACGTCTCCGCCAGTATTGACCCCTCTCCTGCCCCCGAAGTTGCGGAACCCCCGAAGCGAAGCAAGTCGCCTGTCTTGGAATCCGGACAGCGTGAGGCTGTCAATGAAGTCGTGGGCCGCCTTGTGGATGAAATTGGACGATCCCTTAGCGGCGGACAACCTAAGCCCGTAATGGAAGCTGAGACGATTCCAACGGCCGCGAAGGAGGAAGATCCGTCTGAGGCTGCTTTTCTCGAGACGATCAGAGCTCGTTTGCGAGACAAGGCCGCAGAGGTCAAAGCCGCAGAAACCAAGGCCATGGAAGCAAGCGCCGCAGCAGCCAAGGAGCCAGAGCATCTGGAGGCATATACTGAATCGGCCAAGCAAACTGAAACGGACACGGCCCCCACTCCCGTTGGACAGAGTGGCAATGAAAACCCCGATGCCCTGGTCGATAGCTGGGAGAGCGCCGAGGATAGTGCCGAAAAGGACGAGGAACGCATTGTTCTCGTTCACAATTTCCCTTTGAGGCCCTTTATTTCCATCACAGTGAAACCGCAATCTGGAAAACTTGTGGACTTCCGCGATGATGGTATTATGGATATAGCCCGTCTTAAAAAGGAGTTTGACCAGCTTGACCGCTCTTTGACTGCGGCCACCTCTGACTATATTGCTTACGCTCTTGCAAAGACCGGGGGCATCAGAATTATTCGCCAGGATGATGGAAGTGACCGACAGGTCTTCCGCGCTACTCGCGATCGTGCCTTTAATGTCGCTCTCTGCACGTCTCCACCTGGAAGTGGTTTGTCCGACGTCCAGGCCATCCTTGGCATTGGCGTCAGTGGCACTGTTTATTGGGCTTTGATCTCTCGTGACGGCAAGGATCTCTTCGAGCTGGATGCATTGGAAAGCGAGAGTTTGATCTTCCCGCCCTTCCCAGCCTCCGACGAGAATACCTCTGGTGGTCAGCTGAAAACGCGGGCCAAGCGGAGCTCTCGTCACCCCGACCTATTTGCCATTGGTCGCGGGAAGAACATCTATGTGATTTCTCCCCAGGCCGCCATGAAGGCCAGCTATGGTGTGTCTGGCTCTCAGCGCACTGTCAACACGGAGAAGTTCTTCAAGGAGCGCGCCCTGAAGATTTCGACAGGCAAAGCCGGAAAGGACTTTGCCTTCAGTGACGACGACACCGTTATTGCTTCATTGGACAAAACTGGCCGTCTCCGTTTCTGGGATATTACCGACATTCTAGACAACCCTGCTTTCATCGAGGGTCCTCCCATGTCGGAAGTTCGAGTCCCTTTGAACACATTTGTCACTGGCTCTCCCGCCGAGAAGTCTTGGCCCACTTCTGTACTTTTCCTCGATAAGCTTCGCGCATATAGCAGATCTATGGCTCTGCGATATGTCTTGGTTGGTCTCAAGCAAAACCACACCTTGCAGCTCTGGGATATTGGGCTGGGCAAGGCCGTGGAGGAGGTGAAGTTCCCCCATGAGAACGAATCGGACGCTATCTGCAGTGTCGCGTACCATCCTGCGTCGGGTATCATTGTGGTCGGTCACCCCACACGCAACTCTATCTACTTTGTTCATCTGTCTGCGCCCCGTTACAACCTCCCGGTTATGTCCCAGGCTGCTTTCATCAAGGCTGCCACCGACAAAGAGAACACTCTACCGAAGCCTGAATCGACTGCGTGCCTCAGTGGAATTCGGGAGATCTCACTTGGCTCAAAGGGTCAGCTCAGAAGTTTGGAGCTTCTGCCTATCACCAAGTCTGCTACTGACAAGCGTGGCACTGAGGATACTGGCTTGTTCGAGTTGTACGTGATGCACTCCCGTGGCGTCACCTGCCTGAACATTAAGAAGGAGGACCTCGGATGGACCGATGACAACAAGGTTATCCGAGCTGTGGATGGCCTTGAGCATGGTTCAATCGAAATCAGCGATCTTCAGACCTTCCCGAGCTATGTTACGGATGACCCCTCCGTCAACGGTGATTCTGCATCAACTCCTTCCCGCACAGCGAAGGAGCCGACGAAGAAGACAGAATTCCTTGAGTCGAATTCTGGTGTCGTTCCATCTCGTAACGCATCGCCCACCAAGACTTCCAAGAAGAAGGTGAGCGAAGAGCTGGCCGAAATTACATCTGCACCTGGCAACAGTGAGAAAGCCGAGAAGAAGAAAAAGAAGAAATCTTCTACCGTGACTTCCGAGGCGGCAGTGAAGGCAAAGGAGCCTACCACTACTGCAGGTGTTCAGCCTCTTCCCATTGACAACCAACTGAAGGATGCTGAGACCCTTGCATCATCAACTGCTACGATGAGCGCAACTCAAGCCGCCGAGCGCGCAGTGCCTGCTGGTCTTGTCTCTAGTCTACCGAATGCCGGCCTCTCTGGCGAGGCTTTGAACAAGCATCTTGAAACCCTTCAGAACAGCGTGTCCAATGAGTTCACCAAAAGCCTTGGCCGCGAGTTTGAGGCGCTCTATCGTCGCTTCGACGATGAGCGCCGCAGCTGGGATGCCGCCTCGACCGCAAAACAAGATCAAGTTCTTCGCCTTGTTTCTAGCACCTTGTCTGACAACGTTGAGAAGAATTTGACCCGAATTGTCTCCAATAGTATTCAGACTGAGGTCGTCCCCGCCATTAGCGATGCCACGTCTGCTGCAGTTCGTCAGCAACTTGGAAGCGTGCTGAACGATGAACTGCGTCAAGCTTTACCCAAGTCTGTTACCAGTGCCTTACAGCAGCCGGCTGTCATGAAGGCTGTCGCCGACTCGGTTGCTCAGAAACTAGCCCCACGCATTGATGCGGAGATCGCTCGAGCCGTGCAGGGTCTGGTTTCTCCACTGATGGACAATATGGCACGCAGTAACAAGAAGGCTGAGGCTGATATGGAGCAATTCTTCCACGCCCAGGTCAAACAGCACGAAGCTCAGCGCCAGAACGACCACTCCAAGATTGAAGAACTGTCGGCTCGTCTGCGGGATATGTCAGCCAGCATGGCTTCCATTAATAAAGACAACGCACGCATGGTTCAGTTCATTGAAGAGAAGGCTGAGCTGGATGACATCCAGACTTTCATGAATATGCATCAGCACGAAGCAGCTTTCACAAAGGTTTGTTCTTCTCTCTTACCCTCCCTAGAACACAATACCCGTACTGACTTTCTTATGTATAGTGGCTTGAATCGGAGCGACAGGCTGATTTGTTTGATAAGTTCTTCGCCTACATGGATCCTGGTTATTTGAATAGACTCACTCTGCTGGTTCGCCTTTCTGTCGGCGCCGCCGTTACTTCGTCCCTCCAAACAAACGTGAACCGGCGCCTCCAGTGGCTCAGTGTTGCTTTGGACGGTGTGGATCCTCAGAAAATTCAGGTATGTTTTTCTTCGATAATTCGGCTTGACTGTCACACTTGCTCATATAAAGTTCTTTTTCAGGACCCAACTCAACGCATGTCCCTGTTGGAAAATCGTGACATGCGCGAAGTCGTTCCTCTGACGGCAAATATACTCACCCAGCGCCTCAACGCCTTGTACCGGACCTTAGCTCAGGCCAACCCGCCGCAGCATGATGTCATCTCGCATGTCGCCCAACTCATTCGTCTTTTGCAAAAACTGCATAGCGACTACACCCGGTAAATTCTCCATTAGCAGTCGTTCTAACGAAATGACCACACGCACACATCGGAGTCTTTAATTGTTATTTGCGACTTGACGTCTTATGAAATTCGAAGCATGAAGTACCTAAAGCGCGAATGACTAGCAAGAAGGACTTGGAAGCATGAAAGATGAATTGCAGAAATATAGGCCTGGCTGTCGACCAGGATCTCCACATCATCGAAGTTCACCCATCTCCATGGTGAAACACTCTAAGTGAATGAGAAATGAGTGAAGGCTTTCCGGACCCTTCTACACGACACCGTTCTTTTTTCTCGCTACTGGTTAATTATTACCTGGCAACTTGGCTGGTTATTTCGGGTTTGTTGCAGGCCACCACTGTATTATTGAGGCCTCAGCATGCTGTGCATTTCTGGACCGAAATGCTTTTTGTTTCTTGGGATTTTAGCTCTTATTCCTTTTTTATTATCTCTTACGTATCGACTACCCTCATACGGTGGTTTTTGATACTTGTATCAATGCATGGCGTTGGCTTTTTTTATTCGTCATTGTACTCTCATGGTCCTCTTTTACCTCGTCTGCTTGCAGAAACTATATGATGGCCTTTAACTATCATTCCTTGCATCCATCTTATATGTGATCCTATCTTGTCGAGTACGTAATCGCAAAATGTCACCAATGACGCTTTCCAGTGTGCTTACCTTGAGAAAGTACATTCGATGATCCTCAATGTCGTATATACAGTTCATCAACAGCCAAGAGGGCTGGTGGTTGTCGGTATCTGGGGATTGAGAGATCAATCAGGGTGGGAAGTATAAGGAAGGATTAGCCAATACAAAAAATGCGAATTGTATTCACAGATGTCTAGATATCGACAGAGATGATAGATAGCATATACACACGGCACCAAATAGAACCCTCAAACGTCCGACAGTCATCATGAAAAAGCTGAGTAGAAGTGAAAATAGAAGTAAAAATATTGAATGAGCGAATGAAGAAAATGAAATTGGGTCTTCCATAAGATATGAAAGAATGCACTCACGAGTCACAGTATCTCTCTGTGAGCGAGTAATAGTCCATCTCAGAACCAGATAGCTTTATAGCTTTGGCATACGTGTGCCCACAAAGCTGACAGCTGAAGTTCTTAAGTTGGCACAGATGAGTCCTCGTGCGCATCACGCACTCCGCTCGCCGGTTCATGAAGAACCAGGTTCACAGGCCTTTCAGGCTCATCATCCTGCCCCACACCAGGCTGAAGCTGACTCGAAGGCGACCGCGGACGGATGACCGTACGACCAATCCGAAACAATGGCGGATGTGGCGATTCACGCTGTGCACCCCGCTTGCGAGTTCGGGAACTTGGGTCGGCAGCATCAGTATGGGGCATCGCAGTACTATGAGTGTGTGGAACGTTCGAAATCGGCACAGCATCAGGCTCATCAGCACCACTAGTACTGATGGCACTGGAGATAGTGCGTGGCAAGTGATAGCCTGCTTTTCCGACGGGAACGGAAAGTCCGTGTACTACCTAATCAAAGGCATTAATACGGCATATTGAGCCACCAATTTTATATCACTTACAATGCTGCAGATCACCAAGAACCACACAATAATCTCCACAGCGTCCATGACCTTTTGTGCGTCTTCACGTATCTTACCATCAACGACGATTTCCCGAAGGAACTCCCGGCTGATAGAAAGGTAGAAGATGGCACCAACGCCAATTGGACCAAAGAATCCAACAAAAGCCGCGTGAGACAGATCTTCAATCTGGTGTATGTACTTGTGCATTGCAAAGACGATCGGCATGCGACGCACCAGTAGAATCAGAATTCCCAAGAAAATAAGTCGGTAAATGGAAATGACGTCGTTGTTCAGGAATGAGGACCATGGGCAAACCGCTCCAAACCACATGAAAACCGACAAATTGAGAAGCATATCAATGGTCGGTTGAAGCGAATCATCCATAGTCTCGAGACGAAACCAATCGCTGTTGGCTATTAGCTAGATTTTCAGATGGTCTTCACAGAGAAACTTACTCCTGTGTGAACACGTTTCCAGCAATAAAGCAAGCGAGAAGATCATCTGTCCCAATAAGGCCACAGGTTCCCACCACGAAAAGCTGTGTTCCGAGTTAGTAGACAGCCAATTTTTTGACATGTAGGCCACAGATGAGAACTCACAGCGAGTGCGATGGCAAAAACCAGAAAACTTTCTCGGTCAACATAACGCTTCTCTTCTGCCCAGTGAAGCAACTTCCGAGAAATATAGCCCACCACAGTGCCGTAGACAATACTGAGTAAGATGGTATATACCCAGGTCTCGTAGAGCCATAATCCGATGGCCTTCCCGGCCGATCCACTGTATCCAGCTCCATTCATTCCAGTGTACTTGAGCAGATATATTCCGAAGAAAAGAAACGGATAGCCAAGACCATCATTGGCCCCGGATTCAGCAACAATAATACGCTGCAGGGAACGCGGAACATGTTTATCTGCAAACCTGCCCTTGACAATGGAATTGGACAGAACGGGATCCGTCGGCGTCACACATGCGGCTATAATCAGGGCATGGAGAAACTGAAAGTTCGGAACCATGGCCCAGATGATTAAGCTGCTGCACATCCACATCGCAGCCATCCCCGGTCCCAGCAGCAGGGACAGACTTCGCCATTCAATCTGGAGATAGCGCTTGGGAAGCTGCACGCCAGCAAGGACTAGTTGCACGCCCAGAACCAGACGGGTGAAATGAAGCGTGATCGCCTCGAGGTTCTGAGCAGAGTGCAAGGCATAATCCTCCGGTCTAATAAAATTGGCTGCATGAGGAGAGAAGACCACTCCTGCCAAGAGAGAGATCACTGTCCGTTCAGTTAGAAAAAATTAGGTCATGGCCTAGTTTGGGTGGAGTGAGAATAACTAACATGCTTCAGATAGGTAGAATCTCTCTTTGCATAGGTATGAAACCAGTCCAAAGAGGGAAATAAATCCTCCAAGGGTTGCACAGACGATATTGAAATTGATCAAAGCGAGTGTCGGCATATTACTCTTGGCTGTGTTCTGGGCAGCGGGGTTACGTACCCACTGGCCACAACGATAATGGAGATCTAAGGGTTCAGATCGGGCCGACCAGGCTACATCGACAGGTTTCACAGTTCCTTTTTCAGAACAAGAGGATTGGGATCAGATATAGACAATCTATCCACAGCGAAAAAAGCTGGTGGTGGGAACAGTTAAAGCGAATGTTATCGAATCATCACTTTGGGAACCTGAGCAAAATTGGAAGCGATCTTGAGGGAATTTTGGTATATCTTCCACGATAATTGAGCCACGGTGAATATCTTTCTGGACGACTCGAGAGTTGAAATTGTGTTAGACGTCAAACGATTGCAGGATGCTTGCGAAAGAAAGGAACCCGGACGGTTTGCGGAGGGCGAAAAGTTCCGAGTGGATCTTGGCGCCGTAGAACCTGCTACAATGCATTAGTGCCTTACACCGCCCCGCGCCCCCAAGACCTTCCAGGTATAGGCACTGATACTGTTTAAAGATCTACACGATGCATCGCTGCTTGGTCGTCTCGAAAATGTACATCAAACTTCAGAAGAAAGCTTACGGGGTTCGCCATGTGAGGTACAGCTCATCCAGCTCCGATTCGGTGTTATTTTAGCTTAGAGAAACAATCAAACGATCAGAAATCGTCCTGGAATACTTCCTCTTGTACTTCTCGTTCATTGGCCAAAGCCCGGGACTTCTCCTTCACGCCTTGCTGGGCTCCATTGACTGCCAGGCGATCGGCAGCTTCATTTCCAGGGTCGCGATTATGTCCCTTGATCCACTCAAAAAGTGTCTTGACTTTGAGCTCATTGCGTTCCTCGATTTTGACCAAAATAGACTCAACTAGGTCACGATTCTCGACAGGCTTCTTGTCTTTGGTCATCCAGTCGTTGCGGCGCCAATTGATAAACCACACGGTCACGCAATCAATCGCATACCGGCTGTCTGTGAAGATCGTTACATCCCGATGGCGGGGTGCGATGTCGATAGCTCGCAGAATAGCTGTCAGTTCGGCACGTTGGTTTGTCTGCCGGCTCCCTTTCAACGGCTCGGAAACATTTCTACTAGGAGAATGAGATATGAGTCAGTGAGTTAAAAGGGGAGGTAGTTATATCTCTGCCTGTATGTCAGGAAGGGAAACAAACCTTGAGTCGCCCGGTCCAAAAAACACACCAACCCCAGCCGAAGCCAGTTTGGTGCCATTCCGCAATGAACTACCATCGGTATATATTCTCAACATCCCAGGGATTCCGGAGGCTTGTGTCTTTGTGGCCGCCTTTTGAGTGGGGGCTTTGTAGACGATCTTGCCGGTGGCTGGATCTAGCAACACATTCGGGTCAAACCCATCTTCCGCACCTTGCGGTAAAGGACCATCTCCAGGTGCGTATTCGATCCCATCGGGATCCATAGGGTTTTCTCTCGTCATCCCGCGAGCGCCGGCAACCTTTGCGACATCCCCAAAGCCGACCGGGGAGGCGGCCGTTCTTGGCCGGCATTCACGAACTCTTGCGCTTCCTCGCGCGTCGGGAATTTCCTGTACCGGGGTCGTGTGAAGCCCCGAATTTGCTCTTGTGCGGTAGCCCAGTCCGTATATACACCAGGAACTCGGCCGCGCTGGATTCCGTAAAACCGCGTGTTCTCGGGACCGTTTGCGGAAGCGCTTGCGGAGGGTACTTTGGCGCCGCTCAGGAAGGCGTTCGCATCTTCGAAGGTCAAGAACGATTGAACTTGATGAAACACCCCCAAATTAGCGACCTGGGAACAAATCTACAGCACAGAAATCTTTCTGTTGACCGGGGGGGGGAGATAGGGGAATAGGGAAGGGCTCACAGATCGCTCCCTTGAAGCCCGTAATCTGAGCAAGGCAATCATTCCAGCAGTAGTATATCCCAGGCTTGGTGCCCTTCTTAACTGCATAGTATTTTGCGGAGGCGGTTCTCTTGCGCTTTGTGCCGGCCGTGGGTGAGGGCGACGGTTTGGACCGCGGAGAAGCTTTCGGCACGGGCGCCGGGCTCGGCGAAGGGGTAGTTTCGTTCATCGGGTTCGGCTGAGCGTTATGAATGGACTCGAAGGGCAGTTCCGAGGTATGAGAGATTGTATAGTTCGAGAAACAGAGCCTCGAGACCAGACCTAGGAGGCAAGGGCTCGGCTGCTGAGCTGGACGAATTATTGATCGTCGCGGGGAGAGTTGCGGCCGGCACCTCGGAAGTGAACACCAAGAGCCCGGCTTTGGGGCGAAAGACCAGATGTGTCTGCGAATTGTGGAATGTCCGAGTCGAAAAGAGCGAAATTGAACGAGAGCGAGGGGAGGGAGGGAGAAGCTATTTCTGACTGCAAAATGCGGTTGAAGAGGAGGGGGAGGGAGAGAGGAGGGGGGGGGGGGGGGGGGGGAACCTTGCCTGATTGGGGGCACCACAGTGGCTTCCGGTAACCTCGACCCTTCGATCATTTGCTCCCCTCTAACAGTTCATGAAAGGGTATTTAGCAACTCAGTCACTTTTAAAAAATGAAGAAAAAATAGTATAATCACGAAGAGACTGAAAACGATATAGGAAAGAGGAAAGAAAGAAAGTATTATTTAGGCTGCTGTCACTATGGTTTTGAGGTCTCCGACAAAGCCCCCGGGCTATTATTTCTTATTCCGACAACTGAACATAGATCGTCCCCCCTCTCCCTCTTGTTACTTCTATGTTCTAGCAATGAGCTCGACCTTTGAGGAAATAATGGCGAGATTATGCTATATGACCAGGAACGACGTTCGCGAGTCCCGCGCTCTTTAGATCCTTTCCATTACCTTTGCTACGGCCAATTTCACTTCCTGGTGGATTGTTTTCAACAGTTCCTCGATTGAAACCACTTTATCAATCGATCCTACACTCGCGCCTCTGGTTATATGATCAGCATCCATGTAGTGTTCGCATCCCGATGAGAAAGGCTTACGCCCACACAGTTCGTCTCTGGTCTTCTCCTTTCTCTTTGGCTTCGTTATACCGTTTAATGACTTCTTCGTCACTTACGCCATCCTCGGATTCATGATAGCTGATTCCTATGACAGCCCGCCCGTCATATTGTCTGGGAAAGATATCGGTGGATTGAAAAACGTCATGCCGAGCTGACTTGATAGTCGACACCCCTCCATCACGGGCACTAATGATCGATTCTTTGATGGAAGGGGGGGCCGGACATTCGGATGTTGCAACAAACTATACGTTATGAGTATCTTTCTATTAGTCTTCTTTGCGCCGTGGAGGACTCACACGGGTGCCCATCACGATTCCATCCGCACCTATGCCATACGTCGTTCAATATATGCTATGGCCATATTGACCAAGAAGAAGAAGCACTTTCTCACCGAGGCTTAATGCAGCAACACATCCTCGACCATCTACAACTCCACCAGCGGCCATGATGGCCGTCTTTTCTGCACGAGGGTGTGTGGCCACGGCATTTCTGACTTCGGGCAAAAGCGATATGATACTAGCACCTTGAGCCCACTGATGACCGCCAGCATCGGTCCCCTGGACAACAATGACATCCACTCCCTGTTCCAATGCGTTTAAGGCCGACTGCACTGTTCCTACCTGAACAAAAATCTTGACGTCCCAGTCACTCTTCTCCTGTGCTCCGCGAATGGCTTCGATGATACGCACATGATCCGCATCGGCTTCGGGAAATGCCAACCATATAGCAGCAACCCGATGTTTGACCAGGATGGGAATGGCATTTTCCTCGAATCCGGCAGGCGTGAACGTTATGAAGCCGATGCCGATGGGCAGATTTCGAGTCGAAGCAATTGTTCCTAGCTCTGCACGGGCTTTGTCCAGGTGCGCATCTAGACTTTCGAGCTGTGTTGATTGGGGGCTGAAGTCGAAGCCTCCGCCAATAAATCCTTGGTCCAACGTCAGTACCAGTTGACACGGACAGCTCTGGGCCCGCGGCCATCTGAACGGGACTCTTTCACGGGGTTTCAAGGCATACCGAGACCTCCGCCCCTTGTGACGGCTCCCGCGAGGCGGCAGTCGGTAAATCCCAGCATAGGTGCATTCGCAATGAATGGAGTCGTCATGTGGGGAAACCACTGCTGGAGAAGATCGGGGCTGGAAGAGGTCATGGCTGTATATTTTGGAATACTATTCAAAATGAAGAGGAGTTGGAATTTCTATCGAGAAGAGACGGTTCGGGCATGAAGGCTCACCTCTTGGATGTTTGTGGGAAAAGTAAGACGCGAAGGTCCCCTCAGCAACGTCACTCTACATCCGTGCCTCCGCGGTGTGGGTGCGAAAGCACGGATATATATGTCTCTCTGCACCACTAGCTGCTCCTTAGGCGTCCTTCCCCACGTCGGCCACAAGTACCACTGTGTGATTTAGCGTGAATTGGATAGGCTCACAAGTCAGATTCGGAGCTGTTAAGGCTTGATTTCAAGGCCGACATAACATATACCGGGTATCGATGTCCACAGACATTAGTGGGCAAAGATGCTGGATGCGTTAGGCGAAGCACCATATTGCTCATACGTCCTCATTTGACATAGCGGCCGGATGGTGTAGTTGGTTATCACATGTCGTTAACACCGACAAGGTCCTCGGATCGAGCCCGGGTCTGGTCACTTCTTTTTTACATATTTTTGGCTATTTACCTTGGCAAAAGACGCTATGAAGAGAGTCCAATTTCCGGAGACCACCAACTGAGAAGTATGCCTGTTTGTTAGTGGTCATTTTGAATTGGATTTGGGTGCAGGCGGTGGTTTGGTTACTCAGTATCCTTAGACACCGTAGATTACCGTATGTGGGTTAGCGCCACCGGTCGCCCAGCCTACTCGATACTGCCTTTCTACAAGGTACAATCCAAGTGCAGTATATATCTATCTTGCCAACAGGGGGCTAGTGTATATTAAGGGAGGTCATGCTAAAGCCGGGAAAGAGGACATTGATAATAAATATATATTAAGAATTTTTGTAGGCAATTCTCCTAAAAATAGTGTTTCTTGTATACAATAAGACCCTAGAGATACGTATAATACGATATTTACACACTTCGTGAAAACGCATTATATACTATCACTTATGACATAAAAAAAAGGGGAGAATACCCTAGTCTCGAAATTATCCACAAGGAGCGTCTTACCTAATTCCTTAGCAAAAAGTGCGAAGCTAGCACAATAATTGAGTTTGTGCACGCCTGTGTATTTCAAACCCTCTCGTTTGACAAGAATTTGAATCCCCCCAATCTGCCTTGTAATATTCTCGAGATAATGTACTGGTGTCGGCCGCCCTTGAAGTCCGATCCGCACCTTTTTGAGATCGCGCTCAGATTCTGGCGATTGACGCAGCTCCTGATAACTGCTGGCAGATTCTTCTTGCGCCGGCCGAAGCCCAGGCGGCTAATGAGATATACCAATTCGCTAACCGGAATTCCGACTAAACTGCATCAAAACAACAGACGCTGGTAACGAATGAATATTGCGACAGAAAAGAGGAGTTATGGAAGCAAAGAGCATGATTCCGTACCAAGGGTACGCCTGAATACTACTGGGATATGAAAGCTTGTTACGTACCGAGCGGGAACTAGCCCAGAATGATAGCCAACCTACCCGTGGGAGGGCCCGAGAAACCCTCGCCAGCTTCTCAGTGAAGGGTTTCCAGATTCAGGTGTCGATGGACGCAGCCCACATAATAGGAAATGGAACTAGAAATGGCGAAGTATATACCCCTGCCGAGGCCACAGGTAGGATCACCACTAGAGAGGTGCGGAGGCTTATCGACAGTCTTGAGCATATCATCAATTGCCAAAGCAGCACTCGAATCCAAAGCCGACCTGGAAATCAGACACAGACGCGTTTTGAATAGCAACATAGAAGTGTGAGTCGCCGAAAGCAGTGAAACCATGCGTGATAATGACATTATAGGGTGACTGGATAGAAACAGGGTGAATAGGCAGCGAACGAAACAATCAATGAGATAGATTTTGCAGATGCACGTTGACACAACTATCGACCCCCAAAGGTTAATAGAAAACAAGTCCTAAAGTGCCGGCAATAGAGGAAGAAATGAGCGGGAGGCGTGGCAACTGAACTACTACGCGGACAGGCATACAATTTTTGTATATGCGCATGTACAGGCTTATTAGTACTGGAGACCTACTCTTTTGCATGCTAGAAGACCTTAAATGACTTGAGAAGCGAGTCAAAGTTACCTAAACTAAGAATTGACATGGTATGCAGCTAGATGTGGTTGACAGTGCAAAGTGTACAGCGGGACACATCTCTCATATTCCACTCCATAATGTAAAGTAATGCAAGCTGAAAGCTCTTTAATGGGCTCAGCACCCAGGAACCAGACCGAACACAAAACTGATTTTCGACCATGCAGGCAATTTACCCACGGAAATATCTAGGGTAGCTTGAGGCATATCATTTTCTTGAGGGTTCGCGACAGAAAGTGGCCAATCAATGACTCGGAGCATAGTTTCCTATCTGTTACTGCTTCCTAAACCTAACCTGCTTTGCGGTGGTCTTTCCCAGCGGAAACAATACTGCCCTTTCCCAATCGCCGTGCGCCTTAATCGTGGGCCTGTTGCATAAAACGGCTCCCCGTCATCGGTCTCACCTAGCTCAAAAGGCACACTGTAATCAAGTGGTGTTGGTTGCTCCGGCCAAGTAAGCCGGTTAGGTGGATTACAATATATTCTCGTAGACTCGTTGGACTTCCTTCTTGTTACCCACTCGTTCAGAAAATTCCGAAATTTCGATATATCTGAGTCTAGTTCGCGTTTGCATGTCCACTCAGAGCCCTGTGATATATCAATATTTCGATCCTCGTATGGGATACTTGAGAAATGGGTATCGTTTGTGACTAGCTCGTATAATGTATATACGACGTTAGACACGTCATCTCGACCCTCAAGCAAAGATTCTCCGTAGAAGGCCCAATTAAAGTCAAATAGAAGTATGCCGCTTGTATCGGGATCGATAAGCAGATTTCGAGGTGCAATATCTTGATGCATTACACCAAGTTCGAGATTGAGGAAATCCACAACCTGGGTTAACTGCTTCAACCATTCAAATCGGAGGGGTATTTCAGGATGATCGGCGAGAGTTCCACCGGAAATATATTTAGTAGTGAATCCAATGACGCGAGATTCTGTATCTTCGAGAACAACGCGATCAAGTGGGACGAGATTCGGATGTGGTGGTAGAAGAGCAAGAAGGTTTAGCTCATTCCAAGCCATCTGTAGTCTGAGAGGCTTCCCGGCAGGTTCAAATTTAAAAGCGACTTTTCGTGAAGACCCAAATTCGTCTACATAAAATGAGAGATCCACTCCCGGTCCAAGCCGATCTACTTCTTGAAGTTCAGAGTATTTGATCGTACGACAATCTGCAATACGGCAGTTTTCGAGTGAGGTCAAGACTGAAAACGGAAGATACGCAATGAAATTGGTATCGTCATCTTCTATATCCGTCGAGATTCCAGTAAGGAGCCCATCGTCGTCGACTGTAATAGCGCAGACCGTGGGCGATAGATAATCGGCAAATTGCGATGAAACTCGAAGTTCAACATCCGCGTCAGGCGGTAAAATATTATTAGTGCCTTTGATCTTGATCAACCGTAGCTGATTCCAATCCCAAACATCCCAATGGGTTTCGACTCCCGGAATTTCGCTTAAGCCGAAGTAGACTTGGCTGCTGGAGAAAAACCTGTATGCGGGATTGATCATGGCAAATGGGAAATTTGAGTTATCAAAGAAAGCATTTGGATAATGTTGCTTTGACCATTGAGTGAGCGGCTAATGGCCACAATTTTCAGTCCTGTGTTGAAGGACTGAACAATCTTTTGTAGTTTCTCGACTGCACTCTGGGGGTGGCTTTGGAGGGGGTCGCGATCACGTGGATATAATATGGCAGAACGTGTTCTTGTGATGTTATGTAGCGGCTCCCACGGTCCACATTGGCGTGAATCTTGAATTTTCAAATCTGGAAATCTACTTAGAATAGCTATTATAGGGCGAATGAGGACTATTCATCTCTGTCACCAAGATCAGAACTATACTGAAGGTTGTCATTGAATTGTAGATAGATTTAATAATAGTATTATGTGAAGACAAGGGGAAAAACACTTTATATCTACAGATGGAGAAGCTAGCAACTTGAACTTAAAGCTTCGCTCGGAAAGCGTGTCGCAAAGAGCCAAGGCCAGATGGTCCGTCATAAATCTGGTGCTCGACCATGCGAGAGTTAATCTATTTTAAACAGTTCAGTATGTTCCGCAATCAGAATCAAAAATGAAATCATGGGGGTAACGTACATGTTGAGGCCCCAAAGCGCCCACACTTTCGACACCGAGGAGTCGCATACAGGTCTTGCTCTCATCGGCAAGGACTAAAGAAAGAGATCGGCATTAGCATGGCCCTTTGACCCCAACTTCCAGTGGAACAAAACATACTCTGCAGCGTACGACGGACACCGTCAACTCCGCCGGCAGCCAATCCCCAGAGAGCGGGTCGCCCAATTCCAACCGCTTTCGCTCCCAGGCAGAGAGCCTTCACAACATCGGTACCGCGACGGATACCACCATCCACATAGACTTCAATCTTGTCAAAGACTTCAGGGCAATATTTTCGAATCTCTAGAAGGGTGTGCACTGCGGGTGGAGCAGTGTCTAGGGCCCGGCCGCCGTGATTGGAAAGAATGATTCCCTTGACTTGTGGGGCGTGTAGGGATGCAAGGTAGGCATCTTCGTGGGTTTGCAAGCCCTTGAGGACAATGGGAAGATCGGTATGTTTGGCAAGCCAGGGTAATGTCTCCTGCCATGTTAAAGAGGGATCTGTGCCCGCAAACAATTGCTGTCCAACACCACCAGATCCCTGAGTAACATCGGGAGTGTCATCAGCAGTACGCTCGGCAGCCTTCACTCCACTTGGAACAGCCGATGTAGCCCCAACAAGGCTGTTACGCTCGTCATCCTCACGCTTACCCGGCACGGGGGCATCAAGTGTAAGAACAATGAATTTGATCGCCTTGAGCTTGTTGATCCGGGCTAGCATCGCCTCGCTCTTCTTGCGATCGATTTGAACATAAATCTGCCAGCCAAAGATCTGATCTGCCGGGGCATCTTTGATAATCTGCTCTGGTGTCATGGAAGCATTGTTGGAGATGATCTGCAACGCACCGAAGTTACGGCATGCCTCTGCAATACCCGCCTCACCGGAGGGGTGGCCGAGTCGTGCCATGGCTGCGGGGGAGATAAAAATAGGCATCCCCAACTTGTGGCCTAATATTGAGGTATCCAGCTCGCATTTTGTGCAGTCCACGAACACGCGGGGTCGCAGAACGATGGACCGGTATATTTCATTGTTGAAACTTTTGGTGACTTTATCATCGGCTGCCGAGTAATAGTAAGCCCATGCCTTCTGGCTGACTTGTTTAGTCGCCACCTCTTCAATCTCGTCTAGATTAAGGAGGGTCTCCATGGGTGGTGGTCCCTCGACCGGCTCTTTTGCCTCAGCGGTGGCCTCCTCCTTAGGCAATGTGCTCGCATCAATAGTTCCAAGGTACGCCTCAGGCTTCAGTTCATCCTCTAGGATACCCGGCGGGTGGATTGGATCATACTCCTCAGTAGCATCCTTGCCTGCAAGTTTCAGAATGATCTTTGCACCACCGGGGTGACTAGATAGGAAATCGGTGACCTATCAGGCAAATGAGATAGTTAGCCCCCACTTGCGTTTGGAGGAGCAAACAATTGCCGCTCTTACATCGTAGACCTTGCCATAGAGCACTACCCAGCAACTATCCCGGGTGTTGTGTTTTGCGACTGCAGGTTTGACTCGGTCAGTCAATTGAGGCGGAAAAAAGAGCTTGAGATGGGGTCCCTGCGACGGGGGGAAACTACGTGCGGAGAAAAGCAGAACACGTACCTTCTGCCGCATCGAATACCTTTGCCATTCTGCAACAGCACACAAAGAGAATCGCGGAGTGTCGAGTCAACGCGAAGTCTCCAGGAAGAGGGGAAATTAGAGAAGATGAAGAACTCGGGGGAAAATGGCCCGACTCTGTTCGGAGAAGGCGCCGACCGTCATTGCTCGAGTGTGGGGAAATATCCGGCGACTGGGCTCCCGCGTTGGGCAACTTCGATAGCCGACCGTCTGGAGTCTTAGAAACACCCCCACGTTATTGGTGGGGAAACGGGCCACTGTTTTTTGCACAAGTCAGCAGCCGGCGAATGCTATCAGCGAGGATGATTGGCACTCTGCCACGCCAGGATTTCTCGGAAATCACTCTCCAAGATAGAAAAATGAACATGAAGTCGACAACAAGACCGAAAGCAGAAAATCTCACTTGGCGCCAAAAAACGGTGTCGCGTCCACGTGAGCGGTGTCAGTCAGGTGTTCCCCCAACTTTCCCGCAATGACCGCATCGCGACTTTCTCCTTCCACACAACTGAAATCAAGCGGGACCACGGCTGGAGCAGTGTAGACTACCATGTTTGAGGTATGCTGGTTCTTCAGATTCCCATATTGGGCGAATTCTGGTTGTGCATTGCTAGGCTTTCCCGTGGCTAACGGACTCAGCGACGAGCGGCCGATCGTTATCACCTCCGAATGCACCGAGCCCGCTCAGCGGTGCTGACTTCCGATGAAATCGTCGAGGTGCGAGCCGCTCAGCGGACCTTTGAAGGCGCCTATGTTCGGACGGCCCTCTCTCAGTTCTCCTTCGCCCTTGTCGTCCTGAAAATCTTCACCGCCGAGTTCTACAGTATCGGCGCCCTATTCGCCATTTACGGCACCGGTGTCCTCATCATTGGATTGTTCCGTCGCTCTCAGGGAAACCGCCAATTTTTTCGGAAATGGGAGCCGATGGCATCCATCGTCACAAATTCCGGACCAGCGGAAATGCGGTAGTTGTCCTGACTGCACTGAGTATTGCGGCCTACGCATGCTTGATCGGCCTCACGCTGAACTTGGGCAACTGATAGGGCGTGTCTGCCCCTATGTGGGAGATGGGATCTCTTCTCGCCTCGTATTGACCACCCTGTAAGATCATATCTTCTGCGCACCGTGTGTCACGCCCGACCCCCCTGCGTTACCGCCAAGCGCCAAGGGATTAACTGTGCCACTCCACTGGATCCATTATCATCGACATTATCATCTGTCGGGAGGACGGGAGGATGAACGGCGGCGGAGGGATCGACACGAGCGCGCGGCAGCGTACATCTCCGTCCAGCTCAATCGGAGTCCGAGCTGCAATGCCTAGGACCGAGAAACCGCCAAGGATGCCGAGTATGTCCGCCGGAAAGGGAGGACTGGCCCGAGCGGTGAGGCGCATGTCGTACAACGCGTCTCAAGACTCAGCTGTCCATCCATCCGGACACGTTCGGATCCAAATCGGTGGATGGAGCGCGCCTCTTGGATCTTGGCTCGATCAACCTGGAGTCGCCAGGATTGGGACGGGGTATCACAACTGGTTCCGCCGAGACGGGGGAGGTGAAGTGTGATGGCCTGACAGTGGAACGTTAGTCGGTGGATATCCCCCTGGACGGCCCATTGCAGGGCTAGTGGCTCCGTTCTTTCCTTCTTCTTTCTCCCCCTTTTTTTGGTACAAAGGGATAATGGATGGAGCTCTGGCGATTGATCCACCGTGCTGATTCGGCCCGGGGGTCTCGAGCCAAGCATTCTGGACTGGAGATAAAGAATAGATACATCGCCAATAGTTTCAGCAGGGTCTTCCTTGCCCCGTCGGCGAGGGCATGTATATAGAGAGCTCTTAATTCCATTGTTTTCTTCTGTCTAGACCTCCATTCTATATAACTTCCAGGCCCCGTTAAACTGACATCATATCCCGATAGCCTAGTGATCCACCGGGCTTGACGATCACTTTTTTCAGTGACTTCATGTGGGCTGCGTGTTCGAGTAAACCTCCCTATTATTACTATTCGTCGTGGGCACTCAGCACATCACATTGCTTGCTTTGTCTCAATTCCCCAATATTCAAATCTTCCAACCTCCCAAGACCGCCAGGCATCAAGTCTCGCTTTCTTTGATCGACTATTCGTTCCCCCACCAAGGACCCCTCAAAAACGAACGCACACAAAGAAAAAAGAAACAAGGAGCCACCTCGGCCGAGTCGAGAGTGAGAGCCTCGATCTGCAACCTCCTTGAATGGTTCGGCGTTGACGTCCTATAAATTCCTATGAACCAGTCTACGCCGAGGATTCCAGCACGTTGAAGAGTGACGTTGGGCGCGGTTGACTCATCCGCCGTTCCCGCCCTCAACTTCCCTTCCGTTTTGCTCGAGGACTTCAGCAAAAACCTGTCGAGTCCGCCGAGGATCACATCCACGAAAAGACGACTTTCATCCCAGCTTCCCGAATCTCGAAGTTCAGATTCCCCCGTAGCCGGGGATGGCGCAACATTCCACCATCGCACGGTCGGCCATCATGACGTCGGCCACCTCGCCAGATCCTGCAGCCCTGGGTGATCAGAGGAATATGAACCGACCCAACGGCATCAGTTCGACCGGAACTAGTGTCGGCTCGGGAAAGGATGGAGTTCTCATGCCTCCGAAGACCGTGGTCGGGCGAGCGCTAGGGAATGACCTGCATTCCGATGCCCACAAAATATCGCAGGCGCCCAAGGGCGGAGTCGGGACTGCGTTGACTGACACTCCGATTTCTACCGCACCCCCGTCTCCACAGATGTAAGTCCTCCCTCTGAGTCGTCCACTCGCCCACCCCCGGGTGCCTGGAATCAAGTGCCTGCAATATGATTCGATTCTCCGGATCTATGAGATCGGTTGGTTCCTGATCGGCTGTGCCTCGGGTGAAGTCTGGCCCGCTTGTGACCGAGATGTCACAGAGCCTCCTTCCCCAGACACACCAAAGCTTATTGGGCTTTACCGCTAGATCTTGTACCCCCTGAATGTGGCCGAGACCCATCGGTGCACGGTTGCTTTCTTTCTGGATGGCTTTTGAATTTGATTTGTTTGGTGCCTTGAGGCTAATTCTTTTTCCAACCTTTCTTCCCCCTGCAGTACTGGTCGTACCCACCCGAGTACCCCCAGTCGTGTTCGTGCGACGACCCTTGATATTCCCGGCCTGACCAAGTCCAAGGTCTCCCCTGATGGCCGGATTGCCCAACGTGATGTCGGTGCAAAGCTGGTTATTGTCATGGTCGGCCTCCCGGCCCGAGGCAAAAGTTACATCACTAAGAAGCTGGCTCGATATTTGAACTGGCTTCAGCATGATACCGAAATCTTCAACGTAGGTGAACGACGTCGGGTGGCCGCAGGCAGGTCCCCTTCACCGGCCAAGTTTGCCCGTGGCCACGAAAAGAGTCCGCTCAATGTTCACAAAGACCTTGTCGACTCCGTCCGCCGGCTCAGCGTCAGCGTCGGGACTATGAACCATAACGACTCCTCACCACCAGAGAATGAGGCACCCCTTCCGCCTCCTGCTGTTCCCGCCAAGATCCTCGTTAATGGTCAGGATCCCGAAGCCTCCATCTCGCAAAACGGAAGTACCGTGGTACCGTCTATCGATGCTGGCCCTGCCCAGTCTATCCATGACGAGGAGGCTGTCAAGGAGGCTGTCAAGGAGGCTTCCCCAGAGCCCATGGATCAAAGCGCAACCTTTTTTGACCCCCAGAATCAGCGTGCGGTCAAGTTGCGCGAGCAGGTAGCCCTTGACACCCTCGATGAGCTGCTGGAGTACATTTTGGAACGAGGGGGTAGTGTTGGCATTCTTGATGCGACTAATAGCACCATGGAGCGCCGCAAAGCCATCGTCGACCACATCCGTAGCCGTGCTGGTCCCGAGCTGGGAATTCTCTTCCTGGAAAGCCGCTGTGTGGATGAAGACCTGCTGGAGGCTAACATGCGCCTGAAGCTTTCTGGGCCCGACTATAAGGGCCAGGATCCTGCAACCGCCCTTGAAGATTTCAAGAAACGTGTTGCCTTGTACGAAAAGTCCTACGTCCCCTTGGGAGATTACGAAGAAAAGCACAACATGGCCTATATCCAAATGATTGATGTCGGTCGCAAGATCGTCTCTCATCAGACCCACGGCTTCCTCTCTTCGCAAGTTGTCTACTATCTGCTCAACTTCAACCTTTCACCGCGCCAGATCTGGATCACGCGGCATGGTGAAAGTCTGGATGATCAAGCTGGTCGTATTGGCGGTGATTCTGATCTCAGTGAGAATGGCAAACGGTATGCCAAAGCTCTGACTCGCTTTATTGATCACCAACGGCAACAATGGGAGCTCTATCAGCGCCAGAAGGATCTGCTGAAGCATTTCCCACCCCGGCCTGGTGACAGCACTCCTCCTAACCCATCCTATATTCCCCGTGATCGGCCGCGTAATTTTTGTGTGTGGTCTTCGATGATGCAGCGTGCCGTCCAGACTGTCGAGCACTTCAATGAGGACGACTATGATGTCAAGCAGATGCGCATGCTCGATGAGCTTCACTCTGGACGGATGGAGGGCATGACCTACAAGGAAATTCAAGAGCAGTATCCCGAGGAATATGCTCATCGCAAGAAGGACAAGCTGTTTTACAGATACCCTGGGCCCGGTGGAGAAAGTTACCTGGACATTATCAACCGCCTTCGGACCGTCATCGTTGAAGTGGAGCGCACCACCGACCATGTCCTCCTGGCTAGCCATCGTTCTACCGCCCGGGTCCTCCTCTCTTATTTCCTCGGTATGAAGCGGGATGAGGTCGCCGATTTGGATGTCCCTATGGGGATGGTGTACATGTTGGAACCCAAGCCTTATGGAGTTGACTTCAAGGCATACCGGTACAATCCTGACAGCGACTGGTTCGACTACCTACCAAATTACAAGCTTCATCAGGTGGGTGCACAGAGGACAAACCCATAAAGTGAAGGTTCTGTGTACTTTTGTGAGGTGCTCCCTATCGCGCTCCAATTTCTCATGACATTCTATGAACTGTGACGACATCTTTTCATCAGAGTAACTCGACCATCTCGGCCTCGAGTCAAATCAAGTATTCATCGCTGCACATGCTTCTGAATTTTGGTCTATATTTCATCTCACTCGCTTGAGTTTTCATTCGGGGCTTTGTATCCTTTTCGCCCGCATGCTGTGTATTACCATACCGAATCTCTTGCCACGTTCCATCCTACGTTTTTTGCCCTGCTTGCTGCTTTGTTTATGGCCGTTTTTAAAGACGCCCGGTGCATGAAGGCGTTTTGATCTTGTTTCCATTCTCCGTGTTTTTTGTCCACTCTCCTACACAGCGTGTTGCTCGTCTTTCTACATGGGTCTGGCGTTCAGGCGGATACGATATCCCGCCCAGAGCACTATAAGTTCCTTGAATCCAGGAGATAGGCACACGAGGGTGGGACTTTGCTTGCCGTGTTTTCAAGGCCTTTCTGCGCCGCTGGGACGTTCTAGGCGTTACCGAATGAAATTACATCTGAATTATTTCAATGTTCACCCGTAAAGCAATAGGAATTGTAATTTCTTGTAAAAAGGTTTCTCTACTTGTTCTTCCACTTTCACCTGCCCATCGGATGACTGTTCTCATCCACGGAACTATACTTCCTGACCTTTCATTTTCGCTATTGGCAAATGGCCCGGATAGGATTTAACACATATTTCATAAATTGAGCCGAGATAAGGAAATATTAGATAAGTCACACTTTGTAAATCGTCCCAGCACCGTGACAGCAGCCGTCTCAAAAACACACAGTATATCAAGACGCTGCCCGCCCCAGTCCAGCTTCCTACTTCTCTTCCTCCTCTTTAATCCGCCCAAACAACTCCAAGAAGGTCTCCGGCTCATCCGCTCCCTCCACTGAGTACTTCTCTTGCAGCGAGAAATACGGCACGCCCGTGACTAGGCTGCGCGATGCCATCAGAGCCTCCGCATCCACGGCATCGCCGCCATCCTCCGAATCCAAAAACTTCTGCACTGCGCCCTCATCCATTCCCGCCTGAACAGCAGCTTCCAGCAGCACAGCCGCATCTGTGATGTTCTTCTCCTCCTCAAAGTACGCCTGGAATAGGTTTTCAGCCACCCGCGTCTGCAGCCCGCCCACCACGCCGGCATCCCTCGCTTCGCCCTGCGCTTTCTCCTCCTGCGCCGCGAACCATAGCAGCCGGTGCGAGTCCCGCGTCGATCCCGTCTTCCCGCCGAACCGGAACGCAATGCCGTCGGCTTCGCCTACCGCCATGAGCCGCGTGAACATTGCCGCGGCGCGCTCGGCGCCGAATTTCCTGTTGTACATGTCCTGCTTATTGATGCCAGGGTAGCGCTTCGCGTCTGGGTTCAGATAGAAGGCGGACCAGTTGAGGGAGAAGGTGTCGTCTGGGTGGGCACCGCGGTGTGCAGTGATGGCGCGCAAGAGGCGCCGGTAGCCGACGAAGCACCACTGGGGGTTGGGATGGGTTAGTGGGTAGGAGATTGGTGTGGTTATTGCACCGGGGGTGGTCTACGTACCGGGCAGACGGTGTCGGAGATTATCTGGATCTTGAAGTTGGTCATGGTGGATGAGGGTTGGGATAGAGAGAGAGAGAGAGAGAGGTGGGGAGAGGATGGGTTGAGGAAGAGGGGGATGGGATCTTATCAATTGCCCCGCCTCCTTCCCCCACCCCTGCTGATCGAGAACTCAAAGCCGGTACTTTTTTATGTCTATACTTCGAAACACGGGTTCAGCGGGTTGTGAATTTGTCAGCAGGAACGAGGTGCGGAGACCCGCTGTCAGTGGCTCGGGAGTGGGGAACTTATATTGAGTTAAGGTGTGTAGGCTTGAAGAGCTTGAATGTGTTAAACTCTACCTACTTGGATTCGTGTGGAGTAATAAGGTGTACATAAGGTGCACACCATCCGCTTTTGGGCCAAGGCCGGATATCTCAATTGCTATTGTTCGGTCACTAGCGGAATCTGCTTCCTTTCTAACAACGGCTTTTCTTTTCTCGGACCTCACTGTCAACAAACTAGCGTGAGGATTCATTTGACAGACGTCACTCATCCTACAACTTTTCAAAGGTCTTGACTGGTGCGTAACGCGAGTATAACGGAGTAATATACGAAAAAAGTCCGCCAGTGTCCACTGCCTTCGTCGTCGGGATCCTAGGGGCGTGGCGTAGTATGGAACTCGCTGTCGAGGTAGGATTTGCTCCTGTACTGTATGTTTGATCCCGTGAAATCCACTCCATATGCGGGCTGGGGGCTATGACGAATAGCAATGGGCCTCTTGCCGCTCTGCTGCGTTGTCCTCAGCTGGGGCTGAGCTGCAATTGCTGGGGACGAGGCGGTCAAAGGAGGCTCTGTTTTGAGATTAAGAAGAAGAGGCCCATCCACCTCTGCAACCATAATCCACCATTTCGAGTATATTTTATTACTGATCTTTTTCTCACGCAACTGCACTGGGTCAAAATGGCCTGCCCTCCACAAGATGCTTTCCAGATCGGCTGGATCTGTGCTCTCCCGATTGAAGCTGCTGCTGCTGGTGAAATGCTCGACGAGAAGTTCGGGATTCTCGAGTCACAGGATGCAGCAGATTCAAATACCTATACATTGGGTCGAGTTGGCAAACACTACGTCGTGATTGCCTGTCTCCCCGGTGGCCAGTACGGGACTACCGCAGCCACTGCAGTGGCAAACAATATGCTTCGCACTTTCTCCAAGCCACTTCGAATTGGATTGATGGTCGGTATCGGAGGAGGTATTCCTTCGGGTCTTCATGATATACGCCTTGGCGATATTGTGATCAGCTGTCCCCAGGGCACATGTGGTGGAGTGATTCAATGGGATATGGGAAAGGTTGTTACCCGGGGTGAATTTGAACAAACTGGGTCTTTGAATAGCCCCCCGAGGGCGCTACTTACAGCAATCAGCATAATGCGAGCTGCTGAGCTAACCGATGACCCTCAATATCTGGAATACCTTCGTAACGCGACTGAAAGAAACGCACGAACACGGAAAAATTTCTCGCGGCCAAAAACATTTGATCGACTATTTAAGACAGAGCATGAGCATCCCACGACCGCGAGTAACTGTGACGGATGCCTTCAGGAATGGGAGGAGCTAAGAGATGAGCGCGAGAATAGTAACCCCCAAACATTCTACGGTATCATTGCGTCCGGAAACTCCGTCATTAAACATGGAGCGACAAGGGAGCAACTGAGATCCCGGACAGGGGCTTTATGCTTTGAAATGGAGGCAGCTGGTCTGATGTTGGACTTTCCCTGCATTGTTATTCGTGGTATCTGCGATTATGCCGACTCGCATAAGAATAAGGAGTGGCAAGGATATGCGGCTCTAGCAGCGGCATCGTTCACGAAGGAGCTGCTAGGGTATATTCCGGTCGGCCATGTTTCGCAGGAGGCACTAGTAGTAGAAATCTGTAAGGCATAATTCTGATTAATCAAGGTATTAATAAGACATTGACAAAAACGCCGAATATTAGGTGAATTAAAAGAGGAGATAAGAAGCCCCAATCAAAACCTAGATCAAGCATATCGTCAGCAAGAGCGACACCATAATGAGAAGAGAACAATAGCTCTAACTTATGAACAACAAAAGTGTCATCAATCTTTCCGGCTAAAAGGAGATTATAAGAACCAAAAGAATATCAATCCAAGACTAGCCGATGGCACCTGCCAATGGGCACTACAGAGCGCTGAATATATTCGCTGGTTAGAGAGCAACTGCAATGATCTTCTCTGGTCATCAGCTGATCGAGGCTGCGGGAAGTCTGTATTAGCCAGATCGATTGTTGACGAGTGCTTAGAGGCTTCTAGTCCGGCAGCGACGATATGTTATTTTTTTTTTCAAGGACAACGACGAACAGAATCATCTTTCTATAGCATTATGTTCGGTGCTACACCAGCTCTTCAGCAAACGGCCTGATTTATTGCATTATGCTATACCATCATTCCAACAGAGCGGAGGAAACCTCTCTCAAGACGTTGATAAGCTCTGGCGGATCTTTATATCAGCAACGTCAAATGACGTATTAGGAAAGACGATCTGTGTATTAGATGCGCTTGATAAATGCCGTGATTTTGACTGTGATCAATAAATTGAAAAACTTCAGTCCTTTCACCGCCAACAACGTTCACCAACCCCGAATACCTTGAAATTCCTAGTGACTAGTCGGCCATATAATTACATTCAGAATCGGTTCCGAGCGATCACGAATAAATTTCCACATCTACATCTGAAGGACGAAGAAGAAAAAGACCTAATCCGCAAGGAAATCGATATAGTAGTACAGATACGAGTCAAAGAGCTGGTCGAAGCAGCGGAATTCATCATCAGATATACAGAAGCGACTTGAGCAACAGCTCTTACAGATGGAACACCGCACATACCTTTGGTTGCATTTAGCTATAGACGACATTCGATCTGCTTTTGAGAACAGTCTTCGGCCTGAGGAGGTGAAAATCCAAATGATACCCGCTTCCGTGAATGATGCATACGAGAAGATTCTTGCTCGAGTGCCTTCTTCTGAGCTAGACACTGTGCGAAAGGCTTTCCAGATCGTTGTCTCAGCACCACGCCCTTTAAAAACAGCAGAGATGGCTATAGCATTAGGCGTTGTAACTTACCAGGATCACGGACTATATCAGAGGCCAGACTAAATTTGTCGCAAGTTGAAAAGAAGCTCCCTCAATTATGTGGTCTTCTTGTTTTCATCGATAACTCTAAGATTTACCTTATTCATCAGACAGCAAGGGAATTCCTGACCGCCAGAACTGTTGCTAATAATATTGGCTCCGTATACTCGTGGAGCTTTGATGAAGCTGAGTATCAAATAGGGTCTGCTTGTTTGCGATACCTATTGATGGAAGATTTATTGAAGGAAGAGGAGGCCCCTTATACTCGGGATTTCTTGGAATATTCCGCAGTATATTAGCCAGATCATGTACGAAAGATAGCCTTGAATTTCGAGCCACGAATCGTGAATCGACTGCATCGATCATATGATATAAAGGGAAAATCTTTGTCACTATAGTTTCCAATCTTTTGGAAAGCATTGCGGCCCTACAGTAGGACGCCTTCGCTGAGCGCATTACATATAGCAGCCTTTAATAGTCAAGAGCAGGAGGTTGTCTATCTACTCGAGACAGACAAAAGCAATTTAAATATCGCCGACAGTACATTAACATACCCTATTATGTGGTCGTCATTGAACGGACATAGCACGGTAGTACAGATGCTGCTCGACAAAGGAGCTGATGTCAACGCCCAGAGTGGCTTTTACGGAAATGTGCTCCAGGCTGCTTGCTCTAAAGGACAAGACAAAATTGTACAGATACTGCTCGAGAGGGGAGCTGATATCAACGCCCAGAGTGGGTATTACGGAAACGCGCGTTCCGGAGGATATGATGGGATCGGGCTGAAGCAACAAGCCCATCAATCCAAATCTTCTTTCCGATTTACCAGAAGGTTCATGATGCTGTAAGAGCTAGCAGATACATGCTTCAAATACCTTCAGTGGTATTCTCTTAGTCTGCTCATCCCTTAGTCGCCTTAATACCAGTCTTGTCATTCTCGATATTCGTGAACGTTGATATGAACGGATTAAACATTGTTGCAACTTCGAGGCTTCATGTCCATTCTCAATTCTATTGAATCAGAGTAAAATTGAAGGAGAGTCTTTGCCAGTCCAAATCACTTCATGCTATATACGAATCAAACGGCGTTTTTATAGATCATACTCCATGCATGTCTCACTACGTTGGGGATTCTCATAACATGTATAGAGTAACCATCTGTACGGTAAGACGAACGTATCGTGCTTCTGTAGGATTTTGAATCCTAAACACCACTGACTTGTAGATGGCCATCGATTAAGAACTACCTGCTAATGCCTTGGAAGTGAGGTGCTCAAAACAATTTTGAGTCTTCAGGGCGAAAGCTGATTTCGCTATTCACTGTAGATATCCACAGGCAATTTCTGCATATGGGGCGTTAATCTTGGATGTATGCTATTGCTGTATAAGGAAACAAGCTGCCCTACGAAGACAGAAGGGAACCCGGAGCGAGTCATTTCCGAAGGGAAAAAACTTGTATTCCCACAAGCTACTCATAATCCTATGTACATATTGGCTCCAAAAATGCAAGATATCAGAAAAAACCGACTATCATGTCACGGTTGAAAGCGACCGTGCAACAGTAGCTAACAAACTGCGTGACTCCCAAAGGCTGAACCTCAAAGAAGGGACCTGCCTTATTGCTAAGATATTCTGGCTTTTTTTTTGGTTTGTTTTGCTTACAGCACCTGCTGAGCCTGGTTCATGAGTCTCCAGGAGGCGGCACTGGTGTCGCTGCCAAAGGCAGTTGAGTTGCTGTGGACAGGAACTCCAACATTGGGAACGTTGTCGTGAGCTTGGCCCAACATGTGCTTGTACTACGCGTAGAATGTTAGAAGGTGATCAGATGTTTAGCAGAACCCAAGAAAACTTACCTTGAAAGCGAAGTTGAGGACGAGAGCAACGGCCAATCCAATGCAGACAACAAGAGGACCGAACATGTTGTCCAGATCCTTTCCGCTGCGTTGACGTATCAACCGGGCGCGCTTCTCATACATGTACCAGCCCCAAGCGGCAGAGAACAGAGCAAAGAAGGTGTATACGATAGCCAGAGCCTGAGCAATCTTGTTGTGCTTGCCGGCGGCATTGTAAAGGCCCAGAGACAGACTGGAGAGCAGGATACTGATGTGCAGCCATTTGATGAAGGTTCGCTGGTTGGCAAGCCACACCTTGCTTTCCACACGAACAGGACCAGCATCCTTGATCCAGATACCAGGGTGTCGCACACCAGGGGGCAAGGAGACGACCTCCCGTCCGGTCCAGTTTTTGGAGGAAATGCCCAGGGATTGCATAACAGAAGCAAAGCGGGATGAAGGCACATCGGCTTCTGCGGCCGGCTCTGCGACCGGCTCTGGCTCGCGACGCTGGGGCTCGACAGCTGAGATGCGGGGTCGTGGCTGATGCTGTACTTCACTGAAGCCCGAAGGCCGACGGAGTACAGAGCGGTTTCCGGGCTCTCCCCAGCGGCTGAAAGGAGATGCTGACAGCGGACCGCTGGGGCTACCCGCTCCACCCAGGAAACTGCCAACAGCTATATCCTCCTCGGCACGCTTGGCTAGACGCTCTTGTTCCTCATGGAAAGCTGTCTCAGGATCGCGACGAATATCGTTCTCCAGTTCGCCGAGCCAGAAGGGGAAGCTATTCACATAATCTTCGAACAGCTGCGCAGTGCCGTGGACGAATTTAGAGAAACGGGGGGCGTCTTTCACGAGGTGAGAAGACATCAAGTCGTTTACCCACTCAGCATCGTGGGCCCGACCGCGGAGTTTGATCTCGAGCAAGGCGTGTGGGAAGCGGACAATCTCGCCGGTTCTGATGGCGCTGAAGGGATATGACATAGTAGAGCTATCCAGGTCCGTGCGGTGCCACTCGGAGGGATCGCGGCAAGGTCGCTCGCGGTCGAGGGCATCCTCACGGATCAGGGCAAGGTTGGTGTCGAGGGATATACGAATGCGATCGTCACCCGGGATCTGGAACGCAGTGCGAGTGTAGTTGGCACGCAGCATGGGCTGCAGGTTGTTTTCCTTGATGAAGGACTGTAGCTCCTCCACGCTGCTCTTCAGGGACGCCGCTTCAGCCGAGCTCTCGCCATTGCTCATGTCTTCCATCCGATGCACCTTCTTGTCCAAGTGATACTCGCCGTCTAGGAACTCCTTGATATGTTTCTCCTTCAGCTGCACCTTAACTTCACGGCTGCTATCGTCTTCGGTGACGATCTTCTTCTCTAAGAAGATGGGCGGCTTGTCCTTGAGTTGACCAGTCCAGCGCAGTCTCAAAGAGCCAGCCTCAGAGGCGCGTGCAACCTTTTGGTTGTAGAGGTCGAATTGGGAGTTATCAAAGTAGAGCGAAGTAATCGTGGGGTCGTCAGTTAGGGAATCCAGGTTTTTAGAGGACCCCGGGTTGTAGATGAGCACAGGCAGGCGACGGAGGATGTAGGTCTTGACCTCAAGAACATTATCGACATGCACCCAGAACTTGTAGGACGAATAGACATCCCGGTCAAACCCACGCTCCATCTCCTTTGGCTGGACAATGTCCTGACTCAAGGTCTCGCGCACAAACGAGTACATCACTGACAGGCGATGTACCAAGGGGGAGTAGTCCTCCGAGTTAAAGGGCAGTTGTGACAGACGGACTTGCAAGAGGGGCTTCACACGATAGCGGGCGCCACGCTTCCGATCGTGCTTCTTGGCTGCCTTGAGGCAGCCGGTGAAATTAATGCGGCTGTACTTTTCCAATTCGCTGACCTCTTTGGTGATGCTGTCCAGCTCTTGGAGGGTTTCCGAAGCAATCTTGCGCTTCTCTTGCTCATCAAGGGCGGGTTCTTCCTGGTTTCCGGCGAGAGCCAAAGGGCGCAACTTGGTCTCGCAGGCGGAGGTACGCTCGCGGAGCTGTTGCGAAGTCTCTGATTGGAAAGTATTTATCTTATCCAACTGCACATTGAGCAATTCCTGCACAAAGGCCTCCTCATCCTGCTCGGTCCATTGACTGTCGTCCGAGTCACTAGCATCCTCGCCAGTGACATCATGTTCCCGCAGAAGGGTCTTCAATTTGGTATAGTCGATGTACTTTCCCTTCCAGGGCGGGTACACCGCGTTGCGTAGTGTTTTACCAAACCGCATTATGTCTCAAGCCGGGGGAGGGGTTGAGATTGGAATGCTAAATGAAATAGAGGTGGTTGTGTAGCGTACTTGTGCTCTCCAGAGCGTACTGCAGACAGTGACGGGCGGAGGAGCCAAGCGCCGAGGGGAGAGCCTAACAGTCGAGCAATAGTTCAAATGAAAGGCGGTCGAGCAGCGATTCACTCTGTCCACTCCAAATATACACCACTTGAAATACCTCGAAGCTGTCGAAGACTAGAAAAAAAAAGAGAAGAAAGGTCGAGGCGAGTGGGATGGCGGCGACCTCGACCATGCACGTGCGCCGGTGTCTGGCTTAGCTGCATTCGCTGGCGGCTGCTAGCCGGACCAATCAGCAACACCGTTTCGATTAGTTTGAGACGAGAGCTTCCATCAGCGGGTCGCATTTACATTGTTCCGACCCGCCGGTGTATCGTTGTCGGGACGGTTTTCTGGCCAATGCGTGCGAGCGTACTGGATACGCCCCGGTTACCGCGCTAATACCGGGGTTGGTCCGTGCGCCCCCGATGTCGCGGTGGATTCCGGCTGAATGCTGTCGGCCGCCTCTGGACGTTGGCCCGATCCATATGGCCTGCCGTCGGCACTTTTTAACATTCTAACGTTGTGTCGCGTGCCGAGTCACCTAATGGCGGAGCCTACCCACCCTGAGAAGGCCCCGGGTCAGTCTCTTTCCTCTAGCCTTCATGCTGTCTTGACCGAGCTTCACCGGCGACCATACCCTCATGTGCCTAACCCGCCCGCCTGCAAGAAGCGCGCCTCGGTCGCCTTGATTCTGCGAATCAAGCCAACCTATGAACATTGGCCGTGCCCAACAACGGAGGCTGGGGATCCCTCTCGGTCGGTGGAGGAGCGCCTAGAGGATTTCTTCGCCCAACCGTGGGTCCAACATGGGGACCCGGAGGTTCTGTTCATCAAGCGTGCATCGCGGGTGGGGGATCGTTGGACAGGCCATGTTGCACTCCCAGGGGGCAAGCGAGACCCTGAGGATGCTGATGACCGGGAAGCGGCCATTCGAGAGGCATCAGAGGAAATTGGACTGGATCTGACGACGGACGATACGATTAGCGTTGGCAACCTGCCTGAGCGAGTGGTGACCACGAGTTGGGGCTCGGTACCGTAGGTCTTTTTGTCCCTACTGAATATGACCACCAGTCTATCCTCTAGAGGAGTTATATACTAACGTTGCTGAGCTTCTGAAATTTAGACTCATGGTGCTCTGTCCATTCGTCTTCATCACCACTCGGATGGATTCCCCCACGTTGAAACTCCAACCCACGGAGGTGGCTTCGACTCATTGGATTCCCCTACGAGCCCTCCTATCACCGTCGCTTCGTACCGTAGAATATGTGGACTTGTCGCAGCGGTTTGCTCAGCAGGGTGGGTTCTTGACTCGCATGCTCGTTCGGTCATTACTGGGCTGGATGCAGTTCTCGGCCGTTCGTCTGCTCCCGTCCGAAAGCCAGCACTGTACCTCGATTCCAGGATTTGTTCCAGATGGCAGCGAGCGTGATAAACCTTCATTGGTAAATCGTTTCAAAACATGGTGTTTGAGCAACCAGGCGGATTCTGGTGATAGGAACCGCCCACTTCTGCTGTGGGGCCTGACTCTGGGAGTCCTGGCTGATTTCTTGGATATGCTACCTCCTCACACTGCGGTCCAGCTCTGGAAGTACCCGACCTTTACTTCCCAAGATCTCGGATTGATTGTGAGTATTTTGACTTATAATCTGCGAAAGCGCAATGCGCGCGAAGTCAAAATGGGGGCTCGCCCCAGTGATACAGCTGTGGATAGCGAGACCGCTGCGGTGCCCGTCACTTCGGATGCCAATGGTCATGATCACAATGAAGTTGGCATTGGTGGTCTCGGGGTTGGACGATACTACGGTCCTGGAGATCGGGGCGCGGATGGAACCTCGTATGCTGTAGGTATCATGTTGCGGGGATACTATCAGCGACTGCGCATGGCGATTATAGTGTTTCTTGCTTGGCGCATGACCATTGGATCGGCCGCAGTCTTTGCAGCCTGGCGATTCTATCGTCGTCGGCTTCAATAAGCTGGGAGAGGCCTTTCGAGCTGTGTAATTGTACATCTAGATGGTATATAGAGCATGATACTTGTTGGGGAATCAAATCATGAAATTAGGTATTACCCAACGTGAGAACCTGAACCCCCTGCAAACATCCTGCCATTGCCGAAGTCATTTTCAACTCCGACTGAAGCCTTTCTAGGCTGTCTTGATTCAGATCTTCATATGATTTCATACGAAATTACTCGAGATACTTCACCGGCGGAGTCTTTGAGGCTCCCCGTGTGTTTATATAAGCAACCGTCGTGGATCCCCACCTTTTGCATCTCCGCAAGTAAACATGGCGCGTTCTTCATGAACTCGTTCGTTGCATCCCAAGGTCCGATCCGCACCATGGCAGCTACTCAGAAGCTCTACCCTAGGGGAACCGTTAAGCGCATTGTCAAAGCGCACTCCAATCGCAGTGTGAGCAAAAATGCCGACATCTTGGTACGTCTGGATTCGCTGCATGCTTCTCTCCTCAACGCCTGGCTTCGTCGCTAATAAGCACTTTCTCTCCCAATCCAACAGATCTTTCTCGACTATATGCTATTCATGCAAGAGTATGATTTCCACAGACCCTTCCTGGATCATCTCCTCTCGGTCGCATTGACTCCACGCGTCACGAGGGGCTTTTACTGACCCATCCACTAATCCCGGGCCATTAGACTAATGCGCGAGGCTTCGATCCGATCACGAAAGTCAGGCGAGAAGAACATTTCGGCCAATTCAGTTCGCAAGGTGACTGAGGTACGAGTGCGGGTCCAGTCAGATCGAAGAATCTGACCTGATTCCTTTCATTTCAGGTGGCGCGACCTGTCGAGAGAACATAAAGCTGACAAAAATGCCACTCTGATCTAGAAAACCCTGCGCAAGTTCCGAGGATAATCGACCGTCTCCTTATTGCAAACCTCCATTCAACCTGACTGAAGAATGAGAGTGATGCTACTGGCCGCGTGTGAGGCCTCGTGTGGGACCTGTAGGGGTTTGGCGGGATGTGGGCAGCTTAACATTATGGCGTAAATTGGGAATTGGCGTTGTGGAGTGATTTATGATACCCCAAGAATATCAAAACTGTCTCCGATCACAGATTGGTGGTACATTTCATTAAAAAATGCAATAATCAGGACCTCGTCAGGCCCACGAGCCCTGTAGTTGGCGGCAAGTTGAATGTGAGCAGTGCAGCGGATCAGGAAAGGGTTCGGGCGACTTCCACCCGCATCGATTCTGCGATCTCCAAGTGATCTTCTACCCTCCACCCCTCCCATCTTCCCCATTCATCTTCCCCATTCATCTTCCCCATTCATCTTCCCCCCTTCCCCTCTCCGGTGGTTTGAACTCGTCGGCGCTCTGCCTCTTGTACAGCAAGTCTCCTCTTGGTTTTTAAGCTTTCGAAGCTGTGTCACCCACATTCCATCATGGCTCCCGCCTCCGCCACCCAGAAACCCAACGACGCCAAGGTCAAGAAGGAGACCTCCCGAGCTTCTAGCACTTCTAAGCTGGAGTCCGATAGTCCAGCTACTGAGCTGAATGGCACTGAACCGACATATTTGAAGGAGCTGCAAAAGTACGAAGTGATCACATCGTGTACCCATTGTCAGAAGCTAACAACCTTGCGCCTCAAGGAGTCTCCGCAATGCCGTGAAGAAGCTAGTATGTCACATACCTTACCCTCATTCTATCCGATCAACATCCCGCAAACTACAATCTCTGCGCAACCACCCATAGAGGTCCATGCCTGAACTGACGTCTGCTGGTGTCTTGAATAGAATGCCACTGCCAAGATTGACACCATCCTCGCCGAGAACGAAGGCAAGTCCCTCGACGACCTTGTGGCGGAGAAGAAGATCAACTCCGACCAGAAAGCCCAAGCTCTGAAGAAACCTGCGCTACAGGCCGCCGTTGCACAGATCGAGGAGCAGATTGGTCACTACCAGCAGGTTGCTGCCCAATACGAAGCGCGCTTGGAAACTCAGAAGGCTGCTCTCGAGAAGACACACCAGGAGGAGCTGGAGGCTGTGCGCGGCAACGCTATTGCTGATGCCACTGAGACGACTGCACGGGTCCTACGCGAACAGTTGCTTACTTTGAGCAAGTTCTTGTGTGCTGCTGCGAATGTTCGACGTGCGGGTGATGCCGAGTCGCTTGAGAGCCGTGCCTTTGAAGGTGTCTTGTTCCAGGTGTATGGTGGCAACCAAGCTGCCGTCACCTCTATGCTCAAGCTGATTGACGGTGCGGATGAGAAGGTCGCCAGTGTTGAGGGCGAAGCTCTGGAGCTCAGCTGTAAGTTTTCGATTTCATTGATTTTGTGAAGGCTCTCTTGCTGATGGTGAAGTTTCCAGATTGCGATGTGAAACAGGCTTCCAACAAGTTTGCCCCGGTTGAAGATACTCCTCAAGCCACTACCGAGACTGCTCCTACCTCCGATCCCACCCTGGTCAACGCTGGCTTGACCGAACTCCAGGATACCTCCATCAGCACTCAAGGCGCCTCTGCCCAGATTGATTTGGCTGGCCAGATTGCCCCGCCCTCGCAGACCTTGATCTCCGATGCGGCCAACCAAGTGGCTGACTCCAGCTATGATCCTACTTCTCTGGCCTCATCATCCACAACAGACGGTTGGGTGGAGGTTCCTCGTGACCCTGCCGAGACCGATACTGGCCTGCAGGCCACTCCCGCCAACGCCGACGTGAACAATGCTTCCGCTGCTGAGGCTCCTGGAACCAAGGGACCGAATGGCGGCCGCAATGGCCGCGGTCGTGGTCGCAACCGCAACGACGGCTCTCGTGGACGCGGCCGAGGTGATTTCCATGGCCGTGGAGACTTCCGTGGTCGGGGTCGGGGCGGTCGTGGAGGCCGGGGACGTGGAGGAGCCAACGGATCCCCTGCTGCCACTCCCTCTCCGGAGAACCAGCAGCGGTAAGAGGGTACTGCTGTCGTCAAACCAATTTCTCGACCCTCTTTATGCCTCTCTTACCCGGCTTGATCTGTCTTGGACTCGCTATCGCCCTATATGCCTTTTTTCTATTGCCGCTGGTCTGGTGTGATGGATCACGAACGCAACGAATTTTCTTCTCTTGGAGTGATCTCTTCCCTGCGAAAAGTATTCTCCTATTTATTTTTCTGTTTCGAGCGTGCATATTTCCCGATCAGGGTTATTTTTTCTCCATGTATTCTATTATTATTGTCTGGGTTTATGGTGATATGGTGATATGGCTAGGGGCGATCAGCTTAACTCCGATAGGAAATTATTCCCAATGCAGTGCCGCCGCCCGAGGCGCGTCGGACTCCACTAATTTGCTCTTGCAACCTTCATCTTTGTAACTCCGGCGCTTGCTGCACCTCTTGGCACAGTTTGAGATCGCCTGGAACGGAGCTTTACCCCCCCTTTCCCCTTCCTTCTTTTTGTCTCTTTCTCAGTTCCTGTAACTCAAATACTGGTGTCTTCCTCTTCTTCCTCACACCAACGGCGCCAGCCAACGACGACATCATGGCTATTGCTGGCGCCCAGCGTAAACAGGTCTTAAAAGTTTTGATTATCTCGCTACTGTTGGACCTGGTGTGTTCGATAAGATCTCCTTCCATTTGCCACACAGACAAGCTGATATCATTTTCAATTAACCTTGTAGATCTCCTTCACCTTCATCCTCCCGTTGTTCCCGTCGCTCCTCGCGTTCTACCGCGCCCAAGACCCCTCACCGGACTCCGTCCTCAACCGCGTCTTCCACTATCTCAACGCCTACAAAAATGCTTTCGCCCGCCCCATCGACTCGCGCTATGATATCGTTCTTCTCGGTGGAGCCCTTGGATCTCTTTTCTCTTTCCTCCAAGCCCTCGTTGCTCCCATAATTGGCCACTTGTCCGATCGCCACGGCCGTCGTCGTGCCCTGTTGACCGCGATGGTGGGGAATATCTGCAGTGTTGCCCTCTGGGTTTCTGCGACCGACTTCCGTACCTTCCTGGCTAGCCGGGTTGTCGGTGGCCTAAGCGAAGCCAATGTCCAACTGGCCAATGCCATTGTTGCCGACGTGACCGATGAATCGCACCGTAGCGCGTCGATGGCTCTTATCGGGGCCTGTTTCAGCATCGCTTTCACATGTGGTCCGATGTTAGGCGCGGCGCTCAGCACGGTGGAGGTTGTGGCTGCCAATCCCTTCGTAACTGCGGCGCTAGTGTCACTCGGGCTCATAGTCCTGGAGACGGTTTATCTTTGGGCCTGCTTGCCAGAGACCCATCCACGGCTCACGACTCTCGAGCATGAGGATGAGGCCGAAGCTTCCTCCAATGAAAAGCCCAAGCCAAAGCCGCTGGCTCCGGCTTCTTATACCCCTCGCGCGCATACCAACAACCCTGCTATTCTCAATGCCCTCCACTTCCTCTTTCTGCTGCCGTTTTCTGGTCTGGAGTTCTCTCTTCCCTTTTTAACCGCAACTCTTTACGCTGAAACTACCTCGGCTAGTCCTGCCGCTTTGAATGGTCGTCTTCTCTCTATGATGGGCCTGATTGCATCTGTTCTACAGGGCACTGTGGTGCGTCGTCTGCCCCCGCTGGTCACCGTCCGAGCAGGTGTCATTGCCTGCGCACTGTCATTTTTCTGTTTCGCACATATATCTTCGGTTTCGGGCCTTTATGCTACTGGTGGCTTGCTGGCTGTGACCACTGCTACTGTTGTCACCGGCCTGAACAGTCTCGGTAGCTTTGAGGCTCAAGATGCTGATCGTGGCGCCGTCATGGGCCGCCTTCGTGGCTGGGGCCAAGCTGGACGTGCGACTGGTCCGATTCTGTTCAGTACCTTATTCTGGTGGGCTGGTCGCGAGGCAGCTTATACAGTCGGCGGAGTAGCGATGTGCGTAGTCGCTGTGTGCGTCTTTGGTCTCCTAAAATCACCGCCGGTGCGGCATGCGAAGACAGAATAATTATTTCTGGTTCTTCTGGTATTAACTAAAGAATAAAAATGTGCCAGTCGTAGGTCGACTGACGGATAGCATTTGGAGGGAGTCCTCGTTATGGACTATCATTTGGTGTCATGGTTTTCTGCTAGGTTCACATATAGATTTGAGACGTAGCCCGTCACCGGGCGCAACGAGATTTTATTTTGACCTTTATCCAAACATTCCTTATATATATATATATCTTTGTCTTAAAAGAAAAGATGCTTCATTGAAGCTGCTTGCTTGGTCATTAGCTAAAAGACGTGATGGGCAGTCTTGGAATTCAAGGGCCTTTTTCTTCGTTTGTCAGGTTTCTTTCCTCATTCTTCTATCCCTGAGCATCTTCTGCAAGAGCTGTCAGATTTTTCAATGTTACTCCATAAGGCCAGCATGTGCTATGGTGGTGAGATATACGTATATCCTTCATAACTTGTTATGAAAATTCTTACCAGTTCATCTTAGATATAAGTGGCCGAAACATCGCTTTAGTTGCTCTAACCTATCAAGGGCAACCGAAGAAGAGCTTTTCGAAATCTTAGAAAATTCAGAAATTGAACAACTAATCCATACTGATAGCACGCCTTTACAACCTGGATTACCAATACAGATTGTCAAGGCGGCAGAATGGATAAAGTGGATAGATGAGGACGAGGAAGAGCTTCGGCTTCTCGATATCGGCGAAAGTTTCATCCAGGGAAAAGAACCTGAAAAGCTCGCTCAGCCTAGTTTCTCACAACTCCTTTGATTACCGTGTCGATTTATTGCGTGCACGATGTATAGTACGTGAAAATAAACAACTTTCTTCGTCTATAAAACACTTACGAATATGTAACATAGATTTATTCTTTCATATTTACATCGTATCTATTCTCGTACTTTGATCGCGATCTATAGCTAGTTGCCTAAATAATAGGCTTCGTGGAGAGCCTACCAAATAGGAATCAATGCGAATAGAAGAAAGTCATAATATGATAGTGGAACAAGGTAAGCGGCTCGGGGTTAAGATATTTGGACAATCTTTAGCTAATCACGCCCTAAGATACCGAGTGTTTGAAGATTAAACGGAACTTTATGGATAATAGAAATGACCCAGCAATCAGCTCTTTTCTTCCGGTGATTCAGGGATTGATGAGATTTCTACCATCGAACCGCATTTCTGCTGACCAAGCACTTGGCTTGCTCCCAAAGCTCTATGATGATAGCGAGTCGAGGCAAGTGCAATCTGAATAACAGTATTGAAGATGCCACGAGCGACCCTTAAGGTTTTGTTGCCAATACAATCACATGGGGAAGACCGTGTTACATTACTGCCTTGGAAAAGGGATGCTTCAAATGGTCGGAGCTAGCTAGTCTAGGAAGTTGGAGTGTCGTGTAAATTGATCTAGTTGGCATCTTGGTATGTAGAGATATAGTAATTGTATCAAAATGATACTAGATGTGTTTGTGGTGAGGAGGTATTCGATTGAGGGTATATAGTACACTTTGAAAACAGATCGAGAGCGGTGATTGAATCGTGGAAAAATTGAGTAATCCAGTCCCCATGATCCTGCTGGAGACAGAAAGAAAAAGAAGAGGTGAGTCCAATAGTAATGTACAGGGTCAAGTATCCTCGGTGTTGATAAAAACACAACTTGACGTTGCAAACCAAAATTTGGTCGGTGATAGTCTCTTAATACCGAGTTCTTAATACCGAGTAGATATTTTCGAAAAATCCTAAAACCAGCAAAGACTAGGGTAGTCATTTGGTGACTGGTATTATGGAAAAGCTAGCGTGAAAACAGTGCTAATTTCCGTACGGTTCCAATCAAAACCATTTGGAACACTATAATCGCCGCTGGTGATATGGTATATGACTGGGGGCGACTTCATAATATTGGCAGGATTCCATGGCCAGGCCAGGATTCGAAGTAGGATCAAGTGACCCGCGTGCTTTGCCAATTAGCCAGTCAGTCAATGTGACAAATTTGGCCGTACGATCCCATCCATCTGCCTCATCAGTGTGTTCAATAGTATGCGTCAGGATGCGTCCCTTATCATCAAAAGAGAAGATGAACAAGCCGGTAAACTGTTCTTCTTTCGAGAGTTTGAAAATGGGCTCGTCTCCACCAAGAAGAACGCTGAGTCCTCTGTTCGTCGCATTTTTAGATGACGAAAGATGATACTGTGATGCTGACTCGGAAGAGCTGGATGCTGTATTCTGTGGAGAACTCAGACTATTTTTCGGCACCCCAGGCGATCCGTGTGCATCATGAAATGGACGGCTATCTGTGCGCGGCTCTGTTTTCCATCGAACAACCAGTCGCTCATCGCCACAATCATGATCGCCGTGTTCGGGATCAAGAATAGTCCCCGCTCGGACAATTCGCTCGCTTAAAATCTGTAGTTTCACATTTCCAACCAAAGGCACACTGCTCCATGCTACTGGCACTGTCCATAGTGCCGCGCGATAGAGTGTACGTCCTTTGACGGTGGGGAGGTGTGGATGAGTGGAAGGAAAAAGGTGGAGGTTGACGCTAGGAGCAAGAATCTCGGGCGGCAGAGTGTTGTAGAGGATCGTTGGAAGAAGAGGTGATAGTGTTCGTAGAGCTGGGTAGTACAAATATCTTGTCAGTTAACCGGTTTCTTGCGAGGCGCAATAACACGGGCATGTTCCGGTAACTCACTCTTCCCGAGCTTCAACACCCGCTCATCTGGCGGCTTGTGGTCATCTCCCCGAGGACCCCCGTTCAACCGTTCTACCCTCCTATGCACTCCTGTTGGTGAAAAATATGTAGTAGGAAGGGGTATTGACGAGGGCACAGCCTGAGGCAACCAGGGTTCATTCAAAATGCCATGGCGCGGGTGGGCGAGTAGTCCCCGCGGCGAAGATATGAACGAGCGGCCTGTCGCATTTGATGGCTGTAGCGCCTGGCGAAGAGAGCGCGAGTGCGAGGCCAGCTTCGGCATTCTGCCTTGCGGTGAGAAGTCGGGGCAGAGGCTACTGTCATTCCATGGAAGAGAGTTGGGGATTTAGAAAGTTGAAGTTCAGAAAGGTCGAGGTCCTGCACTTCCCGGTTTCTCCAGCGATCGGCGGGCCAATCGGCCAATCGCAGGGCTTCCGTATACAATGTGTTTACCGGCTAAATCAAAGCACTTGTTGGATTTTATGGATTGTAACGAACTATTATTTTATTGTTTTTCGATCGACGAAGAAGAAACGCAGAACTATGGTGGATCCAATTTTAGCCCGAGGAAATACATGCTTGGTCCTTGGTATCAGCCCCAACTTCAGGTCGTTTTTAAGCTAGCTCGTCGTCATCGCCCATACCCATTACTCGTCGCTCGGCCATATCCCGGATCTTGTCCTCTAATACACCGCGGCCGAAACGCTGGGCTACCTTGGCGGCTAATTCCATGGTCTTGCCGTTACGGTCGGTCATCATTGCCACGAGCTCCAGTGCCTTCATGCCGCGCTCCTCGCCTTCCCTGCACTCAATGGCCAGCATCTGGAGCAGGATTTTGTCAAGTTCAACCTCTTTGCGGGCTAGTTCAGCACGCTGGCTGGCCGTTGCGTTGGTTGAGCCTAAGAGATCACGGAAGAGCGACAGAAGAATATTGCCACGCACGAAAGATTCCTCGAACCGCTCCCGGTCGTTGCCCCCCTCCTCCGACTCGGTGGGATCTTTCCGTACGTTATTTGAAATGGGGACCTGAAAATCAAATTCGCTGAGTAGCGGCCGCGGGAAGTAGGGGTTTTTGTCGCCACCCTTGAGAATGATACAGTGGAACCTTTCTTGTGCAACAGCAACTGGCCAGTAAGTTTCTTCTTTTCGACCACCTGCAAGACGAGAAAGCTGTTTGGTGTCAAGAAGAGGGACCCAACGGGCTTGGCCAGGTGTGCGCCAATGCTGTAACACTACCAGGACACCGGTTGAATCGTAAACACATGGGTCCTGAGGAGATATTAGCATTCGCTGTTTATGCTTGCATCTCGGAAGAATGGATTCAAAGATACTTACTCCAGTATCAGAAAAGAAGACACTTTGTATTTGAGCTCCTGGGGGAAGAGCAACCACATCCTCATTCTGGTAGATCTCATCACGCTTGACATTCTCAACGGTGTACTGCAATGTGGTATGCCGACCATCAACCCCGACGGGGCCATTTCCAATAGTCATGATATAATCACGCCAAGCGGCGCATGTTACAGCCTGGCTCTTTTGCCGATATACTCTCAATGGCGTTCCAAAGAGAGTGTAAACCCGGACATAATCCTTGTTTGTGACAGCAACAATGTAGGAATCGCTCAGTGCCAAAGCTAAAAGAATAATGAGCAGAGATTATAGATCATGCATATGGACGCTATTTACCTCGAACCATCTCCCCATCAGGCAATTGGGTCCGCCAATCTGCCCGTGTCGTCCATGTTTCATGGGGACGGTAGAAGATTGTGGCAGGGCTGCCATCTGAAGGATTATTGGAGAAGAGCGTACCGTTGTCATCTGGGAATCGTTAATATAAATCCTCTTGCTCTTTACTGAAGGGTCCACTTACTAAGACAGGCCTTGTCGTATTGGTACGGATCAGTGAAATGAAAGTCCCGATGAAGTTCTCGGTCATAAAATTCGACGGTCACGGTATGGTGTGTTTCTTGATCGACGGTCCAGACAGCACCAGTCAAATTAAGGCCTGTAAGGTTAGCAGAAGTCCACGCGCAGACTGGAAGGCAATGGTATTAGACCTACAAAGGTATCGCCGATTTCCTGCCCATGGTGTACTGCCCGGCTGAATAGGAGGGTGGGACTTGAGCTGCAAAGCTCCTGAGAAAACACGCTTGCTCTCGGGTCCATCTAGGGCATCAAGGTGGCCATTTGGTCGCTTGCCGTAAGGGTTAATATCCTCAGCATAGCCAGCTCCATCGTCGTCATCCACAAAATCCTGCATTTCATCATCTTCACCTAGAATGTCATCTAGAGAGTCGGGCGTTCCGGCTCGTGCGGCTCGTTTGATTGCCTCCTTGGAACGCTCTGCCAATGTTCGCGGAACATTGTTGGAGATCTCGGTCAATGGACCAGGGAAGATAGGAGCCGCCTGCAATGGTTTCAGTAGTTGAGAGTCGTAATCCTTTGAGACAAATTTATCATAAATGAACAGCTCTCCATCAGAAGTGGTAAATGACAGCGAGTTATTGGTCGGATGCCAGGCCAGATTGATCACATTTCCGAAATCATAGCGTTGGATGATCTTTTGTGTTTTCGTTTCCCAGAGCACAATCTGCCCATCTGCTCCAGCCGATGCCAAAAGAGTCCCATTTGGGGACCAGCTTAGGGCTGTGATGTCGCCGGTATGTCCACCAGCAAAGGACTTTTCTTTCTTCCACTCGGAAATTGAAAAGATCGAGATATCCTTGGTTGCCTCCGCGACGGCAAAGGCAGTGCCATCAGGATGCCAGACGGCCCTTGCTGTTGCTTCCGCATCTGGCTCCAGCTTTCGGATCACCCCGTCGAGTTTGCGCACAATTTCCGGTTCCTCCTCAGTAAGTGAATAGACATACAGGATGCCGTCGGTGCCGGAGACAGTAATGTAGCGGCCATTGGGATCAAATGTGACATGTTTCGATCCCTTCCCTTGTTCCCGGAGATATTTCACTTGTGTCATGTCCTCGATTTTGACGATCTTTACAGTAAGCTCACTAGAACCACAGGTGATCAGCCCCTGTGGTACTACTTTCAATGATTCAGAATCACTCACTCGCTTGCCACTGCGGCCCATTCCCCGTCGCGGGAGACGGCAATGTCTCTAACTGGGAGAGCACACCGGACAAGTAGGCTGCCCATCTTGCCGGACGAGATATCGTACTGCCAGACAGTTCCGTCCTCCGCACCCATAATGAATGATTCATTCTGGTCCAGCAAGTTAGTGATACCCTGGATCCTGACGGATAATTGCCTGCCCTACCGTTGCGCCGATTCCAAAATGCCCGTCAACGCCCTCGTCCACTGTCTTCGGTTCTCCATCTTGATCGACTGTGTAGATACGGATGGCCGAATTCGATCCGCCAGTAATGACCTTTCGTCCGTCCGGTGTGTATGCCAGTACCGTCGTGCCCGGAGTATCTAGGCGATAGTCGCAAGATTAGTAGGAGGCCTTGTAAGCCGATGTTCAGCGACGACTTACGGGCTGGCCGGCCTCGAGGGCGAATGGCATCAGAGCTCATTGTAAAATGGAGCCCGTGGCGCGACTTGGAGAATTTAATGTCGAGATTCACAAGAAGAAATCCGGGGCATTGACTGGCCCCTCTCGCGGTGTCTGGATGTTACCAACTTAATCGGCGGAGACGCGTCCGCGACGCGCGCAAGGGATTTAACCCAATCAGGAAAGGTAGGGCTCAGGGCAAACCACCTGACTTCTATACTTCCTGATTCGCAAATCCTTTTTCAGATGTTAAAAAAGACGACAGATTGTATTGTTATATTTACACTGGGTAGAAGAAAAACAGGGCCAGATGATTCTTCTTTTATGATGAAGGACCACTGGCCGTCAGAAAATCGAAGTCAGTTCCCTCGTGCGCTTGGTTGACCGATCGCTCATATAACCCCCGGTATCCTCTCTGCTGTTTTTTTGCTTGAAGCAGGTCTTCCATCGTTTTTTTTCTCTTCTCAATGCGAGATTGCAATACATCATCAGGTACGTCAAGATGAAGCCTACGAGTCTCAATATCACAGGTTATCAGGTCACCCGTCTCGACAACACCAAACGCCGATTCGGGCACAGCTGCCTCTGGCGAGATATGAAGAATGATCGTGCCTCCTGCAGTGCCAGACATGCGTCCGTCAGATAATCGTAGCATGTCTTTCACGCCTGCTGTAGCAAGCTTCTTTGGAATTGGAATAAGTCCTGCCTCGGGCATACCAGGATTGCCGATTGGGCCAATGCCTTTGAGAACCAGCACGCTATCCTTCGTGACTGAGAGATCCGGATCATCAATTCGTCGTGCTAGATCTGCTGAGTTCTCAAATACAACAGCAGGTCCAGTGTGTGAGAGTAATGAACGGTATTTGGAGGCTGAAGCTTTTAGCACCGCCCCGTTTGGCGCAAGATTGCCCCGTAGAACAGCTAGCGACGAGGAGGGATACAGAGGATCCGAAAGGGATCTTATGATATGCTGCTCAAAAGAAAATTTTTTTGAGGGCACCGCATCCAGAATCTCCCCTAATGTCTGTCCAGTAATGGTCATAGCAGACAAGTGGAGCATGGGCCGCAGTACATGCAACAATGCGAGCATACCTCCGGCATTATGAAAATCGTTCATGTAGTTGTCTCCACTCGGCTTGAGATCAATCAGTAGTGGCGTCTTTTGACCAATTTCCTCGAATGTTTGTAGAGTGATAACCCCCTGCAAGTCTGGATGCCGGTTGGCAATTGCTAAGAGATGAACAACGGCGTTTGTAGACCCGCCAATAGCTTGCAGTACCGTGATGGCATTCCAGAAAGATTCCTTGGTTAAAATTTCCTGCGGCTTTCTCGAAACTCTGGCAACTGCAACCGCATTTGCGCCTGTTTCTTCCGCAATCCGAAGCCGAGCAGATGAGACCGCTGGTGCAGAAGCGCCGCGAAGAGGCATCATTCCTAGGGCTGCCGTCACACATGCCATTGTACTGGCTGTTCCCATAACACCACACGTTCCAATCTAAGGGCAATTTTTCGGATGAGCTCGACGTTGATGAAATCTGTGGGTGGTCAAGCACATACTGTTGGAGCAAGCTCTTCATTGATTTCTGCAATTTCTTCAACGTCAATTTCACCCGCGCGGAATGCTGCCCAATTGTTACGACAATCGGTGCATGCCCCGATTCGTCGGCCCCGATGACTTCCAGGCATCATTGGGCCGGTGATCAGCGGTAGAACTGGTTTATTGGCAGAGATCCCGCCCATCAGCTGTGCCGGAACCGTTTTGTCACATCCTGGCTAAATTTAGCATCATGCACCTTCAGACTGCTCTGGGCTTCAAAGATTTTGTTATTCTGTAGAATAAGAACCCGTCGTAACAATGACAATCATATGCGTACCTCCAATCATGATGCATGCATCCAACGGCTGTGCCTTGATCATCTCTTCGGTATCCATACTCATCAGGTTCCGAAGGAACATGCTCGTTGGATGAGAGAATGATTCATGAACGCTGATCGTTGGAAACTCGATTGCCAGCCCGCCATTGAGCTGCACACCACGCTTGGCGGCCTCGATGAGCTGTGGTACGTTGGCGTGGCAGGGGTTGAATCCAGAAAACGTGTTAATAATGCCTATGATGGGGCGCGAGAGTGCATCTTCGGAATATCCCAGTGCCTTAATGAACACCTTCCGGAGGAAAAGGGAGAAATGTGCATCGCCATACGATGTGAGGCCCTGGCGGAGACCTGATGTTGACGTGATAGGAGTGTCAAGGTCATAGTCCCCATTGGGTTCTTGCTTGTTCTCGGTCATATTTACTCTCGAAATGTCTTCGAAGCTTTACATGTATCCGGGCCAGTCAACTGCAGGTGAGTAATATGGCTGCGCTTATATATCCTCATCCGTTGAGTGGATGGTGTTATCGGGTCAACTCCGATCGGATATTAATCCGTTACCCCACGACGGCACGATCGACGGGCCCAGCAGGAAGCGGGACGACACCGCGCGGCTGGGATCCGAACTCCTTGCATGATGTGTTGTATAGCTAACAATGATCTTCAATCAATCAATGTCTTATTTCCTGTTGAAGCTTCCTTGATTTACAGGTGTGATGAGCAAAGCAAAGAGAGGGAATAACAGAAGCGAAAAAGAGGAATCACCGCCCCCGCGGTCCCAGTTCCCCGCGTCAGTCGAGAGCACCACACCACGACATGCACCGTTTGTGGCCTCAGGAGAATAGCTGTCAGAACAGCTTTCAATTAGAACACTTTCAACATATGAGTAGCTGTAGACCGCAATTTCGGCCCCTAACACATGACTGTTCCTTGAGTCTAAGCCACATCCGAATCTGAAACTATACATATACAGGAAGGTTCTGGTGTCTGCTAGATCTCGATATGTGCAGGGTATTCTCATCAAGTGGAAAAGGAAAACCTTAGAGGAGAAGGCAATTTCTGAAACGTATAAGAGAAGGGAATGATTGGGCTTCATTAAGTCCATTGGTTGGCAGCATCAACGGAATTGGGATCTATATACTGTTTGGCCAAGCATCAGAAGAAACTATACAGAGCGACCAACAACAAGTTCCCATTCGATCTCGCTAGGCTCTTTCCAATAGTTTGTCTCACTCACCACGAACCCCAGCTTTTGCAGAAGCCTTCCACTTCGTTGGTTGTCCCGCTCTGTCTCAGCAATGAACCTCTTCACCCCTCTCTTATCAATGGACCATTGCATAATCGCGTTCGCTGCCTCTTTAGCAAGGCCTCCACCCCAGACTTTGGGCGTGAGGCCGTACCGCAGCTCGATCATCTCATTCCATGGTGGTAGTTCTGGGTCGCCTGGTTCTCGGGGAGGAAGCGAGGTTGTGGATGCATCGCGAAGGCCCGCGTAACCAATCCATTCTATCTCACGGAGGGCTTGCATATCTGGTCCGGCAAAGTCTTCGAAATTGACCCCTTCGAGGATTGAAATACCCGAGTGATTTTCATCATCAACAGAATACTTGGTCTCCGATGACACACAACGTCCCAGGGCAAAATCGCCCAAGCCATGCTTCTTCCAGGAGCGGGCAATGTCGCGAGTCTCGATTACCTCTCGTGTTTCGTCATCGCTCCAGTTCCTGGCCGGGAAATGATGTCCAAATGCTACCTGGCAGAAGTTCGTGTCTGCATGTAGGCTGGCATAGAGCGTTCTGTAAGTATCCAAGGAGACTGCGTGTGGCGTTGGAAGAATAATCAGCCTCGAGGTTAAGAGGACGAATGGCTCAAATGGATATTCAGTAATGTCGCTAGACTCCATTTCAAAGAGTTTGATCGTGGAAATTTTGTCGCCCAAATGGATTCGAAGAGGAGGACTATTTAGTCAATAAGAATGCCACTCAAAATACCAAAGACCACAAGTCACGCACCCGATTCAATCAATGACCAGCTCGGACCAAGTAAGCCAGTCAATATACGCGAGCGTTGGAGGGTTTATTCTCGGGTTCAAATTCCAGGCTGACTAGTTCATTCGTAATCCACGTTCGAAGCCGACTGATGTTTTCTTTAATCCCGTCTTCGATTATGCCAGAAAATTGAGTGGACAGCAATAGAAGTCTGAGGTCTGGAATCAAACCCGAGTGGAATTCAGAAACAGAAATAGTGCAGAGGACTCTTTATCTAAAGATGCCTTGGACCGCTGGAAAAACGCTGCCTGAAATATGAGTAAACCGAAGTTCTACTTAGCATCAGGTAGTATTTAAGAGGAGCCATGATAAAAGTGGAGTCACTTACCGGCGAGTCGGAACTTCCATCTCAATCCGTGAGCCCACGAACGGATCCTTATAATCCTTTTCTGGTTTGGAAAGCTCAGAATTCGAAAAGTAGAGGAAACTCCACATGAATAATCATGACTCATGATTATTCAACCAATCCTCGGTCGACTCTAACCTCCTATGTGGGCCTCCGTTTTTAAACCAAATTCTGGGGTTCCATGAAAAAAAAAGGAAAATAAAAACAATTGATTTGAGCAAAGGCGAAACTAATGTACAAATATTTATACTCTCGACTTTATATTCACCCTGATATCCTTGGCTGGCCGGAAAGTGCCCCAAGTCGTCCAATCTTTGGGAACCACAAGGCCGGTCTCATCCGTGGGCTTGATCTCCCACATTGATATGAGGCCAGAAGTAAAAGCCAACACCGCCCGTTCAGTGAAAGAATTGTTCTTAGAGCCATAGAGTCCATCTGCAAAAGGGACGAGGGCGCTGTCACTGACCTGCTTGTTCCCAGACATAGGATCCGTCACAATGAAACGCAATGGGTCATACTGGTCCGGGTTTGAGAAGCGCTGGGAGTCGTAATGATAGATTCCGTGAGGCATAATCACCTTCTCGCCTTTGCGAAACTTGTAGATGCGAGGCTCTGTGGCATCTTCTACCGATTCGGTAACAGTCAGGTCCGCTTCTAACTCCCTGAAAGATATCTCTGCCGAGTGGAGCCGGATAGTTTCATAGTAGCATGCCCGAAGAAGTGGGCATACCTCGAGGACCTTTTCAAGGTCGAGACTAAGCTTGGGGGGTTCATCGAAGGGGAACCCTGTTTCTTCACGGCTAGGCCGGGACGACTTCACGCATGAAGACATCTCTTTCCGAATGTCCTTCAGAAGCTCGCTGTCTGCGAATATATGGCAGACAGTCCAAAATGTGATCTTGGTTGTGTATTCGATGAGATCCCAAGAAAGAGATAAATTCGCTGCCGCACTGCCTCCTGGGGACATATCCAACTTCCGGAACGTTCGCATACGTTCCTTGACCAATTCCGACACATCGTCAAGCTCACGAAGTTCAATGCCGGGGTCGATCCCATCGTCCCAGGCCACAAAAGCACGGTAGAAGACTGACATGATATGAAGGAGGCGATCGCGCGCTGCAAAACCGGATGATACCCCTGGTGTAGGCACCCAGCGACGCATGCCCACGAATAACGGCACAAAGTTCTTGTCGAGAATCCATAGATCCCCGAGGAAGGTTGGGAAGTTTTCAACAAAAGCCTCACCCATAAGGAGGATGCTCATGTTGTGACCCACGAAGTTTCGCACAAGAGCGAAGAAGTTCACTTCACAGACGGATTGAGTCTCCTCGGAAACAGACACCTGGCTTTCGCGTTCCCAAGGAAATTGATCGACAGCACTTCGACTAAAACTCACCAGAGATGGAGTCTTATTTTGAACTAAATGAGTGATTCTTTTCAAGGTATCACTGATAAACGGTTCTCGGTTCATGGCTCCGGGCACATCGTCGCTGATTTCCTGATTACGAGGCAAGCTCAGATTGCGCAGGAGACTGCGGTCGCCAAAGACATTTTGCAACGCCCAGTCGAGTGCAGGGGTGCTTGACGAATTTTTTGAAGAAAGAATTGTTTTCATGATCGACGGTGATATCACAGTATCATAGACTTCACCGCGTAGATAGACGCAAAACACGGATTCGCGAAGGGAATCCCTAGATGCGGATTAGCCATGGCTGTGATGATCAGAACCAGGAAGGGAGCAGCAAACCGTAGTGATTCAAATAATCCCACATGGTCCCAAATGAATGAAAAGCCATGTCCTACCCATGGGAACCAATACGGCGCGAGCCGTGAACTTCGAGGTTCAGCGGGATCCTGATCACGCGGTCGGCTCTGCAGCCCAGTGATGATGCGAGTCGCGATACATGAAAATATCAACACAGCCAGAAACGTAGTCCAGGTCAGTTCAGAGAGCCCATCCCGCGCAGTTTGAATAAGCCTGGATCGCGACGTTGCGTAGCTTTCCATGTTGGTGACTTAGCGCGCACTACGCAAGGAAATAAGGAAACAAAGCCGGGCGACTCTCCACAAGCACCACGCCAATCTCCCCTAGTAGCGCCCACGAAAGCAAAGAAAAACAATGAGTCATAAAAAAGACCCAGGCTGGAATATATGAATCGTTTCTGAAGGTCCTAGAGTGACTTCAGTGAAAGAGAACGCTTCGCAGAAATTCGGCCAGGTGGAACTTCAAGATGAACTCCTGCTGCTTAGGTCATCACTGCGGAAGGCTGTGCTAAGTATAGACACATACAGACACCGGCATGCCAAAGAGCACCAGAGGCTTCAAACCCCATCATTTAGCAATTCTTACAATCTTTAGAACTGAGAATGTTTGTCTGAACTTTTTTTTCTTAAAAAAAAGGGTTAGATTGGGAAATGTACAACCCATAATACATGAGACGCTCAATCAAATCGCCGGTTCAACCCGGCTGCTTTTTACAAAAGTCGTGGTAAAGGGCACACACTTATTTCTCGCTTTGAAGCATCTTCGTCAAAGTCGCACTGTCTTTCTCATACTTGAGAATTTTGGATTGAGAGCCCTGGATTTTGCTTAAGAGCCATTCAATCCTGGATGTCAATTCCCATGGGTGCTTCGGCAGCGATCCGAGCAATTGCAGCTCTTCCTCATACTTGCCGATACTTTTATTTTCCTTGCCAATGAGCTCACCAAGAATCAATAGATCTAAACGACCCTCCAAGGTCTTGTTCTCGATAAGTCGCTTAAATGCTGCCCGGTAGACAGGCCTGCCCGGCTTAATCCACCGTGGGAAACCTTTCACTGATCCGACAGAGATGAGTTCGGCTTGCTCCAGGGCTCGCAAAGTGGCTTCTCCATTATCCTTGAATAGGTCTGACAAGAGAATCTTGTTGTACAGTAAAGCACCATCCTCGGAGTTAGCTAGCGATTTGATAAGATACCAAGCTTGTTCGCGGGCCCACTGCGGCGTGACCGACTCTGTGCCCAGAATGAAGATCTTCAAGATCTCCGAAGCGGACTGCTCAATAATTCGGTCCACTGCGGCTGTTGATGATGTTAGTCCAGGCTCCATGATTTTAAAATTAGGCCGAACAAACCTTCTGGAGTTTCTCCCGCCTCGATTCGATGCGCCATGAACTCAAGATCTGTAACACGGCCGCCAAGGATCTTGATGCAGGCATCCAATCCATCAAGATTTTCTTTCGCTTTATCTCTGGGCCCGCCAGCTCCACCCTCTGTTTCAGAATCCAGATGGCTCATGACGAAACGACGACCAACTTCGAGAGAGCAATCACCTAAGCCAATGGTACGGAATACTTGATTTGGAAGAGCTTTGCTGAGTGGCTTTGCAAAAGATGAGTCTGTCGTAAGGAAAATGACATGGGCTATATTGGCGGTTGTTAATCCGGCCGCCCATTCAGTGAGCTTGTCGAGTACAATGCTGTCTTCCGAGTCACACAAAAAGTTGTCGATGACCACCACAGGTCTTTTCTCGGGGTGAGCTTCGAGATACTCATCATCAGTCAAAGTGGAGTCCTTGTCTTCACTTCTTCTCCCCTCCAATGCGACACGCTTCAAAGCCACGGCTGTGTTCTGCCAGATTTTGCTGAGTTGAGCATCCAAGGTCTCAGAAAACCCGGCCTTGGTACCAATCATACCCTGGGCAGCCAAGTCGATAAAGCTGCTGATACTGTTCATCCAGGAAAATATCGGTCGATAGCCAACTTGCGCAGCTGCTCGGGATATTTTCGCAGTGTCACCACGAGCATCCTGGAGCTGTTTGCAGTCAATGACAACTTTGTACTTGTGTTCTTTCAGTGCCTGATCCAGAACAAGCTCCCGCTTTCCAGAGCCACGCGGTCCATATATCACAATAAATGTTTCAACAGTTTCTGTCAACCAAGCTTGCAGCTGCGAGATGTCCTTCTGTCGGTCCTCCCAGATAGCTGCTAGCCCGCGCGGGTCTGCCCTCCGATGCCCAAAGTAAATCATATTAGCTTTGCTGACCTGCTTCCGAACCCATTGGACGATGACATTCTCCTCCGCTTGGAATGTAGACTTGATCTTGACTTTAATGAAAAATGTCCGTATGGGGTCAAATATAATGACGGTGATTGCAGCTAACAAGGCCGCAATAGCCGGAATCACAATTCGAGGGTGATTGAAAATCCAATCTTTGATCATGGAGAACTTGATCTTGCGTTCGTAGTTGATCTTGAACCTTGTACCGGCCTTTCCACCTCCCTCCTGCTCAGATACAAGAAACCCGTGCATGCAGTTTCTAGCCATGACAGAGAATCGGGGCTGATTGAATCTTAGAATGGCATACCTCGGCTCAATCTTCGATTCGACTGGCTGTGGATGGATATCCAGCAGCTTACCAAATGGGCGGAAAAGTGTGTATATGGCCTCTTGTGTTAGCTCCACGGCTCGGCCGTCTGGAGAGCTCGGTAAGAATTCCACTTTGAGTGTTTGGCTGGGAATCCGAGCCAAGTCCTCGATCCAGGGTCGTCCTCGCACCATATCGACATCTGCTGTCTGAAATGGATTGAACCAGGGAGTAATGGGGTTTTTGACAAGATGCTCTTTAGCTGCGGCTCTGATCTCCTCATCGGTAACGCCAGGCTGGCGCGCAAACTTGACGAACGCACCCCCTTCTTTGTATCTTGGAACAATCTCTTTAATTTCCAAACCGAGAGCTTTCGGGAACGCACGTTCGATTATGTGAGTACAATCAGACGCTGCGAGGTCGGGGTTGTTGACACGCTTCAATATCCCCTCAAGCGGTTGTATGTGGCTGAGTGGACCCCGCAACAACCATTGCAGCCGATGTGGAAAGATATCTGGGATTGGTTAATAGAGAAGCGAGAGGGACTTTTGAGATAAGATCATGCTCACTATTGACGTAGAGTATACCCTCATTATCAGCGACTTTGATGTGTCCTAACTGAATCGTCGATGTAAACCGACACCCGGCTGGCGAGCTTCTTGCAAGCGGAGTGGATCTCCACTCTCGAATAAGTGGACAAGTATTGATGGCTGGACGCGAGGGGGATGCCCTCGAAATGGAGGCACACTTTCGAAACATCGCTTCTCTCGTTTCAGCAGTCACGCATATTGTCAGGAACGGGAATTGGAGAAGATCCAGGTTTAAATCGATCGCTTGCAGGTCCATGACGTCGGGCGACGATCTTATCGTATCTTATCTCTGTCACGTGCACGATATCATTCCGCTGGAAAACCGCGTCTCCGATATGGTTGCCGGTTTGGCGACATCACTTCCTAAACACATACTGCCTCCAAAAATGGGCTGGTTATGGCGATCGAGTCCTCAAAAGGACACTTCCAATGACACTTCGTCAACAATTAAAGCCGCTCCAGAACCCGGACCTCAGAACACACTTCCAAAACAATTGACGCCGGACGAACAAGCGACCCTGGAATTCAACCAACTCCTTGCGGACCTCCAACAAGCCGATGCCGAATTGTCCAGTGGCCAAAGACAGGGCCCTGAGTCTTTCAATGGCTCTACAACCGCTCCGACCATCCCCGACACGGCCGCACCCCCAGCACAACCCTCCTCATCCATCGCCCCCGACTCTCTCTACGCCGATTCTATGTCGTGCCGCACGGCCTTCGACTACGCATTCTTTTGCCAGTCCTTTGGTGGCCAATTTGTCAATGTGTATCGATACGGCGAGCTGCGGTCATGCAGCGAGCACTGGGATAATTTCTGGCTGTGCATGAAGACGCGCGGGTGGTCGGATGATCTGCGGAGAAAGGCCATTCGTGCGCACAACCAGAAAAAAGCTATCAAGTACAAGACCGGCCCCAGCAGCGAAGATATTTGGGATGTGCGACTTGAGCCGGTGAAGGACGCTTTCCAGGGCGATTTTGCGGCCCTGGAGAAGGAAATGAAGGCCGAGGAGGAAATGAAGAAGAATGCGGCGGCTTGATTAACTTGATCAAAGCGGGTATGCCTGAATTTATCTTCTATTTTGTTTGTGTTTCTGAAGTGTAGATATTATTATACCTTGATTTGGCGTGACCAGTGTATGTACAATATTTTGATGCGCTATGAAGTCAATTGATTTCTCTACTCTGAATTGACCTAGTTCTTTCCTTTAACTTGTTGCAGCCAGTGCGTATGTTTTTCTTCAAGGTATTCCTCAATCAGATTATACCTGAATTTCTTCGGGCATGATTAAAAAAATAAACTTCATTATAAGTATTGGATAAAATCCAAACGAATGTAACCCAAGGCACTTTCGCTACTACTATACCTCCCAAGGTCAAATGCAGATGATGCGGCCCACCAATTTTGGATTTCTGAAAAGCGATAAGTCAGGAACTTCGGCCTTGGAACTCATAATCGGTCATTCGTAGCTTGTCGATGCGCTGCTGCAGGGTCTCCAATCCCTCATAGGAACGGCGCTCGAGAAAGAAAGCTCGGTGTCTAATATGGGTTTCCGGTCCCCCAGGAGAAGAGTTGTTAGCGTTAGAATTTTCCGAGGCAATCACCTTGGGGGTGTTTGGCCGGCGTCGCTGGGAGTGATTTGTCTCTGTTGGGGTTTCAACCAGAGCATGGCCATATTCCGACATTGATGAGCTACCATGCCTGTGCTCGAAACTTTCAGACACATAATTGTCTTTATCACACAGTGCAGTCTGCTCATAGTGGACAGACTGGACTGTGCCAATTGGCAAGGTTCTTGGAGCAGTTGTCGGGTCTCGAGTTGTGCTTGGAGTGCTTGATCGGTGCCGAGTGTCCATTCGGCTTCCCCCTCGGTTGCTCACTCGGATATCTCCACTGCTGCTTTCTTGGCTGCTTGCTCGACCTCGGGACCGGAGAGCATACTGTATTGGTTCTCGACTTCTAAGCTCAGATGCAATAGTCGAGGCTGCATATGGGGGTCGACGAGCCAGCCGAGGCCGCTTCGAATCTTCGGCCCCCTCAGAATTAGGCGAATTAATGCCGGAATTCATTCCGCCGAAATAGATCCTAGAGCTTGGAAGTATTGGAAATGTCGAGGCAAGTTTTTGTCTATGCGTTGTGAGCGTGTCTCGATGTCAACGGACAGGAGATTCCTAAGAAGCCTCTTATACTTGGGTTCGACTGTATGCCTTGAATAACGAAATGGTAGAACAATGGGCTTTTTTCTCTTCCCCTTGATCTGTTTTCTTTTTTATATCTTTACATCGGTGTGTCTTGGGGTAATGAGGGCAGCATTAGCGACCAGAAATACGATTAGAAGCGTGAAACAATGAGCTTGTGATCAATATACTTGTCTCTGGGAGAATTCTTAATTCGCTTCATAAGACAATCCCCCTCCTTCATGCCAACAAAGCCAGTGAGCTTTCAATGAGATTGAATGGCTGAGGCGTTCTTCCCGCGCTTTAAAGGCAGAGAGAGCCGAGACTTCTTTGGTGGGATCCACCCAATGCAGACAATACCATCGTTACAGGAGCAAGCAAGGAGTAATGTTTCACGAAATTTCTTCAAAGAGAATATTTACAACAAATAAATCACACCGCGTGGCAGACGCTCTAAACACCTTGCATAGAGAAACGCTGCTGGGAAAGCAAAAAGATACCAAACGGAAGAGAACAAAAGGTCATACAGAGCGCAAAACATAAGCACGCATAGAAAATAGAAAATAGTCATGAGAAAATATTTTCCGTAGAAACGTAAGAAGAAAAAGAGGTAAAGAAACCGCCCATCAAGCTGAGCCCTCCCGTCTAGAAAGGAAATACCAACAAATCCCATTTTTGGCAAACTTTTTGCTGCACGTCTGTGGCCTTCGTAGTCGTCAAATCTCCTTTTTTATAGTCATTTCATGCCGGAGTGTACTGTATTTAGGCAATGACTTGAGTCTCCGCAGGCTGGGGGACGGCGTCAATGGCTGGGCGACGGACAATGCCACCGGTCACAGGGAGCTGGGAGCTGACGCCAGTGAGGAAAGAGTCAACCTCACGAGCAGCTTGGCGACCCTCATTGATACCCCTGTAAGATTTCGTTAGCATAGATCCAGGCGTATAAATAGCGATATCAAAAGATTATAGAGCTTACCAGACAATCAGAGACTGTCCACGTCGGCAGTCACCCGCGGCATACACACCGGGGATGTTGGTGGAGTAGTGACCAGGAGGAGTCTTAACGTTCTTGCGCTGGTCACGCTCGATTTCATCGCCGAGAAGGCGGTCCTCAGGGCCGAGGAAACCCATAGACAAAAGGACCAGGTCAGCAGGGAAGAACTGCTCGCTGCCCTCGACGGTCTTCATGTCCCAGCCACCAGTAGCGCTCTTGGTCCACTCAACACGAACAGTGTTGATACCCTTGACGCGGCCGCTACCATCGTCAACGAACTCGGTCGACATGACACAGTACTCACGGGGATCCTTGCCCATGTGGGTCTTCACCTCGGAGTGACCGTAGTCAATGCGGTAGATACGAGGCCACTGGGGCCAGGGGTTGTCACGGGCACGCTCTGGGGGAGGCTGCGGGAGGAGCTCGAAGTTGGTGACAGACTTGGCACCGTGGCGGACAGAGGTACCAATGCAGTCGTTACCGGTATCGCCACCACCAATGACAACAACATGTTTGTCCTTGGCAGAGATGTACTCACCATCAGCAAGCTCAGAGTCCAGAAGAGACTTTGTATTCTTGTGCAGGAATTGCATGGCGAAATGCACGCCGTCCAGCTCGCGACCAGTGACCTTAAGGTCACGAGCAACGGTGGCACCGGTGGCAATGATCACGGCATCGTTAGTGGAGCGAAGAGACTGGAGAGACACCTCGCAATCAGGACCGACGGCAGTGCTAGTGACGAACTTGATACCCTCGGCAGCCATGAGGTCCACACGACGCTGGACAACCTTCTTGTCAAGCTTCATGTTCGGAATACCATACATGAGAAGACCACCAATGCGATCAGCACGCTCGTAGACAGTCACGGAGTGACCAGCACGGTTGAGCTGGTCGGCAGCTGCCATGCCAGCAGGACCAGAACCAATAATCGCAACGGTCTTACCGGTGCGAGTCTTGGGAGGACGAGGAACCATCCAGCCCATCTCAAAGCCGCGGTCGATAATAGCACACTCAATGGACTTAATACCAACGGGATCTTCATTGATACCCAGAACACAAGCGCCCTCGCAAGGGGCGGGGCAGACACGGCCAGTGAACTCCGGGAAGTTGTTGGTCATGAGCAGACGGTTGAGAGCGTCCTGCCACTGCCCAGCGAACACCAATTCGTTCCACTTAGGAATGATGTTAGAGATGGGACAGCCAGTGTCAGATTGGCAGAAAGGAACACCGCAGTCCATGCAACGAGCGGATTGGTATTTGAGTTCATCCTCGCTGAGGCGGTTGGACAGTTCGGCCCAGTCACGAGTACGAGTGGTGGGGTTGCGATACTTCTCGCTGCGACGGCTGTACTTCATGAAACCGCGTGTCTTGTCCAGGATCAGGGCAGATCGCTTCTTCTCGGTCTTCTGATCGCTGATGCTGTCCTCAATATCCAATAAATCGGCCTTCTTCTCCTCAACCTGAGGTCTGGGGCTGTCGGCAGGTACTGGGGTAGAGGGAAGCTTAGGGAGAGTAAACTCAGCCTTCCTCGCGGCAGCTGCCTTGGCGGCTTCTTCCTCCATTACCCGCTTGTAGTCAGTGGGCAGAACCTTGACAAAGTGGGGAAGAGCACGGTTGAAGTCGAGCAAGATACGAGCAGCCAGCTCAGAACCAGTGTAGTGGTGGTGGTCCTCAATTAAGCCACGAACAAACGCGATCTCAGTGACATCTTCGATAGCAGAGACCTCAACCATCTCCATGTTAATCTTGGAGTGGAAGTCCTCGTTCATGTCTAGCACATAAGCAATACCACCAGACATACCGGCAGCAAAGTTACGGCCAGTGGGGCCCAGAATGAGGACACGACCGCCAGTCATGTATTCGCAACCGTGGTCACCCACGCCTTCAACAACCGCAGTGGCACCGGAGTTACGCACGGCGAAACGCTCGGCCGCGACACCACGGAAGTAGCAAGTACCACGAGTAGCACCATAAAGACAGGTGTTGCCGACAATGACGTTCTCCTCGGCCCTAAAAGCAGCGCCACGAGGAGGGTAGACAATAAGACGGCCGCCAGATAGGCCCTTACCAACATAGTCGTTGGCATCACCCTCAAGTTCCAAAGTGACACCAGGAGCAAGATAGGCACCGAAAGACTGACCAGCAGAACCCTTGATGTTAGCATGGATTGTGTCTTGCGGAAGACCAGCCTCGCCATAGCGTCGGCTGATCTGGTACGAGAGGGTAGCACCAAGACCACGATCAGTGTTGACGACGTCACACTCAATGCGGCAAGGGAGACCCTTCTCCAGAGCAAGCTCGGACTCGAAGATCAGCTTGTTGTCAAGACGCGTGTGAAGGCGGTGGTCCTGCTTGCGAACATTGTAGGTAGCAACACCAGGACGAAGCGAGTGGGCAGGGGTCAGGATAAGCGACAAATCAATGCGCTCCTGCTTGGCATTGCGAATATCCTCGCGAACCTTGAGCAGCTCAGCACGTCCAACCATTTCGTTGACAGTTCGAATACCAAGCTTCGCCATGATTGCACGCATCTCGTTGGCAACATAGTAGAAGAAGTTGATAACATTCTCTGGAGTACCATTGAACTTCTTCCGCAGCTCAGGATCCTGAGTAGCAATTCCGACGGGGCAAGTGTTGAGATGACACTAAAAAAAAGGGTTAGCAGTGTGTTCTTGAGAAAGATCTTGAGAAAATAGGGTGTGCGGGGAAATGCGGGGAAGATGGCGGTGAGGGCGGTGAGCGGTGGCAAAATAGGGTTCTCGGCCAATTCGGTCCATATATCGACACAAATCGAATGCCACACCGATGTAAAGATATATAAAAAAAAAGATCAAAAAGAAGAGAAAAAACCGTACTTTCCGCATGAGAATGCAACCTAGTGCGATCAAAGGAGTTGTTGCGAAGCCATATTCTTCGGCACCAAGCAGACAGGCCACGGCCAGATCACGGCCGGTACGAATTTGACCATCAGTCTGCACCACAACACGGCCACGGAGGTCATTAAGAACAAGAGTCTGGTGAGTCTCCGCAAGACCAAGTTCCCAAGGAAGACCGGCATACTTGATACCAGTCCAGCGCGAGGCTCCGGTGCCACCATCATGGCCGGAGATCAAGATGTGGTCAGCCTTGGCCTTGGCGACACCGGAGGCAACGATACCGACACCAACCTCAGACACAAGCTTAACGGAGATACGGGCGCGAGGGTTGGAGCACTTGAGATCGTAGATAAGTTGCTTCAGATCCTCAATAGAGTAGATGTCGTGATGTGGAGGCGGGGAGATCAAACCGACACCCGGGGTAGAGTGGCGGGTACGGGCGATAGGGCCCACGACTTTGTGTCCGGGAAGTTCACCACCCTCGCCGGGCTTAGCTCCCTGGGCCATCTTGATCTGCAGTTCGTCGGCATCAGCCAGGTAGTGTGAGGTCACACCAAAGCGACCAGAGGCAATCTGCTTGATGGCAGAGCGCATGGTGTCGCCGTTGTCCATGCGGTTGCTGCGTTCAGGGTCTTCACCACCTTCGCCAGTGTTGGACTTGCCACCCAGGCGGTTCATAGCAATGGCCAGAGTCGAGTGGGACTCCATGGAAATGGAACCGTAGGACATAGCACCAGTGACGAAGCGGCGAACAATCTCCGTCCAGGGCTCAACTTGATCAATGGGAATTGGGGTACGCTGGTCAAAGTCGAATTCAAGCATACCACGTAAGGTGCAGTTCTTGATTTGTTCATGCTCAGCCTTGGCATAGGCCTCGTAGGACTTGTCGTTCTTGGTGCGGACAGCATCCTGGATGTTAGCAATGCTGACGGGGTCATTGATGTGAGGCTCGCCCCCATCACGCCAGTGGTACTCGCCAGATTCGGGCAGACCGGGAATTTCGACGATGGAGCTAGATGGGTAGCCACGCTCGTGGAAAGCAAAGGCGTCTTGGGCGATCAGCTCGAAAGTGATACCGCGAATACGACTGGCAGTGCCGGCAAAACAACGATCAATGACGCTGTCGTCAATACCGAGGGCCTCAAAAATCTGGGCACCCTTGTAAGACTGCAGGGTGGAGATACCCATCTTACTCATGACCTTGAGAATACCACCATCGCAAGAGGCTTTGTAGTTTTCAATGACCTTCTCGTCGCTGAGGTCCTTGCGAATCAGATTCTCTCGGTTCATCTTAAGAATGCACTCCATGGCAAGATAAGGATTGATAGCATCGGCACCGTAGCCCAGGAGAACACAGTGGTGGTGCACCTCACGGGCTTCAGCAGTCTCGACAGCCAGGGCAGCCAGAGAACGCCACTTATTGCGGACAAGGTGGTGGTGGACCAGGCCAGTGGCCAGCAGAGCAGAGACAGGAACGCGATCAGCGGAAGTCGCACGGTCAGAGAGAATGATGACCTTGTCACCATTCTGAATGGCCTCGGTAGTGGCATCACAGATGGCATCCAGCGCCTCGATATAGCCAGCAGAGCCCTTCTTCTTCTCAAACGTAATATCAATAGTGCGCACAGTCCAATCGCTGTGGGCATGGTTGATGTTCTTGAGCGCATTGAACTCGGGGATGCTCAGAATGGGAGACGGCAGCATCAGTCGGTGACACTGCGAGGGGTCCATCTCTAGAAGGTTACCCTGAGGGCCGACGTAGCACTCCAGCGACATGACAACGGCCTCACGGATGGGGTCAATAGGGGGGTTGGTGACCTGAGCGAAGAGTTGACGAAAGTACTCATAAAGCAGACGAGGCTGCTGAGCAATACAAGCCAAGGGAGCATCATTACCCATGGAACCTAGAGCTTCCTTGGAGTCCGCTCCCATGGGGCCAAGCAAAAGGCTGACTTGCTCGAAAGAGTAACCGAAGGCCCGGAGACGGGGATCATTCTGAACTGTGTCTTCGTTTAGAGTGAAAGAGAGGTCCACATTGCTCCCCTCTAGCAGCTTGTTAATAGCAGGCAGACTCAGAAGTTCTTTGTCGAGCCAGCTGCGGAAGTCCGCACGGTGCGCGACAGTTTGCTTCAATTCAGCATCATCGATGATGCGTCCAGCGACGGTGTCGACCAACAGCATCTTTCCAGGCTGGAGACGACCCTTCTGAATCACACGCTCGGGGTCAATATCGATAGCACCAACTTCGGAAGCGCAGACAATTCGATCATCATCCATAACGTAGAAACGACACGGGCGCAAACCATTACGGTCCAGGTTCGCACCGCAGTAACGACCATCAGAAAATGTAAACAGAGCCGGGCCATCCCAGGGCTCCATCTGGCAGGCGGCCCATTCGTAGAAAGCCGCCTTGGATGGGTCCATGGCAGGGTTGTCCTGCCAGGCCTCGGGAACCATAAGCATCACTGCCTCGGGCAGAGACAGGACACCGTTAATCATCAGCAATTCAAGCACGTTATCAAAGGCAGCAGAGTCCGAGCCACCCTCCTCAACAATAGGGTACAGTTGGTCCAGCTCCTCGCCGAAAACCTCAGACCTGAGGACACCCTCACGGGCGCGCATCCAATTCTTATTTCCTCGCAATGTGTTGATTTCACCATTGTGAGCTGCCCACCGCAAAGGTTGAGCACGGTCCCAGGAGGGAAATGTGTTGGTGGAGAATCGAGAGTGGACGAGGGCGAAATGGCCCTCGTAGTCCACATTAACCAGATCATGGTAGTACTGGTATACTTGGACTGGAGAAAGCTGACCCTTATAGACGATATTTCGGTTGCTCAGGGAGCACAGATAGAACCAGTTGCCGAGGCCAATAACGTGTGTGGCCCGCTTGCGCAGAACGTACAGCTGTAATTCGAAGGTTCGCTCGTCAAACTTGTCGGTGTCAGTGATTTCAGGCTTGTTACCCTCGCCGTACGCAGACTTGAGCACCACGAATGGCTGCATAATGATTGGCTCTCGCGACAATGCTGCTGGACCCAGAATGGTCGAGTCGCGTGGAACCTCGCGCCATCCCAAGACACGCAGACCTAGCGATGTGGCCAGTTCCTCGAAGCTCGCAATGGATTGCTTTAGCGCCTCCTCGTCGGGCTTGAAGAACAGATTGCCCACCGCATACTGACCCAGTGGCGGCAGCTCTACGCCCACTTCTCTGGCGAAATTCTTCTCGAAGAACTTATGGGGGATACTGGTCATCACACCAGCACCGTCACCGTCTCGCGCGTCGGAGCCAACGGCTCCACGGTGGGTCATGTTGCACAGCAGATTGCGAGCTAGTGGCCGTCGACGTCAGCGCATGGTTCCTTAGTCTGGGCAATTCTTTGAGGGCGCGAAAAGAGGGAGTGAAAAGCCACGAGAAGATTTCACTTCCTTATTTTGGGTGGAATAGACGACTTACCATCACTCACGATCTTGTGGCTTGGCTTGCCCTTGATGTGGCTAGAAATTCCTGTCAGCCCGCCTGGTTCGCTCAATGGCTCGGTGAGCCATGCGGAGGATACTCACGCCGCAAATCCGACACCACAGGCATCCTTTTCGTATTCAGGGTCATACAGACCTTGTCGCTCCGGCAAAGCATTGGCCCAGCCATAGCCTTGCTTGGGCTGGTACTCCGAATACTCCTGCGGAGCCTGTTCTTCACTTAGATCTTTGCCATAGATATCCTCCAAGTTAAGACCCATTCTTCCGCCGGGGACCGACAGAGAATGGATAATCACAGGTGATGAGGGATGCTTTCGGGGTTGTTGGCCTCGAGGAGAGGAATCTCCGCCGGAAATTTGGGGCGGGATGGGGCGATAGCGGATGACGTCGTCACAGGCGCAGCGCGGGTGATAGACAAGCTGAAGAGTCGCGGATGAAAACCCAGCGTCTGCGAAGTGTTCAAGAAAATTTCAAGGAGGGGAGGGAAGAGGGAAGAAGCAGGAGGGGGTGTAAGAGGGGAAAAAAGAGGCAGCGATTACGGCAGGCCAGCAGGTCCAGGGATTACAGGCTGTACCTCCGACGCAGCGACGGGAAAAATACGATTGTGGGGTACGGCGCCGTGGCAAATGGGCTTGGAGATGGCCAGATGGCCAGTGCTGTCTTAGAGCAGTCTCCGGCGATTCGCGGTGATTATTGGGTCTTGTTCCTCTTCCCCGGGGGGTTGGCTGGATGGTTTTATTGGCAGCGGAGCCTTGGAACTCTTGACCGGCCATGCTCTCAAGAACCAGGATGTCCAAGTCTGGAATTACGATACATGACACTTCTCCTGTCTCTTGCCCGGCGAACCCAGAACCCCTCATGGACGAAAGCGTCTTAGGGAGAAGGGGTGGGGGACATTCCATATGAAATAGAAGCGCAGCGGAGCTAAGGAGCCATGATGGGTCGAGTAATGATAATCGTTATGATTACGGCAAATCCTCAAAGATAAGCCGCGGCCCGCCAATCAGACGCGCGGTTTTACCACTGTCGCCCACACGATTAGGTTTCAGCTACGTCAAGATCCTCGGTATGGTACGGTACCAATACCTTAATTCTCATTTTCACACCTCGTCACTGGACACCGGCAAGCCCTAATCAAGATGCAAAGATCTTGCAATGCTTCCTTTAAGATTCGGGATTCAGGATTCTCATTCGACCGTGACCTTCACTTCTGTCAATCCACAATCAGGTCCGCGTGGTGGACGCACTCCTCTTCTTTCAGATCCCTGGTAATCCGTACCTCGATCACTGATTCCCACCAGCCTCGGGTGGTGGGCCACCGGGCGGGGCTGCGAGGTAATTCCGATGTCTTCATTGGCCCCGCGACGCAAACAGACAAGACCTGAGAATCAACAAGACCGTTGCGTCGCGGCGTTTTGTACCCGCCCGTACCCCGGCCATAATCCCTTGTTGCTCCGATGGGGCAGCTCGAGGCAGATGTACCAGAACAGGATGCCGCTGTCTGCCCTCTCTCGGTGATCATCCTACCTGCAGACTACATGTGGTTGCATGAAGCTGGGGCAGGGGAAACATTTATGCACTTGGCCGGGGTACGTAGGAACTGTCCTTCCCTTCAATACCTCTTTCGACAGTCCTTTAGCTGAATCCCGGTCCCCTCAGATGCATATAGTACCATCACCCCCTGTCTCCCCGTTACGGTTACGCCGGGCATCTGGGCCAAAATTATGCACCCATCTCCGGCCTCGCGACAAAGGTACCCGCACCTTTTGACCCGAGTGGATGGGCGCATAGTGGGGCGGTTGACCAGGATACAGTGCTTAATCCAGACACTCGTCCTTTCCGAGCCGCGGGTGTGTCTGCGCCGGGCCTGCAGGCCCATCTGCAGCGCCACGACGAACAGCCAATTAACTGATCATAGTACGAGGATCCTATGGACTTGGCAGAGAATAAAGAAACCTCAGAGAAAGAGAAAGAGAAGAAGTATTTGAATGCCAAGCTAGCATTGAATAGTGTGTGGGACTTTTGGTCTATTTGAAATCCTATAGGAACAATACCCCCCGAAAATCCGGCCTCGGTAGGAGGTTTGAAATCATCACGTTCATAAATTAAATCAGAAATCAGAGGAGAAATGGAATAGGGTAGGGAAATCTCGGAACACGAATTTCCAAGCCAAAGAAATAGGAGTAGGAACAGACGATAATACTACTGTATACTCCGTTATCCGTATCTATCATCCTCGTTCTTAGCGTCCCGCCTCAAGATGGGGTCTCTGTCCCCTAACCCCAATACCGGGCTCGAAAAATACTGACCATACCGTACCTCTACCCGCCCAGTTCAGGGAGTTTGGTCGAGGAGAATCGGAGTCAAATCAAAAAGCCCAGCGAAATTCCGACAACGGCCAAGCAGCGCGCCCGGGATTTTCCACTCCTCCCTGTCCGGGTGCTGGCCAATGATCCCGACAAACCCCCCCCCTGCCCCGACTTCGGGGTTGGCCAGCCGCCCCCCGGCATTCTAGCCCTGCATGCGGATTGGCCCCGGCCAATTTCCCCAGCTCATTCTTTAAGGTCATCCAAACTGGCTTATCGCGGCTTCATCATAATTACCAGCATCCTCACTCGCCCATCCCTCCAAGCGAGAGTTGATCCCCAGATCCCGGACGGACACGGACTCGAACCCCAGACTCTCCTCCACCCACCCCCTCCTCATTTTTTTGAACCCCAGGGTCACAACTCCGCGCCCGGTTGGGTTAAAAGTATGGGTCGAAGGGAAGAGTAGATCGTCTGTCTCGTGCTTTGAGTTCGTGGGCCTTAGGGGCCACTTGGCAATGTTAACGACATAGGTGGCCTATAGTTCTATGGTTCTACTCCATACACTCCGCACCTTGTCCTACCCTGGATTCCAATCGAAGAATCTGGTAATCTGGCAATCTGGCAATCTGGCAATCTGGCAATCTGACAATCTGACGATCGAAGAGTGGGGAAGGCGAATTATTAGTGTACTTCGTATATACTTCGGGAAATCGCTCCTCCTCCCCCTCGGACATAAACATTCATCCGGAGGAATGGCCTCCGGACGTGACATGTGAAGCGGAATGGCCCTGATAAGCTTGTCCGCGAAAGTCAGAAAACGAAGAATAATAGGAATACATAAACAGAACTGCGCCTTTTAGCTTTTTCACCCTGCTTTCCCGACCCTCTCGGGCGTGGTTTGCCGTTCCTACAGCGGAGTTCTGTCGCCGTCATGCTACACATACTAACTAATACCACCCAACGATGACTCCTACTGCTGTCACTACTTACAATTTTAAACTTATTACCGATTCGCCTGGCACCAAAGACGATGAGTCGCGTTTTGCCACCCCTTCTCGCCTAGCAAAATGGACTATAGCTTACCAATGATGAGAATCATGATCTTCCAGTTCAGGCAATAAATTCAATACCAATGGATGGGCGGAATCAAAAAATACGCCCAATTCAATTCCGCCCCTGCGAACCCGACCGTCCAGCAATGTCCACTGGGCCTGCAGCTCTATGAACACGAACCGCATATCGACTCTGCCCAAGATCCACCGGCGGGTGGGTATCATGTGATCCCCGCTTCTGCCCAGTCCAATCAAACACCAGGTGAAACTAAGACTGGGAGATGGTCTGGGCAGTTGGCAGCGAGATGCTACGACGCGCCAGCAAAGCCCAGCGAGTCATCCCGACCCGGCTTTTCCCGACCGCCAGCCTGACCCCTTGCCCGCTTTGGGTTCACCGGAGTGCTGGCTGGTCGAGTGCGTGGAACACTGTCTGCCTCGGGTGTTTTCGGATGTGTTAGACTAGTACTGCTCACCGTAGCACTTCGTACTGTACGGAGTACCTAAGTCCTGTTCATACACAGGGGAGACATACTGCGAGGTGGTCGAATATCGGGTCCCTCCCAGCATCCCATCTTACTTGTCTTAGGATCTTCATTTACAGGGGACGCCTCGCTGCCAAGCCCCAGGACGGCTCGTTTTTCTGCCATGTGGATGAAACACATCCATGTCACGATGCGGGCCGTCATGTGCCCTTCGTCCGTAGCTATGGAGTAGGAGAAGATACCTGCTAACCGTATTTTTTTTTCTTGTGCAACGTGACTTTTGGTCCCTTGGATTTGACTTACATCGTCCAGAAATTGATGTGGAGAGGGATATACTGCGAGGCCGTCGCCCTTTCCATACTACTAGTCCAATTCTAGACGATTCAACCTCATTGAGGGTGTTATTTCAGATATAGACGAGGTTTCCAGTTGCGGTTGTCAAATTGCTTCGTTGTCAAATTTTAGACGGTCTAGACAATCTACAAAAGAATCGCAACATTCCGGATCGCCCTCTTCGGCTTTTAATGATGAAAGTAAATATAGCTCGAAATACTTAGCCTAAATCGTAGGAGATTTCTTTCCGATTCGGCCAATATTTAATATATCTACTGCATCTGGAGGATATTTTTGTTTATATGAACTCCTGCTTGGTTCTTTCGGCAGGTTTTTATTCAACCATATTAAGTATCAAGGTACTCCGAGTTCAACAGGGTGTTAGATAGAGTACATCATATTTACTATATTCAGGCTCACCTCCCTCACTAATGCCATCACAGGCAATGAAACTTCCATCTTCCATAGCATAGTCTCGCTTCTTCCCTCTCCTGCCTCTAGCCCTTCGAAAGATGACGACCAAGTTGTATAGAAGATGGGTCGAAATTGTTTTGTTTAGCAGTCTTGCATTGCGGCTGAACTGGAAGATTTGATTGGTGCTTAGCTGAGACCACGGGTATGTCAGGCGCTCGGGGGAACAAGGGAGATCTATGGAGCATTCTTCATCTGGTTGGCTTGTTTGAATGTAAAAAGATAAGAGAACGTGAATTTCATAAAGCATCGCTTTGACATGCAGAGTATATACAAGTTATTTTGACACTACTATATGTTACCGGACCCGATGGAGCTAAACTAGAGATTCCAGACTTCTTATGAACCCTAACCCTGAAACCCTGTCTATTACCATCCCGTCCCAATATCGCTACTAATAACAGCCATCTCTCCCTTACAAAGACACAATAGATTGCCATCCGCCTGGACCTTACACAATGACAGCCCCGCGCTATTGAGCCAGTCTCGCGGGATGAAAAAGTGTCTCGTCACCCCAGCCTCTGATGCCCCACCGGATTGGAGTCCCAGCTGCACTGTGCACACCCATAGAGCGGAGTCAAGGAAGACGAGACGGCCGTCTGCTAGAAGCACCACTGGCTCCTCCATACATTCGCTAATATGAGGCGGGAAAGGGACAGTGCTTATTGTGCCAGACGAGGATGGGGCGCTGCTATCGTTGTATATCACGGAGGTGTCCAGGAGCAGATAGTTCCAGAGCCTGCCATGCTCGGTCTCCTCTATGGTGACAATAATTTGCATTTCCTGGGAGTATGACTGCACGAGTACCTCCAATGCCACGGAGGACTTGGGTTTAGACTGATTATCGGCACGTTCACAGGCAAGGTCGTGCGAGAGGGTGCATTTGATATCGAGAGTATCCCAGGAGAGTGCAATCACTCCATTCACTGTGAATCCCAATACGATGTCTGGGTCTGTTGGGTGGTTGGTCCATTGTGCAGGCTGATCTGTGGGGCTAATCTCTTTCTCAGAAACGATGCTTCCGTCTGCGATACGGAGGACCTGGAGTCTCTCTACACCACAGACTAGCAGTCGCTCGGATTTACCGTCAAACAGAAGCTGTCTAATCAGACCGCGCTTGATAGATTTTGTCTCGGCAAATACATTTTGTATGGAGGCTTTATCGGGCGCTGAGAAATCGATGCTTTTGACTGCGACTCGCCCATTCAATAGGCAGTAAGCAATATACTCGCCATCCTGACCCATGGCGAGATGGTTCACATCCACTCCAAAGTAAGAATGTAGGATGGGGTGCCTGTACTTGCCCTCTATGTTGTAAAGCTCGATAGTTCCGTCATCCGTGGCATAAGCGAATATATTTTGGTTATTCATGCAAGTCGCCACTGCTGTGATCGGCGGCTTAGAGTCATCATGAGCTTCAGACGCAGGCAGTGAAATGATAGAGTTGCCTTTATCGTCATGCTCCGACACAATGCTTCCATTCCGTCTTCGTTCGGAGCTCGTAACACTCTCGTTGTCATCGGAGGGATCCAAGCTTGTGTCGACGGCCCGAAGCAAACAGCTCGGCTCCCATACATTACAGCAAGATCCTCGCAGATCGTAGAGTCTGCGGCTGTCCGGACTAAAAGCAATATCTTTGATGATATCATCAGATGTCAGCTTGTACATCTGGACCATTTGTGAGTAGTCGTAGATCTTGATTGAGCCTTTGACGTCGCTGGTCGCGAAGACAAGTCCGTTGCGGCTACACTGTATCTCCGATGGTGTAGCATCTAACTCCTGCTTAACCTCCTCATAGCTGTCATCTATTGGGCCCCATTTGAAGATGTTACCGTCGCGATAGATTCCCAGGACTTGGCCATTGAACGGATGCCAAGCTACGCGGTTCACACCGGTCCAAGTTAAGTTCGTTGTTTGTCCTTGTTTCTTTTTACGCCTGCACCTTGCAATCACTTCTGGGGGGTCAAGACTCCAGACAGCTAGAGGAAAACCTCGATATGCGACAGCAAGCTGTGTACAGTCCGGGTTGAAATCAACCGATGATGGGGAATTGATAAAAGCTCCTTCAGGCAGTGAGGTTTCCTCAAGAAGAGCCGAATCGAATCCAACCCAAGTTGGGCTCTCATCATCAAAGTTAAGTCGATAGACACGGCGGAGATCAGTGGCAATGATGAGGAATGATTCCTCTTGCCCAAATTTTATGCTCAATGGCCTTTCCCGCCGAGGATTTTCGACCTGGGCGACGATACTCCGATCACTAACTCTCCATACATAGGTGCTGTTTAGACAATAGCACACCAATAGCGAGCCAGAAGGACTAAAAGAGATAGAACATATTGGCTCGCCGGGGTTGAACGTGGAGAGCTCCTCGAAGATGACGAGACTCCACAACTGAATCCGGCCGTTTGGCGAATCGTTCGCAACAGCAAGGTAATCTGCGGAAACTGCAATGTGTAGTGCAGAATCGGAACCAGGATTCGAGATCCGAGCAAGACAGTCATCCCAATCTCCATTGGATATACCCGAGACGGATATTGTGGCGGATGACTTGTTCGCGTACTTTTGGTAAATCATCGAGTTCTTGGGACTCAGGGGAGGAATGTATTTATAGATGGCATCGGGGTCATCGATGAGATGACTGCCAAATTTGGCAGTCATCTTCAAGAGATCCGCAGCCCATGACTCTATCAATGACAATTCTGGCAGACGAAGAAGTGGTGGCTCTTTGACGGCGTCGAGCTTTCGTCGTTGTCTGACGAAGCTCATGAGATGCGAGGATACTGTCACTAGATGTGAAAGATGTCCGGTGATGGCTAGGTACTGAATCCATGGCAAGGGGAAAGTACCACTGAAGAATTTAACAAGGGTCTCGAGTACCCTGTCAGACTCAACAGAAGAGCGAGTCAGGTGAAGGTCCCAAGAGACAGAGGCATAAGAGAGGAACAGCGGGGCCTTGCGTTGTCGGATCTTTGTTCGCAGGGATAGGTCACAAAGGAAGTTGAGACATTGATGAAAAAGATCTTCATTCACCTCGTGCGCCTCAAGCGAAAATGGGAGCTTGGTGCAAGTCCTGAGATATTCTCGTGCTGTTTGGTGGACCAAGACAACACGATTACTGGCGTTGATGACCACAAATTGGCCACAAATCTCGCTGATTGTATGTTTGAGGTCTATAACTGCGTGGAGCTCCGAAGCATAGGGTTCCATAAGCTCTTCGACTGTCACCGGTCTGGTGGAGTACATGGCCCAAGAAAGTAGTATTTTGCAAAGGATAGTATTCTCCTCTCGGTCAACTCTCGCAATGGCCTCAGTCATACCATGATAAAGTTTGTCCATGCCATCTGGCGTGGCCTCAAGCACCTCTTTGACTTCATCCTGCCGATGACAATTGACGACCATTTTGAGAATGAGACTGGCCCATAGAAAGTTTCCTTGCGAGCGAGTTGTAATTTCCTCAATTGTTTGCTGCTTGAATTCTTCGAATCCTGAATTCGTCAAGAAATATTCCATTTCGTCAGCAGCAGCAAGACGGATATCCTCCAAGTTATCTGTCAAGGCAACCTCTATGATGGTAAATTTTCTTCTTGCTTTTTGAATGACTTGGTTGATGTTGGAAAGTGGTCGGCTGAAGAAGAGGATACGTAGATTGCTTTTGGACATGTCAATAGTTGAGATCAGATCGATGAAAGTTCTGCTCGATTCCGACTCATCCAATCCATCAATGACCAAATGCATCTCTGTGCCGATGGCTGAAAGTCTGGAAGCAAAGATATTCCTCCAAACAGTCCATGCATCGGCTTCGTCGACCTTTATACCTGACTTTCGGACGTCGGTCAAAGCAAGCCGATACGAGTCATCTTCGAGCGCAATTTGATAGGCCACAGAGCGAAGCATAGCACCAAGGGACCGTTTCTGGACATCGCCTGCCTTGAAAAACCAGTATACACAGTTCTTTTGGTACATCTGCAGAGTTTCAATCACAAATGAGCATTGTACCGACTTCCCACTTCCTGGGGCGGCGTGTATCCAGAGGGTATGGGGTATTTCTGAATCCAGCCAATCTGCAAACTCAGGTTTCTGGAGAAGATGCTGGCATGTTCCTGCTTTCCGCGTAGATCGAAGCAGTGATAAGTCTTCCTCTGGCAACCCTGTCACCCCCAGCCACTTTTGGATTGCTTCGAGGCCTTTCTCCGCCTCGTCTTCACGCGTGTTCGAAAGTCTGAACTGGTTGACTATGCTGCGAATAGCGCCTCGCACAGATTTGTAATTTGGATCATCTGGGCTAGAGAATTTGACCACATCGTGGTGATTCGCCATAAGAGGTTCTGGGGTCTCGTTATGATAACCTAACAACGATGTGTGCTTTTCTAGAAGCATTACATTCATCGGTCCGACCGGTGTCGTGAGGGTCTCGTAGAAAGAGAAGATCTGCAGCTTTTCCGCGTGATGACGAAACGTGTCGTTTAACTCGTCAATAGTGGTGCTTCCCTGCGTCAACTCCTTGACGTACTCTTTTGGCGAGTGCCCGAAAATGGAACTGGCGAGAATTCGATGCAGGGTCTCTGCGAGGTCAACACCTCGATGGGGGTGGCCATGAAAAGCACGGCTTTGATACTAGATGTGATTTTGCGGTATTGTTCGTTGAGATGTCCATAAATGTCTAACCACGCAAGTTAGCAGTCGTATCAACAGAAAATTTCATGAAGAAGGGAAACATCGGCCGAGCCTTCTCCAGTTTTGGTTACCTACAAGCTTTTTTGAAGACGAGACCTCCCATGGAGTGCGCGACTACAATAATAGGGACTTGACCCATCCTTTCATTCCCTTCTTCGTCATATTTCATATGAAATAAAAGGTCATTGGCGAAGTCACCGATCGTCAAAGAGGCCTGCTCCTTCTTTGCGGCAAAATTTGCGTTATACCCAAATGTCAGGATGCGAGCTGTGGACAAATCTGGTTCTTCCGGTAACCACTTCTTGGGCCAGAATAGCTCCAGGTCTCGGTTCTTACACCACGTCCGGATACTGGTGCCCCCAAGGCCATGGATGAAGAGGATATCCACCGTCCGGTATTTCGATTCCGGAGAGTGGAGGACGGTCAGACCCATGGGGTCATCTCGGCGGTCCTGTAAGCGGCGCTGTTGATGCTCCACGGAGGCCGATGGGAAAAGTTCTCTTTGAACATTGGAAATCTCGCTCAACTGGGATCCCCGTCTCGATGGGACGATGGGCTTGCGAACGTCTAACAACCCATTTGTATCCGAATTCCGTCTTCGGTTAAGGAAAGTGAGTTGAGGAGAGGTGAATATTGGTGTGATCTGGTCCTGACTCTCGGAAGTTGAGCTGGTTGCATCATCCAAGTCCTCGGATCGAGTATTTTGCACGGGCTGTTTTGATTTCAGCCGTTTCCACTGTTTCAACGGCGGTCATAAGCGTTAGCATGCACGCAAAAAGATGGGTTCTTCGTATCGTATCCGTGCGATGAAGGGAGATCAAGTGCAAAAACTATATAGTCTCTCTTGACAAAGCTGCGTCATCCCAGTAGCGTCTCGGCGACATGGAGAGATTAAGCTTCTGCATGCCGCTTGGCGCTCTGTTCTTGAGAGGCCTGGAGATTGTCATGGGAGCAAAAAGGGCACTTTAACATACCATTTCGACGTCAACCGGTAGACACCGCCGTTCCACAGGATCGATGCGCGAGACTCATGGGATTTTTGGATGGAGAGCTGAAGGTCTGAGAAGCAGTGGGTTAGGGTTGGCAAGCGACCGCGAAAACTTGAGTGATCGCAAAGGCGCCTAGTAGCCTGTGCTCGGCCATATTTTGGCGCCATGGCTGACGATACAGGAGCGTTTGTCACGAAGCCTTGCACATCATCCGCTCAAATGTTGGTATCCATCGCATATGTACTGAGGACCAGCAAGTATGAACGGGCTCACCCGTCCCTTTGTCGTTGGCGGTACGGGCGGGATGAAATGGGGGTCTCCCGGGTCTTGGTGGAGTCATCCAACAGCTATAGATCACGGCGACTGGACGACTGCAACAGGCACACTTTGCTTCGCCTGAGAATCGTCGGCATTACAGGACTAGCAGGCCCCTCCGCCTGGCCCCTCTAGCCCCTCGGCCCCTCCACCCTGTTGGTTCGCCGGGCGCCTGGACAAACAACTCGCACTATGCAGCGTCACATCAATAGATTTCGTCCTCGATGTTGGTTGGCGTCTTGGATTGACTTAGCGCCTATTCATTGAATTTCACTATTGTCGAGGACTCGCCCTCACGTCTTCCTTGCCATCTTCCTTTTCCCCCATCATAGCTTTTAACCAACCAGAACGACTAGCACAGTGGTGACTAGCCACGCACGAACTCAGTTATTGAGGTTCAGCATCAAGTGCTGTGGGGCTTCTGAAAATATTGAGACTTTCATAAACATTTGCCTTGCTTAAATCGGTGTCTTCTCGTCAAGTTCATCATGGGTTCGATCACAACCGCCCCGGGGAGCATGGAGGTGATCCCCGTGTCGGTAGGGACATTGGCATTGGACCCCGCAGTAATCAAGGGTTTGTTGGTTGGCCTATTTTATTCAAAACGCGCGATTGCTAACTTCGATGAGCGGCTAGCTCTCGCCGAGGGTCAAGAAGTCCTGTCTGCAGAGAGGTATGGAAATTCTGCCTGGGCATCGACTGCAAGAGTCACAGCCAAAAATCGCGATGGCACGCTACACGATTACTTCCTGAAGGTCGGTAGACAAGCGAACTACCATAAACTTCATTTGGCCAGTTTGACTGACATTCGTAGATCGTGAAAGGAGAACTCGCCGAGCCGCGAGTGCTAGGGGAATTCTCCTGTATGTCTGAGTTGCACAAGACCATGCCTTCTATTGTCCCTACACCGCGCGGCTGGGGCAAATGTCAAGATTCCAAGGAATACTTCTTTCTCTGTGACTATGTGGAGATCGATCACCGTCAGCCAAACCCCGTGAAGCTGGCGGAAGGTATTTCGGAGCTTCATCGAACCAGCGTCTCTCCGACTGGTCAGTTCGGCTTCCACGTTACCCCTTACGATGGCAAGCTTCCGCTCGTGACCGAGTGGGATAGCAATTGGGTATCCTTTTACAGAAAGCTACTGGAAGGCGTGTACAAGCTTGATATTCAAGCAAACGGACACTGGACGAAGCTAGACAACGCCATGAAAATCATTTTAGAGAAGGTAGTCCCTCAGCTTCTTGGTCGCCTGTATGAAGAAGATCGAACCGTCAAGCCATGCTTGATTCACGGTGATTTGTGGGAGGAGAACATCGGCACGGATCCTCGAACAGGGAACATCTATATCTTCGACTCGTGCGCATACTATGCCCATCATGAGATGGCAATCGGGATGTGGCGAGTCGATCATCACCACATGAAAGCGAAAGAATACCGCAATGAGTATTTCAAACGATTCGAGCCAGATGAGCCGGTTGATGAGTACGACGACCGGAACCGGTTATACTGCCTCAAGGAAAAGATCATGTACTCTGCACACGTTCCTGGGACCAAAGCGAGGGAACAGGCACTAGAAGACATGCAGTACTTGATCGAGAAGTTTGTCAACCCTGAATGATTAATTGTGCAATAGAGTTACTTCTGTAGATATCATTTAATACGGATTGTTAGCTTTTACCCGAAAGGACTCGGAATAGATGTCCATAGCACTCCCACGGTGCTCAGACCGAATTTCAAATCTGTCTCCCAGATAACATGATATCAGATTCGTTACTAGTAGTAAGTTTAATTTTCAATCATTAAGCTGCGAGCTACCTGAAAGATATTACAACCTGTCATAGAGTTCTTGTACGCTTGACACTCCTGGCCAGATCAAAATATTTTCTGTGGACATTTCCTCCAACGGCGCTTAGAATTATCGGCAGCTCCGTCCTGTTCTAAGAGTGTGACGGTATAGACCAGGACCATATTGCAATATCGGGCTAGCGCCTATTTTCTGCCCCATATCTGATCGACATATCCCTGAGATCGCGCCGAACGGACAACCTGCAATACCCCGCGGCAAGTTAGGTCTATGAAAATACACCACCAGTTCAGCCAGTCTTTGGACGAGATTTCTGGAGAATCATGGGGTTGAAACTCCTGAGTTTACGACACAAATCAGTAACCGGTCAAGATAATGATCACGATACTGGGCTTGGCTCACCCCATCGTGACCTAGAGACTTCGGATGCAGACGAACGCGGACAAGTGATGATAGCTTCAGACGAGCCCTTGCCCTACTCCGCGTTCACCACCACACAGAAAAGATGGATTATCACTCTTGTTGCCTTTGCCGGCTGGTTCTCCTCCCTGAGTAGTTTTATCTACTTCCCGGCAATTCCTTCTATTGCCTCGGACTTACACATTACTACCGAAAGGGTGAACTTGACCGTAACGGCCTACTTAATTATGTCGGGTATTTTCCCATCTCTTGTTGGCAATGCTGCTGATACCATGGGTCGAAGACCGGTATTCATCGTGACACTGGCGGTCTATGTCGCGGCTAATGTCGGTCTAGCTTTGCAATCCTCGTTTGGTCTGCTTTTCTTCTTGAGAATGGTTCAGAGTGCGGGTATTTCAGGTTCATATTCTGTCACGTATGGTGTTTTGGGAGATTTATTCACTCCTGCTGAGCGGGGAGGATATTCGGGACTCATATCCTTTATTCTTAATACGCCACCAAGCGTTGGCCCCGTAATCAGCGGACTTCTGCTCCAAAGATGGGGCTGGAGATCAATCTTTTGGTTTCTTGCCGCAATCTCACCCTGTTGTCTTGCTGCGATTCTTCTTTTCTTGCCGGAGACGTCTAGGCATGTTGTTGGAAATGGCAACATAGCCCCAACGGGGATCAATCGAGTCTTCTTCCCATGTCTAACTCCCTCGAAATTAACGACCGAGCGTCCATCACCTACTTCGAAAGCAAGATCTTGTCCGATTCCTAAGCCATGGACCACCCTTTCTATTCTTACCCACCCAAGTACTGCAATTGTCGTTGGCTCTGTCGGGGTGTACTACACTATATACACGTGCATTCAAGCATCTTTATCGAGCCTGTTTGGGCAAATATACCACACCTCAGGCTTGGTTTCGGGCTTGACATATCTGCCCTTCGGCGTAGGATGTGCGATAAGCGCCTTTGCCACTGGTGAGTACAGAATCTATTATATGTCATCCGTTTTTATTTTTACTGAATTTTTAACCTCTAGGTAAACTTCTTGATATTGAATATCGATCCACGGCCTCTAGATACAACATCCAGGTGGATAAGTCGAAAGATCATGATCTGACATCTTTTCCAGTTGAAGAAGCTCGCCTACGAATTATCAATTACTTTCTTCTTGTATGTTGCCTGTTGATAATTGGTTATGGCTGGTCTCTTCAATACCAGGCAGTGAGTACCACTCACCATCACGGAAAAATATCTCCCTCTTGAGCATTTCTAACGGTTACAAAGCATATGGCGGTGCCTCTTGTTCTCCAGTTCTTCATCGGGCTTACAATACAGACCGTTTTCACATCTATGAGCACCCTTCTCGTTGACCTTCATCCTGACTGTCCCTCCACAGCCCAGGCAGCAAGTAATTTTGTTCGATGTGAGATGTCTGCGGGCATGCTTGCTCTATTGGATATACTTGTCGCAAAACTTCACCCTGGCTGGTGTTTTGTCTTTTTTTCAGCCCTTGCCCTTGTCTCTATGCCATTGCTTTATGTTTTACAAACCAAAGGTATGGCCTGGCGTCAGAAAAGATCCAGACTGGCTAGTACGGCCTCAGTGGAGGAATCGAGAAACGAGACAATCACAACAGAGATCAACCGGGGAGAAAAAAGAAGCCCTAAGATTTAACAACAAATTATCCATTTATTCATTTCTTTCATTTCCTGTCACTCTGCCCCTTCCACTCGTTTTGACATCATCAATCGGGTTTTAAAGGGAATTGCTTTTGTTGAGTGATTTGCACATGGCGGATTTCCTTAGGAAGCTTTGCGACGGTGATATTCATCAGACAGGCGCTTCTTGTCGGAGTAAAAGTTGTAAATAGCAGGTCTGTGGCAATCATAGAAACTTCTGAGATGTGAAAAAAAGAACTGTGGCCCCTTTCATAGTATTTTGGGCCTTATAATGCTTGTTTTGAATAAACTTGCTCCGAACTTGGTCTCCAAATCCCCCCCCCGCAATCGCGGCCAGGCCGTGTTTTGGTTTGTGGAGCCACGACTTTTCTTTCCGCTGCAGCTCCGCCGAGGACTGTCGTCGTCGAATTCCTTGACTTGACACCCAACATATTGCGCCACTCGGTTCCCAAGCTCTTTGGTAAATAGGCCGCATCCTTGCGCACTGCGAACAGACCTTTACAGCTATAGCTGCACTTGATTGCCCGTTCCGTGTCAGTGCCGCAACAAACACATACATGCATACTCGAGCTCGGTCGCAGTTCCATAACCAGGAGTGAAGAGGTAGTCAGGAGACCATCTCACCACCTGACTCCCTACATAAACTGTCACCAACTGTGCTGCTATTCTAGTCGCCCAGCACCACAATGTTATCCCTTCCATTCCTCACCCCTCGCGACGTGAGTCCCAGCTCAGCCACGCTCCTCCCAATCGTCGCATCGAACATCCTCTAACAGATACATACAGTCCCACGAGCTTTGGTTCGGAAGCGCCGAATCATACCGATCCTCAACGCCGCAACAGCCCGGCCCCGATGCAGCCTTGAACCAACCCTCCCGCCGCAATGGCCCCAACGCCGCCACTCAGCGCGCCTTTATGCCCTCTCGCTCCCCAGCAAATAGCCTCGCCTCTCTCCTCGCCGAGGAACGCGCGCTGAGTGCGCGGAAACAGAACATCGCCATGTTCGGCTATTCCTGGATCCGGCCGGCCGGGTGCGCGAAGACCATGCTTGGGATGAAAGAAGAGGAAGCGGAGCGAGAAGAGGCGCTGGCTGCGGCGGCGGCGGAGATGGGCGCTGTCGATACGGAAGGCATGATGGATGATGATCTGGGAATGGCCCAGGGCGAGGGCGAGGAGGAAGAGGGCATGGAACGGGATTTGGACGATGACATTCCGGACGCGGACGTGGATGTTGAAGGCGAAGGGCTTATTGAGGAAGGGGAGGAGGGGCTGGAGGGGGATGATATTGGGGACGAGGAGGGGTATATGGAGCGGGATCTAGACGATGACATCCCCGAGGGTTATGCGGACGATGATTTCGACGAGGAAGGGTTGTACGAGGACGGGGACTTTGATAATCATCCTGATCTCGATGCAGACATTCCCGAAGCCGAGGACGGAGACGGCATGACGGAGGGCATGAGCCGTGACCTGGACGGAGATATCCCCGAGGCTGCAGAAGATGGATCCGAGCAAGAAGAAGAGTGGCAGCATACAGATACTGAGGAGGAACTGGACGACGACGATGATGATGAGGTTATGCGAACACGCTTCACGGAGAACTTCAGAACCAGCACGCCTAACAGTCGTGGCGGACTACCGCCACCTCTACTTCGACGCGAGCGTGAGACTGAAGCTCAGCGCCGGTTCCTCCAACGATGGAGCGGCGGCGGGGATGCCTTTGATTCGAGTAGTATGATGTTCGAAGAAGATGATCTTCGTGCCTCAATTACAAGCCAAAGCAGTCGACGAAGTGGTTTTGGTCGACAATATCCTCGACGAGTTGGTGCTCCACGAGATAGCCTCAATTGAGGTTGAACATACTCCAAGTTCCTACTATGAAAGAAGATGCGGATCACTACTACACGAAGAGTTTGCATTTGATTACAGGCGTCTCAGGGGCATACGTGGATTGGTGGCATGTATTAAATGGCGTTTAGGGTTTAACATAATATGCAAGATACTCATGGCGATGGAGAGTATACTGCATGTCGTTCACTCTTTATTTTTGACCAATTCGAATCCTGCTGCAAGAGAAGAGCCACTCATGCGCTGCGCTCTATGAGCAGTCACTTTATCAGATGTCTACTGTAGGCGTTTAAAGTATGGATCGGGGTGGACGATGGGCACTGCAAAGGTCTAATATTTATAGAATAATCCCAAAACCGCTTCAAGATGTAAAAGAGTCGAAAAGCACGATATTCTATCCGGCGCGAGCACTTGGCATAGGCCCGCGCTACCTATTGATTAAAGTTCACGGTGATTCATGTACTTATACATCCACGAAGGCCACCAAGTCAAATCTCCAGTCAATTTGGGATAGGCGAAACATGGCAGCTATGATCCACAAAGACGAAGAGGTATTCGACATTGTATGAAAGATGAATAATAAAAAGAGAGAAACAAATTGCAACCAAAGGTTTCCAAAGAAAAACGCCATGACACCGTAGCCAGAAAAGCCATGCTCTTACTAGAAAACTTGTATGTATGTGCGCCCAAAACGCGAAGGCGAAGCCAGAGGGAGATGGACCTCGCTCGACTTCGAAGGTAGAAATAAAGAAGAGGAGATTGAGGACGACGCTTCAGAGTGTACCAAGAGGTATAGGGTATAGTGTTGCTCTGCCAATTAAAAGAGCCACACGTAGAAGAATAAAAGGAATACCGCGAAAAAGAATCCAAGCCACACCCTCCAGCCGACGCCGGTGCGCTCAGCCATGCGAAGCATGCGGTTCATGTTTCCTCTGATTCGGACACGAGTGTTTTCAAAGGAACTCTCCAGATTCTCAAGGTGTGTGGTATCTCTGATTTCGTCGCCGATTGCAAGGGTGATCTAGAAAGAATCTTGGGTGAGTCGGCGGGCTCTTTGAGATAATACGGTTTATGTGGTGTTCGTAGCATGAAAGAAGCTTACATCCTTGAGCATCTTTACTTTGGCAGTAATCCCTTCCACCTCTGTGTCGTTCTGAGATTCAAGAGACGACAGAACAGCATCCGAGTAATGGCCCCTAAGGTGGATGTTAAATTCAGTCACGACAAAAGAGCTCAACACGTCGCGCTGCTCTTAAACATACTTCTTATCGGGAGTCGCGCTCCGGTAATTCACCCCTCCAGCACTGCCATTGCCATAACTATTGCCAGCTGGGCCGGAGTACCCTCCATATCCGTATCCGCCGGCCGGAGCAGGCGACCTGCTGGCCGGGCGAGAGTCACCACCGTATGAGTCGAAAAGGGACGATCCAGCACGAGCATCACGCTGGCGTGGAAATCTATATTGTAATATAATGTTAATCTAGGAATAATTCGAATTGATTTGGCCGGAGGCAGGCCACCAAGAAAAGGAGATCAGAAGACGATACCGTGAAGCCATGACAGTCGTAGGTAAAGCGGTTCAAGGACGAACCGCGGTTGACTGAGAGGCGCGTCAATCAAAAAGTAATCTCGGGATCTGTTCAAGAGCAGTGTAAAAACATTGCGCGATGCTGAAATTCCAAGATTTCCACGATATTTGCGTGGTTGGCTCTCTTGGATGCTTGCGGAGGCCAAAACCACCAGGTGGCCAAAGCGTATGTCCGCTTCCCGAGGCAGTTGCACGTGATGGGACCAGCCTATGTTTACAATCGCCAGTGCTTAGACTCTGGGAGAAGGAACTTGTTCGCTTTGGCGCAAGCGATTATTACGTATTTTGAACCAAGTGTTCATCAGGACTGGGTTTGCGCGCAAAAAGGCGCAGCTGGTCGCGCGCTCCGCGTCTTCTGGCGCATCGGCGCAACCCACCCTATACCTCCTAAGCAATAATATCCAGAAGTCTACAACTAGCGATTGTTACAGAACTCAATACAGCCCGCGCGCACGGTCATACTTTGAAGAAGCAAGTGGATGGATTTGACATAGATTCAAATATGAAAGGAGAAAAAAAAATTGGGAAGCGAGTTTCGTTGGTTCATCGTCATCATCTTGCCCTAGTTTTGGCGTCCTCGAACCAGAGCGTATGGGCTCGAAAGACAGGGCAGAGAACCTCCCATCAACCGGTAGCGCCGAGTGTCCAAAGCCATTTCCGTATCTTCAGAGCTTTGTCGTTATAACCAGCCGTTTAATCGCGCATCTGGTTGTCGTCCTCGGCGGCTTGGTAGTCCTCATCATCGTCCTCGTCATCCTCCATCTCATCCTGATTCTGGATTCGTACATCTTCCCAGTTAATGTTCTTGCCGCGTGTGCGGCGACCGCCTGAGATGATGTTGTCCTCAGAGATGGGCTCGAGGTTGTCACCGTCCTCGTCATCGTCTGTCACAGAACCAGATTAGTATTGGTTGGAAAGGTTGGACTGTAAGGATCGGATTTGTGATTATCAGATCAATTAGAGATGGAGCTTTCTATGCCGGCACCACAAGCAGTCGCGAGGGTCAGAGGAGGACAAGGAATCCTCGCGATGAGGGGTAACGCACCGTTGTTGTCAGCCTATAAATGTGGAGGAATTAGCTTTCAATCTTGAAGGGTGGGTGAAAATTGAGGCTTTCAATACCATCTCAGCCTCGCTCTCCGAGTCGCTTTCATCCTCATCCATGCTCAGATCGTGGGTGGGGTCCTGGGCTTTGCCCTTGCCCTTCTCCGCGAAAGCGGCATCGGGAGCATTGGCGGCGGGGTCGTTGGTAGTCGCGTAGTCACCCATGGTGAATATGTGTGAGAGTGTGTTGGGGTGTTGTGGCGGAGGAAGGGGGGTGGGATTGGAGGAGAGTGAGAGAGGAAAGGAAGATTTGGAAGAGACGGTCTGCGAGGCAAGGTGTAGCTCTCCAACCAAAACAACCTGCAACAGTAAGGGACGCCGAGCCCCCGTGATGTGATTCGCCCTCGGGCGGTGGAGACCCCGTGACGGGTCGAGCCCTGAGGCATCGATGTTTGCCTAGATCTGGACGGGATTCATGCGGTCGATGCACATGCATAAGCGCAACAATAGAACCACTCAAGGGGTCAGCCTAGAAAGGGTGTTTCAAATGTTTTCTTCAATTACTCCCCTGGACTGAACTGTGGACATAACTTCTACATTATGAAACAGTATCTAGGTGAGTTCTGGTATTTTTGGATAGGAGAAGAAACTCCCCAAGCTGCCTCGGCAGAGATCAATGGTACGAAACAGTAGCGATCAGACAGAAGATAACTTATCGGATGTCTAAATTATTACTCTTTTACTGGGAAAGTATGAGAGATTGAGGTGTGGGATCACTTCGGTTGGCCGAGCAGAGAGATTTCATCCAAGTTGAACATTAAGACTAGCCAGACATTTTTTATGAAGACCTGTCCATACTAGCGAGATCCGAGGTCTACCAAGAATAATCAATACCGAGAATCTTCAGCTGTCCAGCGCAAAGCACCGCTCAACCGAATCGGCATTGTTTCCCCACCAATTTGGCATTGAGATCTGTTTGCCAGCTCCGAAGAAGAAAAAGATGAGCAACATATTCAAGTTGAATCCCGCATCAAAAGCAGCCGCAACTAAGTAATTGTAACGCTTCCATACTTCGAAATGACGTCGATATGCCCAGTACATCACGATATACCCACCGATAATCGCGGACGTGTAACCGGTGCTAACATTACCGTAGAACATGGCCAGGCCGCCGAAGAAAATACTGACGTTCCATAGATCGATCCGCAACTTCGGGAAGAATCGATGCAGAACAAATAGAACTGGCGGAATGACTGCGCCGACTAGGAACGACCAGGGCAGCGGGCTCATCTCGGCCTCAGCAAAGAGCCTCTTTGGGCCGAGGATTGCATACTGGACACCCATTGTGTTGGAAGTCTGTAACTTCTGACCAGTCCACTGGTTGAGTGGGTCTGACTTCTTGCCGGTTAGATAGTCGCCTTTAGTATCCATAATCCAGCGGATAACGGCATAGTTGATGGGCACGCCCATGCAGACGCCAAAGATCTGGGAGAAGAAAATCGCCCGGGGCGGAATATGCATGTAATGTCCGATCTTTTGATCTTGCAACATGTACTGCGCGCGATACCAGGCATCTCCGGCAATTGAGCCGTACACCGAAGGGCCACATGGATGCTGATGACCGGAACCAGCTTTGGTGTGTACCATGTAGCCATACATCAGCTCGTTGAAGGAGCCGGTCTCAAGTTGGTAGTTCGAGATAGCATACAGCCAAGCGAAAGGAATAACGAAAATCGCGGCGCTTGCGAGAGCCACGAATAAGGTCCAGATCGGGATAAAGAGATATCCACATGCGATAGTTGTGATCAGAATAATGAATGCCGCCAAGAAGAGCACCAAATACCACCAGAGAGGAATCTCTTTGTATTGTCTTTGGATGACATTAAGGCGATCGTGATACTGATGGTGAATACTCTGTCCTGCTGCAGCCTTGGCAGACTTGCGACTCTCGAAAATTTTGATAAAATTCTGTCGCACCTGCGTGAAGCCAAACGTTGCGATCCAAGTGATCGCCGCCGGCAGCTTGGCATAGTCAAAAAAAGTTGCCCACACGTTCTGTAACCCCATATACATGGGGCCATACTCTTCATATGCAGTTTCGTTGAGGTGGTAAGTGGAGGTCATTACTTTGGTGACCGGGTAGCTTGTGCCATTGGCCTGAAAAAGGCTGTTGGACATGAGGCCATGCTTGTAGCTCCCTAGCTTTCCCCATTTCGCCGCAGGAAGGAGAACCCAGCAATTGAAAGCAAAGGCCAGAAACAAGAGCACTTGCGTCCACCAGGGAGTCAGCATGATCGAAGACCCGTTCCAATTGATGTTGGACCAATCTAGCGAGAGATTGAGGAAGCCCATACCGCCCAGCCCCGAGCCGATGAAGTTAGCTACTGGGTTCCGTGGGGCAACCCAGCACAGGAAGGCTAGGGAGGAGGTGAAAGGAAAGACATACTCTGGCAGAAATTGCCACAAAGTCATACCCAAAAGAGCAAAGAAGAAGACCTTCATCTGACGACGGGCGAGCGCCGAGGAAGTATCGGTCCTCCGGAAGGTTTCGAATAGGGTGGTCTGCATCAAGGCCTGCGGCCAGATATACTCCGGATCGGGCAGCAGGATGTTTCGCGCGAGTGCAGCAAAAGCATATCCGGTCCACACGATGGCCAGCATGAAGAATATCGCCACGGCCGGGTTGATCCTCTCCCCATACCAGAGTTCCGCCAGGACAATCGGGGCATAGCCGAGATTATAGGTCGCCCCCGATGCAGCTGTCACAGTCACCAATACATGTTCCTTGATGCTCCAGGGTCCTGGGTTGAGGCTGAACCCCCAGGTAGTTCCCGGCACTCGAATGTTCCAGGCCGGAAGTGTTCTGGCTAGAAAGTGACCGGCATAGTGACAGGCAATTTGGACGAAGAAGACGGAGTACGGCGCTTGGGTTGTTCGGAAGTAGCTCATCTGTGACAGGAACGCTCCCGGGATCACGAAAAGGGCCGCCAGCACAAAATAGCGGAAGGTGATGGTGGGCAAGGTGGGATCGTCGGTGAGATTGATCAGCTGGCGCACCTGCAATGGCAGTGCGGCAATTTCAGGGTTTTCATGACTTTCTTGTTCAATCGCGAAGGTCTCTGTTTGGGCCTTGATCTTTTCCTCGTCGGCGCCGGTGGTCTGGTTCGTCTCCGAGGGAGAAGAAAGCGAGGACACCTCTACAGGATCCGCATGATCGCTCGTGACGATCGTCGTTGACTGTTCGACTTGGTGCCGTCGCTTGAGTACACCCAGGAGTGACATCCTTGGTCAGACACCACAGAAACCAACCGGGTGAATGAGCGGGAAAGGGAGAGCTCAGATTTACGAAGTTCTACCAGTCCCCGCGCGGGGTCATCCCTTGTTTTAAGAGGGGATGAGTTCTTCTGAATATTTTTTTTTTTTTTTTAATTTCTTTATTTGGGTTATTTCTCATGGCGTGCGATGCCAGCTTATCAGCACCATTCTCCGATTCTGCGAATTGACCGAGGAAACCACGAACCGCCCATACACCGGGCATCAGGCGCATTAAGGAGGAGCCAATAGGATCTCTTCCAGGGCCTTCAAAGCGGGGGGTCTCGGGGTTTTACCTTTGGAGATGTTACATTGGCCGGTCCAAAAGCTTGCGAAGCTTAGGAAGGAAGATACAATTTCGGGGCGATTTAAGCATAGCGCGGATGGCGTTATCAGGGCGCGCCAAGCAGGGTTAGCGTCCCCGGCCCTTTTGCCCTGAAGGCCCGGAGCTGTTATTAATATAAACTCAGAAAGTCCAGTTTCCATTGGAAGAATTCCTAGTTGCCAGAGGCCAAGCAATCTAGTTAGTCCACAGAGGGAGTGGGAATCGATCCTCTTGGTGGCAATCCCTTGTTGGCTTTCTTTCCTTTGGCTCCTGCGGACTTGTGCTCTAGACCATGTCGCAGAGAGGACACTTGAACAGGGAATGAGGGTTATGGATGATACACGATGGGAGATAGAGTATGAATTCTGGAGTATAGGCAATGGCAAGCTTTCAATACAGTACCCACGAGGCTCGTTTGAACGATAAGGGTTCGAAGGAATTGTTATCTAGGCTTGACTCAGGCTGGATACTGCGGCGGGGCATAATGCGCATAAGGCGACAAGGCAACAAGGCGAAACGGATATTCTAGCCTTAGTGCCTTAACGCCTTGAAAGCATGGCATTAAATTTTTGCCACCTTCATAAGGCATAAGATATCAGATCATGTGACCCATCCCTCCTCCCAAGCCGTTGTTGCCCGAGTGATTTTGGGGTGGAGTGCATGAATTCATCATGACGCTCTCCAAGTCCGTGACCGTACCAGTACCAATCAGCCGCACCCCTCTCCACCCCGTTTTCCCCCTTGATAAGAGGAATGCTCACGTCACAAAACCCACTCCATACAGTGTCTGTAGTCACACCCGTCACAGTCGGTCAGGCCCTCATCCCACCATGATTACATCATACTTTGCCCCGCCAAAAAAAAAATTCAATAGAAAGCAGCATCAACAAAGGCAAACGATGGCAATTGCCAACTCTCTGGCAGTTAGGGGAATGGTACAGAGCTTTGTCGTAGTCACCCGGCTCCACTCGACCCATCTGGAAGCCACCAGTAGGCCCATGAGGGCTGTGGCAGGCGCTGTTGCTGGGGCATCGAAGGCAATGGAACCCGATGGATGCCCATGGAAGCTCCCCTGCTAGAAGCTTCTGAGCAATACACCGCTCACTATATAGCAGGATTTCGCTGCCCACACCCTCCCATCCTTTTTTTCTCTTTCACTACTCTCATCTAAACCTCCTCATATCCCCCTTCCTCCTGTACACTATCTGATTTCCTCACGAATTTCCTTTTTTAACGACTTCTCCCTCCTACCTTATACTCTCACACACATTCACAATGGCCCCCGCTGTCGGTATCGATCTGGGTACCACCTACTCCTGTGTGGGTGTGTTCCGTGATGACCGCATTGAAATCATTGCCAACGACCAGGGTAACCGCACTACCCCCTCGTTCGTTGCCTTCACCGACACCGAGCGTCTGATCGGTGATGCCGCCAAAAACCAGGTTGCCATGAACCCCCACAACACCGTTTTTGATGCCAAGCGTCTCATCGGTCGTCGTTTTGAGGATGCTGAGGTCCAGGCCGATATGAAGCACTGGCCCTTCAAGGTCATCTCCAAGGCCACCAAGCCCGTCATTGAGGTTGAGTTCAAGGGTGAGGCCAAGCAGTTCACTCCCGAGGAGGTTTCCGCCATGATCCTCGTCAAGATGCGTGAGACCGCCGAGGCCTATCTCGGTGGCACCGTTAACAACGCTGTCATCACTGTCCCCGCCTACTTCAACGACTCTCAGCGTCAGGCTACCAAGGATGCCGGTCTCATTGCTGGCCTCAACGTCCTGCGTATCATCAACGAGCCCACTGCTGCTGCCATTGCCTACGGTCTCGACAAGAAGACCGAGGGTGAGCGCAACGTCCTGATCTTCGATCTGGGTGGTGGTACCTTCGATGTGTCCCTCCTGACCATCGAGGAGGGTATCTTCGAGGTCAAGTCCACTGCCGGTGACACTCACCTTGGTGGTGAGGACTTCGACAACCGTCTCGTCAACCACTTCGTCAACGAGTTCAAGCGTAAGCACAAGAAGGACCTGACCACCAACGCTCGTGCCCTCCGCCGTCTCCGCACTGCTTGCGAGCGTGCCAAGCGTACCCTCTCTTCCGCCGCCCAGACCTCCATCGAGATCGACTCTCTCTTCGAGGGCATCGATTTCTACACCTCCATCACCCGTGCCCGCTTCGAGGAGCTCTGCCAGGACCTCTTCCGCTCCACCATGGACCCCGTCGAGCGTGTCCTCCGTGATGCCAAGATTGACAAGTCCTCCGTCCACGAGATTGTCCTCGTCGGTGGTTCTACCCGTATCCCCAAGATCCAGAAGCTCGTTTCCGATTACTTCAACAAGGACCCCAACAAGTCCATCAACCCCGATGAGGCCGTTGCTTACGGTGCTGCCGTCCAGGCCGCTATCCTGTCCGGTGACACTTCCTCCAAGTCCACCAACGAGATTCTGCTGCTCGATGTTGCCCCTCTGTCTCTCGGTATCGAGACCGCTGGTGGTGTCATGACTCCTCTGATCAAGCGTAACACCACCATCCCTACCAAGAAGTCCGAGACCTTCTCTACCTACTCCGACAACCAGCCCGGTGTCCTGATCCAGGTCTTCGAGGGTGAGCGTGCTCGCACCAAGGACAACAACCTGCTCGGCAAGTTCGAGCTCACTGGCATTCCCCCGCCCCCCGTGGTGTTCCTCAGATTGAGGTCACTTTCGATCTTGATGCCAACGGTATCATGAACGTCTCTGCCATCGAGAAGGGCACTGGCAAGTCCAACAAGATCACCATCACCAACGACAAGGGCCGTCTCTCCAAGGAGGAGATTGAGCGCATGCTTGCTGAGGCCGAGAAGTACAAGGCCGAGGATGAGGCTGAGGCTGGCCGTATCCAGGCCAAGAACGGTCTCGAGTCCTACGCTTACTCCCTCAAGAACACTCTCTCCGAGGGCAAGCTCCAGATCTCCGAGGACGACAAGAAGAAGGTTGAGGACAAGATCAACGAGGTCATCTCTTGGCTCGACAACAACCAGACTGCCGAGAAGGACGAGTACGAGAGCCAGCAGAAGGAGCTTGAGGGGTATGTTTCATCTATTCTTAATTGATCCCCACGTGAGATAACATGATACTAACATTTTTTTCTCTTGCAGTATTGCCAACCCCATCATCTCCGCTGCCTACGGTGGTGCCGCTCCCCCGGTGGCGCTGCCCCCGGTGCCGGCGGTGCCCGCTCCGCTGATGAGGTCGAGGAGAAGCCCGAGGAGCTTGACTAAACGTCTCGCCCTGAGCTCTTTTCTTTTTCGATTTTATGATGCCCGCCGCCTGGCTTTAAGTCCTTTTCCTTTCACGTCTTGTTTTACGAACTTATGGGATATCGAGTTTTCTTTTTGCGCATGATTGCATAGATCCAAGGTTATCTCGGCTGGGTAAAAAAAAGTCCTAGCGAATTTAAATTCCTTTAATTCATGTCTTCCACTCTGTAATCCAAAATGTAGGAACTTTTGCAGAATACATCGTAGTCCTCAACAAACTCCCTTTGCCTTGCTCTTCAATCGACATTGAAGTTTTTTGACTGTGACAATACTTGTTCCCCAAAATCTTGATCTTATGTCGAATATATATATTCAACAAGGTCAAAATTTAACTCAAATCTGAGATTACCACAAGCGGTTGCCACTGGATGTACAACAACTTGACAAGTCCTAAATGTACTGGATCCCGAGAAGCTTGCCCGTCTCTCTAACAAACGTGATAGCACACAGTAAAACATCCAGTCACCATGGATCTTAGCACAGCAAGGCAGGAGCAACCAACAAGCTCACAACCAGAGCGTGAAAAAGCAATAATCAAGATATCGAACGCAATAAAGGAACACAAACTCCAAACCCCAGAAAACACCTGCCCATCCAACCAAATCCATGATTATATGTGCCGCCGCTCCCCAAGCTCACACCTCAAATGCGACCCCAGATTCCAGGCACACCCACACTAGCGCCATAGTTTTTACATCGCTATTAGGTGCTTAGAGGTCCTTGAAATCTCCGTTCCACCACCGCTGCAGCCGTCGCTGGCCCAGCTGCACGACTGTGCCGTACCCGATTTCCGATGCCTTGTCCGGGTTTTGCTCGATCTGGTCACGACGGATGCGGGAGAATGCGGCAGCGACGCCAATGCCGAGTGCAAAGATGGGATCGCCCACTCTAGTTTGTGGGAGGTGGGTTAGCAATGGGTGTATCGGTATTCCGGAGGAAGATACTTTGGGGGAGGGGAGCCGGGGTTGCCAAAGGAGGGGGGTAGGATGTTGGATATTCTAGTCTGTGTAGATTATGACATACCGGGAGAGAAGATAGACAGTCATTGTCACCTTGTTTGGTTTGGTTGCGTGAAACGTGGGTGGATATGATGGGCGGGAGTTCGACGTTGGGAGATGAAGCTATCCAGTCACGTGAGGCTATCATGTTGAGATATATGTCCCTACGGCCTTCCCGGAAAAGCAGAGGGGTTAGTTGGGTGTTCAAGATACAGAATCTAAAAGAATTATTACCCAAATAAGAGTGAGTGATACTTGGTGGTAATAGAGATGGAGAATTTTTTATTTCTTGACTGTAAGCTAGACCTCGTCGCAGAATAAACCGTATCTATGGGGGGGGGGGGGGGGGGGGGGAAAATACACAAGCGGTCCAACGGAGGGGAGCTAGAAAAGCCCGCAAGAACCCGGGAAAGAAGAAATTAACAAAAATGGGGGAGTGTCGAAAAACGCCGCGGCTAAAAAACCTGTCAAGTATGTAGCCTCTCTTTCTTTATACAACCTGGCCGAAGGCAGGAATCAAAGTCTGTGCCAGCCAGAAGCTGAAAACGAGCTTGGGACCGGTCATCAGCAGCTTAGGAGTCAGACCCTTGAAGAAGCTGGGGAATCCCTCGTTCTTGAGCATGTTCGATACAATCCGGAAACCGGACTCGGGGTTCTCGAAGTTGCGGTTCTGGATACGGGTCTTGATGACATCCAAGGGGGCGGAGACGATCAGAGAAGCGCTAGCACCGCAGACGGAGGCGACGAAGTTCTGGGACCAGGTGGCCGAGTTGTAGTCCTTCAGGCTGTAAATGTACTCCTTGGCGAAAGCAGAGCCACCGAAGAGCTTTGGATTATGAGTCAGAATCCAGGTGTAAAAAAGACATGAAAGTCAAAACAGGAACTTACAGCGAAGGAGCCAGGGGCGTTACGAGCAGCGGTCCAGCCGGCACCGCGGTAAAGACCCATACCCTCATCGGAGATGATCTTGAACAGACCACGGCCACGGAAGGCCTCCGGGTTTGTCTGACGCTTAATCTTTAGGACGTCCAGAGGCAGTAGGACGATCTCACCAATACCAATCACACTATCGTAGAAAGTCAGCCACCAATATCGCATTGACTTCATCTTTATTCAGGGAAGAGTTTCTTACCTGCCCGCAGTAGCGTGCATGATGGCCTTGCCAGTTCCCTTTCCGAAAGCATTGTCGAAGTCGGAGCCGTGATGCAGGGCCAGGTAGTCGCGCGCGAAAGGCTGACCGCCATACTTGTAGATACGCTGAAGGACCTATTTATTCAGGAGTCAGTGGCCGGTCCCCTCGCACAAGCAAATTCTCTTCTTGTGTCGGAAGCACAAACCTTGTAACCAGCGGCATAGCCCAGACCGGGGAAAAGGGAGGTGAACTTGCGGCCGGCGGTAGCATTGGCGTACTCCTTGAAGACGACCTTGTTGAACTCGGTGGCCGAGGAGATCTAGCAAGACCCTGATTAGCAATCATTTCTCGATGCCCATGCGCAAAACCAGTGCATTCTCACCCGAGTCTGGTTGCTCATCAATCGCTTGGCCGTGGTGTCAACCTATCAAGGGGTTGTGTCAGTGCCAGCATAAATTGGCTCTCAAGGCAATTGAATCGTACAGGATGGAAGACCATCAGCTCGGCGATACCAGCACAACCTACGGAATCAACAATGTTAGCAATCCACACTCATGAGTCGCCTATTTTGGGGACTTTTTCTTACCGGAGCCGAGGAGACGGGCAGTCGCAGACTCCTTCTTGACATCCTTGGAGGCGGCACCAGCGCCGGCTTGGACAATAGCGCGGGGACATCTTGTGTGAGGGTTGAGAGAATGAACCAGTGAAGGGAGCCCCCAGGAACGAGGAACATGTGCCTGTAAATTTTATCGGAGCGATTCGGGTGCGACGCTAGTCCCGAAAGGGATCCGGAGTCGGAGAAGCCGCCAAGCAACTCATGGGACCATCCAATTTCTGGGACTATGGAGATCGGGTCACCGCGATAAGACGAAAGTGCATCACTCTCGCCATTATCCTTCATTTAACCAGGGCATCATCTGAGTTTTAGCGATGTATTCCATATCGAGCCCGACTGATCCATTAAAAGGGACGGGCATTGGCCTCACACGGCGCCCTACAGTGACTTAGAAAAGGACCATAACGGATGTATCAAAAGTGGGACATCAGCCCTGGAGTTTTCATTTCATTTCATCAATGTAAAAAAAAGCTAGCAGGCTTTAAGCAGCCTAGCAAAGATGGAATATCAAATGTGTGCAACACCGAATTAACGCCGCAAGACCAGAAAAGACAAATAGGACATCTCCAGATTGAACCCATCGTATCCACCAAAGCCAACTGGATATATTAACATCGGTCATCCGTCATAGGTGAACGCAGGGAGCCGAGGACCAGGAGGTAGGGCAAATCAAATAGGTAAGGCGTATGACCTTCTACAGGTCACCGAATGTGTTCTCGCCGGAGTATCTAAACATTCCGTTAGGTCAATATGGTCTGCTCACTGGTGGGTGAATATACAGAGGAAGGGAAACAGGCACATACGTGATGTACAGAAAGCCATCCTCGTCCTTGTGCTCTTCGTAGATGCTGCTCATCAGGGCGGCCGTGGGCGGCAGAACCTCATCGACGAAGATGAAAATCGCCTTCTCTGGGGAGAGCTTGATACGTTTGCGAATTACATAGACAAACTGGCCCACAGTCAAGTCGGCCGGGACAAGGTACTTCTTCTTGTCGATGGTGGCGATGTCCGACTTCTCGACCTTCTCGCAGATAACCTATGATTGAATCCGTTAGCTACCGAAAGAGGCGGTGAAGGCGGTTGGGACTCGTAGCACCGGAAACCACCAGCGATGGAAATTCAGATCACATCGAATAGATACTTACTGGGATGCGGTCCGCATACTTCTGACGAATGCGTTCAGCTTCCGCCTTTCGCTTCTCGAAGGGGTGCTCGTCCTTGAACTTGGAGCGCATGGTTGATAAGCTGATAACGTAAAGCGGGTCGGGTGTGGAGCGATGAGACAAAGGGACTCAAGAGAGCCTGAGTCGGAAAGAGTTCTAGTGTGTAGAGACAGTTGCGTGGAGACAGCCTCGAGATGAAGCTGGGTTTCTGAGAGGAACGATGGAGGAGGTGAAGTGTGAAGGAGAGGGGGAAACGGATGCCTGTCGATGACAAAAAGGGCAGCCCCCGCTGACGTTACCGTAAGGATACCATCACACGGGGCGGTGAGTCACGCGCCCGACTCACGTGAAGGGTCACTTGCATCTCAACAGCATCGCCGTTGATGCACCACTTGACTACTTCCCTTTCCTTAAAGGGACTGAAAGTATTGACTTTGATATAGTGTCCAAAGAAATGGTAAGATAATTTTGGTGCATTTGAGAGCTTAGATCTGGTCAAGAGAAATGTTTCCAATCGGATTATCCACTTACAACCTAACAGTCGGCCCAGATCTAGTTTAGTGCCAGAACAGGCCGAGGATCGAAGATCATTATCATCGTTATGCTATTGTTTCTCCCTAACAAGAGCCACACCGGAGTTCCCCCAAAACAGTTTTCCACAACCCTTATCACTCGTAATTTTCAACCTCTGAGCTGCTATGTAAGCCTGAAAAATCAGGTAGATGTTGACTGTTTGGGGCGTCTTCGGAGCTCTACTCGACGACGGCCTATTATACCTCCATATTCCAAGGCACTTACCCAATACATGTTACGCTTGTACACCATACTCTCTCGTGTTTCATATTCCAAGTATTGAAGTAGCTATTATCTATATTTATTTCGCTATTTTCCAATTCCGTAGGTATATCTTCAAGGCCAATATTGATGAGATAAAGAAAAGCGGAAGTTCGATATATTCGACAACGGATTCCATTCCATAACTTTCCTAAGCAAGCTCACCTCCAAAGTTTTCTTTTTTTCTTTTTTTTTTTCTCACAAGAAATCAAAAATTACCTGCACCTGCATTACTTAGGATATCAGACTGTGCCTCGCTTACCGAGCTGACCAGAGCAATAGTCATTTCCGAGAAGTTGCAAGAGAACAAAGCACCAGTATAAGCCATCAGAGTTCCAAAATCCAAGACAATATGTCATTTTCTATCGTCGGTTGAGAGCCCACCTACACTGCTCATTGATCTCATTGATCAACATATCGGGGGAGTTGAAGATGCTGCCCTCGTAGTCCCCCATCACAGTGGTGACACCGTCCCAGATATTCCCTTCAAAAATCTCTCCAGCGGTAGTTTTTCTGTAGGAATAATTTAGTCAGTATCACCATATCAAAGGCCCAATAGGTGTGTTCATCACAGCCATTGGAATAAGACGTCTCTCGATTGATACAGTTGTGGAGATTGAATCACGCCCCACATATACCCCGAATTCAAGTCGGTCACTTGAATATTTTGCCTGTACCGTCTCAGAACCTCAGGCCTTTGGTCTTGATGATGCCGCTGTAACCAATGCTAGAATAGTCTTGTTTGAAGCAGTATTGTGGTTGCAGCAGCGTACTGACCGGTAGTTAAGGTTGTTGAATATCCACAGCCATCTTAGAAATTTTTCTGCACATGCATCTCTTGTGCTCTAGAGAGCACAGACATTCCCGCTATTTGTTGTCTTCTGAGTCTGTGAAGTCAAACTCTTGGTTCAAAACAATGACATGGGGCGGTATTATCTGTCATCCACTCTCTGAGCTCATCAACGTCACTAGGGTATTGCGCTTCCGCACTCTCTCGGCCGGTCACGTCAACAGGTAGCAAAACCTTCAGCTTAATTACAGAACGTTTGCGATGCATCAAGATGGGGACACAAGGAATCATTCAAAACTTGATAGTTTTCTTCCTTGGAGTTTGCAGAGGAATAATAACTGAGCAAAAACATGGCATTGGGCCAGAAATTTGAAACAAGTATAAATACCGCGAAGACATTCCCTTCCTGGGATGTGAAATTGTACCAAAATATCTCCTCTCTCTCTACTCTTCATGAGGAAACTGGTCCGATAGCCCCTAGGAAAATGAATAACCCAAGTGTTTCTAATTGAGGAATCGCTTGCATTATTCCCTTTGTAAGCGTTTTTGATTTGACAGGAATTATTGTGTTAGCTTGCTCATCAACCCAAGAGCAGAAAAGAGATGGTTTTGCTGTTATTAAACCTTCATAGTCTTTTATTTTTTTTTCAAAAACTTATTCCCTTAGAATGTGTATGCTATGATGAGCTTTATAGGATAACCCATGAATTTCCCAGTCAAGATCGGAAAAATTACTCGGAAAAATATCAAAAGCAAGAAATAATATATTCAGTCCTAGGATGATTTTGTCTATCCCAGATCCGTTCTTATCGATTTCGATTCCTCCATTACTATGTAGACTTCACTATAACCAACTCATCGTCAGAGCTAAATTCGAATATTGCAGCACTATCATCACTAAAGAGCTCAGTCAAAGTGTCACTGTCACTGATATTATTGCTAGCACTGTCATAATTGACATTCCACTCGGCCTACCCTCAAAGGGCAGAGAGGCGATGGAAAATCCTTTTGATTTCTAGTATTCAAATGAGGGAAGAGGAATAGTGTCGGGATCGGAGGTTTTGAGCGGAAAACATGACTGGATGTAATGGGTCTCATGGTTTTAAAATCATACAACACAATCGTGTCGTCTGGTGAACTTGGAAAAACTTCCAAATCTGCGCGTTGTGACGGCGTATCATCGGACGAGTTAATGCTTTGTTTTTGAGCGGAAATCACCAAAACTCTACATTCATAGACATTCTATGTAGTGCCGAACGATGGGGCTTAGGGCAAATATGTGTCTCTTCCAGCACGCATATGCTAGATAGGAGGGTGTGATGAGATCTTGGCACTGTTCGATATCCGAAGCCGGAACGTCGTGGTGGAGGGCTGCGTTTCTCCACAAGCTGACCTTCCCGGGACTCCAAAAGTGTGACAAGAGTGTCCGTAATCAATGGGTCAATGCGTTCCTGTCTCTCCATAGACGAGGTACTATCGGTGCGGCGACCAGGTTTTGTGGGTCAAGACGTGTTAGCACGCAGGGCTTGCGATCTCTCTAAAGCACTAGCCCCAACATTTATTAGCACAACCCTAGCAGCTGACCTGTTTTCGCTTGCTTGCTTCACTGAGTCAACCGAAATAGCTTCGCCAAGGTCTCGTGTGGGCATGGGCATTCGTGGAGGCTTGTCAAACCCCGTGACCCTAACAGGTATTCTGTCATAACAAGTCTCTAGTAGCTCTAACAGAACCCAAAAATTTTTTTTCTTTCCCTTTATTAGGAACTCACACATATTCAAACTATCCGGGCTTGGTGCACAGCTTTTGTAGCGATACGGTCGTGCGCCATCGTATGTCATCAGCTCCCGCAGGACTTTTGAATCAGCAAACCATATCAATAGCCAAGTAGACACATATACAAATGACACGGGAGATTATTTAGTATCACTTCGACCAGGAGCTGTCGGTCATTGTCCTGCGATTCGGATGTTAGACCCATGTTGATCGAATTGGTTGGAGAAAACGAATTCAATTCGAAAGATTTCCTCCGAGATCTTCGAGTCTATGCTATCATCCCTCCTAGTGCGTGACAGAAACTGAACTCTCAACGAACTAAGTGAAGTACATACACGAATTAACATTTCAAATTACTATTTCATGAAGTCTCTTCTTCATTCGCTTTCGTTCACAGCGATCCGTGGAAGCTACCGAAAACCGTGAAATTGATATTGCCCCATAAATCCGTACATTGAGCAAGGTTGAACTTAAATCTTTCTCGCAGTTCAAGGCGTGAAATGTTAGACTATACTCATCGGAATTTCTTTTTTTGAGATATCGAGTGATCTATATTTCCCTTGCTGATTCTATTACGATAGTGTAAATTTGACTGAGGCTGGGGAACCCTCCAGACTGGCATCGGCCTCGCGACCCGAATTTCACCGCCAGTTCTTTCGTACACTCCGCTCGTGTCCCACTTGCCTGCAATAAAGTATATATTTGTTTTTTTCGCCAGCCGATCAATCCCGACTCGCGATCCTCTCGTAATTCGAACTTTTCGATATCAACAACTGTTGGTTCTGTACCTCACTTTCCGCCAATCAGGCATCTGAACGCGATCTTTTCTGGGCTGCCAACCCACCAATCAGCACTAAGTAACGGGTATTCCCGTCGGATGCCAGAACGATTTTCTGGATCCCTCTCCCGCTCTACCTATTTTTTTTCACCACCCATTCGATTTTTTTGGTCTGTTGTTACTCTCGATGCCCTATTGGATTTCAAATCAAAGAAAAAAAAACCCAAAAAAAACACGAGCGCCGATCATTTCGGAATCCGGAATTGGGGCTCTCGTTCGTCAAAGCCGTCCTCCGTATAGATTAATCCAACAGAAGAAACGGCACCACGCGAGAGGCCACGAACGCTGCCACTCGCTTCCTCCGAGGACGGCGATAGAGTGGAGTCAAACGACAAGCTATGGCCAGCGACGGGGGGCCGAAGGCTCCCAGATCTTGAACCGAACGAAGAAAAGGGGGGTTTCCTTCTCGAAGTCCTCCTAGCGAGATTTTCCGCTGTCACCCTCCCTTGCTGCAATTCCTACTGTAAGTGTCCAATTCCGCTCAGCTATGCCGGTCATGTCGACCGATCGAGAATGAAAAAAGTACGAAATTCTCCCCATTCGGCATTTCTGGCTACTGAACTAGCCCAGAAATCTAATTGAGCTTCTTTCTTTTCTCTCAAGGTTTATAATTTCTAAGCGCGATGGCTCTTGAGCGTTGCGTTCTGAAGTAGTCTTTCCTGGGGAAAAAAATGTAATTTTCTTGTTGCTTAGGGCTCGAATCCCCACCATTCTACACATCTACAAATACCGGCCTGTCATTGGCGGCATCTCAAACCGAAGCAAAAGTGTCGCACTGGCAACTCGTGATAATGCTCAGCACCTTCGTAGTCTAGTAATTCCTCTGTCCTGTTTACCAGAGTCGCTTTCATGACAGGCAGGAGGCCATCAGAACAACTATATAATCCATCGGGGGAGGGGCCGACCTCTCAGAATGAAGTCCCGATGAAGCCGTCGGAGCCGCATAGTGCCCCTGCAACGCCAATCCAGCCCTCCACCGTGGACTCGCCATCAACATGGGGATCAAGGGCCACCCACTCAACCCCCGCGTTGAGCGATGCTCAGACGGCATCAAATGCAAAAGTTGCGATTCCTCGTCAACCTCCAGGGAATGCACCCCGCTACAATCGACGAGTGCCTCGGGCCTGTGAGTCGTGTAGACAGCGCAAAACGAAATGCAGCGGGGACACGCCAGTTTGCCGCCAATGTCGTGAATTGAGAGTAAACTGTCACTACCCCGTTGGATGGAGGGAAAAGATGAAAAAGTACGCCTTCTTATTCGATATGCGCTCTTTTTTTATTTTTATTATTATTTTTGAAGCTGTTGGAAATGCTGGGCAATGTTGACTAGTTGGTTCGGCTCCCATAGGGATGTGGACAAGCTCACGGCGGAAGTCCAGGAGTATGAGAACCTCATCAACGACCTCCGAAATGCTGCCGAGTCTCGCTCGGCGGACTGGATCAAAAGCCTTCTGGACAAGGTACGTCCCGCTTGTTGCCATGCAGTTGCACGACTGACTTCGCGATGATGAAAGCATGGTCTGCTGGGCGATGAATTCGTCGACAATTCTCGTTCCATGCTATCTACTCCTCGGAATGAGATAGAAGTTGATGAAGCGTCCCCCTTGTCATCTATTGGGTCTCTGGAAGCAATTGATCGAGTGGAGGAGGATCTGAACCGCACTGAACACACTCGGGCAACAGGATTTATGGGTAAAAGCTCAGAAATCTCATGGATGCAACGAGTTCAAAGAGAGGCCGAGCAACGAGCTCGCGGTCATGCCGGCACTCTTGAACCTAACCAAGACGAAGCGGGCGAAGGACGGGATGGATTCTCCCTTCATGCCCTGAATTACCACCTGGACGATCTCGACATTTCGGTATCGGAACCGGTCCAACTATATGACATGCCTCCGCGACACCTCGCCGACCGGCTCTTCAACGACTACCTAGACACCGTGCACCCCTTCTTCCCCATCATCAGTAAACCACTCTTCCGCGCTCAATACCAAACCTTTTTCGACAGTTTTTCTCGACCTTCTGCCCCTCGCCCCGGCGACAAATGGCTCGCGATCTTGAATACCATCTTTGCTATTGCGGCCAAACACGCTCATCTCATCAATGCTCCGTGGCGCGGAGACCGCAACGATCATCTGGTATACCTGACCCGAGCCAGACTTCTCAGTCTGAACGGCGAAGTCTTATTCAGTCATCCGGATCTCCAACAAGTCCAAGTAGAGAGCCTGACTGCATTTTACCTGCTTTCGTCGGACCAAATCAACAGGTCCGTATCTTGGGCACTTTCTTCTTTCGATCTGGAATCAACCCTAATGGTTTGAACAGGGCATGGAGGATATCGGCTTTAGCTGTGCGTTCTGCCATCACTCTTGGTATTAATTTGAAGAACAACAGCTCCATAACCCCTAACATTTCGAAAGAAGCTCGTTATAGAGTTTGGTGGTGTCTGTACTCCTTCGAGCATATGCTGGGCATCATGACTGGAAGAGCCATTTACACACTTGATGGAGGTTATGCCACACCGTTACCGCTTCCATTTGAAGAAGAGCAGCTACAAGAAGACCCGACAGCCATTGAAGTACTCAACAATGCCTCTTTGCGGGATGAATTGATCAATAATGTTATGTCGAGTTCATGGCTCCGACGAACAACCAGCAAGGACGACATTCACAAATCTCGACCACGAGATCAAAGATGGTTGCAGAAGATCCCGTCTAACTTCGGACTCTGCTATCTCTATCACTGTGACCTGACAATAATAACCCAAGAAATTGTCAACAAAGTTTATTCAACAAATTGCGTCGTGCTTCCGTGGTCCGACATTGAAGCACGGCTTGATGATTTGAGATCTCGGATCGATGACTGGAAATCGAGCCTCCCAACGGCACTCGACTTTACTCAAGATGAAACAGACGAGAGCCCGGACCAACGTCGCTGTAAATTGATCTTGGCCTTCCATTATTACAGTGCCCGGATCACTCTTGGTCGCCCTTGTCTTTGTCGACGGGATGCGCGCCAAAACAACTCCTCACAAAGCTTCAGCCATATGATGGCCGTGATTACTTTAGACTCTGCTTCACGCATGCTTGATCTCGTTCCAGATGAGCCCGATATTCTCCAACTTTACCAGATCTGTCCGTGGTGGTGTGTTCTCCGCTATCTCATGCAGGCCGCCACTGTCATCCTGCTTGAGCTGTCTTTTGGCAGCGTACACATGCCGGAAGAGGAGAAAAAGTTCGTTCGATTGGCGAAAAAGTCCATTCGCTGGTTCTATGCAATGTCAGAGCGCAGTATGGGCTCGCGACGGGCGTGGCAACTCTGTGATTCCAGCTTTCGAAAGCTCGCCAGTGGCATGAAGTATACTACCAACGACATCCCCTTCGAACCATACCAACAAGGTCCCGCTACAGCCGAGACTACGAACCGATTACCCGCTCCATCCAGTCGTGCTACAACCTCTACTTCCAGTGACTATTTCAGTTTACAGTTAGAGGACATGAATCCATTTGTCTCCCGTCCAACGCCAGAAGCAGATATCTGGACCAGCTATTTCAACCTTCCCACACCAGATCTGATGTGGGCCCCGCTTCATCATACCGAACTTTCTCATGACTCATACTTCCCCAATGCTCCTCTTAACGAAGATTTGATCCGGTCTTTCTTCCAATCTTCGGATGAGGAGACCAGAGAACCCACATGATCTCGGCAAGGGATATCTCCATTATCGGCCAACAAGATGAAAAGAAAACGTACACGCATATTCTTACTTACTTGTTGAGTCCTCAGCCATTTACTCAAACATCATTTCATTCAATAGCGCTTTAGCATATTCTTCACAAGAAGATTTAGATTTGCATAACTGGCCTTCTTCGAAACCCTCTGGATGTGCCTGTAGAGCGTCACGATTTCAGTGATGCCTATGTGTTGATCAGAAAATAAAGATGACTATATCAAAAAACCTGAAACTTTTGAGCAAAATCTGCAAAGACCCGCTACAGCCTCGACTTGAGACAAGAATTAAGCAATAGAACTGAACCATAGAGCTGAATGGACCAATCGCGGCCAACAACTAAACCTCGGGCTAACCGGGTGCTTATCTCACCCTCGTCCATCCCGGGCGCACCCCAGAAAATGCAAATAGTGCAAACAGACCTGCGGATTGTCTGATTGTCGTACCACCGGGTTTCATGATCACGATGATTTCCCGCGGGGCTCTCGGACATCTATTTTGTACAATTGCTTCTTATTTGCCAGAGTGCCCTAAATTGATCTGATCCCTGTCGCTTTGATTGTTTTTTCAATCCCAGTCCTCTGTCATTTCCCGCCAAAATGGCTTCGCGATCATTCATGCCTCTGCGCAAGTCACTGGGCCAGCTGCCTGCTCGCAGCGCCCGGGCAGCTGGTGGCAATGCAGGTTCTTCGTTTCGTCACTATGCTACTGAGCAGGCCCCTCGTCAGAAGCCGCAGTTCACAGTGTGGCGGCCATACCTGCGGCTCGCAATTGGTGTGCCGTTCATAGGCGCGATCATCTACTCAATGGTAGGCATAATATTCCCCGGACTTGCAACGCGCATCTTCTAATCTGAAATTAGGCCACCGGCGAAGTCACTGACCTCGATTCCCCCTCCATTGTTGAACTAGATGAAGCCTTGAAGAAATCCTCCGACATCAACGAGTCCTCGCCTATGCGCCTGCGGATGGAGAAGCTCATCAAGGAGCACCAGCAAAAAATCATCGAAGAGCTTGGCAGGATAGACGGCAAACAATTTAAGACAGATACATGGTCGCGTCCCAATGGCGGCGGTGGAATCTCCTGCGTGTTGCAGGATGGAAATGTCTTTGAGAAGGCCGGTGTGAACGTCTCCGTGGTTTACGGCGAGCTGCCGCGGCCCGCTATTGAGAAGATGCGCGCAGACCACAAGTCCTTCGTCGGAGCTGATGTTGACTCGCTGAGCTTCTTTGCTGCTGGTCTCTCGCTGGTCCTCCACCCTCACAACCCAATGGCTCCCACCGTGCATCTTAACTACCGCTATTTCGAAACATCCGATCCAAAGGATCCGATCAACGGCGACAAGAATTGGTGGTTCGGCGGCGGCACTGATCTAACCCCGTCTTACCTCTTCCCTGAGGATGCGCAGCATTTCCACAAGACTATCAAGGAAACCTGTGATCGCCACGACGCCACGTACTACCCAAAGTTCAAAGCCTGGTGCGACAAGTACTTCTACCTGCCCCACCGCGGCGAATGCCGAGGTGTCGGCGGCATCTTCTTCGACGATCTCGACGCCAACTTCCTACAAACTTCCGCCGGATCGTCATCAAACCCGCAGGAAACCCTCTTCTCCTTTGTCTCCGATGGCCTGGCTTCCTTCCTGCCCTCGTACGTGCCTATCCTCGAGCGCCGAAAGGATATGCTTTACACGCCAGAGCAGAAGCAGTGGCAACAGCTCCGCCGTGGCCGCTACGTAGAGTTCAATCTTGTCTACGACCGCGGTACCAGCTTTGGCCTGCGCACCCCCAACGCGCGCATTGAGAGTATCCTCATGAGTCTGCCGCGCACGGCAAGCTGGGCCTACATGGACCCCGTCTCGGGCACCAGGACCGAGGCTATGCCCATCGATGAGGACGACTTGGGTGAGGATAAGGCCAGCGAGAAGGAGATTATGGATGTGCTGAAGCACCCCCGGCAATGGGCTTGAGGTGACGTGCCATTTTTAACCCTGGGGACGGGATCAATTGAATTGATTGGCTCCTGATTTTTTGAATGTCTCAGGTGAAAATACTGTATCATTGTTTCAACATTTAGTCATGAAGGGCATAGCCTTCTGTGTACATTACTCAAAAATATGTAATATCGCGATATTATTCCAGGGCAAGCAAATACAAGTTCCTATATACTTTATCAGCATCCACTTTTACTTGTCATGTTTTCAATCCTCCCCTCGAAGAATGGCCAGGGATAACATTTTGGCTTCAACAATCTACCCCGAAACAATCATAATTTTTCCTTCAAAAATAGCGATCAAGATAGAAAGACCTGAACAATAAAAATATGCTTTATACAGTGCAAACCCAAGTCCGGGGAAGCTAAATCAAATAGCACAATTGTAAAAAAAATCGCAAGCTTGCCAATAGAGAAGAACCGCCCGATGATAGAAGCAAGTGACCAAACATACGTTTTCTATATGCTATTGAAAGCAGACAATCCGAGGTATAAGGGGCAATCTAGAAGGGACAGAAACGAAAGAGGAAAGTAGACATGTATAAATAAAAATGTGCAACCTCGAGAAAAGAAAAAAAGAAACCAAAGAGTGCAACATCAAGACTTATTGACCGGCAACTACGCTGCGTTGCTTGGCTAGCCAGCCCCGAGGATCCGCCATGTTAGCCCCATGTCGGTATCGCGAGACGGTCATATTGTTATTTTGCCACCGGCTCTGGAGCTGATACCAGGCCGAGCTGACGAGCTTGAGTTCACGAGCTTGGTCGTCAATTGTTCTTTGAAGCTCCATCTAAGGCAGTAATTAGCACATGGTGGATATCTTGCAAGACAGTTGCAGAAAGAAATATCCTCACCTCACGCTCTTTGGGAATTCCGTCATCCAAGTTCTCTTCGTAGTTCTTCATGCTCTCCCGCAGTGACTTGATGAGATCATTCTGCTGCTGGATATACTGTATAAACAAATAGCTTGTTAGCAAACTGTCCCAAAGTCTTTTCTCGACACGGGGAGCTTGAATATTCCCTGTCAACGAGGGTTTCTCACCTCTGCTCGCTGAGCCAACCGCTCGACATTCTTTTCCAAGACACCAGCGCACTGTTTGAGAAGCTCAAAGCTCGACTTCTGAGAAGTGTCGCTGCCCTCGCTGTTATGGGTTTCGAACTCGCCCAGAAGCATCTGCATCTCTTTCATGACCTCTTGGTCCTCTACACTGATCTCATTTTGTTTGGTGTCGAGCATCTTGCGCAGCTCCTCTCGTTCAGCGCACACTTCGCGGACTAGTGTCTGACTAGCGTCGACTTCGGCCTCCAAGTGGTGCACATTCTGAGTAAGAGTATCCCAGTCGCCGCGGAGTTTAACCAATTCGGCCGAGTTATGTTCCTCAAGCTCGTGCAAGACATCGGCCTTCTCGGTGCTAATAAGAGAGACTTGAACTTGATTAGCAGATTGGTCTCTATCTCGCCAGGTATTGGACCGAAAAGACTGACTTTGAGTCTGAGCATCAGACAAATCCTTTTTGGTAGATTCCAATGTATCTTGAACCTCTGCAATCTTCTTCAATGTGCTGGTGTAGTTTTCATATAGTTTCCAATATTCATCACTAAATTTCATTAGCGGCTATCTTCTGCAAAGCCGGTTCTGGAGTCAAGTACCTTTGTGTAGAATTGGAACGTGCAAGTTGTACGGACATCATAAAATTCTCAGAAAATCCCTCCGAGTGCGATCCTCCCTATGGTAACCATTAGCGTTGGGCGACCCACGGCAGAGAAATCTCAGAAACCATACTGTGGTCGATAGGTCTTTACTTGACTCCAGCTCTCGTTTCATCTCATCATTGTCCGATTTACTGTATTTGGTTAGTTAGGCATAGGAAATGAGATATGTCTCAACATACAGTTGGGACTCGCGCATGCCAATCGCCTCGAAGTCTTTCTGCAAGTTACCCTGCATCTTGGGCGTGTCCGAGCCAGGAGATGGACTGCCAGGCAAACCTTCCAGCTCCCGCAGGCGCTCGCGAAGCTCGCTAATCAATGCATCATCTCTCTCATGCTGCTCGTCTGCACTCTCGAGACGCTCGGTAAGTGCGTGGTTGTTGAATTCAAGCTGCTTCTTGAGGTTTTGAATTTCATTGCACTCCTGCTCGATACGTGGCAGAAGCTTGCGATACTCCTCCAGTTCCACATCACGCTCTGAGGACCACCGTTGCTGCGAGTCCGACTCCTTAAGCTGTTGCTGAATATCCTTAATCTGGTTCTTGAGAGTCTGGTTCTCTTTCTCGAAATCCTGGCTGGCTTGGAGTTTTTGACGGTACTTCTCTGCTGCATTTGCTTTGCGCGCCAGCTGATCTCTATCAGTTCGCAGCTCGTCATAATCATCCTGTAGCTTTTGATAGCGCTGATTTTTGACCTTCAAGGATTCCACTGTCATCCGAAGGCTGTCAATTTCATCTTGGGCGGCGCTCAGCTTTGCCTCCTGCGATGCGATCAGATCATCCTGCTGACGAGTTTTGCTCTCTAATGCCTTCGCATTGAATCCAAGATCGCCCTTTCCGGATTTCAGGGTCACCAGGCGGTCTTCGGTCGAAGCCAACCGGTTCTGAAGAGTGTCATTGTTCTCTTGCAGACGCGCCAAGCGGTTATGCAAATCCTCCAATGCCTTCTCCAGCTCTTTCTTCTCGTGGGTGAGGCGATCGTTTTCCGCGAGCACCTTTCCAACGCGCTCCTCGAACTGGAGTTCCAAATCGACGGGTCGATCGCGTGTAGAACTCTCCTCCGGAAGGTCATCGGCCCCGTCTAGAGGCTCGTGTTGACCGTTGTGTGCCTCTTCAATGATATCCTTTAGGCCTTCTTGGGTCGACGTGCTCAGCTTCTGGAGGGTCAGCACGTAAGTTTCCGCGTTGGGAGAGCTAATGGCGGCGATCAGAAGAAGTTTCAGCAATTTGTTGGTTTCCTTCGGCGATGCTTTCTCGGCGACAGCTTCGAGATCCGGGGACGGGTCCAGACCGGACGGAATGGTGTCATCGTTCTGGTGTCGAATATAGTTAAGCAGCAGCTTGTGGATATGCTTCAAGTTCTGCCATTTGGCGACCCAGTGGTCCGCCGGTTCGCGTTCGGGGATCTCATCGAGGAAGTACTGCGGGTCGATATCCTGCAGGATCTCCCATAAGATAATGCCGTCCGTCAATTCATCCGTGGCCCGCAGTGTTTTGCCCAGGGAGAAGCTGTTGATCCATTCCAACAAAACCTTGGTTACCGTGTGTTCCGAGGCCATGGCCGGTGACCTTATTCTCAGAAGAATTTCAGAAGGAATGGATGCAGTTGCAGCATTCCCCGGAGACCGCAGGGAGGGTGGAGAGCGGAGGGGGAGAGAAAGGTGGCCTGGGGGAAGTTGCGGGATCCACGCGCTCGCGCGTTTCGGGGGAGGCGCCACGAGAGAAGCCAAGTCGCACCCGCTAGCGGGGAGGATCGTCACTTGGCCTCTGTGCTCCGATATCGAAGCCTCGGACGAGGGCTCGTCGGATTCATCCTTAGCGGCCTACTCCGGACGATGATGTTCATGACAATATCATAATCCAGAAGGTCTTGTAGAAATCTACGGCATGTATTGGTAGATTGTACTAAATAAATTGAAACTCGTCTCGTTAGATCCATACCCGTCCAGTCCCAGATCGTGTGCCATTCAACTCCACCCAATAAAACACCTAAAAACCCAATAGAAACGGCCGGATAGACTGAAGAGCATTGCTAGAAATTTGCTCCAAAAAATCATATGTCCCCGGCCGAGATTATGTTCGTCATGTATGCTTTGGTCGCTGACCAACGTTCGTCATACGTTCCCCAGAGCCAGCTGTAGGGGGAAGTTTTTGGCGTCTCCCTAAGTAAAAGGTCCAAATATCGCCTTAGAAGGAATGCTCTTCGCCAACATACTCCCCGTTTGCGGACACCACTTTATCTTCCTCGATAGTAGGCTTATACGCAGCGTCCTGGGTTGAGAGGGTTTGGAGGGTATTCACGGGGGCCTCGGCAGCGAAGCCACTAGATGAAGCGTTAGAATGAATGGTTGCAATACCAGAAACAATCAAAAAAAAGAGCGAGAGAGAGCCATACGGGAAGAGATCTAGATGCGACGCCCATATAATCAGTCTCGACAGTCTGCGTGGAATCTGGAAGGGAGCGGAACTTACGGTATACATGAGTGATCACACCACCCTAGATCATTCATCAGTCACGGTCGCCCGAAAGATTCTGGTCCTTGAGAGGAAGTCTGTAGCTTACCGATGTTACGATAGAATCCTTGGCCTGGTCAACGACACTTTGAGGGGTTCCCGGAGGGAAAGTCACGATGACAGACTTCAGGGACTTGACGGCCAGCACCAGTGGGAGGAGGCCCAACAGAGCAGCCCAGTAGAATCGCATTCTGAATCGATCAAGCGGATAGGTTATAGGTACACCTAAATAGAATCAAGAGAGCAGGCGTCAGTGATCGGGAAAGGCCAGTATAAATCTGGAAAGCGTCAGGGCGTCCTGCGACGGGCAGCTCGAGAGCGGCGGCCCCAGGCCTGCGTCATGCAGAGTCAGGTGACCTGCTGCGGACTTCGCAATCCCTTTCAACCTTTTCAACGTCTTCCGCTTCCACTTCCACTTTCCACTCTCACCCTCCCCTTTCTTCGCGCTTCCACCCTTGTTCCATTGTTCAGCGTTCATCCTCATCTCCAGTCGCATTCAGCATTTGGGTTTGTGGGTTCTTCAGACATTTATCCCCACCGGTTTCATCACACCTTGCATCTCCCCTCGGCAGGTCATCTTGACGCGAAGGAAGGTAGACACACTTTGTGGTGGGCAGGGTCTTGCTGGATTGAGGGGCCAGGTGGATCTGTTTTTGTTTCCATTCTCGCAAAGATAGCTAGCAAGCATTTTACAAGTTCCGACTTTTACCTCCATCCCGTGTTGCTCGTCCAAACGGTTCTGCCTTGGAACGAAGACGAGGACTAAGAAGAACACGCATTCTGTGATAGAAATCCCGGAACAGAGGACCAGAAGCTATCTGCTGTGGAAAAACAAGTCAAGACAAAAGAAGAGCAAAAAAAAGAAACACGGCAAAGAAAAGACAAGAAAACCAAAGAATCCCAGGCGGAGAAAAGAGAAAGAGAAAGAGCTCCGTGAAGCAGAATAACCGCAGAGTATTATTTGTTATTGACCGAGACAGCAGTGATTGACACCGCCCTCTGATAATCTTTGATCACGAAGCCGGGGGATCATTGAGAGTCCACTCTTTCTCTTCTTTTCTCCTCGAGTGCCTCTCCCCCCTCGTGTTTCTCCCCTGTTATTTCCCCCGGCAGCATGTCCGGACTCCTCTCCGATGAAGTCGCCGAGGACTATAAGAACTCCTTGGAGGACTTGACCAGCAATGACCGTTTCCAGATCAGCAACTTGACCGTGATCGCCAAAGAGAATACCGAACATGCAATGGCCATCTCGCGAGTCCTGGAGAATCACATCCGATCAGTAGGTGCCCTCTCTGGTGTCCCCTTTTGTCCCCTTCTGTCCCCCTCGTAGACTGGATGAAATCTGACGTCTGTAGACACCCCCGCCGCAGAAGCTGCCGGCGCTCTATGTAGTCGACTCCATCGTGAAGAACGTGGGGACCCCCTACACGCTCTTCCTCGGCCGCAACATGTATCAGACCTTTATGAATGCGTATACGCTGGTTGACTCACAGACTCGGCGGAAGCTGGATGAGATGCTCAAGACGTGGAAGGAACCTGTGCCTGGCTCGCTGGAAACACGCCCCGTCTTTGCTCCTGAGATCACTCGCAACATTGAGAATGCCCTGATCAAAGCTCGTACCGCCGCGCTACACCAAGAACAGGCCCGGGGCAGTCGAGACATCCTCAATCGGGGCCGTGGGAGTGCCACTCCCACTGGATGGACCAACAGCCCGACGCCCCCTCAACCCATGCCGCGGCAGCCCAATGTTCTCCCTAATCACAACAAACACCCTGGACCAGGTCTAGGGACATCGGTACGCGACTTCAGATCGGTCTTATATTCGACCTCGACTAACCAGGAACCACAGACCCCGCCCCAAGGGCATCGCCCCGATGCGGATTTGGAGGCGCTGAACCGTGATCTAGAGGCGTGCATCCTCTCTGCTCGGAACGACTTCGCCAATGCTCCATTCGATACCCCCTCCCAGCAGCGTTTGAAAGCACTGCTGGACCTGCAGACTATCATGCGGAACCAGCAACTCACTCCGGATCAATTGAAACTTGTTCGGGACCAAATCTCAGCATACGCAGGCCCAAAGCAGACGCCTGCGCCCCCGAATCCTCCGCCAAGTGTTGCTCCTGTAGTCGCGCCTCCCCCGGCTGCCGTCTCGGCTCCTCCGACCCCGTCTCTTTCTCAGCCACTTCAACAACTGTTGAATTCTGGAACCCTTGCAGACCTCATCAAAGCCACTGCCATTCCCCAGCAACCTACTCCTCCGCCCCATGTTCCCAATGCTCTTCCCCCAATGCCTCGATACCCGCCACCTAATAATACACCGCAACCTGAAAACCCTTTGATTGCCGCTCTTCGATTACGGGGCCTTTTACCGCCTGCCTCCGCGCCTCCAGCCATGGGATCTTCCGGCACTCCTGCTGGAGGACCTCTCCCATTCCTGATTCCTGGTCAAATGCGATCCACGCCACCAGTCCCAACCCCACAAGTCTCCTCCATTCCCACCTCATCCTCGGTTCCCATGAACACGGCCTCCATGAAAATGTAAGCAGCCTTGTCCTCACTATAATGCATGCCTTGATGCTGACCGATCCCGACCTAGTCCCCGATTCTCTCTTATTGCTCTTCTCTACGACGCCAAGCCGAATCGATGCGGCACCTGTGGACGCCGCTTCGCTACTACCGAGGAAGGTCGAAGACAGAAAGCCCGGCATCTGGACTGGCACTTCAAGACCAACCAGCGCATGGCAGATGCTTCGAAGCGAGCCCAGACTCGGAGTTGGTACGTTGACGAAAGGGTATGTATCAAAATCATCGTCTTGGCCGATCTCGATACGGTACTGACTGTACGATTACAAGGATTGGATCAAATCTCGGGAAACCGGTGACGATCAAATTTCTGCCGACACAGATGCCGCTACTGAAGGTGCCGCCGGGGCTGATGGCAATGCTGCGAAGCAAGGGCCGCCTAAGGTTTGGATTCGAGCTCCGAATGATGCCACCCTTCGTAACACCCCGTGCCCCATCTGCCAGGAGAAGTTTGAGTCCACATGGTCGGAGGATGTGCAAGATTGGATCTGGGAGGATGCGACCAAAGTCGGAAATCGCGTCTATCATGCCAGTTGCTATGCCGAAGTCACTAAAGGCGGGCCCCCGCCTCGTAGCTCGACCCCGCAAGCTCGAACGGGCACACCAGATTCCGTGCTCGGCAAACGCAAGGCCGACGGAACAGATTCTCCAGGCGCGAAAACTCGCGTCAAGATGGAGCCTATGTGAAATGAATTGTAATATAGATCCATAAATTCCATCGTGTAGCATCATGACGTTGCTTTCTGCCTTTCTGCCCCGCTCGGCGCATCTCCGATCTGCTCCCCCCCCACCGGGGAAACACTGAAACGTGGAACGCAGCAACATGGAACATAAATGAAACCCGTTCTGACTTCTGGACCCTGACCTTCCTGGTTATCAATATAAGCATCTCTAGCATACTTCTCAGATCCCAGCATGGCTCACACAATCCGATGGGGTATCATGGGTAAGTCTGGCAGCTGGAAGATTCCTGGAAAAATGAAGCTAAGCAACGACTATTAGCCACGGGCGGCATCGCGACCAGTAGGGTTTATTCTCACCATTTGCAGCAGCTGAAACGATCTGTTCACTAATTACCTGCTCAGCGTTCGTCCGTGATCTTCTGAAAGATCCCCAGGCTCGCGACGCCGCTGACATCGCCCACCAAGTGGTCGCGGTCTCCTCGTCGTCCTCAAAGACCAGGGCCGATGAGTTCATTTCAAACCTCAGCATCCCGGCCCCATGCACTGCATACGGCTCCTACGAGGCTCTGGTTGCGGATCCCAACGTCGACGTCGTCTATGTTGCTACTCCACACTCCCACCACTACCAGAATGTGATGCTGGCGCTGGAGGCTGGCAAGAACGTCCTCTGTGAGAAGGCCTTCACCGTGAACGCCGCCCAGACAAAGATCCTCTGCGAGACAGCCCGCAAGAAGAACCTATTTCTCATGGAAGCCGTGTGGACGCGCTACTTCCCTCTCAGCATCCAAGTCCGCGAGCTTATCCAGAAAGGCGAGATCGGCGAGGTGCTCCGCACCTTTGCTGATACCAGCTTTGGCGACGACGTCGAGGAGAAATGGGGTACACAGCACCGCATGGTGAACCCTGACCTGGCCGGCGGCGCCCTCTTGGACTGTAAGTATTGAACTGTCTTCTTTCGCTCGAGACATTCCCCCAGACCTATTCAGCGGAAGTGCAACTGATCTAATCTTTTCCTTCGTTTCTTGTTTCTCAATTCACTAGTGGGCATCTACTCGCTTACTTGGGTCTTCCAGACTCTCTACCATACTCTACCCCGTGACCAAAGGAAACCCCCGACTGTCACATCCCAGATGACCCCGTACCATCTCACCGGTGCCGACGAGGCCACGACCATCCTGCTCAACTTCCCCACCAGCACGCCCACCAACGGCCCGCACCCCCAGCGCTCGCACGGCGTGGCCATGACCAGCATCCGCCTCTCCGGCGACCCAGACGATAAGGCCACCGCCGGCCCGAATATCCGCATCCAGGGCACCAAGGGCGAGATCCAGGTATTTGGTTTCCCATTCCGCCCTCTCCGCTACCGGGTCATCCCAAAGAAAGGCTTCGGCGAGGTGCGGGAAGTCGAATGCCCGTTCCCCAGCCAAGGCCACGGCATGTACTGGGAAGCGGATGAGGTGGCGCGCTGCCTACGGGACGGCAAGTTAGAGAGCGAAGGTATGCTGTGGGAAGAGAGCATTGCCATTATGGAGGTTATGGATGAGGTGCGCAAGCAGGGTGGCTTGACGTATCCAGAGAGGATTGAGTCAACCCAGTATCCTCTGCAGCTGTAAGGGTATATTGGTCACATCAATTACCTTTGGTGTATATAGCGTAAATAGTTTTGTGTGTATTGAACAAATGTTTACCGTTCAATACAAAAGAGGGTGTTTTCATCTAGAAAGTGTAATACAGCTCTTCTTTCTCGACTCCATCTAAGATGTCCTACCTATTATGCGAGAGAGAAAAGCCATTGCCGGTGACAGTGTATTGAGTACCGCGAAAAGTACACCTACTATACATGGGAGACAATTATTTTGCGTCTATATGCGAACGATATCGCTAGGCCTTAACTCTCCCTTGTGTGCTCCCCAACCAAACCAGACAAAGGAGAAAGAAGAAGCAAAAAAAAAACATGGTGGAGCATCACGGAGCCGGACTAGCAACTTCGTCCCAAGTCTCCCTGCAACTTTTCGAGTGCTTTAAAAGACCTTGAAATAATCCTCCCTCGGGAAAACAGCTTAGTTCTTGTGGAAAACACCGAGCAGGCTCTTCCAGACCTGGCCAGGCTCCTGGCTGGCGTCAATGCCGCGCCAGATGCCGGTCTTCTTGTAGTAGTCGCACACGGGGGCAGTCTGGGCATGGTAGGTAGCAAGACGCTTGGTCAAGGTCTCAGCGTTGTCGTCGGACCGCTGGATCAGGGGCTCGCCGGTGATGTCGTCGGTCATGTCGGCCTTGGGCGGGTTGAAGATCTTGTGATACGAACGGCCGGAGGCAGGGTGCACCAGGCGGCCGGTGATACGGGCCACGAGCAGGGCGTCGTCGATCTGCAGCTCCACGGCGTGCTGAAGCTTCTGCTTGCGCGCCGCAAGCATGTCATCCAGGCGCTCAGCCTGCGCAACCGTCCGCGGGAAGCCGTCCAGGATGAAACTGCCATCGCATTGTTAGCTTCAGGATTTTCCCCGAGATAGGCTGGGTCCCCCAGTGAAGTAAACAAAGTGTCTTACCCGTTCTTGCACTCAGTGTTGTTCTCCAGCTCGCTCTTGATCATGTTGACCATGATCTCATCGCTGACGAGGCCACCCTGGTCCATGATCTTCTTGGCCTCTTTGCCAAGCTCGGTCTTCTTCGCGACCTGTGATCGCAGCATGTCTCCGGTAGCCTATTCAGCCAAGGTTAGTTAGCAAGCAATGGTTCCCTGCTGTCCAAGGAGGAGAGACAAGAATTCGCCGGGCGACATACCAGGTGGCACACGCAGTACTTGTCCTTGATGTTCGGGGCCTGGGTGCCCTTGCCTGAAGACGAAAAGTGTTAATAGCGACTCAATTTTTGCTCAATTGCACGGTAACATACCAGCGCCAGGAGGACCCATCAGAATGATGCGCATTTGCTCCGTCAGCGACTTAGGCTTGTTGCCGCCATTAACAAGGCGGTCCTCCAGCTCGACGACTCGAGCCTCCAGCTTGCCGATTGTGTCCTTCAGGCCGGAAACGACCTCGTCGGTGATAGGAGCCATTGTGATAGAGGGGGGAGTAGAAGAGAGGAGAAGTGTCTCAAAAGTCGAAGCGCGGAAAGCGGATGGAAGGGAAAGGCTTGGGGACGGAAGGACGGAGAAATGGAAGGGAAGGAATCTTAGCGCCCGAGGTTCGGAGGACCGGTTCAACTGCCACAACCGCATCGACAGGGCCAAGTTGGTAACTATGCAACTATGCAACACTCCAGCAATCCGTCCATCTCCAAAGCTGGAGAGCGATTCAATTTTTTGATAGCAATTGATTACGTTCTATAACTCTTCAAGGCGGATTTTTTTTCCACAGAAGAAGACTTTCTTTTTGCACAGCTGCTTCTCATCCGATCCCCAACAAACCAGGACCGTACCTCCAGTGATTGCTTACTTAAGGCACCAGCCGCAATGTGGCGCGCCCCCAGAAGCTCTCCGAGCATCATCGCCCTGCTCGCTATCCAATCTTGAAAGCACCTCACCGATCCCCATCTATCGACCCCGTCTGCTATTAATCTTGACGCTCTTCAGCTCCTATATTCAACTGCCTTTTCATCCTTTTTCTTTCCGCCATGCCTGCCACCACGGCGGACACGCTATCCCTCGTCAACCGCTCCGTCACGGTTGCACCGTTAGTCCTGCTCTCTGTCGCCGATCACTACGGACGTACAGCCAAGGGTACCCGGAAACGTGTGGTTGGTGTGCTACTGGGCGAGAACTCTGGCAACAATGTGCGCGTATCCAACAGCTTTGCAGGTGGGTTCTTGAGCTATCCCGGACACCGCACGAGCCCGCAGATGAGCTGACCTGTGTTTTCCCGCATCTAGTGCCGTTCGAGGAAGATGAGAAAGACCCATCAGTGTGGTTCTTGGACCATAATTTCGTCGAGTCGATGAGGGACATGTTCAAGAAGATCAATGCTCGCGAGAAGCTGGTCGGCTGGTATCACTCTGGCCCCAAGCTGCGCGCTTCCGATCTGGAGATCAACGAACTCTTCAAGAAATACACCCCCAACCCCTTACTGGTCATTGTCGATGTTCAGCCGAAAGAAGTCGGCGTTCCTACAGATGCCTACTTTGCGGTGGATGAGATCAAGGATGTAAGTGTTCTTTCTGTTTCTTCTAATTTCTGAGCAGCACTCGGCTTCAAGATTGTCTCACGTGCTAATATGAGCATCGCGGCGACAGGATGGTACCACAACTTCAAAGACCTTCGTGCACACACCCTCGATAATCGAAGCGGAGGAGGCAGAGGAGATCGGTGTGGAGCACTTGCTCCGGGACATCAGGGACGTCGCAGTGGGCACGCTTTCCACCCGCATCACCTCACAGCTCCAGTCATTGCAAGGGCTGCATCTGCGACTGCGCGATATCGGCCAATATCTGCAGAAGGTCCTCGACCACGAGCTTCCAGTCAACCATGCCATCCTAGGCAACCTCCAGGATGTCTTCAACCTCCTCCCCAACCTGTCTACCCCGCCGACGACACAGCGGATTAGCGGCCAGGAGCAACCAATTGAGAACAGCGAGCTTGCGCGAGCCATGAGTGTCAAGACAAATGACCAACTGATGGCCATCTATATCAGCAGCTTGATCCGCGCCATTACGGCGTTCCACGACCTGATTGAGAATAAGATCCAAAACCGACAGCAGCAAGAGGAGAGCGAGTTAAAGCGGGAACAAGAGCTCAATGCGGCCAAGGAGGGTAAGGATGGTAAGGATGGCAAGGACGGCAAGAAGGCCAGCGGTTCAAATGGCGAGCAGAAGGAGGAGCAGGATGCCTCTGATAATAGCAAGAAGAAGAGCTAATGTGCTTTTTCTTTTTCTTGTCCTTGTTTTTAAAGCTTCTCTCGGAGGCACCCCATGCCTATCAATATGATATGACCGCTTGGAACTGCATATTCTTGGCAGTGTATTGTATGGAATAATCAAAGTATTACCTGATGGCCATTAACCCCTTCACATTCATGTGCTGTCACCGCCTGTATTGGTGTACTTGAATGCAGACCTCGTAGGCCAGAGTCCATGAGATCACAACTCAGAGACCTATACCCATATTGCAGACAATGGCACACACCACTTGGATCCTAGTTGCGCTGTAGCCCGTGGGCTTCGGCCCTCTAGGATCCAACTAGTATTTTCTCGACCTTGTAGTGAATGCATAATGCGACACTGATAGGCATCAGCCTCCCCACCCTGCACACCAACCTGCCATCTCCTCCGTCGAAACAAGCCGTCTCCCGTCTTCATCACACCCGAACAACCCCGGGCAGCGAGCAAACAGCACACAAGCTAAGATGTGCTTGCACACTGGGGGTGAAACCCTGTCCGTACGACAGGTCAGCGTCCCGCCGAATGGGTAGTCAACGGGTCTCTCCCGGTGACGCAGAATCGCCAGGTCGGAAGGGCGCTGCGCAGCAGACATCCACCCCAGTCGTGATCCTAGATCTCGGAAAGCTGACAGGGCGAAGGTGGGACAGGTACAATTCCATGCATGCAGACGAGTTTCGTAGCCTTTTTCTTGTTCCTGCGTAGGAAGATGCGACGACGTTGTGCCGGGCTGATGCGGGATGGCAGAAGTGGAAATGACAAAAAACATGTCTTCATCCGGTGCGGTGGCATTCTTGGGATCTGTATTCGTTTTTTTTGTAACCGACAAAGGTTGGCCTTCTGCTGCTATTGTTGGGTCTTGACCAGGTTCTGCAGGTGCAGCATCTTTTTTGTCACTCCGCACAAACCGCCGCACCAGTCTGCGATCGAGAATATCAAGGGCTGGCAGAAGATCATTTGGGAAGATGCAGTGTAGAGTAAGCATAAGAGGCTTCAGTCTTGCCAGTTGTGAAGGTGCGAGCCTTGCCAGAGGATTCTGGGGTTGATCCTCTTGGTGGACTTGCTGCCTTCTTGGGGTGTCCAACTCGTTAATCCCGATGCAAGCTGAGGGAGCTTGGAAGCCAGCTAGCTCGTGTATTAAAATGTCAATAAACTCAGGACCATTGGGTAGGTCATTTGAAGGAGTTGAGGCCGCCATGCGTCCAGGTGCTAGTTATGGGATGTGGTCCGGCTCAAATGTAGCGGGGAGAATCTGCCGAGGCGGGCAGATTATGATATCGAATTTGCTGAATGAATTGCGATCAAATGATTTTCTTATTGAAAAGTAACCCATCTTTTTGACAATCATAAATCGCTTGTCCCTTGCTGGACGTCTTTATTTTAATTAGTATGGATTTTCTTCAAACGCTGTATGCTCAGATAGAAATTTGCATGAATACTTTATATACGTATTTATTTCTCAAGAAAAGTATAGATACCTATCGCACTGATACACGAAACGCAGCCAAAAAATTATCAAAAGCGCATAACAGAAGAAAACGACAATATAGAGGGAATAGACAATCAAGACATTAACCACATGACGGTTTCAATCGTAGTCTTCTCATCACCTCTTTGCTTAAAAATTGTGCAATAATACGCCGTACTCTTCTTAAGCATCTGCTTCCTCCGTCTCAATCTATGGCTTATCCACGGTTTTTCTCATTTTTCCTCTTTCCTTTTGCCCTTCGAGTTAGATTACTGATTGCAATCTTTGCAATCTTTGCTTTCTTCTTCTGTATATTATCGTCCGGCTCTTCCCCAGCTCTCCTCTTGCTCAACTTTTGTTCACCTTTATGATTGATATATTCTATCCTAAAAGCGCAGCGCTGCTTATCTTCGAGGTCGTCAGATACCGGAAGTGTAAAGGAGCCACTTGTCTGAGCTCCTTCGCCTCCGATAGTTGAAGTCCAAGAAGGAATTGAAGCAACAATAGGTGCACCCTTGACAGGAGCCGTTGAGACCGTCATAGAAGGAGCAGTTGTTACAACAGGAATGGCCGTAGATGCAGCACTCCTGGACTTTACAGTCCATGTCCCGGGTTCTTGACCCGGTGCTGAACATAATTCAGCCTCCAACAGACTTTGAAATGCTGGATTCGTGGGAAGCCGGCGGTAAGCGAAGACGTAAGCAACCTTCTGAAACTCTTTGTCTGCAGAAAATTCTTCGAAGGATGTAATTCCAGATAATTTTTCGTCATTCGCCAGGACCCATGTCCTATCTTTGCCCTGGAGAGCAATCTGATAATGACCCCGGTCTGTGTTCGGTCCTTGGTGGATCTGAACCGACGACAATTCATACTCAACCGCCTGTCTATCTGTACCCCAGCGTGAATCGAAAAAGCTTGGCGGGAGTGTTATTTGCGCAGAGAAGGTGATCGGTCGATTGATCTTGGTCGTCTCAAATGCGTCGGTGACTGCGGACTTGTGGTATGTTATTCGATTGAGGTGGACAAGGAGAACTTCAGGAGGGTGGCCAAGCTCAACTCTGGTACTTCGTGGATTATTGCAAGTTGAACAGTTCCCACTATCGATCATTGTTTCAGCCATAGCGAGTGCGATGGCATCCTCGATGTTCATACTACCTTCATTATTGTCGAATCGTGCATTTAAAAAATTCAGATCTTGCCCCACGGGACTAGGCGGAGAACATGCGCTTTGACCCGTGCATTTATTAAGAGTAAACGTGGGAATGATAAAAATATCACGTAGATCGCTACGACTGTATGTGCTCGATAGATTAGTTGAACAGTTGGGAAGAAAACAAACCAACCGGGAAGAAACACCAACCATATCTCCTTGGTATCATTTTCAAGTTGTCTATATAACTCGTTCCAAAACTCGACACTATCTTGCTGGCCCTCTCCATTTCTCGACCCCCAGTCGGCATAGATGCGGTCCCAGAAATCATCCAATGCGAACTCCAAATCTCCAGCCTCGCAATTCCAATATGCGACACTGAGCGCCTGGAATAAACATATTTTGCACCTTTTATCGAGCTGGTCACCTCTACTGACTCCCTTGTCATATATACATCTCGCACCATTTGGGATATGGTGCTTCATATAATAATCTATCCAATGTACAAAGACCGGAGCATGGAGAAGCATCTGGAGAGTCACATTTCGATAGCATTCTGCGAAAGCTTTATTTGTGAAGCCAACTTGTGATTCAGAAACGATATCTTCATCCCAGTCTAGGTTGAAGGGGCTCTTTTTTGGTCAGACTTTTATTCTTGATTCTGATTGCTCATGATACTTTTGGATGAAAGGAGCTTCTTACCCGCCAGTACTGCCATTTCACACTCCCGGGTGATGCCATCTTGTTATACACTTTTTGTTTGATATGGAACTATCTAGAATGAGCTGACAAGAGAAATTCAGAGCGGACAGCAGCACACTGTTTAGATAGTACAGAAAAATCAAGCAAGTGAGTTATAGAGACTAAACGCCGCCCTGGTCATTATATTAAATAGGGGCTTGAATTCATTCTCTGCTGCTCTGAAGAAGGTTCTTTGAACAAAGAAACCCAAGAGATGGGAGTAATCTAGCATGATGAATTTAGATCAATAGAATCTTTGACTAGCGTGGTCAATAGCTGTCTGTGCAAGAACTAAAAAGCACAAAGACGGTCAGCCCAAAATATCCCTTTCTTTGATTATTCATTTGATTTTTGGCCATAATGAGACCTCAAGACTTCTTTTGGAGACAAATGAAGTTGTCTACGAAGTCCGCGAACAAGAAAGATTGCTTCGAATTACATCGAGTGCGCAAGGAGACCAAATTGCGAGAAAAAATCCTCTTGACGAGTACAGTAGTCTTCAAAGTCAGTTTGACCTCGTACTCTTTGACTTGAACGCCGGAGAATAAATCTGAACTTCCCTAATCCTGTTTAGGGTCACCGCTTTATTAGTAAGGCAGAACTATGGTGGTAATGACTAAACTACATCCTAGGACGTATTGAAATATACGTAATGATACATCGCATCCTGCAGAACCGCTGAGTAGACCTGGCGATCTAGGAAGGTCGACAACCTAAGAGATACTTGAAACTTACGAATAGATATAAAGATAGAGAATGTATAAGGATGCAGCAGGCAGTTACAGCTAACAGGATAGATATCATTCTTCAAGCAAGCAAAGATGCCGAAACGAGGAAGTGGAAAACTCCGGTCAAATGGATAGCCACAGGATCGTGGCAAAATGGTCATCGATCCTAACCAGGTAGACGCAGAAAAGGCGAAATCGGAGTCAGTAAAGACTTTTAGGGCCAATTATTGAGAGACACCAAATATTAGAATGACTAGGACAGGGTCAGAAGGGGTTCCAAGCATCCAAAATTTCCAGGTTTAGACGTGTATGGCGAGAGTGGCCTCTGGTACTCTATTCTTTCACGTCGAAAATATCAAATGCACAATTCAAGAAAGGTACTAGATCCTCGCTCCGTGTCTTTCTTGTAGTGGTCCTAGTTACCTGAATGAACCTCTAACCTGAGCAAAAGTTCTTCGATTAAGTTTAAGTCCAGAGAAATTTGGTGCTAAGTTGGCCTATATACCCTTGGCGTCCGCGCATAGTTGTCCAAGTCCTTTCGACGGTGAAATGACGCATAATCTACGACTAAGACAGACTGAGGTTCTTGTTATCATATACGGTGCTAGAGTAGCTGAGCTACCAGCATGTCGTAGTGCAATATTTTCAGAATAACCTTTTACAATAAGAACTCGTTTAATACTAGAGGTTGAATCGTTGCATCTATAACTTGGAGTCTGTCCTATAGGAATACGACTACCCCTTCGAGGTAAAGGCCGGGTTTCTTATATAGGTGATCAAAGAGAGCTTCGATAATCAAGGGATTTATAGTTCGTTTTCGTCCTACCTAGGATTGTAGCACGTATAAGCCTCTAAATCATCGTAAGTTGTTGCGGATACTGATGATGGTCTGCTTGCTGCATTCAGCCTGCTCGACTATTTTAGACATACTGAAAGATTCGCTCTCCATCGTATCACGGATGAGAACAAGCTTTGGAGGCGATAGTCTTGGAGCTAAGTCGCCAGGACTAATAACGGTCAGCAGGGAGCCGTTGTGCAGGAAGTTGCACCTTGTCACGAAAGGAAGAGAAGGTAGAGGAGACACCGCGTGTCTGCTACTTTCGTGTAAAATACACCACCCCTTGTAGTACTAAATACGTATCATAAAATACATGAGCTATTATAGAAAGCGGTCTGGAGACAAATGCTTTAAAAAATGTCCAACCAAGAGTCGCATGTATAAGATTTAGTTTCCGGAAATCAAGTCCAAAAGCGTGAGTACCAACTGAATTCGAACACTACTGTAGTCGACAAAATAAGGGGGGGGGGGGGGGGGATGGGCTGCAAATATTTACGAATACCATCCATTCGTCTACGCAGAACCAGATCGTCTCCTGGGGGCAATTCTGCTCTAGGGCTACTGGGCCGGTTCTTGGTGCTGAGTCCGTCTCGAGTTTGCGGCGGCCCCATAAGGAATTTCCAACGTGAGAGGTTTCGAAGAACTCCCGCAACTGATTCAATTTTGATTTAGTCCAGTAGAAAAGAGACAAAGGCCCGAGAGGATTCTTGGCTATACCCCCGGCTTGAATTTCATGGATAGCAACTTCTGCTGTTGGGCCGAGGTGGGCCAGCAGGTGCTGACTTCGCACACCACTGTTATCCCGAACTATACTTCGAGTTCCTCTGTCCTCGCGTAAACTATCGACTGCCTCAACAATTGTCACACGACGGAGGAAGGCTTTTAGTTCCCGCCACGGGCGGTTCCTGGATCTCCCAATGAATCAATAGAATACGAAGGAACCATCAATCTCACGCCAGGCTCACGAACCCGCCACCAAAGTGAAACGCCCCAACCGGGCAGCGTCCGCGCCCTCAATAGATCCCTCGTCCCATCTTTGTTCTCTCTCTCTCTCTCTCTCTCTTTCTCTTTTCCGTGTGCCTGTTCCTTTAATTCGGGTTTCGATTCGGGAACGGCCAGGTCCCAGCCGTGGGGATGTCAGGCCCCGAACCGTGGTTTGGGATTGCCGTGAATAAAGATCAACAGTCTCCGCAATGGTCTGGAAGCCAGAACCGCCCACCGAATCTAGAATTCTAGACCTTGCGCTGTCCGCCAGGGAGGAGCTTCCTGAACCATGTCCTATTATTATTGCCTCCCGACTCTCCCGTTCTGATTGGGAAGGAGTCTCGACCCGTCGCGGAGAGATGTGAGGCATCAACTGTCAGGAGGGTGCCGATCGCCCCTGCCGCTACTCTAATCGGCATGTGGCAAGTTGCAACGGGACTCGATGGACCCCAGAACTCCAAGAACCCATCAGGACTCCTATACTTCTCTCTCCCTGCCCACGGGTCAGCGTACCGCGGATGCCATCCGAGTTCCATAGCCCCCGGCTTGTGCTTGTGCCTGAGCACCCCGAAGTACCTGAGTACCCAGCATGGCAAGGACCCGTAAAGGACTGATTTCTGGGCCTGGACTTGTCCCGACCCATTGACCTGAACCGGTTCCCCTTCCACCCCCGTCGCCCTTGACGTGTCACCGGAAAAACAAAACAAACCCCCCAAGGCCGAAGGCTCAACATGACCCTTTCGCCTAGGAAAGAGCCCCAGAACGCCAGGGCCAGCCTTGACGAAATCAATCAGCGAATCCCACACTAACTACGAACAGACAAGAGGAAGAGGGGGGTGGCGCCCATCCCAGCGGTCATTTCCCCACAAGGCAGAGAGGGGTGTTTCAGGTGAACACTTCCCCCGAAAGTGGAGCATAGCTTGACGAAAAGACACGCTCGCGGCATGCGATTGCGCCGCCATTGATTGGTCGCAGGAGGTGCAATCGTGTTGCGAGTGCGAGATCCGGCCGAGTCTTGAATCCTGGCCGAGCTGCAGCTCCTGCTACATCGGGTCGCGGATGGCCGCACCATCGTCATCGTCACACTCATCTTGCTTCTGCTTTTTTGTTTACGTATAAACGGGAGAAGAAGGGGTTTGGGGGGAGGGGAAAGCACGGAATAGAAATGTCTTGGTCGTGGGCTGGGTTGGCTCCGGCCTCTGAACCCTGACGAGGGAAAGAGGGACCTATGGAGACTATACTAAGCCACTAATCATCTAAACATCGAAACGAGAAAAAAGAACATAGCTAAAGGGCTAAGTAGACAACTCATGTACAGGGTACAGATGAGTACATACGGAGTACTCGGGAACTGCGTCCTCTGTACGGAGTCCTGAAGGTCAGGCTATGTGGGTACGATCCCACTGGGGAATTGGTCTTGCGATGATGATGCTGATGCTGCTGATGATTCCCGTCGTGCTAGGGACCAGAATGGGACCCGATGGACCCGATGGAGAACTCCGGGCCATCCCTAGTTCGTATGTTCGACATCTGCTCGTTCTCCAGTCCCCGTTCTTAGCCCTCTTAAGTCGGATTAGTCTTCTCTTAGCCTAATTACAGCGTCTTCTTGGTTTGTATTTTCTTTTGATTTATGTTCCCTTTTTTGAAAAATTGTTAAAAAATAAAAATAAAAATAAAAATAAAATCCCAAGTGATTTAATTAGGTTTCGTTTCAATAGCTACCCAATCCTCCCCTATACATCGGGATTCGCTGGCGCTCGTCGAGGCGATTCAGCGAAAGTACTGCTCATCGACCATCCAACTGCGTACCTCATATGTACTAATGTCCCGTACTATTGTCCCTTCAGACTCTCTGCTTGCTTCTTTCCTTGCCCTCCCCTTCCCCTGTCCTCTGTACCAATCCCGACTTGACAGCAGCGTTCCTCGCGTCTACCGAAGATCCACCGTTACGCACTGCCCCGTCAAACGGTTGGGCGCCACTCTTTTCAGCTCTGCCACGCCGCGTCTTGATCGAAGTGGAGCCCGGCCCCCGTCGTTCTCGGGCTTTCCGAGAAAACCCAGCTTCCGTGGACGGTGGACGATGGTCCCTGTTTCCCGTCACCCACGGCCCTGGGTTTCCCACGCCTGACGCCTGACGCCTGACGCGAAAACCCCGGTCATCATGCTCTTCCCCGGTGCAAGAGCCCAACCTACGAGATGGAGCGGCATGTGCGGGAGACAGCGTGCGGGCAGGGAAGCCCTGAAACGCCAGGAAATGAAGCGTGAGGGCTAAAACCGGGTCCTGGTGGACGTGTCGGACATTTAGGGCGATCACTGCGCAATAAATAGATGAAGCAGAGCGTTTGATCAACTCCTCCACCACTTAGGTCATCGTTTGGGCGATGATCCAACGTTGGCCCGCTCTTCCCTGCTTCATGGTGGAACCGCCCCCCCCCCCCCCTCTCTCCTCTCCTCCACTCGGGCTTAGGTCATTTTTGGTGTCTGGTCATGGGTTTTCGGCGCTGTGGCCGTGCTATGCAGTTAGGAGCATAAACAGAGTGTATTCGGAGGATATCTGGTAGTGAGAGCTACCGTCCGTCGGCTGTGTATCATGCTGTACCTCGTCCTGTGAAGAGAACAGGGTCCGAATCGTGGGATTCTCTACGAGATACGGTGTGTCGTGTCCCTCGTGGTGGCTAGAGGCTCTCCGATTCACAGCCACGCCTGCAACGGTCACATTCCTTGCTGGGTTCTCAGTGGTCGTCGTTCATCGGATCTGGTTCGTTCTCCCCCGATCAAACCCACTTGCGCTCCAGGGATCATGCCTCGTTGTCCTGCCCGTCTGCCCCATCTGCCCTGGTCTCGCCCTGAACCATCTGACCCTCCGCGAAGGAATGGACCCGACGCCGCCCACGACACCGACAACCGTCGGCAAGAGAGAAGAAAAGCAAGACCGTGAGCGCGAGAGACGGGATCGTCACGGATCGTCCTCGCTTCGGACCAGACTGGAGCATTGGCCGCGGCCGTTGCCCCATTTTTTATTTTGGGCTCCAAATACGCCCCCCATCCCGACACCATCGTAGGCATGGCATCGACGAGCCCGTCGATGCCGTTCGGCATTGGACGATGAGACCGCCCCCTCCCCCCTCTTCTCCCTCCAGGTTCACCGTCGCCCCTCCTTCCTGCCTTCCCCCCTCGACCCAGGTGGAGCAGATCAATGGACGGATCGGGGGGGGGGGGGGGCATTGTTCTTTTTTTGTGATAGTCGAACGAGAGTTGAGCAGAGGGAGGCAGGAAGGGAGGGGGTACGTCATTCTAGTAACCCGCTTATCCATCAACCCGCCTATGAATGATGGTCGCGTTCGCATTGCTCGGAGAAATTGCCCGCAGCTGCCCGCTCTCTGCATCCCGTTGGTGCTAATGACGAAACGAGTAAGGGCCAAATGCAAAATCGGCAGTGGAGATACAAGAGTCGTTCGGGGGAGAGCTACAGCTATACATAAGAGAAATCGAACTGAGGAGCTGTCGAACTACACCAGCATTTTTCCATAGCCCCGTATCGGGTGCGCGTGACGGGGACTAACTACTATTAAGGGAGAGCGAGGAAAGATGTCGAGGCTGAGAGGACTACACGACAGCGAGACCAGTTGACAGGTTGAATGCTGATCTGCGCATGGACTTGACGGGTGTTTCAGGCCGGAAAGGACCATGTCCGAACGAGGGAAAGCTTGGTCGCCAGCTCAGTCATCAGATTCTAATATCAGAAATCTCATCTCACCATATCATCTCTCTCTCCCTCTCTCTCTCTCTCTCTCTCTCTCTCTCTATATATATATATAATGAGTTAGCTAGACGAGTTAGTGGATATAATATAATGATCATCATCCACGTTTGCTCCACCGGGTGCAAGAGGTAAAGGGAGTATATATCGGAATAGGAAGGACATGGGGCACGGTCAGAAAGAGAGCCCTAAGAGAAAAGAACAGATATAGAGAGAGTGAGAGTGAGAAAGTAAAGAACTCGTGTTCGAGCCGGGTTCTGAAGAACCTGCATCGCCATCTCCACCGCCACTTTGCGCAACGGTCCCAGGGTTGGGCTGCATGCCCGCATGCTGCAGTTAGAGATGGCTTTGCCACTTGGGGCTCGTGCCAGTATTTTGCAGGGTGCATCGAGCCAATCACGGAGAAGAACACCCAGGTTTCGCGGCTGCGTCCTCCTGCAGGCGATGCATATTCCACCGAACTGGCGCCCATGGCACACGGACTTTTTTAATTTATTTTGGTTTGGCGGAGGGCACTGGGTCGTGATGCCTGCCACCATTCAGCCCATCGAGCCCATTCAGCCATTTAATTCTCGGCACAGGGGGGTGGGAGAGAGGGGGGGGGGCGTTGGGGTAGGGGCGGGGAGGGCAGGGAAGTTTGGGTAGGTACGTGTTCCTTGTATGAGAAAGATAGTAGCTCGGTATTCTAGTATTCTCTTTTCGGGGGCCAGCAAGATGGAGCTGTTCCGTGATATAGTAGGCACCACTATACCTGTAGAGTGCTCGGTATTCTCCTGCCATCCCAAGACAGATCCTCCTCCACAGTTCGGGTTCGTTGGCAAGGCAGTGTATCGGCTAGACAATCAGCCTATCACCTTTAGAACGCAATCTACACCCTACGACCTATGACCTACACTATGCAATATACTATAACCAGATACAGAATACACGTCGACAAAGCCCCATTAGCCAGTCCCTCGAGCGACCATTTTCTGGACATCTCTCTCTTGTCATAGCACTGTTGGACTGGTTCTGATTTGTCTCCGGGGACAATGTGCATTCACACCTGTCAACCATCCCGTCGTGCCCGTACCCACACCGGCATTGTGGCTCGACCCTGAGGTCATTTCCCGCCCAAACGCCCTCGCGAGCCCAGAATCCAAGTTTCGCGGTCGACCCCACCGGTCCCTTAATCTTCTCATGAGAACGCGTTGTCCCCCTCAATCTCCCAAATCTCCCAAATCTCCCAAATCTACCAATCTACCAATCTGCTAATTTCCCACGCTGCCACTCTCCCGCCCCGTCGTTCGACGCCTCCCAAGGTGCGGTTCGGCACCATTGCCTCGTTCTGGGCCTTCCAAGGCCTCCTCCCCTCCAAGCTCCAGCCCAACATAACAAACCCCGTCTCTCGTCTCTCGTGCCCTCTCCCCCACCCAGTGGGCTCGCTCTCTCAAATGACCGTGGCCGCGCTACCGCGCAACCTGAGACCTTAGCCTCGGTCGCTCCACTGATCACATCTCTGCAACATTACCTACGGAGAATGCCGAGGGCGATCGCAGGGCCGAGAGCTAGGACACCCTAGCCACCCCGTCCCTCTCTCCTGCTTGCCCCCCCGGGATCCTAGTCGGGCGCCTTAGCCCTGAGAAGGAAGATGGGCGGGAAGCACAGACAACCGGGTCGTTCTCGTGTTTGCTGTTGTTAGTTTTCATGATTTATTATTTTCGATTTTTTTTTTGCCCCCGGGGCGATCCTAGTAAATCCCAGCTGCACCTTAATTCATCACGTCGCATGCACAAGAACCCAAGCTCTAGCGGAGCTGGGAAGCTCAGAGCTGGAACGAACCAGGAAGTGCGTGGGGAGGGGGGTGTTGGAGTGGGAAGAGTGTAGGGACGAGAGGATTCTAGACCCAACAGATCAACGGGTCCAATTTCGCACAGTTCTGGCCCTGTTCTTCTTGTCCGGGCTCTATTCGCTCTGTTCTCTGCTCTCTGTTGTCTCTGAGGAAGCCGGGGTTGGGGGGGGGGGGGGGGGGGAGAAGAATAGTCGTTCTATGTTCTCTCAGGGCGAGAGAATCCGACGAAGGGAAAGTAGTGCGACGCCGTGTGACCGGAGCCAACAAACTACGAACGATGGGCCTGCCGCACAACGCTCTGGGGGGTCTTACAGCGCCGAGCTTATCCGGTTTGAAAAGGGGAGGGGGGGGGGGGGGGGGAGGCAAGAGGCCATGGAGCGGATGCATCTTCTGGAAGACCAGGGGACACTTCCATGGACATCGTAATCTGGACCGGTCCCCGATGGGATTCGGAAAGGGAAGGGAAAATTGAAGGCGAAAATAGGACTGGAATTACGGGATCTTTTTATGACAGGAGGCAGAGTCTGGGACCCAGGAACCATCGAGCCAGAAAAGAGAGAGAGAGAGGGAGACAGAGACAGTTCCCTAAAGAAGTATCTATGGAAATGCACACATGGATGGACTCCACCGAGCCAAGTCGGGTTGCCGGAACACCAGGGGGAAAAGGGATCCACATCGGAGGCAAAACGGAGGCAACACGGAGGAAGAAGAAAGAAACAAGCCGGATTGTTAAAAAAAAATAAAATAAAAAAGAAGAAGAATAAAAGCGAAGAAGTCAAAAACAATAAAAGAATAGGTATAGAAGAGATGTCAAAGCTTGGAAGCTGAGCACATGCGATTTTGGCGACCCATTCTTCAAGGGCCGAACCGCACGAGTTCTACGGAGTACTCCCGGGCGAGGAGAGGATTACCTAGTGGGACAATCGAACTAAAACAAAGCTGGGCTTTGGTTCACGAGTAGGTGGGTTGGTGAGGTAGGGAGTTACCGCTGCAACGGAGTATATACGGACCAGGGTCACCAGTCAAGCCCCGACGCGAGAGGACCGGCCCCAAGCCCTAGGAAACCAGAAAAATCCCCGAGTGGTTGCACGGGGACTGAGGCTGCAAACCACGTCGGAGGGACAAGCTCGAAAGAGGCAACGCCCAGCCGGTGCAAGTGGGACGAGGCGACCACAGACCCCAGATCCCGGTCGATGGCTTGATATCCAGCACGGGACAACAGAAAAGCGGGAAACAAGAAAAAAACCAAAGACCCTCAGCCACCAGAGAGGGTCGATGGGATGAGCACGGGAGAGGAGCAGAAGAGGAGGGGAGGGAGGGGGGCAAGGGATCGGAGGATGGGGATAGGATAGAGAGATTCAGCCCACTCCTGTCGCTAACGGCAGAAAGGAATAGTTGAAACGGGCACTGGAGAAGATGAGAGGACGCTGGGGGAGACACGCTGTTCTCGTAGGCTCCGGCGCCGGCAGACGATGCCCCCATTGATCGTACATCGTACATCGTACATTGTGCATTGTACATCGTGCATCATCCTTGCCTAGACATTATGACCGCCATTTCATCCTCTCGCGCGGTCCACCCGAGGTTCCCGTTAGGAAGGAGAGCATCATGGCAAGGATTGACGGGTATTGCCAGACAAGAGACGGAGTAGGGAGTAGGCACTTCCTCATTTAAAACGAGACAGCTCGCTATATTCCGCCCATAAGTCAACGGGGCCCATTGACGGGTCGAATCATTGCAAAGTTGAGGCCCTCCGGCAACTAATTTACACATTTCCCTTGAACGCGAGTTCTCTGGAGATCTGGAGAGAGAAAGAGAGAGCAGACAAGGGCCAAAGCAGAGCCCTCTTCGGGTCTGTTTATTTCATCTGCGACAATTATCATAATAAACCACATCAGCATCCTGAACCTCATCCACGATGCTGCTCTCCCCCGCTAGGGATATCAAGTCGCGGCAAGTGATGAAGTGACGATAGCAGGAATACGGAGTAGTACGGAGTCACAATAATACTGGGTATACTGAATACATTGGATCTACTGGAAATGCTGGGTACGTGGGAAAGTGACATGGGTCTGCCCGGTCTGGCCTGTAAGAGGACGGCAGAAAGCCGTTGAGCTGCGATCGCCCCTCCCTTTTCACCAGGGGCTATGACTGGTTGGTTTTAGTCGCAACGGCATGGCATTAGGGCGGGTTAGCGTCTGGGCCGGAGCAGCCCGTTGCCAACGTTTGTGACTGGTCAGTGCTGGCTTTAAAGTGTTCCGTTACGCATCCTCATCTCATTTCAGGATGATGCGGGGCCCGTTCGGAGGAACCATGTTCATCGGGGGCTTGGGCGTCGGGAGGAGTTTGGGAGCCCCTCTTCCTTGACTCGGTTAGAGGGGGATGATACCGTACACACTTGATCGCAAACACCTGGTTGTGTGCCCCTCTCCCCCCGATGCCGGCCGTCTCTGTTTTCACCCTCTTGCTCCGAAAGCAAGCATGAAATGGGTGGGTGGTCTTCAAGTTGTTCCGAAATCATGAGAGTAGAAAGGTGAATGAGGAGGAAAGGGAGGGGGTGAAGAGGGAGAAGTGAAAGGGGGAAGGGAAGGGAGAGAGAGCGACGCGGGTCGGAGGCGTCGAAGTCGTCGAGGCCATCGAGTTCATGGGGGGCAAAAAAAAACGGGGGCCTGACCGCTTCCCATCTTTAATTAAGTGGATCGGAGATATTGCGGCTTTCCCTGTCGCCCGTTTGACTGGCCTGTTCTTTTTTGGGGTCTTTTTTTTTTCCTTTTTTGCTTTTCTGGTTTGGGCGAATTTTCCGAATTTTAATTATTTCGCTCTGATCATCCCAAAATTAAAATCATTTATTTATTATTTATTATGGTCTCGTTGATGATTGTTCCCAGATCATTATATCATCGTCATCCATAAATGAATTAAATGAATGGGAGATTACGATACCTAACCTACTGCAGTAATCACGGACGCCTCCTTCTCTCTTGTGCTGGCTGACTGCCATTGATTGCTGGCCAAGCTACGTAGTTGGTAATTTGGGGGTATATGCTGAAGGTATGGTTGTATTCTGATACCTGTCCTCGGGGCCTCACTGGGTCCCTGCTACCTGATACTTCGACCTGGCCATCATTCCCAGTAAAAAGTGTCCTAAAAAAAGAGTAATTTTAAAATTCCTTTTTCGCATGAGATTCTGATGCTGGGATTATCATTCTACTTTTTCCCGTCATTAAACTTCTTCCCCCCCCCCAACCCTCCCAAACCCAAACTAAACGAGACCCTCTCCCACTCGGTTCGCGACTCCATCTGCCATCAGGGATGGTCTCCATCGCCGGTCTAAGACTCCTCTGGATCCATCCCGCTTGGTTCGTCGTCGGTCACGATCGTCTGGTTTCATCTCGCTGGTCTGGAACTTCGGCTGGACCTTGAATGCCTCCAATCGCCGCCTCGCTTCTTTACTTCTTCTCTGCACTGCTCACTTCCTACCTTCAACCTCTTCCGCCTTGTCAGTGACTTCGACTGCTGCTGCTACTGCTGCTGCGTCTCCCAATCGTGGATTTCTGACTCCATCAACCCTATCTGCCCCTTCTCGACTTCCATTCTGTCCTTTCCATTCTTCTTCTCTTTCCCCCCTCTCACGATCCTGGTTCCCCTCTTTCCCTTCGTTCCTGGTTTCCTTGTTCCTCTATACCTCTGGATCCTTTCCACGGTTAACCCGGTACTGCGATTTCTACCGCGATTTTTGCCGCGCAGCCCTCAACCAGGCCCTGTTCTGACCTCATCATTCGTTGCACGAGACCAGCCATTCCGTTTGAGTTTCTGTTCGAAGAACCCCGGCCCATTTGATCCCAGGACTCTTCCAGGTTGATCATCCGGAGAGAAAAAAAAACCAAATACAGAAGAACCACCAAATACCCAGCATCACCGACGCTCCGGCATTACCACGCCAGTTCTACTATCTGCATTCTTAGAGAATCTGTGGTGGCTGTCATCCTTCAGTAGACGCGGAAATCACAAGCGTTCCGCGACCTCTGGACTACTTACTCGCTCTTCTCTCTCTCTCTCGCCCTCTCTCCCTTTTGCGCGGCTGGCACTGCTACTTTCTCCCTCCCCCTCTATTGCGTTTGTGTGTTCTACTCTTTCCCTTGTGACCTTCAACGTCTTCCCCCTCTTCCATCCGGACCTTCTTGTTTTGGGAGGGGGCTTTGCGCTTCTATCTACTTTGATTCCGAAAAGTCCCGTTGGTTTCCATCGCGCATATGATTGCGTTACAAAATCGGCCCATCTTGCCGCCCGCCAAAGTGGATATCTCACTACTACTCAAGCCCCAAGATGAGGAAGAGGCCGCCCCGGGGAATCCTACGCCTGTCTATGCCCCCAGGACACTGCCCGGCCCGCCGCCGCTAGGCAGTGCGGCTCCGATCTTCACTACGGGCCCGCCGCACCCCGCCATTGCACCACCATTGATCAAGACCGGCCCTGGTGTGCCGGCGAAGCGTCTGCAGCCAGCTCATACTGCGGAATCCCCCGCAAAGAAACAGTCCAAATGGTCGCCTGAAGAGGACGCCTTGATCATCGAGCTGCGGGGCAGCGGGATGAAATGGGAAGATATCAGCAAACGCCTGCCCGGCCGCAGTGCGATCAGCTGTCGTCTTCACTATCAGAACTATCTGGAGCGTCGTAGTGAATGGGATGAGGATAAGAAGAACAAATTGGCCCGACTCTACGAACGGTAAGATGAAATGCAACCCAGTCAATAGCACCAATGCCCGCCATTCCCCACCTTTCTCGTCAACATCATAGCAGCCCTTTTTCGATTCTTCTTTTTCTGCAAGTAACCTTCCATTCGGAGAGCTAATACTGGCGGAAATATAGATTCAAAGCTGAAATGTGGTCCAAGGTCGCCGAGGAAATGGCCATCCCATGGCGTGCAGCCGAGGCCATGCACTGGCAGCTGGGAGAGCAAGAGATGGCTCGCCGCGCAGGCGTGGTGCCCTTCTCTCTCTCGAGCACGGCAATTGACCCTCCCACCACCCGAACCCGCCGAGCCAGCACGTCCTTAGCTCGCCCTCGAAAAAGTTCAACCTCACGCGCGATTCCGGGCCATCTCCCAGGCCTACCACCACAATTGCCTTCCTTGGAAGAGTTGACAGCGGGCGTCCCCGCCTACGCTCCGCCTGCCCCTCCCCCGCCGAGAGAGTATTATCCAGTGGCTCGACCTCCCGATATGGGCATCCCGCCGCCGCCGCCTGGTCTCATGGGCCCGCATATGGGAATGCCCCCTCGAACACTGCCCTAAGATGAGATGATGATCACGCCCGTACGGCTTTTCCTTAGTTTTCATTGATACGAATTGCATAGCGCCGGCTGGAGGTATACCGTGCTTTGTGGGAGGCCACGATTTGCATAGAGAATTCCCCTCGGACTCTTGCGAGTCTTTTTGTTTTCTTGGAAGCTTTCCAAATTTTCTTTTGTTGTTGATTTTTTGAGACAATTCGCAGGGAGAGAGGCAATTTGTGTTTTCTTTTAGGGCGCAAACCCATTGTCCTCCTCCCAACCTCACTCTTGATAAACCTTTTCGTGTGCGTGTCTGACGACAACTTCGAGGCTGGCTCTCGGAGTGACACGCTCGCAGGTCATGGGGTGGTTTTGGGCGTGGCAATCGCCCACCAATTGTCTTTCTCGTATCCCGACTCCAACACCTCTCCGCCAGCCTGGGCAATATCGCGCTCGAGTTCCCCAGCCTCATACAGATGGTAATACCGATGGTACGTTTGATCCTCGGCCCCTGAGCCAGGCTTGGCCTTACGCACCCACGGTACCATGAGATCTTGTTGGTCTCCCTTGTCCCAGCCACGTCGGCTATTTTTCTGCTCGAGAGCCCAGGCATAGACCAGGAGTTTGCCGCCGGGTTGAGATTCCGACCCGGGCTTCATCGTCCGCAGGATTTCGGCAATGGCCTGGACCCGGCGGGCTGGGGTGGAGAGGTGGTGCACCACGGCAATGCAGACAGCAAAGTCAAAATGTGCATCCTGGTGCGGGAGATGGAGAATATCAGCCACCACGGTTGAATGGGGCTGATGCTGGAGTGCAATCCGGGCCAGGTTCTCGGATCTGCACCCTTTGGTCAGTGCGGGGAGTGGAGGGATGGAGAGACGTGGAGATTGAAGAAATTGGGATTGTGAGAAAGGAAGAACTTTCCAGTGAAGAATTCCAGTGAAAATAACCACAAATAAATTAAAAAAAAACAACAACAAACGGGGCAGAGAAATAACAGTATACGAAAATTAAGATTTCTCCATTTTGTCTAGACTTACCGATCCGAGGCCACTATAAACACATCCCGATTGACCTGAAGATTCTTGCCATTGCCACAGCCTACATCGAGACCAACAGATCCCGCTGGTAGGCCCTGGAGAAACTGTTCCACAATGGGCCATGGCTGTTGCGAAAAATCCCGGGTGGTTAGTTTGAGATCTGCCCAGAAACGGGCCGTTCGAAACACACCTTGTAGCGGGTGGCCGAGAAGTGGCCGGCGATTTGCTGGTACACCTCATGCACATTCTGCTCCTCGTACGCCTCAGCCTGGTCCGCCATGGTTGCAGCTTGTTATGGTCTACTTTTTGATGGCCGGTGATGCGGGAAAGACCAAGCGAGGCGTCACGTGGCTCGGGGACTTTTTGTGCCCACTTGACAAAGTACCGCAGTACATCCAGTTCCTCAAGTAGTCTGTACCGAGAACAGAAGACTTTGTATGAAGCAATGCACTTCCAACTCTTAAGCGCAGAATTTCAATACCATCTAGTCATACAATTTAATTTATGAATTAAGCTTTCTCGGATTGAAATTGGATTCTACGAGAAGCATATCCTGGCCCAGTTAAACTGCGTTTGCGCTCTGTGTTTCACCCGTATACATGTAGCACCCGATCTAAGATCGAACGGATTTTGCTTCTCGCTAATCGACAATTTGCAGTGAATTCTGAAAAGGTCTCCAGGGAAGTTCCTAGGAAGAGAAATGGGCCAAAATTGTCCGACCTTGAAGGTGAAATTAAGGTGATCAAAGTTATCAAGGTATTTCCTTGCCGGCATGAAGCGATGACTAAGCGCACCTATTTTGGAAAGCCAGCGTTGTCATTCAGGAGTATCGCTCGCTTCGAATTTGAGCTGTAGGTACGTGGAGTTTATTTTGCCCAGAACAGTTGTCTATGCTGCCACTATGATCTCTTATTTCTCTGGCCCAGAATATCTGTCTCGGGAGGAGAGGCGGAAGAAGCTGGAGAGAATGAGAAGCCAATATCAAAAGCTCAGGCTTTGATAAACTGGTCTGACTGTTACGTGCAAGGCCTCCCTCTTCGTCCCTTGAGTCTGCATGTACATGGCCTTGCTTTAGTTTCGGTTTTTCCTGGGCCATTTGTTGCTTTATCAAGAGGTTTCCAGCGCTAACTCCTTCACACAGCTCCTCGCACCACCACTAAATTCCACCGTCTTGTGGCTCCTCTGAAGGCGTTACATACGCACTTTGTAAAAGATGGCATTCCAGTCCACTCCAGCGGATATATCCGTCATTATCACGAGCCCCTCGGGGGCCAAGTCTAACAATGGCGAGCCGACCTTCGTCACTGAGCGTCGCATCACCCCCACCTGGACTGTCCTCCAGGTCAAGAGCAAGCTGGAAACCATGACTGGCGTTCCTCCGGGGAGCCAGCGGCTGCTGGTGAAAGTCCCTGGCCGACCTAATCAGTGGGCTGAGGACAATGACCGATTCATTGGAGACTGGGGCCTTGTGAAGGGATCGGAAATTGAGGTAGGTTTTGTTTTTGTTTCCTTTCTGCTTTTCTTTTCTTTTCTATGTGCTTCCTGGTTCTCGCGGACTACTTCGCTTTTGAAGGACATGTCTGTATCAGACAAATAGTCCTCAATCGAACAATCTGCCTATGATTGGATAGCAATATCCTTGACATTCATCCTTTCCCCCCTTGTTTTTGCCAGCCATGATGTACATAAACTTGGAATCATGTTCGAGGTGTATCTGAGGGCGAGCATCTTGCTCCTAAGGTCCAGCCTAAAGATGTGTCAAAAAGCCAACGCCAAGGCAAAGAAAAGAAAAGCCCTGCAGCACGAACTATTCAAAGCTCTTAAGGAGAACCTGACCTTATCCCCTACACCAGGTTCACGACACCCGCCCCCAGGCCATGCGTCCGAATTTCACCGACCTGTCGTCGGTCGAGAAATATGAGCTGCCCGCCGAGACATACGAGTCCCTCTCCAACTCCGTTCTGGCCTGGAAAAAGAACCAGAAGTTGGGCCGCTTCGACCCGAACGCGCTCTCGCCAGAGGAAGCCCTGCGCAAGCAAGCCGAGAAGGACGCCGCCGAGGTTTCTAGCAGAGGTGTGTTTGCAACCCCTTTTTCTCACCTTTTCAGGGAATAATGGTCTGATCTCACGAATTCTGTTCTTTGCAATACAGGCATTGCCGTATCTAAGCGGGCTATCATTCTCCCCTCATCTCCGCCGCATATCCGGCGAGGCACGATTCGCTTTGTGGGACCCGTGCCCACCATCCCGGTCACTGGCCCGGGCCGGGAGTTGACGAGCGAGGGTCCGCTCCCTGCAGACCTCCAGCCGATCTGGGTCGGCATCGAGCTGGACGAGCCGACGGGGAAGAACGACGGCAGCGTTGGCGGCCAGCGGTACTTCGAGTGTCTAGAGAAGCGGGGTGCATTTGTCAAGCCGGAGAAAATCGAGGTGGGTGAGTTTCCGCCGCTGGGGCTAGATGATGAGCTGGATGAGTTGATGGAGGAGATCTGATATGGAGGGTGCGCGATGCACTGTGATTATGATTTCATGGCTATAGCATGGATGATACATGATATCGAAACAAACATGTCCAAGATGAACACGAACAAATTCATTGTAAAGGAGACTCCCTACCCCCCGTGTGGTTTCCTGCTGGGTCCTTCCGTACCCTTCGCCAAATATCGAAACAGATTAACAAGGTGCCTGGTCATACTGACGCCCCGAACCTCGCTTAAGAGATAGAAATCGCTGGAAAAAGACGAGCAGAAAGGTATCATGGCGCATATGGCATGCTAGTTTAGTTCTGGCATGGCATGAAACAAGGGAAAAATGATGGCAAATGGCAAATAAAAAAAGACATTTATTTCGCCTTTTGTTTGCCTTTAGGCGGGCGGCCGCGTGTTTTAGTTGCCGGAGCAGCAGATTTTCCACTGTCAGCCTCAAACTCACTTTCCTGCCCAGCCGTCTTAGGCCCTTGTGATGGCGATGCTTCTTCACTGTCGGCCGGGACACAGCCCTGGGTGAAGAATAAACGAGCTTCTTTCTGGTAGGGGTTCGCGAAACTGTAGTAATTGCCTCGCGGGACTTGGAAGACCGAGCCCTTACCAGCACTGAACTGAACTCCTGAAATGTCCACTTGCACACGACCATGACAGACGTAGAATACCATGTGCATCTTTTTTGAGTTTTTGGGTTTCTTAACGCCGTCCTTAGGGAGCTCTACCACACCAGAACCAATAAAAGAAGAACTGAGAAGTTTTGCGAAACGGAAGGTTGAGTCCTTGACTTCTCTGGTTACAATACCAGATGGAGCGTATGCGATATCTGGACAAGAATGTTAGCGGCTGGTAAAAACAGTAGACAAGCTACCTAGAATTCGAATCTTACCGAGAACTTCCTCCTCCGTGGTGCTAGCCTGGGTTTTCGGATCCCATTTAGGGACGTATCCATGAAGAACCCCGCCTTCTTTCTCCCAGAGATCGACCTCCTCATCTTCCTCGTCGGAGGACTCGTCCTTCCGCTTCTTTGACTTCGAATTACGACTGCGCTTGCCTTTCTTTTGCTTTTCCGGTTCGAGCTCCTCAGTCCGAATGACTTCCTTGATGGTTGAAAGCGGATAGCGTTGTCCCTCGGCGGCCTCGCCGTCGCCAAACACACACCGTTCATTGCGCCAATATGCAAGAGGGCGGACAGAAACTCGCCCTGAGCGGGTGTGAGTGGCTTCGGCACCGCTAGGATCCTCACGCTTGAGGATGTAAAGACTACGGCCCTTCAAGGGACCTGTGCGTTGAGCATAATTTTCGACCATTTGTTCTAGCTCGGGCTCGAGAGGTTCACGTGGGGGTCGAGAAGACTTGCTATTTGAAGTTTTTTGCTTCTTGGGTTGTCTCGTGTCAGAAGGCTCCTCATCAGCTGGACGTTGGGTTTTCGGAGGTCGCCCTCGCGGCTTAGCTGGCTTGGCAGCAGGCTGAGATGCCTGGGGGCTCTTCGCTGCTGTTCCCTTCTTCTGTGTCTGCTTGGTCTTCGATGGGAGTTTTCCGGCGGGTTGCGAATTTTCTGGTTCTGGGGAGTCGTAGTTGTCACCCGTGTTTAAATCTTGCACGGTGGCATCAGCAGTCTCGTTGTCATCATCGGGCATTACAGTTTCGTTGCCAGCATCCAAGCTATCACTGAAATCGTCCTGCGCTGGGCCAAACGAGTCTGCGTTCTCATCATATTCCCCATCTGAAAATTCGGACACAGTAATCGGCTCTGGTACTTTCTGCTTTTGCCCACTGCCGTTCTTCTTATTTGACCCTGCATTAACCGAACGAGCAGTTAAAGGCGAAGGATCTTGGCGCGATTCTCGTGTGGCAGGCCAGCCTTTGCCATCAGATGGGCTGGGTGAGAGCAGGTCATCTCCTTCATCTGGCGTAGATCGCAAAACAGGGGATCGCCGAGAAGCAGCCTTTGCAGGCGATCGGGACTGCGCGGGAAGAAAGTTGCCTCGCGAGCGGTTGGCGCTGCCGAGATAGTCTAGAGGACCAGGCGCGTTGCCTGTGGAGATAGGCAAAGAGCAATTAGTTACTGATGGCCAGGACATGCAGCAGTGTTGTCGCCAACATACCCTCATCAATGGACATATCAGAGCTGGCAGAATCATCATCATCATCATCATCATCATTCGAGTGGTTGAACCCATTCAATTTCGCGGGCGATTTCTCAGGAGACGAGAATAATCCGTCCACTTCCTCCATTCCATACTCGTCGCGTCGCCCTTCTTTCAAGGTGAGGCCAGTCCGCCTAAATGCATTGAGTCCATAAGCATACTGCAAGGCACGCCCTCAAGTGCTTGCGTTTAAAGGAGTATAACTTACCGTCCCATAGTGCCCACCTGCGAAAAGTCAAGGTCGCGGGGCTTGGTGGAGCCACGAGCCATATTGGCGGTAGGAGAAATCAGTCGGAATCAATAGCTTGAGGACAGGTAGGTTTCAAAGAATATCCAACGGTGCTGAATCTGGCCACGCAAAGCAACACACGAGGTGGAGGGGGAAGAGGAATGATGCGACGGAATTTGGGGGAAACGCGCGCCCGCCGCTAAGCCCGAATGGTCGACGCGTCGCATACTTTTGGCGCTCCCAAGTTTAAACGTGCCACTATCTTTCTTGATTTACTTGATCTCGCCAAACACTCGTTTGCTTCACCAAAAATTAGCCTTCAAAATGGGCACAGATCAGCAGACTGCCAATATCTCACAAGAGGATACCTCTTTTATTCCCCCCAGCATCGATACAGAGCGCTTGCTCGCCGGAGACTCCTACGCCTACTACACGCCCTGTCCTACCGCAATCACACCTCACAGCAAATCACCACTTACTCAAGATCCTGTGGAGACTACACAATGTGTCCTGGGTGTTGATGAGGCTGGCCGTGGCCCTGTGCTCGGCCCTATGGTCTACAGTGCTTTTTATCTGCCCATGGACCTCCACCATCCTCTACTAGCCGACGAACACAGATTTGACGACAGTAAAGTCCTGACTCCTGGCGTGCGCGCAAAGCTCATGCGGCTGCTCAACACGCCCGGTCAAAATCTCCATGACTCCTGCGGGTACGCGATCAAGGTTCTTTCAGCCCGTGACATTTCCTCCGGCATGATGAAGCCAAACACCGCCGTCTACAACCTCAATGCCCAAGCGATGGACGCAACGATTGAGATTATCCGCGGTGTAGTGGAAGAACGGGGTATAGATGTGCGGGAGGTGTACATCGATACCATTGGGAACCCGGCGACATACCAGCAGAAACTGGAGCGGATCTTCCCTTCTTTGAAAATCACCGTCGCGAAGAAGGCTGACTCACTGTACCCGTGTGTGAGCGCTGCCAGTGTTGCAGCCAAGGTTACGCGTGATGTGGCGCTCGAAGTGTTATATGAGGCTATCCGCCCTGCTCAAGATTCCGACGGCGCGTCGGCTCCCGAGGGATGGGGTAGTGGCTACCCATCAGACTCCAAGTGCGTCGGCTGGCTCCGACGGAATATGAATCCTGTTTTCGGCTGGGGTAATGAATGCCGCTTCAGTTGGGGCACAGCAAAGGAGATGCTAGAGCTGAAGGGTGGGGCTCGAGTGGACTGGCCAGTGGATGATGATGAGGGAAATGGCATGCTCAGCGAGTTTCTCCTAGCGCCTAGTTGGGGCAAGGGATCCAGCAAAGATGGTCTCCGGGACTGGTTCGGGCAAAAACAAACTGAGATCATATAATGCATTGTTTGGCATGAAATTAAGATGTAATGAAGCTAATAGTATAAAATTGATGATACCCCCTATCATGCCTGCCAAAGAGACCCTAGCCAAAAGTAACAAAAGAAGGACGTCTAATCACGATTGTCATCGCTATCAAGTGGGATAAGAGAGAAAAGAAAATAGGGTATCATGGAGAAGGGTAATCCGTACACAAGAATCACAAGGTGGCCGTTGAAAAGTAATAGTTGTCCCACAAGTATTCGTAGTCCTCCACCACGCTGCCCACCAAGTCCAGAAGGGGCTTGCCTTTCATCTTGCCAGTGATGCTGTGAAGCCAGGATCTGTTGCTTGTTAGTTTCATGATCGGAACAGGGAAGACGCTGCTGGAAGTGTGCATACTTGGTGATGTTCTCATAAAACGCGCCACGCATCAGCCACCAGCCCATTGACCAACCACGCTTCCTCAGTTCCTCACGTTCGAGCCCAGTGAGTCCCCGAAGGCCACCAGCAACTCGCTCACGGAAGTCACGCTTTGCAAGCTGTCGGCAGCCATACTCCATTCCAAACCCGATCAACCAAGGCCGCCAGCTGCGTTTGTCCCCGCTCCATCTCTGCATAGCCAACGCGTAGACAACGGGCCGCAGGATATACAAGACCTCCGCCAACTGTCCTTGTCCAGTGACTCGGTGCAGCAAGGTCTTCGGAGGCTTGATATCATCTGCCGTGAGAACTTTGGAAATGAGATAATTTGAAACGTCATTCACGTCTGGAAGAGACGGGAGAGACAGGCCCGTGCGGGGCATCGTCCAGGTCAGATCCGATGATCGCTCGCTGACTGGGGTCTGCATGCCATTCCAGTCGGTCTGGTCATCTTCCTCCTCTGTGGTCCTAGGATCAACCTCGCGCTCTGGCAATGGAGGGCTGACCAAGGGCCGCGAGTTTGTCAATCGAAGAAGCAGAAGACGACAGACTGCCTTAGCAAATTCAAGAAACACAACCACACGCCATCGAGTCTTTTGTCCACGTTTGCGAGCTGTCATTTCCCAAAGGAGTTCTGTATATTGAAGCATCTGGAGCGCAAGGGCTACTCGACGATACAGCGGAGAGCGTCCGGTCCAATACTTAGTATATCGGGCATGAGGAGTTGGCGGTGGCCGGGGCACTGTTGAAGGCAGCTGGGAGATTACTCGAGAGACAAGGGAATCATGGTATAACGAAAGCAGTTGTACTCCCGAATGCACTGGATGAGTCTGTCAGACATACGAACCCCCTCGTTCGCCGCAGGCGCATGTAAGTTCAAGAAACTGACCGCATTCTGAAGGTATTTCCGATTCACGATATCTCCCTGTAGCATAGGAAACAACACGTTAGCTGCTGGATTCTGGATTGAGATACCCTTGGAATTTCCTTACCAGGAATGATATATGTCAAGGACCTCAAGGCCGACTCAACCTGCCCAACCGAGCTGGAGTTTTTAGTCACGAAGTCTTCATAGAGCGAGAGCCATTTTGATGGTTGAAGCATTACTGGCGGTATCGGATTCTGGATGTTTCGAACGGTCTCCATGGTCAAGTACGTTGCGACCCGTTCGTGACCCGATCGTTGCGGAGTGTCGCGAATACGGGGTTGCGGGAGGTTGGAGGTCACGAGGCGCCAAGAAGGGCGAGCCGAGGTCCCCGGACTTGGGCATGTTTGCGGCTGACGACATCGCCTCGGATGGAGAACTATACAATTGGAGACACTGTTCGCGAATTAAAGTATACGCTTACAACTTGATACTCGGGCGTAAGGCTCAAGCAAAGTAGTTGATAGATTTCGCTCTCTAGTGTGTGTGTACTGAAAGGTCCAGATTATCTTCCATTCCTTGTTATCTACCACGTACATTTCATCCAAATCGTGATTGGCCTACATCATGTCATTCATCTGCCCAGGTCCACAGGCCCCCGGGCCGCATTGCCTCGCGATACCGCTCAGAGACCTTTTCGCGTTCCCGCGCCTGCGCATCTTGCCGATCTGCCTCCAGCTCTTGGGTGGAGGGCATATCAGTTCGCCAGAAACCTGGGGGACTTCGAGCTCGCTGATGGGTATGTCGATGTTTTCCATGTTTATTGGCAAGAGCCCTTGCTCGAGCTTCGATGACGAGTTCTTGGCGATCTTGGTCGCTGAGTCCGTCTAGAAGGTGTCGGTCCTCTCCGACATATTCTTCGAGGATCCGCTGGTCTTCTTCTCTTTGCTCATCGGTTGGATTAGACGTCTGTCCAAGGCGAACCATAGCACGGAAATGGTCCCCGCAGCAACCAGGGCGTGTGCACCCAGACAAACATTTGCGATCATCTTTATTACGAACGACTGCGTCGTAGGCGAAGTCAAGCCCTTGATTCCGGGCAGGGTTAATTTTGAAATGCCCTAGATTCAGACGATGGAGCGGTCGAGCTCTGAAAGGCTCTTCTTCGGGCTGTACATCGAGGTGCGTTTGCGTGGCTGTCTCTTCAGATTGCTCTGAACGCGATTGGCACGACGCTGACTCACTTGAGCGGCAATTTCGGCTCGATTTGGGTGAATGTCCTTGCCTGTGACCAGCGCCATTTCGAGCAGGAGCTATCGGTGATTTTGTGGGTAAAGATCCCTCCAGAAGGCCTTGTAGACGACTCCGAGAGGCTTTTGCGCCTGCGTTCGTTCTTGGCATACTGACTGGGGTAGTTGGTATGCTCTTGGAGCGATTTTCCCTGGTAACGTTACCGCCATGTCTGTATTCACCGTCCTCCCCCATAGCTAATGCCGCGCGGTGTTCCATCACTCGCTGCTTCTTCGTGTCGGTCCCTTGGCCCCAGGACCTGGGTGTTCTAATATTTCCGTCCATGTGTTGTAGAACACCAGCACGAGTTTTGCTTGTTGTTCCGTCCTGGTCCACCGCATCAGGGTTTTCATCTTCCCAATGTACTTCTCGATGATGATTTCTCTTGGTAGGCGTCGCTACAGTACCACCGATATCATCCAGATCTTGTGTACTTGGAAAATTTGGCCCAGCAGAAGCAATTGATTGATGCGATGGACTCGATGACATCGTCTCGGCCTTAATGAGAAGTGGTCGTTCCGGAGCACCCTCGGCTGCTTGATCCTGGGAAGAGGGGCCGACGCGCTTTCTCTTTCGATTTTGTATTTCTGGCAGAGGACAGAGTACGTCTGAAGATTCTGAGGGTGAAACGATACATCTAGTCTGACTAGACTTCGCAATAGACGCTACTGGCTGGTCGATACTATGCGCTCTTTGGCTGTTCTCTTCAAGTTTGATGTTTGGCGCTGTGTCGGGTGAGCAGCCGGTATTTTGTGTTGCTCTCGTAGACCCTGGGTCATGGTTAACGTGTCGAGTGACATCGGATTCTGGAACTGATCGAGCTCTGGCCATCTGTGTCGGCGAATTTGACCAATTCTTTGGATCGGTGGCTGGCACCCTCTGAAAAGTGACCGGCGCTCCATGAAGAAGTAATGTAAATTGGTCACGCTCAAGCTGTCTATCCCAGTGACGGAGCTTCTTCTTGTGTTGCAAGACCTTTGATTTCAAGGAGCTCCAACTCCGGACAAAGATCTGGAGATCGTTATAGAGCGTTGTGTATTTGTCCTCCAGTAGCTCTCGCAACTGATCTACATCGTGTAAATCCGGTCTCCAAATGTGTTTGGGGGAGAATTCGGACTCCAGATTGACAAGATCACCAGGAAGTTCAACATCCTTATTCTCAATTTCATAGTGATGCAATTCCTCCCGTAGAGCGGTGATTTCGTGCTGGAGCTCTTCAAGTCGGCATTCGGCTGCCTGCCGGGCCTTGTTGGCAATTGAGGCGCTTCTCTCGGCCTCGTGCACACGTGCCTCATGGGCAGCCAGTTGTATTTCCAGGGATTTGTAGGCATTGTCGAAAGATGCCTCACAGGCCTCTGCAACAGAGACATGGAGGTCTTTGAAGATCTCCATTAAGAGGTGGTGGGGAAGCCCGTCTATCTGAGCAGCTACGCGACTTGGACGCACCAGACGCGTCTAGCTGGCAGTATCCCACCGCCATTGTAGCTCACCGCCCTTTCCATAGTATCTTATCAGCCCCGATAAGGGGGCCGATAGACGTAGGTGTGCAAGAGAGCCTTGCTTTCCGTGAACACATTCACCAACCCCGCAGATCGTCTTCACCTGGGGTGTCCTGGGATCGCTCAGCAGGATGCCCAAGCGCCAGAGGGAGAATGTGGATTTTGATATCCCTCCTGCAAAACGACAACAAGAGGCAGGGAATGAATCCGAATCCCATGACCGGATATCGTCTTTAAGTGATGAGCTTCTGTTGCATATCTTGTCTTTGCTCCCGATCTCTTCTTTGAATGTCTGTCAAAGGTATAGTCTGAACATGAAGCCCTCTTCTTAATAATTTTTTATAATTTTCCTTCTCTCTAGATTATCCCGTCGCTTTTTTGCTTTGGGCGGAGACTCGGAACTTTGGAAAAAGCAGTACTATTCCCAGTGGGTACGTCCTCGGGCTCGTCGACTCGCCAATGTCAGACGGTCAGTGCAGCCAAATAAAATCACCTATTCACCCAAAGTATCGACTTGGTTAGATCATAGCCACTTGGTTGAAGAGGGAAAGGCAACGAATTGGAAAGGACAATATCGCCTTCGACACAATTGGTCCCGAGGTATTTGCCGAGTCACGGAAGTGGAATTTCCTCAACCCCCTCCCCTCCTGTGTTGGTCAAGCTCTGTGCTGGGGTTGTTTTCACAGTTGATGCTAGCCATGGATTGCGAGCATGGAGTGCGAAAGACCCCAGTTCATGCCTTGTTCAGATTTCATTTTCAGATGAGTCCAATGAATCTACCCTTCGTCCAACTGCAATAGCAGTGAGCCAGTTGGAGCATGAGCTGGAGATTGTTGTTGGGTTCGAGACTGGTCGATTCAATCGCTATGTTCTTGACTTGCAGAGCTTTCAATTAGGGTTACACTCCTCCCATGTTGGTTTCCGGGACGGAGCTATTACCGCTATGGCGTTGTCGTCCCCGTACCTTTTAATTGTGTCCCAGCACAGAAGTCTGTCACTTTATAACTTACGAGAGCCCTCTGATCGATCTGAAAAAGTCGACGGGGCTAAGAAACTCCAAGAGCTTGCATCCCTCAATGCAGACAATATTGTCGCTCCCATGACGCTGTCCCTCCGAGTCGCAGCCTCTGAAATTGTGGCCACTATCGTCTATAGTTTCTTTCACATTGGGTGTGGATGGTCTCTGGGCATTCAAGAACTACGGTTCGACACTGCCGGCCAGCAATTGGAGTCTCGCCTGGCTAGTACGGTTGATTCGCAATACGGGATCCGACCACTCCCTAATCGTTTGCCATTATCCTCACCGTCTGCACGGCGACGACGCTCTACTGAAGATGAGCCCGTCAATAGCCTCAGCTCGGCCACTCCGACCATGCCATCTATTCTTCATCTTCAGCCGCCGACATCTATGTCCTACTCGCACCCATATTTGCTGACCTCACATGCGGATAATACCTTGACCATGTACCTTGTGGTTTCCAATACCAACCATCTCTTTGTCCGTGGCGGGCAGCGACTCTGGGGCCACACCTCGTCCGTGTCTGCCGTGCAGGTTACCAACCGCGGGAAAGCTGTGTCAGTCAGCTCACGCGGCGATGAGATTCGTATCTGGGAACTGGAGATGGCAATTCCCTCGCTGGGTAGCCACCGCCCATTGAAGGAGGAGAACAGCATTCAAGTGACTCCGGAGCCATCGGAACAGGAAGAATCAATCCTCGATTGCCCATCCGAGAGGCTGCCAAACGAAATGGGCAATTCCCAAATGGCTCCTGGGACCTCAGAAGAGCTGTCTCGAATGCATGGGTGTGTTGGATTCGACGACGAACGAGTGCTATTACTTCGCGAAAAGACCGCTGGCACGCAGCTCTTGGAATGTTACGATTTCACATAGCGGATTTGGGAGGTCCGTTTCGTGTAGCCTCGGGATCGTTGCCGACCGGGCGGATATTCCTTTGTTTCCCCTGCACGATCCGATTTAACCCATGCGCATGTTCTGATCGTATCTTTGGGGGGGCAAAAGAGGGGGATCGCTTCAATTTGAGCGGCGCCCATTGGGTAAGAAGCACGGCATCCTGGCTCGACGGGGCGCTAACGCAGGTCCAGGAAACCGGTCGCGGAAGCCCCGTAGCACAAGGTACTTGGTCCTGGGGACCCTGGCGGATTTTTGGGGTTGCATAAAACTCGCAGGTTCCCCCCAGCATTGGAGTTACCATTGGAATCTCATCTCTTGCCTGGACTTCTTCTCCCTTCCTTCTTCTCTCTCTGTGCTTCCTCGAGAATGATTTGGTGGTTCGAATGTGGTCTCGGTTGCGCCCTGCATCGACCGTGACTATCCTGCAGGACTACGGATCTATCCAGATTCCTCAATGGATGATATGATCCCCTGCTCGAAGGTCAAATGTTAGACCAAGAGCCATATCCAAGACATGCCATGTACCCTTCTCATTCCCCTTGCCCTCCGTCTTTTTCTGAGAGTCTTCCACACTCCAGAGCATCCCAAGAGACTCATCTTGGACCTTGATTCCCTATGTATCCCTTTGGATATTTTTCTTGCCCAAATGGGGCCTGCTTGGGAACCCCAGACAGAAGATTATGAACTATATTGAGGACAAGAAAAAGACAGAAAGTCTTGGAGCTTGAAGACAAACATGTTGAGGAAGATAGTGGTAGATGATGTATTGCACCTGGCGTTCGCCGACCGGGCTGGGAGTATTGAACCCTAGCCTCAAGGACCAGCAAATGCTGGATCGCCAACCATTGGAAAAAAACGGAAGCGTTGGTCGACTTGAGCGAAAGGGGCGACGCAAGACGCGAAACGGGCATCGCAGTAACGCAGAAACGCAGAAACGCAGAAACGAGGCGCGGGACCATTCAACCGGGAAGTTTTCTCCTCGGGCCCCCGCACTACAAAATTCCTCAAAACTTCCCTCCTTCATCGACCCTCCAATACCCCTTCGTGACCTTCGATTCCCTTTTTACGACCCCTCCCATCGTTTCGACGACTTCAAACTCTTGTCAAAATGGATCCCCGCTTCCGTGCCTGTTACAACTGTGTGTTCCCAATTCCTGCCCACTTTTGACTCGCCTATGACACGCACAATGCGCGCTCGCGGCTCAAAATGATAGCACCACCCCCGGTCGTTCTTGGAGCAGCGTTTGTAGCCCATCACTGCTGTCGCATGGTTTCAATTCCATAGCCATCTTGGGCTTGGTTTTTTTGTCTCCTTTGCCGATGGGTTTCGCGTTCTGAACCGATCCGGACAGGTTGCATTTTTTTCCCTTTTTGTTTCTGAGAACTGACAATTTCTTTCGCTAGGCAATGACCCTTCCCACCAGGTAAAAAAAATTTCGCTTCGCACGTTACTCTCTTGGATCGCCGGGGTCTTCACGATAGCCCGTTGATCTGGGGGATTAAATTGTGAATTTGATCGAAAGCTAACCTAACTGGCAATCTTTCAGGCGAAGGACTGCCCCAAGAAGGGTACCCCCACCTGGTAAGTGCAGTGCCTCCTCCATTCACCGATTTCCTTCTCCTGCATACATTTGTTCTATATAAAATAGAAAGTCCTAACGTGATCTTCTATAGCTACAACTGCGGTGGCGAGGGCCACGTGAGTAAGTGCTGACAGAATAGCCCCAACTACAATGTCAAGTTGTCATGCAGCCCACTGACAAGAACCTCCCCCTTCCTTAGACCGTGAGTGCCCCGAGCCTCAGAAGGAGCGCACCTGCTACAAGTGTGGCGAGGTCGGCCACTTGTCTCGTGACTGCCCCCGTGGCGGCGGCGGTGGTGGTAACTTCAGCGCCCCCGGTGGCCAGGAGTGCTACAAGTGCGGCCAGGTTGGTCACATTGCCCGCAACTGCCCCCAGGGTGGCTTCGGCGGTGGCTTCGGTGGACGTCCCCAGACCTGCTACTCCTGCGGTGGCTTCGGCCACATGGCTCGCGACTGCACCCAGGGTCAGAAGTGCTACAACTGTGAGTTTCCATCAATCATCTTATCCTCACTTCCTTTCATCTCCATGCGCAGCACACTAATCCTCATGCAGGCGGCGAGGTCGGTCACGTCTCCCGCGACTGCACCACTGAGGCCCGCGGCGAGCGCGTTTGCTACAAGTGCAAGCAGCCCGGCCACGTTCAGGCTGCCTGCCCTAACTAAAAAAAAAATTGCTGGTCCTTGCAAATTTGCAACCTGGCATGTTTCGTCTTTTCTTTCGTCCTGTCCTCTTCAAGGGTATCTTCGGAACAAACGATAACTGGTTATTTCTTTTTTTTCTTGCATGCGCCACGATCTGAGATGTCTATTTCCCCCCGGGTTCTTTTGACTTTGTATTATCACTCACGGCTTGATACACGACCATGGGTCTTTTTTCTTTGCATCTGGATTTACTTCCCCCTTATGCCTTACCTTTTTTTTTTCTTCTTTCTCTGGGGTTTACCTTTCCGTGTCTACCAGGCTCTCGCGTGGAAAAGCGAACAACAAAAGAAAAAGTGCAGCAGGCGATGTGGCTTTGCAGATAAATCGGGGATGCATGGAATTCTGCTTCTAGGGTGCGTTACAGGAGATACTTAGGTGCATGGGGAAATGCATATGACTCTCCACGACGGCTTCCAATTGTAGTCGCTTGTCTGGTAAGGTAAAATTTGAATTCGAACCAAGCCCTCTCATGAGCTGCAGCTGCACATCATCGCTCGCTTGTACTTGGGCACATCGCCACAGAACCGCTCTTCTTCCTCCTTATGAAGGCCCCATTCGTCCCGGAATGGATCCAGGCTCATCTGCATCACCCGCCCTAGAATCTCTCGGTCGCCTTTACGCTCCACTCGCTCGATCACTTCGTCCAGAACCCAGCCTCTTGGCACGAACTAGAAAGAGTTTCCCGGTTAGTCACATGGGTATCTCACATAAGAGAAATAAAAAGGGAGGGGGAGGGGGTTGTAAACGTCGTCTTACATTAGGGTTGACGGCCTTCATCGCTGCCTGTCTCTCGCCATCGCCATTTGGCCCCCAGTCCTCCAGGATGCGGGTCTGCCAGTTCTCGAGCCATTTCGCAACGCGAGCCCGGGCTGACTCGTCGGTGTATCCAATGCCCCCAAATCCCTCGGCATGGAAGAAAACCGATGCTGCGGCAGCGCGCTTCTCCTCCGTCTCCAGATCAGAAAGCGGTAATCCAGACAGGCGGCGGAAAAAGTGGTTAAAGTCCAGCTCCAGCGCCTCCAGCGTGTCGAGCATCTCGGAAAAGAGTTCCTGGAAGTCGGATTCCTTCTGTGTCTTGAGGCCGAGTCGTCGACTCATCAGGCGCTTGTATTCATTCAAAAAGACGGCCTTGTATTCTTCGCCGGCCCGGTCGATGATAGTTTCCGCTCGTTTGACGAGTTCGGACTCCATCTCCTCGGTCACCCCGTTCTTCACGAAGCTTTCATCGTCCACTTTGGCCCCGGCCCCGAACAACTCTCCAAGAGACTCTCCCAGTCGGACCAGGTTCCACCAGATAATGCTGGGCTGGTTCCTGTATGCGTAGCGTAGCATGTGATCGTCATGGTTAGGAGTATACTGGGGGTCAAAGTTGTCCATAAAGGCGAATGGTCCATAGTCTAGGGAAAGTCCGTAGATCGAGGTATTGTCAGTATTCAACACACCATTCATGAAGCCATAGGCTTGCCAGGCAGCCACGGTCTTCGCATTCCGGCGAGCGATCTCTCGGTATAGCCGGGCAAAGCGATTCTCTTCAATACTCTGGTGTTCCTGTACTTCGTCCCGAGGGACGCCTCGCTGGGGATTGTCCAGCTCGGCCGCGGTCTGTCCTTCTTTCACCGATACGACGGCGGGTAGGGTCTCCCATCCGCCAAAGACGTCCTCAGCGATGTACGTGGACAGCCGCCGGATCAGATCACGATCCCCACGCGCCCGAAGGATATCGAAAGTCCCAATGCGCAGCCAACTTTCGGCAAATCGAGCCACAATCGCTCCAGGTTCCAGCCGCTCCCGTAACACCTTGGCCTTTGGCAAGAGAGTCAAGGACAGCGCACGAGTGGTGGGAACGCCCAGGGCATTGAGAGCTAGAAGAGTTTCATCAGTGAACTGTGTTTGAGATCCCATAATGCACTGCATCGATTTACCTTCTGAAACGATGTATTCACGAATACTTGACCGTAAAACTGCTTTTCCGTCTGCGAAGCGCGAATATGGTGTTTTTCCGGCGCCCTTCAATTGCAGCTCGTACCGCGTCTTTGTCTGTGGATTGGTTGATTCAAACAGACTGATCGCCCGCTGCGAGTAATCGTATTAGCCGGGCTTTGTTCGGGTCTTTTGAAGGAATAGTTCAGGGGATGCGGTTAATCATCTTACTCCGTCTCCAAGCTGCCCAGCCCAAGAACCGCTGTGGAATCTTAGCTTATATCTTTTGACTCAACAAGACCATCTTACAATTGCCATCCTGGAGTCGATGTTTTAGTATTTAGGATTTCTTCTCGTGTTTCGGTCTCTTCAGCAAATAGACTCACCACCGTAACACTGTGCCCACGGGTATATACCCCCTTTTTCCTCTGTCCAGGCAAATTCATTCCCGGCAACCAACGCTTTGAACTGCGGGGTTTGCGCCTCTTCGGACTTCAGACCCAAGTCCTCCATCGCTCTCGGGCTCACTCCGAGGAGCTCCGGCCCCTCCACTTCTTCCGGCCGAACATAGGTGAATAACGCCCCCTTGACCATACGCGGTCCCAACGTTTCCCGCGGTGCCTTGTGCGAGGCCTCCGGCGTCTCAAACGCTGGGTCTGGTGGGAGTTTTGATGTGAACACATTAGATTTGGGCAGATCCGCTAGGGACAAGGCCCCGGGTTTGCTGGCACTAGACATATGGGAGGCCATTTGACCCAATCGATTGCGCGCCGAGAGGTCACGGACTGTTCGCAGGGACATGAATCGACTGAGACGATGCCCGGAACAAGCAAGCACACGAGCCGAGTTCATGAAGAAAGCAGTATGTTTGTCAACTCTGGGATGTGATCTGATAAACGTCGCAACAAGTCGGCACGAATGACATCATGCGCATTATTAATCGCAACGAGTCTAGCCCTGCAGGTTAAGCCCGGAGCAAGCCAGAATCCTCGTCTGGCAATGGCGCTATGCAGAGGCCTCCTCAGTCTCTGACGAATGAGCCTCTCAATTCGCGAGATGCGGAACTGACCCGCTTCCGGTCTTTTGCCCCCCACTCGTGAGTATTTATCTGCACGGATGGGACACGGTTTCCGATGCCGATTCCCGCGCGACTCTCCACACAATGGCGGCCCTCCAGAACAAGATCCCGACCTGCAAGCTGAACGACGGCACTGAGATTCCTGTTGTAAGTGTGTAAGGAACCATCAATTGGGCTACTACATAGAATCTACAACGCTAGTTTATAACCCTTTCTTTACCTACTATACCTTCGTGATGACAGCGTTTCTTCCGAACTACTTGCAGGCATTGCGGTGACTAACCGTACATTCAGATTGGCTACGGCTTTGGGACTGCATGGTTCAAAAAACAGGGCGATACCACCATCAATTCCGATCTCGTTGAGTCCGCCAAAAATGCGGTGAAGTTGGGATATCAGCATCTTGATGGCGCCGAAGTCTATCGGACCGAGGAGGAATTGGGCCAGGCCATTCAGGAATGCGGCATCCCCCGGGATCAGCTGTTCATTACAACCAAAGTGAACACCAATATTGCTGATATCCCCGCGGCCATCGATGCAAGCTTGAAGAAGCTCCGTCTTGATTATGTCGACTTGTAAGTAGTATACCCCGTCAGCGCCGTCCCTTCAAAAACCCTTCCCTCGATTGGCTTCCGATATTCTCTTTTCCACTGCCACTTTCTCGGGACTGACGTGCCTCCCTCGCCTCTCAAAGGTACCTAATCCACCAGCCATTCTTCGCAAAGACCGAGGCTCAACTCCAGGAAGCCTGGGCTGCGATGGAGCAGGTTAAGGCATCTGGCAAGGCCCGGTCCATCGGAGTTTCCAACTTTTTGCAGAGCCACTTAGAAACAGTTCTCAAGACCGCGCAGGTCATTCCTTCCTTGAACCAGATTGAGTACCATCCCTACCTCCAGCATGGTGACCTGGTGCCCTGGCAGCATAGCAAGGGCATCAAGACGGTGAGCTATGGTGGCCTGACCCCGATCATTCGCGCCCCTGATGGCCCGCTTGGCCCGCTCCTTGAGGCCCTGGCGACCAAGTACGCGGTCAGCCCAGCCGAGATCCTGCTGCGGTGGACTGTGGACCGGGGTGGCGTGGCCATCACTACTAGTAGTAAGGAAGAGCGATTGGCTGGCTACCTGCGCGCGCTATCGTTTGAACTCACACCCCTGGAGGTGAATGAAATCTCGGAGCTTGGCCTACAGAAACACTATCGGGCGTTTTGGCAGGAGAAATATGCCGCTGATGACCGATCCTAAGTGGAAAGTTAGGATTTGATCCATAGACAACCGAGAATTTAGATAAGCAAGAAATAGAAAGCTTTGTGACTTATGTAAAAAAAGATCTTTCGTCATATAACCTGAGGCGTTGATGCTTGGGGTGATTCCTCAGGGCGAAATGGAAACTACTGACGGGATGGTTATAGAAAGCTCCTGATAGGAGCTTCCCGATCTCGGCAACCTCGGTATATTAATCTTGTGGAATAGAATAGCGAGCGTGGGCAATCATGATCATCCTTTTGAAGAAAACCTCCTTTGAAATATAGATCTACAAGAACTGTAAACCCATTTCTTTGGGTTCATATATTGCTGCTCATCCTGGGCGAGATAAAAATAGTGAAGCTCTTTTCATCCAGAGTAGCCCAGCTATCAAGCTCATCACCATCAGCGGTGACCTGTCCAAACATTTTGTTACAAAACTTAAACTTTCTTTCCATTGTTTTTTTTATTCTTGCTGTTCTGATACTGGAATCCTTTAGCGGTAGATTGGGGGCCTCTTCACTCTCCAGGAATAGAATGCCATCCACTTTCATATGTCGAATAGCCTCGTCTCCCGTGGCTGCTCAGTCTAACAGACGTGCCACGAACATGAATTCAGAGCACATCCTTGGAGGATACTAGCGACAGAGTACAAGGAAAATGTACGACACACATCACACATCCTCGTGAATGTGCTTGTCAACTACAGGGGTTGATAGAAGTATTCAGCAAAGTAGCAAGATAGCTTAACGATCCAACACGCTATGTATGGGCTGAATCTTCTTTCCCCGGTATTTTATTTACTTCTGACGCGCACTCATAGGGTCTTTCCAGCATAGATATTCATAGATATTCATAGATATTCGTAGATATTGGATCTACTTTTCAGCATAAGAGATTTTGCTTCTAGTGTCTGGTGAACCCTCAATCAAATTTTTTTAGCTGAAGAACGTGAGGATCATCGGATCTTTCAGGTGGATTCCCTGTGTTTTCACCTCTTTCTTTCACTGATCAATGCTGGTGGCTACCTGGTTCCGTGGAATTCTTAAGGAAGTTCTTTGTCTCTGTCCCATTACTTTTACATCTTCTCTGCAATTGCCTTATGGTGTTTATTTGGTTGCTGTTTCTGAATCGTCTGTTAAGAGTCCATAGAAGAAAAGAACCAAGACTTTTGCCAACGGACTTTTCCATCAAAATTATCAAATACCTATTTGAAATCCATATTTCTCTCCTTTTCTCCTGTATGTTTTATTGTAAGCACTGTGGGTATTGTGCATACTTTGAGTGAGCGATGCCAGTCTAGTTAGCGCGAGCCGTAATCGGCTGCCGTCATCGTCGGCCCAAAAGCGGCGAGGCGGGCACCCCCGAAAAAGAAACCCCGGACGGAATCCCCATCGCCCATTTCCCTCCCTTCAACCTGCGTCGGTGACTACTGGGATAGTCGAACTTGTCGGTTGGTCCCCTTCCCTCGTCGTTCTCATCGCTACCAGGGGGACCACGCCATAACATGCCTTGAAGCCCTTTCGAGGCCGCCTGTCGACCTGCCCTCCGATGTTTTGACCCTCTCCAATCCCCAGTCGCAAACCCCCAACCCAACACAACTACAGACAACGCGCCTCAGAACTCTGTGAGCCTGCCTTATTTTGTCCGCTGCGCGCGCAGTCCAATCTATGGTTCACGAACCTCATCGCATACTCCGCGGACTGCGATGTCGGTGAACGATCAGCCCCCCTCCGCGGATACAACTCACCCTCAGCTCGCGAGCTCGCCCAATTTCGCTCGGCGCCGTGCACCAGATTTAGAAGCCCTCGATCATCGATTGAAGCGGCTCTCCGACGACATCCTACCGCCCCAACCTTATCTCCTCACCCTGCCGACGAATGCGCCTTTCCGCCTCGGGTCCCGCTCCGCAAACAATTGGGCCATAGGGCATGATCGACCGTTTGCCTCGGATGAACAGCAACTACAGTATACGACCTTTTTGACACATCACAACACAGATTCTCTGCTGGTGGCTGTTGGCGATTGGTCGGACGAGTCGGGTCGCATGATGGTAGACCGATCCTCGGCTCCAAGCACGACTACCGAGAACCCACGAGAGACTGTGGCTAAGAGAAAGATTAGCTTGAACGACTATAAGCACCATAAGAATAGCGGAACAACTGCGTCGCCGGCGCTTCATGATTCGAAAAGCCGAGACGGAACAACCCCTACTAAACGCGAAGAGATTCCCCAAGCTCCCAAGCCGGCATCCATCAAGAAGAACACCGACCCTATAGGAAGTGCAGCAAAACCACCTCCGCACCTTTCCCCATCAAAGACCGCCAAGAAACGCCCTTCAACGTCGGATATTGAACCCCATAGCCTTCGGGCGACCCGAGATCCCGACATGCATTCTTCAAAGAAACAGCGGCTATCCCCCGAGAAGGAACACCGCAAGCCCACACCATCCACGAAATCGTTACCGGCTCTTCTATCCCCAACCCTACCTCCATCTCCAGGTCCAGATCAAGGCAGGAGTGCAAAGCTCCCTCGACTACTCTCGCCGACACTACCTCCCGACCTTGAGAAGGAATTGGCCAAGCTTGGGAATATTTCGCCATTGTCCCCGAAACGCGATACCCCTGCAGTCAAGCCGAAACGAGATGACCCTCTCCCGTCCCGGGCCTCCAATTCCTCTAACAGTGGCAGCAATTTGGGATTGCAGAACAGTCGCACAAGCACCTCATCAAAAGATACGAAATCCCCGAAATTGATTGTCAAATTACGCTACGGGAAGGCAAACCGGAAGCTAGTCAGAGGGTTGCTGAAATTCTCCGATAGAAGGAAAGCCAACCGGACAGATTCGCCTCCAGACTATGACACTGATCTTGATGATGCCCCTGTTGAGAGGAGAGGTGATAGTGGGTCAACCGAGAGGAAAGCCTTGTTGGACCGTACCAAATCAAAGTCTAGACAAGATCCAGGCGAGCCGCCCAGTTCTTCTACTGCTCCTCGTTCAAAGGATTCCAAGACCCCGGCAGAGAAGTCTCTCCCAACCACTTCTCATGAGAGATCGAAGGGGACCTCATTAACGCCGGTTAAAGATTCTAAATCCTCACTTCCACGCCGGAATGATCTCGCAGATGGCGGTGGCAAGACCCCGGTCATTCCAACAAACAAACGCCATTCAGTCGATCCAGGTATAAAGGGCTCACCCTCGCAGCCAAATAATCGCTCTCGGATGGATGAGCGTCGAGTGTGGCGAGAGGAGTTCCAGAAGTTTGGCAGCCTCGGCCGAGAATTGAAACATGCCGCCGATCGAGCTAACAACGGAGCGACGGTTCCTGACGAGAAATTGGCTGTTGTGACTGCCATTGAGGCCATTCTCTGCTTTATTCTTGCCTTCGTGGCAGACGACCAATCGAAAGTTATTGCTAGGCAGGTGGGAGACTCCTCTACCTGGCGATCCATCCTGGCCTATTGGCTGGTTGTGCGGAAGAACAGCATGCCCTACCCGGCCTTGCATAGCCTCTGCCAGATACTAGGGGCCGTATCATACGATGCCATCCATGCCCTCGACCTGGAGCGCCTGGCGGCCAGTCCGATCCCAGGTGAACACACACCAGTCCCCACACCAGGCAGTGATGGTAACACCGTCCTGTCCGATGAGAATAAGAAGAGCCGCAAGGAATTCCTGGAGCTCAAAAACCGCTTGCCGGAATGCTATAAAGAATCACACAAGCTGTGGCTGGACGGCTCGCGGGGCCTTGCAGAGGATGTGCTAAGTTGCGACTTTCCCATCACTTGGTCTCGGCGATCTCGTCATTATAAGGAGCGTGGCAAGGCCACTCTCAAGCCTGGGGAGTATGCGGGTGACTTTTTCCTTCCGCTAGGAGGTGTCACGCCGCCTATTGAAGTTGTAAGGTTTGGCTGTGCCCTATTGAAGGAGTGGTGTGCACAAGAAGGCGTCGAGTGGAATGGCCGCATTGGCCTGTGAAAGCCACCTTAGACTGCGTGCATCGATTTCTGGTGGTCGTCTTTTTTCTGATTGTTTTGTCTCTCCTCTATTCTTCTTTCCTTTCCCCGTTTCTTTGCTTCTCTTTTTCCCATTTCTTCCGTTTCTCCCCTTCCGATCCCTTCTCTTCTATTTCTGGGAGGCTAGGTCCAACTACTAAGGTAATAGGCGTCTCCGGGTTTGCATTCCGAGTGATTATATCCCCCCACCATGATACCACGAGCCCTGGATTTTTCCTTTTTGGATTGTAGTTATTTTGATGATCGAATATATCACGGCCAATACAATGAATCACTGCAGTCTATTATCTAGTCCTTCTACATTCTCTCGCAACAAGCCCGCCGATGTTTTCAAAAGAGCTTCGAGCACACTTGGTCCCGAACACTTTCCAAGCCTAGTACTGTACCTCTTTTCAAATGTCTCGCACTCTCGAATAGAGACCAAAGATTCGGTAATGTCTGTTAAATGGGGCCATATATGGAGACGCGGCAAGATGCAATCAGCCGTTAGAGTCTTGGTCCTAGTTACAGCATGTGCTTTGTCTTGAAAATAGATATAATACCATTCTTCAACGCCATCGCCACAGACGTAATCGCTATGGGATCCAGTGCCGTGTTGAAAAAAATAAATGAAAGAAGGAACAAAAGAAAGAAAAAATCCGCTCAAGTTTACGGGGAAATCATGGAAGAAAGGGGGAATATCGTCATCGTAAGGTGGAAGAAAGAAAAGGAAAATATCAGGGCCTGTAGTCTCTCATAGCTCTTCAAAACAATAAAAGATGAGGAGAAAGGAGGCTAGACATCTGCATACTCATGCCGGGCATTTGCGTTGGTATCGCCAAAGAGCCACCCAGCCTCACGACAATACCGCGCTTCTCGGCCATAGACGCCCACTTCGCTTGCCCAGCAAATCACCGAGGCATCGACTATGTCTGCGATGACACTTTCAATGGCACCCAGGATGCTCCAGCCAATTGTACCTGCAATGAGGCCGACCACATAGGCGTACAGGCTGCCTCGAATTGTGCCGCCGGTAGCAGAGGTATTTAGACTTCGGGCAGTGGTGACCCACCCGCCAAAGCCCAGGGCCAAGGACATTATGAACCGCGCGGCGTAAAGAATCAGTTTTGAAAGACGATAGGAAAGCAAAGACGACGAGGCCCCGTGAGTGCGAGCATACGAGCTGGGATGCAAAGACGTCGAGGCTGCCGACGGGGCGAGAATAGTCATTTGGCTCAAGCCTTGCGCAGAGGCTCCCAGTGGTTGGGAATGAATTGCGGCGTAGGTGAGCGAGAGTGGATTGGTCAAATAGGCGATGGGGGTGGGGACCAGAGAGTAGGCAAAGAGGCTCAGCACCGAGGAGAGGCGGCTTGGGAGTATGAGGAGAGGGAGTCGAATCAGCATTCCAATCAGACGAGATAGACAGATTGTGCCGAAGAGGGTGGTGGTAGCATGGATGACGGCTGCCTGAACAATCTGCCTCGACGTGGGTGCTGGTTTGGCCAGACGGTGGAAGTACCATTGGCTCACAGTTGCAGCGGTGACGGCTCGCTGGACGCCAGCAATCACACCGATGGACCAAAGGTAGACCAATACAAAATATGCGCCCAGCCACCAGCTACTGACATTGATGATGAATGATCGCGACTCAGACAAATGGCCGCCGAGGAAGACACGGGTAAACATGAGCATCCAAAGCCACGTCCAGGATGCCACGCAGACCAAAACACCCATCCCGAGCGCAAGCAGCTCGGGATTCGCGGAAAGGATTCGACATGAGAATTCGAGAACGCCAATTGCCTTTCCAATGGACTGGCGACCCCTGACCACGTTGTAAATCCATAGGCTGGCCATGATAAATGGGACAATTGAGCCCCAGCGCATCGCTTTGTCCTGGACGCTGGATCCATGCCAATCGCCCTTGAAGCTTGAAATGAAGGGATAGAGGAAAAAAGAATAAAGAATTGTGGGGACAGCAATGATAATAAGGTAGACAAGCACCCGCACGTAAGATCGCAGGAGAGCGAGCCATACGAGAGAGACTAAAACCGATACAATTGTGTAGACCCCAAGCCTAAAGAACGATCGATGAACTGTGAAATAGATCGTATCACCCCATTTAGACTTGTCTCCGGAGGGAGTAGAGGTATGCAAGTAGACCAAGAAAGCGGTCGCAAACAAGCTGGCAAGAGCGATCAAAAAAAGCTGGCCCCAGAAAATATCATGCATGGATGTTTCGGATGTCAGAGGGGAAATCGAGGCTGGAAAGGACGACGTAGAGCTTGGTCGTCGCCGGGCTTCTGAAGAAAACAGCGGTTTGGTTTGTTCTGACGGACTGTCATCTCTCGCATAGCCGAAAGAGTCACCTTTCACCGACGGTCGTTCTCGGAATCTCTGAATAGGTGCCGCCTCATGAATGAGTTCAGAGGCGGCACGACTATCATCGTTGCCTGCGCCATCCCGCACAGAGTCTTCCAGTCCGATATCAACCAGGTTACTCCTGACTCGACTGTTGCCAGGACTAGCGTCAGAAATGTGATCTTGCTCAGCGACCTCTGCTACCGTTTCGATCCGGGACTGGTGGATAGCAGGAAGCCCTTTCTCCCCACGCCATGAGCTTTTGATACCCTTCCCGTTACCGGGACGATCATCATATTGAGAGTGCTCCTCATTAAAATCCACTGACTGATTCGAGTCTTCATCATTTTCTGAGGATTCTTTCAGATGGCTATCACCAAAATGCCGTCTTGACCGCTGGAGTGCATAGAAATCAGCGATCTCCCGCTCGCGCTCAGTCTCATCGTCTTCTTCGCGGAATTCATCAGTGGCACTAAAGAATAGAGGAGCCTGTTGCGTTGATGCTCGGGAGGCAAAGGGAAAATTGGAGATTTGGGATGTGCCATGTCGATATGGGTCACCGCCTCTTAGGAAAGACCGCGAGGAAGGGTTTCGGGAGCTGCCATGCCGTTGGCTTGGAGGCACTCGGCTGTTTCTTTGAAGCTCGTCCGGGCGAGAAGCTACTCGCGACTGTGACTGAGCGAGAAACCGAGACGCATCTGGAGTGATGTGCGTGGTTAGGCAGCGTTAAACAAGCGGACGTGACCTTTGATACTTACACTCCGAGAACATGGCCCACTATCGGGAGATCCGCCTTCGGAGGGATGGTGTTAGTGTGTTCTTTTTAGTCGTGATACGCAGAGGGGATGTAATGTGCATGGAATTTAAATAAAGAGGGAGATAAAATGACCCTCGACTGAGTCTACCCAGTCTTGCGAAAGAGAGAAAGCCAAATAGGACGGGAGGGCAAGAGGTCGCGCGATAAACGGCGGTCATTCAGGTGATGCAAGCGTCATCCGGGCAGGTCAGGCCCCGATAGCTGACTCAGCCGGCGATAACCATCTCCTGAGCTGCGCGCGCACCACAGTCGTCACATCCACGTTGGAACAGCTCTCTCCATGTCACAGCCATGGGATTATATTGCTAAGCTTGTCTGCATTGGTGACTCAGGCACCGGCAAGTCCAGCGTGAGTTGAATGGGTGTGGAATAGTCCCAGAACCCAGCGCTAACCAAGCAGCAGCTCACCATCCGCCTTTGTGAAGGTCGCTTCTCCCCCTCTCACGATGTCACGATCGGTGTCGAGTTTGGATCAAGGATTGTGCCAGTTGGACCACCAGCTTCACTAGAGCTTGGTCTAGATGACCACGCTCGCCGCTCATCTGGACCTGCTGACGAGGCGTCAACGGAGGAGTCGACAGCTACCGGTCTACCTACTCCGCCACGAAAGCCGCAGGATGCGTCCCCCCAGAAGCGCATGAAGCTATCCCTCTGGGATACTGCTGGCCAAGAGACCTACAAATCCATCACACGCTCTTATTTCCGTGGCGCTTCCGGCGCCCTACTCGTGTTCGACATCTCGCGACGCTCAACCTTTGTATCGTGTACCCAGTGGCTCCAGGACTTAAGGCAAATCGCAGAGGATGGTATTGTTGTCATTCTGGTCGGAAACAAGACCGATTTGGCCGATCAGCAAGCAGAATCCAATCAGCGACAAGTTACCCGAGAGGAAGCTGAGGAATGGTGTTCTATGAATAATATTGTTCGTTATGTGGAGACCAGTGCCAAATCTGGAGATGGTGTGGAGCGTGCCTTTTTGGAAGTTGCAGAACGTATCTATCGCAACATCGAAGCAGGTCAATACGACCTCAATGACCGGCGTAGTGGAGTGAAAGGGTTTGGCGCCTCTGGAGGTGCGAATACCGGCGTGCCGAGAACAGTGACGCTGGGATTGGATGATGCAATGCGCAAGGGCAGTGGCTGGACTGGGAATTGTTGCTAGGGTCTGATATCGAGATCTGACTGGGGATATCGTTACTCGGGGGAATCACTGATCGGACAAATAATTCTCGACCTGATTTAACCACAAGGACTAATACACGATGCGACATGCTTCGGTGACTGTAATGAGCAAGTACATATAGCATTTGATAAATGCACTGCGAGACAAATATTGCATTTTTCATCACCACAGGAAATGGAAATGATGACTATCAAGAATTGTGTAGATCCTCCTAAAGCTCAGTGTCGCCACATTAAAACATTGGGTGAAACGAGAAAGTCTATCAACGTTCCCACACCCACAGAAAAGAATACAAAAAAGTATTTTGGTGTTCTTCTTCAATCATTCGTTAATTCGAGATCTTCCATCCGGGCAACCAACGTAGGTGGATCCACTGCTGGTTAGATCCCTCCATTCCAAAGACAATGGCGCGGAAATGAATGAACAGCCCAATAATGAGCATATAGAGGATAGCATAGATCACGGCAGACACCTTCGTATTCAACGATCGAGTCACCCAATCCACGCAGAAGCCGAAGGTGATGATGGCAAAGTAAAGCGCCGGGTAGTAATGGTGAACATATGTCACTCGGGCCATGATGATGAAGGGCAGGTAGTGCAAGACCCAGCCAATGAGTGGGTAAATACCTGAATAATGGATGTGGTCCATCTCCGCCTGGCTCAGGTCCTGGTATCCTCTCTGCCAGCGCAAAAGATACCAAGCAAACAGAAGGCCAAAGGCACCAAGACTGGCAGTGCTACCCCAGTAGACAATGGGATTACCGAGGAGATAGTACTTCACGACACTATCATCCCAAGAGCACATCCGCAAACCAACGTTCAAAATGGGCCATTGCCAGAATTGGGAAGCCAAGTCATCCTGCTTATCTGGGTCAGGAACCAAGGCGTTGTTCGAGGTCATCATGGCCACATTTAGGTGGATGAAGTCCTTCAAGAAGGGCGATTTGTAAGAGCCCGGGTCACCAGGGGGAACTGCATACACATGGTTAGTCTAATCTAGTCAAGCTAGAAAGCAGTCGCAAACTATGAGAGGTGAGACTTACGGCGCTCATTGTTGTGCGATTCGACATTCCAATGGGTGTAGACATCGCCAGGCTTGTTTTCCTTCACACAGGTAGTTTCAATTTGCTTGAAACCCCATTGCGGCAAGTTGACATTGCCTGCCCGGAGGTAGCAGCCTAACACTGGATGGCGGAGGCGGAATGCAGTCGTCAATGTCCGGATCTTAGAGTGGTCGCGAGACGCAGCATCATCCACCACTTCAATCTTCCAATGATCCTTCTCATCTCCGATAGTAATATTTCCGTAGCAAGAGACCTCATGGTGGGACTTTGAGACCGGAGCTGGGATGGCGTGGGAATGCAGGTTTCGACCAGTCTGTCCATGAATGAGGCGGATGGTATCACCGTCGCCAATGAATCTCAGATCAGCCTCGGCATCATACTCCGGCTCGCCTCGGCCTGGGTAGATGAACCAGTCGTTGTTCGCATCCTTATGGTGGTAACAGGTGACCTGCTGCTGGTTCGATCCCTCAGGATAGGTCTGAACGTGCGAATGCAAGAGACCACCACCATATCCCATGTTCTTGAGGGTGACTCGCGAACCGAGGGCAATCTCAAGAGGGCTGTCCTTGCCAACTTCGGTGCCGCGCAGGTTTGCCTGGAATAGGGAGCTCATTTGGGCATCTCCAGGTCCACTGTTGGACAAGACAAGGAAGTGCAGATAGAAGGAGAACATATACACCAAGAGAGGAATGACAATCAAACCTCCCACACGGGCGAAAAGGTGCTTTGCGAGCACAGTCTAATAGCAGATTTGTTAGACTTTATTTTGAACAGAACTAAGGGTGCAGACTCACTGGCGGCATCTTCGCATCCCCGAATTTATTCCACAGGTCCTCCGCTGTATAGAGACCAACAACGGCAGTGGCAAAGAAACCAACCCATTTCACGCTGCAAACACATCCAATGCTGAGTCCAGTCAGAAAGAGCCAGACAAACCACTCCAGGGAGAAACTGGCATGTTGCAGACGGTGGAATCGGGCCCAGCACATCATCGTTGTGAAGGTGAAGCAGAGAAGCATGGAATCCAAAAGAATGAAGCGAGAAATAGTTGCGTAGGAGTTTTCAAATAAAACCATCAAACTGATCAACCAGACTGTAGCCCGGCGGAAGTTCAAGTCGCGGGCGGTATAGTAGGCGAGAGGAACACAAACGGCGCCAAATAGGGCATTGAAAGCGCGCATGAAGGTATAGTCTACATCTTCCGGATACTGTTCACCGGACTTGAACTCGAAGGATCCATTGTAGCCGGCCAGATAGCCAGAGAGGCCAACCAGCATCTTTCCGAGGGGAGGGTGAACATCGAAATAGAACTCGCGCTTCAAGTAGTGGGAGCCGAACTTTCCGAAACTGGATTCTGTGTAAGCCATTGTTGCCGGGTATGGTATTAGATCACCGATTTCATGAGAGTCTTACTGGGCTTCATCCCAGGTCACAATGTTCGAACGCCCGATACGATAGAGACGAGTGAAGAGGGCGAGGGCGGTTAGAACGATGGGGGCAATGATTGGCTCCCAGCTCGCAAGAACGTGTAGGAAAGAGGGGGACTAAACCCAACAGACAGCCAGTGAGTTAGTGAACAATATCGCCATGAGCCTAGCAAGCGGTGGTTTCTTACCTGGCCCGGCTTCGTCTTTCTGGCATCGTGATCGACGCTGAAGGTGGGAGGTTGAGGCTTTCCAGAATCAGGAACGTTTCTGCGACGCAGGTCGGCATCGAGCTTCGCTCCTGTGCTTGTGGCGGTATCCATTGCTGCCTTGGTCTTGGAGTCTAGTTGACTCGACACGGATTAAAGAGGGTGATAAACGAAAGCAGGAAGATGGGGTGGTAGGCACCACCGTGGTGGGATCGTTAAGGAGAGGAGCAATAATAGCAGCGCTCAGAGGATCATAGCGACCCTACAGGTCGCAGAGAACAGGGCTAGATCGCCGAAAGACAGGAAATAAGAAAATTAAAAAAAAAGGGAAGGAAGAAGGACAATGTCGACAAAAGAGAAGCCGAAGAGCTGGAAAAGAGGACGAGCTGGCCAGAAGGAATAAACACGTCCGTTTTGGCGTTAGTCCCGAGGGGGGGCCGTTTTCGGGCGAACGTGGCAGCTCCCGTGACTGCGCTGCAGACGGTCAACAAGTATACTCCGCCCCAATGGGTCACAAGCATAAGATGTTTGAGATAGTCGAATGGAGCCAGCAGTAGCTTATTTACATCGGTCTTACTGTCAATTGTTTATGCCAATGCTTTCAAAATACAGAGGACATGATACCGCATTGAAACATGCCAGCTGGGTATATTCGCGCTCTATTTGTTAAGGGGTTCTAGACCCAGAATCATCACGCCCATGTGATAGATCCACAACAATCATCACCAAAGACAACAAGCACAAAATTGATGCGAAATAGAAGATCAAATTTACATGTAAATGAGCCAGGGAGACAATCTATCATCCGTACAGACCATACTTCTGATGACAACAGGGCCTGGCCTACCATACTCCGTACCATTTATCTCCCAAGATGAACATCAAAATAAGAAAGGGTCCCTTGGTTTTCCTCTCATTCTAATAGACAGACCACACAAATATAGCAGCACATGTAAATAGCATAGGGCGCATCATTGATGCCAAGGACTTGCGCCAGGGGTTGGGTGGAAGAAGGGGGTATATACGGCATGGATGAGGACAACGAGGGGTCAGTTCAAAAGGAAGGAGGCAAACCCCCGAGAAACAAAAATGCAAAATTGAGGGAAATTGGAGATTTGAGGCCGGCAGCAAAGGCATGAAAACGAACCACGAGAGGGGGAAAAAAGCAGGGATGAAACGCCATGTCATGATCAATCCTCGCCTAGCGATCTTGATTACTCGTCGCCATCGTCTCCCTGCTCAAGGCGTCTATATTGACTCGGACTAGTGCCAGTACTCGATCCCCGGTGACGATTTACCATGTTGGAGATCCAACCACCAATGCCCTCCCCGCGATGACTGCCCTGATGAGAGGATTTCCCGGCGCCACCATGGCTCAAGGACGGTGGATCGATGTCGAGCCCGGGAATGGCGCTCTCTGTGCCGAATTGGCCATACTGCCGACGAATATCGAGCGAAGGCACAGGCGAACCAGCACCCATGAGAGAATTCCGCTCGGCATCTGTCACGGGGGTGGGCATGGCAGTCGTCGCGTCGCCGAACAAGACATTCATATCTTCCAGGCGAACGCCACTGGTTTCGGGATACAAAAAGTATACTAGGCGCAGCAGTCAGTAAACTAGCACAGATTTCTTTCGAAATCAAGGAGAATGACGCATGGGGGATGAAGAAATCCTTACCAACAACAAAGCTGCACGCGCAGAAAAATGCATGGACCAGATACAGGCGCCACTTGATCACACTCTGAAGAACTGGAGTTACCTCTCCTACTAACCAATTGAAGGCCCAATTGCTTGCAGTGCTCAGACTGGCTCCCTTGGCGCGAATGCTCAAAGGAAGAATTTCGGGCGGGTACAACCATGGGATCGGACCCCAGGACGCTCCGAACGCGGCATTATAGATCATGACGAAAATAACCGTCAAAGTGCGGGTGGCGCCAATATCGATATAGATGAAATATGAGATCAGGGACAGGGATATCAGCATGGCCACCGCACCTGTGAGGAGGATCGGCCGGCGGCCCCACCCGTCCACTAGGTACCACGGTGGGATGGTCGACAGCAGGTAGCTAATACCGTTGATTCCAGTCATCAGGATCGCGTCACGGCCAACCCAGCCAGCCGATTCAAAGACTAGGGGCGCGTAGTAGGATATCACGTTGATTCCGTTCAGCTGGGCCAAGGCCTGTGCTGACATGGCGATCAAAACCCGCTTCCAGTAACGTCTGAACATATCAGCATATGACCGTTCGCCTTCCTGTCGCTGAATGAGGACATTCATCTTGATCTCTCGGTATTCCTGTCGAGCCTTGTCGTTGTGGATATCACCCCCGCCGTAGAGATTCGCAATAACCACCATGCCTTCTTCGTCGTGATCGTTGTCCAGGAGCCATCTAGAGCCAATAATTCTTAGATAACGGGGATCCGCAAGGGAATGATCAGACTTGGGGAGGCTTACCTGGGAGATTCACAAATAATCAAGCTCCCAACGCCGAGTAAGGCGCCCATGACGCACTGGCAAAGCAATGGCAGGCGCCACGAGTAATCCGATTCGATGAAGCTACAGAAGTAGTCCACCCATACGCTAGTCGCATACCCTGCAATGTTTCCTGTAAATTCTATACATGCCAACTTCCCTCGATTATGAGGGGGCTGCGGGGTAGTTGTCAGTGGGTTTCGCTTTCGTAGGGCATGAGACCGTGATCCTTACCGAAATTTCAGACTGGTAGACGGGGACGATGGTGGACAAGGCACCGACACCGAGACCAGCGATGATGCGGCCAACCATCATCATGGGCATATTGAGAGCGAACGTCTGTAGGGCCCCACCAATAAAGAACACGGCCGAGCCATAGAGGATTGTCTTTCGACGGCCGATCAAGTCACCGATGCGTCCGACCAGGATCGAAGAGATAAAGGCTCCGATCTCCAAAATGGCCACAACCGTGCCGATGGTGGCTCGAGAAGGTTGGTCGAAGTAGTCTCGAAAGTACCATCCACTAGGCGAGGATTAGTTTCTGTCATGATGTTTGGCTTGCCAGCTGGCCCTCCGCAGACAGAAGGGAGATGTGAAAGGGGATACGAACGTGATGATACCGGACATCACTCCCTGGTCATAGCCAAAAAGGAAGACGCCGAGGGATACGAAGACACTGGTGAAGTAGCTACGGCATTTTGTCAGATCCGGGCGGCCTATCGAGTCACGACCATTGATCTAGACTCTAGGTGACTTACAGTAATGGCTTTCCTACCAAGCCATGGATTTGGGCATTCTGCCCATTGCGGGGGGACATGATGCCGGCTAAGATGCGCTCGACTCTCGATATCCGCCGGGGTCGGGGATTGGGGATCTGGATCTCCTTCTCAAAGTCACAGGCGACGCCGTGGTCGAGGTCTGGCGGGTAGTGGACCCGCTTTGACGAGTGTTTCCTCCGTCCTCGTCGTCCGAGGAGTTGTCGGTCAAGGGATTTGCGGAGATGGATCTGAAGGGGATCCTCGGCCTCGGCGAGCTGCTCGGCAAGATCCCCGGTATCTGACCAGATGGAGAACTCTGACTCGCCCGAGCGAATCGACGAGAGCGAGGATCGACGGCTTCCCTTCTCGCTGGCGGATTCTAGAGTGAACTGCGTTGGGGAGTTGGGGAGGGATCGGAGGGGTATGGCGCGTGGGGATGTTGGCGGAGGAATGTTGGCGGTGGGCGGGCTGATATGGCAGCCCCGGTCGTTTTACCCAGCGAGATGCGAGGTCGATCGTCGGGACGTCGAGACGGACGATCGGATCAGGCAGACAACTGCCACCTCCTTCAGAATGCGGAGGGGGAACAAGCGTGTCTTACTAGTGACGCCACACAAGGCGGATGCGGTCACGATAGGCAGTTCGTCGCTCGTCACACCACGCGATCGACGCAGGATGACGGAGCGATCGCGGAGAAAGTGACTTTGCGGGGACGTCAGGTGAGTTCCAGCAACCCGAAAGGCTGGAAAGCGGGCGAGGGGAAGAGAAGGAGAGGAATGGGGATGGGAGAACGGAAGAGGGAAGGAAGTTGGCTGATGGCGAGACTAGTGCTGTAGTTTCGAGGTAGATTACAGATGACTGGTCGGGGGCCCTGTGGCCTTGTTTTCAATAAAAAAAAGAGAGGAGGGAAATAGGGAATAGGGGGTGCAGGCGAGAGAGGAAGTATGAGTATGTGTCTGATTGTGCGATAAGAGTAGGTATACGAGTCAAGAGAATCGGAGAGAGCCGGTAAGGAGTGAAAGAAGGACAGGGTGGGAGGATTGAAGAATGGTACAGCGCACTGAAGGTGGAATTAGGAATTAGGGAACGTAAGAAGACAAGTTACTGAATCCCAGAATAGGAGAGCCCGGATTCAGCCCAGCACCAGGGGCCATTTGCGAGGAAAGAGCGGGCGCTACGTAGTTAAAGGCGTCCTGATGTCAAATCCGGGCAGTGATCCACAGTGGAGCCCCCCCCCAACCCCGATACCAGCGCCCGATCTTTACTCTTTACGAGGATCTTGGAGAAGTGATGGGTCGACCTGGTCGGGATTGTCGTGGTCGGTTTGACATCCTTTTTTTTTGTTACTACATTTAAGGGTTATATAGGGTGTCTATATAGGGGTCAGATACGTTCTACCAGATCGTACAGAAAGGTACATGTAATCGGAGGCCCAGAGGGCCGAAAACAAACAGTCGAGAGCATCAGCCACGCGGCAAACCCTCCTGGAGCCTCTTGGCGGGCATGTTCCTCCGACGAAGGGGTTTTGATAGCCCAGGTCGTCCCACAGCCATCCATCTTAACTGCTACATACCATCATCTATAATCGATGTGCTCGCGGACGATGGCCTCGACAGTCTTTTGGGGGTACCTACACCCTCAAAATAGTCAGATCAATAAGTTCGGGAGACCTTGTCCGCAGTACTCCGTTGCGAAGAAGGTTTACTGAAGGCCAGTAGAAAAAAAAAGAGTATGAACAAGTAAGAACCAGCAAAGACTAGTAGATCCGACAAGCGCGTCGGTTGTACGACACCTGACACGTGGGCACAGCTCATAAACCTTGCTCCCCCATCCCAAACAGCCTCAATATACCTAAGTAGACTACAAGGTCTAAACTCTATCAAGGTCCGTTCGCGGTACCTGCTGCTACACCACACTGCAAGCTGACCCGGTGGGATGACTCGATCTGAAATTTTATCTCTATAGGGTATCATCATCTGCAGAAATAAATGCAAAAGGTCGTTCAACAAACAAATACACAATATGTAGCAAAGAGTGGGGGCGGGGGAGCGTGTCAGAGGAAGCACGTAAGAGTAAATACAAGTTAGACGCTAGTTCAGCAGGATATCATAACCATCCTTTTGTATGTGCACAGCATCGTCCAGACTGGCATACCGTCGTCGTACCAGCTCGAAAATCACAAGGCCCGCACTAGTGCTAGGCACTTGCCGAAGGGCACTGCCTGCAAAGCCTCGGAACAGCCACGCCCGCCAGCCGCCAGCCCTGGTGGCTTTGCGTCGGCATCGTTTCCAGGTTTCCTGGTAGGCGTGATAATATAGCCGCATCATCTGCTTCCGGGAATGATCCAGGCTCGCCTGGTGATCCAGATATTCCAACCGGCCCAGATGCAAGTCTTGGATCCGGCTCAGAGGGTGCTGGATGGCTTGCTGGGCAACTGATGCCACCACGCCGGCCATCATCAGAAAACACGGCTCCAGGGCATAGTGTGGCTTGATGAGTGGGACCCCGCGGTCGCTCGATCCGGGGGAAGGAAGCATCTCAAGATGATCGACATGGAGTCCTCCATAGTACTGAGTGATAAAGGAATAGTATGCCTGCGATTTGATATATTCAAAAGCAGAAAAGAAGACAGCATAGCCCAGCGAGTCCCGCAAGAAGGACAGACTCCAGCCAGCGAAAACCCCTCGAAGGCCAATCTGTTTCAGCTTGTGGTGTCCATAGTGCCACATGCTCCGATACTGTCCCTCTAGCATGTCACTGGTCTGTAAACGAACCTGGAGGGCATCTAACGGAGCCGCCACTATGGATTGAATCGTGCCAGCAGCAAAACCAGCGGTGAAGGTTGCCGATGGAGGTGCAGGAGGCCAAACTCGTTTCGCTCCTTGGGATACCGGCTCATGAAGGGCCCCGAGGACCTGTAAATAGGACGTATACAAGACGGCTCCGACTCTAGATTAATGCAAAAAGGGATTCGTTAGCCCTGTCGGCTTCCTTCGGTTGGACAAGTCTGTTGACTTCGACCTACCCAGCGTTCGCCATTAAAGGAGGCAGGACTTGATTTGGAATGAAACGCCATCCATATGTCTTGACAGCATGAACCAATAGCCCAGGAGTCGTGGTATGGATGGACCATTTGCCATCTGCGACACGGGGGTTCACAGCTCTTGCGAATGCCTGCGGTAATGAGGGGCCGGAATTAGCGGATCGGATATCGAAGGATCGAGAGTAAACAGAGGCACTTTACCATATAACTATAAAAAATTAGTCCATAGCTCTTTAATTTTCGTATTCAAGGGAAGCCATACTCAACGCGAGTGCGGAAGAAAGCCTTGATCGGGGCTCTGAAGTAGAAAGCAACCATTTGTGCACTGAGAGCGCGGACGCCCGCGGCGGATGCTCCAGTTGCAGCATCATTCCGTGACTTTTTCCGAGGCGACCCCGGCTCGACGAGATGGGGCTCCAGAAATATAGGGTTCATCGCAGCTTTTGTCGTTCCGGTAAAGACGCTCCAAGCATCGCAATCATACCAATATCCGTTCTTTTTCGGGAGTTCGGCACCCAGGATTACTTTCGGTTCAGATTCGTTCAAAGACTGAGGCTGTCAACGCGAGTGACAACCACCTCTGAATCAGCAAAGAGCATAGTGGCGACTCACTTGCCCGTCGTGATTTGCGGGCTTCAGATGTGGAAGAAGTAGTCCCGAGTCATTTGGAGCGTAGAAGTCCTCTTCCGCGGCCGCAGCCCACGCTAATCCCTAAAAGGCAAAACTGAGCACGGGAACTCAAAACGCGCTTTTCGCGTCCGCCCTTCTCCTTCTCTCTCTCCACGGGTCAGCTCCTGCTTGACATCACCACATCCCCTTCCACCCTTCCAGCTCATTCAATTTTACTTTCTGTTCAGTTCCATCTTCATATGCGATCTTGATTACAACTTCATTTCCCAAAACCCTTTCGCGACCGGTCTCTCGCTGCTGCCAGCAAGCTAGGCTTGCACCAGGCTTCCAAGATGGCTGAGAAGATTGCGATTGACAAAAACAACTTTTTCAACCACCTATCGAATTTTTATGCGTCATGGAAGGCCGACAAACGCTCGGGAAATGCTCTTTATGGAGGCGCCACATCTATTATCATTTTGATGGGCAAGACGCAAAACGATGAGGGCTCTTTCCAGAAGAACAATGCCATGCATGTATGTCTCGTTCCTCGTCACTGATGCGATCAATTCCTTCTTCACTTTTGATTTAATGTCGTCATTGCTAATCGATTGGTCTTAGTTCTGGCTTCTCGGATACGAATTTCCTGCCACCCTTTTCGTCCTTACTACCGAGGCGATTTACGTGGTCACAACAGCCAAGAAAGGTGAGTAGTTTTGACTCTATCACTCCTACATATCGTCTCTTACTGACATGATCGGTCTGTAGCGGAGCTTCTTGAGCCGCTGAAAGGTGGAAAGATTCCTGTGGAGCTTCTGGTGACCACCAAGGACCCAGAGACAAAAACCAAGGCTTTTGAGAAGTGCTTGGACGTTATCAAGAGCGCAGGAGTGAGTATTCAATTTCACCTGATTTTCAGGCCGCGGAGACCAGTGTTGGCTAATGGTGAGATGATGACAGAACAAAGTTGGCACCCTACCCAAAGACACCACAAGCGGACCCTTCGCCGACGATTGGAAACGTGCATTTGGAGATATCTCTAAAGATGTTGAGGAAGTGGACATCACTCCTGCCCTGTCAGCAGCCTTCTCAATCAAGGACCCCGAAGAATTGGTGAGTGCAATGATTCTTTCTGGAGAACAAGAAGACTACTAGAGACACGTTGCTGACAGCACAGGTTTCCATCCGAAATGCCGCCCGAGCGTGCAGCGGCTTGATGTCGGAATACTTCGTGGATGAAATGTCGCGATTGCTGGATGAGGAAAAGCAGATGACACACAAAGCTCTCGCCGCAAAGGTGGACGGGAAGATCGACGATGCGAAGTTCTTCAAGAAGCTAGCACGACTGCCCGCCGAATTCGATCCCGAACAGATTGACTGGGCTTATGGTCCGGTTGTACAGAGTGGTGGAGTTTACGATCTGAAGTTGACTGCCACCTCTGACAGCAAGAACCTGAAGCCGGGCATCATTTTGTCTAGCTTCGGAATTCGCTACAAAACATACAATTCGCTCATCGGACGAACCTATCTGGTGGATCCCAGCAAATCCCAGGAAGCCAATTACGCTTTCTTGCTTACCCTCCACGAAACTGTCATGAAAGAGATCAGAGACGGTGTGGTAGCTAAGGACCTCTACAATAAGGCACTCAGTCTCGTGCGGTCGAAAAAACCCGAGCTTGAAAACCACTTGGCCAAGAACGTCGGTGCAGGAATTGGAATTGAGCTGCGAGACTCCAACATGGTTCTTAATGCCAAGAACAACCGTGTTTTAAAGAACGGAATGACTCTGTCTATCTCTATCGGGTTGACGGATGTAAAGGATTCTGATTCAAAGGATAATGGCGTGTACTCCATGGTCATCACGGATACGGTCCGTGTTGGAGAGAGTGGGCCTCATATCTTCACAAAGGACGCTGGTATCGACATGGACTCTGTTTCCTTCTATTTCGGCGATGAGGAGGAGCCTGAGAAGCCCGCGAAGGTGAAGAAAGAATCGAAATCTAGCGCCGTGGCGAGCCGGAATGTCACTCGGACCAAGCTTCGAGCGGAGCGTCCCACTCAGAGCAATGAGGGCGCCGAAGCTCGTCGCCGTGAGCATCAGAAAGAACTTGCGACAAAGAAGACCAAGGAGGGTCTTGACAGGTTCACAGGAACCACTGGTGATGATAATGGTGTGGCTCAGAAGAAGTTCAAGCGTTTCGAATCTTACAAGCGTGACAATCAACTGCCAACCAAGGTCAAGGATCTTACAGTCTATGTTGATCACAAGGCCCACACTGTCATTGTCCCCATTATGGGACGGCCGGTGCCATTCCATATCAACACCATCAAGAATGCGAGCAAGAGTGATGAGGGCGAATATGCTTATCTGCGTATCAACTTTCTCTCTCCAGGCCAGGGTGTCGGCAGAAAGGACGATCAGCCTTTTGAGGATCCATCAGCTCACTTCGTTCGCAATTTGACTCTGCGATCTAAGAATAACGACAGATTCGCGCAGGTTGCGCAAGATATCACTGAGCTCCGGAAGACAGCGTTGAGACGAGAGCAGGAAAAGAAGGAGATGGAAGACGTGGTGGAGCAAGACAAGCTCGTTGAAATCAGAAGTATGCTAGGGCGACAGCTCCCCTTCCATGATTTATGAGATTTATCCCACTTACTAACCTTGTATCTAGACCGACGACCTGTGAAGCTACCCGATGTTTACCTGCGGCCACCGCTGGATGGAAAGCGTGTCCCTGGTGAGGTGGAAATCCACCAGAATGGTCTCAGGTACTTGTCGCCTTTCCGTAATGAGCATGTCGACGTGCTCTTCAGCAACGTCAAGCACTTGTTCTTCCAGCCCTGCGCCCATGAGTTGATTGTGCTCATCCACGTGCACTTGAAGACTCCCATCATAATTGGCAAGAGGAAGACCAGAGACGTGCAGTTCTACCGTGAAGCGACTGAAATGCAGTTCGACGAAACTGGCAATCGTCGACGGAAGCACCGATATGGAGACGAGGAAGAATTCGAGGCTGAACAGGAAGAACGACGGCGGAGGGCTGCCCTCGACCGGGAGTTCAAGGCATTCGCCGAGAAGATCGCGGACGCTGGTAAGGACGAGGGCACAGACGTCGATATTCCTTTCCGTGAGATCGGGTTCACGGGTGTTCCCAACCGCTCCAACGTCTTGATCCAGCCGACAACAGACGCCCTTGTTCAACTCACCGAGCCACCGTTCATGGTGCTTACTCTCAATGAGATTGAGATTGCCCACCTGGAGAGAGTGCAGGTACGTTCTCCTTTTGCCCCCGCATTCCCCCAGCCCCTTCTGAAGTGCTAATGGTGTTTCTAGTTCGGTCTTAAAAACTTCGATCTCGTCTTCGTCTTCAAAGACTTCCATCGGGCCCCGGTTCATGTCAACACGATCCCCGTTGAGGCACTGGAAGGCGTCAAGGATTGGCTTGATTCCGTTGACATCGCTTTCACCGAGGGTCCGCTGAACTTGAACTGGACCACAATCATGAAGACGGTCGTCAGCGATCCGTATGGATTCTTCGCCGACGGCGGCTGGTCGTTCCTGGCTGCCGAGTCGGACTCCGAGGGCGGCTCCGATGAAGAGGAAGAGTCGGCGTTTGAATTATCGGATTCGGAACTTGCTGCTGCCGACGAGAGCTCCGAAGAAGATAGCGAATACGACGATGACGCAAGTGCGGATGCGAGCGAAGAGGAATTCAGTGGTGACGAAGAGAGCGGCGAGGATTGGGATGAACTGGAGAAAAAGGCCAAACGCCAAGACAAGGAGAATAGGATGGATGAGGATGATCGCGGCACCAAGCGAAAGCGCTAGGATTCCCCGATTGTTTTGCGTTTGGTTTGAGTTAAGAGTATGAAGTCTAGGGCTAAATACGCCATGCTCTCCTCTTCAATCCCAGGCACATTTTGTTCTTTTTAAAAATTCAAGCCTTACCCCTTCCTGCCATGTCTTCATACTTGTGCTTTTTTTCTATTTTCAAAGCTGAGATGTGAGATCGGACAAGTACGATACGAAGGGACTACCGATTCAATCTACAAAACCATGCTTCTTGCAGTGTTACACTATGCAACAACCTTTCATGAATTTGGTACATTCTTCTCCTATAATCCAGCGTCAAGCACTAGAAAAGTAATTGTCTAACAAGCTTTCATTTGAATGAGTAGAAGAGAAACGAAAAAGTACCTCAAAAGGCATATGGCACATGATTTCATCCAGCCCTTGAATTGGTGCTGGTAAATGCATCCAAAGTCTTCCCTATCCCCCCTCCTCCCGACTTGAATCCCCTGCTTGACCCGAGTTTCAACGGCCATGCTATATGTATCTTCCTTCTCGCGTCCTTCATTTACCCTCCCGCATCGACGCCCACATATTCCGCATCCGCGCATTCTGCCCCGGCGTAAACGACTCATAGCACACATCAGACGAGTAGTCCATGAAGTCATGCACGGCGTCCACTCCAGGCAAGCCTGGGCATGAGTCCTTCCGCGCGGGACACCCATCCGTCGGCGTGCTCTGCTGTGGCGTATCCGCGATGTAGTCGCCTGGGTTATCCGCCGCGCACGACTCCCCTTGGAACGTGTGCAGTAGCCCGTTCCAGTGCCCGATCTCATGTATTGCTGTGCCGCCCCGGTTGTACAGGTCTAGCACGCCGCCGGGCATCGTTTGCGCTAGAACATTGCACCCGTCCTTGACGTACACGCTGGCCGGGCTGCTGGCGTTCACCGTCGGGTCTGGCAGGGTGCAGAAGCCGAGTACGCTCGAGACGAGGTCGCGGGGGCCGTTGCGGCCGGCTTGGTCGGGCGTAGCTTGGAGGTCTGTCTGGAAATAGACGTTCAGCGTGCGGTAGGTGCCTTTGCGGAGGGCCGTCTTCATGGCGACGTCGTCGACGTTGCGGGCCCAGTTGTCGTTGACGTGTCGTGTGACGCCGACGAGATGGTAATGGATTGAGGCATCGGCGTAGGCGTCTTGAAGGATAGAGATCTGGTTGGAGGAGTTAGAAACAAAATGTTGTTCAATGTTTCGGATATAGGAATCAGGAAGTGGTAGTCTGTTGGATCCCTCGCAGGAGCGTATGGGACTAGGAGGGCACTCTCTCACCTGGGAATTGATCATACTATCAGTGACCTGGTTCCGCTCCGCTCTGCTGCTGATGATATGAAACCAAGTCTCGATCTCGATGGGCCCCGTACGGGCCTCGGTGCCGGCCTCGTCGGCCTGAGATTCATCTCCTCGAACCTGCTGGAGGGCGCTCAGAAAGGATGCATCTGGGTCTTCGGTGGCGCAGATTCCGCGTTTTTGAAATGCCGCAGGGCTGCAGTGAACCTGCAGTAGAAACAGCGCTGTTATAAGTACCGCGAGCGGGGCGAATGAGTGGAAGCCCATGATATCGGGTCGTGCGGCGGGTGCAGGTCGTGCTGGTCGTCGTGATTGCCCGAGTTGTCGTGTTTCCTCCTCACGCCCATCGATCCATGGACATATCAGGTTCTCCCGACTCCCTTGTCTGTGAATACGGTTTGCTATATGGGTTTGGTTAAAGCGGCCCGCCCACCTGGAGCCTTACCTTTCCGAGATCCATGGGCTTAGAGAATGCTGCGTCACGGTGGAATGCATGTCCCGTGCAAGGGGGGAGCGCCCTGTACGGACAGATCGGCATAGGCAATGCCTGCGGGGCGGAGAATTAGCACTTGTCATTGGCATCTGGCAAGGCCGGCCAATTCCTCGGCCGGCGAGATGAAGTCATTCGAGGGTCGAAAGAAGGAAGAAAGAATGCTCGTTGTTGTGACGATGTTAGATACATGGAAACTCCTTGATAAACACCCCCATCCGGAACGGCCCATTTATTCACAGTATAATATCATCTCAGGGAATTCTGGAAAGGAAAAAGAGGAAGAGGAAAGAAAAGAAAAAAGAGCTTTAACAAGGTGGGAAGAAGAGGGCCACCTGCAAAAAAAAGAGCAAAAAAACAATAGAATGCGAATTTTGTTAGGCATTTGATCGCATTCGGTCATCCCGTCCGGTAGCCATCGCGGTGGTAGGCTGATTGGTTGAATCCCACGACAAGTAGGTGTGGTCACCCAGTTTTCTAAGAAAAAAAATCAGCTTTGCTACTTGGGCTTATCGCGCTTGCGCGAGGAAACATACCTGGGTCGAATCAGGTAGGCGACGGTGAACAGAGCGCCCAGGAGCACACAGACTCCACCAACAACGACGTAGGCAATGCCCATAAACGGGTTTTTCCCACCAAGCACGGTGCGAGTAGTGATCAGAAGCGACTTGGTTCCGTCGTACTCGGAAACCGGGAACTCTAGTTCGATATTAGCAAATGAAGCATTCTACTTTTGTTATCGAAATAAAATCGATCAACTTACGATCAGTGATGTTGACTTGATATCTTCCTGGCGTCAGGGCTGTGTCATCGTTCCGGCGTGATAGCTTGCTGAATGATGGCAGGCCGGCTGTTCGCATCCAGACCATGAAGTCTTCATCCTCGTTGAGATTAGGAATGCCAGTTTTCTCATAGGTGCCATTGTACTTCTTCCAGTTGCGCGGGGGTACCACGTCGTACTTGGAATACTTGGTCTGTTTGATCAATGCCTTATCACTACTCCATGCAATCCCTTGCTTGGTCATGTTATACTCCTTTGCGTCGTTGCTGTCCAGGTTGTAAGGGTTTCCAATCGTATCGTTGAACAGAGAATTGGCGATCAGACCGCACGGGTAATACGCCTTGCCGGTAGCAGAATCCGTCTCGAGAGGCGAGCAGGTACCGCCCGAAATCGTCCCGTTGGGAACGGCCGTGCCCTTGAGCTGGTCAAGGTCCAGCGACTGAACATATCGGCGATGGTTCTGATAGAAATTGGTGAGGCGGTAGTACATGTAGACGGGCGGTCCCATAGACTCGGGGATCTCGAAGATGAGAGAGCAAACGGTGCTGTCATCGGTGGCATTGTACCATCGCCGCCAAGAAACCTGGTCCTTGACGTCCGTCGTTGATTTGAACGTTGCCGACACGCGATCGGGAATATAAGTTCGTGTGTTATTGGGGGCATCGGAGGAGCAGTCTGTATAATCGATGACAATTTCTTGGACCTAATAAGAGCATATTTCAGTCAGATCTGCCCGAGGAAACGAAATCGCGACACAGGATCTTCCATACAGTCGAGCTGGCCCAGATGAGGACACCACCAATAGGAGCGAAAAGGACGCCGACGATGAAGAACAGCGGGAGAACACTTTTGGGGGTGAGAATCGGTCTAACGGGACGCGTCAGTCTATTTCGGGATCGGGATATTCGGGAATCGTCGCAAAGCTCACTGCCAGGCTTTCAATCGTTGCTGCCGGAACGCCGTGTCTGATCGCACAAAGGCCCATCAAGTCAGCGGGGAAGGACGGAAGGGGATTTCGATTGTTAGTAGGGGATAAACGATTCAACGCACTGGCGGGTCTCCGGGACTTGGGCTTCTTGTCGGCATCGGCGGCGTGAGCACGCTCCTGCTCATCGATAGACTCCGCACGAGTCACCTCAGCCTGCGACATATTGGCGAGGGGGTTAAGCGCGTGAATCGGATGGTGTAAAGGTGGATGAAGAGAGACGGGAGAATGAAGGAGGGAGACGTCAGGAAAAGGTGGCGCCGGGCGGAGCCATCACTGGATTGGCGCGGGCGCCCCACAACCTGGCGAACCACACTGCCTGCTGGTTCTGGCCACCTTGTGATGACAGCCATCGGGAAGATAATTATAGAACCAAAGGTACAGAGTATGCATAATTGGGTTTGAGTGGCATGGGAAGGGTTCCTCGCTCTTCCTGGCCCTCCTATTTTTTCCACCATGTTCCCTGTCCTACGAAATAAATACATAATTTGGCAAAAAGGAGACCACCTAGTTGCGCTAAAAGAGTTAGCGCTCCACATAGACTTTAATGATTTACTACATATGCAGATGCATACTACGCCTATGGCACTCAAAAGTTTAATTTGCAATAGATATATCATTCAAAGAAAAAGGAATAGTATCTGGTCAGGGTATCAGGTAACAAATCATCCGTGTGTGCTCTTGCAGCAACCCTCCGACGCAGCCGACAGAGGGGGGGGGGGGAACAAATCACAGGAAAACAATGGAAACAATGAAAAAAGAGAAAATATCACAGAAACACCGCATGCTATCCCAAACCTGCCATTCTAGATAGGGGAAAAGAGGAGAGAGAAAAGATGAAAACACCCAGACGCCCCAAAGCCAATACCCGAGCTGAAAATCGCGAAAAGCCATGCATAAAGTCCAAAGAACAACATCGTGTGAGAAAACAAAGAAGAGTGCAAGGGAAAAGCAAATAGAAACCCTGTACCTGAGATGACACAGAATCATCATGCATAGTGGACATGAAAAAGAGAGCAATCATGAAGCCCGAAAGGTCATTGTAAAGCGACCGGAATTAAGAGTAGATCCACCACCAGAAAGCAGAATCAGCAGTCGACGTGAAGAAAAATTCTGGTCGACTCAGAGGGGCAAAGTGCCAAGGATACTCAGTATCCAACCAGAGCCTTATCCAAATGATATGAACGTCGGAACGTCGAAGAATAACAAGCAACCGGATCGGTACAACCGGCTCACTGCCGTTGATAAAGCAGACCACTCTGAAGGTTGTGAACAAAGCCAAGAGGCAGGAAAGAAGGTCTGGAGATGAGAATATCTGTGATGATGAATTCCGAGAAAAAGGGAAGCAAAAGCGATGGAACCGTCATAATGTCATGGGGACGGCCGTTCGTCAAGAAAGAAAGGGAGGAAAGAAAGGAAGGGAGAAGGGATCCGAAGAACAAGGTGCCAGAGAGGGAGAGAGAGAGTGATGTGCCATCACAAACTGATTACAGGAAGTGAGTAAAATGTTCTGGCTTGAACCAATCCACTCGGTCATAGGCGGTCCAGAGTTTGCTGGCCTTGTTGACATCGATCTTGCAGGCCTGCTGAGCATCGGTCTTCCGGAACTCCTTGCCTACACCGAGAGCCCGCACCCGCGCCTCGAAGATTCGGCGTTTGCTGCAAAGGTAGGTGGCACAGGAGAGTCGCAGCGTGGAGGCTAGGTTGAGCTCGGCAGGACTGAGCAAATGTCGGTCCGGGTCATTGCTCAAATCCAACATCTGACCTTTCCAGTCAGCCTTCAGGGCCTTGGCATTGCTACCAATTGTGTCCAGAGGAGGGGAGAAGTCTGGGAGGGCCATGAAATCCGTGTCATCCCGGTTTGTTCCCAGGGCACGGGGCTTCGAGACCGACGGAGGGGAGTCAAAGGAGTCCAGAGCCTGTTGCTTGGGGGTTGATTTAGGGGTGCGCTTGACTCGAGTCCGTTGAACGCGCGGAGGCAATCCCCCCATCTTCTTCACGGGGGCCGGGGCAATCTTCTTGAGCTTAGCCTCCGCATCCCCCGGTCGGTGGCGATTCATCAAAACCAGCTGACGCTGCAGAGTGTCCCATTCCTCGCGGGCCCAGGCAGCCGGATTGCGGTTATACTGGGTTGCGACGGTGGGAACACAGGACAGCGCCAGTAGGTATTCCTCGCGCGAGGGTCTGTTCCGCTTGTTCTCAAACCGAGCCATGTGGGAATTGATGTGCTGCTCCACCAAGGCCTCGGCGGCCGGGGGTGGAATGGGACCGAAGAGGGGAGGCTCCTCCCGGGTGAGAGAATCATGGCGAGGGAAAAGCACGGGGTCGCGCGCAGCGGCCTCCGCGTCACCCTCGATCTGGTCAGCAGTATGCGAGCGTCGCTTCTTGTTGGCGCCCGTGTAGGGAGTTACTGGTGGCGACGGGAGATCCATCTCGGACTGGGTACGCTTGCGATCAGCGGAGATGGGGGGAAGTTTCATATCACCCATAGAGGAGGGATCGCGCCTGGGAAGAGGTGAGGGTTGAAAGCTTTCCAGGGGTTTGGTCTCTGGAGGAGACATAAGGCTAGAAACAGGGAGACGATGCATGCTGGACGGGTGTTTGCTGCCCGATTGCAATTGTTGGTTCGGCTGCTGCTGCTGTTGCAGCGGCTGCAGACCAGAGGAGGCCATGATTGTTTTTTTCCCCAAGGGAAAGAGGAACAGCGCGGAGATGAGAGAAAAAAAAGATTCTTTGTTCTTGTTTCTTGGATTTTTCTGATTCTGTCACAATTTGCCAGGATAGATGGATTTGGGGGGGGGGGGTAAGGTGGAGGAAAATGTGCAGTGAGATCGGGAGAGGCGAAATGCCTGAGAGGAAGTATAAGTTGGGTTGGTCGAGGAGTGGGGAAGGAGAGAAGGAGGCAACAGGGGAATTGAAGTAGTTTAATGTTGGGGGCGACACGGCGGCTGGAGCAGGATTCCAGCGCCAAAAGGAAGGGGAGCGCAAGTGAGAGTAAGTGAATCGAGTTGTCCCCGATGTACTGCGGTTGACGAGGGTGGAAGTCAATGGAAGTGAATGTCCAACACCCGGATTTGTCAGGGCCCAATGGAAGTGGCGATAACCGGGGTTAAGGCCAATGGCCGACAAATGAGTCAACACGAGTCAACACGAAGTTTCCCGTCTTTCCAAGTGGGGAGGGCACAACAGCAGGCAGGCGGTTCGAGAGAAGGGGCCAGGCTGTGATGGGGGTAGGGTTTCAAATGGGGCAGATTCAGGCGGATTGGGGGAGTTGGGGAGTTGGAAAGAGGGAAGTTGGAAGTTGGGGAGAAAGAGAAAGGGAGGGGGAGGACGAGATGAAGAGGCGCAGTCCAAGCCTCATCAGTCAGCAGCGTCAGCAGTTCAGCCTGGCCGACCTTCAAGAGCGACTCGGAGCAATGAGGTCCTGGTACAGAACGGTACAGGGAACTCGTTAGTATTCGTCGTCCCTGTAGGAGGCAGTTCCCTTCTGCGCGGCCGGTACTAGTCACCAGCAAGTAATAACTAGTCTGGGTTTCAGTCAGATGGCAACCCAACCCATGGAACCTTCCTCCCCTCTCGGGCTCCAGGCCGCGGCTGGTTTGGTTCTAGTTCTTCTCTTTTTCCCTTTCAACCACCATGAATTCGCGCGCTCTCACTGGCTCCTGGACGGGATTTGCCAGGGTACTGGATCATTCGATCATTCTCATCACTGGGTCAATGTATCGATTGGGTCATTGGCGAATTCCCAGTTTCGGAGCCAGAGGGGGAAACGAACAGGCCGAAAAAAAAAATAATTAAAAAAAGAAACAGCTCGCGATGAGTCAATTGAAGGTCAATGGGTCGGGTGGATGTCAATGGATGAGATCATTGGATGCCGGGGGCGATCATTGAGGATGCCCAGGCGGGGGCGCTTTGGGGCGGCATTTGGGGGGAAGAATTGAGAAGAGGGGGCAGTGCCATTATTGGCTTGTGAAAGGACTCCGGTTCGAAGGCGAGTCGGCGCCAAAGAGGAGACGTGACTGTGATCGGAGTTGTGATCGTGATCGTGATCACGATAACCATGATTGACCTGATTGACCTGATGAGTGACCTGATTAGCCCTGATAACGATAGCGTCAACTGCGGGGTGGCGCGTAAGTCAGCCGGTCACATCATCTCTCTGATCCGATGACCCGTTTGGGCCCTTTTGACCCTTTGGCTCCTGGCTGATTTGCTGCTCGCGTTGCGTTCTCTTATCCCAGCCAATTCCTCGATCGCATTTTCTCCGTCCTAACAGTATGTCAATTCCGACCAAGCAATCTGAAACCCCGCGCGAGACGTCCCAATGCGCCTTCAATGGACTCTCAATGGCTCTCGCCATTTCCAATGGCGGCAGCACCCCAACCAACACGATGACACACAGATCCCTTGGGATCAGGCTCCAACCGCAGTGCAGAGTGGCTCGGTGGCGCTCATTGGGCCGCCAGGGGCGCATGACAACATCCCATGCGGGCGCATCACCAAATAGGTTGTCAGATCGCGAAGCCCCCTCCACCAATCAACGTCGGGGAGAAGGAGAGACCCGCCAATGATCTCCCCATCACCCTAGGCCATGATCATCGGCCATTCTGCAGTGTCAGAGCGTCGTTGGGGTTATTGCAGAAGAGAGAAAGAGAGCAGGGCAGAGAGGGAAGTGAACGGGGGAAAGATTAGCGCTGCGAACTGATAACCCTGATAACCCTGATAACGCGGGAAGTATAGGAATACACTCCTCGCACGGGGGCCCCGGGCCACGGACCTGGTCAGACCTGGTCAGGCCGATTCAAGCCGGGGCAGATAGAATAGGCCGGCTCATACCGGTAGATCCCCCCCCCCCTTCTTCTTCCCCTCCCCTCCCAACAGCCTTCGAGGTCGCATGACGTGGGGTGTAATGGTGCAATTGATGGGCCATGATCAAGATACCCCGAGTCCCGCAATCTCCAACCAGATCAAGATACAAGGCGGTCACACTAAGCCCTCATCCGGTCATAGTCGATCATATTCGGTCATCGTAGTAGGGTCATCGTCTGCATGGCGAACTACATACATACATGCATACATACCTGCATGTACTCGTCCGCAGTGGCTGGCCCCCGTTCCTAGTCGCTGACCTATTGGTCAATCAGTCCCCCTCCCCCAGCGACTCACCCGATCAGAGGCAATGGTGCCGCTGCTGCCTTCCAGCTTCTTGCCTAGCGATGGAACAGGCAAAGATGAATCAAGAAAAATCAGGATCAATTGAAGAATGGGAAAGAGTGATCAATTGGTCAGACCAGTCTCGGCGACAATCAAGAAGAAACATGAAGGCAACAAAGATTGTTGAGAATTCGACAAAAAGGGTCTGGAGCATGGGCATGTACTTCTCCGTGCATTTCATGGGATGCATGATGGTGTGCAGCCTACATTAGATTCCTTTCCCGGCTGGGTTTAGTCCCCTGACTCCCCCTTGTGATTCACAGATCCCCACTTCTCAGTGGATCCACCCCTTCTTGTGTCAGGATTATCTTGGAATGCGGCTACCAGAGCAGGAAAATGCAAGAAACGAAAAGCAGGCTCAATAAACTGCACATCGTTATTGTCACAGATCTAGCCTCGGTCGGTGTAGATATGAGAGGTTCCAGAGAGAGAATATAACTCAGAAATACTGTAAACCTCCCATACAAAAATCATCTTCTGGGGATGACTACAATTACTAAGTAATTATAACTAACTATTTCCCCATTGTTCCCCAATGCCAATGTCAAGTTATTTTTCATTTCTCGGAGGACCCTTCGGTTGGCTTGGCTTAACTTTTCGGGCACACATGTATTTGGTCCGGCAAGTCCGATATAAATATATACACGCATGCGATATTTGATGATTTCTGATGGTAGATAGAAAAGGCCTCAGAATGACGATACAATAAGTTGTTATATAATATCAAACCATGGAAAAATAGATTAAGAGCCGGATAGTTTAAAAATGCTGTCAAATATGTCGTGCCGAAATATATGCAAGTTCAGACAGGGTTCAATTGCCCAATTAAAAAGAATTGGGCATTGTCACATTAGGTAGATACATAATGTTGACACATATTCGAGATAGGGTGGTAAATATTACACCCCCTTGGAGTCCATCGAAAGAGAACTGCCTCTGGATTTACCATCTGCAAAGTGAGACGGACGTGACTTTGCTCCACTATCTGGTACGCTTCAATCTGAGCCTAATTGACGCTTATATCAGGACAAGGATCAAGCTGCACCGTCGATTGCCTGTATAAGGTCATAGGGGCAGCGGCTATTTCGATCTGAAAGAACTTCTTTCCTGGACACGACCGCGGACCTTCAGCCCACGCAAAAGGTAAGCAAGTCGGAGTTGGTCGATCTCTTCTAGGCCAGATGACCTAATAACGTCGATGAATCTACTGGGTTTCCACTCTCGAACATGGGGTCCCCAATGTTTTGAGTTTGTGTGTATAGCAATTGCGACGACAGTGAGTTTGACGTTTCCAGGTATTGTTATTTCTGCTCCCTGAGATGTGCTGATAGTCTGTGGCTGAAGGGGCAGAGTTTTTCGAAGAATGTTGGGAACCGGCCCATAAAGTCGAAGGCTCTCGTACTATTGAAAAGTTATAAGTCTTGGGCATCCGAGTAGTAAGTAATATTGAGAAAACAAACCATAATTGCTTTGAAACTCGTCATTCGAGGGAATATTTGTTCCACGGTTGGCTTTGTCCCTTTCGGTATATCGGAAATAATCTGATCCAATTCATCCGTGGCCCATTTTTGCCATCTCGGAAATATTGCTAGCAAATAATGATATACAATAGGGTGTTTGCTGTTGTCTCAGAACCTGCAAACATAAGAAGAAACAAGTTGCCTTTGACCTCATCATCGGACACTAAGTTTGCATACCCTTCATCATCAAAGGACTATGTACGTCTCTAATGAGATGAAATCTTGCTCATCATTTACTAATTATGATTCTTTTTTTTGCTTGTAGTTGAGATTTTCGGGGTATGCCGCGAGATACGACAGCGCAGAGCAATCGCCGAATTGCCAATTATGCCCTAAGTTGCCCAGGAGCTCTTCCTCCTATTAGCGCCAATTCTATTCGCAGCATCGATCTATATAAGTTTTGGGCGTGTTATTCGATTGTTAAATGCTGGATAAAACTCGCTAGTGAGACCTTCGTGGCTTACGAAGATTTTTGTAACCGGCGACGTGATATAATTCCTGATGCAATGCGGCGGTATGCTTTAAACTTTCCCCCTTTTTGTGGTATAAATCGTGGAACCTAATCAGAATTATCAAGGTGCCGGTATGCTCTCTAGTTCAAAAATATCATCTGGACAGAAGCTCGGACAAGACGTCATTGTTGGAGGTCTAATCTTCTAGGTCATTTCGTTCAGCTTTCTCATTGTCGTCTCCGCCGTTTTCCATCATCAAATGCTAGTAACTCCAATACACTTCATGATCCACACTACCATTCTGTGGACACGATACATAGTAGTGCTAGACTGCACAAGTATCTTGATCATGATCCAATCCATCTACCGAGTGGCTGAATATTTCCAAGGAAGCACTGGCTTCCTACAAAGTAAAGAAGCTTTTGTCTTCGATGCATTTTTGATGTTGATTTGCTGTGTTCTGTTCAACATTTTCCATCTAAGCAAGATTTGGTCATGGCCAAATCAACAACCATTGATCACGAGGACCTGGAGATGATGAATGACAATTGATATAGTTGGCCTTCCATGCGGAGCTACGGCTTTTAATCAATCGGAGATCTGGGGGAAGGGAAAGCATGTATGTGAAGCATTGAACCTTTTGCTTGTGAAAGCAAGGAACATGATCTATAATTGTACATATGCTTACCTAGATATTCTGCGTTGTCTCAATGCGAGGCGAAATTTCTTAAGGACTGGAAGTCTTGAGATTCTCAACCCAGGTTAGATTTTGATATTCTTTACATTTCAGCGGATGCTGTGGCCTCTTTCACTGAGATTCTCGTTATCAGAGATTAGATGAATAAAAGCATAACTTGTTGATCTTGAGTGAACCGTAATTTTGCATCCATTCTACCTCAAGAAAGCTGAACTGAAAACAGCCCCGTCGCTTTCAACCACTGCTCCAACATGCTGGACTAGTATTTAATTTGGTAGGTAGATTGATACCATGGGAATTTTCTCTGAATAATTCCCCTTCTCTTAGATTGATGGCATCTTTCCATCTCCATCTCTCTTGATATACAGTATTGATACTTCTTCCCTCCTGTGTGTTAAATTCGAACTAGGTTAATTTAATCAACTATGAATATGAGACCCAATCTGATATGAACGCAAGGCTCGTCGATTATCAGTAGTCTAAACAACTAATTAAAGAAGATTAGGGCTTGAACAAACAAAGATCGAGTCAACTACCAAGGGAGCAAAGAAGAGAGATCAAGAGACTAGAGAAGGGGCTATCTACTAGTACACACGGACTCAGGAGCATATAACCATCATCATATGATAGTATCAAACACCACAGACGGTGTGCTGGTCATTGCCTGACTAGCTCCCAACGTACTACACAAATATATCTGAATATGTTACCATCACAGCCTGCTTACGTCAGTATTTTAGCTTATCATGACCTCTACTGAGGGAATAAGAACATCATCTTTACACATAACATCCTCGCTTGCACCAGAATAGGTCGAATTGAAGTTAGTGCCAGCGGTTACTGAGGGTGCTTAGGGAAAGGGCAAAATGAATTCAGTGGTGAGTACATACGTACGTACATACATATAGAGCGACAAAGGGAGAGATTCTGGTGAATTTTTTGGAAAAAAAGAAGAAAAAATAACATACAACAGCAGGGATTCGCTGGTGGTCACCCACCCAACTACTAACCTGCCGGCGTGTGGCTTAAGTACGGCTGAGCGGACGGGAAGCCCTGTTCTCCACACCCTGTGGTCGTATGTACTTTGAAACAGCTGCAAGTAGGATATATTGTTTAAAGATCTTTCATTAAACGATCTGCGCCATGCGACCGGGTTGAGAAGGACGAGTACGATATAGATAGAGTGAGAATCTGAATGAGAATCCCACTCGGTTGCACGACTGCCAAACTGACGCTTTGAGCAGAACTGAGATGTATAAACCATTGGCCTATATCCTCTCCTCTTAAACGTTCGCCTTCTTGGTATCTGCACGTAGCCCTTAGTACTGCGCGTTCGCTTAAGCAAGTATGGGTTGCTTCTCTGTCTACATTCTCAGGGCGGAGTGATGTAGTGGCACTGACTTGATACGATCAAGAAACTGGTTAAGGGCTAATCTGAATCACGTGAGCAGTACATGAAATCTAGGTAATAATAACACTATCTGATAGAGCTTATCGAAGAGAATCTATTAAGGCCTTTATCAGATGTATCGTTCGTTGTTAACCTAGATACTTGTAACTCAAAGTTATGCTCTTGAGAGTTTAAAGAACGACGCTACTTAGGTTCATACTACTGTGCGCTAGGTAAAGATCTTGAAATCTAAGTTGTACCTTACGGTAGACCCAATCAGCATCAATAAAATAGTCCGTGATTGCTATAAACGCCTATAATAGAGATCTCTAACAGTCTAGTGCGATCGATATATATTTAAGCCAGCGGGTATTGTCCGAAGGGTATGCTCTTGCTGATCTTGAACAAGGCTGCTTAGTTAGCGGTGGACAGTCTCAGTAGAGAGTATGATTGGCAGCAATAGGCTACAACAAACTCGAGAAATAATCCGCTGAGGTGTTGGATGCTCGATAAAATAAAACTGAAGCTGATCAATAGTAGGGAACTGCGGAATCTCTTCTTCTCGATCAGCTCAGTGTAATCCTATCGAATCTTTAGATATAATTGGCAAATATTTGCTTTAAATAATTCTGATTTACACCCTACCTCCTCTCACAAATAGTCGACACGTCGGTTTTAACACACGTTAGTAGCTTCTTAGTAATCTAGACCCTTGTAACCGGATAATAAATAGTATATGTTATCCAGACAGGAGTAGAAGTTGCATGATATTGGAAACTATCCTAGGTAGAAATACTATAGTATATACGATGAAAACAGGCAGAATAGACTAAGCCTAAGTGTCTTTGCTAATCTAAGTGCCCCGGATCATAAATTCTATTCAGATACAGCCCCGGTAGTGCATCGGATTCCGCAGATACGTATATACGTATTTACGTGCGAAATTTGCATACCAAGAAATAGAGAGATTTCTTCCCAGACAGTGACCTAGATTATCTATACATTATCATACGAGCAATGCACAGGCCACGTTAAGGTTCACAGATGGACAGCAGCATGCTTCTTGGGAGTGAGAGGTAGAACCGGAGACGACCGACTCCTACTCGGGTATGACGAAAGTATGTTGTAGAGTTGAAAATGACAAGATATCAGGGAACCGACTTGCAATTTCATAATAGATGGTTTGTTCGAATTGACAGCGTGGACGGCTATGAAATGTCGATGAGATGTCGATGAAATTTTACGTGATCAAACAACGAACCCAGAAGCCGTGGCAAACTACAAGAAGCTAGCAGGATGGACAACACCAAGCTCAACTTAACACATATACTGTTACAAACTGTCCTGAAATCTGGGCAGTTCCATTAAAACATAAAGCATCTACAAGGACAGCCGGAGCCGCACGCACACCGGTGTAGTTGGGCCATACATGTCATGAACTTTTTTGCTTTCATATGATCAGAAGACAATAATTGCCATGGTTGACCAGTATTTGACACCACTTCAAAAATGAAACACCCTTAAACAGTCTCAAGGACCTGCTCCTTGAACTCCCGCTCAACCTTCTGGCCCTTGTCATCAGTGGAAGACTCGCCGTGGAGGGCAAGCAGAGCACCGAGATCGAACTTGGGCTGCTTCAGGAGCTTGACCTTGCGGATGTGGACCTGGATAGAGGAAAAAGATTGCATATTAGCGGGAATGAACGAAACCCCAAAACAGAATGATCTGAGATACTGCAACATCCGGGATATGAGGAAGTGACGTACATTCTGGAGGGGGTAGATGCCCTGGGTGGCCTTCTCGATCTCACGGCCAATGACCTCGGGGATGAGCTTGTGGGTGAGCTGAGACAGGGTGCAGCTGGCAGCCTCACGCTGAATGATCTCGGTCATCTTCTTGCGGATAGCACGGATTTGAGAAGAGCGGGCATAGGTGGTCTTCTTGATCTGGTTGGGGCGTCTCTTGGTGAAGGCAATGGCGAACAGACGGAGGAGGTAGTCGTCAGTGGTCTTCACGGTGATGTTGGCCTCAATGAGAGACTGCCACTTGCGGACCAGGGAGCGCAGCTTGTCGGTGGTGAAGTCCAGACCGTGGAAGTTGGTCAGGCAGTTCTTGCCCTGGATCTCGTCGACGCGCAGCTTGACCTTGCGGAAGGAGTGGTCCTCGTCGTTCTGGAGGTCAGCCAGGGAAACCTCGACGATACGGCCCTTCAGGGAGTCGTTGGCGTTCTTCAGACCGGAGGTACGGTTGACCAGAGTCTTGCCGACACTTCATAATTTCCATTAGTATCCCCACAAAATTCAAACCATCAATGGGAAAGGAGGTCCTACTCGCGAATCTGGAAGGTGGAGGGAGCCTGATTGTTTGATGGTCAGCATAGTGTTTCCTTCAGGTCGAAATTTTCGAGGTGAACGAACCTTGATAGAGTACTCGTCCTTGCGGGTGAAGGGGTCGACGGTTCTCTTCTTAATGCCCTTCTTGCCCTTCGACAGGCGCTTGTTCCTGAAGAGCGAATTTTATTAGCCCGAGGATTCGGTGGAGAGTATTTTCGGTGCGACGAAGGAATGATGAAGAGGACAAGTGAAAAGAAGGAGCGCATACTTTCCAACAGCCATGATTGCGAGTCGGGTCTGTCCGTGTGTTGTTGGAAGACAAAAGGTATCGCACCACGGCGGGTTTCGAGGTTCACGCTTCGCACGGGTCGACGGGGAGGGTTGAAAACCAAAACCCACAGAAAACTCGGCTAAGCGAGCCAACGCGGGCCCTACTGCTGACATAACCCCACCCACTCACGTGACACACATTTCCAATCGGGAAATGTGTGGATTATATAATACAAGCGACCGGCGACCGCGTCACGAGTCGGTACCGTGATCGCGACCTAATCCAATCTGAAGGCATGGTGGAGCCTCAGTCGGTTCTCTGTGGTCCCCATCTTGTCTCCAATGAACTGACAAAGGCTCGGTTACAGCTGTGATGCCACTGCGTCTTCTTGAGATGACATTCGCTTTGAACCCTCTTGTATATTAACCATTATCTCCTACCTTTCTCATGACTAATGTTCTCTCGGCGCATTCATTGGAATTGGTCCATCATTTTTCATATCATACCGCCAGATAGTTTAAATGTGCTTTTACATCGACCCCTTCTAGTCTGAAATTTGACCTATCTCTCAAGTACATTGATGGAGACAGTTTCAATACAGATTCAAGTGTGATTCCCCCAGAACTTGATACATGTAGACAGCCATTCTACACGGTGGTATACCAAGAGAGACGTTGGGGCCCAGAGGTTGGTGCGGAAGACCCGTTCTTCCGATTCCTATTCTCCGCACGAGCCCACCCCTCACTGCACCAACTCTCGTCACCCCCATCTTTGCATCAACTGTCGCGCCTCTCACCCCTTTAGGACTATGGTATGTCTTCTTTCCCACCGGAATCTTCGACACGCAGCCGCGATTCCTGATCTCAACACAAACAAGGGTGTCGATTACTGACTCGCAATAGGGAAAGCGCAAGAAGTCGAGCAGAACGCCCCAAGGGCCCCGAAAGGTACCTATCATGATCACCACCCGCGACAGTTTGCGACCACAGTCACGGAGACTCAATTAACAAAATCACAGCGGGAACCTCTTGCGACTACATTTGCCTGTCTCTTCTGCAACCACGAGAACTCGGTCGTGGTCAAGCTGGACAAGAAGTTAGGCCTGGGCGACCTCTCTTGTAAGGTCTGTGGCCAGAAATTTCAGACCGGTATCAATTGTGAGTCATCTTCGCGCATACGATCGCGAACTCGGAAGACTGACACACGTTTTCTAGACTTATCGGCTGCGGTGGATGTATATTCGGACTGGGTCGACGCGTGTGATGCCGTTGCGAAGGACACCGCCAACCAATACGATGGACCCGTGACCTCGGCAGGAAGCGCCAAGCAGGATGTTGGCGCTGGAGACAACTATGATGATGAAGACGGATATTGATCATGTTCTGCTGGCAGGCTGGGGGCGAATGGCGCACAAATATGACCTTAATTCTATCAGCTATCTTGTATACATCTACGCATGCCGCACTTCCAAAGAAAAGAAACAGGAAAAAAAGTGCTTCAGTCCTGGTGTCCGTTTCCACTGATGAGGTCAAGTTTTTTCATTCTTTTGGGTCGGTGACCGAGATTCAAGACAGCATCTATAGACAAAAGGCCACAAACGACTGGAGTGGATCTTTTCGATCTTCGTCGCGATGACACAACATGAGTTGTGGTAGTTATTGAGGGCGACTTGAGTCCCTGGAGTCTGCTCATGTTACTTGAGGCCAGTCAGTACTACGGTCAAACCTTTGTCGCCCCTCCTTGGTTGGAGAGAAGAGCTCGACAGTCTTATAGCGTATAATAGCGGTCACCAAAGTCACCCAGACCAGGAATGATGTACCTGCCGGCCTATTAGAATAAATTGTTCCAGCTCGCGGAGCCAATGAGACACATACTTCTTTTCATCCAGTCCTTGGTCAATGAATGCCGTGACAACCCGGAGCTTAGGGAACCTTTCGGCAAACTCCGCGACACCAGAGGGGCTTGCGATGAGGTTTAGGAATAGAATCCGGTGCTCAGGCACTCCCCTCTCCTTAAGAACTTCGACTGCCAAGGTGGCCGAGCCCCCTGTCGCCAAGTTAGAGACATCGCGAGACGAAGGTAGAGATATAAGTCCTCACCAGTGGCAAACATCGGGTCAAGCAGGAGAACCCATCGATCAGCAATATCAGTCGGAAGCTTGTCATAGAAAAGTTTGGGCATGCAGGTTTCCTCGTCTCTCTGGATCAAAATTTTTCCAATGCGGACAGACCGGCAGCAATCCCTCAGTCCTTGTTCCATGGCCTCTCCAGCTCTCATAATCGACACGCCGCAGATCTTGCCCTCGAATTTGACACCCAGATAGGCCCGTCCGACAGGGGTGGTCACAGACTGTTCAACCACGGGAAGGTGATTCAAACCTTCTTCAACCAAAAGTCGAATGATACGGTTGGAGTAGAAAATGAAGTCCGCGCGTGCCGTCCGCTCGTCTCGGATCATACTATTGGCCTCTGTTAGACATTGCGGCCTTCCCCTTCAATGTTGAAGATTTCTCACGTCAGAAGAGCAATCAGTTGAGGGGTTTGAGCGAGCACGTGGACATTCTCAAAGGGCACCTCCTTCGAGACTGTCGCCGTGGGCTTCTCCACATCAGAGCGATAGATGGGACCGACACCCTGAGCAGGGGACGGAATCGTTTCCTTGCTGGCCATTTCGGGTAAATCGGAAAAATGAGAATGGAATGAATGTGCTGGACTGCAGAGGTCTCGCCCGCGTGAGGAGCACACAAGCTGCGGAAGAAGGGAAGCGGGGATAGTTTTTCTCTTATCTCGTATCGCGGTCCGCCAAGGTCGACAGCCGCCGCTAATAGTAATAGCGGCAAGTTGTGAAATAAAGGCCAGTGATGCGGCAGAATTCCCTTGTCTGTATATGTAAAAGCTGGGAAGACAATAGAGCGGTGAGAGATTTCATTGGCTCTAAGGTTTTGTGAATTTTGCCGTTATGACATCTGAAGGTCACTCTCGGCCCTCCGCACCGCTCGGACCTTATCGTGCGCCAGATGTACATTGCCCCGTACATCACCTCGACCTTGAAACGTCTGTGCCTTTTCGCCGCAATCCTCCAAGTGATTCTGGCCCCACACCTCCTCTGATTTACTTGTCTTTGAAGAGCCTGGCGCCTTCAGATTGCGCGCGCCTTTATCTAGTGTCAAACCTTAGCTCCCTCCCTGCTGTGTCCTTCGCAGGCCGCTCGCGCTGCGCGACTCACCTTGGATTTCCTCACGTCTACAAGACTTCATGGGGCTTTCGGAATGTGGTTCGTGTCAGTAACGACTGTCAACCCGATTAAACCTGCTCGCTAAGCCCGTCCATTCGCTTGTACCGCTTTCAACACCGTTATTGCGCCCCTTGGTTCGAATGAAGTGCGGACCACCCGCCTACCCCGGATCGCAAATATGGAGCATTCACACCCGCACAGTCGGCGGCTCGTGACATACGGCTCCTCGAGCAACAAACAATCTGGCTTGAAAACCATGTCGTCGCGTACCTCAATCGCCAAGACCTCCAAAGAATCCAAGGGCTCTCTTGGGAAGACTCGACAGTCCCGCACAACCACCCTCCAGGGCTCGGGCAACGAACATGATTATCAAAAGCCGACAACTCCAGGCGCAACCAATTCTCCGCACGCAACACAGAGAACTCACCGCCCACCCGAGGATGCCAATATCTTTGAAATACCATCTTCAGACGAAGAGGCTCAGGATCGCATCATGCGGCGGAAACGTCGGCGGTTCGGCGCCAATGAAGATGCTACAGCGCCTCGACATCTACCGAATTTACATAAACCTATCGAAATCGAGTCAAAACCTGAGTTTCGCGATGGTTCCGCCGGAGCCGATATCCCCGACCCTTCGAATGAAATGGCATCGCCTCATAGCAAGAAGAGCGCACGGGAACCCGGGCTGCCACCTAGAAAGAAGAAAGACAGTGCACGCTCCGTGGGCCTCCAGAAACAAGATATTCGTCCGATTGTCACTCGAAACCCCAAAGCGCAGACACAAGGCGTTGCCTATTCGGGTAGAGACGAACCAGCAGACAAGATCAAGATTCCGCCGCGTTCCACAGAAGCTCTAGCTACGAGCCCTTTGAGACAGGAAAAAATCATTCCTAGGAGCTCAACTCCTACCCGGAGAAGATTGATTGACTCCTTGGGTACGAGAGAACCATCGGCCGATCCCCCCTCGTCCCCAGCCATTTCATCTACTAGTCAACCGCCTTCACCTTTCACACCGCATAGTCCAAATCGAACCAGGGAAATGGTACCACACAGCGCGCGCATTGAAAGTCGGTCTAAAGATATTAGTCAGGACTCCCCAGCCACACATTCAGCGCATTTATCAAGCTCCAAAGTCACCTATGCCCGTCAGCGCTCCTTCCTAGATGACCTTTTGGAGGACGCGCTTTTTGATGCACCATTATCAGTTGAATCTGGACAGGAGACTTCTGCTTCTGGACAGTTCAAAATGCGAGGCAACATCCCTAGGGCTCGCCTCTTTGCGATCGAGGAAGCCAACGATGATGATGGTTCTGTCCGAAGTATCCACGAGCTCCGACAAGCGGGAGGCAACGCGCGCTATCGGGGTGCAGTCGAGTCCATATTCGAAGATTTAGAAGACTCCAATGTATCTGCGTCTGCGCGATGCAATGCCCTCGTTCAGCTTTGTGGAAAACTGCTAGATCCGAAGCTAGCTCAACAATTTGTTGAGTGCAACTTCGACAAGCGCCTTGTCGATGGTCTCTCAAGTAATTTCGACAAGGTCTCGTCCTCCCTCTCTTTGTGCGTGTTTGCCTTGAGCTCACTGGGCCGATCTCTCCCCTATGTTCTTGCAACCGCTGCATGGCCAAAGCTGCTGAAAGTCTCCTCAGGTCTCCTAGATTCCCAGGATGATATCTGCTTTCTGGCACGAGATCGAGCGAGCAACCTGTCTAAAGCTGCACAGAACTCCGTGCAGAACATTACACCGCAAATCAAGTCAACTTTATTCCCCGACACTCCCTCGTCTAAGCTCTCTCCGTGCTATTTGATACTGTTCTGTCTAAGAGTGATCATGTCGGCATATCAGGCAAAGGGAGAAAGTCCGGATGGCCTCCCAATACCTGTGCTGAAACAGCTAGTGGACTTACTCTTGTCTGAAAGCTCACACAGTAAAAATGCCTTGGCTGTCCAGAGGCAGATAATGGTCCCAGGATTAGTTATCCTTGAGTTTCATACCGGTTCCGTGAATCCCTCCCAAGAAGATCATCGCGATGTCTTGAGTCTACTTGCTGGGATGCATGAGTTGCTTCAAGTCGATGAAAAGTCGGATGCAACTTTTCATCAGACTCAGTCAGTCTATCTTCGAGTGCTTCTGAACATAACCAACAACAACCAGATGCTTTGTGATGACTTTGCGACATGGCCGATGATTCAAGCGCTGGTGACGGTTGCAACAACTCGATTCGGAGAGCTGACAGAGGATGCGCTGGAGCAAGAAAATAATTCCCTCGATACGGTTATCTTGGCCTTGGGTGCCCTCATCAACTTGGTAGAACAAAGTGAAGGATCGCGTTCGATATTCCTCCAATCCCCTAGTACGGGCCAGCCCCTTCTTGAACGATTATTGCAACTCTTTGTGTCTCATGCAGATTCTACTTCCAAGGTATGGCTCTGTGCCACATGTCTCTATTTTCATGCGAGCTATCTAACCATGAGAATACAGGCTCACTCTGTTCTGGAAGTTCACCACAATGTTGCAGTTGGATATTTGGCGGTGCTCTTATTAGCACTCTGCCTAAGTACTGATGTTCGCTTCCAAGTCAAGAAATATCTGCACCCCAAAGGACTGACGACCATTATGTCGACTGTTGATGAATTTTTGCAGTATCACAAAAAGATTGAGCAAGAAGTGCCTTCTTTCCAGACTAAGGGAGATCCCAGTGGGTTCCTTGTTCGATTAGAAGACCTTATCAGTCAGATTCAGCGAATTGATAACGAGTGATGGTGTGCATCGATCCTTTTACCGAAACAACCAATTTCTTCATGTACATATATTTTTCTTGTCTACACCTGTTGCTCGTCAGGAGTAATGAAGTTGCCATACTGTGGCACAGAGGCAACACTTGTGAATCCCTGAAACCACTGATAGATACCCTCGCCCTTTCCTTATTCTCTCTATCTTTGATTATCCTAATGTACTATGTGGTGTTTGAAAAAAAAAAATTATAACAGAAATTCAATTGGAGAGGGTCATTAGATCCCGTAAGTAGTCAAAGATCAAAATCTCATGTGTATACATGGGAATTGCTTTGTTGTTTGACCAGGCCCTTCTAGGCGCCTGAGGTTTAAAACTTGGAAGTGGCCCCGGGGCATATCTAATCAGCTGTTTGCAATGTTTGCAGTGATGGAGCTCCCCAGCCGGATCCATGCTTCATGGAACTTTGCCACCCGACCGGAATGAACACGCTGGATCCTTTTCTTTCTCTCAAGTGATCCATTTGGAACCGCTTCCAATTCACAAGCATCAGATTCTCCCTTCTTCCATCTTTGCCAAAGCTTCTTCTCAAGCCCACCCGCTTTGGTGTTGCCGTGCTTACCACAGTCTCCACAAGATGCCTGCCGCGCCAAAGCAGAGAAAGATCGCGATTGTTGGCAGTCGCTCCGTGGGTATGATCTACTGCACCAAATTTCCGGTTAGATTTTTGTTAGAATTCATGTCTGACCTTTCTTTGTTGCTCACTAGGGAAATCCTCGCTCACGGTCCGCTTCGTCGAGCACCACTTTGTGGAAAGCTACTACCCCACGATTGAGAATACTTTCAGTCGGATTATCAAGTACAATGGCCAGGACTATGCGACTGAGATTGTGGATACTGCCGGACAGGTAGGCAGTCTCGCCAGTGTCTCAGCCAAGGAAACCTGGGCGATCTGACTGTTCCACAGGACGAGTACAGCATTTTGAACTCAAAGCATTTCATTGGGATCCATGGCTATATCATTGTGTATTCCGTCACATCACGACAGTCGTTCGATATGGTGAAGACAATAAGGGATAAGATTCTGAATCATTTGGTAGGCTTCTGATTCGCCGCCCACTCATCAGCCTGCCAGCCTCCAACTAACCATTATTTTTCTTTTCCTCAAGGGAGCGGACCAAGTGCCACTAGTGATAGTGGGGAACAAGAGTGATCTCAAGCCAGAACAACGGCAGGTTTCTACCGATGAGGGCCGACAGCTAGCAGAGGAGTGCGGCTGTGCTTTCACCGAGGCTAGTGCCTTCCTCGATTTCAACGTTTCCAAGGCATTTGATCTCATGATCGGCGAGATTGAGAAGTCTCAAAACCCGTCCCAGCCGGCCGGTAACAACAAATGCACGATGATGTGATCCAGAGGACATGTTCGTTTGTGCAACCATCATCTGCTTTGCCTTGTTTACTTTTCTTTTCTACGGTATGCAATCGATTCCCCGTCAAGAGCAACACAAGTGCCCGTATGGTTATTCGTCTAGCTTGGGTAAGCCCTCAAATTTGTCAACACTCCTCCTTTCATTGTGCTCTGGGTTGCTCCGATACCCCCCCCCCTTCCCTCTCTCTCTCTCTCTCTCTCTCTCTCTCTCTCTCTCTCCCGCGCGCGCATCTGTATCAGAGAAGGAGGTTTCCGCCATTGATGGCTGCTACATGCCACCCTCGTCGTCCATGCCATGCTGACTAGTATTCATTATCCAGGAGGCCTTGCTGTATGAACGAGTCAAATGACCGGCTGACCCATCTATCTCCTTGAATATTTTCTCTCCTTCTTAACACAAGTGTCTTTCCAATCTGCTCTGTTACTATTCTTTCTGTATTTGGTGGAACATTTGGGCTTGGTTGCATGAATCATGAGTTTTTCAGGCTAGGGAATCTGTATTTGGTATCGAGCATGCATAGAGTAATGAAATGGCCGCGCAGGCCTTGAAATAAACTTGGATCAAAGACTAATGAACTGCGGTCAATCCTGGGCTCTCGCTGCATACAAAATAGATATTGACGATTTGGGCGCTGGATTAAGTAATGCCCCGCCCGCGCACTCTAGGATTTTACCCCTCCACAACTGGAAGAACGGCCCTGACTCACTCCCTGCAACTTGTCACCTTCCATTTCTCCCGTCTGTTCACCATGCTCGACCTCAATGATTTTATCGCTGAGCGTGGCGGCGATCCCAAGAAGATCAAGGAGAGTCAGCGCCGTCGATTCGCCCCCGAAGAGGCCGTGGATGAAGTGATTGCGCTGTACGAGGAAGCTCGGAAAGGTATGATAGATTCCCATTCAAGCCAGGCTATCATTTTTTTGACTCGATTAAGCACGGTATGAGGTGACTCAGATCGGCTCGCAGCTCAATGCGCTTATGAAGGAGATTGGAAAGAAGAAGAAGGTACCTTGTTTCAACTTGAACGCCTTGGCTGGAGGAAAAAGTTACTGATAGGCGAGCATGAATAGAACAAGGAGGATGCCAGCGATCTGATTAGCCAGAAGGCCGACATGGATAAGCGCAAGAAGGACGCCGAGGATGCTGCTGCGCTGAAGGAGTTGGAGCGCGACCGCAAGATTCGTATGATTGGCAACTACGTCCATGAATCAGTCCCCGTGAGCGACAATGAGGTATGAATCACTTTGACAAGCCTTGGGGAATATGGAAAACTTAATAAGAGAACGATGATAGGACAACAACCAAATTATCCGAACCTGGAACGTTGAAGACGCCGAAGCGAAACGGCCCTCCGAACCCCTCTCCCACCACGAAGTTCTCACTCGTCTAGACGGCTATGACCCCGAGCGCGGAGTTAAGATCGTTGGCCATCGCGGATACTGCTTGACGGGCTATGGTCTTTTCCTCAACCTGGCCCTTATTAATTACGGCCTTGAGTTCCTCTTCAACAAGGGGTACAAGCCCAACCAGCCCCCGCAATTCATGTTGAAGGATCTCATGGCGAAGACTGCCCAACTTGAGCAGTTCGACGAGGAGTTGTACAAAGTTACGGAAAGCGAGGATAAGTCTACTGACAAGTATCTGATCGCTACCTCAGAACAGCCTCTGTCTGCCTTGCATGACGGCGAGTGGCTGCAGGAGAAGGACCTCCCCATCAAGTAAGAAGCCTACCAGGCGCGCATACTCTGGAATGCAACACGCTAACTCTGTGAAACAGATACGCCGGTTACAGCACATGCTACCGGAAAGAGGCTGGTGCCCACGGCAAGGATGCCTGGGGCATTTTCCGTGTCCACCAGTTTGAGAAGGTAAGTCCAGTCGTTGTCTCCGGGTGAATTCTTTTTGTGCAGTGCCTCATGTCCACTTTAGATCGAGCAGTTCGTCCTGACCAAGCCCGAGGACTCTTGGCAAGCCTTTGAGGACATGATGGCCACCTCCGAGGAGTTCTACAAGTCCCTCGGCCTCCCGTATCAGGTTGTGGCGATTGTTTCCGGAGCATTGAACAACGCTGCCTCCAAGAAGTACGACTTGGAGGCTTGGTTCCCCTTTCAGAAGGAGTTCAAGGAACTTGTCTCATGCTCCAACTGCCTTGACTACCAGTCTCGCGCCCTGGAGATTCGCTTTGGAACTCGCAAGGCGACCGATTTGAAGAAGACTTATGTGCACGCGCTGAACGCTACTTTGTGTGCCACCGAGCGCACCCTTTGCTGTGTTCTGGAGAACTACCAGCGCGAAGACGTTAGTGATCCCAATGATGCGATCCTTCCCGTGACCGACGTATTAACCTGTTTTATAGGGCATTGAGGTCCCGGAGCCGTTGCGCAAGTATATCCCCGGCGCTCCCGAGTTCCTCCCATATGTCAAAGAGCTCCCCAAGGACTCCACCTCGCAGAAGGCCAAGGCCAAGGCCAACAAGCCTGCCGGTGGTGCCGAGGAGGCCACCAAGAAGATGCAGGGTCTCCAGGTCTAGATGTGCGATATCCTGAAGGAAAACGTGAAAAAGAAACTCACATAAAACATTGCTCGAGCCATTCAATACCACTGATCAGAAGCACGCATCATAATACAGTGCGCTGGTTGAGATCCTGTTGCGACGCTTTTTCTTCTGTAACACCTGTAGAAGCGGGCGATCTGTCCGCTCTGGCATCTCCGTCGAACAGTCCCCGATGGCTGAAAGGTGACACGGCGTATGTTTATATGCAATGCATTCCGTTAAGTGCAGTATGCATGCATATTATCGTACTCGGAGTGCATCCCAGCCACCAACACCACGTCCTCTGTCGTAAATTGTGTATACCCAGACCCAACTAAACCGCCGTCGATCTCCTGCGATCCGCCCCACTTGTCCGCGCCCGCTGTTGATTGGCGTATTTAATCTTTAGTCTTGAACTCCGTACTTTCTTTTGCTCCAGTCGCGGCAAAAGAAAAAAAAGAATAGCAAAACGGAGCCGGAAAAGAAAACTCCGCCCCGCGCTGCCCCTCCATCACGACATCCTGCCAGTTGACCCGACCGAGCCACGGTTGAGGACCACCGGAGCACACCAGAACATGACAAAATACAAAATTGCAACACTGATGCGCACGCTTGATCATTAAGCAGAATAGTACTCCAAATAGACAGATTTATAGATCACAGTGCCGGTTATTAAGCAAATGACAGGCCTCGAAAAAAAAGGCTGCTTGCATGCGGGCCGATTCCGGCGACTCTCGGTGAAGCTTATCTAATGGGACGGTGACTGGCCGTATGATTCATAGTTCTTGAGATTCTTTCTTTCCCTTCCTCAGCCTTCATCCCCCTCCTCTTATTCACTCTCTCACTCTATTTCTCACACAATGGCCACCGCAAGAGATATTCGTCCCCGGACGGACGACCTGGCTGCTCAGGCTCAGTACCTGTCTACCTCTCCCAATGCTTCCTTCCACTCCCCGTCTAGCCACGGCTCGGCGCTGACTCGGACGGTCCCTCTGGTCAATGCGAAGCACCTGAAGCCGTTCGCTACTGAGGATATTAAGGTTTTGTTGCTGGAGAATGTCAACCAGACTGGCCGGGATATCCTCCAGCAGCAGGGCTACCAAGTCGAATTCCTTAAGTCCTCTCTCCCAGAGGACCAGCTCATTGAGAAGATTCGGTACGTTTGTCCTCGGCTTACAAGATATACTATTCAAATGCTCTGACTTACAATTGGGAAAAATAGGGACGTCCACGTCATTGGTATCCGTTCGAAAACCAAGCTTACCGCGCGCGTCCTGAAAGAGGCGAAGAACCTGATCGTCATCGGATGTTTCTGTATCGGAACCAACCAGGTTGACCTTCAATATGCTGCCGAGCACGGTATTGCTGTCTTCAACTCTCCCTTCAGCAACTCCCGCAGTGTTGCAGAGCTGGTCATCGGTGAGATCATTGCCCTTGCGCGACAGCTGGGTGATCGCTCAAATGAGATGCACAACGGTACCTGGAACAAAGTGAGCAACAAGTGCTGGGAGATTCGTGGAAAGACACTGGGTAGGCCGACCTTTTGGATTTTGTTTAAAGCGCCTTGGGATCTTTTCATCTCGGACTAATATCCCTTTATAGGTATCATTGGATACGGTCACATTGGCGCCCAATTGTCAGTACTGGCCGAGTCCATGGGCATGTCGGTTATCTTCTATGATGTCGTGAACCTGATGGCCCTGGGCACTGCGCGTCAAGTTGAAACCCTGGAGGCCCTCTTGGGTGAGGCTGATTTCGTCACTTGTCATGTGCCCGAACTCCCCGAGACCAAGGGCATGATCGGTCAGGCGCAGTTCGAGCAGATGAAGCAGGGCAGCTACTTGATCAATGCCAGCCGTGGTACCGTTGTCGATATCCCCGCCCTCATCCTTGCTATGCGCAGCGGTAAGATTGCTGGTGCTGCTCTGGATGTATACCCGAACGAACCCGCTGGAAACGGCGACTACTTCAACAATGACCTGAACACCTGGGGCGCTGACCTGCGCGCCCTCAAGAACTTGATCTTGACCCCTCACATCGGTGGTAGCACTGAGGAGGCCCAGAGTGCCATCGGCGTTGAGGTTGCTCAGGCCTTGACCCGCTATGTTAACGAGGGTTCTACCCTGGGCGCTGTCAACCTGCCCGAAGTCACCCTCCGTTCTCTCACCATGGACGAGCCAAACCACGCTCGCGTAAGTGCATCTTTCTCAATCCAATATTGGATGAGCTCCATATTCTTTAGAGAATGAGGCTAATATATAATTTACTCTATAGGTCATCTATATTCACCAGAATATTCCTGGTGTGCTGCGAAAAGGTACGAGCTCTTCCCATATCTGTCATCTATGTTTCCAGGTAGAAGCATCCTGAGCTGACTTTGTTGCGTCTGTACAGTCAACGAAGTCATTGGTGACCACAACGTCGACAAACAAATGACCGACAGCCGAGGCGATGTAAGCTTTCCCTCAAAACTTCATCGTTGCGTTCCTGGAAGAAGCTGCTAACCATTTTCAGGTCGCTTACCTGATGGCCGATATCAGCAACGTCGACAACGCGACTATCAAGGACCTATACTCAAGACTCGAGAGCCTTTCTTGTAAGACTTACCTCTAATTTGCTTTCTCCCCGCATTCATACCTGTCTTGGTTCTGACCATTGCTGCAGCCCGAATCATGACCCGCATTCTATACTAGAGCAACTTGGAAAGCTCTTTTGTAATCAACTTTACATTGATTGAACCTTTATTAAACATCACGGTTCAAAATTTCACGAATCCACGGGCTCTTTTCAACGAGGTCCCACCAAAAGATTGTTCCCCCTCTTTTTTGCAAATATTTCTGGCCCTGGGAACAGGGATGGCTACACTCATCTCATGAAAATGTGATATACAGGGATTCGGCACTTGAAAATAGTATCTATTGAAGGCTAGAAAAAAAGTTATGACATGAACGGTTCCATTTCGGTCTTTAACATATTTCGATAAAGCACATCTGCCAGCAGGAGACTAGTCATGTAAAAGATTCGTCACTTTGGAGCCGACCCCGTAGAGAAAAATGTACAGCCTTTCGCGTCATTGCCTGAGCATCATATTTTTAGCTTTGAGATGTACTATGGCGGAAAAAACTGCTTCCTAGCAATTATAATAACCAGATCTGTGTGACTATAGGTATCAGCCTCTGCTAGAGTCTCTGAAGCTAGGGCTGCGGCTTCGGAATCGTTGCTGCTGATGCTGGGGCGGTTCGCGGCGATAGTCACGCCGATTGGGCCCGCGCCAGTCTTGATTAGATTGTGCGTGGTAGTCACCCTGCTCGCGCCCTCGATCATGCGAATTGCCGTAGCCTGGGACGTAAGAGTCATGATTGCCTTGAGGAAAACGTTGCCCAGGGCGATTCTGATTGAACCGGTCCCGTCGCGGATCGTCTCGTCCGTCGCCTCGGCCGGCTTGCGAGCCGTCCCATTGAGGATGAGTGCTTCCCACAGGAGGCCGCGGAGGGAGCCCGTTGTCTCTTTGCCCAGGAGGGAACGGCCCGCGTCGGTGGTTGCCGGGTCCGCCTGATACGTTGGGGCGACCGCCACGGGCGCCGGCTGGGATCCGACTATTTCGGGAGTCTGGCCGAGGTCCGGACCAACCTCCATTAGATGCGGGATTCGCTGACCCCATCGCTGGAGCTGGGGGCATGGGTACTTGTTGGTTTCGAAACTTCTTTCGATCGAGTTCGTGTGAATCTTGGAAATGAGGGATCTCGCCAGGCTTTGCTGGCAGTGGCGGTGTGGTGAAGTATGGATGTTTCAAAGCATCTATAGCGTTGATACGCTTTCGCCAGTCGAGTTTGAGGAGCTCGGTCAATAGTGAGACAGCAGCAGGATTTTGTCTATTAGATTATCAGTTCAGGCTTAATTTTTTTTTTAGAAAAAAGGTTTAGTCTTACTCTTTGAAGACTTCAGAGAGGTTTCCGCGTTTGTAACCAAAGCTCTTCACTCCATCACACCCTGGTAGATTACTCCATCCAGGCATGTTCTCCTCGGTTGGTGTCCCAACCAAGCTAAAGATCAATTGAGCTTGGTTGAGATCACTGCTGCCGGAAAGAATGGGCTTTCCTTTGAACATTTCGCCAAAGACGCATCTAATAGTAGTCAGAAACGTAGCAGAAACGGCAGAAAAGAGCAGGAGGCTTACCCAACTCCCCACATGTCAATGGCGGATGTGTACCGCCGGAGCTGGAGAAGTAATTCAGGTGGTCTGTACCACCGTGTGACAACCAAGGCTGTATACTCTCTTTTGGCCTCTCCTCCGCCCTTTCCTGGTTGTGGAGGGGCTTCGTCAAAAGGTCTTGCCAGACCAAAGTCGGCAATTTGTAAAATTCCCCCATTGCTAATGAGAAGATTGGCAGCTAAACTCAAATTCTGTTAGCCAAGTGCCCTGGCCAACAAATTTCCATTATCAAATATACCTTTCATATCACGGTGAAGGATGCAGCTCTGTGGTGCAAATTAGAATATGTTTATAAGACCTAGAGGAGGAAGGGAGTCGATTCATACTGCATGCAAATATCGAAGCCCTTCTAGGAGCTGCATCAAATAGCACTTGATCTGTGGTTCTGTAAACTGGACTGCTGGATTCTCCAGGAGTCCAGATAGGTCATGCTCCATGTATGGGAAAACCATATGCATGCTGGCCTTTTTTCGGCCCTCTCCTGGTATTTGTCAATAAGATATTTCAATCGTTGGCTGAGAGTGGATTCTTGCCTTTGCTCCTCTCAACAGCCATCTCCTTCAGTTGCAAAATGTTAGGATGGGATAATGCCTTCAAGAGCTTGATCTCTCGGATCGCCGTGATTGGGAACTTGAGAGAAGTGGATCAGCAGAGATAAAGGAGATAAGGAAGAGATCGAACCTACTCCTTCCTTCTCATGGTGCATGAGGATCTTCTTGAGGGCCACGACGGTGTTATCCTTCTTGGATCTTGCTTTGTAGACCTCGCTACCAATTCATGAGTAACTGCTTGTCGATAAAAAATGGTTCAACCCAGACGTACCCAAAGGTTCCCTCGCCGAGTTTGCCGATAAATTCGAAGTCACGGATATTAGAGCAGCCGGGAAACCTGGATTGGCCATTGTCATCCCTCTCTAGAGAAACAATAGCCATTTCTTCCACGGCCAGCTTCTGTTGTGAATATTTAGGAGTAGGGTCTCGGTATAAGGTGGAGCTGCCACTGGAGGGGTGTTCAGGTTATCAACAGAGCTATCAATGGGAGTTCATAGGTGTTGAATTGTGCGATATTGGCGACAATATCAGGTCTGGAATGGAAAAGGATTTTCCAGGGAATGTCGAGTTAAAGATGTTGCACCGCAGATCGGAATCATAGCATGAGGTAATAGTTGGTCAAATAAAAGGTGGCAGTAGTCCACAACACTTCACATTGCCGGAGATACTATTGAAGGCTGGCCATTTAAAGTCGTCCGGGGTTTGACAAGGGCCTAACTAAAGGCACAGGCAGCCAAAGACAATGGTTAGATTTCCTTTTCAAGAAACACGATGGGCAAACACTTCATCTGCACGTATTCAAGAGGTTTTCAAGGCGGCAACAGGTGAGAAGGTGCAAAGCAGCCAGTCGAGAAGTGCCGAATGAAGGTAGATGGAAAAGGCGCGTGCCGTCACCGGTCACGTGCTGATCCGGACAACTTCGCTGGTCGCCGACAACCCGCTTCCAGCAACCTGCCTTTTGTGAACCAGCACCGCCGTGCACAACAGACAGTGAGATTCCCTCGGTTGATAGACTTGGTTGTTCCGCTTCGCTGACTTGACTCCTTTAGCCATGGCAGGCAACTCCCACCACCCCATTCACATCCACCCGGTGCGACCGCTCTACCGCTTCACTGCTACCGCATTGGGCGCCAGCATGTGGTTCTTCGTACGTCTTCCCTCCGGTTCTAAGGCCCAGGATTATACTAATTAATGCCCTTTCTTTTAGCTCATGTACCGAGCCAAGAAGGATGGTCCTGCTCTGTTGGGCTGGAAGCACCCGTGGGATCACTGAAGGAGTCTGTGTGCCCCGAAACCTACCCAATTCGCTACAGACCAGATGCCTTAGGAGGCTCATTCGTCAAGATACTTCTTTCCATGCCATTTGAATCCCCTTTTTGTTATTACCTAGAGAGTTCACGTCCTCGCTGGGCGCTTTGGTTGGAATCAACGAAATGTATTATACCATTTCCATCAGAGAAAATGCGACTGTGAAAGCCAAAATGAGAAAATCTATAAATTGTCTTGAAATCTATCTAGAAGGCCCCTTTGAGGCTCATGTGCCAATGTGCCTAACGGCCCATCTCTTCCAGGAGGACTTTATACTGGCGGCGTTGCTTTTGGTAGTTCGGTTGCAGACGAGTGCGGGCTTGTCCAATGATGCGCGCAAGGCGAGGGAAAAAAACTGACTCGGCAATCCAAGCCAGTACAAAGATCCCAAATGCCAGAGCCACCATCCAGATTCGGAAGCCGTCGGACATAGAGGTCAGCTCCATCACGTTGGTTATCCAATCAGATGGGCGGAAAAGCATGTAGCCTGCAATTGCGAGATCAATGATGATGGTACACAAGAATGGAACTATGGTACAGCGCCTGTCAGTATGAGATCTTTCGCAAGTAGATTAGTCGCTCACCATTCAATGTCATAGGCTGTCGGAAAGGTGGTCCAACACTCAGAACAATGCTAGTTAGAATATACTGGAAACAGGAGAATAGGAATAAGGCAGTATTCTCCGAATTGACGATGTTGCTTTTTTCGCGGTTGAGCTGAGGAGGAATGAACCTGAAAGTAGAGTCAGCGATTTTCACCGCACCAGCATCTGTAGGAGAAAGGCTGGCATACCAAGGCTGTAGCTGCACCATTTCAAAGATCCCAAGCTGGGCCAAAACAACTAGTGAAATTTGGCCTAGCAAAGGCGTCAGAACTTTTCGCGACACGAGGTCTGCAGTAGGGCGCTTTCGAGAAAGCGTGGGATATGGGCCAGTCCAACCCACTGGGACTCAATTAGCTATGCTTGAATGATATGAAAAAAGGAATGAAGGGATTTCTTACTAAATATGGCAATTGGCATGATAAGTGCCAAATCAATGAACAAGAACTACACGCCCCGAGTCAGCGCTACTCTACACATGCCTTGGGAGTGGCATTGTGTACGAACCTGAAAATCGCCGAGGTTTGACCCTGACGTATAGAGAAGGCTAACCGAGGAGAACTGGATAGCGGAGTATAGACTCATGAACTTGAAGCAACAGAAGCTTGTCACCAAAGCAGCCCGACCCTCTCTGTTGACTTATAAGCGCCATCGTCTACAAAGCAATGAGCAGCATTTTATACTGACCTGATTAACTTCGGTACGCAAGAAATCTCGAATAGTCTGCTGGTAAACGGCGCCGCAACAGAAGCTTCGGCATCTGACAGCGAGATGCCAACATCTGCAGCCTTCAGCGCACCACAATCGTTTGCACCGTCTCCGCAGAAGCCACAGCAGTAATCGATTGACTGAAGCTTCTCGACAAGTTCATGTTTCTCATCGGGCGACATTCGGGCAAAGACCTTTCCGCTTACGAGAACCTTTATCGCCAATAAAGTGTTAGGAAACTCCGAAGATGCAAGTCAGGTGGAAATAAAATGGCTGCTCACCTTTTTGAGCACATCTTCATTTCCAAAATCAACCATCCATCTGAACACATCTCCTGTGACGGCGATGCAGTAATTACGATCCTGTAGAGAATTTCCGGGTACAGATGGATCTGTTTCCGGAGTGATGTCCACAGGCTTAAACAGAAAGAAGTTAGCGGTATGGTTCGATCAGCGGTATTAACCACCTGTTTTGCTTACCAAAAGAGTCCTTGGATCCAGTTTCATATCAGGATTATCTACACTCTCCCATAATAGGGAAGTTTTAGTGACGAGCCCAGGTTCTTAACAAATCATTAGCCCAATACGTTTAGCTTCTCATGGGGGTACATTACCTTCCATAAAGTGCGGGATGAACACCTGTTCCTTCAGACCAATCATCTCGCACTCGCGCGCAACACTGATAGCAGTCAAAATGTTGTCTCCAGTGCACATGACATTGCGGATTCCAGCCTGATTGAGTTCCGAAATCACAGAAGATGTGCTGGGCTTCAATTTGTTCTCAAAAATGATGAAGCCCACAAACTCAAGGTTGCTTTCAGCTTCCGCTCGGCTCAACTTTTGGACTTTCATCCAGCTCAATTTGCGTTCGTACTTGGTCGCACAGGCAATGACGCGGTATCCCTTGTGGGTGTAGTAGTTCAGGTATTCGTCATAATCGGACGGAACTATCATTGAAATTAATGGCGCAGCACAAAGGAGGGGGAGTAGCGGAGACTGACGAGTTTCAGGTGCACAGATCTCCTTGATGCTCTCAGGAGCACCTTTCACAAAAAAGCTCACTCCATTGTCACCAAACTGCCTAACAACCACACTCGCACGGCGAAGCTGCGAGACGAATTCGAAGTTCCGCAGGACTCCAAGCTCGACAGGAATCTACGAGACGGCCGAGTGTGAGCGGTGCAATGAAATATCTCTGGAGGCAAACTTACATTTGGCCCATTCGATTGTCTCTCTCCGAAATGTGTAATAGGTGGCTTTGCAACAGATGGTATGATCGTGTCAAACTGAGGGCTAATTTGCTCAGATGGATGGCCTCCACCCTCCTCGTAGGACCAGCCTGTGAACTGAAACATCTTCACATCAAGTGGATCACCAAGCAGTTCGTCGTCCACAACTCTAAGAGAGTGACATGTCGCCATGGTATAGACAATCTTTCGCTGCTTCTCCAGGTCAAACGGCATAGAGGCTGTCGGTGGGGCGAGGAGAACTCCAGCAGATGTTTCTGACAACAACTCCGAGAATCTAGGGCCAATTTAGTTCTAGCCGATCAGAGCGGCCAGATGGGTAGAAACTGCCACTAACCTTTGGCTATTACCAACCGTCCGCACCCCAAGCACATCTAAGCCATCTTCTGTCAGGGTTCCGGTTTTATCGAAACAGACAACGTCTAATTTGCCGCCAACATTGACTCTATTGGTTTGAAGAAAAGAAAGATTAGAAATCAGCCTGCCCATGTACAGGAAAGTTTAACAAAGTTGCAAGCTACTCACTTCTGGGGGCTAATGCAAAAAATCTGTTGTTTCTTCAGACGCGATAGAGCGAAATTCGTGCCAATAGTAAGTGTCGCAGGGAGAGCTGGTGGCACGACAATCGTGATCAGATCTAGAGCGCGAACGATAATAAGATGCCAGGCAAGCTGCTACTAGTCAGTAATCAGCAGGCAGGTTTCATGAATGATTAGACTCACCCCCAGTCGGACAAAGTTGATAAATGAAGCAATGAAACCAAGAAGGGCAACCATTGCCATTACGGCGATATAGCGGAATGAGTCCCGGTAGAACTTGAATCCAGAAGGTTTAGGAAATAGCATTGATCGAACCAACGCTCCTTTTGTAGTCAAAAATCCCGTTCTGGCAACAATCGCCAAAGCAACAGCTTCGTCGTCGTCTACGTGTTGAGGACGACGAGCACGAATGACTTTAGTTCCACTGAATAGAAAATGCTTGGCCACATTTGGATGTATAGATGGGGCACTCAGATCGAGATACTTCAGAGCCTCGTCGGTCATGGGAATTTTGGAGACGGGAACAGATTCGCCTGCTTAATGTTAGTTTTGTCAACAAAGTGGCTCGCATCGGAGATTCAGACCAGTAAGCATGCTCTCATTTACAATACAGTCACCTGATAGTAGAATACAATCACAGGGGACCTGATTTAGTGATGGATCAGAGAACTCGAAAACATCTCCCGGAACTAAATCCTGGGAAGAAACAGATCGCCCTGTATCGGAAGAAGGAAGATATCAGACAAGTTTGCGACATATCAAGCAAACATAAGTAGAATGGAGATGCACTTACAGAATCCATTCCTCAAAACACGCACGTCGCACTCGAAAAGTGAAATCTCTCGAAGTCGATGCATCGTCTATTGAGGGATCAGTTTTGAAGGCTTAGGTAAATCTCCTATGGAGAAATGACATACCGATCTCGTTTCCAGTACGGTGGTTGCGATACTAAACACTGAAATAAGGAAAATGCAGATTGCGTAGTAATAGTACTCATCCATGGACCAGAGTATCAGGCTTGCCACCTGAAACATGTAGAAGGGATGAAAGGCCTGGGGGTTGTGTCAACAAGCATAATATTAGATTGGAAATCTTCGAAGGGCGCAAACCTCGTCGACCAGGAGCTGGGGGACAGTCTTCTGCTGAATATCAATGTTATTCTGCCCAAAAATCTGCTCCCGGCTATCACGCTCATCAGCGTCTAGGCCAGTTCGCATGACCTTCACATTGGTCCAGGAAGGATCTTTCCAGCCGCTGATCAAGTCGAATTTATCTTCGACCGGATGATAACAGAAGCGCAGATACCGATAGTCAAGGAAACGTAAAGATGCAATGTTGGGATCGCGGTCTTCATCGTAGGCATGACCCTGGGGGTCAACAAATACCGTGGATAGCGGCCGGTCATAGGGTTGGCTGCTAACATCGTGGACAGTAAATTGGTTCCATTGATCCTGTTGAGCGTTAGTAAGAAACTTTTCAACAACAACAGGAATTCTCAACTCACCTCGATCGCGATCCAGTGGCACTTCCCTAATGGAGCTGGTTTGCCTATCAACCTGACTCGCCATCGGGGAAGCCAACGAAGTAAAAGATAGGCGAACCCCCCAGTTAGGACGCACAGCGCTATATAGAGAGCCAACCCGCCCGTGCTGGTTGAGAATCCGGCGAAGACAGCTGTCAAATCTTCTGATGCAATATAAATCTTCTGATTGAGTCTACTCCCAGTTCTTCGATCTCGACCATAGGAGCTTGCAGAGAGATACCGCGAGAGAAGAGGGTGTTCAATCGAATCTCGGGACAGTCTCTTCGAGACAAAAGAGCCCCGGTGAGACTCAAGATCCGCTTCGTGGATCTCATCAACCGATAATTCTTCACCATCACTACCCATATCGACTGCGTCTTCATTGGACCATTCGGCAAAGTCTTCCTCGTCTTGGAAATATGTGAAGCTGACGGTTGATCCCGCTCGATCACGGCGATGGGAAAAAGACACGGCGCTGGACGGGATGCTTTCGGAAATAGGGCCATCAAAAACCTGCGTCCCGGGTGTCAGTATTAGACAGCCTTCCGGTCCTAGGGAGGAGACGTGGCGGACGTACCTCGTTTCGTGCCATCTCCACATCCGACACCACGCTCACACTGATAGGAAGGTCAGCGATCATACTTTGGCAATACTCTGTAGAAGGGCTCTCCAACCTGCTCCTCAAAGAGTCGCGCCGACGTCCCGATCGAGACATGGAAAGATCCATGGGGGCTGTCCCCGGCGGGGACTGAGGTCGACTATCCATGATGGAAAGATCCTCTGGATTGCGTCCTTCGCGTACGCTGCGACGAAAGGAACGTTTGTGTGGGCACCGATTCACTGAATGTGATTGATGCCAGAATATTAGTCACTATGGATGCATCACTGTGCCACGGAAAAGTTTGAGTCCATGGGCGACCAGAGGAATTACCGCGGGGAAGCTCATCAGAAGCGCTCCGAGGGGGCGATCGCCCCAAGCTTCATGACATTTATCTCCACGTGATAGATAAGGGTCTTCGGTTAGTGGCCTCAGGCCCAAACATCAGTATCGCATTATGCATTTCCCATCTATGGCGGCAGACTCTACAAAACTGAAGCGAAACCTGGATTGAGCAGCATCGGTGGTTTTTTACTCGTCCGATCATGAGATCTTGCTATTTTTTATCAAAAACAGCACTCGATCGGTATAGGTTGCAGGTCAGCAATACTACATAACTCCTAAACTCATGCCCCATCTATTCGGTGGCGTGGGGGCCCCGGCACTATGGCGTGTTCGATGGCTTGCATGCAGTGTTCAAGAACGATTCCTTGTGCAGCGTCATATCGATTGATCAAGCTTGTATATTAGGAAGCATCGATCTGTATCGCAGCAGTATATGTGTACTGATATGGTCTAATGTATGTATGGTTTACGGTTCTGAATCGCTTCTGATCTACTCGGATATACTAGATTCCAGCGCTTCATTGATGTACTTAATATATATATATAGACCTATCGCATACACCATAATTTGCTGAGCAAATATCCACTCAATTCCAAAATAGCCAATCAGGCACTGCATTGACAACGGCATCTATTGGAGTGGCCTGCGATGCAAAAGGCCACGGGGTTCTAAAATTAACCTTTTCGGGATGGTTGACGGGTCGATGAGCGGCGTGCTATGGTTCAGCGAAGAGAATGGCTCAGCCTCCGATCTGGACCCTCATGACCCCACACTAGTGAAAAGACCAAAAAGGGGGAGGAAGGGGAAAGAGAAAGATCATCCTGTGAATTGTAATGCGTAATATGAAGCCTCGATCGAGGAGAGCATGGAACATGGAGCCCGGAGCACGGAGCATAGAACATAGAATTTGAAGTTGTTGGGAGAGGAGGAGGTTTTGCAGGCTCAACCAAGCGCGTCCCGCCAAGCCCCTCCGGCCACCGGCGCTAAGGATTCCCACCACATCCAGACTCTCGTTCTTCCCCCCCCCCCAAAAAGGCGTATCAAATTCTTCCCCTCCCTTCTTTCTCCAAACACCCCCTCTTCCCTCCCCCTCCCCTTTCCCTTGACTTTCCCGTCAACTCTCATCATCATGTCCGAGCCTATCAGAAATAAGAAGCCAGATTTCCCGGTCGCTCCGTAAGGATACCTCCCTCAGCTTATCGTCACCAGGCCCCCTCCCCCCCCCCCGAAAAAACACCAACTGACCAAGGTGAAAAAATTCCATAACAGGACCCCGCAAAACACTCCCGCAAACAATGCCCCAATCTCTTCTCACGCCCAGCAGCCTGGTGTGTCCAGCATTAAGGAAGGTGAGTGATGATTTTTCTTTGCCCCCTCCCCGCGCCGTTGCGGTTGAGCCTGATCCTGACCGCCGTTTCTACAGAAACCCTGGATAACGCGGCTGCGGCCTCGCTTTTCGCCCGTAACCCCGCGCTGGTGTCGATGATTCAGGGCAAGCTGGGCCAGCTCGTCGGCCGCTCATCCGGCTACATCGAGTCCCTTCCCGCCCCAGTCCGCCGCCGTGTCGCTGGTCTGAAGGGAATCCAGAAGGAGCACGCCAAGTTGGAGGCCCAGCTCCAGGAGGAGGTACTGGAGCTGGAGAAGAAGTACTTCGCCAAGTTCAGCCCGCTGTACGAGCGCCGTTCGACCATCGTGAACGGAAGCGTTGAGCCTACCGACACCGAAGTGGAGGCTGGCAAGGAGGGCGAAGAGGAAGAGACCAAGGAGGGCGAGGAAGAGAAGAAGGAGGAGGAGGGTGAGCCGATGAACGGTATCCCCGAGTTCTGGCTCTCCGCCATGAAGAACCAACTCTCGCTTGCCGAGATGATCACCGACCGTGACGAGGAGGCCCTCAAGCACCTCACCGACATTCGCATGGAGTACCTCGACCGTCCTGGCTTCCGCTTGATTTTCGAGTTCTCCCCGAACGAGTTCTTCAGCAACAAGACCATCAGCAAGACCTACTACTACAAGGATGAGAGCGGCTACGGTGGCGACTTCATCTACGACCACGCCGAGGGTTCCAAGATCGATTGGGCCGATGAGAAGGATCTGACTCTCCGCCTGGAGAGCAAGAAGCAGCGGAACAAGAGTATGTCGGAGTTGATTTTCGTCCTTCCCCTTCGCTTTTCCCCCTCCTGTTTCGGTTGAAAGAGAATGATAGAAACTAACCCTTCATCTAGACACCAAGCAGACCCGTATTGTCAAGATCAGCGTACCCACCGAGTCCTTCTTCAACTTCTTCTCCCCCCGCAACCGCCCACGGAAGAGGAGGAGGAGGATGACGACGAGTCGATTGCTAGTGATATTGAGGAGCGTTTGGAGCTGGATTACCAGCTGGGTGAGGATATCAAGGAGAAGCTCATTCCTCGTGCGATTGACTGGTTCACTGGCGAGGCTATGCAATTTGAGGAGCTGGGTGAGGATATTGACCCTGATGAGTTTGAAGATGAGGATGATGAGGATGAGGATGAGGACGACGAGGATGAGCGAGGATCGGACCGTGACGTGGAAGATGACTCGGATGAGGAGGTAAGAAACCGTTCCCGATATCTCCCGATATCCCCTCTGCCCTTCTAGATACGTTCTTGGGTTGTTCCATGCTAACCGTCTTTTTTTGTTCTCAGGATGGTGCCTCTAAGCCTAAGAAGGAGGCTGCTGAGTGCAAGCAAAACTAGAACCCTAAAAGTGGCTCCCCCACCGGGCAGAACAGCTCACCGAAATGCTTCATGGACTTCCCTCGCGATTGACGTTCTTGCTATGTTTCCTTTACTTAACTTCTTCTTTCTCGATCTCCACTGATGCCCTTGTCCCCTTGCACTGCGTGAACTTGACCTGTCTACCTAATATCTCTCCAATCAATTGACATAATCAGTGTGTAATACTCTCTTTCGGCATTATTAAAGGATCCACGGGTGTTTTTGGGCTGTCTAGCGGGCATTGACGATTTGAGATATGTCTTCATAGCTGATAGAAAACTCGTTTCTGATGCTGACTCTTGTGTTAATTTCATGTTGCCATGCTTCCCCAAGGGTTGACAAGAGGGTGTATTCCTTAGTGGGTTTCCCTGGAGACCAGGATGGATTTATAAATCCTAGACATCCCTATTTATCGCGTTGTCTATAACTCAGTATGTATAGATATATCCCTTGATCCGCTCGAGATAGTTTGAGGGTTGTATTTGAAGCAGGTACATTATTCTTGAACCCTGCTGGGCTATCCATGGAGATCCTCGTAAATAGTACATCCGGAGTATACATTGGCGATCGTAGTAGCCCAAACGCCTCGATTTAGTTTCTCTAAACTAGTCATCATGAAAGCGGTTATTTCTTGCGAAGTACACATCCGCGAGCAGAAATCACACAAAATCTCTCTTCTCAAGCCCGTAGATCATCATTTCCCACCGTCCATCCTGGCGTTGACGGCAAACAACACAGAACAGATGGGCGGTGACAGGCTTGTGGGGGTGTGGCGCGGCACCCCAGTTAGTCCCGAAGCTCCCTTCAGGGGCTCTCGCTAAATGGCCAGCTGTTACCCAGAGCGCTTTTCCTTCCCACTCGCTCCCGTCAATACTTTGCGCTTCCTCTTTCTCAGTTTCTTTTCTTTCGGATCATGAGCCGATGAGGGGTCGCCGCGGAACCCCTTGTCTTTGGACCGCTCATTCGTGACTGATCTGCCTTTTTTCCCTTTTCATCCCCGGTTCTCCGAACCCCATCTAGAATCCCAACGACACATCGCATCTTTTCCCGTTTTGATTGCATCTGGTACGACGATTCGATAAACGGCCTCATGGCGCACATTTACGAGGTCGGGACAAGGGCATGGCAGCCCGACCCGACAGAAGGCTGGGTCGCATCTGAGGTCAAGGAGAAGCTGGTGGACGGAGACAAAGTGCAACTGGTGTTTGAGTTGGAGAATGGCGAGGTAGGTTGGGCAGCTATTGATCGATCAAGGCCCCTCCAGGGAAACTGGCTAGATGCGGTGACAAGCTGACCAGCCTTGGGGGACGACACAGACGAAAACCGTCGAGACCACGCAGTCCGAACTGCAGGTCGATAACAACTCAAATCTACCACCGTTGATGAATCCGGCCATGCTGGAAGCGAGCGAGGACCTGACGAACTTGTCTCATCTAAATGAGCCCGCTGGTTGGTTGCTATTGGGAAAATGCACTCATGATTTGTGAAACTGACGGCCTTGAAGTCCTCCAGGCGATAAAGCTCCGTTATGCCCAGAAAGAGATATATACCTACAGTGGTATTGTTCTGATTGCGACCAACCCCTTCGCTCGGGTTGACTCCCTCTATGTGCCCCAGATGGTGCAAGTCTATGCTGGAAAACAACGTGCTTCGCAGGCACCGCACTTATTCGCCATTGCGGAAGAGGCTTTTGCGTAAGACAATAAGCCCTTTCTGAATCATTATTCATTGCTTTTGGGTGTTCTTCTGGACTAATTCCTGAAAATTTGCGACACAGTGACATGCTTCGCGATGGGAAGAATCAAACGATTGTTGTCTCCGGTGAATCTGGTGCAGGAAAGACTGTGAGCGCGAAGTATATCATGCGATATTTCGCGACTCGCGAGTCCTCGGACCAACCCGGAAAATATACAACGAGCCGAGCGGACGCCATTAGTGAGACAGAGGAGCAGATTCTGGCCACCAACCCGGTTATGGAAGCATTTGGTAACGCCAAAACCACGCGAAACGACAATTCTTCCCGCTTTGGAAAATACATTGAGATTATGTTTGACGAGCGAACCAATATTATTGGTGCGAAGATTCGGACCTATCTCTTAGAACGATCAAGACTGGTTTTCCAGCCTCTTAAGGAGCGCAACTACCATATCTTCTACCAGCTTGTTGCAGGTGCCACCGATGAGAAGAAGCAGGAACTGGGGCTGAGCTCGGTTGAGGAGTTTGAATACTTGAACCAAGGAGGCACACCCATCATAGATGGTGTTGACGACAAAGCCGAGTTCGAGGCGACCAGGAAGTCGCTCTCGACTATCGGGGTGTCGGAACAGAACCAGACTGAAATCTTCCGTATCCTTGCGGCTTTGCTTCACCTTGGTAATGTGAAGATTACGGCAACCCGCACAGACTCTTCTCTGTCGTCGACCGAGCCATCTCTCGTACGCGCCTGTGAAATGCTTGGTATTGACGTCAATGAATTTGCCAAGTGGATTGTCAAGAAGCAGTTGATCACCCGTGGCGAGAAGATCACCTCTAACCTCACCCAGCAGCAGGCTACTGTAGTTCGCGACTCAGTTGCCAAGTTCATTTACTCGAGCTTGTTCGACTGGCTGGTGGACAAGATTAACCGAGGCCTCGCCACTGATGAAGTTCTCAACCGCGTGAAGACCTTCATCGGCGTATTGGATATCTACGGATTCGAGCACTTCGCTAAGAACTCATTTGAACAGTTCTGTATCAACTACGCAAACGAGAAGCTGCAACAGGAGTTCAATCAGCACGTGTTCAAGCTTGAGCAGGAGGAATATGTTCGCGAGGAGATTGACTGGACGTTTATCGACTTCTCAGACAATCAGCCTTGTATCGATCTGATTGAGGCAAAGCTCGGAATTCTGTCACTGCTAGATGAGGAATCCCGACTGCCCATGGGGTCCGACGAGCAGTTTGTCACCAAGCTCCATCACCACTTCGCCGCCGACAAGCAGAAGTTCTACAAGAAGCCCCGTTTCGGAAAGTCTGCCTTCACCGTATGCCATTATGCTGTTGATGTTACCTATGAGTCGGATGGATTCATCGAGAAAAACCGTGACACCGTTCCGGATGAGCACTTGGAAGTCCTCCGCAACTCGTCAAATAGCTTCATCAAGGAAATCCTCGATACCGCTGCGGCTGTTCGTGAGAAGGATTCCGCTGCCGTCTCGTCCAAACCGGTTGCAGCAGGTCCTGGCCGCCGAATTGGAGTTGCTGTGAACCGAAAGCCCACACTTGGAGGAATCTTCAAGTCTTCGTTGATCGAGTTGATGCACACCATCAATTCCACCGACGTGCACTACATTCGCTGCATCAAGCCCAATGAAGCCAAGGAAGCTTGGAAATTCGAGGGTCCCATGGTTCTCAGTCAACTCAGAGCCTGTGGTGTCCTGGAAACCGTCAGAATCAGCACGGCAGGATATCCAACCCGTTGGACCTACGAAGAATTCGCCATTCGGTACTACATGCTTTGCCATTCATCTCAATGGACCTCTGAGATTCGAGACATGTGTCATGCCATCTTGCGCAAGGCTTTGGGAGATTCGGAACAACAAAAGCAGGACAAATATCAGTTGGGTTTGACGAAGATCTTTTTCCGAGCGGGTATGCTCGCTTTCCTCGAGAATCTCCGAACATCTCGCTTAAACGAGTGTGCGATCATGATTCAAAAGAATCTTCGCTGCAAGTATTACAGACGTCGTTACCTTGACGCCCGAGAGTCTATTCTCACCACCCAGGCCTTCATCCGAGGATTCCTTGCCCGGCAGCGTGCCCAAGAAATCCGTAGAACCAAGGCTGCAACTACTATCCAGAGAGTCTGGCGTGGTTCGAAGCAGCGGAAACGGTACACCGAGATTCGGAACAATGTTATTTTGTTCCAGTCAGTTATGAAAGGATTTCTCTGTCGGAGAAATATTATGGATTCGATCAATGGAAATGCAGCCAAGGTCATTCAGCGTGCTTTCCGCTCATGGCGTCAATTGCGAGCCTGGCGACAGTATCGTCACAAAGTTATCCTTGTCCAAAACCTGTGGCGAGGAAAGCAGGCCCGCCTGGCTTACAAGAAGATACGCGAGGAGGCCCGGGATCTCAAGCAAATTTCCTATAAGCTGGAGAATAAGGTTGTGGAACTGACCCAGCACTTGGAATCGCTGAAGCGAGAGAACAAGTCGCTAGTCTCCCAGCTAGAGAACTACGAGACCCAGCTCAAGTCCTGGCGCAGCAGGCACAACACCCTTGAGGCTCATGCTAAGGAGCTCCAGGCTGAGGCAAACCAAGCAGGTATTACTGCAGCCCGACTCGAGGCGGTCGAGGAGGAGATGAGCAAGTTACAGCAGAGCCATGCTGAGGCCCAGGCAACGATCAAGCGACTTCAAGAGGAAGAGCGAGTCTCCCGCGATGCTCTTCGTGCAACCAACGAGGAGCTGGACCGCCTTAAGTTGCTCAATGGCGATCACGAGAAGGAGAAGACCGCTCTTCGCCAACGAGTCTCGGAGCTTGAGGAACAGCTGGAAGTTGCCAAACGGTCAGTACCGGTCAATGGAGTCAATGGCGAAGTGCCCAATGGTACTGCTGCCCCGACTCCTGCTAGCGGCCTGATCAATCTGGTTTCTTCAAAGAAACCTAAGCCCAAGAGACGTAGCGCCGGAGCGGAGAAGATCGAGACGGATCGTTTCAGCGGAGCCTACAACCCTCGTCCGGTATCCATGGCGATCCCTGGACCCGGTGCGGCTCGCTCGACTGCTGCCATTTCTCCGGGCCTCGATTCTGTGGAGGCAGAGCTTGAGAACTTGCTCTCCGAGGAGGAGGACCTCAACGATGAGGTCACTATGGGTCTGATCCGCAACCTGAAGATTCCGCTCCCCAGCTCGAATCCCCCGCCGACCGAGAAGGAGGTTCTTTTCCCCGCGTACTTGATCAACCTTGTCACATCCGAGATGTGGAATAACGGCTTCGTCAAAGAATCTGAGCGCTTCCTGGCCAATGTCATGCAGTCCATCCAGCAGGAGGTCATGCAGCATGATGGAGAGGATGCGATCAATCCTGGCGCCTTTTGGCTCTCCAACGTTCACGAGATGCTGTCGTTTGTCTTCTTGGCCGAGGATTGGTACGAGACTCAAAAGACGGATAACTACGAATACGATCGTCTGCTTGAGATTGTGAAGCACGATCTGGAGAGTTTGGAATTTAACATCTACCACACCTGGATGAAGGTCTTGAAGAAGAAGCTGTATAAGATGATTGTTCCGGCCATCATTGAGTCTCAATCTCTCCCCGGTTTTGTTACTAGCGAAACAAACCGTTTCCTTGGCAAATTGCTGCCTTCTAACAACAACCCTGCCTATAGCATGGACAACCTCCTGAGCCTGCTCAATGGCGTCTACCGTGCTATGAAGGCGTTCTATATCGAGGACACCATCATTACACAGACTGTCACGGAGCTTCTGAAGCTTGTGGGTGTCACTGCCTTCAATGATCTCCTCATGCGTCGGAACTTCCTCTCCTGGAAGCGTGGTCTCCAGATCAATTACAACATCACCCGGATCGAGGAGTGGTGTAAGAGTCATGATATGCCTGAGGGGACTCTTCAGCTAGAGCATTTGATGGTAAAGTTGCCCTGAATTAATTTATTTTGGCTCGTGAGGATAAGATTGACTGACACGTGCAACAGCAAGCGACCAAGCTTCTTCAGCTCAAGAAGGCTACCTTGAATGATATTGAGATCATTCAAGATATCTGCTGGATGTAAGCGAAATCGCCCTTATCGATCGAATTGAAATTCCCCGAAGACTAATTTTTTTTTCACTTAGGCTATCTCCCAACCAAATTCAGAAGCTGCTGAATCAGTACCTTGTTGCAGACTATGAACAGCCCATCAATGGCGAGATCATGAAGGCCGTCGCTTCTCGCGTCACCGAGAAGAGTGACGTGCTCCTACTGACTCCGGTGGATATGGAAGACAGCGGTCCCTACGAGATTGCCGAGCCTCGAATCATTACGGCCTTGGAGACTTACACTCCATCATGTACGTGCTCTTTTATCGCTTACTGTTGATAATGGTCTTTCTCTTTTACGATTGCTAACAAACCATGTCCACAGGGCTGCAAACACCACGGCTGAAACGACTGGCTGAGATTGTATCAGCACAAGCAATGGCACAACAGGAGAAGCTTGAAATAGATAACGGAGTGCTGGAGGAGTAGTTGTGTGTATATTAGACATGTTCTCCTTGGATTTGTGAGCTACGGATTACGACCAGTGTGACATCTCACCACGACCTTTATGCTTTGAGGGGGAAAGATCCCGGGTTTGAAATACATTGATGCATATGCATTTGATCTTATCAGTGGTTGTGGGCTCTATTTGAGTGTGTATTTTGGTTTGTTGAATTTTTTTTCATTCTCGATCGATGTAGTTCTGTTTCTTTTGTATGATACCCTGCGCCCTTATCCCCCGAACGAACGTCCCCGGCGGGTCGAGCGGTGTCCCTCGCTGCGGGGAGTTACGTCTCCACCAAACGAACTCTTCTGCCAGCCCCTCTCTCCAAGGTATCTGCATCACGACGACCACCATGACTTTGACCAAGATCAATTTCATCACAGGCAACAAGAACAAGCTCGCCGAGGTGCGCGCCATTCTTGGCAATGTCATCGAGGTCGACAGCCAAGCTGTGGAGGTGCCCGAGATTCAGGGCACCATCGAGGAGATTGCGAAGGAAAAGGCTCGTCGCGCTGCCGAAGCCGTATGTTTTTTGCAGAATACTGTGTGAGAAGATGAAACATCTAATTTCAAACTTGCTACTAGATCAATGGACCGGCCTTGACCGAGGATACGGCTCTTGAATTCAATGCTCTGAAGGGGTTGCCGGGACCATACATGTGAGGACATACCGTCATTACCCTCCATCATTATTTATATTGTATTGCGATAGAGCCTATGCTCATTCTACTAGCAAATCTTTCATGGAATCATTGGGTCATGAGGGGCTGAACAAGATGCTTGATGGTTTCGACGACCGGTCTGCTGAGGCTGTGTGCACTTTTGCCTTCTGCCGAGGCCCTGGCGCCGAACCAATTTTGTTCCAGGGACGGACAGCGGTGCGTGCTCCAATTTAAGTATGAATAAGTGCGAGGCGTTCGAGTCTCATTTTTCTTATAGGGCTCCATTGTGCGGCCACGAGGACCGACAAACTTTGGTAAGTAATCTTCAATATCCTTGACGAATACTACCAGCCCACAGTACTAATGCATTCGGATTGTCACAGGCTGGGACCCGATCTTCGAATACGAGGGCCAAACTTACGCGGAGATGGAAAAAGAGGCAAAGGTAAGAAGTGTTTTTTTCTCCTTATGCATTGCATTGCCTGCGACATGAAAGACATTCACGTACTAAACCCTCTCACCTAGAACCGGATCTCCCACCGGTACAAGGCTCTGGTGAAGTTCCAGCAGTGGCTGGCAGAGGGCCAGCAGTGAAATTTCTTGGGTATATTTGAATAGAGAAATCATCTAGCTAGAAAGGTCTAGACGGAAAAAAAGAACAAGACAACAGAAATTCCACCTCATTCGACTCCCTATGTTCACTCCGCATCCTCGGCATGTTGCTTCTTCCAGTTTTCAACCCACTGGGAAATCCTGGTGCAATTGGTATCAACGTCTCCGTCCTTCTCGCTGTTCAACTCGACCACTATCTCTTCGTCGAAGGCTTCGCGGGCTTCTTCAAGAAGGACTCCAAAGATCTCTGCGTCAAGATTCTCTTGTAATTTCTCTTCGTGGTAACCTCTGCAAAGCGTTTGAATTAGCAATCCATTCATTCAAGGTCAAGTCAAAAAAAAAAAAGTTACCTAGCTTGGAGACGGTCGTAGAGAATCGATGTTTCCGGGCAGCGCACGACTACTACGAGATCGATCCAGGATTTGGGGAAGAGGTCGCATGCATGCCAGTCAATAATGTAACCACCCTGCACTACCTCATCTTCAATCGCATCGAGGAGCTAGATAAGGAAGTGCATTCCGTTAGTAAATTGTTCGTCGGGGAAGTCTCCCAGGGAAGCGCAGCGATCCTCATGGTACTTGCGGGCACTCCCCCTCCCCCACTAAGAAAAAAAAAGAGGGGTACAAAGGAGGAACAGCAAGGCAGTTTAGCTGCACCACATTTCGGGGCCGATTGATGATCTGCATACCTTATCCTCGTCGACAACCCAGCTCTTGCGCTCTTCATCGAAAGATTCGTAACAGTCGCGGTCTTTGGCGATCTGGTTGACGGACAGGTGCTTCAAGCCGGTCTCCTCCGCCAGCTGCTCGCAGTGGACGGTCTTGCCCACCCCGGGAGTCCCGGTCACGATCACATTCGGAGAGGTGCGCATTCTTTGCGACGCGCTTGTCCAATGCACAGATGAAGGAAACTGCAGATTGGGATCGAGGGGAGAAAAGTGATGACCGTCTCGCCGAATAATTATCTCTCGGATCAACGTCGGTCCCGCTTATCTCTTATCGCCATTGGCCAGGCGCGGAGCAGTTGCAGACATTTTCTATGTACATTGGCTGAACCCATGCATGTCCTTTCAATGGATTTTGATTCTTTTGATTTTTTGTTAAAAAAAAAAGTATGAATATATAGATAGGCTCCTATGTTAATGCAGATATTGTCCTCCATGCTTCCGTACTATTCGTTCGATTTTGTGTCAAGAGATTCTGAGATCGGTTCAGTCGTACATAATCTGTGTTTATTAGAGGCAGTGTTCTTCGGGTTGAGATGGGGAATAGAATTGCTTACTTCAGGAGTTCAAAAATCTTATACTTCTGAAGATAGGAAGTGCCTCGTCGGTATGCCTTTAGGAGACGTCCAGGGTTATCAGCTCGTGCGGACGTTCCAATTAAGCGCTGAATAGCAGGCGAAGTCTTGAACATGGGATCAAAGACTAGTAGATTGGCGGTGCCGTTATCACGGATCTCAAACCCAACAATGGTCATAGAATGGCCTATTGGCAGTATTAGATGTTGGGAAATCATCTTTTTTTCTCTATAACAACATATCGCATACCTGGATGTTGAAAATAAATGGGCGGGAGATCAGTCTTGAAGACCCTGGTTTCCGTGTCCTCGAGGGAGCAGACCGAGCGAAAGTAGTTTGCTATATCCATATACAAAGCTTCGCAGGCTCTTAGTTGGCCGCTGTCATTTAGGCTTTTGGCGTCACAGCTGGAGGATGTTAATAATGTATCCCAGCAACCCCATCGCAAGCAGGAACTTACGGAATTTGAAGGCTCTGAAGGAGAGCTTGTGCCTATACAAAAGTCAATTAAGTGCCGATCGATTTCTCTCGGTTTAAAACGGACCTCTGGTGTCCCAATGTATTTTCGTGTGCCTTTGATGCCCCCTGTTTCTGTTCTCCCGGTGCTGTTGAACCCCATGTCCCAAGCCTGTTCGATTCGGTCCTGCAGACCAAGAATAGAAGGCACTCCCTCCGGAAAGTGATCATGCCCTGTGCTTCTTGATTTGACAATGTAAGAAACCAGCATTTGGATATTCCGGTAGCCACAGAAGCCGCCCTCGCGGGACATCTTGCAGATGTGCCGAACATTTGGACTACATAGAAAGGCGCGCTGGACCGATGGATCTTGTTCACACAGCTTGGCTAGTACAGGAATCAAGTGATCAGTTTCATTTTCCACCTTTGTGTGTCTTGCTAGTCTCCCGTCGTTGGTAATGTGGGTCTGCTTTGTGGTCCGGCCACCTTTTTCAAGCATCTTCCGTAGCCACGACGGCATCTTCTTCTCGTGAGCATGGGGACCCAGTTCGGACCGCTGTTCGCAACGTTAGCATTTTGTAGGATTGATACCGTGCGCTGCAACATACCCCAAGTCGCATCGCGCCATCGGGTCCGCGTGTTCTCGTAGGACTCTTCGCTCGGGTGGGTTTGGATGTGTTATTTGCTCGAGCAAAGTCCCGGGTAACATCTCGCTTGCCACCCTTGCGTGAGCCCTGGAGATCCAAATGGTCATCCTGGTCTGAGGGTAGTTCGTAGTCACTAGAGACTGCGTCTGTATCAAAGGTGGGTTGGGAATTCCCACCCTCGTCGAGCGCAATACCCTCGGCCAGGTGTAGATCCAGATGGGTGGATAGCTCGGCTGATGTCACTACTTCACCGCAGCCATGCGGGCATTCAACGTATTCTTCTGTTGATTCCTCATCTATGAGTAGATATGAGGCAGTAGGGTTGGTTCTTTCACTCCCCTGCGGGTCAGACAAGGACTGCGAGACCCCATTCTCTGGATGGCAGAACTCGATATGCTGTTCCACAAAGCTAGCATCTGAGTCAACGAAGGGGCAGAAAGGACAGGAAGGCGCGTCTTGGCTGTCCATTCTGGCCTTTTTTCAATCGCAGGTCTTGAACCCAGGAAGGCGGTGGGGATCAGAATGCGAAAATAGAAGTGTGATGTTGGTGGTAAGCTTTGGAAGACCGGCAGTGTGGCTGTGGTGCCAAGAACCCGATATCTTCAGCTGGCCAATACCAATGTTCAGGTATCAAAAGGAAAGTCCGACTATCTATAGCAACAATACATGTACATGTCAAATTGAAAATCTAGTTGAGGCAGCGAACCAGGCCGTACCTGAAGTGCGGTGGATGCGGGGCCCACACCCGGCAAAAATAGCCTCAACCGCCCGGCGGCCTAGAAAATCCGGATGATCAACATCAGGACCACCGGGGATTAAACGGTCGGACAATCAGGGACTTAGCGTAGTCCTATGATGCGTGTGAATGATTTCAGTTCTAAATGATCTAAGGCTCTAGGTTGAATATATGAAGGTGGTCTTGGTAAATTGTTGTAAAATAGATCCATCTATAGATTTGTGTATCTCGTACATAAACATATATATATTTATAATCCCAGATACACAAAGTCATACAAGATATAATGAAAAACCGACCCACAAGACGATGCATATTTAACAAAGTAACAATGAGAGTCAAATGCCTTGCTACTATATCCTCCGGTATTTCACCGGGCAAGGCATAGGCATGGTCTCATTGACGTCGTTGCTGGAAGCCGATAGGTTAGGCACTCATAAAATACAGGTTTCCCCACAAGGCCAACCTCTGATCCTATGGACATTCATTCATCACATTAAGGCTGGAGGTCTACCTATGGTGGCAATCCAGAAACAATGAGGGAATGCTAAAATCATTATCATACCTGCTACACCTGGAGTTGGTGGAAATGATCGATAGAATGATGCATCGGCGAATAAGGTTGTTTGCAGACATTGCACATGCCAAGCAAACCTAAAAAAGGAAACGATTTTTTTTTCCGGCGGCAAAATCATGCCCTCCCCCAAGTATCCGGCCACGGCAAATCAATGAAAATCGTGAAGACCCTAAATCCAGTAGAGGATATGTATATCGTATATACTTCTTCTATAGTTACCAGTCATCGCCGGTGATCGGCTTCCGGCTTCGGGGTGCCGCTGCGTCATTTGGGTGGTGTTGGGCGCCTGTTGATGATCGCGGGGCAGGCTTATTGGCGATGGCGTGATTGGCGGGGCACCTCCGACATCGCGTTCCTGGGAAAAGGCGGAAAAACTCAATTGACTGAGTCACCGAAAAAAAGAAATGCCCGCAGCCGGCCCACTGCTCCGCTTTTGCCTTCCCCTCCCCGACATCTTCTTGCGACTTGATTCTGGTTGATCCCAACCATGGCGTCTCTTGATTCTGTACAGCCTCTGGTCGAGGCTCGGCATAGTAATTGGGTGGTGCAGAAGTTCGGCGGCACCAGCGTTGGCAAGTTTGCGTTGAACATTATCGAGCAAGTCGTACAGTATGAAACCCCTCCGGACCTCGAAACCTCAATGCCCTCCTTTCAAACCCAAACTTCTTTGCACTTGCTCCATCCTCGACAACAGGGATGAAACCTTCAGGCTAATCATACCCCTCCGCTACGTTACAGACCTAGTCTCGCTGAAAACCGAGTTGCTGTTGTATGTTCAGCCAGAAGTAGCTCGACAAAGGCCGAGGGCACCACTAACCGGTGAGTCATATATATCGCTCAAATCCCTCCATGTCCTAAGCCCGCCGCTCCTCGACTACTGGAGACGAGAGACCACGGTGGGAAAAGGAAGCCAGAGCTAACCCATCATTGAATAGATTACTACGGGCTGCCCGAGATGCCGAAAACTCACAGTCCCGGCAATATGAGTCGTTCGTCGAGGCCGTCCGTCTGGAACATATCCAAGTCGCTCAGGAGCAGTTGAAATCAGTCGATCTGAAGGACCAAATTGTTGCAGACATCAACGGAGAATGCGAGCGAGTCCTGAAGGTCCTTGAGGCAGCTCAGACTCTAGGTGAGATCAGTGCTCGCTGTGTCGACAAGGTGATCAGCACTGGCGAGAAACTCAGCTGTCGACTCATGGCCGCGTTCCTACAGGATCGTGGAGTGGACTCGCAGTATATCGATCTCTCCGAGGTGATTGATTTCCCCATTGGCAACCAGGGCCTGGACCAGGACTTCTATAACAACCTGGCGGCGGCCCTGGGCAAGCGGGTCGCGGAGTGCGGTCACCGCGTCCCCGTTATCACCGGCTACTTCGGAACCATCCCCGGTGGTCTGCTGGACCAGGTTGGCCGTGGATATACCGATCTTTGCGCAGCCCTCGTCGCTGTTGGAACCCATGCAAAGGAGCTGCAGGTTTGGAAGGAAGTGGATGGTATCTTTACTGCGGACCCTCGCAAGGTCCCGACTGCACGACTCCTGCCAGCCATTACCCCGGCCGAAGCTGCGGAGTTGACCTTTTATGGCTCCGAAGTGATTCATCCTTTCACTATGGAACAGGTCATCCGTGCCAAGATCCCCATCCGCATCAAGAACGTGATGAACCCGAAGAACCGCGGCACCGTCATTTTCCCCGATTCCGCCGCCGAGCTGGAGCGGACCACTCCAGGCCATGACCCGCGCCTGTTCCGAACTCGCAGCCCGAGTTTCATGCAGAAGCCCAAGCGACCTACAGCTGTGACTATCAAGCACAAGATCCTCGTCATTAATGTTCACTCCAATAAGCGGTCATTGTCACACGGCTTTTTTGCGGGCATTTTTTCTGTGTTGGACAAGTGGCGCCTGTCCATTGACCTGATTTCGACGAGCGAGGTCCACGTCTCGATGGCCCTTCACTCTGAAATGCCTCTGCTGAACGGCAATGGACGGGACGATTACCAGGTCATTGATGACGATCTGAAGGGGGCCTTGACGGATCTGGGCAAATACGGCACCGTGGACATCATTCCTGAAATGGCAATTCTCAGCTTGGTCGGCAAGCAGATGAAGAATATGATCGGAGTGGCGGGGCGGATGTTCACCACTCTGGGGGAGAACAATGTGAATATCGAGATGATCTCACAAGGTAAGACATCGATTGCCGATCGCAACATCCCTTTCCCTTCCCCCCAGCACTCTGCACTCTTGCGACTTTGAAACAAGTTGAAGGCTGACCAGCGTTTTCGCCTCCCCCTACAGGTGCGAGTGAAATCAACATCTCCTGCGTTATCGAAGAGCGCGATGCCGACCGTGCTCTTAACATCATCCATACTAGCATGTTCACTTTCCTGGACTAGATGTCCAATTGGGCATAGAAGTCATTGTCATTTGAGATATCCCTTGGGCCAGTTTTTACTAATTTTTTTTGAACCTTTGTCATCCATCTCCCACCTTTCTGGTTCCTTTTCTTCTCTTTTCTTTTTTTTTTTTTTTTACTTTGCTTCTTGCGGTTTCATGATAGAGAAAAGTTGGCGTGCATCCACCCCCGGGCTCCTCACAGGGGAGGGGACCTGGGGATTGAGCATTATGCTTTCCTTGGGTTTGATGCATGGGCTTGGCGTTCTGTTTCTTGTGTCTTTTTTTTTCTCGGCAGTATAGATTTGAAGAGCCCTGTGATATAATCGAGCGAGGTGTCTTTTTCTTTCCCCTGCATCTATTATGGCATCAATGGCATACCGTTCATGAATTGGCTTGATATACTGAAGATGTAAGGGCATTTCCCAATCAACTGCCTATATATTCTCTCTAGATCCTACTAGATCCTCCTAGATCCCTCAATCAATGCACTATCACCTTAAAGCCCCCCCTCCCCCCTCCCTTCCCCTCTTGCTGCAGGGCAGACTTTCGCACATGCGCGAAACCCGTTGGTCCTCGAGCGATCCTCTGACTCGCAGCTAGGGAGAATCTGATCTGTGCATCGACGATGGGGGTAGTCCGAGCCCCAAGGCTGGGGGGAGCAAGGGATGATCCGACACAATCGCTGTCTCAAGAGTTACATTCGCATTCCATAGCGCGGCCAATGAAAGGAGCTGAATATGGACCGTTGAGTATTGCAAGTTGGGAGGATCCCATCATGAGGGGGGACTAATTGAATTATACTGGCGCTATCGATAGTTGTCGACAGTCCGAGACGGTGTCGGGCCGTCTCGAGTGGCTCGCATCCAATGCCTGTGGGAAAGACCTACCACTCCGAAATTCTAAATGCTAGCGTAGGGCTTGTCGATATCGTCATTGTGAATCGGGGTGGAGACGGGCAGCACGGGGAAAGCGCAGGGAACTATGCAACTGGCTCGCTCTAAAGATGCCGATCCGCGCATCTCAAATATCTCGAATGCCTCGAGCAAGGAGCACCAATCCCTTCGTACGTCGACCAGACCGCGGTATGGTCACACCAGGACCGTAAAGTGGGTCCCTGTCCCATAGTAAAACGCGCGACGCGACCGCGTCCATACCATACCGGACGGGTATGGTTGCCGCCCCATACAAGGGCACCCTCACCGTCTGCGCCGACCATCCATCTATCAACCTCAATCCCCCCCCACTGCCAGAAAGGGCCCTTTTCCACTCTTCTGACTCCAAGCCGCCATCTTCGAGGATAGCGCGAGCAATCAGGACTGCACTATTCGTGATCCTTGGAGGGGAGACAAAAGGGAGCGACTTCCAGGTCTCCTTCTTTAACCCTCCCCGCTGCCTCCGCTGCTGCTGCCTTCCGCCAGCACACCTCCCCTCTTCTTCCCGCTCTCTCTCTATCGTGCACTTCCCCTTCCCAACACCCGGGATCGATTCTCCCCGAGTGAATAGACTCCGCAAGTTCAACTACCTTAGACTTATCCTCGTCGCAAGCTCCCAGCCAACTGGTCATCCGGGAGTTGAATCGCTTTTACAGACTCTCGTGGTCATTTCCACTGCGCGACTCCATCCACCGCTGATTCGTCTCCCAGATTGGACGTGTCGCCTTTTAGTTCCTAGCGCCTTGTGGCCCAACGCTTGCATTAACAACTAGTCGGGCTGCATGTCGGCCTGAGGCGACTGACTCGTCTCCTCTCTGTGTCTTGCCATTGGCTGGACGCGAATTCTCTGCACCTATCCTGTCACTCTCATCACCCGTTGGGCGCGTCGTCGGCTGTGCTGAAACCGGCTGCTGACTGCCGCACTCCCACTCCAAGTCGCGCCCTCCACAGTGTTTATCGACGCGTCATATGGTCCCTATTGGCGTTTGGTGACATCCTGGCTCCGTTCCCAATCATCTAGATTATGGGATCGACGCGTCCAGCGCTCGGCGCGCACACTTCCCCGGCATTGGCTCCATCAACCACGGCCGCCATCAAATCGCAGCCCCGTCTTCAACCCTCACCGCTACCACTGCAGCCCATTGAAAACTCATTCCGGCCGTCTTCCCGTGGCCCGCACAGGCCATCTCCGACAAAAGGACTGCCCACCCAGGGTGTGCATCCCGGGCGAAAACTCGGTTTCGTCCCTATCACTGCCCCGGCGCCTCCTATGTTTACAACCGACTCTCCCACCAAGAAGCCTCCTTTTCCCATCTACGCCCAGTCATCCATGCCCCAGTCGGCTCTCTTCACGACCTTCTCCAGTGTGAATCCTGACTCGTCCAAGGAAAATCAACATCCGGAGGACCCGTCTCATGGCAATTTCGCCGACTTCCCTGAGCCATCCTATGAATCAAAACTGCCGATGAAGCGAACTCTTATGGAAGCTGCTCCCCTCAAGGAGCGCTCAGTCAAGAAGCAGAAGCGCGAGGACGCACCTCTTCACTCACTGCCGGAACCGCACGAAATGCCTGTCATTGAAGATGACGGCCACAAGCCGCCTTATAGTTATGCGACATTGATTGGCATGTCCATTCTTCGCGCACCCAACCGTCGCCTGACTTTGGCGCAGATTTACAAATGGATTTCCGACACATTCTCCTACTACAAGAACAGCGACGCGGGCTGGCAGAACAGTATTCGGCACAATCTCAGCTTGAACAAGGCATTCATCAAGCAGGAACGGCCTAAGGATGATCCCGGCAAGGGCAACTACTGGGCCATTGAGCCTGGCATGGAGATGCAATTTTTGAAAGACAAGCAAGTACGACGTGCAACCATGTCGAGTCTGCCTCTTCCCGCCGCTCCACAAAGAGATCTAGTTCCCCAGCCGCAGAGCGCCAGCACGACCACATGGATGGTTCCGCCGCCGCCTGCTCGACACACTCTCCCCCCTCTCCCCAAAGATTACACGGAACGAAGACTTGTCATCAGACGCGACATTGCCGGCTTCTGATCCCGCTCTGCATGATGACACAAGCGACGAGAACACACACCACCCTGTACACCATCTTGCACCCCTCCGATCATCGCCTCCTCAAGCCATTCGATCCTCTCCTCCCATTGCTCCTCCACGATTCTCACGCCAGGGAACTCCTCCAACCCCGACTCACGCTGGTCCTACCCCAGCTCCGCGACCCCGGAAGCGCAAATCGATCACCATCAATGACAGTGGCTATTTCTCATCCCTTGAATCTTCTGCTCTACGGCCAAATAAGGCTGGCCATATTCTGACTTCTGATTTGGACATTGAGCCACCGCGTATCAAACGTGGTCGCGCCGAGGAAGAGATCGCGCGAATTCGCAGTTCTTCTCATGACATCAGCCCCGGCCAGCCTGCTACTCGAAAGGATGTTAGCACATTAGTTGGCTCTTCACCACTTCGCGGGGAATACGTGAGCATGCTCCCGCCACCTCTGACACCGATTATCAAGTTCAAGAAACCTGCCAAGCCCCCGCCATCTGTGTCGCCCAACACTAACCTCCGGAACCACCGCCGCAAGATTCAGCAAATGGTCAACTCTCCCATCAAGCATCTGGGTCTCACTGACGACGATCTTCCCTGGAGTCCTGCATTTAAACTTCATGACGAGTCCTTCACCCCACAAGATCATTTTCTCACTACCTTCGATGTCTTTGCCGATTCAAGTGCGGACGCGCACATCTCTTCCGCTGCGTATGGTTCTCCTGAAAAGCGCTCCGCCAAGCGTACCCGGACTGACAGCGGTCCTACTGCCCTAACTGATATCACTTCGGTCAATGTTAATACGCGCTTGGGCATGCCCAACCTATCGCGATCCAAGTCGTCCATTTTTCCCGAATCTCCCTCCAAGGTCCCGGAAACAAACCGCCTCGGTGATACCAGCCAGGATGACTTTTTCTCCTTCCATCTCTTTGATGAAAACAATGACAGCCCTGGCGAGGTGGACGGCGTGGATTTGCTGCAAGGATTCCAGAAAATCGGAGGCTCTAGCAAAGATGACAGCTTGAAGCCGAAAACGATTCATTCACGTCCGCATCTCGGCAACCGCAGCAACACTACCTTGTTCTGAAAATACCCCCTTGTTTGATCTATTGGCCGGAATCAGGTCCAGAGCAAGGCTTAATTTTCGATTCACATACCTCCTCTCTGACTTTGAAAATTCGAGCTCAACTACACTGGCGTTGTTTTGTGATTACTTCTCACTTTGTTTGCAACACCTTGTGTTTTTTTTTTCGCCCCCCTGCGTTCTTGTTTCTTTTTTATTTGCGTTTTGGGTCGAAGGAGTTTGCGCCCCGGGATGTTATCAGGTTTCGATTGGGCGGAGCTTTCTTTTGGGAGTTTCTTGAGGCTGCGCTGATGCGCCGGTTCTGACTTACCTCTTTTTCACCGAGCCCGGGATGGCCTGGTCACGACCTTAATGACGATGCTAAGATGTACATGAACAAGCGATGGTTTCTATGATTCGGGATATTGGGGTTGGGATTTATCTTTACCTTTTCTATGGGTGTTTTTACTTTAGCCACTAGGGCAGGACACATCAGCGGCGTCATTGATTACCTAGTATAGCAATTTTGAAACTTATTACTTGTCTGATCAAATTGTTCTATCTTTAGAGTTGAAGGGTATCTGATTTGCTTGTTTGATTGATATAGCCCATCCATCGTCGGCGGCGGCGGGCCCATCTCAATTGCAAGACGTATGAAATATGAAAACTGGCGGAGGAAAAGAAACATGACAGGACATGCAAGACCGTAAAACGCCCTAAATCCCAGAAGCCCCTAAACTAAATGTACCTGCAACCGTAAATAAACATGCCCAGTCGAGTTTTCTCATCTAGTCGCTGCTCGCACACCCGTTGCATCCACAGCTGACGCACTGAATGGTCTCGTTCTCCTTCAGCTGAGCCTTGGGCACGCGACAGATGCAGGTAGAATTGAAATTTGTCTCCTTTGTTTGGACACAGCGAAGGCAGCACAACTGTACGCCAGAAAAGGTCAGCTCATGAGCTCTGCACCACACGAAGACAGCGTCTCATCGAGAAATATGAAGGGACAGGGAGTTTGAGGAAACATACCTTTTCGTAGCCCTGCTTCTTCCACTTGGCAATCAAGTTGGCATCAGCGTAGTTGTTCTTCAGCAGCCAATCGTAGAGCTTCTTCGAGATGACTTCTTTTTCGTAATAAAGATCATAGATGTATCGTGAGCCTATGGAGACAGGTTGCTACGGTCAGTATCGAAGTTTGTTTGGACCAAGCCAAAAAGAACGAAGGGTACTGGGATAATCGAGAAGAAGGGTTCGCATGGCTACCCACGTTGGTGGCTGATCTGGAAGATAGGCCATAGCACCTCGTGCTTCTTCAAGCCCTCTGTCGGCGCATTCTCAGCATCCTTCATCTTATTGCTAAACTCCAGCAGGTGGTCTTCCAAGTCGTCGAAGCCCTCTGGCGGGGGGCTTGCGACTGCGGGAGGTGCGGATGGGCGGCATGATGGCGGGGCGAAAGGAGTGAAGGGTATTAAAAGGTAAAAGTGAGAAGAAGGACAAATTAAAAACTGCGTTTCTGAACAAAGACTAAGCAGGAACGAAAGCAAAGCTTTAGGGAGGAAGAGTGGTTGGAGAAGCCGGCGAAGAGCGCAGAAAAGCAGCCTAACTGATTGCCCGCGTCATTTTTGTGCCGGTGCCGACCGCCTTCGATTTTGCGGTACACTGGAGTTCTCGGCTTCGAAAGTCGACGAGCTGTCCTGTTAATTCTTGTTTGCAAGTGCACTCATTTTTACCCTTTCAGCTCTCCTCGCATCCATCTACAATCCCGCAAAATGGACCCTCAGATCGATCTTTCTAAGCTCAGCGAGTCCGACAAGAAGGAGCTGCAGCAGGTCCTGAACAACGAGGCTCAGAAGTCCAACATCCAGCAGGGTAAGGCGACACAGACGACCGAGCTATCATTCTATTTCATCTGCTACAATTTCAGTTTGCTAATCTCTTCTTTTTACATTTGCTACAGCTGTCCACTCCCTGAATGACGTCTGCTTCAAGAAGTGTATCGCCGGCAAGTCTATCACCTCGGGCTCCCTCGACCGAAGCGAGGAGGCTTGCGCCCAGAACTGTGTCGAACGCTGGATGGACACCCAGATGTCCATTCTCCAGCACCTGGGTACCCTACGCGGTAACCACTAAATTTACTTTCCGATTTTCTCCCTTCCTAACATCATGAGCACGCCCGTTCCGTGGACATTGTCGATAAATCGCCGGGAGCTCGATACGACATGACTCGGCATAAAGTATCATATGGAAGTCGGTGCAATGGGATTGACATTAAAAGTTGTGTCTCTCATTAGCGTTGACTGGGTATTGCGTTTTGTCTCTGGTTCGTTAGACTGGGGCTGAATTTTATGACTTTTTGAGTCGCTTGTATAATAGAATCAAAGTGAATGTATCTCTTTGTGTATATCTTGTTGACCGCTGGCCAACGGAGTCGAGCCTATAAAGTAAGCATTTATAGGTTAAACCAGTATAAAAGCAATAGTCCTCTTTAGGGTTGGAGATCTTCTGCAATCAGAATCTATGCACGTTTCCATGGGCCGTAGAGAAGTCATCCATCTGCGAGTAACAGATACTCGCAGTCGTCATTTACGAATAGCGAAGAGAGCTCTCTTTTCGAAACCTACACGTACACTGGTTGGCCTCCAAAATTAATCATTACGAGGGGTCACATTTTAAATCGTGTCAAGAAATGTTTCTTTTTTGTAATCATTCAGCCCTCGTTGCTGCACATACAGCCAAGGAACTGGCTGGTATTGTAAATCACCACGGTGGAAAACAAAGTTCGCCCAAACCCAAAGAAATCCATTCCCTCTTTTAGACGATAGCCAGCTTGGTGGCGGCGATGTCCAGAGCATCGACGTCAGCAGTCAAACGGGCGAAAGCCTTCTTGGAGCCGTCGGGGCTATATCGCAGCCAATTAGTACATCTGTATATCACTATATGCACAATACACAAATTGTGCGTGCCAGGAGAGAGACCTACCGGACAAGAGTGTTGACCTTGACGGTGTCAACGTCGTACAGCTTCTTAAGAGCCTCCTTGATCTGGCGCTTGTTGGCCTTGACGTCGACGATGAAGACGAGGGTGTTGTTCTCCTCGATCTTCTTCATGGCGCTCTCGGTGTTCAGGGGGTAGAGAACGATCTTGTGGGCGTCGAGGCGGGCGTCACGGGGAACGGAGACGCGGGGGTACTTGGGAGACCGCGAGAGCTGGAGGGTCTTGGGGCGGTGGAAGGTGGTCGAGGTGCGAACCTTGCGGGACTTGTGGAGCTGAAATTCCCCCGATATGTCAGTAATTGTGAATTTTCGGCGGAGATGTTTCGGCCCATGTGAAAACCTGTCACTTGGACCGGGCAGGAAAGACGTACGGAAGAACCCTTCACAACTGCCTTGGCGGCAGCATTAGCCCGGGAGGCGGTGCCTGAAGACGCAGAAGAACTTGGTCAGTTTCAATGTATTTGAGATTCAACATCTAAGAGACTGATGTAGATTGCGAAAACGGTGCGGTCGAGGAGAACTCCGGAGGACACGAGAAATCTGAGATTGCTGAGAGTTTTCGAGCGTTGTGTGTCTCCAGCGAAGCCCACGATATCTCGTGTCCTTCGCGCGGCATTGTTCACGATATGGAATTTTGTGAAGCACGATATTTCTTTCCTCCTCGTCTCCTCCGAAGGACCATTCTCACGGGTATGGAATTTCACAGGGGTGTCGAATGCAATGAAGCGATGCCATTCGAACGTACCTTGCTTGGTGGTAGGGGCCATGGCTGTCGTCCGCTGTCGTGGTGATTGTCGCAGTGTCGAGATTCGAACAATTCTGGAGTGGCTTCGCTAAGCGAAAACCCTAGACTGTGTGGGTCAGGTGATCTCGGGATCTATCCTTAGTCATCACTGTGCTGAGTCATCTCGGGTTCCTCCCGGAGATCGTCTTTTTTGATACTCGGTGTTTTTTCCGTGAAGAACAAGAACAAGACTACGATATCCGACATTCCTGTGGCAGTTCCTGTTTCAAAAGAGAGTGACTTTGGTTGAATCATCATATAATGCGTTTTGCACATACCTGACTTCTTTGTGTAATATCCTTCCACATATCAACCGCAGCATGGCTCCAAAGAATCGGTCTAAGAGGCCCGGTCTACTCTCCAAGGGCCGGCCACCCACTGTCAAGTCTAAACAAGCTGCTCTATCTGCTAAAGCCACTCGCACTCTCATACGGTCTCACCATCAACTCCTCAAAGCACGATCTCATGCCGAAAAGGCTGGAGACCAAGCCCGAGTGAGCAGCATTGATGCTCAAATCCAAGCCAATGGAGGATTGGAGAGCTATCAAATCGCTAGTAAGCTCGGTCAATCAATGGATCGTGGCGGTGATTCCAGCAAACTTCTAGTCGAGTGGATCAAACCACATTTGGATCAATGGAAGAGCACCCTACCCAAATTGCGAGTCTTGGAAGTTGGAGCACTGAGTACAAAAAATGCCTGTTCAAGAACCCCAGCTTTGAATGTTACACGCATCGACTTGAATTCCCAAGAGCCAGGAATTCTCAAGCAAGATTTCATGGAACGACCATTGCCGACTTCGGATGACGAACGCTTTAATCTCATCAGTCTATCCCTGGTGCTGAACTATGTACCCGATGCCGTTGGCCGAGGCGAGATGTTGAAGCGATGCGTCAAGTTTTTGACCTCTGAGTGTTCTATATCATTCGTCCCCACTCTCTTCTTTGTCCTGCCAGTGGCCTGTATTGACAATTCTCGCTATCTTACGGAAGAGCGGCTTCTTGAGATTCTGGCAAGCCTGGGCTTCCATCTCGTGCAAACCAAAAGAACTTCAAAATTGATTTATCAACTATGGCACTACACAGGAGCATGCACTTTATCCCGGGCTTTCAAGAAGGAAATGCTCAACCCTGGTCATAAGAGGAATAATTTCGCTGTCATTCTCGAAGGCTGAATAAGCTTAGTGCTTCAAGTTCATATCTGACACTTCCACACCACATGGTTCAGATGCCAGTGCCACCAAAGTGGTGTCGAGCTAGCTCTCTGAAATCATCTCCCTGGGCAGGAATGCCCATACTGTTCCAATTGTCGCCAAAATGCAAGATGTAATGAGCAAAAACCAATCAAGAATGCGCTCACGTCGGCTAATTTCGTCCCCAAAGATCTTCAGATAGAAGGCCAGAGGGAAAATGATGCAAATTGTGAAGCAGAGAAACGAGCCCAAAAACGCCATGATCCGATCAAAACTTGGGAATACAATGGACAAGACCACAATTAAAGCAACTGTGAAGATGCGAACCGCAACTCGAATGAACTGCTGAATTACCTCTGTGCGCCGCCCAGACCGGGGATCTGCCGACACGCGCCCCATGTTCACGCCACAGAGGACTTCAAATGTAGCAACCAGAGGTCGTGCACTAGATTTTCTGTTAGCATGATTCTGTGATAGCAGGGTGAAGCCTTCCGACTTACTTCAATGGCACCTTGGTCAGCGGGATGATGGATATAAAAATAATAATACAGACAGACAAGGCTTGCGGATAATCGCTCACGGTGAGAATGTTAGCCGTGATTTCATCACGAACAATGTCACCAAACATGAACCAGCCGATAATTGCCATGGAGCAATCGAGAGAGAACTATAAATGGTCTCGTTAACGACAGTGGTTCCCAATTCAATTGCAAATTAATTGCATGGATATGCCTTCTCCTTACTGTAAACAAATAAGTTGCCCATAGACTTTTCCCATATTTCTTCGGGTGCCTCATGTCTCGGTAGATATTCGGGAAGACGCCATGCCCACCCCAAGGCGCTATTCCCCGGCGTTAGTATCTTGATGCTGGTTCGAAGATGGATATAAAGCTTACACATAATCAGTCCAAAACTAAGAGGGAGGGTAGCCCAATTTTCGGGGAACAGAAATGTCTTCGCCGGCTGTTGCAATGAACCCGGGCTATGTGGCTTGATCAAGCCATCAACACAGATGAGAATAACAACTGTTTATCGTCAGAAAAGCCAGCCCTTGATTCTAACTTACCCCAACAGATGATGTAAGACTTACTGGAAGTGCAGGAGATGATGCCCAGAATGCTGGTCACGCTGAGAAACCGGAGGGGCAGGAAATTCAACGGGACCAATACAACTCCACACACGATCTTCCATTGCAGGATGCTCAGAGAGGGAACCAACGCATACAGGCTGTCTGCGAATAGGACTACCAAGGCCACGCAGGCCCCTAGAAGCTCCAGGCAGAAAAGAAAACTAGTCACCAAACGGGCATGATGTCCAAAGCTAATATAGGCAAGGTCGGCATACGTGACAAGGGTCTTGTCCACATCCAGACACTTGGCCAGGATCTTGGCCGTATAGGAGGTCGTCACGGCAGAGTATACGAGAAATAGTAAGCCCAACACCCATCCGGCATGCTTCATGGCCAATGGAAGACTCAGCAGCCCGATACCAATCAGAACGTTGACCGAGTTAAAGATGGTTTGGGGCACAGTTGACTGCCCAATGATGATGTCCTCATGCGTCCCATCTTCATGCTCGATATGCTTGAGTAGCAAAGGCTCTCGATCAGGATCGCCCGTGCCGTCCCCCACGGCTTGCTGCTGTTCTCGATGAAACTGGATCGCATGGCGTCGCGTGGCCTCGCTCACCCGCGAGGAAATCGTGCCGTAAGAGGTCGCAAAGCTCCGTTCAAACGAGGAGGCAAGTAGCCCGGCACTGGGAATTCCTCCCCTCGATCTAGTAGTGCCATGGTTTCCTTCCTCGCCCAGTTCTTCTCTATCCGAGTCATCGGACAGAAGAGGGCGCTCGACGTCGGATGCCCGACCCCAAGATTGGGAGCTTCGGGAACCATACTCAATCCCCGTTGCAATAGCCAATTCGTCGTCAGTGTCAGCAGACACGAATGATGAGCGCCGGGGAATGACTTCCGGGAAACAAGCTGCTCTTTGCCACGAGCGGGCGAAATTATCGATACTGTTTGGGCCGCCTGCTTGTCGGAATCGAGAAAACGAGGAAGACCTGGGTAATGGGAGGTTAGAGAAGCCATGAAAAGCAAGCAATGGCAGAAAGCCTACCTCTCTCGACCCCAATTTTCGACCTCAGCGATCGCATTTTCTCCACTCGGGTGGCCAAAGTCATACGAGCTCGGCTGAGCGGCCGCTGGGATTCTCAACGAGCCATAGCTGGACTCTCCTTCCGGATGTTCTTCTGTGTTCCTCGAAGACATTTCTGCCTTTGTCTTTCTCCGAAGAAAAACCCTGCGATCAAACCCGTCACACAAGCAGTGACCCTGTGTGGCTCCGGGGCAGTCGTTTTGTCTGCCTCGGGACGGGATCCTCGTGATAGCGCGTGCAACGAGGTGTGAGGTTCCTCTCGCGCCGTCGATCAACCAAATTGGCCGTAGACTGCCGGAAAAAACCCCTATAAGAGCGGGAAGCCCAGTGCTGTGGAGGGGAGACAGGAAAGATAAGGTCGCACGAGAACCCGAGGACGACGCCCCGAAGCTCCTCAATCTTCGCTAGTGTGGGGTGATAGCGTGCCATTGCTGATAAGCGCCTGGCTTCCCGTTGTTTCATGTAATGCTAATTGACGACTTGAACTAGCTAGGGTGGATAGGAGATATGCTCCCAATCACAACAATCTAGTTTGTCTAATTAAGCTCATAAATTTGGTTACTATTCAGTTGCGAAAGACAAATCATCAATATACGGAAGATGACCTGGAAAATCAATATTGTGCCAGGCCTTCATGAATGGCGCATGGCCAGCTTGTCTTAGATTTTGTACTCGAGAGAGCAGATAGTACGACTCAAACAGACGGGTTTGATTCATTTCTTTTCTGCTTTAGGTAAGAAAGAACCAGATAGGTCCTCTGGCCGGAGACCGGAGAGGTGACATTATGGGATTATCCTATTATATGCAAGACTGAGGAGTCTGTCAGAACCTAACAGGCTGGCCGAGATGATTGGCCGTGGAGTACTAGTACAGAGTCAGTCACAGTAATATCACTCCAACATGCGGCAGTGGCAGGATCCCCCATGTACTCGGTACATGCAGGTCGCAGGCCAACCCGCCACCACCAGCCCAACCTGCAGTTTGGCCTTGAACGGGCGTCAATGTCCACAGGCGCAACTGGGCCGATCGGCGCGGGAATCCAGGTGGCACCCCATCAAGGTATCCAGTACCAGCGCCAGGCACTGGCCCGCAGCCTATTCACGCGGTACTGAGTACAAGCAGGGGCCCGATGCCCTGGCTTACCTCATCCCACCGCCCACGGAGCCCCTCGACCCCACGGTGCCTGAGGAAATTTGCAGCCTCTACGTCAAACCAGCAAAGGTGTGTCCACCCTCCCTGATCTTCCTGGGCTGTCATTTCTGAATCTGTAAAAACGTTTTCCTTGTTTTGCCAGATTTTTCAAATATCGAGGATCGTGAATTGCTGACTTTCCGTCTTGGGCTAGGTATTAGGCAGGTCCCAGGCTTTGTTACTTCGGGTCTCTCCCATTTTGACCCCCCGATTAGGCGTCGACAGGCAAGGCCTCTGATACTCTTTCCGCGCAGTCGCAGAACACCTTCGCCTCGCCCATCATGAGTTCCCAACAGCAGGGCCAGGGGGAAGCGGAGAAGAACATTGAGATGTGGAAGGTGAAGAAGCTGATCAAGCGCCTGGAATCAGCCCGTGGAAATGGAACCTCCATGATTTCCCTCATCATTCGTACGTCCTGCATTCCCCCTCCGACTGTCGCAGAGACGTCTCAGACGCCCTGTAACCGAACAATGGACACCCACTGACGTTCCGTTGCAGCGCCCAAGGACCAGATTTCTCGCGCAGCGAAGATGTTGGCTGAAGAATACGTACGTATCCCTTTGATCTCTCCTATGTTGCCCTCGAACAGACTCGGAAGCCACAACAGGGCTCTCATTTAATCCAAATATTTGAAGATAAGATGGAAATCAGCATACTAACCCCATGATTTGCTAGGGTACCGCCTCCAACATTAAGTCTCGTGTCAACCGTCTCTCCGTTCTGTCGGCTATTACCTCCACCCAGCAGCGTCTCAAGCTGTACAACAAGGTTCCCCCGAATGGCTTGGTGGTCTACTGCGGTGAAATCATCACATCGGAAGGAAAGGAGCGCAAGATTAACATTGACTTCGAGCCCTTCAAACCCATCAACACCTCTCTGTATCTGTGTGACAACAAGTTCCACACCGAGGCCCTGAGCGAGTTGCTGGAGTCGGACCAGAAGTTTGGTTTTATTATCATGGATGGTAACGGAGCTCTGTTTGGTACCCTGAGCGGAAACACCCGTGAGATCCTTCAGCGTCTCTCCGTCGACTTGCCCAAGAAGCACGTGAGTTCTGTCCCTTTCACTCATTCTAGTATTTCAGGTTTCTCATGTCTGTGCCTTCTTTTCAGGGTCGTGGTGGTCAATCCGCGCTGCGTTTCGCGCGTCTGCGTGAGGAGAAGCGTCACAACTACGTCCGCAAGATCGCCGAGTTGGCTGTCCAGAACTACATCACCAACGACAAGGTCAACGTCGCAGGTCTCGTCCTGGCTGGTTCCGCCGACTTCAAGAACGACTTGAACCAGTCTGACATGTTCGATCAGCGTCTGCAGGCCAAGGTCATCAAGGTTGTTGATGTGTCTTACGGTGGTGAAAACGGCTTCAACCAAGCCATCGAGCTGGCTGCCGAGACTCTCAGCAGCGTCAAATTCATCCAGGAGAAGAAGCTGATTGGAACCTACTTCGATGAGATCTCCCAAGATACTGGTAAAGTCTGCTATGGTGTTGAAGATACCCTCAAGGCTATGGAGCTTGGTGCTGCCGAGACTCTGATTGTGTACGAGAACCTGGATGTCACCCGTTGGATTCTGAAGAGCTCTACTGGTGATGAAGTCATCTTGCATACCACGAAGGCCCAGGAGGCCAATCGTGAGCTTTTCACGGACAAGGAGACCGGAACAGAGATGGAGGTCATCGACTCGAACTCCTTCCTGGAGTGGCTTGCTGAGTCCTACAAGGACTTCGGTGCCAATCTGGAGTTCGTTTCGGACCGTTCCAGCGAGGGTAACCAGTTCGTGAAGGGCTTTGGTGGTATCGGGTCTATTCTCCGATACAAGGTGAACTTTGAACAACTCGCCGATTATAGCGACGACGATGAGTTCTACGACGGTATGTTTTGAAACTTATGTTATGACGTGATCACCACAAACCATAGTTACTAACCTGTTCGTTGCTGCAGATTGACGTTTCGGCCACCTCGCAGAGAGCGAGGATGAACGGCCAGAAGCTCCCTCAGCGAGTCTTCTGACGGCTCGCCCCGTGGGACATGAAGGCGGCTCCAAAAATGGAATCCAGGCATCCGTGAATGACACCGTCAAATGGGCTATTCCGAGCTTTGTGAAGCTGCTCAGAGGTCAGTTCAACCCAAATTCCCAGCCCGCGTTTCCGTTTCTCTCACTAACATTCTTCATGTATAGGGTCATCCAAGCTCCGTAATACAATTCTGACTGAGGTTACCTCAGTGTCTGAGATGAAATTGAAGTGTAGATTGCAATTTTAAGGGTTGGATGCGATTCTCTGCAACATTTGGTCACTTATTCCCCTCTTCCAGTACTTTTAAGTTGGATGGAGTGGTATTTGAGTGAGTCGGTGTTTCTCGCTGCGACCACCCTCGTCGCTGTTGTGCCAGAATGAGACCTTCTGTCCTGGTTCTTCGCTCTTTTTTTTGGCTTATGCACATTCGTTATATTTTGAAAATGCACCGGAAACGTTCATAAATTGCTAGAATCGATGTCCTTATTCGCATCTATTCAAGTTGAAGACCGATTACCCCTATTCTACAAAAAGCTTTTAAGGATGGGAACTTGTATATGGTATCGATTCAAAAAACCCTAGATTTTGTGTTATGTGTCGCCCGCCATATGCAGTGGCCCCGAAATTTGTATTGTTCCTTTGTGAAAAAGGGTTGAGAGGGATATAGTGTAACGGACATAAATGCTTTTGACTTTTCTCATCAATTCATCCCGAAATGAGTAGTGCTTTGGCAGTGCTTCAGATGAGTTTCGCACCCAGCTGGTCTTTCCAGGTACCCAAATCCGTGCAGAACTCGGTGACATGTCGAAGATCATTCAGAGCTTTGAGAACAGCATCTTTATTCTCCTCAGAGGGGGTCCGTCCACACTCCACAAAGAAAATGTATTGCCAGGCACGTTTCAGACTTGGTCTTGTGTTAATACTGGAGAGGTTTAGGCCATGGGCCTTGAATATCAGTAGAGCATTCGCCAAGGCTCCCGGCGCGGAATGATCAATTGCAAACGAAACCAGTGTTTTATGTGTCGTCACTGGGGCCGGCTGGCCCGCTGGTACATGCACATCGGGCTGTTCAAATCCCAGTTGTGCAGTTCGCTCGGCGACCACATTTCTTAAAATCAGAAAACGAGTGGTGTTATCGGCGCGGTCTTCGATATTCTCTTTTAGCACGTCGACACCATGATATTCGGCCGCGAAACGACTGGCAATCGCCGCGCTTCTTTCTTGCGTCTCTTTAAAAACAAATTCGGCGCCTTTGGATGTCGAAGAGACGTCTTGTCGTTCGATTCCCTTGAAATGTTGAGACAGGAAAGCCTCGCATTGACCCCATGCTTGCGGGTGTGTATATAATTTGGTAATCGAGCCGTCATAGCTCTCCCAGCCGGCAGGATATGTGCCCTTGCGAACCAATAAACAATGGTGGACTGTCAAGTAGTACTCCCCGCACACCTTCACATCTTTGTAGAGGCCCGCGCGGTCCGCCAAAAGATCCAGTGTCTGGACCACAGATCCATTGGTTGAATTCTCAAAGGGAATGACTGCATAGTCTACATTCTGCTGTTGCACCGCGAGAAAGGCATCATCAAACGAGGCATGGGGTTGCAATTCTGCTGTCGTCCTCGTAAAGGACTCAGTGGCGGCCTATGACCGAAAACTTTAGAAACTCGGACACATGCAAAATGTGGGGTAGAATGAATTATACCTGATGCGAGAACGATGCCGGTGGACCCAGATAGGCCACTTTGAGGTTTTCGGCGGACATCTTGGGACTGAAAGCTCGCCAATATCAAGACGAATGGGATTCTGAAATACACATGACGCAGAATCCCCCCTCCGCGCTCTTCGATCGACGACCATCCGTACCGAGCGGTGAGGGCGAGGTATCCGGTGCCGTCTAAACAAACAAGGCAAACTTCTGCTCGAAACAGCTCTCGAGTCATCTGGGCAGACCTCTCATTATTCGAAGATTTGCATCACACTTTTGCCCTGCATCTGGCCGGCTTGGTGTTCAGTGTTCATGCAGAAGAGTCTAGTGCGGCCCTGGCTAGTGCCACGGACAGCCCGGCTATGCCGAGCTTACTCCTCACTCGCCGAGCGCCTGCGTAATGAGCTCACAGCGCGCAAGATTCCACTGTTTTACGACTACTTACATCCGCAGCCATCGCATCTGTTGAATATCTCGCTTTGCGACCTTCTGCCGGCGTCCTCCATTCCGTGCAATGCGGCGACCACTCTTCCATCGATCAAATCCCCATTGCCCTTGCCCATTGGACACCATTTGATTTACTTTCCGCCCCAAGTCACATTGTCGCAATTGCTGCCAGACGGCACCGATATTCTCCATACACCCGGAGATCCATTTAACCGGCGGTTATGGGCAGGAGGCAATCTCCGATTCCCCACGAATAGCCCTCTTCTGGATGGCAGCCGCGCCGTCTGTATCGAATCGATCCGAGATGTAACCGTGAAAGGGCGGGACGGAGATGAGAAGGTAATAGTCACAATTGAGAGGCGGGTAGGCACAGTACCAGAAGGCGAAGATGAGTCCCACACGTGGAACCGAATATGGACCCAGAACGAGGCCGACGCGGGGGAGTCGTCTGTTATTGAGAACCGTGACCTTATTTTCATGCGGACCAAGAGTGCCGAGCAGGTCCAATTGGACCAGACGCAATTTTCGAAGCCCAGTCGCATTGTCAAAGGTACACGCTGCATTCACGGTTGATCCGCGACTATCTTGTCTTCATCGACTCGGATTGCTGACGCTGATGAAACAGCGCCCTCCAATGCGACATTCCGCCATGCCATGGTGCCCTCTAAAGCACTGCTATTTCGCTTCTCTGCTCTAACCTTTAATGCCCACTCCATCCACCTCGACCAACGATATACTCAGAGCCAGGAAGGCTATCGCAACCTTCTAGTCCATGGACCGTTGTCATTGACATTGCTCCTCAGTGTGCTACAGCACCACCTTCAAGGCCTCGGTCTCCAGGTTGCCCGCTTTGAATACAGAAACCTGGCGCCTTTGTTTGTGGAAGAAGAGTTGTTTGTATGTGGTAAACCTAAGAATGATCACGGTGCTTGGGACGTGTGGATTGAGGGCCCTAATGGAGGCTTAGCTGTGCGAGGCACTGCGCAGACCGATTCATTGTAAGAAATGAAATAAATAAATAGGCCATTAAGTATCCAATACATACTTCATTGCATTGACAATTAACTTGGTAATACCCCTCAACGAGGCTGATTTACAATCTTGATAGAGATGTCTATCTAGAAATATATTCACCTATCCCCCCGTATGGTAAGAAGATCTTCGTTTTGTTTTTTCCTGGTGGAGGGGATATAATTTGTTATGATCAGAGGCATGTGCATTTGAATATTTGCTGAACGTTCAATAATTATCAACCTAGATTAACGTAATGACATCCCTCTGGATGGCCTTTCCACGTATCTGTGGTGACACCTCGAAACGCGGCTCTGAGTCAAGACCCACAAAATGGGGCGGATCCCGGCGAAACCTCAACCCGTACCGGTGTGACTTAAATTCTCACCATAACTTCTTTTCCCTCTTTCTTCTTCCTTCTCCCACAACCCAGCTTCCTAGCTCATAACCTTCGGGTGTAATGACATGAGCTTTGCCCAACTCAATTTCTAACCATTTAGCACTTGACTACCCTTCTCTCTGATTGAGATGGACCCGTTCTGGCAGGCACCTCCTGTGTCGAGGTACGCTCGTTGTCCCCGCCCCAAATCCGAGTGAGGGCGCGGATATTAACGTGTCCTCTTCCAGAACGCTTGCTGCAGCGACCTTTGTCGTCTCATTGCTCTTCTGGAGTGGCTTGACGGAAGGATGGTGGATCGCCTTTGACCCAAAAAAGGTCTTCTGGACTTTTCCACCCCAGATATGGCGGCTGTTCACGTCCTTCATGCTCACCGGCCCCAGGCTGGATTTTGTCTTTGATCTCTTCAACTGTATGGTGCCTAGGAATTGCATTGGCGTCCATTGACCCAAATGCTAATGATGTGGGTAGTGTGGCGCTTCAGCAGTGCCCTGGAAGAGCGCTCGGGCCGATTCTCCAAGCCTGGGGATTACTTCATCTACATTCTATTCGTAGGCACCGTCATTTTGGTAAGTGCTTTGCGTGACCGAGACTTTTTCTCGGGTAGATGTCTGCGTTTTTATTTTTTGTGCTTTGATACCCTTGTCACCTCACATATCTGCCCGCCCAGCCTTTTTCTAGCTGAAGCGGTTCCTGGAAGTGAGGAAGATTGCCCCTGCATCTCGTGCAGCACTGCCTTATTCGCAAATATTTTATGGTGCTGCATGCGGTGTGGGATTGGTGGGACTACCTATTGAGATAACCGTCGTGATCCTATAAGTTCGCGTTGGTGGTTAAGGTGCCCTACATTCTACATAAAACATCCTGTCTTTCTTTATTTCTCACTATTATACCCCAAATGTCATTCCATTCCTCTTCATGCTCCTTCTATGCCTTCCCATGGTAGCCTATAACCAGTCCCCTCCAAGATGCTAACTTGCCTTGAAGCTCACTGCAGGACTGTTCTTAAATTCAGCAGTTCACCTCCATGGTATGCTCCCTGATTGCCCGTGGTGGCGGGAACGCCTTGGGCATGTACTGAAATTTTTGGAATAGCTCTAACAACAGGACTTTGCTGGACATATGCCCAGGATAACCGCGGGACCAAAGTGAGTTTTTTCATGTTCAGCATCCCTGTCATCTACCTGCCCTGGGCGATGCTCGTAATCACCATGGTCAGAAACGGGTTCTTCGGTGCGGTGATTGAGTTCACCGGCATTATTGGGGCCCATCTGTATGATTTCCACACTCGCATCTACCCAGCCTTCGGCGGTGGAAGAAATTACATTTCCACACCCCAATTCGTGCGCCGCTTCTTTTCAAAGCATACTCCGCGGTCTGGATACCGTGGATATGGCACGGCGTTCCACCAGCCGGATCAATCTGCATCTGCGTCTCAAGCCCAATCGTCCGGTACAGATGCCAGCGACCGCAATTGGGGCAACTGGGGTAGCGGGCGTCGACTTGGCTGAGTCTGTGGGATAGAGAATTGGATCAAACGCTACCAATTCTTCCGAAATAGATCACTGGCACGAATCCAGTCCAGTGTTGGATTGGGCGCCCATAGGATAGGTGGGCCTCATAAACTCACGATCACCGCCAACATGTAACATACAATCCAAGGCAATTAGCGTTCAAGACTGAATGGAATTCCCCCGAGATTGAAGCCAAAAAACAATTGTCCGTAAAGAGTGTCCAGCGTTCTATACTCCGTAATGATTCGGTATCGCGCTCATTGCCACATCACGTGATCACTAGCGGGCGCTAACCCAATCTGGCACTGGAGCTGCCGCACTCGCAAAATTTCGTCGAGCAAATTTTTGGACTTCAACAGCAAACCACCGCTACGATGGCCGCCGTCAACAACCAGGAGATGGACTACGCCATCAAGCCCGAGGTCGTCAATCCGACCATTAACACCGAAGATTGGCCGCTTCTTCTCAAGAACTACGAGAAGCGTATGTCCTTTTGTGCTCGAGAAATGCCATATTTGATCCCGTCTAACTTCTTTCCTGCGCAGTGCTCGTTCGCACCGGTCACTTCACCCCGATCCCCGCCGGCGCTTCCCCTTTGAAGCGTGACATCAAGTCCTACATCAGCTCTGGTGTCATCAACCTCGACAAGCCCTCCAACCCCTCCAGTCATGAGGTCGTCGCCTGGATGAAGCGCATCCTCCGGTAAATTTTTCCCAGCCTCTGTTTCTCCCTCCTCCAATTTCTCTTCTAGAGCAACGATACTAATTATCCATCTTTATTTCTTTTATAGCTGCGAGAAGACTGGTCACAGTGGTACCCTTGACCCCAAGGTCACTGGCTGCTTGATTGTTTGCATTGACCGTGCTACTCGCCTCGTTAAGTCCCAGCAGGGTGCCGGTAAGGAGTATGTCTGTGTGATCCGTCTCCACGATAAGATCCCCGGCGGTGAGGCTCAGTTCCGCCGTGCCCTTGAGACTCTTACTGGTGCGCTTTTCCAGCGTCCCCCTCTGATCTCCGCTGTCAAGCGTCAGCTGCGTATCCGTACCATCCACGAGAGCAAGCTGTATGAGTTCGACAACGATCGTCACCTCGGTGTCTTCTGGGTCAGCTGTGAGGCCGGTACCTACATCCGTACTCTCTGTGTCCACCTGGGTCTGCTGCTCGGCGTTGGTGCTCACATGCAGGAGCTGCGTCGTGTCCGCAGTGGTGCTATGGACGAGACTCGCGGCATGGTTACTCTCCACGATGTCATGGATGCCCAGTGGGTGTACGACAACCAGCGTGATGAGAGCTACCTGCGTAAGGTTATCAGCCCTCTCGAGAGCCTGCTCACCTCCTACAAGCGTATTGTCGTCAAGGACAGCGCTGTCAACGCCGTCTGCTACGGTGCCAAGCTGATGATTCCTGGTCTCCTGCGTTTTGGTAAGTCATTTGCATTTTCCGCTTGGCCTTTTACAAGGAATGACAAACTAATTTGAATTTTTTTTACCATTTATAGAGGCTGGCATTGAGGTCAACGAAGAGGTTGTTCTTATGACTACCAAGGGCGAGGCTATTGCCATTGGTATCGCCCAGATGTCCACCGTGGAGCTTACCACCTGCGATCATGGTGTCGTTGCCAAGGTCAAGCGTTGCATCATGGAGCGTGACCTCTACCCCCGCCGCTGGGGTCTGGGCCCTATTGCCCTTGAGAAGAAGAAGCTCAAGTCTGCCGGCAAGCTGGACAAGTGGGGTCGCACCAACGAGGCTACTCCCGCTAAGTGGAAGAGCGAGTACAAGGACTTCAGCGCCCCTGAGGAGGCTGGCGAGCAGGCTGCTGCTGCTGAGCCCCAGGCTCCTGTCCCTGCCCCTGCTGAGGAGGATTCGACCATGAACGAGGCCGATGCCGATGATGACAAGAAGAAGCGCAAGCGCCACGAGGGCGAGACTGCCGAGGAGCGCGCTGAGCGTAAGCGTAAGAAGAAGGAGAAGAAGGAGAAGAAGGAGCGCCGGAAGTCCAAGCAGGAGAGTGACAGCGATGACAGCGACTAGACGTTCCAGGAAGACCTACCACCAGCCCGGTCTACTTCCTGTACCATATTTTGTGATTTGTTTGCTACTTCTGGAGTCATGGGTCAAAAGGGAATCTGTCGGTTTGAAGATTTATAGCTACTCGAATCTTATTCGAATCCTATTTCTGTGCAAGTAAAACCAACCAACCGCGTAGGGCTTGTAATTCAGCTTGGACTCAACCCGATCTCGTGACCTTACCTAAGGAATCTCGGAATCTCCGCACTTCCCCTCCGTCACATCACCAGACCTTCTCCTCACCCCGATTGCCTGGAAGGAGTTTGAGACGAAATCTCCGAGGATCCAGCAAGAACAGATATTCATCCACTTCCAAAATGGCCGAGGAGCTCACTTCTATAAAGCTCAATCCAGAGAGCCACATCATCTTGGTATGTGCTCAAGCTCCATGGGGTGGTAGAACCGTCACCGGAATCGGGAACTAACTGCACCTCCGACCAGGATCAACCACTTCTCCGGCTTCCCCAAGAACTCGCCCGTAGGAATTTCAAGAGCGTTCAACGGTCCGTTGAACGAGAAAAGGATTATGTCCTCCCAGCTCTTAAAGAGGCAGCCAACGCCTCCCTATCCAATAGCAGTACACCCGACCAGACACTCGCGGCTCTCGATGCGATGATTTCTCGCATGCAGGGCTTGAAGCGGAAGATGCAGAGCCTGCAAGAGGAAGAGAAGAAGATTCAAACACAATCACGGAAACGAATTCAACACCTGGAGACATTACACAAGATTCCCAGCTTGGCCGACGTCAAGTATGACCAGTGGTCGCGCGTCCGGCTAGATCGGTTACTTGTGGACCATATGTTACGGTCGGGATACTCGGAGAGTGCAAAGCAACTAGCCCAAGAGCGAGAAATTGAAGACCTGGTTGACTTGGGCGTCTTTACCCAGTGCCAGCGAGTTGTTGAGAGCCTACGCCGCGGGGAAACCAAGGAGGCGCTGCAGTGGTGTGGCGAGAATAAAGCTGCACTTAAGAAGAGCCAGGTAGCTATGCCACTCTTTCATCCAGACGCTGAAAACAATTGGGAGAGAGGCCAGCGATACTAACAATCCTTCATTTACAGCATAATCTAGAATTCGAGCTGCGGTTACAGCAGTACATCGAGATGATTCGCACACAGCACCAGACAAAGAAAATTGAGGCCATTGCCCATGCTAAGAAATACCTAGTGTCCAGCCAAGATCCTGAGAGTCGAGAACTACAAAGGGCAGCAGGAATGCTCGTTTTCAACCAAGGCGCCAAAGTGGAGCCATACAAGGTAAACAGCTGAACTCCTCCCTCTCTAGGAACTTTCGCGTGACTAATGTCTTGACAGACATACTTTTCGCCGGATCGCTGGAAGCTACTATCTGACCTTTTCATAAAAACACACCATGAGCTCCTATCGCTCCCATCCCAACCATTGCTACACATTGCCCTGTCCGCCGGACTCTCGGCACTGAAAACCCCGCTGTGTCACTCTGCGTATACATCCTCTAGCTCCAACTCACAATCCACGACAACATCTGTGTGTCCGATCTGTTCCACTGAGCTGCACGAGCTGGCTCGCAAGATGCCCTATGCGCATCACTCCAAGAGCTACGTGGAAGGCGACCCGATCGTGCTACCCAACGGTCGAGTCTACGGCAAGGCGCGACTGTTGGATATCAGCAAGAACCTCGGGAACGTAGAGGCCGGCAAAGTCAAGGACCCGACCACGGGTGAGGTGTTCGAGGAAACTGAGATGAAGAAGGTGTATATCCTGTAAATCGGCTCAATCCGACTCATTGTTGTTGCATAGCAGTGATGCGGTCATAATAAATGCAATCCACGCAAGATCTAGTAACCGGAGCTCTCCCGATATTAAGCAAAAGTCCATCGCTACTCGCTGTCACTATCATTCTCTCTCGCCCGCTTCTTCTTCTTCCCCGTCTGCTCGGCTTGCCGCTTCACCTCGAATACATACATCCGTGCATCACGGTCCTCACCCCTCCATCCCCCGCGGCCTCCGCTTTTCCCTTCTACTTCTCCCAGTGTGCGCGCATGCGAGTAACCCTCGTACGACGCCCATGGAAACCGGAAACTCGTTACAACCTGCAGCCCCGCGTGCCGCGCCAAGTCCTTGACGTTCCAGAGTGTATACGGCTCCGCCTCGAAGAGCGATACCAAGATCTGGCCCGGGCCCTCGCGCACAGCCTTTCCACTCGTCTGCGCATCCTCACCCTCACCATCCAGATCTTCCTCATCACCAGAGCTCTCATCGTCGTCCTCTTCCTCGTCCCATTCATCGTCCGAATCCGCGGGCTTTGGCGCCGCTGACAACAGCGGTACGCACGCTTTGAAAAAGGCTACCAGCAGCTCCTGGTTCGACCGCACCTGTCGGTTTACGTCCGTCGACAGCCCACCCACGTGCGGGAAGTTGAAGCAGATGACGTCCCATGGCCCGCTCGGCACTGGTGCCGGCGCCGGCTGCGTCTGGACTTTCCAGGCTGGTCGCTTGCGCTCTTTGCGCGGGAAGCCGGTGCGGATGTCTTTGCCTCCGCCGGCTGCGGCGCCGAGCTTGCGCGCGTCGACGGAGAAGAGGACTTTGGGGCCGGTAGGTTTGGAGCTCGGCGAGTGCTCCGGCGGTTGGTTTTGGGTGGTGGAATCCTGTTTGGCCGTAGTTGGGTTTACAGTCTTTGGATTGGCCGTGGATGATTTAGATGTTTCTAGAATGTCTTGGATGTGCTGCTCTGCTTGGGGATATTTGTCGAGAAGAGTCTCTTTTGAGTCATAGCAAGTGGCGCATAGCTTGCGACATTTATACTGCTTTGCTAGGGAGCGGGCAAAGGAAAAGTCGCCTGGAGTTTCGTTAGTTTGGCAGGATTCATACACGTATATGGACCGTATGGAATAAATGAAACAAAGCATCCCAAGAGGCCAGTGTGGAAATGGAGATTTCGAATGGCAATGGATAATACATCTCTGACCATCCGACTGGGCGATCTTGTGGATACGCTAGATGTATCCTTAGACAAGCCAGAAGTCCAATGCAATGACATGGAAAATATACCAATATTTGGTCTCCAAGCTGATTCAATCAGGGGTATATGATAGATTCAGGGGAATCGATATAGAACAGGCCAACGATCGCGAAAAAGAGTTAAAAACAAGCGAACTTACCTTCTCCGATCAACAAAATACGATCACCTCTGAGAAAGGGCACAATCGGTCGCTGATTAGCCTGAATCGGCTGGTTTTTCAGATTTGCATCCTTTCCAACACCCCCTTGCTTAGAGTCTTGCTTGAAACCCTTATTCTTGGGCTTTGATGTCGCTGGAGTAGGCCCTGGCTTAGGAGGCCCGCCAGCGTGATGAGCGCGGGCCGAAGGGCCCTTTTGCTTCTTACGAGGCATTTCAAGAGCCAAAATATGTGGCCGCCTAGAGTATCACAAAGATAAATGCGTTTGTTGGGGGTGTGGGGGGATATCACGTCGTGTCACGGCAGGGAATATAGAATGGTCGAGGTGAAAATCAGGAATTAACTTCGGCCGATCAAAGATCCGGACATTTGGTGCTGAGCCGCTTGTGATCTCAAGACGTTTCTTCTTTTTTTTTTGACACATTTTATATCATCGCCTATTATTAAGGAAGATTGTCAATTAAATATTGATGCTTTTATACTAGATCATCTTTTTGAAAGAAATGGTTTTCATAAATAGGCTTTGTGTGGCCATTAGGGCGAGCTCCACAGTTTTAAGCCTAGAAATGAAGGTCATGCCGTTGATCTTGATTGGAAAATGGATTTCGGAGAAACCCATAGCAAATGGCCTGGCTGTATAAGAACAGAATGAGCCTGATCGGTTTCATGGCACCGCGGAGAGGTAGAAGATGCTTCCACTTAAACTCAGAAAAAAAACATGTTCTATGGCACTAACACAGCATAGCTATATACATCGAAAGCAGGTAGAGGAACCAGAGACCAGGCTATGCCCGTATGAAAACAAACACGCCACGTGGAAAGGGGGAAAATTAACTATAAATCATACTGCAAACCAAGATGGTAGGCAAGTCCTTTTCCCTGACAAAGAGAAGGCAAAAGAGGTAGGGAAAAGGGTAAGAGAAAGGAACAAGGAAAAGCCACCAACACCAGAAGATACAGGATCGACCTACAGAAGAGCGCCGACGGCTGCAATGAAACGTGAATCATACACATGCAAGAAAATCAAAATGCTTCTCCGGACGCATCGGCGAGGGAAAAGAGTGATGCAGTGGTTCTCGAGTCTATGAGACAGGAACCAATTGGGAAAACGAAGCAAAGGGTCATTTCATCTCTTTTTCCAACTCTTAAACCTGACAACCTTTTGGTTGCCTTTTTTGTTTCTCAAGAGCGCAGTGAGTCGCGCATGCTTTGGCTGCTAGCACTGACAAGCGGGTTCGAAGTGGGCAGGACGCCGGTCTTGGGCTTGGCGTTCTGCTTGATCTTGGCAACGGCATACACGATACCACTGACGAAGCCAACAGCGATTGCAGAGACGGAGGGGAAGGTGACGGGGGCGTCGAAGAAGATCAGACCAGACACGGCAATGGGCAGCTTGTTCAGAGCGCCGACCATCGAGTAGGTAGTAGACGAAGTCACACGCACACACCAGGCGGAGGTGTACGAGATGAAGACAGACGACAGGCCGGAGAGAATCATGGCGAGATAGATGCCGTTGCGGTTAGCCTCCGGGAAGTTGCGAGCCAGGTTAGCGGAGGACCAGTCCTCAACCAGAAGAGTGAAGACAATCAGGACGGGAATGGACAGCAGGTTGTTGTAGAACATGGCTAGAAAAAATGGCATTAGATACGATCTGATTAGACAGCAGAGGGAAAAGGGGGTTGCACATACTGTCAAAGTCCTTGAAGTTGGTCAGCTTGATGCGCTTACGCATGCCTAGGACATACGAGGAGGTACAGATGCAGTTGATCAGCATCCAAACGTAACCAGCGTTCAAGGTCGAGACTTGGACTGAGGTGTCCCCACTGCTCTCCACGGCGTGCTTGATATCAGCCCAGGCGGCAATGAGAGAGCTGAGAACCATCAGGCCGAATGAGAACAGGGTCATGCCAGTGACGGAGCCACCGAACCAGAGAACTTCTCCGTAAGCGATCAGAATGATCGTCAGGTTCTTGAAGATGGTATAGACAGGGATCGAGAGGAACTGAAGAGCCTTGGAGCCAGTGTAGATCATGCCGATCAGCAGAAGGGTGATAGGGAACCCTATGGCGAGGAAGATGATGCGTTAGAGGCTGAGTTTATTGATGGGAATCGCACTCGGGAAAGAGGATGGCCTTACACTTTCTTGCCTCATCGGCGCTGAAGTCACGGTAGGTGATGAGGCCCATGGACTTGCATGTTTGAATGGCAGCAATACAGACCAGCGACTAAAGAACATTAGTAAAGCCGATCTAGGATGAAGTAATACTATTGGATTCCACATACTTGCACCATGAGCAGCAAAAAGTTCAAGTTAAAGTCCAATCCCGACAGGACATACTTGTTCATGACAGTCATCATGATGGAGGAGCCGCAGTAAGCCAGAACCGGGAGGGCTGGATTATTGGCGAGGGCGCTCGGGGGAGCGCTAGTGGTCCGGGACAGAGGAGGCGGTGCAGCCTCGAACTCCTTGTTGCCCTGATCGAGTTTATCCATCTCGACGGTGTAGTCGTCGGTCTTCTTGTCTTCAACCATGGTGGCGGAGTCACCCCGAGGGGAGATGGTGGGAGGAAAGAGAGGGGAGCGGAGGGGAGGAACTTGAAAAGAAGAAGGCAACAGAAGTAAAGAATCGAAGCCAAAAAGAACAAGAACGAAGGACGGCTGAACCTCGAGGTCGACAAAGTTGAAACACCGGAGCGTACACGACGCGCGAGGGAGAAAACACCCTTGAGAACAGAACTTTTGGCCGGAAGCGGCGCGGCTTAGGTCAGCAGGGGCACAGGGGGTGGATGAGTCAGCAGGGCGGTTGGCCCTCATTCGTGAACTAATTATAACTAATTAGAACGAGGATTTGCCCCGTTGGGCTGGAAATTAACCTAGTTCCAGGAGCAAAGGAAGGATGTACGATAGAAAATGATCCAATTCCCTTGAATCCAGCGGTTGAGCGGTCTCTTACAGTCGTGACTTGCTAGGATCGAATCACGTAGACAATGTCTTGTCTGTGTCCGTAGTAAACTGTGACTACACCACACGTGCGGTGGAGCTTGACCGCGATCTTCTCCTCCACTACTTATCTTCCTGGCTTCGACCTGTACTACCTCTCACAATACCTCAATCCCGATGATTTCTCCAATTAACTAAGGCCACCCTCTACGCAAGTCCACACCCCCAGGAAATAGCTCCGGCTCCGAAAAAAGTACAAACCCCGCCCCTTATCATCGGGCATAACCCGACACCAAAAAAATGCCTCCGGCAGACGCCCACGACTCCGACGACGAAGCCCTCTTTGCTGCCCTTGAAAACGAAGACGATGCCAGCTACAGAGACCAGCGCATCCAGCAACTCAACGCCGAGTTCGCCTCGTCCAAGACCAACCGCACCGCCAACAACAGCAGCCACCCAGCCGGCGCAGGCGCCTCGCTGGTCCACAACAGCAGTTTCCCAACACTGGGCCATGACCAGGCCGTGCTAGACTTCACGACATCGACGACCCGGTGCGTTGTGCACTTTGCACACGCGGACTTTGCGCGGTGCGGGGTGATGGATGCCCGGCTGGAGGAGCTGGCGGGGCGGCATCACGAGGTGCGCTTTGCGCGCGTGGATGTGCGCAACACACCGTTTCTGGTTGAGAAACTGGGCATTCGGGTGCTGCCGTGCGTGATTGGGTTTAAGGATGGAGTGGGCGTGGAGCGGGTGGTTGGATTCGAAGGGCTCGGGGAGCGCGGCTTCGATGGCACGGAGGGGTTCAGTGTTCAGACATTGGAGAAGCGGTTGCTGTTCAAGGGCGTGCTGTTGCAGGCGAAGTTCTCCAGCGAGGACAATGAAGATGTGGAAGTTGAGGAGGGGAGTGATAGCGACGATGGAGCCAGTCGGAGGAGAGGAGGATTACGGCAGGGGAAGACGATTCGCAGTGGCACTTCGCGGAATGATGACGACGACGATGATTGGGATTGAGACGAGAACAAATGATGGGATCCTGGTCTTTTCTTGACTTTTTTTTCCCTTTTGATTGGGGGAATTTTGTTCTTTTTTCTATCGGTATAATTCCAGAGGGCTCAAGGAGAAGAAATCCTTCCATAACCAAGATATAATCGGGAACAACCCTGCACATACGAAAATGAATGGGATGACACCAGACATGATGGAATTGGGGAAATCAATTGGAGCCAGACACGGAATCAAAAGGCACTAATACTGCATCATCATAGAATTACAGGCAAAAATCAATGAGGAAGACCGTGAGCACAAAGCCATTGTGACGGCGAAGAGTCCAAGAAAGAAGACAGACAAGAAATAAGAAAGAGAAAGAGAAAAAAAAAAAGAAAAAGAGGAAAAAAATAGGAGCTCCCTAGAGTTACAACAAAATGCCACGAAGCCATAGGACCGGAGAGAACAAGGGGAAGAAATTCTATACACGGAAGCAGAGCGGTGTCATCGAGATCCGACGGGTCGTTTCATCAACGCCTGATTTGCTCTTGAGATGACAAAGAAAAGAAAGAAGCAGGAACAGATAGACCAGGGGCTTTGAAAGTGGAAGGAGACAGAAAAAAAAACTCCCTATCGGTCTCGTTAAATGGCCACGTTCTTCATCTCTCCGAGCACTTCTGAGTCCAAGACGTTCGAGGATCCGGCGACTTCATCAGTCTTGTCAGCCTTGTCAGCCTCGGAAGGCTTCCCATCGATAGGCTTGTTGGGAAAGCCTTCGTTTTCCTTGTTAGAGATCTGCGGGGTTGCCACCTCCATCAGGTCTTCTGTGACCTCTTCCTTACTTTGCTCTCTCGGATCCTCCGAAATGGTAGGCCCGGCCGTACCAACGGGGCTCGAGGTTTCTTCCGTTACGCGCGCCAGAGGGCTTGACACACCGAAGGGAGTCTTAGGGCTCTGGTTAGATCCTTTAGAGAAGCGATGGGGCGAGCGGCCACGCTCCTCAGCCCGAGTTGGGCTACCGTATGGCGAGTCCCGGGTGCTGGATTTGCCCGATGCATTCGCTCCCAATCCATTAGGGCCACGTCGACGCGGCGGGCGACGGCCATACTTCTGGTCGGTCCGCCACCGCAGAATTTCCAGGTATGGCGGCTCGACATTCTGGGACTTAAACTCCTTCAACTTCAGCTCATTGGTTTCTTCATCGACGATGACCTTGCCGCTGCACAGATCATCTGCGAAGATGGCCATGAATGCCGCCCAAGAGCGCGCAACGACATATTTACAATCGTAGTCGCGGCCAAAAATGATCACCTGGCCCCATTTCCCAGCCGGACCAGGAGCCAGATCAATTGCGAGGTGGTTGCCCCCCCAATCTCTGGCAAGCGGAATCCAGGCGGGGTGAGCATACGCCTTTTGCACGGCGCCCGGAGGCTGGGAGTCCTGGCGTTCGAGCAGCTCATTCCGCCACACCGGCGAGCCTTGTTGCTGGGACCCGGCGGCGGAGGACGAACTGGCGGCAGAGCTGGACACGGGGGCAGGGTTGTGCATCATGGACGCACTGAGGAACTCTTCATTGACCGTCTTCCAGTTCTTCCGCTCCTGCACGATCTCTTCGCAATCGAGTAGCATGGAGCTGAACAGAATGCCAGTGGGAAGACCCCCGCGCTCCTGGCCATCGTGGATCATCAATGACTCCCGCACTTCCAAGGGCAGACTGCAATCCAACTCGTGTTCCAATTCATTAATATCATTCTGGGTGCAGCCTTCGCCGAGATTGTCCAATAGCTCCTCATAATTGTGTTCCAACCACCGCTCAATCTTGCGCCAGGAGTGGGCGACTGGCGGCGGGGGCGGCGCGCCGTCATGGAAACTTTGCATCTGAATTTCGGCCATCCCCTCGGTCTGCTCGTTGGATCCGCGTTTTTGGGACGCCAGCGACCGCATGCCCGGCGAGTAGGGACGAGTGGGCGAGCCCATATCGGTGGGTGAGCCATTCAGCTCAGTGGCTTGGGAACTCGCCAAGCCCTTGGTAGGGTCATCATCGTAGGGGCTCGAGAGATCGGGACGGGACTCGATTGCGCTGGTCGCAATGGAGGTGAGAGGTTCATGACGGCTTTGGCTGAGGGGAACATGTCGGCCGGTGCGGTAGGGAGAGTCGTGGGAGGCATGACGGTCATAGGAGGTCATGGTATGCCAGAAGGAGCGCCATGCTGAACCGAATCTGCACGTAACGAGGGGGTCACCATGTCAGCGAGAAGGCCCAGCTTGAGGGAGAGGGAAAAAAAGGAAACAGTCGTGAAAGATGAGATGATCAGAGGGGGACCTTACGCGTTCGCCATGGTGTTAAGAGTGGGAGGGGGGGCAAGAGAGGGTCGGTTTTGTCAGGAGTCCAAGAGGGCGGTCATTGGCGACCGAGTCTCCGTGAGAATCGACCGGGAAGAGACCAGGACCAGTTGAGAAAGGAGAGGGAAGATAGTGAATGGAAGTTGGGGTGTCCAAGACAGAAGTCCGAGAGGGAAGAGAGTCGGATGGTCCAAGGAGGTCCAAGGAGGTCAAAGGAGGATCACTGGACGAGGAGAGTCGGCGGTTTGAACGTTCCAGTGCCACTGGGCGTGGTCGCGGCGTGTTAGGTAAGGCAGGCACGAGAAAAAAAAGATGGTTTCCCCGGGGTTTTTGCAGGATCCGCCCGGTATTTGGTTGGTAACAGGCTTGCAACTTGCAATGGAATACAGCCAGCGTGGAGAGCGAAACCTCCACAGGCTGCTGCCCTTATGCTTCGCTGAATTTGCCTCCCTGGCCGCATCCAGGTGTGCGCCCTTCAGGCATGCAGATCATGATGTCGCCGCCGTCGACGTGCGCAGCATGCCGAGCCCTTGACCACTCCGACCCTCAAATTCACCCTCCGACTCTATGATTCTATTTCAAATTCGTCTTGGGCCTCTCATTCTAGAAAGCCGTACACAATGGGGTGGCTGACATGCATTCAGGTCTGCCTAAGGTGCTGACCTACTGGTTCAACCTTCAACATGCTTACGACCTCGACGACCTCCACAGCGGGCATCCTCAACTTTACCACTGACGACGACAAATATCCTCAAAAGGGGATGAGAGAACCCAGTCGGGATTCTGAAGCTCCCCCCTCCCCTGACGCTGTGACTCGCGGAGTCGTCCACCATTCACCGTATGGAAACCAACAATGGCAATCATTCTGGTTCACTGGTGCCCCCTGGGCTTCAGCCACTTTTCAGTCGTGGCGTCCCGACTCGTCCCCGAATTAAGCTTCATCAAGACCGAGACAAGATCGACGGGCATTAACACACCCATCCCCAGGATCGATAGAGCCAATACTAGCCCTCACGCCTTCACTGAGCCACCAGGCTCTCGAAACCCATCATGGGGGTACCTATGAGACCAGCATAGCCATCGTTGACAAGGAGCCCCTTAGTGCGCGTCTTGTATTTCCATGGATTTCCAGACATCTCCCCTGAAGGTATCCGCCGGTCGGGTAACGGAAGGCGATTTCCTTAGGGCTCCAGAACCACTCAAAAGCCACAGGTACCGGGGAAACAGATTAGAGCCAACCAGAGCCCCGGAGTACGTCCGTTCTCCATCCAGCGGGTGCCACGAGCGACTCTGCGTCGACGGGAGGAGGTGTAAAATTAGCAGTTGGCCTAGACGAATCTGAGTGGAGACCCCCTCGAGCCGGACGCGGAACTCAGTGGCGTTTGGTCCAGATTACATATTCAGGGGGGCGACGCAACGGCTCCAGCCCGCGTAACCCACTCGAACCTGTTATGTAGACAATTCCCGGTTATTCCTATCGATCGGCTCGGGTTCGGGTTGGGATAAGCACACTGATTCCCCTAAATTATTGATAATGAAGATATACCCAGATGACTGGTTATCAACGGACTTAGATACTCTTAGCGAATCCAAAGGAGCTAAGTTCCTCTTGGCTTGGACCCTGATCAAGGAAAACCCGCTGTTCTGGCCCATTCTCTTATTAGGATCAGCGTCCCGAACCAACCTGGCTCCCATTCGGGGCCTAATTAAGCTTAGATGAAATGAACGGCCGTACCGCTAACTGACTCCAGCACTAGCTGGATTCTAGAATAATACACAGAGTACGGAGTAGGTTCTGACCCATCCTCGCCTTCTACTCCGTACCATACCGACCTTTCCACTTTAATTGGCCTAGTGATGCGATTGATTTCTGGGTCTTATTGGCCACGGTAACCGGGGAAATAAGCGTGAACGAACGGTGCGATACATTAGATAGTATCTTCCTCTTCTTCATCATCATCCCAGCAATCTAACCCGGAAGAATGGCCGATCATCCTTAAGACAGATTCTGCCCTTTTGAACTCGATCCGAGGTCCCAGAGACGGGAAACAATAGAAGCAGGCTTAATACCTACCAGATCTAAGAGGCAAAAACTACGTTGATGCTCTGCAACCGCACCGTTGCCGAGTTTACGAAGCAAAGAAACTTGCAAACGAGTGGATGGCATGAGATTCACACCGAAATGGAGAACGCAAATAAAATAACAACAAGGCCAAAGGGAGAAACCTAAAGGCAGGGGGGGGGGATACACAGCAGAAAAGCGCCATGCTGGCGTCAAAGCCCCAGAAGGGGCGACAGCCAACAAGGGCACCATGTACACGAGAAAGGAACGAGAAAGGACAGGAAGACGGGAACAAAGCGGAGAGCGCAGCAAAGAACGGCAAGTCTCCGTAGAGACAGAAGCAAGCGAATACAATCACAGTCATCACCGGATAGACATGGACCGTCCTGAAAAAAAAGTAACCAGGCAACGCAAAGTACTTGGCTTTGCTTGTGACAGATCCCGACTCCGAACGATGCAGAACGAAAGCAGCCGACCGGCCACAGACATCAATGTACCGAGATTGAGAACTGGAAACGAAAAATCCGTGTATCACATGAAACACCCACCAAGACAAAGCACCGTCGTCATGGAGAGAGAAAACAGTGGGGTAAAGACCAAAACGTGTACCGCCGAGGAAGATGCGCCTCAAACCGTGGACCAGTCCAGGTATGACGACTCCCGTACCAATGAACCGATGCATGAAGGACATGGAAAATGAGACACAAGAAAAAGAAAAAAGGCATAGCAAGAAATAAAAGAAAGGACATGAGGGGTGAATGATAGAGCTGACAGAAAGGGAAGGGGAGTAAAGAGCGCGATGGGGGACAAAAGATATCATGCGCAGATCATCATCCTGAAAATATGCCCAGCCATAAAGAAAAGAGCAAAACAAATTAAGCAGCAAATGAACTCTGCATTCCATTAGGTGCAATGCCGGGAGCCGGGGAGGGGGCCGCCGCATCCAGCTTCAAGATTCGCCGCAGATCATCCTCCATCTTCTTGGTCTCCATAGACTTCGAAGGGGATGGAGAATTGGGAGGCATGGCAAATGCTGCCTGCGTATATTGAGGCTGGGGTGAGACAATGCCTGCCTGAGGCAAGCGAGCTGGAGATGGAGCAGTGTAAGAATTATTTCCATAAGGAGAAGGAGACGAATGCCCAGAGGGATAGCCACTATAATAGCCATTGGTTCCTGGAACTTCGCGCCTCAGAGGCGAGTTCGTATTGCGAAATTGTTGGATGCCGTTAGCATGAGAGTAAGGAAATGGGGGACGACCAGCGTTGTTGGGCATCGGCTGTTGCTGGCCCGCAGAGTAGCCTTGTAAGTGGGTGATCGGAGGACCCGAGGAAGTCCGCATAGGAGTCGCATAGTGAGGAAGGTTTGCATCGAGGCCCGTCCGAGCAACACCGTAGTTCCCGTTCTGCTCCGGGGGCGAAGACACCGACGACGGGGGTTTCTGAGGACGGGGATTGAGCAACAGATGCTTTAGCTGCTCAGTCTTGAAGCGTCGCTGGTCTTCAGTAGCATCTGGTGGTAAACTGGGAGACTGCGACGGGGAGCTGGAGGAGCGAAGTGCGTTCATGCGATCCTGGTATGATGGAGCAAATGAAGGCCCAACAGGCGAAGCGCGTGCAGAATCGGGGGAGTCCATCTCAAACGCAAACATCCCACCCGGGGTGTTGGTGGGGTGGGGTGGGAAGATTTTGGAATCAGTTTGCGGCGAGCGAACCCGGCTGGTTGCTTCTGGGCTGCTCATAGGATTTGAAGTTCGAGCCTGTTTGGCGGCCTGGAAGAGAAAATCTAGCGGCGAAGGTTGCGCCTCATTATCCGCAGGCAGGGGGCGAGAGGCTCTCGGTTTCGACGGGGTAATTTCTAGATCGGCCTCCCCCTCCGCGACGTCACTATCCGTCTCAAGAGTGGGCGCGAGGTCGGATTCCGGGACCGACTTGGAGAAGAAGCTTGGCATCGGCAGAGCTGAGGGTGCAGGCGAAGCGTGAAACGTTGGGCCCGCATACGCCGCATCCTTGGCTTGCGGAGTGGTACTAGGATGGGAGTTGGTATGCCGGTGTCCATTATTGGGTGCTGGTGAAGCGCCATTTGTATTTCTAGGCTTCTTGCCTGATCGCGGCGGCTTCTTCTTTGAATGAATATTGGCCGATGAGTCGGTCGTAACCCCGGCCGGACTCATGTTGCGCGGCGGCGACGACGGCGGAGTGCTCAGCATGGCCGATTTGGGTACATGCGGCGTAGTGGGCTTCTTTGGAGGCCGTCGAGAGTTGCTATTGCCGTTGCTGATATTGAGACTGCGCGAGCCCTTGGGGGTGGGTGGATGAGGAGATTGAGTCGACATGGCGACGATGGTTTGGCTTAAAAAATAGGCAGCCTTTGGAGAAACAATGAGGAATGAAAAAAGAAAAAAAAATGAGAGGAGATAGCGCCGAGAGAAATAAGAGGCAAGGGTAAGTCAGAGAAGATCGCTGGTCCAGTCACTGCTCAGCAGCTGTCGACAATATTAGATATTCGCAACGGCGGAGAATGAGAGCAAAGAACGGGGTTTGTAGCGGGATTCAGAAAGGAAAGACGAGAACACAAATCGAGAACGCCTTTCTAGAGAGTCGAAGAGAGAGTCGCAAAGAAGTCGCGAAGAGACATGTCTAGGGAGAGGGGATAAAGAGATAAAGGTGGTGTGGTTGAAGGAGAGAGTCATAGGCAAGTGACGGAAGGGCAAGTTGGGCGGGGCATGACTAAGACCTCCGCCACCAACAGCTCGAAGCGGACAAACACAACAACACCTCACTGATCAGGCAACGAGTGGGGGTCCCCAAGCTCCGTCTTTTGAGGCTCCGTCAACCTTGTGCCCAGATCCTCTCTCTTGCCTCCCAAGGTTTGAATCGTTGAGCTATCAATATCTTACCCCCTGAGGTCCTCATCGTGATCCCTGCTCTTCTCCAACCCTTCTCCGACACTCCGATCCCTCCACCGCTCTCGCGCCTCCCACCTCCCGCAGCACCGAAATACTACCGATCACCCCCAGAACACCACAACTATGGCAGATGTCGAAATGAAAGAAGCATCTGCTGCTTCGTCCAAAGGCAAGACAGTTGCCAAGGGGTCGGACGGCGCTACAGATGGCAAAAAAAGTTCGAAGTGAAGAAGGTACTGCCACGAACCTTGGGAGCTGATTGTGAAGCAGTGACGCTGAGACTCGAATATAGTGGAATGCCGTTGCCCTCTGGGCCTGGGATATCGTTGTCGACAACTGTGCCATCTGCCGTAACCATATTATGGATCTGTGTATGTTTCTGGCCCCATCCTACGTACGCCTCGTCTGTGGTTGCATACTAATATGCCAGGGGAAAGGTATCGAATGTCAAGCGAACCAAGGATCATCAACCACAGAGGAGTGCACTGTCGCCTGGGGTATCTGTAATGTGAGTCTACCAAGAAAGACATAGCCAACAATCTATCATTTGGAGAAAGCTTGGAGTCTAATCGGCGGTACAGCATGCATTTCACTTCCACTGTATCTCGCGCTGGCTGAAGACCCGCCAGGTCTGCCCGCTTGATAACCGGGACTGGGAATTCCAGAAGTATGGACGGTAAAGCGCTGGGCGCCAAATCATCTACGAGAGAAAGAACCTACACGAGAACGATGCACCGGGTCTGGCGACTGCTGCACTATACATGCTCGATGGCTACGACTTCCTCGGGGACATAGCTTGGAAATAGTTTGGCGTTCCGGTAACCCATTTGCCATGATATGATTTTATCGGAGGCCCGATAGATCTCCGTCTTTTTTGTTTTAGCAATGCCCAAAAATCAAAATAACACCTTGTGTTATTGTTCCCCATAGATGTATGCTCAGATGTCTGCTCAGTATTTGTCCCATTTCCTCTTCATGCCACCTTCACGCCGTCCACCACCACTCGTGGCCCACCGGCTTTTCCACCGGTCGCACCCTGCCATTTCTCTGGATTCTGGTTATAGATAGGCCATGGTGGAACAACAACAAAGGCAGTGAAGAGGGTTCCGCCCAGCCCGATCCATAGTGTGAGGTGGATATCTTTGTAGATGTATCCAACAACGAAGCTGACAGCCTGCAGGATATTTGGATCAGTACAAGGGGGACACAAAATAAGGGTTGCGAATGGTGCCGATATGATATCAGACTTACTCCGGAAATAATTAAAAGCACGGTGCTAAGGAGCTCCGCTAGGCGCTGGCCATGGAAGTCCTTCAGGTCCGGAAATGTTAGCAAGGAAACCAGACGTGTGCACTCGGGAAAGCAAAGTAAGGGCAACCTACGATCTGACCTTCGAAGACGTCCTGCAGAGGTGCAAGTAGTTCGTCCATGGTGAATGGCCGGCGAGGAGAGTGGGACTGTGAGATCGAGTCGCAGGTCGGGGTTTCTGGGGACGAGCTTGGGAGCGGCCACGCTTATCGCAATGTTGTCATCTGCCCACCGCCTCCGCCCGGGCGATTGCCAGATGGACTTGCAATCCTGGTCATCCAACGCGTCCAACAGGCAGCATCTTGGAAATTCTTATATTATGATATCACTTATATTGAGGAGGGCACTCCAAGAATTACAGCCTTGCCAAGAGAAAGACAATCTATGCACAGAAAAATGGTAATGTATTGCTCATAATTCATTTACATCTATCTCTATAGCTAGAGCTGCTCATACAGCAGCGCCCTTGAATTATCATGAGGGCCCGCTGCTCATACAATTGGCACCAAACCCAGACACCTCGTCTAGCCAATTCTAAGAGTTACCTTTTGATTCAAAAGACAAACAAAAATTGATTGTTTTTCTCCCATGTTTCAAGCCACCTGCATCCCTGCAATGCAGGACTGCACGAAGCAGCGGTGAGAAAAACCCGAAGATCTTGCATCCCGGCACATCGTCCAAAGAAGAGAAAATTATGACGTGGAGAAGGGCCAGTCGTTCCCAGTTCCAAGGATCACCTTGGGACAAACATGTATCTTCCCAATTTCGGAAGGTCTCCTTCAAGATTTGCCCTGCCTGGCGATGATGCGCTTATGTCTTGCGCGCATTCCGAAAAAGTCCTAGATATTCGCTGGACGTAAATTTGGATGGATTGACAGGAGGATGACCCTGTCCACGGATCTCATCCAATGGGGTGAACAGGGTGGGAGCCACTTCCCGGTATTAATCCCGGATGACGGTAGCACCACCCTGGGCAGGCTCGAGCAGTTTCCATTGGCAGGTGATGTTGTTGGTAGCGAACCGTGCGATGATGCGGTCTGCAATCTCAGTGAAGCGATCGGTCGCCAGGGCCAGGATGGTTGGCCCAGCGCCAGAGAGACATATACCCAGTAGGCCAGGTTGTGTGGCCGGAGTCATAGATTGGAGGATCTCGGTCAGACCGGGAATCAGCGTCTTGCGGTATGGCTGATGCACCTTGTCCTGCATGGCCAGGAAAATCATATCAGGGTCCGGCGGGGAACTGCCCAGGGCCGCAGGCAACAACGCAGCACGCTGAAGATTGAAAACCTGGCAAGAAAAACACGAATAAGTATACATGTCAATTTTGGATGGTAAAGAGAGGGGAAGGGGGTCAGAACACGGTGATGTTCCCGAGTTTAATGTCCTCGACTTACCACGTCAGCTCGAGAATATGTATCTGGGAGGACGTTACGAGCATTGGCCGTCGGCACTACGAAGTCTGGGATGATGGCAATAGCCTTTATCTCCGGCGCCCAGTCAAACTTGCGATAATGACCAATGCCCAGAGGGGGCTCTGGAGGCTTAATGCCGGTATCGATGCCTCCAGCTGGCGCCGGGAGGACTTCACTCAGAGGGATTTCTTTGCGCGCCACGTCCTCCGGCTTCAGCTCGTTCAGGTAAGTACCGACAAAGCCTCCGAAGAGGGATGCAGCCACGTTGTCCGGGTGTCGCTCTGTCAAGGAGTCAAGACCACGTTAGTCCATGCATACCATTTGGCGTGGGGGTCTTTTGTTTGATCATCATTGTAACGCAAGGGATCCAATGGGGCTCCTCCAAGCGGAGGTGCAGATGCATATGCTCGCGCATGTGTCAGGGAAGAGTGAGACGAAGGAAATAAGAGAAAACACAAATAATGGGACAGACGTATCACCCACCAATCATCAAGCAGTAGTCGAGCAGGCGGTCTTTGCTTAGGCCCAGCTTGCCCACTTCATTACCCAGCATGACACCAGCGACGACAGCTGTGCCCGAGGATCCCAAACCCCGACCCAAGGGAATCGGGTTGATGATGTGCACCTTGGTCTCGACGGGGAAAGCGCGCTGGTTATGGCAGCGCAAGACATACAGGGCGACGCGGGTGATGAGATTGACCTCGGGGTCGAGACTGATCTGCTCAGTGGATTTGCTTTGGTCCTCATAGGTGATGGCACAGTTCAAGGGAAGTTCGGAGGTGGTCTTGGAGCGGTCGACGGTGACATGGAGGTCAAGGTGGAGGGATAATGCCAGGCCGATCACATCGAAGCCGGGGCCGATGTTGGCTGAGGAGCAAGGGGTTTTGATCACGAACGAATCCATGGTGGAATTGGCCTCGTCAATCCTGAGGGGGCGGGCCACCGTCGTGGGGGAGTTTTTGGAGGTTGGGTTTGTCGTGTATCTACTTGGGCGAGTTTCGATGACTCGATGCGGGCTTGGGGTCTTGGCGCACCGCCAAAATTCACCGAGGGGTCCGACGTCGGGGGAGGTGGAGCTGATCAACTCGCGACCACTGATTCGACTCCGACGTATTAGACTATGGCGACTCTGGCTCGATAAGGCCCCGAGACATACGGACTTGAATGGAGACTAGTCGATACCCGCCACCGAGGGGGCCCCGCTGATGTCGCGTGAGGTGTGGTGAGGTGTGGTGAGGTGTGGTCTTGAGTGTCAAGTCTGACGATTGGATCGGCCTACTCCTACTGAAGATGATCTCTCTTTCCGGCGGGGGTCTCCGGTGACAGATCTTCCAAGCAGCAATTTGACCTCAGAGCTCTCGGATCTCTCCCATCGGTCTCTCTCAACCCTCGATTCGAGGCATTGAAGGATCCCAGTCCCACTCTGACTGGTCCAACAATTGCCGCGGTCGGCTTGCGGAGAAGGGGAAAGTCCAGTGAGGGGACGAGCTCCCTTCAGACAAGCAGCCGAGCGGACGAGAAAGACAATATTGACGAGGACCAGCGATACCCCTCATCTCCATGTCAATATCATTGACTCGCTCGGCCCACAGGGGATGGGGTGAGAACGCGGTTTGGGCATCCCGGCTATACTCCCACAGACTCCGGTCAACACTCCTAACCCGCTATGGGCCCGATGCTACCGCGCAGTATGGAAATCGTTGGTTAATAGAAGACGGGCTAGTTGAGTCGCAACCCCTACGGCAACCAGGATGTGCCGATGTCAAAATCGGCAATAAATGCCTCAAGCCTCGTGCTGCCAGACGGCCCACTCCGTGAATGTGATCGGGACTCTGCTGGGCCATGAAACTATGCACGAAAGAGGGCAAACTCTGCGTGGCCCGGGGGCGCCGTCTGCAGCCTGACCCGCCAAGGAAAATTTTTCACACAACTCTATATGACGAGCTGCAGGACTTTTGGGGTGCATTGGAAAATCAATACCGGTGAACATTTTTCTTTTCTTGAGAAGGCTTTAGATTGTTAAAATAGGGTGTAGGTGTTAATATGGCAAGCAATACTATAAGAAGGGAGGGGGCGGACGGGATATAGGAAGATTTCTAGAGACTGGACTAGACCTTCTTGTCCTTCCCCTGGCGCAGTTTCACTCAACCGATTGCTGTTGCTATATTAATGCCAATTTTTTTGTTAAAAATTTTCGCATAATACCTAGATAGATATTTACATACACATACATTTGAGGGGATGGTCTACTATTAATACCCATCTAGTACTCTGTACTCCGAGTAGTTGGGTGACGCTCGTTGCCCGCGCGAAACGTGATTAGGAAGTGATTGGCTCTGCGTTAGCGGCACCCGCAACCGCGCTTTTTTTCGTTTTAGCCCGCATCCTCGCCACCTCGTTTCACCACCCGCCACTTTTCTCTCTCCTTCATCCTCCCAACACTGTGGTCGTCGACCCTCAAACCTTTGTCCAACACCCTTCTATATTCTATTCCAGTGGGAGTCAGACTCTGTCTGTAACACGCTCCCCCATATAGAACCTCCCCGAGGCCCGCGCCTATACTGAACTCTCACCCCCGGTGAAGATTCTGCGAGAGCACCTCTTGATAGCTGAACGGCCATTCAAGACTTGGCTTTCGCCCACGCCGCGTGACGTTCGCAGCCCTGGAGCAATCGCGCTCCTCTTCTTCCGATTCATTCAAGTTGGCGGGACTTCGCTACACTCTCTCCTCTCTCCTCCACCCTCTCGCAGGCCCCAAGTTCAGGGTCTTCTGCGGGGGCGACACTCGACCCCCCTAACTGGTCTTACTCCCCTCTATTGAACTAGCAGCCAGACATCTTGTCGGGAACGCCAGACCCTCGTGAAGGGTCTGGCTTATGGATGGAGGTCCAGCACCCATAACCAGGTCCTCTTGAAAGAACATTTACACCCACCCGGCTTGTGTCTGTGGCTGTTCGTGCTGCCGAAAAGCATTTTTTTCCCTAATATTTGAATCACCCAACCCGGAGCCTACCGGTCAAACCGAATTATCTGCTCAATCGATCCCTTGACGAGGGACATCATAGCCAACCTGGCGTACTAAATCTCAGCTCGATCAACCCGATTCCGCTCCCCCTCGCCTCTCCTCCTCCTTCCTGCCAGGAACCCGAAAGAAAAAGAAAAATAAAGCAGCCATCATGTCCGAGTCTCCTCGCACAGAAAAGGAGCTGTGCCTGACCCGGTACAGCACTCCGGTCCCCGAGCTGGATGACCACCGCTATCACATGGATGCTCCCCGTATCGAGGCCCCCATGGACGAATCGAGGCAGACCATGGCCGCTCAGCCACGGCTGAGAGGATCAATGACGCCCGAGCGCCCCGATCTGCTGCAGGCGCACGATGCCTTGCACGATGCGACCACCATCTTCCGAGATTTTGAGCAGGCGGTGGTGGATGATGACCGGTCTGACAAGGATGTGGCGGTCATGGGCCGGCGCTTTTCTGTCGACCCGACGGCCAATTTCCACACTCCGCAGCGCATCAGCTGCAACCAGCCGGAGCTTGTCAATATCGCCAACATGGGCACTATCTCTCGAGCCTCATCAGTGTCCGCTCGGTCCTCCTCGCCGCCGAACTCGGTGGATGCCTTCGCCGACCCCCGACGCCGCGAACGAGCCAACACATTGGAAAGCCAGAAAGCGCCGGACCTGGAAACCATTCTGCAGCTGCAGCGCACCATCTCAGGTACCGCCCCGCAGGCCCGGCGTCCGACCTTCACCAATACCGATGCCGCCCGGCCCACGGCGGGCTCGATCGCCTGTGAGGTGCCTGAGGAAGCTTGTGTGCCTGCCTATGAGGAACCAGGCCGCATCCCTGTCATTGACTATGAGGAGCTGGAGGAGTTCGTCGCTTTGAACGAAAGAACGACGTCAATTGTGAGCCACCACCGCCGACATAGCCTGAGCTCCCGCAGTCAAGCCCCTCGGATATTTCATGACCTTCGACCTAATTCGAAGGTCCCGAACGTGGACGAGTTCAAGAAGGCCGATTCTGCTGATTCGTCAGATACCTTTGACGTCAGCGATGAACCCGAAAAGCCTAAGGTGATTGATGAAAAGAAGCTGGTGGAGACCCTTCCGAACATCAATCGGCCAACTCGTTTTGGATTTTTCTCATCTGAGTCCCAGAGCACCGTCCACGCTACTGAATTGGGAGATTTGGTGCTCCCAGGCGAAACTTTCCGGGACCTCTTTGAGCTGGGCCCGGAGGGAGGTGTATGGTGGTTGGATGTGGTCAACCCCACCGAGGAAGAACTGGGTGCCATCTCTCGGGCTTTCAATATCCACCCTTTGACCACGGAAGATATTCTGACGCAGGAAGCCCGCGAGAAGGTCGAGCTTTTCAAACAATACTACTTTGTCTGCTTTCGCACGTTCTATCAGATGGACAAGACTAGTGAGGAGTTTCTGGAACCGGTCAACTTCTATATGGTGGTCTTCCGTGATGGAGTTCTCACCTTCTCTTTCGAAGAGAACCCTCACTCGTCGAATGTTCGCAAGCGCATTGGAAAGTTGCGTGACTATGTTTCTCTTAGCAGTGACTGGATTTGTTATGCTATGATGTAAGTTTTGGACGACATTCTCCGCATTTCCCCCTCAATATTCATGTGCTGTTGTAATCGTACTAACCGCGATGCCTTGTTCATAGTGACGACATTGTTGATAGCTTTGGTCCCGTTATTCGTGACGTTGAGGCCGAGTCCGAGGCCATTGAGGACCACGTTTTCATTGCTCGGGTTGACGATTTTGAGTCATTTCTTCCACGCATTGGTGGGCTGCGCAAGAAAGTCATGAGCTTGATGCGCCTTCTGGGCGGTAAGGCAGATGTCATCCGTGGTTTCTCTAAGCGTTGCAACGAGCAGTATTCAGTGACTCCGCGTGGTGACATTGGTCTGTACCTAGGTGATATTCAGGATCACGTCGTGACCATGATGTCCAATCTGGCACATTTTGAGAAGATGCTCAGCCGGTCACACACCAACTATTTGGCCCAGCTGAATGTCACCAACCTTGTTTTGGGCAACCATGTCAATAAGGTCCTCAGCAAGGTCACTTTGATTGCAACTATTCTGGTCCCGATGAACCTGATCTGCGGTTTGTTCGGCATGAACGTCGAAGTTCCCGGAAAGAATACCGGAGGACTTGGGTGGTTCTTCGGTATCTTGGGTGTGATGGGAGCGATTGTCGTTGTCAGCATAGGTCTTGCTCGGTGGCAGAAGCTGGTATAGACCTTCTGTCTACTGCTGGTAGTTTTCTCCACTGTTTTTTGCTCAACTTTCTTGTCATTTATTGTGCCTTTCCCTGAGTGTCGATATGCGTGCTTTTTGAGTCGGTGACAGGCTCTGTGAGCGTTGTCTATGTCCGTCCATTTTCTGGGATCTACTTCGTGTCGTATCTACAGTCTCCATAGATATTGGAGTATGTTCATATACTTAAGAAAATCCATTTATTTCTCGAATTATTAGGCCCAAAGATCAACTATCAGTGTATTTCTAGAGCGTAGTCAATTATGTCCCGAACTTTTTCTGCCTGCCCTGTCGAGGCCACAAGGCATCAACGGCCGATAAGATTGAATTTCCGTGATAGCACCGCCTTGTCTCCCTCCAACATTCGCGGCCGACTACATGCAGCCGACCGAATTGCGCTCTTCAGGAAGAGGTCTGCAGCTGGTGTGTCCAACCACCGCGTGTCCTTGACCCTGCCCCCAACTCCGCCCCTCGACTTCCACTCTCGAAAAACAACTCCCCTAAGCCTGCCTGTCGTCCCGCAAACGCCACAATTCCGCTTCTCATGCGCCTACAATACGTAACCCTGCAGTGCTTCCTGACTGCACAGGTTTTTCCCACCGTATCTCTTCTATTCCTTGTCCTTGGGAGCGCATCCGGTAGTCATGCTACGGGCACCCGATCGTTCACTCAAGGGTCAGAGAGCAGCCTGATCGGCGGGCCGATCATTAGTGATGGAGCGGGATTCCCTGTCGCACTGGACTCATTCAATGGACTAGAGCTTCGGGATACAACAGGAGAGGAGGGGGACTCCGCCGAGCTGGACCTCGTCCGGAGGGACTACCCTAGTGATGGTACGTCGCTAGGAAACAACCAGTACCAGAACGGTACGATTGAGATTGGGCAAATACTATATTTCTTCGTCACAAAGGAGGTGGTAAACGGGAACAAGTCTACGGGATCCGTATCTGGGTTGCCTGCACACCTGAGCTCTCGTGGTCTAGAGTACGACTCCTCCAATTTGCGACAAGAGCTAAGGAAACGAGAGGGAGAGTTAGTGAAGCGCGATACGACCGTTTATCTGTCGATGACGACGTGCAGCAAGCCGCAATCCAATTCATCGACAGCGCCGGGCTCATTTCCCCAGCTTGAGATCTATTACTCGACCTCCGGGCTTGAGAACCCCGGGCCAGGGAAAGATGACTCGGAACAAACAATGATCGAGGCGAGCGGAGGCTTTGCGAATGCCAGCATCAATGCTAGTGGTGATATATTTATCGCCTTGGTAGCACCTAATTCGACGACCTATACTGGGTCTTACAGTTATGAAATTGCAGCATCTATCGACGCCCCCTTCCACAGCGTCAATGACGACGATGCGTTCCTGTACTTTGTTGATGCGGATAATTCCGCGGCACTCCTTGTGACCGATAATCTGACGCAGTCCGATGCAAACTCGACCAACTATAAAGAATGGATGAGCATAAAACCGCCCTACATGATGTTCGCTCACAACGTCAATAGCACAGCTCTGGATGGCCTGCAGCGTTCTTTCTGTGCGCTGAACAGGCTAGCTTCGCTGGGACGGATCAGCAATTCAACCACTGTGGGAATGACATCACGTGGACTCGGCAGTAAACCAAAAGAGCAATTCTATATCCAGGGGCTCAATCGAAGTTCCACGTACGATGGTATTCTCGCAATGCGAGGCAATTCAACAAGCTGGGGAAACGGCATTGTTGGCGGTGGTGGGCAGGTATGGAAGGCGATGAACTTTACCACCAAGACCGGTAAGTCTGACATCTGCGATTGTAAAATGGGACAATCTGGACGGTCAGGAAAATTGACTATATCTCCCTAGATGACAATTGTGCTGTGCTCTATGACCTCGATTTTTGCTCAGAAGTTGCCTATGCCGTGCCATCGAACCCGAACAAGTCTCTTAAGGAGCTCAGCACCATGTACGACAACTATGCGTCGAAATACTACAAAAACTTCACATACTCGTTACAGCAGGTCCAGTGTTCAGCTGACCAGGAAGCAATGTATTCGCTCTCCGTTACCTGTGACGATTGTGCCTCCGCGTACAAGCAATGGCTGTGCAGCGTCAGCATCCCGCGATGCGCTGACTTTACCAACAATGCGTCATACTTAATGGTGCGCAATGCCGGGCAGGACTTTATCAACGGCAGTTCGTTGCCTGCAGATAGCATCTACCGGACATCGGCGGCCACGAACAAGAGCCGTAACGCGCTGATTGACGCAGAAATCAAGCCTGGTCCGTACAAGGAGATCCTGCCTTGCCAGGATATCTGCCACACGCTCGTCAAGACATGTCCGTCTAACCTAGGATTCGGCTGCCCAACGGGGAAGTATCTGAACTCAAGTTATGGATATCGCTCCTCGAGTGGCGATGTCACATGTAGCTACCCCGGTGCGGCGTATTATTTGAATGTTGGTGCACGGCTGGGAGTCTGGGGCAGCGTGTCTGTGGTTTCTCTAGTCTGGGGGGTTTGGTGTGCTTTCCTGTAAATGATTTGGCATAGATCTGCCCCTTTGTGAATTTTTTGGGACTGTTAACTTAGACCATGACGACGATGACGATGCATTTTGTACAGTTTCGCGTGAGATAATTTTTCGTTATAGCGTCTTGATAAGAAGCCTACTCCTTTTGTTCTATTTCCTCCAATTCTAAAGAGCCGTATTTCGGGATAAGCTCCCGGCCAGGCGAGGTAAAGGCCGTACTGCCTTTTTCTTCCTCCCAAGAGAGACTATCATGTGTGGAAATATCAAATGCAATTCTCTAAATGATCTATGAGTTTCCCCTTCCAGAAAAGAAACTCGGATATCTAACCAACACCCTTTCAAACAATGCGGTATATATGACAAAACGAAGATTATTCACAGGGCATTTTCGCAACACTCTTACCACTCCAATTCCTTCCTCCCCGTCCCCCCGCAGAGTCCTTCTCGATCCTCCGATCTCCCCATCGCTCCCGCCAAACTCCTCTCTCCTCCTTCCAGAGATCGTTTACGCACGGATCGCACGAGCTCCCACAGCAAGAACCCAGTTCTGGCGGCGGTGGGGGATCATCGTGCGCGCGAGACGCAGCGCGGAGAAGCTGTTTGGTGCGGGTCCCGGAGAGCCGTTTTTTCTGGAGCGCTTTGAAGCTGGGGACTTCCACGGGGGCATAGTAGGGCTCCGGGGGTTGACTGAGTGATGAAATCGGAGTGGAAGGTGTTTCCCGCCCATTTTGTTGCTCGGAAGATGCTGTTTCTGGGTCTTGCTGTGCGTCCGCTGCGGGTCGTTGCAGAAGCGAGCTGATGGGGGACCACAGGGATGTGAGGAGAGTTGATGGGGCGGTAAATTGAGTTGCCTTCTCTGGTGCTGATGACTTTAAAGCGGACTCTTGATCAGGAGCTAATTCCGAGACAGTATGTGCATCTGGGCCTTGCAGAGAGGCATTGACGACGCTGGAGGTCGAGTCGCCACCCGATGGGCCTGGCTGGCGTGTGTTGGCAACGCTCGAGGTCGATGACCCGTCTTGTTGGGAAACTGAGCTGCTTCCCACACTCATTCCGAGGAGATAAACTGTAAACCGAAGAGTTCAATCGAGTCCCTCACCCTAGGAGGGCTGTCTAGATCGGACTTTGTAACGTGATCTGATGCGCCAATCTATGAAGAGCGCGGCTTGAACTGCGCAGCAAATTTCTGAGGTTGGGTTTGCACTAAAACTCTGACTGTTGCGAAGCAAGACTGTGCTGATCGATTTGTTTCATGTATTAACTAGGCTCTGTGAGGTGTAATGTAGTTCGAACCAGGTCAGGTTCAAGATATTCCATGGGCCCGAGATCGGGTCGGGTAGGATCTCGGGTCCGGCCGTTCCCTGCTTGTTCCGACTGGAGCCATTCACCACGCACGAAGGATATACGTACATCTTCGCTCTCGCTGATCAGATGATGATTGACAGCAATGGCTACATATTGTTTTCCAATGGCTAGGATTTATGGTCAAAAGCCACTCATGGCTCCAATCAAACATAGTGAAGTTTCCAATTCGCATACAAACTCTCGTGAATCACAGCCTTATAATAGGTTTGTATATCATTTTGCATGAATTCAGAGTCTCCAGGTCACTACTGGCTGATGCTGTCCTATATGCTGTCCGATATAAGTCTCAAGGGACAAAAGAAGGAGCGCGGGGAGTAGCGAAAATTAATTGGATTCCCCAAATGACTTTAGGCGCAGCTATATGCCTGACATGGCTCTTGCACGTCACGTTTCCGGCATGTTGAGTGCCCATACATCCGGTGGCTGTGTCCATTATCGAAGGATGTAGAACAACTTTAGAGCAGGACGATGTGCAAGAAAAGGATCTAGGGCTCAAGCTATCACTAGCAAGTTGCCTGCAACAAGCCAACCCCTCTCATCGAGCGCCTTCTTATACTTCATTGCCCGAAGAGCTCTATGCGCTTTTTGTCACGAGCACAGCCTTCTTTACCAGGCGAGTCTTCATTGCAAGCACAGTATCACCCTGACGGTGACCGTCCATCTCACTACTCTGAATGCGGCCGATCTGATCATGCCACTGACAAGTCTCGAGTAGGGAGCTCGTAACGATGTGAGCAGCCTCCGGGGGTCAACAAATACCGCAATACCGATATTTTGGATGATTGAATCTCAGAAATCTCAGCACACTCGGAAATCACAGGAGTATCAGGCAGCCCAATCACCATAGCGGCCACAAGGGCCTCCATCGACCACGTACGCCAAGGTATTCGACAGTGATCATGACAAATATGGGAGTCCTGTGGGACCTGAGTCGACTCCATACCGACAGTCCTTGTCTTGACCATAATCCTCATCCCAGTCTAGGCCCCAATAAAACGGTTTCGTTCAGTATGTGTCCACTGAACACGTGATTGTCGTTCTCACCAGTCAATTTCCCCGTGTCAGCAAGAAACGACGACCCTCGAACCCTCAAGTGTCATGGTCAGTGGATCGAATGAAGGCAGGCTAGACCTTTGGGAAATGAAGAAGGGAAAGAATCTGGATCCTACTATAGTTGGCTAGTCTTTGGGAAAGACCAGGAATATAAGAAAGTATAAGAAGCATTGGAAGCATAGGAAGTGTCGGGAGGAAGATCGGATGCTCCACCACACGTTCCAGACAAGCTTTTGAGGCCACCCGCAGGATCAGACCTACTTCGACAACTTCACCCAGCATCGCAGCGCCAACTTCCAGAAGGATCAGGATCGTTTTGGACAGCCGACACAAATCATGGGCTGAATCTCCCTCCCTCGGTCGAAATGCGGGGTTCGGGCCTCGCCAGGTTACCTCGTCCTTGCGGCACACAACCATGTCCCGTCCAGCAGCTATTAGGTCCGATCCCCGCCCCCCGCCTCTTTCGACTTGGCTCGCCAATAATCACAAGCCGATTATTTAAACCAATTTCAAGCTGGCGGGTCCGAGTCTTGCCATTTTGCCTTCTACCACGCTTGACGATATTCGTGACCGGAGCCCTCTGGAAACCCGGAGCCAGCGCCTTGTAAAGGAAATGTCTTGGATCTCGTTCACGGCCATTGCAGTACGTTACTTCATGTGATTGTATTGGACTCGAGAAAGGCCGCTCACACACAGGCTGCAGCTGGTGGCATCATTGCTCTGGATCATCATCAAGAATCTCTACTTGAGTCCTCTATCCAAATTCCCTGGGCCTAAACTAGCAGCATGCACGGATCTTCTCAATTTATACTGGACCACGACCGGACAGCACCACTACAAGCTCAAGGAGCTTCACGATAAGTACGGCGATGTCGTCCGCACTGGTCCCACGACCCTCATCTGGCGCAGTCCCCAGGCCTGGAAAGACATCTACGGCCACCGCAAGGCCGGCGCCAGCTCCTTCCTGAAAGACCCCAAGTTCTACCTTCTGGGCCCGCGTGGCCCGACCCTGCTCAACGCCGACGATGCCACTCATTCGCGCGGACGCCGCCTACTCTCGCATGCCTTCTCGGAGAAGGCCCTCCGCGACCAGGAGTCCCTGATCCAGTCCTACGTCGACCTCCTGATAGACCGACTGCACGGTGAGATCACCGCCTCTCGTGCCACTGTCGATATGACCCGCTGGTACAACTTCACCACCTTCGATATCATCGGTGACCTCGCCTTTGGTGAGCCCTTCGACTGCCTGCGTGAAAGTCAGTACCACCCTTGGGTCAAGGCGGTGTTTGTCAGCGTGAAGGTGACTGTGCTGCGCCGCCCATTGGCCGTGTATCCCTTCTTAGCCCCTGTTGTCAACGCCATGATGCCGGCGCGCCTGCTGAAGCTGCGCGAGGACCACTTCGCCCTGAGCGCGGAGAAGGTGCACCGACGCCTGGAGATGGATAGCGAGCGACCCGATTTTATGACCCATGTACTACGCTTCACGGGTGACCGCGCTATGACCACTAGAGAGATGGAGGCCAATGCCTCTCTGCTGATTCTCGCTGGCTCCGAGACGACCGCCAGTCTGCTCTCGGGCATGACCTACTACATGCTCAGTACGCCGGATGTTTACCAGAAACTGGTCGACGAGATCCGTCACTCGTTCCAGTCCTATGAGGAGATCGATTTCCTGGCTGTCGGCCAGCTAGCTTATCTTAATGCAGCGTTGGAGGAAAGCCTGCGCATCTATCCTCCTGTTCCAGCGACGATTCCCCGGATCGTACCGAAGGGCGGGGCTATGATCGATGGGAAGTTTGTCCCAGAAGGAGTCAGTATATTTCCTGTTCATTAACTTCTTCTCCTTTGAAGTTACTCGTTTCAGGGGTCTTGGCCGAAACTAACTAGTACATATCGTCAGACCTCCGTGTCCGGCGCCCACTATTCCACTTACCATGCGGAATCCCACTTCGCCGATGCAGACTCGTTCATTCCGGAACGTTGGCTGGAGAACAGAGACAAACGCTTTGAAGCAGACTGCCGGGGATCACTTCAGGCATTCTCGCTCGGGCCGCGGAATTGCCTCGGGAGAAAGTAAGTGTTGTTGAACGTTGGAAAAATAAGCATTCTGGAACGTGTTAAAAAGTGGCTAACGATGGCGTGCTTCCAGCCTTGCCTATGCTGAAATGCGATTAATCATGGCGAAAATACTCTGGAGCTTTGATATGACCTTAGGAAAAGCCTTGGCTGATTGGCATATCCAGAAAGCGTATAATATTTGGGAGAAGAAGCCACTGATGGTGACCTTGTCACCAGTGCAGCGTTAACGAGAACGCGTATCTGTATAGAAAGGAGGACGAATAGGCTAAGAAAAGCTATTTCATTGGATATTTCATTGGACATTCTCGGTCAACGAACCTGCCTACTCGCCCTTATAGTCAAACTTCGATGTTTGCGTCAAAGTACCTACCTATTTTCTGCTCTAGTTTCATGATTTATACGGGAGAGAATATGATGATCGCACCAAGGCATGATAGGAAGTATTCTTGATTCATGTATCATACGTATATACTACTCACACCCATAGCAATACTTCCAATTGCCCGGAGGAAGCCAAAATAGCATAAGCTCCGGAAATTCCAAAAAAAAGAGGATGAAAAAATAAAAATAAAAGAGCGCCTCTAGTAAACAGAATCCAGTGGTATCATAAAGCAAGATCCATAATGAAGAAAACTTAGACAAAACAAAAAGCGCTGGTACTTCATTTTCGTCGTGGAGTCGGCGTCCACATATTGCCCAATCCAGACCGCGAGGGCGCAGAGGACCCTTTCGGCGTTCTGCTTCCAACCTGATGCAGCAGCTTCTGCGCTGCGGGCGTCAGCATCTTCCCCGGAGTAGCCCCCGGTCTCGCTGCACCCGGCGTTGAGCGCAGCCCAAAGTCGATGTGAGGGCTGCTCGCAAAACGAGGCGTCGCAGTGACAGGGGTTTTGGTCGTGCGGGCGGCCTTTTCAGCTCGTTTGGTGCGCGAGACTCGATCAACCATGCGGTGGTGCAGGGCTTCGCGCTTGCCTGTTTCCCGAATCTGAAATGGGTTGGGGGTGGAGTCTGACGAGCCCAGGAGGCGCCAGTCGGCTTCAAAGGGGTTGGAGGATGAAGAGGGCAGGGCGGGTTCGGGCTCAGGCTCGTCTTCGTCGACAAAGGCGTACCCGTTCACCCGCGGAGTCTCGCCACCAGGTATGGCTGATGCGGCCTCGGATTCACCAAGGTGCGGGCGGCCAGCGATGGCGTCTTGGATGGCAGAGAGGGAGGGCGAGGGCGGAACTGCACTCGCAGCATCTGCGGCAGCCGCGGCATCCATGTCCAGGAGTCTCGTGTTTTGATAAAGAGTTCGTTTCGGTGCTGCTCGCGAAGCGGCCTCGGCCTTTTGCTGGAGGGTCTCGTGGGTATCCTCAACTGAGGAGGGGAGAAACATGAGTGTATTGTCAGGGCGAACGTTCCAGCCATCGGGTCTTGCCGGGCGAGCATCAAGGTCTGTTTTGATAACAGGCTGAGCAGCATCATCGTGCTTGATGAGGCTGGTCTCTGGGTTCCCTCCCTGGGCGGTGATGCGCTTGACTTCGCGTTGGTGATGGGCAATCTGTCGGGCGGAAGGAACCTTATTATTGTTCCAAAGCCAGCCGTACTTCTCCCGCTTTTTTTGCGTTTTGCTTGTCAAGGACCTTATTGAATGACTCGTTATCCTCGCTTGTGTATTTGGACTGGAATGCAAGCAGGCCCATGTTCGATACATCCGGAGCATTCTGGTCGTTTCTACTCGAAGCAGACGTTGCGACTGATGCAGCAGACATGGGTGTATCACCACCCCACCCCCGAGGTGTTTCATTTGAGCTTGTAGAGGGGAAATGTTGAGGTGTGCCTGCAACAGATGCAGGCCCCGAGCCTGTCTTGCGACGAGCATTCGACCCTGGAGTCGGCGTGCGCATCACATCCGCAAGCGCTCGTTTCGAACTGGCGATCCATCCTTTATCTTTTGATTCTAAAGCATCGAGGTATTCTTGTTTAGCCTGATTCTCCAGTAAACCTGGGAAGAAGTCGCGGGCGATTATATGAGAAAGAGCGCTGGTGTAGACGTCTTCGTCGAGGACGGTGGTAGGGCGTTTGATGCGTTTTGGAGGCGGTGGGGGTGGCATCAGCTGGTGCTGATCAGACCGTTTGGTCACCGCCTGTGAGTTAGGTGATGCCATGGTTGTCGGATCATGGGGAGGTGGGTTCTATTGGGAAGAGAGTTGGAAGATGAACATGGAATTCGGAGGCGATAAGATAGCGGTGGATTACGGCAGCCAAAAGTGGCCATAGCGCAAAAATTGTGGGGGCAAGGGTACCTAGTTTAGAGTATACCAGATCCTGACAGTCAAAAAGCCTGGATGGTAATGTGAATACTATAGTTCTGTTTGGAAACCTTTACCTGATCTTTTTGTCTCAGGAAGTATCGAAAATCTATGATAAAAGTCACCAGTGTGAAACGAAAAAAGGGCAAAGCCGATAGTTTTCCTCCCAGGAGGTTTCAAGGGAATATATCTAAAGCGAATTAAATTGTATTAAGGATCTTACTCAATTTTCAGGACGTTGAAAAGTATCCTGGTTCACCGGTGCTAGGAACACACATTGTACTGTGTGAGCGATCATTCTCGCCCACAGCCATAATTGTAGTAGCGGTCAGGTGACTAGTCTGCGCTGCACTCCACACTTCACTAGACTCCGGTAGGCGCCATGTATGTATACTAGTGAATACAAACAGTTAATATACAGACTACTAAGATAGTTTTAGCGTGATAGTAGATACAGAATTCAGACAAGCTATAGTGATAAAATATGATTGAAGTAATTGCGATAGAAATTGGGGGTAAATAGCACCATGGATTGGTTCGAATCGGCCTAGGCCTATCCTTCTATAGACAGAGAGAGAGAGAGAGAGAGAAAAAAAGAGCAAGTGAGAAAATGGATGCAAAAGAAAAGGAAAAGCATAGCGAATGTGCGTAGCAATCGATCCATCCCTTCCTATCCCAATCCTCTTTTTCCAGTTACTTTTCCCAGTTCCCTCCAGACACCAAACCAATATCGCTGAGAAATGCACCGGGGATGATGAAACCAACATAACGATCGCAGAATGGAACAGACACAAAACATATGGAACATGGCTTGCAAAACCAGGCACAGAGACGCAAACGGATGGGATGCAAAAAAAAAGAGACAACAATGAGAAAGGAAATTGGGTCGTAGACACGTGGAGAAATTCTATCGGGGACAGAGTGTGACAAGATGTAAAGAAATGTAGAAGCGAAGGCGACAATGCTTGAAAAGATCAGATGTAACCAGACACATATTTGTCTTTCCAACATAGCCAAAGAAAGAGCAGACAGGAGAAAGTTAGAGAGGCGGTCGGGAGATAGGTGGGGGGGGGGGGGGGGGAGGGAAAGCTCGCTTTCTCTTCCCTCTTAGGCGGCGGTGGGGAACAGTGAGTAGGAGGGTGTCCTGCTCTTCTTGCGGTTGGGGTTCTTAGGAGGAACAGAGGGTAAAGAAGGGCCGTTGTCAAGTTTGACTGGGCGGGTATCAACCTCGGAAGTCGACCTGGCGCGGTCATGTAGCGAAGCTGGTGCGGCCGATAGATCTGCACTGGCAAGGCTACCATTGCTGTCGGAATGTATCAGCAGGTGGGTCTCCGCCAGACTTTTCGTCTGGCGATGCAGGGACGACGAAGGTGGGCGGCTGGTGGTCGACCCAGTAGCTAAAGATTCACTGGTGCTCAGACGGTCGGTAGGCATGAGCTCGCGACTGTTGGACAAACTGTAGATGAGCTCCGGCACGCTAGTGGTAGAGACCGAGGAACGGTGCTTGCGAACAATGGACGCCGCGCGAGAGAGCATGAGACTCTCTTGGGAATTGCATTTGCTGATTGGAGAAAAGGAGCTGCGCGGGGAAACGGGGTTGTTTACCTCGGGGGTGATGATACCCAAGGGAAAATGCCGATCTGATTCGGCGTCAGCGGCCAAGTATTCCTCGTACAGCGAATCCCGGTTGAGCTGCTTGGATAGTGCAGACGGCAGGATTGACGAACTGACAGGCTGGAAGTAGTCCCTTGCCTCACGGGCAATGAAATCTCGCTCATACTCTGTCGAGGATGGAGTCGCAGCCGAGTGGGGTAGCGTCGACAGTGCCGAACTTGGGTCCAGATCTGGTGTGGCCAGAGTGGATGTACTCAGAGGACTGGGCTGGAGGTGTCGGGTTCTGGCTGGAGCAGCGAGACCCCAGTTCTCGTCAGAACAGGCGATGCCAATCTGGGGACGTTGGTTCTCATCGAGAGAGGTACGCGACCAGTCAAAATCCGAGGTCGACTCGGCAGCGTGCTCATAGCAGTAGTCGATATCGGCATCCCACGAATCATATAGTTCGTCATCGTAGGAGAATTGGTGCACGCCAGACGCCGCGGAAGGAGGCGTCAACTCCAGATGGGCAGTTTCCACATCCTCCTTAGGGGGTGTGTTGGGCATGTTCTGGGGTAACGTGGGCGAGCCCAGAGCCTCGGAAAATTTCCGGGACAGCTCCTCCGCTACAAATATCGACAGGGGGGCCTTGGGTGCGATAGTCCTGGATGCAATGGGGGCTTCGTCTAATGACGGGTTCATCTGAGAGGCCGAGCGGGAATGGGTGCCTTCGATGCTAGGATCGGGACTGTCCCACATCCGAGTCCCCTCGTCCTCCTCTTCTGGCACATCTTCCAGGTCATAATGGCTACTCATGGAGGAAGTCCGAGCCGTCATATCATCCGCTAGGCTGGGACTGAACTGGCGATTCGAGGGTGATCGGTCTGAGTCAATATATTCCGGGTAAGTGGGTGTTGACGACAGACCCAGTATCTCATCAATGGCACGAGGAGCCGGCTCAGCACCATCTGCAGGAACTTCCTGAACCGCCGGAGGTGGTGGGGTCGTTGGGCATGATCGGGGATACCTGGAACTCGGGCGGGAGAAGTTCTCATGGATTCGGGATTCTCGACGAGCGTGTCGCGAGGAACCCGTGGATCCTGAGGCTGCCGGCGAGCCTGGTGGGCTCTGATGCGCCGGTTCGTCAACGGTCGTGGCAGTTCCCAAGGCCGCCAAATCGTCGGCCGAAAAGTTGCGGAAGTGGATGTCCTCAGCTCGAATACCTTTGAGAGCGGCCTCTGGTCGTTGGGATGCCCGAATGACGGAGAATTCAGTCACGAGATCATTCTCCCGGGTTTGATCCAAGGACTGGAATTGAGAAGGGCTAGTGTGGGTGAGATGATGGAAATCGAATGGATCAGAGATGATGCTCTTCAATCGTTCGTCTGTGAGATGAGAGCATGGGTGAGTCAACCGAATAGGAAAGAGAAAAACAACCCTGCTAGAGAGAGGGGAGGAGAACGTGACATCTCAACCGCCTCCACAGAGGTCAGAACTTACGATGATCGGTACGGCGCGATCGATGACGGCCAAACATGTCCTGTTTCTCGGGGCGAGGCTTCTCAATCTCATCTTCCTCGTCCAGCGTGGCGACGATGTTGATTTTGCTGCCCTGGCGACGGAGAATACGGCTTCCGCGGGCGAGGAACGACCGGGAGGAGCGTTCAGGCTTATCTGCTCGCATTCCCAGTGCGGAGGTGGTCCGCTCATCCTGGGACGGGACGACACTGTCGATGGAGGTCATGGAGGACCCCGGGGAGCGGCGCGATGAGGTGGTGGAGGTGGTGGTGTTGCTTCTAGAACGGCCACTGAAGACTGACAGGCGTTTGGGACTCTGGGCATGCGCGGTGGACCGAGAGCGAATATGGGTCGAATGTTCGGGGGCTCGTTGGAGGAGCGGGTGGATGGAGGATCACTGCTGCTGGCGTCGTCGTCCCAGTGGGGACGGGAGTAGGCTCCCGAGTTCATGTTTGGATACATGATGTCTGACACCACCGGTGCGCTGTGTCAGACGCCTGTCTCTGACGCCTGTGTCTAGGGTGTTCTGTCTGTCTGTCTCTCTTTCTCTCTCCTCCTCTGTCTCTTATCAAGACGAGACCCGACAGTCTGGACCGGGTATAATCTCTGGGGGAGAGGGAGGTCGAATTGGGGGGCCGGCGCAATTTATGTGCGAACGGGCGGAAGCACCAGCAATTGGTATGGTTTCATGGTAGGTGAGGCTGCTGGTTACCCCGAGTCGAGTAGAGGTTTCGAAGAAGAGGGACCCGGAAGGTTGGGTCGGGGCGGAGTTTCTTACATATAAGAATGGCGATCCGCCTCGTGGGTGTGTATCGGGACGCCAGGCACCTCCTGCATTACCGCGGTCCGCCCATACGCCCAGACGTACCGTACCGCCCGTACCGCCCGTACAGGACGGTCACGGTACGGGGAGCCACCGTCAGGGGGCTGATTCGCCCCAAGCGAACCGTTGCACAGGAGCCCATCGGCCTTCGATCTGCCCCTGTTTCTTACTCCCGGGTTCCCCTGTTTCTTGTTTGTTTGGCGCGGGACTCTGCACTGCGCTCTGCGCTCTGCACTCACTCTGCACTCTGCACTCTGCGCACTCCTTAATTCCTCCCCACCCCCTTCGTCTTCTCTTTTGCCTTCCTAATCGAGCCCTGGCTCGTAAGATCCGCCATGCTCTCAGCATCAGCCTCCAATCTTCTGTCCGATCCTCCGACGGTCCGACCCTCCGACCCCTCGACCCTTGACGAACGGGTCCTATCGGTCTATGAGTGTGTCCATTTTAATCCGAGCTTCGATGAAATTCCCGCACACGAGTCCCCATCCCAGCCAGACGGAACCGAAACCCAAGGATTGCACCAGTCACAGTGTGCGGGCTCTTAGTGCCATGCACCCTGCACCGGGCCAAGGGGGGCATCCTTTTCCTGAACGTGGTTTTGGTGGGGACGGGCCCGTCTAACCCGGACCAGTAAGTATCGGCGTGCATCCACCATGGTACGCCCCCAGGTGGTATCACCGAGTAATGCCAGCTACCCATGGATCAGAGCCCAAGACGGCGGGTTATCGTGTTGACATGACAGAAGATGGAGCAGCGCAATGAGTCCGAGGACTAGCCATGTTGGATTGAGACAGCACGATGTGCCGGAGGACCGGTATTCCTTGCGGGTTGAGGGTCAATTGGATATATCAAAACGTCGTATTCCTCGATGTACTCGGTACCGTGTGTACAGTGTGTATTATACTCCCTCATATCTCGACCCAGTCCATGGAGTATGCTACGGATACGCAATGTCCCATATCCAGCGGAGACACGATAGAAAATGGCCATTTTCCTTCGCACCAAACCACGATTCCTCGGTCCCTCCAAACGGTGCCGAAATCGCCAAATGATATCTGACGTGGATCGTAGAGCACAAGCCAATGCCCTGATTCAATGTATCACAAACCTCGCCAACCTCGGGAGCCGGCTATTTTTGGTTCCTCTCTTTCTGTCTTTCTGTCTTTCTCTCTATCTTTTTCAGTTTTGGTTTTGATTACAACAAATACAGAATTAAAATTTCCCTTTTTGATATCCTTTTTTCTCTGTTCCCCCCTTCCGGGGGAAGCTCTGGGCATCCCTGGGAAATGACTCCTTCCCTCCCAACATCCTCCATCTTCTGGCCTTCCCGATACTGCTGCTGCTGATGGAATGCGCATAGTACTTTTGTCCCGTGGCTTGTTCCGTGCAGCTGCATGCCCTTCTCTGATTCGTGCAGGCGGCCTGTCCAGCCCGAATTCCCATGTTTTATCCCACCCGCGCCGCATCCTCATTCGCTTGCTCGTGGCTGGTTTCTTTCCCCGCGTCGCTAGCGTCGTCTCGGCCTTTTCCAACGGTTTTCGTCGCGACGCTGTTTACTCCGTCTCCCCACTCCACTTGGAGCTCTGCCTCACCCATCTAGGCAAGGCTCCGGTAGGGCTTTTGCCCATCGATCGTGACACTCTCCCGGTGGTGGTGGGGAGAGGGGAGAGATGAATCTCTCCTGGCAATCAATCTAGACTATCTGGCCTATTCGGCCCCATCGGAGGCCTCGCCCCCAGTGAAACTACTTCATTTGTCTCGATGGAGCGATGCAGCATGCATCAAACCGGGGCTAAATCACCGCCCTACAGAACGGCCGAACATGTGCCTGTCCCTGTTCCTGCTCATGTTCCCGTTCCTGCTCCTCGGCAGTTGCTTGAATATACCCTGCATCGAGGGTTTCCGGGGCCGATCGAGCATCGATCGGAAAAGACCGTCTCTCCATCTACTCTCACTCTAGTCTACCCGGTCTAGAGGAAGTTTGCTGGGCTATCCCTGCGTAGGCCATCGGGTGAAGTTGAAGCCCGGGGTAGTTCAGCGGCATATTCGCGTCTTGTCTCCCCTGCTCCCCATCCCTTTCTCGCGTCTTCTCCTCTCCTTCCCTCGGAGAAACACGAGAAAGTCAAACGATCCTGGCCAGCCTGCACCAGAATTCCCGGATGTTGGAAGAATTTCCGGAACTCACCGGTCGCGCACATGGAGGTAGGTTTGCGATGACCGAAAGCAAGGCCGCTCATGCTGTCTCAGGCGGCCCGGCGGGGGAGGGAAGATCAACATGAGGGCGAGGATAGTGAGATCGGAAGTGCTTGATATGTGTTGATCCAGACTAGATCCAGCGATGGTGGGATGTGAGGTTCCTCGCCGTGGTGGAGTCCAGTTGAGAGTCTGAGTTTGCGGCCGAAAAACGAGAAGCATCTTCCCGCCTTCCCGCATATCCGTATGCTTGGTGTCCATCGTTTATCAGCGTATTCCCACGGAACTACGAAGAACTCAGGTCTACAACGATACTGTACGAAACAGATTAAATCCGATAATGGAGGATCAGAAAACTCTAGGAGACTCTGGTGGACGACCCCGCCCCATCTTGATCATACCATCTTCTAACCCTAACCCCCTCTCCTCTCGAGGTGGAGTCCTGGAGTCCCCACGCCACAGAGCCCTACCGTTATGAATCTCGTGTGAAAACGAAATAGCCGGAGTGGGCCGCAACAGTGAAAAAAAATTAAGTTGTAGCTAGCAGCATTCGAAACAAGGGAGAAGCCCGAAGGAAGTCGCATAAAACCCCCTCTCGGACGCCAGCGTCTCAGACGCGGCTGGGCAAAAAGTTACTTTGGAGGGGAAGTATACTTATCGTGCCCCATCTTCAACAGAGCGGACGATCTAAATGGGAATCGGGCTGCCAGCCAATCGGAGACTGTCATGGCCTCCAATTCGCGCGAAAGAGGAATATACGAGCCTGGGGATACTGCGAAATCGGTACGTCGGACGAAATACGGAGTAGTATCTGGTGTGGACGGTGCGCTAGACCCCATACAGTCTCTGGTCCTGGAGTGTCACTGTGGATTTTTTTTCCTGTTAGCACGGTATCCGTCCGAGCAATCGAGGCATCTCCACTTCCACCTCGGTCTTCCGGTCGAAATGGGAGAGCGTGTGGACTCCGGACGATCCCCCTCGTCTAGAACCGTCGGCGACCTTGAGTGGATCCCGCAACGAGCTGCCGTGCCTGATACGCCTGCCGATCCAAGCAAAAAACAGAGAGGGGGGGGGGGAAGGGTTCCTGAACGAGTCGACGTTCAAGCCTTGAAGTCTGTACGAACGGGCCTATTTGGTAGACGGGGGTTCCCAGAGGAATACGGAGCCCGTATGACGACTGAGGACGTCTCCGGGATCCATCCTTCGATCCATCCGTGCCCATTTCTGTCCATTTCTGAACAGTCCATTCTGCTCCGGATCCCTCCCCCCTCGACATAGCGGGCCTTCTTCTCCACTGGTAGTGTCGCATATCGTCATGAGCGAACGCGACAGGCCCATGCACGAACCAGGGCACCTTCGGGCGTCCCCGTCGGCCCTCCCCCTACCGAACACAAAGATGGATGAAAATACCCAGACGATAAAATGGGGAGGGGGAAGTGGGGAGACCAAAATGAAATGTCACTTTCCAGAGAAAAAACACCCCCTGAACTGGATAGCCTACAAAAGAGCATGTTCCGGTCGCCTCTTCCTTGTGATGGCGTAGGTGGTGGCCGGCAAGGACAAGTATATCCACCACACAAGCACGATGTCCATCCCCAAGTGCTAACCAGACAACCGGGATCATCTTCTTTCGATCGGGACTCGGTAATACGGGGTACACGATACGATACCGCGAGGTCCCATGCCCCCACCTGTAATACGCAAAGGTACGATGCGATGCGGATAAAACTCCCCATCTTTCACCAACCCCCGTGCTTAACGTTGCTTTGCTTCGTGCGCTTCGCAAGGGCTTGAACGGCCGTGCAGATCTTGTAGTTTTTGATTTTCCTCCCAATGTTGGTTGAGGGGAATTCAGGGAAGAGACAATAGGAAAACGCGAGAACAAACACACATCCGCCACGCAGGATAACAATGGTGTGCGAGGGCCAGGGGACGAGGGACGGGACGCGTCGCGGCCTGCAACAGTACAGAAAGCCCGGCAGGAATCCCATCCCGGGCATCCCAGAGGACAAATGGGCCACTGAGAAAGCACGATGCGCGCCATTGGAGAAATTGCGAACCGCATATGCTGAATTGGTAGTTGAGGGGTTCCCGTGCCCGCATCAACAAGTGCAGATATGGATCATCTGAATTATTCTTAGTAGGCAGATTCTCTAACTGCCGCGAGGATCTCCTGCCGTGGTTCGAACCATTTTAGGCCAAACGCAAGCTCCCCTTTTCCCAAGCGGCTGGGGATCGACAGCCTCACGGCATCTTGGCCGAGACTTTTGGGATCGGTTGGGCATCTAGACTCACGGGCCAACCTTGGCTCAGAGAAGGAGGGGGCGGTTATCCTCATTTCAGGGTGTTCGAGGTTCTGCTTCTTCAATTCCAATGGCCAGGGTGGCCCGTCTCCAGACTATTGTCTCCGGCTGAGGCCTGGAAGTTTGCTGTTGAATGTCCCACCAAATCTCTCTCTCTCTCACTCTGCTTGTTTCAATTCCTGTTGACCTTTTTTCGAGTCAAGAGGTGGAGATCTGCCTTACAAAGTAATATCGTGTAAGATGATAGAAGGGTGGGACCAATTGCGTAGGAACTAGAATTTACAGACACTTGACATGAGATTCTTAGGGAGGGTTGGACTCCGTACGGAGTATGCGCTCCAAAATTACAAAACGAATGACATTGTTGCTGAAACCGCTACACGGAGGTGTCAATAATAGCCTCTGGCTGGGACGTTAGTGGGCAACGGTCTTGACAAGTGCTAAAATGCCCTGACAAGTATTTGGCCCCCTCGAGTGGGACGACCCTTGACACTACTCACCCAAAAACGGCGGCCCTCAGCCTGAGCGGCCGAGGTTGCCCCTATTCCCGAACGCGTAATAAGTCGCCGTGGGCCCTCGTCGTCGCGTCGACCTGGCTAGTGCGCTATGTGCAACACGCAGAAGTGGGAGACGAACGAGATGATCTTTTGTAACAGAATAGCAGGTTTGCTTTTTTCTCTCTCTTTTTTCCCCCACTCTTTCCTCGGACTGCCTCTTCTGTGCTGCGCAAATTGCGCCCAAGTCAACAGTACGGGATTGCCCACGCGAGCTGAACCGTTGTACCCGCGTTAGGCGTGGGGCACCGGAATAGAATATCCGACTATTTTCCCACCATCATGGAACTAGCTGAAAATCCGGGTGTTAGGTGCCAGATAATTCTCTTAAAGAGCAGCCCAGATCGGTCGGCCCGTATAGTGCCGACGATCTGCATATACATAGTCCTAGCCATATCGTGGGAAGTATGATGAAATGGAACCAACCCCTAATGGTTGAGGTGACAGTGATTTTTGCTCCATATGAAATAATTCCTAGGTAAGAATTGAGTATAGAAATAGAATCTTAATCTTAATAGTAATTCAGTTGGTTTTAAAATCCATTGTAAACTATCATACCGTATTATTTTGAGGATCTATTAACGCCAGATTTAAATTTAAATTTTATCCCGGAAGACAGAGAAAAGCAAAAGGAGTTTAACGGTAACACTGCATAGACGAGACCGTTAGCTGTCATCCGAAATCATAATATCACGGTGTGACAAAATCCCAGGCACATACGATAATTTTCCGAAGCAGAAATTAAAGAGTGACTTGCAGTTGTATCACTCAGAGATTGACAATACCGCCATTGGCGTTGACAGGGAGAACACCATCAAGCTCAACAGGGCCAACAAGCTCCTCGTCGCGCTTAGCATTCTTCACACCAGAGGCATCACCATCGCCTCCCACAAGAGCAACACCGATATCATCGGTGATCAAGCCAGCTTCAGCACGCTTAGCGTTCTTCACACCAGAGGCATCACCATCGCCGCCGACAATGGCAACACCGACATCATCAGTGATCAAGCCGGTCTCGTCGCGCTTAGCGTTCAGCAGACCAGAGGCATCGCCATCGCCGCCCACAAGAGCAACACCGACATCATCGGTGATTAAGCCAGCTTCAGCACGCTTAGCGTTCTTCACACCAGAGGCATCACCATCGCCGCCGACAATGGCAACACCGAAATCATCAGTGATCAAGCCGGTCTCGTCGCGCTTGGCATTCTTCACGCCAATGGCATCGCCATCGCCGGTAATGACTCCAACACCAACATCACCGACGGCACCGTCCTCTGAACGGCCGAGGAAGTCGTTCCCCAAAGGAGCACCTTGGATGGCGGCAGCGGCCAGGAGAGCCATAGCGATATAGCGATGCATGATGCAGATGATCAAAAGATCTCAAGAGAATCAAGACTAGTAATAGGAGATTAGCCCTCCTCTTCTCTTTCTATTATTCTCGCTCCCTTCTCACTGGCTCTATACAGGCTGTATATGTCTCCGCACGTGGGAAGAGGGCTTTTCTTGAGCATGCTTACATATAAGATAGGGTACAGGGGAAATGGACTGGGATGGAAAGAGCACAAAAAGAGAGGAACTTCGAGGGACTTCTTAAGAACCTGAAATGTGGAAGGTTTCATACTGGGGAAATCTTTGAGGAGCTGACGTGCTCCACTGGGCCCTATGAATCTGGAAGTGGGATGAAGTCTCCTCGTTGAGCTGAGGACGGGCATCCGAGCTACTTTCCGAGAAGTGAGATAGTCAACGGAGTGGTTTCCAGTCCCTGCGGGTTCCTCGCCGACACAGAAACTGCTACAGGTGCCCTTTTCAAATGGTATTTTGTCTGCGTTCTTTTCCTTTTTCGCCGATTCATGACATATGGCAGGCGAGCCATAGGGCTGGACTGCGCTGCCATTGGACTCTTGTCTGCTTGAGCTTCAAACTGCTGTTCAGTTGACGGCACAGCTACTGAACCTGATCCAATCAGCAGCATACGTGAAACAGGATCACGGTGCTGGACAAGAAGAGGTGTGGCTAGGGTGTCAGTGACAGTGGATGCTGCGCAGAGCAGGTCATCGTTTCGGGCCTTTTGCTGACGATCCCTGACTATTCGGGCTGCAGACCCAAGGCTGACGCAGCACTGATGATCCCGCGACTGGTGTCATTGTAGGATTTTTCGGTTGCCGAAACGGGAGGCTGACCTTCTGCAGGGCGGAGGATGCCTCAGGAATGGAATCCTCCGAATCTTGGTCACGGCGATTAGTGTATTGACATAGTAGAGGCATTCTTCTATAAGGATGGGACTGATGCTCCAAAAACAGGAATTCGGAACCTGTCGAAGCTCTACTGGTATTCTAGAAGTTCCCTCCGCGACGCCACCAAAGCCCCTTGGCCAAACAAGCCAAGCTCACATGCCAAGCTCCACTGCTCGCCAACCCAAAGCGGAACATCGCCCAACCTTAACCCGGATAAAGTTACCTACGCAAATCACAGCTCCGCTAACCTCCGTCGGGAGAAAAAAGAGACCCTACGTAGCAAGAAGATTACGCTTTTTTCACACGCTTGGGCGTGTCTGCAACATTTTCGCATCTGGGTGGTCCAGTCCCAGTCGGACGTGCCTCAGCGATCCGCGGTGCTGGGTTCATCGAGGTCGTATGCCGCCCTAGCATAGTTTCTCATTCGACAAGACGAGAAGGTTAATGCAAAATCCCTGAGAATATGGCAGGTGGAACTTTTTGTGACTTTTTTTCTTTCTCTGCAACAACCTGTCTATTACAAGCACTTTTCAGTACGTAGATCCCTTTGTCATGGATCTGACTTAGGTTGGCAGCAGGTTCTAGATTCTGTCGGTATTATTATCACGGCCCTTATCTTGACTTTTCAAGGACCATTCAGCAAGAGGTTTATTGCGTCATCTTGTCCGCAAAACATACCAAAAAAAATGCGAAGCTGATAGCAAACCTGGAAGGTCATGGCAGTATAGTAAGGGGCAAGGGGACTAAGTAAACCTTACTGGCAGGTTTAAAAAAGGGGAAAGAGGGGAAAAAAAAAAAACTATACAACAGCAGGGATTCGCTGGTGGTCACCTACCTAATTACTAGCCTTCCGGCGTGTAGCTAAAGTACAGTCAGTAGTCGGGTGGGTGTTGCCCGGGTGAGCAGAGGGTGAGCACTTTAGAAGAATCAAGATTTATGATCCCATCACACATCATATCCCATAAGTGCTAGACCTTGATAGTAGTAACAATTACGTATGTTATCATCCATTGCCCTGGTGAACCTTCCGTAAATGAGCCGCGGTCATAAAACTTTGCACCTCCGAGCCTAATCGAGTAAGAGGTATGTAAGGAAGCCCCCGCCTACCAATTCCTACTCACATCTCCCTGGTGCTTGACGGACAGCTCATGTGCAGGCTTTTAGCGTGGGCTGTGATAATTAAAGCTTATACCCAGCTATTGTATCGCCAGCCTGAAAGGGTTTTGAGCGAAACATAGGACTGACCGGAAGTTTCTGAGTCCACAGTATCAAGCCCGAGAGAGGCCTTGGCCAACCTCCCTTTGCCCCCTCCCCTTCAAAAACGATGCTTGTTTCTCTTTCCCTTTTCGTCCCTCCAGTGCTCGCAGGATCATCTATTCTAGTACTATAATGAATAGCTCCCTACCATCCAAACTCTTTCTCGCACTAGCTTAATACCAAGACACAAATCACTCCTGGTTCCCGTTCAACCAGCTCATGACCTCTTTGTTCTGGATAGCTTAAAAATATCTCTACTCAATAGGCACTTGAGAAAGCGTCCAGTGGCTCTAGAGAGAGCTCGCTCTCCTCCACCTCGACCTACGAGAAAAACAAATCCTGAAAGACCGGTTACACCAGGCTACTTCTCAAGAATACGAGGGACAACATTCATTGTGAACTTATATAATCTAATCTTGAGCATTTTGAACGACCCCTTTAGCAACCGTCGCTAACTATCTTACCCCGTATAAGGTGGAGCAGCTTTCGAGCGCTTTTCCGCTAGAAAGAGATAAGATAATACCAATATCGCTAGTTGTCCTAGGGTTAACAAGTGAATAGTGGCAATCAGACTTCTCTAAGCCTGCTCTGCTTCGTGTTAATCGATAACACGCGAAGCGATAAGCCGTCAAGGGGAACATCTTAGAGGCGACGAGAGGAAAGAAGAGCTTGACAGAGGCAGCCGGTAATACGGAGAGGCTGCATCTAACTTAGGAGACATTGAAACGAGCTAGCGTCGGGTGCAGGTAGGCGGGAAGTTGATCAGCGGACAATTAATGCTACTAATTTTTGCAGCCTTACTTCTCGTGACCTAGAAGCTAGGGAGCTACGCAAGATACCGGATATAATCGGTATATCGACCTAGAAGGACCTCTAGGCAACCGGGGTTTGCTACTAGTATATTACGGAATGCGAGTTTATATAAGCTAGTTTACTAGGTATCTATGAAGAAGAGACTTAGAATATGTAACTTGGCGGTGTTCTAAAGATTCCCTTAGTCTCCTATTAAAAGAATAGGGTCCACAGCGAAGCTGGGCTAAACTAGGGCCCCTTAGAAAATAGCTTAGTACACAAGTTTTCCGGTTATTAGGTCACCTAAAGGATTATTCCCTCTCCTTGTTCTTTAACCTCTTCACAAGGGCATAGAATTGTGGATTACAGACTTGACTCACGATCAGATCTTACTATCGAGACGCAACAGCGTTGCGTGTATCCTATGCAACGTGATCTAAGTATACGTCTAAGTCACTGAAAATATATAAGATAGAATAAATAAATAAGAGAAATAGCATAGAAACTAACAAGTAGAGGGATTTATTTTATTTCCTGGAAAGCTAAGGATAGGAAGGCTTAATACTTTAAAATTACCCGAAAAAGGAAATTAGTATAATAAATCCTGTGACTAGTAATAGCGATTCAAAGATACTATATAAAGGGCTATCTTAATTCAACTTACTTCCTACTTTCGTTAAGGTCGGATAGCGTTTGAGAGCTCTTCTATAACTATCTATCCCGTAGAAGAAGGGCTTTCTATATCTATAGAAATTCCTAGCGTTCAACCAGAGATCGAAAATGTATTCAACGTTCTTATATTGAATTTGGAGCTATCAGTCGTCCTTAGTACCAACCGCGTAGCATTTCGAATTGAAATGGATTCTAGATCGAACGGCTTTATTGGAAAAAGGCTCACCCGATACGACTGCGAGTAGGATAGGCAACTACTGACGGGGTTTTAGGTGGCTTGCTAGATAGGGTGATTAGCGAATTTCCTATTTAGACTCTGGTTTCTTTAGCTTAGTCTGATCTTTTATTTTCTGTTTAACGTCTTTGCTCTGTTTTATAGAGGGGTGAGGGTACGCATACAAGGGAGAATGTTATCCTTTTCAGCTTATTTTCGGTTTTATGCACTTCTGCCCGTCTTACGACAATTGATTCGATTCGTTTTTTTGTGTCTTGTATCGGTCACATTTTATTTACTAGTTTGCATCCCTCTTATTTTATCCGCCCGTTCGCAGCATCATATCAATATTATCCTTCAATTCTACAGATATACTGGAATTCCTTACTTATTTTGAAGGTTTATAGTCTATAAGAACTCCATGGAAGTTGCTAAAATGAATTATGTAACAGGCCACCCAACGAGGTATTAGAATAGTGTCTTGTAGATACCGAGGTAGTTTAAGGTTCCTCGATTTATATGTTTTGGTTTAATAATTTTGCCCTGACTTTCTTTAGGCTTACTGTATTCTCAGAGGTGCTCGAACCAGATCCTGTCTCATCGGTAGAACGACTATATGGCACCGTGCTCTTGACGGGGCTAGTCTCCCGACTTCAAATTATACGGAGGAAGCGCGTGACAACCAGGCATCTAGAAGATCAGCCTTCAAGACTATCGCTAAGAGCTCAATCCACTTTACCTGTATGGATAATTACAATCGCTACCTAAAATTTCCGCCGTCGTCAGGTGTACATCTCGGTGACGATATATGCGTACCGTCTATATTAGATTAAACTCCCTTGATAGAGACTTGCATCCTCACCCCTCCTATCTTTGACATTACGGGTTGTGGGTGCGTCGATATTGAAGGCATGGCGCCTAAAGCATGACTAGTTAATTCAGAAATATTTAAATTACTGCCAGAGCCACATCCGGCCGACTGTTAGGTTGCTAATACAACCTGCTGATCTTAATGGTAGTATGGTCAGGAAACATCGATCGTTACGTGTGCCTTCGTCAGCTATCAATGATTGAGGGTGAATTACATTATGTTATTCGGGGCATCCGTTTTAATCTGTTCTTTGGCAAATAGTGGTCAAAATAGCTAGCTGTACCGCATCAGCCTTGAATATCTAGTTATGCGCGCTTTATTATAAGTCATTAATCGCCTTTCCTGGCAGACGGAAAGTACAACGAATGACGGACTCTCAATTATCATCTGGTTCCTGGAGACTCTAAAGTTCCATACTGCTTATTCTGCAAGAGGTTTCATTTGCACGCAGCGGCTCGTTTCCAAGAAAAGACCTCATTTCTACAGATAGAAGTGAGCAAAGCAATCTCTGTTTTAACTGTTCCCAATGACCCTTTTTCTCGTAGGGCTATACGAGGATGCAATGTCTCATAAATCGGTATTCTGAAGGATATACTGGGGAGGTTTTTCAAACTCAAGCCTTTGGGCTGCTTTTTCCACCTCTTCATTTTGCTACTGCCACATGCTTCTGATCAAGCGCTTTTAGGAATAATTGTATATTTTTGTACAAAATGAGATAATTGGACTTCTGTTTCGGTGAGCTATGTGCAAGAAGCCTATTGACCTTTATAGATTTGGGGTCATGCATCTAGTTCTCTTAAGATACATGTGTGTATACAAAGAGGTAGGTGGTTCTGTTACAGCTAAACCTAACATGACGCCATAATATATAATGCTTTATCTATATTTTTTCTAGCTGAAGCAGCCAAAATTTAGGCTTTGATGAATTTTTTAGCCGATATCAAGGGCCTAGAGCTATGATAATAGAATGAGTAGAAACGATGGGAACTCATTACTCCTTTGGGTATGCTTCGAATGGGGCAATTATGAGAGATGGTAAGCGGGGTGTTTGTGCGACCACGAATTTCGACTGAACTGAACCTGGTTCTTAAAGCCTCCTAGCAGACTTGGGATCGTCGATAGCAAAGCATATCTCGATACTAGGATACCTCAATGCCCCGTCTATTTTGTCCTGTACCATACATCGCCCCCAAGTCCAACCCTGGCTTTACGTCAACATACGACCCGACGCGATGCAATGCAGCGCACACCGCTGCACGATCGGGCGGGCAAGCTGCAGGTCCGGTCCCGATCTCGCCCAAGCTCGGAGCGTATCTGAGATGTTCATCATCCGGCGTCCAGGATGCCCAGTCAGCGGGCCGTCCATACGAAGGAAAGAAACTCCCAGTGGATAGATGTAATATACTAGATCTTGTGGTGCATAGCCTCGATCGCACGGTCAAATTCCGAATGGTGCAGGGGCCGGAAATTAAACGTCAGCACTGGGCTCCGCTGTGACTCGACAGCTAGACAATGGTACTCAGCGGGGGCTGGGCGAGGAGCTAATACTCGGGCTATTGGGGGCCGGGCCGTGGGGGAGAAAGCTACCCTGCAATGCGGTGTGAGCGGCCCGGCCCTATTTCCAAGCTGACTGTGCGCGGGGCTGGAGGGGTTGGTGGCTTGGAGGCATTGGACAGAGCACACAACTTAGTGAATTAATCTACGGAATTGACCAATAAACAACACGGCATGTCAGAGATACTACAATACTACGTCGGTATTGTTACGTTTGAATTACATTGAACGTGAAATGGAATGAATTACTTCGATACCCAGAATGTGACGGTGTGATGACATGTATTCATTGTTACTATTCCAATGCCTGTACGGAGCAAAATAGGAAACTAAAACAAAGAATCGAATACAAAAGTACTGCATTCACAAAGGTAGATAACTATCGGGTGAGATCGACAGAGGAGAGAAATTTGAAGGCTAATAATTACACATGAGTCGAAGGACTTTCTCGTTTCGCAAATAAACTGTATCTGCCACCGCATGGAAAGGAAATGGTGAACAATGATCAAAAATAACAATATTGAGGTGTGATTCACAAAGTAAATGCCTTCTTTGCCGTGATTTTGCCGGACGCCGAGATGGGTAAGACATGAATAGTTGAATAGAAAAGAAGAGAGGCAGGGAAAGATAAATCAGAAAAAAATTGAGTAGCTCAAGGATCACCGCACAATTTGGCTCAATCCTCCTGCATCTCGGTGTCTTCCTTTTCGCCAAAGAGATCCTCGTCCTCGTCGCCAGCCCTTGCTGCGGTCTCTTCCTCCTCATCGTCATCATCTTCAATACGACGAGACACCTTGCCCCGACGACGAGGTGCACTCTCCTCGTCTTGCATTGGCTCATCATCACCGAAGAGATCATCCTGATCTTCCTCGCCAGGACTTGCGGGGGCGGCGCCTTCTTCATCCTCATCGTCCGAGTCAACCACAACTTCACTACTCTTGAACTTGCTCTGCGCCTTGCCACCAGAGCGGCGCTCCAGGCGACGCCGCTTCTTGGGCGCGGTCTCGTTCTCGCTCTCCGGCTCAACGCTACCCTCCTGCTGATCACCTTCGTCGTCTGCCGCAATAAAGTCATCGCCACCCTTCTTCTTCCGCTTTGACGGCTTCTTCTTTCGCTTGATTTTCTCGCCAGTCGCAGAGTCGTCGGTGAGTTCGGCCTCTTCGCGGACACGGTCCGCCTCGGCGCGCTGCGCGGCATGGCGCTGTAGCTCCTCGACCATCTGCGCACGCTCCTCGGCAATCTTCCGCTTGCGCTCGACCTCAACCTCCTGAGCCTTGCGCGTCGCCTCCTCACGCTCGCGCATAGCAGCCTCACGGGCCTCACGCGCTTCACGGAGCTTCGTGGCGTTCTTATCCTCGTACTCCTTCTGGGTTTGGAATGCACGGTCAAGCTGTTTGCTGATCGTTCGGCCCATGTTGGCTCGTTGCTCCAATGCCTGGCTGGGGTATGGGGGATTCTTCTCCTTTGAGATGCGATCAAAGGCTTCAATCGCCTCCTTCAGCCCCTCGGCTGCCTCCTCGACATCTTGGAGGGTCTTCTGGGTAGGCGGAAGACTGTATGCCAGGGAGGCGATCTGATTCTGCACAAAGGCAACATTGAATTGCAGGTGAAGCTGATCCGGGGAGACATTCTTGGCCCGCTGTGCATAATCAAGAGCGGTCTTCATCGCCTGCATGCTACCTTCCTGCTTTCCTTTCAACCACCAGACACGACCAAGACAAGCTAGGATCTGGACATCGCGAGACCGATCTTTGGCCAGCGCAGCTTCGTAGTGTTCGATGGATCGCGAGTACTGCCGGAGCTCGGCATAAATATGACCCAGGTTGAGATAGACGCTCGGGTCCTTGAGTGTGTCGCGGACCCTGGAAAAGATCTGCACGGCGGAGCTGTGGTCTTTCTTGTCATCCACGAGAGCAATTGCAACACCCTGTGCGGCGTAGGCGTTCTTCGGATCGAGCTGCAGAGCTTTGTCAAAGAACTCCACGGCACGCTGATACACCTTGCGGCGTTTCTCCTTCTCCTGGTCCGTATCACGGCGCATATCACGGGCCGCGAGAAGGTGCACATTGCCCATGCCCGTCAAAGCATAGCGATCATGCTTGTCGTGGTATTGGAGGGTGTGCTTGTAGTGGCGTTGTTCGTGATCTTCCGCGAGGTTGGCCACACGCTTCTTCGATTTACTAAGATACCAGCCAAAGAGGGAGCGAACTTCTAGATTTGAGGATTCGGCTTCATAGAGTTTAGCCATCTTCTTGGGGCCCTCATCTGTGGGACTCTGGCGAAGGGCTATGTATGTAAGGCGAGCACTGGCTTCGGTGTAGTCGCTGTGCCGCTCCAGAAGACCTTCATAAACCTTTTTGGCTTCGTCCCACATGTCCGCAGCCTCGTAGGTTCGACCCAGGTTGTAGCTGATAGAAGTAACAAGAGCGTCGTTATCCGTACCGTCCTCTCGCTGCGAGGATTGAACGCAAGCGTTGAGTGCAGACTGGAACATCCCACGAGCCAAGGCGATCTTCTCGTTCTGGTACAAGAAGCACCCCATGTTGTTGAGCAACTGTGGAGGAAGGCTCTCTCGGAGCGTAACTTTCAGCTGATCCTCATCTTCGATATCCGGACGAGTGCTTTCAGGAATGCTTGAGATTTGGAGCTCTTCCAGCTGAGCCAAGCACTGCATGCTCTTATCTGGCGCAGTGTTCTCGTAAAGGCGTGACAGGTACACCAGAACCGATTCGTCAGGTGTCAGTCTCTGTTTTTCATCCTTCCACATCGCCCGAACAGACTCTAAGAGAGTGATCGCACGCTTTGCCTCGTTCGACTTGTCTTCCTTGCTTCCAGATCGCTGGGCGGCAAAAACCTCCTCGGCATGAAGTGCCGCTAATAGGATTGTCGCCTCAGCATTTTTGGATTGCTGAACGATCTTCTCGAGGTGGAACTTAGCACCATCGAGATCCTTATTGGTGACCTGCATTTGCACAGCACCGAATTTAGCCGGCAGGTAACCCTTATCGCCGCCACCCCGAGCTTGATCAGACCGATTGTAGAACTCCGTGGCGCGTGCAAAGTCGCCCTCATAGTGGGACTTGCGACCAAGAAGATACCAGCCATCACTTGCAATGGGCATGACGTCTGTTTGTTCAATGGCTTTGCGAGCGAGGGTTTCCACGGTAGGATAGGCTTTTCGAAGGAGGAAATAGCCTCCGAACAGGGCACATGTCATCGGATATTCCTTATCGAGTTTGAACGCCTTCTGAGTGTATTGTGTCATAGCCATCTTGTACAAAGAGCCAAACATCGGATCTGTAGTCGAGCGACGGGAGCTGTCATAGAGGTGATAGACTGCGAGGAGGATATTGGCGACCTTGGACTCAGGATTCTAGTTTGAAAACGATTGCGGTCAGTTGAAAGGTTTATAAATAGCAGGCAAACGGAAGAGGGAGAGCATACCAAGGCCAATGATCTCTCCCAAGCTGCCTTGGCTTGATCTTTAAATCCAAGCTGCCACAAGCAGCATCCCAAGCCGATTCTCGGGTCGGGATCTGTGAGATGAGGCACCTTCAACAGAACCTTCTGATAACCATCTAGAGCCTCAGCATATCGGCCTAGCATATAGTGAGCTCGAGCACGTCCCAAGATCGCCATGATATTGCGGCCACCAAAGGCCTTAGATGATTCGTCGAAGCATTTCAACGCCTGTCGTAAGGATTCTACGCGCTCAGATGTGTCAATTGTTCCGGGACGAACCGCACGGGGAGGATATAGCGATGCACGGAGAAGGCATAGAACGCCACGCGCGAGGAACAGCGGGGGATAGGCTGGGTTCAAACGAGATGCTTCGTTCAATGTCGACGTCGCTAGCTGGAGGTAGTGATCCTTCGTCTTCGCCTCCGAGTATAATTCACCCTCGGGAGCGACACGCGGAGCCTGGCGACTCTTCAGCATCAGCAGCCAGCAGACCCAACCGAGAAGACCCAGTTTCTCTTTGGTGGCACCGTGGGCGACGGAGGCCAGGCCCTTGTTGAGAATGTCGATTGCATGGTCAATCTGCTTTCGTTTGGCGTACGCCAAGGCAATGATCACCCAGAAGTTCTTCGCTGCGCGCTCATTCTCAAGCAGGGTGCAAAGCTCGGTTGGATCTTCCGGGAGATCAAGGAGGCTGACTTCGACTTCGCTGTCGAAACTGGAGGCGGGAATATCGATGGCATCGGGAATGTCGGAGAAACGGAGAGCCGCGACAGAGTCACCATTCAAGCCATTGGCCTGGCCATTCTCAAGCGGCGCCATGGTTGCGCTGTTTGCGTCCCAGCCCGAGGAGTGGGAGAAAGGAGCTGGCGTGTGCCGAGGATGTGTGATGCGACAGGAGGAGGATGGGAGAGGGTTGTGGGTCGAGGTATTCCTCTTAGCTCATGATCAAATGAGATTGTCCAGAGATTGACCAAATTCACGAGCCAACTATTTCGCCAGTCCACTTGAGGGCTGAGAGACCCCTTGTCGCCGAACAAAAAACTGCGAGTGAATCGGGAAGCTTCGTGAGTTCGCGGTGCTGTTCAGTTGAGAATTGGAGGCTCGGTGTGGCTGGTGGAGATGCACCGCCACAGATCGCCAGCCACATGCACTAAATGTTGTAGGCTTCGAAATGAATTCTGGTTACCGGAATTGAGGAACATGTGTGAAAAATAACCTCGCAGACATTTAAGTAAGCCTAACAAATAACAGCTAATATGAAGCATGCGATGCTATAATCTCTGTTCACAGGTGGTGACATTCTGTGCTCGGATTTTCCACACTATGTAAAAAGTCGCAAGTACACATGTTTGATAAAGCCAACAATGACAGCTTGTATAACAATAACGTTCAAAATGTTCATTCAAAATTCTAAATAAGAATATTTTCTAGGTCTTGACTTCGTGTCTCTGGTCCTCAAGAGAAGAGAAAGAGAGGAGTGATTGCACCAGCGTCTCAAGAATCAGTGTGTCCAGCCGCTTATGAACCTGCATAGACAGGCAAGACCAGCCAAAACCATGAAAATCTGGCCAAGTTCGATCCAGTGGTGTACTTGAACATAAGACTCTATATAACCTGCGGAGACCGCCACTTTTTGTTCATCGGTGGCATGCTTGGCCTCGATCGACCCGGCCAGTTCGGAGGGGAATCTGCCGGTTTCGAAATACTGATCCATTAGCTCGTCTTTTTCGGCCCAACGAGCTCGAAGCCATGCATCAAATTCTTGCTGGTCGTCGAGGGGGATATCGGCAACGGCAAACCGCCTCCAATGCGTGTTGACCGAAGTTGGTGGGCGCCCCAAGGCGTACGTGGAACGAAGAGTGAAATACTTGTCAGGATAGCTACCTTTTCTGTGAAAATAAGAAAGATAGGAAGTCAGTATATCTGGATACTTGAGAGCAAGGCGTTGTTCTTCTTTCATGGGGAAGACAATCAAGGGAAACATACGGAGGTCCCTCGTAGGCAATGGTGCTGTCGTATACCCAGTCCACGGTTCCCCGTAGTTGCTGAAGGCAGAAGAATAGACCCGTTGATCGGGGGAGAATCTCGTGTTTAAAAGAAGGATAACCCATTTTCTTCCCGAATTCGTCGCTCCGCCGCTTGGTATTGAGGGACAAATTGGTGCCTTCGGGAAAGAGTAGGAGCCACATGGGGTCATACTGCGGCTGGCCGGACTTGGACCCGGTCAGTCGGGTTTTGAGTTTCTCCAAACGATACTGAAGTCTGGGTTTATCGGACTGCCATTTGCGCGCCATGAAGATGAACCCGTAGAACATCATACCCTGCCCCATAATGGGGATATACTTGAGCGACTCCTTCAGGATGATGTAGATGCGACCGTGCATGGCGTTGGTATAAGCGAACCACCAGAGATAGATCCAGTCGGTATAGACCTGGTGGTTTGCGATCATGACCAGGCGTTCCGGGAATTGGGTCAGCAGCATTCCGTCCTCGCCGAGGTGAAGCTGGCCCCGGACACTGGCATCGCCGCTGACCCGGAAGAGGGTTGGAGCTCCCCATTGGGTGAGTGCAGTTATCACCAAGCCAAAGTTTTGTTTCGTGAACGCCATATAGGAATAATAATAGTCTTTGTTGATCAGGTATAGAGGGGCGCCCACCAGTTGTGTTGCCAGGATGACGACACAGCAGCAGTTGAACCACGCTGCCATCGCCAGCGAGCGCAGTACCTGCATCGTGAGGCCATACTTGAGGCGCGGATCGGTCGCTGGTTTGGAGGAGTGTTTCAGGAGCTCACTGACGTCCCCCGCGGGGGGTTGCTTGCGTTGGCGGAGCTCAGTTGAATTCATGCTGGTTTGAGCTCGGCCCTGGAGGGCTGATGGAGAGGTAGGGGTATCAGCTATGGGCAGAGAGATGCCGTGGCCGCACTATTCGAATCGGAGAAGCTAAGCACGCAACTCCGGGAGGGGAGTTGCAGAACTTCAGCAGCCCGGACGTGAGGTTGTTCGCGGGAAGCGGCGGATGCGAAGATCAGGCCCGAGGAGTGGGGCGATGGTCTCGTCCGCGATGCTTCCAGGGGGCCAGCCAAGGAGGGGAGAAGAGAGAGGGGAGAAGAAGGAGCGAAGCAGCTGAGGTCAAGAAGCAGCGGAGTAAGGAGCCATGGTCCGGGTCTCGTGGACGTGGACGTGGACGTACCGGAACGAGCAGTTCACGGCCAAACCTTATAACGTCAGTGAAGCGGTGGGGGCATCGAGGCGCCCCCGGTCCTTTATCCCGTCACCAACATCCACTCACATCACCCGAGCCGCTCCCCTTTCAACATCCCCGACCTGTTGGGCTCCAACCGTGTGGTTACACCCTATTCGGGCCTGGCAGAGCCTCGGATTCGAGCCTGACTCGTGCACACATTCCTGCTCCTTGGTGTCGTGTGCGCCTTCTGGGAGATGTGGTTCCCGCGGCGTATCACACGATGCGCCAACCCAACGCCTAGTCGACCAGATCGCCGATACGAAATATCGAGAAATACCCCCCTTGGTTGTGCGATTGAGGAGCCCATGTGGTTTGCGGAGCGTGATCTGTGCCTTCGGATATGGAATTTAGGAACCGATCTTCCGGCCTCAAGACTTGCTTCCTAAACCATACGGATTTCGATACAAAGTATCTTGTTACTGTGGAAAATCAATATACCAGAAGCTATGGCCTTCGAAATCTACTGCCCAGACCCGATCCCTTGGTCGTATCCTCTGAATGTGGTGGCTTCCAGGTGGAGCCCATGCATCGAACTTCTCAAGACGAAGTTGGAGAAGCTGCAAGCGTGTCCGCAAACACTGGGTTGATACTAAAAGACGTCCATATAGCCCCCAAATGGAATTATATATTCTGTCTCAGTTCCGTGTGGCTTACTCGCTTTTCAAGTGTCGGTTGACGCTGGTCCCCCGCCTGCATAAGCCGTTGCTAGTGGCCCCGAGCCGCAGGATCTTCATGGAGCGGCTGGAATTGAGGGGCAGTGCTGGCCCCCACGAGGGCTTAGTAGGAGCCATCAGGTGAATCCGGCAAAGGCCGTCTATTTGTTCTATCACGAATCGCACCAGGCCGTTAGTGTCTCTTTATTCGAGAATATCGTGCCTATGGCTCTGCCTCACGTACCGAGGATCAAGACGACGCCATGGATCCCGTCACGGCCATCAGCATTGCCGGCAACGTGCTGGCCTTCATTGACCTTTCGTACAAAGTCATTTCTGGAGTCAATGAGGTACTCTCAACGGCGAGTGGCATGACCCCTGAAAACGAACACCTCGGGGTTTTGGTACAGGACTTGAATTTGATCACACGGAACTTGGTCACAGATGCGCCTGCCCGGACCGAAAACGAAAAGCAGCTCTGCGCCTTGGCCGCGAACTGTCATGAATTATCAGGCGAGCTCTACCAGCTCCTTCGCCGATTGAGAGTGGGGGATTCGAAATCGAAATGGGAGGGCCTAAGGGTGAAATGGCAAAGTCTCCGGAAGGAAAAGGAGATCGATTCAATCGAGCGAAAGCTGAATGGGTACCAATCGCAGATTTTACTCCGACTGCAAGTCATGTTTAGGTATACCTCTCAGTCAGGGTCATCATTCAGGATCAGTTTATGCTGAGATCAGGATAGTCAGAAAGCGAATGATCAAAATTCTTTCATCAATGGCCAGTTGGAGGCCCTTCGGAGCGAGGGCCAAGCGCTTCAAAACATCACAACGACCCAGCTAGATGGATTGTACCAGACTATTTCGACGCTGGTGGATAGACTTCAGTCGACTGCGGCGCAAGATGATTCGGACAGGTCCGAAAAGGAACCGCTCACCAAGCTGAGCGATTCACTATTCAAGTTTCGGTCCATGACGTCTACAATGTCGCGGGAAAACAAGATCTTGGAATGTCTAGCCTTCCCATCCATGTTCAATCGCGAAGACCGCATTGAAAATGCCGAAAGCGGCACCTTTGCGTGGATAGTTGACGAGAAATTTCAATCAACCGACGAACAAAATGACTCTTCTGCCAAGCCCGGCGAAAATCACGAGGAACAAAAGGCAAAAGTACAATATCAGACCGAGAAGGCAAGGCAAGCGGTCCGGCGCGAGTCTACTCGAGAGCAGTTTCTTACTTGGCTCAACGTTGGCCGCCACATTTTCCATATATCAGGTAAAGCAGGTTCCGGGAAATCGACCATGATGAAATTTCTATCGCACTCTTCTCAAGTTAAGAAAGGACTAGAAAGCTGGGCTGGAGGTAGATTTTTGGTCTTTGTTCGGTTCTTCTTCTGGAATTCAGGCGATGCGAGACAGATGTCGCTTGAGGGCCTGTACCGAACTCTGCTGTTTGAAACTTGCAGGCAAGTGCCCGACTTGATTCCTCTACTTTTCCCCGAGCTTTGGGGGTCTCCAGCTGCTACGGCTGCCCCGATACGCTTTGATGAAGTTAAGGCTGCGTTTGATCGTCTGATCCAGGAGGCAAGCTCGTCAGAAAGATATTTCTGCTTTTTCATTGATGGTCTAGATGAGTTTGAGGGCGATGAGGTCGACCACTGGTGTCTTGCCCGAGATCTTCAATCTTGGACAGAACGAGCCGAGAATATCAAGCTTTGCGTCAGTAGTCGCCCGCATGTTCCCTTTGTTCAATCGTTTGCGAATAAATTGAATCATCAAGTGAGCATCCATGACCTCACGCGAGAGGATATTTATAAGTTCACCGCCGCCATGTTTGAGAAAGACCCCAATTTCCACCGCATCAAGGACTCGTATGAGGATTTGGTTGTTGAGGTTGTGAACATTTCTGATGGGGTATTTCTCTGGGCACGACTGGTTGTACGCTCGCTGTTGAAAGGTATAGGATACCAAAGTAGCGAGAAAGACTTGAAAAGAAAACTTCAAACGATGCCCAAGGGACTGGATGAGCTCTTTGATCGGATCCTTGGTTCCATTGATCAAGACGACCAGCTACTCTCGGACCAACTGTTCCTGTTGACGACTCCCAACTTTTGTCGATGGCAGCCAACCGCCCGGAATGCGATCGCGTACTCCTGGCTCGGGGACTTGGACGACCCGGGTTTCCCTTACGAACGACCGATGCAATCATACACTATGGCTGAGATCGATGAGCGGCTTGAGCAGGTCTCGTGCACGTTGGATCGCCTTTCTCGCGGTCTGCTCGAGTTGTCCCGAAAACGCCCCCGAGAACAAGATGGGCATGATTATTTTACTTATGAAGTGCAATTTCTCCATCGCAGCGCCCGTGATTATATTGTGAATACGCGGGAGGCACAAATGCGAGCTCGGCTACCTGAGTTTGATGTCTGCTCCGCGATCTTTCGACTGTTGCTTGCAGAGTTCAAATTCGCGCTTCCTACTAAGCATGATGCTAAGCCTCGAACCTGGGCGGTTACGAGTGAAGGTGGTCCTTTGAGAAGGGCCCTTCATATTTTATTCACCACGATGAATGCCGCAAAAAAGCATTACCAATATGATATACCCTCTCGTATTCTCGATGAGGCCTATCATATTGTTCGGCATCACTCGCAAGCGACAGATTCAACCCAGGTTCTCTCTGGAAATTCGGACTCAGAGCTCAAGGGCTATATATTTGGATCAAATTTGCAGCGCCTCGGCGAAGAGTGGCTCATGCGAAGGGCATCGGACCATTCACCCAATTTTCTTTGCGAGGTTGTGTCTCGCAATGTCCAACGCTGGCTTTCTCCTGATCTCATGAGCCACTTACGGAAACAGAGCTTGCATTCTGGTCCAAATCTACTCCTTGTAGCGTCTGTTTATTGTGAGGACTTGGAATTTGTGCAGGGCCTTCTGCACGAAGGACGGTCACCCCGAGAGATGGTTTCCATGGAGCCAATCCGTCCCTTGGACAAAAGCGATTTCGAGAAAATTACAACCATGATTCCAGCCCCGCAGGCTACCGTGTCTGTATGGATGATATTTCTGTATTCTTTTGTGGAAGGATATATATTGAGCGGTTGCACCAGCCTCAGCAATCGATGCCTCGAGGAGTTCTTGCAGTACGAGGTCGATCGCGACATAATGTTTGTTGTGAGAATTCCTGCCTTGTCCCGCAAACCGAAGGAAGCAGTGGATGATGTCTTTCCTTTCGGGGATACCGACGAGGGATCGGATGAACGAGTGGCATTTGACTTGCTTGAAGTCCTGGAACTGGCGGATCCATCCAACCTCGAAGCTCTTCGTATACTTCTTTCGAACCAGGCCTCCCAAGAAGACCGACCGGAGGTAAAACCCATTTCTGGGCCCTCAATCACCCACCAACGAGGCTCTCTAGCCAAGGCTCTTGACGCCATCGAGGCCGCGGGTAGGAAGAGTCCTCATTTTGGATTTGGACCGGCTCTTCGCCTGGAGAGTGTCATTTGCCCATCCGAGCGCTTGGACATGCCCTTTGCTTTCCGGATTACCTGAACAACTTGAACCCTGGCACCCTTAAATTATCATACGAAATTTCAGATCCTTCCTTATTAGTGCCTACAATAATGAAATGATTGATTGAATGGGATATTCCCCAGAGATGTAATAAGAGTGGGTAGCTATGCTGTGTTCAATCTCCATACTTCCTGGCGCTCTTTCTTGTGATTGCTTGGATATCCGTTTAGCTAGTAGGGTTCCATTGATGTGATTGCCTTCAGGTCGGCGCATAATGCACAGGTCAGTTCCAACATGGTATTGTCTACAAGGGTACTTGGATCCCTATTATCCCCGTGCCGTGCCAACAAGGACCCCAAGTCCACTGCGGTTGTCCACTGCGGTTGGCTGCGGGCACAGACCCTCCCCCCTCTCCCCCAATATCGGTCCTGGGAATGTCTGGCGCCGGCCGCAGGACCTGTGGAATGGAGGAAAATGGGAAGGGGGGTGACAGCACTCTTGTAGGGTGATGGAGGCCTGAACAGGGGGAGAAGAGAAGAGGAAGGGGGGGCGAAGAACAACTTTGCCCTCCATCCCTTGGGAAGGCTTGCGAGTTTTTCTTGACTCCCCAATCCTGTCTATATTTTGGCGGGGCGGTAAGAGGCAAGGAACGACAAATAAGATCTTCTTTTATTGGCGGTGGAGTCGTCTCGTATGCCTCCCGGATCTATAGATTGCACCTCATTAGCCGCCCGTGGGCAGGGGACGTCGGCATGCGCTGAGATGCGTCGGCCTGCCCGGTGTGTTAGCGCCGCATGGGGACCAGCAGTAACGAGGAACTTAGCGCTCTCGATCGTCCGAACAGCCCCCAAATCGCCAGGGTAGCAGTCGCAACGAGTAACACGCGTAACGGGAGTCCCTTGAACCAGGCTAGACGGAGCTTCCAGAACCAGTGCGACCCATGGATCCCGCGGGCCTCCACCCCCCGTTGATTGGCAGGACAGTGTTTTCTGTAGATTGGTGGGATCCCGGGCGAGTCGCGCATCCGGACGATAGTGGGTTTGGGCAGCGAAGAACAGGAGTTGGGGGAGCTGGTCTTAGGAAGGTATCATTGGGATAAAAGGGCCACAGGACAACGCGGCTCTGTCGAGTTGGCGCATGTCGAAAGGAGGGAAAAGCGTGGACTTTGTGAAGTAGGAGTAACAGTAATAACAAGGCGATACCAGCCGATCTCCCCTGAGATCACCTTATTTCTCCCGCCCCCAGACACTCGTCCCTCTTCCCCCCCCCCTGACCTTCTCTTCTCTCAACCCCCCCCCCCCCCCACCACATCTTCACCTCCAATTCTTCCTTGACGGCCGGGTGTGAGCAATCCTCGCAGTGCGAGGACCGCTCCCGTTTCTCTTTTTTTGCTGTTTCTCTTCCCCCACGGTAAGCGACTGCCCGCGGTTGAGCCTGTGCCGCCCGTCTCCCCTGACCGAATCATTGCCCCCGGTCCAATTATTCTCCCTAAAACACTCCCCCTCCTCCCCTGCCGGGTTACAAACGTGTGCGAACTGACCCTCTAACCCGTGGCACCACAGAGCCGCTAGCCTTGAGGGGCCTCAGGAGGTCTCGGCGCGTCAATTCTCTTCTCTCTTCCGCGACCTCACCGATCCCTGAAAGATGGCCTCATACGGCAAGTAAGTCGCGTTCCAAACCACGCTCCGACTGCACTACCTCCCAGAGACCGAGAGCAAGGAGGGCGCAACAAACCCAAAATACACCAACCTTTCGATCCAATATCTAATGATTTTCTCTCTTTCGTCAATAGCAGCACGATGTACTCGCCGGACCAGTTCATGAACCCGGGGCCGGCTCCCCGCCCCCCGACGGATCGTCCCAAGTTGACCCTCCCCACCAACAACAATGTGGCCACCTCGTTCAGTCAGATGGCCTTGAACTCTCCCAGCACCCCCAGCACCGCTCCCAGTGGCAATCTCTCGCTATTCCCCAATACCAGTACTCCCTCCCTGGCCCGGAGTCAGACGAGCGGCTCCGGGAGTCTGGCGATTATCAAGGAGGGCTTCGTGCGCTGCAAGGAAGACAAGTTCCTGGCAACATGGAATCAACGTTACCTCATCCTGCGCGACTACAAGATCGAATTCCTTAAGAATGAGTCGGGCAAGGTCGTTCTGTCGTTCCCGCTTTCGACCGTGACCTCCGTGTCTCGTTCTGAGGAGTCGAAGATGGCCTTTGAAATCACTCGCCTGGCTAACCCTAAGGATGCCGGCTCCAAAGCCGCTATGATCACCCGCGATGTCCCCACCAAGACTATCACCTGCGAGGTCAAGTCTGACGATGAGATCTACGAATGGATTGACCGCATCTACGAGCGGTGTCCCGGCATGGGTGGTGTTAGTAACCCAACCAACTTCAGTCACCGTGTCCACGTCGGTTTCGATCCACACACCGGTGCTTTCGTGGGCCTCCCGCCGGAGTGGGAGAAGCTTCTGACCGCGTCGGCCATCACCAAGGAGGATTACAAGAACAATCCTGAGGCAGTCATCGAGGTCCTGGAGTTTTACTCTGATATCAAGATGCGGGAGCAGAACCCGCAATACTATGCTGGACTTGGAGGCCCCAGCGCTGCTGCACCAAAGCCCCTAGGCAACAATGCCGTGGGCAACTCGATTGCCCCCCCTCGGCCTGCTCCACCGCCTCTTGCGCAACGCCTCGACACTAGCCAACCAAAGGCCTCGATGGATAGCCCTATGCGCTCTGCTACATCTTCACCAGCCCAATCGCACATGCCCGAATCGGCGGCGGAGCGCATGGATCGGGAACGAATGGATCGTCGCAGAGCAAATGAGGAGGCTGTGGCAGCCAATAAGGCTGTGTCCAGGGCCCAGGAACCTCTGTATGGATATGGCAGCCCCAAGAAAGAGGATGGATACAAGAATATGGGCGGAGATGCCATGAAAATCAATAAATTCCAGGAAAGACCTCTCCAGGACAAATACATTGCCAGTCGCCCAGCGCCCAAAGCTCCCGCCGCTCCTCAGGGCCCACCTGCTGGCATGTACCAAAGCGAAAGTCCCTCACCAAACGCCGCTCCTCATTATTCTCCCAACCGTCCGCCTCCAAGCAATGGCAGCAAAGGTCAACAAGGGCCCCCTCCAAGCCGTCTTCCTGCTCCCGTGCAGGCTGTCAAGCCATTGAACATCGCCAACAAGCAAACAGCCAAGAACCCTGCTGTCGATGGCGTCCGTCAGGCAGAGGCTGCTTTGACTAAGAAGACCGAGCCACGCCAGAAGGAGGTACGCATGTCTGCTATGTCTGAAAATGAAGTTATGGACCGTTTGCGGGCGGTGGTCTCTCGGGACAACCCCAACGAGTCGTATAGCAAACAGCGCAAGATCGGTCAGGGTGCGTCGGGCTCCGTATATGTGGCCCGAGTGAAGGAGCATGCCACATCTTCTGTGGCTCGGGAGCTGTACCGACAGTACGGCCCACGCTGCCAGGTAGCCATCAAGCAGATGGATCTGCGCAGCCAGCCCCGAAAGGAGCTGATTGTCAATGAGATTATTGTCATGAAGGACAGTCAGCATGCCAATATTGTCAATTTCCTTGATTCCTTCTTGCAGGAGTCGAGCAATGAGCTTTGGGTGGTCATGGAGTTTATGGAGGGCGGCGCCTTGACTGATGTAATCGATAACAATTCATCGATCCAGGAGGGCCAGATTGCAACCATCTGTGCCGAGGTATGTTTTCTTCTTAGTTCGGAGCTCAACATAGATAACTAACCTCAAGTACTCAAAACAGACTTGTAAAGGATTGGCTCACCTTCACAGCCAAAATATTATCCACCGAGATATCAAGAGTGACAATGTCCTACTTGACGCTGTCGGCCACGTCAAGATCACCGATTTTGGCTTCTGTGCCAAGCTCACCGAATCTAAGAGCAAGCGTGCTACCATGGTTGGCACTCCGTATTGGATGGCACCCGAGGTTGTCAAGCAGAAGGAGTATGGCCCCAAGGTTGACTGCTGGTCGTTGGGTATCATGGCCATCGAGATGATTGAGGCCGAGCCCCCGTACTTGAACGAGGAGCCCCTGAAGGCTTTGTATTTGATCGCCACCAACGGAACCCCGACCCTGAAGAAACCCGAGAAGTTGAGCAAAGAACTCAAGGCATTCCTGAGCCAGTGTCTCTGTGTCGAAGTACGCAGCCGTGCCACCTCTCATGAGCTACTCGCCCACGAGTTTCTGCAGACAGGTTGCAATGTCGCCGGTTTGGCTGAGCTGCTGCGCTGGAAGAAGCCCAGCGGCCAGTAATTTTGTCACCATCTAGAGGCTTTCTCTCATGTCTCCACACCCCTGTTTCCCGCCACTTTCCAACTCTTCACTCGCCATGACTACGAAGTTTATCAAGTTGGAGATCTGTCCTGCGCACATATGGGTCCAATTTAACGCGCTTCGGTTTAGACGTTCCTTTACACTCTCCCTCTCACGAACCTGCATGGGGACACTACATTCCCGGTTTTGCCCATACACACGTTTATGCGCTACCCCTGCTCCTGCTGCAGCATTCTGTTGTTTTGCCTTATTCTAAAGAACATTAGGCGTGGCTCATTAGGCGTTCTTTTTCTAACTCAATTTTCATCCTTCATTTCTCGATGTTCGCAGCTTTTCGTGCCTTTCCCCCACTGCCTCTTTCTCGTTCATGATAATCTCCCTCTTCGTCCCGACCTCTTTCGAGACTTTGCACAAAAGATACATAATCCCAACAACACACTCATACCTCCACGATCACCCAAACGACCCCTAGTCACCTCTAGGTAGTTGCATTATGACGTTGACGATTCTGGCACATTCGAAATGCACTTACTCACACTTGCACTTGTTTTCTGGCGTGTCCTTGCACTAAAAGCAAAGTTCAGTAGTTCAAATTCGAGGGCTGTTGTTGGGGGCTATAGCCCAATTCCATTCATTTTCATTAACAAATCTGTCACCGTATAGCAAAATTAGGTGTAAGACGCTCCCTGTGGCTCAATTTTTGGACGACTCCTTAAAGGAAAAGTCATAACTGACGACCATGGTTTACACTTTTGGAGCAAAACTCAATTTTTTGGTACATTTTGTTTCTTATCGGCAAACAATGAGGACGGTCTTCCCGTGTCCGGGATCAAATGTCAGAGATTTGTGTGACTTATACGGCGAGAGCCATTGAGCTCAATGCTCAGGCTGTAAAGCAATTCCTGCTCAGGTGAAGGAGGGGTTTAGTGGTCACCTGACTGGTCTGATGGTGGGGGAGTTGACAACATTACCCAAAGTCTAGTTGGGCTGTACTCAGTTTCAACAAGCTGTTCCTACATTCTTCTTTGTTTTGATGGAATCAAAAACTTTCGGAAATCTATATTCCGGGATCCAGAATGGGGTCAACAATGGCATCATCAATTATTACGCCTCGAGTTCGTATTCTGCTTCTGATTAAGACCCAACTGAACCGGACTAATCACTGCACATACTAGCCCACCCCGAGACACCTCCCTCTCCTATATTTGCAGTTCCATATCAGAGAGATTTAGATTTTGTTGACCGCTTGGATGAACGTGGATCAATTCTCAATCAAGTCGCTGGCATCTGTTCAAAGCCTGGGTCAGGAGTGGCGCTTGTGGGCCTTGGTGGGGTTGGGTAAGTCCGCCTTGTACCATGATCTATCTCTCTGTGTTACGATCCTATTGACGCCACGAAGCAAGTCCGGGCTTGTCATTGAGTATTGTTATCGTGTTTATGAGAAGTCTCCCGACATTTGGGTTTTCTGGGTCCATGCCAGCAATAAATCCCGATTCGAATTGAGCTATAAGAATATTGCTGAGCAGGCCAAGATACCTGGCCGTCAGGACCCTAACTCCAATGTCTACCAGTCAATACAAAACTGGTTTCAAGATGGAAAAAGGGGGAAGTGGATTCTCGTTCTAGATAACCTCGATGACGACGAGTTTTTCTGCACACCCATCGCTCCAGGAAAGCCACTACTCAAGACTTTCTTGCCTCAAAGCCCCAGTGGATCAATTATCATAACGACTCGAAGTTGGAGCATTGCAAGGAAGTTTTTCAGTGAGCGCAGTATCATCTCAATTGGTATAATGGATGAATACTCAGCATTAGACCTTTTGCAAAAGAAGCTCGCGACAAGAGAGGCAGGAGACGGAAATGATGATGCAAGACAGCTTGTTGGAACCCTTGGTTATTTTCCACTTGCCATTGTCCAAGCAGGTGCATTTATTGTGCAGCGTTTGCCCCGGTACTCTATAAAGCAATATTTGAAAGATTTTTTGAAGAGCAAGCAAAAGCGAGCAAAGCTCCTGGGTCACGAGGTGGAGAATCTCCAACGAGACAACGAAACAAGCAACTCTATCATGGTAACATGGCAAATCTCTTTTGAATATATCAACAAAAAGCGGTCATCAGCTGCTGATCTTCTCGCGCTTATGAGCTTCTTCGACAGACAAGGGATTCAAGATGAATTGCTTCAAACTCCGCCGCGGAACAATGCAAGTCTGAGCAGAGACTCCAGAAAACAAGATGACAACGACAGCGATGATGAAAGTGAATGGAATGAGGTCTTCGAAGATGATTTGGTCATGCTGAAAGACTACTCGCTGATCTCCATCTGTCCCGATAAAAGAACGTTTGAGATGCACCGACTAGTACAGCTTGCGATACATCAGTGGCTAAAGTCTCACGCGAAATTTGACGTTTCGCATGCTCAATTCATCAACCGCCTTTATCGTGAATTTCCATTCCCCCTACAGATATTCAATCGCTGGTTGGAATATCAGTCTTGGTTTCCACACGTGAAACTGGCGATGGAATATCGCCCCGAGTCAAATAAATCCCGTAGAGAATGGGTCACCCTTCTTTATAAGGGCGCAAACTTTGCAAACGAAGCCGGAAACCTAGACGATACGGAACAGATCACAATGAAAGCGATAGCAGAACACGAGGAGCTGCTAGGTTGGGACCATCCGGAAACGATTGAATGTCACTTCACGATATTTTCGTTGCATTCACGAAGGGCGCAATGGCCCGAACTCCAAAGTGCTGCCAGTCATTTACTTACAAGAAGTCGGCTGGTGCTGGGCCCCGAGCATCCTTGTACGGTTATCACCATGGGTTACCTGGCTTTAGCCTACAACCGGCAAGATCAACTAGAAGATGCCGAGAGGGTAGAGACGCAAGTTCTGCACGCCTCCAGGAAGATTTTTGGGGAAGAGGACCAAAGAACCCTCTCAAGCATGAATAGCTTAGGTTTCGTGTACAGAAGGCTCGGTCGTTATGAGGACGCTGAATCATTAAGTATAAAAGTTCTCGAGGTTCGCAGAAAGATACTTGGCGAGAAGCACCTTGACACGCTCAACAGTATGGACACCCTGGCAAGTCTATACGATCTACTTGGCCGATACGAGGATGCCGAGCCTCTAGGAGCCAAATCAGTGGAGATCCACAAGAGCGTTTTCGGAGAGCAGCATCTTGATACGATTGCCAGCATGAACATACTGGCAAGCATATACAATCACCTCGGCCGATACCAAGATGCCGAGCGGCTTGGAACAAAGGTGCTGGATATCCGTAAGTCTGTGCTTGGAGAAGAGCACCCTGACACGCTTGAAAGCATGGAGATCTTAAGAGACGCCTATAATTGGCTCAGTCGACCCGAAGAAGCGGAGTCGTTGGGGCAACAGGTACTAGAGATCAGTAAAAGAGTTTATGGAACTGATCACTCCTATACCCTTACCCAAATGCGTAGGCTTCACGCAATATACCAGAGCCAAGGTCGATTTCAAGATGCAGAACCTCTTCAAGCACAAATAGTTGATATCTCCATGAGAACTCTCGGAGAGGAGCATCTTGACACCCTTCTCGACATGGCTGTCCTTGCAGATGTGTATGATGGCATAGGTCGCCATGAAGATGCTGAAGCACTGGAAACGCATATTATGGAGGTTCGCATGAGGTTGTTTGGAGAGGAGCATCCCAACACGCTCAGAACCATGGCAAACCTGGCATTGACATATCAGAGTCAAGGTCGGCTCCAGGAAGCCGAATCGCTGCAAAAAGAAGTCGTCGCAATTCAAAGGAGAATACATGGAGATGATGATTCAACAAGCCTGCTTTTCATGTTCAACCTCCAATCGATATATCAGAGCCAGGGTCGATTCCAGGAAGCCGAAGAATTACAATTGCAAGTACTTCAAGGCCGAAGAATTGTCTTAGGAGAGGAAGATCCTCAAACCTTAGACAGCCTATATAGCCTGGCTTGGATCTGTAAGAGTCTTGGGTATGACACTAGAGCCTTCGACTTGATGGAAAATTGTTGCAATCTTAGGACCCAAGTACTGGGGGAAAAGCATTCGGGCACCCTCCAGTGCATAAAATTTTTGGAAAGTTGGCGTGTTGAGTCTACGCCAAAAGAAAAGTAAGTAGATTCCAATACTTCTCCCAAACAAAAATTTAGGTATTAACTTATCCTAGTGACAAGGAGAATGACATAAGTTCACCAGGCTTAGAGAAGCAAGCCGAGGTGCCTCAAAACGGCATTGAAAGTTCGAAATTTGGTCGACTTCGAACCAAAGTCTTGTGGAAATCGTCCCAGTGGAAGAAGAGAAAGTCCAAATAAGTTATACATAATTTTTGGGTCCAGTTCATGGACTCCAATTTCCACTGGTATTTTGACATCGCCTATCCTGCGATTAGACGCAAATCAACACAACACGAGGACATAAAGGAGTGGAACCTAGCTCCTGTCGCTTTATATACGCACCATATACGGATTCTGTACGCATCCAGATCAAGCAATTAATAGTTTAAATTTATCATGGTTACTCACTGGTTTTGAATCGCAGTATTTGGGAATCATGCAGGATGCTAGTGGTGAAATACCTTATGAGGTAAAGTAGATGCCACTATATTCCCATCCTTCTATTATAATACTCACGATTAATCTAGAAAGACGGGAGTGACGTTGAGCTATCCTATCTGGGAAAGTAGTCTGTCCTATATACATATGCGAAGTGGATTGAGCGAAGATAAAATCCTCACCGTTATCATTAGAGAGCTCACTGTCATTAAGAGATATACAGAGCAAATGACCCTTCTATATATTTCTCTAATGTATATGGCTTTTTATTTCAAGAATTAATCCCGAATATTCCCCAGCCGGTGATATGGGCTTCATCTCTTTCATATACGTATATGAGGCGGGTAGGTCATCAAGAATAAACTATGAATAAGAGGACGAAGAGTGTGATTATTGACTTGAACATTAGTTTACCACCACAGGAAAAGAAAAGGAATTCGTATTTATATTATATTCTCGCCATCAATATCAATCAAATTCCAATTAAGATTCCGACGAACATCCTCTTCTTCTGAGGTTGATCCCATAATTGAACGAAAGCATCCCCCAAATCTCCCAGATCGATGAAGAGGGGTCTTATCATGCGGTAGCATCGAGTGGTATCAGAAAGAGGCATCGACTAGATGAGACCTGGATCTATCTAATCTGCGCCTTCCTTGATACTTACATTTTGATAAGGTAACATTTCAGGCTCCATTTGAGGGCTTTGCATACTATAGTAGATTCGAAATACACTCGTTGATAGCCGAGCAAGTATCCAAAGAAGGAGAAGGTGGTCTATACGTGGTATATTTCAAACGTTGCAGTAGTCAAAATTTTTACAGCAGAAACAAAGTCATCTATCTCATCGAAAATATACCTAATATATCAAATAATACATGAAAAGAGAGCACAAATCCGTCAAATCCTAGATAAAAGAGTCCAAATTGAACCAAAACACATCAGCATTGAAAGTTCTCAAGGCAACCCCTCTCTGACAAACTGCCGCAGCTGCCCACAAGCCTCACTAAAAAGCACGCCTTGTAGTACAGTCTCACCCTCGCCAGCAGCCCAGCGGCCAGCATCAGTGAGTCGCTGTTTCCAAGCAGCCTGGTCTGCGCCGCTGAGATCTTTCCAGGCACGGAGTTTGTCTGCTTCAGAAGAATCGTCTTCACTAGTATGATGGGAATAAAAAGTTTCGATCAGAACACTCTGCTCGGCAGTTTGGCCATGCTCATTGCAGCGCACGATAACAGAAAGAGCATGCGGGCTGACAGTCTCGATATCTGCAGGTGCTGCCCCAGCACTGTGAACCCGGTCAAGAATCTCTTTGAGGCTTTCGATTTGGGCTTCTTCAGTGGAAGTCTGTGCAATTGGGATACCGGACCGACTCTTAGGGGAGAGGATGTAATCAATATAAGAGCCCTGGCCGGGTGAAGGCGGGATGTATTCATTCGCAATTGTATTGCGAATCGCGGGAGGAAGCCATTCTGCAGCGCCGAGGAAAGGCGGTGTTCCACCACGGATCTCGGCAAATGCAAGCATGGCAAATGTAATAGCAATGAAAGATCCGAACAAGACAAGAGCATAGTAAATGCCCTCCCATAACTCAGCCGGTCCAGGAAGACTGAGGACATAGCGGGGCGTCCGGGAGGAGGCAGGGAAGGGTGAGAGCGGGAGGGTGTGGACGACGACGGTATTGCCCATGCTGATGGAAGCCAGCTTCACTTTTTGCGGTGGTACATCGGGAGTGATGGGGTGCAGTGGTGCATTGAACGGTGAGAAGACAAGTTTTGTCATAGAAAATGGGTGCACGTCGCGGAGGGTGGTATACGGCCGAATAGCACCGTAGCCCTTGTTGGGTCCATATTCCAGCGTCCAAAGCGCAATAGAGTGATCACTGCCGCTCGCAGCAATTACAGTCTGTTCCTGGCCAGCTGGATTGGTGCCAAGTGCACATATATCGAGCCCAAGGCCGATCTTAGTACTCCTGGGCAGCTTGCGTCGACGCACGATTGTAGCCTGGGCATGCTTGGCGGCGGGTAATCGGAGGAGGATGAGTTCGCTACCGCTCCGTTCTGGCGCATTTTGAAGGAGAAGCAAGACATTTGGGGAAATGAAACGTAAAGCACGGAACTTTGGGCGGGCCGCACGGGCGCCGCTGGTAGGGACGGGGATGGTATACACGCAGCGGACCTCAGGGGCCGTATTGGAGCGAATTGAGGACGAGATTTCACAGATATTGACATCTGCACCGTTGGTATATGCCACGCGGAACCGGCCACATTCAGCTTTCGCCTCCTCTGGGTCGTTTTCTAGAGACACGAAGTCCACGTCCTCCGCCTCCTCGTTGTTACCGAGGCGAATGCGGCCAATGACATCTGAATCCGTGGGAGATTCTGTGACTTGAAAGAAAACAATCTCCCCTGACGATGCCAGACCTGTTGCAATAGCTCCGACTCTTGTACTTCGGCTTTCGTTTTGGGATGCCTCGGCGCCTAGCTTCTTCCACGGTGATAGCCTCAGCACACGTTGGTAGGTATCGCCGGACTCTCCTTTTGTACGGAATAGCGATGCGCGTGACAAAGCTTCTGCTTTGCCGGCTGTAACCTCTTCTTCTTGTTTTTCTCTCTTGTCCTTGTTCTTTTTTGTTTTGTCCTGTCCATCGCCGTTTTGGGCACCGCTCGTCGTCAAAGCTTGCTTCTTTTTCGGCACATCGAAGCGGAATGATCGCATATGCTGGTTATTATTCTTTTTCTGCTGCGCAACGGAGCTGTTGATACCGGCTAACGTAGTCAGCGAGCTATCTTCATCGCCAAGCTGCGGCGCCGCGGCGAGCGACGTCACCGAATCCTCGTCGCGCGACAAGCTGAGTTCGACGGTCTCGGTGATCTCATCTCGACAAGACGTATCAATCAAGGACTAGGAGAATTCAAGTTTACCGGGTAAGTTTCAAGATATCGAAGCTGAAGGCGCGCGCCACTTACAATCTTGTTCCCAACTCCGCTACGGCCCTCACCACCTCCACCGCCGACGAGCAGACGCCTATTGTCGCGCGGATCAAAATCGGCCGCAAATAGAGGACAGGAGAGAGTGAGTTTGGCGGAATATATTGTGGGCGCCATGGTTCTGTCGGGTCCTGTTGCTCTCTTGGGAGCAGAGAAAGAGGACAGTTGGAAGTGACGAGGTTGCCCCGGATTCTTGGCGCGGCAGGCCGCATCTGGGATCCCGCAGAGCTAAATTTATGCCAAACTACCCAAAGTATCGTGAAAATGTAGACATTCCACAATCGTGCAAGGAAAATTAAGAGCAAGGAAGCATAAGCTGGTGAGAACAATGAAAAAGGTATATAAATTTTTTTAGAACTCCCCCATAATGTCATCTTTCTCTACAATACTCTAATCGACCTCCTGGCCAGTGAACTCGGGCAGTCGCTTGGCCACATCTTCCCAGGTTTCGTCGCCCTCGGCAAGCGACTTAAGAGCCTGCAAAATCTCGTCCTCGCTGGCACGCACCTGCTTGGTGGTGTCACGGTCGCGCAGGGTGAAAGTGTTGTCCTTAACGGACTGGAAGTCGACGGTAATACCGAAAGGAGTGCCCAGCTCATCGTTACGGGCATAACGCTTGCCAATACTGGCAGATGAATCATCCACGCGGCTAGAAACACCGAGACGGCGCAACTTCGAGCTCAGGCTCTGAGTCAGAGGCTTGAAAGCAGGGTTGGTGGAGAGAGGAACCAGCAGGACCTTGGTGGGAGCAATGGCCGGGGGGAAAGATAGAACCTGATGAATATTAGTAACAATTTTATAAGAAAGGGGGATGGAAAATTTGAAAAACGTACACCACGGGCCTCGTCGCCAGCACGAGACCAGTAGACGTGCTCGATCATGCTGTACATAATACGACCGATACCGAAGGAAGGCTCAATAACGTTGGGAGTGTATTCGCGAACGTTCTCAACACGAGTACGCTTCTCAATCTGGATGATGTCCTTCTCTAACTCAACCTTGCCGGAGCCAACACCCTCAACGTCAATCTCGATCTTGCCCTGCTGCTCCAGATCCAGAGAGAGCTTTTCGCGCAGATCCTGGGACAAAGCCTCAACGGCGGCCTCGACGGTCTTGCTGTCTTTCTTAAAGCGGGGGCCGAACTTCTTCTTGTCAAGGTCGATCTGCCACTCCTCAATGCGCAGAGGCTCAGAGCGGGTCTCGCGAACAACAAGAGGCGCACCGGTCTTGTTCTTGTGCACAGTGAGATCGTAAGCACTGCGGTCAGCACAACCAACACACTCAATCCAACCATAGCTGGTCTGCAACTCCGCATCCCAGCAGTCGGCGGCATAGTGGGCCATCTCGTTGGCCATGTGCTGGCGGAAACGCAGCTTGTTGAAGTCGATGCCTAGCTTGAGAAGGAAGAGCTGGATACGGGCCAGGAAGTAACCCAAGGTCTCGTTATCCACGAGACCAGTCTCAACAGCCTTGCCGATGGTCATCTTGGTGACCTTGGTGCTGCCGGACAGCTGCACATTGCGGTCAAGCAGGGACATCTCGATGTCCTTGACCTCGACAAAGCGGGGGTGCTTCTTACCACCCTCCGGGTCGACGTAGTGCTCAATCTCAGCCATCAGGAACTCACGCACACGAAGCAGACCGGCACGCGGGGAAATCTCATTACGGAAGGACTTTCCAATGGAGGCAGAGGCGAAGGGCATGCTCTGCTGGTTGAACTCGAGCAACTTCTGGAAGTTCAGGAATTGGCCCTGGGCAGTCTCAGGTCGCAGGTAGCCAGGCATGTTGCTGCTGGGACCGATCGAGGTCTGGAACATGAGGTTGAAGGAGACGGGGGGCAGGACCTTGCCATCGGTAGCGGGGTTGCGGATATCGTACTTCTCGATGATCTTCTCAAGCTCAGGGCCGCCGAAGTTATCAATCTGAGCCAGAGTCTCTTCATACTCCTTGACGACGGCATCGTCCAGCTTGACGGCCTTGGTCTCCTTGGACTTCTTCTTCTTCTTGGCCTCCTTCTCGGCGTCAACCTCGACCTTCTGCCCACGAGCCTCCTTGTCACCCTTCAGGCGGTTCTCCAGAACTTCCTCAACCAAGTGATCGGCGCGGAAGATCTCGCCAGTTTTGGGGTCCTTGCACATCCAGTCGGCGAACTTATCCACGTGCCCACTGGTCTTCAGGATCTCGTGGGGGGTGAGCATGGTGCAATCGACCTCAAGCATATCCTCCTCCAGCACGAAGTGTTTGCGCCACAAGTCGGTCATGTTGGCGACCAGAGCGGTGCCGGGTGGGCCATAGTCGTACAGACCAGACACGCCACCATAGATTTCGAAGGAGGGGGTGTAGAACATGCGGCGGCGGAGCATTGAGTCGAGGACCAGGCGGTCGACAGCCTGGCCAGTCTTGGTAGTGACAGTCGCCATCTTGGGGTTGCGATTGGACTTCTTCTGGAGCGCGGTCGAGCAGGTGAAAGTCCTGAATTGAATGGATGGAGGGGAAAGAAAAGAGCGGGGGAGGAAAAGGCGCGGCAGCAATTGAGTCATCCACTCAGCATAAGCCCCCCTTCAAGGACTTGAAACACACCACAGGCAAAATGAGCGGACGGATAAAATGCGATTAATTAGAAAGAGATGAAGATTGCGCTTGTTAATCCCCCTTATTAATTTCTTGACTTTTTGATCTCCCACGCAACGTGATCAACAAAATCAACGTTGCTACGGCGCATCGGCCCGTCGTTTCTCCGACAAAATAAATTTATCGTGGAGATCGGTTGAAGCTCCTCCGACGAGCAGCCACCAATTTTCTCCTTGAACTTCTGTTTTTTTTGCGACAGATTTTCACCATGGGTATGAAGGGCAGAGGAGGGCCGCCACCCGGCGCGGATCCCGAATTTAAGCCTGCCAACAAGCAGCGCCGCCAGATGATGCACATCAAGCGGAAGAGAACGAAGGACTCCGAGCGCCGAGCGGAGCGCTATGCTATCAAGAAAGAGGAGGCCAAGAACCCCAAACTCAGAGAGGACCGTCTACGTCGCAACGTGCCGTTGACACTTGACCGGAAACGTGTCTGGGACGAGGCCGACAATGACGCCGAGGAGACTGGACTTGGCCTGAGTGTCGACGTCGAGCGCATCAAGCGGGCGAAGAAGGAAGAGGAGGATGAATTAAACCGGCCCTTGGAGGATGGGGAGGATGACAGTGAAGAGCCAGAATCCGACAATGAGTCCATCGACAGCATGATCGCGACAAGTGAGAGTGAAGATGAGGACGAGGACGAGGAAAAAGACGGCGAGGACGAAGAGGACTCAAGCCGTGGGCGCAAAAAGTCTTCGCTGCCCACTGCCACTGAGCGAGCTACCAGCCCAACGCAGTCAACCCGCAGCACGAATCTCAACCTTGCACCCGAAGCATTGGCTGCCAAATTTCCCTCGCTCTTCTCCTCCGAAGCCCCGCCGACCCCAAAAGTCCTCATCACCACTTCCATCAACTCTACGCTACACAAAGAAGCCGAGATCCTGACAGACCTCCTCCCGAACAGCGTGTATATCCGACGTACGGCGCATCGCTACTCGCACAAATTTTCAATTCGTGAGATTTCCAAGTTCGCCGCCAATCGAAACTATACCACCGTGGTCGTGCTGCAGGAGGACCAGAAGAAGCCCAGCGGAATGACTATTGTGCATCTCCCCATTGGTCCGACCTTCCATTTCAGTATCAGTAACTGGATTGAGGGCAAGCGACTGCCGGGCCATGGTCGTGCGACTGAACACTGGCCTGAGTTGATCCTAAACAACTTCCGCACCCCGCTGGGTCTTTTAACGGCGCATCTGTTCCGCACCTTGTTTCCACCACAGCCAGAGTTCGAGGGCCGACAGGTTGTCACGCTGCACAATCAGCGTGATTATATCTTCGTGCGCCGTCACCGATACGTCTTCCGCGAGAAGCGGGAGACCGAGAAGCCGGTTGTTGGTGCGGATGGTAAGGAGATACAGGGTGCTGAGGGTATCCGAACTGGTCTCCAGGAACTTGGTCCTCGCTTTACTCTGAAGCTGCGGCGTGTAGATAAGGGCATTCAGCGAGGCAGTGGCCAAGAGTGGGAGTGGGAGGGTAAGATGGAGAAGGTGCGGACCAAGTTCCAGCTGTGAACAGCTAGAGGGGCTTTGTCCTTTGTGGTATTTTTTTTTTGGTTTTCTTTCCGCATGGGGTTTGGGGAGTACCTAAAAGCATGGTTTTATTTAAGCTTATTCTCTGGGCATATTTTGCACTTTATATGTGTCGAATGAACATAGACATGTCTTATTTGAGAATGCCATCTCCCTGTACATGTAAGCTTGGATTCTGGCCCTGAGACTAAGGGCCTTTCTATAGTGGGAACTACTTCGTTGGTTTCACCTACTTGCGATATACGTAGAAAATATATCCAAGCAGACCGAAGTTACCGACATAGTCTTTTTCCAACGGATCTGATTAAGTGTCCGAGATTAGGGTTCCAAGGATCTCTCCATCTCGGTACCTCCCGAATACCAATAAAGTATCACTCTCTTAACGACACGCCATCGATTATTGCTCCGTCACTTTCATCGGATAGATATCTTACTCAACGGCTAGAGATGTAGTACAAGATCGTCGGTCATATTCCGAAGCGTATTTTGATTTTGTTAAGACTCTCAGTTTATCGATCGCTGTGTTAAGTACTTTTTCTTTCGCTATTCTTCTAGAACCCGGCAATCGGGGGCAGAATACGCCCAATTGCATGCATATGATACAAAATCCAAAACCAACGCCTCCATTGATCCCATTCCCATATCTTACTCCTTTGCATTCCCTCCACCTTCCTTCTCCTCCGTTTTAGCATCCCAAGGCAATCCTGGCGTCATGTCACCCCCCTCGTCCTCTGTTATCAGTGCCTGCACTTTTTTCATCGCCCTCGCCATTACCTCCTGTCGCTTCTGCGCAAAAGGAATCGCCTTCCGGGCTGTGACGACCCGCACATGTGCCCTCAGCCCCTGCGCCCCCATCAATTCAGCCTTCACGTTGTCGCAGAGCTCTTGCGCTTCGGCCGGTGAGTACTTGCCAGAGCGGGTCAGCGGCCGCAGCGCGTACGCCTCCAGGCTCTCCAGCAGCGCGATCAGCGCCATCTTACCCATTGTTTTCTCGTGCAGGTCTTCCGGCCATAAGCCGATGGGAATCATGCGCTCCAGCACGCACACGTCCACGAAGCCTGCCGCGGTCAGGACTTCGGGGTGCAGGTGGTGCAGGTCGCGGGGGTAGCCGACTTCGGTAGCGGCAGCGCGCAGGGCCGCGGCATAGATGTTCAGATAGGAAGTTGCGCTGGAGGCCGAGAAGGAGACGGTATCGCCAGCCGGGTCGGCATCGGCAACCTCGATGTAGCCACCGGGTTTGAGGTGGGCGTGGGCTTGTTGGTAGATGGAGTGCCAGTCCGGGAAGGCGCCTGAGAGGCCGCGCATGTGGATGAGGTCAAAGGGCTCGTGGTAGGTCCATTCAGTGCGAGCATCGGCGAGCTGGAAGTCGATGTTGGGAAGGGCGATGTGACCCAGGCCAGAGTCGAAGACGCCTAGGTCGGAGGCGATGATGGTGGCGGCAGGATATTCGGCGCTCATCTCGATGGCCCAGTCGCCGGGGCCGGTGCCGATATCGAGGATGCGCGGGTTTTTAGAAATGACCGGCGCCGTAGTAAGACGGCCATCGAGTACCATCAGGTAGATTTGGTGGACAATGTTCAGGCGGGTAAGCTCGGTTTCATCGTTGGGCATGAAGTATGTATCGTCGCAGTACCGTCGGCCATTTTCTTCGATATATTGGAAACTGAGCGGCGAGTAGGAGCGGGTGGATTTTCTAGGATGACGCGGTTTGTTTTAATACATGCTCGGGTAAGGTGTCTGCCCCGATTGCCACCTATCAACTTACATTGAGGCTTCTCCGTCGGACTCGTTATCAGACTCGGGCTCCGAGCTTGTACATGCCTGGTTCGCGTCCGGGGCCGGTCCTTCTGCATGAGAAGAACCGGGGTCCTCTGAAGGCCGAATGGGTTTGCCGTCCATGACATGACGTTCCTGTAGAGACGAATGGCAAGGGCCGCGGGGTTCAATAGAAATAAGAGCCGATAAGGACCGGAAATTAGAGCTGAGTGTTTGGAAGCCAAGGATGCTATTACCAGGGAAAAATGTAAAAGAAAATGGAGATGGAGAGAAAATACGGAAGGAGTCAGGAGCGCAGAACGAGACAGAAAAACTCAGAGGAGAGAATCCCGAATAAAAAAAGGGCTGTCGAAGATGGCGTCGATTAAGAAAAGAAAAGAAAAAGGAAAGGGAAGGGAAGGGAAGGGAAAGACCAACGGTCAATTGTTGAACATCAAACAGGAGGGCGAAAGACAGCAAGACAGCAGGCCAGGAGGATAGGAGAAGTAGGAGGGACGACGGCCGAGGCCAAAGAAACATCCGACTAGGGCGGAGTCGGTTGACAGAAGCGAGCCTAAAATCAGAAAGGGTTTCTTACGGGGGGCAAATAATTCGGCTCGGGATTATTTTCATTATCGTTTATTGTCATTTATGGTAATTTGGGCGGAGAGGGGATTGTTATGGAGCATTATCATTAGCTGGGAAGCGACCCGACAATCCGGCTCACGATACGTCACTGCATAGTCTGTCATCCAGGAGTAATCTGATCTGGTAATTCAGAGGACGGAGGGAAGCACAGAACAGATTGGTCCAGTGGAAGCCAGGGCAAAAGAAACGTTGTCAAAAAAGAAAAGAGCGGACCGGACCGTCGGGACAACAGAATTCTATGGATGCTATCTCGCCAGACCCGGGGCTGTGGTTGGGAAAAGAAAAGAGAAAATACTGTAACAGACAGGGAACTACCCACGGACCACGAACACGCAAATCAAACAGCGCATATGAAAAGAGAAGGGGAAAAAAGATATTCTAATTTGATTTTTGAAAAGGAAAATAAAATAAAATCAAATCAAGTAAGACGAGCTGACGGGCTAGGGACAAATGACCCAGAGCTGCTGGCTGGTGGGGAATCCCAAGCGGCGGGGACGTTACTGAACTCTGGGAAATTGAGAAAGGAATCCCTAAGCCATTCGCCCAGTTCGGGCGTGGTGGGCCCCATTTCGTGCCCGAAGGTTTGTTAAGAGGGGGGGAAGGGGGTGGGGAGACACCCCCATCACCCGAGCCAAGAGCCTAACGGACTAGCTGCCTGCCGAAGAGTCCAGAACCCCCCAACTCTACAGCCCAAGAAGTTAAAAATGATTTGCACCAGGAAAGCAAAATCGAAGAGAGCGAGAAAGAATCACACCCTTTTTTTTTCTTTTTTTTTTTTTTTTTTTTTTTTTTTTTTCCCTCACTTTCTTTTTTTTTTGGGTAAAAAAAAATCGAAAAGAGGAAGGAGTGTACATGGACACCCATGCCCGGGCAGGCCGGGTCAGCGGGGAAGGGGGAAGAGGGCCAGTCCGACAGCTGAGGTGGGGCCGCGGAGGGTCTGATCGGGGGGTGGAAACACTTGGGTTTGGAGCTTATGCGCGCGGACGACCCGGTCTCGAGGGACGATCGGGGCCTGGGACCCATGTTGCCGGGATGCTTGAATAACTCACCATGGGCTTGACTCATGCAAGTCCGAGAGTCGGAGTTAACATACTCCTTCTCTGTATATCTGTACCCATAAGTGCCTACCACCCACCCCACACACACACACACACACACACACACACACACACACACACACACACACACACACACACCTGTAGAATGTATCGACTAGTCCAATGTATCCGCGGCCAGTCATGGCGGTTAGGGGACTACGAGGGTTGACACAGGTACGTTCATTCCGGATCAAAGGTCGGACGATGCGAGGGATGCGTCAAGCGACCGAGCGGCAGGATTTGGTATCGTAACGAGGATCCTTGTAGGAAAGTGCAGGTGTCACGGGCCAAGGCCGATACTACAGTCACGTGTGCCATGAGACCTTGGCATGTTGACATAGCGAATGTTGAAAAATCTCTCTTCAAACATTTTGTATTTGTGGCCTTCTTAAATTGGATTGAAGTCTTGCTTCAGTCCTTCGCAGCAGTGCTTATCCATGCGGACATGTTATAGTCAGCGCTCTGGAGGAGTAAGCGGGCCCTTCGGAAGTATACCGGCGAGGTTGCCTTCCACGCGGCCTGATGAGTTGTGAGTTGTTGCTCTAAGCTAATTTAGATCCCCCTCCGGTCCGTGGCCTGATCTGAGACTGACACTAATCACTATATCTCATTATTTTGTTTGTTTTCTGGATGGAATATCTGCTGGGCTCGGGGAATCTCGCCAACTGCCAAGCACCGAGCGTGTGTAATTTGTGTCTCTCTGGTCGATCGCCCTAGATATGCAACATACATGGCTCCATTTTGGGTACATACAGGTACCTCTTGCTAAGTACATAGGTGCCCAAGCTTGATTTCCCTCACTTCACCATACTATGGAGTCTTCAACCTTTCTGGCTGAAGAGCCCTGACAAGCCCAAGTTCAACTTCGAAGCATGTAAAGATGATTTTCCTGAGGGGCTTGGCTGTTTCACTCGCCGCCTTGATAGCGGCGTAGCTAAATTTGCTAAGCGACCTTGTTTCAAATTTGGCAGAATTTTCATTATTGCCTTGTCATATATTACATTAATGAAGGTCAATCAATATTCACGAAGAAAGTCTCTGTGAGGTGAAAAGGTTCAACTGTAAGCTCCCACAAATCTGCAGTGGACCCGACACAATGCCCGGCCCCTTGCCATCGCTGATTAACGTGATCCTGAACTTGGGGACTTTAGTTTGAGATGGTCACAAATTATAAGATTCTCGAGGAAATTGACATTCCACGTATCTCGCCAAGTTGAAGAGTGCCTCCAAATTGATCTTTATTACGCTCTGTTGTCACCGAATCTATTGAATGCTTAGACTAACTACGCTTAATGAATATAGTAGAACAGCTTTATTAGCACCTATTATAACTTATCCGTAGTTTTTCGCTTGCCGGCGTGAATTAAAGAACCTTTTCACAATCCGTACACAATGGTGAAAGTCTGCATCATGCTGCCGAAGTGTTGATTTACTGCCAACCCTCCCAAAACAAATCGTACATATATAATATCTTTGGACTGCGTATAAGTTGGGTGGTATAGAGGAGGTGTGACCTCTATAGGCATTAGTTTGACAGAGAGCATCGCGCTAATATAAAGGCTCATCAAAACAGTAAAGGACCTGGAGCTTTGAGAGATGCATCTATTAAGATCTCTAAATCTATCTCTAGACTAGATGAGCAAGTTTAACCAATCTGAGAAGCTCGAGCAGTACTTTCCGAATAAACTTTGTATACCTCTCGAGGGTCGGAAAATGCTCAATCACACATTCAGGTAATAGTTCCTTGGAATGTAACAGTAGAGGAATTTGGTCCCAGTAAATATCTTCGAGAATACTCATAAAATGCAAATCGTTTCGATCATGGCTCAGGTTCGCCAGAAGCTTTTTCTGAGACAGTACCTTCGAACGATCGGTCAGATACTTGTCCACAACAAAAAAGAAAAAAACTCGTATTTCAGTCTACTTATATGTCTATGCTGATGTCAACGATGCCCAAGAAAGTTTTCTTTACCTGAGTTACTTTAAGAATAGCTGCTGTCAAGTAATAATCAAGCTATGGGGAGAAAGCATAAGTAACGTATCGCCCAATGTGAATAGTACATTGAACGAAAATTCTGAGCCGAAAGTATTCATCAGTCTCTCTGTCACTCTAGCTGAAAGGGCTTTGTGGTCCTAGCTAGCGGTAGAAAGAGACATCCGAAATCAATACAAACTTAGGTCCATCACTCGACTTCGCCGAACTTTCTCTCCATCCTCCCCTAAGTAGCGACCTGTTCTGAAACTAATGTAGTATTTTGAGTGCTGAGATCATGATCAATACTTAATCCAGCATGCTTACCTCCAATGGAGGCTTCCAAGAGCCATCTTGAGGCGCATATCGGCGTATTTCAGTACCTCTCGATCAACAGCTTCCCCCAGACTGGTAAATCAGCCGGCACATTATACCACCGTTTGTAACGACCAATCAGGATTTCCCCGATTCTATCCATAGCTTGTTGTGTAGAAAGCCCCTGGCCTTTTAGCAATGGTATCAAGCCATTATTCTCATCCCGTATCTGGTCAAAATATTGGTGCGAATTGGCAGTCGCTAAATCTTCACTCACTAGCTCCTTGTTAAAGGACATAATGTCATTCACAATAAATGATTGTAAGGAAACTTTGTCTTCTTATCACTGCCAAAACAGATTGCTTACAGCACCACAATATCTGCGCAGATGGCGTTTAGCTCTGCAAGCAGTGAATGGTTGACGATATGAAGGGAAATATTGATATTTCCACAATTCTATATGCAAATCAAAACCATTACCAATCCATAATTAAGAGATCAAGATAGTCTCGAAATACTTACTCGCCAAAGATAAGCGATGGGTATATGCCGATTGTCTCCCTCCGCATTTCAATAAATTCTGCTGTATCTCGCGTGAACACACGCTGATCATGTGCGTCCTGGGTCTGTTTAAGAACTCCCTGGAAGTAGCCATAGTGTGCATCTCTCAACCGCTTTTGTGTGTCTAACAGAAACCGAAATACACGATTAAACACGGGTTCGAAATTCTAACGCTTCGTTGTGAGCTTACTATGAGACGACCGCTGATAAAAGATTGTCAGCCAATACATACGGTAACTTTTCGCATTCAAACTATGTAATTTTTGACCCGATCCCATATATCTCCAAGCATAAACCCACTCCGGTCGTCTTGGGCGGAAGGTGGGGGTCGTGTGCCATCCAGGATAGCAAGCTTAGATATTCTACATCTGCTTGCTATAAGTCGCGTAGTTAACGACTATAAGCTTACTAACACGTCGCAAACAACCCTATACTTGTATATATAAACCGTATCACTGCTCCTTCCCCTTATTATAAGGCTCGCTAGCTTCTATGCTAGCGCTGCAGAGCGAACGTCTTCGTTGGATAGCTATGAATATATAAGCACTCTTTCCTGATAGGAATTCGAGGCCACAAAGTTTCTTAACGCCTCCGAAACCTATAATCTATTAAAGCATTTTGTTATAATACCTTCCATCAATTCTTCACCCTCGGACGTAGGAAAGCACGATAATTTACCTCTTGCTACCGCTAGTAGCCTTGAAGGGTTTATTAAATATTTAGGTAGCCTCAAGCCCTGAATTAGAGCTTGTATCTGCTATTCTTAGCGAGATCTCCTAAAAACGTTAGGAGATTTACTCTCAAGATAAAGAGTTAAAGAAACTCTAGTAGGAGATATCGCATATAAAGAGGACAAAAGAAACTACTATCGACGATATATTTGCTGCCAACGAGAAAGAAAGAGTAAGGCTTAAAGCCTCTACTACTTAGATTGAAAAACTTCGTACTACTATCCTCGAGAGGGAAATCAAAATCGCCGAATTATCTAGGAATATAGAGTCTCTATTCAAGGAAATCGAAAAATTAAAATCAACCTACTCACAGGAGGTCGCGAAGCTCTCACAATCTTCTAAAGATATTACTACACTTCAAAACAATTCAAAAGAGAAAGATAAAATAATAGATCAAATAAAGACAGCGGGGTCGAAATTGAAATCTGTGCTATTATCGGAACAGAAAAAGAACGGAGAGATAGGAGCAACTAATACCTCAATAAGCGCAGAGCTATAGGTAGTCAGGGCCCGTATCTAAAGAATAGATAGTTTAATAGTCCAATCCTCGGAAATTAATAATAATTTTATATAAGTTGAGTTTAAGAGTTTCAAGTACTTGTGGCCTAACTTTTCCTGTCCCTTACTTTGACAACCAAGTTCACAAGCCTTAGATAAAGACAGCAGCCTTACCCTTGGAAACATCGTGCACTACCTCATTAATCTCCTTCTGAAGTGGAATTAGCAATTATCACCTTGGAGGAGCTAAAAAAGAACCCCCTATATCACTCACTTCATAGTTCTTCAAAACCCCAATGAGCTTTGGTAAGACTTGCTGCACCTCGGTCCGCGAGCGCGATGGTACGCCCAGGCTAAAAGGTAGGATCTTCTGTCTACTGTCTGTAGACCAGGTAGCCATCTACTCTTCAGTGGTGAATTTCTTCCTTCCTGCGAGAAATTCTTCGAGTGTAGCCGCTTGAATGTGGGCCGGCGAAGGCATGCCTGACTCTTTTTTTTTCTTTTCACCTGATTCTTGTTCCTTCGCCGATGGGACACTATGCCAAAGACGGAACTATTCGTATCCAGTATTTAAAATAAATCAGGAGTATGCCAGAAGAATGCCGAGGTGGACCTTCGACTTCCCATTTGGGCTTCTTAAACAATTCCTTCTTCCAGTACGACTTTTAGCTGCGGAAGATTGTGCATTGAAATGACGCTAGCTCTGGATGCTAGTTCAACCCATACACTTCGACCGGTGCACTTCGGGGTTCGGTACAATGCGAATATCAAATTAGATTACGCCATCATGCCCTTGAAAATGTTGGCTGGCCGTATTATGTGGTCCAATCTCTTATACGCGTTTGTGTGAGTAAATCTTGGACTTATCTTTGCCCAGAGGGATTGTTTGCTTTGATGTCAACGGGCTAACTTGTGATTACGTTCTGCAGTGCCAACCTAGCAAACTTTCAGATACTGTTTTATCTCCCCATCTATTTCCAGGCCGTTCATGGCATGTCAGCCATCAAGAGTGGCGTCTACTGCCTTCCCTTCATGGCTTTCTATACCTGCGGGGCTGTAGTCAGCGGTATGCTTGTTGGGAAGACCCGTTTCCTGCAGCCGATCGAGCTTGGTAGTGCACTCATAGCTGTTCTTGGAGGCGCCCTAATCTACGGCATCGACGTTGATACCTCTAAGGCGTGGTATATCGGCGCTCAGATTCCTTTCGGGCTTGGAATCGGTCTTGGAAATCAAGTTCCGGTGACGGCGTTACAGGGCTTCGCGACGCCGGAAACTGTGGCAGCGACGATGGGAGTAGCTTTCAGTAAGTATTAACAAATCCCATTAGCATAAATGATCTCCGCTAATACTCTCTCCCAGCGGCCCAATCTATCAGCGGGGCCTATTTTGTTACTTCCGCCAACTCTATCTTCGACAACTACCTACTACAGACTTTGGCGCGAACTGCTCCTCAAATCGATTCGGCGGATATCCCGTTCATTGGAGTGTCGGAACTTGCAAATTTTTACGAAGGGGAGCAGTTGGCTGTGATTCGAGACGCATATATGGTTGGGATCAAGGATGTCTTTGCCTTCGCCCTGGCCGGTACTGCGCTCACTGTAGTCCTCGCCCTTTTGATTCCCTTCACGAGACTTCCTTCTCACGAGGCCAAGAAGGCTGAGGATAAGGAGGCAGCGGCTAAGGCCTCTTGAATTATCATCCAGGACACTTGAACCACGAACATATCAAGCAAGAAAACAACCGCAGATCAACTCACCGAATGGGGTCCAACTAGCGTGGAAGAGGGGTTTTAGATACACAGATAAATAATTAATCTACCTAGAGAATCAATGCTGGATACCTAGTGTGTCAGCAATTTATCTACTTTTTATGTGCCTGAATATACTATATCTACTAGTAGACCAGGAAGTACCAGTGACCCTTGAAATTCCCCGAATCCCGATCCTCTATGTAGTGGGCCGCTGGACGCCAGAAACGTATAATTAGCCCCTATTTCCCTTCAAACATGGAGGTCCCGGCTTCTTGTATGCCGTCAAGCAAGATACTCAACCGTGGATACAAGGCCCTGTCAATGATCCCAATCCATGGGCAATCGAGCTGTTATTTCACCTATAGTCAAGTACGTGACACTGAAAAACCTACGCCCTAGCATCTACGATATTGCCGAGTTCTACTTAGATGAGATACGAGAAACGAGCGAGACTTTCGTCGAGGGACCGTCTTTTTTGGTGTGATATAAGTATATTATTAAGCAGCTTGTTCTATCCTGCCTTTCGACTATTCTATTTTTTCATCTTAATGAATAATAGCCTTATGCGACCAAACTTTTACCACAAGTGGCCTCCAGGAACCGCTGGGATACAGATAGGCATGGTGGGTGCGTGAATGTCGGGGTGGTGCTGAATAGCATCGCATTTCATTATTCTGTAATGGAGCCTCAATTAACAGTCAGCAGCTGCTCAGTAAATCCACCAAACCCCCGGGCAGTATCCCGCAGATGAATCTCCAGAATCCAATGTCTCTTAAACCCATCCTTGCCTGTCTGGTTCATCGACTCAGTATTCCCCTTTGTGATGTATAGAGTAGTCCGATCTTTCGGAATGCGCTCGTGGGGGAACGACCCAACCAAATGGCCTGCAATATCTGCCCCAAAATCAAAGCCATTCTTTTGAGCCTCTCCGCAAGCAATATCATATAGTTCCTCGCCCGACATGTTGGGGTTTGCATCAAACTGGGCCTTCACAATATCCCAGATGGGCTGCAGCGCATCTCGAAGACGTTTCTTGTGCGGGTCACCGCCCAGTACATATGTACGGCCGAAATCTGCCTCCCATGCTTCGAAAACGGGACCCAAGTCGACTACAAGAATGTCGTCCTCCTGGATAATGCGGTCCGGGGGTTATCCGAGAACGGACTCAATGTGTTGGGCCCACTACGGATTACCCGTTTATGCCAATGCGTTTTGATGCCATAACGATCGAACCCTAAATGATAAATCTCGCTGTTCAAAGTTTTTTCGCTGATGCCAGGTCGGACAAGGTCACGCTCAATTTCGATGAAGAGCTGTGCAGCTTTCTCCTCGGCATCTCTGAGGTAGGCGGCACGCTCGCTCTCGGTAGTTGCGGTGCTGTTACCCATTATTGTGGTAGTTATGAGGAAAAAGAGGCAGTGAATCTATGAAATGGAGATCGTCCCGAATGATTAGAAATTCTCAATTATGCCGTGAGTCATCGGCGTTCTTATGCTTGATGGGGTAAGTGCGGGAGGGTGGGACTCGGACTTGCAACCCCGAGGAGAACTTGGTTTAGTAAAGCGCGGGTTCCGACTCGGACTTCGTAGCGGGTCTCGCTAGCCACAACGAACCCGAAGGGCGCACCACACGCGCGTCACCGATTGCACGGCCTCTTGTCAATTCGGCGACATTTTGGTTTCTATTATTTCAATCTATTATTTTGAGCAATGTCTTTCAAGCAATCATACTAAAATTCAAGCATTCGGGAGAGACCCCTGGCAGAAATATGAGGGGAATGCATAGCCTCTTGTTTCCGAGACCTAAGTAATGTATTAATATTTTGAATACGCAGTATTTCATCTGCGCCGTGTTCGATACACAATGCTCCCAGAATATAATGAGAACCATTGGGCAGCACTTGAGCAGCCCTACAGCACGTAAACCAGAATGTAGCTAGTGATTTCTAGCCAATGAGAGTCGCTCTGGCACCACCACGTCCGAGGTCGCGCTTTTCTTTGTTATCTTCAGATCACCTGATCTCAATCTATATCGGGGGCCAGCACGCATCCTCCCGCTTTTCCTATTTACACCTCTTTCGGCGCTTTGGCCAGAGTCTTACTCCTTCGTTAGTTGAACCAGAAAAGCTTTGATTGTTAGATGAAGCAGGCTTGATCCAAGGGCTTCCGAGACAACACGAGGCTTGGCGGTAGAATCTGATTTCCATACCCAGTCAATTGTAACAGACCAACCACTTGATAGCTCTCCTCGACCGTGATCGACTGGCTCGTGGATGCGAAATGGCAGGCCAACCATCAGCCTCTCTCGATATTTTAACTCATGCGAATTCAAGGGCAAGTGTCCTTGGGCGAATCTCGTAAGTTTCAGTAATCGGGAAGTAGCAATCTCATACTCATGAGCACGTAGGTGCGAAAGATGTCGAAGACGAAAGGTCGATATATTGTTTCCTTTTTTCTCTTCTCTTATCACAAATTATTTCTATTGCTGACTACTTCAGCACTATAGGTCAGATGTGACCGTGCGCGCCCATGCACGCAATGCATATCAGCAAACGTAGAATGTACAAATACTGACTCGATAAAAAAGAGGTTGGTATTCTTGAACTCCATTTAATAAACCACAGGGCTCGTATCCTTACAGTTTCATCCCTAGACCGATATCTCGGTCTTACGCCAATGCGCTTGAAGAGCGAATCGCTTCCTTGGAAGGGTTTATCATGAACCTGGTGAATGCAAGCCATCTGGAGCGCGAGCAGCTTTTGGAAGACTATGAGAAGTCGTCAATGGACCACACGCAGGCTCTGATGAGCGGTCCTCAGTCTTCCAAGTCTCACGCTACGTCAAGAGGTTCTCTGCTGAGAATGAAAGAGGGCATTGCGTCTCAATTCTTCGGCGACACAAGCTTCTACCCCATTGTTCCTTGTATCGACGAGGACTTGGAAGAGGACCTTAAACCCACTCGACCAGAATCCGCAATTGAGGCCCAGAAAGCGGCGAGCACAGGCGCTATTGCGGAATGTGCCAGCGACGTTATCTCCGTGCGCGGGCTCACCCCGCACAGTCCGATTTGCGAGCAAGCCATGTCGGCATTCTTTCAACACGCCTACTACTATCATATGGTGCTCTATCGAGAATATTTCCTCCGCGATTACAAGGCTGGAAAGGGGCTATACTATTCTGAGGCTCTGTTGTACGCTATTGTGTCAATAGGTGCTGTAATTAGTAACAATGATTCATTACGAGACTTGGCAGAGGTCTTCTCCGATCACGCAGAGAGACTTATTTATAGCGGAGCACTCCATTCGCCAAATATTACCACTATTCAAGCGCTTCTATTGATGGGGCAATTTCAGATCGGTCGCAGAAACGAAACAAAGGGGTGGCTATTTACAGGTTTGTCAAATTATACCGTCACTCTATGCCATGACTAAAGTATGGTGTGTTGACAGGAATTGCCTTCAGAATGGCTCATGAGATGGGTCTTCATCTTGACCCCAATCACTGGAAAACCGTGCACGATTCCGAAGTGGAAAGGGAGGTTCTCAGACGAGTATATTGGGCATGTTTTATTGCAGACAAGTATCTCACTCCCGGGACCGCATTGATTAATGATATATCGTACTGAAGATATCAAGGCAGTTAAGTCTCTATTTTGGGCGGCCACCAGTCCTCCATCCAAGCGCAGCTGATGTGCGGGATTCTGTTCGGATAGCATACCCTTTGAATTGGGATATGCTACTAGATGAGTACGTCAAAAAAAACACATCGCGAACCGAATATGAGGATGGGGTAGCATTCAGTAGTTGTTTTGTTCAATTGGCGAATTTATCCAAGATTGTTCATCGCATGGTCACTGAGGTTTTCGAATGTCGAAAGATCGCGGATGCGAGTATTCTGGCTGCGTCAACGAAATCGATACATGTCTCTCTGACCAAGTGGCTTGCTGATCTTCCAGCCAAGTTGCACTGGAATCAATGGCTAAAACACAAGGTACCACCCTATGTACTTCATCTTCAGTAAGTTCTAAATTGTCTTCTTCGACAAATGCAACCTTCATTCATATCTTCAGTATGTACTACTTCGCGGTATTGATTATTCTATACCGACCTCCTCGACAACTTGATTCGAATCGGCTTGGCGCGTTTCGGCCAGGATTTGAGATATGTGAAAATTCGTTGCTTTCAATCCTTCAACTTCTCAAAGTATACTCGAAGGACTACGGCCTCGACCATCTGCCAATGATATTTATACAGACCGCAACAACGGCAGTTAGTATCGTGTTGCTAAAGTTATATGTGAAGGGGTTTTCTAGTGACTTGAATAATACGGAGAAACAGCTTGAACAGATCTCGCAGATTATTGACAATGTTGCCAAAACCTGGACTGCAGTCGTGCCGATTCAGGAGGCGATCAATCAGTCTCGGCAAGTGATTGCACATAGGAAAGCATTACAGGAGCCGGCTTGTTTTGACTGGGAAAACATAATGACTACTGATTGGTATGTGGCCTACTCATATCGCTATGTGCACATGACACATCTTTAATGCCCTCTAAAGGCAGCTAGATTCAAGCCTACAAACAGTCTTAAGTATGCCTCCACCTAGTTCTGAGGTTGGTATTCCTGGAGATCTGGCTACACTTAACGAAGATATACTATCCTCAGAGTATGAACTACCATTTCAAGAAACAATATAATGTTATAAATGTCTGTTGTCGAGGCTCAAAAATGCTTGATCTTATATTTTGCCATAAATGGTGCTGTCCTGGGATCACGAGATGTATTTAAAATCTAACCTTCCCCAGCTTTGAGCACAAAGTTCTAGCCAAGTCGTCAGCTCCATGTCATTACACAATTCTTCTGCGACAATCAATGAACCGACTCATTGGATACTTTCAAATGTGACACCCTTCTTGTTGGCTCTCGTCGGTAAGCTAACCGTCTCACAGCCGCGGCGCAGCAACTCCGATACCCCACTCCGAGACTAGAGCACCGTTCTCTGAACACCGCTTTGCTGATTTTAAAAGGAGTCATCATCTCAAAGATATATCTTTGCATCGCCTAATCGACAGTCTTGAATCTACAGCATTTCCGATACCGCAACTCAAGCAAACCAACAATGGCCTCCATCAATCCCGATCACACTATTGCCTACAAGCGGGTGGGATCTCTTGAGATTCCAATGGATATCTATCTACCCAAAGACAAGAAGAATGCGCCGGTCCTGCTATGGTTTCACGGAGGTGGATTGCTGTACGTTCAAAGCATGTCAGTTTCTTTTAGACCTTAACCCCCAGTATTAATGTAAGCCAGACAAGGACGACGCGACCTGCTAGCCCCTCATATGCGGACCGGCGTTCAAACTTACGGCTTCGTGTGTATCTCAGCCGACTATCGCCTGGCACCACAGGTCAACGTCGGCGAAGTCTTCGAAGACGTCAAAGACTGCATCCGATTTATTCGTGAGGAACTCTCCGGCGTCCTTGGAGAGGGTCTCGTGGATGGATCCCGCTTGGCCGTGTCAGGAAGCTCCGCGGGGGGCTTTCTTTCGCTTCTGGCCGGCCTCTACATCGAGCCGAAACCGCAGGTCATCATACCTATCTATCCAATCACCGACCCCCCTCGGGACGTTTTTCACCAACTCCCAGCCTGCACCAAAAGGAAGGTACACGGCATCCAAGGGAGAAATGGCCCCTTATCTCGATACGCAGGCAGCGGTGGTCGCTAGCTCAGGAAAGCTCCCCGACGACCCCCGGTCCAACATATATGTGTATATGCTACGGGCTGCGAACCTGGCTGAACTCTGGGGCATTTCTGGGAATGAAAATGCTGCAGCTCCGTACCGTATATCACGTAGAATTCACGATTACGGTCTGCCTCCAGCGTATATTTTGCACGGAGACGCAGACAGCGCAGTGGGGGTGGAGCAGTCTGATGAAGTCGCTGGTGCAATGATGGGATGTGGACTGACAGTCCAATACGAGCGCCCTCATGGAGAGGACCACTTCCTGGACAATGAAGACGGCTACGAGAACAAGGCTCTTTATGAATTCATGCTGCGGTATCTGTAAAGGCTTCCGAGTTTTAGTTCATCAATTGAAAGTCTGCTGTATCTGGAGACATGCAAATCAATGGAGCAGAAAGAGAAGTAGGAGTGGATGTCATTGTGGCTGTCATCATAGTAAGAGTTGAGGTGCGAGAGGAGACGAGAGGGCCAAAAAGGGCATTGACACGCACACGTATTGCTATTAGAGTGTTTCCTAGCATGTGTCGATGCAGATGAAGTCCAAATAGAATCTCAGGCGTCATCAATGATGAGTATACCAAGGTCGAGAAAGTTCCGCAGAATATTCCCCGTTTGTTGCTTCTACTCCGGCTGGGAAACGTGTTTTCGCTTGACGCTTTATGTCTATCACGGATCGTGATTGGTGTGTTATTTCCCCCATCTCAAGACACAGAATATTTTCAAGCAGGAAAAAGCCAAGCAGCCAGCAGCGTCCTGGCTGGCCCGCCAGAAAGCCGACCTTGGGACGTTATTGGCGAACAACTGGAAACTGATAGCGCTTCACGGAGATTCCGAGGAGTTCGGGTTGCAGGAGCGAGTACTTGCTTTTTGATATTCAAAATGTAAGCGAAGTGCCAATCGTGACTCTAATTATATACGAAGAGCTAGATATTCTTTAGATTGAAAGGATCAGTCTGAAGATGAAGATGAATATCTCAAAAGGGAGTCTAGATACGGAGTAGCCTCCGAATCCCTCTGTATACTTCTTTCCCTCCGAAACACCGAACAACCCATCTAATTCCGGGCGTAACAGGCAAATGGTCCCCGCTCCCCGCTCATGGAATCCGCCTGGCCACCGTGCTGGGGCACTTGTTCAACTCCCTGAACTGGCGGTGTCTACGGGGTCGCCCATCTTGGCCTAGGATCAGGGGGAGTAGAACATATGTTATGGGAGCGAGCTGGGTGTATGTACCTCGACCGGTCAAAGTCCACCGTACCTGTCCTGGCCCCTGCACAGCCCCAAGTACTTCTGTCCGACGCCACCAAAAGTCAAAATCCACCCTGCGAAACCAACAGAACTCACCACGCTCGAGACCCGCCGGACCTTGAAATCCCGCGAACCGAGAGAGTCTCTTGCCTGAAGCAGCAGAGACCGCGAAACACGCAGGTCATGAGACCATCTTCCGATCGAGTTCGATCCGAAAAAGCGCCAACCCCAACAAGTAGAGAAAAATCGACAGTCGACACGGACAAGTCCAGGCGCCAACACGAAGACTCCCGAATTATCGGAAGAGGAGGATCTCGCGCTGCTGTGGCCCTGACCGGGACAGAACATCAATAGCATCATCTACCACGCGCACTGCCTCCAATTGCGCCCGCCTACAATTTCTGCCCTCCACCATCCTCCGCATCATCAATCACAACCCACTACCATGTCAATACCTATTCCCTCCGCCGGCCTTCCATCCCCGCGCCTTCTCTTTATCGCCTCAATTGGCAATCCTAAACCCTACCTCACCACCCGTCACAGCGCCGGCCACATCCTCCTCGACGCCGTATCCCCACTCCTACATGCTCGCCTCGCACCACCATCACCACCACCCCCCTTCTCGCAATACACTACCTATCGCAGCCCCTCTCTTATGAACATCTCCGGTCCCAAACTCGTCAAGGCCCTACGGAAATGGCTCGCGCAAACGCCACCGCTGACCCCGACCACCCTGGTTTTGCTGCACGACGAGCTTGAGGCCACGTTGGGCCGCGTGCGCGTGAAGCGCGGCGGGCCCGAGGCCGCCTCACTACGCGGCCATCGTGGCCTGCGCAGCGTGTTCGACAGTCTGCACGGCGCGGGCCTGTGGCCATCACGCGCGCGCGAGTTCCAGGTGCTGCGCATCGGCGTCGGCATTGGGCGGCCGACGGGGAGGGAGAAGGGCGCGGTGGCGGATTATGTGTTGACAGAGATGGAGCCGGGTGAGCTGGCGGCAGTGCGGGGAGCCGCGGCGCAGGTGATGGATGTGTTGGAGGGCGAGTTGCTGGGGAAGAGCGAGGGAGGATTGGAAGGTAGGCGGGTGTCGACGACGTCGAGGCGGAATGTGAGTGGCAGGGGAGGAAGCTCGCCTGTTGAAGGGGCATGAAGAGCTTTCACCGTTTCTTTTCTTTTTTTTTTTTGACAAATTTCTTCATTTTTTTCTCTTTGCTTTGGGCTGGGTAGAAAGCGACTTCTATGGGGACTAGGATCATTCTGTATTGATATTTAGATGAGCAAGGCCGAGGGCCCGTAATGTACAGTATCTGCATGGGTTGGAGGAATTGGGTTGAGCGTGGTTGATACCCCCTGTCTTTCTGCTATCGGCAATTGAATGTGTCACACACAATGCGCCCGAAAAGAAACTCCTCTTCTCCTGGAATTGAATTGGGCCTTTAATAAAATAGGAAACGCAAGGTAAAGGAACAGACGGTAACTGAGACCAGGCCCGTGAACAATAAGAGATCGACCAGCATGTTGAGATCATGTACATCGGGGCGGTTGAGGGTAGAGAGAAGTAGAAGAAGGAACGGATATACAGACAGGAAGCAAAGAGAAAAACAGGATCACGTAGTCTTCGTCAATCGAGGGGCGCAGACGTCAAAAATCGGACGCAAGAGCAAAAAGAAAATAGAAGAAGGAAAAAAAAAAAAAAAAAAACAAAAAGGAGCAAGAGAAACAAGATGAAATAAGAACCCCGGCATTATGCGAATAGTATCAAACGTTCAAGGATAGCCACACTAAACAGTGCCAGCTATACTCAGATCTCGAATCTCTTGCAACACTTCTTCAACTCGATTATCCAGATCACCGCGTGCATACTGGTCCCGGGTCTCCGCATCCAGATACTGCTGGACCTGCGCCATGCGTGAGTACGCTTCGGCACAGAAGCGGAGCTGAATCTTCACCAGGGCCTCGAAGCTGGGGTCAAGATACGGGACACGTAGATCAATGAGCTGCGGCAGTTCGGTGAAGAGCTGTTCGTTGAGCTGCTCGTAGGCTTGCTTGGCGATTTCGGTCTCACGCTCGGTGCGCGGCAATTTGGTGGCATCCTTGTCGGGCTTCTCGACCAACTTCTTCACTTTGGCGCGCATCGCATCATAGTCAAGAAGTTTGTGGTTGCGCTTTTTGATACATTCATTGACGTCCGGGAAATAGGCACAGAAGCGGGAGATGGGTTCAAGGACAGTGGTTCTGCATCGGCGAACAGTTAGTAATTCGTCGACATTTATATTTGAGTGCAGTTGGTAGCTTTGAATCTGCCCGGAAAAAAAGCCTATGGCTTTAAAAACGTGATGGTGGCATCCATACCGATATGGCCCGTCTAGAGCTTTAATCGTTTCCGCGTCGAGATCCTCCACGGCCTGCTTATAGCTTCGGCTGACGCCATCCTTTGTGCCAGCATCACCGTAGAAAGCGTCAATGGTCTCCGCGATGCGCATTTGAGAGGCCGTCATCGCTGATCGAAAGAACAGGGGAAAGAAGGAATCTCGTCAGCAAATGGACGCTTTTTATCATCCACAGGCACCAGCCAACTTCAGATGGAAAACACACCTCGCAATGAATCCAGATATCCCTTTGCTTCTTTCTGCAGCCGGTTTGCAGCTGCCTCCATCGTCCGGTATCGTCTGTGGTTCGGTCAATCTGGTCAGTATACCTTGCTCGGCGTGGTGGGCGGGCTACCCGCTCAAAAGGAAGTGAGCCGTACCGCTCCTCAATCTCATAATCTCGGTCATTTGTCCTCTCGACATGGCCTGTATGAAAGTTCCCAGTCTAGATCAGTCCCTGTCTCTCATGATCCCGGTGCCCATTCCTGCCTGCGTCAAACATAGAGACGAATCGATGGGAAACCGTCTCGCGCCTCATTGCGGGGTAGCATTCCGGGCAACTCACCGGTCTTCATCATCACCTGCGTCGTGGCGCGGTTGACATTCTTCTTGAAGCCTATCCAGCGACATCGTTAGCCCATCCTCCAACATCCCGGTTTCTATAACGCGACGATTGGCTCTGTATTCTGAAAGCCCGGGGAGGGCAGAGATAGTAGCCGTACCTGCCCACGACATGATGGCAGCCTTGCGCGTATTCGGGTTCTTTAAGTACGGTCGATATCGTTGAGAGGGTGGTGAGAGCGAGGTTGTTTTCAAGGTAAGTCAAAGTAGTGTGGGTTCACCAAATTCCCAATCTTGAGGGAACGAAGAACGAGAGGTCCTTGCCTGTCGAGTAATCCAGTAGCGTCTGGCCCGAGCAAGTCTGCCTTACGCTGTGGCGGTGTCGGATGACTAAGACACTTCCGCATGCGGCTACGTCATTAGGGCTGTGCCAAAAGGTCCTATTTCCCTTCGAGTCTCCAATCACATTGGACTTGGAGTTCGTGGACCTAAGAAAAGTGATAATTACGGTGTCATCTCAGGAGTCTTGGGATGTAGAGAAAAGCCAGCGATGAATTCGTCAGGCACCGGGAGGGGGAATGTCTTTAACCCTACAGAGTATAAGTTAGCTTTGAGATATCATATTAATCAGAGCTTTCTGGTCCGAAAGATCCTATAACATGCATCTTCAAAGGAAACCCGCCTATCCTGCTAGCTTAGAACATGCCTCTCATATATTCAAGATCTCCAAAATTTCTTTCTCGAGGTAGGACGGGACCACCCAAGGATGAAATCATACCGGAGCATTTGCACATGCACAACGCGTCCTCGTACGCACTAGCTATATTATCGTTCTGCCAGCGGCCCATTTCCTGCTCTGTCCCTAATGGAATTTGCAGCGTTCATGCAGGACCTGGCCGACTATATCGGTGACGGGCCTGTTTTTGTGTTTGTATGCTTTTGTCACTCGGTATGCTAATTCTAGTTTGGGTATTCAACACATCTTCAAATGGATCCATGGCTTCTTGATTTTTTATGTATGGAGTAATCGGCCTTGCCATACAGGGTTGACTGATAAAGCCATGTGACCATCGAGCACCTCTTGGTCGTAAGTCGGGTCACCCACTTCCCACTTCCCGCTTCCCGTACTCTCCCTTGTCTCGCCATCTTTATATAGCCTACATAGCGTTTGTCAAAGTCTTTCTAGAACTTCCAATAGTCAACTCTCTTCAATTGTCTCGACTGCCAGTCTCCTAGCAGAAAAGCCTTCCATTCTGTTGTGATCACATTACTCATCCTTGAGGACGCAGTTCGCACCAGAATTAACCTTATATAGGTCACATTTTGCCTTGTCTCCATTCGTGTTACTGAACTCGATGACAGTTCCCCTAAGCCATATTTGAGCCTGATTATTGCAGAGCCAAAGGGGGCCATAGACGTCGGAATTGTTCATCCATTCTATCGATAGTGGTCTCTTCTTAGTATCATGCATCGACTATCTAGCCTTTGATTGACTTACCACTGCAGTTGCCGTCATCGCGGACATCAAACCCAAAATAGTCGGTGTTCCCATAACAGTCATGGACGGTTTGATCCTTGCTGCCTACGCGAACTTTGCAAAGATTGTGCTTATAATCGCTCCCGCCGTCATAGTTAATGATCTCGACGTTTGCAGCAGCAAAAGCAACGAAGAGACCAGAAGCCAAAAAGTAAGCCGAGGAAAACATCGCTATTTGAGACTAGATTAAGTGCTATAGCGGTAAATAGAGAGGACGGAGGTCTCATATATAGAGTCCTTTTTTCTCGATGAACCTTCCTCCCGCCATAATACGTATATCGAATGTATACTATAAATATATCACTGGCTTGGGCCTCTTGGACCGTCTTTTTCTAGACAAAATTATTTTTAACATCAAAATAGACTACTATGGTGGTAGGATGGTTTAACGTTTCTACTGGGTCTCCAGGTTGATATGAACCACGGGAAGGTATAGGCGGCTATGTTGCCTATCAATTAATAGATATTTCGCCATTCTGTACGATTCTTAACAGATGTTATACAAGAATAGTGGCCAACAGCGATAAATGAAGCTTGATAGTCTGACTCAGGCGCGTACAGGGCGCATATAAAGAGGGGCAGGAACTTGGCTCAAACAGTAGAAAGATCCCAACACTAACTAACCAATAAAATGAAAACCCGTTATGAGTTGACTTTGGCTTGTCCAGCAATTGTTTCGGATGTTTAATAATCAATTTGATTTGATCATTATGCGCTGGAGTAAAGAGAACGATAACCTGAATGGTCTAGATAATCTAAATATAGCCTAGCGATGCCCAAAAGATGCGATCTTGATTTTACGGAATATACAGCCTCTACCTCTTAGAGACCATCAAGGGCCAATCAGCTCCTAGATAGGAGCTACTGTAGATGCTGGCGCCAAGTCACGTGAATTTATAGGAGGGGCCCTGGCTATCGAGGAAGAATCATCTCGACTAACGATAGGCTTAGTGATCAACAAGTTGCTCAGGCCTACCGTCACAGGAAAGCTGTCAAGTAGGTCACTGTACCTAGCGAGAGAAAGCACGCGGGAAAGAGCCAGGACAAGCGGCGTCGTTATCTGGGGTGAGAGCGCCAGCACTGACCGTGTAGTTGGCAAAATGTGGGCCTATCGATTTATATATAATGTAATTTCCAAAATACCGAAATTTAGCACCTGGGAAGCTAAGAACGAAGGATAGCGAGCGTATCCAAGCAGATGATGCAGACCTACTAGTGTGATGGTCTTCTATAACTATCTAATAGTAATTACCGATATTTGCCTTGTATACGCATAGTAGTCACCGGAACAAAGTGGTTTTCTAGCCACCGTAGACCGATATCATCAGTGATCCAACCGCTTGATAAAACTTGCTATAAAAGATATTAAACCGCCTTCGATATAGATATTTCCTTTGGAGATTGTACAAGACGGAAGCTCCAAATAGCTAGCTTTTTTCTCGTGCGCATTTTCCCGTAATCTAAATACATGTTCACTTTGGTTCATTCAATACCGCATGCGCAATATGATGGCCCGTCAAATTTGGAATATTATCAAACTACAGATTAAAAATATATCTCGAGTCGATCTCATCTAGAAGCGGCAACATCACATGGCCGGCTTTCTCCGCTTGGTGGTTACGCACCGAATAGGCGCATTAGTTCATGTGGGTATAAGGACCACAGCCTCTGTTCAAAGCCACTGATTTGATATGTAGACGTTCTACACCATGATATGGAAGCACAAACTATACTACAGCAATAGGTCCCTGATTGACCGTTGGAGGATTCCAACGGCGTCTAGTGTAGTCTCATTCCACCTAGCGTCCTACACTAGCCCTGAAGCTGTCACCTTTCATGTGCCTTCCCCTTTGTTGGTCTATTTGTGTGGATACTAGCATGGCATCCCAGTTGGGTGGGCGGGTAGCAATAAGCAGCTACTAGGCGCCAGTAGTTGATTTGGAGGCCCAGAGAGGAAACCTGACAGGATTTTTCGAATACCTTGGCGAATGGTCACAACATCGGTGAGATTCTCAAAATGATCAAGATAACATAGATCATTCATGTAATCACCTAGGCCGCTAAAAAGGATCTAATTTGTAGGTATCACGCTCCGCCTTCAATCGGCCCTAGGTATTATAATGATCTAGGAATTCAGACAATTGATACTCCCCATATAAATGACTATCATTAAGTTATTATCATCATAGTTAATAACTTTATACTAGTGATCGTGATATTGACAAACCCTCTTTTTAGACCCGAGCTACGCCGCCGTCTTAAAGCCTCGCACTATGATTACCAGGAGCGGATTCCCCGGACTCAAATCTGCCACGCCTCAACCATCGTAGGTACCTCTTCTATACCATTGATGAAGTATTTCCAGTTACCTATAATCTACTAAACGTCGATATTGAGTATACCAACCCTACAGGGATAAGCCTAGGTAATACGATTATTGAAGGTTACGTTTAGCCTTTCATATTTCGTAGATCTAGAGGATTGGAATCGATACATAGGCCTACATTACTTCGCTTTTCCTTTCTCAAAATGGAATGCATGATAAGATTATCAAGGTCGTTAGAATAGCACCACTACAATTCATATGTACATAAATACCTCTACCTAAGTAAAGAAAGGATTCGAAATTATTAATGCGACGAAATATAGTAAAAATACGTATTTTCACAGGTCATTGATCATTAAGTCTCCCAAGAAAAAGTCATATTGTTATATACGATAACGCCTCAGCGCACAAATAAAACGACGAAAGAAGAGCTCGCTCGAAGGAAGTTTCTCTATTTCGAATAGGAACTGTTTTTGACTGACAAGAATCCATTTGAAGAGGGTCTGATTCATCATAAAACGCTGGATACGGAGCCATAACCAAATCTAGTTAACGACTATGAGGCGCTTAAAATCCGTATAGAAGACGTGGGACGTAGTGGACCCGGAGACCTTGAGAAGCCTAATACGCTTAATATTACAGCTTATAGCAGACGCTATTACTGCGTAGTGGTGGGTTTGGAGTTGAATTTTGGGTATTTTATGCTATATATTGGGATCCGAACATAAGTAGAAAGATGCTTGGTTGCCTAAGTTAGGGGGCGTATGGCAGTGTTGTCCAATGTTAGGGTCGCCCTTAAGGCGTCAATATGGCAGGAAGGGGTTGCTGAGCCACAATATTACTATATCTCATATTCAACCCAATACTGTGCTGACTTTTGTGTTTTGTACAATACTGCGTTGGACACCGTCTTATACTACAAGTGGAGCTAATGATGACGATAATGGCTTGTAAAATTTCGTGGTCAGGGAGTGTAAGGTCTCTAATTTTCCTGAATCAATCACCCGTAAGACCAGCAGCTATTTCTCCACTGGAAATACATGGTACATACTTCAATTTCCCCTTTGTCCTGTATGGAGTACTTGGCGTGCGGGACACCGCCACTACGAGGCTTGAGAGGGTACTTGGCTAAGGCTGAAGCCTGGCGAGGGTTCTGCATAATATCCACTTCCGCCGAGCCTGAAATTCAGGTGCCTAAACAGATAATGCGACAGACCGACCGGAAAGAGACCGGGAGATGCGCCAAGTCTGCTAGAGAATGGGCTGGCGCAGGTTTAAGACCAATTGGTAATCCGATTTAGAGAGAATTTGGGACACAAGCAATGGCGGTTTCGGCATACTGATAAGTCAGAAAAACTAATCCCTATCGACCACCTCGACGGAGTACGGCAAGGGGTCTAGATATTGAAGCCTCTGGGCCTATGAATCTTTCGTTGAGGGATTTCAAGTGCCCCGATCTGCTGCTCATTTGAGTCCGGGTCGGATGTACGGAGTCACCGAGGTAAAGAAATCTCGGAAGTCGGAAGCAAAAGACAGTGGGGGGTTTAGTTCGGGAGATGCGCTGGCCAGTCCCGCAGTGGTGGATCGCCACGCCTAATCAGTTTGATGTCATACCAACCGACAACGGCAGGCCTGACACGGCAGCCTACATTCAGCACTGCTTTGGCAATGTGCGGAAGGGAAGACAAGGAACACCGTACGGCTGGTTCAGAGGTCGGATAATGGAGCCGGCCATTGCCGCGTCGTCAAAATGTCCACGATAGTCAGTTTGAAATTCAGATGGATGAAGGGTTCGTATGTACAGAAATAAAGCATCGTAGAAATATATGCTGGAAATGGGCAACACTCGCCAGATCGGATCCTGGCCCATTGAAGATCGACCGTCAGGAAGAAGAAACAAGCAGGGCATATCCGCCAAGACTATAAAAGTACAAGCGCAGTCGCCCAAGACATGCCAGTCAACGCCAATCCATTGTTTTGATTCCAAAGAGCGCAATAACACCGCCGCCTGGTAAGAGAAAAAGAAAGAATGAGATAATGAAAGAAAGGTCATGAATCTTCGTTGCATTTGACGTGGAAACATGACAAGTCCCAAAAAAAAACAAGCTAAGCGATGAACACAGGCTGAAAAAGGATGGAAACAATGCGCCGGGGCCAAATGACAACACCATAGAATAGAAGCAGTGTAGGGCGGTAAAAGGAAAGAAATCGCCAATCGAAGGGCCTCCTTTTCTTTACGAAACAGGAGCATATCAAGGACAGAGAACCTTCCCGTTTTGCCTTGAATGGGTCTATGACAAAAAAATAACCACCCGATGATGTGTATAAGAAGAAACAAAGGCAGGTGGAGTTGACGTGAGAGATATCCATAGAAGTTCAAATAAACCCCTCCTCAGCTAATTTTCAGGAGGCAAGCAACAGGGATGAGTCCTCTCTCCAAACTCGTGCCCGACCTCCCATCTTTTCCCCTCGAGGTCCGGCCATGGCTTGCTCTAAATTGGGTTGCGCGTGTCATGCCGGCCCTCGCCATCAAAAGATCAGAACCCTTCCTCGCCAGCCTTGCACAGCTTGATCTGGCGGACCCACTCGGATTTCAAAACCTGGGAGGCGTTGATCCGACGGGAAGGGTTGGGGTCTAGGATGGAGTAGATCACGTTGCGGCAACGGGCCTTGATAGCAGAAGTGGAGTCAGTCATGTATCCTGCAGGTCTTGCAGACCTAGAGATGCTTACCCGATGCAGAGTCTCAATCGGCGCATATCCATCTTCGTGCTTCCGACCCTCTAAATATCGCTGATAAAACTCGTCTTCGTCTTTGCGAGCGACCCGCCAGAGATGACGACCGGTCCGCATGGCCATATAGATAACACCGGTGGCCCACAGATCGACCGCGCGAGGGTCAAATTCCTTCTCGACATATTCCTCTGGGGCGATATAGGGAGCCGATCCACAGAGACCAGCCGTCATGTGGGCTTCCTTCTCCCACGCCATGCGAAAACACTCGCCGTTGCCGAAATCGGTGATCTTGAGGGCACCATGAGTGGTGAGTAATAGGTTCTCGGGTTTGAGATCACGGTGGGCCACGCCCATCTCATGCATGTATTCGACGCCTCGCATCAACTGCTTGAAGAAACAGTCGGCTTCTGCGACCTCGAGTTTCCCTGCGGACAAGACCAGGGTGTACAGATCACCACCGGCGCAGTACTCCATGACCTCACAATAATCGCCTTTGGCATCTTGCAATAGGTCGAGAGTATGAATAACGTTCGGGTGACGAAGGGACGAGGAGATGCAGAACTCCGAAGTCAGGCGCTTCTGATACTTCTTGGCGGTTTCTTGGGGACGACGTCGGAACTCCTTGACGGCATACAATTGCTCGCACTTGGAGTCTTGAGGGTCGACTTTGTGGGAGATACGGACGATGCCGAATGCGCCCCGGCCAACGATCTCCTGGCATTTGCCGTACTTATCTACCAGAGATGCGGTGGCGTTGGGGCCGCCTTTCTTGTCGGATGCCAGCTTATCACGCTCGCTCTTAAATTGGTCGATCCAGGTTGACATGAGTGAGAGCTGCTGTTCGTCAACTTGATCGTCCCCCCTTTTTCTTCCGCCGCCCAACATGTCGCGGAGGAGGCCAGTCAGTTTCTCCTGTCGCCTGGCGCTGCGGAGGTGATGGGAATGATTGCCAGGGGTGCCTTCGGGGAGGATCTCGAAGCGCTTATGGGCGGGGACAGCGCCATCTTTCTGGTCTTTGCCACCTGAAGGCTTCTTCTTCTGTTCTTTTTCGATCGGTTCACTTTTCAAGGATGCTTGTCGGGAGGGAGTGCGGGAGGGGGGGTCTGGAGTTGGCGCGGGAGGAAGGTTTGGAGGCGGGCTTTTCTTTGCCATTCATGACGTGAAGCGGCTGAACACTCTCCATGCTGCTGTCGGAGAGCCGGTCCCGTTGGGCACCGTCGAGTTGGGTCTGCTGGTGATGATTATCTTTCGTCGGTGTCTGCTTGCCCGTTGAGAACATTCGTGAGAGGCGAGAGGCCATGTTGTTGGCTTTGGTTGGTTTGGGAACGGGGGAGGCCGGGGTGGAGAGAGGCTCCCCGTTCGAGGCGGACAAGTTCATGCCCGCAAAGGCGCGTGTTACCGGAGGATCTCCATCCCGAGGGTCATGCGAGTGTTGAGAAGCGGCGGCGGAGGAGACTGCGGACGGAACAGGCGAGGGGCCCAGTGGAGTCATGTGCGGTAACTGTCTGTTGAGGCCGGGGAGAGAGCTTGATGAAGGTGAATGAAATCACACGTCCTCGGGCGTGACGGCGAGAGGGGAGGAATGGGGGCAAGTGGAGGACGAGCGTCGCTCGCGGAAGCTCCAAGCTACCGAAAAGCAACTATGAGGCGCTCGGTCGTGTCTGCTCTTCTTGTTAGAAGAGAGAAAGAAGAGGTTATTCGAGGTTGGCGGCGAAAAAATGTGTGGGTTGCCTGATGTGGCGGCCTGAGGCAGAGATAATCATAGGGTGACGACAGCGATTTCGCAAGCAGCGAGGCAAAAACCGCTTTGAGGAAGTAGCAGAGACTGCGGAGAGGATATAAGAGAATCGCCAAGGACCAAGCCCAAGGGAAATCTGACACACCCCTCGAGGTTTGTAATCATATAAATAGGAAGAATAAGAGAGAGAGAAAGAAAAGAGGAATTAACGGCGAGGGTAGGGTTAAAATTGGCGATACTACAGGGGAGAACCGGCTGAAATACCACGGGGGTGAAAGGTTTGTATGGGGAATTACGGGGGGAGAAAGTGGGCGGGTTTTTTTGGGGCTAATGGGCGTTTTTTTTTTTTTTTTTTTTTTTTGGGGGGGTCGCTGGCTTACGATACTTGGTCTTGTGAGGCTACAGTGCTCGTCGCCGGGGCTTCACTGGGCTCTCCGGATTATTAAGGCTTAGTGAAGCTACCCGTAACCTGTGGACGGCCATCGAAAGTCCGTGGGCCCGGTTCGAAGCAGGTAACGGTAACTTGACCTGATGCTCAATCCTCAGTCAGCAGGATCCCTGCGCATTTGGACAGTTCCCGTAAAAAAAAAAAAAAAAAAAAGGAAAAGAAACCCGAAAAAAGAGAGCGAGAAAGGGGATGTAAAAATGGGGCGCTGCAACCCACGAGCAAAACCGGTATTTACGGTGACACGGTAACCATACACTGGTACGAACGATCAGTCCCGAGTCCCGCGGTGGTTTCTCTACCCGCCGTTGGAAGGCGTCACCTCTGGGAACCACAAAAACCTATATTAATAGCATCCTGGGAGAATAATGGCAAGTTCTATTATGAACAGCCGCTGAGATCTGCTAGAATTGCCCACTGGCGGTGCCATAGCGCACCTTATGGGAGAGATTTTCGGCAGCGCGCGACTTAATGATCCCCCGTTAAGCAGTTTGTGAAGGAGCGATGGTTAGATTGTCAGATTGCTTTGAGATCATGCAATAGGAATGATTGCCGCTGGCCGGGGCTTTGTACTGATGGGGTGATTGGCGCATCGACCACAGTCAAGAGTATTATGCAACTGGGTGTATACTTCGCCTTACTATACCGGCATGCAGACAGCGATTCCTGCATACGGAGGGCGAGATTCTATATACCAAGATGGAATATGTACCGGGCGACCATGTCTATAGGCCAAGAGATGCGCAAGAAGGTACCCGTGCGGTAACATTCCAGATTTCCGAGTGGCGCATGTTCTCTTGCCTGAGTGGTCTCCAACTTCTCAAAATCTAAACTCACGCCCAGTTTCGGTCTAAGCGGACGGAAGGCGGAGCCAGGGCGAAGGAGGAGAAGAGGGGATACGGGAAACCTAGAGGTCTGTACGGAGGAAACTGTATGGATGGATGCACCGGATGGAGTAGGGCATTCAACCCCAATGAAGCCAATGAAGCCAGTAAAGCCAATAAAGCCCCATACAGATGAACCGCCAAAAGCGCGTCCACCCGAAACCCATTCCGCCCGCGGAAAGCTGGTAGGAGTGTGGGATCATGGAATTCGTTGGACACCCTTAGCTCGTTAGCTAGCTAGGGAGAGATTCAGTCGTCAATGCCCTAAGGCGGTTTAATGTCCCTAGATCAGTGGAGTCTTCCGTGGTAGCGAGCGTTACAGATCGGTTTCAATAACGAAGTGATTTGGGAGATTTCGTCGGCGCGAACGACGTGTGGTGAGAGATTTAATTGACGGAGATCCCTGGAACTGGCGCTGGGTCTACCTTCTTCCGCGCAGCTAGGGAAAATTAAGCACTCGCACCCAGTATATGCCCCTTCCCAAATTGTCCACAAAATTACAGGCCGATCGTCTGTCCCAATGACGTTCCTCCCTTGTCCGAGGTTCCGCCCTTGACCCATCATCATGCTATCATGCTCTGCTCCCATGCTGCCATGCTGCCATGCTGCCATGCTATCATGCCTCGTACCTGGTGCCTTAAGTGACGTCGAGCTTTCCCCTCCTCGAAAACCTTCCCTATGGACCTACACATAGCGTCCTGCCGCCACGTATATCCGCCCAGGAGGCCCCTCCGCGAGTGAGGCTGTGCATGTCGTCGGCATCGTGAATATCCCTCGTTATGATTCGATCACAGCCCCGCACCAGCAACAGGAGCCGATGCGCTGGGTGCACCGTGTGGCGCTAGTGTGGCCACTTGTTGGGACTGCCCGGGGAGGAGGGGCACCCGACGATGGCCACTTTTGGGCCATCGACATCATTGTGCTCGTGGACACAGCGTTGAGCCCGGGTCACCAATGCCCTCGGGAGAAAGGTTGGAGAATGGAGCCTGGATGCTCTGAACTGTCATTCACATACAGTTCATACACACACTCTCTTCCTCTCCGCGGATCGGTGATCAGCCATTTGGCGAGATCCTGGGCGCACGCAGTGATCCAAACCCCAAGGATTCCACCTGGATGCAAAGGGCCCATGTACTCTGCAGGCTACGGTTCTCCTATTCAACTAGTCTCTGGCGGGTACCTATCCGTGGACGTGCTCAATTACTCCGTCGAGCATAAACGGTGGATTCCTTGTCGGCAGCGTCGAGTGGATATGGGAATTGTCTTCCGAGAGACACAGTACATCCGCCGCTGCCCTCTTCCGCACTGTGGCGGATTGATTACGGCACGATTTTTAATTTTCTTGGGATGCTCCTCTAATTGTATACTAACGGAATGGGGATTAGTTACCAGTGTCATTCGAGGGAATAATACCCATAGAAAATCGCGTGAAACCGATCTAAACTAAATCGGTTGCATAGATACAGTACAAGGATAAGAGGCTGCCGTGAGTGACGAGGACGGTTACTTTTCGGTATTTGTATCTATAAAATCGAATCATAAAGGGGGAAAAGGAAAAAAAAAAAAAGAAAACCAGGAAACACAAGAAAAAAACAAACATAAACCAAAAAAATGATAACCGGAAGAGAGAAAAAAAATAACGACTTGAAAGATGAGATGAGCATCAAATCAACCGAGATATGACCTTCTCCTTCTGGGATGTCCCCTCCCTTCAACTCTCTGCCGGCCGATCGCCGTGACATCGACGGGATCAACATTCCTGCACATCTCTCCATCGGGCTGTTCGTGGATCCCGACGTGGGGTCCCAGCAGTCTGATGGGGTCATCCGAAGAGAGGAGGTACGAGGTCTTGCTCCGTCAGCTCGTGAGCTCGGGGCGCCCCAGCCCATCTGGCGTCATTTGGCAAGATGACGGCATCTGTTATCTGAACGCTTCATCCGTGGGTTGGTGATGCGGACACGAAGTCGACATCATCACTGCACCATGACCTCTGCCTTCTGTCCGACTCGAGCCAGTTGTTCAACCCGGAGCACGAAGGCAAATTGAGGGATAAACGGAGAGCCTATCACGGTAGCACGAGCAGTTGATGATTGAGCTTTCATTCGCACACGCGCTTCACCGTCTCTTTTCGCCGCTACGGATGATCTCTGGAGCTCGCTCATTCCATTTCGAGCTGGTGTGATTCCTTTTCCGGAGTGGGGAAGCAGTATTAGTAATAGTGGTGATAAGAGTAATAGTGGATGTACTGTAGTCGTCGTTGTGGCTGTAGTAGTTGCAGTATCAGTATCAGTAGCAGTCGTAGCACTAGCCATAGAAATAGTAGCAGGAGCTAAGACAGGGAATACATGCCGGCCAGCATTGTTCAACTCATCCCTGTCAGACGCGGTTTGGGTACGGAGGAGTGTAGTCCTATTCGCCCGGGATGGAGTGAAACAAGTCGCCCCAGGTGCAGACGCGGAGATCTCATTACGGATAAGCTCGTCCCTCCTGGGCCTTTGGAATGCCCTGAGCCTTTTTGTCTTGGGACACGGACTACCCCGGATTATTGTCGCCTGACTCGGGTTCGAGCGAAACAAGGAACCCCATTAAAACCCATTAGACCCCATTGCCGGGTATAGACTTTGTCAACCCTCTATGTCATGACATCGCGGGTTCACCAGGTCATGCAGGGGATCTTGCGCGCTTGCGAGTGGAAAGTGCCATGGCCAACAAGTGGAATGGCTATCGGGACCCCCGTCTTCCAGAGAATCCATGAGATTATCTTACATGGCTCGCATTTTCATACGAATCCGGGGCAACCTCGGTCTTCCTCCCTGGGATCCCGCAGCCGAGCACATGCGCCAAAAGGGCAAATCGGGGGAGAACCCCAGCTACCGTAAGCATCGCCGAAACCCGACACGAGAAACGGGCGATATTTCGTTGTGCGTACACAGCCCACCGACCCAGAGTGGCCCAGAATGACCCCAATCCGCTGTGCCCGATTTCGCTCCGTTGCAATAAACAAGAGAGACTACGAGGCATTTTTCGGTCGCCAATCAGCGGCTGTTCAACTGCGGGGTCCTTCAATGTCCATGCAGCTGCAGTTTGTTTTGTGCCTCTGCTCCCTCTGACTCCATCCCTCCGTGTGGCCCGAGTGATTGGCGCGCCCAGAGATCTCCTCGATATCTGTCCCGTCCGCTGTCCGTGTTTTCTCTGTTCGGCGGTGGAAGTTGAATACCAATTACCAAGTGCAACCAAGTCCTTTTCAAACAGAAACCACCGACTTGAAGCGGTGGCACCTGGGATCCCGACGGAAACCCCGATGAACGTTCCTATAGTACCATCCAAGAAGTAGAGTGTCCCACGCCTGGCAATGTACTCCCTCAGTCTCCCTCTATCATGTCAATAGATCACCGAACTAGAGTGACTCGAGCCATGATGAGTTCCAGTCACTGAGGACTCCAGGATAGGATGCTCTCCTCCCCATCTCCCTTCATCCGATCCACGCTCTCTTGCTGTCTTTCTGTCTTTCTGTCTTTCTGTCTTTCTGTCTTTTTTTCTCCCTTTCTCCCGTGTCCACGATCGACTACCGAGTCCTGCCCCTCCCACCACCACCACGCCACCACAACCCCACTCGGAAGCAACAAGCGCGAGCCACCAAGTGACACGCGCACGCCAGGCAAGCGAGCGGGGGCGCGGTAGATCAAAATAAAGCTTTTCCACTGGGCCGACTAGGCATCCGACTTGAACCGTGCTGACCGCCAGTTCTCGAGGGGAATGCATCCCGCCCTACCGAAGCTCATAGATTCGACGGGGATTGCGCGTGCATACCGTTGCGGGAGGACTAGTTCTCCCAAAAGAAGAAGAAGCCCCCCGGCCCAAGCTTAGGGCCAAGGAAATACATTTTCCTAGAGCGGGGATTCCGTCTGCGCCTGGGCATGTTGCAGTTGCTCGTATTGGGTCTTGGTTCTTGGGTTCTTGGGTTCTTGGAGGGAGGGTGATGGTGGTGGTCGGGGCATCCTGCCGGCCCCCCGGCCCCCTACTCTTCCCCTCCTTCGATGGAGCCCATTTTGGAACAGCTGAAGGCGCCCACAAAGGGAGGGTGCCCGAGCTCGAGATAAGCTGTGGCCGAGCTGAGCTTCGACATGCAGGAAGCTTGGATGATCGTGCGCACGGTGGTGGCTGGTGCGAGCCTGAGCGGTCGCTGGGCCCGATGAGGAGTAGGCTGGTTGGCTCGTTAGTTGCCTCGAGTAGACTTCAGATGTTCTCTGTACAAGCATGGAGCAGATCTCCGAGGACGAATGGATGTGATTGATTCGTGAGCAGCGGCAGAACGTATCGATCTGCGCTGGGTCACGCTGGTTCGCAGCTATGGAACATCCTGTTATAATATACGAAGTTACTGATGTTGGTTCTGCCAAGGAGCAGTTGGGAGTATCCATCGGTTTTGAAGGATCATGCCAAGGCTCTCTCAAGTTGAAGACCCGCCTGCCATTCGGTATGTGTTGATACGTGGAGTTGTACGACCTGTGCATCGGCGGGTGCTGGGATACTCTCGTGCCCTGGTGTATAATAAGAGAGGCTCAGAAATTGAAACATCTTGGACGCTGCATACTAGCCTTCGTGAGCTCCTCGGAGATGCCCGTCAGCTTTTTTTTGTTTTTTTTTTTTGTTCTTTTTTCCCTTCGGGAATGATAGGAGGAATGCGTCGGAGCATTGTCTTCCTGTGGGCTTTAGTATTATAGGGCTGGGATGAGAGGGCCGGGCCGGGCCTCCTTCTGCCACCGCGCGTGGTATTTGCGACATCCTTCCTCGTTTGCTGCCATGAACCACTACACACTTGGTAGGCCAAAGCGCCTCGATATTCAGTAAAAATGAAGCACCCCCTTGAAGGAAGTGTACATCAACTGTTTGGTCTTGTAACGAAAGAATGGGGCTTTGTTGGTATTCATACTAGTTCGATGCAAGACCGGAGAGAAACAGGGATGAAAGGGTAAATACCATGTTTACATTCTCTCTGTCTCTTTTTATTTCTAACGGAGAAGATGGACTCGATTGATGCTCTGACAAGGTGCCTGATAGCTAAAGCCACGGCGGGCGGGATGTTAAAGAAAATCCTGCTTAATCTGCGTGTCTCCCTTGGCATTGGACTTGGGGAGGAGATGATTGGATCTTCGGAGACAGCGCATCCTGTGGCGTTGCCTGTGGTGGATTGATAATCGGGATACCCCAAGAAAAGAGTACGGGAACTATGTCGACCAGAAGGGGGGGAGGGGCGCAAAAGACAACAGAGCAAGCTCGCGAGCTTGCCCTATGCCAGGCCTGCAGCTGCGCCAAATAGGTTATTCTCCAATTTTTAATCGAGTGTGCTATGGAACAGAAAATTATGTCAATGCTGTTCTCTTCATTCCTCGCTTTTCCGGATTCTTCCGCTCCCCTGGAGGTCGCCGGTAAACAGCGGTGATCCCTGACCAATATTCACGAGGAAGCTACAAAGCAGGGACTGCCGGAGACGAGCCCGCTTATCGAGGATCGATGTCACACCACGTGGGATGTTGGCTTCATTGACTGGCACCGGTAATGGAAAAGGCGGTGTTGGCATTGACGACTTTCCGGGGCAAGTTTCCTTGGCCCCATCCTTCTCTGTGGGGAACTGGCACGATTGCGGTGTGTATAGTTATCTTGATGTCTCTTCCATCTCCTGGTGTTGCTCTGTGAGGACCGGGCAGTCGGTCTTTCACTTTGGTCAGGATTGACAAGCACAGCAGCTGCAAGTTTCAATACACCCGAGTGATAGGTTGCAGCGGGGCTGCTTGGCTGATTGGACTCGTCTAGGGTCACGAGAGAACTCGCGTCTGCTGCCAGGTTAGAGAACAGGTCAACAAAAAAGATGTGTTGCCGACAAAGACGTCCGAAGTCCAATACGTACCACAAATTGCTCCAATGACTCTTCGAAAAGCTCGTTGTTCACGCCTACGCCTCCCGGATGCTCCGTGGGGGAGAGAGGGTTCTTGACCACTGGATGAAGAAGGCGACGGAGTCAGAAGAGATTTTGATTTGAGTCGTGAATTTATGAATTTAGGAGGAGAACGAAATACCATATTCGACGAACAGATTGATATAAATCTGCTGCAAGGCGATGCGCATGCTAGGACTCTTGAGGTCCGTCAGCATGACGAACTTGATGTTGGTCGGGGTTTCGTAGTAATGAAGCTTATACTGGCTGGTGGAATATGACACGAAGCTAGATCATTTTCAAGTCTGTTAGTGCTCCGACTACCTTCGCGGGTTACATTGATCGTTGGTCCGGAGGGGAATCTCACTTGTCTTCCTCACCACCCAGCTTGCGCACCATGTTCCGCAATGAGAACACCGTACCAAAGACCAATTTGGAATCATCGTCTGTGGCTCGCACTGTCTGGCCAGTTCCTGACGCACTTGCTCCAGCATTCGGGACTTCTGAGGCTCGAGAGGACTTCCCCACGATAGACACCGGCCGAGGTGACCAGCGGCGTTTGTAGATGCATTCCGCTAGAAAGGAAACAGGGGTCAGTCAAATGGATTTTCACGGAGTAGTCTCACGCGAACTAACCGTGGCGGTCAAAGATATAAAAAGAGTAGACAGTCATTGTTGGGCAGTGACTCGAGACTTTGCTGTTGGCCAGGAGGCTCGTTTCAGGCGGTGATTTGTTGACGTCTAGGTTTCAGGGGAGGGCGGTGAACCGGCGGTATCGATAACACGGACTGGGCTCCTATCGATAACAAAAAGCCGTTGCCTGGTGAAACTGTCGAGCTGGACCGTTCACTTGAGTGGCTTGGCCCTTCGGCTTTTTTCTCTCTCATTGCTGAATTGGGGGAGACCTCCCGCTGGATCTTCCTTGCAGAAAAAAAAAGCTTTTTCTCGTAAGGCTGACAGCCTGCATTCCCCGTTATCTGCTCCCCCGCTCTTGCCTACCTACGACCTCACCCCCCTCTACCCCACACCTGGACCCTACCCGTTCCTCCAAGAAGACATTTGCTATCGCTTCTTTTGTTTATACCTTCACCTGAGCGTCAATGGATGACTCAGTGGAGGCTTCACTCTCCGATGTCTCTGCGCAACCCTCGATCGACTCCCTCGAGGGCGCGGGCTTGCCGCCGCGGCCCTTCAGAGTTGCGTAAGCTTCCTCTTGATACACAGTGGACCACATAAGAAAGGCCATTGGTCACACCCTATTTACGTGTGAATTCTGACATGATTATCCCTTCCGTTCGATTGTTTAGTTCCGCTGCATCCTATGATAGCCCCCAGAGGCACCGACGACGAAACCCCCGAGCGCGGCGTCCGGTGAAGGTCAGTGTTTCGTGCTTCGACAGTTAAACTTGAGGACGGGACTAATTGCTTCTAACGCGAGCCTTATAGGAAACGTTGGATGCCCGCTCCGAATATACTACGAGTCAAGATGATGGTACGGCAGAGCACCGCATCAACCAATACGTGATAAAGCAGGAAATCGGGCGAGGATCGTTTGGGGCTGTTCACCTGGCTGCCGATCAGTTTGGCAATGAATATGTATGAACAAGTTCCTGCTTTGTGTTTCTTCCTCTCTCCCCCTCTCCTCCTTCCGAGCGGCCAGAGAAGACCGATGAATAGGCGAATTGTAGGAGACGATCAATATATGAATGGGTGTGCTGACTGCGAGGGCCGGCTATGGTCGATATATGCAGGCTGTGAAAGAGTTTTCCAAGTCCCGGTTAAGGAAACGCGCACAATCTCACCTTTTGCGGCGCCCACGAGGACCTCGACGCCCCGGCACTGGGTTCAATTCGCCGTTGCACCGCCATCCTTCTGAGGACGATAATGCGAATGCAAAGAATCCACTTTACCTGATCAAGGAGGAAATTGCAATCATGAAGAAACTCAATCACAACAACTTGGTCTCGCTGATCGAAGTTTTGGACGATCCAAGCGAAGATTCTTTATATATGGTGATGGAAATGTGCAAGAAGGGTGTAGTCATGAAGGTCGGCCTAGAAGAACGATCTGATCCATACGACGACGAGCACTGTCGTTGTTGGTTCCGTGACTTGATTCTGGGAATCGAATATTTGCATGCACAAGGCATCGTCCACCGAGATATCAAACCAGACAACTGCCTTGTGACAAGTGATGACGTGCTCAAAGTGGTCGACTTTGGCGTATCGGAGATGTTCGCCAAGGACTCAGACATGTTCACTGCTAAGTCAGCTGGATCTCCAGCATTCCTTCCACCGGAGCTGTGTGTTGTGAAACACGGCGATGTGTCGGGGACAGCCGCAGATATCTGGTCTATGGGTGTGACCCTCTATTGCCTTCGATATGGCAAGCTTCCATTTGAACAGCAGAGCATATTTGAGCTATACGAGAGCATTCGGAGTAGCCCTGTAGTATGCGAAGATGAACCAGATGAGAATTTTCAAGATATGATGAGTCGCATTTTGGAAAAGGACCCGGCAAAGCGGATCAAGATGTGCGATCTACGAGTAAGATTGCCTAGAAAAATGCTTTGGTTAATGATTGAGTTCACTCATTTGGCAAATAGGAACACCCTTGGGTGACAGCGAATGGAGTCGATCCTCTTCTTCCCTTCGAGGAGAATACTGCTCAAATTATCGAGCCGCCAACCGAGGAGGAAATGAATCGAGCTATCACGACCAATATGGAACACTTGATGACAGTGGTATTTGCTTTCCCTCTTTATCTTCAAGATGGTCCATGTTGATTCTTTCCGCAGATGAAAGCCGTGAAGAATTTCAAGCGATTGGTAGATCCATCCAAAGCAGTTCCAGCCATGCAAAGTATCCTAGGTGGCGAATACGAGGCACACTTTGTCCAGCCACCTATGGAGATAGACGATAGTGATGATTTTCCAACGGTGGGACTGGATCCCAATGCCCAGGGCGATCGTGGCCTTGGTGGTATCCGCAGAGTTCTGGGACGGCATCCATTTCATTCTGCGCGTGATGAAATAGCAGGAGCAGTGCCAGAAAGTGCTTCTACAAGCATCTCTTCTCGGCCAGAGCATAGCCCAGCTGGCAGTCAGCTCCCAAGTGGTGTCTTTGATACACCAGAGCGAAAAGACTCTGGCTCAGCGCGAAGTGGAAGGTCAATAAGGAAAGCAGAGCCCACCAGGCCACACTCCCAGTCTGCATCCCCTCACATCCCGCTTTCGCGTGCTAGCTCAGCCACCACGAAACGCAGTCTTGAGGGGACGAGGGGCCATGCTCGAGATCCACTGGAGGAAGAGTTCCCATATCTTTTCATCGGTCCGTCGACATATACCGGCACGACCCCGCAGGATACAAGTGATATCACCCACAATGACCCGACTCCTCTCTTCGCGGAACCCGAAAATACCGAGGACATAATGGATTTGGGTAGAGAGTCGACAGTTTCGGAAGAACCTGTGCCGACCGTTAGCGAATCCCCCGGTGCTGCAGAATTCGATATTTACGAAACAGCCTATCGACAGGAGCTCGAGCGTATCAAGTCCGATCTCACCCATCCTGGTGCCGGTCCAAAGGTGTATCTCACTCGGCGGGTCGAAGGCAAACACGAGGTCATGAAGTTCGCCATGGATAAGGTGCTCGATCTGCAAACGGGAAGGAAGTATCACATTAACCCTTCTGCTTCGAGATCATCGTCTGCCTTTGGTGCGGCAGTGAGCTTGCTCCGCAATCAGATAGCACAGCAGAAAGATACAGCAGTCGCTGCCGAAGATCTGAAACAAGATGAGGGCCATAAGGAAGCATTTGTCGACAATCAACAGGCTACTTTACCCCACGAACATCGAGATTCACATCCTCCCCCATCTTCACTTTCCTCACAGTCTATCCCTGGTCCAGAGGCATCGCCCCTCGAGGCCATAGGAGTGCCGGCTACCGACTCACATCCTAAAGGAGGGGATTCGACAGCGCAACTTCGCCGTCTACTGGATCGTGTTGTCCGCGATAAATCTGGAGCGTGAGCAGTGTGGTCAGTCATCCGTGGTGAGCATGCATCTTTCCTCATTTCATATGGTCAGTATTCGTAGTTGTTGCATTCTTGTCTATGATATATACCCTGCGCGATATCTTTTTCAGTGGCAAAACGGCAAAGCAAGCGCAAGAAGCTGGTTTTTGGAGGGTCCGTTTAAGAAACAGAGGAACAACAGTTAAGAATCAACAGAATGGCCTTGACCCTGCCAGTTTCGCCCTCCACTTGCCATTTCCCACATATTTACTGTGCATTTGTCATTTCTTTCTCTTTCTTTTCATCCCTGTCATTTTCTCCCATGCATTCTGCCTTTTTTGCTTCGGTTCCATTTTCCCTGTTTCAATCGACGCATATGCATTATTCACCCGCTCGATGCGGTCTAGCGGGCTTTGATGAAATTTGAATCAAAGATTGTTGCTCCTCAAGAATCTCTTCCCTTGAAAAACCAATGCTATAACAAGGTTGAGCTTAGTCTGCCTTTTCAGAAACATTTCAAAGCCCAAATTTTTGCGTAGCTACCCCCACCCCCACCTCTCACCGTCTGCGAACAGACCAGGCCATGTTTGGAAATTCAAGACTGGTCCCCAGATCTGTCCTATCCCTCCCTTGAGTCGGGATTTGCCGGTCGATAGGCTCATGCACAAGGCCAATGCGGGTACTGGGTTGGACGTGGCTCGAGGGCGCGGGGAAGGGTTACACAACTGTACGCCTGCCCCTCTTTCCATTGGCAGCTTGACGCACGATGTGTATATGCACCTTGGATTTTGGAGGCTTGTGTAGACCGCTCCAGCCGAAGATGTTTGCATGTAGCGATATGGCCTATGACTTGGGATCTGGGAAGGCTTGGCCGTGTTTTTGCTTGTTCGGATCGACGACGATCTGTTCTGGTCTATATGGTTTACCTGTACACGTTACAAATCCTGTAGGGCTGCCTGCAGATGTTGTTCATACGTGACATGTAACACTTCACACATATTATTTTCCTCCCATCATTACTGACTTACATATAATTAAATAGGATGATTTTATGAATTCCTGTTTTTTACCTTTTTGGGATTATTTTCATGGCTATTTTTTCATGGTTATTTTGAACCTAGTCAGTCTTATTTAATGAACGAAGTAGGTAGAGTGTATATCAAATCAGAACTGCAGGTCTGGGCTGTACATTATATATCAGTTCATAATCTTACATGCATCATAAGCGAAGTCAAACAAAAATCACACAAAACAAAATCTCAAAGATGAGTGAGAGAAAAAATGAAAAAGAAAAAAGATAAAAAAAGCTCGATCACGGTCGTTAGCCTGGCCACAGTAGGGTAGTAGTTCAATCATAAGGGGAGAAAGTAAATGTTACCGCACACGAGGACAAACAAGCACAGAAGCAGAGTAAGAAGATAAGGAGTCACCCAATGCCCAAACTTTGGGGGCAAGAAAGAAGAACGAGGATAACAAATAATACAAAGACAGGCAAGATGAGACCAAATCCAAGAAGCGAAACAGCCAAGATCTCAGGGCGACAAAAATAGTAATGAATGGCTCAAATTAAACCACCTTCGCCGTGTCCTTGGAAATAGGAAGGATCATTATTTGAACAGATGCAGGTCATGTCACATTAGACAGAGCACTGTGCTGGGAATCAGAAGAATAAAGAAGGTCAAAGCTGTAGGAGTAGTGAGATGAGAAGGTTGACGCGCAAGAGAGAAGTGATACTGAGGTCATGATGCTCACTAACATCCACCAGTAAGGATGCGCTGTGTTGACCAATAAGCAAACAGCGAATTTTCATAAAAGGGAAAAAAAAAACCGACAAGGCCGACGTCAACAAAAGCATCAGTTAGGCTCGTGTCAAATCAAGACAGACGCAGATACGCAGAACGCTACATCTTGGTCGAGTATAATCATAACAACACCGGTAGTCGATGTGGATTTCGCGGTTGACTCCGGGCTCCGGGCGATAGAGAAAGGAAGGGGGGTAGAGATCTTGTAGTCGAACCATACGATATAGTATGGGCAGGATGTCATCATGGTGGAATGTTCAGTGAACGGCATGTTGCTGAAATCAAGGACGCTAGGGCAGCATGAACAATAAAAGGACAGAGTCAAGATAGGGCTGGTAGCGGTGGGGCGTATGGCCAAATGAGACGCAAGAAACAGGAAACAATAAACACAACACGAACGCTGTCTATTGTTCGTCAAAAGTTCATGAAATCGAATTCATCATGTGGCTGGGAAGGAAATCGTGCTTTGATATCAGAATAACGGGACGTAGTTGGTCGTGTCCGACGGGAGTATTGATGGTTGTTTTGGATGGAGAATGCATTTCAATCATGCGTCGAGATCGCGTTTGGCATTCCGCTGGAAAGGACATGTTTGACGTATGGTATGTTCTATGTTTGAATTATCGAGTGGGCTTTTCGGCTGGGGTCGTACTCGTTCGGCTGTCTGGATATGGGCCCGGGGGCAGTTCTCCCCGGCTGGCCACAGAGTCGCGACGGCTGCTGCCTGTTGGGGAGTATCGGTCGGGTGGAATAGATCCGTATGAGCCTCGCTCACCAGGATTACTGTTCAGGCGCGAGAAGGGACTCGGAGGTCCCAGTTGGAGGGCATGGGGAGAGGGTAATGGGTGGCTCATTTCGGCTGGCCGAGGTAATTCTCGCATATTCGGACCCATGCCCCGTGTCGGCATCTCACGGCGCTCTTCATGATGTGGAATCCCTGGGGCGGGTGCAAGAGGTCGACTACCGGGGATATCGTATGGCAATGGGCCCGGAGTTGGTCCCTGTGGCGGTCCTGGATGTATTGCAGACGGCGGGTATGGACCCATGGATGGACCCGCGGGACTGGTTGGGGAGGGTGGGATTTTGAGTCGTCCAGAGCCGGATCGGCGTGGCGGGGGATACGTCTCTCCGCGAGCCTCCGCGGCTGCTTTGCGCCGTTCGGTTTCAGCTTTGCTTGGTCGGCCTCGTTTGCGCGGCGGTTCGCTGCCCATGGTGCTATCTAGTCTTGGAGACAATTGGGCCGAGCTCTCGCTGCTGTATGAGGCGGTACTGGCTGGAGGACGAGGTTGAATGGCGCGTGGAATTAAAGGCTTCTCCGCCGGGAATAGCGGGCGCTTGCGCAGGCCAGAATCCATATGAGTAGAGGTTCCAGGAACATCTGGACGGGCCATTGGCAGTGGTGCTGGTGGTCCCGTTAATGTCAGCCCTATTGGCCCTGCTGGTGCTGGTGGTACTGCTGGTGTTGTTGGAGCCACTGCCACTGGCGTCGCGGGCGGCGGAACTGAATACTGCAGTTGCATGTCGCGAAAGGCCATTCTGCACGCGCTAAGGGAGCGACCTATATTACCGGTGCCAATTGAGTTAGTCGTTGGTCATGGTTGAAGAGGTGTTCGATCAAGATATCGCAAGGTGACTATTTTTACCTTGCGGCAGGGGAATATGCTCCCAGTTAGGGACGATACGGAAGTCATTGATCAGGCGAACGAGATAGCTGGATGAAACACCGGCTTTCTTGAGGATCTCGGTGAGTAGAGTATACTAAGACGGATATTAGTGCCATTCATGCTGGTTTCTTGGACGATAATGCTGCCGCCTCTTTGCTGCTCATACCTTCTCCTCCTCATCCCAGGGCCTATCGGGTGGGTTCGACATGTCCAGACCATGGAAACCGAACCAGGACTTCTCTTGAGCCTCCCAACCAAGGAATTTAAAGGAAGTAAAAAGAAACTAGATCACCGGAAAAAGGGCAAACAAACGCGCAAAATAGCCTCCCAAGACAAATTGAAACTGGAGTGAATGGCAGCGGGGTATCAACAAGGTGTATACGCGTGTGCGCGCGCACGCCCCAGCAACGGTGGAACTCTTGAAACAGTCGAGAGCAAAAGAGAGTCAAGAAAAGAAAAGAAAAGAAAAAGAATGAAAATGTGCAAATAAGAGCCTCTTATGTGCCCATTCTCTTTCCACGAGGCACACTGAGGGTCAAGAGAGGGGGGAAGTGAGAGAGGGAAAAATACCAAATGCAAAAAAAAAAAAAAACAAAAAAAACAAAAGGACAAAAAGATAAAGTCAAATAGAAATCCCCGGTCAAAATGCGATTGAGGAAAAAGGAGCAACCTCAATTGAAGGCCGTTCAGCCACAGAAAATGGAGGAGCAGCACGACAACACGCAGTCCATGAACTCCCGGCTGGAAAAGATTGGCCAAACGGACTTGAACAGCCGGGATCGCGCAGGAGGGACCAGTGCGCGCGTTGGACGGGAGGGAAAGCTGCAGGGACGTGTTTTGAGGGTTTGGGGAAGAAACAGGAGAAGGTCGAGAAGAAGAATCGAGGCGCAAGTTGGTACGGGAAGAGTACGATCGGGGCAGGCTTGTCGGGCACGGCGTGTACCTCCCTCGGTGACGATAGGTACCGTTTGGAACCACCAGAACCCAGCAGAAACAGGGGGCAGGCGCAGGTAGATGGGTGCAAGGCCGACTCGGCGGGCCCAGGTACTAAGCAGGTACTTCTGAAGCAGCAGGAAATTACCGTACAGCAAACCCACACGTTCGAAAATGGATTTAATCAAATCCAATGGCTTGCAAAAAAAAGGATTGGAAGAAAAGAAAAATGGGGAAATCGGGGAGTTTCATCTCTTCCAGAAGAGTTCGAGACGAAACAAAATTACCACAGACGCACGTCGCCGGCGGACCTCGTCTGGACAAGAAAAAAGTACGATCGAGGGGGGGGGCACAGTGTCCACTATGATTCCACTACGGAGTTACAACACAGTCCAAGTACAAGAACAGCAAAGTGGGGGTAAGGGGGGGCTTTGGGTTAGCCATGCACACTTGCATGGTTAGTGACCTGCAGCTCGGCCCCGTCGAGGGACTAGGGGTTAATAGGAATTGGAATTATAGGGACAAGTCGGATAGGGGGAGGAGGAAAGGAAAGTCCTGCCAGAAGTATAACCAGCAGTAAAAGACTCACAAACCAAAAGAGGTCGAGAAGAAAATTAAATCTCGAATGCAAAAGAAAAAGCAAAGGAGAGAATGCATAAAAAGAACCAACCCACTCCAGATCCAATCCAATCCAATGCTCTGAAAAAAAAAAAGATTTTAAAGGAACACAACCAGACGGGCTATGATGTGTCGCACAGTTCGGAAACGGTTGGCCCTGGCAGTCCCAGAGCCAAGGGACATCCTGCGGGAAGCAAGTGCTTTTTCCGGTGGTAAACCGTGGTCTCAGGGCGTATTGGGGCGGGTTGCGACCGTCTGATAGGGCGCGCCCCGGCGGGTGCCCCGGGACGTTGGGTCGTTGTGAATGGATTGTGTTTGAAGCTAGGCCCAGGGGCGGTTTAGGGTCGATCCACACCGGCGCTGATGAGGATTGGGAGAGACGATCAAGGAGAAACATCCGGAACGCGGGCAGTGTGATTGGAACAGAACGCTGCAATCGGTAATATCCAGATATACAACGATCGGGGACTCATGGAGAGAGATTGGAGTGGAATTTATGTATAGCATCGACCCTTTCAGTTCCTGTAGATGCGCCCAATTCCTGAGATTGTTTAGATAGTGTATCCTCCTCGTGGTCCTCGCCTAGTCGTCTCCCATATGGCGGACCAAGGCGGTGGAAAGCTCGAATGTCTATAATTTAGAAACTACGAACGACATGATTCGTACAGAGTCCGGAGTATTATCATTGGGGGAAGGCCAGACCCAATATAGTTTAGCGACATGAACATGAGGACCTAGGCCTATTCGAGGCCACGGCAAGATCAATTCGGAGCTTTAGGGGCAGGGCAGACAGGTTGGCGGGTTTCGAGCGGCTAAACAGGAAACAGTTCGAAGATCAGACCAGTGGCCCCGCCAGGATGAATCACCGGTGTCCTTTTGGTCTCGTCCAGTTACAGGAAGCTCGATCACCGTCATCCCACGGGCCAGGCTGGGACGGAATACGGAGCAGTTTGACAGGCGAGGCCCGTGAATCAGGGATGTCTCGACACAACAGATGTACGGAGTATATACGTACAATGCCCGGTAGCATTGCGTGGCGGAGTGTACGGAGGAATAGTACCTTCTCGATACCAAATTAACCAGGGTGAGACCAACAGGAAACAAAACCAGGCAAAAGTACTTCGGACTCACTTAGAGAACTTAGAAGTGTCTGTCAGGAACAGAGTAGCGCGCCGGGCTGCAATTCCTACAAGAACGCATGGAATTCCTACTATCTATACATCTGTAGTTCATGTCTCCCGGTATGCTGCCCTTCCGACCGGTACTGACTTTGGCCCTGGATTGGGGCTTGATCGATGTGCTTTGATCATCCGAGAGACCCCTAGCCTGAAGGCATGTGGATTGGGAGGGTCACTGTTCTCTCTCACAATTGTATATCGGGTCTTGGGACGCAGTATAGATCGAAGAGACCCGATAGAACCAAAAGTCAGTCCAGGAATCTGATCCCTAGTTGATATCTACATGTCCTCACAGAGCTCCTCACATGGTGTGCTATGAAATTGAGCACCATCAATCCCACCGTGTTCTCACGGGAGTTCTCTGCTACCCTCGGGGCTCCGCCGCTGTTCAAAGTTACTTATACAACGTGACTTCCCCCTAACCCCCTCTCCTTATACGACCTCGTTATCCCTCATCCTATCTATGATTAGGGGTACAGAGAAGGTACTTGCCGCACAGACACCGTTTGCATTTCTGCATTTCTGCATCGCAGACCAAAAATAACCATAGACTTGCGCGGGAGAGTCACTCCCATCCAATCGTTTCCCGCCCAGAGCCAATCCCACGCCGTGCATCCCCCGACAATCGTGCATCCTCATCCACTCGTTTTTTCGGAACCACCAACTTGGTCCCGTCTGGTTGTGGACGTGGCCCTGCAGAAGACGCAGCATGCAGTCTGCCTAGTCTCTGACGACTGAGGTGAAGATGCTCGGGCTCGCGGAACCTATCGTGATTTGGGTTCTTTGGCGCGTCGCGTGCAGTAGAGACATTATGTGCAGTATCCCTGATCTCTCGATAATTTGCTCTATTTGGAAGTGACCATCATTGCTCCCCCTTTTTATCTCTTCATGCTTCCGATCAATCGATTAGTCGTGAGGACCAAATCCAGCCCATGGCGACTCTACCTCACCCTGCTCCCGTTCAATCTCCCGTTAAGTTCGTCCCGTTACTCCCTGTCCCTGGAAAATGGGAACCATCTATGAATAATGGGCTTGTCCAACCTGCTTATAGTGAAGTTGGATATCTATCCAGAGAGCTAGACTCCCAATCTATTGTGATTTTTCTCTATCTAAATCTATCTTTCCGCTGCTCATTTGCTTTCTCGCTCCCTTTAATGTTCGCTCCCCTGACCACGCGGGGAAAGACCTGGACACTCAGTCGCAGGCGGCCCGTCTTCATCAGCTTACAGCAAATTGACCTTGGGACAGTTCCAAAAGGCAGTGAGAACAGATGGAGAAGAAAGGGGAAACTAAAAAAAAAAGGCATTGGGACGCCGACGAGGGCCATGTCTATACTTCCTCCTTGCGGGCGGTGAGCGCGCGCGGAGTCACGGCCTGTCAGTTTAGGATTATCTTCCAGTGAATGAAGTGCACTTTTTTCCCTTCTCCCTTGAATTCCTTGGTCTTGCCATTCGACCGCTTCTTCTCTCAAATTTCCCTTTTCCTGACCTCCGACTTCCATTATACCATCTCTGCTCTGCTCTTCCTCTCTCCCCGCCATCACCCGTAGTCCGCGTGTTCGTCATGTCTGTCCATGGCAACGCGGACTCACCAGATTCCGAAGCAGCACCCACGAAAATGGGCTCGTCCGACGCGACCAACGGTAATGAGATCCTGCAAAATGGTCGCTCTGAACGATCCTCCCGGTCGCCTCTCCCTCCGATCAAGAAGGAGGCCTCGGCCGACGACGAAGCCGCAGCCATGAAGGCAGACTCCGATTCGGGCGCGATGAAGGACGAACACGAAAACACTCTCAAGGAAGAGACCATCAGCGGCGAGATTGTCGTCAAACAAATGCCTGGACAGCCACCCAAGCTATCTCGTAGCTCCTCGCAAAAGGTCGTACCGCGGCCGCCGCAGCTCTTTTCCGACTTGCCAGATAGCACCGCCGATGCGCTGGCCACTTTTGAGCAGATGGACGCTTGCTGGTACGCAAACAAGTATATGGGCTACACTGAACACGCCATGGAATGCGACTGTGCTGAGGAGTGGGGTGAGTCTCTAGTTTTGCCATTCTCTCTTCTGATATCCCTCTCCGTCTGTCTATGGTTCTTGTCTTCCTACTGTATTGCCACTGGGGATCTTGTCCGTCGCGCAACCCAATTGCGGGCAATCGGCCAGAGGTAGAACCCGCGATTCACGAATTGGACGATTTTTTCTCCCTTTTCCATTTGCATTCGCTCGACATTCGCTCGTGTCAATCACTTGGATTTCAATTTTATTTTTTTTTTTGTTTCTTCAACTGACTGATGATGGCTTCCCTCCAGACTCCGACATCGGCCGGAATTTGGCTTGCGGCGACGACTCCGACTGCATCAACCGTGCGACCAAGATCGAGTGTGTAGGGGACTGTGGCTGTGGGCCGGACTGTCAAAATCAAAGATTCCAGAAGAAAGAGTACGCGAAGGTGTCGGTCATCAAGACCGAGAAGAAGGGATTCGGATTACGCGCAGAGTCCAATCTCGAGCCGCATCAATTGATCTTCGAGTATGTGGGCGAGGTGGTTGGAGAGCAGCAATTCCGGCGCCGCATGAGGCAATACGATGAGGAAGGCATCAAGCACTTTTATTTCATGTCTCTGAACAAGGGGGAATTCGTGGATGCGACGAAACGGGGCAACCTGGGACGATTCTGCAACCATTCATGCAACCCCAACTGCTATGTCGACAAGTGGGTGGTGGGTGAGAAGCTCCGCATGGGTATCTTTGCGGAGCGGGCGGTGCAGATAGGCGAGGAGCTGGTCTTCAACTACAACGTGGACCGATATGGCGCAGATCCTCAGCCTTGTTACTGTGGCGAACCAAACTGCACAGGATTCATCGGTGGGCGGACTCAGACTGAGCGGGCGACCAAACTCTCCAATGCGACAATTGAGGCCCTTGGCATTGACGATGCCGATGGGTGGGATACTGTGGTGGCCCGACGTCCTCGCAAGAGGAAGACCGAGGAAGATGATGAAGAATACGTCGACAGCGTGCAACCTAAGTCTCTGGACGAGGATGGCGTGACCAAGGTCATGGCGGCTCTCATGCAATGCCAGGAGAAGTGGATCGCCGTGAAGCTACTGGGTCGTATACAACGGTGCGAGGATGAGCGTGTCCGGAATCGGGTTGTCAAAATGCACGGCTACCAAATCCTCAATTCACAGCTGGCCATGTGGAAAGAAGACCACAATGTGATGCTACAGATCCTCGACATTCTGGACACCTTCCCGCGTCTCACACGGAACAAAATCATTGATTCGAAAATTGAGACCAATATCCAGCCATTGACGAATTGTGGTGATGAGCATGTGGAGAAGAAGGCTGTGGCTCTCCTGGCTAGTTGGGCCAACCTTGAAGTTGGATACCGAATCCCACGAATGAAACGGGGCGAGCAGCAGACGAAGCAGGCCGTCAACCAGTTCGAGCGCCGCGAGTCTGGACGCGAAGGCCAGCAACAACAGCGTTCGAAGACCCGTTCTCCATCCCCAATATACGAACCTCAACAGCAACGAGGGCATGGTCCACCTCGACGAGAACGAAACCCACACAACCATGGGCAAGGGCGATCTCGCCGTGACCGTCGCAATCGCCAACCTCTGCCGGAAGGATGGTTCACTGCAGAGGCCGATGGCGGTCGTATGTATTACTACTCGGCGTCTGGCGAAACCACCTGGAATAGGCCGACAGCTCCGGCCACCCCTCAGTCCGCAGCTCCTCCTCCCGCGAACAAGCAAAATTTGGCCCTGCAGAGCATCATTGATGGGATCATCAACTCCCAGGAGAGGACACCCTCGGAGCAGAAGACGGAGACTCCAGGAACACCACAGCCCAGCTCTGATCACCCGCCAGAAAAGAAAAAGAAGGAGGCCGACTGGTGGAAGAAGCTTTCCTTGGAGAAACAAAAGAAGCTTTACGAGAACACGGTGAGTCGACCATTCTGTGCTTGTTGGGTCCAATATGCCGAATACTAATGACAGTGCTAGCTTCATCCTCATATCAAGCATGTGGTCGACCAATACAAGCACAAAATTCCCAAGGATCATCTCAAAAGATTTGCCAAAGAGGTTTGTTCTGCTTCTACAAAATCACTCACCACCCTTCTATTCCTCCAGCTAACTGGATATGTGTGAGACAGACGGCCAAGAAACTCGTGGAGGGTGACTACAAAAAACAACGCGTAACGGATCCTACCAAAATCAGCGAAAAACACCAACAGACCGTTAAAAGCTACTGCAAGTCCTTCTTTGACAAGGCTGCGTCCAAACACAAGGAGCGCGAGAAACGCAAGGCCGAAAAGGGCCACAAGCAAGGCAATGACGACGCCAGACTCGACAGTACCCCCGCTGACGACCCAGACGTCAAAATGTCCGATGACGAGGCCGATACTGCAGCCGGTCCCGCCGCCGCCTCCCCCATGGACGATGACGCCTCTTTCAGCTTGAAGCGCAAGCGTAACGACGACAGCTTCAACGCCGCCTCGCCAGATATGAACGGTGATGAAGGCGCGGACAGTTCCCCGTCCAAACGACACAAGTCTACTCCTCCCCCTCCGCCGCCCCCACCTCCACCAATAGATCCCAGTGTTGATGACTCGAAATTCGATGTCGAAGACGCAGATGACTCTGTTTCACCGCCGCCGGTGCCCCCATCTCCCCCAAAGAGTCTCCCGGAAACGGGAGTGAGAATGCTTTCAATGTCGATATGGACATGGGTGACATGCCATCACACACATCGGCGCAAATCGGCATCGAGGGCAAAGTATAGCGATCCTGGCCCTGTGGGGGGGGGGGGGGGCAACCCATTCCTTTTCTTTTCTTTCTTTCTTTACCCCCTTTCCCCCCCATTATATCGCAGCCATTACAGCGCGCATTTCCCGTGATTCGATCGGTGAAGGTGCCATGCCTAGAGATACGACAGATTGAGGGTGATTTGAAAGAGAAGAGAAAGAGACACAGAGAATCATGCACGGGAAATCCATTCGAGAGTTGAGCGTGATTGGGGGTGCAAACCAAGAATTTTAAAAGCGTGTATCGGGGCGACTGCCAGCGTTCTTTTTGCACTGCGCCTTTGCCTTGTCCCTTTTGACTTAATTTTCCTTTCTATCTATGTTTTGCTTTTCTTCTCTTCTGGACCTTTATCCGAAGCTCCTTTCTACTTGTCGCTTCCCTCTTGCTGGAGGGAAGAAGTTGAGGGAGGTGAGGGGTGAATGAGGGTTGGTGATGATTCGCTTCGACATTGTGTTTTTACCGATATCCTTTTTTTTACTCCAGTATTTGAGAATACCCCGATCATATTTGCAATCAAGGAGTTTGGGTTGCCTCTTTGTGGGTGATTGAATTTTTTATTTCCGGGTTTCTATGACATGTAATGATATATAGTATCTCCATGAGGTGGATCATGGCAATCTCGTGGAGACCACAATCGAGTCCTATTGTCGTCGTCTTCTTTTCAACTATATAATGACGGGCAAACGTTGTCGCACTGTCGTGTCTGATCAGAACAAGTCCTGTCAACCCAGTCACATAAGGGACAGGTGCTACTATATCTACCCAGACCAATCCATCTGAGAACTTGTAGGGCTTTGGGGACAATGCCAGCGTATCTCAGTCTATGAGACACACCGAAACAGAATACTCGAGAATTTCTTCGGTCATCAATCATCATTGTTAGGACTCATCCAGTCCCCTCAACAGTTATCGACAAACCACATGCCCGGCCTAGCACGTAAGGTCATAAAAACGGCGGTTCCAGTTACACAGAAGGCAGAAAAGAGGAAGGGGGAAGCAAAAAGAGGAGAACAAAGACACGAGAAAATAAAAGCACTTGAGAATCTGAGATGAAACCCCCAAAAAAACTCCCTCAGGTAAGCATTAAAACATAACCCCGTCCAATGGAAAAAAGGAAAAGAACACTGTCTCTGCTCTTGCGCTCTTTTCATCTCTCTAATAGAAACTCTCCACGATGCTCTCCTTGTTGACGCCAGCGCCAGCGCCGCCAGGTGCCATCTCGCCCAAGCGGAACACGGACTCGATGACGCTCAGCTCGGTGGCGGTAGTGTCTAGGCCAGTCACGGCGAGCCAGTCGTTGACAACCATGCCGGCGCCGACGACAGATGAGCCGCGGTTGACGGAACCCGCGACCAGGGGCACTTGCAGCAGCGAGGAGAGCTCGTCTTGGTCACGGATCGAGGTTTTCGGGTGCACAATACCGCCTTGGTTGGAGAGCGCCATGTACGAGCCGGTCAGGACGTTATCGGCCACAGTTTGGCGGAAGACTTCTACGCCCAGGACGTCGGCAATGCTATAGTATAGAACAGAAACTGGTTAGCAATGGGGTTTGGTCTTTTGATTTCGTTCCATTGTTGTTGTTGGTGAGGGTGTTTTCTTTTTTCTTTTTTTTTTTTCATTTGGGAATGGACGGTGTAGAAGAAAAACATACATCTCTTCAGTTTCCCGCTCCAGATCCGGGTGCACGATGGCCACATGGTCGTTGCAGCAGATGACATTGCCCAGCGCCGACAGACGCTCTTCGATCCGCTGGATTTTGACTTCGTCCGGGAGTGTGTTCCGCAGGTGCTGCAATTCCTGATCCGTGGTGGTAGTCGGGACCAGCAGGCCCTTGCGGTTGCCGACAGTCAGACGGCCGACGATACGGGTACCGGCGATGGTGGCGTGGCAAATCGGGATGACGTCCTGCAGCTCGGACTCGAAGACACTGTAGAAGTTCTCCGAGGCGCCGACGGCAACGATGGCATAAGAGTTGGTCAGACGGGCAAAGACGCCGACTCTGCGGAATGGGGCAATTGGGTTAGTTTGGGACTTGAAACCAGAGGGTGCAAATTCGGATAGGGAGGGGGTTGGTAGTGGGCTTCCTAGTTTTCCTTGGAAGCCGTAAAAGTGAAGCTAGGGGGACAACTGACTCGTTGGAGTTCTCAAATTGCGCGCGGACAGCCATGCTGGTGTGTGGTGAAGATGCTGATGCTGATGAGGGTATCACGGTGAAAAGCGGGGGGTCAACGGGTCGTGAGGACGGCCGGAATGTAGAAGGAGGGGAAGAGGAGGAGCCGGAGAAGGAGAATAGGATGAAGGGGGGTTCGAGGAGAGTATTGCTCGTCAGGGAAGAGCAGTCCAATCCGTTAAATAATTTGCAATGAACTCGGACGAAGTGGGATGCGCAGGTGAAAAAGAGCAAAAGAGCAAAAGCTCGGCCCAATCAGCAGCCGCCTTCGCCCTGCCCCGCCGGTGGAGTCTCCGTCGACTCATCGTGCGTACTCGGTACTTCGTGCTAGTACTTAAATTACGTACTGAAACCAAGTACTGTATACTTGTGGCTCAGGCAGTCCTGCTTGACTCATTCTGCCTCATGTTGACGGGGGCCAAATTGGGTCTGGTTAGTCCGTGACTTATTCTGTACAAAGTAGCGTGTAGACTGACTAGTTACAGCCTGTATCGTGATGCTTGATGTGTCATAGCGCCCCGTTTCCTTAAAAAATGGTGTTTCGAACCCGAACTCAGCCCCAGTTCATCCCCGACTGACAGGTATGTTCCGTTATGGCTGATTCGATGGCACAACATCGTCGTAAATTGGTATACCAGAGCTCACGAAGGGGAAAAATTCAAAGGCTCTTCCTCATGAGTATCTTGCACCTTGTTGTCATATCCCCCAAGTTCATCACTCGCAAGCAGGCAAATGGAATTCAATCCACGATTGATATAGCAATTCATATACTAGAGCCACCATGAAGTATAAAACCACCCAATGCAACTATACGGCTCTCGCCCGTCTTATTGACCATGCCGAACTGTAGCTGATTGAGGTATGCATTTCCTTGTTGCCTCGACGCGATGAGATATCACTCCTTGCTCGATGATGCCGTTTTCTATATTTAACAACAAAGTGAACGAAGTACCTTTCTTCCACGGAACTTGACTGGGCCACAGGCGGTTGGTTGGTTAGCTCGTTGGTTGATGTATTGACATTCCATCCAGCGCAAAAGCCCTCCAGCTTCTTCTGCCAGTGGCACTCTTGCACGCTGGACAGATTCGCTTGACAATGGCCAATCCTACGAGAGTAACTGGGGACAAGGCCACAATTGCGATATACAAAGGCAACAAACCTGTGCCAAATACGAAGGCAAAGAGAGGCTGATGGCGATGGAAAGAGAGGAATACTAATAATAAGGTAACATTTTCGGCCGCGAGACCTCGGCCTTAGAGAAAAACCGGCGAAACACAATCATAATCAACTCCGGGCCAGGGCACCCGCCCTGCCCGTCCCTCTCCGGAACGCCGGAGAACACAGAATTGGAAGTGAACTGGATATGTACAGGACGCCGTCGCTGGAAAACAGAACAAAGTGAAGTAAATTACACAGACAAATGAGGTGAATCGTGCGTGCAGTGCACGATGGTATAATAGTCGTGGTGGTGGTACATGCCCCCCAAAGGCATGGCCCGGAGGGGGGCGGATATTTTCCTCATCTTTTTCTTCGCCTCATCTTCTCTCTCTCTCTTCCTCGCCAGGTATTGATATTTGTTGTGAGACTGCCGGCACACGGGAGAACAGTCAAATCTATTCTTTTTCTTGGCAGTGTTGACGTGGTCTTATAAGCGTTCGCTCATCGCGAACGCTTTCACTTCCTCCTCATTTCCCACCGCCGCTCGCCTAGTACTGTCGAGGCGGATGGGGCGGTGGGAAGCTGTACATGGACGGTGGCGCTGGCGGCGCACCGTGACGTCCGGATCCCGACCCGGGCAACCCCTGCGACCAGCTCGCCGGCCCAGGCGGCGGCAGGTTCCGGAAGTTCGAGCCTGGAGGCGGTAGCTGCGGTGGTGGCAGCTGCGGCGGCCCGGTCAGCGAGAACACATCCGGCAGGGCCATCTGACCAGGGGCCGGGAGCAGGCGTCGGGGCTGTTGGGTCGGGTTCGGAGGGGGAGCATGAACGAGCGCGGGTCGGTGGGCCCGTGCCCCATGCTCGGGGCGGGAGGTAGGGTCACCCCCGTAGGTTGGTTAAGGATGCCGCGGGGGCCCGGCGCGAGGTTGGGGTCGGTGCGGATCTGTGGGAGGAGGGTGGGCTGAGAGTATCTCATTGCAGTATCCGCGAGCATCGAGAGAGCCTTGGGTGCGGGGTCGATGGCGCCATCGAAAGATGAGAACTTGCCGGCCTCCGTCTCGTTCTGTACGGTTTGCGCGGCGCGGAGGAGACTGGCCATGGTGCGGTCGACTTGGTCGAGGGTCGCCGGGTCAAGGGTCGAGTCAAGGGCCCGCATCTGCGGGTTGAGGTCCTCGCCCAGTTGGACCTTCTTGATGAAGTCTTCCCAACTATTCCAGCCCCGCTCAAAGGCAGCAGCTCCCTCGGGATCGCGGACAGCCTGAGCAAAGAATCCACGCTCGACTTCTCGCTGTCCCGCCTTGCCGATGCGGAACAGATATTGGGGTTCCTCGGCATCGGGGTCTGATCCGTCGGTCTAAAACGTGGTGGGTCAGCTTGCTGTTGATCATATCAATTGAGGGCTTGCAAAAATTTACCTCAGTGTGCTCATCATCTTCGGCGGCGCGGCGACCCATAACTAGCTCCATGTATTTACCACGAACGGCATGAAACATCTCATCTTGGATGTTCTCCAATTGCTCCTGGCCATCATGTCAATTGAAAATCATCCTTAAAAGACAACAAAAGACAATAATATGTATGAAAAACGTAAACGAGGAAACGGAACTGTATATCACAAACAAAAAGGCTTACCTTGATACGCTCTTCAACTATGAAAATTTCTCCCGCATACACCCTCTCAGCTGCCGCGACTTTAAAGTCAAAGGACTCTCGGACTCGTGTCATGGCCTTGCGTTGGTAATCGGCCAAGTTGCGCTGCACGTGGTCAAACTCTGGGCCCTCCTTGTGAATATTCTTATCACGGGCAATTTTGCCCATTGACTGCTCGGCCAGGAAGCTGAGAGCGCCCTGCTGGACCTGTCCGACCTTCTTGAATATAGTGGCTAATTCTTCCAGGCGGTCTTTGATGGGCTGGGAAGCAGGGATGGGAGATGGGGACCGACGGCGGCTCTCGCTGTCCCAGATTTCGTCCTCAATTCTCTTGCCACGGCGGAGGGCGGCGGCTGCAGCGGCACGGCCACGACCCCGTCCTCGTCCACCACGAGCACGCACTGCGGTTGATCGAATCGGTCCCATGGCGCCTCCTCGACTACCACGGCCGCGGCCGCGGCCTCGACCACGACCACGATAACCGCGTCCTCGACCCCGGCCTCTTCCCACGACGGGGGTTGAGGCCCCATCTGCGGCAAGATCCTCGGCATCGGCGGTTCCATCAGGGGACAATTCAGGGGGCGACAGGGTGTCGTTCGCGGTGGGGAGCGTACTCTCGGGTGTCATTTCAGTCTCCTCTAGTTTGAGTTTCTTGGTCGTGGGCTCGGGCATTTCAATTGACTCGGCCTCGTAAGATTCATCCTTCATGTCAGCTGATTTGCGCTTGCGCGCCAGACGAGGGGAATAGAAGGAGCGCGGCGGTTCGGAAATGGTTGCTGACTTCGGGTCGTCTTCCGTTTCTTGGGAATATGGACGCGCCAAAATAGATACATTAGTGGTCGCGAGGTCCTCTGCCGATGCCTCAGGGTGGTCCAAATCATTCCTTCGTTCGGACGATCGATGGGGGAGATAATGTGGATCTGGGGTTTGCGAAGCATTCTTAATTTTGATACGAGGTTGCGGTTGATAGTTCTCATCGTCTGGATCATGATCCTCGGGAGAATAAGTCTCTCGATCATGATCGTCGTCGGATTCAGTGGCTTCGGCCTCCTCTGCAGCCTTGCTCGGCGTTGGGTGATCAGTGGAGCCTTCGCCGGAGGGCTTGAGTCGAGCCGACTGCCGCGTAGTGCGTGAAGATTCCGGAACCGCCATTGCGCGCTTGGAGCGACGCGGGCGAGGAGTTTCGGGGTTCTGGGACTCGGTAGGAGTGATTGAAGGCGCATTGCCCGACTCAATCTCCTCGATTGAGGGGTCTGAGCCCGATGCATCCACTGGGAGAGATCGGAGAGATGGCATCTTGAACTTGATGATGTGGGAGCGCTTGGGGGGCTCGGGAGACGATTCTTCATCGTCCTCCTCCTCCCCCTCTGCTTCTTCATCATCATCATCTACAGAAGCGGCCACGGTGGTGCGGCCCGGAAGGCTGTTGCGGCCATTCCAGTGATTTGCCCAGCGGCCTCGGCCGCGACCCCGGCCGCGAGCTCGCGGGGGGGTATAAGTAGCTAGCAATTGCGAATTAGTTCCGAGTGAGAAAGGGGGGGGGTTGGAAAAGAGAGATGAGATAGATTGAATGTACGGGTAAAGAGCAGACCAGCTGGGGTCTCTTGGACGAGACCAAAAATCAAAATCAAAAACAGGAAAAAGCAGGGGACATACCGGATGCATTGCGCGAAGATCGCGTTGCCGGGCTGGAATTGAGCGCCGGAGCAGCTCGTTTCCCTCGTCTGCCCACCATGGCTGGGAGTGGTAGGTGGGAGGGAGTTCGCGACCTTGTTGGTTCTTGATGGTGAATCAGCCCTGAATCAAAGCCACTGGGTCATGCAGGCAGGATCAGAATACAGGAGTCGGATAATACTTGTGCGCAGTATATGCTGGGTAGGGATGAAGTGGGAGCAGCCGCCGCGGAAACAGCAACGAAATACAACGCGGATGGAAGGGAAGACAGGAAAAACAAGATACCCCTTCCCCGCCAGTAAAAAGGGGGAAAAAAATACAAAAAAAGCGAATACTCGAGTATAGAAAGTGCGAGCAGGGCAGACAGGGACGAGGAAGCAAGATGAAGCAAGGTGAAGCAAGATGGAAACGATGAAAAAGATGGGGGAAGGACAAGAAAAAATGTGGAGGCGAAGAGTGGGTAGATAAAGTGACGGAACAAGACGATGGGCGCAACAGCGTCTGTCGCGTCTCTCGCGTCTCTCGGAATTCTTTTTGGGGGAAAATGGGATGATTCCTTTGATGGGGATTATTTTTTTTTCTACATCTGGATCAAGGCATCCCTAGGGAGACCCGAGGGCAAATCTGGAGCGTCGCTGCGGAGATGCAGAGGACTTCCCAAATTGAGACCAGATGGAGGGCAAAGAGCACCAGCCGATCATGGATGCAGATGTTTTCCCAGGAGAGAAGAACCAGGAAAGAAGGAGATGTGGGTGATTTGGAAGGAGGCGGGAGGAGAAGCAGAAGCAATAGAAGCAGCAGAAGCAGAAGAAGCCAAAAGCAGACGCAGAAGCTGATGAGCCCGCGAGAAATCACGGTTTACACAGTAGAAAGGGGGGCCCTGAGGACGAGGAAGGGGAACCGCCAGAACAGGGCAGCATGTAAATGGGCGCAAGACACATGGACGAACCCCGACGATGAACTCGAAAAGCAATCGAGCAGCAGCAGCAGCGAGCAGTACGTACCGGTTTTCGCAGTAGTTCAGAAGGTGGGAAGCAAGCGGTTAGCAAGTTCCGCGACTTTCGCTAGGATTTTGACCGCCGAGTGGGTCGACGGGTTTGGGGCGGATTGGCCGGTGTTGGTGACGGGCGTCAGTTGGGTTTGGGAGCCCCCGAAATGGGGGAGACCGCGGACAATGGGACCGTGGCAATGCGAGATCACAATGCGAGATCATAGAGCATCGCCGGTCAGGAAACGGAGAGAGAGAGTCCCTCAAACAAAAAAAAACCAGGTGCAGGAGGAAGGGGAAAGGAGAGAAACGGGATGGAAAACGATCGATTGACAGGATGCAAGGAATGCAAGGGGAAGTTTAGGAAGAAGAAAACAGGCGAGGGCGGAGGATTTAAAAGCAAGACGACAGCAGACGACAGCAGACGACAACAGGCGACAGCAGGCGACAGCAGTGGGACGAGGTAGACGTGGAAGAATCTAGAGAACCGATCGAATCGATAGAATCGACGGAATGGGTAGAATAGTTAGAATAGTTAGAACTGGTAGAACCGGTAGAACAGGTAGACGCGAAAGTAGAAAGAAAGAATCCACGCTGAATAGGAAGCGCGAAGGGACTCGGGTTTTTTCCCCGTTCTACGGCGCTTGCCTGGGGAGGGAGAGAGAGGATGGGCCCGAGGCAGTGAGGTCGACAGGCCGAAGAGAAACAGAGAAAGCGAGCAAGAGAGGTATACGACTCCAACAAGGCCCCCAAGAGCTTTTTCCAATAGCCCCCCTATGGTTTCAAGGCTGTGATGGCAGTGGAAACAATGCTCGTCGTTGGTCGGATGATTACTTCGGGAGAAATCCTACTTGGGACCCACTTGGGCCCCGGTGATTGCGACGAATGCGGACTCACTATCAGCGAAGGATAGGAGAACAGGACGAGAGTCAACACGCCGCAGTCAACGCAAAGAAGAGACAGACGATGTCTAGAAAGGGGACGACCGCGTCTACAGGAGAGGACAGAGTGTAGAGTTTGTACAGCGTGTATAGATCATACTAAGGGGACCCGAGTACACGCGGTACACAGACCCAGACTGAAACACCAAAAGTACGACGAAGAGACACGAAAGCCCCGATCGAGACGGCATCAGGGCCCAGAAAAATTCGCTCCACTCGGTTTGGCCATAGATCGCACCGGTGCTGGCTACTGGGAGACCTTGCATCTCCGGTCGTGCGCGTCGCCGGTCGGGTTCGTGAGTAGGGACCGGGCAATGATGGAGAGTCCTTCTTTCTCGGCCGGATTCTCCTCGAACCCCTCAAAAATGAGGATGCATCGGAAGAAATACTAAGGGGAAGAGAATCTGAGAAAGTTCAGGGGGCAAAGATACTTTAAGCAAAAGACCAAGGGCATTGGTATCTAGTAGTTGTATCGACAAATTGACATATAGACATCATCGCAGATCTTCCATTCGTCTCCCAGAAACTCCCTGTGGCAATGCTCGATCCACGTGAAAGCCAATCCAACCAGCAGATGGAAAGTCAAGTAACGAATTGCGAAATCATAAATCACAACAGGAAAAGAAAGAAAGAAAGAGGGAAAGAAAGAAGAAAAGATAACAAGACAAAACAAAAGGCTAAGGCTCCGGCTCCTAGAAAAACGTACCGTCGTCATTATCATCAAAGTCGATCATCAAAAAGTGCACTCTGTCCAATTGCACCCAGAGGCCCCCGAATTGAATACGAAAGACTGCTGGGCTTGAAACTACCTTACTTCTCCTCCGTCCATTCTTTCAAGTCATACCGCTTCTCATACTGCGTGATGCTGCGTCGCACATGGCCCGCGTGGATCAACGACCGCCCCGATCCGAACTCTTGTCGCGTGCGTGGCTGGTCCACGTCCGAGGCGCCGACAGGCGAGAAGGGCGACGGGGTGCGCATGCCCGTCTCGCGCAGCGATCGGGCGGATCGCATGCGGGTCAGGGTCTTCACCGTGATGGTTTGGCCCGCGGATGGGGACGCTTTCACCATCGTCCCTGGAGTCGGAGTGGGCGACGGGCACGGGCTTGTCGATCGAAAGAGTGGGTGGATGTGGTGCTCGCGAGAGTCGCGAGAGGACCCAAAATTGCTCTCGGGCACAAGATTGAATGTCGAGCTGGACGGCGAATCGGGTTGGATGCTCGATGCAGTCGGGGACAGCGGCCTTTGGACGAGGCTGTCTAATGAAGCCTGGATGTGCTGGGGTCGCCGGAGACTGGGCATACTGCGGAAACTGCCATTGCCTCGTGCAAGAAGAGGCCGAGTGTCCCGCTCGGGAGCCAATGAAGTAAACGAAGCCTCGGGTGTCCGCTCCTGCGTGCGAGAGGGTTCCAGTGAGGATCGGGTGGACGAATTAGTATCAAATGAGTGGTGTTCGGCGTCTCGAGTGCCATCGAGGCATAACGTGCCGCCGGAGAAGCGATTAGAACGTCGGGGAAACTTGCGGAGAGAGGATCGCCGGGTATCGAAGTGCTGGAGATCAGGAAAAGGGCCGCAGACCGTTTGAGCTGGTGGGGAGATGGGCTCAGCACTGTCACGCAGTGATTTCAGCTCATGCGAGTACGAGCGCGGCCAATCTGGACAGGGTTTTCGTTGTGCCAAAGTCACCAGAAGAAACCCGTAGTATAGACCTTGGGTGATGATCGAGATCGCCCAGAAGATTGAGCGCGCAATCAACAATTGACTGTGGGCGAGTGAGCTGGCAAGGTCATTGTTGGCCATAGTTCCTGCGACGGACGCCGCGGCGACGAGGAGGTATGCGCCAGTGAAGTAGAAAACGCCAATCTTCCATCTCGGCCACGAAGAATTACTGCGAACATGTTGGTGAAGCAGCAACACCAGCACAAGCACAGACATGCAGGTCACAATGCTGAGTACGACGGGAGCCAATCCCATCGCAAGAGTGTAGGATGGTAAGGATTGTAAGGTCGCGTAGGCAAGGCCATTGAGAATGGTGACAATCAAGGCAGAGAGTAAGGTGGCTGTAGCCAACAGATATAGAAGAATGGCGGACGACATAGTGAAGGAATTGATCAAGAGGCTTTATAGTTCTAAGGACACAAGAAATGGGATCAAGGTGTGGTGTGATGTATGGCGTGCAGAAGAAGAAAAGAACGAATTGAGGCTTTATAAAGAGAGTGATATTGCAGTGAAGAGTCAGGAAAGTGTGGTATATATTAAGGAGTACTGTAGAGTCAGAGGACGTATGTCTGTACTCTAATCTCTGGCCACTCCACGGCACTGTTCCAAAGGAATGAGAAAGTGGTGGGGGTAGCCAGACGGACCTGAAATCTTCCATGAACAAGACGACGGGACGATGGTTCATATTTATCACGGATCGCATGGAAGCGGGACGGGGCGCAGTATCCCGGCGTATCTCGAGGCGTGGCTCGAAAAGTTAATCGACAGCGGTAAGTAAATTTTCGTCCAACATATCATTTTTTTTTATTTCCATGGAGAGATCCATCTGACCCATCAACCCGACATGGTGGTTAGAGTCAGCGGGGCAGGACGGAGACGGGCCAGATGGGAATTGAAGCTGGGAATCAGGGACGGGGACGCTCCACTCAATGCTACACTGTTAAACTTCAACTTTGGTATAAATCAATAGCAAGATCTTGCGAGATGGTGTGGAGATTGAATCGGTCAAAGCTGGTGTCTTCGTAACCACTCATCGATTCTATACGTCCGCCAGGGAGTATAGCCGGGGCCAGACGGGCCAAGCGTGGATGCTATAGTGCTGTCAATCCATCTGCTAGCTGCAGAACTATTTATCTGATCAATCGCACCGGAGCAATTTCAATAAAGAAATTCATGGGGTTCAAAATGGGTGGATCGCGCAGTCTGCTCTCCGGCTTCCGGAACAATGTGATCTATCAATCCCAGCCGCCATAATTTTCCGCTGTTCTCTCAACCGGGGTGGCATTGTCCAAAGTTCAGTGGTTGGGGGACGTTATTATTGTGGAATATTTGAAATTGCTTGAAGTTATGCAACAGCGTGTTCATGCCGGGGAACTAGCTCCGGAGAAGAGGACAACGGGCCCCGGTTCCTGGGATAGGTACAGCCAAACCCCGTAGAACGGCGATTAAAGTTCAGACAAGGGCTATTGTAAAATTAAGCGAGAGGAGAAATCGATCAATGTTATTGTTCATTGGGTCAATCTGTACTTTGGTCTGGTAGTAGTATGCTCGGTGTTCATTCTTCATAAACAGGCCTGTCCCTGTCATGGACTGTCCGTGCTCATCGTCGATCCAAGTAGGAGTGAACTCAGCATGTCAAGATGAATGGGCACTCCATGCTGGCATTTTGTGCCTCGGTCTCGATCAATGGGAGCTCTGGTGGCACTCCGCAAATACAGATCGAGTTTCCAAGGGGGCAAAACACCTCTGGGATGCGGACCTTGGTTGTCCACTAAATAACCGACAGCCCCGATGATCTCGCCGTCAGGGAGTATGGGCAGGTGTGACGATAGCTCCCACGGAAGATCCAAAAAGATATTTGTCGTCGATTGCTTCGGCTCAAAATCTCATCGAGCATGCTGCGGCCCCCAATCCATCATGATATGGGGGCATAGTTAATTTGTCCGTATACTCCCCATACTCGGGACCCAGGTGACTCGGGCCAAGTGGGGCGGTGAGGGAATCACCGCCTCAGGCATCTCGTTTGCTGCCATCGTCGTCACTTCTTGCTTTTCGAGCCCCTCTTGACCTTTCTTCGACCATCGCTAGGACTCTACTTCTTTTCTCACTACACCACCGACAACCCCACCCCCCTCTATCCCCCTGAAGTCCATCTTCAGACTCTTCTCTCACCGACTCTCCTGCCCTACTTGCGGTCCTCTACATCTCAGGTGGCGGCAAAATGAAGCTTACGTTCAAGGTCCGTCTGTCGTGCCGCTAGCCGCCAACCCTTCCATCCGTGCTTTCTGAACGTCTGACTAACCCCCTTGTTTCGGATTTCTACAGGATTTGAAGCAAGAGAAGTTCGTGATTGAGGTTGAGCCATCCGAGACTGTATGTGATGTTTTCTGTGCTCTACAACGGCAGACCCCAACGCCACCGAGTGCGTGCGGGGCTAACTTGGGTCTTTTCCCCCTTTCCTCCAGGTTCGACAAGTCAAGGAGAAGATTGCTCAAGAAAAAGAGGAATATGCTGCGGACCGGATGAAGGTGATCTACTCGGGTACGTAACTAGTCAAGGATTGATGATTTTGGTAGAGCCAAAGTAGAGAGGAAACTCCTTGATGCCCGCTTCCGCTCAACCATCTCCCAGGTCGGGAACAACACAAATGCTAACCCAAATCTGCTTCCTTGTCATAGGCAAAATCCTGCAAGATGACAAGACTGTTGAGTCTTACAACATCCAAGAGAAGGATTTCCTAGTCTGCTTGCCCGCCAAGGTACGAGCTCACTCCCTCCAGCGAAATTTTCTCTCTTTCGTCTTTCTGCTACGAGAACATTGTTAACTGACATATGCCTGGTCATCAAAGCAACCCAAGGCCTCTTCGTCTGCTGCCTCTTCGGCTCCCTCAACCCCTGCTGCCAGAGCTCCTGCATCGACCCCCGCCGCCCCCGCCCCGGCGGCTCCTGCGCCGGCCGCTCGCTCGAACCCTGCCGTTCCCGCGACCCCATCTCCTGCTGGTGCCGGTGCTACACAATCCGGTGATGCCGCTGCTTTTGGTGATCCTTCCGCATTGGCAATGGGTGCGGCTGCTGAGGGAGCAATGACCCAGATGGAGGCTATGGGATTTGAAAGGCCCATGGTGGAGCGAGCTATGCGCGCAGCATTCTTCAACCCAGACCGGGCTATTGACTATCTGCTGAACGTGAGTTCATGAGAGACATCACAAAAAAAGACTAGCTAATCAGAAAACTGTAGGGAATCCCCGAGAGCGTCCAGCAGGAGCAGCAACAACGCCAGCAACAGCAGGAGCAGCAGCAACAAGGTGCTTCTCTCGGCCAGACTGCTGCTGCCACTGGTGGATCTACTGGTGGTGGTGAGCCCTATAACATGTTTGAGGCTGCTGCCCAGGCTGGCGATGGTGGCCGTGGTGCTCGTTCCGCTGGCACTGGCGGTGCTGACGCTGCTAGTCTGGATTTCCTTCGAAGCAACCCTCACTTCCAGCAACTCCGCCAGCTTGTACAGCAACAACCCACCATGCTTGAGCCTATTCTCCAGCAAGTCGCCCAGGGTAATCCCCAGATTGCCCAGCTTATCTCGCAGAACTCGGAAGCCTTCCTGCAGCTTCTGGGTGAGGACATTGGCGACGAGGACGAGGAATCGCTGCCGCCTGGTGCACAGGTTCTTTCGGTCACAGAGGAGGAGCGGGATGCCATTGAGCGTGTAAGTTCAGCCTCCTTCATCATTTTGACATTCTAGTTGGTTTGATTACTGACGAGCCTTGTAGCTGTGCCGTTTGGGCTTCCCCCGGGATTCTGTCATCCAGGCATACTTCGCGTGCGACAAGAACGAAGAGCTCGCAGCCAATTTCCTTTTCGACCAGCCGGATGACGACGAAGAGTAAATTTTTTGCTCACATTCTGCTTCTTCTTTTTCTTGTTCTTCTTCTTGTTCACTTTACGTTCTGATGAATACCAAGCATGCTACTGTTCGATTTCCATATTTGGCAGAAGCCCCTTTCCCACCCCTTCCCCACCCTTTCTTCCTGCAGAACCCTTTTTTTCACCTCCCATCCCTTTCAACTTTTAAGATCCCTCTTCGTCGCTCAAATGCATCCTCCAAGTTTCTGCTGGCAGTCCGTCGACGCGGTCTTACATTTTCCGACCGGGTCTGGCTCTCGCTTCGCTTTATCTCTTCCCTCCTCCTCCCCCTCTGAAACGACTTGTCATGTACTTAACTTAATGGGCAAAATGGGACGTTTTCGCTAAAATTGCTTTCCGTCCACATGGGAGTTGGTATTCTGATGGTCCAGCTTGCGTCAGGCCCTTCGGTGCATTCCCCTGTGGGAAACAGGGTCTGTGCATCTTCCCTGCCGCCGCAGTCATGCGAATCGATGCACAGATGACCCGCCGATCGCACCACTGGCCTTGGTACTTTCGGCATATGTATGCCAGAAAATGTAGATACTCTCTCTCTCTTTCTCTTTAGTTCCAGGAATATACAGGATATATACAGGGTGAATGTCAGCAAGTATCAAGTGCTGTGGTCTACTGTATCGCACAGGCAACAATATGCTGTGGTCTTATGCCTGCTGGCTGCTGCCTAGACTTCAATGTTTGATGAAGGAAATCAAGGGTGTATTTGGTTTTCTCGGCCTGTAAGAACAGCTTGCCGCTGCCTGGATGGTTGCTTTGGGAAACTTTGATTTAGTCCAATGTTCTCAGCTGGATATGTGGCAGTGGCCAGCCGCAGTTCTCGGCGCAATATATTTTAGTGTGGTTACAAGGTGTCAGCTACCCAACAAGTAATTTCTGACATTCCTACTGGGTATGCAAACTCGTTATGACACAGAAATCAGTTGAATACTAGCAGGATAAGTGACAAATATACATATGTTTGTAGCCTATGCATAAACTTGCTTGCTTAAGGATTAATGATGTTTGCCAAATTGGGTACCCATGCAGTCAAAGAGGAACTTCTACCGACTTTGAAGCCGAAGATCACAAAATGTCTGTCATAGCCGCTAATAAAAGCTTCATCGATTAACTTGGGCGAATGCCGTTTCTCTTGGCTGTAGGGAACAGGCATGCCGCAGTGTTTAGGTAGTTGTGTATTCCATCTAAGAAGCAACAGTCGCTCTCATCCACATTTCTAGAGCAGTAAGCTTCGCTGGACTACAGTGAGATCACGGATGGGACTCAGCTTAAATGCTCACTTGACTTGGTGCAGCTTTGGGCATCATGCGGGAGTTTACCAAAGCGATTCTGCAAATTCATGCTCGCTACCCAGATCGTCAGTGGAATTAAGAATGACCTAAAAGCCAAACCCAGGGAAATCATATCTCCTTTCTTGGTACATATATCAAAGATTGCATCGTATAATGGGGAATCAGAAATTAAACAGCTCAAACCCACGCCCAACCCGATTGGGCACATGCTATATCCAAACCCAAAGTAAAAACTGGCTGAAGGGAAAAGGGGGAATATTTCCAGTTGAAGACATAACAAAATGTGTTACAATGCAAGTTTCAGGGTACCCAAAGGAAATGAAAATGACAGGAACCAATATCCAGGTGGATGGAGGATTCACAATTTCCCTCCAATTTTATTAGAAAAAAAATAATCGCTTCCAAAAACAAATGATACAGTCCTCATATTCACAATGGACTCTTCTACCTGCAAACTCGCCGGACAGACCAGACGCCTAGCCCGCGGCGCCCGATAACCCGGTTAAATGTGGTCAAGATACCATCATCACCAAAGTCCAGATCATCCAGGTTGAGGTGCTTGCGATGTGTCCATAGCCGGTAAAGTTGCAGGTTGGGAGATCGTGATAATGAGGATGCTGTTGAGATGTATTCATCGAGGAAGGTGGCCGACGTAGGCGCGACCAGGTAGATTGGGGAGACGGTGTTGCAGCGCGGGACGGCCTGATCGAGGCGATGGATCATGTCGATGCCAGGAATACCCATTAGATCAAGGGTGTCAATCTTCGCCGTCGTGTTGGTGTCCGTCCCAAGCAGCCATTGCGGCGGGGAGTAGGTTTTCCACCAGAAGACCGATGCGTCGGGTTGAATCTTGACACCTTGCGCGGCGATGTTGGATTCTACAATAGACCGCATGGCCAGCTGTGCCGGCACGACGCCGCCCTGATGATACACGCCCATGAGGAAGCCCATGATGGCGTTGAAAACAATCCATACGGCTAGGAAAATGCGCGAGCGGTGGACGCGGATGCAGCTGAGAAGCAGCGGAACACAGGGGATCAGGAATCGCGGCTCTTGGTGCGGAAAGATGGAAAGAAGAACGGTTGCAGAGAGTGCCGAGGCGGCGCGCGCATTACGCATCCACGACAGTCCAACTGGCCAACGGAAGAGTGAGAAAATCATGACAATATAGGCTGGGCCCAAGAGCTGGAAGAGATTGGCGACGAGATGCTGGTGGTGGGGGTGTAGACCATGGACGGCGAGGTTGGTCTTGTCAGTGTTATATAGGAGGTTGTTCACCGGGGTGATGACGGGGGAGCGGACAATATCGAGGAATGACGCGGAGGGTCGGTAGAACGCTGTGTCCATGTAGATTGCTATCGAAGCAAAGAAGGCCCCGAAGCCGACGAAGGCTACTAAGGATGTTGGTCTTGCCGGTGGAGTTAGCAGATTGGTTTGGAAGACAGGCATGAACCACATACTTGCGCTGGAAGTGTGGCAACAATTGTAAGCCGGGCAAGAGAAGGAATGCAGGGAAGGTTATGCGATTAAACACCCCGACCACCGCGATGAATGAAAGCACCACATAAGAAAAGAAGGAAGAGAGTTGCTGCTGGCCCGGTAGTTAGTTAAAATCCATCTTCCTCTCAAATGTCGCGCCATCGCGATATAGCACGAACCTTATTCTCAACGATTCGCTGAATCAAAACCAGTCCCCAGGCGACCAAAAGGGTTTCCAGAGAGTTGGAGAAGGTGTGCGTCTGATATGTCCAGGTGACATAGCTCGAGGCCACCAGGACCACCGTCGCGCGGCGGTGGCGCGGGGACGGCACCAACTCATAGATTGCCCAGTCTTCCAAAACAAAGCTCAGCAGGAACATGCCTGCACGAAGCGCATAATAGACCAACTGTGGTGGTGGGTTGCCGGACCCGATCTCGGCGTAGAACCAATGTAGAAGGCTCATGGGAACCTCGTAGGTCGGCCATAGTGGGAAAACGCTGCGGATGGGATGATCGACGGTGAATTCCCAAGGGAGTTTGGACGGATAGGAGAAGATGCGACCTGTAAGACGCGATCCAATGGGATTAGTCTATCTAGAGTCATCGCTAAAAAAAGGGGGGGGAGGAGAGGGGTTATCGCGATCACGGAACCCGGGCGCATCGTATGAGTTTCCGTGACAGCCGGGCGCGATTTTTTTTCTAGAGGGATGGAGCAACTAGATTGGCATCATATGCGCCACTTGCCAATGCTAGCCCAGGATGGAGAGGACGGCAAATGGCTTTGGTGCACATACCAGCGAATACCTCGGGGCCCTGGAAATTCTCATCGGGGTGTAGATAGCTGGGCGAGAGCGCGAAGTAAACACGGATCAGCAGTAAGAGTAGGTAGGTTCGTCTCCACATGGTTCAGGGGCGGGACATGCTGCAGAAACACAGCGAAGAGGGGTAAGAGAGAGAGAGAGGAAGAGAATGAGAAGGAATGAGAGACCACGTCTCAAGGGCCAAAGGGTAGAAAGAGAGAATGTGCAGGAGGGAGAAATACAAAAATGGAAAGACGCGTTGGAGGAGAAAGCGATGATATCACTTTCCGACCGGCAGAATTGGGGGCTTGCACTATGTGGATGGCGGACAGACTATGTATAGCGCAGTAGTGGAGATGGGCAATCTTCGCAGTGAATTATTTGACTGCTTGATAATTTACTATTGACTCTGTACAGGATGAAGGTTTATGGCATGGTAACCAGCATCTCCTTGTGATCGACATAAGACTCTGGTGTACACTGGATTTACCAGTACTGGTGTGTTCAGCCCCGTGTGACAGTTCACACCTGAGATGCCGAAAGGGTCAAAGTGGTCAAAAGGGTCTCCGATTATTGGTTTGCCGGAATGGGACGCAGCCCGGGCCAATAAGGATCGTCGACGGGGTCGCGGTGCTTGGCTCTCGCCCATAACCCTTCACTATCCCTGATTAGGAACTATAAGGTTCACAAACCCCAAGGAATAGAAAAGGAGAAGGAGCAGAGATAGAGAGAAAATGGAAGTGGCTCTCAAGTGCTATAAAATATCATAAATACGGAATCGAATAACATGTCTGATCCTGATAATCACTCTCCCTATGAGGAAGCATACAAACACAGTAGGGCAGCAGCATACTACCTCAGAACAAGAGCCTTAGACTCCTCAGAAACACCAGGGAGCCTATGACACTTCATAGAGACTGTACTTTTTATTTTTGATGATTTTCAAGATCGTAGTTCCCGAAGACTAAGCCTTGCTGAAGCATCCTTGGATAGAGACCCGCTCTTCCAGATTGACCATTCTATACATTACGATCACATCATTCAAACATTTCTTTTGCTATCTTTTGGCATAATTCCATTTCTTAGTGAGCACCCCTAGAGTAGCCGAAAAGAAATGTCTTCCCATACGCAATGGTTTGGAGAAAATTAGCCAATTTAAGCGAGTGGAGAAGATCAAGACATGTAGGACTGACCAAATTGCTTCTGTGCTAGACATCAGATCCCTCGACCGGCTCTCGAGTCACTATATGATTCGATTATATATGTAGATAGAGACTGACGGGCCTACGAAGGTATTGGTTGATTTCATCTTTCGCTACTTCTATCCAATACTATACTGAGTACCCCTGATCGCTGCGGCTAATTTCTTGAATTATTCACAACGTCTGAATTTGGTGAATGCACCTATGACCTAGAAAATCCATGCCGATCTCGCCCTTTTCACGTGCCTTAGGATCAGGGCCCTAGAGTGAGTATATGGGAGTCGTTCGCTTCGAGCATTGAATCTTGGGGAGATATCCTTGTTGGAAGGTCTTATAGTCCAACCGGAGCTCGAAGCCCAGAGAATTGTGATCCAAATCAGGCCCTTGGTCAGCTGCCTGGTTGAGAATCGCTTTTCTGACTTGCACTCACAGTATCAAGTGCATCTAAACAGTTACAGTCTGTGTTGGGACGCCCAGGTTCCTTTCGTTGTTGAAGGTCGAAGAGAGAAACCAAAAAAAGGCGGTGCGACGGAAGAACAAAGATGTTAAATCGAGCTGGGTGTTTTGAAGTCTCTAAAAGACTCGTTAAAGGGAGGTCTTTCGAGTCTTAAGCGCCTGGAGTGCTCAAAGTAGACAAGCCGACTAGGCTCCAAAGCCCAGCCCCGCAGAGCCTCGCGCCAAGTGACTAACTGCCTGACTAACTGACGAAACCCCGACCTCACCTCTCCTTCTTAAGCCACTTTCAGTTCGTTTTCTTCCACTCGAGCTTCCACCCTCACTGCACTTTCGATCGGTATGTATAGCTTTCTACCCCTTGCAACGTTATGAATCTCTGTGGACCCTGAACTCCCCCTCTGGCAATCAGCTTGCGTTTTCTTGCCTCTTTTTTCCGCCCCCGCCCGCGTGCGCTTGGTTTGGCCCCTCTCCCTGGGCAACTTGTTAACTCCTCCTGTTGCTCCTTCACAGACATACTATTTTGCTTCTCGATTATTCCCCCAGCAAGCTTTCAAAAATGTCGAACCAGATTACTCTCACCTCCTCCGATGGCGTTGACGTTTCCGTTGGTACGTAGGGGTTCAATCTGCCCCCGCCTGACTTGTTTTCTCGAGCCCCGCGATCTAATCACAGCACAGAGCGCACTGTCGCGGAACGATCCGTCCTAATCAAGAACATGTTGGAAGACTTGGGCGACTCAGGCGAGGCTATTCCCATCCCCAACGTTCGTTCCCTTACCCCACTTCTTCGAGGGCTGGCCAAAATAATGCATGCAACCTGCTCACATGGACGTCTTCCTTTAGGTGAACGAGGCTGTTCTCAAGAAAGTTATCGAGTGGTGCGAGCACCACAAGAACGACCCTCCCACCACTGGTGATGAAGATGACAACCGCCGCAAGACCACCGATATCGACGAGTGGGACCAGAAGTTCATGCAGGTTGACCAGGAGATGCTGTTCGAGATCATCCTGGTAAGTTCTCGGTCGCCCGTAGCCCGCAACTTCACTAGGGCTCCCGTGATGTCTCTGCAGCAGTCATGTGATGAGTCTAACTATTCATCCTTCTAGGCTGCCAACTACCTCGACATCAAGGCTCTGCTCGATGTCGGCTGCAAGACTGTTGCCAACATGATCAAGGGCAAGTCCCCGGAGGAGATCCGCAAGACCTTCAATATCCAGAACGACTTTACCCCCGAGGAGGAAGACCAGATTCGTCGGGAAAACGAGTGGGCTGAGGAGTAAGTCACTGAATGTATTTGAGCTATAACATCGATTACACTTGACTGACGGGTTTCCTCGCCACAGCCGCTGAAAGTATCGCAATTGACATATCTCCCAACGTTCTTCCATATTCCAACTATGCGCCACGCCACATCATATTTTGATGCTTTTGAAAATACACCATGACGCCTGGTAGATCAACCCCTTGTGAATTGATTCCTTCCTCTGGTTACTATGAGCCACAGCATTTCCACCGCTTGGCTCATGCGTAACGCTTTGATGCCTAGTCATGGTGACTGCTTCTCTATCACTTGTCAACCCCTTTCCCATTGCTATGACGGCGTTCGGTCGAGCGACTCTCGTTTGCTCTTTGTGGTTCTTTGCCCCTTTTCTGTGCTTTATTCCTCGGGAATCGCTTTCCTCGTCCCTTCGAGGGACTGGGTTTTAGGCACAATAAATCTATCTATTAGTGTTTGCTTAGATTTATCATCCCTTTGCTCCAAGAATAGATCCGGTTTCTACGCATTCGGTCTTACTTATTTTTCAAAAAAAAGAGTGAGCCTTTGGCGATAGGGTTGAAACGTTCTACAACTAGAATCCCACTGGTCGATCTCTCTTTGTGGTCTACACAAGGAGGGGAGGGGAATTTTTTCGGTCTCCGGTGCAAACTGCAGTAGTCGTGCTTTAGTTGCGTCAATAAGGACAAGCGAGCAAACAATCGACAGCTTCGGTGCCACCTGCATACAAAGACACAGAATGATGTTTGCCAACTCTTGGCTTTCCATTTCTGTTCTTGCGCTCACCTTTCACCGCTTCTTGATTGTTAAGTAGAATGAAGCTCGGCCCTGAGCAGTCTAAGTTCCGAGTCGTCAGCGAGCATTCCGGACTCAAACCGATAAACTCTACATCACTGAGCCTGGCCGGAGCATCCCTCTCTGCTTACTTGGACCAAAGAGAATTAATAAGCGGGCTCAATAAAACGCGATATGCTAACTCGCCTATTCACTGATTTTCCCCCAAATAACAGCTTGGCGGAGAGAATGTTTTCTCTATCATTCCTCCCGATAGATTTGATTCAAGGGGAAATGACAGACCTACTATGGTATGAAAAACATAGTGAACAGAGCGTGAAGTCTAAATATACGTATTATCAGGTGATTATCTTGTCTCTTGTCGAGGCGATTCTATGTCACTAATTTTCCGATGCCTAGAGCGAACTATGTGTCCGGAATTTTTTCAATACTATTTCAAGAGCTCAATCCAGAGCAACTCAGTAGTTCCTAAGCTTAGCAAGACTCCCACTAGATCTATATATCATTTCACTTCACCGACAAGAATATGTACGAAGTGATAAATTCCGCATCTCTAGGCTTTACTGCAACATCAATGATTGTGAAAAGAGATGACGGGGGATGTCAGTGACACGACCAACCCACAAGTTACGGTACAGCATATAACATCTCACGAATCTGCATCAATAAATTGAGACTTAAAATTATATAAATGGCGTATCGTTCATTTAATCTTGACCTTCTTGGAAAACAGGGTTTCGTATTTGAAGCTTATCTGTTATGTCGTTTTAATCAGGAATTCCGAATCCCCACCCGCTTTGCTTTTCAAACGAGAGGAGGAAGTGGACGCTCGGCAATACGGAGAAATAAATTATGGAGTCACCCTGAATTCTGACGTCAGTACGCTGGCCCGGCAAGAAAGAGGCAAGGGGCTATGTAATCGGAAATACGGATAGATGGTGAAGCGTCTCTTGATTCATCTTTACTCTTTTCTTGACGACATTTGGTTCATGATACGCACTCGTCCATCAAACTCTATTTGCGCAACTCTGTGTACGATCAGTGACTCTAACAAGCAAGTTCCAGATGACACCGGTGAACGTCACAATCGCCGTTCTAGGGGCCACTGGAACCCAAGGTCGTGGTGTCGTGGCTGCACTGCTGAAGACGACCCAAGCAAACTTTTCTGTCATTGCATTGACACGCGACCTCAACTCTGAAGCCTCGCGTAGTCTCCTTGATCGACATCATGGAGATACCCGACTCAGTTTGAAATCTGCAAACGCCTATGACTTCAATTCTTTATTGCAGGCATTTGAAGGTGTATATGGAGTGTTTGCTGTCACCAATACGAGGTTGTCGGGTCAAATCATTCAAGACGAGGCCGACATGAAACATGAGTTGATCGCCGGGCAGAATATAATAAATGCCGCAAAGGTAAAAACTCTAACAACCTTCTATCATATTCATGGATATTAAGGCTTTCATTACTTACGAGAAACTTGTCATATGAAAGTAGATCTGTCAAATCAAGCACTTCGTCATGAGCAGCCTGCCGAGTATAAGTAATGCTAGCAATGGAAGATTTTCTAAAGTTCTGCATTTCGACCAGAAGCATGATATCGAAGAAATGGCCCAAAAAGAGCTTCCTGCTACATTTGTACATCCTGGTATGTCATCTCGATCTGGGAGCCTTCGAAATTCAAAATTGACTATCCTAGGGTTGTTTTACTCGAACTTAAATTGGCCCCAGTATTGTGTGCAGAAAGGTGTGTTTTAAGTTTGGTAGATTCTGAGCCAGGAAGCTGACAAAGGATGAAGATGGAATACTGCATTTTGTGAGTCCTCTTTCCAAGGAGAAAAGGACTGGATGGGTGGATCCATCTTACGACATTGGAATATTTGTTGCAGGTAGTAGTCCCTTGTTAGAATGCTTCAATCGGCTTGTTAACCTTTTATATACCAGAGATATTTTGTCAAGGGCCAGACAAAACGGTTGCGAAGGTGTATCCGGTTGTCGGCCCTCAAATCTCCACTCGAGAGATGATAGAAACATTTGAGGCTGCAACCTCTCGACGAGCCGTTGCGCAGCCTTCAACGATCAAGGAGTGGGGAGAACGTGTATCGTCAAGCGCTGGTGCGGGTTACCGTGAAGATATCGAACAAATGATGGAGTGGATCAATATTGCACCAGAGGACAAGATCTGCTTTGGTACCGTTGATCCGGAGGAAGACCTTTCTTTGGTGGACCTTGGTGTTTGCGCAAGTTCTTTCCGCGAGTGGATCGAACGGACAGGGTGGCAGGGACCTTGAAATACCTAGCCTATGTCGATGGACACATGATGAAATCTTTTGGTGTGCCATACCCATTAATTAGCAGAGAAATGAACGAGAAATCAACATTGATTCATGTTATGAAGTTTCAGTATACTTATACCTACATTTTTATCATTGCAGTTTTTTGAAATGAAAGCGCGCAAGGTGATTAATCATCTAGTGGCTTTGAGCCATTAATTGAGTCACAACTGCAAGTATTGTGGCCCAGGAAAGGGATGCCGAAGGTCTGATGAGTTACATGGTCAGCATTGGCAAGTATTGGAGACATCTCGCAAATATATATCCGTGGAAAGAGAGGGACACCAAATGGGTGGGTTTGAAAACCCCTACAACTATGGACCTCAGAAACGAAACTTCAAGTGATGAGAGATACGAGAAAGTCTATTGATGAACAAACGATATATAACGGCAGGCCTATAGAGAGAGTGACGAGGGATGATCGAGAAATAATTACAGCGGATCCATTCTGATTGTTTGTCAAGGTGAGGAGCGCTGGAGAACGTCTTTGACAATATCGATGTAGACCTCCAGGAGCTAGGTGGCGACGGCAGTAACAGCCTTGTCAAGCGCAGACTCGGCTAAAAACAATGAAGGGAGCATGCCATCGGATCGACAGTGAGTTGAGTGATATCGAGGATGGGAGATTGACTATTCTCCACTGCTGATCTCCACTAAGAGGATGGTGTAGTGTACGCTGGCAAGATACATTATCAGGCTGCCCCTCTTTCTATATTATAATGGCTCGCCATGGAGCATGTGGCTCGTACGTGAAGCCGGAAAGAGTAAATATCAAGGTCCAGATTAGGCTCAACCAGAGATCGCCTTCTACATGTCTACATGGCTTGGAGAGTCATCGAATACTCCGTGCAGGGCTGAGGTGAGGGTGGCAGTGCAAGACAACAAGGGACATCAATTCGAATTCCATCAGATTTTTGTAAAAAAGAGAACTTCCTCGCCAGACGAAAATCTCAGGACACCAGCGAAGGACACGCGAGGCCATCCGCCCAGAAATCACACCATGCCTGCATATATTTTCATCATGAAGGGTATTTTGAGGGCCAGTAAACTGTCGTCAAAGCTCGGCTCGAACTGGTCGTCATTTCCATGAGGGAAAACAGAGTGAAAAGGACGAGAAAAGAATCGAACACGAATAGGGTATTGGGTTCATCCGATTGTCATGTTCGAGATCACAAGAGACAGTTGCACGGCTTGGAAGTAGTTTCCATTAAATTTAAACTAGCGCGACCAAGTTGGGTGGACTAAGATGGTGGACTTCATGACAGGGCGAGCATCACGTCGTTAATATCGGTAGGATATCGAAATACACAACATCGTGGGAACGAGATATCGAAGAGCGTGGAAGGGCCGGGTGGGAATAGTCCGAGCCGAATTTAGATGCCCAGACGGGTCTTGCGCCAGTGTCGCCGCTTAGCGTTGTATCTGTTCGTGGAGAAAGACAAGTTAGCGATGAATGTTCCGTCCGCGTTATTTTGTGTCGTCATGGTTCTCGTGGGTTTTCGGTTCCGTTGTAATCGAATTTTTTTCCCAAAGATATCCGACCGCCTCGACCACAGACGTCTTTCGATATTTGAACTCTTCGCTGGGTATTTCCAAGGGCGCTGATTTACCTGATGGTGTTGCCAGTGCGCAGGCGAATCCACTGGGGGATAGGACGGTTCTGGCGCTGAGCTTTGGCAAGCTTCTGCTTGGTGCGGAAAGTCTTGTGGCTCTGTTTCGACGAAAGGTGTTAGTCGCCGCGCAGGAAAAATTCCGAACGGAGGAAACGGTTCTTGATGGTCGATCCAGAGAGCAACGGGGATATCTTCAAGAGCGACAGAGGGATGGAGTACTGACCGGCATCTTGAAGGCTTGAACGCGACAGCGAGCTGGTTGGATAAGAGAAGTTGTCGACCTTCGGGAGGCGGATGGTTTGTGTGCGGGCAGGGCTTGGCTTCGCTTCGGTAGGGTCAGGTGATGTGCCGGGATGGGGCACGGCATTTTCCGGCCTGAGGCTCTAAACAGACACCCCGATTACCAGGCCACAAGGCGCCTAGGCTGTCAGGCCCCCTACGCGCCCAGTCGCTTTGTTCGGGGCTCAGCGCGTCTTTCTTCCGAATGCAGTCCCCGCCGCCCCCAAGAATCCTTTCTCACATTCTATTTGTGTTGGACTTGTCCAACCCCTGTCTGGTGTTTCGTAAAAATAATAGTGTTGGATTTGATGTTCGACAGGCACTTGATCAGGGATTTTCCCCCGCATGATGATGCGAGTACGGCCACGAAGGATGGGTTCTGAGGGATCCTGATCCTTTCTCACAGTCCAACCTATTTCCGTCGTGTACATGCCGGACGGGGTCTTGCGTGGTAGATAGTATATTGCTGCATATCACTTGGAATACCTGTCTGGGTAATACGTTGATCCAGATCCATCACATTATCTGAAACAGACTAGTCTGTTGGATTTTACTTTTATTTTTTTTTTTTTTTTCCGTAGTGTCGCATGGCATATCATCAAAGAACCATACGCCGTCCAGCAATCTACAGTGCTAGTAACAGTAGAGCAACACTAGGGGGTATGGAAACTAATCAAGAGCATTCCATTATCGATCAGGAATATCCAACTGCCACGCAGCGATTGCCTAAAGGGGGAAGCGAGATACACCATCCTTCAATGCGACCTAACGTGGTTGAAAACGCTGTGGCCATGTTAGAGTCGATCGGTGTTCGGAGACCAGCAATCCCCGACCACCGGGCCAAACTTGTAGTGCAAAATACGAAATACGGAGTATTTACGGACGAAACCCACGGGCGAAGCGCTTGGTTGAGCGTGCTTTGCAAGCCCTACCCTTTTTTCCGATCGTGATTTCAGAGCTTCTGACTGGTGGATCCGCGTCAGGGTGTCCATGTTCCGTGGGATCCAAGCGTCCTGCACGGGAACCGGATTTTAGAGTGCGCTGGGAGATGGCGCAGAAGATGGGGAGGAGCAATAAATTAGGCATCACCCAGCGCTATTGCGTCCATGATCCATAGGCCGCGTCAATTTGGTGAAAATGAGTCAAGAGTCTGGCTCACGGGCCCTCGTATTCGGCTGTCGCGCCCGCCAGACTCGCCTAATCCATGCCGCAGCGTCGCATCCAGCCGACCCTGGAGCCCCATGCACTATTCTTATGTATCAGGGGGATGATAAGGGAAGGAGCGGGAGGGGTCCAAGTCAAGTATTACATAGTACCACATAAAACGGCATAGTACTACATTATAGAGGGAGAAGCGAGGTTCTCGTAGATCGGCCGATGGACAACTATGCTACTGGGGAATCATAGTTGAAGCTCATCGCGCATCACTCATAGCTCATAGCTCGGTCACGGATTGTTCTGGACCTCCCGCGGGGGGTTACAGAGTATAAAGATATCCACCTACCTTCGATGCACGGTATCATCCGGGACTTTTCTCCGGCGTGGTACACGGTGGTAAGGGACGGCCACTGTCCTGGAGAGTCTGCTCGCGCGACTCGTCGCGCGCGAAGAGCTGGGCGGCTCGCCCTGTTGTTGGAGTATCAGTCCTTGTGTATCAGAAGATTGTGTATCCCGTTCCACAGGCCTTCTTGGTTCGAGGGCCGATCAAGGGAAAACGGACGAAGACTCGGAGTTTCTCTGCATGTACTTTTTCCCCACCTCTGCGAGGAATGCTTCAGATCTGGGGGATAGCAGTTGGAGCTCAGATGAGGTACAGAGAGTATCATGGACAGCGCAAACGTCCAGCCTACGAAGAATGTCACGATCAGGGGAGTACATCGTGTATAGGACCGCATGTCGTAGTCTGGCAGGTATCTTTTATAGTTCGCAGTACTCCGTACTCCGTACTGCCTGGTCCATATACTCCGATCATGACTTGGGTCCGTGGCCAGGCCGCTGCATAAACACTCCATAAACCGGCCGGAATCTGGAGTCTCCGGCCCACTTGGTCTCGGGTTCGGTGCTCGTTTTTTTTCTCGGACCAACGATCCATGGCTTGTCTAGGAATAATTGTATTATTCTGATTTGTTCGAAACAGGCAGATGCTCTACGATCCCTAGTTCTGCCCGGAGTATATGAATCATCCCGCGATCCGAGAGCCTGAGCTGGGCTGGCTTCTCTTTTGCTCGACACCTTGAACTCGACTTTCTTTTGCACCGACGAACGACTTGACTCCGCTTCCTCCTATTTTCTTCCTCCTCAGCGACTTCTGTGCAAATAATCCCGCGTGGATCTTCACGCGCAATCTCACTCCTCTTTTTTTAGGCTTCCGCGACCGGGCCCGCATTCTGTTTCCTGATCCGATTGTGACATCCTAAATTGGTGCCAAATCGGCCTTTTTAAATCCATTCGCCACGAGACCCCGGATTCTCCCCGTTGCTTTTGTTCTCTGTCCACTCGCTGGTCGCCGTAATTTTGCGATCGACCGATCCCGCGTCTTGCCCATCTGAGCCCTTGGTCCAGAGTTCAAGAATCCTGCATGGAGTAGAACGACGGTCCACCGGCCAGAAATAAAAAAAAAGTGGGCCATCGCGACTGCTCTCTTTTGCGACGTTTGCGCATTTACCAAACCAATCCCCGAGACGCTCTCCGGATTCCGCCACGATGCAGCAGCCCGAGGAGGGCGCAACGGCGGTGGAAAAAGTCGTGGATGAGGTCATCACCGCCGATCAGCCATCGTCGACTGACAAGACCGAGAAGAACTACGACTCCGGCTCAACCTCCTCCGCAACAGCCAAGGAAAATGGCAGCAAGACCGTGCTGGACTTGAATGACGATGCTATCTTCGCCCATCTCCCCGAGCATGAGAAGGAGATCCTCAAGAGACAGCTGGATGCCCCGGATGTCAAGATCTCATTTTTCGGCCTCTATCGTTATGCGTCGCACACGGATATCCTCATCCTCGTGGTGAGCGCCATCTGTTCGATTGTCGCCGGTGCGGCCCTGCCCTTGTTCACGGTCAGTGTTCAGCGTCCCAGGTCACGGACGTGAACCTCCCCTTTGCTTCTTCGACCACATTGCCGGAACTAACTCCTCCATGTATGCGCGATAGATTCTGTTTGGCTCCTTGACCACCGCCTTTCAGCAGAGGTCGTTGAGGGAGATCTCCTTTGATGCTTTTTATCATGAACTGACCAAGAATGTGTTATACTTCGTCTACCTCGGTATTGCGGAATTTGTCACCGTGTACGTGAGCACCATTGGATTCATCTATACCGGTGAACATGTGACGCAGAAGATCCGAGAGCACTACCTGGAGGCCATTATGCGCCAGAACATCGCCTACTTTGACAAGCTGGGTGCCGGTGAGGTTACCACTCGTATCACGGCCGACACCAATCTCATCCAAGACGGGGTCTCGGAAAAGGTCGGATTGACCTTGACAGCCCTCGCGACCTTCGTCACCGCATTCGTGGTGGCCTACATCAAGTATGCCCGCCTCGCTGGTATCTGTACCTCGACCATTGTCGCACTTGTCGTGATCATGGGTGGTGGGTCTCGGTTCATCATCAAATTTAGTAAATTGTCGTTGGAAAGCTATGGCGCGGGGGGCACCGTGGCCGAAGAAGTCATTAGTTCGATTCGCAATGCAACCGCGTTCGGCACCCAGGACAAGCTGGCCAAGCAGTATGAAGTCCACCTGCGGGAGGCTGAACGATGGGGCACGCGGCTGCAAATGGCACTGGGCGTGATGGTCGGTGCCATGTTCGGTATCATGTTCCTGAACTACGGTCTCGGCTTCTGGATGGGATCGCGGTACTTGGTGGAGGGCAAGGTCAACGTAGGCCAGGTCTTGACCATTCTGATGGCAATTTTAATTGGTTCCTTCAGCTTGGGCAATGTCAGCCCCAACGGCCAGGCCTTCACCAACGCCGTGGCGGCTGCAGCCAAGATTTTCGCGACGATCGACCGTACCTCCCCGGTGGATCCCACGTCGGACGAAGGCCTGATCCTGGAGCACATTGATGGTCACATTGAGTTCCGCAATGTGAAGCATATCTACCCCTCGCGTCCGGAGGTGACGGTTATGCAAGACGTTAGCCTGTCGATCCCCGCTGGCAAAACCACTGCGCTTGTCGGCCCTTCGGGATCAGGCAAGAGTACCGTGGTGGGTCTGGTTGAGCGCTTCTACCTGCCCGTTGGCGGTACGGTATTCTTGGACGGTCATGACATTCAAACCCTAAACCTGCGCTGGCTGCGCCAGCAGATCTCTCTCGTCCAGCAGGAGCCTGTTTTATTCGGTACCACTATCTACAAGAACATCCGCCATGGTCTGATTGGAACTCCCCTCGAAAATGAGCCTGAGGAGCGCATTCGCGAGCTGATTGAGAACGCCGCCAAGATGGCGAATGCCCACGAGTTTATCACGGCCTTGCCTGAGGGATATGAGACCAATGTCGGCCAGCGTGGATTTTTGCTTTCCGGTGGACAGAAACAGCGAATTGCGATTGCCCGTGCCGTGGTCTCTGATCCTAAGATTTTACTCCTGGATGAAGCTACCTCGGCCCTGGACACCAAATCCGAAGGCGTCGTCCAGGCTGCGCTTGATCGTGCTGCTGAGGGGCGTACAACTATCGTCATCGCTCATCGACTGTCTACCATCAAGACCGCGCACAACATTGTGGTCTTTGTCAACGGTCAGATTGTTGAGCAGGGTACTCATGATGACTTGATCGAATCTGAGGGTGCTTATTCGAAACTCGTGGAGGCCCAACGTATCAATGAGGAAAAGGAAGCTGACGCTCTCGCCGAGGAGGAGTTGGAAGATGATTCTGACGAGGCTTTGGAAAAGGAGCATGTCTCTAGGGTCAAATCCGTTGCTAGTGGCACAACGAGCCTCAAGGGAGACGAAAAGGCTGCGGCTGGGAACTTGTTCCCCGAGGACATTCGCCGGGCTGATACTCGCAAGTCGGTGTCTAGTGTCATCCTTTCCAAGAAGGGACCCGAGGCGAGGCAAAAGTATTCTCTTTGGACCTTGATCAAGTTCATCGCTTCTTTTAACCGGGAAGAATGGAAGGCCATGGTCGTCGGCCTTCTATTTTCAATTCTTGCTGGTGGTGGCCAGCCCACCCAGGCTTTCCTGTATGCCAAAGCGATCAGCGCCCTGTCTCTGCCAAAGTCTCAGTACGACAAACTTCGCTCTGATGCTAATTTCTGGTCCCTAATGTTTCTGGTCGTTGGTATCGTCCAGTTCATTACGTTTTCCTCCCACGGAGTCGCCTTCGCGTTCTGTTCGGAACGTCTTATCTGCAAGGCTCGCAGCAAGGCCTTCCGGATCATGCTCCGTCAGGATATCAACTTCTTTGATAAGGAGGAGAACAGCACAGGAGCTTTAACCTCATTTCTGTCAACAGAAACCAAGCACCTGTCGGGCGTCAGCGGCCAGACTCTCGGAACGATCCTAATGACCTCAACTACTTTGATTGCCGCCATTGTGATTTCCCTGTCTTTTGGCTGGAAGTTGGCTCTGGTTTGCATCAGTGTGGTTCCTGTCCTGCTTGCCTGTGGTTTCTACCGCTTCTATATGCTTGCCGCATTCCAGCGACGGTCTAAAGCAGCTTACGAAGGATCGGCCAGCTATGCCTGTGAGGCTACCTCTGCTATCCGCACGGTTGCTTCCCTTACCCGTGAATCGGATGTCTGGGATGCGTATCACAGCCAGCTCGAAGATCAGGCACGGACGAGCCTGATCTCGGTTATTAAGTCTTCCTCGCTCTATGCTGCTTCTCAGGCCCTGGTCTTCTTTTGTGTCGCTCTTGGCTTCTGGTACGGCGGTACCCTCCTGGGCCACTTCGAGTATGACACCTTCCGGTTCTTCGTCTGCTTCAGCGAAATCTTGTTTGGTGCTCAGTCCGCCGGCACTGTCTTCTCCTTTTCCCCTGACATGGGCAAGGCTAAGAACGCTGCTTCTGAGTTCCGCATGCTGTTCGACCGCCGCCCGACCATCGATACCTGGTCTCAGGAGGGCGAGCAGATTGAAAATGTTGATGGCGTCATTGAGTTCCGAGACGTGCACTTCCGCTACCCGACCCGTCCTGAGCAGCCCGTCCTCCGCGGCCTGAACCTCAGTGTCAAGCCTGGCCAGTACATCGCCTTGGTCGGCCCAAGTGGTTGTGGCAAGAGTACCACCATTGCTCTCCTGGAACGATTCTACGACGCCCTGTCGGGTGGCGTCTATGTCGATGGCAAAAACATTGCCGATCTGAATGTCAACTCATACCGCAGCCACCTGGCTCTGGTCAGCCAGGAGCCCACTCTGTACCAGGGTACGATCAAGGATAACATCCTGCTGGGTATCGTAGAGGACGATGTACCCGAAGAAGCGCTGGTCAAGGCCTGCAAAGACGCCAACATTTATGACTTTATCATGTCGCTCCCCGACGGCTTCAATACTGTTGTTGGCAGCAAGGGCGGCATGCTCTCGGGTGGTCAGAAGCAGCGTGTTGCTATTGCTCGCGCCCTGCTGCGTAACCCGAAGATCCTGCTCTTGGACGAGGCCACCTCCGCCTTGGACTCAGAATCCGAGAAGGTTGTCCAGGCCGCCCTGGATGCTGCGGCGAGGGGTCGCACGACTATCGCCGTTGCTCACCGTCTCAGCACCATCCAGAAGGCTGACATCATCTACGTTTTCGACCAGGGCAAGATTGTGGAGAGCGGTACCCATGCCGAGCTGCTGCACAACAAGGGCCGCTATTACGAGCTGGTCAACCTGCAGAGTCTGGGAAAGACTCACTAAACATGTACCTTGGGCCTCGTTTCATTCTCCCATCTTCCTCACACTCCCATCGATACCCTCTTTATAATCCCCATCTATCGCCCTTCATACATACCCACCGAGGCTCTAATCCCTTTTGCTCTTCAATACTCTATAATGTCTTACAACCCTCTATTTTCACCTCCTATCTCATCCCATCTCCTTTCAATGTATCCATTAGCTTTTCTCTTCTCTCTTCCATTTTTTTTTGCATCTATATTTCTCTAGCTTCATGTTATATAGATTCTGCAAGTGAGGTGGATTGAAATCACCGAGTTACTGTCCTCCTATCTCTCTCCCTCGGTCAAACATAGTCGAAATAGAGAAAAAGAAAATGTCTTTTACGTTGTTATTCTCGATTCTGAACGTTTTTGTGCAAATTAGTCCTATTGGGGAATAATTGAAGAATAGATTCGCTTCACATTTGACTATGACTATTGAATAATAGTATAAAATAAACAAGAGAATACCTAGACCTAATTGGCAGGCTTCCACAACGCCACGCCCACACACCGAATTCTTCCCTGGATTTAATCCTGTTCTCGAACGCCGTATTCCCGTTGTACGTCGGCGCACTGTACGCCTTGAGCCTCTGCAATCAAACCCATCAGGCCCTGTGCCACATCTTTGACCTCATTATACTCGTGTAGTAGGTGGATGTGCCGTTTTACTGTTTTCGAGGGGTCGTGGCTGTGCTCCGGATTAGATCACACGTACTGAAAAACCGCACAATAAGTGATACCCCGATCTATCGGCCTCATACCTGAGTTTGACTCGGCATTCTTCTATCTCTGCTTCTAGTTGCGCTTTCTGGGTCTCGAGGCTGGCAATCGACATGCGCAGGGTGGCCTAACCTAATTGGTGAGACGTGGTGATTCCTTCCAGCGAGGGAATTGGGGGTCCCGACCAACTGCTGAGCTCTTGCTTGCTCATTCATGTTAGTCAAACAGAATGCCGGCGGCTCAGTGATTGCTTGAGTATCGGCCTAAACCCTCTGTAATAGTGGCTGCTTCGCTGCTTTGCTGCTTGCTGCGTTGCTTGAGTGCTTGTACTTCGCCTGTCAGACCAAGTGGGTCTTAACCGTCTGCGGCGCTTGCACTTCGATCCGGCGCCTCCAATCACCTCCCGCTGAATAATCGGCGTCGCAATCAGGCATCCGGAACTTCAGGAACCGCGAAGGGGCTTCAACCCTTCAACATCCCACCTTCTCTTTCTCTCCTCCCACAACTCCATCATGCAGCTCCTGCGACAAGGGTCCCTGTGGACCCTGACACTGTTCGCTGGTTTGGCGCTCGCTCACGGTGGCCATGAAGCTGTTCCCGAGGGCTCCGCGGTCTCCGAGGACCCCATAGTATGTGCTGCCCGCGCCTGTCTTGGGTCGCATCCCGGTTTTGTTTACTAGATGACCTTCTTTACTAACGGAGTCTGTCTTTGGCTTAGGATTCCACTCTTTGGACACACATGATTTTGATGGGCTTCGCTTTTGGAATCATTTTTCCGTTGGGCATGGTTCTTGGTGTACGTGGTCTAGTAGATTATATTACATACTCGTTGCGACGTTGGCTTACACCTATCAATCATTTTTTTAGATCGTCCGCTCCCGCTGGCATGTACCAGTCCAAATTGTCGGAACTGTTATTGCCGTTCTCGCCTACTTCCTCGGCCACGCCCACAAGGGCCGCCAGTTTGGCAAGAACCTCCACGCCTCATTCGCAAACTGGCTGATGTTGCTGCTGGTGGTTCAGGTCGTGCTAGGATTCTATTTGAAACTTCATTTGGAGAAGGCTGGTCAGGCTCGCATTCGATGGATCTTTGTCTTGGCCCATGGGATTGTCGGCAAGATCATGCCTGTCATCAGCTGGGCTCAGATGCTGTTTGGTGGGATTGCAGCCCTGGGCTTCTGCCAGGGTGACCACCTTGGACAGTGTCTAGCTCACTTCATTATGGGGAGCGCATTCATTGGCTACGGTATCTGTCTCACAATTCTCTTGCTAGTCGGCCAGTACTGGCTGCGCCGCACTGGCCGCAGCCAGGAGTTCTTCGATTCTCTGATCATCGCTGCATGGGGCTGTGTGAACACTTTCACCGAGCATCGCTGGGGTGGACCTTGGGTCCACAATGATCTCCAGCATACCACAATGGGCATTGTCTGGTGGTGCGCTGGCCTTCTCGGTATGTGGCTCAGCCGTAACCGCAACGGCCGCCCTAAGCGGAACCTGATTCCTGCTATTGTTATTTTGATAACTGGTTATGCCATGTCTGCCCACGCGCAGACTCTCATGATCAGTACTATGATCCACTCCATCTTTGGTTATACTCTGATGGCTGCTGGTCTGACTCGGATTATTGAGATCTCCTTTGTGCTGCGTGACCAGAGTGCCATCAGCATGAGCGGCTCTGATCCCAACAGTTTCCAGTATCTCCCTCCATTCCTGCTGTATGCCTCAGGCTTCCTGTTCATGGGTGCTACCGAGGAGCAGATGCAACTGTTGAGCGATGCTGGCATCACGCACGTCTCATACGTGCTGATATTGTACAGCATTGCCTTTATTCTCTTCCTCTGTACGTGAAAATTTCCTTCATACTAACTGGACTTATCTGATAACATTTTCAGTTGTGAATGTTCTTCTCCACATCTACGCGGTCCACGCTTGGCCGGAGTCCGACGACTCGGCTGATACCCAAGAAGGCGGCCCTAAGTATACCAATGCCAACGGTAGCTACATGAATGGACGTGCACGCTCTAACTCTGAGGCCCAGCGTATCTCTGATGCTGAGGCCTTTGAGCTCCAAGGGTTGATTAGCGAAGACGAGGAGGAAGCCGGGTCCTCGATGGGTCCTAAAAAGACGACCGACGAAGAGATGGCCACGAAGAAAACCTCTCGTGATTAATCTCGTACTACTATGTTTCCTTTAGATTTTGTTATAAAGGTTGGACGACCCTCCTCAGAAGGCGCTTTTTGGAAGACCTTTCAGCCTTTCAGACAAGTTTCCCTTGGTTCTTTTGGTGTTTCATTGGACACCTTTTTTTGCAGTTCTCTTTTGGCACATTTTCCAAAGAATTGGTGTGCTAATGTGGATTGTGGACATGGCAGTATATCTTCCTTGGGAACGATATACAGAATGTCCGTCTTGCCATTTGCATGTTTTGAATCGGAGTCTCGGCTTAATCTGGAAAATCCGGTGTTTTTTGTTGCCACACCGTGTCGTATATAAGTAACTAATTTTATCAATCTGGACATACTTTTTGAGACTGGTCCTTTTTAAGATTTTGTCGCATGCTCTACTGTAGGTAATTGAACTTTGAGTGTCATAGAATGTATTTTGCTGGATATCGTACACAAACATAATATCATGTCTTTCTTGTTTATCGAAAAGGGATAATGATGCCATGAATCTCAAATCAGAAAGTTGTCATCTCAAAACATCCCAAAATCCCAATCCCAACCCATCAGAATGTTAAACGCTCAATACGCCGGATGTCCAATCAGCACTCCTTAAAAATCAATCCGCACTATCAGACTTCACAGAATAGTCACAGGCGTAGTGGCAGGGGGCGCAGTAGTATCCGCCAGCGGAATGGGATTAGCCACTGGCGGAACAGCCGCCAAAGAACCCACATCCATCTCAGGTGGGAAGAACGGGTGCAGGGAGTAGATAGGCCCGATGGATTTATCGCCGTCGAAGAGCAGCATATTCTGCAGCGGCTGCTCACGCGCAGATAACACGTTGATCACATCCTGTGCCAACGCCCCGCCTAGAAACGCTGCCACAGGACTCAGCTCACATCCTAGGTTCTGCAGGAACTGCCGTAGAAACGATGAATCCAGAGTCGTAGGATCTAGCTGCAGCTCCTGGTGGCTCTCACTCGCAAGCTTTGTGAAGATCTCAAGGTCTTGGTGTGCGAAGCTGGGCCGGCGACCAGCGGAAATTTTTTCAAACTCCCATAGAGCGCGCAGGCAGCTGAGCAGCGGAGTCACTTGTTTCCGGCGTCTGGGGAGCCGCGTGATTTCATCGGGGAGCGGCGAAGTGTTGGCAAGCTGTAGCGGGGAGTAGGTTTCGCGCTTGGTGACAAGCTCGATGGTTTTGTCGCCTTCTTTCTTGGTTGCGACATTGACAATGCTTCGAGTGAGAGTTTCCTGCTGTTGCGAGGGCACGTTGGACTTGGCGCGTTCAATGACGAAGTCATGGCTGATGAGGTCGGCGAAGACATAGCCATAGAACCCGTGCAGCCCTGCTGCGTAGAAAGGTCGGTTGGCAATCCGGCAGGCCGCATTGATGGTGGTGTTTGTGGCGAAGTCGAGTTCTGTTGCAATTGTTACATCGAACTGAGCGAAGAAGGCGGGTTCCTTGGCCCGAATGTCCGATGTGTCGATGTTGAGTTTAACGCGCGGGTTCATTCGGTGAATCTGAGGTCCGGCGATTTCAGCGCGCTGGGCGGGAACAATGGGTTAGCCGCTGGAGGATTGATTTGTTTTATTGGGGCGGTTTCTTGTTCTCACATTCTTGCCTTGTTGAATGATGCTTTCATCCCTGTGTGCTTCCTCCAAGAAGAATTGCGCATCCAGATCGGCCTCCGTGACCGGCTCATGGTCAATGATAGTGAGCGAGCCGATGCCAGCGAGGACAAGGTTTTTGGCCACCTCATTCGCAAGGGCTTTCACCGTAATAAGGAGTATATTGGCAGACCGAATCCTAGATTGTTTCAGTTAGAGCTTGGCTTGCTGATTTTCGATTAAATGAAAGGTGCTCACTTCTCTTGCGCCTGAACTCCCCATAGCCGGATCTGTCGGTCATAAAGTGCGATCTCATCTGAACCATGACTAGTTAGCACAGGGCCCTTGATTTCTTGCGATGATAGGAACCTACCAGCACTGATCCCTTGGGCGTTTCCTGCTTCCGCCATCGTGAAGTTGGTGTCGTTGGGCGGTGGAGAGAAGTAAAGTGGAAGCTGGACTGGGTGAAGCTCTCCCCACAAACATATGATCTAATCCACCATCACGTGCTGCGCGATAATCATAGTTACTGGGCATCTCGACGGGCTTCCCCTCGGTCACAATCATCATTGCACGATATACCTGTTCGGCCTTCTTTTTTTTCTCCTTTGGCTGGCCCTTTCTAGGGCCTGTTTATTGCTGCTTGTGTTTGGACTGTGAGACTGGTCTCTCTGTTTTTGAAACCCTCCGATCGCCCAGGTAATCCGGTACAGCGTACATCCACACGGTACCCGCCCAAACTAACCCACCAGGATGGTATGTTTCCACAGCACCCGGTCTCTTCCTGATCGCTTCACTCGGAGTCCCACGGCCTCGCTAATCAAATCCAACCAACCCAATACAGTCAAGGGATTCCAGGACTCCAAGAGACTCGGGGAACCACGACTATCCCCCTGCCTCCTCTCGTCGCCCCGCTCCTGCTGCCCGTCCTAGCGAAGTGCCGCTGAGTGAACGGTATCCACGAACCCATGACCTGATCGACACGCTGAATGCTCAGAACCACGCCCTCGCCTCTGGTCCAGATTGGTCGGCTGTTCAATCACTCCTTCAAGATTTTGAAGTAGTGCAACAAGTGCAGCATAATACTGAAATTCTAAACCGGTTGATTGAAACTACAAATTCAGAACGCAGTGACGAGTCCCCGCGCGATAGCCAACGTTCCACTCCCAGGCCACCTGGTGATCGGTTGAGCTACTTACGAAACCTCCTTCAGTCTGGAAGCAATCGCTCAAATGCCGACGATACCTCCCGTGCTTTGGAAACTCTGAACCGAGAAATCGAGCAGCATCACCTTGACTCCGTTTGGGATAACACTACCTATTCACCTCCAAATCGTGTACCGTCGCCTCCTAGATTACCAGTAAACTGGCGCTCGACTCTTTCCCGCGATATCCCAACTGCTGAGCAGACTCCTGCACTCCACGAACCCTTTCGTGTCCCCTCGCCTCCAAGAGCATCCGCACGCTGGCTGAGACCACCAGTCTCGAGGAACCTCTGGGATAGCTTACATGCAGAGCTGGGCTCTTCACCTCACCACAACGCTGACGAGCAAACATCCGATCCAGCTCGAGAGCGTACCAACTCAGATCGGGCTCGAATGAACGAGGGATTTCAAATACCTCATATTCCACCCCCACCAAGATACCGACCATCACCACGTAACACCAGTATCGCGCGGTTACGAGAGCGCAGACTTACAAGGTCAGAGACATCTTCTAGCCTTAGGCCCGCTCGAACTGGCAACCCCCAAGAAATGCCAAGCCCGAACACGACTGGTGACAGAACACTTCGCCGTCGTTCGTTTCGCCCGGACCTGCGAGGGACCAGCGCTCTCAACGAACCTATTCCCACTCCATCCCTGATGCCACAACCAGCTTCGGCAGCGCAAATGAGCCGTGATGGCCGTGGGCGGTTGAAGCGGCGGAAGCTTGAGTCTGATGACCATCGAGAAGGTATTCGGGGATTTAACTACGGTCAATACGGCCAAGTTGTCCCTGGTGCTTTGAAAATGGAGATTGCTAGTTGTGACGGAGGCATCTATGACCCTGAAGGGGATAGCTCGTTTCCGGAGAATGTTTTACGGAATGACCAATCGGTCTACTGCACGAAGTCGGACCGCTGCAATTTGGTTTTGAGACACCGAGGCGAGGCGCCGTTCTGCCTGAAGAAGATCGTTATCAAAGCTCCTCGCTCGGGGTTTGATTCCCCGTATGATTCCTCTCCCTTCGCCTTCAAGCTAGGTATTACTTCGCTAACAACACTGTTTAGAATCCAAGAAGGCATGATATTCGTGTCCATGACGTCGGATGAACTGCTTGCACGCACCGCGCAGTATCAAATACAGTATTCTAATTCCAGTGCACACCGCCGCCGTCGGAACCGCCGACTTGGCCTACAGCCGTCTCAAGAATACTTGACAGGTTTTCGGTCACCGCTTCAGTCCTTGGAACGGACTGTTCTCATGGGTCCTGACTCACATTCAGCATCGGATAACGAGGCTGCCGAACAGAATTCAAATGGCCCAGAGACTGAAATTCGTGTCACCACTGACTACGATGATAACTCAGAGGACAGTATTTTTGTCGAACATGAGCAAGATGATGTCCCCTCCGTTACTGAGTTGGAACGAATTCAAGTCGAAGAGGACCTGCTCTGCTCTGACAGCGAAGAGTGTATGAGTGAAGATGAGGACAATGAAGATAGCACCACGACCACATTCAGTCGACGGCGCTTGGAGACGCAGAGACAACCTATCTCTTTACGCCGCGTCTCCTCTGGTATACGGCCAACCTACCACCAAACTCCCAGCCTGCTCAACCCCAACGCTCCTCCATCTGCTGGAACCCCTCAGAACGGCTCCACATCTACATCGGAGGTTTTGAAACCACATGCACGTTTCTTTATCGAGCGAGAGAAGAGTATGGTCAGCATTAAGTTTGATCCCCCTCCGTAAGTTTGGCGTCAATATCTCTTTGTCCCCCTGGTTTGCTGATCATCCTCTAGTTCCGGACGTTTCATTCTTGTCAAGCTATGGAGTCCCCGAAGTGATGGTAATATCGATATTCAGAGCATTATCGCGCATGGATATGCGGGTCCGAGATTTTTCCCAAGCGGCGGATTCCGGTGAAGCACGATACTGATACCCAATCGGTCGCTGTTATTCTTTTGGTTACGACGACATGACAATGGAATGACTATACGACATTGAGTTTGGATTTATACGGAGTTGCCGTTTTGAGTAGATAGGTGGCCTTTGGTCTTTGTAGAGGATAATACAGTAGGTACTTCCCCGGACTGTACCCTTATAACCGGCCACTTGTATCATCACACAAAAGCTGCTTCCCATGATAGATGATAGATGTAGCCACGTTGGACAAGTTGAGAATTCTCTATCAACAAATCTACATTCCTCCTGAACTAAATATTCAGACAAACGGGAGGACTAGATGACTATCATACTCGCCTCCCACATGAACCCAATGACGTCCCTTATTGTTGATATGCTCGGTCGTCCCAAACTTTGAGATTCCTTGATAGTGCCCACTCACTTGCAGCTGAAGACTTTCACCCTCTTCAAATTCAATTCCCATACACCAGATACCAATTTCTAACCTCACCACCGTGCCAGGATCAATCTTCTCCTCTGTTTCATGCGTATAATATGGCCAGTTAGGATGCATTGACCGAGATGGGTCGATAGCCCGATTTGAGGCACGCATAATTCCCGTCGGACCTTGATATAAGATGACTTCCGTTTGAAGATCTTCTGGGATGTCCGCAATCTTGGAAATTGGTAAATTAGTCCAGGGAATGTTCAAGCTGAGAAGTTGGTCCCCTGATGTTGACAATTTGCTTAGAACAACAAATATGTCCATGTCGTTGAACTCGTCGTTCCGCATCCATAGAACTGCCTTGGGCATCCCGATTAGCCGAGTCCTTTCACTAAAGGTGAGCGTGAATTTGGCCATATCATTGACGTCTTCCGAGTTGTACGACAAAGTACCAACTGCTGGGGCTGGTTGGTCTAGACTTAACCCCCCATCTGTCGTTAAGAAGGCGTTGCGGTATACCGTGCGCGGCAGTGGGAAGTCTTCCTCGACCACGTTCGCTAATGGCTCCTTCTCTCCATATTTCAGCACTGCTAATCGAACGCGTGGAGTTGATTCCCAGTCATTGTCGATACCTTTCAAGTATCGGTCAAAGAAGGAGAGAAGCTCGACCTGTCCTTCCCGGTTTCCCCATAGGTCATACCATTCTTGATGTGGATGAAAGCGAAGCCACTTCTCCGGCGAATTAACTTCGAGCCACCCTCTGATAGCACCCATCCCATGCATCGTATTGGTATATGTGCCCGTGATGTATGTGGGTATATCGATTTTTGTCATGTCGGGGCGCTTATCATTCCACCAGTTGTTCGCAAGAGGATGTTGTTTGAACATCCGCCGAAAGCTCTCCATCCCATTTCTGCCGCGAAGCATATATTTTACGATGAGATGATCGAACAGGTCTCCTCCATAGATACCACCGCGGGCAAACTGCTCCCGATACAAGTCGCCGCAGCCTTCCCAGGGGGCGATCGCTTTGAGGGAAGGTGGCTGCAAAGCGGCCACAAACCACTGGATAATTGCCAGATGGGAGTTTCCTGCCATACCAACGTTTCCATTACACCAAGACTGCTTCGCAAGCCATTCAATCACATCGAACCCATCTTCTGCCTCTTGAGTTCCCATGATTGCCATCTTTCCTTCTGAGTCAAATGCTCCACGTGAATCAATATTCACCATAGCATACCCACGATCCACATATTCCACAGGGTCGGGCGCTTCAAATTTCTCCAATCCACTGAGAGTGCCATCTGGGATACCAAGATTCCAAGGAGTCATCAATTTGAGTGAATCTATGCCATTGAACTTCTTCCCAAAGGGACTCCAGCAGAGAATGGCAGGTGTAGATCGCTCGCGAGCTGCGGGAGGCCGGTAGATATCGGCATAGAGACGGCATCCATCTCTCACCACAATCGCGACATCATGCTCGACAAGGATATCACATGGAAAAAGTCGTCTTCCCGGAGCCGTGACGCCTCCACTTGGCAGAATTTCAGAACGTGGGTTGAACCCATCATATCCTCCATGCCCGATCTCAGGTGCCTTGAGCTCATCACTGGGGACCTCGATGTTGAATTTGACAGACATTTTTGCATTGAATGGTCTTCAATAAGAAAGAATCTAAATGCGTTGCTCATATAAATTCTATATAAACTATGAATTGAGCCAGTGACCCTTATGTGACTCGCCCACCTTCCGTTCCGGCTCGGTTCGGTTCGGGACTGTGGGCAGCAGGTAGCTTCCCCGGACTCCAGATTTTAGGTGGAGAAGATTCATACCCCACTATACACGGGGTAAAAGGAAGCGAACAAATGACAAGCAACTGAAAAAGATAGTGTTGAGCTCGTCGACTGCGCTATAAAAGCTTTGACAGCGACCATGTTGCGGGCGCTATGTGGCATAACGCCGTATGGTTGCTCGAACTTGCAACTTCTTCTTGACGACATTTTCAATCATGGATAAAGCAGAAATATCTCACGTGGAGATTGCAACCAAAAGCAAGAGTCAGGGGCATGTCGAACTCTTGCGGGGAGCCGATGTCGTTCTTATACCGACCCCATCTCCTGACCCCAGAGGTATCTCATTCGAATTGCTTATAAACTACACATAGGATGCTCATAGCTACCAGACCCATTGAAACTACCACCATGGCGCAAGTGGATATTATTGAGTATAGTATCGGCCTACAGCTGCACAGCCGTCGTACTTGCTTCGGGAATGGGTGCCATCTTCACTTCGGTGGAGGCATCCTACCCGGGGCAAGAGGCTAGAGCAAACGACCTCCTGACATACCCAACACTATTTATGGGGGTTGGAAATCTTATAGCTATGCCCTGGGCATATACTGCTGGTCGCAGACCTGTTTTTCTTTTCTCCATGGCGCTCTTGATTGCTGCTGGAATTTGGTGTCAATGCTCAACCAGTTTGAGCAGCCATATTGCGGGCCGGGACATCATGTCGCTCGCCGCAGGCCAGAGTGAAGCATTGAGCCCCATGATTGTCCAGGAGATTTTTTTTCTTCATGAACGTGGTCGGAAAATTGCCTGGTTCATTTTCATTCAGAATATTGCATCGGGAGTTTTTTTCGTCGTCTCCACTTATATGGTCAATGCATGGGGCTGGAGATGGTGGTACGGCTTTTTCAATATTATGAACGCCGTAATACTCGTGTTTGCCGTTGTCTTCGTATCGGAGTCTTATTTTGAGCGACCCGAGAAGGCCATGCGCGGTGAGGATTTGTTGAGTACGAAGGATGTTGATGTCCAGAACCCAGAGTGTGGCGCCGAAGAATATGAGCCTCGCCGCTGGCGGGATGACCTCAAACCTGTGGTTGTCAAACCTCGTCTTTCAGATATTCCGACTTTTTACAAGCATGTCCTACAAGGCGTGTTTGTTCCCACGACATTCTGGCTTCTATTGCTAAATGGTGCTCATCTCGGCGTTTATGTCTTTCAGTCTGCTACTTTCTCTACTATTCTAATGTCCCCACCATACAGCTTTTCATTCGTATCCCTAGGATACGTTCAGGCTGGACAGCTTGTTTGTTGTCTAGTGTTCCTACCCCTTCTTGGCTATGGAAGTGATTTTGTGATTCGATACTTTACTCAGCGGAACTCTGGTCTCTACAAGCCCGAATATCGTCTGCCGGTCATTTTGATCCCCGCAATCGTTGGCATCATTTGCGGTATCATCTATGGCGAAGCTGCTGCGCACCCGGAAAAGTGGAGTGTCTCAGCAATTATCATTGGTTACAACGCCAGTTACTTCGCCTTTTTGGGTGCAAATATAGTGGGAATTACGTACGCCGTGGACAGTTTCCCGCTCCGTGCAGCACCGTTCTTGGTGGTCATTTGTGCCGGAAGAGGCTTTATCTCGTTTGGATTGAGTTATGCGACCCTTCCAGCAGTTCACAGTATTGGATATGATGGAACGATGATCGTAGAGGTCATTATTTGTGGTGTTTTGGCTCTTGTGTCTATTCCGATGTTTTTCCTTGGCCCTCGGATGAGAAAATTGGCACAAAAGTGGTTCAGTGTGGAAGATAAGGAGTAGTTCTGAGACATCCAATTTCAGTTGAATACCGGAGGACATTATTCTCGAGCCTGAATGAATCCTGTTGTTTCAACTGTTATCGACACCCCTTGGCCCATTAAAATAGTTTCGTTGACCAAAAATTCCTGCATTATCTCATGACTAGGCAATTGAATTGTACTATCCGCTATACAGGGACATTTCCTTCTTTTATTATGCCTTCCATGATTTCGAGTCCCGTCACGACAAGCCGCCCAGACAGAAATGTTAATTGAAAATATTGAATGATAGTGTCAAAGAATGTAGGCCTCACAAAAAAAAGCCTGCCTACACTAGCATGCGGGGTGGCGGCAGGCTGTGTGTGAATCAACAGGGAAATGAAAATAGGAAGCTCATTAGTAGTCACCATCATTGTCAAAGCTTTGAATACTACTACAGCGTTGAAAATTCATCGCCAATCAGTAGCAGCATATGATGGTATTGTGATGTGACATGACAGCCTAAAGACCCGAGGCCAAGATGTCCTTCCAACCAAGCCCTCTGAGCCGGACCGGATGAAACCAGCCGAACCGAACCGGGACTCCGAACCGGAGAGAGCCCCAATTGGAACTTCAAGGGTATGAACTGGGTGATACTGTGCTTATACGATATAAAAAAAAGGCAAAAGCTGCAGAATTGATGGTCAAAGAACAACAAGATTGAAGGATACCAACAAACAGGCAAGATGAGCTCAGCAGCGGACACAACCACCACAGGGCATACTGTTCGTCAAGGAAGACTATTTTCCGAAGGACCTGATGCAAAATATGGCGACTTTCGCGATGAATTATTGCAGAATGGATTTGCTGTCGTTAAAGGCGCCGTTCCCCGCGATCGGGCCTTGAAGTATGCAGACGAGATCTATCAATGGCTTGAAGAATTGTGAGCCTTAACCCTCCCTACCTCTCTACATATGACTCCAGAGTATTGCTGATTTAATATCTCAACAGCAATCTTGGATTCAAGAGAGATGATCCGTCAACAATCCATAAAGATCATCTGCCTGACATCAATGAAAAGGGAATGTGCCTCGGATATGCGGTCTCGCACGAATCTTTCACCTGGGGGGTTCGCCAGGAGCCTGAAGTAATTCGTGCCTTTGAGAGGGTCTACGGTACTGAAGATCTCATTGTTTCATTTGATTCAATTGGCATCGGCTTTCCCAACCGTACAGATATCAAACCGAACAAGCCTTGGCCTCATCAGGACCAAGACCCGGAAAAGCCAGGCTTCCGGTGCTTGCAGGGCTTGGTCAATCTGCTCCCAAATGGCCCTAAAGATGGAGGCCTGATCGTGTGCAAGGGAGCTCACCGTCTGAGCGAAGAATTTCACGAAGCGTTCAAGAACGAAGAGGACAAGATTTGGTCTTGGTGAGCATACTGCATGGTCAAATTACGAGAACCTCCATAAAATGTCTAACGCTCAAAATTTGTTGTCCAGGACGAAGGAATGGTACGGCTTTACAGAAGCTGGCTTGAAATGGCTGGAGGCTAAGGGATGCGAATGGATTAAGATCGAGGCCGAGCCCGGTGATTTGCTGCTCTGTAAGATGAGGCCCAGGTTTCGGCCCACGGCATTCGCTCACAGTTTCATAGGGGATTCCCGTACACCTCATTACAATGTTTCCTCTGAGACTTCTCAGCCACGGTTCTGCGTATATACTTGCTTTATGCCTGTGGCAGATGCAAACCAGGAGCAGCTTCTCATCAAGAAGAAGGCGTTTGAAGAAACAAAGATGACAACTCATTGGCCAAATGCAATGCATGTTGTGGATTTGCCTGTTTTTAGAAACGGGGAACCGGATCCATACAACCGCTCGCAGCCACGAGAACCAGTCAAACTCTCAGAAAGGGCTTTCAGACTGACAGGCATTCCTTACCTTGAGCAGATGGCTGAATTGTGATTTCATTGTTCCATAGTATATGAGTATTAGGAAGACAACCATAAACTTGATTACACATGTTCTCGCTTCAGACGATTCAAAGTTACTCGCTATGCTGAAATAAGTGGCTTAGATCATTCCAATCCCACCCAGCCCAGTCCAGAACTGATGGACCCCAGGGTGGAGCAAGGGACATTGTAGAATGGGACTCTTCCGTCATAGATTCATTGAGCATTGCGTTCGGAGAATATAGGCTCAGCTGTCCAGAATCATGTGATAGCGGTCTCTCGAGGAGATTTCCGATATAAAGTTCCAAGTCAAGCAAAATATCAACAATGTTCACCACCGTCCCATGCCTCTGGTACTGCTGTTTTGTTATTTCTATACCAGCTTTCATGAGCTTTCGAAAAGATTTATCTATCAGCCTGGCTCTTTATTTCTTGAATCAGTTGAACTCACCTCAAAATCAGACCGTACAAGTAGAGAACTTGGTTCACGTAAAATCGAGACTAAAAGAGCATATACTGCAGAAATCGGTGACGCCATTGTGGTCAGATAATCAGGCACGCCGGAGTCAACTAGCGGGACAAAGAGTTTGATCATATTTCGAGCAGCTTCGACCACCATTGTAGGTCCGCTTAGAAGGCGCGTATGGCTAGACTCTTCTGAAGCATACTTAGTGACCTTTTCACGTAATTCCTTCGAATCAACCAGCAGTGTCGATCGATTGACAAGAATTATTCTATTAGTATAAGTTAGCAGCCTATTTTCCCTCTGCAGATGGCGGTACGACAAGGATATTATGAATAGCGCGGCTAACCCAAGATTGTAATAATAGGAAAGAAAAGCATGAAAGGTGAAACCTCCGAATTGGGGGGTGGATGATGATCCTGATCTTTAGAAGGCAAATACTGTTAGCTGTTTCCTTGTGAAGTCATCTATGAATGACTCGTGGGGCACCAACGTACCGGTATTCAAAAGGAAGGCTTTGGTGCCATTCCGCTAACAAATCATGCAATTCTTCCCCAGTTCTAATTTTCTCTTCAATAGCTTGGTCTACCGACTGGGGCAATAGTTCTTCCCGTCTCCATGCTTTAGCAGATCGTTCCTGCATCTCATGGAGCATGTTGGCCAAGCTGATTGACGCTTGCCAAAACCGACATTCTGATGTATCCAATATGTCGATCTGAACAGATGATGTGAGGATTCCAGAAAGATTACGATCCCATACCAGGGATGGGCGGCCAAGTTCAAATGCCAATGTCTTTTCGAAGACATAGATAGACCACCATATGCGGGAATGAAGGCTTTGAGAAGCCCCAGGGCCCTGTAATGGAGACCTTGACTCATTCAGCCCCAACGACTGGGCCATTGATACGCTCATGGTCAGGATATCCCAGGCCCAGGCGATTCTATCGCAACTCCTAAGGACCACAGCAAAAAGAAAGACGACCTGCACTGATGTGATGCACCGAGCAGCAACAACGTGCCCAAGTAAGGAATTGCAATAGGCCAGGTAGGATGAAATCAATGCATGTGAACTTTCCGACGTGTGTTCATTCATTAGCCCTGCGGTGACTATCAAGTAAACCAACGCTGTCTGGGGAGCATTGGCGATCTGACTGAAAGGCGTAATTGCAGAATGAGAGAGATCTACCTCAGACAAGAGACACCTGGTGCATTCGCTCAAAAACGGGAAGGCCTGACCGAAGGTGCTGGTGAAGCTCCCCATGCACTCCTCCACCTTCTTGTACGGAGGTAGGGCTGGTGCTGTTTCGGGAATTGCGGATGCGAAGTGAGGATTGGCCACGGGGGTAACAGCATGAATATGTGGTCTCTCTAGGCGAAAGAAAGCCATATTCAACCATTCAGTCATCAAGTCGACTGTACTAGTTCCGACAAATCGAGGCATTAAAGGAAGCCGACCAGTTCTCCAGCCTTCTCGCCTCCAGCATTGACTCCATAATCGCGGACGGTCCTGAGTCACAGAAGCTGCAGCAATCGATATATGTGATTCCGGAGTCCTAGGTATTGTCGATTGAGAAGGTGATGTTGCTACCGCGCGTCGCCTGTGTGCCACAACTGCCCCATCGCGTCTTTTATCGGTGGTGACACATTCGATCCCGGCGAGACGGCAGTTCCGACATGGCTGTTCCTCATCACAGCGCGTCTTCTTAAAACGACAATAGTTGCATGCAAAAGAAAGCCGCATGCGCTTTCGATAGTGGTGAGTCCTGGTGCTCATCATCAAAACGCTTTGAAGGATGAGAAGCGTAACAGTGCCCCAAGAAGTGTCATTCAAGTTCCCGGTCCCCCACTTGCCGATAGTCCGGGACTGTGGGGCGGCGGGGAACGAAGTATACAAACGCCTCAAGGTCAGGATAATTCTCTGCCAAGATCTCATATATATATTAAAGGTGTTGGGATACTGATGGTTATTGATCATATGTTATGGAAAGGTTCATTCTCACTTCTCTAGCTCTCACTGATTTCCAACCTGTCATTGATGCAACACGTCTAGTGAGACCAATGGTGAGATTGACCACGGATAGATACATAGAGCTTCCAGTACTTCTGCGAGAGGATACAAAGATGTATATAAGAATGTAGAGGAAGAGTTGTTGGTGGATGAATGGTTCAGTGTTTTTTTTGGTTATCTAAAGGCTTGCAACAAACTACATGTAAGCAGGGCAACTCGCGAACGCGCCTAGGAAAGGCTGGCATGCAGAGTCTTGTCCATCTTGTCGAGCCAGAACGCATTTTAAATTATGTCTTCAAAATTAAATTTCAACTCGAAATTCTTGCGAAAGCTTTATTTACCCAATGTGTGTTTTGTAGACCCTTGCAGAACAAAGATAGATATCCGTTCACTTCCAGGAAAGCCGGAATGAAGATGGATTCTCTCTTCGATTGTATCACAAAGGCCTAAAGAGGTTCTTTCTTACTTATTGTCTTGGGAAGCTGTGTCGGCTTCACATACTTTCAGTTTCCATATTTCCTCACAAAGATCGGTTGCACTTCCTCCTACTCTCTACATATTTCCATCGACAATGAGCACCCAACTTCTGCCTCGCCTCATTTACACAGACTCAGATGAAGAGCTCCTGCGTCCAATCTCGACTGCAGAAGTGAACAATCTGATCGATCAATTAGAAGGCCAAGAGCTTCAAAATATCTCCAAAGAGTCCCGATTCGAAGTGCCGGTCCGCAGTTCCGCGGAGGTGAGTCGGCAAGAAGATAATGAACGATCCGATGATCAATCAACAAGCTTGACTGACATGGCTTATAGCATGGACCTGTGACACTGGCTCCCATTCCTGTCCTACAGACTTCTCTAGATCAAACTCAAACCTCGACCCTCGTTCGACCCATGTCTGTGTGTATGCTGAAAAAGCCATCGGAAACCGCACCAACTGATACTCCCGTAGCCACGCCAGCAGCACCATCAACGCTCTCCGAGAAGGCCGAAACCCCACGGCAGAACAAGAAATGGACCCCTGCTAAACAAGCCCGAAAGAATGTCACTTTCAATATGGAGCACGCCTCATTTACCGACAAGCCCCGAAGTAAACGTCCTCGCGCCACTCTCACTACTCCAGCCAAAAAGCCCCGATCCAAACCAATTTCCTTGCCAGCAACATGGGCGGACGCCGCCTCAGAGGATCTGCTGTTGATTCAGCTGCAGGATGAGCTTGGCGACAAGGACGATGCGTGGGGTCAGATCGCAAGCGAATGGAATCGGATTACGGACAGGTCGTATGCGAAAAAGTCATTGATGGCCCGATGGAAGCGAATCACGGATTCGCTTGGCTCGCCTCCGCCGGAGGTGAAGGAGATGATGGGTCTGGAGGGTAGTATTCCTTCGAGTTCAGTAGGAAGTGGTTGCACTACTCATTATTAATGTGTTGTCTTTTTTTCAGGGCTTTCGGGAAGTGATGACACTGTGTGAGTGGTGAGAGAAATAACAAGCTGTCTCTGCGTATCCTCTCTTCAATTTCCTTTCCTGCGATGCGACCGATGCGGATGATGGCTGGAAAGACTTTGCGGGATCGGCTGGAGACTTCTGATCTTTCATCATATTCTTTCAAACGCGAATGCAGTTTCAATGTTGAGAAGTCTGCCGATCGACTGATAAATTTTGATTTCAGCAACCATGGACTATGTGCGGCGATGAGTGATTGGCGATGGCTCTATTTTGATTACTGTGATTGTTTCATATCCCATCGAAGCATCCGTTAGAAAATCCGTTTCCTTCATCAAAGGTTGGCATATGGCCACTTTACTATTTTGCTTCCAAAAATAAGTCGGATCCAATCAAAAGGGATCGAGAACATCGTGTTGGCTGTACAGTACGTAATCTGTGTTGGCACCGTTCTTGAAAACATGCACTGCACATCACGACCCACATACTTGGTTTACGAAACCAACTAGAAATACAATTTTGAGGAAAAAATTTGTTGAGCTATATTATAAACAATATCTTTTTGAAGCATTGACAATTGATTTAATAGTGATACTTTTTAAAGAGTCTTCTAGTAATATAGGGTATTGTCGAGCGTAGCCCTCTTCCCTCGGGATCTATTACTTATAGAATACAGACCATCAATAATGATAGGATCGAAACCATTGAAGTTCACTGCGAGGATCGTATAATCAAGACTACCATTTGATACGGTATCGCTCCATCTGATTAACTGGTTCATGCAGTTATTTGAACTTTGCTCAACATATTAGGGGCTATACATTATAGCAAGTATAACAAGCATTCCACCGCTACAAGTGCGGGCATTGTTTTTCCGCGCCGCTTCCCTTTTGGATCCTAGTGTCATTAGTGACTATAGTATATAGTTTCATAGTCACAGATATATAGTAAATTAGATAAAAGAGGGGGTCATGACGCTATAATCCATTATTTTCCATCTCCTCTCTCCCGCTAACCTCCCTCGGGTAGCTGATATGAGTTATTTTTTGAGGTGGATCATTTGTGACCTTCACTATATGTATAAGAAATTGTAATAGCTATCGAAATTATTGCTTATTGTTTCTATTGGAAGATGTATCCTCAATAAAAATAGAATTTCCAAAAACCTATGCTATGGTGATCTTCAAGTGTCGCTACATACCAAAGATCAAATTTATTTAAACCCTAGGATCCTTCCCCTCTCCAGAATTTCTCATCAGATCCTATCTTCCATCTTATAATTCTCATTCAGAGCCCCATTTTGTTCACCGCTCAATTCCAATATGTCTGCCCAGGGTAATCCGTCTTTTTCTAGCGGCCGGCGTTCCAAGAGCCCAAGGCGTCCCTCTTGCTCTCAGAGTTCCCCGCTCCAAGGGCACCCTGGTTATTCTACATCTTTGGAGCTTAATGACTTTAGAGAATCGAGCATTGAGGAGGAGATTTCGCGACTCACAGATATAATAGAAAGCTCGGTTACATTTCCAGCTCAGAAACTTGATGCAAAGGGTCAACGTCAAGCCCTAAGGGAGGGTAAAGATAGCTATAAACAATATATGGCTAACAAAAAGGTGGCGGAGAGGCGAAGAGCCAAGGGTCTGCAAGTGTGATGTGGTTGCGGCTCACTTCCAGCGTTGTGATAAGAGCGTGATCTCGCACTTATCGCACTGGGTCTAAATGGTGGCTAAAATTGTTCGACTTTCGTCCCATGTCTCTTGAGCGCCATTCTGGCCCAGAAGTCTTATTTGCATTTTGATGATTGAATATAGCGCCAAACTCGTTGCACTATTTGGCTATCTCCATTGTCTTGTATCTATGTACCCTGCCTTTATAGATATTTCACGCAAGTTTGTTCGTTCCAAATTAAAGATCTCGAGTCGAAAAAAATACCATCAGACTATAGTGGCTTAGTTAGCGCCGCAAAATGTAGTAGAAAATGGGGAGGGGAGGAGAGGGAGGTAAAAGCAGGACGACAATCATATAACCGGGCCATTTCTGATAAAAATATGTCCTGTATCTTTAGAATTAGCATGCAATAAACTAACTGTCAAATTTTAGCTTGTTATCCGTTAATAGGAGTGGTGTAAGCACGGCCCACTGCTGTCACGACGATGGTATTAGGTTAACATGACTATTCAACCGATCACCAACCGCTCAATTCAATAGCGACATACACAATATAAACTTCGTTTCACTCTTATCGTGGTATTACTGCTAAATTCAATCATTCAGGGGATAGATTTCCTTTCAGGGAAGATGCGCTGAAGATGAGAGAAGGCATGCAGCATATAGGTCTATGGCCATCCGGGGACGTTTGAGAGTGTGCAGAAGAGGGAGAAGAAGCGGCCTTGAGAACTCGGGGTCGACAAGGTCTCAAACATCGCCGTACGTAAGGGCTCATGCTCGACGGTGCAAGCCCGGCGCTGGAAATGTAGTCTTTAGATAGTGGAACGTGTGAATCGTGTCAATACAAAGGTGCATCGGAAGATGCAGCTGATATGGCTCATCTAGCAAAATACAGGGAAACCCCAAAGAACGGGGATTAAAAAAAAGCATGATAACCGTGGTAACGCCGGATTTTACCGCAAAGAGAAACGAAACTCCGCATATACCCGTCGTAAAAGTCATATCAGAATAAGATCAAAGAACGCTCAATTCGCGCCGCCCACCATTGCGCATACTCATGCCCATGGCACCCCCGCTCCAATCTGAGGAAGACGAATCACCACGAGCTCGTGAGCCCGTAGTACTGGTGCTGGCACCAATGCTGATGCCTGCCGTTGTGAGCGAATCACCGTCATCGATGTTTGGTGGGACGCCGACCATCACTGGTCGAATTTTAGCGCCGACAAAACCGCGTCGATCGCGGCCAGTGCGGCCACGGCCAAGCCAGTTGTGCTTCAGCGCTTTGCTGAGAACCTCGATTTTCTCCTGTGCAGCATCGTCGGTCTGGACGCTACCCAGGACACTGACACACTGAAGCATTCGCCCGACTGTCTCAGTGATGACATGAGATGAATCAGTGGAACCACCGCGATGAATCACAGTAGGTCGCTGATTCGAGGTCGGTGGCGATGATACAGACGAAAAGTTGAGTGGATCTGGGTTAGAGGAGGTGTTGGATGCAGCACGGCCACGGGAGTCGCTACTAGGGGGGCGGGCATTGGCCAGGGCGCTCATGGAGTCTGATGAGTAGCTATCTGCCACGCCAGCGCTAAGCAGAGTAGAGGATTGAGAGTTGAAGCTGCCCAGTCCGGCATCAAGAGATGCAGCCGTACCTGGACGACCGCCGGTGCCGGCGCTTTTGGCGGTCACACTTAGCGTTGGGAACCCACTTGCATTGATGCTGTCTAAGCTGAGTCGTGAAAAAGTTGCTTTGAGTGTCTCGTAGCGGTTCAGGATGATGCGATCTCGGAAGGCTATCAGAACAAGATTCCGCACATCAAGTGATCCGCCAGCTGAAAGGGCGCCCCAGAATTCGAGAGATTCCCGACCAGTCATTAGGGTGCCACATCCTTTGAACTCGAGATCCAATGGTAAGAACACAGCCTGAATAAAAGGGAGAATTGTACCAAACACCAACATCCAAATCTGGACCAGATGTGGAACAAGTTTCTCATCGGGAATGCCTACCAATGTGCTATGGTTAAGCGTCGCAAACCCAGTCTCGAGCAACTCTTGGAGATCCATAATGATCAAGGTCGGAGATCGTTTTTGCACGCATCGCTGTAAGTGAACCAGGACGAGTTTATTCAAGTCCTCGATGGCAATGCGTACATCTTCTCCATCGAAAATGACCAGCAACTTAGCCTTGAGAAAGTCCCATGCATCTTCGGGGGACATGTTGTTCAGGCCAAAGCCTTGCAATGTTTCCCGCAATACAGCCTCACCAAGGGCTCCGGATGAGCTGTTCATCGAGGACGGACCGGCGAATGCACCAGGCGCGATACTCCCACTGGTTGAGTTGGCCAGCCACTCCATTTGTTCCGATTCAGCGAGAGCCTTTTCTTCCTTTTTCTTCTCTCGCAGGGCCCGTCCGCCGTGTAGCAGGTCCAGCCCACTGACGGATTTTCCAAATGTTGCTCCAGGTGCAGGGGAGGCTGGGCTTGTGAATGAGTATAGGGATTGAGGGGCATTGGGATCGGCAGGGCGTGAGTTACTCGAGGCCGAAGACAAAGGTAAATTGAAATGGTCATCGCGATCTTTGAGCTTCAGCTTTTGCCGAGACAGGAAATGATGCTTGTGCTTATCCTTATCCTTGTCCTTGTCCTTTTCCGGAGGTGCGGGTGGTCGATCGGCGGGTACAACCGTACTGACAGATGCATTGGAAAGATTGTACATGGATGAATTGTTTGAAGGGAGATCAGCGAGACTCGTGCTGGAGGCGCTAACCATACGTGACAATCCGGTGATCTTGCTTGGTGAGGGAAGGCCGCGGTCCCGGCCAAAGGGATCTTTGTCGCGACTGATGCCAATATGTTTTGGTTTGGAAAATAGCTTTTTCTTCTTTTGTTTTTCCGGCTGCTGCAGGTCGGACGAGGAAGCCCCGGCCCGTGGAAAGACCACGTTCGCGGCGGTCGTCGCGACATTTCCAGCCGTGGGAGGAGGTAATGATGGAGATGGTTGGTTCACCCGAAGAGGAGGCGGCATCAAAGGTGGGGAGATGCTGCCGCTCCGGCGTGATGTTCGTGATGCCCCATCATCCAATGAAGTCATAATTGTCTGAGATCGTTTGGTCTGCTGCATAGCTGCCTGGGCCGCAATACGGGATGCCGAAATCTGGGGCATTTGGTCCGACGAGGCCGTTGGTAACGAAGGTTCGAAGAAGCCCTGGGAATGATGTCTCGAGCGGTGTCTTTGTAGTTCTAGAGAGGGGCCCCGGCCAGATGGCCGGCGGCCGCCTGAGGCGTCTGGCGGCATGGGGCGTGCCGCGTGTTGGGGCGAGGTCGTGGCCGAGGCGGATCGTGGATGAGGGGAGAAGTACCCGGCCGCAGGAGGCTGTGTATTGATCGGAGTGATAGGAGCCGCAGACACTGTGGTCACGTTGGAGGAGGCATCGCTACCGGAGGATCCGGGACGGGCCAATTCGTCGTCATCGGTGTCTTCGTCCTCGTCTTCGTCCTCGTCTTCATCCGACACAGGCGGCGGTTGGGGAGGGCGGTAGACAGGAGGAGCCCGTGTAGAACGACCCGGAGACTGGGAGTTGGGAGAGCGAAAGGAGGGATTCATCGTGATGCGTCACCCATGGCAGGGTAATAGTCTTGTGTGGCAGTGTTTTGCTGTCCCAGGGTTCTTGGGTTCCAGGTTGACAAGTGAGCCTGTGACTGGTCGATGGACACAGCTCCCCTTCGGGTTTAGTTTGCTCCGATCCCCTCCCCACACATCGAGATTCTGCATTGTTCGAATGCTTCTCCGTTGCTCCTCCGTTGCTCCTCCATTACTCTATTGATCTATTGATCTAGTGCTTTTCGTTGTCTAGACTTGTCCCGGCTTCTTCGATCTGGTTTTCTCATTGACCGTTTTACATAAATTGCCCATATGGATTCCAATACTCCTCTCACTCTTCATGCTGCCTACACCGCGCCCGACGCTACGAAGGCCGTTCTGCACACAATCCCAACCAACACGAACTTTGATAATCTGGCGTCAAAGCAGGCCCACCTGCACGCTCTTCAATCACTCGTTCCCAAGCTACAGGATGAGATCAATGTCTTCCTGACCGAACGCATGGAGGAAGACAAAAAGGCACAGGGGGCCATCTCTGAAAGAGAAGCCCAAGAGGAGGAGAACTATGGCGAAGAGGTGGTCGAAGATGATGCATGATACATGAAACGAGAATGAATAACTACACTGGGTATCAAACGCATCAGGGTCAACAGAAAACGACGATCTAAAGAGTTCCAAAAAAACCCCTGCCTGCAGATGCAGATGCATAAGAAACAAAAAGAAGTTCTATCCGGAATGAACATTGCTTGGCACGCGATTGGCACAGCCCAGATGGACGACCATGTTGCTGGGACAATATTAGACAACGATTGGGGATCAACACGAGGGGATGGAGAGGAGTGAAAAACTGACTCGGGAAATACATTGATCACACTTCCGCCCAGTCGCTTGTGACACACGCCGCAGATCCGCTCCTCCGTGATAGTGACATGACGAGCCCGGGTCCCGCCGTTCCGAACACCGTCACCAAGTGCGAGCTGAGCCTGGGTCTGCACGTCGCGTGCCTTTCGCAGGTTTGCCACAATACGGGCTTCGTTAAAAACGGAATTGGCGGCCCGCATCCTGCCCTTGAAGTAAAACTCCAGTTCTTGGACGGGCAGATTGACAGGAATGAGAGTAAGTGCAGCGTCTGCTGGGAGCCGAGACCCATGTTTGGCAAGGACAGCCAAGGCGGGACTGTGTTGCGGCTGGTAGCCATGTGGTGGTGACAGGTAGAGAGACAGCAGGGTGAGATAAATGGAGTTGTCTGCAGCCTCCTCATCTTGGTTGTCTCCAGCCTGAGTGGTCATCTCGGAAAGATGAACTTGATTACAGTATCTACAGTGTATTAGCAAGGTTGTCGAAATAAACAACGATGAAAACAAATCACCCACTCTTCTGCTTTCTCGTGGTCTTCTAACTTGAAAACGTAGATTTCCAGGACCTGGCGATGTTGTCCCATCTTACTGAATATAATAGCGCGCGGCTCATAGAAATCAGGATCTATACACTATTAGTCATGATCATCCCTGACCAGCAAGCCATAACATACCCTCTCGATCCAACCGGTCTAGCGTCTTGGCTAGCGAATACTGTTCACTCTCGCGGAGCATTGACAGGAATTTTGCCTTGCTCTTGGCGTCATTCTTATCGGCGTTGACCTGGTCAAGGTATAGCATCAAAAGTCGTTGGTGCAAATCTGGGCTCAATTCGTTCCACTCTTGAACGACATGTTCCAGATACCAAACAGCGAGCTTTTCATCAATCTTCTCCAAGAAATCAAGTACCCGCAGCCGAGGCAGTGTTTCGGCATTTTCGGTTTCCGCCAGAAATACCTCCATGCCCAATTCATGGTTAGTGCGAAGCGGCCATTCGCCAAACTCGAGAATCAAATCGATCTGGTCGGGTGGTAGGTTTTGCAGGTATGCAACAGTGCGCGTGGGTCCGCTCAACAGACCCGATTCTTCGTGCCCGAAACGTCGTAATAGCTCCAACGCCTGGCGATGCAACCGTTTGCCATAGAGGAAATCGATCAAATCGTTATATCGACCGGTCTCCTCAAGGCGTTCCATCACCACATCGGGTTCACAAAAGTTGGCAATCCGAAACAGTGACCCGGCCAACGATGGTGTGGCATACATGTGTGCGCGGAATAGCGTGGTATCGACAAGTCGCGCCTTGGAACGAAGGGTTTCCAGAAAGTTCTCTGCGGTGGGAAAATCAAGTAATTTGAGCACGGAGCTGCTTGCCTCATCGGTGGCTTCAGTGGGCACTGGCACCTTGAGCGTACCATCAGGCCCCAAAAATCGCTGGAAGCGTCGACGGACATCGGCCAGGTATCCCTGTAATTCGCGTACCGAGTTCTTCAGATCTATATCCTCGTTAGCCAGACTTGCATTATTTGCAAACAAAAATAAAATGAAGGGATATCACCTTTGTCTTTGTCATCCCCGCGAATGCTGCTTGTCTCACTTCCTTCCTCGGCTCTTCGGAGCAAAGATTTTGCAGAGGTCGCATAGAGAGATTGACTTGCCGTCGCGGCCGCAGCCTCTGAAGATCCATCCGTATGGTCGCCGTTCGTCTTTGTATCAGAGCCATTTTGGTCGGGAACGGCAGAAAGGTCTCCTGCAATGAGCTTTGGGTATAGACGAATAACAGTCTCCGGAGGAGCCGAAACCTCAGTAAACAGATCTAATGAATCACGATATTTATGCAAGGCAAACAAACTCTGCGCTTTCTCAAGCTTTGCTGTGCGCAGTCGACCGGCTTTATCTTGTAAGAGAGCATCTTCCAGCATACTTAACAGGCTGATCGCCTCGTCCAGGTATCCTTTCTCAACGAGAGTGTCGATCTGTGTGTCATAGCTAAGGGCTTCCATTCGCCAAATGATTCTATCACTTGCGACCAGGAATCCTTTACCCGCATGTGCCAGGCTGATATTCGGCTGCGGGATGTGCAGAATGCACGCCGAAGGAAGCGGGATCGATTGTAGGAGAGACAGAGTTTCCGGGTTGCGTACTTCCAGAACACCTTTGGCCGTATCATGCAGCGCTAGCAAAAAAGGATAGGAGTACCCGATCTCCACGGGGGCGTGGCTCCATGGAATCTGTCGTCGGCCGAGGGGTTGACCATCCACATCAATAAAGTGTGTGTTGATATCCTTGGCCAACAGAATCTGCCCTTCGCGGAGTCTTGTAGTAAGCGGACGTGGCACCATGCCTCCCATGCCGATGTAGCTCATGCTCGCTGCCCCAACCCCCTGAAACCGCCCAGCTTCCTCCATGCTGCCCGGTCCCGCGAGCTCCGTCACCTGGCCAGACTCGATATCGACCATCACAAAGCTGGAACTTAATCCCACCACCAGGCGTGTCGCAGACACCCAGGTCGTTGTTTTGATCGCGCTAACCAAGCTCAACTCGGCAACATTGGGCTCCAGCTCCATGTCGCGCCAAACCCACATCAAGAGCTTCCGCTTGACGGCAACTGCCAGTCGCGAGACAATCGCAGGAACATTGGTATCGGGATCGTGAACGACATTGGATGTGATCGCAAACGCAGAGGCGCCCTTCGTTTGCGCCAGCTGCTCGTGGAGCTCGTACGTCTGCGAGTCGTGAAGAGAAACATACCCGCCTGCCAGCGAGACCAGCACCTTCGCCTCTTTCACCAACGCCAGCTGCTCGATCTTGTACCGGGAGAACTTCTCCAGCTCCCGCAGCAGCTCGGTCTTGCCATCGTCAGTCACGCGGTAGATACGGAGCGTGCCGTTGTTGAGGCCAGCGAGAAGACGGTCGCCATAGGCCAGCACGGAGTCGATTTTGGATTTGTCGCGCGGTTTGAGCTCGACCAGCGGCCGCGCGGTAAATGCGGACAACATCTCGCGCGCGCCGGTGGGAGAATGGACTTCTCAATTCATGACCCAGGAACTGGTTGGGTTCCGCCGTTTGGAATTGGGGGGAAGCTCTCGTCTCCGCCGGACTACATGTGACGTCTTCAGATGAGTCAGCCTCCTATGCCTGAGGCCTAACTATAGCCTCTATGTCTTACGGTTGTGCATTTGAAATCGAGGGTGAAAATATGGTTCTTAGGCGATACAACAGTCATTAAATATATCCATTCAACCTTTTGTTTTCTATTTTATCTTCATCCTGCCCTGGACTGCCACTCAGCTTGTTTAACCACAAAAAAATAACATTTTTGGTATCTGTGTCGTTGCATATCGGAAGAAAAAGAAGAATGTGTTTGATGCAGTCCATAATCCGCCCAGGTCTTTCTCTGCTCCAAACGCCCGAAAAAAGCAGATGCTATCCAGATCACATGAAATCTTCGAGTCTCCCTTAATGAGCGGCCACTGGGGCCTCCTGGCTCTCTGCAGGGAACTCCTGGTGCTTTGCCGAAGTGCCCTTGCCTCGCCAGGTCGATACGGCGGGAATATCAGCTTTGAAACGCTGTTCCTCGGTGCCATAGGCGCGTGGGGTAAGTTTGATCAAAGTATGGAGGGGGACTTCCATCCAAGGACTCTTTTCTTGTGGGACGTTCATGAAGTAGGCATAGATGCAACGCAACACGGCCTGATGGGTGACGATCATCACGTTCTCACTGCGTTCCAGTTCCATGATAATCGGCTCCAGCCGGATGACGACGTCCCGATAGGATTCGCCGCCGCGATATCGGTAGTTGTACTTGTCTTCATCACGGGCTGCGAAATCTTCAGGATACTTCTCGGCAATCTCTTCATAAGTGAGCCCGTCGCAGACCCCTGAGTCTAGCTCGTCCAGTGCCTTCCACTCCAGCTTCTCAAACTTTGTCTCCGCCTTCAGGTGGCGGGCGGTTTGAATCGTACGGCGGAGCGTAGACGTCCAGATCACAATCTTAGTGTTGGGGGGAACCCCTGATTTGCGAAGCAACTCCGGCAGCGCGCGAGCGTAGGCCTCGCCGCGCTCGGAGATGCTTGAGTCGCCGCCGATCCGGCCGGTCAGATTGTACTCTGATTCTCCATGCTGTTGGTACGGTTTCGGCGCATTAGTGACAGCTCATCCTTCTCCTTTTATCGGAACACACTAGGAAGGGAGGGGGAATTTGTGCAGCCCGGTCTCCGGAGTTGAACGTAACACTTACCCGTGAGAGCCAGATCGAACGAGGCTTGATATGCAGGTTCTGGATGTAGTAAACAAGACGACTGGACAGGTAATCCTTAATTTGGTTGATAATGACGGTCGATCCGACATTGATGAGTTTCACATAGGTGTAGTGCTTTTCGTTGTCATCAATGGTCTCGTAGACCTTCTCATAGTTGCGGATGCGTTTGCGGAAGTCCAGAGCGGCCAATTCGGGATCTTGGCCCTTATAGTCAGGCGAGGTGGTTTTCACCTCCAGGATGTTGGTCATGATCAGATCTTCGTCGTCGCAGATAGATTCCACAAAGAGGGTTTCGATGTCGGCTTCTCGACACTTTTCATGGATCCACTGGCGGCGTTCCTTCGTGGAATTGGTCGCATCCAGGATGGCGACGACTCCCTTGCCGGACTGGAACCACTGGAGCATGTCGGACACGGCCATTTCAGCTGCGGCTCGGCGCATCCGTTCGCCCTCCGCATTGTGCGGATCAAAGAAGGTGGCGGCCGGCTGGGGGTGTTATGGCGACGGTAACTGCCAACATTGAACACGCGGGCGGGGATGCCTACCCAGGCCAGATAGCGCATGGCTAGATTTTTGTCAATACTTTATTACCGCTCGAGCGAAGGCGCAGGCCGATGACAACTTACCCTTTCCGGCAATGAGGCTCTTACCCCGGGCGGGCAAACCGACCATGACAACACATATTTTGGAATCATCAGACTGTACCGTGAAGTTAGATGGCATGCTGACGAATAGGATCCGAGGATTGGGAAGAATGGAGAAATTCAAGGAGAAAAAAAAACAGAAAGAGAGAGAGAGAGGGAATCGCGGGCATCAGATGATCAAGTGACTGTCCGAAAAAGGGCCCAAAATGGGGCTGGCTTCCGCCTGCCCTTCCATGCTTTTGAACCTGTAGGCAACATGGCGAAATACGGGAAAACCACGCAGACCTACAGCGACAGGCAGGAAGAGCATTTCAGGGCCCAGATTGGGTTGATGGCGAGCGTTCTAAAGACCTCCAGAGACTCCCCAGACCCCAGATCGCCGACAGAACCTCGATTCCAGATCCTAGATCCCCAGAACCAAAGAATCAAAGAATCACAGAATCAGAGAACCACAGAAACCAAAGCACAACACAACCCAGAGAAACCACAGCACCCACAGATCAAGCACCCAAGTGAATTAACAGAGATCCGCAGGGCTTGAACACACTAACATCGGGAGGGGCAGAGAACCGAGGCATCAAAGGAGGGGCGCAAGGATCCCCCGCCATCCCACGATCCTGGCGGCCGATCCGACATGCGGAGAAGCCCTCACGCCTTCCCTCAATTCCAGGGCAAGAGGGAGGATTAGGGTCCACTCACACTGGCAATGAATACTTTGTGCTGCTGCTGACTGCGACTCACACTGCCGGTCGGCATGATGGCGATGATGTGCAGAGAGGAATGAATCGGGAAGAATAGGGACACGCTTTCCCGAGGCCGGAGAACGGAGTGCTGCACGGAGCCCAGTCAATCCCAGTCAATCCCAAAAGAAAACCCCCAGTTGAACCCCAATAAATCCAGCAAGGAAAGAGGGAGCACAAGACGAAAGAGAGAGAAAGAGAGGGAGAGAGAGTATATACTTGTCTATTTCAGGAGAGAAGGAAAGAAAGCGTGAGAAATGGCGCTGAGCAGGCTGAGCAATGCGGTGAGTCTGGATTTCGCCGGGTCCACCAAACGTCATTCCGATCCCGCCGTTTCATGGTTCGACTCTTTCACAGGCTTTTCCAAGCACTTCGTGGTGGTGCACTATTGTGGTATTTCTACCGATGGTTGTGTATGGATGATATTTGAGGGTCACGCCACATGCATACCATTGTCGCTTCTAGAATTCTAGATGGGGAAAAAAAGGGGGGAAAAGGGAAAAGCCTCTTTCAAATGCTTGAGTTCTGGTTCATTTCCGGTTCATGTCGGGTTGATCTCTATATATATCTATGCTCCATCTATGCTCTCGATATGCCTTCCAAATGCTGCCCGATAAAAACAAACTCCAAAGTCCCCTCTATTTTCTCCACCTTGCTCTCAAAAGGAGCCTTTTCGGCCCAACGATCTTTCCTGTTGTTTATCTGTGTTGCGGGTTGGATTCACTGGACGCTCTCTCCCACTCTTAGGCTGGGGTTTCTCCCCCAGGGCTGGGGGTGGCCTCTGACTTGCTGGTGGTACCACGCGCTCGCTGGACACGTAGCGGGCTTCCCCACGGCCCTGGCTGGCCATTAAGGGTGTCCATAGCCCGCTGGGCTTCCTCCACACTGTCGAGGTCGACGAACAGATAATAGTGCTCACCAGGTTCGAATCGTTTCGCCGGGTGAGGGGCAAACACCTTACTGACATTCACACTAAGGATTCCAACAGAATTCACGAGTCAACACACAAATTACAGTCCCACAACAACTGACCGGAGAGGTTGAGTAGCAAGAACCAGCCCGGACGAGACAAGACGGGGCTGCTCGAGGGCGGAGAGGGAGAAGTTACTTACACCTGGTACCCCGAGAAGAAGGTCTGCATGTTGCTCTGAGCTTCACTGGCATCGGTCAGACGGGGCAATCCGCCCACATAGACCCGGAGACTGGAGTCGCTCTGGCCGGTTGAGGTCGTGTCGGTCGAAGTAGTCGCGTCCGGACGGCGCCATCGGTCGAGGCCAAAGGATGATCGGGAGTGTTCGCCAGTGCGTTCGGCGGATTTGGCGACGCCCGGCTTGATCTTGACAGGGCGGCCCAGTAGGTCCCGGCCGTCCAATTCGACCATCGCCTGGTCGGCGTGTTCTTTGGTTTGCAGGTCGACGAAGCAGTAGGATGGATTGCGCCCGGTGAATGGGTCAATGGCAATGTCGATGCGCTCGCTATCAAATGGATCTCTCAGTCGGCGACCTCTTCACAAAATCTTCAAAAAAAAGTAAAAAGAGAAAACAAAAAAAAGGAATGTCACGGGCCGAGGCGGGCATACATGGCAAACTCGGCCGCCGTGAAGAGCGCCTCCACATCCTCCGATTTGGCCGTATAGGGCATATTGCCCACGTATAGACGGCGTCCGTCTGAAATGGCCTGGGGCACATGCGGCCCAGGGCGAGAGAAGGCGGTGCGGGAGGTGTGAGTGGTGCTGCTGGGGGTGCGCGACGGCGAGGCTTGCGGGCTGCTCTCGCTTTTCATCCGCCAGTTAGGCGAATTGAAGGCACGGCCATTGGTGCGGACATTCTGGTAAGGGGATCGGGGAGCTGGGGAGGAGCCTGGATTGTTAGTCGGACTCGGTTGGCCGGAGTTCGATTGGACTCACTTGGCTCCTCTGGTCTGGAGATCTCGGTGTCGGCCATGGTCTTGAAGATCGTCAGTGTGACTGGCACGGTGCCGAGGGAAACGCACTCCACCAAACCCGTACGTACGATAATCGTCGTAACTTCGTCTCTCAAGCTGTGATCGTCCAACAGATTCAGCCTCGCTCGTCTGGTCACCGGTCGTGGTGACTCTACCACTTTTTCTGTTTGCTCGTGCAAACAGTGCAAAGCGCGAGTGGGGGGATATTTGCCTGCTCCACCGCCGAGCTCCTATTTAGCTTTAGCTCGCTGCGTTTTTTTCTTTTTTTCTCTTCTTCTTCTTCTCTCGTATCTTCTCATGAAGAAACGTCAATCGCACACTGGGACATACCCTGATGATGGTCTTGTATGACCATGGATAGATCCGAGCGGGACTATCCTGCCATTGGCTCATCCCCTCGGGGGTGTGTTCATTAATACCTCATCTGTGGTGGCTCGAAGCCCCAGCCCCTTCATCTGTTCCTGTCAGCTTTGCTAGGGGGGTTTGTACATCTTCTATGCAAATCCCCGAATCGAGCCAAAGCAGCCAGGACAGACAGAAATTCATCATGAAGCTGTTTCTCATCCGCCACGCAGAATGCGAGCATAATGTGGGCCAAGCGTTGTATGTGCGCGGATGAGAAGCGTTCCCCCATTCCCTCGCTAACTCCTGCCGTGTTAAGGGGCAATGCCGATAACCTTACAAGAGTCGGCCAAGAGCAGGCTCGACAACTGGCACGGTATCTGTCAGACCGCCCGGTGCGCTTTACTCGGGTGCTCTCGTCGGACCTGGATCGTGCAACCGACACAGCCCGCGTCATCTGCAAGCACCAGATGGAGAACGGTCCGGTGCTGGAGCCGTTTCGGACAGCTAAGTTGCGAGAGCAATGCTTTGGATGCGGCGGTCTGTCCATGGACGTGACTCATATCGAATCGATGGCGTCGATGCGGGCTCGTGTCCATGGCGTCCTGCGCGATCACATTCTGCCTGAGATGGCTAACCGGGTAAAAAGCCGGGGTGCAGTTATTGGAGTGGTGGGACATGCAATCATCTTGCAGGTCTTCTGGGCCTGTCTGACTGATCTCTTTGGATCACAGTCTTTCCATCTGGCCCGGGATGCGACCTGGATGGGGTCCAACTACATGCGCCCAAAGTGGTCCAACACGGGGATCATGGAGTTGGATATCCGTCCCGGAGGGCCACCAGAAGAGATGCTGCTTGAGAATGCGGTCCAAGTGAACGTCCAACCGCCTTGGCTCACCAAGTCCACGCCGCCGGTGACGCCGGATGGAAGCGCTCCTTTGATCGGTTGGTCGGTGACAATCCTGACGGTCGATAGCACACCGCATCTCACCGTCGAGACGCAAGCTGCTCCCAAGATTATGCCGTTTTCAAGACAGCCACTGATGGCCGAGTCCTATCGGGTACCGGGGGCCCGTGTAGCATGGTGAGTGTCCTTTGCGTTCTCTTCTCCCTTTCCTACTCCAATGACGAAGCAAGATTTTACACAGACCTGTTCTGAATAAGAATGAGGATAAACAATCAAGCACTATATTTTCTGACGGAGCTTTGGCCTTTTTGTTTCTTTGAACATGTGTCGCATGATCACCGCTAATCGTGATCCAGACCGCAGCTCTACGCCCAGTAATTATTTGATTTGATGTGATGTGCCTGGCTCCAGGAAAGTTGTCAGAAGGGCGATAGTTGATGGGGACTCCTGTCGACTCTTGACCCTTCACTATTGGAAAGGGTAAGTATCTGCTGCTTTCGTATCTTCCCTCCAATGATGAAGCAACATTTCACACAGACCTGTTCTGAGTTATTATGAGGACAACCAATTGTTCAACTGCTATCTGACGGAGATTTGCCCACCTCGTGTTTTGCAAACCTACTGGTTCATTGCTAACGATCTTTCAGAACCTACTTCCTCGGTATGAGAGCATTGTAGAAAACACCTTAAAATAAGAAGAGAATAATTACAATGCACATATGAACCACATAGATCGTCCTGCTCATTTCAAAAGCCAGCCCTTTGAGGTCTAAGGTGTCTTCCTGTAGTAGCGTAGCATCACTATCCTATACCACTGTTTTGCCCTCATCTATTGTACGGAAGGCGAAAAGAAAAGAAAAAATTAGGGGGAAAAATGAGCGACAACAGATGGCAGGAGATCAGGATTGCCGACTGCATGGGGAAGTGGCTGAAGCAGTCGACATGAAGTCGATCAGTCTGGAATCAAGTGGGACCGATCGGCCCTCGGCCAATCTTAGCTGTTGCTGAGAGGAACTATGGACAGCGAGGGGCATTCCGATTTACTCAATCTCAATGACAAGATTATACAAATCCGAAATCCTGCATACACTCAGGATGTAAATACAAGTGTCCCACAAGCAAGCCCTTATTCTCTATTCTCCGTCACGCATTATCTTCCACATCCTCCATGGACGTAGTGTCCTCTCGCTCATACAAGATCTCTGGCCGGACATCCCGACGCAGTAGATATCGCTGAAAGAAATACGGGATTTGCCGCAGTCCATACCGGGCATGGAATCGTGTGGGCACTGAAAAGACCTGGTCCAATTCCTCCAGAGTCTTGTTCTTTGTCTCCGGCATGAAGAGTAGGACGAGCCACCACCCGACAATGCACCATCCAGCATACCATGAGAATCCACCCTGTGCAGTGAAGGCATTTCGTAGCGATGGCCACGTCACCCCAAGCACAAAGTTGAAGAACCATGTCGTAGCAGTGGCCAGGGCCATCCCGTACGATCGGACATACAGCGGGTATGCCTCAGCAGAATACGTGAACGGTACAGGTCCTTCTCCGGGGGAGTAGACGATACCAAACAGGTAGGTGCCGAGCGCGATGCAGCCGATTCGGGCGGCATGATGCGATTCGGGGATCCAAAAGCTAAACCCCGTAAAAAACATCGCGAGGGCCATGAGCGGGAAGGTGGTGAGTAGAAGATTCCGACGACCGAATGTGTCGATGGTGTAGATGGCAGGAATCGCGAAAAGCCAATTTATCACCCCCCAACCCAGAGATGCAGCAAGAGCGGCAGCTGGAGCGAAATTGGCTTCCTATGAAATGATAGGCTTAGTCACATAGGGTTACGTGTTCAGCTACTGGAGATGACTACATTGATGGATACGTACCAAAAAGATCTCGGAAGAATAGTATGCGATAACATTGACTCCGCAGAACTAGCCCCCTTAGAATCTGTGACGAAAGTTTCAGAGATCAAGTATACTCACCTGCTGCATAAACATGACTATTTCCGATGCAAACATGGCCCGTCGATTCCTGGGAACCGTTACCAGCTCCAGAAGCTTATTCTGCCCCAGTTTCATACTATTCTCGGCTTCTAGCAGGGTATGCATGTAGTACAGGTCACGCGCCGCCTGAATCTTATGATGCCGCAACGTACAGATTGATTGATACGCTTGGTAATACTGTTTCTGGCTCATATACCAGCGAGGCGACTCGGGACAGGCAAAGACAAAGCAGCATACCACCAGAGCGGGAAACATGGCCGATGCCATCATGAGTCTCCAATTGAGCCCGACGATACTCGAAGTGTCAGGCACTTGGTAAAAGATCAGGTCGGCAGCATACCCGAGCATGATCCCAAACGCTGTCCACATCTGCCATTGCATGACCAATGCACCTCGGATCGCAGGGGGGCGGTTTCCGCAGCGTAGACCGGGACTGTGGCGGATTTGGGACCAATACCGAACCCGAGAGCGAAACGAGCGATGAACATGGCCCACCACGTGGACACAAATCCTTGCCAGAGACAGGCAATGGCACTAAAGCAGCATGTGAGAAAGATCGTCCCACGACGGCCAAACCAGTGATTGAAGGGGACGGTCAACCAGCAGCCGATGAAAGCGCAGCAGAGATAGGGTGCTGAATTGATCAGGCCGACGAGCCAGGTATCCCGTGGCGCAGTGCTGGCAATTCCGAACTGATATTTATACCATATCTGTGCTCCATTGACCACTGTTTCGTCTATAGTGTGATTACAAGCCCGTCAGCCATATAGTTTCATCCTATCTTCTCTGCCTCCTCTTATCTAGTCCTTACCCATTCCCTGGACAGCTGCAGAAAGCGAACACAGCGCAATGACTGCATACATCTTCCGTGGCTGGGACCATCTATATGCAAACTCCCGCCGTAGAAGTTCTTTCTCCTGGCTTGTTAGTCCAGCCACGTTCTCATACCGCTCCGGATTTTGTGCCAACACCGCGCCCAGCTCGAAAGCACGAACATCTGATTGATCGCCGATTTCATGAATCAAGGCAAAGTTACGACCTTGTTTTCGTAGCTCTGTATGGCTATAGCCTGCCAAAGGGTTCGACAATTTGGCGTTGATGTTGCGCCGGGCGCGCTCGGCCGCGGTGCCGAAGGTTCGCTGGGGGACAAACTTTTCTTGTGGAGGGTGGTCGTTGATATTCTCATCTTGCTCGAACATGCCTCGGCCTGGCTTTGAAGCGGACATTATGGGCGCACACCGAACGAGTCGGCACTTTCATCACCCACGCGCGGACATGCCAACCTGGCCGGTACTTGGACGATCAAAACCGGCGTTTTATCACCAAGAAGACGGCGGAGAGAGCGAAGAGAGACTCGAACTGGTGAAGGCTAGAGAAAGAACCCTAGAACAGCAGACAGAAAGACAGACAAGAGAATTGTGCAGCCCCTTCGAGTCTAGGTCTCGCTCAGCAGGGAAGTACAAATAAGCACAGCACGTCCAAAGAGCGGTGGGTCCTGCTCTGTCAAAGCACCGACTTCGCCAGCTATGGGCAGATATGGCCTGGGGCCAAGTGGGCAAGCTCCTTTCCACTGATTGGTGAGCCGGAGGCATTGCCCCGGTGCGAAAGAGGCCCGAGGAGATCGTCTGTATTGTCGCTGGTTTAGGACAACGCAGACGACGGTGAGCGATCGGCAGGATGTTCCGAGTGGCTGGACCTATTGCGCATAATCGGATCGCAAGGCGCAGCGTGAAGGCGACGAACAGGAGTCATCCCCAAAGAAAGACGGGGCATCCGGGCCCTACAGAGCCGCACGGAGACACAATCAGGGCTCGTCGCTTACAGCGAATTCGAAGAAGTGAGAACCAGTCCGATCGAGAGCGCACATGACTTGAACCCGAGCTGTTATGCAACGGCCACGATGACGAACTCGAGCTGAAAACCGCTTGGGCCAATCACAATCATTCCGTCCCCTACCTTTAATTGCCTTTTATTGTCGGATCCAGTATTCTCCCTACGACTCATCGGATTCGGCCATTATTCTTATCGGACTCAAAGCCAACCAGGAGACTTTTGAGACAGGCTTGTCGAGATCCCGAGGAAGCCAAAGCGAGCCAGGAGAGCGATGATCTCTAGAGGGAAAAGCATATGAAAGGAAAGGGATGTGCACGACTCGGCTTTTATATCGAATGTAGCTCATATCTTCCCGAAAATACAATCCAGCGTTCTATCTGGTTGACAAGTCCGACTCACTACACAATGACCTCCCTAATAAGATATCCAACGAATCAGAGGATGTCATACGATGTTTTGATTTCTTGACTTCTCGATTTATGTAGGAGAGACAGACAGAAAGTGGTAGGGAGGTGGGGAAGCAGGACGAGATTTGTACTGTCCATCCGGTACGGTAGATCAGGAATGTTTATAGAAGTTCTGTTGTCTTGCTGTTGAAATGCAAGGTCCACTCACCATACGGATCTGACCACTGGCACTCGTCGTTCTACGATGCGAATATATAGAACCTCTTTCTTTTCTCCCAAATGGCTGGTACATGTCTTTTGAAACGGAACCCCGTAGAAGGCATGCAGGCTCACGGCCGCTCGTTCGCAATGTCTCAATATTGGTTTTGGTCGCGTATCTCCTCTAGATTCATCGCTCATCGAATGCGCTTTTGCTAGAACGGGACTGAGCATGAGACTCAACAGGAAGAGGTGCAATGAGAGGAAGCAGAAGATCCCTGTTTGCACCCTGTTTCGGGTCTGGTACCTTTCAGGCGTTTGTTGTCTGCCAGCGCATGCCCTCCCCCTCCCCTCTTAAGCCTCATTTTATCATTTTCTTCGTCCTTCGTCCTTCGTCCTTGCCTGATTTCCCAAATATACTTCCCCTTCAGTCATCCTTGGATTAGATTATCTCTAGTATGCATCTGTCTTCCCTTCTCCCTCCCCGCTCCAAACCAGAATGTTTAGCTACTGACCAAAGTTTCATCGACAAAGTGGAGGTGTTCCTGCGCAATATCCCCATCGATCTCAACGAAGATGGGCTGAAGGTCCAGCTCGAGCCATTCATGAAGCGACTGCAGATCGTTGATTTCATCTGCGAGAAGCCTAGAAAAAAGGGCCATGGAAATGTCACTTTTTTAAATCGACGAGACGGAGAACGATTCTTGGACAGACACGGCACACGGAAGACCAGGTCTCTTTTACCGTCACCTGCACATCCCCCTGTGTATAACTTGCGCTTCATGGGCACGGATATTCTCTGTGAGCTGAGCAGAAGACCACAGCCCCAAGCATTCACTCTCCGAGCTCTGGAACATGCCGCGCAAGAGAGGACAAATCCCCTCTACACCACCGAAGAGGATACGTCCGCGATAGTGTTTCGATTGGCCAGCTTTAACTGCGGTTATTATGCCTTCCACACGAAACATCTAGCTTATGTACCGCAGATCTGGTGGAATCAATGTGGAATAGTCAAGTGTACCAAGCGGAATTTTGTGGTGAAATTGGAGAACAGTTATCTGATTCGGATCCCCCTGAGTACAATTGTGGAGCTGGTTTGGGAAAGCAGTGGGTTGCTGACGCTCACCCTGTCAACTGTGCCACTGTTCTTCATGGGCTCATACTTGCCCATGTCAGACGCCGATCCGATCCTCTCAGGACTCAGGGGATTGGTACTAAAAAGTGGCATCTATCCACCCCAGGAGGTGCAGCATAATCGACTATGCGCGCTAGGAGAAAAGCATGCTGAGTTGGTTGGACAATGTCTCATCTATCAATTCAAGGTATCCACAGAAGAGTTGTTGACCAAGATCAACAAGCTCAAGAAGCGTGAAATAGCTATCACTCGGTACAGCGTTTCGGTCCCGTCATCCCCGGCTTTCAATCCAATGCCCTTCGTGCGTCAGCTGAAAGCCTTCAAGGCGCAGATTGAAGCATATACGGCAGGTCGATTAGTGCCATTCGAAATCCTTTTTCAACTACAAGCTCTTGTCGACAATGCCTATATTCTCCCATCCGTGGCGCTTGATCTGGCCAGAATGCTCAGGAAGGAGACAGAGGCACGAAAGGCAGGTGGAAAATTACCTGTGTCTGTGGACGCGATGAGAAAGCTGTTTTACACAATCGACTGGCCTTCGCCTCACGGCATTCCTACAGATTTTGACGCAAACTCGATTTTCAACTCCATCAAACAAAACGAAAAGGAGCTTAAGCATGAACATTCTTGCGTGACCGGTATTTCCAACTCACGCCAGAAACTTACCCGAATCTGTCGGGTCACGGTGACACCATCTCGAATTACCTTGCATGGACCTGAAATGGAACCCAACAACCGCATTCTGAGGAAGTTTCCAAATCACCACGAATACTTCATTCGCGTGCAATTTTGTGATGAGAATGGACAGGATATATTTTTCAGTCCCCAAGTGAATAATAGGCATGTATTCGCCCGCTTCAAAAAGATTTTGAAGGGCGGAATCGAGATTGCCGGACGGACATACACATTCCTAGGGTTTTCACATTCGTCTCTCAGGGCACACTCAGTTTGGGTATCAAATTTAAGTTAAACTCTTGTTAAAGAAATCTCATCTAATCATAATTTAGTTTTCGGCTCCCTTTGTTGATGACGATCGCAATCTTCAAACCTATTTCACGATCATCAAGGCGCTTGGCAAGTTCTCTCACATAACATCGCCGGCACGATGCGCGGCGAGAATCGGACAAGCATTTTCAGAAACACCCTTCAGTGTTGATGTTGAGAAGATGAAAATTGACTACATACCAGATATAGTGTCCCCTGATCACCAACGGGTTTTCAGTGATGGCATCGGTGCCGTTTCCCAGGAGGTCATCCAAGCGATTTGGGAGAGCCTGCCGCCTTCAAAAGGCTCCCCGACATGTGCTCAGGTCCGTTTAGGTGGTGCAAAAGGAATGCTTGCGCTCAACAGCCGACTGGCTCCTGGGTCGGTTATTAACCTTCGTCCGTCAATGGTGAAATTTCCTAGTGACGATCTTCGTGTCTTGGAGATTTGTGATGTGGGGTCCAAGCCAATTCCTTTGGTTCTCAACCGCCAAATCATCAAGATCATGGAGGATATGAAAGTCCCCGAAAGATGGTTTTTTCACTTACAGGAGATCCAGTTGACCGATCTACGAAAAATCACCTCTACGGTTGAAAACACAGTGAAGTATGTGAAAAGGCAAAGTATTAGCCAATCACTACGATTGCACAAGCTATTTCATTACTTCAATGCTCTTGGAATTGACTACAGGAAAGAAAATTTCCTTCGGTCTGTTATTGAGATACTGGTTCTTCGTGAACTTCGCTTGCTCAAGCATAAGGCGCGAATACTCGTCCCGAAGGGCGTCACACTCTTTGGTATCATAGATGAGACTGGCTTTCTCAAAGAGGACGAAGTATTTGTTACTTATGAGGCCACAAGAGATCAGGTGGAGCCTCCACCTGGCCCAGGTCGAGTTCTTGTGACTCGCTCACCGGCTCTTTTTGATGGAGACATTCAAATTGCTTACAATACCATTCCGCCACATGATCACCCATTGTCCAAACATCGAAACTGTATTATTTTCAGTCAGAGAGGCTCTCGAGACCTTCCGAGTAAGTTGAGTGGTGGTGATCTTGATGGCGACATCTTTCACATTATCTGGGATCCAGAATGCACCCCAGCTGCGACCTATTTACCGGCTGATTATCCTCGAGTGGAGCCAATTGATATCGGGCGTCTTGTGGATGGAGAGGATATGATGGAGTTTTTTGTCAATTTCATGGAAACTGATCGTCTTGGGATGATTGCTACTCGCCATATGATTATGGCAGATCAATCGGAAGGGGGAACGAGCCATCGTCAATGCAAATTGCTTGCACAGCTGCATTCCAGGGCAGTGGATTTCTCTAAGACAGGGATTCCTGTACGGATGGAGGAGCTACCAAGGACGGTAACTCGATTTCGACCAGATTTGTGAGATTTCTTTTCTTTTTCTTTTTGGTGAATGTTCCGCTAAGTCTCATAAAAGTTTAGCTCCAGGGCCTCAGGCACATATTCTAAATGAATCTGATATTCATTTTGATGCTCAAGTCCTTCGGTCTACCTACGATGAGGATGATGGCTTAGGCCCAGTTCAAAAATATTACAGGTCAGAGAAGATCCTTGGTAAATTATACAGAGCTATAGATGAGCGACAGGTCTGGTCTGCCAATGTGCAGTTTGACGTACAATCCAGGCAGGGTCTATCTGACGCTGCATTGTGGGATCAGTTTTTGAATTCTGTAATCCGACAATGCTCTAGCTTCAGCTCAATTCCATGGATTGATCACATGAATGAAGCAAGGCTCATTCGAGCTGCGTAAGTTATTTGAGAAGCCACTGTCTTGGCAACTTGTTAATCACTTCGAACATAGATATGAGAATGCCATTCTTTCCGCAATGAATGACTTTTCGGAGCACCCCATTCATCCCATCAGCGAGCTCGAGGTCTTCACTGGGCAAATTCTGAGCAAAACCGGCGTTCAGAACCATCGGCAGCGGGCGAGATCTATCAAGCTCACTGACGAGTTTGAGCGGATCCTGCTATGGATCATGGGTCTCATGCGTCCATACGGCAATGGACCCATCGCTTTGACTGGCTATGAAACCCCGTATGATGCGTTAGCGTTATGTATCGCTTGTGTTCATATTGCCGATGAAAAAGAGGAGTCGGACAGGATTCGGCGCCGCCGGGATTTGTCTACTGAGCTAAAGAGCTTTCGGGTCGTTTCGGCATGTGCTCTGCTACAAGAAATTGACTTGTTTGAGAGGGGTGAGAAACCCTGAGGCTCTAGTAGTGCGGTGGTCATATGCCCTTGCCCAGTGTGAGTCTTCTGAGTCTTGATTACAAGAGTTCTCTTACTTCCTGGATTATTTTGTGATCTTTTCTTTCTTATCTTTTTATCACTGTAAATGTGAGTGTTTGACTGTTACTGCAGAGATATGGAGTCAATAGATTAAAGTTTTCGAGAAGTTCCGTACTCCCATTGATCTCCCTCATTCTATTTCTTCCTTAATACTAGTAGGATAACCATACTATTTCTTCTTCTTCTTCTTCTTCTTCTTCTTCTTCTTCTTCTTCTTCTTCTTCTTCTTCTTCTTCTTCTTCTTCTCCTTCTTCTTCTCCTTCCTCCCCCTACTATGATTTCTAGTTAATGTTAATATATCATAACACTGTAAAAGCTTCATTATTGTAGATGGCTTAGGAGGCATCGGAAGTAATAGATCCTAAATGTCTGAAGTATCTATAATAGTAGGGAATGAACTGTGTGTAGGGTGACTTAGAGTTGTGATCATATAATTTGATCTACCCTATTCACAAAGTAGCTAATTAGATACCTTCTCTCCTACAAGCACCTTGAAGTTGTCTCTCCAAGATTCCTTTTATCTATCCCCTATCCCCTAGAGGTATCTTATAGACAGGTATGCATCTTCTCTTGATCACTATCTAGAATCAAAACTGATTCTAAAATAGTTACTATCAAGTAGAGATTGGTAGTAGCCTATAACAGTAGCTAATGCCAGTATCATACGGTACGGTCACAAGATAGAGACAAACATAATGGAGAAATTGAGAAATATGAATCATTATTTCTTCTGCCTTGAGAATTTCTCGGTAGATTTGGTAGTACGGTTAATCAGCAATGATATATTTCTGCGATATGCTTGATCCTCTTGATCTTCTCGAAATAGACTGGTTCCACACTGGAGATCTATTCCGCGCTCGTCACGCAAACTACCACGTCTCACCGTCCCATACAAATACTCGGGTACTCCGTATATATCGATCTCCGTTGAATGACCCCTTCTCTTCCGCCAGAGCGGTTGCTAAGTAGGTTCTCGGCTTGATGATCAAAATCGGAATTCTAATGACTGTCGTATTGTGTGTTGTTTTAATTCTTCATGGTACAGTGGGTGCTCAAAAGTCTGTTCCAATCCTTACTATTCTTCTCCAATTCAATAACGATTCAATATTGTATTCATTTTCCTTACCTGACCAACAGGCCGCTACCCTGCAAGTAGCACCCTAACATCGAGCTCATGTCAAAGAAGAAAATAACTAACTAGTCATTATGATCCGGGGCACTTAGTTCAGCGTAGACACCTTAGGCTCGATATATTCTGCCTATTTTTGACCGTATATCCTATAGTATTTCTACATAGGATCTGATAGTTTCTAGTATCATGCAATTTCTACCTATATCTAGATAACAATACTTGAATAGCTATAAATAATGGTATTCAACTAAGGTTATTCAGCAAAATTCTATATCCTAATTAGGAAAAGCGTCTAAAATTTATGAAAATAAGGGTCGAGTCGAGGTCTACGCGAATTATTACCTTGTTCAATAGCGTATACAATAAATTAATGCTGAGAAGATGTTAGCTCACTATTTTCTTTTCGATTGCTACCAAAATATAGTGATTGGGGGTGCCATCTAGGTAGTTGTAGAAGGGAGAGAAAAAATTATGTGTGGGTGGTTTATATAGTGATAGGGAAGTTGGGTCGGCACAGACTTTTGACCCCCCATGTATGTTGCTGAGGTCGACGGACTCGTGCGAAAAAAAAAGCCCTCCTACTAAAAGCACTGTGCTTCTCCTCCAAGTGAACCAAATTTGCATCTCTCGGCCTATCCTTGTACTGCGGGGAGGAATGATTGACAATGAATCAGTGGTACGGAGGCTTCAAGAACCATTCTTCAACCCCCAAATGTCTATGGCTATGAAGAGCCACAACCTCTCCTATTCGAGGCTGAAAAGTTATACGCGGCAACACTATTGGCTGTTCCAAACAATCCTCTCCCTATCTATTCTGAATGACGTCGATCACCCGACACAGCGGCAAAAGGACCGCTTCATCTCCAGTTCAATCGCCTTCCACTCCTGTCCGTTTCCCCTTTCTCCCATATTGCTAGCTATCTTTCAACATACGACGTGCAAACGAGTTGAGTTGAAATTCCTCTATCCCACTCGACAGCCATGCTGGGCAGCCCGGTCCCATGGTTATCTCTCTCCAAAACTTACAGCACTCAGAATTAAACTTCAAATTAAACTCCGCAGGGGAAACGTGTGGAGGCGCGCTCGTCTTCCCCTCAACATTAACTTCTCCAACGAAGTTTATCAGTGCCACCCCTCCCACCCCAGCGTATACGAAGGCCTCTTCTATTTCTTCTCTCGGGTATAAATATAAATCCAAAGAGTGCCGGCACTGCGCGCTCCTCCCATCGCCCCGTGTAATGTACGGAATGCATAGCGTGTCAACTATGCCGACCGGGATCACTCTCTTGTTGTCCCGCTCAGTAATTCGATGACCATGTCCAGTTCTGAACAGGCTCCGAGTAATCTGTTTAGCGCAAGAACAGGCAACACGGCACTTGGTATCAGCATCATCGTTTTCGTCTCGATCGCTCTATACAACGCCCTCGAGCTGGCCGTTCTGATCCCTCTTAGCTTTCGTCGCTACCGCAGTCTCTATTTCTGGGCCTTGTTGACCTCTGCTGTGTTCGGGGTCATTCCCGCGACCATCGGGCCGCTCTTTCAATTTTTTAGCCTTGCGCCATTATGGCTGAGTATGGTCTTGTCGAATGTGGGATTCGTGATGATGGTGCCGAATCAGTCAGTGGTGCTGTATTCCCGGCTCCATCTTGTAAACCAGACTCCATGGATTCTCAACTTCGTGCGATGGCTAGTCGTCTTGGGCTTCCTGGTGGTAGTCATTCCGACGATTGTGTTGAATGTGGGCTCGACCTACATGCCCCACTCATCGCCGTGGTTGCGCGGGTTTGCCGTCACTGAGCGGATCCAATTGACCTGGTTCTCAGCTCAGGAATCTTTGATTTCGACGATCTATATCTGGAATACCATTCGCCTGATTCGACTCAGTCCGGAGGGGGACAAGCGCCGGCATAAGATCCTATATGAATTACTCTTGATTAACGTTCTTGCTATAGTCATGGATCTGGCGTTGGTGATTCTGCAATATCTCGATTTCTATTTCACGCAGGTTATCCTGAAAGGCACTGTATACAGCATCAAGTTGAAGCTTGAGTTCGCTGTGCTTGGTATGTTGGTCTCCATTGTACAGTCCCATAGCTCCGGAACTCCGACCTGGCAGGCCGACTGTACATCCAGTTTGTCTTAGTGGAGGGCTTCCATTGTTCATACTTTTTATACTCTTATATACTCTGTATCTAGGTCTTTTATGGTGATATCCTGTAGATAAGCAAAAATTCCCATGACCATTCCCAGAGACATTCCCTAGAGACATTCCTGTCGTCCTACATTTCCCGTGTGGGTCTTGTATGAACCCCCAAGCGCCGCCGTCGGATCGAGCACGGCGGCTTCCCCCAGCTTTCGAGTGCCGAACCGATCCGCCCCGCTGAAATGCGGAGAAGTCAATGCGGTCCGCCGTGCGCCCGTCGGATCCAGTGCAAATAACCGATGCGCCATGTCTTGCTGCTTCCGATATTACTCGTGTCTGGCCGAATTGGTGGTCTTGCACCAGGTTCCGATCCAAGTGCGGGGCAATCGGAATGATCAATATAAATCGCCGCGACTCCGCGACTGTCATGACTGACGTCCATCACCAGTTGTTATATGCTTCTCCCAACGAGCTGGCTCCTTCTCCAAACTCAACTCCCCTTCCAACCTCACATCTTCACACACCTCTGTACCCACGATGCTCGGAAAGATCGCTCTTGAAGAAGCTTTTGCGCTTCCGCGGTTCCAAGAAAAGACACGCTGGTGGGCTGGTCTCTTCGCCACTGATGTCGATAAGCATGTCGCAGAGATCAACGACGTCGACTCCATTCGATTAAACTTCGCCGAGAAACATGGCGTTGGCCTGCAGATTCTCTCCTATACTGCGCCGGGTGTCCAGGATATCTGGGACCCCAAGGATGCACAGGCCCTGGCTGTTGAAATTAATGACTACATCGCCGAGCGGGTGAAGGCGTACCCTGACCGGTTTGCTGCGTTCGCGTAAGTCAGCTCCGATCACCACCAACTGGAAGCTTTTCTCGAGATGGTGGACAGCTGTGCTGGGAAACCCAGGGGCCATAGATAGCTAATGTGGATCTGCAGTACTCTCTCTATGCACGACCCCAACGAGGCCGCCCAAGAATTGCGCCGTTGTGTTACACAATACGGCTTTCTCGGCGCGCTCGTCAACGACACCCAGCGTGCTGGCCCGGATGGCGACGACATGATCTTTTACGATAATGAGAAATGGGATGTGTTCTGGCAGACCTGCACTGAGCTGGACGTGCCCCTATACTTGCACCCGCGCAACCCCACCGGCACCATCTATGAGAAGCTATGGGCGGACCGGAAGTGGTTAGTGGGCCCCCCACTGTCCTTTGCGCAGGGCGTATCGCTGCACGCTCTGGGAATGGTCACCAACGGCGTGTTCGACCGCCACCCCAAGCTGCAGATCATCCTCGGTCACCTGGGCGAGCACATCCCCTTCGATATGTGGCGGATTAACCATTGGTTCGAGGATCGGAAGAAGCTGCTTGGCCTCCAAGAGACCTGCAAGAAGACCATTCGCGAATACTTCGCGCAGAACCTGTGGATTACCACATCCGGGCATTTCTCGACGACCACGCTGAGCTTCTGTATGGCCGAGGTTGGGTCCGATCGGATCTTGTTCTCAATTGACTATCCATTTGAGACATTTCAGGATGCATGTGACTGGTTTGATAATGCAGAGATGTCGGACACGGATCGGTTGAAGATCGGGCGGGAAAATGCGAAGAAGCTATTCAAGCTGGGTCCATATAAAGACAGCACTGCTTGAGGAAGGATCTACTTGAATGGCGACCTAATGTACATCTATCTACGAAAAATGAAGAATGAACGAATCAATCAATCAATCTATGTTCTGCATTGCTTTTCACTTCGTCAGTTACTAGGCTTTGTGGCTCATGGCTCATATTTCATCACCCGTTTAATCTTTCACAGTCGTGAGAGCATCCTTAAGAACTATCTTCCTGGTGGTGTTCTTCAGCTAAGCCAGGCTCCATATCGGGGGCATTAGGCATCTCTTCCATTGTTGGTGTAAAGTATTCATCTCTGATTTCCTGCAGAGCCTCACGGTACAGCGCATAATTCTCAATCGACCGTGACAGGATTTCCCAGATGGAATGTAGATGGCGAGTCAAATCCAGACGAGCCGGGTCAATCTTATCCTCCTGTAGAATCTGGCGGTTGCTCATGTGAAGAAATCGGTTGTGGATCCACTCATCGTAGAGGTCAAGATACAGGGAGAGGAGACGTTGTTCCAGGAAGCGTGGCTTCCGGAGATGACTATACTGGTGGATCAGTGAAGTCGAAGTTGGGAAGCATCACATCACTTACGCAGCTACTACCGATGCCATCTGTCGGTACCGGACTACCACTGCGTCTTCTTCCTCCTCAATCAACGCCAGCATGTAGGAAACTCGCCCTGCCGTCTCCACCAGCTGCTGTAGGAGAGCATCGACCCAGGAGATATATGATAACATCTCAGTGGTGATTTCTTGCGCATCAGCCGTATCTTGAGGGCCCAGAAAGCTCTCACTGCGACGAAAAAGAACGTGGTCAAGACGAATGACCATATTGCAGAGGGCGATGAATCGCTTGCGTGTAGAGGAACGCAGCTGAGGATTCGATAGAACCGTCTTGATTCTGTCTAGAGTCCTTTTCTTGGTCTCGGGCTGGCCTGGCGGAGCAACAAGGCCAGGCTCGACTTCTTTGGCGAGGATCTCTTCCTGCATGGCCGCAGCAACAGCCTCATTGTATGCTTGCTCGCACTCGTGGTAAGCTTCGGAGAGTGTCTCGTCGAAATCCGGGAAAGGCTCGTGGTCGTTTGTGCTATCGATGTAGACGAAGCTGCCACTAGTGGACGTACTGCTGGCAAGAGGATTGTCGTCCAACGGTCGGACTGGCCTTCTCTCAGGGATCGAGACAATCTTTCTCACTGGCGAAACAGACCTGTCCGAGTCCGAGTCGAGGGTGAGTTGCGCTCGCACTGCATCGAGCAAGGAGAGCGGCAGCTCGCGACTCGCCATGGTGCGTATCGCTCGCCGAAATGAAGATCAGAGTACTGCAACGAGGAAAGAATACGATTCGGGAGAGGGAAAGAGCGTTCCAAGTGGAGTGGGAGGAAAAGGAGAGTTCAAGCTTCAGTTATTTTAGTTGCGTTGCCGGACAGGCAACGTTCGGGGAATCTGCCTAAAGCAGAGCAACGAAAAGGGTATCAATGGTATCATAGTACAATAGTAATGAACTGATCTGCTATTGGCATGTACGGGTATATCCCATCCCTCAATTCCAAAAACGTAACGCAAATACTTAAGAAAGTAAGACGCTTCCCCGATCGAGGCATGGTCTTGCCTTCCCCTTGACGTCTGCCCGATTGAATGAAAGAAGCCAGCGACGAAGGAACAAAACGCTCCCGGATGCCGCTACGCTTCCTTCTCGAGTAGAGGAGACAAGAGTTAACGAAGGACAAGAATCATTCTGCGCACATTGACTAATCGACGTGTCATTTGCAGGAGCACGGCAACTTAAAGTAGTGCGGGAGATATGGAGAAAATGAAAGTTGGGAGGGGGAAAAGAAATCTCAATCCGTCTTTGAATACTTGGATGGATGAGCTTCGGGTTCGGGTTCAGGCACAGCTTGGTCATCCTCGTCGTCCGGTAAGGGGACGTCCATGACTCGTTCACCGGCCTTCTCTAGGGTTCGTTTACTCCAGGTTCGGACGCCCTTCCAGACAGCCTGGTTGATGGTTAGTCAAGTAGCGGTTGTGCGGGCCCTCTACACAAAGCTTACCCAAAGGAAGCTACCCACGCCAATCACAATCATGAGCCAACGGACTCGATCGCGGCCAGAGGACCGGCCTCCTGTGGCGACTCGAAGATTCCATGGCGACATCATAAACATGACCCGGAAGAAAGACATCAGGCCAAGGGAGGCGAGTCCCTTGACGAAGTGGGCCAGCCATGACCCCTGTTCCACGTCAAGGTCATCATACTCCAAAGGCAAATCGTCCAATTCACCAACAAAGAAAACAATGATGGGGTCAGCAACAAATCCGAGCAGGAAAATGGTTAGAAGAAGAATGACAAAGGTAAGCAAAAGCTGGGTGCCGGCACTACTGATCCATCGGGCCCAGGTCAAACGCTCGAGGCGATACTGAAAGCCACATGTTGGACATTGCCAGTAGTTCCGTCGGCCGTATCTGGGGTCAGCGTGCCGCCATGTTTGTAGGCAACCCTCGTGGACATAACGCGAGGAGCCTTTGCAATTGCAGGGGCGCAGTAAACGGCCCAGTTCAGGGTCGGTGGATTCATACACCACGCGAGGCTTCTGGAGAAATTCGGCGGGTTGTACTGTCGGCAGAACCGTCTCCAAACAGATACGACAAACTCGGGGGGAATAGCTCTGTTCCCGGGGAGGGGTAGCTCCTCCCGATCCCGGTAGTTCCGGCTCATTGTTGGGGGACTGCATTGGCAAGAATGCCAGGGAGGATCATAGCAAAGTTGGGCCCGATGCTCCAGAGTCTCGAAGGTTAACAGTCATGAACTCAGGTGGAGATGAGGAAGGAAAAAGGACACAAGAAAAGTTCGGCAAAGCAACCCTTCGTTTCGAGGCTCTAACCCAATGGGGCTCACCGCCTTGGGGTCGAGCACCGCAGCTACGATCAACTCTGGACAAGCTACCGCGTCAAACGTCACCCTTCTGCCTACAGTTGCCTGCTCCTTTTTTCTCCTTTTCATCGTCGGACTATCCGTGTGATTCCTTCTCTTTTCTAGCATCATATCATGGCCGACCGTTATTCATTCTCCCTGACGACCTTCTCGCCCAGGTATGAGCTTCGTTGCTCCCATCTCCCTGTGCGGTCTTGAAGCTAACTTCCATCATTCGATAGTGGAAAACTGGTGCAAATCGGTAAGCTTGGGCGAACGCTGTCTCATGGTGTGAATATTGCTGGGACATGCTTTTGCTGATCGTCTGAACCAGAATATGCTTTAAATGCGGTTAACCAGGGCGTCACAGCCCTCGGTATCAAAGGTACGGGCGGAGGATGACTCCCCACGAGGACAGACGTTCAAAGCTAATCTACCGTGATTAGCCACTAACGGAATTGTTCTCGCCACGGAAAAGAAGTCCTCTTCACCACTGATCGATCCTCCCTCGCTCTCCAAGATCTCGCTGATTACCCCGGACATTGGCATGGTCTATGCCGGCATGGGCCCCGACTATCGCGTGCTTGTCGATAAAGCCCGCAAAGTTTCACACACTGGTTACAAACGCATTTACAATGAATACCCACCTACTCGCATTCTGGTGCAAGATGTCGCTCGGGTGGTGCAGGAGGCGACGCAGTCGGGTGGTGTCCGGCCATATGGTGTCAGTCTGTTGATTGCAGGCTGGGATGAGGGTGTTGAGCCCGAGGTGTCGGATGCGGAGAAGAAGGATTCCCCTGAAAAGCCTTCCGGTAAGACTGGCGGTATTCTGAAGGGTGGCCCAAGCCTGTACCAGGTCGATCCCAGCGGCAGCTACTACCCGTGGAAGGCGACGGCCATTGGCAAGCACGCAACAAGTGCGAAGACATTCCTAGAGAAGCGATACACTGAAGGACTTGAACTGGAAGATGCTATCCACATTGCGCTGCTGACTCTCAAAGAGACCATTGAGGGTGAGATGAATGGGGACACAATAGAGATTGGTAAGCACTTCCTACGTTTTGACCTGTTGACATATAAAGGGTGTCCAGCCTGGTTTTGGTCGCTTGTTCTGCTGAAATAGCGTTTTTCGGGCACTAACGTGTACGAAACAGGTATTGTCGGGCCTCCGGTCGATCACCTACTAGGCTTTGAGGGAGTGGAAGGTGCCCAAGGCCCGCGGTTCAGGAAGCTCACCAAGGAGCAGATTGAGGACTATTTGACCAACCTATGAGGAACCAATCAAAGACGCTGAGAGTATGATTTAGACTCAAATGACAACCCCTTTCTTTCTCTTCTTGGCTCTCGTGCTTGGTCCATGTATATTTGGGTTGAAGATACCTTAATGGTCTGTCATGGTTGTTCGTAGGCGAAATGGGTAGATAGCAATGCCTTGGCAAAATCTAGACAAAGACCTACAAACTGCCATAACATCTGTGATATTCTTGGCGACAAGATTTCGTTTTGATTTGCACACCCTCTCCTCAGGAAAGCCCCTGCTTGCCTTGTGACAGTGTTGAAGTCTGCAAGCCTGCACCAAACGGCCAATTTCCAATCACAGCAACTTCCAAGCTGGACCGTGTCTTGTCTGGGCTTTGCAATAAGTGGGGGGTTTGGAATTGGAACCGCTCCGTGTAGATGGCCCAACAATCTAGAACATGTCAGCAATGAGTTCTGCACGCTCCCGAATGCCACCGAGCGAGGCATCACTAGGGTCCGTGCCATTCCAAACCTATGTACACACCATAGCTATATGTGATCACGTGAGTAATTGGAGCGGGACGAAGCATGTTGAACTACAGGTGAGCTCGTCTATATCCAATGGCGAGGCGTAGCAGTATCCCCTACTGGGAATTGGGTAGGACCCAACAATAAAGCCAAGATCGGCCAGACAGTATTTCCAATATGCGGATGCACCTGTACACTGCATATCTTGTTTTTTGATTGATTTTCCAAGGGGATATTGATAGGTGTGCACCGTCCGATGGTCTTTGGTTTTTGCCTATCCATTGTATTGGTATTATGGGCAGTATCAACATCAACAGACCCGGGGTTTCAGCGGTGAACCGTCTGGATGCCAAAGTTACCATCTCGACCGGCCTCCTCCTGCCCAGGCCAATTTGTCACCTTCCTTTCTCCCATGGAGCTCGGGCTTTAGTAGAAAGACCCGAGAGATTGTCGCGCTATTGACACGGGCGCTGCAGGTGGCGCCGATCTACCCCGGGTTTTTGGCCCCCGCTTCAGATAAACTGGAACAACATTGGACGGAGCAGGACGCTGATTCGATCGAACCTCGGGGTGGTTTGCTCTTCTGCGCCTCCCTAAGGATCGTCTGGTAACCTAAGGCTGGCTTCCCCTTTCTCCTTGTCTCCCGATCTCCCGGTCTCTCAATGCACGGACAACAAGCAGCTGCAGTGGGGGTACAGGGGTTGCATTCTTGTTGACGACTTGTTTCTCGTCTGCGTTCGACCTGATTGCTTTCTTCCGACTTGCCTTGTACAACGACAAACCAGTCCTCTCGCCTTTTCATCCTTTCACTTCTACGTTCGACAAAGTGATGTATGCATACCAGACTGGGTGAATTGGGCTCGTAGAGTCCCATTCGTGCCTGTCTCTTGAGCGACTGCTGGGCTGATATCTGTGGTCTATCTGAGTCTATTTGATTGGGATTGATTGTGGGCTGGACGGCGAATTCTCTTTCTTTGCAGTTCTTGAGCTACACGATCATATTAAATCGACTCCTCAGGATGTCTGACCCTCCGAAGGATCTGCTTGATGGTATCTCCGGCGCCCTCGCGTCGGAGGGGAGCGTCTTGCAGATGATCTTGGTGACGTTCATCGGCCTGTCCTGCTACAACGTCGCGGAATTGGTAGTGCTGGTGCCCTCCACCTTTCGTCGCTGGCGAGGTCTCTACTTCTGGTCCCTGCTGATATCAGGTTGCATTGGGGTCGTGCCTTACTCCATTGGGTTCTTGATGAAGTTTTTCACCCGCGCTGACTCGGTCTTATCCGTCACCGTCCTGACCGTTGGCTGGTGGACGATGGTGACTGGGCAATCTATCGTGCTCTACTCACGCCTCCATCTGGTTCTTCGGGATGACCGGATCCTGCGCCGTGTGTTGCATCTCATTGTTGCCAATTTCTTCCTGCTGCATGTCCCTACCACAATCCTAACCTATGGCGCGAACATTATCCACAGCAGCGACATCGTCTGGGTCGAAGGCTACAACATTATGGAGAAGATCCAGCTGACCGGCTTTACCATCCAAGAAAGCTTGCTGTCAACTCTCTACGTGATCGAAACAGTCAAACTTCTACGGCTGGGCGCCGAAGCGACCACCCGACCAGGCGCGCGATCCATCATGTACCAGCTCATCGGCATCAACTGCGCCATCATCACTATGGACCTACTCTTGCTTGGGCTCGAGTACGCGAACTTTTATGCAGTGCAGATCACTCTGAAGGGGTTTATCTACTCGCTCAAACTCAAGCTCGAGTTTGCTGTGCTCGGCCGTCTTGTTGATCTCATTCAAGGGTCCCGCCATCCCGTCTCCATCGCCATCGCCGATACGTTGCCCCTCTGCTCTTTCCAGCGTCCACCCGAGAGACCCGAGCGACCGAATGAGCAGCCTTGTGAGCCCAAAGGATTTTTGACACCGCTGGACCAGGTGCGGGTGGTCGAAAGTCGGGTTTTCGTGGAGTCGGAGATTGTGAATTCATGACCATAATGACCATAGCATGTAGTAATTTATTGGGGCAGAAAAAGATCAATAATTTGCAATACGCTTCTCATATTCAAGTCATCCCTTCATATGTGGTCATCACTCTCGGAGGATGTCTTGCGTTTACCGTCAGTTGTTGTCCAGCAAGGCCTCGTCCATCCACTGATACTCTTCCTCCGAATCTTCATCCTGACTATCGGCGATTTCATTTTGAGCTTTTCGTTTCCGGCTCGGGGTGATTTCGGGAATCTCGGGGGGTTTTAGTGCTTCGGGGGTTTTTGGTTCATGGAGACCATCCTGAACCCATGTTAGTCAAGGTGAGGGGGACAGAAGGCCCTGGCACTGTCGAGGAAGTAACCCACGGCTTCAATGTGGAAGGGCACGATCAGCTCCGCCAATCGAACTGGTAATGTTCTCCCGGAGCGCTTGGTGATTTCCGCAAATCGCAGATCCGGTAGATCGCGGTACAGAACAATCCGCGTCTGCACGCTCGTTTCCCAAGCGCCGCCGGCCAAAACGGGGTGCAGGGTTGCGCGCGGCTGGCCTTTGATCTTCGTGTGCGTCTGGTTGATGGCGAGGACGGCGGTGTTACGAGTGGCCAGGCGTGTCAGGTGTGTTGCCAATTCGCTGGCAATATTCCATTTACGATTCAGGAGCCATTGCAGTTGGGCCTTATCGGTGATTTTGCCATGGGTGAGGCGATCCTTCAACTCGGCAGGATGAGGGAAATAGGATGGAAACAAGGAAGATACAGAGTCAATCACGATGAGAGATGTCTCTTCTGGCGGGAATCCTGTTGGTGGACGCATGAGTAAAGCCAGGAGATGAGGCAACGTTGGTGCCCGGAAATAGATCACTTTGTCCAAGGTTGGTGCCATGGCCTCAAACCGGCAAGACGGGACGGGGGCTCCGGTGTCTAAGACCACATCAGCTTAGATTTTTGACAAGCTTCTCGAAGGTGTTTGATAGAACTATACCGATCCAAGCCACTTTCCCGCCATCGCGGAGGGCATGCGATGCCACGCTTAGCCTGCCCCAATAAGTCAACTGATGCTCCCTAGAGGAAAGGTGAACCGTCTAGAATCATCCAACTCACGCAAACGAGGTTTTCCCTACACCAGGCGGACCAAATACCTCCGTCACTTGCCCACGCAAGATCCCACCCAGCCGCCGCAGGTCTGGAGGCGAGTCATCTAACGCCTCGTCGAGGCGCGGTAGCCCTGTAGGGATTGGGTCTCCAACTGCCGCCGACGCGTTCAATGATTGCGAGGCCGAAATGGAGACCACCGGAACTGTTCGGTTCGTATAAGTTTACGTCTCCGTGGCGTTGTATCACGGGAAGAAACCCAACTCACGCGTATCTTGGCTGTCGAGACCAGGCAGGTCCTTGTTGATGCTCATAACGGGCACATCAGTTCAGACCGAGGAAAGATGCATGTTCAACAAATACAGGGTAGAGTCTAGGACATTCTCATGCAGCCGTCACGCTTTGGTCTCTCCTGCTCTTCTATTTACGTCCTCTGTTCGACGTGTACTGCGTAGTTTGGTGCGCGGAGGGTTGTGGATCGTGGTGGGTCCGCGGATTGGGAGCTCGGAAAAACCGCGTTCGGCCGGACGTCTGCCTGCAGGTCACTTTTTTATAGACTTGTCAGCATTGCATGTTAGCCATGGAACATCGAACATTGGGTATACTCATGTCTTCCGATGCGAATGTCTCGGGGTTTTTGTCTCCGGGGGGCATTGTTCTCTCCCCTTCCATTCTGGTCCTGTTGGTCTGTTGTCTTCCCATTTTGGTCCTGTTTCGTCCGAGCCGATCTCATCGCCCCAAGGGATGTCGCCGGTTAGGCCTATCTCATGGACAGAGCAATCTCAATGATGAGTTTGACCCTCGATACAGCGACGCTGTGCCTGTTACCCAGCGCGATGCCAATGGTCTGCCATCGTGGCGCGTCAAAGCCCTGTTCACCTTCCCACTGAAATCATGCGGCGGCATTGAACTTGAAACGTCCGAGGTGGTGCCAACGGGTCTGAAATTTGACCGCCAATTTGTTTTTGCGGAGCAAACCACCGATGGCTGGAATTGCCGGACCTTGCGCAATGCTGGGTTTCAACGTCTCGCATTGATCCATCCGGAAATCTGGGTCCCAGACCCTACTACCCCGGATTATGCACCGACTCTGCCCGAGGTACAGTCTCAGGGTGTGATGCTGATCTCGTACCCTCGGCTTGCTCCACTGGGTCTCCTAGGATCTTGGATCAAGATGGCTATGACGATTGGCCTCCTTGAGAGCCGACGCACGTTCTGTGTCCCCCTTCTCCCACCCAAAGGCAGTAATTTCCCAGTCCAGCCGGTCAGGATCTGGAAAGACAAGCCTCTGGCATTCGACTATGGATCCTTGCTCCCCGATTCATTGCACGCCTACCTTGGCTTTGAACCGTCTACCTCCCCCTTGACTCTTTTTCGGGCCAACCCAGCCCACCATCGGGAAATCTTTCGCAATGCGCCGTGCAAAGAGCAAATTGGGTTCCAGCCCAACACCGCCTTTGCCGATGCATATCCCATCCATCTCCTGAATCTAGCTAGTCACCGGGATGTGGCTATTCGGTGCGCGTATGCGATTCCTCGGCTAAGTATCCGGCGATTCCGCGCGAACATCATCATCCAGGGCCCAGAGGCGTTCGCGGAGGACCATTGGAAGCGGCTGGAGATCGCCGGAGTCGAGATCCATGCGGCATGCCGCACAGTGCGATGCCGTTTGCCGAATGTGGATCCCGATTCAGGTGATCGTCATAAGGCCGAGCCAGATCGCACGCTTAAGGCGTATCGTCGAATAGATGATGGGGATCGGACGAATGCATGCTTAGGCATGCAGCTTGTGCCCGCCATTGAGCAGTTTGTTCTCCGCGTTGGAGATGAAGTCCGAGTTTTAGAGACTGGCGAGCACCGGTATATCAAGATGCTAGCCCCTGGGGAGAAGGTGGAAGGTGTCTAGAGGAAGTATCAAACAGACCAAAGACAATTGGTCTGGGGATAGAAATCTCATCCTCTATATCCTTCATTTACAACATGACCTCGCGTTATGCAGAATGAGAGGGAAACAAGGGGAAAGGCTGAGAGGGGCGGGAAAAAAAGAGAAAGTCCGGGTGAGAATCGATCCTGGGACCTCGCTATCGCTGGATGTTCTGAATAGCCTCAAAAAGAGGCCGGGGAGTGCACTGGGGCATGTACTCAATTGCCCGCAACATGCCCAGAAGGACCAAAGGGGATCCAAAAAAACCACCCAACTTGGGGATATAACCCAAGTCCCGGCGCCTAACCCGGGCCCCACGGCGAGGAATCAATCCAACAAAGTACGTCAGGCAGGCTCCTCCGAAGATCGGCCCCAAGACGCCAGGAGAACCCAGTCTGCGATCCGATCGTAGCACACCTTGCGGCACACTAGGAGAAGTGGATGTACACATTGACAACCGAGCCACCAGGGGGTAGGCAGGTTACAGGTAAGGCCTTCTGTCCCCTCATGGGGGAAGAACTACAGCACGATGTAGCAGGTACCGTCAACGAATAGTATCTGCTGCTCCCAGCATTACTGCTGCATCATCCCTACGCTATACCCCGGATACCACCGCCTTGGTATCATCGCCCCACACGCCGCGATCAACAGGCCGGCTTGATACTACTACTGGGGCTATTTGTTATGGCTGCGGCTGCGGCTTCAACTTCTTCATAGATAGCTTAGGCTTGAGAGAAAGCAGCGAACATCCAATATCAACAAAAATCATCGTCTATTGAGAGCACCTGCGGAGTGCGTAGTATGTAGGAGAAAGTAAATTACACAAACGCCATAAATCAAAAAGGAGGTATCATCATATGTAAGAACAGCAAAAGAACATCACAGGCTCGGCGGTGGCACCTTGGTCTCCATTTCCTGTGCCGGCCGGGTCTCCGGGTGGCTTTCTGAGGACATACTCGCATCCCAAACCGCAGGGACATCGTCAGCTTCCTCGGGGATAATCAAGTTGAGAATGACGCCGAGAATAGCACACACCGCGAAGCCGTTCTCCATCACCAGGTCGACGGCGTTCAACAGACCCTCCAGGGCATGGTTGTCTCCACTGTACGTGAAAACGTACGACCACCAATCAGGCACGAGTGTGATGCCCATCCCAAGGGAAAAACTGGCTGTCAAAATAAACCGGTTGCGGCGGTTGAAGTCGATGGTAGAAATGATACGGATACCAGAGACGGCCACACTACTGAACAAAAAGGTCGTCATGCCACCCAGGACGGCACTAGGTATGGCCACCAGCGCCGCAGCGAACTTGGAGAAGATTCCCATGATCACCAGGAAGAAGCAGCAGCAGAATCCAGCCGTCCGGTTGGCGCACTTGGTCAGTGCAATTACACCGTTGTTCTGCGCGAACACGGACATCGGGCTGATTGTCATCAGCCCTGCGATCAGGCAGGTCAGCCCGTTACCTAGCACACCACCTTGGATGCGGGAGTCGAAGGTGGCCCCTTCCACCTCGAGCCGGGATACATCACAGGTAGCAGTGATATCACCAATTGACTCCATCATGATGACGATGTACAGTGCCAGTAAGGGGAGGATCAGAGGGGGGTAGATGTTCAGCGGGAACGTGTGCACCCATGCAAAGGACGCTACCGGTGCCGCAGTGATGCCAGAGTCCTCAAAGTAGTTGCAGGCGGCCGCGACAATCGAGCCCACCAGCAACCCAACCACCACCGCGCAACTCTTCAGAATGGGCGGGCCAAATCGCTCGCACAGAATAATTGTCACGAAGACCAAGAAGCCGAGTCCAATGAATTCAGGACTCCCCCAGGGCAGGGCGTGCGGCGCGCTGGCATTGGGGCACATCGGTCGAGTCGAGCTGGATGAAGCGGGCATACAAGACGAGCCACCGCCCCAATCCTCCAGCGCAGTCATGATGAGCGAGGCTCCGATGAGCAGCACCGTGGGCCCGGTCACCAAGGGAGGGAAGACCCGCGAGAGAATACGGCTGCTCAGGAAGGAGAGACCAATCTCGAGCAGAGAACACAGGCAGGAGGTGGCCAGCAAAGCGCCATATCCTTTGGGACACGGCAATCGGTTTCCATCCGCATCGAGGGGGCAGTAGCCCGACTTATACATTTGAGTAAAGGCACCAGAGGCGACTGTGATGGTGGAGAAGGATGTACCTGTTCCATCAAGCATGTCGGATTAGTAACCTAGATATACGTATATTGTGGAGGAGCGAGCAATCGGAGAACTGCTTGGCTAGTTGAGCTGGTACGTACCAACCACGGACAACAGCCCGGTTCCAATGAAGTATTTCGTGCCCCGGATATGCATGCGGGTCATTTGCAGTGCACTCAGAAGGCCCGATACAATCAACGAGGTCGACACCAGATACTGGTAGAGCTCATCACCGAAATTGACTCCCGAGGAGCCGCCCAGAATGATCGGTGGCGAAATCACTGTGCCATATCACTTAAAATTAGCGATCGGCTCACTCCATACTCAGAACAGAAAACTGATAGGCCGGACTGTCGTTGTCATACTCACCACCTGCCAACATTGCCAGTGCATGCTGCAAGCCGAGAATGAACGCCAGCACGACAGGCACGCGATCATCGAGCCCGAAGAACGGGGCCGACTTGCGGGTCTGTTTGGTGAACGGGATACGCGGGGTAAAGAGGAAGGCATAGTCATAGTCGCCAAGGAGACCGTCTCTGTGGCAATTCGAGTCAATCCCATGTCGAGTCAGCACAGTCGGGATGGGGATACCATACGCACCTAGTGGTAAAAGTCTTGACGATATGCCGCAGTTTGTCGCGGAAGGTTTGTTTCGGCCTCAAATCAGGCCCAATCTGGTCGGGACCATCCATGGTGGGAGCAGAAGGGATGAAAAAGCGCAGGTCGGCGAGAAATCTAGAGTCTACCGAGGGGAGGGAGAGTAGAAGAGCATGAGCTATTATAACTCACGGCGGTTTGGGGTGGTTGTGGTACCCGAAATATAAAAGAGCTGATTCTTGACATCCAAAAATTAACAATTGGACGCGAATTTCTGCATTTAATCCTTTAAACACAAACTAAAAGTCAAAAGTGGTAATAAAAAATAAAAACAGCATACCACGCGAATGGCGAAACTCTAAACCGCATCTCCGATGTCCATGTGGAGAAAGGATAGCCGGCGATAAGATCCTCTCCCGGGGATTGCCATTAGCAAGAGCATCGCATAACGTGTTGGACCTCCCAACTTAGCCCTGCTTCGTTTGACTCCCCTTGTGCTTTGAATCCCTTCGCCCGCCTGGGGTCTTATCTGCTGGTGGGGCGGGCTGACCGGCCCAGGACAGAATCAGCGAATGAGCGGTCGGCCGAAGGACTCGCGCCCCACCCAAGTGCCCGAGTGGAGGAGATAAGGAAAGCGAAATGGTTTACTTTAGCCGCAAGCGACTTTCCCCGGCCTAGTTGTAGTCCAATAATGAAGGACGGGTGGAGACCTTCTTACGATGATTTCTATGGGCCACGAAGTAGATCCTCATTGTGGACATTGAAGCGGATATCCATCGGTACCTCAAGACAGTGAATTTCTGTAGATGGCAAGCATTGTTTAAGTACGAAAGAGGTAGAAGCATCACACAGGCCTCATGAAACTCTCAAGAGCGATCTGAGATCCGATGGGGTCTGCTTTGCATCTTCCTCCCCCTGATGGTCATGGTCCGATGAGTCTCTTGATAGGGCCGGGTTCTCCCTATCGGAGAAGCCACATAAGCGCCTTCCCCGGGAACCCGGGTGTCCCGAGCATCTATTCGACGGTCGGCTATCGCTGGGACCACATCTCTAGGGGTTATCTCGACAAAGGCTCAGAAGATCTGGCGGAGGTACCCGTGAAGAGTGGAAGGCGCCGATGGTCTTATCTAATCTGGTATGGGTCGACAGAGGGCCATTGGAGAATGTGGAGAGGGGTGAGGCTATAAGAAGCAGCCGCAGCCGGTACCCCAGACAAAGAAAGTTGCTGGGCACTTTATTCTGACAGCCATCTTGCGGGGGAGGTGACATTGGCGGCGCTGCATTCGTTTCCCACACGAGACAGATCACGGGGTTCAACAAAAGATATGGCATCTGGAGGAGTGTGGTTGTGGTGGGTGCTGCCGATGGAACTTGGTCACGGAACCAGGGAGAGACAGAGCCTCGGTCCGCCTCATCTGTGACAATTGGCAATCAATTGGCAACGCGTTCCTTCATCCTTGGGCATTACAGGGATAGCAATTCGCAGGATCTGATGCCGGTACTGCCTTGTTAGCAACGTAGTTATGACGCTGTCTCCAATTGACATTAGTTCTCGGGATGCTGATATTCGTGGAGTTTTCGTCCTCTTCGCCACCGTAGGGCTGGAGTGACGCAGGTTCAGGGCCGTGCGAAGAGGGACCGGGGGTCTTCGGGTCTTCAGTGGTTCGATCGGACTGGAGACATGTGACATGTATGGCATGATCAACTGGGAGGTGTAGGATCGGGATGAGTAGTCGCTGCCATTGGGGTTCCTGTTGGGAGAGGGCATACGGGCCACTTTGGGGAACACCACGCAGGAAGAAGAATCGGCCGCGGTCTGGCCACATCGGCACGCGGGGTCACGTGCGCTCAACGATCTGTTCCGGCTTCGTATATACTCCGTCAGTATCGATGCATACAAAGCACTCTTACTGGAGTGAGCCAGGAGTACCTAGATGCCCAGACGCCTAGAATGCACCACTGACTACAAGGTATCGAATGTACGTCTCGACCACAGTGAGGAACGCTCTCTCTATCAGGAATGCAGAGGATAGGGTGGCCCAGAGATCGATGGCATGATTCGACAACGTAAACCCTAGCCGTCCCGCACCAATCAGAATGCGCGGTTTTGGCGGAATTCCCCCCATTTCCCAATGATTCCCAAGAATTCCCGCAAGCAGGCTAAACGCTATTGGCACAGTGGCGCTGAGATAAGCGTTGAGGCCTGGGAACTCAGGCCACAAAGCGTTGGGGCGGACCCAACATTCACTTGACTTGGGGAAATCGCAAGATCGCCACCCAAAGACGCAGGAGAGAAAAGAATTGATCTGCCCGCGCTTTCCTTCTCTCATCCTCGCTTTCCCTCTCTCAACCTCGGGATCTTGTGATTCCTGACTGCTGTGCGGTTGTTGATTCGCCTGGCGCTGAGCTTCCCCATATCCGTTGACGATCAAACCCTTCTTCCACCCCAACGTCCCCTCCCAGTGGGCCCCTTCATATAAAAAAAACCGCCTGCTCTCCTGCACGCCCTTTCCTCCCTTTCCTCCCTCTCCCCACTGCCCTCCCCAACTCGACCTGAGAGGATTGGATCATCTCAGTTCATACACCATGTCGACCAAGGCTGAGTCGTCTCGCCCCCGGGCACCCGACACCAAGAAGGTGCACATCGCCGACACCCAAATGACTCGCAACAACTGGCACAAGCATGTCAACTGGCTCAACGTCTTCCTCATTCTCGGTATCCCCTTCTATGGCTGCGTCCAAGCCTTCTGGGTCCCATTGCAGCTGAAGACTGCCATCTGGGCCGTTGTCTACTACTTCTTCACCGGTCTCGGTATCACCGCAGGTAAGAGTTTGACCCTCGTTTTGGGGAAAGGACCGTTCTCAGTTTGTACCTGTGAGACACTTGAACTGACAAATCTGCCATATAATTAGGATATCACCGTCTGTGGGCTCACTGCTCTTACTCGGCCACTCTCCCCCTCCGCATCTGGCTCGCGCTCGTTGGCGGTGGTGCTGTTGAGGGCTCCATCCGCTGGTGGGCTCGCGGTCACCGTGCTCACCACCGTTATACCGACACCGAAAAGGACCCTTACTCCGTCCGTAAGGGTTTCTGGTACTCCCACCTGGGCTGGATGGTGATGAAGCAGAACCCCAAGCGCATTGGCCGCACTGATATCTCCGACTTGAACGAAGACCCCGTCGTCATCTGGCAGCACCGTCATTACCTGAAGGTCGTCTTCGGCATGGGTCTTATCGTCCCTATGCTGGTCGCTGGTCTTGGCTGGGGTGATTGGTTCGGCGGCTTCGTGTATGCCGGTATCCTGCGTATCTTCTTCGTTCAGCAGGCTACCTTCTGTGTGAACTCTCTGGCCCACTGGCTTGGTGACCAGCCTTTCGACGACCGTAACTCTCCCCGTGATCACGTCATCACCGCCCTAGTCACTCTGGGTGAGGGCTACCATAACTTCCATCACGAATTTCCCTCCGACTACCGCAATGCGATTGAGTGGCATCAGTATGACCCGACCAAGTGGACCATCTGGACTTGGAAGCAGCTCGGCCTCGCCTACGACCTGAAGCAGTTCCGTGCTAATGAGATCGAGAAGGGTCGTGTGCAGCAGCTGCAGAAGAAGATCGACCAGAAGCGCGCCAAGCTGGACTGGGGTACTCCCCTGGACCAGCTGCCCGTTATGGAATGGGACGACTATGTGGAGCAGGCCAAGAACGGCCGTGGTCTTGTTGCCATCGCCGGTGTGGTTCACGACGTGACCGACTTCATCAAGGACCACCCCGGTGGCAAGGCCATGATCAGCTCCGGTATTGGCAAGGACGCCACTGCCATGTTCAACGGCGGTATCTACTACCACTCCAACGCCGCTCACAACCTCTTGTCTACCATGCGTGTGGGTGTGATCCGTGGCGGTTGCGAGGTCGAGATCTGGAAGCGCTCCCACAAGGAAAACTCCGAGTATGTTCGCGACGAGACGGGCCAGCGCATCGTTCGTGCTGGTATGCAGCCCACCAAGATCCCCGAGCCCATTCCCACTGCGGATGCCGCTTGAATCTTGAAATCTGTTCTTTTATCCAACTCGGTTATGTGCCTTGCATTTGTTGTGGGTATTGGGGAGTGGTGTTTGTCAGGCGTTTTTTTTCCCTGCTTGTTTCTTTTTCAGCCTGCTGGCCTGTTTTGCCGACTATTTTTTTCGTCTTTCCCAAAAGCGACTGTCACATAGATAATCTCTCATGAATTAGAAACGAACCTTCTCATATTGTTAACTTTTTTCCATCCGGTCTACGTAAGCATATTCGTTCGAGGTGTTGGTTGAGAAACAAAACTCGATGTAGTTGGTTACCGCCATAGGAAAACTGAAAGGGGCACCAAGAACTAGGCGACATTCAAGCGGGGGTGGGCCCCATGTACATCGACGCTGCGTCACCTGACCGTGAAGCTTGAAGTAGTAGTTCCTCCCCTCTGCAATCAACAACACTCTCCTTTACACGTCTACACCGCATTTCCTCTTGATTAGTCCAGACGCTTGACGGACTCCATTTTCGCCCATTATTAGGCTCACCGCTCACCTCCTCATCCACCTCCTCATTCTTCTTGTCGCCGTCCTCACCGTGGCGCCTTTCCTCCGCCTCCCCGCTCGCCTGTCATCCGTGCTGGGTCATCTCCGATCGACACCTGCTGTCAACTATCGATACCTGACAACCTCCAGTATGGCTCCCGGTCACCTCCGCCGTCCGCCACAGGCCCCGCCCACATTCACTGCGACCCCGCAGTCTTTGGTGGCTGATGCGGAGCGTCTCATCAACGTCTCCCGAGCCGTCCAGGATAAGGTCGTCGCTGAGGTCAAACCGGAAGCGGCTACATTTGCCAGTGTATTGACTCCTCTGGCGCAAGATGAGAATGTCATGGCCCTTGAAGCGCACATTTTGGGCTTCTACCAGGCCGTATCAACGGACCAGAAGCTTCGTGATGCCTCTTCCAAGGCCGAGGAACTCATGGATGAGTTCTTCATCGAATCCGGCATGCGGGAGGATGTCTACAAGCTGGTTGATGCGGCGTTGAATAAGAATGAGAGTCTGGCCCCGGAATCCCGCCGCCTGCTGGAGAAGGAGCACAAGGGATTTGTTCGGAACGGATTGGGTCTCCCTGCGGGTCCTCAGCGCGCTCGCTTCAAGGAGATCAAGAAGCGTCTCAGTCAGCTCAGTATTGAATTCCAGAAAAACCTGAATGAAGAGAATGGTGGGATCTGGTTCACTCTGGAGCAACTGAACGGTGTCCCCGAGGACGTCCTGTCTGGACTGAAACGTGGCGAGGGGGAAAATGCCGACAAGCTCTGGTTGACTTTCAAATACCCGGATCTCTTCCCGACAATGAAGTATGCCACCAATCCAGAGACCCGGAAGCAGGTCATGATCGCCAACGAGAACAAGTGCAACCAAAATGTGCCCTTGTTCCGCGAGGCGATTGTGCTGCGTGACGAGGCCGCTCGCCTGCTGGGATATCCCAACCACGCCGCCTTCCGCATCGAGGACAAGATGGCCAAAACCCCGGAGACCGTCGACAATTTCTTGGGCGATTTGCGCTCCCGTTTGATCGCTGGAGGACAGCAAGAGATCAAAACCCTAATGGAATTCAAGAAAGCTACTGACCCCAAGTCCGACGGTCGCTACTATCTGTGGGATCACCGGTTCTATGACCGTGTAATGCTGGAGAAGGACTACTCACTGGACCAGCAACTTATTGCAGAGTACTTCCCGCTGCAAACCACCATCCAGGGTATGTTGAAGATTTTCGAGGAGTTGTTTGGCTTGGAGTTTGTTGAGATTGTCGGTGAGGACCGCGCCTCTGTGGCTCCTACCGGTAAGGGCAACGATATTGTCTGGCACAAGGATGTTCAGGTGTTCAGCGTTTGGAATGATGAAGGTGAGGGAAGTGACTTTGTCGGATACTTGTATCTGGATCTGTTCCCTCGTGAGGGCAAGTATGGTCACGCCGCCAACTTCAACCTTCAGCCGGTAACTATACACCATCCCCCTAGCCTTTTGAGGGGCAGGAATATGAAAGTCTGAATATTAACGATTGTCGATCTAGGGTTTCATTGCTGCTGATGGCAAGCGCCGCTACCCTGCCACCGCACTGGTGTGCAACTTTACCAAGCCGACCCCCAAGAAGCCTAGTCTGCTTAAGCACGACGAGGTTGTGACCCTCTTCCACGAGTTGGGCCATGGGATCCACGACTTGGTCTCGAAAACCATCTACTCCCGCTTCCATGGCACCAACACTGTCCGCGACTTTGTCGAGGCTCCTAGCCAAATGCTTGAGAACTGGTGCTGGACACCATCCCAGCTGCGCTCTCTCAGCCGTCATTATTCTACTCTCTCGCCTGAATATCTGGCCGGATGGCAAGAAGCCAACCAGGCCCGCAGCGGTGGTAAAACCGCCTCCGGGCCGCCGTCTGAGCGTATCCCGGATGATGTTATTGAGAACCTCATCCGCACGAAGCACGTCAATGGCGCCCTATTTAACCTGCGCCAGCTGCACTTCGGTATCTTCGATATGACCGTTCATGAGCCCAAGAGCCACGCCGAGATTGAGGGTGTCGCCATTTCTGCCACCTATAACCGTCTGCGACAGGAGATCACCCAAATGGATGGCCCCGAAGCGCTTGGCGCTGGCGACGAATGGGGTCACGGCGAGGCAACTTTTGGTCACTTGATTGGTGGCTACGATGCCGGGTACTACGGTTATCTGAGGTAAGACACTGATGCTCTCTGCGTCTGTCTCTTTCCCTTTCAGTCTCTTGAAAATTGTATCTGGCCTTTCTGCTAACGACCGCCACAGCTCCCAAGTATACTCCACCGACATGTTCTACACCGTGTTTAAGGATGATCCCATGAACAAGGCTGCGGGTCGTCGCTACCGGTATCAGGTACTGGAGAAGGGAGGTAGCCAGGACGAGATGACTACGCTAACCAACTTTTTGGGTCGCGAGCCGCGCACCGATGCGTTCTACCAGGACCTTGGACTGGCGTAGCTGGATCAACCTCAGAACTGATCTGTCCTACCGACATCCTATCCATAAAATAACTCCAGAAAGCATAGATATGATACATGCTTTATCATTGAATTTGCTCTTAACTCATGTGCCCTTATTCTAGACAGCTGTACCTGTGAGCCAGGAAGCCTCGGCCAACCCTCGCAACCAGTAATGAAAGCGGATGGTGTAGTCGAAGTACGGTGACATGTGTACCCTTCTTTATCTTGCAGGCCGCGAAAGGTGGTCTCATCAGCCATGGGCAGCACTTTGATTTTTTTTTGAAATAGTAATGCTTTTCATTCCATCCCAACCTAAATTCACTTCAACTTGGGGTGGTCCAAGGATTAAATTGATAGCGCTATAGGTTGATGCTCGATCGCCCCGTCCGATAAGCCCACCGCCTTTGGATTTGTCGACGTGCCGTAGTTCGGCTTCGCAGTCAAGGTTTCTTGCTAGAATCTCGTTTTAAACCTGGTACACGGTGATTTATGATGAGAATTCGGTAAGCTTCTAAATTTCCAGTCCAACCATTGGTTTAGCTCAATCCCCTCGAGCTAACGCAAGCCAGATGACCTTCTAACAAGCATCGCCGCTCTCGATCTCTTCAACACGGCCAATCTTCAGTCCACAAGTGCAACTCGAGTGGCAAGCTCTAGCAGAGAAGCTGTTGGATGTTTCTCAAATAAGCGGCAGGGTCGATATAAGCGGTTCATTTGTCGACATAAGCCTTCTCTTCGCGGCTCTCGGAGCTTCCCTCGACCCTAGCAACACCTCTAATTCCAACAACACACCTGTCATAATGACTGCGCAACTTCCCCCAGAATATTCTACTCGTCTCCCAATACGCACTCAGCACTGTCGCTTTTGTAATCATCTTCTTCTGGCAACAACTCGCGACCTCTCTAAACTTCCCCGCCGCGGGGGCGAAGCCCAAGACAAGGCGATTATCGTGCCATTGGAAGCGCACGAAGCAGATCTCGATGATGAACTTGAGGGACAAGAACCGAGCACGACAACTGCCACCCGTAAATCACAGCATGTGACCCTCCTACTCTCCACAACCCTGCCCGACCGTCGCGCAACACTGGTCCGCCGTGAAGATGGAATTGAGAAACGCTTTCTGCTCCGGTGTGGTCGATGTCGGGCCATTATGGGCTATTACTTGGATAAAGCGCACTGGGGTACGACGAGAAAGCAATCATATAAGGACGAGGAGCCGGAAATGGAAGAGAGGCCGCCCGCGGTTTACCTGCTGCCAGGGTCCGTGGTGGAGACCGAACAGATGGGCCTGGACGGGGTTGGGGAGATGGAGTGGAGGGCATGGGCCGACGGCGCATAGAATGCGCCCATCTTATTGGATTCTAATGACCCTTGAGAAAAATGATAAGCTCTCCTGGCCAGCCTCATGTACCGAGGATAGGATTCCGGTGACCGAGATACAAAAAGGAGCGCGAGGGCCCTCTACAATGCCAGAGTTGCCCGCCAGGAAATCAGGCCACTCCGTAAAATCGGGTGCATGGAATCACAGTACTATGAAACGATATGGTAATGTGGCATCGGATATCTATCGATCCCAGACCTTTGCAATAATACATTTCGAGTCCGACCAGATACAGGTCAATCCAAGTGCAAAGGATCCTCTGGCGCCGTGTGCTCGGTAAAAAGAGTCAAAGTAAGAGAAAAAAAAAGAAACAAAAACAAAAATAGGAAGTGCCCGCGTGTCTTGCAAAAAAGAACCGTGTCCGTAACATAAATTCATCACAATATTGGGGAAGGGGGTATCTCAGTTGGCAAGGATCGTGCGCACAAGGTCGGTGTAGTTGATCTCGCCTGAGCTGGTATCGACCGCTTTGAGAAGTTCGTCAACCTCATCGTCGGACATCTTCTCACCGAGATTGGTGAGAACTAGATTAGAAGAAAGGAATTGTTTAGTTGGCATGACACTTCCAGAGGGTGGACCAAGCCGAAACTGGGGATTCGACTGGCAATTCGCGAGTGAGAGAAGACATACTATAGCGCAGCTGGCCTACTCCAATGAATCCGGTCATATCTTTATCGAACACCTGGAAACCCCGGCAGTATTCCTCGGGCTCACCGGGTTCACGGAAGCCACCCGGACGGTTGAGCACCTTCAGGAAGGAATCGAAATCAACTAAAGGTCACTCATATTAGAAGCCAGAACAGAAAATGTCGGGATCGGTCGCTGCTGCAGAGGACAAGGCGAGAAGGAGCACGCAAGCACGTACATTCACCACCGATGGACTTCTCCAGGTCACTGATCTCTGCCAGCGTGGGATTTTGGCCGCAGGCCCGCAGCAGGTCGCCCAGCAGGTCGCCCGACACACGGCCAGTGCCGCGGCGGTCGAAAAGCGAGAACGCTTCCTTGTAGTTGGTAGAAGCCTGATCGTTCTTGTTAGCCATGATGGGATGATGTAGAAGAGGCGATGGACGGGATGACGGGGAGAAAGCAGGGATTGGAGGGATTGTTGGGGGCGGAAGTCGGGAAGTCAAAGCCCAGCGTAACCACGGAAGAGGCAATGCGTCAACAGAAAGGAGGGGGTAGCACCGCTTGGTATGCAACTCACCATGATCGAAGATTTGGAGGAGCTGGAGAAGGAGAATGAGCCAGGGAAAACAAAGACAAAGAATAAAGTCACGGTTTCAAAAGGAGATTTGAAGAATGGAAGAAACGGAGTAAAGAATGGGAAGAAAAATGGCCAGGGAAGGTGGGAAGGTGGGAGGGTGGAAGGGCGGAAGGGAGGATCGGCGGTTGTTCGGGCAACGGATCAACAAGTCATCATCATCCTCCACTGTCGTGTCCAACAGTTCTCGCCCTATCTAGACAAAGTATCATCCAATCAATTCACAGCCAAAGGAGCGAATAGTCGGGTTTCAAAGAGCATGGTATAATGGAGAGTCTACAATGGACCAGCAGTCACCGAAGGTAGAATTACATTCAACCCCTAACCATATACAAGATTCCAGAGGTTACGGACTATCGTGAGACATTACTATAAACAACTCCAGTCTCCTCAGATTAATATCCAATAAGGAGTCCCAACAGGCCAATGCCAGTGGCATCTAACGCCATGCGATATCTTTATGACTGAAGCTTCGCAATACAACTGTCCAGCAGCCGCGCCGCTTCACCCAGCAACTCCCATCGTGGGTTGGCAAAGGCATCGCGCAAGATCATCAGCATCCCCAGACACTCGTTGCGGCCTTTCATGCCTTCCAGATCATTGGGCTCACGAACGCCCCCCACGCGCTGCAGAAATTTCTGCATATCTCGTCGTCGGTCCGCAAGTGTGACCAGCACAGGTGGTGGGCGAAGGGGACCATCGAGTGCAAAGCCATAACACCAGACCACCAGCGCAGCGAAGTACATCACCCACGGCCGGTTTAATAAGTAGTCGTCCCGCGCAAGGTAATTCCCAGATTCCGCGCCCGGTTCAGTGAAGCACGTCGTTAGGAACTTGAGCGCATAGAAGGCGGCATCGCGGGCTGTGGCCTTGGTCGCCCAGCGGTCAGTCTTCTCCCGTGCAGCGCTGTAATCGCGCGCGGTGATCGACCGCCCCATCAATCGCCCGGCCCCTGCAAAGATCTGAAGATCGGCGATATCAACATGGGAGGCCATATGGGCGAGGCCATGAAGGACATCGCGTGATTCGCTTTCAGTCGATGCCGATGGGCCCAGGGCCTCGTCAAAGTCTCGTCTCCAATTGTCAAATGATCGAAGCAGCGCGGTCCGCCATTTATCCCGCCCACCGAGCGTTTGGCCGACCCCGAGCGAGCTCGCTTGAAGGTCTCGCTGGTTTAGATGCCAGCTAACGCTCAGCAGACCCGCCATCAGAATCATTCGGCCGAACATGTTGGTTCGCACGGCCTGTCCGTTGAGCGTTCGCTTGAGCCCATCTAGGAACATGATCGGCCGGACCCCATGCGACTGTAAACTGGCCTGAACCCGGGCCACCTCAGCAGCACTAGTCGCGGCCCACAGCGCTTCATCACATGGAAGCGGCAATCGCAACTCATGCGCAACCATTTTCGCCGAGTGTCCAAACATCGTAGCATGCGTAGAGTCTAGCACAAAGGCGGCAAATGCCACTCGCCGAGTCGCTTCGGCCTTGATCCAGTGTGTCCATGACTCGTCTTCCTCTTTCGACTCGGGTGTGTCAAATGAGGACCGGCCGATGAGGGAGCTGCCCCGACGCATCAATGTCAAGGTTGTATCATGATGGATGTGTGCCCTCTCGTGCAGCGCGCGCGTAGAGAAGGATTTTTCGTACACCTCTAGGAGTAATAAGGCCTGGAATACCCACAGACGGGCAGGAGGCCGGAAATCTGCATCCATAAAAATCTCCCACCTTAGATGCCATGCGATAAAGCTGGCCAATTCTGCAGCAGTCTCCGTGGCGGCTTGTCCGTGTATCTTATCCAGTGTTGCGGCCCCAATGGCCATGATCCCCAACAGTAGTAAATTCGGTGTTCTATCGGCGGCAAAGGTCGGCTGGTGCAGAATCGGCATCTGGGCGTGGAAATGATACCAATATGATCCAATGTACGTCTGCATCATGCGAAGACTGAGGACATGCCTATCGTTATCAAGGTCGCCCTCCATTAGTGCATCCTTGCGTTTCGTGGCGTCTCCTGAGTATGCTGCTTCATTGAATCGGGTGGCCATCAGATGGAGGAGCTCCTGGCGTTTTTCCTCCGAAATAATTGCTGGCAGTGAGCCCGAGTCTAGGATGCTCGTCACGCTCATCGGGTGCTGTGGAATGACTGTGCAGAAGTTGTTATACGCTGGCTCGTTCATGTAGAATTGATTGTGCAACATCGGCATCATCCCATAGCCCAACGGTGCGAGTGGCTCGCTGAAGAGCCATGCCGCAAAGTCGTCCGCCATGGCAAACGGCGATCTATTATAGGTCTCCCCGCCAAAGATGGGGTATGCATTGGACATGGAATCGAATTCTAGCATGCTTTCCGGTTGACTGAGAGCTCCAGTAAAATCTGTATACCCAGTCACTGGTACGCCGGCCGTGTCGATGGCGGTCGATGTCGGCAGCGGGTACGCCGTGTCTGAAGGGGATTTGGAGGTGGGTGGTTGCGGATCGGTCATGAACGGATACTCTGCCACCGTCATGGAAGGAGATGATGGTGAGGAAGCCGGAAGCAGGGATTTATGTGGACTCTCGTCATGGTTGTCCGTCGCGAAGCTGTCGCGCTTCTGTAGCTGCGATCCTCGAGTGGTATGCCGCTCGCGATGTCGGATGCAGAGATCCTGGCGGACGAAAGATCGATAGCAATTGGGAAAATCGCAGCGAAATATTTGTTTCGGAGTATCTTGGGGAGACAGAAGGTCAGTCTGGTTGCCATCCAAAGCGGGCGTTTTCCCGCCAGTGGGCGCGTTGGGGAAGAAGCAATCTCGAGCGCATACGGTTCAACTGATGCCGGTACAAGTGTTCGGCACGCGAATAACTCTTGCCACAGCCGTCATGAGTACACTCGAATTTTCGATCGGAGGGAGCGCGACGGCTGCGCCGGCGGCGCTTGGAGGGTTGTTCGTCAGCCTCTGCCATGATGTCTGGTTTAACGGCGGGGAGCACCATTGGGTGCCATGAGTATGCAGGTGATGATCGCTGCAGGTAGAATGACGATCGCCCAAGCGTGGTGAGCCACGTGGGATCGATGGGAAACAGTGACGCGAGAAGTATGAACAACTGGAGTGGAAGGGATCGTGGCAAGGTCGAGGAGCCTGGAAGTCAAAGTGGCTTTTCCCCGGAAGTGCGGAGATGCGGTGGGGTCGAGTATAAGTTGAGGCGGAGCTCGTCGGTGAATATTGCAGCGAGCGGCCTCATCGGCTATACTTGCACCCCCTGCACAATTGGCACCTGGCAGCTGATCTAGTTTATTTACTAATTGAAACCATATTCGGGCCTGCTGTTCTCTTCCTGATTGGGTCTACAGAGGTAGGTATGCTTACCGTGAAAGCATGGGCCAGCAGGCTCCAAACGGACTTGGCAGACACAAAGATATATATTGTATTATTTTTTCTTCCCCTTCAGCTCCTGTTTAAACCCCTTTTTCCATCCCTACTCCTGTTATTTCTTTCCCTATCACCAAAACCCCTCTATCACCAAAACCAATAACAATATGATGATTTGTCCAAGACCATGTCAAATCGTGTGGGAGCGATTGTGGACAGACAGCAAAGAGTGGTATACGTCCTAGTAGATAAGCGCATTGAATCAACTCCGAAGGCCTTGACACGCAGAATATTGGGATGAAAATAGGGGGAGGAAGAGTTTAATATTTCACTAACGTCTGTTGTATATATGCAGACAGAGCATTGGTTCCGATGACGTTTGTCCACACTATTAAGTCTCGTTGGAACCCTGGAAGCCTTCATCAAATATGTAAATACACAACACAAAACATTCATACGCGATGTAATGAGCATTCAATTCACACCGCGGCATAATCTATTGTCTAAACTTCTCTAAGGTACATCGGAACAAGTGGTCGCCTCCACGGCTTCTAGCAATATAGACAGCACCAGAGGTACGAAAATAGAAAAAGAGCGCAACAAAGTCTACCCAATGCGACGGGATCGACAAGATCTGTCTATTTGACATTCTCTACCTAGTCATCACGATATGTGATTGGGATGTTGGTCGTGCAGATCCTCGAGGGAGTTAATCGAAGCCAGATAGAGGGACATAAATGATCATATCTAGCAGTTGGCGCAGATCGATGGGATCATAAATCATCATAGAACAACTGGGATTTCGTGCCATCATACATACCACATGGCTTGTCAATAAGGAAATAGAACCAACACCTGAATGTGCAAATGCTCCGGAAGGGGGAATTCTTTTCTGGTTGGTTGCCGGGGCGGAAACCCTCAAGAACACGGAAAGGGGAAAGAGAATAGAGAAATGTACACTGCAGAGAAGACGAATGGCTTTCGCTTTTTCTTATGAGGGCGTTCATCCACTGAATCGGAACCGAGTTGCCTCGAGACGACCCAGTCCATCACGAGGTGCCACATTCCGACGACGGTACGAGTTGGTGAAATCTATGAATTGATATTAGAACCAGATCAATGGACGAAAGAGAAACGGACTGTACCTTGGAGCAATATGCGGATTTTGCGGATGTCACGAGCTTGAACTCTGTCCGAAACATTTTTCAGAAGCCGCTCGGCCTCCGACGCTTTCATGGAACCCGGCGGTAGCATCTGCAACGTGTTCTGGAGCCATGCCCCGGTTTCCTGAGGAAGCAGCTCAAACATGGTCATCATGATGGCTGATGCATCTGGAAAGCAGTCGCCGGGGAAAGTGAAGATCATGCCTGCCAACACTCGCTGAGACAGAAGCTGCCCCTGTGAGGCAAGCAGGCTCTTGACAGCTTCGCGGACCTCAGGTGGGTTGATATAGGGCTTATCATCCGGGCTGGTGAATTCGGATACCAATGGCTTCTCAAACGCGAAGCTGAACAAGTCTCGATAATAGTGGAGAGTGGCAATGATGGGCTCCACCTGCTGAAGAGTAAGGGCACTGAGGGCAGCAGAAAATATGGGAACAGCTAGCGGGGAACTGATGCATTTCTTGGGATAATAGCGAACGGCATCTGATGATAGCCGGAAGAAATCCTCGATAACTAAAGGGAAGAAAAATGACGAGTTAGACGAATCGGATCATTTTTGAACGAGGGAACGAGATTATTTCTTACCATCGGGGAGGTTCTCCGGAGGGAGATCATTCAAGATGCGGAGGAATGCGGTGGCTTGTTGCTCGTAAAATTGGTAGACGGCATCACTCGTTGCTTCGTCAACATACTCGGCACCGTGGGAGAATTCGCGAACTACTGCATCAGTAGCCCACAGGAAGCCACCTTCACGAGATGCCTCAAATCCACTGGCAATGCTTTGGGCCAGCGTGGGGAGAAGAGGAATCATAGCAGTCCGGTATGAAAGAATCATGTTTCGCCAGCAACGGCAAACACGCTCCAAAATGGGAGTGGAAGATGTAAAATTCATAACAATCGTGGTCATTATGGGCAGGATCTCACCGCAGTACTTCACTGCAGGGTTCTCTTCACCTGGTGCGACAATTGGAGTCACAACTTGCACGAATATCGAGATCAGTCCTAGGTGATCGGCAACTGCCCGCTGACCTTCTTCATCCTGGGCATTGTTGGCAAGGGTCATGATCCGCTGCATGATCGGGTCACAGAACATCTTCATTGATTCGTAGATTTTGTTCAGAGGCTGCACAGACACAACGGCTGCAACACCCTCTGTTACTTCTTCCTGGCTGGTGGGCTTGAGCTTATCGAGAACCGACTCGAAGAAGGAATGTAGCTGGCTGATATGCCCCCCAAAAGCTTCTGGCAGTCGGTACCCAAGAACTTGAATGCCAAAGCAGATGCTTGAATGACTTCCTGCGAGGTATGATGGAAGCCAGAAATCACATAATTAAGTTGGGCCTCAAGAGTTTCGGGGTGCATCGAAGTCCATTCGGTATACCGAGCAAGTGCCATGATTGCTTGGAAGCGGATTTTCTCCTGGTTCGGAATCTGCACAATCAATGGCACTAATTGACCAAGGACGGCATTTTCCACTGGGTCCACCATACGACCCATGGCCCGGAGCCCGAAGAGTGGCGCCTCCAGCTCTTGCCAGTGTGGGACGTGTTCATCACTAGCCTGTGATGCGTACTTGCCCACCCATTCCTGGATCAACTGGTAGATCTTACCAAGGCAATCAGTCACACCGATGACGGAGCAACAATCCTTCAGCACATCGCCCATGGAGTGACGGAACTGGCGGAACTTTTCTTCCTGCTCGCGATCGCCTCCAAATAGATCGGTTTCGCCTTCCTCAGGGGTGGGATATTCAAGATGTTTGACCATGATATCCACCAATTGAGAGAAAATATCTTGAAAGTTGACACGCGCTTCGCCATACCGTTCAAGAGTGATAGATTGCTTCAGTTCATACCAGAAAATGAACGTGAGTGAGATAGCATCGCGTTCCCAATCTCGGGCACAACACTCGAGGACTGCTTCCACGAGACCACGGAATTCGCTCGGGACGCGAGCAATGAGCGGCACCCAGGCTTCACCGGCCTCGGCGAACATCCTGGTAACACCCTTGAAGGCATCTAGGTCTTCAGCTTCAGCAGTTTCGGCGATCTTGGGCCGGAGAGCCATGAGTCGGGGATAAAGAGCTTGAATAATAGGGAGCGACTCATGGACGTCCTTTGTGTCTCGGTAGAGGGTACAAAGACAATCGACGCCAGAATCGAATGACGCGTCATTGTCCAGCGCCTTCAAAATCACATCCAACAGAGGCGACTCCACTACTCGGGCAGCAGGAATCTCACGGAGCCATGATGTAATGCAATCCAAAAGGCGAGGGTTGGTTGCGGCCGAGGCTAAAAAGACGGTCAGCAAAGAAGAGGACCGTCTAAGATAAAAGCGGAGGATTATACGTACGCGAAGATTGAGCATACCCGATCATCAGTTGCATCACTTGTTCCGCATTATCTTCCAACAGCTCTTTGGTTCGATCAATCAGCTCGTCCTCCTGGTTTGTTTGGGCTGTTGTCAGCTACGTTTCTCATGAATTGTACTGTCATATGCGCAATGGACACATACAGTTAGGTTGATCTTGCGTCCCTCAGTCACTTCCTCCGGTAGGATTTTCAAAAACTCCAGCACACAATCCCCCGCACTGCTGCCCAGAGCGGACCCCACAGTGGCGAGAACATCTTTCCACGAGGTCATCTGAATCGCCAGACTCGCCAAGCACACACATAACTGAGTTTGGATGGGTCGCGGGCCCGGCGCAAAGGCCACCAGTAAATTGAGGACGGAGTCGCGAAGCGCAATAACAGAATCGGGGGGAAGTTGGTCCAGGTCGAATATAATCTGCGGGAATCAACCTGTAAACATCACCTTTCACCTGGTAGATAGAGAGAAGAAATCTATGAGACTCACCTTGCCCTTCAATGTGGTTGCTGCGAACAATTTGGGCTCTATTGGGACATCAGGGGACTGTAACAGAGCGTGGGTGGTTGTCCAAGCCTCCACCTATGGTTTTTGAATAAACATGTCAGAAAAGCGCAACAAGCCACGGTGAACACAGAGATCGTACCGATTTCTGGAATTTCTCCAGGAATTCATGGGCCTGGGTTTTTTCCGACCTAGGCACATTCCCTTGCATTGTCGCGACAGCCGCCAGGACCGGGGCAAATGCCTGCCCACCATCCTTGCTGGCCATTTTGAGGAGGGTGAGCTTTTGGACACAGATTGGGGTTCAGTAGGCCAGAATACACATCCAAAAACGAAGTCTCAGAGGAAAAAAAAGGAGCGGAGGGGGGTTGGAGAGAAAAGACCAAGCAGTGAAATCGCAAGAGAGTGGAAGGGACGGAAGGTGGGATGTTGGTGCCCGTGACTATGGTATTGGTATTACCGTATTGCAAATCACGGGACGCAGAGCTTGAACTTGTTCCTTCGCCGCAACCCGCTCTCAACGACCATCATTTGCAACCCACACCCCGTTCTTCACCATGGCCGGCCGCAAGACTTTGTTGGCTCCGATTCACTTCATCTTCAGCTTGCTCCAGAAGCGCAGCACTGTCTCGATCTGGCTCTACGAGCAGCTCGCATTCCGCATCGAGGGCAAGATCCGGGTATGTTGGCTCCTCGCGTGCGGAAGCTCTCAATCGCTCTTCTAACCCGTTCTCTCGTTTGCCTAGGGATTCGATGAATTCATGAATCTGGTCATTGATGATGCGGTGGAGGTTCGCCTAGCCACCAAGTCAGAGGAGGAGAAGCGGAGACCCCTCGGTAGGAACAGACCACCCTTTTGTTGAGATATCTACAGGGACACCAATAGGAGAAACCCGAACTAATTTTTTCGCGCGCAAACTGTACAGGCCAGATTCTTCTCAAGGGTGATAATGTCTCCCTCATTCAGGCTGTTTGAGTCCGACCGTCTCTTATCGCATCTCGTTTCCTTTATACTCGTGTCGACCTACGACCTGCGGTCCAGATACCGCCCATCACCCACCACGATCGCATCGATCAACCAGTCATGTTCCATGACGGGAATATCCTCGGCGAGCAACTGCTCCTGGAGAGACAGGGCCACTAAAGTAACGGAGTTTAGCTTTATTTTCTGGGAAGGAACAAAAGCCGGGGGGTTTCTTTTTTTATCTTTCCCTTTTATTACATCGTTCTGGAGGGGGTGGGGTTTTCTTACCAAGGAATGGCATTTTGTTGGACCATTTAGAATACCGGGTTAGAAAATGATCATAATACCCCTTACCATGACCAAGACGACGGAATCCGTGATCGAAGGCCATACCCGGCATGACGATCAGATCTAGACCATTTCCCGAGAGGCAGTTTCGCCGACCGGGCACTTGAGTAGGTTGTAATGAGGGAATTCCCCACCTGTCAGGTTGAAGGGACTCAAACTCGGCCATGGATTCGAGGGCCAACATATCCATGACGGATATCTTGTCGACCGTATGGATGTATGGGATATAGACGGCTTTGCCGTGCTGAAAGGCATCCTGAACGATACTATGGGTTGAGAGCTCTCCACTCGGCATAGACAAAAATACTGCGACACTATTTGCATTTTGGTATTCTGCTAGCGAGAGCAATTTGTTCGTGGCGACTCCAGCTGCGTTGCGTTAGCTAAGGAGAGTTCAGAAGAGAGGACCCATCGCCAATGAGTCACCCAACTGGGGAGAATGGGACGATACACTGTTTATTGATGGCTGCTGCAGGTACCTTCTGGAAGGATTCTCGCATCCGCTTGCGCAGGTCACGTTTAGCAGTTTGAAAAGCCATAGTGATGGTGTCGATAGGAAAGTCCGTGGGAAACGATGGCGGAGAGTTTCCCGATAAAGCGACAATCGATAATCGATAGGCGATAAGCCCGGACATTGCTGAGCCTTGTTTGGTCCTTGGTCCCTACCAGAATGTAGGGATTCCTTCGGCCACAGGAACCCTCCTTCCATTCTTCCTCTGACCACCTTTGACTCTCAATCGATCCTCATATACCGACATAGAACGATGATTTGGACCTGGTGTTTGTTGGCAACGGCGACTGCCGCTAGTGTGGATGATTTAGTTGGCACTTGGACCACAAAGTCGCGCGATGTCTTGACCGGTCCAGTATGTGTGATGTGTGGTCAATGGAACCGTTTAACAGGAGACTAATCTCGGAGCCTCTAGGGATTCTATGACCCGCTCAAAGACCGATTTCTCGAACCGAATCTCACAGGTATATCATACTCATTTGATGCCAATGGATACTATGAAGAGGCATTCTACCGCGCTCTGGCCAATCGTGAGTCCGTCCCGGTGGATCCCGCGCCCGCGTCATCCTTCATTTCGCTATCCCAAAGGTGCCTCAAAGGAAGACGAGAACATGGGCCAAGAGCGAATCAATTATATGAAGGGAGATGGGCTAACGAATGTTCTCGTGCTACTACAGCGGCCGACCCTTCATGTCCCTCTGGAATTATGCAGTGGCAGCATGGTTCTTATGTCTTGCAGGCCGATGGGTCTCTCATCCTGACCCCGATCGCTGTAGATGGCCGCCAGTTACTCTCGGAACCATGCAGACAAGGCGTTGGTAGTTATACACGATATAACAACAGCGAGAATTTCAAGGCAAGCCGCAGGAATCCCAACTCCATTCAGAAGCCCGTGTAGATTAACCATAGAGCAGGGATTTTCCGTTTCTGTCGACCGATACCATGGCATCCAACGCCTGGATTTGACACAAGCCGACGGGAAGATCATGCAGCCGATGTATTTGGCCTACAATCCGCCCAAGATGCTTCCGACGACCACGTTGAATCCGATGCCCACGGGATCCCACAAGAAGCGTGATCTTGCTGGAGCTGGATTCCACCTGGTTATCAAGGAGGAGTTGATCAATCCTGATCGGTGGTGGTGGCTTGGCGTTTTGATGACCTCCCTTGGTGGAGTGGCATTTTACTGCTCATGATCCGATCCCATTCAATTTGAAATAACCAGTTGTGTGTTTTCAGTACATGGAGTTGGAATAGATGTTTGTTTTTGTTTTGTTTTCCTTTTCTGCCTGTTTCCTGTTATAACCTTAATAGCAATGATCTGTTTCCAACAGCAAATAGTCCTGGTTTACTTTGTGGACTTCCAATGTACATTCAAATCGCACAAAGGGGATATTCATATATTGTAACACGTATTGTACAGGCTTCATACTTGAAGCGCACCACACTCCTTTCAGGCATTGATCTTAAGCGGAGACGGCCTTCTTCACCAGACTAGCCACTTCCTTGCGATCTGCTGGTTTGCCGTCCAGAGCACCTCCGGCAGCAAAGAGGGCCTTGAGAACCTGCCCAACCTCCAACTTCTTGCCAGACTCCTTGATAGCAGCAATTTCAGTGGCAATCACTGCTTCTACTTCCTCCACACTCATGGTCTTGATCTGACTGGCATACTCTTCCAAGATGGTCACTTGTGCATCTTCCTTTTCTTTCAGATCCGGTCGATTGGCTTCCAAAAACTGAGCAGCAGCATCCTGAGAAGCAGCGGCACGTTTGCGAATAAGTGACAGAAGCTGGATATCGGTCTGAATTGGTGATGAAGTCTTAGCGGCGTTGTTGGTCTCGGAGATCAATGCACGAAGGACATTCAGTCTGAGAGGCAGGAATCAGCCGGATGAACCAGTAGAGAAGTGGTATTCAAAATTTCCTGCTGGTGATCCTTACCTGGAGGTATCCTTTGCGCGCATTGCTGTCTTAAGGTCGTTGCGCAGAACGGTCATCAATGGGGGAGTGGTTGGGTTCGCAGAGGAATTCCAGCGCACGGAGCGCACTGCAACTCGGGATGAAAGACGAAATGAGTTAAACATGGTGAAAGAACGGTAAAAATGGGACTTGGCTCAGTATAGGCAGCAGTCAATGGCAGACAATAATAGCAGTGCTAGAGGTCTTCGTGGCTGAAGCTTTTCGGACAGAAAGCAAAGGCGGAAGATCACCGGACTGGTCCGTGCACCGTCAATTGTTGACTGTCTTTTCGCAGAAACCTTGAAAACCACACCTCCACTCTTCGTCCCCCAGCTCTTGACGTCCCACCTTCTCTACGACTGTCTGTGATGAGGACTAGTTATCTTGTTTGATTGATATTGCAGCTTCCTTTCAGACCTTGCTCGGCGGGGAGTCGTTCCCTCGCTCTCCCAACTCCCCAGCTGCAACTACGCATCCGTCGCCATGTCGTATCCAATGCTGCCCACGAACCTCCCTCCCACAACGCCGCAGAAGCCCCTTCCAGGGGCCTATCTACAAACTCCAGCGGTGCCTCACAATAACATGTTTCAATCTCCGCAGCAAGCTGGCCCCAACCCGCAGCCTCAGATGACATCCCCTCACGCAACGTTGCCCAAACTGCCGCCAGCGGCCTCGAATACCCAGAACCAGACCTTGAGTACCGAGGAGCGTGGCGCCCGTACCATCAATGATACCTTATTCTCAGAATCGCGGTATCCAGACCTAGATAGCTACTTGTCTCGTATGTCGATCGCCTTCTCTTCTCTCTTACTGACTTTCTTTCGAATCGAGTTGTGGCTGACCTCTCGTCGCGTGTGCTCTCAGAGGGATTTTCCTCCGAATATGACATCCCCGCATCCCCATCATGGGCGCCATTCCAAAAAGTCAAAATGTATAACATACCCGACCAGATATTTGATCAGTACAACCGCGCACAAGTCTCGACAAGTATGGGATTATTCGCCGAGTTGAATCACGCATGGGTCGCGATCGACAATGCGCTTTACCTATGGGATTTCACCCATCCAAACCCTCAATTGGTTGGATTCGAAGAGCAGCCCAATAGTATCAATGCCGTCAAGCTGATGAAACCACGACCGGGAGTATTCTTGCCTGCCATTACTCATCTGCTGATGGTCGCCACAACCGCAGAGGTGATTCTGCTAGGTATGGGTGTTGAGACAACCCCCAGTGGATCCAGACAAGTCTCATTGTTTCAAACCGGAATGGCCGTCTCGATTCGAGGACTTGATGTCAATGTCTTTGCTTCGTCAGACTCCACTGGTCGAATTTTCTTTGGCGGGTTATCCGATAACGATGTCTATGAGCTTACATATCAACAAGAAGAACGGTGGTTCCAGGGTCGGTGCGCGAAAGTGAATCATACCAGCTCCCGCCTTTCTGCCTTTACCCCATCCCTGAGCTTCAGCAACCTTGCAGCCTTGTCGCAGAAGCCTTCCGAGCATGTGGAGCAGATGGTGATTGATGACAGCCGCAGACTCTTGTATACGTTGTCGTCTGTATCCACCATTCGCGTCTTCCACATGAAGCCGGACGGTACTCTTTCTCTGGCAATCACCAAGAAGGCGCTGGATATCTACTCCAACATCGGACACATTATTGCATCCAACGAAACTTTGAATCCGAAAGTAAAGATCGTTTCTATCAGCCCCGTTCCTGCTGCGGAAGCCTCACGTTACCACCTAGTGGCGACGACTGCTACCGGTTATAGAATCTATCTTAGTGCCACAAGCTCATATAGCTGGTCGCCGACGCCAAACGGTACCAATGCCCCCACCAGCATGCAGGCCCAGCATGTGAAGACACCCCCCGTCGATAATGCTGCTGCAGCCGCTGTCTCTTCTTTGTCCGATTTTGCCGGTGGGCTTTCTCGCCTGTCTACCTCCGCCACGAAAGTCCCTATCCAGTCTCTTTCTCCTACTCGTATGGCGGCACGCTTTCCTCCAGGCTACTTTTTCTGCTTTACCTGCAAGGGTGCCACACAGAAAGCGGATACGCTCTTCATTTCCTCGCCAGAATTGGGTCGCATCTCTCGTTCCCCAGAAAATGTGATTACTGGCAAGGCAGCGGAATCTGCTATCTGGTTAAGTCTAGGCGGTCGAGCGGAGGATATCGGTCTGTGTTCGGGCACCCCTCCCGCTATTCCTGGCGGCGGCTTTGGCAACGAGATGGCCATCCAGTTTGATCATCCAGCTGCCGAGATTGCAATTTTGACAAACACCGGCATTCATGTGATCCGTCGACGTCGTTTAGTGGATATTTTTGCTGCTTTGGTGCGCAACGGAGGGGAAGGGGATCAAGGCCTCGAGACCGAGATCATCAATTTCATCAGGACTTATGGTCGTAGTGAAACACTCGCAACGGCCCTTGCGGTGGCTTGTGGCCAGGGTGTGGAGATCTCTCCTGACCAACGTCTGACTCCGATTAACGACCCAGATGTACTGGAGTTTGCTCGCAGAGTCTTCATTGATCAAGGCGGCCGGCCCTCCAACAATGAGAATATCGTAACTGACAATTCGACTCCAGCCATCGATGCCGTCAATCCTTCCCCTCGCCACGCCGGTATTGCCTTGTATATCTCCCGTCTTGTGCGGTCGATCTGGAAAAAGGAGATCGCGAAGATGGGTAAAGGCGCGAATGGTGCGATGACTGTTTCCGCATCGGTGAGCGCAGCCAAATTGCAAACAATCCAGCACGACCTTTCAGCCCTGCAAAAGTTTTTCCAGACCAATAAAACTTTCATTGAGGGCTTGAGCGGACCGGAGGCCCTGGCCCGAGTGTCGACCAAACAAGAAGAAATCGCGCTGCAAGCCGAGCACCGTGCCCTGCATTCCCTTGTCCAGCTTGTTTCTCAAACAATTGAGGGCATCTCCTTTGTCCTGGTTCTGTTTGATGAGCGCGTGGACGAAATTGTGGCTACTCTGCCCGAAGAATCGAAGCAACGGTTCCTGAAGCTGACTTTCGAAGAACTTTTCAGCAGCACCAAGGGCCATGATATTGCCAAGGAGCTAGTCAAGGGCATTGTGAACCGTAACATTGCCAAAGGCTCAAATGTTGAGACTGTTGCCGACGCTCTTCGACGTCGTTGTGGCAGCTTCTGCAGCGCCGAGGATGTAGTCATCTTCAAGGCGCAAGAGCTACTAAAGCGTGCCACAGAGGCCGGTGCCAACTCTGAGTTGGGGCGAAATTTGCTCAATGAGAGTTTACATCTTTTCCAGCAAGTTTCTGACAGCCTCCCAATGGACTATTTGGTATCAGCCGTGGACAACTACATCGTCAACCAGTTCTTTGCCGGTAATACCTAAATGCCCCCGTTAAAGATTGACTTTGGTGGGTGCCATTTGCGCTAACCATGAACAGGTGCCATCCAACTCGCCCTCAACGTGGCTGGACGCTCCGACAAAGCGAATGTCGCGCTCTCGTGGATTATGGACGGCCGTCCTGAACAGGTGCCTATCCCACTTGGCCTTTCTACAATCCACCCGCTCATCTGTTCCCAGGACCCACGCAAGGATTACTTCTATTTCCGCAAACAATGTTACGACCTTATCTCCAAAGTTGTCCTCGCCGTGGACACTCTGGCCGCGTCTGACCCCGGTGTCATTGATGGCCAATTGACCATCATCGCCAAGCGCCAGAACGAGGCGTATGGCGTCATCTCAGATTCGACGGACGAGGTTTTCCTGACGAGTCTGTATGATTGGTACTTGGAGCAAGGGTGGAACGATCGCCTTCTCCAGACCCAGTCTCCATTCGTTGTTACCTACCTCGAGCGCAAGTCCACTGATGACATTGCCCACGCCGACCTCCTCTGGAGATACTATGCGCAGTCTCAGCGGTTCTTTGAGGCGGCCAAGGTGCAGTTCCAATTAGCTCAGAGTGCATTCACTTTGCCTTTAAGTCGACGTATCGAGTATCTAGGCCGTGCACGTGCGAATGCTTCTACTTTCACCCCCGATGTTGGTCGCCAGTCCCGACAACGCCTGTTGCAAGAAATATCGAACCTCATCGACGTGGCAAATATCCAGGATGATCTTCTACAGCGACTCAAGGATGATGCTCGCCTTGATCCAGGACGCAAGACGGAAATCCTCCGGGATGTGGATGGTCCCGTCATGGACATCAGCACAGTATGTTACCTAAGTGGTTCCCCTGCCCCACGACCTTGTCCGTTTCACGACTGGTCATGAATCCTACGCTAACATAATCTAGCTCTTCAATAAATACGCCGACTCGGCTAGCTACTATGACATCTGCCTGCAGATATTTTATCTGGCCGATTATCGGAATGCTGCGGACATCAAGGCCACCTGGCAGCATTTGATCCAGGATCTACATCAGACGACTGTGACCCGTGGCTCGCCACAGCCCTTTGAGGCCGTGATCGAGAAGGTCCGCAGTCTTGGCAGCCGACTGCGGATGTCGGAGACGATTTTTCCTGTTCGCGACCTCCTGCCTATGCTTGAACGGTATTCGCTCGAGTCCCAGCGCCACGTCGGCTTGACCCACTGGGTAGTGGATTTGTTCCTGGACCTGGGTGTTGCCCATGATGTGCTCTATTCTGTGCTGGAGCAGATGTGTTATACTGACGAAGCCCCCTTTAATGCCACGAACCGCCGATATGTCGCCGTGGACCTGATCTATCTAGTACAGGGGTGGTTCCGGGAAAGTGCTCGGATGGGCGGTATGGTCTTCGGGTCGGATAACCAAGCCGAGCGGGTTGCCGAGGCGTTGTTGTTGGTGCAGCAAGGGTCGTCCTGGGCGCCTGCACAGCTCCAGGAGGAAGCGCAGATGCTGCGAACCCGGATCGAAGAACTGCTACGTTGATTTTCTTTATCTCATAGGATATGTGTCTCGCGTCACCTGGGGTTGATGGGGTAGACGGTGTTGTTTTTTTTATTTGCACAACGCCGAGGCCGTCTCCTTTTCTTCTCTGACTCATTACTTCCCCTTCTTCCTACTTTTTGTAACTCTACCGCGATCTCGAGGGCGTTATGTGTCTTGAGAAATGGTAATGAAACGGCTTTTTCTGGGGGTTTTTTTTTCTTTTTCTTTTTTTGTTTTTGCTTTGTTCGGGAAAGACTCTTTTCGCGCATGACTATCCGTGGACCAAATGCCTGCCTAAGTGAGAACAAAATAAGCTACAAGAGATGGAAAGAGATGGTTATGAAATAGCATTATGTAAATTGTTTTGGGCGATGCAAGGCAAAAACGGGAGTATAGAACCGAAACATAGTCAAATGAAGCACGCGGTCTAACAGCAAATTAACCGAAAACACCGTGAAGTTTGAGGAATCATAGTGAAAAAAAAACAGACTATCTATGACATCATTAGATCGAAGCAATGAAACTGAGAGAATCGCTTGCAGGAAGCCTTCTCCCCTGCATCCTTTTTCTGGCCGTTTTGGCGACTCTACTCGAACTCGTCATATACGGGAATGGGCTTCTCGCCCAGAGCGATGAGCCGGAAAATATGCCGGGCTTTGGCACCATATTCCTCATCCAGATAGTCCACGATAGCCGAGTCTGCTGCGCATTAGTGGGGAATCAACCACAATTGACCACATTTGACCATGACTGACTACAAGTAATCACGGAGAAAGGGGAAGGGGAGAGAGGGGACGACAGGAGATACATACGGGTGGTCGACCGGTTGTCAAACATGACAATAGTCCGGGGCTGCCAGCGGACTCGAGCCTGGAAATCGTGGCCAGTGATGATGTGGTTCATCAGAAAGTCCAGCATCCACTTCACCTCGGGTTCCTTCATGCCCTGGATTTTGGTAATAAACTCGGCATTGAGGAACAGGCACTTCTCGCCCGTGACGGGGTGGACGCGGATCAGCGGGTGAACGGTGTCGACGGCGTCCTTGCGGACGAGGCCACCGGTTAAGCGGGTGTGATTGATCATCCTGGCGGAGGAGTGCACACATTTGAGGGTGTCGAGGAAGCCTCGGAGTGTCGGGGAGAGGCGCTTGTAAGCGGCATCGGTGGCGGCGAAGACGGTGTCGCCGCCCACCTCGGGGCCTTGCAACAGGCCCAGCATGACATAGCCGGGCGGCTGAATCTCATAGCTAACATCCTGATGCCAGAGGGTGGTGGTGGTGCGCTGTTCCAAGAAGCGGGCGATCTCGTCGCGATTGCCATCACGGTGAATCACATGGAAAGCCGGATGGTTGCGCACCGTCCCGGAGACCGGCTGGTAATTGGGCTTCCCGAAATAGCGCATGAAGGCCTCCTGGCGCTCGGGACCATCGTCGATAAGATCCTGGTCCGGGAACGCGAGCACCTTGCGCTGGGAGATGAGCAAAGCGAGCTCGTCCTTGGCGGCATCCGAGAGACGGTTGAGCTGGACGCCCTCAATGACGCTGCCGATACTTGGCTGGATATGGTTGATGGTCACCTCGGGAGTGAGGAGGTTACGCATGGACGGATCCTTGACGCGCAAGGCTGGGTCATGATATTCGAAGGGCGGCAGCGGGTCAAACCAGACGGGATCCCAAGTGGGCAGGTACTGGGGATATGGCGTGTGGAGGTGCGACAGCTTGTCGACGTCGACATAGGGAATGTTGATGTCATAACTAATGGGGACTTCGGGCTTATGGGCATTGGCCTTGGACCGGATGAGAGGAGCAGAGGAAGGCATGATGCAGTGGATGGCGATGAATCATTAATGAAGGGTCAACGGTCAATGGTCAGTGGTCAATGGCCCAGAGTGCAAAAGTGGCAGCTCAGATCAGTGACAGATCAGTGACAGATCAGTGAATCTATGCGCAATGCCGAGGGGGAGGAGGGGCACGGGCAATTGGGAGAATCCACAGATATGAAGAGACCGATCAATGGGCGCAAAGCAAGGGACAAGCAGTGGAAAGAGACGGATCCCAAAGGACCCAAAGTATCGAGGATTAGAAGAAAGAAGTATACGGAATGATAGATTATCAGATCGCTCGACCCTCCCTTTTATATATAGTTTCGCGTGCATCGCCGTATCGCGGTGGGTCAAGTAGCTCAAACGCTAGCGCTGCCTTTCATCTCCGGGAATTAGGAGAACCGGCACAACATGAGGGAAAAAAAAAACGGGTGGTCTGTGTTCGCCAGACAAGCGGTCAGCAGGAAATACAACTCTCTCTTCCCCCTTCCCGTTTCCCCCAAGACCGATCCCGGCGGATTCCGACCTGTCAGAGAGGGCGAGGACAAAAGAAGGGAAGGGGGGAGGGAAGGCGGGAGGTGAGGAAGTGAGTGTGCGAGAGAGGGGGAGGCGTGGATGGTGCAAGCAGGAGGGGGAAGAGCGAAGTATCAGGACTTGTGGCCTGTTGGAGCCGAGCAGCTCCAAGCTTCTGGCTGCCCGTTTCACCGCTTCGCCTAGGGACTCCCGGCCCCATGGCCAGGACCAGGGATGCCTCGGCTTTGATAAGGTAGATGCAGGCCAAACTGCAATTGCTTTATCTCAGACCAGGATCATGTTGATATACTCCCTGCGCCGGGGTTCTACTCGTATATACGGTATATGCCTGGTCTGTCCAGGGTAAACAGGGTAAACAAGATAAACAGGGTAAACAGGGTAAACAGGATAAACAGGATAAACAAGGTATACATGCTATACGGAATATATGGGGTTTACAGGGTATACGGGGTATACTCTATTTTGCGGTCGACCGGGTCTCTCTGGGGTACTTGGGATATCAGGTCAACCAGGGCTATCAGGGATATCAGGGATGTCAGATCGAGCAGGTTGAGCAGGGCATCGGGCTATCTGTTGTGAGCTCTCGTCCCCAGTTTCTCTCGGGGCCTGGCTGCATTCTGCCCGCTATCGGGGAGATTCTTGGTGCTTGGTGGTTACCTCTTCGCTGTTGGACTCCGTCCATCGACCGATTAGGCAGCTCCTGGGAGAACGAACGCTGCAACTATACGGGAGGATCGGAGGATAGGAAGATGGACTGACCGCAATCAGGCTTAGCTCTGGCACCCCACTCTCCACTGGATGAGAACATTTTGAAACTGAGCATCATTTGCAGTCGAGAAACCATCGTTCCCTCGGGCGATCCGCTGTCAAGCGGTTCTGCTTCCGTCCTCTGTATAGCCTTCTCTGGCGTTTTTTTTGTCTTCCACTCCACCATTTTCTTCTTGCTCCTTCTACCGCTGCGCCCTTTTTTTTGTTTTCTCTTTGATTTTTGGCGGTCTCGGTACCCTTGCGAAATCAAATCTTTCTCTCCCGGGTTTCTTAATCATTCTTTCAATATTCCCTCAAGGTGCAATTCCTTTCCCTGCCCCTTCGATTCCCCTCCCTCTCTCCCCCCACCAGGACTATCGGCGCCAACGCGCGGGTGTCATTGGTTCCTGGACAAACATGCGGTCTGTCTTCTGTCCCGCTCTCTCGCCCCCCGTTGACCTCATCGGGTGCCTCTAGGCTCATGTCGTCAGGGCGGTTCGGACACGTCGCACCCGGGTGTAAAGGATGCCGACCGACGACGCATCGTACGAATCATGCGGAACGCCTGCGTACCTGATTGGTGATGCAACCCGCGCCGGAGGCAATCCGCCCTCCTGACGGCATCTGGCGACTCCTGGGGGAGGCGGTGGGCCCGGCGATCGTGACGAAGCGGCCATGATGCGCTAAGTGGCATCACTCGCAAGGTCCTTACGTGTTGAGTATGAGTTTTCTTGTCCTCTTTGTCTTTTTGGCAAGGGGTGGCGATGATGATGAGACGATGGCGGTCGGGCATCATGACTCATTCGCGTTCTTCCGGTCTTTCCTTCGTCCTTCTAGGTGTCCTTTTCTCTGACAGGGGAATCGAAGCCCGGGACTCTCTTTGGCAGGTCATCCCTGGATTTGTAGAGTAGATCAGATCATTGCAACGGGGCCGCTGAGAGTGTGGCTGCTGCTGACTGACACTGCTATCTCTTCGAATGCCCTGTTGTTCGATATCTCGTCCACCGGCACTGGACAACTCCAGTCTGGGCCGGGCCGGACCAAACCCCGTCCCAAACTTGCGTCTCCGATGGTTCACCAGTTGGGGTTCGCCCGCGTCGTCTGGGTCAAAAGGATGGGCCCAGAACATAAATAGACGGGCTCGACATCACCGATCACGGTCAGAGCATTCACTGTACCTTGACGTCCAATCGTGCCTCCCGAGATGTCCGATTGCAAGCCGGGCATCGGCCGCCAGATGTCTCTCGATATCTCGTGGCCCACGATCTCCACTAAGCTTAAATCGCCAAAAGCAAACATGGTCCCCGATCGCCGCCCCGCTGCGTCACCTGACGTGTTGGTCGTTTGAGGACTGGACGGTCAGATCGTTGGTCCTTGGCGTTCCTGCATCGTTTCATCCTTCAAGACTTCAAGACTTCATATTTCAGACTTCGCCCTCCCCTCCTGTCGCTCTTCCTGCTTGCTTTTACCCGTCCAGACCTGAAGTGGACCTCCCCAGGTATTCTCTGCGGATATTCCCTGGGTTCCTTGGTGAACGGGTCCTTCGCCGCGTGTCGCGCGCCGCAGTCCAGGACCCGCGGCATTGATCGTCCATTGTCCACCCAAGTCCTTCCTCTTCCTCCCCCACGCCTATCGCGGCCGGACAGAAGCACCATGGCTCCCCTCCTCAGTCGCAAAAGCGACTGCATCTACCTCCTGTTCTTCGCGACTCATGTGCCTATCATCTTCCTCATCGACACCGTGCCTCTGCAGCCCGCGTGGTTGCAGACGGACCTCTCGGGACAATTGCGTGATTTCTACATTACCAATTACCGAGACAAGTTCTTTGAGTTCCCAGCGCCGGGCTGGTTCAATACCTTCATTTGGATGGAATTGCTCTACCACGTCCCCGCCAGCCTGTGGGCCGTGTGGGGGTTGATTAAAGGTGAGCTGAGCTGCAGGGCGTCGGGATGGTCGGGATGATCGGGATGGTCGGGATTGTCAAGATTGTTCCTGCGGAGGGGTTGGGCGGTTCTATTAATCAAGATGGAATAATTCTTATTCCCCCCCCCCCCCCCCCCCCGGCGGCACCTCTCCCCTCCTCCCTCACCTAAGAAGCAAACCAAGCATTGGGAGTGTGAACTAACAAGGATCCCGTTTCATAGACCACCCCCTGGTCCCGGTGCACTTGCTCGTCTTTGGCATCCAGGCCTTCGTCACCTCGATTACCTGCTTGGTCGACGTATGGAGCTGGCCAGATCGTTCGGTGGCCGAGAAACAACAGCTGACGACCCTGTACGGTCCCTATGTGGCACTAGGTGAGTGGTCCCAGGAGTCTCCGGAGTCCGCTGGCGCCTTTTCTGCACCTCTCGACCAACCCACGGGAACCCAACTGACGAGCCTCTCTTCAGGCGCCTGGATGGCCTTCGACATGGTCACCCGATTGCGTGCTCGGTTACTGCCTAAATGCAAACACGAATGAGAACGAGAAGGTCAAGACCCGACCAGCTCCCCAAATGCCTCGGATCTGGTACTAATGCACATCGGCCCGGAGGTTGGAATTAGACCGCCCAAAACAAAATCATGAGACAAAATCCGCTTAAGGGAAAACGAAAGAGGGAAAATGAAAGAGGCAAAAAAAAGCCGTTGCGGATATCACCACATAATCGTACACATTCGTTACGTATGCTTCAGTCAAGAGAACAAGGGGCGGAAGCAAGACGAAAAAGAAGACAGAGAAGAAGATACAAGGAACAGGCCCGCTAAATACAAAATCGAAATCCCCCCGTATCCTCCTAACCGCTGAAACGCCAGAGTATGTAACAATATGCGTTTTCTTTAAAGCAAGAACCCGATGGCCCGGTTGAGGTCCCCATTAGCCGCGTCGAGTGCGCGAACGGCCTGGTCGCGGGAGAAGCCCAGCTCCGTGATTTTGGCGATTGCGGCGGCGGGCCAGCGGGAGGCGGGGGGCGTCGGCACAGGGTGAATATTGATCTTGGGCGCCCCCTGTGCAGTTTGTTGCGACTGTGTTGCTGCGCTGGATTGGCCGGCTCCAGTTCCGCCAGCCTGGTGGGTGACTGCACCGGTCCGCGCACCGACCTCGGCACCATCCGCACCCTTGACGGTTGGCTCATCTTCAAACTCCTCAGTTAGATGCTTGGGAATATCAGCCTCTCCGAGAAAGGGTACCGCTTGGTCCTGGATGACCAGGGCACCCTGCTTCAGGTCAATACACGCCTGGTGTCGCCGCAACATGTCTAGCCCTAGCAAGAGGTCAATCTGCTTCCCCTCCATCACGGTGAATGAGCAGGGGAGGAACATTTCCCCGATCTTGATCTGCGCCGAATGAACCCGTCCCAGGATAGGAGCGGTTCCTACACCCTTAGCAATACCCCCATAGCGACGGTCGACCAGACGCATGATGTTACAGGCCACGGCACACTCGGGCGACATGATCGTCACCTGAGCACCGGAATCGACAAAGGCGTTGAGGCGGTGACCGTTGACCTCGACGGGGATGTAGAGCATTGTAACGCGACCGAAGGCTGTAGCGGGACGAACCAAGAACAAAGATTGTTAGCCAGATGCTCAACCCACCGTATGGCGGTCTAGGGATGGAGAAAGGGGAACGGGATGTATACATTCAGGATGATGCTCCATCGCATTATGGAGGTTCTCTGTGACCGCATTCTGGCGAATAATCTCTTCAATCTCGCGCTGATTTTCTGGGTTGAACGGGTCCGCGTTCAGCATAGCAATCCGGGCCTCTTTCTCTGCCTCCTGCCGCGCCTCCCGTTGTTGCTGGGAGAGGAGTACGTTGCGAAATTGCTGTGCATTATCGGCCGCCGCAGCCAGCTCTGGGTTCTGTCTCCGTACGGCTTCCCGCACGCGTGGGTCGCCGAGAATATGTAGCCGAATGGTCTCAGGGTCCGGCATCCCAGGTCGAGCTTGGACGTTCGGACGCGGTGCCGCACTGGGGCCGGCCGAAGGTGCGGATGTAGCGGGGGGCGGAGCGCCGGTCCGCAAGGTGACGTGGACACCGAGCATATCGCCTTCTCCGATGCCCACTTGGTCTAGGGATTGTGCTGGGTTCTGGAGGAGTTGATTGTTGAAGACCAGCTGCTGGGCCTCGGGAGGAATGTCAGTTTCGCTTTCGACGATGGCCTTGAGCAGTTCCACGGTCATGTCCCCGCCGACTTCGAGGTTGATGATGTCGGAATCCGCCTGCTCGGGGCGGATGACACTGACGGTGATACGCCTACGAAGGAAGCAGGTCAGCGGGGATTCCGGCGGTCGTCGCTATCTCGGAAACTCACATGGTATCGGGGGTGGTGCGGGGGAAGCGGAGGAGGGGAAGACAATGACAGTAGGGACCGTCGGCAGAAGGCAGAAGGATGGGCAAGGGTGACGATGGCGAACAAGAGACTATTCCAGGAGGAACCGGGATGTCCGTATGTTATGTAGTGGGAGCGGAGGAAAAAGAAAAAGTGGAAGTGGATTGAAGGAGATGGAACTTGGAGTGCGGGTAACGCTGACTAGGCTCCTTACATGCTCAACGATCCACCGGTATCAACTCCTTCGACTCCTCAACTTCTCGACTTCCCCACCACTTTCCACGTTTGAGACCGACCTTACTTACCCGCGCAACGCCTCGAACTAGATCTAGTAGTTCTAGGCCAGCTGCAGGTCCAGCGTTCCACTGTTCCCATGATGGGTGCAGGCAGCATGCATTGCGCTGGGCGCTGGTGGATCCAACCTCCCCGCAATTAGCTCCGTCTCACGATATCGCAGCCGTAATGGTACCAGCAGCTATCATGGCAAATGCTCCCTCCCCCCTCCCTCCTGGCAACACGCTCAAAGAAACTGCGCAGCATCGAGCTCGGGATGACTGGGGGTGAAGCGGTTGGGAGGAGCCGCACAGAGTTGGCCCCATTCGGCATCTGGTCGAGAAACAAGCCACGATGATCTTGGCCGCGTATAGGACCACCCTCTCATACCCATCGGCTGATCACGCTAGCGCCAACGGCTCCCTCACTCATTGCCGCCTACGTCTTATGTCTCCAGCCTAGGTCCTTTTGTCGGTACGGTGAACGAGGTCCGTGGCATCCGCCCGGCAGCCCCCGACCACAGGCTTGAGCAGCTTCTGCCCGCTCCCTCCAGAAGTACGAGGAGTACGATAAACAATGGCGAAACAGCTCCGGGCTTTACAGGGGTTTCGGTCGCTTTGTCGGCAAATTCCATTCTGATCCCCCCTCCCATCGTCCCCCACTGTGATGAAAATGTCCGAGGCCGCAGGAGCTTGTGGCTGGTCCGCCATGCTGCCATACTCTTTGGGTTCAAGAGGGGCTTTTTGATAAGCTAAGGGCCGGCCAGGCCGACAGAGGCCCAACAAGGACTCTCATTCCCCCCGCACTAATGCATTTCCATTCGCTGCATCCCAACGAAAATGGAAAAAGAAAAACAAGGAAAGCAAGACGCCGTCCATGTTGGCTCGTCCTTCGTCCCTCATGCCCGAAACTATTTTTTTTTTTGACGCAGAGCACGCTTGGACTGGACGGTGGGTAGTGCTGACGGGAGGGGCTCGGCATCGGCACACCCGCAGCGGGCATTCCCGCACGGATCGACAGACGCATTCATCGGCGACAGCCTCATGAGCAGAATCAAGAAATGAGAGAAATAAAATTGAATTCGATATGGCTTTGCAAGGCGATTGCGGAAGATCCGCTTTCATAATGATTCATATCTACAACCCCAGTATCCAGATTGCCGGTGCCGTGCTCCTTCTCTCATGGATGCGTGAATCATGAACTTTCTTTCGAACACCGTGCCCGTCAGCTGCGCCCTGTGGTGCTCCTCAAATCCCCTGGTACAGCCGGCTCATAGGAGGGCGCAACCACTGCCTGAAAGATGCATACGGCCTCTCCAGATATGAAACGTGGGAGGCTGAGAACTCGAAGAAGAGAAGTGAAACTAGTCCGCTAGAGATCTCTACGTAATCACACGGTAACAGCCTGAGGCGGCCCAAGGTAGCTTTCCTTCACACCACCAAGATCCAATACCAAATTCTCCAGCAGCAAATTGGAATGATTCAATCTGATCTGAATTGTATGAGCCCCAGGCTTGAGGTGACCAAGAAAATGGTCTTTCTTCCAGACGCCATCCATGACGGCCGTGAGCCAACCCTCAGCAGGTAATTTGTCCTTTTTCTCATGAGATGCTGGAAGAAGCAAATATCTCCGAAGAGGCTGATGATCAATGATCATATCGTACGACATTCGACAAGCGGGATCAATGTCGAGTGTCATATTGAAATACAATGAAAGTGTGGCTGACACGCAATCCGTGAAGAGGTAAATTGGGTAGTCAAGGAAGGGTATATCGGTCGTATTCTCAAAGGAGCGTGTACTATCCAAGGTGATCGATCCGTCAATTAATCTGCCAAGGTCTGGATGATGTTGATAGGGGTCTTTCAAGTGCGATCTCGAGGCTGGAATAGAGACGCAGCCATCAGACTCAACGAAACCAATAAAGGACGCGGGAGCTTTCCGTGCTTGGATAGGGAGATGGACATGTTCAAAGTCTCCTTCCTTTGATGAGATAGTGATCAAAACCTCACCAGAAAAGCCATCGGGAACTGTATCCCAGTCTATTGTGATCCATATGCGTGCATCGGCTCCATCTGGCTGTAGAGTACCTTCCTCTTGGGATATGTGAATCCAAGTATAAGGTACCGAGGTCACCCAATGAATTGAGAGTGTGCCTCTCGTAAAAATATCAAACCATCGCCTCGCCGGTCCATAGCGACTGATAGGACCAAGGGTTAGACCTGGAACTAGGTCTCGACGGCTGGGATGCGTTCTCTCGCTCTCCTCATTGATGCGTCCTGCTCGAATACCCTCGTGTCCCTCAACGGCAACACCCATCTGACCAACAATGATGTTGCTGTCTTGATATCGTTGGACATACGCGAGACCAAAGATTGCGTCCCGTGATGGGGCGTGCCAGGTGTCACCGTATCCAATATGTGGTTGGCACATTATGTGATTCCATTTACCGTCTAACAGAGAGTGAAAATCTTGAGACAGTCGAAAATCAGCATCGAACAAATCGAGTGCCTTGCGCAGAAGTGTGTTAGTCGAATTGCGCCGTTGACGTGCGTGCAGTTGATTTAATGCCTGTACAGCGCGCAACTGAGTGAAAATAGAGCTCGCTTTCACCGGATGAACGACGAGTTCCCATAACGACGCCTTTTCTTCCGCGGATGCTTGGCCATAGATTGCGTCCACAGCGGCCTCTAGCTCTCGCCATCGCTTCACAATCTTGTCCGCTTCTTCGTAGTGAAGTAACGAAAAGCTGTCTGGTTCGATATGTTCGTGCTTTCGAAGACTGACCAGACGATCATACTCATGCCAGGTAGAAGCAACAGAGAGACTCAGCCCTTGATCAAAATATTGACCGGCCAGTGCTCTCAGAAATTTAGGAATATTGTCTGCTTTGATCGAATCAATCTTCCAAGCCATTTCCATTGCGAATGTCAGAGGTAATTCAATGGGCTTAATATCTCCTACGTTGAATACCCAAATTTTTCGTGCATTCCGGTGATAAGCCTCGGAGAGCTGATGGTATGTTTTGCCCTTGGAAGAACGTCAAGTTAGTCATTACATCTCTTCTAGGCATAAATTGAACGAACCAGCGAGTTAGAGTTGATCCATTTGTAGCTTCGAGGTGCTCCAACATATTCAAAGTGATAGTATATCTGCACGTCGAACATCAGTGGAACCGCCAACGATCTGGTTGAGTCGCAACTTACTCCTGCGCCACCCTTTCGCGTTTTCTCGGGCCCAGAAGGTAGTCGCCGCAAGGTCCCAAAATTATCATCTGCGAACAAAAGAGTCACATCATCGGGTACCGTGAATTCTCCCGCCTGATATAAATCCTGAACTTCTTTATATAGTGCGAGCACCTGAGGGACGGCATCTGCACGGCCGTGGACTTCTTTGAACAGTTTACGTTGCTGCTGTAGTACATCACGAAGGACTGCGCCTGGGTCATCGGTTGCCATCTGTTTGTCATATTCCCCTCTCATTCCTATGGTGAAGTAGGATTCAAAACCCTGCGCACGCTCGACACCCTCTCGAAAGAACTGCACGATCTCGTCGCGGTGTGTATTCCAATCCCATGTCCCGTCTGCATGTTCATTGAACCACTCCGTCGAGGCCCGCTGCATCGGCTCGTGGTGAGAGGTTGAGACGCAGATGCCGTACTCATCCGCGATGCGCTGGTTCTCCGGGTCATCCAAAAAGAAGACGGCACCAGGGTTGGGATAACCTGGCCACATCGCTGGCCACATGAAGTTTGCTTTGAGGCGCAGAAGGAGCTCGTAAACCTTCTTATAAAAATGTGTGTTATACTTCCCAAATTTCTCCCGCACCCAACCAGTGAGTGCTGGAGCCTCATCGTTGATGAAAATGCCTCGGTATTGGATGCTGGGCTCGCCTTGTATAGTTTGGATGGACAAGGCAAAAATTGCCGAATGAAACTTGGCCGGGACATCTGCCCACCAGTACCAGCTGGAATGAAGTTTTAGCTAGTTGTATGATAACCGTCGTTTGTTCAACTCGCGAACACTTACGGAGAAACGCCAATCTGGCCAGAGAGGGTGTAGGCGCCAAAGATGGCGGCTCTTTTGTCACTTCCGGCAATGACCAGCGCCTGGGCGCACCCTGGCAGAGGATCATCCACGACGGTGGTCAAAAAGGACTCCCATTTTCCTTTGATCGCGCCCGTGTCGATTTTGTTTGCCCTTTCCAAGTCTTTCAGGAGCCAACATGACTCAATGCATCCCACAATGATGGCCGTCGGGGCAGTCACCGTACCAGGCTTGGGCAGTTCACACGGATTGGCCTTCCCTCGAGTGACTCGACCGAAATCTTCCGCCAGCGCTCGGGCTGCATGATGAATTCCGATAAAGTCCGCCGGGTCGGCTAGGATGGTCGCGCCAACTAGGTTGAGCAGTCCCGGAGAGACGGTGAAACTCACGAGAGGCTCTTCGAGCATGATGTCGATATCACTGGGAATGGCCTGATACCGGGATGTCGAGAACGAGATCCTTCCACATCGTGACGAAGGCCCAGCTGTTTCAACTCTGATTCTGTGCACATCTTTGCCTTCCCCTCGCATCGAGTCCAATTGGACTGGCCCACGAAGCCATTGCTCCACTAGACAGGCGGGATACACTGTTCGGGGTGTTGTCACCCCGAGCAGACCCCGGGTGGAGTGCTCACTAAGGCCGATGCAGCCATCTCCGTTGCCGACCCAGCAATCAGCATCAAGAGTCGGACTTTTCATGCCGAACCATCTCGCGAGTGGGCTGATCGTAATCGGGAAAAACATCGGGGGAGTTCCCGAACGTGGGGGGTGGAAGACACCCCATGGGGCACGAATTGTACCGAGTTCCACCCCCCACTTCCCCAGACAAAACAGACAAAATAGACAAAACAGACCCAGCCGAGTTTGTTTATAACGACTCCTCCGGTCGTTCTCCCTTTCACCGGCCGAGTGATGAACATTGGCAACCATGGCGAACTTGGACAAAGTCGATCACCGGGAGATTGAGGACGCAGCCGCCGTGCCTAATGATGGTCCGGACAAGAACCACACCAACTACAACTTGGTGGACCACGAGGTTGCCAAGTACGCCACCGAGGCAGCCATCCCGATCGATGAAGCCACCAACAAGCGGCTCAAGCGTATGATCGATAAGCGCGTGTTGGTCGTGATGATGATTACCTATTTGATTCAGACGCTCGACAAAGGGACTCTGTCCTTTGCATCAATCATGGGAATACAGGAGGATACGCATCTCAAGGACAACGAGGTAATTCACGTTCTGCCCCATCTTCGAAGACAGACGATTCTGACCCGGACTATAGTACTCCTGGTTGACGACAGTGGTGTATTTGGTCATCCTGACCGTCGAATACCCTGAGAACTGGATCATTCAGCGCGTGCCCATCGCCAAGTGGCTTTCCTTGAACATCCTACTTTGGGGGATCTGCATTACATTGATCGCTGCTGTCAAGAACTTCACCGGGCTGATTATCTTGAGAGCATTCATGGGTGCCTTCGAGGCGGCGTGTCAGCCCACGTTCGTGCTGCTCTCCTCGACCTGGTACAAGCGGGAGGAGCAGGCCAGTATCATCAATTTTTGGTATTTGTCCCGCTTCGGTCCGAAATGAACATGGCGCTGATCGAGACAGGTATATGATGAATGGCCTTCAGAATATTGTCGGGGGCTTATTGGCCTTCGGCTTTTCGTTTATCCCCTCGAGTTCTCCATTGAAATCTTGGGAGGCACTCTTCATGTCTTATGGCATCCTCACGGTCATTTGGGCCATCTTTGTATACTTTTGGATGCCGGATAGTCCCATGAGAGCAAACTGCTGGTCAGAAGAAGATAAACGGCTGATGGTGGAACGTGTCCGACAAAACCAGACGGGTTTACAAAACAGGAACTTCAGGATCGAACAGGTTCGGGATGCTTTCACCGATCCACAGCGTATGTTTCATCCAAGCCCGAAAACGACTCCTCAGAGCTCTACTGAATTTGATTGGCTTTAGTTTATGCGTTTGCACTCATTCAACTCCTCACCACCATCCCCTCTGGGGGCATTGGCGCCTTTGCTAATCAGATTGTGAACGGATTTGGGTACAGTGTTTGGGAAAGTCAGCTTTTGATGATGGTTGTCGGTGCCGTCACAGCTATCACGATGGTCTTGTCCGCCTATTTGGATCGCATTTTCAACCAGACAATTTACATCATGATGCTGTCCGTAATCCCCTCGATCCTTGGGACATCAATTCTGGTCGGCATCCCATATTCACCGAGCAAGAAGGTTGGAATGTTGATTGCGTACTTCATATTCTATGCTTTCTTTGCGGTATCGTCTTTATCGCTTGCATTGCTGTCCCGCAATGTTGCAGGCCAGACGAAAAAATCCATTCTGATCGCTTCGAACTTCATCTTCTGGGCGGCCGGGAACTCCATTGGGCCGCAGGTCTTTCGAGACAAGGATGCACCCCGCTACTTTCTCGCCTTTGCCATTTTGCTCGGTTGTTTTGTGCTTGTTGTGCTTGTTCTGATGGCCTTGAGATTGTGGTATTCTATCCAAAACCGACGACGCGATGCAAAGATCGCCTCCGGTGAAGTGTTGCCGGATGTCCATTTTACTCACGGGTTTGAGGACATTACCGACCGCGAGAATCCTCATTTTAGATTCAGCTATTGAATAGATAGAAATAGACCGACGCTGTTGAATTCAACAATCTGATGTGACATCGCCCCTCGAAACTATGTAGCATCGATCCACTAATATGTAGGTGCATGCACGGGCTGATCTGCATACAAGCCGAGATCCTATGACGCAGAGATCATTGGTTGAGACCCCAAACAGATTCATAGCATCAAGAATCAGTGATGGAGCTCGTGCCCCTGAGCTCTGGAGCAGAAGCTTCACTCCTCTTCGCCGACTCGCCGACTCGCCGACTGAGGGTCGAGGGGAATATACGTATAACGGCATCATAGGTGCGCGCTTTCATCCGGATTGTCTGTGGTCGGCCGCACTCTCGCAGCAGACGGTTTGTGAACAATTCGTCACAGCCCACAGCTTCCTTCTCGCTGGAGGCAGAGGAAAAGAGTGAGCGAGCGAGCGAGCGAACGAACGAACGACTGCAGAATCCCCAGTCCGAAACCATTGGAGCCGAAAGAGAGAATTTCTTCCGCGATCTACATCACAGGACTTGGGGCGTCGAGTCGTGACGAGGATTCCGTCCTGTCAGGTACGAGGTCCGGATGATTAAGCGACGAAGAAGCACTTCAGCCGTCGAGCTCGGTTGGCGCTCTAGACTCAGGACGGTCAACATGCAGTGACTCTCAGAAGGAAATCTCCGTGGCTGATGACTATTGACCCTTTCTTTTCTTGCTTTCGGCTCTGCTTTCCCCCTTTGCGCTCTCTACATCTCTCCTTTTTTTGAGTTTTTTTTCTTTTTCGGTTCCCCCCTCCCAAGGCATTTCATTCGATCCGTGCTTGGCTTCCCCGCGGATTTGCCCTTCGCCCCGGACTGCCAACGGTCGTCTGGGCCGGAAGCTCCTCGCTATGACGCCATCTGCAAGCTCTGGAAGCGAAAGGGAAATAAGGATGGACACCGACCCGGTCGTTGGACGTCACGAGCGAGCGAGCGACCGCGTCGGGGAAATTGCGAAGCCAATGAGGCCGGGGCGCATCATCGGAGAACGGGCGCAGAAGAGGATCCTATGTCTTACTTTGCCCGTCCGGAGCTAGTGCGCCACGAGGTGGAGGCGAAGGCCAACTTCGGGAGCCGATCAATGGACAAAAGCAACTACGGTATGGCATGTGGTGCTGCAATGAGCCTCCCCCAAGAAGCAGATGGCGTACACGATGGGGCCAGAAGCCACCGAGGGCACAATGACGATTCTCGCGGCCGCGAGTGTGCGCGAGTGTACTTTTGTATGCCACCGACCATTGAAGGCGAAAATACGGAGTGCAGGATGGCGCGTGGAGAATGAGGTATGGAGTCCTCTGGCCGAAGATAGCCTACTACTGTAGCATACGCCTACCGAGTGAGGATCCAGCAGATGGAGTCCATCCGCCTCCATGTTTCGCTGAGGCAAGCAGCCGTCCCTCGGGCTGAGGGACCCGATTGCAAAGGCTGCTCCTTCTCCTCCGAGGCTTCTGGTCCACCGACGAGTCCGTCAGTCACGGATGCAATGGTTGGCTACGCAGGGTCCCCGGTGTGCCTGGCCAGCATGAAGTTTGGATTGGGAACCAGCTGGCACGACCCCGGTTCACCAGAGCGTGCGGAGTAAGGATCAGCGTCTAGTTTTCGCTAGATCAGGACCACGCAGGTCAATGCAGACAGGCTGACCTCGGACGGCCTTTCATAGGCTCCGCGAGGCCCCAGGGACCCGTCGGGGCCCGGGTCCCCCTGCGCGCGCCCGCCAATCACGCCTGCGGGCCCCGCAGGAACCCCGAAAGGCGCCCGTCCGGGGGAGGAGACACTGCCTGTTCTGGGGGGGGGGGGGCCCGACCCCCGCTTTTCTTTTTTGGCTTCCTGTCCTCATTTCCTCGTTTTTGTCGTTTCCTTCAATCTCTCGTTTCCTTGTTGGTTTCTTTGCTGATCCTGCTGGGCTCGTCAATGGCTCCATTAGGGAACTTGGACCCCCACCTCCCCCCCTTCCTCCAAAAACCCACCTGCATGTGGAGGTCGGGTGGCCGAGCTCGGGTTAGTCTTGCACCTGTTCCCTCCCGCCGCAACCCCATGGGCACCCGACCCCGTGTGGATGGGTTAATTTAGGATGAACCAGGCCATTGGCCATGGTCCTGGGTCGATGCAATCTCGAAATTAAGCACATGTGAAGAGGAGTTCGCGCCGCCGGGCTTAGGGTGACTTTTATGTTGGCCACATTGTGAGCCTCGGGAACGAGATCGCTCTCCAATATTCCGGTCCGCCCCCAGACAGCTCGGTTCAGGCCCAAACGGAAGCCAGAACGAAAGCCAGATGGGAGAGGAGGGACGAGGAGGTTCCTGTCATACCCTGAGATGCACTCGAAAGGGCACTAGCGAAATGAGCCCGCGACCCAGCGAGCCAACGAGCGAACGGGCGATCTCGACCGGAACAAACTTGCCTGATTCCATCACATGGCGCGCATCGTCCCCATACCTCGGCGTCGATCGACCCGTCCACGCCGAGGAAGCTCCCTAGCTCGTCCGCGCAGAGGCCCTAGTGTCGCTGGGCCGAGTGGAGGATTGTATCCCAAAATGATACCCCGGATGGTCGATCCCCAGCGCACCAAAATAAAGACCTAGCGCAACCCCCGGACCTAATCCTCGTTCCCGTTGCCCAGGCTCTCTTTCTTGCTCCGTGGCTCGTTGCATCTTCGCTGAGACGCCAATTGCGCCAATTGGGAGGTTGTGCCGGGAAAGACCAAACCCTCATCTAGAGTCGACATCATGCGTTTCCTACCTGTCCTCGCGACGGCCCTGCTTGCCGTCGCCAATGTGACGGGGGCCTCACCCGCAGCTTCGAGCGTGCCGGCGTCCGAAAACTCGGTTGCTGCTCAGGCTGATACAGCTACCGGGACGACGTCGACGGCCAATGCCGCCGCCCATGCGGCCGAAGCAGCGGCCACGACCCAAGCGGCCACCTCGGAGGCGAGCGAACAGAGCGCCAACTCCGAGAACAGCAACAGTGCCAACTCGGCCGCTACGAGTCAAAGCAATGCCGCCGAAACGGCCGTGAATGTAGTGAACTCCCTGCTCGGCAACACCGCCTCCGCCAGTGCCAACTCGGCGGCCAGCACGGCCGCCGCGTCGGCCGCAGAGACCGGGAGTGCCTCGACGACCGCAAGCAGCACCAAGTCCGGGTCGACCTCGGAGAGCTCTAGCACAGACTCTGGTTTGGAGAGCACTATCAGTAGCCTCCTGTCCAGCCTCACCGGCAGCAGCAGCAGCAGCTCCGGTTTGAGCAGCATTTTGGGAGACTTGGGAGATCTGCTGGACGGCCTGACGGGTCTATTAAACCCTAGTCTGCTGTCTGAGATTGAAGATACCTTTGACTATCTCTCGACTGCACTGGCCCCTCCTGTCGACACCAACCTCCGGGTTCTACTGTCCAACGATAACACGCAGGCCATAAGCAACCTGATCGCCAATGCCAACACCCTGTTGTCGACGAAGAACACCCAAACCTTATCCAACATCCTGAGCAAGGCCGACACCCTCCTCAGTGACAACAACCTGAACAATCTTCAGAAGCTGCTCAACAATATTGACAAGGTCAACGATCTGGTGGTGAATGCGGACTCGCTGTTGACCAAGTCCAACATCAATGAGATTGAGAGCCTGGTCAAGAATGGCAATGATCTATTGACGGCGTCCTTCGTCACCAAGACGAACTCTCTGATCAATGCGGCTTCGGATCTGCTGACGACTGAGGTGACCAACGCTCTGAAGCAGCTCCTCAATGCCGTCACGCCCTTGCTGCCGCAGATCAAGGGCTTCCTCACCGAGCAGACATTCAACGAGCTCGCATCGCTGCTGTCGAATGGCAATGACCTGCTAACCAAGTCCTTCGTCTCCAAGACGCAGTCCCTGATCAACGGCGCCTCGGATCTCCTGACCACCGATGTCACCAATACGCTCAAACAGCTTCTGAATGCCGCCGTCGATCTCCTACCCGAGCTCAAGGCCTTGCTCACCAAGGAGACTCTGTCGGAGATTGAGACACTGCTCGCCAACGCCAACTCGCTGTTGACCAAGGCCTTTATCTCGAAGACCAACTCCCTCATCGATAATGCCTCGGGCCTGTTGACAAGCGATGTGACCAACGCCCTGAAGCAGCTTCTGAATTCCGCCGTCGATCTCCTCCCCGAGCTCAAGGCCTTGCTCACCAAGGAGACTCTGTCGGAGATTGAGACGCTGCTCGCCAACGCCAACTCGCTGTTGACCAAGGCCTTTATCTCGAAGACCAACTCCCTCATCGATAATGCCTCGGGCCTGTTGACAAGTGATGTGACCAATGCCCTGAAGCAGCTCTTGAATGCCGTTGTGGGACTCATGCCCGAGCTGAAGGGCTTCCTTACCGAGTCGACGTTTGACAAGCTCCTTAACCTACTGGATAACGGCAACGCCTTGCTCACAGACAGCTTCGTTAATGAGACGCAAACCCTGGTGGCGAACGCTGATGACTTATTGACGCCAGACCTGGTCAGCGGCTTGAAGTCCATCCTGTCCGAAGTCACCCCGCTGCTACCTGAGATCAAGAGCCTGCTCACCAAGTCGACCATTGAGGCGATCAGCAGCCTTCTTAAGAACGCAAACAGTCTGCTCACGGCCGACTCTGTAAAGGAGATAATGAACTTGCTTGGAAATGCCAATGACCTCCTGACACCCCATATGGTCAATGAGACACTTGGCTTGCTTGATTCAGCGGATGATCTTCTCACACCGTACGTTGTGGGCGGTCTCCATGAGCTTCTGAACGGCCTGGTGCCCGTGGTCCCAGACATCAAGAAGGACTTCTTGAATTCGACCACGCTCTCCAACCTTACTTACCTTCTCGGTAATGGCACCACGCTTCTCACTCCCGCCTTTGTGGAAGAGACCTCGTCCCTTGTGGAAGGTGCGGGCGAACTTTTGACTCCTTCGATGATCAAGAGCCTCAAGGGTCTCTTGTCCGATCTGGATGACTCGATGCCGGAGATTAAGACTCTTATCTCTTCGGACAGTGTGAAGAAGATTTCGACTCTCCTCACCAATGCCGAGAACCTGCTCACCAACAAGTTTGTCAACGAAACCACGACTCTGATCGATGACGTTTCGGGACTGTTGCCTTTGGTTGACACCATTCTCAATTCGCTATAAGTCAGTCTTGGGAAGCTTGACTCATGGCGTTTTGGGGATTGAATGATTTTCATGTGTAATTCAATGATCGAAGGCGATAGGACCTTGGATATGAATTAATGTGTTTAATGATATTACTTTTATATGACATAATTTTCAAAATTTTACATCGTCTACGTATAGCATGAAACAATCAGGCCACTGTTTCATTGTAGCCCAGTTGATATCATGAACAACCATTGATACTTGGATACACATCATATTAAAGGCTTTGATGTTTTCACTTTCATCTAGCCATAAGTGATCTCGAATCAGCATCTCGGTTTGACAAAATGACGAAAAGCAATATTACCCGTACTGCTTTGTAGGCACACGAAAGACTCCGGTGATCTGACGGACGTGATTGTTTCATGATATGGACAATCTGCTATATCCTTCTACTTTTTATATATTGTCCTGTAATATTCCGACCTGGTAGTATAATATCTCATGCAACCTCCAACACACACCTACTATACCCGAAGATTATTCTTATGTACTTACGGTAATCGTGCAGAGAGAAATATTGCAATCAAAGTAACAATATTGTGAAGAGATTGATTGATCGCCATAATAAACTCCCGGACAAAGTGGAACCTGCAGATCGCAATAAATAGCTACTGTAGGTCAACAAACCCCACTTTCCTTTTACGCTCTTGCCAATTTTGTGCTGTTTCATGAACATTTATATTGGCCAGAATTTATTCTTCAGTATTTTCATTCATTGAGAAAATCCAATAAAGGTGGAAATTTTTATCATAGTTGGACAAGGGCAACTCCTTCACTCGTAATAGTTGGTTCACAGAGGCTGAGTTCAAACAGATTTTTCAAGGTTAAATAGAAAAGTTTCTAGTTCCAGATTGGAATCCATCATCTGTGAAAAGAAAAGATGCCATACTGCTTTTATCCATGTTAAAGCAGAAAAATGGCGGGCTGCAGGAGGTGTATATAGGACTAACCCGCTCGTAGACGGCAGGCAGTTAGACACCTTCTCTTCTATATATTCAAATGCCCCTAGCATGCTTACTATCCCCGGATGCTGGACCTGGTTGGCAGACAAGTATAATCTCAATATCATCCAACAAATTTTGTTGCTATCCATCCCAGCCAGCTAAAGAGGTGCCGTGCCTCATTTATCCTAAAATCACCAGTTTCACCCTAGCTTGACCCGACGAAATAAGAACTTCCGGGCCGGTCATCCCAACACCACCATCCCTGAATTTCGATAACTCAGAGTATTAGGCTAGGTGTAGCTTGAATGAAAATTGAGACATCGCCGAACGCTGGCTGGTATAACCTGCAAATCGAAGCTTCCTCTCGATGGAATTGAGAATAGTATGCCCGACTGTCTCTTCAAATGATAAATCGTCAAATAGGATTATTTATACACAGATATCGCTTCTATAATGACAATAAAAAGGACTTGGCTCGCCACATTATTGGTTTCCGAAGACTTCATCCTCAAAGTCTCCACAAATATCTTGCCATGCGACCCACTCGCCGTCAGCACCTGTCCAAGCTCCAGTAGCATTGATTCCCTGGGCTTCTGAAGAATTCGAGGGGAGAGTATGGGCGGGAAGCCAGGCACGTCCATCTTCAATCCCCAAAGATCGGCCCGCCTTCAGCGATGGAATTGCCGCTTCGAAAAGTGGTCGAGCATATGGGTAGTACCATAACTTGGCCCACAAGTCATCGATGTAATCTTTATCACCCGTACAATGAAAGAGACCGTAGACATTCTTAGTCACAACATTGGTGTCCAACCTCAGTTCGGTGACATGGGGAATTGCGGTTATGACGCCTTTGATCGACTGAAGAACCCGAGTAATCGAGGAGGCAAGATTGGACGGTAATTCAATCTTATAGGGCTTAAAATGGGTATACTCGCTAATGTTTTGAAAGACGGTAGCGTAGGTTGTGTCGCCAGTCTCGTTAGTTTCATTGTAAGCGAGAAATGCAAGTGCATGATCGGATCCGACACGTGTTTGGAAAAGTGCTGATCGATAATCAATGCCGATATGATACTCTGTCTGTTGACCCGGGGACAGCGTCGGGACGGTTTTTGTTTCTCCACCGGTTGGGACAACATCATTTGGATCCACGTCTCCATGAAAATATAGACGGCGCGCCTCTATCGAGCGGCCGAATTCTTGCACTCCCCAAATATCGCTCATGTACATTTGATCAGAATCGCTGAACTGATGGTTGGGGTCGTAGGTTTCAGCGATTCGATCCAATGTGGCCGCGAATAACTTGCGCATATCCTTTGCCGGGCCCATGATAGTCCCTGAATTGAGCCAGCGAGGAAGATTGTGGCTCATCTGCCCATCATCCGGTCCAAATGCGCCAGGAGGAATATCGATGTCCTCGGGAATCGCCCAGCACCCGACGCGGCCCCATTGAACCGGGTAGCAGATTTTTTCTGGGCCAAAAAGAATAGTTTGACGCGGACTGTTGGGTCCCACGAGCGAGTCGACGGAATGCACTCCAAAACGCGCTGCTAGCTTTGCCGACGCCGTGCGAACCGTAGCAAAATATCGGTCGATGAGGACATCTGGTGGGATCTGGAAAACGATATCGTAGCCGTCCACCATGAGAACAAGGTCTTCGTCAGACGAGGGTGGAAGACTGTCCAGGTATTGCATGACTGTGCGGACTTTTGCTAGATGAGTCTTCGAAGCATCCAATTCGCCCTCCTTCATCCAGCCGTTCATCACGGGGACCGGATAACCCAGAATTGTCGCCGAGGCGAGCGCACGACACAGTCGAAAATGTTTCCCGCTCGCGGGCATCAGGAGGTGCAATTTGGATGTGACACCAGGTACATCATTTGTCGAGGCAGCACCCGGATGCTGGCCGGTCACAGGACTCCCATTGTGGATGAATCCTGAGACCGACTTTGAGTCCATGTGCGATGGTCGATACTGGAGCACCGTGAGGATCGCAATTGCAAGAAAGCTGGCGAGGCCGGTCCATTGCCAGCGGGTCAAGTGGTTTGGCAACGGCATGTCTTTGTGGTCCCTCCTCCCCTTTGCTCGACAAGCTCGTGGTGAGAAGGCGTTCCCGATCGAAGAGCAAGCATATAGCTGCTACTTCTGGAGGCCGGAGATAAAACTTCGCGGTGGAAAAGCCGGCGTGGGCCGGAACGAGCGGCGCATACGCTTAACCGAGCAACAGTGCAGGCTGAGACCCTGCGTGCAAAGCAGCGCTATCTAATATGTCCCAGGGAGGACTCAGTGCTTGGCAAGAAAAGCAATTCTGACCGCTAGACGCTGCGCAATGCAACGGTGGATGACACAACAATACAGGCCCCCACTTTCATTTCCTAGGGTCGATAGTTAGATGAATAGCGTACGGCGGACGAAGTTCTGTTCATGTACTGCGTCCTGCCTGCGTTCTGCGCCGGAACTTTGGCCCGTAGGTGATAGAGAATAATAGGAATAATAGATAATAATAGGTATAGTACGGGGGACGCCTTTGGGGCTCCTCTCGGCTTACTTCTCTGGTATTTGACGAATAGTACTCGCTTTTGCCCTCGTCTTGGGCCGACATGGACCAGCATCCTGACGCCGATGGCGTGACAGTGATGAGATCTTCCGTCCTTGGCGCCCAATGGCGTGCTGGGGGGGGAGTTCAGGGCTTTGGATAGAGCTGTGTCTCACTCTGGGCTCGATGCGCTGGTGAGCCGCGCCCCATGCGCTTGTACGAAAACGACGCGAGTGTCGTAGTGTCATGTATGTACGGCGTCATATTTTCAGACTTACCGGACGGACCAGACGGACCCGACGGGTAAAAAACGGGGCGTCCCCACTGACCCTGCGGTTGGTTGGGCTCGCAGAGTATTGACGATAGCTCCAGATGGTCATTTTTTGGACTTCTGGATTTTGCATTGCCCGTCTTCTTGGTTCTTGACTATCCTACGTCCCCGGCCACCCACGATCCCATGAGAGAAAAAAAAGGAACTCACGTTTCGCGACCTTGGCTGCACGATACTTTCGACTGGCGTTGTATTCCGAATACGGAGTGGAAGGAAATGAATCACGAGCAGGATGCGCGACAGGAAGCCGGGCTTTCTTTGCTGCCTCAAGACGACTCAACCTCCGATGACGATGTTGAAGCCAATCTGAAGCTGGAGAGGACTCAGAAGAGCGCCGAGCCAGAATACCAATCGCCCACCACCCTAAAGTTCATATGGCTCACGGCCTATTTCGGGCTCAGCATGGCGCTGACCATCTATAACAAATTGATTCTCGGATCGGTAAGAACACATTGAACCCAGCGAGCAGCGCGCACGGAACAATCGGGCTCTCGAACGACAACTGATGCCCTAAATGTCCAGTTCAAAGCACCCTGGCTGTTGACCTGCCTCCACACCTCGTTCTCGGCCATCGGGACATTCATTTTGTTGAAGCTGGGGTACTTCAAGCTTTCGAAGCTGCAAACCCGAGAGCACCTGATTCTGGTCGCATTCTCGGTGCTGTTTACCTCCAATATTGCCATGTCAAATCTGTCGCTGTAGGTTTCTTTCCACCAAGTGCAGGTCCGGTCTCTGGAAGAATTCGACCTTCGTGCTGACAGTCGAGGCCCAGATCGCTTGTCTCGCTTGCCTTCTTTCAAATCCTTCGCAACACCGTCCCCTTCTTCACGGTGCTGATCTACCGGCTGTGGTTCTCCCGTTCGTATGGCATGGCCACGTATTTCTCCCTGATTCCGATTGTTGTGGGAGCGGGAATGTGTACCGCGGGTGATTATCATTCCTCATTCCTCGGCCTGATCGTCACAATTTTGGGCGTGGTTTTGGCGGCAGTCAAGGTACCGTTTCCTGACGTTCTTCTTCTGCTCTCTGCCGTCCTTTTTTTCCCCGTGCTCCCTCTCTCTTTCCCGTTTGGTTCAATCTGGAACCTGCCATGAAGCCATCTAACTCGCGTTGGTTCTAGACTGTGACGACCAACCGGCTGCTGACCGGATCGTTGGCGCTCCCGTCCATGGAACTCCTCTTCCGCATGTCACCTCTGGCGGCCGTGCAATCTCTTCTGTTTGGGATCGCGGCCGGCGAGCTCCCGATCTTCTCGCAGGCGCTGTCCGAGCGGATCGCGCAGACCTCCTCTGGGGTGGCATTGACGGTTGCCTTCCTCCTGGGCAATGGCCTGCTGGCCCTCGTGCTCAACATCGCTTCCTTCCAAACCAACAAGATTGCTGGCGCGCTTACGGTGACGGTGGCGGGCAATCTGAAACAAGCCATCACACTGGGTCTGGGGATCATTCTTTTTGGGGATTTCTCTCTTCACCTGTGGAACGGGCTGGGGATCATTCTGGTGTTGGGTGGCTGCGCGTTCTTCAGCAAGGTGGAGCTGGATTCGAAAAAACGGGGGTCTGGCGCATAAGATCCATGACCTGGTAGATGATCCGCCTATCTTCCCATTGTAACTTCTATATTTCTATATTCTTTTCCTTTTTTTTTTTTTTATTCTGTATCCTTCCCCTGACACGGCGCCGAGCTCGAGAACTGGAAATACCCACGGAAACAGGGACACCGGTGGTGTATGTTCGTATGGCGTATGTTCGTATGGCGTATGTTCGTATGGCGTATGTTCGTATGGCGTATGTTCGTATGGCGTATGTTCTTTTGTTCGTATGTTCGTATGTTCGTATAAACGGAAACTTACGCCAGCGCCAGGTAAAACTTGACCTGAGCCTCGCCCACCGTTCAGGCGCATCGGACGCCAAGGCGACCGCCAGGCTGCCACATAAGATGATAGATTCGAGTGGAGAGGCTCCGAGAGAAACGAACAAGAAACCGAGCAAACGGACGGGTCGTTTCCGAGAGGGGCCGCGGCATGGTCTCACGCCCAGTGCCCTTGCCACGCCTTGGCAGGATCGATTGGACCAACTGGGCTCAGGGATTCAGTCCATCAATGAGACCCTTATCAGTGGCTGAGACATTTCCCGAGGACTTTTGGTTTTGCTCCAAAGCGAAGGGATCCGGGAGCATGCTTTATCTTACATCTGACAGAGGGCGACCGATCCAAGAAAAAATAAAAGGAAAAAGCACCAAAAAGGAAGCAAAAAGGACCGTCCAAGAGAAAATCCGTTCGCACAATGCTGCGTGGCTGCAGCAGCTCACGGGGGACACGACAGAGGATCGTTCCAGGGGTTTGCATCGAGACGCAGGGTACTCTCTATATTCCATACATTTAATTACACAAAACGAGATAACTAACTATACAGTAGGGCTGACCGAGTCTGGAGGGGGGGGGGGGGGGGGTGGACTCGTTCGGCTTTCACCCGGCCACGAACCCAACCCCTTAAACGCCCCTAAAAGGCCCACTCCCCCCGAACGACCCCCCGAACGACCCCCCAAAAATATCCCTCCACAGGTCCCCACAGGCCCCGGCTTGGGGTCCGAAAGGGCGTCAGACTCGGAGCCAATGGTGATCTCAGGTTGCGCCTCGTGGGGGGTGCAATTCCCCCAAAAGGGTCTGAAAGCGAAGACGGCCAAGCGCGAACGCTGCTCCCCCTGTCACACGATGGAACGAAGCACATCCAAGAGTTCTCGAGGGAGGGATTGTGCAGCAGTCATCGGTACTTCTGTATCGATCCATCGATCCACTAGTGGTCCACCTGCGACTTTGCAACGAGCACTTGGCGCATTCCCCCCGCCGGGCCGCAGCGGACGATTCCACCGGGCGGAATCCCTCGGTACAAATGGCCCTCCTCATGGGGTGAAAATCGACAGCAATCGTCCGCCGTCCGCCAGGGACGGAAGAGGGTACACGGTGAATGAAGCATGACTTGGGGTGGTATTTCGGGACGGGGCGGGATGTGCAGAGTCAGTGACGGAGAAGAGATCGGCCCCGACCGACGATCCGGCCCAAACCCATCCTCCGTCCGAATACCGAACCCCACACCCTGCAGCCGGAGCGGGGCGGTCATTAGACAGGGTCCTTCGTACACCCAGAATGTACGGGGTTACAGAGGACAGAGGACAGAGGACAGAGGACAGAGGACTCGGGAGCCGCGTATTGTGTATTCGTAAGGCGTACGAGGAAGAGCTCGGTCCTTGATGAACGTGAACCCGTCCCCGGGAAATGACGAAGGGTCGCGGGGGGACGGGGATCGATGCGAGGTTGGCGCTTGCTACGTGCAGATGTGAATGTAGGGTTTGTAGGGTTTCATTGGCATTGGATCGGCCTCACAGCAGCATTTGGCCACGACAGCCATCAATGACGTGACCACCTGCTGCACTGGGAAGAACGTGGACGCGTCGTCCAGCGCCCGGTGTGTCCTTTTGTATTCATATAGTGTGCCTAGTGCGTCTCGTACAGCTGGTTCAGTGGGGGCTTCGGGTATATACTTCCAAAGCCTGTCATGTTCCTCGGGTCTCCCAGTGGTCGACATCATGTTCGGTCCCAAAAGGTATAGCCCCTATACAGAGTATATACGGCGTCCCACGTACGGTGTATGTGAAATTACCTGACTCATGCGGTTTGGTATCCGCACTGCCCTGGTCCTGTTGCTTAAGGGGGCTTTTTTTTAATGGGTGTAATTTCGTGGAGCTGTTCGTCTACTGAGATTGGTGGCTGACGTTGCATTCGTGACCATTAGAGAAAGCCGGTGTCCTCATCTCCAAGGAGTTTGATATTTATCCCCCTCTTCCCTGGCCCCGGCCTAAGCCCCGATTCCCGATCAACCGAAATGAGGAGATGAGCCCCGTGCCATTCCCTCGATACTGAACGTGAACCTTGCTTGGAACTCTCTCTCGCATGATCTCGAGTTGACTCCCTAACGGCTTGACCCTGACAGCGAACCCCATCCTCAATTCGTCCCGAGGCCGATTGAATTGCCCTCGGTGGTCTTCTATACCATGCTATCGCCTGCCTCTGTCGCCGATTCCGAGACATATGCGTCTGTCGATGCCTCCACGGTGCCAACTACGCCGGACAGAAGTGCATCATGCAGCCCGGTCCTGAACGGCAGTATGGAGGCGCGGATGGATGACCCAAAGAACTTGAGAACGACCCTGGCAACTCCACCACAGAAGCCGATAAAGAGTCCGTTGGAGAATGATCACCGTACAAAGACCATCCGCAGCATCTGCTGTGTTGGCGCGGGCTACGTCGGTGGCCCGACAGCAGCTGTCATCGCGCTCAAGAACCCGTCAATCAAGGTGACGGTGGTGGATCGAGATGATCGTCGTATCCGACGATGGAATTCACGGCATCTTCCGATTTATGAACCGGGACTGGCTGAAATTGTCCGCATCGCTCGCGATGGGCTGAGAATGCCCGAGGAGAAGATCGGGGGAGGGAACGAGGCTCCGGCAGACTCGACATCATCGTCTCGGGCACCAAACCTTTTCTTCTCCACAGATGTGACCGGGTGCATTCGGAGCTCAGATGCGGTTTTCATCGCCGTCAACACTCCGACAAAGCTTCGTGGGACTGGGAAGGGCAGTGCCACGGACATGACAAGCTTTGAAGCCGTCGCGGCCGAGGTTGTTCGCCATGCCAGGGACGGCACCATCATCGTGGAAAAGAGTACAGTCCCCTGCAAGACAGCGCAAATGATTCAGGAAATGGTACGTATCATTCATTGCGATGAGGTCCGCTGCCCGCCCGGGTGCTTGATGATTGACTCGTCTCTTGTAGATCCGTATTCAGAGACCTGAAGCTCATTTCGAGATTCTGTCCAATCCTGAATTTCTTGCCGCGGGAACGGCGGTCGAGGACCTTCTACGCCCAGACCGTATCATCATCGGTTCTTCGCCCAATCCCAGCGGAGTGGCGGCCGCAGAGGCCCTGGCAAGAGTATATGCCTCGTGGATTGACCGATCGCATATCATCACAACAAACGTTTGGTCATCAGAGCTGGCAAAACTGGTGGCCAATTCGATGCTGGCCCAACGCTTAAGCAGCATCAACAGCATCTCAGCAATCTGTGAAGCCACTGGCGCGGAAATCAACGAGGTTTCGGCCGCCATTGGGGCTGACACCCGCCTAGGGTCGCGATTTCTCCGGGCTGGAATTGGGTTTGGAGGCTCTTGTTTCAAGAAAGACGTGCTCAGCTTGGTGTATCTGGCTGAGTCGTTGGGCCTTTCGGAGGTGGGCGAATACTGGAGACGAGTGGTAGAGATGAATGAGTATCAAAGGAACCGTTTCAGCGCACGAGTCATCCGGCGTCTGAATAGTACACTGGTCACGAAGAAGATCTGTGTACTCGGATACGCCTTCAAGAAGAACACTTCGGATACTCGTGAAGCTCCAGCGCTGGAAATCATCAAAACTCTATTGGACGAGAACCCGCGCGAAATCGCCGTCTTTGACCCTTGTTGCAATCCCGCTGTCATCGAAAATGAGATTCGCTCATTGCAAAAATACGGGCCTCCCGTTCTCAGAGATGACGGTGGATGTGTGAAAGTGTATCCAGACGCATACACGGCGTGCGCGGGCTCCAACGCCATTCTTCTAGTCACTGAATTCGATGAGTTCCTCAACATCCCGCCTCCGACTAGCGATCCATCGAGTCGCAAGTCAGACCAAGGGGGGTTGAGCTGCTCTATTGTTTCCCGAGAATCTATCGACTTCCCGCGTCTGAGCTTGAATGCCGAGCCAGAATGTGCTGCCGACTGTCCGGACTGCCAGACTGGTACTAGCTATGGCGAGCCAAGTGATGGGATTTCGAACCATCCTCCAAAACAACGGCTTGACTGGGCCCGGATTTCCACGGAGATGCAATCCCCCCAAGTGGCTTTTTGATGGTAGGTGCGTCATTGACGCAGATAAAATGAAAGAGCTAGGCATTCGGGTCGAAAGCATTGGTTCTCAAGGCTGGAGCGTTTAACTTGCATCAAGACCTTCGATTTTTCAGCAGGGTATTCTGCTTGGCTAATGGTATTTCTTTTTTCTGTATGTTTTGTAAATTTACACTGGTGTCCATGAGAATATAATTTGATTGCAAATCGCGACGGGTGGATGCTGTTGCTATGTTTAATTGCACTGCGATGCGAACTCGCGTCAAGACTTCGAGGAACAATAATAAGCCGGAGCGTGGGAAGTGCTCCGGGTTCCTTTACGTTGCTGATGACTCTGGTTGACCTCTTGATGCGTGCGATGCGTTTACCTTTGTGTGGTCGGCTAAACTTCGGTCCAATGGCCGAACGGGTGAAGAAGACAGCTTGAATCATCAAGTTTTTCTTTTTTTTTTTTTTTCTCTGATTGTGGGAGATACAGCAACCTCAAGCATACGCTGTACATTTAGGCAGCTATTGGAATGTCAGATGATGGAGAATAAAAGGACTGTGGACTCCGATGCTTGCCTTCCCCATCAGTTCGGGCACCCGAAAGCTTAGAAATTTGCCGACACCAAATGCCCGTTTTGGGGGCGGGGCAGCGGGGCTCCAGGGGCCTGGGCCGGACCGCAGATGATGAAAAATCTGAACTTCCGCAGGACAACGGCCATTGAGGAAACACGGAGTTATCTGGTGGAGCAGTGGGATGAGAGATGGTGCGTGGGGGAGCCAGAAGGATTGGGCAACAGAGCGTAGATATTTATTGTTTATGCCCCGAAGACCAGCCACCGAGGATGATACTTCCTAGCCAAATTGCCCCCCAATCGCCTCCAGCTTGCGACAACGAAGGGTTGACCCTAGAAGGGCCCGACATCGACTACTCTTTTTCGCATTCAATTCCATTGGTCTTTCGGTGGAACAAGCTCTGGCCATGGCGATCCGGCCAAACAGCCTGACCCTGCCACCATACATTTGGGCCAGTATCCTATGCTCGGCCAATGGATTATTATTCGGGATGGATACTGGTATTATCGGACCCGTGACCGACATGACACTCTTCCGGGCATCTTTCGGTGGTAGCCAAAATTCGACAATTCATGGGCTCATCGTCTCCTCGATCCTGCTTCCCGCCGCTCTGTCGTCCATCTTCGCCGGATACGTCGCCGATAAGCTCGGTCGACCCAAAGGCATCGGCATCGGGGTGTTCATTTTTGGAGTCGGTGCCGCGATTGAAGCCGGCGCAGTCAGTCTTGGGATGTTTATCGCGGGTCGAGTGATTGAAGGATTGGGCGAAGGGTTATTCTTGGGGAACTTGGTGGTGTTGATTTGCGAAATCTCGCCCACCAGCACCAGAGGCCCATTGACGACGGGTCCGCAATTGGTCATTACGTTGGGCCTCGTGATCGGGTTTTTCACGTGCTACGGAACCCAGAGCCTGAAATCCTCACTCTCATGGCGAACGCCCTTTATACTGTTGTCATCCCTCTCGATGGTTCTTTGCGCGGGATCGCTTCTTTTTCTGCCCGAGTCTCCGCGGTGGCTTTCTCTGCATGGTCGTCATGCACAAGCCGCAGAAATGTGGCACCGACTCGGAGTCAGCCAGGCCGAGCGTGAAAAGGCCGAGCAGGAACCAGAAATCCCCGAGGAGGTACCTGCCCCGGTTGTTGTGGCGAGTTCTAAGGAGAGCAAAGTCACGGCAGTGGAGTGTTCCAAGCAGAAGATTCGGAGAAAACTCCTGGATGTTTTTTCCAGGGATGTCCGATCTCGGACGCTGCTTGCAGTGTTTCTCATGGGGATGCAGCAACTGAGCGGTATTGATGGTGTGCTATACGTACGTCCGGAAGGGGAAGGCCCTTTCTATCTTCTTGAGCTGATTTGATTCCCAGTATGCCCCGCTGCTGTTTCAACAGGCTGGCCTTTCTTCTTCAGACGCCAGTTTCTTTGCTTCGGGTGTCTCCGCTCTTGTGATCTTTGCCGTCACCATCCCCGGATTGATTTACGCGGACCGGTGGGGACGCAGAACCAGCATCGTTTACGGTGGTCTCGGACTGGGAATCGTCATGTTCCTAATTGGAGGTCTGTATGCCGGGAATGCTGTCCACAGCTCTTCCGGCGCTGGTCGCTGGGTCGTCATTGTCAGCATCTATATTTTTGCCGTCATTTTTTCCATGACTTGGGCTATTGCCGTGAAGGTTTACAGTGCCGAGATTCAGCCTCAGAGAACTCGTGCGTCAGCCACTACTCTATCACATTCCAGTAACTGGGTTTGTAATTTCTTGGTCGCCTTGACGACGCCTATTTTGCTGGATAGGAGTAGTTTTGGGGCCTACTTCTTGTGGGGCGGCTGTTCCATTGCCACGGCTCTTGTGGGTGCTATATATATGCATGAGACAAAGGGCCGATCACTCGACGAAATTGAACATGCGTTCCGGGGCAAACCCAGCACAGAGGCTATCTTTCACAGTTCGTCGCAAACAATCCCTGGATCTACGGCTTAATATTCATTTATGAACGACATCACATTCACATCATGATCACGAGTTATATTAACCTGCTTGAGATGGACATAAAATAGATCATACACAGTACCGCCATGAGCTTGTTAGGCATTGGCTATATAGATATTACGCATATTCTATGATACTATATAAAAGAAGGAAAGAAAAATTGCAGCGTGACGGAACTATCCACTGGCTGTGGCCTTGACTTGTATCTTCTTCTAACAGTTTGCTTGCTGTAGATTTCTTTTTCGCCAGTCAACAGAGCTCATTCTAATTCGCTCAACTGGGAATATTCTTCATCACTTTTCTTTCCTGTTCATAAGTTGCATTCTACATACATATCATACATTCCTGATTTGATGGTCGCCTACAGAGGATATATTATGTTTCCCCAGCAAACTGAAAAAAAGGGACATTAAGTCTGAAAGTGACTGTAATAATCCAAATCATGAGCAACCCTTGATCGCCACTTGGCTGCTTCATGCGCCCATGATGGAGCCTACCGCCTCAATAGCGGCATCAGCAATGGTTTTATTCAGGGTCCTTGCTGTTGTTGCAGACAAAAGAGCTAGCTCAGTGAGAACCGCACAGTTTAGAATGATCTCAAGAACTCTTTCTCCAGAATTATTTTTACCGAAAGTCCCTTTATTTTATTTTTTGCCAGATCCGTCATGAAATTCCAACTTGCTACAACTCATCATATCCACTATCCATCTCACGCTGCTAATCGAAGGATATTCAATATCGAAGTTTCCGCTTATTTGACTCATTTTCATTTTCACAGGCTGGCCACGCAACATCAATTTTGAAGTCGTTGAAAATGCCGAGGGAAGAGTGGGATTGCCAATGACATCGTATGGGCCAAGACCCCAACCTTGCAATATGGCCACATTTGGGGACACTTCATTTGAGACCACCATGGAATAAATCGGTGGGGCTTCGAGCGGGAAGCCTGCTGGATGTACTAATGTCTTGTTTGGATCCCATGAGGCCGAGCAAATCAGGAAAGAGGCGAAATTAGGTAGAGAAGAAGGACTTTTCCCACTCAAGGATGATGGAATCATGTTCAAATTCTTCAACCTGGAAGAAATGAAGAAATGGGAAATATTTGAGATATTGTCACGAGACTAGGAAGACAGCAGCATTGAATGCCAGAGCAACGATCTGTTTACCTCGAAAAGTGTTCTAAATATATACCCAGCTGCTTCCACTGGATTCTAAGTACAGCTTCAAGTCGCTCTGATTGTGAATGCTCATTGCGTATATACAAGAGTTACGTTGGGGGCGGTTGGCAAATGCCGTTCCCGATATCGATCAGACCGAATTAGGTAAAATGCCGCGCCGGAGGGATCCCAGCCAGAGCATTTGATTGGGTGCGCCAATATGCACCACCCACTTCGGGCCCATCATTGGGCTTCCACTGGGGCCAAATTCCTCTCCGCTTTCTTGCCATCATCAGCCCTTCAGAGGTGTTCCGTCATTCCAAAATCAGTACTTTGACTGGCTTGGCTTTCAACGTGGGATATTAGGTTAATAATGCCACCAAAGTCTCGTTCATAGCGCTTGATGTTCGCAATCATTTTTTGAATCTTCCCGATTTGAGTTGAAGCGACTTGTGGATCTGGTTGGTTCTTATTGTGTAATCCTCAATTCTTCCCATTTCATTCTTGCTCTTTTGCGTATAACGCCGCGCCCCTTCATTTGGACAAAATGCCAGGGGTTCCTTCAAGCAAAGGGTGTGATGCTTGTCGACGCGTGAAGAAAAAAGTGGGAGCAAACGTCAGAGCCGTATAGTTGGAGCATTTGCTAATGTACAGACCAGTGCGATGAACGTCAACCATGCTCTCGGTGTTGCCGGCTGCAGATAACGTGTGTTGGAAGCGGGCAGCAAAGATTTAAATTCAAATATGCGGAGTCAGCGATGACGAAAGCAGTGAACACACGGTCGAGGCCTATCAGGAGCGCTATATCAGTATCCAGGAATGCACAAAACATCCAAACTTTGATACAGATACAGATGCCTAGCAATAAACTTGCTATGTCCTTGATTAGCACTCTTGATATTACAGACGTCAGATTTGATATAAGCTATTATGGCCAGTTTTTGAAGGAGATTCCGAAAAGAGTTGGCACGAGTCTAGCCCTAGATGCATCTGTCAAGGCTGTGGTAACCGCATATCCTTATTTTCGCCACCAGAACTTCTCACCGGCTGCATATTTGGAATATTGCAAATCTCTCCGAGCACTACGCGAATCACTGAGTGACCCTATCGAAGCCCGGTCCACCAACACTCTCTGTGCAGTCTACTTGATTACAATTTGTCAGGTGTGTTCTTATTTTATCATCCTCTGACTCAATACTGTCCGTTATTTTGAGTATTATTCTCATACGCAAACTTAGAGCTGGCTTGGAAAATACGATGATCAGCTGAAAGGCCATGGAGAGGCTATCTCCCATCTCCTCAGAATTGCTGATCTGCAGAAATGCAAAAGTGATTTTGAGAAGGATATTGTTATCACCTTGACTGTACCTGTGGTATGTTTAAAACCAAAACCCTGCCCTAACATTGAGGGTCAAATTATCTAGATAATCTTTGGGAATCGAATCAAGCTCATACAAGATAGATCCTTGAGGCTATAGTGAACCCTCGCATACAGATGGATTCGAAGTGGTGGGAAGATGTTACTCAACGGTATTCCATGGTCCCGAAAGCCCAAATACATGGTCCACCGCGATGTAGAGCAACTCTGGGAACACTGGCAAAATTTCCCCACTGGATCCGGCAGCCTGGGTCGTCTGTTGCAGAGATTGCCGCTGTTTACATTCAGATGCGAGAGGATGCACAGCAGATGCGGCGATACCTAGACCAATGGCCGACTGCTGATACAAGCTCTTTTAGTGATCCACAAGTCGTACAACATTCTCGATATCAAGCTGGATATACGCTGGCTGTCACTCTGGCTCTTATCCTAAATACTCTCTTGCTGGCATTTGAGTCTAGCAATGCAATGCTCACCTGGGAATCAATATCATTTTGTGATGAGATTATACGCCAGTCGGAGTTTGCTTGTCGTTATCGTCCCCTTGGTGCGGCTTATATCTCGCTGTGCCTTGTGGTTGGCTGTGCCGCAGCAAAGGATTCACAGCAGTTGAAGCGACTTCAGTCTCTTTTGGCGGATTATCAAACCGACTTCAAAGAAATCAATTGGATTGAGCATACGGCATGGCTTCGAATGATCTTTGAAAGCCATCATGTAAGTCTTGAAAATAAGCAAGACACGGTCAAAGGTTCACAACAACACGGTTGGGCAACGCCAGACAATATATGGGATGAGAATGCCAACCGCCCGGAATCATGTTGTGTGATGTAAATATTTCATTCTTGATAAGCGAGGAAAATAAATTTGAAGAATAGTCTGACTCAAGGTCAGAGGGAAAACGATATAAACTCCATCAAGGGGACGCTATTGATTGTTTTTTGATTCCTTTGTCGTATTTATTTGAAGGTTCTAAGTATAGAGAAAACCCGAAACAGATTCTAGTATGAACGAATATATATTAGCTCACTAAATCTGAGATGGGGATTGACGGGAAGCATATCACGACGTCAGCAGTATATCTAGGCAATTTCTCAGTCTCATGTTACAGGTAAGAGATCCAGTTTCGAAGTAACAAAATTATGGAAAATCGTTAGTTGTCATCACTCGCTAGCTCTTTCTGTGGTTTCCTCATGGAACGCCATTCCACTAGACTTGCGCCAACCAAAGAGAGAGCAGCAGTTGCGACCGAGACGTAGAATGTCTCGGTGACTGCAATATTATAGGCATAAAGAACAGAAGGTAGAAACTTCTCAGGGAATCGCATGGCCAGGTTCGCTGCACCTGCCTCAATTAGGGCTTTGGGGTCCACCATTGGGGCATTCTCAGTTATGCTTGCAATCAAGCGGTTTTGAAAAACGTTCTGGGCAATAGATATGAATAATGCTCCACTTAGGCTCTGCGAAAATGTGATAATAGCGATCCCGATTGGTATATCATGCAGCGGCAAGACGGTCTGAAGAGCATTGATACATTGCTGGAAACCGACTCCAGCTCCAATCCCGATAATGACTTGGTATCCTATCCATTTAGCATGATTGGTATGGACTTGAAATGTTGTAAAAAGTCCAGTGCCAATTGTGAGGAGAGCACTTCCAAGAAACATAAGTGGAGTGTAGTATCCCAGGAGATTCACTAAGAGTCCTCCTAATGCAGAGCAAACAATCATCGACACTACCATGGGTAGGCTATTGATTCCAGATTGCGAAGCATTATCTTTCTGGATGGCTTGAAACCAGATCGGGAGCTATAATTCTGTGAGAAATAGTATATATCAATGTAAAAGGGTCACCTACGTAGTAACCGAACACAAAGAATGATCCTCCCAAAAACATTGCGTGTATTACAGCTCCAAGAACATTCCGGTTTTTTAGGAGACGTGGTGGTACGGTAGCTTCTTCTTCCTTCCAAATCTGTATCCCGCACCAAACAAATCCAAACACTCCGAACAAAACAAAGAGCGCAATGATACGTGGGCTTCCCCATTCATACTTTGTGCCTCCCCATTGGAGAGATAGCAAGATTGAAATGATAGCAGGGAGGAAAGCTAGAATTCCAAGTGGATCCATTCTTTTAAGCTTTTCCAACCTCCCAAGATTGTCTTTTGACTGGTTGACCGAGTCCTTGAAAAATATCGTTATAAAGAGAGCGGTGATAGCTCCAAGCGGAAGATTGATGTAAAAGCACCACCTCCAGCTTACTTTATCAGTCAAGAGACCACCTAATCTATTAGTAAAATTCAGTTAGCAGGTTGTCTTACAAGAGCAAATGCACTATTCTGGGCTCTTACAGGGGTCCTGTTACAGTTGCAATTCCACTGGTGCTTCCGATGATCCCGAAATAAAGTGCCCGGCGATGTAGGGGTAAACTATTGGCTAAAACCAACAACGCACCAGGTGAAAGCCCACCAGACCCTACCCCGGCAATTGCCCTGCCTAGTATCAAGCCTTTCGAGGTTGGTGTTATTGCGCATATCAAGGAACCGATCTCGAATAATGCCAAGGCAATAATGTACGTCCATTTGGTAGAATAGTAAGTGTAGATCTTGCCAAATGGAAGTGTGATGGCACATGTCGTCAGGAGATAGGCACTCGCATACCAGGATAAGTCCTCTAAAGAGTTGAACTCCTCTGTAATTTTTGGCACCGCAGTTGCGAGGATAGTATTATCCTAATAAACGACAGCGCGTGTTAGCTTAGCTTCATGGCACGGCCCTTCGGTTCCATGGAGACAAATACCAGTGCAATGCAAAAAGACTGAAAGCATAATCCAACGATGATGGGAATGAGGCTTATTGTTGATGGATACTCTTTTTTCTCGTCATCTAGAATCTGATCATGTTGGCTTCCAGTTTCTTTCAGGGGGATATCATCCCGCGCTTCAATGTAGTCATTTTGATAATCGGGCGTCCCTAAAGCTTCTGCCATTAAACCAGCAGGATGTTGTTCAGTCTCAAATAGACTGAAAATGAAGTCCTATAAGGTGAGTTGTCTGGAACATTCGGTAATGTTTGAAATATGAACAGGAAAGTGTCTTCCCACAAGTTGAAATCGGGAACGTTGAACGGCGACCTCCTAGGTCTTGGTACCACATCTTGATATGCAAGGGACTGTACGCGCGGGTGGTTTTACCAGCGCATTCCAATCGCGCTTGCTTGGTATGCACTAATCTCATTTCAAATTGACTCTTTCCATTCGAGGTACTCTCTCTTCGAAACGCTTAATCAGTCGAAGATGTAATGGAAATGAAGGAAATCTAAAGAGTGAACATTTTAAACAAATAGGTTCGTGATTAAAGTATCTTGTTTCAATTTTTCTCATTCATTATTATTTTCCTTTTGTTCGCGGTGCTGTAATCCCTACATTCCGATGTATGTGCTCTCGTCCTCGTTAGTGGAGATTTATGTTTACGCCAATGCTTATTCAGCTCTGGGCGGAGATTTATGTATTCAAGGTTGATGTTCTGAGCCATTGCATATTTTAATTACGTCAATCATGGCCATCCAGGCCGTAGGACCTGAGAACCCTAGGACCTGAAGAAGAGATAACAAAGAAAGATAGGATTGGATGTGTACGTCCCTGATTTTCTATTATGCTCACATGTTTAAGAATTAAACGCACACATTTTTCTTATTTCCCGCCTACCGATATTGTTTCATTTTGAGCTCTGTTTCTTGAATATACAAGGAGGAGAGCAGATTGCAGAAACTTTCAACCTGAAATGAACCCTGTAGCCTAGTTCCAAAATAGCTCTGTTTGTCAGATCGAGCTCTCGGTTTTATCCTAATAATCAGTAGGAAGAATTCGAAAAGTGTCTAGGTTGTGCCGCCTTTCACAGAACCATCATGTTGCTGGCTCACACAGCGTAGGACTCGCGATAGAGGTGGGCATACTGTACAACCCTAATAGAGATTAAGATCCGAAAACCTGGGACGGCTAATCAGCCCATCCCTTCTGGTATCATTGGGTAAAAGGAGCATCACGATCGCCGACTCGGTACGAAGGATTGGTTCTGTCTCCGAAGGGAACGGGTGCTAGAATGGGTAATTCATGAATTGATGGTGTGGTAGCCGGAGAGAAGATCGATGCTTTTGCTTGAAGGAATATCAAAGAAGGGGCTATGGTGTGGGTTTAGCTTGCACAATGAAGGCTAGACTGACTACTTCCGAGTGCGCAAAATGCCGAGGAATGCAATGAGAGAAATTGCCGAGTTTGTCACGAGTCGAAGACGTGTCTTCCCATTGTTATCATTTCTCCCTTTTTTACATGCGATACTGTCATAAGAGAACGATCAAGTCCGGTCACGAGGCAAGTCAGTATAATTGAGAGATTAATGAAGGGTGAATTTTCTTGTTAAAATTGGAGATTTTGATTGAGATTAATAATGAGAAGGCATTTAGAGTAGGTTTTATAAGTACGTGTACGTATGTATGTAAAGCAAGGTAGTCCAAATGACAAATCCACACTTCAGCAAGGCTACAGTCTGTACTAATAGTTTTGTATGGACGGGACTTCAACGATTAGAAACCTTGAATATCATTAGCAAACCATAATGAAGGTAAACATGTTTTTCTCTCTCACCATGTTTATTTAGATAGTATTCACTATGTATCTTTCCGGATGCCTCGATGTAGAGGCATCTCTCTAACCGTAGGCTGGGCCATGTGGATTCCAGGTATCAGGCGATCTTGCATGCACGCGTAATACTCTGAGTCTTCTGGAATACTTGAGATCAGGGTTATTCAAGCGGTGGGCTCGTTTGAAATACACTTAAAGGATGATCTTCATACGGCTTGCAGGGTTTCCGGATCCATTGCCTTCTCCAGCGCCAATTCCTTGCAAAACCAGGGTCCAAAAACCACCACAGGGATACTCCCCGAACAGGATCCTCCCGATATATTTCATGAAACAATTTGTCGATCACGGCCTGCTTGTAGAGCCGCATTTTCTTGGACGCAATATGCAAAATAGTAAGCCCTCGGCTACTAACTAATCGATTTCTTCAGAACCCTCACTTCTCGATGGACGGTGCTTCTGTTGTATATCTGCCGCCCAGGGCCAAAGTCTACATCCTGCAAGAGCGAAAGACAAATTTCGATGAACGAGCAATTGATTCTGCCTCTAAGAGAGACATATATATCAGGTTTGCAGAAGGTCATATTCATAGCTCAGGCTATCGAGGAAAAGGCGAACTGAAGCATTTTCGCTCATGTTCTCTACGCCTAATAAGTTTCCTCGCTCTGCATTCACTCGAAAGTACATGCCCCCTCGAACCAACTCCACCTCCAAAGCGATGAGAAATTTGGCTCGGGGCTCGTGCAGCGGGCTGCACAGGCCTAAGAGAACTCCGAAGGCTAGGTTTATTCATGATCTGCACGCCAGGGCGCCTATACCACAGCACCACCCTGGAGGGAGGTTCTGGCCAGAGATGACCTCAGTGGCGGCCGGGAGGCGCCTCTGTGGCGCCTCTGCTGGGCGCATTAGGCGTCAGGAGACATCGCCCATCCGTTCTAGAAGATCCGGATCGAGGGATAAGAGGTGAAGAGAGACGAGTGCACAGATGTCCTGGAGACCAAGATTTTTCCGAGACAGAGGGTCCACAGGGTCATATTGGGCATGGAGTATGAAGTGAATACGTACCTTGGCAACAAGGGGCTTGGAGGAAACAGGCCGAATGCACGGCAATCGGCCGTGCATCAGACCATGCGACCAAGAAAATCGCATGGTGTTTCTCACGATCCAATGACGGAATGCGGGTTGTGCCCACCCCATTCGGTTTGGCTTGTGTGATTTGTCCCGACTCTGGTCTCCGGTCGCGAGCCCGGAACTGCCTGAATGGGTAAGTAACACTGCTCATCCCCCAGGATTCGGTCGCAACCGCGGGGCATGCCTACGGGAAAAATAGGCCAAATGACATAATGGGTGGCACTTCGGGGTCCAAGTTGGTTTGGGTGGAGCCGTAGCTGGGGGCTCGTGGGACGCATAGGGCGTATAGGAAGTATAGGAGGGATATGAAGCATAGGAAGTGGAGGATGAATAGACCGAGGAGGGACGTGGGCCGTACGGCAGCGCCAGTCCCCGTGCTCCGTACAACCTTGTAGCCCCCGAGGCCCAGACTGGAATGGAACCAATGAGGGACAATTTGGGGAGTCTGGATGCCAGTACAGAGAGGAGAATATGGAGTAACCCATAGACACCATCAAAAACACCCTGCTTCATATTCGGTATGTGTCAGGATGTCTGTGTTAGGCGAGGGCCATCTCCGACCATGGGGTAAAATGACTGTGGACCTGTTGTAGACTTGTTCCGCGGTAGTAGAACGCGTTCCTTGTCGGCCAAGATCCACTGGTAAAAAGGCGCCAAAGGGTGGAATAGCAATAGTACTGAGCCTGATTGAGGACTCCATACAGATCCTACGGACGGTGCTCTTCGTCTTCTTCGTCTTTCTTCGTCTTCTTTTTTCGCCCTTATGGATTTTGCCGCTGACTGTGGCCCGCGCGGAGCCCCGGGCGCCGCTTGGCGGGACCTTGGCATCCAGCCTGAACGCCGCAGTAGTGGCTTGCAGGATTCGGCTTGGCCGTCTGGTTGGAGGTCTTGTTGTTTCTTGTTATTTCTTGTTGACAATTGGCATTGTCTTGGTTTTTTCTTGTCTGAAATTGGCTTCGACTGGGCGCCAAGACGGCGACGTCAGTTACGGGGCGTTTCGTTCTGTTCTCTTTTCTGTTCTCGACGGTGTAATCGTCTGGCTCATCGAGATATTTGGACCTGTTGTGAATATTCGGAGAAGATTTTCCGTATCAAGTCCATTTAGAACATCGAAGGCCATTTGCGGCGGGAAGGGGAATGTTTTCATTATACCGATAATATCACAGGTACAAGAATAGACAATGCGATGTAGAGTAAATAGGAAACCGGGATGATTTGAATTGGCGTGAGAACGCGAGGCGAGCTGGATCCGATCGTGAGATGGAGCAGCATATCCGGAGTATGGCAAGATAGTAGTACGTTTCATATAGTCATAACAGGGTATGCCATCCCTCATTCCTCGACATCGTTGAACTCATTGGACCAGCCCCGAACTTCTCGTCTCCCGGATTTCCCCCATTTGACCCTCAATATTTGGCCCAGTTTAGGCCCACTCCGCAAAGGACAAATAGCAAATGTCGCCCGTTTCTCCAGATTCCCCCCGTTCCCCAGATTCTCGCACTCGCGGACTTCCCCACCCCTTCTCTCTTCCTACTCACCTTGAAGACGACACCCATCACCTCTTGGTACTCCCACCCTCTCATAATTGCGCCCGACGCGGCAAGCTCAATGTCACAATCCCACGGCAGCCTCCTGCAGGGGTCCCACTCCCCGGTCAATGATGCCTGACAGGCCCCCTTGCCGATCGCCGGCCGGTCAATCGGGTGCACCGAAACTTTGAACCTGGGGTCCCCGTCCTCTCACCCGGATCACGGACGGGGACTCGGTTCCAAAAGGATCCAACACTAACCGTACTTGGTGAACCCGTGAGTGTCGCCGACGTGCCTCTTCTCGCTACCGCGTGTTCATTGGCGCTGCCCCAATGACCGCCTCGCGTGGCGCCGGAGACTCATGCCTGGACCCGGAAACACTGCAACATAGACTTCCGAACGGAGGACAGAGATGCCATGGATAGACGGACGGACCGACCGAGATCAGAACCATGAAAGAGAGCGGGAGAATGCGCTTTGGTTCGGTGACCTCTACAAGTGTCGTTGCTAACAAGAGAGCCCTCGCGGGAGCTGGCTCGGAGACCAGATAGAAAGAGAGAGAGAGAGAGAGAGAAGGAGAGCCAATGACGGCTTGTTACCCGGGACTCTCCTGGCCTGATTTCGGATGCAATTCCCGCTGCCTCGCAACAAGACTGGCTTGTCGCACGCGCCCAGTGGGTCTTGACACCCACCCCCCCCCTCCTCTGATCCTGAGGGGCGCGCCTCTCAAGTCGCAATGTCCTACTCCATACACGGTACGCCGTACAGGATGTCTTCGAGTCGCGTTCGACCGCAGCGGCTCGGCAATGACGAGAAAAGCAAGTCCTAACAAGCCAATCCGAATCCTCACCCCCTCTTCCCCGGTCCTGCACCAGATACTGCCATGACTGTAGCAAATGGGGGGCTTCGAACAGGTCGTAGCCCCCAAATACATAGATCCTGATTCTTTTTAAAAACCCACTCTCCCCATGGTGGGATCAACCGTTTGCTTGTTCACTCTTATTTACCCTCTCTCTTTTTGGTCTTGATCGTCTGCGATCACGCCCTCTTTTCCCCCTTTCCCTTTTCTTCCTTTTTAGATCCCCACCCGGCTGGTTCGGTCCCCCGTCTGGCTGCCGTCGATATTCGATATATTCGCTGGGGGTACACGAGCAATCGAGGGAGAAGGCTGTTTATTGCTCGGGGGCTTTTTTTTTTTTTTTGATCAATTCCTCGGGTGCTCGTTTCTTCTAGCTGCGAAAGAGAATATAGCCTGCTGCCAAACATGCAAACGAAGAAATTTCTGGGCCTCAATGGCACCAGGCTCCAGGTTGCCATCGGTATTCTGGCTGGCATGGACTTCTTGCTGTTCGGTTATGATCAGGGTGTGACCGGAGGCCTGCTGACGCTAGATTCGTTCCGCAAGTACTTCCCTTCCATTGACACTACCGATGCACACATGCAAGGCTGGTCAGCGGCGGCCCAGAGTGCCCAGTCTACTCGTCAGGGTATTGTAGTCGCCGCCTACAATCTGGGCTGTTTTGCCGGCTCAATTCCTACCATCTGGATCGGCAACCTACTCGGCCGTCGCAAGGCGATCTTCCTCGGCTCATTCATCATGTGTATCGGTGCAATTCTGCAATGTACCTCGTACGACCTAGCTCAGCTAATCATCGGTCGTCTCGTCACTGGTTTCGGTAACGGCATCAACACGTCTACTGTGCCCACTTGGCAATCCGAGTGCTGCAAGTCTCACCGTCGTGGCCAGATGGTCATGATAGAGGGCGCCATGATTACCTGCGGTATTACCATAAGTTACTGGATTGATTTTGGTCTCATGTTCGCGGATCCCAGTGAAGTTGCCTGGCGATTTCCATTGGCCTTTCAAATTTTCTTCGCTGCCATTATTCTGGTGTTTGTCATGTTTCTCCCAGAGTCGCCTCGCTGGCTCATTTTAAAGGGCCGTGAAGAGGAAGCTCGAGAAGTTCTGTCATGTTTGATGGGCGATGATACGGACGAAGTCTTCATCGACACTGAATTCACCGCGATCAAAGCAACGGTCTTGGAGATGGCCAAAGGCTCATTCCGAGACATGTTTACCATGGGAGAGGACCGCCATTTCCACCGGACGATGCTGGCTTATGTCAACCAGATGTTCCAGCAAATTTCGGGTATCAATCTGATTACCTACTATATTCCCACCATCATTGAGAACCAGGTCGGTCTGAGCGCAACACTGTCTCGTCTTATCTCCGCGTGCAACGGCACTGAGTACTTCGCCGCTTCCTGGGTGGCTGTGTTCACGGTAGAGAAGTTTGGTCGTCGGACGTTGATGCTCTTCGGCGCTGTTGGCATGTCCCTCTCCATGGTGGCGCTCGCCATCTCGGACAGTATCTCTGCGACTCATGCACAAACCCCGACTGGAACTGCGGCCGGTATCGCACAGACCGTGTTTTTGTTCGTTTTCAACACTTTCTTCGCAATCGGATGGCTTGGTATGACCTGGTTGTACCCCGCTGAGATTGTCCCCCTGAAGATTCGCGCCCCCGCAAACGCGCTCTCCACTTCCTCTAACTGGATCTGGAACTTCATGGTTGTGATGATCACCCCCGTCGCGTTCAATAACATCGGCTATAAGACTTATGTAATCTTCGCCGTAATGTAAGCTTCGATACCCTCTTACCCCCAGATTCATGATCTATTTTGCTGATCTGCATATCTAGTAATGCCTTCATTGTGCCCGTTGTGTATTTCTTTTTCCCGGAGACCACTATGCGTTCTCTGGAGGAAATGGACCGCATCTTCCACAAAACCACCAATGTCTTTGACTGTGTAACTCTTGCCCGAAACGAGCCACACATGTACGGACCTAATGGCGAACTGCTTCGCACCTTGGATGACGTTGAAGATGACGCTGTCCGCCGGGCTAGTGTTCTCAGCAACCCCACCAAGCGTGTGGCCGACAACCATCGCGAGCACATTAATGAAAAGGATAGCAGTGAAGGCAACTCCAGCGATGAGAAATAAATTCACATCGTCGGAATTTCTTGCTTTCTTCTGCCATCATCGTGTACACAATCCTCGACTTGTGAGAATTGAGAATGCTGTGATGAAGTCATTTTGCGGCCTGGTGCGTTGGTTCATCAATCTTTGAACATTCTTTCTAGCTGGAATTTTCTGAATCGAGAACGGTCATCCCGATACCCATGTTAGACTGAGATTTAAATTTATTGTGCTATAATTAATTGATTTTACCCATGAAAAAATGTTTCCGCTTTGGGTTTATAGCAGTGAATATTCTAAGATTTTCAGGCTTTGATCTCAAGTCAAGATCAGAAAGACCCGAACAATTTCTGTGGAGACACGCCATCCCACCTCACTTTCAGACCTATCCTATTATTTTATATGCCAATTGTCCTGGAGATAGTCAATTAGAATTTTATTAGATGGTTGTCAACTTTTTTTTTAAAAAGAAGCATCGATATCGACCTTACAGTATAGACCTCGAACGCAAATGTAAATTCGAAAGACTCAAATTACCATCTTATCTTGAGATTCAAAAACAATCAATTACAAAACCTCAAACCGCTTTTAGGTAACCACCATATGATTCACTATCTGGCCTATATACCAACGCTGTGCCAGGAACTTGGTTTCGAATATCATACAGAAAAAAGGGCTCCCGGGACTGTGTTTCAAGATGAACAGGGCGGAAATTTCGCAAAAAATTGATACCACTTTGACCATTGTATTGATGAAGGTTCTTCAATATAGATGACGATAATCTTAGACTAGCCATAAAGTATGTTCAATCCTTGCGTATGTAGGTGTCGCTAAAGGAGTATTCGTTACCCCGTAGATTCATGAATACCAAGAAGAGGCGCCAAAGGCCAAGGAGAAAGAGCTCAAACAACTTCCTCATGGGCTGTAGCGGTGTCTTTAGCAACAGAAGCGGCGGCAACTGCTTTGTGCTTTTCAATCTCATCTTCAAACTTGTCGTCAATGAGCTTCGTCCGCCATGGTTTCACACCTGTATCGAAAACCATATCCATTTCTTCAAGAGACCGACCAGCAGTCTCCGGATACATGAAAAAGACGTGAAAGGTCATAACAAAACAAAAGACTCCAAAAATTATGTACGTCTTCCATTGAATATTATGGAAGGCGGGGGCCACAAAGTACGCCAGTGCAAAGTTGAAAATCCAATTGGCGGAGGCAGACAAACCGACACCTTTAGCCCGGTATTTTAGAGGGAAGACTTCAGAAGCATATATCCATGCAGCGGGGGCCTTGGGGGTTTCTAATTAGCTGAATTGAACAAGAAGAACGGAGTTGTGGAAATAGCATACCCAAGTAAAGCCGTAAATAGCCGTGAAGATATAGGAAAAGGCAATCACAGCCATACCAGCTCGCCCCTTGATTTCCCATGTCAGATTGGCATTACCATTGACCTCATTGACAGGGTGACCTTTGCCCGCCATTACACCGGCAATCACGAAATGAACAATCATGCAAGTTATTGACCCGATAAGGAGTAGAATTCGTCGACCGACGCGATCGATGAAGGGAAGCATGAGACCAGTCGTGACTAAAAAAATGACATATTGAATCGCAGATGACCATAAGGTGGTATTTCCAGTCTAGATTGGTTGGATTAGAAAAGAATTGGATCCTCGGATGATTTTGAAACAACAGCCAAAAAAAACCTACCATGCCAGCCATTTCGAAGATATAGACAACGTAATACATGGCAACATTTCCTCCAAGTAATTGCTGCCACATCTGCACGCTCATACCACACATAGTTCGCTTCCAGATACGAGGGCCAAATAGGGCCAAGAATGAAACATCCTTTGCCTCGTGAGCAACCCGAGCAGCCTGTTGCACCTCCTCAAATTCAATCTGCACAACAGGGTCATTGCTATTTCCATTGCCGTGAAGTATGGCTAGGGTTTCCAGGGCCTCTTCCCAGCGTTCCTTCCCAGCCAGCCAACGGGGCGACTCGGGAAAGAAAAACAATGCAATGAAGAGGATAAGCCCAGGGACAGCCTGGATTCCCCAACATATACGAAATGCCGCAGGGCCAGAAACACCAACCGCACAACCATATGCGATTAGATACATGATCAGAATACCCCACTCGATTGCCCATTGTTGGATGCCAACGATACGACCACGAATGCGAGCAGGGGCCAATTCTGACAAGTAAACGCAAGTCTGAGATGAGGTGACACCCACGGCAAGGCCACTGACAACACGGCCGGCGACTAAGTGTGTCACATTTTGTGCGCTACATTGAACGATGGCGCCAATTATCCAAACAAGCGAGGCAACCATGAGCGCTCCGCGACGACCGAGGAAGTCAGATATCCACCCTGCTGCGATCGAGCCAGCAAAAGAACCGGCAGACATGGAGGCGGTGATCTGTCATATTGTCAGTAAGTTGTGATCCTCGAGAGACAATATGTGGAGGAAACATACACCTCCTTGGAGATTAGAATCTGGTGACCCAAAGTAATCGGTATAGGTATCGACACCAATCCAGGCACTCATTGAACTTCAGAGAAATTTTAGCATAATGAACCACTGTTTTCCGATTTCCATCAAAGGGGTTTTCGTACCTCACATCGAACCCAAATAGGGCACCGCCAATGGTACCAAACGCGGCGAGTACTTTCAGAAGTTAGCAGGAGTGAAACACATGCGAAATGTTAATGTATGGATTCCAAGATACCATAGATATTTGTGATTCGGTACATTGTTTTTAACGGGCTTCAACTGGATTCGAATGTTGGAAATCATGCCAATAATGTTGACGTATGTCTGTATTTATAAGGTGCGTTGGATGGTTCCACAAGGTAATGTATGCCATTCAGGTTGGCTTCCATCAAATATGGGTCCATATCAGAAAAAGGTATAGTGTATTTCATCAACCAGTTTCGAGTCAGGGTCTGATGTCGGCCGCGGAAGGGATCGCCCGAGGATAGATGCGGAGGAGGCTTGGAGAAGCCCGGGGTGGGAAGGTTGGAGAAAGTCCTGCGTCATTGGAGGAGACGCGTGGAGGCCGAGAAAAAAGAGAGCCAGTCGGGGCATTCGTGTCTTTCGGTTCGGCCTAATCTGCGGGTTTTTAACCGACAATACTACAAATTTATCCGAGATGATCTCGAAGGTTTGAGGCAGGTCGGTTCCGGGCTACCTTTACCGAACACTCTGGCATGCTACGAGCGATTATTATTCCAGACTTCTTGATGCATCACGCCGAAACAAGGCGAGGTCAAAATTTATAACCTCACCCGTCGAGAGCAAAGCTGGTTCCTTGCCTCAATCCTCAAACCTTCCCGATCGCCCGATATTATGATACGCAGCCGACTGCAAAGCTACTATACAACATGTTCCCCGCAATTTATTTTTCGGTATATCGAGTGATGCATTTGATAAAGGAAGATACAAGCAAAAGATGACTATGCGGGTGGAAGGAGCGGTGGTGGAGATTTTGTTAACCGAACCATAGTAGCGTGTCAGGCATGGAAGTCATCTGTCTTAGAATGGTGTCATTAGCATGCGTATGTACACAACGAATCTTTCATTGACACTCAGTCCAAAAAATCTTCAATTGAACAGGTCTGATATTCAATGAACAGAGAGTAGAACTGGAAACCCCATGATATTTTACGGGAAATATCATGCAGCGGAATGGCACCAGTAGGCACTCATTTTGATCATTCACTGAAGAGACAGGTGAGAGAGTCGATATCAAGCGTTGGTTTTGAATTGGTTTAAATATTTGGCTATAGTATATTGAACGAGAGAGAAGCCTCAATACCGGATATCTTTTCTTTGAAAAGTCAGTATAATCAGGCCCTGTGCACGATAGAACAGGCTTTTGATCCAAGCGGCCCCCTCAAACAATGGCTTCGCGGCGTTGCGCCACAAAATAACGAGAGATCCTCTTGGCATCGTGCCGAGCGATCCGAGTGGTGACAGCCCCTGTACTCGTTGAGAGGGTGGCGTTCTTTGAAGGTCAGAGCACTCGGCAACTCTTTTTCGGTTTTTCTTTTTTCTTTTTTCTTTTTTTTTTTTAAAACCCATCTGATTCTATTCTAAGTAAAATCTTTCACATATTTTCTTGACCTTCGAATACTGGGGCTTGCAATATTTGAGGGATGCTCTGTCAGTAATTTGACGCAGATGCACCCGGATTATCACTAGATAAATACAGATCACTCTTATTTAATTGCAGCAAAAAATACTCCAGCCCTAAGATCAGAACCCATCTTGACATTGATGAACAATATCTGTATCAACCACACACCTTTCAAAAGCCACCTAGTTTCTAATTGCTATGCTACTTTTGAGAGTGCACGTGTAAGCAGGCATTTACCCTTGCGCCCAACTCGGATTTGAAATCCGTGGCATCGTTGTACAGGAATATTAGTATGAAACTCAGAGCAAACGCACCAAGCTTACTACTCATTTCATCTTGAAAGTTTGCCCAGACATCACAAGAAACACTTATCTGTATGCCATTTGCTGCCAACCTATCACTTTCGTAAGCTTCCCACACCGGGTTTTCGAACATTCCATAGTCCTGGTTAACTAACATCCATTACCATCTAGCTAAGGCTAGTGGCTCTCTGGGTTGGCAAGCTGCTTGCCACACATAGAAGGTGATTCTTTTACAAATACAAATTGAAGAAAAGGTGAATTTGACCGCGGGGTTGGCGTGACGATGGATAATGGCTGCTACGGCAAAATTCCACTGATCACACAACAAGGTTTTCCAGGCCTCTTTGTCTTGGATTCTAGCCATAGGTTAATAAACTAGCTTGGGTTCTGTTTATCATTGAACTATGATCGATACCAGAGACCGACTACTAACGTAGCTGGCCCATAGCCTCCGTATAGGAGCTAGGTCAGAGTACATCCTCCTTTCACTTCGATCCTCAGCTGAAACCCTGCCCAAATCAGGAACAAAGGGCTGATGAGTAGTAAGGAGGATATATGACTGCTAGGTTCAGTAATAATGGCGTCAATGTACCACTTAGACCTGTTGGTGGATCTCTAGGTCGAACTGCCGAGGGTGGTCGTTGGGGTGAAAGCTTCTCACGAGTCTGAGCGATCCCTTGAGTGATACATGAATCACCAATGTGGCTAAAATGTGCTCCAATATTATGTTTTTCATCCATAATGCCGAAATTCTTGATCATGGTGACCTAGACCGAGAATGAGAATATAATTGTTGAGACTTTCGTTCGCTTACCCGGTCATGATATTGGTCGGTTTCTCCGTAGTATCCTCCATGGTTGTGCCAATCTATCTGATAAAGTTCTATATACTGTGACTACGGATTTAGCGAACGATGGATCTTTGTTGCAACCTGCTCGGCCCCAAATGAGTATTAGCAGTTCCCACAGGCGGAATTCTGAGGATCAGCTCATATGGAAGAAGTCATTCACGTCCTGCTCAGGGCGGTTTATGTTATGAGACTCCAGCTCGATGGTGGCATATTTTCGAGACATTTGAATTTCTCGAGGCTATGTATAATCAGCAAAATCAACTGGCGGTGACCCGTTTCCTACTCCACAGCTCTTTGAAGGGGAGAACATTAGCGGATGGGACAAGGTGTTCTCTGAATGCACCGCACATCCGGAAACAAAAGCTCTTGACGGCCAAACCTGATAGTAGAGGCGGTACGACCTGAAAATAATGCATAAGCAAATGATCTCGGGGTTTCTCTATGTCCAGAATTATCAACCAATTATCGTCCTCTTCCATTGATCCGTTCTTCAGTCTCGAGACAGGCGAGAGTTTCGCGTATTAAACCTCAAAGTCTCCAAAATATTCCATTTCGGGATTTGAATTTAGTTTTGATTAATAGCGTGGACTACCGCTGCTCATTTTATTTGAACCTTTTTCAATCTTCAATCTGCATATCTACATAAATAAAGTAAAATGTACATTTAATCTCAAATTCGGAAGCCAGCGGTACAGAGTAGAATTTTCTGAGACTCAGTGAAATATTAGGTCTTCGGTAAAACATAGTATATACGTATTTCCACGTCAGTCTGTTGGACAAAACGATAGAGAAAACAGTTGACTAAACTGCACCGTCTTTTAAGTAATAAAGACTACACAAGTGTGCTTACCAGACATTCGTGGCTCTGAATAACATGGTTTGGAAGGAGTTGCGGTTCACCACATACGGCTTTTGCTGAGGCGTCACGCAAAGGTAGAAAAATTGCTATTCAAATGGACAGACTTCCAAGATTTTGTTCCAGATTTTTTCACTCTATGATGTCTTATTTATCTCTATTGTCTACCCAATGACTCCTAAAAGTACTCGCGCACAGAATGAAAGGGCTGAAGTAAATACAAATCGTGAGTCAGGAAAGAAAAGGAACGAAGCCCGGTAAGAAAAAAAATCATAGTTTGCTCTTAGGCTCTTGATTCTTGAGCAATGCCGTATTCCATGGGTATGGGTCGAAAACCAGGTCGTTAACGGGGTTTTCTTGGCTAGCTCGGCGGAATAGATCTTCGTACACTTGGCCATCATATCGACCCAGGCTGCTGTCGAGCTGCCAGTCAGGAATGGCCCAGGCGTCCACAAGGCGTACAGCATGCGGGCGGATCTCATCCAACAGCTTCATTACAGCGGTAGTGCGGGTCAAAGTAATTTGTCGCACAGTTACGGCGCCAGAGGAGAAGAATTCAGCAGCCTCACGCTCCAGGGTGTGCAGAGAATACAGGCGGAAGAGTTGGTGCATGAGGATCTTGGTTTCTTGGTCCAATGCCTGTGAGAGCTGATCAGAGGAGACAGCCTCATAAAAATTCTTGACGACAAGATATTGAGAATGCGCAGTAGAAAGGCGCCAGAAATCGACAAGGAGGCTATTCCATGAACGCTTTTCGGCATCACGGTGCTTCAGAGCCTCAAAAGTAAGATGCGCTGTGCGCCAGGCAAAAGCGGCTACAATATCGGCGTCTTCTTCAAGCACATCGAAAGAAGCACCCTTGTCGCGACGGTCGAGGTAAGATCGAAGGATACGGCAAGTGTCGTTGTCCGCAGGCTTTCCAGATAGCACGGCACGGGCTGACTTGAGCAGGTAACGTGCGACCTGCTGGGTCAGCATATAATTATCACCTTCCCAGGTAAGTGTAGGAAGGTAGTCCGAATACCATGGGCCAATGCCACTGTAGCTGCTATAGCCGTGACCGCCGCAAGCACGTCGACAGATTTCAAGGCCTTCACCGGCAGTAGTGCTGGCAAGCGCTTTCAGGCCACAGGAGGTAGCATGTAGATCCGCCAACAGGTCAGCACCGGCTCGAAGCTCTTCAGGACCAGGACCCCGAGAGTTCTGGCCAGGAGAGGCGGCTGCCTTCATACGATTCTGGTTCTCCTGATAAAGCTTCATCATACCGCGACCAGTGAAGTGCAGAGCATACATAGATGCTAGAAGGGGGAGGAGGCGGACCTGCACCATCTTATAGTTCAGGACTTGGTTTTCGCCGGCATTGGCATCTGCATCACGGTCCTGGAACTGTCTTCGGACAGCGCAGTAGCGAGTGGCAATGGTCACACCGCGCGCCAGGACACCACCAGCCTGAAGAACGATGTTGGAGCGCACCCAAGTCAAGGTACCGTAGACCAGAGACGGCAAAGCAGGACGGACATACTTGCTCGTTTCCTTATCGATGCGAGAGAAGCGGGCCAACATGTTAATATGTGGGATCTTGACATTGTTGAACAGCAAAAAGCCGTTGTCCATAGTACTGTGGATGAATATTTGTTTAGCAAAGTAAGACCTCAAGGTTCAGAATTTTTGGCCGATCACTGACTTGTACCCAAACTTCGGGCCAATATCACCCACGTATACATTCTCAAGCGGCTGATGTGTCTCCAGATCGCGGACCTGCACCACAAAGGGGTGTGGGCCGTAGTTCTTACCACCGATGAACAGCTGCGCCATAACCACGGCGTGATTGGCGGTGCGACCCAGAGAGCCAATCCACCACTTTGAGGCTGTCAAGGTTGGTGAATTGATCGTGAAGGTTCTGTCCTCTGGGTTCCAGGTAGCAGTAGTCTCAAGACCACGAACATTCGATCCGTGACCCAGTTCCGTCTGAGCGTAGCAGCCGATGATCTGATATTTTTCGGCCCGTTCGAGGAACAGCTTGTGCTGCTCGGGGGTACCTTGTTCGCGGAGGGTTACCTAGAGGAAGGCAGCCGGAGTCAGTCATCACACGTCCCACTCCGTTATCACAAGATTCGCAATACATACCAGGAACATGCTGGCATGAAGGCCATAGGGAGTGGGTTCTCCAATGAGGTCATTGGCGGCATGAAGTTCTTCCATTGACCACTGGTTCTGCTCCGCCAGCTGTTGCAGACGCTTGGCCTTGGCCAGCGAACGCTGAAGCCGCTCCACACGACCCAGGGTGTGGTTTTGAGATTTGTCGAAGACAATCTCTGGCTGTAGAACGCCCAACAGCTTCTGTTGTCGATCCAAGGCTTCCCTAGAGTGAAGAAGCTCTGACAGTTTCTCAACATTGACATTAGATTGCGCACGCTCCTGTGCCAGCAGCTCGGAACCCTGCGGGCCCGAGGGCTTTAGGGCCTTGACCCAGTCTGGGGGAGGAGACGGCATGATATGGAGAGATTGAGTGTGATTGAGGGGAATAGGCACTAGGGAAGACAAACAGAGAGGAGGAAAACCTGGGGAGTTATAACGCTGGCAACTCCTCCACGGGGCCCCGGTGACGTTCTAGGCCGAGGGTGGCCGAATCGGGAAATTGCCTCGGCAGAACTGGCGCGCCCCGATGAGGTAAGCACGGCAGACCGAAGAGCACCGATGTCGCCGAGAATTGGATAATGGCAAGTATTTTGGGAAGAGCAATGGAATAGAAAGGCTTGTTGAGAGGACTTGGGCTTACTTAGCACATTGTTAGCCGTCGAGATTTGAAATTCAGATTGATCTTCGTTCGTGTGTGCCTTGGTATTCTGTCTTCGCTCTCAGCGACTCTGGAGCGCTCGGCTGGGGTTCCTCCGGGGTCAGCCAACACTCGCTATTACCGAAGTCGGGCGCCAGGGCGACAAAGTCAGCCTCTGCTTGAACTGACCGAGTCTGCCGGCGGCTCTAACACGATCCTGGTAAGGAGTAACTACGACTACCTTGGCATGGTGGCAATAGGCTCATATTGGAGATTTGGTAGCGCCCTTAATCCCTTTTGGACCTCGGCTTGCTGACTCTCGTATTAACGCCCCCTAAAACAATAGAAATCTACTAATCGGCACTGTCAAAGCCGGATAGGTTTTACGGCTCAGCCGAACCATCTTCATTCTTCCCCGATAATCGGAAACCCCCTGCAGCAAGGAAGGCCACGGGAAACGGAACCCAGGGAAGAGAAGTCGACTCAACCATTCTTTGTGTCGTTCAATGGATGCACAACCCATGACTTCATAGCGTGATCTACGTAACATGTGAAAGGGGGATATCCTGTACATTCCTGTCAAGATTGGACAGGTAATTTCTCGGGGCAGGACAGCTCGGGAGGGCTAAAGAATTCGGATCAGATAAGAAAAATTAGGCCTTGGCTGCTGGCGCTGGGCTTTCACATGTCAGACATCATGCCCTCTGCTTCCTTTTTCGCGTTTCGCCTGTGCGTCATTTGTGAAAAAGTCACGAGCCTGCCCCGTCTATTGAATTCATATGAACCCCATCTACGCTTCTTCTGCATATGCCATGGCAATGTTATCCTTGATTCGAAAACCAATCTCCCCAGTCATTCGCTCCGCTGCACCCGAGACACACGAGGTAATGCAAGCCAGGCCACAAAGATTGCCCCGGACAAGGCAATTATGAATGGCTGCAGCACTTGTACCCCCTTGGCCTGTGCCATGGCACCTACAGCAAAGGGAAGAATTGCGGCTCCAGAACCACCGAAGGCGGCGCAAAACCCGATGGAGCTCACGTGTAGGTGCCGTGGCAGCAGCTTCGTAACCATTACCACTGCACCTGGGAATAAGGGCCCGAGAAAGAAGCCCTGGAGCGAGACAGCGACAGCTGACGCGTAAAACTGAGGCACCAGCCACAGTATTACCCCAAATACCATCGAGAACAGAATATACGCCTGCATATTGATTAGGAACACAATTCGGACCTTGTAGGGCTCACAACTACTGTTGAGGGAATGCAGATACTGACCGCGATTGCTGTCTTCTCGCCAACCCGCGGAGTTACAAAACCTAGGATGATCCGTCCCACTGTGATCCCCAGCCAGAACCCGGTCGCGGTCATTCCACTGGCAAAAGCATCTCCGTGCCGAACTCGGATCATGAAGGTTACTATCCAGCCACCAAGCGCGACTTCCACTCCGACATAGCCCAGCAAAAATAGCGCACACAGCCAGGTCACTCGGGCAGAGGGACGTTTGAAAAGAGCAGATCGAAGACCACCTTTCTGATTTTGCCCGACAGATTGGGTGGCCGCCCTGAAAATGGCACCAGTGGCCTTCCAGAAGCAGGCACTACAGGTAACGATCTCGATGACCGCGCAGCCCACCTAAACATCATCAACTGATTTGAATGCTGTGAATCAGGGCAGAGGGTTGCAAAAGAGCTGAGACACGACAGAAGACCGTACTAACCATGACATAATAAAAAAAAAACCAAGGCAGTTTGGCCCTCGTAATCATCGATGTCGCGACCAATGGGCTCAACACGGCGCCAGCCCCGTAAATACCATGAAGGAGACCAAGGACCTCATTTGCATTCGCCATATTGCCAATCCATGCATTCCACGCGGCATCTTCCAGGCCGTTCCCAAATCCAGCGAAGACAAAGGAGACCACTAGAACAGGATATGGCGGGTGCAGGCAATTAACCACATAGGCAATGAGGTGACATCCAGGTCCTATGAAAGCCACACCTCGCTGACCGAGGGAGGTGTGGATGCGATGATTTAGAAAGGCAGCCAGCGTATATCCTACCAGTGGCGATAAAAAAACCAGAGACACTATGGTATACGTGAGGTGATAGTATGATTCAAGCTGTGGTTGGGGTGAGTCAGCAATCAATCTAAGTTCACGTCCTCAACACTTGGCTCGTATTCAACCGTTTCCTACCGTCTTCCGGGATGTTTTAAAACGGGAACGCACGTATGGAATCAAGGCCTATCAAGCACATGACGGGGAATTCTCATTAGCTTCTGAATTTGAAGATTTTGAGAAGTGACAGAGCAGCTTGCGAGGACACTAACACCGTAAGCAGCATCATTGGCCCCCATAACCAGAAAGCTCCAGAAAGTTGCCAGAGAGCGATATATATTGATTGGTGGCTGATTCCACTTCTCGAGCGCAGGGAACCCATCGGGAGACTGATATGATACGCTGTCTATTCCATGCTGTTCACTTCGAGCGATTGTCTCAAGGGTTATGTGATTCGTGTTGGGCGACTGTTCTTCAACCACGCATATTGAGGTCATATTAGCGGTGATGCTGTGGTGATCATGTAGTCCAAGGTGATCAGTTGCGAGGAAATTCGTTTATGAAATTGAAAGGTCAGAATATACCTGCATCAGCTGTTTTGGAGACGAAACAGAAGTCAACGATGTTAACATTCGCTTTGAAGTTCACTTTTAGGCAGTCCTCCAGTGCGGAGGCGGAAGCGGGATGTGCTTGGCGTCGGAGAATCGGCGAGTGGGCCGACTACCCTAAAGGAGAAGAATTGCTAACCCGGGTAAATGAGGGGGATGATGGCCAATGGCCATTACGTCAGGGTGAACAAGCTCTCCATCGTGCAGCAGAAGCCGAAACACCAGCAGATTCTCAGACGTAAATGGTCTTCCGTCTCTCACCCCTTCTGGAGAGTGCGGAACGCAGGATGTATTGTAGCCTGCATTGTCAGTGTCGAAGATTGAAGATGAAATACCGCATGGCCAACCATTTGACAGCCGCTTCCTTCGTTTTCTGTGCTTCTTCGAGTTCTGAAAGTCCCAGTTCATGGATGTTTCTCGGTCTTCTAGCTCAGCGCAGATAAATTGCGGGCCTACCCAGACCAGCTGAACGAAGGACGGGATTAGACGCGTGACTCCTCTCACAATATTACGCATCTCATGCGAAGATTCGACTCTTCACTTGGAGCTAAGCACCTGTCCTAGTCAGTATCCAGCGGGGGCGGGAGTAGATTCTATGAACACTAGCATAGCCACAGTTGCGAATTTTCGCGGCTAGGGGGTGGGAAGCGGCGGTGATCTCTCCACTTATTCGCCGATGACAGGGATTGGACTGAAAAGGACCATGTAAGAAGTCCCCCATTTCTTCTGTTCAAAAAATGCAGTTGTATTGGTTAGATAACTGGGAGGTGGTTTGATGATGTGGTTCAGGGGCAAAGATGAGCAAAAGAGAATGACGGAGACCTGTTCAAAAGGATCTGGCGAAACATAGACTGTATGGCTGTATTTTATGGAAGGCTTCGTTCTGTAAGGAATGATATATAATTGCGGAGACCTGAAGAAGTTATCGAATCTAGCTGGACAGTTCTGTCTGTCCTTTCAATTGGTTTTATTTCAACGAGAACATGACTCGATCCACTTTGGCTTATCAAGTCTGCCTATGATTGGATTATATGATGCTACGTATATAAATATGTGGTCCAGGCTATTTTGAATAGAGGGGGTTATGAAAATGCATTGGACGGAAAGCACCTTCACTGCATATACAAAAATAAGACTTTATCGAACTTCGAAGGTTAGTTATCTTGACGGAAAGAGCACCTATCTAGATCAATGCATAGAAGATTTCCTTGTCGAGCGACCATGATATGACCGGTACGTTTTTTTACTAAAATCAATGAACTGGCTATTATTAGTGCCTTACACCGCCCCCCCAACCCTTCCGGGTTGTGGGTGCGCCACGCATGAATTTCCACCCACACATGAATTTCCACTTTCCCACTACCACCCTATTTTTGCTTCCCTATCCAACACCACCATCTAAAGATGCCTAAATTTGATGAATCTCGTATGGCTGAGGCCTGCCTAGCTGCATCACGCGAGGAGAAGCCGAATATAGCCCGTTTAGCACGCGAATTTGGCGTGCCTAGGCGTACGCTTTCGAATCGGATCAACAAGAAAACAAGGCCTAAGATAGCAATATCTAATGCTAAACACGCTCTTGAATCCTATCAAGAAGAAGCCTTGATTCGCTGGATTCAATATATGAACGATTGCTATATGCCTATCACTCCTAGGATACTAGAAGCGTGGGCGAATCGTGCATGCTAACGCGTCAGCAAGCCGCCGATTAGCAAGATGTGGGCGTATCGCTTTATTAATAGGCTTCCTAAACATCTTCAATTAGGGCCTACTAAGCAGTATACGAAGGAATCAAAGCGAATATTAGCAGAAGATCTAGCAGTATTACAATATTGGTACGATCTTTTAGCTCAAACAATCAAGAAGACTACACCGGCACGCTTAGTCTATAACTTTGATGAATACGGCTTTCAACTAGGCGAAGGAAGATCTAGAAACGTTATATCTTCTACTACTACTAGTAGTAGTAGGAAGATAGTAGATCTTCCTCAGCTAGACTAAGGCGAAAATATAACGACTATCGAGTGTATCGCTGCCGACGGGTGGCAATTAGAACCTTGGTTTATATTCAAAGGCAACGGGATCTTTATAGAATCTTGGTTTAATCAAACAGAAAGCCTACCACTATATACTACGATTACTACATCGCTAAACGGTTAGATAACCGACGATATAGCAGTTCAATAGCTTCGATTCTTTATAGAATTAACACGCGACCGTACGAAATCGGGTGAAAAACGTATCCTAATATTCGACAGTCACGGTTTGTATCTTATATTCGAATTCCTATACCTTTACGAAGAGAACGATATCCTACTAATAGGATTCCTACTATATACTATATACCTTTGCCAGCCGCTTGACGGTAAGCCGTTTCTAAGCTATAAGCAACACTTCCGCTTAGCGAATAACGATCACGCGTTTTAGGGTGGAAGCCCTATCGGGAGATCCGAGTTCCTTCGAATAATCGGTGATATTCGGAATAGAGCGTTTAGCTAGCGAATTATTCGCGAATCGTTCAAAGATCGTGGGATCTATCTAGTCGATAGTAGAAAGGTTATTAATAGCCTTCCTATCCAAGAAATCCCAGATCTCCTAGCACTAGATCTACCGCTTCGTTTAACACCTTCACTACCACCTATATCTTCTTCTAGTATCGACCAATCGCCGCCTAGATCTATACAGGATCTAGAAAAGAATCAAAGGAAGATTGCTAGATATCAAGAGGATCTTACACTAAGGCAGCAACGTAATCTTGATCGTGTGTTTCATCATAACAAGATTGCTATAGAGAACCTAAATCTAGCGAACGATACTATTCGCAAGATTAGGGAAGCTCAACAACCACTACAGCGCTCAATCACTAAGCGCTAGGTTAAAACGCCGCTTAGTAAAACAGGGGTGCTCTCTATTAGAGATGCAAATCGTTCTATTGCTAAAAGAAATAAGAAGGAAGTAGAGGCAGAGCGGAAGCGGGTAAGGAAGCAGTGGAAGAAAGCATATGGAACATCACCACCACCAGATCCTACACAGGAATCCCAGGCATCATTAGATAGAGCAGAGGAAGCACGCCAGAACGGTGATATTTTCTTTATAGATACTAGTGGGATGTAGCGATAGATAGGAGAAATAGGAAAAGATGGAAATTAGTGTGTGGGTGGAAATTAGTGTGTGGCGCACCCACAACCCGGAAGGGTTGGGGGGCGGTGTAAGGCACTAATACCACCTGTGGAAAATCCATGGACATTGGGTCACCGCTTAATGCTTCAACTTTACCCTCAGAATTACATTAACCCGAGTCACTCCTCTCGGGCGCTATATTTCTCCACCAATCAGTCATTCGCCGGGTAAAGAACGCCCGCCGTGCTTTTCCATTTAACTCTGTATCTTGGGCGATCGAAGTGTCTAAAAAATAAATTGAACGGCCATGAGTTTTACCAACCCCATAATTCCAGGATTTAATCCTGACCCGTCCATAATCCGAGTTGGTTCGGATTTTTTCCTTGTTACATCTAGTTTTGAATATTTCCCGGGTGCCCCAATTTACCATAGCTGTGATTTGGTCAAGTGGACCCTAATTGGCCATGCGTTGACAAAAGCTGGCCAGCTTCAAATTCATACTCCGGAGCCCGGGGGTGGCGTATGGGCGACGACCATCCGGTACCACGATGGGGTCTTCTACATCGTTGCTGCGAGCTTCCAACGGTATCGTCCACAGGAAGATGACCGAGTCTGGCCACTAGGCTTCTATGTGAAGACGACCAATATTTGGGATGAAACGACGTGGTCTGACCCAGTTTACTTCGACCAGGTTGGATTCGACCAGGATGTAAGTTATGGTTTTGCCTATGACGGAAATGAGGGCTAATATATCTGCGAAAACTAGTTATTTTGGGATGATGATGGAACCGTATATTTGTCGTCGACGTATCGTAAACTCAATCCAACTCCAAGTGCCAATTTGAAGGATTTCGCTATTCACATCTGCACTGTGGATCTGGCTACAGGTCGCTCAACATCAGAACCGAGGTTAATTCGCGAATCCTCATCTGGTGTGGCAGAGGGTTCCCATATCGTGAAACGCGGTCGCTATTATTACCTCTTCACTGCAGAAGGTGGCACTGAGAGCGGCCACTGCGAATGGGTTTGTCGGAGTGACAAAGGACCCCTGGGACCTTGGGAAGTTGGACCACACAACCCTCTCTGGAAAAACGGCCCTGAAGATGAAGTTCAGAATACCGGCCATGTCGATCTAGTTCAGGACATGAATGGAAATTGGTGGGGAGTGCTTCTAGGAGTTCGACCTGTCCGACGGGAAGACCACTGGGAGGAGTCGGTATTGGGTTGGTATAGACCACCTGGCAATCTTGTCTTCATCGCTAACTTCACCAGGGCGAGAGTCGTTTCTGGTTCAGGTAGACTGGGAGGACGATTGGCCTGTGTTTAATGGTGGAAAAAATATATCCCTTAAGTCTGTTGGACGAGGTCTTTACAACCAAGAACCCCTGGTCTTCTGGGAAGACGATTTTTCTGGCTCTCGACTCCAACTAGGATGGTATCGAAAGAGTACGCTTCTAATTCTTGGCATCAAAATTACATTATGTCGCAAACTTCTAACTTGGATAAAGACACACCCTTCACAGTTGACTATTCACTCAGCGAGCGCCCTGGTAATCTCCGACTCTACGGTGGACCTTATACGCTTGCCACACCGGCCTCTCCAACCCTATTCTTACGGAAGCAAACCCACCAATTCTGTACATGGGAGACAAGTTTGTTATTTCAGCCTATTTCGGAGCATGTCGAGGCTGGAACTGTTGTCTGGTGGAATTATCTAACCCACAGCAGTCTTGGAATTCGAAAACAAGGCAACAATCGCATCATTCGGTTTCAGCCGTCAGAAGGTTCTGTAATTGAGAAGGAGCTCAGTGATACAGGTTCTGTTATACTTATTGTTGAATGTGGAGATGAGTATCGCTTTGGATTTCAGGAAGAAACCAGCTCCCATCCTATATGGATTGGAACAGTCGCCAATAAAGTTGCAACAAAGACACCTTTTGTAGGTGCTTCATTCACAGGTAAGGTTTCAGGGAGAGAGGAGAAATTCCCAAAGAAAAAAAAAAAGAATGAAAAAGACAAATGGATTACTAAATTATTATATAGGCATGATGCTTGGAATCTATGCATTTGGTGATCGCCAAAGATGTTTATCACCAGCCGACTTTGCGTATGCACGGTTTCGATGAAGCGGATTTCAGAAAATTGAAATTTATTGCCTCCATAGAGTGGATGGACATACAGCAACTATCCGCCTGTGTCTTTTGTCTCGTGGGAAAATAATGCAATAAAATAGGAGAAACAGGAACATTTCAATAATAAGTATGAAAGGTATATAAATCAAGCTTGTAACGGTCACTGTTTTCACGGCGCGCATCTATAATTTAGCCCGATATACGTGTATGTGGAGACATCGTGTAGCTTGAGCTGGGATCCCCAAATCCTTACTAAAAAGTTCTCTTCAAAACAGACTTATTAGTCTTTCTGATGGACATTGTTATACAACAAAAAGAGTCTCTGTCGGAGGATTTAAAGGAGGCAAAGAGAACAATGATATAAGTAAATCCTGCAGTGGGGAAATGGCAAATACTAGGGAGACCTCTAATTGGACGATATCTTTTTAGTACACAGTCTTTACAGGATTTAGCTTCGCATCTCCGATAGGGAGAGAATAAGCTTTCACACTCTCTTCGTTTCATCTGCTTCTGCTTTCCCTTTTGGGAGGCTTCCTCTATCGTGGTGTGTGGTGGTTTGTTAGTCTGTTCGGAGACTACAGTTCAGTGGGCGCCCACTGAGCGGTAGGTAGGCGCCGTACTGGAATGTATGCCTGAGGCTTACTGCGAGTGAGGTTTCTGCTAAGATCTTATAAAACCGAACGCAGCTTCTTTCACTCCCTACCTCTTAGAGAACCCGTTTTTACGCTGTTTTCTTACAATAACCTATTATAACTAATATTTTTAAATATATAAGTCCTTATACTTAAGCGTATTTGCTTTACCTTAGATATAAAAAGTTCCTCCTTATCGAGGGCTTTAAAATAAGCCTAGAAAGCAAGAAAACTAATATAATTTAGGCTTAAAAAGTCTGCCTACTAGTAGTATTCAGCCTAGACATCGCCAAAGCCCACGTTTGGGCCCGGGGACCGGGCCCACGGCCTAACCCGCATAGGCTTTGGGCCCGACCCCCGGGCCCGAGCCCAACCCAAAGCCCACTATGGGCCCGGGCTCCGGGCCTACGAAAGCCTATAAAAGCCTATTTTTGCATAAAAGCAAGGTCTTGGCGTTTATAAAATAGCTTACTTATCAGAATTACATACTATATATTTTATGTAGTCACGAGATATTACTATAATTGCTTTTGCTAGAGCCCACGAAAAGCCTATAGGCCCACTGTGGGCCTAAAGGCTAAGCCTACAGCCCACCGTGGGCCTAAGGACCAGGCCCAAAGCCCAACCCATTCGTGGGTTGGGTTGGGTTGGGCTCGGGCCCGTGTGGGCTTTGGCGATGTCTAATTCAGCCTACGTCTTAAAAAAAGATCTCGGCCTCCTGGATATAACTAGGCCTCGGCACGACCCGCGGGTGACCCTCGGCGGGTAACCCGCGGGTAGTTAAACTAAGCAAATAGGGGGAACTCGCGACTTGCATAATTTATGTAGATTATAGCGGTATCTTTTAGTATTTTACTTAGTCTATCCTAGTGTAGAGAGAGTCTATAGGTAGGAGATAACAACTATCTCTTGGCAGAATCGAATTCTTGCGATATCTCGCTATCCAGAGGTCCTAGGATCTCCAGACCTAGTTCAAAATCTATTTAACTCCGCGCTCTATCGTTTGATACTAGTTTTATGCTACTATCTGCGATAGCAGCGGCAGGCGTAGCTGAAATAGGGATTTTGCACCCTAACTAAGCGCGGAATTTTCGCGAACCACGGAACGTACAAACTTAATTCTAACGGACTAACTAGTAAAACGACTAGTAGACTAACTAGCAAGCTCCCCGATAGCAAGCCGACTAACAGGCCTCGCTATCGATCAATAACTACTCTTCGATAGAGGAAATCGCTTATATCGTAAGAACTATTTATAATTAATATATAAGCACCGCTAACCCGATCGTAAGGGGCTTTATCCTCTCGATCGAGCGCTACGCGTTAAAAGCGCGCGAAAATAATACCTAGGGGATAGTAGTAGTCCTTACTACTATCGCTACTATCGATAAGGGCTAGAAAGACCTTACCTAACGAATTACCCGTATTAAATTAACTACTAGTACTATATCCTCCTCCTAGTAATCCTCGGTAGCGGTATAGCGTACCTTCTGTACTGTTAGAGAATAACTACTTGTACAGGGTAGAAAGCCTGTCGACTAGGTAGGAAGATAAACGTTAAGTAAGGAAAGCAAAATACTGTTTCTTGCTATTATAGATCTCTCTATAATCCTTAATTTATGTACAAGCTTCAACACTTTTCCTATATAACTAAGCAAAGACGATAGATTATATTATAATATACGGTCTAACGTAGCCCCTATATGTCAGAGATAAGTAAAGGCTATAGAGAAGAGGGGTCTACGAATCCCTAATAGAAGGGCACCGAACCCTTAGGGTCTTATAGGTTATATATCCTTATTAGGGAGACATAGAGCTATTATAACGAAGCCTAACCGATAAGGTGTCGAGTTGATATCTAAGGCGTAAAGTTAGGAATAGCTTTATATTGTAATATTATATAACAAATTATCCTCCCTCTATAACCGCTTGCCCCTAAGCGGGAGATTTAAATAGTTAGTAGGCTTATTTAGTATAAATAGATTAAATCCTAAGGCTGTGATCCTTATATAAGTAAAGTAAATAAGGAGTATTATACTATAGAAGTAAGAGCTTCCTTTATTTATATCCCCTACCTTATATTACTATCCTTTATTTTAATACTCTTCTACCTTCTCTCTTCTATTTCTTATTACTATTCTTTCTTTATTATATCGTCTACGTTTCGTTTACTATATCTCCCTATCTTCGTACTACCTATATAGTACTAATTATACCGAAGTATTTTTAGTGTATATATTACTTATAGACCGCTATTAGGCCTTCGGGTAGTCTATCCCTAATTATAGATATCCCTCTATTAATTAACTACGTCTTAGATACTAAAGTATCTATTCTATATCGCTAGTATTCTGCCTAGAATACTATATATTCTACTATAGGTTTCGCTAGGCCTTCTACTAGGTTTTATACTAACTTCTTCTTAGTCTACTACCGCTATATTAGGCGATACCTACGACCTTTCTAAGATCTTACTATAGGCTAAGAAGGTTTTCTAGGATAAGATAGTAGTAGATAATAATACTAGGGAAATAGGAGTATAGCCCTTTTTCTAGGCTATTCGTCTAGAGATCGCCGAGGCTTCGTAGGATCTCTACTATACTTTTAATAGTGCAGAGTAGGCCTATCGCTATAAATATCTCCTTACTAGTACTAAGAATATTATAAAGGTAAGTCCCCTATAGAAATTCCTTAAATTTTCCTTAGAAATAAAGAATACGAGGTTCGTCGGGCTTATACTATAGTTTCTATAGCGCGTCGCTATCTTATACTAGGATACCCTTACCGCTTATCGATATAATCTTTCTAGAATTCTTCCTTCCCCTAATAGATTCCCTACCTAGAGATAGGGTTTATACCGGTTAAATAAGCTACTTCGACTTCTTCCTAGGGATAATAGATACCTCTCCTAGGCTTAGGTAAAACTAGTATTCTACTATAGGGTTTTAGCAGTAGTTCGTGATAGTTAGGTAACTTATCTAGTAGATCGCCTAGCTAATACGGAGGCCTATAATAATTTAATAAATATTAAATCTAATAATAAGCTAGAAGTGCTAGTAAGAAGTATTATAGATAATTTTCCTTTTATTCCTAAGGAAATTTAATCTTCGGTATAGTAAATATTAGGATAGTATCTTATTTCTATAGGCCTTCAGTAGGGTTTTATTTATTTATCTTCGACTATATACTTATATAACGCGTAGTAATAATAATATTTAGGATTTTCTTTTAGTTCTCTATTTCCTATAAGCCTATATTAATCCTATAGTATTCCCTATATCGTCTTAGGATACCTATTAATTATATTCTAAGAGCTAGCCTTTCTATTTAATAAGGAAATAAGGTTCTCCCCTAATTAATTTCTCCTCGCGTACTTCTTTAACTTTATACTTATTATTATCCTCTAATTCTAGTATTAGTAGCCTCTCGTTATCCTTCCTACTTAGTTTTCTCTAAGGTTCTAGGAGGGATATATAAAAGATATTATAGATACAATTATACTACTAAGGTAAGCTTAGACGGTAAGCTTATTTACTAACAGGTTATAGGACCCTAAAAGGGCCGATAAAGTAGGGTACTAGCTTTCTACTCCCTTTTAGTTTAAGATATTTAGTAGAAAGGCTAACTAGGTCTCTTCTTTTAAACTATATCGGTTTATAGGTTTAGTTATAGTACTTCGTTATAGTTTTAGCTACTTTTCGCTAGTATTCCTATAAGTTCCGTCGAAGGGCTTTAAGTTTCTTAATTCTTATAGATACTACTAGGACCTCCTAGTAATATATTTCGCTCTCGAAACGCTAGCGGAAATCTAGTAAGTAGCTAAGTAATACCTAGAAGGGTAATATCTTAGTTATTATATTTACTACGTTATTATATATAAACTCCGTATTCTTTAATAGTAGTAGCTAGAGTACCTAGTTTTCTACTATAAAGTATCGTAGGTAATATTTAAGTATTTAGTTTATCCTTTCTATTTAGCTATCGATTTACGAGTAAAAAGCTATTAAAAGCCTAAGCTAAACTTAGGATTAATAATATAATTTTAACTAGAATTTACTAGTAAATAATAATCCTCGATCGGATATAATACTCTCTAGCAGCCTAAACCGTAATTCTACTTCGTTATAGAAGAGCTCTATAAGTTCTATAGTAGTAATCGTTAACGAAATAGCGAGGAATAGTGACTATTTCGTGAACCTATTAATAATAATAAGGATTATATTAACTTATTTACTATTATATAGTATTAATAGGAGGCCTATAATAAAGTCTATTAATAATTTAGCGAAAGGCTTTACTAGGATTAGTAAGGGTTTAAGTTCTCTATAAGGTTTATATCTTTTCGCTATAATACCTTAGTAG